TAGATTATAAAACTAGTAGTCTTTTAGGTACCCCAGCCACCTAGTTAATTATAGTTATAGATTAGTTATATCCTGTTTAACAGGCTTAATTATATAAGACTCAGGTTACTAATTCTAGTAGCTATTTATCTTAATTACTAGTCTCTAGCTACAAGCTTCTAGCTCTACAGGTTCTAGGCTAGACTTAAGCTTGGGACTAGGTAATACTTAAATATAATATAAATTATAATAGGTTAGAAAGACTTATTAATAGGTTATCTTTCTAAAGAATCTCTTACTAGAGTTTATAACTTATTAAGAATTAACCTGTCTTGACTAATTTATATATAAGTATAAAGTATAATTATATAATACTTACTAGTATTTTCTTATAAACTTTAGAAATTAAGTTATATATAAATAATCAGACTTATAATAATACTAGATTCTATTAAGATATATCTTAAGAATAGGAATAAACTAGGTTATAGTTTAAGATAAAGCTAGCTAAATAAGATTCTAGATTAAAGCTAGTCTCTAAGTCTTTTGAATATAGCCTAATATAATATTCTTAGATAAATAATAAGTTTAAGTAAGATAAGTAACTAGCTTATAAGACTATATTTTATATTTATATATATAACAGATCAGGAGCTGGTAAGAGAATAAATAAAAAAAGATTTAATTTATAATAAAGATACTTAGAGATAATTAAAAGTAAGAAAAAGAGAAAAGAAAGTTATATATATAATAATAGAAATCTCTTTACCTGATAAAATCCTATTCTAATAAAAATTTCTTTTCTAAATCTTTACTTTTTAAAAATTTCTTAAAAATTAAGTATTAATAATATAACTCTTAGATTAAATTATCTTATATTCTAGTAGTAAAAATATAATATATTAAAGTTTAAAGAGAATCAGGATAATATTTATATAAAATAAAATTAAAAATAGATAATTAATTCTAATATACTTATAATTCTTATTAAAATATACTAAAATTAATTCTAATATACTATATTAGAATTATTACTATTATATAAAAGTCTTGATATACTTTATCAAAAAAAATTTTAAGATTTTACTTGATTTTGATTTTAATTTTATAACCTTTATATATATTATTTTTAAATAAAAATTAGCTTGTATAATAGCTTAAGATCTAAATTATAATTTTTTATTTTTCTTTTTTCTATACTAGTCCTGGATCATGAAAGCATCTTACCTTAAAGTTAACAGAACTGTACCTAAAACCTTGAGTTTTCTAGCTAATCACAAGCCATGCTCAGTGCTCTGGAATGGAACCCTACCCATTTTTGAGTATAGTTCTGTTCCACCCACTTATTAGGGCCATCCTGTCACCTGTAGCCAGGGGGCGCTCATGTCACGCTTACTAGGACTGATGGCAACCAACAAAGGATTAACTACTAATAATAACTCGTATATATTATCCAGTAATTAGTAACTCATGCTAACTAGTTTACTATGATAAGTAGGTAGTTATTTATTAGACAAGGCAAGGACCTAGAAGTAGAATAATCCCTGTTATAATATAAAGAAGTATTAATAATAGATAATAGTATATATCCTGTCCCATGTCCTTTTTACTATATCTCTAGCTATCTTCTTTAGCTGCCTATCTTAGTATTATAGACTCCAGGAGTAAGCCTGGCACTAGTATCTCTTTAGAACCTTTGTTATCTATATAATAAACTAATAATTAGGACTAAGCTTATATTTAAGTCTATCCTTGTATAAAGAAAGGCTAGGAATCTCTAGGTCTAATAGTAATAAATAATAGATATAGTCTGGTTTAGTTGCTAATTAATCTATGTTTATAGTTATTATATTTATTATAATATAAAAGCTATAACTCTTAGACAGGCTATATACTAGATTATAAAGATATTATATAATCTCTGCTATTTATATAGTATATTAATAAAAGTAATAAATAATTACTTTATTCTTTAAATTAATAATAAAGAGAGTAGAGGTTTCAGGGAATACTAAAGAATTATTTATAATTACTAATTATTCTTATTAATAATATTTAAATAGTATTAAAAGTAGATACTAGAATTAGATATTAAGATATAATTTTAGTTATAGCTTAAAGTAATTATTATTCTTTTTTTTAGTAAAATCTTTTAGTCATGATTAAAAGATAATCTAATCTCTTATATAAATAAGAATAAATATACTTAAAGAAAACTTTTAGTTGTGACTAAAATATAACCAGGCTTCTACTAAGAATATATATAACATATAGTAATTAATAGTTAAATAATTAATTACTAAATATAGGAGAAACACAGAGTTTTATAACTTAATATATTAATAGAATTAATTCTTAATATTATTAGATAAAGAAAAAGACAGTAAAGCTAATACCCCTGATCTAAAAAGATTAATCTATTATTAAAATAAATTAAATAATAATAATACTTTAGTACTTGTTAGGCACAGGTACTAGATTATTTTATAAAAAAAAATAAGAGATTTTTATTTATGCTAAGATAGACTCTTTTAATAAAGTAGAATTATAAAATCTAGTTTATATAATAGCTTAAGATCTGAATTATAATCTTCTCTTTTTCTTTTTTCTATACTAATCCTAGATTATGAGAGTATTGTACCCTAAAGATAACAGAACTCTATAGGATTCCCCTGACTTTCTAGCTAATCACAAGCCACGCTCAGCACTCTGGAACGGAACCCTACCCATTTTCGAGTATGGTTCCGTTCCACCCACTTATTAGGGATAGTAAGAATAATATAAAATTTAATTTTATATAAATACCTGGACAGGCTTTATCTAGATTATATAAAATTCCCTAGTCTAATCAGGGGCAGTAGGAATAATATAAAATTTAATTTTATATAAGTATCTGGATAGGCCTTACTTAAATTATATAAAATTCCCTAGCCTAATTAGAGACAGTAGAAATAATATAAAATTTAATTTTATATAAGAATCTAGACAGGTGCTGCCTGGAATAACAGGATCTTAATTAGTAGATTATATAAAATTTTAAGAGAAAATAATAACCTGTATTTCTTAGCTTCCCTAGTCTAATTAGTATAATTAGATTAATTATTCTTATTAAGTAATATAAATTATCTTACTTACTAAGTAATAAATATTATTAGAGTATAAATCTACTACAGATATCTTAATACCTAGATTTATTATAATTAAGACTAGATTAACTAGCTTAATAAGCCTGATTAGTTAAATTAAGAAAGTTAAAGATCTTGAGAGCTAGCTAGACCCTAAAAATTTTACTTATATTAATTTAACAGGTAAATATTATAGCCAGGAATAAGAACTAAAAGTAGATAACTTAATAAAGATATATATAGAATACCTCTACAGGTAAATAATAAATTAATATCTAATTAATAAGTAACTATTAAAGTATAATAAATTATAAAAATTACTAGAAGAAGACCTAAGTAATTTATTTTAAATTATATTATATTTACCTTCCTGCTTATAGTCTAAAAGCCTTTATAAAGATATTTATTAATAAGTAGAAGATTAGCTATCTTAATAATATTTACTTCTAATTCTTCCTAATATTAGTAGCTGTTATTTATAATAAGTAATATATAATAATCTACCTGTAGTGAGGTTTAGGGTGAGAAAGAAAGATAATAAAAAGATACTTAAATAATATAAAAGATTTTATAATATAAGAGATTATCTGATTTAAAGAAAAAAATATTAATATTAAAGCTTCTTACTTCCTATATAATTTAGATAAAAGAGAAAATAGTATTTATATATAAAAAATTATAAAAGTAACTAGTCTAATTAAAGTAAGAGTTTAATTAAAGTAAATAGCTTGAGTAATAATAGTAATAACTACTAGTAATATATCTCTTATCTTTTATATATATAATCCTGATTATTCTCTAGATTAATAACTTTAACTAGCTATAAAAATCTATAGAAAATAGTTAAAATTAGTAGAATACTAGATTATTAAAGAGAAATAACTAGATTACTATAATTTAAAACTAGATTTATTCTATAAGTTAAGAAAGAAGCAGGAAATACAGAAGTTTTATAACTTTTTATTCTAGAATTTTATATAATTTAGACTAATCAAATCAGGAATTTCATAAGATATCCCCTGTCAGGCCCATCTCTAGCCTAATAACTTTGATATACTCTAGCAGCCATCATAGCACTGGTAAAATTCTAGAAAAATATGTTCCTATCTAAGGAGAGGCAGCGCTATCAGATAATATAAATTATAAATCTTTAAACTGTGTTTGTGGGTGGTACTATTACCTGGAATATGCCTATTAGAATTTAGTTATTAATTAATCTATATTTATAATCATTATATTTATTATAATATAAAAATTATAATTTATAATTATTAATTATTCTTATTAATAATATTTAAATAGTATTAAAAGTAAATACTAGAATTAGATATCAGGATATAATTTTAATTATAACTTAAAATAATTATTATTCTTTTCTTTAATAAAATTTTTTAGCTATGACTAAAAGATAACCTAATCTCTTATATAAATAAGAATAAATATACTTAAAAAAAACTTTTAGTTATAATCAAAATATAACCAGGCTTTTATTAAGATAGATTCTTCTAATAGAATAGAATTATAAAATCTAGTTTATATAATAGCTTAAGATCTGAATTATAATCTTTTATTTTTCTTTTTTTTATACTAATTCTAGATTATAAGAGTATCCTATTCTAAAGATAATAGAATTCTATAAGATTCTCTTGATTTTCTAGCTAATCACAAGCCACGCTCAGTGCTCTGGAATGGAACTGTACTTGAAAATAGGTAGGGTTCTGTTCCACCCACTTATTAGGGGTGGGAGCCACTCATCTCCACAAGGGGCTGGGCATCCTATATGATCAGGGATACTTATGACACTGATACCCCACCCTTTCCCCTCCACCGATCCAAACCAAATTTTTCCTTTACATCCTCCACCATCTTCCATAAACTATGACCGAAAATATGCCGGATCGTGTTATGACGGGAGTCCTGACAGTCAAGCTCGCCTGGTCGCGTGGATTGAAGCTTCCAGATGTAGTTGACGACACCTGGAAGAAGCAATGGCGCCCATACGTGATCGCAGAGTACCAAGGATTCCAGCTCTCCTCTGAAGCCCTATTTAGCCTCCCCGCGCAGGGCCTTGTTGACTGGGAAGCTTGGTATCGCCCTTTCAAATTTGATCTCCCGCCGTCGCTGTCATTGTCGTCGGAAACTGAGGAGCAGGAGGGGGTGCTTACCTTGTCGTTACTGATTCATCGTCACGAACCGGATACAGGGAGCACTCAATCCTCGTCGGGGGAACCCTTTGGGCCCCAATGCATGTCACTTGGGTTGGTCAGACTGAATCCGTTCCTGGCCGGATCTGGGACACAGAAGGTGAAAACCCTAGGTGGCACGGGGCTAACAGGGCTAGAAATACACTACACCAGGAAAGAAATTTCGCCTGTACTCACTAGCAAGGATTGGAGAGTTCCCGAAAGAAATAATATTTGCAGTGACGGTAACCTTGTCTATGTCCAAAAGCAAGACTCGGGCAGAAGCTACGGCATGGAGATCACCCATATACCTCGCTCTGCCCATGAGCAGCTCAGTGGTGAAAATGAACCAGTAATAAACAGCCTCCGCTCTAGCATCCAGCACCCCTTTATCGCTCCGCTGATGTTTGCCTTTCACTCTTCGGATGGTAGATTGGAACTCCTTTCACCGCTCGACAGCGGAGGATACCTTTCTGACCATGTGCAGAGAGAGCGACGATTTGGCATTACCAAGGCAAGATATTATGCTGCAGAGCTGATCTGCATACTGGAATACTTGCATGCAAAGAACATCATTCTTGGTAGTCTAAAGATGGAGAACATCCTCCTCGATTCCTCTGGCCACGTCAGTCTCTGCAAACCAAGTCTCTTTGCGCTTGACCTGAGTAAGGACACGGACTGTATTGCGCCCGGCACGTCGGCATATCCAGCTCCCGAAATTCTCCTTAACAAGAGAGAACAATCTCGAGCTAGTGATTGGTGGAGCCTGGGGATTATCCTCTATGAGCTCTTGACGGGTGCTCCGCCTTTCTACCACAAAGATAAAGAGGAGCGGCGGTATAGGATCATCAACGGGACCCTCCAGCTGCCCGTTGGCTTGCCATCAAGTACAAACGATATTCTTACTAAATTACTCGATAAAGACCTCACGCGTCGCCTAGGAGTCCACGGCCTCGCGGAGGTGAAAGCGCATCCTTTCTTCCACGGGTTGGATTGGAGTGATTGCATCCATCGCAAACTTGAAACGCCCTTCAAACCCCACAATGACGCCGTGGTCTTTTGGTGCAAGCCACACACATACAAGTTAAAGGAGTATCTAGAGGGGGAGTTGCGAGAGTTCGATGGAGCAATATATGAGATAATAGGTACTTCAGATTTTCCCTTGCCGCGTTATATAGGGCCGGCTGCCCCCGACAAGAGTACAGGTCATGGTAACACGGGCACTTCAAACGAACAATGGGAGTTGATATGGGTGCCAGATAGTGGAGAATTATACTTCCAAATTCGTTCCTCTGGCCAGAGGGTTCTAGCGAGACGCGACGCTGCGAAGCGCGGAGAAATACCTCCGCTAGTCATGTCTGAACATCCCACCCAGCACCAGCTGGAGGAAGCTCTCGCGACAGCTTTGCAAACTGGATACAGTCACAACGTCTTCTCTCAACTCATCAGTTACAACCTGAATCTTAACATCCGAATTAACGACTTCAAACGTTACCCTAGCAGATGGATAACACCACTGGAGTGGGCCGTTGAGCAGGAAAGGCCAGATCTCGTGCACCTATTCCTTGATCATGGCATCGACGCCGACTTTACTGTTCCCTCTCAAGAAGGCCCCGCCGTCGTAAGAGCCGTGCGACGAAAATTGCATAATCTGGTAGAAGCTCTTGTGCAAAGAACAACTCACCGAGTCTCGCGAACGAGGGCGCTCGCACTTGCAGTGGAACAGCAAGATATCTCTCTCGCGACGATCCTGCTTTCACACGGGGTGGCCTGCGACTTTAAAGAATCCGACCGACCTCTGCCCCCCGATCCATACCATTGGGACTATGACTCGAACCTGGACCGAGTATTCGAGCCGGTGGACTTCACCCCGCCGCTTGTCCGGGCAGCTAGGCTGGGTGATCTTGCGTTGGTCACCTTGCTGCTGGAGCATGGCGCCGATCCTAACCTTGCGTACCACGTTCTGGGTGGGTGGAGGGGGACGGAGCAAGATCTTGGTTTCAATGAGATCGCTTTAAGGGATTCGAGAATACCTACCATGTTCTCTTGTGGACGAGTTGTGCAGATCGCGATGGAGATGGGGCATCCGGAACTTGTGAGGGCGCTGCTTGATGCTGGGGCAGATATTGACCTTCCGCAGCCTGCTTGGGCGGTACTGGGGCATGTCTGTCAGCCGGTACCTAGGGCTGCGTATCTGGAAATTGTGAGTGGGCTAAGGGATATTGTGGCTGAAAGACGCAGAGGTATCAATCTAGGGGGACAGGAAGCGTGAGACTGCGATCAGGCTGACCATATTATAATAATCCATCTTGACATTACGAGCCGTTCTATTTCCGAGCCAGCCTGCGCAGTAATATCTCAGCACCCATTACCCAAGATCCCAAGATAAAAACTATCACACCCACTCACCATGCCCGCCTGTGTTGGTGTTGGGGTGGCAATACCGTTCCCAGACGTCGTAGTAGTAGTACGAGACGCTTTCGTGGTTGTAGGAGTAGGTGACTGGCTGATAATGCCTATGCAGACGTGTTAGTCGAGCCAGAGCCCGCCGCAGTCGTTGCAGGGCCGGATTCTATGAGTGGAAGTCGACAAGCAGAATGCCGGCGGCTGGTGGGATATCAAAGCCGCTGTCGTCTTGGACAACAAAGTAGAACGCGTTGCAGTTGCTGGCCATCCCTATCCAATGGCAGTAAATCCACCCTGGGCAGACTGAATTTATTTTAGCGCTGTCTTCATGACCCTATAGGGCAGGGTGCATTTTATTCATTAAACTATAGGTTGGATTTTTGAATATCACTCTAATCAGCCTGAAATTTTAATATGTTATACTAGTGTGAACCCCTGCACAGACGCACGGGGTTGCGGATAGTAGTGTATAGGGTTCTCTGGGAATGTCAAGCAAGGTTGTTTTTCAGTCTAATAACCCTAATACACATCCCAGAATGCAGCATAACACTACCTCCTTACTTGTACCTCATTCTGTCTGATACGGTCCATGTTCGTGATATAATAATAGGCACTATTTTCATTGTTACTTGGAGCCAAATTCAGCCACTTGCCTACCTGGCTTTTATAACTTGATATACTATGAGCAGTCCCAAGTTGGCCTGCAACATGATACTCTGTAATTAATATTAGCAGGATCTACCAGTCTACATGTAGTATTATCAAACTCCAATAGTTAAGACATATAAAGTTACTGATCAAGCAGCTAAAGAATTACAGGAAGTTATCTTATTATCAGATCTCACTGCTTACTCTTAATAAGTGGGTGGAATGGAACCCTACCCACTTTCGAGTACGGTTCTGTCTTGTAGGCATATTCCAGGTAATTATATCACTCACAAATATGGCTTCATGTTTTATAATTTATATTATTAGATAGCACTGGCTCTCCTGGTCCTCAGAAGCAGCCACACTACTAGCTACTATCCCGCTGGGTCTTGGGACATTTGCAAATGATCAGAACCTGTAGTGGTTTCAGGCCCTGAATAGTGCGAGTTAGATTACAGATCGCCAATCCACAAACCCGAGCTAGAATTAGCTTGATTTAACCCTTTTGTATGAGATATTTAAGTAGTAACTATTTTCATGATTTTCGCTTATAAATTGGCTTAGTCAACAGCATTTTAGGTAAACTAGTCACTTTTAGGCCTAAATTCTAGCCCTGACTAGTGTTCGCAGGTAGAAAGCTCTACTACTTCAAATTATAGGTCGAAAGCTACGCCAAACTGCAAAAAAACCGCGAGTAGGTTTGGTGTCTTGGGTTTAGATTTGGTTCCTCCCCTCCCTGAATCCGCACTGAACCGCACCAGATAATACTTTAGTTGGTAATACTAGTGATTAATGATTTCTACAAAAGTAACAATGGTGACAACACTTTTGATTTCGCGTCATGCTAAATTGCCAAGTAGCATGTTGTTGGGTATATCAGTCAGGTTAAGCCCTATACCAAGCGTTGGTCAACGTTTTGGTCTAGCGGTCTTGAGACATATTTCTCATAGATCTGTGTTCGCTACTTAGACTGGAAGTCAAGTATTGCCTAGTATGGTTGAATACTCTAGTACTTCAGTCAGATAGTCCCAAGAGCTAATAGAGATAATAAATGATAAAATCACAGTGCAATGTGCTAATAACTGTATCTTTCTTCAAGAAATACTTGCATTCGCCTCTTAAACACCCTCACAGCTTGGCCGCGGGATCAAACAAGACAGGCTCAGTCAAGTTCGCTGTGTTCTTGTTTTGAAGGCAGAGGCTATATTCTATGGACTTGTCCTCATCCGTGCCAACCGGGTTCTCCCTGACCTTGACGTAGAAATCGCCGTAATTTCCAAATGTATCGTACAGGCGGACCCATGCGTCTTGGGACCAGGGCGTCATTTGCCAGTAGTTATTATGAAAGAAGGTCATGTGAGTGAGGCAAAATGCATTCCGTTGCTGATTGACTTGGACATCGGCTATTGCGTTTTTCGTGCTCGTAGAGATGATGAAAGGATCAAATCTTTGCCCGGAACCAAAATCCTCGAGGATATGCTTTAATCCTACCTGCCTCGAAGTCTCCGGTCCGAGGTTCCAAAAGTAGAAGATGTTGAGGTCGTGCCTGTTAAACTGCAAGGAAAAGGAGTTGTTCAAGGGGTCGCTGGTCCAGGTTTCATTGATCCTATAGTCGTGTAGATCGGCTTTCAAGATCGGATGTACGTTCGATGTGACATAGTAGTTCTCCTGCCGCCAGTCTCTGTCGAAATCTGTAGCATTACCGTTTATCGCCGAGGTAAAAATCCAGTTTCCCGTGGCTACTTTCTGCTTGTCTCCCAACGTGATGTTATTGGTGTCATAAAATACTGGTTGGATTGCCGTCAGAGTGACGAAGGAGTTGAAGATGGTGCTATTGGTGGTCACCACGGTGTCATTGGGCTGAGTGATACGTGCGCCAATGACTCTGTTCTCGATTCTGGTAGATGAAACATATAACCTGATGGATTGAGGTGCATCCGAAGTGGGTTCGACGGGGTCATTTGTGCCGGCCAGCGTGTGGGCGAAGTCATTTGGGGTCAAAGAATAAAACCAGGTACCCATGAGTACAGCCCCAGAATGATAGTCAATCAACTGGATCTTCTGGAGCTCGGTGTCGGTCAACCGATGGGTGACCCCTGTTGTCGGATTTATAGCATTGAGAGTGACTATCACAGGAACTTGCATATTGCCATTGGCAAAGAGCCGGTCGGCTACCTGATCGACCGTGGTAGTCTGCACGGCGAAGGAGGTGACTTCCCAAGATACTGACATGGTGGATGTTGTGATAGGGGTAAGAATCGTTTGATGACGGTCGTGTGTATTCAGAATATTGAAGAGTCTATTTGCTTTCTTGACCGGTTCCAGGATGACCATATATACCTCTTCTGCCCTCCCCCCCCGCTGTAATCTCTAGTCTCTTCCCCTCTTTGCCTTCCGAGCTGAGATCTTAAGCACAGTGTAAGATCTTTGATATCCTGTCGAATATTGAGCCTAACATAGAAATGGTGGCGATTTGGATGTGCTGAGGGGGTGGCAAGGCCTTCAGGAGCTGCAGCGCAAAGGTGGGCTGGCTGAAGCGGGGGTATACGCTTTACGCGATGTCGCAATGCATTAGATCTAAGTTGTACACTATATGCTGCAGCTCAAGCACATTGCAAAACCTTTGATATCCTGTCGAATATTGACCCCGACATAGGAAGGTGGCAATTTGGATGCGCTGAGGGGGTGGCAAGGCCTTCAGCAGCTGAAGTGCAAAGGTGGGCTGGCTGAAGCGGGGGTATACGCTTTACGCGATGTCGCAATGCATTAGATCTGAGCTGTAGACTGTATGTTGCAGATCTAGGTCGAGCAGGATATTTCAGCTCTCCACTGGGAGCTTCCTTTCTGTGGAATATATTGCAGAGGGATTTGGCTCGCGACACTAACCGATGAAATCCGGTTATCCCCCCCCTTTATGGGGAGTCAATCTATTCTCGATCCTTGTCAACAAATAATGACGCAGCTGTAGTTCCTACTGAGATTGGGTAGACGCTAACAATGGGCCCATGGGTTTGCATGCAGGTGAACAGGGATTCGCAGCTGAATTCGAGGATGCCATCTCCTGGCCTATCGACCCCCCTCCATCCTTGATGTCGTCATCAAAAGAAATTATGTTTTCATCTATACCCTCTGGAATTACTCGAGCGTCAGTATAGGACAGGCCCATTGCTACCCTCTTACATTCCAGCTCGGTCTAGGCACGTTCAAACCGGATAGGATTCCGAATCCACAACATCTCCCAGCAGAGGAAGGAGGGGGAGGAGGCAGGGGGAGAGGAGAAGCGATGTAAGAAGAAGGGGAACAGGTATAAGATCGTGAGCCAGCTCAGACACTGATTATAGTTGAATTATCTTTCCTCTGCCTGCTAATCTGTTATAATGATTTATTCACAGGGCTTCAATTTCAATTCCTACGTCGAGAAAGGCGTCGACCCTCGCACCGGCCAGTACAACTGCACCATTTCTCTCTATGAAGTGCCGGCTGGGGTTCGTAACTGCCCCCCATTGAACCTTTTCCTCCACTATAATCCCCTGGGAGGTGAGGATGTCGGCCTCGGACGGGGCTGGTCTTTTGGCGGTCTCTCATCCTACGACCAGCCGTCCAGGACCCTTGTTCTGTCCACCGGTGAGAATTATCAAGTCCGGGAAAGCATCAGCTCCGTCACGGTGACGGACCAGAAGCTCAAGAGTTTCATATTCCAGAAGATGACCGCCACAACCTACTGCGTTACCCTCAAGTCAGGCCAAGTGGAATTACTCTCCAACTTCAACAATCGGGCCTCTGTTAGTGTGCCCACCGAGATCTACGGCGCCAATGGCCACTCGCTGAAGATCTCCTGGGTGTTTGCGGGCACCCAACCCCGACTCAGCAAGATCCAGGCCGGCTCGCAGGACCTGGTCGAGATCGTCTACAATGACAGCGCGCAGACAGCCACTGTCACAAAAGCGCCGGGGACCGCCGAGGCCGCAACCTTTGCGCTGGTGAAGCGCAATGGCCAACTGGCGGAGCTGCGCCTGCCGCTGGAGGGCTCGCCGGCCTGGAAGTTCACGTATGGGACGGCTGGCCTGACCAATATCACCAGCCCGACAGGGGCAATGGAAAGCATTTCCTACAGGGTCGCGGGCTTCCGGCTACCCAGCGGTGCGCCGGTCAGTACCATCCCTTACGTGATCTCGCATACGGCGCGACCCTTCCATGGCCAGCCGGCTATCCAGACGACCTACAGTTACTCGGACCACAATTTCCTCGGCTACGGCGGAGGCAGGAACTGGACCAGCGATGGTGATAACCTCTACCTCACCCCGGCCGACTATGAATATTCCTCCACTGTGCAGGTGGTGGGCGGAACTACCACTAGGCATATTTACAATAAATTCCACCTGCAGCTTAGTACGCAGCAGCAGAAGGGCGTCAATCAGCTCACACAGGCCACCACGTACTATGCTCGCAGCAATACCCCCTTTGAGGACCAGCCGGCCCAATATCAGTTGCCTCAGACTCAAGATACCATCTATCGGGACACTTCCACCGGAGCATCGCGTGTCGAGACAACCCGGTTCACGTTTGACGACTGGGGGAACGAGACCAGCGAAACACCCCCGAGTGGTGTCACGACCAGCCGCGAATACTATGCTGCTGCCGGCGAGGTGGCCTCTGGCCAGGTCCTCTGCCCGGCTGATCCGCACGGATTCCAGCGCTATGTCAAGCTGGAGACCGTTATACCTGCTGCCAGTGTCTATTCGACGCCCACCCGCGCCCAGAGCTACACATACATTGAGCTCCCTACGGCAGCCGCAGGCCGAACCGGCTATTTCGTGGCTAGTGGCAAGCGGCTAACCCGGGAGGGAAGCCAAACCCTTGCTACCACGGAATACACCTACGTGAACCAGCCGGAGTCCGCGGATCATGGCCGACGACAGCAGCAGGACTCGCGCTTGTTCAACCAGCATCCCACAATAAATAAATTTAGGTACCATCGTGCAAGCTCGACGGAATTGACCGAGACCATTACAACAACCAGCTTTGACGGCCAGACCACGCAGGAGGAAACCACCACCTCCCTCATGTCCGGATTGACAATCGCAACCAAGAACCGCGCCGGCACCGAGACCACCCATCAGCACGATGCGATAGGTCGGGTAACCGAGACCGTCACTGCCCTTGGCACGGCCTTCGAGGCCAGAAAGCAGCACGAATATGCCGTCCTAGAGAACGCCGTCGGGTGGCAAGTCACGGTGACCGACAGCAAGGGGGTGCGGACGCGATACTTCACGGATGGCATGGATCGTGTAGTTCGGGTGGAATCCCAGGACGACGATGGCAGCTGGGACCAATATCAGACGTACAATGGTACATTCCGCGTTGTCCAGGAGCGCCAGTATAACGCCCTCGATCAATGCACCGAAGAGGTAGACATCGACTGGCTCCGCGCCAGCGGAGCGCCCACAGAGCTACGTACAACTCGCTCCCTCGAGTACGATGACTGGGGCGAGGTCTATAAAGTCACGAAGAGCGGCGGAGCGGTGCAACTATCCGTGACAGACCCTATTGCCTTAACCCAGACCGTTGGGATTGAGGGCGAGGGCCAGACCCGGGTCCAACACAACATGTTTCACAACCCGATATCTGAGGCTTTGGTGCGGCGCAATGGGGCCGTCGAGGGTACCATAGCATATTCTTATGATGGACTGGGACGCCGCTGCCAGATGACGGATGGCTTGGGCCGTACCACGCAGTATAGCTACGATAGCTTCGATCGCGTGGTCAAGACAACATGGCCCGATGGCCACGCTATCATTACCCAGTACGCTGCCGAGAGCACCACGGCCTTGCCTGTGGCTATCAATCTTCAGGGCTCCTCTGGCTTCAGTCACCAATCGTTTGATGGATTGGAGAGGCCGCTGCACACTACTGTCGGCGGCCGCACCACTAGCAACACATATCAAGGCGTTGCCCCCGTCCCTGCTCAGATCACCACTCCAAAAGGAGAGCGCTCCAACCGCACGTATGAGCCGGCATTGGACTATGCATTGACAGGAAGGGTCACCAGAGATGGTACCGACTCGTATCAACACGACAAGCAAACCGGCGATCTCTTGCGCCTGGAGGGTTCGCTCGCCGCGGCTAGCCTCAATTATTACCCATCCACTCTGCTGTCTAAGGAGACTGTTCAGACCGCTGATGGGGCTCGCGCCTTGGAGTACGTGTACTCACAGGCAGGCAAGCTACAAGAGTACACCGATGTCCACGAGAAACAGCACGCGATCCAGTACGATGAGTATGGCCGGCTGCAGGAGATCAGCGTCGGAACGCTCACAGTTAGGCTCAGTTATGATCAGGCAGACCGCGTTATCATGACCGTGGCCGAGGATAGCGAAAAGGGTGTGGCCCTGACGACCAATATTGGGTACGACGAGTTCGGCCGCGAAATTCAGCGAAAGGTCTGGAAGGGGGCGACGCTCTTGTTCCAGTCCACCCAGTCCTATGGGGCAACGGGGCTGGTCGACGCACGCGATCGAAGCGATGGCACCGGCACTCTGGTGCGACAGGAAACCTTTGAGTATGACAATTTAAGCCGGTTAGTGGACTACCAGTGCCAGGGCACACAGCCCCCGGTGGACGAGCAAGGCCGCGCTCTTCGCCGTCAGCGATTCACGCTGAACGACTATGATGGATTCACCCAGATCCAGACCACCTTTGTGGATGGCAGTGAGGAGACCCAAGCCTACACGTACAGTGCTCAAGATCCGACACAGCTTATCAGCATCTCTAACACACACTCCCATGAAGTGGCGGTTGTCAATCTCGAGTATGACGAGAACGGGTGTATAACGCGCGACGAGAACGGGCGGACGCTGGTCTACAATGCGTCAAATTTGCTGTCCGCAGTTTATGATAGCCAGAACCAACTCCTCTGCGAGTATGGGTACGATGCAACAGACCGGCTTGTCCGTCAATCAATCCCTAATGAACCGGACACCCAATTTTCTTACCGCGGGGACTCGTTGATCGCCGTAACCAAGGGGGACCACCAGACGAGCTTGGTTTCAAACGGGGGGATATACTGGGGGGAAGTCCAGCAGCAGGGGACTGAGGTGTTCACCCAACTGTGGGCGCCCGATGCCAGCCACTCGGTTGGCACCTGGCTGGATACGCGGGATATAGAACAGGTTCACGACCAAGCGTACACGCCCTATGGGTTCAGCGTCGACGGAGCGACTATCGGCTTGAACGGACAATGGCGAGACCCGATCACCGGGTGGTACCACCTGGGAAACGGCTATCGTGTGTACAATCCGAGTCTGAAGATCTTCCTGCAGCCGGACGCCTGGACCCCCTTTACCTCGGGCGAACTCAATCCGTACGCCTACTGCTTGGCGGACCCGGTCAATCGCACCGATCCGAGCGGCCACTGGAGTCGCCTCCGAGGATTCTTTCAGTTCCTGGCTAGCATAACCGTTGCCATTGGAATTGCCGTCTTCACCGGAGGGGTTGGATTTGTTGCTGGCGTAGCGATTGGGGTCGCTGTGAATGTAGGCGTCGGGGCCGCCTACGATCTGGCGACAGGGACAACTCCCACGCTGAAAAGCATAGCCTCCGATGCTTTCTCCGGAGCAGTTGGTGGAGTCGCTGGCGGCATTGTCGGGAAGGCCGTTAACCCATTGCCTTCGGCGCTGGCAAGCGCAACGGCGAAGATTAAGCAGGCAATCGCTTTGGAGGTCGCCACAACCGCCATTACCGCGCCCGGGACTATTGTCTATGGAGCCTTGGGGAATCTCGTTACATCTCATGTGAAGAACAACAAGAAGGGCTCCCAGACGCAAGAACCCCTCGCCACGACCGCCGGCTATCTGGCGGGGTTGCCCATAGAGAACCTTCGACGACAGCAGGCAAGCGCTTCTCCGAGCCAACAGATTATCTCGCAAGCTGCCGGCCAGTCGTCAAGTCATGATGGGTCGTCTTCCGATACCGTCTCAGCCCGGATCTCCTCCCGAGAGACGGTCACTGCCGAGGATTTCAGGTCGAACTCCCTCGTGGGATCCACCTTTGTTGGCTCACAGTTCACGCTTCAGCTAAGCCCAAACCACCGGGTATTCTTTACCATCGACGCGCAGGCAGCGCATGTACCAGCCTGGGATGTCAGCGGGACTTCGTTGAGTGCGGCTACACACTAGCTTGGCGGGATGAGTTTACTCGGTTAGTTAGGCTTCTGGCTGGCAGTTTGCGGAGTGTGAAGATCAACGGTCCCGATTTGGTGAATCGCTTGCACATACTTTTCTCGGTGCGGGATCCAGAAGTCCGGTGATCTTCGCAGTATGTGATCTTGCGGGATGTCAACCTCCTGCGTCGTGAGGATAAAAAAAGCACATTTTCATGTACCCCTAATCGCGAAGTCCTAGCGAACAATCTTTGTTGCGGTTGACGATAAATGAATACATTCATCCTATCCCTTTAGAGTCCGTACCAGCCCATCTAGATTCATTAATCAAGGTATAATAATTCAATCTTTATATATAACAGGAGATTATCAAGGATGGCTTTACTCAACATGATGGCGGATACCCCAGGCCATCTGAAGTTCAACTGGCACCCAGAGGCGAACTATTTCCAGCGCCTTGGCTTGTGCTTGGCATGTATAGCTAGGCCAAGAGCACTAGCCTCTCAGGAGCTGGCCGGGGGTGGTGATGGCGGGGTCTCATATAGTTATAAGATCTAGAAGCTCATGGTAGATCACGGGTACATTGACAAACAGGGCTTGTGCAGTATATAAAGTTTCTATTTGCAGATCGCTACTGCTTGATGACCACTGGAGGCAATTACCTCATAGGGGATGATTACATATCCGTAATGTCTTCGGCAGCGCACGCCGCATCTTCACCTGTCTACTATTCTACGGCTTCCGTCGAAACTACTGTTGTTCTTCTGGCTGGCCCCGACAGCGCAACAGCCCGAGGACTGCCAGGTATAGGGTTGACGGTAGAAGGTATACTAACCCAGGGAAGTTAACAAGACACACCTTGGCTAACAAACACCTAGGATAAAATAACTTTGTATTCACGAATCGTCGAATCCTTAACTATGGCCTTCAATATGGTAGATTAATTATATTATATTTAGAAGTTGGATTGCTACTAGTACTGTGACTGCACCAGTACTGTGGCACCAGTACCGCAGTACTTGTCCAGGCCTATCAATGGTAAATTGCGTATTGATAATCTGATGTGAATGATGGGCGGAACTATTGACGAGAGATTGTGACAGTGATGTCAGTTGCTCTCTTGATGCTAGTAGATGTGAACAAGGCCAGCGTACGCTTGTTTGGTGCGTACTGTAGCAAGCTGTCATCAGGCGAGACCTCGACGCTATAGCCATTAGGGAACGTGGACTGGGGTAAGACGATTTCAGTGGGCGCGTTGATATTTGGATCAGACACGAATTGCAACTCGAAGGTGCCCGAGCTCTCGGAAAATTCGAAGCTCTTGGGAGTCCCGGCGACAGCGGCCGGGTACGCACGGCTGTAGTGTCTCGCCAGCTCAGGGTAAGGCTGATCTGATGTGCCATTGTACAAATTGTCGTACGCCCAGCCAATCCAGGAAACCATATTTTCGTCGGTCGCCGACATGGCATCTGCTAGATCTTGCATCTCCTTATCATCCCCCATCCAGAAAGTGAGTTCCGTCAGTACACCGGCGGTCCTAAGGCGCTCGTTGTCCTTGCGGCGGTTCTTGAGCGTGGTGGTAATAGGGCCAAGCTGCGGTGGACTGTAGTAGTGGAACGAGTGTACTGACTTCGAGCCATCCCCAAGGGGGACGTTATTGAAACCGGACAGAACATCTAGGGTGGCCCCTTCGAACCAGATTAGCGTGTCATTATCAACAGTACGGATCTGCCTGGTCGCTCGGTTCCAGAGGTCTTCCAGGACCTTGTGGTCAGCAACACCTGGCACCAGCAGTGTTGGATCAGCCCATGTGTCGCCCACCCACGGCTCGTTTAGCAGGTTATATCCGACCACGTTGGGTGTTTTGGCGTACTCAAACGCCAGCTTTTTCCAGTATGCTGCGAATGCATCTCCTAAACCGTCGTAATTGTTGTAAAGCCGGCCAAATGCATTTCCCAGTGCCACCGACGTGTAGCTTAAAGCCCAGTCGACGGTGTCGCAAAGCGACTGTGGCGATGGGAAGCCCCGGTCATCCACCGGGAATGGTGTTGGCTTGAGGGGAAATGGATACATCTTTCCACTTGATACCCAGTCTTCCTCAACAAACCACTGCAAAGCCGTATCAGTATCAGCGATTTGCTATGATGTCCCTAGATTGACTCACATCAGGGGCGCCATTGCCACATAACTGCCGCGACAGACAGTCCTGGTGCACATCCACCAAAACGTAGAGACCATGGTCCTCGGCCATCTTGGTCTGCTTCTTCATGATAGCCAAAAACGTTTCGTTATACTGCCCACGCACAGGCTCTGCACCAGCCCAGCTGTGGCCTAACCGCACGACATTTAGACCCAAGTCGTGCATAGTTTGGACATCTTGCTCGCCAAATGACGTGACTCCAGGCACCCACTCCAAGGGCAGATGCCATGGCGGCTCCTTCATCACGGCATTAGTTCCGTGGAAGAACCGTGTGCGTCCAAATTCGTCGATGATCTGATGCGTCTCTTGGTTCACCTGGCTGATACGCGCCATGCCTGGGTGATCCTTGTACCACCCCTCAGCATCTTGAGCTAAAATGACACCTGGTTGTGTACCAAGCATCACGAGCAGCGATGCGGCAGCGGTATAACTGAACAGCATTTCAAGTAAAGGGTCGAAATTCTCGGGAATAATGAATACAAAAGAAAAAGGAGGCAATATGTGCGATCATACCAATAATAATAAGAATCAGGAGATTATAGGAAGATTATAAGTGCCACTCCTCTGCTGACTTATCTTTTGCTGTTACCAAGTTAACTGGTTGGTTAGTTACAGCCCAATCGTCCAAACAGGTAAATGTGAATACGCCCCGCAAAATCGGCTTAGAAAGAGGGGCCCATTGTAGGTAGAGACCAGGGGGTTCGGCATAGAAAGCCAATTAAGTGATACGATTTCATCACAGCGGAGTCAAATCCAGAAAGGACTTTCCTGCTCTCCGTGCCGATCTCGTTTAGCGTGATGATCATCGCATAGCTTACCTATATTAGATACATCGAGAAGTGTGTACGATGACGGCTCTTACAACAACGATTGTGTGTTGCTATCAATGGTAGAATTTTTTCTTTTTTTGTCTTTTTTACATAATGAGACGCTGACCTGGGCGGTATTCAACTACCCACAGCTTCAGCGCTTATAAACCCGGGCTGGGAGTTAACAGAGAGGTGTAAGTCAACCAACAGTTAGAGCGGAATTTGCGATATGAAGCTTTTGGCGTAGTCTTTGTTATCTAGGCATGTACGTCACCTGCGGACACCAAACCCCAGTTGCTCTGCCTTTCTTGTTTTTCTTTTTGAAATTTACCTCCCTGGACAAAGATGTCATTATCAAGCGCGCCGTCCACTACCAGTATAAGCGGAGCCCGCGTGTCGACGAGGATGGCTAGAGGCTCATGGCTTTTAGGGCAAGGACAGCCACCTCGCTGCGTAGGGTGCACTGGTCGTGTCTTTGCAAGCAGCCAGGACGCCATCATTGGGCACGACTCTAGCAACGACCTCGGCATTTCTCGGGCCAATATCAGCATTCCCGACCTCATTGATGACGACAAGGATGCCCTCACAGGCATCAGAGCGTGGACCTAAGGGCACGTCAGACTACACGACCCAGATGAGTATACGGGGAAGGAATCCCTCCAGCAACCGAAAACTGTCATCAATGATAAGCTTGGCGATATGCCCTGGAGGGTGAAGTGTTTCGAACCCGAGGGTCTGTTTATTAATGAATATGGAGAATTTTGAGCGGACAACTAGCCTGACGAGGCAATGAATGGCTTTGTCCTAGTGAAGAATCCACGCAGATAGTCACAGGAATCTGCCATCACCTTCATTACCCTCGATGAGCAGAAATTCGGAACAACAATATTCTACTAGGTTGCCTTCATTATGCGAAAAGAATTTATCTTCACATAGATATGAGTTAGAGTGGCCAAGACCTTAGTACGACTGGCATGTTCAGCTAATATTGATTTGTTAACCAAAATCCTCTTGATTCCGATAGTTACTTTCCCCAATCATCTTGAATCACGGTAACCTCTTCACTCCCCTGTGCTCCAGCCCAGTCCCGCCCGTACGGCCATGCGCGTCCTGTATATTGATATCAATGCCTCGCTCCAGTAAGAACCGCACACGTTCGGAGAATTTAGCAAGGATCGCGGAGTACAATACCGTTCCTAATCTATTATCCCGCCGACTATTAAATTTAGCTGAATCCCACTCAAACCCGAGCTGGTTGATATGGAAGCCCGCCTCATCTAATAGCTATTGTAGGGCTTCCATCCGCTCTTTGTATCTACTTTCAGCAGCCGGTTGAAGCGCATTGCTTCAAAGGGAAGTTGGCGCCATAAGTGGCGGAAAACTGGATTGTCGACACTGGGGCATAACAACCAGCTTGGCTCGGCACACCTTGGTACTTGTTATTGTTTCTGGTAATTGGTTTAGCTTTGTGCTCAAGACACTAGAGAACTTCCATCCTGTTATGAATCACCCGTCTAACCTGCTGTTGATAACATTGACGCCATGTTTCTCATCAAGGATAACCCACCCTAGTCATGGGCCTAGGTTCTTTTGGGTGGGGCTGTTGATGTTCTATCCATGATTAAGAAAGATCTCGAGCACATTAAAGGCGTTGGCACTCAATGCCTTCTTTTCAATAATAGCCGCAATAGACACTCCTCGCTTACCGATGACCTGCTCCACGGTAGCCATTTGGCTTGCTCCCACAGCCTAATCAAGGTTCTTTAGGTGCTGTAGTTGCAGGAAATTATCACTTTGGTGATATTCTGATAACACAAATAATGGGTAAGAAGAGCTCCTAAAACAATAAATTGAACTGAAGATTAATAAAGACCAGAAGGAAGAAGGGAACAAAATAGGAGCAGGGTAGAGTATGACCCTCATATGAAGTGATCCAGAGAGAATATTTCTGTGTTACACTTTCACCAGCGACCTCCATCTCACGCCTAGCCAGTTGAGTCTGCAGTTTGGGAGGTCCCCAGTTCAGACAGACAGGTCTATTTGCTCTGTGATGGTCCAAACATATTCGTCTCGGCTAAACATGATGGAACAATGTGTCTTGAATGTTCAAAGACCAAAAGAAGAGAAAAAATGAATACAGTTGAGAGTTGCGGCGGTGGATATCGAATAGGGGCGGGGGAGGAAGAGACGAATGAGACACCCAACTCTGGTACTCGATTTTGGGCCTGGACCTGATATAGTGAACAGCACGATGGCTAGTCAATGGTGTGTGGGTCTATCCCTGAGTGATTCTAATGAGAAGCATTTATTCTAATCAGACGATGGTAAGCTTGAAATACAACTAACGAGAGTTAAAGCTGAGCAGGGGTCGAATTTTGGTCATACAAATATCTTGCTTATTGATGGTCGTCGCGGTCGAGAAAATTTCATGGCATATAGAGTATAGGCTCGGCTAAACAGGAACAAAGACACGAGCAATAAAGTATGAAAAGGTGAAACCCTTGAACCATACAAAATATACATCACACTTGAGACTTGTCAACTTTCAGCCTGGCCATTCATTCACCCATGAGCAAAAGTATCCTGGGGTCACAGCCCGGGCATATATAGTGATTTGGGAGAGTCAGGCCATGTTGTCTGGTCAATGTGATCTTTTGGCCCTGTGGTACTACAGTGCCTAAACGCGCAGTCTATTCCTGTTGCAGAGTGATCTACTATGATGTGGTATCCAACTCAAAAGTGACATGAGGATCTTATGGCCACTAGCTGCTTGAAAGCTCCTATACTGAGTTCCGGACGTCTAAAGGCAAAATTTATATTATGATAGCTCCTAAAGTATGACGTAGATGGTGGCTCACTTGCTAGATGTTACCTATTATTGTGTCGAGGCTTTGAGAAGCAATAGAAGAACAAATATCATTTTTCATTGTGTAGACCAGGTACTTTGATATACCATTGCTTCGACAAAGTCACAATTACTGACTCTACTCGTGGAAAAGAAGTGAAGAAATACCACTTGGCTAAATGATCATATCATGACTGTTTTGGCGGTCGTAAGAAATCTTATTACCCTATTGTCGGTGCGACACTATCTCGATGGAGCCAGCTTACCATTGCTCACAAGAGACAGCTTGTCATTGATAGATAGACATCACTTGTCGATGGAACTTTTTATTGTATCTCAGTGGTGTCTTTGTGTGGGTAATTCGGGTATTTGACTGGCGGGGTCGGTCCCTGGCATCTCCAACACCGAATGACGAGTGACACCTTTTGGTTGTTGTATGCTCAGTTCACAATATGCAGGTATATCTTTGACGCCATCCTCGTGCAGGACGTGGGGTGGACGGGATCTGAGCCACACAAGAGCCCCCAACGCCGCCAACACCGGCACCCCGATCCCAATCCCTACCCCTAGTGCGATCTTCGCTGTGGTCGAGAACCCCGAGTCCGAAGCAGATTTTGAGGCTGTATCAGAGACACGGGGTTCATTTGACGGGACTGAGTTGGTAGAGTCTGTGGGTGTAGACGCTGATGCTGATGTCGAATGTGATGTCGAGGCACTCTCCGGTTTGGTGATGTTGAAGAAAGAAGAGATGAATCCCTCGGGTGTGTCGGAGTTTATCCAGAAGAAAAACACGTTGGAGTAATCGAAATCAAACTCGTATAGTTGTACGGTCCAGGTAAAATTGGTGGACTTAGGTCCCCGATGTAATTTGGCTGGAATCAGTTAAAATCTCCCTCTCTTTGGTTGTGTGGTTGATTCCAGTGACGACATACAATAGACATTGTACTGGCTAGCCGCAGACTGCTGGACCAGGCTTTGCTGCCACATGGAGACGTTATATACCTCCAAAGTCGTTTTCCAGGAGATCACCTGTTGGTCCCCCACGGTCCAGACCGGGTTGATCCCGGTATTCGAAGACGGATTGCTGAAGTAGTTTTGGGCATCGGTTCCTCCCCACACAACTGGGAGCAGCAAAACTAGATGCAGTATGAGAGGAAAGGTCATCATCATAGCCATGGGTTGGCTTTGCGTTTATGATGTGCATCACACTCGATCGATGCGTTCTGCGAGAGGGATGGGGCCTCCAAGATGGACTTGTTATGTACCATCAGGAGAAGAGCGCGGCTGGTCAAGTTTGCGGCACACTTCTTCCATGTACAAAGCGAACATACTAATAGGATCATCGTGGACGCTAACACAGGCTAACCAAGCAATTTAAGGCAGGAAGCCAGGGTTGTTCGGGCCGGCGCAAACACCCCCTAGCTACATCGGGCGAGGTGGCGCTTAAATCAATATGTTCAATAGTTCATTCTACCAGGAGAGGCCATAAGAGAGGTGCATCCAAGGAGTACTACTACTCTATTAGGACTATCACACTGTCGATCAGCCTCCCCTCCAGCGGTCGTTGTGTACTTAGTGGACGAACCTGGGGACCCTTCACGTGGCAGGAACCATATGCTCTACCCCACTTCTCTTTTCTTGCTGCTTTCCTTCTTCCTTTCTTATGTTCCATTTGTGCTTTTGGTTTTGTTTCTTTTTTTGGGTCAGATCCCCTTACCCGGTCTCTAAGTGATCAGAACGTTATCACAGCGTTAATTTCCTGCAACTACAGCAACTAGGGAACCTTCACTAAGACAATAATAGCCATGATTGCGAACAGATATTTAGAAAGGTACACTAGGATCAAATATTGTATATATTGGTGTTTAGACGCTCCTAGATTACTGTTCTTGGCATTTACAGACATTTTAGAAAGGCCATATGAACATATAGTATGCTATAGAAGAATAAAGGATGATGCTTGGACGTGTCACTGTAGATAAGCAGGAATGAGATCAAATATTACTTATCTATACTCAGACGGTAACAACAAGTTTCTATGGGTGTCGAGCTCGAACAGTAGCCCAGAATCAGACTTGGCTAAGCGATTCGTCCAGCACAATGAAGGGAGATTGGGACAGTCACGGTCCAATAATAGGGATTTCAAAATTCGAATCACTGGTCATTAAACTATCATGTGGGGCGACAAGAACAGGGCGCCAGGAGGTGTTGATCTTAGCCTTGTTGAATTTCGGAGGAAATCCATCATTCGACCTGTAGGTGTCAAGGTCAAGTGTAGCTGTGGGTCCACAGGAGCAGTACATTCAAGTCATTTTAATCTAATATCCAAGCTCCTGTCGATCAGCCTTGGATTTCCTAGACTTATCCAAAGTACAGTCAGGTGACGCATGGCGGGACGGCCCCCTCCAACCGACCCGACTGATCCACTCCGCCAGCGTGAAACCGGTCTAAGTGGAAAAGAGGAAAGCTAATAAGCGCCGACCTTCATCGCTTTGAAACTCACTCACTCATCGACCCGGTGTTCTCGCGAGATCGTGACCTACGCCCATGTTTAAAACTTCCACTACTACCAGGGAATGGGTGCGTGATTGATTCCCATCGCAACCCCTGAACATGTCCTGGTCAACACCCCAAAAGCGCTTCGCTCGTCTCGTCTACGTCGTCGGGTTCTTTGTTGTTGTGAGCTTCGTCGCCTATTCCATCCCTGAGCTCGGTAGCCTGGTGCGGGCGACCGATAGCAGACGAGGCCGGTTCCTTGATGCTATTCGCAACGAGACCTTGGGTGTAAGCACAGCCACGCTCTGCCCGCCGTGATGTGGAGTCTACTGACGCAGGAACTGTAGGTGGAGAAAATTTTCGCGATCAACCTGCCCACGAGACCCGATAAACGAGATAGCATCATTCTTCGATCATCGCTCTCGGGTTTTCACGTCGACTGGATCGATGGTGTCAAACCCGACCAGATTAGTCCCCTGTCCTACCCTTACGTGAGTGGAAGAAATGACCAGGGTCTAATGGCGGTCCATGGTTTAACGATCGCTAGAACTGGAACCATGACCACGCACCGAGCGAGTATGCTGCACGGCGGGCGCATGTGGATGCCATGCAACAGTACGTTCCCGCGCCACCCCGGTTCGAGACGCCTGATATTGACAGATACGACAGGATCGTGGACAAAGGTATCGGCAGCGCGATTATCATGGAGGATGATCTTGACTGGGATGTGACGATCAAGACTCAACTACAAAACCTTGCTATTGCTCTTCGAGCACTTCAGGGAACGGGACTAGACGTGTCTCGATCTCCCTACGGGGACGATTGGGATATCATTTGGCTTGGTCACTGCGGGATTCAATGCCATACCAACGATCCTTTCTTTCTAACTCCTGGCGACCCTACTATCCTGCCACCGCATCATTTCCTGCCCTACTGGCGCGACCCACCACCCTTTTCGAGACCCGACGATACGCGTTTGACTTGTGCGGCAAGTGATGGGGTCTGCTCGGTTGTTTATGCAGTCAGCTACCGTGGAGCCCAGAAGATCTTGTCCGCGCTGTCGGTCAACCCAACTGGCCTTGCAGAGCAGATTGATATTGGCGCTCAGTTTGATGTTTCCCTTGGTCGGATGTGTGGCAGTAATTATCTAAGGTGCTACACCACCTACCCGTCCCTTACCGGTGGCTCCGCTACGTCGTCCGATATCCACGCTTCCGGGGACGGCCAAGAGAAAGGCGGAGCGAGGCCATCTAGCTTTGGCGTGCTCTATAGCACCCTGTTGAATGTCAACCGTATCTTGTCTGGTGAGCCCACCGTCCACGCGACATGGGACGATGCGAAGTCGGTAGATGTTGCACCAGAAGATATTCCGGTGCTTGGAGGGGTCTTGCATGTTCCGGGGGAGGGAGGGTTGCATGCAATCCCGTTTGATCCACCATTATGAGGCCATCTTGAATTAATTGACAACCTAATATAGAGGATCTTGTTCGTCATGAGCATTGCGGGCTGCAACTCCTGGGAATAGCTGTACTGCTGTAACCTACGTACATCATGTGGCTGAGCGCCTATGCTAGCACCAATCTTCCTTTCTTCGCTGTCTTCCCCTTTTCCCTTCTCTTCTTTCTACTCCCCTGTAATGCCTTGTTTTGTCTCAGATGCTCCACAACCAACAGATTTTGTCCAGCAATGTCACGCCTTCAGATCTACACGGCGTCCTATAGGAGCGCCGTGAAAGTGGACCATAGCCTGAATCCCTTTTGCTCCACCACAATTCGTCCGGTCCCATACTAGTGTCACCAACCGCCCCATTCCCCAACTTCAATCCCCACCTTTCTGCAAATCCGGCCAGGCTGGGAATTGGGGCAATGCCGGCGATGTGAACCTTCAAAAGGCGGATGTTAAACAACAACTGTACTCACCTACATGGCCTTGAACAATGACCAGGAATTGACAGGGGTCCAATTTTAATATCATGCACCAAGTTACCATTTGGATTCAGCTGCCCTATTGCAGACAGGCAAGTTACAGGACGGGATACTACTTTGCATATAGTCTGTTCCACCATCACCTATCTCGATTATGTCATTCCGAAGCACGTTCACTTGGACAAGGTGTGACGACAGAACCAAGGCCAGAATATGTGAGACCTACGTTCGCGAGTCTTATGGCTCCGGGGGACTTGAACTAGTTGAGAACATTGCACACGCTATGAACCATCCACAGGGTCGACATTGTTTGTTGCTTTTACCCCCCTGGGGTCCCCTTGATATGGACCAGCATTCTAACGAACCTAGACGTCTCTGGTATGGTTATTAAACCACGCTTGGAGTCCATTCGCGTCACGCTGGACTTGGTAAAATATAACCACCTCGTTGACCTCGTCCGATGGCTCTGCTTGGCCTTCCGCAAGCCAGTACCCGGGAAGCTATCTTGGTCCACCGGCACAACCAGGGGTACAGAAGGGACACTAGACAGTCTTATTCCATTGATCAAAGGGGAGAACAAGCGCTGCTGGACTGGTATTTTTGAAACAGCGGTGATTGCTAAGTTCTCTGACCAGCCGCGCAGTGGGGAAGAGTTGTTAGACGCAGACTTTTCCCTGATGCTTCAGCTGGCTGCAGTCGAGTACCCAGTGATGGTGAAACAAAGGCCTGGTACTGATAGGGTATTCCACGGCTCTCGTTCCCGTGAAGATGATCGACGATCAAACAATTCTCTGGCACTTTGAGACCGCGGAAGGTGAATCTCAGATCAAGCCCTTCGAACTCAAGGCTACTAAGAGCAAATGGGTTAAGAAGAACAAGCTGGATGAATTCCAGTCCAGGAGAGCCTTGATTGGGTGGTGTCCGGAACTATCTCCCACGGCTGTTGATGGCTTGAGAGACGCTTGATCTTAGGTGACTCCTGTGGCTAGATATGGATGATGGAAGCAAAGATCACGAAACCTAATGGAATCCACTATTTCACTTTACCCAATTACCCTACACTTCTCTATTCCCTTTTTGGCTCTCAATTCTCCCACTTCATTGCCTGATTTGCATGTTTCCTTGATTCTGTTCATTTTGTTGTTTTTCTCCAGTTTCTCATTCCATGTTGCTTCGTTCTCTTTAGATATCAAGTGTCAAAAGAAGTTATCCAACTATGCATGGCCTTTGCCAATTTTGTCTTCCTTTTTTTTATTCTGTATACCATTTTAGATCATCAGCTGTGGGTTGTACCCCCCGGGCCTCAACGATATCACTACCAATGAATGGTGTCCGGACGCCGCAGAACTCGCTCTAGTAGGTAGTGACTATCCGTGGCCCAGTTCATTGCTCAGCGGTGTATAGCTGGATTAGCGGTTACATTCAAACTCTGTCAAGTTCTAGCTACGACAAGAAGCCCCGAGCCGGCCATTCGCGACAACTGTGGTCCCCCTCCGAGTAAAGGATACGCACCCAGCAACTGCGGGTCCTCTTGCGGGTTTTCTTCCGCGGCGGTCGCTGATCCTTGGGCCCTGTTACTATTAATTTTCCTGCACACCCATCTGTCAAGGTAGTCTATGTGGACATGTGGTTGTAGAATCTATGGAATGGATTCTAAATTGTACCACGTAATTTTATTGTTCAATTAGGTATCATGTTCTGTGTATTGGAGTGCTTTGCACTGAAGATTGAGATCGTGCCCTGGTTGTAGTAAAATATATATACACACGACCACACCAGTCACCTGCAATTGTCGACTGTGAAAATGGTTGTAGAGATATATTCACGAACGGGAGAATTAATAACCATACCAAGGTCTCTCCCCTAGCGTCTGATTCTTTGATCATGGCGAACAATGCTGTTATGCCGCCACCGCAGTAGTTTGGCCCGATAATTTGATCCACCGTGTCCCCAAACAGACCACGGTGGCCACGCTGGACGCGACTACCGCTACCAGAAATGCCGTTTGGATACCTTTCATATACGCCGTCAGAATGAACTTCATCTGGGCGACAGAAAACCTGTCTCGGAGCTCCGTGGCCCCAGTCATGGCGACCTGCAGGGCGTCGACGGTGGCCGTCTCCCGCCGGAGGGTCTGGAGAAGAACATTGACCATGGCGGACTGGCCGGCCGACACGAATAAGGATCCCCCGAGCGTCTGCACAGCTGTGCCAAGTCAGTTGATAGTCTCAAAGATAGGAACGTGGAAGACGTACTCAATACCATTGCCGTCACCGACGGCAGGTCCTCCGGCGCGACGGACTCTTGGGCCGTCACCACTGGCACCTGGAAGCACCAGCCAACGCCAAAACCAGCCAGCAACTGGTAACCTATCCATTTGCCCGAGCCGGTGTGAATCTCAAGTGTGTACAGCAAGCCCGACCCAATTGCGGTGAGCACTCCCCCGGCGAGGAGGAATGGTTGGGGATATCCGACCTTACTGAGCATCACCCCAGAGATGACGGTCGATGCACTCTGGGCTAGAATCAACGGCAGGTTGCGGATGCCGCTCTGGGCTGCCGAGGCCCCCGACACCACCTGGAAGTAGATAGGCAGGTAGTAGACCAGCAGGAAAAAGGTGCCCGCGAGCAGGTCAATGTATACCATCATGATCACGACATTTCGGCGGAACAGGCGTCCAATCATGGCGGCGCGCTCTTTTTGGACCCATTGTACCGTGGCATAGACCGCCAGCAGCACGACAAACCCCACCAGGGTGCCAATTACGGTGGAATCGTCCCAGGACCGCGAGGCACCACCCCACTGCAGGGCAAGGACGTAGCAGACCATCGACGCAACGAGAATCAGGGTCCCCAGGAGGTCCATCTGGAGTATCTTCTCTTTCAGCGGCGCATCCAGGAAGGGCAACGGAGGTGGAGGCCGGTAGAAGAAGAGGATGATGGCACCGGCCACTCCGCCGACGGGGAGATTGATATAGAAACACCATCGCCAAGAAGCATGGGTTGTAAACGCTCCGCCAACGAGCGGTCCAATTGCCGCGGCGACGCCGTACGAGGCACCTAATATTCCAATATATGCGGGGCGCTGCTTTGGGGGCGCGGATAACGCGATGATGGTGAAGGCCCCTGACGAGATTCCAGCGCCGCCGACACCTGTGATGGCGCGTCCGATGATGAGCGCCATGCTATTCGGTGCGACACCTAAACCGACTGTCAGCGAGTGACTTCTGATAGGGTATTGTTTACTTTGAGTGAAACCGACCGCAGATCAAACTGCCAACCTCGAAGAGGAAGATTGACACCAGGAAGGATATCTTGAGCGGAAAATACTTGTAGGCCTTCCCCCATGCCGCTTGAAAGCTCCCCAGCGTGACAAAAAAAGCTGATCCGTACCATGCCTCGTCCTGGATTCCGCCAAACTCGTCTGTGATCTTTGGGATGGCTGTGGCGACAATGGTCTGTCGGCCCTGATTAGCGGGGCTTCGGCACTTCTAGCGCGAGAATAGAATCAACGGACCATATCCAAGGCAACCTATCACTCCGTTTAACGGTTAGTTCCCTGTATAGTGAGCAGATTGGGTCAATCGCACCAGAAACATGCTCAGTGCCAAAGCGACAACAGTCATAAGCAACGTGAACCCGCCACCGGGCTCATTAGTAGGCGGATTGTCTGTCCTAGACGCGGTTTCTTGCTTGCTCGCATCCTCCACTCCCAGTACTTCCTGGGAATGCGGAGGAGCATTGTGGAGACTTTCCGAGGCCATCACTGATGTCGACGCGTTGGATGAGACTGCCGCCGCGCCGGTCTGCGACGACCGTGTTTTGGTAGACATGCTGACGCCAACTTCACGATTATTGGTATATTGATAGATTGGAAGATGGGAATTTCAAGGAGCATGTCTCGTGTAGAAGATAGTGGGGAACTGATAGGAGAGGTTCGGCTCAATGAGTGATTTCCCAAGAAGGTTCAATAGTCACTCCACCGAGTCAATGGACAATATCCTAGGCTCAAGAGAGTTGTTCATGTTTGACAGGTCTGGATTCCACCACAAACAGGTGTTCGCACAATAGGCTCATGCATGCGTGTGGATCCCTAGCAACGGATTTCAGGCCTAGTTCACGCCATATTGGGGCCCTAGGCTTGGCCTAGATCGAGTTCAGGGTCTTTTAGGCAGCGAATATCTTGTATCAAGAACTTTAATTCTAGGAAAGGCAGGCATCGCAGCTATTCTTGGTGTTAGGATTGCCTACATGCCTGAAAGTGAATACTCACATGTAAATGCGGATCTAGAGAGAGAACATGGCCTTGCATTTGGTACAGAATTTTCTAGTAACATGGAGTCACTGTGATATATAGTCTCAAGCTTTATGCTTTATGCTCTGTACAGTCAACCCACAGGGTTGGAATCACTTCATTGGGGAGGAGAATTGTACTACGTGATAAAATAGAATGTATTTTGACATGCTATTACATAGTACTCAATCTTAGATACCTGGTAACGGTCATATCTCGTATATATCATATAACCACTCTTATGATTCTTCACCTGGTTCTTACTAAAGACATGGAGGTAATAGTCTAATATCACTGTTTTATACTACCGCTGTGTCGTTAACAAACTCTTGTCACTTTCTACCAAGCGGATCAAGGATATTCAGTTGAAGCTTATCTAATTCCAGATACACTTTTTATGTTGATTTACAAGGGGCAGATTTCTATTCTATTCCTGATAGATTCACCGCTGATTAGATTGATGTCGCGACTTGATGGTGTCGATGGATCGTTGAAACTCAAACGTCTGGAGCGTCACTAGACTTCCCAGCAGATAGAGCCGCTCCCGTCGATTGACCCGACATGTCGATACCGAAATGTCGACCAGGTCGGCGGAGTGACTGCGCCGGGGCTTTGCTGGCGAGGCGTCAGGCTCACCGTGGCCCCTCTGATGCAGGGACGTGTAGCAGTCGGCCGTCTTGCCGCAGAGGTCGCCGATCTGCCGTGCCGCCATGGCGAGGAGCATGTTCTGCTCGGAGCATGTCACACATTGCTCATACGCTAAGAAGGTGCACAATACTTTGACGGAGTGGCGGATGTCGGCGAGCAAACGGTCGATCTAATTATCGCGCGCCGCCGACCGCGAGACAAGACTGGATAGAAACAAGATGGAGTGGAGTAGACAGCAGCATCGGTCTAGTTTGGGGCGCGTAGCGCGCCGGGGGAGACATAACGGTCCTACGATGGAGCCTGCCGTCCCGCATGCGTTCACACCCATGGCTCACTCGAGGCCACCATGGGCCGAATGGCTTTCGTCTTAAGCGTCCGAATCCCGGGTGCTGCCCGACGTCGACGGGCTACGCGGCGAGGGGACGGTTTGTGCCATTAGCAAGAGTATGCAGTGGGGGCCGCATGACCACCAACCATCCAGCACATTTTCAACTAGGCCTTTCCCTCCCTACTTCCATGCTATGGATCGCTACCCCTGACTGGATGGGCCCCCTCATGCCGGGGTTCGACTTGGATGCGATGACGGGCCATCTGGAGAGTCGAAATGGTCCGGGGTCAGAACTGATATCCCTACAGGTCGGGCTATTCTGGTCGCCCGAATAAGACTAGATGCCGTGTCTAATGCAGTTCTGAGAATCGAGACCACATCGCCGGATGATGGATTTTTTCGGCCGCCCTTCCCGGCCACGGCGTGGTTGATACTTCACTGGGCTCAGCAACAAAATATGGAGACGAGATCCATTATAGCTGAAATCAGTTTCGGAGCTACGCAGCGCTGCCAAGGGTCAGGTACTCGCGGATGACGATCCAGGCATTGTGCGGCAAGGATCGGTCGTGGGTTGGTGTAGTTTATTCTGAGTATCTACTGTTAGAGCTCCAGTTAGACTTTACGCATCCAAGTTATACTAGCGGTCTGTTTCGGATGGAAATATCCTCTCATCTCGCAGACATGACAACCATGACCAGGCTAACTGAGTGTGATATATCCCAAACAATAATATGCAAAGGAACCAGCGACATTGCAGACGTACTACAGACCCAAGGTATTTGCACAAATTCCATGTATTCATGCTCACTCACCCTCCGCCAGCTCCAATCGAGGTGCAGAAAACGTACGGGCCGAGGCCATGGCGTCCGGCCTGAAATCCATCGGGTGGTAATCCATTGGCCATTCGTCATCCACGATAACTACCCCGCATGTATTCCCTCGACCGGCTGCGCTCAGATCATATAAGGCCCCCCGAAGCGGGACACGTAGGACATAGACAGATTCCAGCCAGAGTGTGATCTTGGGGTGCTCGACGGAGGGCGGCTCCGTAACGTGGATAGTCGTCTGGCCTACCCTGGTTATATCAACCATGACGGGCTTGAGTCGTGTTGATATGTCCATCTTGAAGGAATCTGATATTCATCATGCTTGTTCCCACAATCGCAACGGCGCTCATACTACAGGCCGTTTCAGCAGCATCTGCTCAGACAGTTATCGGATCTGAGCCGCCTGTAGCGGTCCACACAACCCGACACTGCAAATACATCCCCGGGGACGTGGGATGGCCGCAGCCGCAGCTGTGGTCTCAGCTCAACCAGACTGTAGAAGGCCGTTTGATCGCGACGGTACCGGTGGGATCGGTGTGTCACGACCCAACCTACGATGAAGCCAAATGTCTCGCGGTGACCGCGAACTGGGCTCAACCTCAGCTCAGGTACGCGAAGACCCCAATGTGCAGGAGGATCTCTCTACTGACGTCTGGCCCAGTCTCCCTCTACCCGCGGAGTTCATGCTCCCCTACTTCTTGAACGACGACTGCACTCCGTTTACCCCGCGAGCGACACGATGCGAGTTGGGTAACTATGCCGCCTACTCAATCGAGGTCCGGTCGATTGATGACGTCCGGGCCGGCATTCGCTTCGCTCGAACGCACAACATTCGTCTAGTGATCAACAACTCCGGACACGAGTGAGTTCTTCAATCTGAGTCGCACGTGGTAAGCGAATTTAACCGACGTAGCTTCTACGGCCAGAGCACTGGAAAGGGGGCGTTGTCTCTGTGGATGCATCACTACAACGAGACCACCTTCATCCGCCACTATTCCTCCGCATACTATTCCGGGCCTGCGCTGCGCGTACAGACGGGCGCGGAAGGTGGAGCCGCGGGGGCGCACGCGTCAGGGGAGGGATACACCGTGGTGGCCGGGGCATGCCCGACGGTCAAGATGGTACCGTTCCTTCTCCTCCCCCCAAAGCTTTAACGCTTACATAGATAGGCCGGTGGGTATCTCGGCGGCGGCGGCCACGGTTATCTTGCGGGACGGTACGGCTTCGCGGCCGACCAGGTACTGGAGTGGGAGCTGGTGACGGCGGACGGGGCGCATGTCGTAGCCACCCCAACGCAGAAGCCTGATCTTTACTGGGCGCTGTCCGGCGGCAGCCCGGGGTCGTTCGGGGTGGTCCTCTCGGCCACGGTGCGGGCGTTCCCCAACGAGATCACTGCCAACGCGGCGTTCTCGTTCGGGGTGCGCGAGGCTGGGGGCGTCGAGTCCTACTGGAAGGCCGTGCACACCTTCCACCACCAACTGAAGCCCCTCCTGGACCAGGGTATCGTGGCCGAATACGTGCTCGCGAACGAGACGCTGGCCGTGACGGGCGTGCTGGCGCCGGGTCACACCCGCGCGTCGCTGCTATTGTCCTTGCAGCCCTTGATGGCGGCACTCGCGGAGTCATCGGGGGGGCGGTTGACAGCCCGATCGCTGAGAATGCGTGTAACTCAGGCGCAGAGCTATCACGATCTATTTGCGGCAGAGATCGCGCCGCTCTTGGCCGAGTTGGCTCTTCCTCCGGCCGTTGCCGGACGGTTCGTCCCGCGCCAGCTGATGGACGGGGACACAACAGCGCTGGACAGCACGCTCCGAGCGATTGCAGACCGGGGGTATTCCTACACGGTGATCGCGCTCAACGTCATCAACGCTATGCGCAACGACACCGCGCCGCCGATTGCCCCCAACGCGGTACAGCCAACCTTCCACGCGGCGTACAGCTCGCTGATGATCAACGCGGGGGAGTCAGGAGGTCTAGACGTACAGCAGGAGTTGGTGGAGGAAATCCTGCCACTGTATGACGCTGTGGCACCGGAGGCGGGTTCTTACAAGAACGAGGGGCATTGGGCGGAGCGGGACGTGAAAACGACGTTCTACGGGGGAATGTACGAACGGCTTGAGGCGATTAAAAACGTAGTAGACCCAAATGGAGTGTTCTACGGTGTTACGTCGGTGGGGTTTGATCGTTTTGAGTGGGATGAGAGGGGTCGTCTATGCCGGGTGATATAGAGTGTTAACATGCTCAAAATATATGACTGGGTCTTGACGTTGACCTGGAGCTCCCGATTCCCTATATAGTTCTAGTTACTAAATTGTGCTTCATCTGCATTTTTGAGCTGGCACGTCTATTTAGTTCTCCATTCTGAAGGTCTGAAAATATCTGCTGCTTCCATGTTTTGTCCGTTAGATCAATTCTATCCATCCTACCTTCTCAACCGCTTCTGCCACCGGTTTGTTGTCGTGGTAATGGATCTATGTATTATAGCCGCTACGCCAAAAAGTTGACCAACTCTTGGTATAGGGCTTAGCCTGAACGTTGTACCCAACGATATATTACTTCTGAGGTTATAAGAAAGCCAACCTAAGAAACATCGACTGTCCATCTTGATAGGCGCCGTGGGGGTGGAAACTGATGCGTCTCTTCAGATGACAAGGCCGCGCTCGAACATGACGTGCCGGGGAGGGGGGGGGGGGGGGGGTCCGCAGTGCGCAGAACGCCCTCCATGGCCGTGACGAGCATGCCAGCCCAGGGTAGAGCACGGTGTCTGTGATGACGTGGTATTCAATCTAGGGGTACTCGGCGATCCGCTGGTAGTTTCGCCGCCGGGGCGCCTAGAGACTCTGAGCATCCTTCGGCATGCCGAGGAAATCGCTACGCACGTGGGCCGGAAACCGGTACGCTTTGGCCGAGTACAACTACAAGTCGTGCCAAAAGTCCCAAGTGTGGTTTGAGGGATATCAGGGGGGGTCGCACGACATCCGGGGGTGTCGGGACTCGGGGCGTGCGGGCTGATGGCGCCCAGGCCATCGTTGATCCCGCAGTCCAGAGATTGCCGGCCGCCTGGAGGGAGACTTCCACAGCGTTCTTGCCCCGGACCAGCCTGATACCTGATGATGTACGGGGTCGCTTTGACGAATCTGTTGTTGCTGGCGTCGAGGATCTGTCGTACCGGGCCTTGTCGAGCCGCTTCGGGGTCGAGGAACGCGCCCCACGGGACGGGTGGGGGCGGAATCCACCACGAGACCACGCGCATGTACAAGGAGTGATACGCGTTGGTGACCTTAGGTTTACGGGCGAGCAGTCCGTCTGGCGAGGGCAATTTGAATCATGACACGTCCCACCAGCACACATTGCGTAACGTGATGACGTCAACCAAGGCACATGTGTCTCTGTGGGAGTATTGCACTGTACAGGATAGGAAACGGACCTGGGTCAGACGTGGGGCAGACGGACATCCCGATCCTGTCAGCGCCAATGCTCTCGGTGAGACATTTGTGCGCATCGACCAATCTATCCTATATACCCCGCACCCCCCACCATCCCAAGGACCGAATATTGAAAATACCTACCAATCGCCATAACAATAGGCAGTGACATTTGTTTACACTCACATCGCCAACATGAAAGCCGCGCGAGTACGCGCAACCTCCCCCGACGGCACGCCATATGGCGTCCCACATCATCCCGCCCCCTCGTCGGCGATTGAGGTCCATGACAATATCCCCAAACCCCAGGTGTCCCAGCCCGGCGAATTGCTCATCCAGGTCAAAGCCTCAACCGTGATCCGCGACAACCTCGAGTGGAACGAGTTGTACCCCCCCAACCATGCCCTCTTAGGCAACGATTTTGCCGGCATCATCGTCGACAAGCACCAAAGTGTGGATGAATACAATGTCGGAGACCACGTCTATGGAATGTCACACGGCAATCGGGGCGGAATGTGGGCCGAATATGCCGTTGTCACGACCGAAGAGGCGGTCCACAAACCGGACCATCTGTCCTGGGAGGAAGCGGCCGCGCTGCCGCTTAGCGCCATGACGGCAGATCAGGCCCTGTTCGTGCATGGGGGACTGGAAACCACACAGTCGCACCCCAAGCGCATTCTGATTACCGGGGCCAGCGGGGGCGTGGGCGTGTATCTCGTGCAGTTCGCCGTCGCCGCTGGTCATCATGTCGTGGCGGCGACCAGCTCCCGCCAGCGCAATGAAGCCTTCCTCCGCTCGATCGGTGCCCACGAGGTGGTCGAGTACACCGACTTTAGCGCGTTACATCCGTTTGACCTGATCGTCGATGTCGTCGGATCCCAGGTGCTTCGCGACTGCTGGAGCGTGATCAAGCCTGATGGCACCCTCATCTCTGTTGATTCCGCCAGTTGGGGGTTTGTCGACGAACACCGTCGCAGCGACATTGGCGTGGAAAAGGAGGGAGTGCGGGCCCTGTTCTTCATCGTGGAACCGTCGAGGAAGAGTATGGAGCGCATCTCGCGACATATTCTGAGCGGGAAGATCAAGGGGTTGGTGCTAAAGACCGTGTCGCTGGACGACGTGCGAGAGGCGTATGAATCGGCACATTCAAGGGGTATCGGGCAGGGCAAAATTGTGATTATTCCTTGATCTCTCCTTCTAGGTTGATGGCCTAGCATACGTTGTTCTGCATAGCCGAAAAGGCTCTGCCGGTGGTTGACAGCGTTCATTCATATTCATGGCCTGTCGGAGGGCGGACTAGGGCAACATCACCTTCACCACCATGCCTCATACCCGTCTCCTTACCACCATTGTCAATTCGATAGCAACTTATTTCTCATTGTATCATGGCTTCAATCACTTTACGGCGGCCGTGTCTAAAATGTGTCTACTCCATACTTGCACAGCGGTCCTCCCGGCGTTCATCATTGTTCCATAGACAGACTCAATAGCAGTTTCATCCCATGTAGGATACAAATTATTCCAGCAAAGATGGGAGATGTAGTTATACCGCACCAGGCTCTGTTCCGGTGTCTTCATATTATAGGCGGAAGACCAGATCCGAACGACGCCGAGGGGGCCAAACTCGCCGGATTCGGCATCCCGCCGTATGGTACCAGGGTTGTTGATGACGTACACGTCCATTTTTGACATGAAACCCCCTTATATCGCTCTTGACGTATCTGCAGCCCGGTTGTTGCATGCGTTGTTCGGGCGGGACTGACAATCGTCGACCAACATACGAGCTTTACAGTCCGTCGCAAGTCCCCGTCAAACACACCCCCGAAACACTCCCGACCACACACAATTCCACCAAATGGCGACACAAAAAGCCGTCGTCGTTATTGCACCGGAGCGGGCGGGCTTGGTATCCGACCGGCCCCTTCCCACCCTACGGGACGACTACATCCTCGTCAAAACCGAAGCGGTGGCCTTGAACCCGACTGATTGGAAGCACATAGCCTTCCTCGCCGCGCCCGGCTGCCTGGTCGGGTGCGACTATGCTGGCGTGGTCCAGGAAGTGGGAAAGGCTGTCCAGAAGCCCTTCCGGAGAGGTGATCGCATCGCGGGCGTCGCGCACGGCGGGAACGTCGTGCAGCACGAGGATGGCGCATTTGCCGAGTACATCGTCGTCAAGGGGGATGTCCAGATGCATATCCCCGAGACCCTCAGCTTCCAGGAAGCTGCCGCGCTCGGCGTCGGCATTGTGACCGTGGGGCAGGGACTCTACCAGAGTTTGAAGCTCGCTCTTCCGACAGCGCCCCGGGAGACCCCCGAGCCTCTCCTCATCTACGGCGGGTCGACCGCGACCGGCACGCTCGCCATCCAGTTCGCCAAACTGTCCGGCTACCGGGTACTGACCACCTGCTCGCCGCATAACTTCGGTCTCGTCCAGGGCCTAGGGGCCGATGCGGTCTACGACTACCACGATCCTACCTCGGCGGCGGCGATCCGGGCGGCCACGGGGGACCGGCTTCAACTGGTCTTTGATACCATCGCGATTGAAGACAGCGCGAAGTACTGCGATACGGCAATTTCGACTCAGGGCGGCGAGTACAGCGCGCTGCTGCCCGTGTCCGTTGAGCGGGAAAACGTGAACAGCCGTTGGACGGTGGGATACACGATCATGGGGGAAGACTTCATGTTTGGCCCCGACTTCTGGGCGGCGCGGCCGGAGGACAAGGCGTTTGCTGAGGAATTCTGGACGATTGCGGAGCCCCTGCTGGCGGCTGGCATCATTAAGCCTCATCCCATCGAGGTGAAACCTGGAGGCCTCCAAGGTGTTCTGGATGGGCTTCAACTGCTGCAGGCGGACAAGGTCAGCGGGAAGAAGCTGGTGTACAATATTTCGGAGACACCTTAGATGTGCCACGGGAATCCAAATTGGTTGTCTATGTTCAGATCTGATGGCTTTATTGCATTGTCAACGCTCAACATTTCCACCTTCCCTTGCACCCGGATCAGAGTCACGGAAGGCTGTATCCCTGCCCGGTGTCGGAGCTAGTGTGGCTACATCAGTAGTGGGATTAGACCGGTTCTGAAATCTAGACGTAGGAACTACTTTGGCTACAGGAAGTTCCATTATTGATCAAGACATACTAATATCTTCACCAAGGGATGGCATGAGTGCGACCTAGGACACCCTAGATGCTATGGTATGGCAGAGTAGCATTTTCGTCCACTTCACCTTTTGGGTAACTTGAAACCCATCCTTGAGGTATGAGTCATATTATGGTTTGCGCAGTCCATCCCGGCCCTGATATACATCTCATGTCATGATGACACCAGGAACGTCGGGACTTGGGCCATGTGGCACCGACAATTATCGACTTCCCCCACTCCCGACAGTTCTTCCCCTCCAACATCCTCACTTTACTCACTATCAAGCATCTTTACTTGGATTACACCACTCTACTAAAACCTCCAAATATCAAGGTCTACCAGTCACTCAACTATGCCTCCTCCATCCTTAGGCCTCTTTGGGAAGCTTCCGTCAGAGACGCGGTTGATGATCTGGGAGTCAGTAATTGGCCATTCTTTCAACCTAACCACCCTCCTCCGGACATCCCGCGGCATATATGAAGACCTCGCAGAACGTATGTACGACAAGTGGGATGTGTATATCCATCCATGCTACGGTGGACACTGGATGGACCCGGCATACCACATCATATACTGCCGCCGCCTGAAGATCACTTGGCGATGGTGTACCGTCTACTCAGAGCATCCCATCCACCGCCAAAAATTCCCCTTCCACAAGGCACAGCTCTTCGTCCACATCCTGCCTCCCGATCCACAGGAGCCGGGAGAGATTGTGTCGTTGTGGAAGAAGCTGAATACGATGGTGCGCACGTTGAATGCCCAGGCGGAGCATCCCAAAAATATTGTGGTTTGCCTCGACCATTCCCGCCGTCGTGACTGGCAGATGGATGGCAAAGCCGTCGAGTCCATCTGCTATCCCGGTGATCGCCGCCCCGATCATAACATTGTTTTTCTGCCGTTCTGCCAGCTGCAAAACATCGGACGCATCAGGGTACAGGCTGAAACATGGCAGCTCGATGAGATTGCAGACTGGGCCCTAATCCAATATGGCTGCGACTTTCTTGTCCACGGCGGCTGTGGGGAGCATGAGGACTCGGATCACAGCCGCAATCCGGAGTATCGCAAGTTCGCACGTGTATTCGGCAACCTTCAGGCACTGGTCATGGACACGGACTTTTTCCTTGACACGCGACTGGATACGCTCCCGGGACGGGTGGCTGCGATGCTCCGCCGCGACCGATTCGCCGGCTGGTTTGGCTTTCATCAATTCCCTCGCGACTCGCCATACCAACAAAAGTGTCTCGAGACCATCCGAAAGTGCCCTCGGGCTGTCAATACCCATGACCCTCGCCTGGAGCAAATGCTGCGCCGATACCGAGCCTTCCGGCTTCTGTATTGGACGGTGCCACAACCCAAGCTTGAGAGACAAGTCCGACAACGTACTGAAGCATGGCAGGCTCATTATATCAATGGGATTTTCGTCTTGACGGAGGATCAACTAGAGGCGGAAGAGGAGCGCCAACGGAACGCCCGGAAACACTACCCGTATGAACGGCCTGGGGAATACTGTGAGTTCGATGCGGCCATCCATGCGTATGTCGGCCGCAACTGTGGCGGCAACTGGCCGATGAGACGACCGCGCTACGAGAGCAGGTGGTGTCCAGACTGCCGGCATGTCGGCTTCGTGTTCGGGTGTGGGAATGGGTGTAAGGATGATGCCTTCTATTGGTTTCGTCCTTGGCATATGAACGAAGTTGATCCTCCAGAGAGCGAATGGGAATATACCGATAGCTCTGATGATGAAAGTACGAGTGTCATCGTAGATGCGTGCGGGACCTTTTCTGATTGTGCAAGTGATACATCCGAGGGTTGTTGGAGTGATGATCGTCTTCTTCAAGTGTACTTCTCCTGAGTCTCGATATTCACTTGCTCTTCCATCATGTATCCAAGCACACAAATAGTCAATTTTATGCCAATACTCTTTCTCACCTTGCACCTGCCTAATCCGGACAGTCAGTGATGTTTACATTGCCTATCCTCCCCCCCCCAAAGCCTTGTTTACCTCAACATCTTCTTTCGGATCAACATCTAATTTCGGAAATCCATAACGAACTTCTTTGATCTTCTATTACCACCATGTCGTCCCCCCCGACCCCCAGTCCATCTGGTTACTACAAGGGAGACGGTATGTCCTCTCTGAATAGCTTTGAAGATACTGAAGTAAACACAGGTAACCCAGCGGCTCCCACCGTATGGCAAGGCAACTCTTGGTGGGGAGGGAGCAATATCGATTGGCTGCTGGCGAGTAGCCCAAACGACATTTCCCTCGATCCTCATGAGAGGTGTCGGCAATACGGCTTCCTTCTACACCTCGGAGATTACGCGGGTCGACTCTTCCACTGCCTTAGGACCGCGGCCATTTCACAAGACTTGAGCCTGGGCAATCGAGTAGTGCCGCTTCGTGACAATTTAACCGACGAGTCTCACGACCCGTCGCCAGAAGCTCGACACACTACCTGGGTTCTGGAACGTAGCTGCCGCTATCTTTCCAACATGAACCTGTTGGTAGACTCTGAGATGGCCGAGTTGGCAATCCGTTCGATCCATGGCCATCTAGCTGGCATTTGCTGTCACCGAATCACCGCCGAATGCCCCACGTCAGTCTTTTCTACATTTCTTCACCCATTCATCCAATCCACCGATCGTCAAGCTGATTTGCAGTCCCGCGCCAGCATTTAACTCCGCATATGCTACGACGAGGTGGCCTGGGAACAATGCGAGGTGTCTGAACACTTCTTAGATGTCGTTTCTGAATTATCTGATTGATGTCCGGTCCTGGAGAAAGGTGCCCTCAACATCTTGTGCATGTTGGAGTACAAACCACACGTTTCGCGATGACTAGTGTCCCATAGCTACCGATGAGAACCTTTTGGGTATTTCCACTGGTTCACCCACAGTTTGGCAACTCTGTCTTCAATAACCCCTGATACAGATGTGGCACAAGTCGGTGGCGTGATTTCGCGATGCTGGCACACCTAACGGTATGGCGATCAAGCCCTGACTAATTAATAATAATATTTACCATTAAGGAATGTCTCTGGGACGGTGGATCAATAGCCCACTGTCGCGGTTGTGGTATTTTAAAGGATTACTTGAAAGATTCCCCACTACGTCTGTGTGTCAAATCTCTTATCAGCGACGGGAGGTCATTTACTCTTTTTCTGCTACGGTGTGAAGACACCGAAATACACGGAGACAGATGCTTTAGTGCCAGGAAAGGGGATAATTAGAGAAGGCCATCCCCAGACCATGAGATCTATATAAAATATAACGCCACAGATCAACACAAACTAGATTAATGAGATACTCCTGTAGAGTTTGAGTATCAAGTTAAGTACAAGCAACAGGTGAGAAGTGAAAAACAAGAAAAAGTGAAGCTAGGTAAAAGAAACGTAACAAAGGAAAGTCTGTGCACTAGTAAGACAAGCGAGTGATATATAAAAGAGTGTCTTCTACCACGTCAGGATACATAGATTTACCCATCTAGAAGAAGCCAATCGCCACGCAGAAGACAGCTAGGAAGGAGTTGCTGAACTGTCCCATGCGGCTGGCAGCGGAGGCCGGGTACGAGGTAGAGACAGGGGGGGCGGAGGTCGGCGTGATGGAGGACGAAGCGGAAGGCGAGAGGGTGTTGCTGGTGCCAGAGCCCGAGCCGGGACCCTGGAGACCACCGTGCTCGCACTGGGCTTGAGCGCCCTTGCAGGCGGCCATGTTGGCACCGGGGGCGGCGCGGCACTCGTTGAATTCGGCGTCGCAGTCCTTGGGACCCGCGGTCGGGGCGGGTTCGGCAGTAGTCGAACTGCTGGAACCACCGTTCTCGCACTGGGTCTGAGCACCCTTGCAGGCGGCCATGTTGGCGCCGGGCTTGGTGCGGCACTCGTCGAATTCCGCATCGCAGTCCTTGGGATCCGCGGTCGGGCTGGGTCCAACGGAAACCGAGGGGTTGAGGCCCTGGTGACTGTGCTCGCAGATGGCTTGGGCGCTCTTGCAATCGCCCTCGTCGGCATCGGGCTTGGCAAGACACTCCTTGAACTCAGTCGTGCAGCCCTCGAGGGTCTTGGCGGTGGACGAGGGCAAGGGCGCTGGGTCCTCAGAGGATGTCGGAGTATCGTCACTGTCGTCATTGATGCAGTCCTCGTGTTCGGCGGTGCAGACAGCCTGGATGGCACCCGGTTTGGTGCGACATTCGTTGAGTTCCTTTTCGCACTTGGCAGGCGCGTCCCGGTCGTCTCTCTTGGTCACGCGCTTTCCGATGTCCGCCTTTTGCAGACAGTTCTGCAGTTGACCGTCGCAGACAGGCATCATGGCACCTGGCTTAGTGCGACACTTGTTGTCCTTGGTCACACACTCCTTGCACAGGCTGCGCGTGAGTTGGCAGGCAGCCTTGTTGGACCCCGGCTTAGTGACACACGCGTTGAAGTCATTTACGCACTGCACAGGCTCGTCCTCTCTCTCGATGGAACGCTTTCCACTCTCCGCCTTCTTGCATTCCTCGAGTTCCCTATTGCAGACTGGCTTAACGGTATTTGGCCGAGTGCTGCACAAGTCGAATTGTTCCCTGCAGGTGAGCTGCGAGCCATCAGCCTTGAAGGCGGTGGGCGGTGCGCTGATACCGCCGGCGGTGGCCAAGGCCGTTGAGGCCAGGGCCAGCGAGAGCACAAGATTGGACTTGACCATGACTGCGAAAGAGGGGGTGATCAAAAAAGATGAACAAAAGAGTGGCGTTGACGGTTCGGAAAAGATCGAGGGGGGCAAGGAGGGAATTTTGCTTTTGGTTTGCTTCTGGAGCGACATGGATACCCTTCAATGGGTTTATATAGATGGCCGCTGTCATGCAACGCTTCAGGCCCGTCGCGACGATCTATGCCTCTCTAGTTTGGCACCAGCGGCGCCAGGAGTGGACAGTCAGTCGGTGGACGGAAGGATTGGAACCACCGACTTCAGCTGTGGCGGTGGATGGTCCCGGGAGAACCCGCCGTCCTGTCGTTGCATCGATCCATGAGACAGGAGGAAGCCTCTACCGCGTCCATAACCAAAATCCCATGCTTCAGGCCATCCCTCAGGAAAGTCCTCCTCGTCTCCTCCGGCGACATCCAGTCTGTCTGCTCCTCTGCGGTGTGTCGACGTCTCTGGCGGAGAGGTTCCTGTCAGTAGCCCTATGGATCGGTCCCGGTGCCAGGGCAAGAGCTGATCGAGGAAGCATGCCAGCTGAATGGTGGAGATTGGACCCTGGCGCAGAGCCTACATCCGCCGTGGTTGCGCTGAAGGGTGGAGCATCCGGCTGCCATGGGCCCCCGCAAATTGCCGGATTCCGCCAGCGCCGTTGCCGATCATCCACACTGTAGACACACTAATTGGGCGAAGGATCACGCCGAACCGCGAGTTCAGCTGGTCTCTATCCTGTGGGAAATTGACTGTCAGGGCCTCCCAGGTCTCTCCTGAAGGTCACTCCCGGGGAACGTTCCGTCCAGTCCTTATCTGCCGTGGGAATGGATGTTGACCGGTGTCTTAACCTTCGCCAGCACGGACAGATCCACTTTCTAGTTGAACAAGCCACAGACTATTGATCTCGCAGCATACCTACTTTCCGGAAGGGACCATTCTATCCCCACTCCGGGGCTGTGCCCTACGGATTGGCCTCCCGGCCGTTGGAGAACGTTCATGGCACAATTTCCTGCACCACTCCGCTTGGGGTGATTGCATTCCGCGGCAGCCGAGGTCTTCATAATCATGCTCGTGATATCACGAGAGGTGCGTTTCATGGACAATACCGGAAATGGAGGGGGAGGAAGCGCGATGCACAGTAGATGACATGAGTCTAGGGCTGGTCGATGTCACGTGTCTCCGTCGGGGGCGATGGTCCTCTGGCTTTGGAACGCTGAGATCGATCCTCGATGGGGATATTGAGCATGAGAATTACAAGAGAACATCGAGCCGTGGGCATCTTTAGAATCCATCAGGATGTGGTCGGAGGGAGTCTGCGCGGGAAATACGGTTATTGGGCGGCGAACGCAGGGAGGACAGTTGTTTTCGAGTGAAGTAAGGTTAGGAAATCACCCTCGTTCCTAGGTCACGCGAGCCTAGTATCCTTGTACATCACTAGGGTGCTGAAGTTTCCATTTCGACGGGGCATATCTTGTGATTTCTCGAGCTGAATGAGCATTGCCTACGGCGTGATCGAGATAGGACCCAAACAGGTTGATGTTTGTTTGGACGTTCCTGAGACGATTCCCTCCTGAGTCAGATCTGTCGGATGTTTATGGTAGGGATCGACAAGGTCTTGGATAAGCAGGCGTTCGAGAAAAGTTTGAAGGGATCCGCGGCCAAGGACGCCACCACGAAGCCCAAGCCTTTTGACAGTAGGTAACAGAGATCACAGCCCACTCGCTTTGCTGTGAATAATGGTGTAGTTCAATGCCTTTCATCGACGTCAGGGATGGTGGCTCCCTAGTCTCCCCATCTAGGGCGGTATACTCTATCCCGGGATGCATATATATGGGAAGACCCATGGGTACCGAGTGGGGACCGATGAAAACCGTTGAAGCATTGAGGATTTCGATGACCCCTATTATTATGAGAATAATGTGAAACGTTGCAGAAAGATGAGGAGTTAAATGCAACATGCGTGAGCAATTCCTGCAGGTCAGCTGACATGCTCGGCCGCTGGCTGATCGCGTGTCTCTGTTTTTAGTAGAACACTCCAACAGTGACATTTTGACAAGTTCGTCAAGGTATATAGGATTCTCGTAAATTATCTCGATCCACAAGACCTAAGACGATATGAAAATCTGTTGTGTAGTTGACTTGACTTGGTTACATCCAATAATCTGGCACAATATATATCTTAGTATTTGTAGCGCAATATTCTATGGAGCCGTCAATAATCATGGAAACCAGACCCGCATGCCAATTGGACGTATAAATGCAGACTTCATTATTCTTCTAGATCCGAATTATCTATATAATTATCACTAGGCTATGACTTTGATCAATATCATTGACAGTCATCGTTCTCGCCAAGCCAGATCCACAAGCGCAGAGGGTAATCCACTGACCCACCGTGGAGAATGTCGAGTACTGCAGAACGCTATAGACAATTTGATCAATTCAATACTTAAATTCAATCATCAATATCATGATGTCCTGATGTTGTCTTCCCCCCGGTGGACATATGCCAATATCAGTGACGCGTCAAGGGGTCACGTGACAACACAGGTCTGTTGCGGCTGGCCGACTCTGCGATGGATTTCTGATCTATCCACCATCCAATTGCTGGTAGGACTTGGCCGCCAATTCCATTGATGTTTTGATCATCTTCATCGGTTTAGACCGACACGCCCCATCAGCTATCTCACATCGCTTCCCAGTGACCAGCAGACAGGGAAGAGAGCTGGCGATGCTGGAATACGCGTCTCTTGCCACAGTTTTGACCCTCGAGATCCACATTCCTGCCCCTGACGGACTGTGGGTCGCAGATCGACTCAAAATGTAGTCGACCTGACGCGACGAAGATGACCCTGACTTACTACGTAGTAGGTGTCGACGCCCCCTACATCCCGTTGATCGACTCCCACAGGTTGATGATCGACGCCTCGTCCAGCAGCGCGTCGATCACGTCGTCGCTCACGTTGATGCCCGCCAGCGGGCTATCCGACCCACACTCCTCCACCGGCATCGTCTCCGACGCCATCGGACCCGGGATAGCCGTCTGTCCCATGTACCCCGGCACGATCTGGCGGATACCCGCGAGAAATACCCCCCGGAAGATTGAAGCGCACGGGTAGGTGTGCTGCATCTGCTCGAGCACCATCATACACAGATCTAGTTTGTTTAGGCCTAGGCGCCGGGAGAGGGGATCCTGCGATTTACAGTTGAGTAGATGGACGTGCATGGCCGGCACGAGCAAGGGTGGTCTAGAGGTCCCCGATTAGTTTTAATAACTAAGGGCAACAAGGCAAAACGGGGGGACTGACGTCATCGGGCCGGCCATGTCCAGTAGCTTCTCGCGCACCATGTTGTCTAGGATGGCGTTGGACTGCAGGGCGGCCGAATCCATCTTCCGTCGCACCTGGCTCAACCAGCTCTCCTGGTGAGCTACGGGGAGACCGGTGGGCGCTTTGGAAATGAACCGGCGGTAGAAGGTGATCAGAAACGCCCTGCGACGGTTAGTCTAACGCTCGCAAGCCCTTGTCTGGCGGCGGGGAAAGAAAAGGGAAACAAAAAAAGAAAACAAACTGACTGGTAATGAAGTTGGAGGTGGTAGCGGTAAAAGGTCGCGAGGCGGCTTTGGGTTGTCTCCGTGGGACTCCCATCCTCAGGCAGGTCGAGACGCATCATATCGGCCTCCAGAGCGGCCACCTGCTCCACAGATGGGCTGGGCCCGCAGGGCTGGTAGCAGACGGTCAGGACCTCTCCCAGCAGCTTGCTCATGTGGATCATCTGCACCCAGTACTGGGCTAAGGTGGCCAAGTCGTCCGGAATGTACATGGCGGCGATCGCCTCGGGCACTCCCGCTAGGTCGGCGAGCAGGTCTGCGGCGGCCGGCCAGGCCGTGTCGCAGTCGTTGAGGTTGATTCTCAGCGGCCGCCCCAAGGTGAGGCTGAGCCACCGGTCGCGGAAGAAGCAGGTCCACCACAGACGGCGCCAAAGACGTACTTGGGGAGGCGGAATGGACGACTTGGACAGTGCCACCACCGAGCAGCGGTGCAGCCCCATGATCTGGCACAGGCTGATGGCGACCCCTGTCCAATACCACGGCTTGGTGTGCATGTCCGTTTGTGAGTGGTAGAATCCTAAGAGTAGGGCCGACTGCAGGAGAACGGTGTTGTCGGTCTCCCCACCGTTGTAGTACAGACACTGTAGCCGTCAGCCTATCACCGTGGAAAAGAAACAGAGGAACAGGTTGCACTTACCGTGGCGCGACTGCAGAAGTCGGTCTTCATCTCCTTTCGCGAATGGTACCCCTCCAGACGCCAGGTCTCCTCCTTGAGGAACTATCCATCTCAAATTAGTCGGTGGCAATTGGACAAACGACGCCTGGGTGCCCGACACTTACGTTGGTCGCGACAGAGAACATGCTCCAGATCAGCAGTAGGTTACCCTGGCTCGGCCCCCCGCCCGGGAACGACTGCAACGTCTCCCGGACATCGAGGACCGGCATGATGGGATGGACGTGGTAAAAATACGCGCGCAGCAGCTCGTAGCACGTGTTGGGCTGGGGGAGGCGGAAGACCCCCTTGTACTGAAGCCACTCCCGGTCCTGGTCGGACAGGGAGCCCGAGGTTTTGGATGGCATCAAAATATGCCGGGGCACCGGGATCTGCGTCGGAGAACACAAGTCCAAGGCCGCCGTGAACCCCGGGGATTCGCCTATTGCGGCGTGTTAGCATCGATGATCATCATCAAAGTCGACCAAAGGAGGAATGTATACCCGTATAGAACGGCGCCTGGCCCTGTTGGACGCTCCGACCCAGGACTGTGTTGGCTATCTCAGCCCCCGTCTGCTCCTCGTCCGGGTGCAGAATCTGTTCCGGCGACGATGTGCGCGGTTGATGAGCTTCCGGTGTGATGAAAGGACCATCTACCGAGGTCGGGGGCGTTAGTTGAGGTCGGTTCGTCTGGGCCATGCCAGCCTCCTGCGACAGCGGACTCGACAGCGGAGTCGACAGTGGGGATGACGGCGAGGCATGCGGTCGGCACTTAGGTCTGCCCGACACGTGAGTGGATGATCTGGAGATCCTCGACGGGACCTGTTCTTACGTTGGCATTTTTGCATGGGGAATGATACACTGCGTACGATCCTGCGTACAGCCGATACAGGGCACCCCGGTCACCGTGAGGCTACAGCGCACCTTGCGCTGCCGACATTTCTGGCACGCGACGGCCGAGCGATGGCGACGGCCGGACATATCGACGAATCTACTAAAGATGACACCGGTCGGGATATTGTAGAGTTGATCAAGCTCGGGTTGCCGAGGGAAGACAGCGCCAAGGGGGGAGACGTTAGGGCTTTTACGGACGCGTCCTCGGGTAGCTCGGGATGGCGAGCGGATCCAACCGCGGTAACGGATTGCCCCGTCGCCACTCATCCCGGTGGGTCCGCCGCCGATATCTACCATTACCGGTTACTAGGTTCGTCGATGACTGATTAAGCTTTGGAATCATTGAAGAATACGATTACACGCGGATAATGCCCGCAAACGCCCGAGAGTCGTCCAGATGCAGTCTTTCCTTCTTCGTGCCGTCCAGGTTACACCGGTAGATGCTGCCCCCTAGGTCGGTGATATAGACGCAGCCATGCTCCCGGTCCAATGTCAGTCCGATTGCCTCGTTCAGATTCCGGGTGACGATCTCATATTTCCGGGATGACGTGGGCGGCTCCGGGAGACCCGCCGCATCCAGGGTCACCTTGTTCAGCGAGTTACCGAAGGGGAGTTCACCGCGGTCGGTCCAGTAAAGTGTGCGCGACGTCTCGTCGATCTCGAGGTCGATGGGCTCGGGGAGGTCGCCCAGGATACACTGCACGTCGTCCCGCGAACTGGCCGACTGGCCCACCGGGGTCGCGATGGAGGCGGAGAAGATGCGTCCTTTGCCGCCCTTGGAGGGTCCCTTTTGTGTCCAGTAGAATCGTCCTAGAGTCGGAGCCACCGCCACGCCAACACACCACTGGCGGACGTAGTCGGTGTCGGTCCGCGAGCGGTTGTCAATCAGGAGTTCCAAATCCGCGCCATCGAAGCCGCACCGGTAGACACATGCCCCCTCGCGGTCGGAGAAGTAGATCTTCTGCGCGGCGGCATGCACCGCCAATTGCTTTGGAGTGTTGACGGTACCGGGGGCCACAAGCGTGCGGATATCACCGCCGTCGAGGGTGGCCGAGTACACGGCGCCGTCCATCTTTCCCGGGGTGCCCATGCAGGTCCAGAAGATGCGACCACTGTCGCGGTCAACGCCCAGACCGTCCGGCAAGGCCTGCTGGGGCACCACACAGTGTTGGAGCTTTCCCTCCGTCGTCAACTCGAGGATCTCACCGGACTGCAAGGGGGATGTAGCAGCGGACAGTCCCAGATCCAAAACCAGGAGCTTCGATTGGGTGGACGGAGCGGTTGCCTGGGGCTCGGCGGGCGGGTAGAGACCCCCCTTGGAGGACTTATTGCCCAGTTTGCCATCGTTCAGGTAGTGTTTCTGCAGGAAGTCGACCGTCGTTCCCGGGGACAGCCCCCTCTCATCGATGTAGTGCTTTTCGATGAACGCAACAGTATCCAGCCCGACCCCTATGTGGTTCCGTCAGCGTGCTGGCAGCGAATGGATGGGAATGATTTCAAAGACAAGGGGGCAACGCACGATCCATCATCTCACAAGGCAGGGTATTCCCCTTGACAAACATTTCGTTCCACATCGAGTCTATCTCCTTGGGTTCGGATACGCCGTCGGACAGGATGGTTAGCACCTCGCGCTTGACTGCCGCCCATAGGCGGTTGAAAATGAAGCCCGTCGATTCTTTGCGGGCCACGTAGGGGCTTGTCGCCGCTTCCTTGGAGCGCTCCGCCATGAAGGGGATCAGGCCCTCGTGGGTATACCCGTCGGTCATTAGCTCGACGATCATACACGCCGGGGGCATGTAGTAGTGCATGTTGAGGATGCGGGCCTTGGCGCTGTCAGAGACGCCCACGATCATCTCCGAGGACTTGTACGACGAGGAGTTGGAGGCCAGGATGCAATCCCTCGGAGCAGTAGCCTCAAGCTCCGCGAACGTCGCAATCTTCAGCTCGATCTTCTCGGGCACGGCCTCGATAACCAGCCACGCGTTGTCGACGGCGCCCTTGATGTCCGGGAATGCCTGGCATTTGCCCGGTAGCTGCCCGGTCTTCTGCGCATACGCCACGACATTCTCTTCCACATAGGCCACGCCTGCCGTCCGCTGCTCCGGGTTGGGATCTCGGACGCTGACGTTGTAGCCTGCGGAGGCCCAAATGCATGCTGCAAGGGTCAAATCAAAAGTTACTAAGAGCTACAGTAATGCTTTCGACGAGGTGAAACATACCAATCCTTCGCCCCAGGACGCCAGCGCCTAGCACGGCCACCGGCCGACTGCGGTAGTTCTGTGGGGGATTCCAGGCCAGATGCATGGTTTGGGAGTATAAGAGGGAATGTTGACAAAGTGACAAAGTTCTTCGCGAGATTGAACTTGGTTACGGTTTTGGTGATAGGTGTGGGATTGGGTTGATATTATGGATCGCAATTGTGCGAAAGGATTGAAGTCGTCGTAAGCATCGACAACGACCTTGTGCCGCCACAGTCTGTATTTGTATTCTCGTCCATTCAACCTAGGTCAGATGTTTGGGTCCAACAATCGCCCCCCCACGAGCATGTTTCCCGCACCCGCGGGAGACCGGCTCTGACGAGGGATGACTCCGACCTCGACCCCTGAGGCAATTACCTAGATAAGAATTGGGACCCCATAGTGGCCTAGTCCACAGACGCAACTGGGTGGTTCCCTATTGCGAAAATGTCAAGACAACCTGCCGGCATGCCGACTGGGTCGGGATGGGGCATCCGAGATCCACACCCGACCCACATACCGAGGAAGGCACCTCGGGATGCCGTTGAGATTAAGGAACAGGATAGGATCCAATTTCGATGGCGATCAGCGTGGAATGGGCTATTAATATCCGCAATATCTATAAATGTTTACTGTCCTGGTCGCGGTCGTGGATAACGATCATTTTACATCCATTTATCTTACATTCCTGCCGGCGGTCCCAACACGCTCCGATCCCTTTCATCCCCAACACTCTGAATCCCCCCAGGATGGCGAAAGAAGTCCGGGAATACACGCTGGATGAGGTGAAGGCCCACCAGACCAAAAAGGACCTGTGGGTAGCCATTCATGGCAAAGGTATGGCAGTACATCCCGTATCGCATCTCCACAGTCTTCTCATCGGCTACTAGTTTACGATATCACGGGATACGTTCGCGACCATCCTGGCGGCGCAGACGTGCTGGTAGACGTTGCGGGAACCGATGCCACTGAAGCGTACGAGGATGTTGGCCATTCCGAAGATGCCAATGAGATTCTGGCGACCTATCTCATCGGCACCCTCAAGGGCGCTCAGGACTTCGTCCGCAAACAGGCTGTGCGAGTGATTCAACCACAGCCCGTCGCCCCCGTCGCCGCGCCCAAGGGTTCGGGATCGTCCCTCGGGGCCCTATCTGTAACGGCCGCCTCCATTGGTAGTCTGCTGGCGCTTTACTTTTCCTCGCGACACCACGCGGGCTTTAACCACGTGCTGGCCCAGCTCCCTCGTCTCCAGCTCCCACAAATTCCAGCGGGGTACGGGAAGTCTCTGCAAGGTGGATTCGGGGGTGGCTTCCTGGTGGCGAGCGCCATCTCCGCGGTAGTGGGCAGTGTGGTCGCCTCGCGATTGTCCAAACTCACTCAGATCCAGACCGGTTTCACACACTACCCGCCGCACATGAAGTCACGCCGGAGGCCCACACCCAACCCCCACCTTGTGGAGGGCTTCCTCCACCCCAAGTCTTACCAAAACCTCCCCCTGGTGCGGAAAGATGCCCTCTCGCCTAACGTCTACCGCTTCGTCTTCCAGCTACCGGGTCCACGAGATGTGATCGGGCTGCCAATCGGCCAGCATGTCGCCATCCAGACCACCATTGACGGCCATACTGTCTCCCGCTCGTACACGCCGACATCTAACAACCTCGACCTGGGCCGGTTAGAGCTGGTTATCAAATGCTACCCGGACGGCCTCCTGACAGGAAAGTATCTGGCAAACTTGGAGGTGGGCGACCGCGTGCAGTTCCGCGGGCCCAAGGGCGCCATGAAATACCAGCGCGGACTGTGCCGGCAGATCGGCATGATCGCGGGCGGGACGGGCATCACACCCATGTACCAGCTCATCCGGGCCATCTGCGAGGACGACACGGACACGACCCAGATCTCATTGGTGTACGCCAATCGCACCGAGGATGACATCCTGCTGCGGGACGAGCTTGACGCCTTCGCGCGACGGTACCCACAGAACCTCAAGGTCTGGTACATGCTCGATCACCCGCCGCAGGACTGGGCGTATGGGTCGGGCTATGTGACGCCGGCGGTGATGGCGGAGAAGCTCCCGGCGGCGGGTCCCAACACCAAGACGATGCTGTGTGGACCACCAGGCATGGTGAACGCAGCGAAGAAGGGCTTGGTGGCTGCTGGGTATGCCTCTCCAGGGGCTGTGGCCAAGATGACAGATGAGATCTTCTGTTTCTAGGCGACGCTTTTTATTAGGTTTGCTTTTTGTTGTTTTAAGATTTACTTCTGCTGTTTTCCGGTGTTTATTTCTCTGTATATAGTGGCCGGTGTTTCACTATATGGGGTGTGCTGTTTATGAATTTTATCATGCATCAATACTGAGATAGACCATTATGCGAAACCTACTATTCGAGATCAATCAGTATACCTATCTATACCTTCAACAAATTTGTCTTGAATACGATGTAGTCACGCTATCAGTTTTTGGCCAATTTACAAACTTATGGCATTTTCTCGTGGTAAGAATATGTCGGATGATACCTTCGTTCATGTGAAATGAACCCAGGGGCATCAATCGGGCTCAGTCATTGTTGCGTTTGTTTTCCCTGGCAATCAGTGAGGGAAATGTCCCCTCTGTACTGTCCTTTTACTAACCATTCCTCTAACGTCATCGTGGGATAATAAAACCAACCTCCCTTCTCCCTTCCAAGGCGATGAGAATCCTCAACCGCAGACCCACAAACTGAAGTGGGCCAGAATAACTACCGAAGTCTGCCAGTGACTCAGGTAATGATAGGGGTATAATGCCTCGAATAAGATTGGTTGCCACGTTCACATCCACAAGGGGAAAGACAACGCAATGGAAAGAAAGCCCTGACACGGCCAGGAGAGAAAGCGGAGACACCCGACCCTGGTGCCGATCCGATCCCGCTGTCACGTCGGCATGCCGAGGGAAGTTACCGGATTCGGTATTATGCTACTATGCGGCCCGCCCCAACAGCATTTCGAGCCAGTCGGAAAGACAAAAGCGGACCCACTCACCGAGGTAGCAAGCTACTCTATCCATGGGTCTGTTCTATTCTAGAATGACACGCCTCATCCTTCTTGCAGACTTGCCTACCTCGGTGTGGATCGTCCACGCAATATTTATACGCTACTTATATAGTGGAAGTGTCGCCAGTGGACAGCGACATACCCTCGCGTCGTCTGATCATACAAGACATCCATCACAATGTCAGTACAACGCTTCTATCTCCTCGGAGAACCGACTTCTAGCGCCAAAGACATCGAGGTGGGCGCTATTCGCACCCTGGTCGACCTCAAAGACTTGCTGGCAGCCCACTTCGCTGTCGTAGAGCCCAATGGTGAGACCGCTTCCTCCCTTCGTTCTTCTTTCTCAGCGGAGTACTGATTGGATAGGCATTGGATTCCAACTCGAGGATACCATCCTAAACGGACTCTCCGAAGTTACCGGCGCCAATGGTCCCGTTGCCATTACGATTGACGGCAATCCCGTTCGCGAACCGTCCGGGCCCAAGGGATTGCCCATGGTGGGCAACTTCCTCCAAATTTACCCAGACCACTTGGGGAACCACCAGCGCCTGTTTGAACAGTACGGTCCGATTATCAAGACTACCAGTCTTGGTCGGGTAATCTACCAGACCAACGACCCGACCCTGTCTGCCATCGTGCTGGCCGAGTCGGACTTCTTCTCCAAAGTGATCAACGACTCCCACCCGCTGGCTGCTCTCAAGACGCGCGATGCGGGCATCTTCCTGGGGGACACCGATACCCCCGAGTGGCGCATCACGCACAAGTTCCTGCCCCCGGCCCTGGGGCCCAAGGCCGTGCGACACTATGCTCCGACCATGCAGCAAACAGTGGAGGACTCCTTCAAGGTGTTCGATGCCTTCGACGAGCAGGGCGAGGCATGGAACGTCTACCAGTACATGTTAAAGCTGGGGTCGCAGGCTGTTGGCAAGCTCACTCTGGGTTTCGACTTCAACCACTTCACCTCCCCCGACGCCCCGCTACATGAGATGGTCGACGGCATCGCCGAACTGCTGTCGCTGAACAAGAAGGTCACCTCCCGCGGTGACTGGTACGCCAAGCTGCCCTTCGGGGACCCCCAGCACCTGCGCAAGCTGCGAGCTCGCCTGGATGAGATGGTCGCCGAGCAGATCCGGCAAGCGGAGCGCGGAGGTGTGGTTGATCTGCCCCTGCAGGATGCCGCTCTCCGCGCATCCAACATGGTTGGTAAGGATATTCCCCGGCTCCGCTCCCTACAATCCCATGCGAATGAAATGCTAACGGAACAGACTACGCCGTCCGTGCGGTTGACAACAAGGGTGAGAAGCTGCCGCAGTCTAGCTTAATCCCGGCGCTGTTCGTGGCCACGGCGGCCGGTTTCACGACGACGAGCTCACTGCTGTCGTGGCTGATCTACGCGATGGTCACCTACCCGGGAGTGCAGGACCGCCTGCTGCAGGAGCTGATCGACAATGACATCGACGAGAACACCCCGATCACGGCGGACTTGACGGACAAACTAGATTACGTGGACAAATTCATCAAAGAGACGCAACGACGACACAACCCGTCGTACCAGCCGGGACGCACCGCCCAGCTAGACCTCATCCTGCCTGGGGGGTACAAGATCCCCAAGGACAGTGTCGTGGTGGCCGCGCTTCACCACATCCACATGAACGCCGACCACTGGGACAACCCGCAACAGTTCAACCCCGACCGGTGGGACACGGAGCAGGTCAAGAACCGACACAAGGCGTCCTACATCCCATTCGCCACGGGGCAGCGCATGTGCATCGGCTTCAACTTCGCCCTGCAGGAGATTAAGGTGTTCCTGCCCAAGTTGGTGTACCGGTACAAGTTCATCCGCGAGGGTCAGGAGCCTATTGAGTACGATCCCATGTTCCAGCTGATCCGTCCCAACAATCTGTACGTTCGGGCCGAGCGACGCGTCAAGTGGCCGCCCAAGACGGAGTCGACGGCTGCGGCGTGAGGTCCACTCCCATCCGATATCGTGTACATAGCTTGTTAGATAGCGTGGTCGGTTTACTTGTGCTTATTTTCCTTCATATCAAATCCAATGTGTGAGATAATATGATGGTCCCTGCGATGACGTTATGCCACTATATATAAAACTCGGTCAAGATCATTCATCAATGGAGTTTAACATTATATTAAGTCAATTTCCACAAGTATCTGTTTGGAAGAAAGGTTAGACTCCTTAATATAATGGTTTTTATGTTTGATGAATCTTCCCAAGTCCTTTGGAGTGACAAGCTTTATTTTTCATATCATGTACAAGGGACGGCCCGTCACATGAAGTGTCTAAAATACTATTGTGATAACTAGAGAGACGGATGGTCGAACAACTGAGCGAGAAATAAATATAAAGTCTTGAAGTATCATCAAACAAGCATCAAAGAAAATATAGTAGAGTATGCTTGACAGGTCCATCGGATATCTTTCTATTGTCCCAAATGTATGCTTGTCAAGATTGAAGATTATTGTACCGAGTATAAACAGTAAAGATAATATCATTCCTGTCATTGCTCGTTCCATTTAATTACGACATGGCATATTCTAGCTATCAATTAGGCGCAGTGGCTATTGACATTGTATGTACTATTTATCTATCTGGTGTTCGGGACCACATATGGAAACTTTTGACGCAGATCTAGTACAAGGAGCCTTGAGCTGGCGCCCTCTATGAAAAGGTCATTTCCAATTACTGATCGAACCATCCCACGCCGTGTTTTGCATTCACGAAATCAATCTCCTCTGCATATCTCTCCGTCTCCACGAAGTCATTGTCTTCACTCATTCCCTCGATAGGCTCAAGAGTTCGTGTCCCCAAACAAGTGTCCTTTCGTTGATTGGAGCTGTAACAGATCGTCTCTGCAGATCTTGGATCTATCCTCCCAGACCCCATTTCCTGAGACAGTGGGTCGATCGTCGTGACATTTTCCGCCACCCGATCCCCCTTGCGTCGCTGGCGCGTCGAATCAAAGTTAGACGGGGGAAAGCTTAAGTTCAGGCTGCGTGGACGCGAGACCCTCCGCTAAATCTTCCGGTTGACCTGTCCAATTGATCAACAGCGTCAAGGGTTTGGCTGCACCGTGGACTCGGCAATTCGCACCCCGGACAGAACCAGCACCCAAAATCCCGGGTTATGAATGGCATGGGTAATGGGAGGTTGACAGTCCGCAAGAACTGGAGTCTTGGTCTCGCTCCACGGTGGGCCCGGAACAGGGGCTTCGCAAGGCTATATATGTCCCCTCCCCATTTGACTTCTCGGAGGCCAGTCCTAATTTTCAACAGATACCGGAACACTGTCGCTCCATGGACTTTCTCTTTCTGCTACCACCACGCTCTTTCAGCACCCTGTGAGCCATGAACAAGTATCAGATGCCGGCGTCGCCGCCGCCACCGGGGGTAAAGCCCAACCTAGTCAACCCGCCCGGGTCGGAGTATGAGATATTCTCCGTCAGTATTGCGATGTGTGCCACCGCAACGTTCGTTCTGATGGCTCGTTTATATACGCGGGGGATCATTCTACGGGCGTTGGGTCTAGATGACTGTAAGTGATTCAAAATCCTTCTGTGTCAAGAGATGCGTTGAACTGGTCCACATCTAGGGCTCTGCGTTGGGGGCTCAGTGTGCGCCTGGATCTTTGCAATTCTCAGCATTGCTAGTATGTCGAGTCAACACCTCCCTCTTGCGGACCCCGCTGATCTCGCTCAAGATATCCCCAATGGATATGGAGTTCATATCTGGAACCTACGCGTGCACAACGTCATCGACTTCAAAAAGGTACACCTCCCTCGGCGCACAATAGGAAATACCATGCTTAGACCGCCCGACTAGGTGGATCTCGGGGAGGAAAACGTCTACGCAATCGGGGTGGGCCTCGTGAAGACGGCGATCCTCGTCTTCTACCTGCGTCTCAGCCCCGAAAGACGGTTTCGCCAGCTCACCTGGGCTATTATGGGTTTTGTCATTTTGTACAGTGTAATCAGCGTACTTCTGTTCACCATCGGCTGCATCCCCGTGGACGCCATGTGGGACATCACCCTGATGGACCATGCCAAATGTTTTGACCAATTGTCGTTCGTGTATGCGAACGCCGCGTGCAATGTGTTCTCCGACCTGGTCACCCTGATCCTTCCCATCAAGCTGTGTTATAACCTCCAGACCACATTCCGGCAGAAGGCCCTTCTCCTGGGTCTCTTCACAATGGGCTCATTGTATGTGGACCCCACTCGGCACCGCAGCCATATCCCCTTCTCCCCACTGACGGGCCGTTACAGTGCCTGCGTGGTGGCCATCGTTAGGATTGTGACCATGTTGCCCTTTGGCCACAGCAATGACCTAACCTGGTATAAGGTGACCATCGCGAAGTGGTGGTATGTATGTCTCGTCCGATCTCTCGCCCACAAGGCTGACACCGAGAAAGTATGGTCGAGATCAACGTCTGCATCATCTGCGCCTGTCTTCCCGCCATGCGGCCGCTGTTCGCCAAAGCGTTCCCCGGAGTCTTCTCAACCATGGGCTCGCGAGGGACCCCCCTAGAACCAAGTGCCGACAGTTATCAGATGACGCCGAAGAAACGCGCTCGCCGGTGGGACTATATTACTGGCGTTGACTCTCAATGGACGGCTGTGGAGAGCGAAGAGGCGGGCCAGAGGAGGAGTGAGCGTCCGGCTGTCGCGTCCAAGGACGATGAAGAGGCGATCATGCGCTCGACTGATATCACGGTGGCTTATAGTCGACGGTAATCCACTCTCGTGGTGGGGGTATCACAGCCTCTTTATTTGCAGTATCTCGCAGCCTTGTAGTTTTCTGTCTGGTGGTTATACCGAACAATATTGCCAAGGCGAAGCCGGTGATGTCAATAGTGTGAAATAGCGCAATTATCATCTGCTCCCTAGGCCTTATGTACATCCATATTCCATACAGGGGGTTTGTAATGGGTCAAGCCTGAGAAAAAAAAGCAGTATCCTCATCTCCGTAGCTACAGTGGTCGTTATGTGATATCATCATATATACAATGGCACAGACTCCAAGATCAAAGATGGGGCTTGCCATGTGCTCCCCCTAGTTCTCCCACGGTGGTTCCATTCGACAGCTTCAACCCCACGGGTAGACCTCTCATAAACTTGCGGGTAAACGGCTGACTCTTCCTCGCGGCGAGGACCTCTTCCACGTCCATGTACATATCGTATCTAAATCCGAATTAGCCGGCAGTCCGCAATAGTGGTCTAGGAACTCACGCGTTCATCTCCTCGATGGTCAATTTCTGCTTCTCATCCTCCACTTTGTATGTGGCCGTATTGGTATTGCTAGAAAAGCCTGCCACAAATCAACACATTATCAACCCGCGCCACCATCGTCAAATTCACTCACCAATGCGCTCGTTGATGTTGTACGCCGCCTTCGCTGACGCCGCCTGCACCTTGGTGGCTCGCGGAAGTCGCACTTCCTGGTAGACCTGCAGGGTGTCCGCCACATCACCAGAGAAATAGGATGGGCTGAACAGGACACCCAGGGCCGCGGCGTCCTCGATGGCCATACAGGCCCCTTGGCTCTGGTGGGGCATCATCTGTGGGCTTCATTAGCCGACTTTCCGCTTTAATTGGAGACATAAACATACCGGGTGCCCTGCATCACCCAGCAGACAAACCATGCTGCGGGTGATATACGGGTACGGCTTACTGGGTACAGGTTAGTGCAAAAGCCATGCCGCGATGGGTGAGATTGTCTTACTGAATCCACAGACGCCATGGACGGATCTCCTGGCCAATCTTCAAATGTTCTAGCACTCGACTGTCCAAGTGAGGATAGGGGGCCAGGAGGTCCTTGACCGGCAGGTCGTCGCCTCCCCAGGTGTGGTTAGTGAAGTCGCCCTGTTCACGCGCAAAGAAGCAGTAATACGACAGCAGTTGCCCGCCGTTGCAGGGCGACAGGACGATCTTATCCCATTTGCCTTCTTGGCCACCCCAGTACTCCAGGGCACTGTCTTTGGAGTAGTCGATCAGTCCCAGCCGGACGGCGTCCTCGGTCTTGACGTTTGCATGAAGACAGCTCGAATCGGCGGGCCTCTTCTCGGGATGGAGGCCGAGAATGCTGCGGACGGACGAGCCAATGCCATCGGCGCCGACAATCAAATCGTGGCGAACGGTCTTGCCGTTAGTGAAGGTAATGACACCCGTCTGCAGATTGATGTCTTTGCACTGCTTCTGTTAGCTTTCTGTCCCTTGCTTTCGACTAGTCACGACAGATGCATGCATACCTGATGATTTACCAAGAGCCGCGTGGGACTCCCCGGTCCTTCCTCCTGCATCGCACAGTCCTTCAACATCGCATGCATATACTGCCGATGGAACATATTATACACATAGCCCCACCGCTCCTCATACCCGTCCAAATCGTAGACGCTGACCGGATCACCCGTCTTCCAGTCGCGATTGATCAACTTTCGCAAGATGACGGGGTCCCCTTTGGCGATGTCCACCCCCCACTCATGCAGCCAGCGCGTCCCATTCGCCGCGCAGGAGATGGACGCGCCCACTTCCCCACTGAAGTCATGACGCTCGTAGATGACCGTGTCGTGGCCCGCCCGTCGCAGCGCGATCGCTGCCGCCAGCCCGCCGATGCCGCCACCCACGATGCCGATGGTGAGAGGTCGCCAGCCTGATGACATTTTTTTGCTCTCTCTTGTTATTCAACGATGATATCGCAGTAAAGTATTGTTGATCGATAGTTGGCATTAATCCCATTCCATGGGAATGGTGGCGTTCTTATGACATCGTCTCCTCATCAAGGCCGCCTGTGTCGGGCCGCCTGTATTGGACCATGGGGGGGCGGACCGCTCCCTGGGCAGTACCCGACGGCGGTTATCCACGGATCGCAGATGGACCATTGTCGGATGACAGCAGACTCAAGAATCAGATGAACAAGGTTCACCGGGTGGGGAAGTGAAGATCACTGCATGTCATTGTCTCGTCCAGAAACCCGAGGACAAGCGCGCGATCGAAGGGAAACAGTCGATCACATGATGCAGGCAGCCCTAGATGCAGCCTCCAGGTCGATCATCTCCATGACAGCTTCAAAACAGTCAATCCTAACGGGGATTGTCTTGTTTTCCGTCCCCATGACGGGTATGCGACTAGAAGTGGATCTTTTCAGATTAGTTCCATCTTGATAGGTCGAACGGACGTCAGAACCCACACCTGACACAAGTTGACTGGATGAGATCCACCCAACGGTCGGCCTTCACACCCCGCACCGACAACAACCCCCCTTTCCCCTCCCTCGTATTCCTGCGTCCCTGCAATCCATTACGAGAAGTAATATTACGTGCATCATGTCCGAGATCCGCAAGAACGTCACGGTCATCACCGGCACGGGGGGCATCGGCCTCGCGGTCGCTCGCAGTCTTGCCCTTAACACCCACCTCGTGCTGGCCGACTACTCGCCCACCCAGCTCGACGCCGCCGCGCAGGTCCTGCGCGACGAAGGCCACACCGTCACTACGCACGCGACCGACGTGTCTGACTGGAAATCGGTGCAGAGTCTGGCCGAGACAGCAGCCCAGGTCGACGGGCCCATCGCCACCATCGTGCACACGGCGGGTTTGTCCCCGGTGCAGGCGCCGCCAGCCCGCATCTACGAGGTCGACCTCCTCGGCACGGCCCACGTCATCGACGCCTTTCTCCCCGTCGTGGGCGCGGGTGCGACCCTGACGGTCATCGCTAGCATGGTGGGACACTACGTCGTTGGGAAACTGTCCCCCGAATTCGAGGAGCACCTGGCCACTGCGCCGGTGTCGTCGCTGTTGTCGCACCCCCACCTTGATTCCAGCGGATTCGACCGGTCTGATCCGGCCAAGGCGCAGACGATGGCAGCCGGGGCCTACTGCACCTCCAAGCGGGGGAATATCCTGCGAGTGCAGGCCGCCGCGCGGGCGTGGGGGCTGAAGGGCGCCCGCATCAACTCCGTCAGTCCCGGGATTATCAACACACCTATGAGTCGCATGGAGGCCGAGCGAGGGGCCGGCGGGCATATCCAGAAGCTCGTGGATGAGAGTCCGATGCGTCGGAAGGGGACCGCGTCGGACATCGCGGGCATGGTTGCGTTTCTGGCCAGTCCGGCGGCGTCGTTTCTGACGGGCAGTGATTATTTGGTGGATGGGGGTTCCGTAGCCGTGCACCGATGGGGGAGTGCGTAAGAGCTTCAAGGCATGTAAGGAAGCCGGGGCCATTAATTGGGGACATGATCCATGGGATGTACATTATACGTTATATTAATACCATCCGCTGCGAGTAGACAATCCATGTTGAATTGCAGTTCTCTAATCTCATAAGCTCATGTAGACAATTCATTAATCGTGGTCAAATGGTTCAGTGAACGGCAGAAGTTGTTTTGCGCTGGATACAAAAGGTATGTATGCTACTCAAGATCCGTATCCTCATCATCCGTCTCGGCGACGTAGATTCCCCCGTGCACGTCATGCATGTGGTCGTAGATGATATCCCCCGCATAACTGTCCCCGCAAAAGTAGCACCAGTGACTGCCACACTCTTCCACCGGACACTGGATGTGCCCACAGCCCGAGACGCAATGGGTCATCGTGCCGCACTGCGGACACGGCTTGATCATGCTGACCCTTTCCGCCGCATCTTTTGACATCCCAGTCTCTGCCATAATCTCCGCCAAATCTCGTTCGGTGCGGATCCGCTGACGCTCTTGCTTATCGACACATTCTTCGCACGACCAGTCCGCTCGAACCGGTGGGGCCTCTCGCGCGCAAGTGCGTTCGAGGTACTGCTTCGCGCTCCCGCAGTCGCCGCACCACGCGTAGATCCACATTCCCTGATCGCGAACCGCATCGCCCAACCCTTGCACTGCATGGATTCCCATGCCGTATTTACAGAGGGTCCGCGCCGTCGGAAGTCGGCGACAGAAGGGACACCCCAGCGCGGCCGGGTTAATGATGCGACCTGGGCCATTGAGCCCGTACCAACTGGTCATGCAGGCAGTGCATATCCGCTGTCCGCAACCTCGCCGCCCACAGGCTGCATGCAGAGTATCCGGGCGGAACGTAGAGAAGCATAGAGAACAGTCCACCCCGCTCGTTTTGCGGCTAGTCACGAACTCTTGGAGCGTGGATAGAAGGTCTGCAGCATTTCGGATCGGCTTGGCAGATTGGGTCAGGGCTCTCTCATGTGGAGGGAAGAGTGCAATGCGGGACAGAAAGCCATCTGTTCCCATAGCAGAGATGGTATTGAACAAGGAGCGGCCGGTGAAGGGGCTGCGGTCTGGATTCATGGCATCACGGATCAACCAAGCCAAGGTGTTTTCGGCAGCTATCTGGCGTGCCGTCACACCAAGCTCTATCGTTGTTGGGAGGCCGGACTCGCAATGGGGGCAGGCGAACGCGTCTTCAGTAAAGGAGTCCGGTCGGTAGGCATGAGGCCAGATCATCCGGTTTAGGCACTTGTGGCATTCCACCACGGGGCTTGGGCGTCGACTTTGAGGAGGCCCACTGAAGCGGCAATAGTGGCATTTCGCCCGGACGCCCAGGCACTCTGGGTTGTAGACCACGTACTGACCCCGGCACTTCGGTTCAATGCATTCAACCCAAGTTGCATCCGAGCCGGTAGTCATGTCGCGTGAAACATGGCCTTGGATTCGCACTTCTTTTTCCTGCTCACTCTGATAGTCTTCTGCAAGGCAAAGCCCACAGATTTCACTGTCTCCCATGATTGTAACAGACCGCGGGTATTGGCATGACTGGCAGAACACCAGTGGCCCAATGCTAGCCTTCGTTTTGTCCGGGGTCCAGGGCACTCGAGCAGTGAGAGGCGCATCTAGGTTACTTTCCACTATCTTAAAGGCGATCAGTTGCTGAAACAACGTCCGGTCTACGGTGTTCAGGAGCTGCCGTGGGCGGCCCAGTCCTCTTTCCTCCCCGATCCCAGACGCGCCCTGTTCGAACTGGCTTCGGTATGTGTCATCGGCATCCAAGAGCAAGCTCAGGCAATCAATGGTCCAGTTCTCGGGGACTGACATATCACTCCACTTATCGCGGAAGCTCAATACCTCTTGTTCCGCCACTGCAGCAAGAGGCGTGAATCCCAACCTAAGGGAGAGGGCGGCCACAAGGGCCGCGGGACGGGCGGATAACTTGGTTCCTGGGACAATCAGGTGAAAGAGTACTTTCCAGAACTGTCGGTCGTGTTCATAGCTTGCTAGGGAGAGTGGTATGCGGGCCACTTGGTCGATGCCGGTAGCAGCGATGTGTTCCGGCATGTCCCTGGCCGACTCCACGTATGTCAATTGAGCCAGGACGCGCCCCAGTCGTCGAAGAACATCGCCGCTACAAGAACGGCCAATCTCCAGCAGTTGGGGCCTCGTCAGTGGTGTCATCGAGTCACTATCGTCCCCAAATTTCAGTGTGGGATCGAGAAAAACGCAGGGATATCTCTCCTCTGTCGGGACAGTGTTGATAATTTCCGCCAGTTCAGCGCTCCGGTCGTATGACTCCTCTAGCCATGTCCTTATCTCCCCTTTTATCCCCGCATCCGTTAGTTGGTCGAGACTGGCGCTGAAGGCATCGAGAATCTCTTGTCGGCGAGAGTATTTGCGATCCGCGCATACGGCTCTCCACAGGCCGCCAAATACGGGGTTCAGGGTAATTGCTTGAACGTCCTCCTTGACGATCCTCATCAAATGCTCCACGGCCATGATCTTGTACGCTGGATCTGACTGCCACCGTTGGGCGAAGTCGTGTACGGGCGCGGGCTTCCTGGGTAGGTACAGGCGTAAATTCTCGTAATCCAGTTCCACGCTCCGGGTGTTACTAAAATCCATTGGGGATCGGTTAGAGCTCTGGAAGAATAATCTCGCCGCTTCATCCGACTCACTACGGAGCTCATCCATGCCTTTAGTCGAGACGTAATGCAGCAAACGGCCAGTAGAATGTTCGGTGGAGGTAGAGGCCGAGTCTTGTGCCACTCCCATCCACGCCAAGACCATGTCCACGGTGACTTTGTAGATTCTGTGTGCGCTCTGTCCGTGGTAGCTGAGATGTACGCACGCTCCGTCGGTTGCTGCCGAGAGGTAGTTATAGCATGCTACCGTTTTTGGGTCCGCGTCGCTGGACACGATTGCAAATACGGTTGCCTGTTTCTCTCCCGAAACCAAGCACCGTGCTGCCGACACCCAGTCCACGAATGATGGCCCAAATCCCCCATATGCATCCGTCACTTCGAGGGCTTCCTTTTCTTGGATCGTGTTTTGCGACCATTTTCTGTCGGGGTCCATCCAGTGCGGAGGCGCGTCCGTGTAGAGAAGAATAAGGGTTTTCGCATTGGGTCTCATCAGCTCGTACGCTTTGGCTAGCCCCGTTTTTGCGGCCTCGGGTGTATCGGTGTTTCCCTGGGTTTGAAGGCCCTTGGCCATGGCAATGAGATCGGGCTGGTCCTTTCCTGCCCTTGTCTCCGGACGTTCATGGGGGTTCACCCATCCCGACCATTCCAGGAGACGGTCGCAGGAGTAATCCCGGTAAACCAGGATTCCGATCCGCGAGAAACATCCAGTCAGAGCGGAAACTGACAGAATCTGAGGCAGCGACGTGTTGAGGGATTGTAGATACAATCTCATGGACGCCGTCCCGTCGGCGACGATCAGTAAGTCGTGTTCCTCCATTGTGGCGTGTCGAAATACTAGGGTGATACTCCCTTTCTCCCTAGCTATGAGTATTGGTCCGTAGGTAGGTAGAGCCAATATGTGAATTCGCCTCGGTTTATTGCACCGACAGGGGAGGCTGCGGGCGTCTAGTCATGAGGGAAGCAGCGCCTCTGACCTGCCAAGCCCATTCAGGCGTCCGCCACTCACCGTCACTCTCGATTCCCCAAATTGGTTGCAATATCCCAAAATCTCGGTCATATCTTTGACGACCGTGTTTTCATGGCAGAGGATGAGATGGGAAAGGTAATTTTTCACGTCTAGGCGGAATTTGACCTCCCTGGTGATAATGAAATGACGAAGGAGAAACCAATATACATGAGGGTACGGCTGGAAGATACTGCACCCACTGCTTGTGGTCCAACGATGAATAAGGCAGAGACCTCGCCATCTTTGATATGCCACCGAATATAGCGCGATGGCCTTGAATCTAGATGAAGGAGAGGAGAGAGTCATACCCAGCGGAAAGTCACCTGGGCACCCCGTGACTGCCGACGGATTTTCCCTTTTGGGATGCCTGGTCTTATCTGCCTTATTGCCTTGTCGCCTTGTCGCCTTGTCTGCATAAACTTCACGTGATATGGATTGCAGGGGAGCGTGATTCAGACGACAGACTTCCTCGAAGAATCAGTATCCAGTAGGGCCCAGTGTCTTCTTCAGGTGCTTTTAGGAGCTCTTATAGCTGATCATGGTTCAGGGGATGAGCCACGGGAAATTAGTCCGGGACCACAGCCAGCTGGAACAGGTCCCTTCTCTTCTTCTTTTCGCTTGGTTAACTTTTGACCTCGACTTCACCACGGTCAAATACAGCAGACTCCCAATACCCTCGCTTGCTATTTTCGTCCCCACCACCATGCTAGCAGCAGGGCCGATTCGCAGCTCCAGACTCTGATCAGTGCCAGATGTAGCAATTTAAGGTCGGTGGGCTATCGTTAGCCCAGGGAACGCCAACCCCGCGCATGAAGCTAGCCCAGCCTTGTCATTCAACCAGTTTCAGTGGCTGAGCGTCCGGGAAGATTATTGAAAGTGGATCTAAAGAACGGGATCTTAGAACGGCCCCCACTCATATCAACATGTCTGTCGCGAATGGCATTCCCCGATTGAGGGTCGCCCCTGGGGGGGTTATGCAGACACCTCGGAGGGAAACGCGGCGAAGCCCCCGGGAGAGAAGCGGAGTCGTCTGGGGGTGCCTTGCGCACTCGACGACCCTGGCGACCGTGATTGTTTCCTTTCTCAAACACACCACTTCCTGTGCCGTACAGGCCGTACAGCCCAAGGATTTCTTGTCGACCAACACTCCATACACAAGCCTTGATCGTGTGGATTGTAGCTATGTTGCTGCCGCCTCAGAAGAGTATGTCTCTGGCTCTCGCCTTGAGAGCCATCACCGGCGCAGCCGCAATTGAATGTTATACCCGTGACGGTACGAAGGAAACCCACTTTTCCTCAGCTACCTTTGCTTTCTAATAATTGCATCAAACTGGTTAGGGAAGTCTTACACTGAGTCGCGATTCTACAATGCCACTGAGCAAGGGGAGCCCTTTCTCTGCGGGGAGGGGCCCGGAATGTGCTGCTTCGAGAACCAAACTTGCGAGGACGGCATCTTCTGCCGTGGTAAGGACGGTGACAGAGACAGATTTACCCGCGAGATGTGCTCCGATAAAGAATGGCCTCCTGAACATTGCTCGGCATTGTGTCCTCGTAAGCGATGACGTTGACTTGATGCTCAATCTCCTGTCTAACTTGAAACCAACAGATAATAGGGAGGCAGGGTCGGAGGTGTCGTTTTGCAATGCCGCCCATACAATGGTGTGTTGCGGCGGCTCCGATATTCGGGACGAGTGTTGCGGCAATGAAGACTACGCCCAGATTGACGACAAAGGCATTATCATCGCCTTTGGATCGAATACCATCCCACCTATGCCGCGCGCCACAGTCACCGCGATACCTTCCAGTGTAGACCCGGGGCCCGAGAAAACCAAGTTGGGTGTCGGTCTGGGGGTTGGGCTAGGAATTCCATTGCTACTGATGTGCGCCACGGCGCTGTTATTTTTCCTGCGATACCGACGACTACGGTCCAATGCAGCTCCCCTCCCCGAATATCCGCCAACCAAAGAAACCGGACCTCCTCTCTCCGCCCCTGCAATATCCACGAAGCCACCGGCCCAACTCGACGGCAAGCACATGCGACCAGAGCTAGCCACGACCGAGCATTTGGTACAAGAATTACAGTAACGGACCGATCGTGATCCGTCAATGATGCATTTGCCTTTTTAAAGGTTGTGTTTTCCTTCCGAAGCCATCACTATCACGGCTACCAGTGTATTTACATGTTGCCTCTATCTTTATATAATAATTATCTGTCTCATAATTCAAGCTTTTCTCAGCCCTCCTGGGAATCCGCTGTACTCCCACAATGTGGGACTTGAAGAAATAGCAATTACCACGTCGATGCTCTACGCCACGCCGACAATAACTACGGGACAGATAGTACGGGTTTGGGATGAACTCGGAATGGACCAAGAGCTATATGTTAAGCTTAGGATCGACAACGCTGGTGTTTCTCCATTGATACTTCTGGCAGACGAATACTCGAATACTTGGCTAGAGAGGAACATCGGTTCTGTCTCCATATAACTGTTGCCGCCAGCTAAGACCGAAATCAGCGACACATAACAGGGCGAAAATAGCATGGGACTTGATCTTACGAGACTTAACGCCTTGGAGTAGAAAATCAATAGAACGAGGCTAAGACACCGCAGACGATCCCAATATATTATCGATCCCAACCCCCCCACATCCCCTCCGCCATTCAAATCTTACCCCTCTCTGGACCCGTTTCGATCCGTTCCTTGACCCACTGGATCTCTTGGGCCAGTACACCCGGACGAATCAGATGAATATGGTGACCACAATCTGCTAGCGACACATACCGATGGACCGCAGACAGTTGCAGCTGGTCCCGTTGCATCTCATCACCCATGGCTTCCCAGCGCTCGAGTAAGTCACGAAAGGCTACACGCTGTGGCTCGGTACCATTGCCTGCTCGTACGCCCGCCTCGTAGATCCGTCGGTAATCGTCAACACCACGACAGCAGATTACACTCAGCGGCCTCTCTCCCAGAGCCTGACTGTGATACTGGTTCTTGCGCGCCAACGACTGGCAGACGTCCGCAAACGCCAAGCCCTCGGCACGCTCTGTAGTGGATCCGCGGGCGATATGCGCGGCCCGAGTGCGCCATTCGTCGCGGGTCAATCGCGCCGCATCGCGGAGGCCAGTTACCTGGGCGAATCTCAGATTGCCCAACACGGCGGGGATATCAAGATCGGGGTTGCGGAACAACTCCGGCTGTCGCTCTGTCGAGGCATCGGCCAGTACCATTCCAGCCACGCTTTCTGGATAGGCGTGAAGGTACTCCCGGGCAATGATGCCACCGTACGAATGGCCAACGAGGATAAGTGGGGGGTGTAGGTCGGCCACGATCAGCAACTGATGTAGTTCTTCCGCCGCCGTGGCAGCCGACGGAGGTCGCGGGCCATCGTCACTGCGACCTAATCCCGAGCGATCGTACAGGACCAGCGAGGTAAAGGGACTTATCAGACGCTCGACAGCGCGATACGAGGCAGCTACATCTCCTGCTCCCACTAGGAAGACGACCAGGGGCTCTCCTGGGGTGCGGACGATACCCCGCACCTCTAAGAAGAGCCGATGAGATCCGATGGAGACCAGGCTTTCGTCCGTAGTGTTATTCATGGGGGGACAACACAATAGAACTGGGGAGAAGAGAATAAATGGCCAGCACAGGGGATAAGTAGTTTCTTTGGGGCAAAGAAGTGGGGTTTTGTGGCTGAGCGCGTGAGACGCCGTCCATCACTTGTTAGGGCTTACATCGCCATAAGTGTCAAAGAAGGAACGTCGCCTCCTATCATGTCTCATGAACTAACCATTTGAAGCTATCAAGCAAGCCATTCTATATGCGACCCTAACTCCGCCAGCATAAACCATGAAAAAACGGCAAAACAAAAGACAATATATACAGACTCCTAGTAGCTCCCCGTACACCCTTGTTTTTCCATCATCATGCAAATCGTACCACGCGTTCTCGTCCCAGTGGCTCCGACGGAAGTTCAACAGGCGCAGCCTGCTTCTCATTCGCCCCCAGTTCAACTGGTGGTCTGCCGCCATCGATCTCGACGACATGGCCTTCCAGAATCTCGGGCTGGGGAGATGAGTCGGAGTCTTCGTCCAACTCCCTAGACTTATTGCGCCGTGCGATTAGAAACCACACCAAACCGGATATGATCCCAACCCCAACAATGCCCCCTACTACACTCCCCGCGACATGACCTCTGTCGTTTGTTTCCTCCTGGGACTCCGTGTCGAGGGTTGGGGTTGAGATGGGAGCCATGGTGGCTGAGATTCCGGGGGTGATACCAGACGATGTGGACATGGAGGGTCCAGTCGGCGAGGCTACCGGGAGTCAGCCACGATTATGTCTGATACGGGAACCTTGCGAGATCATGCCTTCGGCGGACAGCACTACACTGAGTAACTTGTCGTCTTCGTGGAAAGAATACCCTGGCACCGCGCATCCGTCACTGTTGCCCAAGCGGGCAAACCCGGTGGTGTCCTTGTCGCAACAGAAATACCCATTGTTATCGTACAGATCCCAGCTCCGGTCGGCACATCGAGGGGATTCGAGCAGCGTCGAGGTGCAGTTTGCCTCGGACGGACAACAGGCGACATTGTACGCGTGGGGGCACTGAGTCCCCCCCGGACAGCAGACGCGAAAGGGGTTGACGGTGGCCCCGCAGTCGACTTGTTCGGGGAGACATGACCCGTTGATGCGAAGAGCGAATCCGGCCGAGTCTATTAGACTATCAGTCATACCGATGACAGTGGGTGGCTATTGAATCTGACTCAAAGATAACGTCAGTGGCAGCTGGAATAGCGGCAAGGTCAATTCGAGAGAGCGACTAGGGCGGGAATAAAGGCGAATACCGGGCTGGCTTGGAAGGGGGCTGCAAGGGGGCTGCAAGGGATTCAGGATGGGGATGCGCATCTTGCCGGGCTGATCTCAGCCAAAGAGGTTGAAACGCGTTTTGATGATGTGTATTTAAGAAGTTGATTATTGTTGAAGAGATTGACATGTTTCCTGAAGGTGTTTCTTTCGTGTTTCAGGGGGGACCTGTCGGACAATATGATATCTGATATTATACTCATATCCAATACATATCTACTTTGTAAAGTAAGTCTACTTCCATACTTATATTTCAAAGGAGACGACACCAGTGGGAAATTCGGATAAAGACATCTTGATTACTGGTATTCTATCAATCTCCCACCTGGTCCGATGTAGAGACTTGAATATATCTCCCATCACTCCAGAACCTGGTAACTACCAATTCATGGCCATCTCTATGGTCAGGTATTCCAGATCGCGTAACTATACAGGCGTTGATGGGTTGAGCCAGCAGTGAATGGCTTCAGTGTTATATCACTAGGGCTGGCTATGCACATGACTGATATTGCAATTGCCAGTGGCTGCACAGTTGTTGTTGTTGTTACGCGGCAAGAAAGCACATTTTTTTCTCTCATTTCATTTACTTCTCTGTTTCTTGTTCTCTTTCTCCCTTGTTCTTTCTTTGTCTCCCTCTCTACAACTTCTCATTGTCTACTGATTTTATCTCACGCTCTCCTCCCTTAACAAACCTAAATAAGAGACTGCTTCACCATCATGCGCTGGGAACCAGAGACCGTGAACACTGTATGTTATCATCTTAATGTCGTTCAGGGTATGTTAGTACTAACAAGACCATGATCAGCTGTGGCGTCTGCTCTACACCACCCAGTCAGTGGCGATCATCGCCGACGTGGAAAAGATCGCTGAAGCCTGGCGTAAGCATGTCCACACCCTGATATCAGCTCCACGTCTAACATGACGTAGCAGATGATGATGAGAGACCTACACCCAGCGGTGTGCGAGGGCAGCTTCAGAAGCTGAAACGCACCCTAGGCAACCCATCCAACTTCTCCATCACCAACCCCAAGGCTGGAAAGGCTCAGGATGGTGGCGACGAGAACGAAGACCCCGGCACTCCCCGCACCCCTGGCACTCCCAAAAAGCGAGGCCGGAAGCCAGGCAAGGTCAGCGACCAGAACAATGCTACTTCCACTCCGGATGGTTCCCAGGCCACCCCCACCAAGAAGGTCAAGCCCAGCAAGGCCAAAGCCGCTGCCGGGCCTACGTCCCCCGGTCCGCGTCTGGGCGAGGACCCCAAGGTTGGCACACAGATGGCCCAACACCAGGCGGCTGAGAGACCCCACTGTGGTGGCATGGTCTGCAACGAGTTGGACTGCATCAGCTGCAATGGATACTAGGTCGGCGGTCGTACAACCTTTCTAGCTATGTGAACGCAGAGTTGTTGGAGGAAGAAATGACAGTCTGTATTGCAAATGGTGGAAGGATAGTCAGGGCTAGTTAGTTGACATCGCGGTTTACGTATGTAACGAGGAATGCAAGAAAATTGTCAATTCAACCGCTACCTCAGGCTCAAATAACGGACACATGGCAAAAGACAGACAGGTTTCCTTGCTGTAAACATTACTGCATCTCCGCTCCTTCGACACGCAAAGAAGGAAAAGCAAGAACACAATCACTCAACATCAACAAAGGTGACCACTTCCTCCAGCTTAAAGTCCTCCGGCACCGCAGCATCCCCGTTATGGCCTGGTTCCTGCTTGACCTCTTTCTTCACCTCCATCTTGACGACAGGCACTTCAACAGACACCTCAGGCCACTCAGAGTCTTGCATGAGATCTGTAGCCTTCCCCTTCTTCGTGGGTGTCTTGGGCTCCGAATGGGCGTCCTTGCGCTTCGTCTTCTGAGGGGTGCGTCCGGCCTCGGGGGTCTCAGGCAGACCTTCGACCTGACGGCGGAGGCGGACGATGCGGTTTTCGATGGCACTGGGCGTACATTCTAGCCACCGCTGTTTAACATATTATTTCTCAAAGAGAGAGGAGAGAATAGTGGGACAAAACACATACCAGGTCCCATGAACACCGCCAGTTCGTAGGTATTCACCTTGACGCCGGCGGAGCGGAGCTGCATGAGGATTCCCACTAGGAGCTTTGTTGTGTTATATGTCAATTGGTGGATGACTATTATCGTAGGTAACACTCACTTTGGCATCAGTATCGGCGTTCCAGTTCATCGGCATGGTGATTGATGGTTATCGTATTTTACTTCTGAGAGGGAGATATGATAGTGTGGCTTATGGAAATTTAGTTATGTGGAGAGAATGGTGTGAGTTAGTAGAGAGAGAGAGAGAGAGAGAGAGAGAGAGAGAGAGAGAGAGAGAGAGAGAGAGATTAAATGATAAAGAAGAAAAAGAGAGAAGAGAAGAGAAGTATGAATAGTAGAATTGACTGAAGTGAATGGATTAATGATAGTGATTATAATAAACTTTTACCTATAATACAGGCTATGCCATTCACTACCATTGGCTGAATTAAGTTGAGTATAATAAATAAGATATCTCTGTACCTGGTCATAGACCATTTCTCTCCCCTGTATTCAATCACTTAGGCTCAACACAGACTTCCTTGGTCTCTTGCTCCTCAGTCGGCTCTGTATTACTGGTCACAGTCACTGCCAGCACTGAAGGGATGGCAATCATCAGCGCGCCCATACACAATCCCCAGTTCATGGCCAGCTGTGACATGGCTGGCTCCGCCAGCGCGTTGATCCGCCACGCCATCGCGCCACCCGTGCTCTGGAAGGTCTTATATGCGCCCACCAGGACAGCAGCCACTGCGGGCGAGTTCGAGCGCGCGCCCATGAGCCAGTAGCAGTACGACTGCCAGAACGAATCGTACGCGCCGTAGAAAATGTACAGGAATATGGGTCCGGTCGAGATGCTGCCGTCCTTGTAATCGATGTCCTGCTTCAGGCCCGTGGCCATGCGGTCATCTAGCCACAACTGGAACGCGTACCCGCCACCCCAGATCGCCATCCCCGTCACAACGAGGAACACCCAGCCAATGCGGGCTCGGATGGGGCGGCTGAGTCCCGGAATATCGAGGATCAGGCCCATGGTGAGCCCACCGACCATCTGCGCCATCCAGTAGAAAGCCCCGTTCAGCGATCGAGTGCGAATGTTGAACGTCATTCCGTTGACGATGTTCTGCTGATAGGAGTAGAAGACGTTGGCACAGAAGAAGAGCGGCAGCATGCACAGAACCCGCCAGTCCATGATCGCCCGCAGCGACATCATCGCCGTCTTACGCCAGTTCTTGTCGCTCTCGGGGGACGGCTGCAGCTCCGCCAGTCGGACCGACGCGGGCGGGCAGATGAACGAGCCCAGCAACCAGCCCACGGCCATGATAATCAGGAGAGCAATGTACGTCCCATCGGACACCGTTCCACTCGTGGAGTTGTAGTTCATTCCGAAACTCGCCAGCGAGCCAACGCCCCCACCGAGGTTGAAGATTACCCAAAAGACCGCGATGGCACGGCCTTTTTGCGATTCCGGGACGTACGTCGTCATGATAGCGCCCTGCGACACCCATAGGAAGGATGCCCCAATACCGAGGATCGCGCCAGATGCGATCACAAAGGCACCGTTGGCCGTTGCTACGAGGAGTAATTAGAATCCAGTATGATTAGGTCCCCACGAACAATGCACATACCGTTAAAGCAAAGGAGACTACCGGCGTAGAGGGGGTAAGTCCATCCTCCAAGGAGCAGACAAACGCGAGGCCCGACACGGTTGAAGATGGGCCCGACCATGAACAGAGCGGTACCCGCGGTGGCTGCTAACAACGCGACAGTAGCGTTGGCTGCGACAGTCGGGTCGACCTGCCCCGACCCTCCCATTCCGGTCAATGCATTGTACATCTAGTAGCATTGTTAGCATGGAGGATGCACTCGGCATTGTGCGACGTGGTGGATGGCGGGAATACAACTCACACCAGGGCAGCAGAAGCAGATGAAGCTCATCAACACGATCTGGAACCAGCAGTTGGTGTACACTCGATATACAACTCCACGCTGCTGACCCAGAGGGGCGGAGAGCCCAGACTCTCCCGAGGAGGCTACTTCGTTGACCGTCATTGCGATGGCTTGAGTGAGCGATCTTCTGTGCCGTGAGAATCACCTCTGGAGAAGAATCCCAGCTCGTTTTAATGCCCCCCGATGTCCCATGCGCCAGCCAAAAAGGCTTAGCCCAATCTCCTAGATAGCGTACCATGATTCGGTAGCGATAGTCATTTGGGGATTAGGGCGGCCAAGCGGATAAACCCGCAGATTACATCCCCAATGGGAAAATGCCTTGTCGATGCTTCCCCGCACCGGCGTCGTTTAGGGTAAATTGTTATAAACCAGTGGCACCATGAATCGCCCCAAGGATCCAATCATACCTTGGGTGGTAACCCTCCACGTGCATTGGTGAAATTTTACTGCTACCATGGAATGGATGCGACCTGGGGACCTATAGATATCAGGGGAGCCCCGGCGAGTGACTGGTCGCCTAAACCGGGGTCAGATGCAACCTGACCTGTTCTGTGTGATACATAAATCGTATACGCCACCAGTTTTGCGCGCGTTGCTTGGCGAGTGACACGATGGATCTCGGGTCCCTGTCGCGGCTCCAGACGGAGGGGATCAACCCCCGAACCACTAACATTGACCAGGTGTCGACCCTGGAATTGTGCACACTAATCAATCGCGATGATTACCTGGTCGCGGAGAGTGTCACCACATTTCTACCCCAGATCGCAGACGCTATCGATGATTTGGCTCCCCGAGTCCGTCGTGGAGGACGGGTGATCTATGTCGGCGCCGGGACGAGTGGAAGGTCAGTGCACTTTATTTGCCATCCCTAGTATGACTTAGTTGTATCGCAGAGAAGAATATTAACGGGAAGTCGATTCTCTAGGCTCGGTATCCTCGACGCATCCGAAATCCCTCCCACCTTTGCCGCGCCTTTTTCGCAATTCGTCGGCATAATCGCTGGTGGAGATGCTGCCATTCGGAAGGCCCAGGAAGGGGCCGAAGACAGTGTCAGCGCAGGAGAGCAGGATTTGGAGGCACTCCAGCTTGACCCTGAGCTCGATAGTGTCATCGGGATTGCAGCATCCGGTCGCACCCCCTACGTCCTCGGATGTATGAACTTCGCCAAGCGCCTCGGGTGTCTCACGATCGGCGTTGTCTGCGCCTCACCGTCAGCCATGAGTCGCGCAGGTACAGTGGACCATATGCTCTCACCACTTCCGGGGCCGGAGTGCGTGACGGGAAGCACTCGTCTCAAGGCGGGCACCGCCACGAAATTGGTGTTGAATATGCTGAGTACGGGCACGATGATACGCATCGGCAAGACCTATGGCAATATGGTAGTTTCGCTCCTCACGGCATACAGGGATAATAGAACTAATCGACGTTGCTATAGATGGTCGACCTTGTTGCCTCGAATAATAAGCTGAAACAGCGGTCCCGGAATATATTGCGAAAATTAAGTCCGCTGTGCGACAACATGACCGACGAGCAGCTGGACGACCTTCTAGCACAGTGCGATCGCAGCGTCAAGCTAGCGCTGATGACGGCCAACACAGGATTATCCGTAGAACAATCCCAGCGGGAGCTCGAGTCAGCCGGTGGGATCCTGGCACAGGCGCTGAAGGCAGCGAACAAATCTTGCACAGGTATCCAGCCGAATGGGTCAGCGGCTCCTGACCGCAGGTTCATCCTTTGCATTGACGGAGGAGGAAGCAAATGCGCGGCGGTGATAACGGATGAGAAAGGGGTTATCTTGGGACGTGGCCTGGCTGGCCCGTGTAATTTGTAGGTTGACACATCCCCCAAAGAGTTAGTTGGTATCTAGTAGGACTGATCATCCACGATAGGACTGATGGCCATGGGATGGGAGAAGCTATCGCCACTCTCGAAGCAGCCGCCAGAAACGCCATGAAAAACGTACCGACCCAAATCCTCGGAGATGATACCCCACTCGACGGATGCTTCCAGACGGTCTGGCTGGGCCTTGCGGGGATTGACCGCAGCGGGTTTCGCGAAGCTCTCCTGCCGAATGTCTCGGCCCTCTTTGGGGTAACAGCCCCCGACAGCTTGCTCCTCACGAATGATGTTGACCTTCTTGCTGCGGCTATGAGTCGACACCCGGGGAGTGAATCGGCGATCGTGCTGATTGCGGGGACTGGGAGTGTGGCCATGCGATATAATTGGACATCCGGACGCCCGATGCGGGTGGCGCGATCCGGAGGCTGGGGACATATCCTTGGTGACGAAGGTGGGGGATATGCGATCGGACTTCGAGCTATCAAGCACACTGTGGCCCGGCTGGAAGATGCTCGCCTAGGACTGGGTGATGGGGATAGTACACTGGGTGTCTTTGAACAAGCCGTTCTCAAGCGACTGGGGTGCGGGCGATCCCCCAGTGGTGAGTATGACCTGGTCAGCGAGGTATTAGTCCCCCAACAACAAGCAACCAAGACCCGAATCGCTGGGGTTGCAGAAGCCGTCCTCAGCCTGGCGGGTACTGACGACACTGCGACATGTATCATTCACGATCAAGTCGACGATCTCGTGAATACCACCCTCGGACGCCTCCTTCATCCCAAGTGCCAAGGATACCATCCTCCTGCAGAAACGGGACTAATCCTCTCTGGTGGGGTGGTCAGTCATGTCACCTATCAGAAGCTTCTGATGGAACGGTTATCATCTCGGGGAATCCAGTTTTCGTATGTAGAGCGGGTGCATGACGCCGTGAGCCTGGGCGCAACATCGTTGGCAATGTCTCAGCAGAAAGAGGCCTGAGCCTTCTATCTCATCCTTGTATATCAAATTCTGGTAGCTTAGAATATCATAGACAGGGGACACATTCGCCCCTTCATCTCGCAGCAGTGGACATCCCAGGGGCAAGGGGAGCGATGGCGGGAAAGGTACCCCGCACGATCTGATGTTATTTTTTGCCAGCCAGCCAGAGATTGGTAAACTTGCTCCGAGACAATCGGTCCCAATCCATCGTCTCGCGCAGGCCGCGCCTGAAACCCTCGAAACGCTCCATTCATCTAGAGTTACCAGGTTAAATCGAGCAGTAAAGCTGGTTGTATGGTTGTCTAAACTCCATAACATTGTTTGCACATACCAGGAAGTTATCCTACCAATGAAAGGATCAGTGGCTTCCATCTGTTCATCATCGAGGTCAGAAGGAGAACAAAGAGAAGAGAAGAAAGAAGGGAAGTTGATCCCAGTCACGTGAAGCAAGGGAGCTGCTGACCAAGCCTTGCCCCAGGCATCGAGATGATCAGATTAGATAAGATACGAGGAGATCTTTTTTTGGCACACATCAAGATATCAAGATACTCTGGGCCTTTTTTACATGATTGTCGCGGTATCTCCTGTGATCAACCGATGGTTACTCTCAATTGATGCGTCCTCTTTCTATCCATGTTCTCTTTTGTCTCGCCAGATATAACGCCTCGTTGAGAATGCGTCAAGGCTTGCCGTGGTCTTGGACCCAGGAATCCTAATTCGTCCCGCCGCCCTCGCGTGGCTCAAGAGTGGGTCCGGTTGGTTCCAGAGGAACGAGGTTCGCGGGAAAGTCAGCCATCCCCCGCGTAGGGGTGCGTGGTTTGTGCGTGGCTTTGATCCTTCAATGCTTTCTACTCAACCTTCTCGCCCATGCCAGCGATGTGGCCGGTCCACGGGTGCATTCTCTTGCTCCTTATCTCCGTCGGTACGGCCACCGTCCTTGAACACTGTGTACAGGCCGTGGACGTTGCCTATGGATACATCACTTTCGCTGGATCGCCGCCAAAGGATGTCTGGCATTTGCGCTGTCAAAACCCATTGCGGGTCACCTCAATTTACGCGGCCTCGGGAGCGTATTGCAACCCATCCGAAAATGCCGCCGGCCAGGCCTGGTTGACCTCGTCCTGCCAGGAGTCCGCCGGTCTCGAACTTATTCCGCGGGAGCAACTAGCTACGAACCTAACGGACGATGCCATCCGTCATATGCGTGTTGTGGCATACGGTGACATCTTGAGGCGGGAGCCAGTAGATTTCCCGGTCATGCTCTCGTCGTCGTATTTTGATCGGGCTTTTCAGACCATAGTAAGTCGGAAGTTCTTTATGGGTGTCACTCCGCGGTTGTTGACTATTAATGGGCGGTAGGATACGTGGGAAACTCAAGTTTGGTACAATCATGCCTTTGGGTAGGCGTTTCTCCTTCAACCTCGTTTCCTCTGGGATGGCTCTGACAGCAATAGCTTGGCTATGTACGCGTTTTGGGGTGGGATCCTCGCCCTTGGGATCCTGCATCGATCACTTCAGTACACGAAACATTCATGTCGTGTCTGGGAAGGCAGAGCGTCGTCCTTCTCGGCCGGCCTATATGCCCGTTTCCATGAATTATATATTTGGGTACGGATTCATCTAGTGACACCATCGCCTCTCCCGTCTCGAGGCCGTCGGCTTTTCTGGTGGACATTTCCCGCACGAATACAATTTCTGGTAGTTCTACTATTTTGGGTTCTCAATATTGTTCTGTGTGCAATGATGTACAATGCTTTCCCTGGTAATCTCTAGTACGTGCGGTGCCACAGGCCCCGTTGAGAAGCCTGGCTCACATCTTACAGTTGGTCCGACACCTCAAGCCAGCTTTTACGATACATCGCTGATCGCACTGGAATCATCTCATTTGCGAATATTCCATTGATTTGGCTCTTCGCGGGCCGCAACAATATATTTCTCTGGGCGACGGGTTGGAGCTTTGCAACCTTCAACTTGTTCCACCGACACGTCGCATGGATTGCAACCATTCAGGCCGTCGTTCATACTATTCTTTACTTAGTTTTATTTGTCCAAAGTGGGTGTATTCATGCTACCTCCATGGTCTCTGTCAATACTCTAACAGTCATTTTCATTCCCAGATGGCAATGCCTGGAAGAAGCTGCAGAAACCCTATTTGCTTTGGGGAACATTTGTTAGTTTCTACTGGCGACCCCCCTCTTGAACATTCACTGATATATACAAGAGCATGGTCGCGATGGTGCTACTTTGGCCAACAGCGGTGGACTTATGTAGACGCCGTACCTACGAGGCATTTCTCATTCTCCATATCCTGCTCTCAACTGCAGCCCTCGTCGGCTGTTTTTAGTCAGTGGTCCTGGCGTTTTCAATAGCGCTGTTACTAACGCTGTTACAGTCACACGGTCATCTTCGCAGGAAATCAGTATTGGGCTTATCTCTGGCCAGCCGTGGGCATCTGGGTGGTTGATCGAACCCTACGTCTAGTCCGGGTGATTCACTGCAACTTCCATGTCCATTTTCAATCCAGAAAAAAGCTCCGGGTAAGCACCAGCACTGCCGTCTACGACGAAGCTGCCGATGTGATTCGACTGGAGATTGTGCCGGGGTCCCCACTCCTCCATCCACACCCAGGGCAATATTACTATCTCTATCAGCCTTTACGGCTAAAGGGCTGGGAAAGTCACCCCTTCACATTGGGGGCCTGGTCATACACGGCTGAGCTCCCAACTGCAATGGCCCAATACGACCCGATCAGGGATGTATCGCAGGTGCCTTTGTTGTCCGATGCAGTATCTCGTCAATACCAGGAAGTAGTACATTCCGATGATCAACAAAAGGTCACGCTTATCTTTTGGATCCGGCCCTTTGACGGATGGACGCGCCATCTGCGGCAACAATGTCTACGTCGTCCCAACCGGACAACCGCCCCAGACATCCTCCTGGAGGGTCCTTATGGCCATGAGTTCCCCCTTTGGAGCCACGAATCCGTTCTCTTCATAGCAGGGGGGACCGGAATTGCCGCCATGTTACCTTATATCCAGGACCATATGGCACGTTCGTCAACCGACGCGAGCGCGACCTGTGTTCAAGATTTGCACTTGGTCTGGACGACACGAGAAGCGTCGTTCATCCGCGACCTTGTAACCCGTGAGCTAAGGCCCGCCCTCGCGCGTAATGATTTCCACGCCTCCTTTTATAGCACCTTAACGCCCAAGGACCAACGCTATGGGGAGGAGGATGACTTCGACTTTTGCCCCGGGGAACATCTAGCACACAAGGACCTGGAGATTACCAGCGGGCGTCCCGACCTGCGGACCCATATTATCACCCACGCACACGAAGCCCGTCTCAGTAAGTCGTCAACGGTCGTCATCGTCTGTGGTCCGCCCGCTATGGCGGACGAGGCGCGCACCGCGGTGCATTTAGCCATGCGGCAAGGACATCGCAACCTCCACTACGTGGAGGAATCGTTCAGCTGGTGATGACGGTTGACCAAGGTGTATACTGTACATAGTTCACTCGATGAGGATCATTCATTCACGGGGTCGGCGTTGGTCAGAATGGAGAAACGAGCGATATTGTGGCGCGTACATAACGTTTCCTCCCCAACAAATCACTTTCAACCAATCTGCTTCCCACACCGCTCAAATGAGTTTTTCTTCCCTTTTAGGAAGAAAAAAGTGATATCCTTTATTATTTGATAATATTTAACTTTGGTAACGAAGCTTCAGGGAGGACCCAACATAGGCCTGACGCAAGGGGGTCTCACAATACATCACGGCCCCACCGATCCATTTCGAGGATAGGCAGTTCGCTCCACCATACGGCAAAGATCAGACACCTCTATGATCGGGATATACTGTGTGTAAACTCGTGGCGTATAATCCGATTCTTTAGGCGAAATGGATTGTTACCGGTGGCTGATCAAGCCTGTTTTTCTTGCAGGTTTCGGTCTCCTAGGATGACGAATACGCAAGCTGGCTTCCCTATGCGCGACGTGGAGGTAGAGGAATCAAATGAACGTATTGCAGCGCAAATCACAGAGCTCATATGGATCAATGAGCATGATATCCTGCATCTTCGGTAGGCTCGTTCTTGCTGTTGTCGAGGCTACAGTACCCAGTGGCGAGACCTTGAGAGAAACAGAGTTGATTTACCCACTATTACCAAACCAGGGGAACGGTAGATCGGTGAAATCAGGTGTATTCCGTAGACCGGCGGCCAGCGCCAAAGTGAGCCATGTTCTGGCCCTCACCGTGGACTCATTCTATGTCTCAACGACTTCGCCCCCGCAGGCATGAGTAAAACGTGCATAGACCATCTAGTGCCACAAACCAAGTTTTCTAGATGCAAGCTGGAGGCTGGGATGCCGTATTGTCGAGGTTGATCGCCACTGGGGAAGTGACGATCGATCCCAACAGAGCGAGTGCGTAAAGCCTCCCAGCAATAGACCTGCAGTGCGAAGATCCGCACCAACTTAAAATAACATCCGACATTGCGCTGCTCCTAGGGGCAACGGCCTCACCGACATGCTGCTCGGGACGCGAAAAGGAGCGACACTGAGTCGCAGGAAAGTCTCTGGGGTCCCCAGCTGCTCTGGCCTTGGTGAAAGGATCAGATGCAGGTTTCCTTGTAGTGCGGGTAAGACCCATCGACTACCCCTGAGGCGAGCCTAATAGAACATTAACATCTGATACCCGATCTAACAAGTACAATAGGCTGAGATGGACTCCGAAATGAGTGGTCAGGGCCATCGACTCGAAGCTTCTCTGCGACTGAAAGGTGCAGTGGGGACATGATAGATCACATGTGGCCGTGATGATACCAATGCAGGGAAAGGAGAATAGTGCAGGTTGTGCGCTACATGGCCCATATCCGGGGAGCCGGTTCCTGCATCCTGGTCCAGACTATTGGCCATTATGGATGCCACTCTCTCCTGCAAGGCGGATGCGCTATACGGGCTCTGTGAGCCGATAGTCAGCTTTGTGTGCGAAGATCGCTGGGACAATTATGGAAACGCCCATGCAAGGCACCGGGCACAATGCCACTGTATGAGATGGAACCCGAGTCTCTCGGGAAATGAGCTGTGTCTGGCCAGCCTCGGAGGTTGGGGCCGAGTAGCAAGCACCTCTCTACAGGAGGGATCGAAAAGATATAAAAGGGACGTCGAAGACCCGTCTCCAGTCCTCTCCATCAGCTCCATCCGCATCATCCATCCAAGCCTATCAATCTCCATTCTCTCCTACAACACCAATCAACTTTTCTCGAGTCTCTCGTCTCCAGTCCACCTCAGCCAAAATGAAGTTCTTCGCCGTCGCTGCTCTCTTCGCCGCCACTGCCCTGGCCGGCCAGCCTCCCGCTTTCTACCACAAGGGCCAGCCCGTCAGCCTGGAGCAGGCCCAGAACGCCTGTGGTAATGGCGCGAAGCCCTCGTGCTGCAACAGCAAGAAGGCCGAACTGTCCAAGGACCAGACCGGCGGCGGCCTGCTGGATCTCCTCTCCCAGGGTCTCAGCGATGGCCTTGGCAGCTACGAAGGCTGCTCTTCGCGTGAGTGATGACAGGTACCCCTCAAGAGTTTGGAAGTCTATCCATCTAACTGTCATTTCCAGTGGCTAATGTCCTGGCCGGCGGTAAATCTTGCCAGAGCCTCCCTACCTGCTGCGATGGCAACCAAAACGATCAACACGGCAGCCTCCTCGCTCTCAACGCCGCGAACTGCGTCCAGATCCCCATCAACAACCTTCTGGGCTAAGCGCTGTCTTCCAGAACCCTGTGGAAAAAAGTTTTCTGGGACAGTTGTGAATATAGTACGCGATGTACAGTGGGGGTCCTCCGTGTGAGAAAGGCTCCTCGAGTTGTTATGTTTCTATTTCGCATGCCATCGGATCGAACTGCCTGGTTCAACGATTCAAAGGCCATTTGCATTGTTTTCTATTCGCTCGTTTATGTACCACGCGCCGGCCTAGCTGGTTTAGCTTGAATATGTTGGAGCAATAGATTTTGTTACAATCCCTGAACAGGGCACCATATCACGTAGCGTGTATATCACGGAGACTGTTTCTTGAGATCGCATGTTGCGTTATGTCCTCGCATTCGACCGCGATGGACTGGTGAAGCATTCAAACATGTCAAGATCATCGATGGTTTTGGTGTTGACCGGTTGCCACTGCCTCATGCCTAGGTCAGCACGGGATCAGCTCCGAGCCGTCTTGGCGCCAAGGCCCACTCCTCCCCTCGGGATGTCTTCCTTTCCTTCTCTTCAACTACGTCTTCTCTCATACTCCATCTCCTCTTTCGGTCTTCTTTCCTTTCTATCCGCTATGAGTCACTCATCTTCCCCACAGGAGTCTCCATCAGGGGATACTCCCGTCCGGTCTACCAAGCGTCGTAAGATCGCCGTGGCTTGTGATGAATGCCGGGCCCGAAAGGTCCGTTGTGACGGCATCCAACCCGGTATGATCGCTTCCTATTCAACTTTCCGGACGCAAAACCGCCCCAGTCTAACATGGCCAACCGATGTGTAGTGTGCGGGCCATGCACAAGGAGGCCTGATCGCGGTAATGAGTGTAACTACACGGGGGAGCCCGAGAAAAAGCGTGCGGTCCAAAGGTGAGAGAGACTATACACCTATCCAGGGCAAGGGGCCGGTCATCGCCACAGTCCTCAACGCTTCAGGAGCTGCGGCCAACGATAGTGTATCACCATCTAATTATGTTGAAATGAAGCTACATCGCCCGCCTGGAAAGTCGCATCAAGCATCTAGAGAGTCCGGATAGCATTCCGAGGCCTACAAGGCCCGATGGGGGGGATCGGACATCAGCCCACCTCCAGGTTGGTAGGACTATAATGACCACGCCATGGACTTTCCATCCCCAAGGGAGTCTTGAACGAAGTCTTTTACCATCTGACTGGTCGTGTAGTCACCCTCGTCCTATGATGATCCGGTATCACCGTTACCCATTGGCGCTCCGCCGTCTGCTCCATTCACCCCGTCTTTGGCAGTTCCTGTAAGCCATGGCCAGTCTAGAAACAATGTCTCTGTTTCCAATGTGGATCATCGGCCATCTCCATCAGGTAGTGTCTTCCTTGGGACCCCCGGGAGCAATGCGAGCTGCAATCACCGGCGTACGGGACATCCGTCGCGGCAGTCCGCCGAAGGCTCGTATCTCGGTGGAGATGCCCGGGGCCTTGGGGTCAATGCGATGATGGGCGCGGTTGAGGAAGAGCGTCCCACGCAAGGATTCTTTGGCAGTTCCAGTGCGGCCAGCTTTATGCGTCAGATCAGGACTGCGGTCGACAAACGGGTCTCGTCACCTCATCGGCAGACGTCCGATTCTATCCTCGGAATAGAACCGCTATCTAGTCTTACGTCTACTCGAAACGAAAGGACGCCCACTGTGCCTAATTATGTTCTTCCGCCACGGAAGACGGCAGATAGTCTAATGGACGTCTACTGGTGTTTTGTTTTTCCGTTATACCCCTTCGTCGATGGTACCCAATTGAGGGCCGAGTACGGGAGGATCTGGACGGGAGAAACCCTCCAGTCCGATGAGAACATGTTGATGTGCACTTTCAATGTGGTCTTTGCCCTGGCCTGCCAGCTCGCGGATTTCATTTCTCCAGAGGAGCGGGAGGCTTCAGCGGACGCCTTTTTCTCTCGTGCGAAAGATTTACTGCAGTTTAGTCTTTGGAATACGGGGTCAGCGGCCTTGATCCAATGCTTCCTCCTCATGGCGCAGTATCTCCAAAGCACAGACTCGGCACATCAATGTTGGATAGTGACGGGATTGGCCGTCCGCAATGCGCAGAGCTTAGGGCTACATCTCCCGCAAACCATTGCCCGCCTCCATAACCCACAGGAGCAGCAGCTGGCTCGCAAGATCTGGCACGGATGTGTTCTCATGGACCGGTAAGACGAACCAGCCGGCTCGTGAACTTGTCTCTATCTAACATCCATAGTGTCATCTCTATGACGTTTGGACGTCCCGCAATGATCTCAAAGGCCTCGTGTGGATCGGTTCCTCTGCCCGCCACCGTGGACGAAGAGTACATCCCTACCGCTTCGGGGGCCGAAGTCACGCAACCGGCGGATCGCCCCTCGGTGATGGCTTTCTACGCTAAGTCACTGGAGCTGTACGAGATTCTGAACGATATACTGTTGAGCTTATACAAGCCCATCCCCGAGGAAAGCCCGGAAGACATGTACGACTTTTACTTCAACAAAGAGACTAGCGAGGGCGAACGAACCATCTTCGAGCTCGATCGAGCACTGACTAGGTGGACCCGGAGTCTACCTCCTCATTTACGTGGCACAACCTCATCTGAGCCCGAGAATCTAGTCTTCTACAGACAAAGTGTCGTTATACGCGCCAGGTATGTCTGGCTTTGTCCGCTGACGGATGTACAACGGTATTCACATCTGTGCAGGTTCCTGCATGTCCGCATGCTTCTTTTCCGTCCCATTCTCTCGAAGTACTGCACTGCCCGGGACATTGCGCCCGCGGACCCGCTCATCTCCCTAAATGATTCATTCCCTCAACGAGTAGCCCAGCAGTGCTCGGTAATATGCGTCAAAGTGGCCCAGGAGGTCGTTGACCTAATCTACAACAATATTCCAGCTGACGGGACTTCTGGTCCCCTTCCAGCGTGGTGGTACAATATTCTTTGTGAGACTCGCATCCATCTATCTGGAAAGCATCAGGACTGATCGAACATAGATGTATATACAGCGGCGACAGTTCTCATCGCCGGTCGTCTCTGTCCAGCTGTGCTGGAAGATGTAACAGAAGTTGCGATCACGAGGTCATGGAATGATGCTCTCGAAATTCTTCGCAAATACCAGAGCTACAGTACCTCTGCCCGGCGGTGTGTCGCAGCGTTGGAGATACTATACGAGCGAGTCGTGTCGGAAGGGGTTCCGGCAAGTGAGCAACCGCTTCAGGCCCAGCCGTCCGGGGCCGCATCCAATGGCATGACCGACCTGTCTCTGGGAGAGGGTACAAATGCCATTCTACTGGATGGGTTCGACCTTCCTGATTTCCAGGACATGTCGTGGCTGAACAGTGTGCCAAGCAACCTGTATTGATTTATATTTTACATCAGTTGCCTGAATCCTTTCAAAACTCTCTATTTTACGATAATGTGGCCCATTTAATCAGTGTTTTTCACTATATGACCAGACTGGATATCTCGGGTCATCCATTAACGTTCCAATTACGCCGCCAGCTTTGATCTATCCACATAACAGATAAGCCCGTGGGGAAACTAAAATATGATATGTAGCTACCACTGGGTGGAGCTCACCGGTCCGCTCGACTCGCTACATATTGGATGGCAATGATCGGAATCAAAGCGCACACGCCGATGATGGCACACATGACACCTGCGGCACCCGCCAACTTGAGGCTCTCAAACATGGGCGGGAAGTAGAACGGACCAATCTAATAACACATTAGCAAACATGACTCGCGTATAGGAAGAGACTCCTCGGACATACAAATCCATAGATGTGGCGGTAGACATTGATGCAGACTCCGACATTGGTGGCATGTTCCTTGTAGCTGTCGACAGCAAAGGAGATGAGAATGGTGGTGATGATCTGATTCCCGAAGCTGGCAATTGCCGCGCCCACGCACGGAGTTACATTCCACGAGGTGGCCTTGTCTAGCTGGAATCCCCAAGTCAACAGGCCCGCGATAACCGTCCCGAAGCCGATATAGGACAGCCAGAGCCGATCCGCAGGTTGGACGTGCCCGCGGCGGCGGCTCATGGTCTTGAGGAACCAATCCGATACGGGCCCACTCAACTGTTCGCCCAGCACGCAGCCGATGATGATGGCAATAAACTGCAGGCCGATCTGCTGCGGGTTGAAGTGGAACTCCTCGCCGAAGGCGATGGGCATCTCGACGATGAGGGCGATATTGCCGTAGCAGAAGACGATGGAGTGGGCACACGCGGGGATCAAGACCCGTGAGTACCGGCTGAAGAACAAGGGCTCGATAAAGTCGCGCATCTTCAGGGGGCGCGGATCGATGCGTCGCGGGATGAGCCTGCCGAAGAAGCCCTGGCCAGACTCGGTCGATTCCGCAGATGCGTTATCATCGACGATATAGACGGTCTCCTCTCCCAGGAGGATATACGCAATGAGTTGGACGAAATTGATGATGACGAAGATCCAGAAGATCCACTCGTAGCCGATATGGTGCGTGACAAAACCCATGATGAAAGGCCCACCGGGGGTGCCAAGTGTCAGCATCAGTGTCCACCAGCCGATTTTCTGCGCGCGCTCCTCGGGCTCACAGAGCTCCGTGATTACACCGCTCCCGATGCCAATTGGTGGCGAGATGAGGATGCCCGTGAGCACTCGAGTCGCCATCTGGCCGCCATACGTGGTGCAGCAGGCGCCTCCGATGTTGCAGATGAGACTCCCGAAGACGGACAACAGAAATATATGGTATCGGCCGTAAATAGAGGTGATGGGTTTCCAGATCAAAGGCGTTACTCCCAGCAGCAGGATCTGGGGGTTCAATCGGTCAGCGGTTGTCGGAACCTGTATGATGCGGGGAGGGGAGACATGCCTGGATCGAGGTGAGATAGCTCGCTTCTGGCACCGTCACGCCATAGTCTTCAGCCATCGCCTCGTAGGCGGGGATGATACCCGCAGCCATGAAGGTAGCTACCATGGAATGGAAGGCCACCATGAGGATTTGTGTGTTTTTCTTCCATTTGGGCCAGTTACGTGGGTTCCTGGGGTCCAGTAACTCGCTGGACCTGAGCTGTTGCTCTCCCGGCGCAATCGCCTTTTCCAAATGAGAAGAAGCCCCCGAATTGCTTTCTTTGGTGTTGTCCAAGTCCAACATGTAAGGGGGCGGAACCCCTGGTGTGTCTTTGCTCATGATGGCCACGATTTTGGTTTCAGTCGACTGTGTCAAGATCCTTCGCCAACGAAAGGATGGAAAAAGGAAGCCAACGATCTTAAATGCTGCAACATGACGCCAAGGTATCAGCAAGGTCTACGACTCATTCCAATCCCTTAGACATGAGGGGCCCCAGATCGCTCTCCCAAATTCCGTCCCAAGTGGAACTGGGGTCCCCATGGGGAACCTCCAGCCCGCGCCTAGACACTGGTCCATTGTAGACGGGCTGTGGTTGGATCAGATTGAATTCAAACCAAGTGATATTCATTCTTGGCAGCACTAGTGATAGGAATTGATTCCGATCGTGTTGAGGTCCGTGGAGGTGCTGGCAGGAAGCCTACCCGAGGTTATACAGCAGTGGTGGTTACGTCGGAGCTGCACCCGAAGCCTTTCGGATCGCAGCCCGGTGCAGCATCCGTCGCCTTAATAAGATGGCGATCCCGTTGGGAGATTCAACCAACATCAAATTTCACCAAGACACAACCACTTATTCGATCACTTGGGCAGATTTTCCCGTTGGTACGACAAATGACCATGACTTCATCTCCAGATGTCTCCATCCGACACTACCAAACACTTTGAAGGCTGCAGCGCCAGGTGATATCCGACGTCAAAACAAGGTTGGCCCAGAACACCACAAGAAAACAAGACCCATTATAGTGTCTGTCTGGTACCCCACACAAAAGAATCAATTGTCCAATCCTGCAGCATGCTACCTTGAAGAAAGTCAGACAAATGGCTTTACACTCCATACCAGCTCATCGCAAGATGCTTGGCTGGTGCAACCCCGCGTTCGCTCCCTGAATGGCTGGTGGATTCGGCGACTCCGCGCCGAGTAGGGCCTTGGCGGATCCTCAGTCAAGCTCATGAAAGGATGGAGTGCTTACTGGCTTAACCGCTGCCTAGGAGTGAAGCGCAGGGTGTACACGATGGACGCTTCGAAGTTGCACAGTCGGCTGTGTAGGGAGTACTTCCCCTGTGTCGGATGCATCAATGCGTGGAACCGTCCACGAAGATATTACAGATATATTCTGCTATTACAGCAGTGTATTACCAGAAGACTTCAACAACCGCCCTTGTCAATAAATATATCGCGATGTGGGATTAGGGCTGACCAAAGGACGCGCAGACATGGCGTGGCTCAAAGACGCGGCATGAGACCTCTGGAAAGGGGGTTCCACATAATGTTTTTGAACTCTTGCAATCTCTTACTGAACAAATAGCACAGATTATATAAGAACTAAACAAAGATTACAGGCAATTATGGGACGAAAATAAGAATGTGACTACTATATCTCGCTCTTCTAAGCGGTTATCTAGTAGGATTCTTGCGGGACTACGTGAAGAGGAAGTAGTGTGCACGACACGAGAGCTAATAGGTATGGTATCAGAGTCGACGACTTAGCAGGTATTATATGAGTGTCATGTAATACACTATATTATCTCAATATTTCCACCCATAACATCCAAACTAGCCAGTGTCCACTGTAAGTCCCTGCTCTATATTGATCTCGGCATAAGAACCGATGAGTAATCAATGCAGCACCCAAGATTCTTGGCGCGCAGAAGAAGAAAACAACCTCGGCAAAAGCGTCGCATATGAAGCCAGAGATCATCGTAACCATGGTCGCGCACGCTCGAATCCTCGGCCCAGCGCACAAAATCATTAATCGTGGCGCCGTTATTGGTGAGACCCCTTCCCCGCATTAATCAGACGCTCTCTGCCCATTCTCGTTGGTCCTTTTTCTTTCTCTTCGTTCAGTTTCCCCTTACTTATTCCCACTCTCTTCTCCCCCACACGCTTTCTGTCTTCTCTCCATTCCTTCCACATTCCGATCATCATCATGGCCAAGTCATTCACGCGCGCCGAGGTTGCAAAGCACAACACCGAAGACTCTGTCTGGTGTATCATCGACCACCGTGTCTATGATCTGACCGACTTCCTCGACGCCCACCCGGGCGGCAGCGTCGTCCTCAACCAGGTTGCCGGCCAGGACGCCACTGATGCCTTCTACAACCTGCACCGTCAAGAGGTCCTCGACAAGTACAGCAAGCAACTATGCATCGGTACCGTCGCCGGCGAAACCCCCGAGATCGTTTCCCCCGAGCCCGGGTCCCTGAGCGCCGTTCCCTACGCCGAGCCCCTCTGGCTGCGCCCGCAGTTCAAGAACCCCTACTACAACGACAGCCACCGTCGCCTGCAGCGAGCCATGCGCGAGTTCACTGACCGTTATATCACCCCCGAGGCTCAGGAGAAGGAGCGTGACGGCACCTACATCAGCCAGGGCCTGATCGACCGCATGGCGGAGACCAACGTCCTGGCCATGCGTCTGGGACCGGGGCCTCATCTGCACGGCCGGACGATCCTCGGTGGCGCCATCGACGGGAAGGAGTTTGACTACTTCCATGATCTGATCGTGACGCAGGAGTTGGTGCGGTGTAACGCCCGTGGTAGGTGACCTTGCGAAATTTCAGCGGGAGGCTCTAGGAGCGTGGGCTAACGTGATGGTGTCTTGTTCCACAACAGGTTTTATGGATGGTAACATGGCCGGTATGGCCATTAGCTTGACGGCCGTGCGCCAGTGGCTCAACAATGTCCCTCTTCGTGACCGGGTCACTCAGGAGGTCTTGTCGGGCAAGAAGAAGATGTGTCTGGCCATCACTGAGGCCTTTGCCGGTAGTGACGTGGCGGGCCTGCGCACGACGGCGACCAAGACCCCCGATGGAAAGCACTACATCATCAACGGCACCAAGTATGTATCTCCGGTTTCTCCAGAGCAGCTCCCTGTCAGCGTGCTAATACCTCCCAGGAAGTGGATCACCAACGGCATGTTCGCCGACTACTTCGTGGTCGCCTGCCGCACCGAAAAGGGCTTCTCGGTCATCCTGGTGCCCCGGGACGACTGCGTTGAGACTAAGCAGATCAAGACGTCCTACTCGACCGCCGCCGGCACGGCGTTCGTGCAGTTCGAGAACGCCAAGGTCCCCGTCGACCACCTGCTGGGCGAGGAGCACAAGGGCTTCATCGTCGTCATGAGCAACTTCAACCACGAGCGTTTCATGATGGCCTGCGGTGTCATCCGCATGTCCACGACCATCGTCGAGGAGTGCCTCAAGTGGTGCAACCAGCGACTGGTCTTCGGGAAGAAGCTTATTGAGCAGCCCGTGATGCGACAGAAGTATGTATCCCTTCCACACACATCCATGTGATGAAAAACAAGTCAAAAAACGGTATCTAACCCAAACAGGATTGCTCGCATGATCTCTCTCTGCGAGGCGAACCAGTCCTGGCTGGAGTCCATCGCCTACCAGATGTGCAACATGAGCTACGCGCAGCAGTCCGCCAACCTGGGCGGCCCCATCGCCCTGCTCAAGTCGCACTCCACCCGCGCCGCGCAGGAGATCGCCGAGCAGGCGACCAACATCTTCGGTGGTCGCGGTATCACCCAGTCCGGTATGGGCCGCGTCGTCGAGATGTTCCACCGCGGCTACAAGTTCGATGCCATCTTGGGTGGCACGGAAGAGATCTTGGCGGATTTGGGTGTGCGCCAGGCCATGAAGAAGTTCCCCAAGGCCATGTTGTAAATAGAAATTTTTTTGTTTTGTTTTGGTTGCATTGTTGCTCTAAGCTGTTGCCTTCTAGCTGTGTATTATTCGCCTTTCCATAGATCTATTGGATATCTTTCTTCTGGTTTTGCTCAATCTCAGGGACCCTGTTGCTCCGGGTCCATGCTTGTCTCGATCCGCCGGATGATTCGTGCGGGATTCCCCGCGACGAAATGAAACGGCGGGACGTCCTAATCAGTAGATTACGCGTGAGTAACAGGAGACCGTAGACACCGTCAAAGTGGGGTTGCGATCAACGAACCTTGGTCACGACGGAGCCCGCTCCGACCGTACTCCCCCGACCGATCCTCACCCCCGCGAGGATGATCACGCTGCCGCCGATCCACACGTCATCTTCGATATGGACTTCCTTTCCGGCCTCGGGGCCCTCGAGACCCCGTCGCACCGCTGGGTCCATGGGATGGGTTGCCCCGTAGATACACACATTGGGTCCGAAGAGCACTCGCTCGCCCACCGTGATCAGACAGGTGTCCAGGACCAGCAGGTTGAAATTCAGGAAGCTGCCCTTCCCGACCTTAAAGTTGAGCCCGTGGTCGACGGAGATCGGAGGGTCCACGACCGGGTCCGTGTCGTCAAAGAGCTTTGCGTCTTCTTTGGGATCGAAATGGACTGGGGGGAGGGGGCGCGTATCGCAGACGATTCTGTCCGAGTCAGCACACCGCGCATGTCGCAGATGCATTCCCACTCACTCTCTCCAAAGTTCTACCCGGCGCCGTCGCGGGACCTGACCGGCTTCGTTGAATTTTCGGCAGGCTTCTCGACAGCGATCTCGATTAGCCTGAAGATCTTCATCCCAGGCCGCGTAGAGTTCTCCATTGACCATCTTCTGCCATTCTTTGGACGATGTCATTGTTATTCGCGATGTGGGTTCTGCGTTGAGGATTTCGGTGATTTGAGCATGGGAAAGCTCCTGTGACGGCACGAAGTGGTGTCTTATATAGGCTCAGAAGAGGCAATGCAGTAAGTCCGTTAACCACTAATGTGTGAAGTAGTCGAATCGCCATGTCCATCTTTTTATAGACGGCGAGACGGGCCTGGAATCCGAGCTGGGAATACTTCCCGATACGGAACTTCAGACCGCAGGCGCCCCCGCGGTGGATCCCTCCTTGCATCCGATGATGCAATGTGGGGACATGATTTCCATGTCATTCAATGCCACGATCTATATGATGAGATAGTCATGCTGTCGAGTGAGACCGGGCCAGTGTGTCTACGCAACTCAGTCCACCGTTATGTATGATCTTTAGGGACCAGGCGACTTACAAAAGTAGTCCAGTCAATATTCGCATTGTCGTTACCATCCTGCGATGCACGCGCATCCCATACTCGTCGCAGCACGTCTGCCGGTACTGGGTTGCAAAACTCGGAGCGTCTTTCAATCTCGGTGAATCGGGATAGGACATAGTACTGGGAGTGGGTGGACAGGCAGTCTGTTCCCGCCATGAAAAAAGGCAGTACCAAAAGCTCCAGAAGGGAAGAGTCTCGCGGAATCATGGCCGTGGAGTCGAGGATTTTGGCCACACACTCCTGGATATCAGCGCTTTGAGCCGGTTTTTCATGGTCGATCAATCGGAGAAGACGCAAAAGGCATGCGTGCTGAAAGGCTTCCGCAACGTAGATCCACCGAGGGTCTGCGGTCGGGTAGCGTCGTCCCTTCGGATCCCACGAATACAGCTTATGTTTTGCCAACAGCAACCCAACCTGGTACTCATCCCATGGCAGCCACCCCATACTATGTTCCTTGGCTTTTTCCAGCACCCCGCTGATGATCAGAAAGATCTCGCGAGGGCATCCGTTGACCATCTCAAAGTTTAGGCTACTGGCACAGGCGACCATTTCACGGATATCCTGGGGGAAGCATAGTCGTTCGGGACCGGCAAAGGCGCGGATCACATCTAACCTAGGACCGGTTAGCCGTGGCATGGGGATCTTCACTGGGGGGATGTTTACCAGGCCAAATTGCCCAGAAAAAACACGGCCCGCTTGCGTTGGCCGTTCAAGCCCTCCGCGATCAGTAGCCGCTTACAGACGGACATGGCCCCGGTGATGTGGATGCCATGGCTGGAAATACCCGTTTCGCAAATCTAAGTAGTGTGAGCTCCCGTCTCTGTGCTTCCCTCGGGGACAAGGTGGGCCATACGTCGTGAAGTAGCAGGATCTGGATGATGGCGAAAACCGCGTCTTGTTCATCCTCCGACAGGGATTCCTCCTGGCTCTTTCGGATTTCCTCGCCCAGAGCCCGAATTGCTCTCATGCGGTATTCCACTGCCTTATCTTGGTGAAGCTGTGGATCTTTCGTCAGCTGTCCGAGATGAGAGGCAGAAAGCCCTAAGACGGCATATAGTAGTCCGATTTGCTTCTGCGCCAACGGAAGGATATACGCGCGATAGGGATTGTCACTCGAGCTGCCAATTTCCGCGATCTGGTGAGGGCAGATAAAAGAGTCGTCTGCATGCACACAGCATTAGCGTCCCCGCTTCGCGTTTCCCTGTACACGCTTGGGGTCTAGACGTTCTTACAGTGAGACAGTAATCGCTCCGACTGCGGGGCATTCAAGAGTGCAGTGATCTCATCGACTGGTACCGACTGAGACCTGCGCTCCTCCACAGGTTGGGTGCCATCTGCGTGAGGCGATTTGGGATCTTCGTCCGGAGTAGCCTCTGGCGAGGGCAGCTCAATGCACTCTTGAGCTCGATTTCGGACGGGGGCACGAGCACCTCTCCACTTCCCGCGACTCGCGATTCCACAGAATCTGAATTGTTCGGGATAGCCCCCACATACTAGACCTTTAGAAATGCAGCGCTGACACGTGGGACGAGCTCGGTCGCATTTCCGACATTTTTCTCGACATGTCAGGCATGCAGGTCCTACGACCTTCTCCATTAGAGTGAATTCGGGGTGGGAAGAAAAATCCGTAGACTACATACCCAGTCGTGGCATGCCAGCGTATGCCCTAAGGCTGGAGAGTGAGAACAGATTGAGTTGGCAGTATGATAAGTAATGGAAGTGCTTCAAGTTGAGATTGATGGAGATTCATGAGAAGTGACGGATCATAAGGGCCGATGCTCCGTCTGTTATGCACGGTTGAGTCATCAATCTACATAGGGCCATTTATCCACACAATCATCACAGCGAAACTCACTTGTGAAACATAAACCACTAGCTTGAAGTGCAGATAGTGTCGAGTCCTTGTCTGCATATTCCTTCTTTCTCCCCGCTGTTAAGTCTTCGGAATCTTCCCATCGCGAAGTGCCAAGATTGTCGTCATAGTCATGACAGTTGGCTCTTTTACCGTATCGGGTCAGATCAGTGGAGGTTATACCCCGATCGGGTTAGAATGCATCTCCACAGCTCAATCGCCCCGAAGTTCTGCCATATTTCAGCTTCGTCCTCCAGACGATCTCTCTTTCCTTTCTCTTACATATTCTTCCTCTCACGCGCCAATTATACTCAGTCTGACTATCACTTCTCTTATGACTCGGGCCGAAATGCCTTCGCTTAAAAGATCAACCCCTCGTCGACGGTGGAGTGGACGTGTCCAACGATCGGACCATTTAACCCCTCGACAATGGATCTTCAATGAGGCACCAAATCTCTCCAGTCGACGCTGCGACTTCTCAGACTCCTTGGCGTTCTCGACATCCTACTATCATAGTCATGGGTTCAGCCGCTCCGGAATTCACATGGATCCTCACGTCTCCCGGCCGATGGGAGCGTGAGGTCGACGAGGCGGAGCAATTCTATACCTCACTAGCCAAGGCCTACGAAGGTACTGGACGGGTGTTCTTTGCCATGACCGGATACATTGCTTTTTCGGTTGCGGTTCCCAACGTGAACCCGAAGCAAAAACCCGTCGAGGAGGTGACAGAGGCCCTGCGCAAGGCCTGGCTGCGACTCCGCTACGACCACCCCACAATCGCCTCCACGGTGGAATTCAACCAGGAGCTGAAGACATGCCGGAAGGTCTACGAAACCTGCGACGGACCGGAGTCGCAACGGGCTTGGCTGCGTTCGACGTTTCAGGTCGTGTCAACCGGGATGTCAGGCTTGGATTGGTGCAATTCGGATCCCCCAGTGCCGCAAAAGGCTACGCTGTTTCTCATCATACCGCCCACTCAAGCCCCGGGCGAGGTTCGTGGTGAGCTTATCTTGCGCTGCCATCATGATATCATCGACGGGGTGGGAACCTTGATCCTCTTCGATAACCTCTTTGCCCACGCAGAGCAGGCCTACGCGCAGGGGTCTCAGTATCAGCTCCCTCGGTTCGGGGATGAATGGGCGCACCTGAGCCCACCCCTTCGTACCGCGGCATCCATCCCAGCGACCCTGCAGCCCGAGCAGAAGGCGTACTTAGACACCGTTCGGCCCTATCAAGCCTCCCTCCGCGAAGGTGTCGAGGTGGCCACGATGCCGTTCAATGAAGGTAAGACCCTCCCGGGAAAACATCAGCGAACCGCCGTAACGCTGGCGAGAGAACCGACCATGCGTCTGTTGGCAGCTTGTAAAGCTTCGGGGTGGAGCGTGACCCATGCGTACCACGCAGCTGCCGCAATCACTGTGCGAGATCTCCAGGAGCGACGGGATCAGGAGAGAATGGTGCGGTATATCAACTACAGTCTGATAAACGAGCGGCCACAATGCACTCCTCCGTACAGCACCCCGGCCCATGCAGCCGCCGTCTATCACTCCGTATCGGGAAAAGGTCTCGCGGTCGATCTGGGGGTGCCGGCACGAGATAGTATAACGGAGCACGACGACGAGCAAAAAGCAGAATTTGTCGAGGTCGCGAACAAGGTACGGGACTTCTACCTGCAGATTCGTGATGACAAGCAACACATCCAGCTAGTCCCTTCATATTGGGCCATGGCGACTCTTCCGTATCCGGCCGATGGCACCACGCCCCCTGTTCCCGAGATCAATTCCTCTCCATCTGTTTCTGTCTCGAGCATGGGAGTGGTGGACCGAATCATCCGTCCCGTGCGTGGTGCGTTCAAGCTGGAGAATCCTTGGGTGACTGGAGAGGAACTCGGCACGGGGCTCGGACTGTTTCTGGGAACCTGGGAGGGTCACCTGACGTTGAGCGCTGCCTACAACGACGCTTGGCATGGTCTGGAGGAGGTTGTGGGTTTCGTAGAGCGCTGTCACTCTTTGGTTTTGCGTGCTCTTGGGGTGTCCCGTAACGACGGTTAGCCGTAGAGCGGAATATATAGTTTACTGGCTGTACACGATAGTTAGAAATTCAAAGTAATGTTTGATCTACACCAGTTTACAAAATGATGGTAATACTTTAGGAAGTAACATTCTAGGCAGCAATTATAGATTCCTCCTCCTACAACCTTTCCATGCAAGGCTGATAGAGTTGTGGTTATGATACACCCAGTTATGCTCATAGTAGTAGTTAGTTATGCTATGCATGATGACTAACCGCATATGTACCAATCGAAGAGTCCCGGCTGCGGTATGACATTAGAGCCGCATCATCATTTGGCTACCTCGAGGCATTTTTATTGCTGCTTCATCCCCTTCCTTAATTTATTGAACAAACTATCACACTCTTATACTCTACTACACAAGCATGGTTGGAAATACAGACCCCCTGAGCCCAGACAACATCGTGGCACTGGCCACGAGAGCTCTGGGCGCTGACGACAGCACTTCCAACGCCCTCGGGACTCCATATGAGGCGATAGCACTCATCGGCCACGCGTGCATGCTGGCCGTTGATTTCCGACTGGTGGGACTGGGAGAAGATGATAATCTCGGTGCGTTGGGGATGCACGATTCAGAGGAGCAATTTTGGCTGACTAGTGTTACTGCAGAGAACCCCGACAGCCCGACCTTACCAGCGCAGTGGAATGCTGCGACGACCTATGCCTTCCGCTACGCCCACTCCCAGTCGTCCATGCAGTACCTTCTGAAGGTGAGCCGACTCGGAAATAACGCCGTTGTATTTGCACTGGCCCTGGGCGACGACCGAACCACCTCGTTCGATATCCCAGTCAACGACTTTGTTTCTCCATCCTCCCTGCCTCTTTCCTCCCCTGCGAACCCTCCCAACGCCCTCCGCGACGTGTTCATCTCCGCTTCCCGTCTCACCGATCTCATCGGACTGTTCCGGATCAACGTGATCCAGAGGCTGGCGCCTGGGCTGTACAAAGAAGGCTACGAGGCGACCAGCGAGGCGCGGCGCGAGCGACAACCCGAGGCCCCGCCCCGCCATGACCCGTTGCGCGATGACCCGATGCCCGCCCCGGCACGCCCATACCCGTTCGACGACCCGCTGGCCATCCCGCCGCGCCGACCAGTTCCCGCAGGCGACTTTGCGCCGCCCGGGTTCGAGGACGAGTTCGAAATCCAGCGACCGCCGCGCGGATACGCCCCCGGGTTTGGAGGACGACACCCGATGAATATTGGCGATCGCGACCTCTATCCTCCGGGACTGGGGCCTCACGATCCGATCCGCGGTGGCATCGGACCCGGATTGGGCGGTGGTGGTGGTGGCAGTGGTGGGATGCACCCTACGTTCGACGATCCGCTGTTTGGCGGACAGGGTGGCGGAGAGGGCGGCTACAATCCGCAGGCGCCCCCTGGAGCACGCTACGATCCTGTTGGACCTGGGGGACCACCGTTTGGGCGTGGACCAGGACGATCTGGTGGACGTGGCGGCGGGGGATTTGGAGGGGGATTTGGGGGCATGGGAGGGTTTGGCGGTGACATCATCTAGGCTTTGTATGCGGGTGCGGATGGGGAGGGCAGCAACGACGTGACGAGAATGGAATGATGACTGTTTTGTATTTGATAATGATGTTTATGATTGTATTCCATCTATCTGCTATCTTTGTATTTATTTCCACTTCGGTCTTGCACTGTAACAATATATCAGCATCCCTCTCTATGTAGAGGAGGAACAAACCCGACAAACGCGGCAAACACAGACCCAACCGTACCCAAACCAAACAAACCAGCCACAGCAAACCTCGTCATCCCCACCACGTCCTCTTTCCACTCCTAATCCGAATCCGAATCCTATCCTGATCCATTCTGGTCTATCCACCTCTCCTCCTCCTCCCTCCCCCCCGCCATCTTCACAACCACCCCCCCCTCTCCCCCCCAATCCCTCTCTCATCTCGTCTTTTTTAATCTTCCCTCCGATCGCTTCATTGTCCTTTCTATCGTCGATTGGACTTTTGATTTTTCCTCCTCCCTTTTCCACGCCAATCCTCTCTCCTTCGTCCCACGCCGCGGTCGGTCCGGGGGAAAAAATAATCATAATAAAAATAGAGCTCGAAAGAATCCTGTTCGCCTTCTCTCCTCACCTATTACCTCCTTGATCGGAGATCTCGCTCGGATACACCTCTTCTCTCCTTGGACCCCCCCCCCCCCCCCCAGTCGTGGTCGTCCCAATGGATAATAATATGGAGATCGATACGGCACGGTCGCCTGAACCCCACCGTCTCTCCCCGACCACCGACACGGGGTCGATCCCGACCCTGGACGGATGGATCGAGAGCTTGATGACCTGCAAACAACTCGCGGAGGAGGATGTGCGACGACTGTGTGATCGGGTGTGTTCTCGCGTTGGTCCTTTTTATATGGGTGGTTCGGTTCTAACCGTCGATAGGCTCGAGAAGTATTGCAGGAGGAGTCGAACGTGCAGCCGGTGGTATGTGGCATCCTTTTCTCCCCTCTCTCTTTCTCCCTCCCTGCCCGTGATTTGAGAGGAGGCATGCGATGGATGGATGGTGGCTGACCGCTTCAGAAATGTCCCGTGACCGTGTGCGGTGATATCCACGGCCAATTTCACGACCTCATGGAACTCTTCCGCATCGGAGGTCCCAATCCCGATACCAACTACCTCTTCATGGGTATTGCACCCTTGTTCTCGCTTCTTCTCTCCCGGACACTCCGCTAATCGACACCCAGGTGATTATGTCGACCGTGGCTACTACTCCGTCGAGACCGTCACCCTCCTCGTGTGCCTGAAAATCCGTTACCCCCAGCGGATCACCATTCTCCGTGGAAATCACGAGTCCCGCCAGATCACCCAGGTCTATGGGTTCTACGATGAATGCCTGCGCAAGTACGGCAACGCGAATGTCTGGAAGTACTTCACCGACCTGTTCGACTACCTCCCCCTTACCGCCCTCATCGAAAACCAGATCTTCTGTCTCCACGGCGGTCTGAGTCCCTCCATCGACACCCTCGACAACATCCGCTCCCTCGACCGCATCCAGGAGGTTCCCCACGAGGGGCCCATGTGCGACCTGCTGTGGAGTGATCCTGACGATCGATGCGGCTGGGGGATCTCGCCCCGTGGTGCTGGATACACTTTCGGGCAGGACATCTCGGAGGCATTCAATCACAACAATGGTTTGACGCTGGTGGCCCGTGCGCATCAGCTCGTCATGGAGGGGTACAATTGGTCGCAGGATCGGAACGTGGTGACAATTTTCTCAGGTATGCCTGCACATCTCCACCACTGGCAAAGGAACTTCTTGGCTAACCATCTGCAGCGCCGAACTACTGCTACCGTTGCGGAAACCAGGCCGCAATCATGGAAATTGACGAGCATCTGAAGTATACATTGTATGTTCTTTCTACCCAACACTTTTTGTCGATCCCACTAACCCATGTAGCTTACAATTCGACCCCTGTCCCCGGGCGGGAGAACCGATGGTCTCGAGGCGGACCCCCGATTACTTCCTGTGATGGATTAATGGATAGATCGTCTTTTTACTCCCTTTTACTTTCTTTCATTTTTCTTCCGTTTTCCTTTCCCTTCCCTCCGGCCAGCCGGGGTTCTCTCCGACCCTTCGACAGGGCTCCTAGGATGTGATGTTGGAATGCATACAGTCGGGTGGTGTGCCCCAATAAATAAATGGCCGTGTTGATACCAGTCACGACAATAAAACCGTTTCCGCACTTTGCGTCGAGTCTTTTTTATTGATGATGGGTTGATGTAAACAGTGATAAAGATGGTGTCGTAGTATAGTTGTAGTTATTGAGGAATTACCTAATGTAACTGTTCTAAGATCTGTTACCCAGTGATTTCTGTCTCTCTGCCTGTCTAACTACATATAGGCAGTATCGTAACATCCATCCACACTTCCTCAACCAACTACGCTAAATCGGCAATTCCAGATATCCCAGCCGCAATGGTAGACGAATTAAGCTTATTGTATGCCATTATATACACCAAATGTCCATGCATGTATAATACCCTATAACACCTAGCTGCATAACCAACTTTCTCTCCCAGCATCCATCCCCATGCTAATTACTCGACCTCGCCGGTTTCAGCACGAACCCCCCCATGTAAAACAGCACCGGGATCGCGGTCAACCCGGACAGAACCGACAGGGCCCAAGCCATGGTATCCCACCCGGCCGCTTGGCGGATATATCCCGCGAAGAACGGGCCGACGATAGTCCCCGCCGCAAAGGCGGAGTTCAAGATACCGTAGGCAAGAGCCATGGCGCCGCCTTTGCCGAAGATATCGGGCGTCTGGTCCTCCTTCTCCTGGACGACGTAGGAGACTTCGACCATGACGAGGGGGAAGACGACGGCTATGCAGAGGCCGAGAAGGGCGAGCAAGGCGCACAGGAGCACCTTTTGCTCGGTGGAGTTGTGCGTGACGAGCCGGAATAATACGATGACGGGCACCGTCGCGAAGAGAAACCCCGCGGCCATGTAGCGGCGGAGACAGCCGTGCTTATCGTTGATGTATCCCACGATGGGATCAACGAGGTGGGGGACGGTCACCGGGATGAAGATGAGTCCTTGTCCCATTTGGCCCCAGTTGAAAGTCTCGCTGACATATAGCGGTAGCACGCTGTCGAGGGAGGTCAGCACGACTGAGAGGATGAAATATGTCCAGATGCACACCAGAATGCGATCCGATGATAGGAGCGTGTATATCGCGGAAACGGGCTTCTTCCGAGGCTCTGGTTCTGCCGGTGTGTCCCCGGCGTGTGGTTCGCCGCCGAGGATCGGCTTGGAAAATGTGGATTGCGCCCCAACCGAGGTGACAGTGTCCGCAGTCATCGCCGTGGCCGCGGTGAACGGTCGGGAGACGTGCTCCCGCGGGGCCTTGGACAGTGAAAGACGGGAGACGGTATCGGTTCCGGCCGAGGGTGGTCGCATCTCCAGCCACTCCTCGTGCGAGGGCCTGGACGTCCATTTGGCGGCGTGTTTTTTCTCGATCATGACGATCCGGAGGACAATGTCCAGTGCCACGATGCCAAATGCGAGGCCAAACACCGCGTAGTACCCGCCATGCTCGTATATAACGCCGCCGAGTAACGGCCCCCCCATTAGTCCCATGGTCATTCCCATACCGATGTACCCCAAGGTCTGTCCGAGTTCCTCCTTGTCCACCGTATCCACCAACAGGGCACATCCTACAGTCCAGACCACCGCCGCGGAGGCCCCCTGGAAGAGCCGACCGACGATCCAGAGTCCCATATGTGTGCCGATGCAGAGCAGAGCGGTTGAGGCTCCAAGGGCAGCCAAGCCCGCAATCAATGGCCACCATCGGGACTCAAACCGATCCGCGAGGTATCCCGCCACGGCTGTGTCAGAGATCAGCAAACTGGCTTATCGCTTCATGACAAGAGGGACCTTACGCGAGAAAGCTAATAAAGCTCCGCCGTATAACGCTAGTAAAATCGACACCCATGTTTGTTCTGTTTATTCATCCATCCACCGGTTAGCCTAGTATCAGTGTAGTTATCAAGATGTAGACACAGCTGCACAGTACCGTCTTCTTTTGCTAAACCAACTCGCTCATGAAGCGCGGTGGGGGTCACTGGGACGATCTACACCTTGACGTCAGTATTTCCGCCGTCCTTCAGTATGGACCAAACAACAACATACGAGGCCGTAAAGCAAAATATCCTATAGGCATCGCGACATAGGCGTTAGCATAGCACCTCCAGTCACCTGAAACCATGGTTGGGACGTACTGTAAATATGGCAAACACCACCACGAAGCAAATGAAGGCCTTGGACGACCGGAATCGGAGGAAATATGGTGGCTCCCCAGAACCATCCCCTCCCAAGCCCCATACGCGGGACAAGTTTCCCGCCATGTTACAACTATCGCCGATGGATCAACACGATGTTTGAGATCCAATCTTGGACGTGGGTGGGCGCCCTTTTCTCGCAACCCCACGTGACAGGAGATCCACAATATCCAACAGAGAGGGTGAGAGGCGATTGACTCCGTAAACTGTGGTCCACATTCGAATATTCCAATGTTTATACAGACTGAGACGTGAAGTCGTCGAGTTTGAAATGAAAGATGGAAGAGCGGAGTTGGGCGGAGTCCGCGGGCGCCGAATGCTCCTGTCAGAACTACTCGTATTGCGCGGATCCTTTTCGCCTCTGTCAATGATTGGAACAGTGGTGGATGTTTCGTTTCAATTGCTGTCCTGAGCTCAACAAAGAGCTCGCAACCAGTGTGTTTCCATTTTTAAACCTCGGATCGCCAATTACCCCTGGCAGATCTAGATACTGGTGTGTGGATTCTTTGCGACGCATGCAATAGAGGTGTCAGATTGTTGTAAGACCTTGTGTCTCCTTGCAGCGTTGTACAGGTTCTTTGTTTCGATGATTTGCCTCTTTCTTGTTTTGTTCATTCGCCGATCGATAGGTTTGGATTATCTACCCTTGTTTCATCTCCTCTTTGCTTTCTCATCGGACGGTTCTCCTCGTTCCTGTGTTGCCTTCAAGAATATACCACGGAAGATGACGTCGGTCCGTAACCAGCCCCTCTGTCCATTGTTTGGGAGACATGCAGAGTCCAGGGAAATGAAGGCACACCGGAGATTTCAGGGTCGATCTCTGCGTCGTCATCACAGTAATTGACTAGAACAAGAAGGCAGAGAAGAGAAAGAAAGAGAAAAGAAACAAAGAAAGAAAGACGAGGTCGGATGCCGCTAAGCCCGGAAAGGGAATTGTAGTAGCCTCAGGAATATGGGGACAGCCCCAGGCACATTCAGGCAGCGTCCACGATCAGGCGGCTATCAGGCCACCAGGCCACCAGGCCACCAGGCTACTAGGCCGCCAATCCGAGGATGCGGGGACGTGCAATTTCGCGCGATATCCATATATCCACCATTGCTGCACGACTCTCGCTCTACACCCCACGCAGATTGTTCAATTGATACCATTTCATCCCTATTCCCGTTACAATGGCAGGCCCAACTAGAGAGCAAGTCTCCCGCTCATATCCCTCTCGGCCATCCCCCCGCTAACCCCTCCCAGATTTCCCCGCGTGCGGGCATGCCTCTTCGACATGGACGGCCTGTTGATCGACTCCGAAGACAAGTACACCGCGATCACCAATACCGTCCTGCAGGAGTACGGGAAGCCCACGCTCCCGTGGTCCATCAAGGCCCAGCTCCAGGGCCGCCCGCAGCCAGAAGCCAGCCGGATCTTCCACCACTGGGCCCAACTCCCCATTACTCCCGACGAATACGCCGCCAAGACAGCGGCCCTGCAATCGAAGTTCTTCCCGGAATCGCAGCCCCTGCCCGGCGTGCGAACGCTCCTCGCCAAGCTCCTCTCAACGCAGAGCACCGACCGCCCCGTACACATCGCGCTCGCGACATCCTCCCACAGCAAAAACTACCAGCTGAAGACCGACCATCTGCAGGATGTGTTCTCACAGATCCCGGCCTCACAGCGCGTGCTGGGCGATGACCCCCGCATCGGGAAGGGGCGCGGGAAACCGCTCCCGGATATCTATCTGCTCGCGCTGGAGACCATCAACACCAACTTGCGCGAGCGCGGCGAGCCGGAGATCACGCCGGAAGAGTGCCTCGTGTTCGAGGACGCCGTGCCGGGAGTGGAAGCGGGGCGACGTGCGGGCATGCGCGTGGTGTGGTGTCCCCACCCGGGTTTGCTGGAGTCGTACAAGGGTCGGGAGGCTGAAGTCCTGGCCGGTCTGACGGGGGAGCACAAGGAGGAAGAAAAGACGGCGCCGGAGAAGGAGGCCGATGAGTTGATCGCTGGGAGGCTACACTCGCGCGGGGCGGGCAAGCTCGGGGAAATGAATGACGGGTGGGGCGATCTCTTTTCCACCCTGGAGGACTTTCCTTATGCGAAATATGGCATTCGTCCGGTATAATTTGGTGGCTTTCTGTGACCGTATAGAGAGATCGGTTCTACGAGGGAAGGTCATACACGACTGTGATGATAGAAATTTATGTCAATGAAGAAGCAATACCCTGAGAGTACATTACGTTCCGCTGTCAAGTGGAAGTCTCCAATTCTTCCTACGATACTATAGAAGTCATCTACGAGTATACTACACTACACATCTGCACGCTGTTCAGTGCCCTTCGATGAGGATCTGACATTTCATTATTTACTATTCCCAAATCCTGCCATAAGCTTATTAGTTACATCGCGACCCTTCCCCAACATTCAATTCGCCACACGAAGGGGTGAAAAAAGGGCCAAAAGACCACGTGTCGCACCAAGGACTTGGAACCAGTTTCTGAAAGCAAAGACCTCCAAATCGAACCACTCATCCTGTCCCGGCGGGGGCTCAAAAGAGCTACACTGGTTTCCTCGACCAAACCGCCAACGTTGTGGGGAACAAAGAAAAACAGATAGAAGTACATGAAAGAAAAGAAAAATAGAGAAGTACAAGTGTCGCACTGGGGGTATCGTAGTTGCATAACAAGACAATCGGCACTTCAAAGGCAACCAAGGATCCGTACCATCCATCCAGTGGGGGCTCGAACGAGCTACACCAAACTCCATCGGGGCTTGTCATTAAGACAGCGTGTGAAAAGACCAAGGACAAAGGAAACACATATCGAGTGTCGCACTGATTCGACGATGGTGGAACGGCGCACCGAACAGTGGGGGCTCAAGAGAGCTACACAAATATTCACCGGGGCTTGTCATTGAGACAGCGTGTGAAAAGACCAAGGACAAAGGAAACACATATCGAGAGTGTCGCACTGATTCAACAAGGGTGGGACAACGCACCAACCAGTGGGGGCTCAAAGGAGCTACACCCTGACATTCCTTGCCAAACCGCCAAAGCAGTGAAAGGGTAACAATAGAAGACACGAAAACGAAACAAAGAAAGAAACATATTTGTTCAAAGGAAAAACAGAACCTCGTAGGATCAAGACCGCATGGCATAATGTCGATCGTAATTGCCGACCAACAGCCAGTCAATGTCATCCTAGCACCTTCTCTTATCGGAGCTGGAACCGCTGCCAAAGCCCGCATCAGAGGCCTGGCGTTTATGACCACGAACACTGTGGGGGGTGCTCGGAGTACGGCTGTGAGTACGAGCGGACAGCGAGGCCACGGCGGTCGCGCAGCCATAACCAACAGGTCCGACAAAGAGCGGACTCGGAGACCTCGTTTCCTGGCTCACCATGTCGCCATTGCCGTTGATCAAATTGTTCTGGACCATTGGAGCACGAGCATGAGGCGCCGGTTGAGTGTTCACTGGCAAGCCACCCAGAGGATGGTAGGCGGCATGCTGGGCAGGCGCCCTGTAGCCACCATTTGGCATCGCCTGGGTCTCAGTTGGTGCGTGAGTAGCAGGAGTCATGGGGTGGTTTGCAGGATAGCGGTGCACGGTAGGAGCGTGGGTTGCCATGTTAGGCGCGCGTGATGAGATTTGACCGCGTTGTGAGCCAATACGACGAGCTTGGCTTCTGGTCATGACGCCGGACGTTTGAGTCGGGGCAGGGGACGTCTGAAGGGGGGTAGGAGTCGTTCTGATTGGGATACTCTGGTTTCCCCTTCGGCTGTTCTTCTTGTCATGGCTGTTCGCCTGCTCGTTCTGAAGCAGCTCCTTCCCGAGGGTCATGTACTCGCCTTTGCGGCGGTTGAGTTGTTTGTTGGACACAATGCGTTTCATGGATCCCACTGGATCATCGACCAAGGAAGCGGTGTAGTTGGGATCCAGGACATGCTTGACGATGGTCTTGTTGACTTCTAGACCAGTCATAATCAATGAGATCCTTTGGCCAAACGTTCCGATCGCCTCGCCGCCTCGGTACTTATCGGTAACACCACCAAGCAGAGGTCCCTGTCGATGACGGAGCAGAGTAAGATCCTAGGGTTATGTCAGTGAGGGGTCATGGCCACGGTGGCAGGGTGGTGAAGGGGTGTTTGGAACTTACCAACAAAGTCCAGCATGCCGCCTCGAGCCGAGCATCAGAGTACTTGCCCTGTACAAATGGTCTTTTCATGGCCTGGCTGTCTTCTGCATACACGAGGCTCTTCATCGCGTTGAGCAGGGCCTTCACAATCGCGCGCTTCTGCTGATCGGTGGTCGGGATCGTGCGATCGCGCAGGGTTTGAAGCTCGGGGTGTACGACGCACATAGCCTCAAGAGCCTCTCTGGAATTCTGGTAAATGGTTTGGGTATCCGCACCCGAGTTTTCCGGGTCCAACAGCTCTTCAATGTCAGGCACGAAGTTAGGAATCTGACAAGGGCCGACCACGAGTCCTCCCTCCGTTTTCATGGAACCCATTGCAGGACGACCCACCGCTGGCACTGGAGGGTGGAACGCCAGGCGTTTGTCCGAGTGGTCGCCATGAACCTCATACTGGAGAACTGGCGACTGCGATATTTCGGAGAAGACGTCGTCCGTCTGTTGTGGATGGGGGAAGTCACTAGCACGGCGGCATCTCATCTCATTCCTATTCACTGCGGTGACCTGAGTACTCTCGCTATGGGGGGTGATATTCCTGGGCGACACGTTAATGAAAAGGGCGGATTGGGAGAAGGAAAAAAATATGGACACTTACACGCCAGCGTTTTCTTCCGCATTGTCGGGCTTCGCATGCATTGTAGACCCCGGATGGTCGTTAGCGGACGTTTGAGACCGTGGTGTGATCTGATCGGGTGCATCCACGCTGCCCTGCGACGCTTGAGTGTTGACCATGACATTATTCTGAGATGAAGGAGAAATCTGGTCCTGGTTGTTCTGTGGAAGCTGATGAGCAGGAATCGCCTGGTCGTTCGCTCCCATGTGTGGGTTGGGAGGAGTCTGGGGGTGGGTGGGAGTAGAGACGTGATTGTAACCCTGAGAAGAGATGAGTTGATGATCTAGGCGAGGTGTTGGCTGAGAGACCCGCTGAGGAACCTGCCGAGAAACCTGCTGAGCCGGCTGAGGATGCTGAGGATGCTGCTGAATAGCCTGCTGAGGGTACTGCTGAGGGTATTGTTGATGGTACTGTTGATGGTACGGCTGAGGGTACTGCTGAAGATACTGCTGCGGATACTGCTGAACAGCCTGTTGAGGATAGTACTGGGGAAACTGTTGGACTGCCTGCGGAGGATACTGCGGAGGAATTTGCACACCCGGGATGTCCTGCGATGCAGACATCATCTGGCCAGGAAACGGCACAGCCAAAGCGTCCTCAACGGTGGGAGCCGCCTCAAACTCATCAAAGTAATTCTGGAACAGGTTCTCAGGCGAGACGTCGGGAGGGAGGAGATTCTGCAGACCAGCCCAGTCGCTATACTCCTGTTAGTTTCTAGCTCACAAGACAGCAGGGTATGGTGGAAACTCACATATCTGCATTGAACGAGTTGCCAGGTCCCCAAGTATCGGGAGATAGATCCTTATCTATCTCTTGCTCAGCCAGTTGGTAAAGTCCAAACTGGTCAAGCTCGCTCAAATCGTCACCGGATGAAGCCATCTCGACTGCCAACCCCGGGAACTTGGACTTGAACACGGCTTTTGAGCTTTATTGTAGATAAAGATATGACAAAGGACTGTTTGTGAGATGGAAAGTGATGCCTTTCAATGGTGGAACAAGTGGAGTGGATGTTGAGGATGCACAATGATGCCTTTCAATGAAGGAACAAGTGGAATGGACGTGGGGGATGCACGATGATGAGGAAATGATCATGGAGAATGAAGATTGTGAATGAGTGGGACGGAGAGATATGTAGAGAAGAGAAAGAAAGAGATGAAGAGAAAGTCACAGTTAGAAGGGTTATTTATACAACAGAACACATGATCTCTCTGGATGCACTGTGGTGTGAAGCCCAGAACATGGAGGTTCATGACTTCGCAAGTTCAGTAGCAGTTGGTCTTGCTATGTCGTTGTTTGCGAAGGAATTGGGTGTATTTCATGGTCAGAGGCAGACACTCCCAGACCATCCGTAACTTGACCAACAAAACTGCCGTAAAGTTGAGTGCTGCCTAAATAGGAAAGTCATAGTTCGATTCACATTGTTTGCTTCAGTGGTTCCATGGTTCCATCAAACCCCCGGGGCAGATGAGCCCCGAATCAAGGCCCCGGCCCGAGCCAACTTGCATTCACTCGCCCCCGTGCCAATCACCGGGTTCCTGGATCAGGCAGCTGGGCCGGTCATCGGTATCCCGATGAAGATATCGGCAGGCCCAGCCCCCCCATCACGGACAATCCAGGTATCACAATTTGAATGGCCATCGCCCCACTGTATTGTTGTTCGGCCAATCAATAGCGGTCGACGCATGAACAATGGGGATGTCCAGCCACCAGATCAGTCTGCATGGAGGGTGCAGCTGGGGGGAAATGTCGTCAGAGCTCCCATCCGCCGTAAGCCAACTTGACCAGAGTACCCAGTGATGGGACTTGAGGACAGGTGGCTGGTTTGGGGCCCAAGAATCGGGCTCTTGGTGGAAAGAAAACTTGTAACTTCATACTCCCCACTGAGGCTCGGAGATAACGGGACGGGCCGTGCAGATCGGGCACGTGGCAACCGGGATGGATGCATGGAGTATACGATACCTCAATCATTTTCGGCACCGCCATCAAGGAATGGCATAGACCACACTTTGACAGTATTATCATTTCGCATTGGCTTGTCATCATCAAAATCAGTGTGTCGTTGCCCTGATCCCGTAGCAGCAACCGTCCCCATCGGATGCATTACGGTACTGCCGACAGCGTCTGGTCCATAGTTAGTACAAAAGACAATAGTTATCCCCCGCTCGATAGGAGGGCACTGACCATCGTGAACCTGCCACGCCCATTGAGGCTTCTGAGCGCCAGCTGTATGGGTGGGATCCCGCCACACTCTCATATATCCGTCCGTCCCTCCGGCCCAGACTTCATGCGACTCTCCCTGGTGAGTGGGCACGATGTCCATCTTCATGCGTTGGTTCGTAAGGGTCTGACGGCCTTCCAGCCATCCTAGCATCTGCCCTGTGACTCGGATATCGTATATCAAGACCCCGTCGCTCTTCCGCTCGGCAATGTACAGATACCGACCGCAAGGACTCCACAGCAACTGCGTGACTCCGCGACCGCCGATGTGGGGATCGGCCTCGGTCTTCGCAATGCTAAAGGTGCCCAGGGACTGACCTGACCCGTTCGAATCATAGAGCCCGATGTGCCGGGAGAAGGTGCCCGCGGCGAGGACACCACCTCCGGTTGGGTTGACCGCCAGAGCGGACACGATCCCTTTCATTCCCACACCTCCCCCAACAGCTTTTTTCCGCTTGCTGGGAATGGTCGGCATCCAGGAAACCGGTCCATCGTTGCCAGGACGAGAAACATCAAACAGACAGATCAGACTGTCGGAGCCGGTGATGAACTGCGTCCCGCTCAGCGTCGACGGATACTCAATAGAGTGGGGGGTGATGAAAGCCTCCGTGGTCGGGTTGACCAGGGAATATGTGGCCACCGTTGTCGGCACCAGAGCCGACGTGAGACGGATGGGGTGATCCCGCACCGTCGAGAGAAACAACGTCGTGGATGGCTCCTGGAGGGAGAAATAAGGGTAGATCGCTGTGGCATAGGTTGGCTCCGCTGAGGGGACCACTGAATATGGAGACAGCTGATGAGGTGATGGTCTATCCTCTAAGAGATCTGGGGGTCTATACAGATGCTGTCAGTTGCGAAGGACAAAAACAGGGGCATGGTGCTCACAGTATGTATGTCCTAATATGATGGTCTGCAGAGTCTGTCAACAGGCATGTGCCATCTGGAGACCTATTTGATAAGGGGCTTAGCTGACCGATAATCGTACAAAAAGCTGAAGACAGTAACGTTAACTTACCACGACACGTCCTTGACGTAATTTAGGGCAGGTTGGCTTTCATTTACCGTGCCCACGGGCTTTGGTAACTCCTGTGGGCCTTGACTGGATGACCGAAACTCTTTGCTCTCCCTTCCTCCCGTATGGCCACTCCCCGTTGAGGCCACACATATGGGAATAGGGTTGGACAGCTGGTCCTCAGTCATGGCTTCTCCTAGTCCCTCGAGATGGGTTCTCGCAGAAGGTAAGTCAAGGTCGAACCGTGAGGATTTACCTTTGACCTGAGCGGGCAAAGTGAGAGATTCTCCCAATATCTCGGACGTGATCCTTGCACTGAGAAGTAGTAGATGACCACTACCACCGCGAAAGGATACACGTCGTCACGGGTCCAGGTGTCCAGAAGCTTCGGTGTGGGAAGCCAACAAGAGCTCAGTGAGGTGTGAATATACAGAGGATGGAAAGAGAATGAAAAGATTTCAGGCCCTAGTGGAAAGGAAGGGAATGCGGGAAAGAACTATGAATGAACAGCCGTTGACTACACAGTTTGCTGAGATCACATTCACACCCTGGAACCAAGCTCAATCGCTTATGCAATCGTCGCCGAGCACTAGCTTCACCTGTAGCCGTCACAGCTCCCCCTTTCCAGTAGATAACAAGCAAATTACACGGGGCAAGAAGATCGAGGCGGAATTCTGATACAGATGAGGTTCAAAGAAGGTTCCAGTTGTATATCCGCCGTCTGGTCACGGGACTTAGGGTTTTGCCGGTTAGCGCTGGTTAGCGCGTTTACCGCGAGGGCATCTCGGAGGCGGAGAAACCAGCCCCATTAAGGACTAGTGTAGAGAAGCAACAGGGAAACAACTTCATCTCCGCTGTGGATTTGGTGTTGATGATGAGGATGTTTGCAGGTTGATACGGAGATTTCACTGATTGTATTTGTTTATTCTTTCTCCTGCACACTGACCTCAGCGAGTAAGATTAGGGTGTCTTTGACGAGTGCTGTGATACCTCCCTCCATTCCTGTCCGGTCTCTCATCCCTCACATTCCTCGTCATGTTTTCCGCAAAGCCTTCGGGGTTGGCGATTAATACCAACTCCGCCAACTCCTTGTTGTAAGTTCCCCCTTGCTGCAGATTGCTACTGCATAATTTTGCAACACAAACTGACCATATCTTTCGTGATTGCGATTAGTGGTGGGACCAATACACAGACTCCTGCTTCGACAGCCGCATCGGGAACCACAGGCGCACCAAGTCTCTTCGGAAACTCGAACACCCAGGCGAAACCAGCGGGCGGTCTTTTCGGGGGCGCCGGTAATACACAGCAGCAGCCTCAGTCTACGGGGTCCAACATGTTCTCCGGGCTGGGTGGGCAGCAGCAGAAGCCTGCCGGTGGAGGTCTATTCGGAGGTTCGACGACCACGACCACCTCACAACCTCAGGCCGGAGGTCTCTTTGGGGGTACCGCGGGCGCAGGGAATAATACCGCGGCGACGGGGACGACGGGTGGTGGACTTTTTGGCGGCGGTAACACCGCGACCCAGACACAGTCCAAGCCACTGTTTGGCGGCCTCGGTGGATCTACGACTACTGGCGGAGGACTCTTGTGAGTGATGATCATCTTGTTGCATTGTGCGAAGAACAATCCCGGTCTAATTTTCGCTCCCTTAGTGGAAATACGCAGCAGCAACAGCCCCAGCAGCAACAGCAGCAGGCTCAAAAACCCACCCTCTCTCTCTTCGGAAACCAGAACACCACCACACAACAGCCGACACAACAACCTGCCGCCGGGCCGACCGTGGTTCCCGGAGTCAAGGTCGATGTCACCAACTTGCTCCCCACCACCAAATTCGAAAGTTGCGCCGATGAGATCCGGTCGGAGGTAGAAAAATTCGACGATATCGTCTTGCTTCAAATGCGGATGTGCAATGAGGTCTCCAACATGCTCCCTTCCATCGCGGAACAAGGGGAATCGATCCCCAACGACGTGGATTTTGTCCAGAGCAAGCTGGAGACGATGCAGCACGCGCTGGAGAACGACGCCAGCGACATCGATCAGCTGCGCAGTCTCGTCTCGCGAGACGCCGCGGAAGCCCAGGTCGCATTCCGCGCCATCGATACCCTGAAACTGCCCCTGCAGTACCAATCCTCCGGCGCCTCCGGGTGGTGGTCCGCGCAGGACCAGAAACTGGCCACGCAACAGTCTATGCGGTCGACGCGGAAGAATACCCTGGCGCTGCCCGACGACGTGGAGAGCGACCCCTCGACGGCGAACACCATCAACGGGGTCCCCGTCAATCTGGTGGATTACTTCTCCCAGCGCACAGATGAGATGGGCTCGGTCCTGGACCGGTACACGCGGACTCTGAAGGAGATCGAAAACCACCTGCATGGGGTGGAGTCGACCCTCGAGCGCCAGATCCTCGAGTTTGTCTCATCACGCAGCCGCGACGGCACGGCGGCTGGTACCCCGAAATCTATGCTGAACGATCTGGCCGTGGTCCTGCAAGACGTGGAGATGGGCATCCTGGGCGTTGCCTCCCGGTTGGGAGGGGTGTCCGAGCAGGTGCAGGAGGTTGTTCTAGGGCCCCCGATCGGCGACAGTCGACTTCCGGCATAGAGCGGGACATAAAAGTACGAATAATTGGCATGATGGAATGCCTGGTGTTTGTTACTGTACATTTACCCTTCTGTCGTCTAGCATGATTGGGTCTGGCGTTTTGCATTCTTCTAATGAACCTGGGTTTTTTCTTTTTTTTTTTTTTTTTTACTATTTCTATTTTGCTACCTAGTTAGTACCCATGATATCTATTCTAGTATAAATAGGAGGATCTTCAAGGTAACGTGTTGCATCAGTATACGGTCAGTCATCCATTGCGTGATCGCACCTCATCTCATCTAATCCACTCGACCCCAGGTTCAACCCTGGTCACTCTTGGCTCAGATCGACCCGCAATGCGTCCTTGATCGGCTGGATCATTGAAGGTGGTCTGTCTACATCTTTTTGCTTTTTCCAGACCCCATATATGTAGATCATGGACGTACGCTGGTAGTGGACCTGCATAAGTATCTACGCTACCGGTTCACCGTTCTCTACCCCCCTCAGTTCTAGCAATTAAAACGTGAATCGACCATCAACGATTCGCCAGGAGCTAACTAACCCTGACCCCAGCTCGAGCTGAGCCATTTTCAATTCTTTCTGAGATGACGTGATTTCATCCAGTTCTCACCCGCGGGTCTCACTCCGTTTTCAGCATGACATATTGCTCCAGCTTGGGTGATTTGCCTCAGCGATGGTGCCATCTCCGTGGACTTCCGAGTTCGCTGTAGGCAAATGTGTTGGCTTTACAATCACAACGGTCTACTGATATGACTGGCACTACTCTGAAACTCATCGTACTGTCTGAGCGGATATAAAGCAAGAGACATCCCGGGGAACAATGGCCCATTGTCTCCGAAGGCATTCGTCCAAATCCACCCCTTTGTATTTTGTATAATCACCTTGGTATTATCTGATCCCTTTCAATTGACTGGATCAAATATGGCACCCTCCCTCGAGGCCCCAGTCCTCACTCAAGCCGACTCGGCGACCCGGGTCATCTTGAAGAACGACAGCTCCAAGAGCAACAAATTCCAGTACGAGCCAGGCCGCACTGCTGTCGAGCGTCATGATAACTACGCCTATGATGACCTCCTGCCCTCATTCCCAGATTTACATTGGAAGCCTCTAGAGGAAACCAGCTATGTGGATCGAGGCATTTCCGGAGACCCCCAATTCCGCAATCTTCTCCGAGACGCCACCGATATTTTTGACTACAACCCCAAGATCGGGACAGAGATTCATGGCGTTAACCTAGCGAAGCTGACCGAGGCCCAGAAAGATGATCTGGCTCGGCTGGTGGCTGTCCGGGGAGTGGTTTTCTTTCGAGATCAAGGTGATTTTGACATCGAAGCACAACGGGAGCTGGGAAAGCATATGGGAAGATTGCACAAGGTACGTTAGACTCAAATTAGACATTACTAGTAGTGGGAATTGTCTAACCAGACGCAGCATGCCACCACAGCGGTACCGAGAAAGGGCGGACTCGAAGACGTGCATGTTGTATTCACTGGGGACAATTCCGGTGATCAACGAGCCATGTTCACGCCCAGCTTCCTGTGGCACTCAGACGTAAGTGAATCAACCTGTCACTCAGACCCACTTCACTGAACTAATCACTCCTCCACAGGTGACATACGAAATACAACCACCATCCTACACATCACTGAAACTCCTGACGGGCCCACTGCGTGGGGGAGGCGGTGACACACTTTGGGCATCACAATATGCAGCCTACGACGCCCTCTCCCCCCACATGCAGACCTACCTGAAAGGGTTGACAGCGCTCCATTCTGCTGAGATGCAAGCGTCTGATTCGCGCGCCATTGGCCGCACCGTCCGCCGCGAACCCGTCACCACAGAGCATCCTCTTATTCGGACTAACCCGGTCACTGGCTGGAACAGCCTCTTCTTCAACCCAGGCTTCGTGACCAAGATCGTGGGGATTCCTAAGACTGAAAGCGATGTTATCCTGCGATACTTGACTGAAGTCATCGCCACGACGCAAGAGCTGCATGCCCGCTTCCAGTGGGGGAAGGGCGACGTAGCGATCTGGGATAATCGAACTACAGTATGTGATCATCTATCTAATCCTTCTGTACTTTTGCTTGCAGGGATATGTAGCTGACAAAAGATGATACAGACACATTCTGCTTCATATGGATTTGCTCCACACCGTCGTCACGCCGTTCGTGTCGCCTGCCATGCAGAGCGTCCTGTTCTGAAGGAAGACGGCACCTCGCAGGAAGAGGAGCACATTTCTCGGTATAACCTGCTGAGCGTCAACAAAGACGGTTCTCGTCAATCAAACTATAATGACTAGACGGGATAAAACTAGGTCCATGATGTAAATATGCTTTCTGAAGTGTGGTGTAGACACTGGTGTCTGCGCATATTTGGATATACAGTAATGGTGATACGACTATAATGAACTCTTTCGTGGAGCTTTTATACTTGAAGTATTTTAGGGTAAACACGATATCAAGAACGATAGCATAATCTTGTCGATATAAAATTGTGCCCCTGTGAAGGAATTATAAGCAGAACACGTGCAGGCCACCTAGTCGAAGAGATGTGATCTTGACCTCCCCATCTCTCACTGCTCCGAAATCTCATCCAGCTACATCGCAATGGAGGACTCCAATAAATATCAATTAGACTACGCCCGGTTTCATGCCACTAGCAGTCCACAAACCACTCTCCTTCCACACTCTCTCGATGAAGCGCACGAAATCTCTCCAAAAAGAGTCCTCCCCACAACCAGAGACTCTCTCTCGACTCACACAAGACATTCTCACAGCACAAGCATCCATCAACCGGGAAATTCGCGATGAGAAACTCAGTGTACAAAAGGACTGCGCACGGCTACTCTCATCTGCCATCCAAGGCACAAGTACAAAAGACTTAGAGGTCGACTGGGACGACTACCTACCCGCGTTCACCTTGAACGACAACCTCATACTAAAAAGACCGCTTCTCAGTGCCGGCACGGGAACTCCGACTCGTCCCAAGCAGCCATTACCAAATCCTGGGCGTGATTTGGACCCGTCGAACGAATATGTTCTCCGACTCGGTGAAGGCGATCTCCCAGACGGCCTACGAGCCAGCAGAGATATAGTGATGACGAAAGTCAAGAACGAAAAGCTTCATTGTTCCAAGGAGTCACTTAGACTGATTCAAAAGAGCACGGGCTCGGCAGGCCTTTCTCCCCAGGATCTACATGAGCTATGGGATACTGTGAAGGTTGAGGTAAGCTGCTGGACACCATGGACCCTTACGGTACTATACTAAAACGACTACGTGACAGGGAGAGCCTGCGAAACCAATATACACTCCTCTCGTCATATCCACAGCAAATGCTTTCCAGTTTGGAGGTCTATCGCCAGAGCCTCAGTGGTCCTTCATTTCTGTGTCCGATAAGGCAGACAGCTCTGTATCAAAGGCTCCTGAAACTGAGACCAGGGTAGAAAGTCCGCAACCATCACTGAGTGGCTCATCTAGCAGAAAACCACATAACTCACAATACCACAATGCAGGTGAGGATGGTCAAACAGCCCCCTGCGAAGAAAGTTCCCCTGCGAAGCGTTCGGTGTCAGTCGGTCTTTCTCTGTCCTGTACATCGGATGATGAGCATGATGGACAAGACGATCACAAATCTCAGGCCATGGGAAGCCAAGAGCATTCCGAGACAATGATAATCAACCTCGTTTCTCGTAATAACACACCATGCCCTGGGTCGCAAGAAGTAAGCACCATGGCCAACAACAGTGGGCAGCATGACGTCGCATTTCCATTCCACCCCGTAAATAATCCGAATCCGATCTCAGAACCCCAGCGAGAGGCGAGCCCGAGCCAGATCACAAATACAACAGTCACAGCCACCGAACATACTGGGACTTCGCAGTTGAAACGGAGACGCGACATCCAAGGCGACCGCACGAAGAGACCAAAATTGCAACGAGAACGTGCTCTATCTACTCAAAAACCTACTACATCTTCATTTACAACCCTGGGCTCATTGTCCACGTTCATGGAAACAAGGAGCAGGGCTAAACGCCACATAGCGAAAAGCGCATACTTCTCGAATAAGTCCAGCGATATCTCACACGTTCAGAAGGACCCCGTCCCTGAGAACACGCCCGTCCCCCAGAAACCATCCCATGATCACCACATTACCATCTCAAGTCAACTCACAACGCAAGTCCCCCAATGTAGCAGCCATCATCACGCACCACCCATCCTCTTCCTCTCAACCGCACTCCTCAAGAGCCACCTCCAACTAGTCCAAAGTCTCGAAAGGGCAGAAGAACGCCCCGTCATCATCTACAGAGACTACAACAACAACATCGAACAAACACCGAAGCCCGCACCCACTCAGACAAACCAACCCATTCCCCCAAAAGAAGCAGACATCATCATTTCACCAACAACTAGCATAATCCTCACCACCTCGCAAGCCACAACCCAGCGATACCTCCCAGGCCACAGACTGCACCCTCACATCACCAGCAGTAGCAACAACAGCAACAGCATCAAAGAAACTATCAACTCCCCACTCCGCGAACAAATCTTCCTCCTCGCACCGCGCTACGAACACATCTACATCCTCATAACCCACACCACACCCCCACCCGCACAAAATACAAACCCCAACCGCAACCACCAGCAATGGACAGCCGACGAGCAAATACTATCCAACCTGGCATCCCTAGCAGCCTTTTGCGCGTCCCTTGCCCCGCACGTCACGGTGCAGCCGTTGATTATCCCATCGGGGACGGAAACCGTTGCACGCTGGGTACTAGCTCTCGCGAAGAGACACGCCATTGCGTTCCCGGAGGGCCATCAGGGTCTGGACAGCGTGGAAGAGACGTGTTGGGAGGTTTTTCTACGTCGCGTTGGATTGAATCCTTACGCTGCGAGGGCCGTGTTGGGTTCGTTGGAGGGGAGTGCCGGTACTGGAGGGGGAGGGGGGCTCTCAGGGTTATTGGAGATGCCAGAACAGAATCAACGGGTCTTTAATGAATTGATAGGCGAGAGGGTCTTTGAACGGATGGATGGAATACTGGGGAAGGACTGGCAGTGTGACTGGGCGTTGAATTTCGGGGATAGTCAGGCTTGAGATACGAAATTATACTATTTTTATCACCCTGTCGAGGTTGATAAACATGCGGATAGCTTTTGGGCGGTCTCAGAGGGGAGATTATCATGTCCAATTACTACCTCCATCACATATACCGTGATGCGGTAGAAGCTCGGATTAAAAATACATCAAAGAATATGCAAAAGAGAATCACAGATCGTTTCACGCTTTATGTAGACACAGATGCGAGGAAAGCAAACATTAGGCCAAGGAGAAAGACGCGCGTATGTCGACGATAGTCCAAACAATTCGTCGCGAATCTCGCAGTGGATTTGTTTTTATGCGTTTTGTGGTTTTTTTGTATTGTTGGTTTGGGAGGACAGGACTGAGTGTCACTGTCTGTATGGTATTATACAGGTCTTCGAGGCGGCGATAGTTCAGGCCTGGTGGAGAGAAGGCAGAATATCATACGAGCTAATGGAATATATTTATTCCCTGAGCTTGGCCAGGATCCTAGACGGTGTTAGCAACAGGAATACAACGGGAAAAGATCAAAAAGAGAAGAAAACATACTCAGAGTCACGGAAGAGAGTGTACTCCTCCTCGCCGACCTTGATGGAGCTGCCACCGAACTACAGAAACTATTAGCAACTTCATTCCCGATGCGTCGGGTAGCCAAATGAGGCTATCCCGGAGAGAAAAAAAGGCATCAAAACATACCTGAGGAATCAGGACGAGATCACCAACGGCAACACCCATGGGCAGACGTTGACCATCAGCCTTGATGGCACCGGGGCCAACGGCGAGGACCTTGGCCTCGTTCTGCTCCTTGACGCTGCTCTCGGGCAGGAAGATGCCGGAGGCAGTCTTGGTCTCGGGCTTGACGCGCTGGACCAGGACGCGGTCCAGGAGGGGAGCGAGGTTCTTGACGTTGCGGAGGAAAGACTATAACGATTGGGAGAATAAGTCAGCGATTGAACTTAACTGGGAATGCTTGTGTCATCGCAAAGCGCGAGACCGGGATGGGAGCTCCTGGGAAGAGCGCGAAAAAGTTCAATGGGAGCTCCCATGAACGTAAGTATCACAATGACATACCATTTTGAGTATAAGAGTGATTAACTGAGGACTAAGCTCAAGGACGTCGAGGAAAAAGACTGGGGAATAGAAGGATGGAGGAATGAAGGTGAGGTTGAAGTGGAGAGAAAGAGAAGAAAAGGCGGAAGAGAAGAAAGAGCTGGGGAAAGACCGGAGAAATTTCCAGAATGCCAAGACCGGCTGCTCCGGCCGAGGGTATCAACTCTCTTGTGTCTAGGTGTACTTCTACAATCTACACTACATTACACTTCCATTTACACGCACACTTACATATCTTAAGACTTAGAATGTTGCTGCTGATGGTGAAAGCTACGGTGGTTCAATCCCAGCGGTCAATCCTGAATGATGGCCCTACACAGCTCATTAAGATCGTCCAGCTCCGTCTCTCCGGCTGACATCACTCACCCACACCGCAGCAGAACCCCAGTCAAGCAATCGAATGTCATTTTGAACTCCATGATATCAGTCCCTTCCCGAAGCTCGTACCATAGGTATTATAGAAGTTACAACCAAATGATGAACAGAACCCGTCTACCACCGTCTCCCGCGTCCCCGCCCGCCCCCATATCCACCACCCCCTCCGAATCCCATTTGGGGTTGTCCACCACCCGGTCCTCCAAATCCAGGTTGTCCGGGTGGTCCGCCGCCGCCGCCGCCCTGGCCGCCCATCATCGCCTGCGCTTGCTGCATGAAGGTCATCGGGTCCATGGAGGCGGGATCCATCCCCTGCGCCATCATCCCCGTCAGCATACCCTGCATCATGTCGGGCGGCATATCGGGCATGCCAGGCATCCCCGGCATCGGCGGTGGCCCGCTGCCGGGGCCAGGACCGCCGGGCCCCGGTTGAGGACCACCGGGCATCGGGGGCAGTCCCATGGTCAAGAAGCTCTGCATATCGTCCAACTGTTTGCGTTGGTCTCCCACCTCCTTCCGCAACTCCTGTTGTTTCAACACGTAGCTAGCCCAGGTGAACTCGTCGAAGCCGTAGTTGAAGTAATCCGAAATGTCCGACCCCGGCCGTCGCCACGGCTTATCATCCTCCGGGAAGTCCGTATCCATATCCGTCAATAAGATCGGTTTGCCGGTACTCGGATGGATGGGGTTCGCATGGACGTCGATCGTGGACGCGTGGACCGGCGGGTAGGCCGAGCCGGGTTTCTGCGCTACGGCCGGGGTCCTGGCCTGGACGGGCGCCGGGGTCACCGAGTCGACCTTCGGGGTAGTAACGGAAGGGGTGGCTTGCTTGGGGATGGGCGTCGAATCGACCGACGGACGTTGTGATTCTCGTAAGTTCGCATGACGGGGGTGCGACCTAGAGGCGGTTGTTAGTAGGCGCGATGCGCGCAAACCAAGGACGAAACATCAGAGCTTACACCTCGACTGGGGGCGCATCCGGCGGCGCCTCTGTAATAATGTTGAAATCATCCTAGAAGAAGACATAAGCCAGAGCCCTCACCACTGAGAAAGGACCGAAATGGGGAAAGTACATCGTCCTCTTCGACCTCTATTTCTTCCTCGTCGCCCTCGTTGGCCTGCGCATCGGTCGGGGCATTTTGCCCGGCATTCTGGGACTGCGTTACCGGCACAGAGTCCGCAGGATCATAAAAATCATCTTCGTCCTCGTCCATGGTTCTTTATTCCGTGGTGAAGCAACTGGATGGAAGAGAAGAGGAGGTCAAAAGGTTGGAGGAAACCGTCGGCGGTTGTTGACCGCGATAGTCGAGTTTGTTCTGTTTGCACCCGATGCTTTTATCTCTGCTGGTAAACTCGACCAGGATGAATTGAGTCTCTTGATAGAAAGGGATTCCAGTCTATGTCAAGAGATTATATATACATGCTGTCGTATTGAAGCTAGAATTACTTATGAATCAAATTGTTATGGCGTTCTGGGGTTTGAGTGGTAATAAATGTCAATTCTTCGGTGATATATATCTGGAAATCATCACGTCTGAATATACATCGTCCAGCCATTTCAAATTTGCCTTCACTTTGGAAAGTACACAAGTCAAACTAAACAACAGATCAATACACTATACTATATCATGAGAGCATCAACCGCAGCGTCTCCCCCTCCACAATGAGCTCTACGACTTGTCGGTACCACGTCATGACAGCCTGCGCCTCCTCATGGGTAAAAGCCCTCTCATTGTCCTGCATCCTGAAACAATGGCTCTGCACGTCCTTGAAAGCCTCCAACATGATCGCGTAGTCAACACAAATGGTGACCTAACTCATGGCCATCACGATCCAGCGCATATGGTCCTACTAATCTGTCGCAGGCTCAAACAGCCGAAAGAGGAAGAGCGTCGTGGCTGCGCTAGTCGCCCGATCAACGCCAAGGGACCGATAGATCTCACCCAGACTGACGGTGCCGTTCTCGGTGATCTCCCAAAAAAGAGACTGTGTGTCCTTGAGGACACCGTGGACGCGCGTGTCGGATCCGAACCAGGACCGGAATGGCAGGAAGTTTCATTGATGGTTTGAGGATCGTCCATGTCGACGTTTCGGCCAGTCAGCAGATAGTCGTAGGTTTGGGCTGTGAAAGGCAGGAGAGGGAAATCAGAGTGAGGTCTACGATGAGGTACATGTGAATCCCACGTCAAGAAAACCATCATATTGAGCATTACCAATCTAGTCCAGACCCAAACAGAACTGCGTCTCCCTCGTCCCTCCATATCCAAGAGACGTCCTGGGTATGCGAGTGTTTATCCTTCAATCGCTACGTAGAAGACCATCATAGAGATCGAGAGATAAAAAATAAATAAAATGCCCATCTCTCCCTCTCTCCCCGTGAAATGCACAGCTTTCAACAAACAGTCGGATCACTACGCTGTGATGGCCACCGCATCTTTAAACAACTTCCGTTGCTATAGTCGAGCGTTAGCAAGGCCGCGGCATTTGACCGAGGAGGAGCACTCACAGTGAAAGAGACCGAAACCACCAAGCTGACAGCTGCCCCGACATACACCGGGATGAAGACCTTCTGCAAAGCACCGACAATCACGCCAATGCAGCTGGCTCGCAGCTCTCCTGGCAGGGACTGAAAGTATGTGCCGCTGGTACCGGAGATCGCCTGCTGCAGTTCAAAGCGAGAGACGTGGGGGATCAAGGCAGTAAGACCGGATACAGCGTCGTTGATGAAGACGGCTCCCGCGATGGCCAGGCCAAAAGCAATGCCGCCTAGTTGCCCTGTTTCTTGGTCAGCGCAGCTCGGCTTATTTCTTGCCCGGCTGGGAGTTAACCTACCCAGCATCATGAAGCTGATTCCGTAGGCCATCTCAGCGGGAGGGATGACGGCTTGAATCACAGCGTAGCCGGCCTGGACAAAGCAGCCGGTGCCGATGCCGATAAGAATTTCATAGCCGTAGATGTTCGCTTCGGGAGTATCGGGTTGGATGCGAGCTGTGCAGGGTTAGGGCTTAGGACATAGAGTGAGTCGATAAGAGGAAACCAATGGAACTCACAGAGCAAGACACCACCGATCACAGTCAGGACACTGCCGAAGATATACCACGGCTGGAAGTAGCTGAAGCGGGACATAAGATGCCCATTGGCGAGAATAGCGGCACTGAGCACGAAGATCAATGGCAACAGGCGCACAGCAGCCTTGATCGCGTCGTCGCCCCTGGTAAACTGGAAGTATAAGGGCACGTAGTAGATAGGTATGAATGCGGCGGTGTTGACAGCGGACGCGCAGATAAAGAGGAAGACCGCATTGAGGTTGCGCAGGAATTGGCAGGGAAAAATGCGAGACCCCAGGCTGGTGAAGATGGTCAGACCCTGCTGGACGCCAAATAAGATGAAAAGCACGCCCGACACGACAAAGAGCGCGATGGTCGGTCCGCTGTTCCACGGGTAAAGGGCACCGCCGAAGTTGACCGCCATGATGAGGGTGATAATGGCTCCGATGCTGAGGATGGTCCCTAACACGTCGAATTCGCGTAGCAGCGAGGTCATCTTAGATCCGCTGCGTGGCTTGAAAGACGGGATGAGAAAAAGATAGACTGGGGCAAAGAGGCCGGACACGCAGATATTGATATAAAAGGCCCAGCGCCATGTCGCTGGCGATTCCACGAAAGCGCCTCCAACAACGGGGCCCAAGACGGTCCCAACCCCCCAAACGAGGCCCCTACGCAACTGTCAGTCTGGTGCAACATGGTGTCTGGTCTTTGTCTGGGCTTACCTACACAAAGCTCAAATAACCCGGCCGCTCACGCTCAGAGGTGTTGACGGACAGTAGAGTCATGACTCCGAGGTACATGCCGTTTCCTCCCATACCAGCCAAGACACGTCCGACAATGAGAGAATCCATGTTCGGCGCCGCGCCGCAAAGTGCCGAGCCGCCGTTGAACACGATAGATGAAATAATATAGAGCCATTTGGCGTCGAAGAGACCGTAGAACCTACCGAATGGAAGCACGACTGCCGCTCCACCGAGGAGGAACCTGTTGGAACCGATTAACTGGGGCTTTTATTCTGGCGAGATGGTCTAGGATCGTACCCAACAGAAAGCCAGGGAAGTTTGACGACGTCTCCAAATCTGTTTACTGCCGACTAGAGCTCAATTAGCCAGCCAACTTGCACATCGCCGTATATAGTTCCTACCGGAGTAATGTCGGCCACCACCGTGTTGTCCAAGGAGTACAAGAAAATGCTCGACAGGATACTGATCACGACGAGGAACCACTGCAAGCTGTCAGTATATGTGCGCACTCTAATGACCTCTTCGAAAACCTCACCAAAGGGTTATGCAGCTGTCGCGGCGAGGCATCTGGGTCTGCCGCATCGGCTGAATCTTCTCCTGGGACCTTTCCTTCCAGTTCGGAGAGATGGCGGTGGTCATCGATTGCCTCCTGAGACTTGTCGAGGGATGAGGGTGTGGACGACATTGCAAATCGTAGTGATCTAAAATTTCAATGACTAGACACTGCAGAAGACCGACTGCAATCGACCCAGCATCGAGGCAATAAGTACGCGCGACGAAGCGACGAGACGGGTGCCCAAGCTATAACTAAGCCTTCGAGAGCTTAGAAATCAGGTCGCTGAATAATTGCGAGCAGGGAATGGACTGGGTCATGTCTGTCTTTTTTTCTCATTCTCAATAGAGTAACAAGCGTGTGTTAGTTTGTGGTTTTGTTGGGCTTCCTCCTTGGTCTGTCTGAGTGAACTATTCTCGGGGTTCCCAAAAAGGAAGTTCGCCGAGCCCTAATATGAGGCCCCAGGCACCAATCGTTCCGTTCGGAAGGATGGACCACTGATGACTGGGTCATCTTATGAAGTTGAAAGAAAATGCTTCTAGCTGCTGGACGAGTGAATCACATTGTTATGTGTTTTGAGACCCCTTGAAATGTTTCTATGTGTTTTTAACTCTTTGTCTGGGATGAACTAGTACGTCATAGGAGCCATGGAAGACCGATAAAGTCCCAATGAATGCCCATGTATTCTACCCAATGAAAGACACGCGCGGATACAAGCAGGTGTTTTGGACATTTGACAACGAGGAGTTAGCATTGTGGACAAGCAAAGCGTTATCTGCCGATGTGGAACTCATGCTACCCGTGGCTCTCAACCTGACACGAGCGTGACGGTCGGAAATGAGTAGCGCGACTGCGCTCTGGCGATCCATCTGATGAGTATTCGAGCAAATATCAAATCAGAGGTAGAACATACCATGGGTTATGATCAGTCATGGTTTTGCAAATCGATTCGGGTCTTAATGCAGCCGTGAGCACCACGCGGCAAGGACGAACAGATACTCATGAGTGGACCGCGGACACCCTCGACTCCCCACTCCTTCGGTACTAAGCAGAGTAGGTATCTGCGTTTTGCGCCCGTACTGTTTTCGGTATAGTCAGAGTCCGAAACGAAGCTCATGTCAGTTTGGCCTGAACCATTTGTTGTAGAGCTTATCCAAACCGCTTCATAGGATTTCAACAGCCGACCTCTACGAATATGCCAGGTTTGATCATCCTTTGGGCGAATATCTTCAAGAAAAGGGAAAACCGAATTCACCGAAGGCATAGAAAAAGCTATGGGGTATTAATTGATATCTATAGATAGTGAAACGGGGGGGAACTAACCGTCAGGGCGGAAATGTACTCGCAGAATTATCAAGTCCAATGATTCATCTTCGAGAGATTGGAAGAGCGCATCCACAGCTGCTGTTGGATTGAGCCCAGTAGTCTTTTCAAGATGATCACGGAAGTCTAGGTTTTTGGCCCTGGTTGAACTTTAGCTTCCTGTCAATGGTACTGCCTCGTGTTGCCTACCGTTCAAATATCTGTTGCTCAACCATGGCCTGTTCATTTTCCGAGATTTTCTTCAAAGAGCGTGGTGGACGAAAATTGACCAAGTAAGGCATGACTGGAGAGAACGTATATGAATGGGAAAAGTCATATAAGACCGTATCATGGAAATCCCCTGGTAGCCTGAAATGATCATCTCGTACATCGCCATGTGTGATCCCGAGTCTGTGTAATACCAAAAGGCGGCGGATACGGTCATGGAAGAGACTATGATAGTATTCCAATTCAAAGCCACTGAGGAGTCCAAGAATATTCAGCCGATTCCAAATCCCACAGGTATCGTCACTGTGAGCTGCTAGAATTCGTCGTGAGGCAAGTTTTGGCCTGATGGGTTCGAGGACAATAGCCCGAGGATTAATAAAGCCGTAAGTGAACCTTGATCTTCCAAGATCAGTGATAACACCGTGAAACTCGGGATAATATATCCTTTCAGAGCTTGTACACGACATCTCAATGCAGTGGTATGCTCGAGCTTCATTGGTATACGGGTCAAGTTCATCTTTTACCTCCTTAACCTTCTTAGGTATGCGGGATGGAAAGCGTCGGAGCTGGATTTGTGCATCCTTTTCGGTGTATTCAGAGAACTTTATCTGTTATCAGCTATCTCCCGAAAGAATCTGTTTCTCACCTACTTACTACTTTAGCAACGTATTTGGGTAGATATGTCTCTTGGTGCTGAATGGAAAGCCATAGGACTTGATTCTGATCTTGGCTGGAGCGCAGATTGGTACCCACTGACCTTCCCAACATCCATTTTCGTTGCGGAAGAAAAGGTCTAAAGTTCTGCTTATCCTCATGTACTGCATTCATCTGATCTGACCGGGGCCATTGAAAGAAAAATTCCTCAGTCCATGACTTGTCACTCATGCCGCCCGTTGTCAGTTAGACGGCGAGTAAGAGAAGTAGGTAACAGTTCCTTTGGAGACGAGACCTGCGAATTGTACCGGTATATCGTAATTCGTACCCCACTTCTTAGCCCACCCTACCGGGACTAGGCCTTGATAGTACTAGTTTTGGGCATTTGGGGTTGATGATCCTCTCGGCGGGTCACGACTAACAAGCTTCTGGGAGTATCACGGACTTTGGGTCAATATGTAAGACCTTGCTATCGCAGCGAACTATTTGATCATAGGAAAGACCGATAAGCTTGAGAAAGAAGTACGGATCCAGGTCATAACCAACCACAGATGACCCTTGGGAGATAGAGACAAAGTACCGTGGGCCACTATGTAGTTCGTCTCGTCAGCACTCTTCCAAGTCGCCGAGTCTACATACTCATCCTTTTTCAATGTTAGCCTTGTGGGAGCCTTTGAGAGCGCCTTCTATGTGGTCGCCCTACGCTTCTGCTGGCATCTGACAGGATGATCTATTGGAAGAAACCCTGAATTTCCTGTTTGGGCGATCCCGAGGCTTGGTCATCGAGCATTTGTCAGCTCACATAATGCGCCCAGCTTAATGCAGCACTACTAAGCCCAGCCTATGCCCTGTTGGGATATTCGCCGATCGAGATCCTAAGTCCCAATGAGGAAATTGATACTTTATACTCCAATGGGGAAAAGATCATCCGCGCTGAAACTACACGATAGAGAATCAGAGAAGATCAGGGGGTAGGTGGAGAGATAGGTAAACAACGTGGAAACATGGTCATCATTAAGTCTCATAAACGGGAAGGATAATGTCAAGCGATCCCCGGATTCTTAGCGGCGAAAAATTGCAATATCGCCTGTAAGGCACTATCGATATCCGAGGCGGCACGGCCTAGCCGGATGATCATCGACTTGATCCGGGCCTTGCGGGCCTCGCTGCCCGTGATCTGGCTGGCGTTACCAGCGCGCATCAGCAGCGCCCTAAAATTCCGGATCTGCAGTTTCAAAAGCACGCGGATGACGTGGATCTGCTCCTCGCTGGTGTACATGGCCTGGAGGTCGGTCGAGAATAGCTCGGGGTTGCAGTTAGCCTTGCTCGCCGGGCCTCGCGAGGAGATGCAATACAGCTCTCCCGAGCGCTCGATTGAGGGTAGCGAGTCGGAGCTGGCCGACGAAGACCGGCCGCTGGAATCACTGAGCCCGGAGATGCGCTCGGTGTCCTTTTGGAGGCGCTTGTGGATGCACTCGAACATTTCGGTCAGGCGGTCACAGATGATTACCAGGACGGTGTGGATGGTGGGGAGGAACTTGCAGCGCACGCAGTCCAGGGGCTTGCAGCACTGGGCGATGATCCATTTCTGGAGCTGCAGCACCTGGTTCAGAGGCAGTGTTGTGATGCGGAAGTCGTCGTCGTCCAGTTGCTGGACCACGCGCACGGCGTTGGACATGCAGGGACACTCGTCGTTCTTGGCCCAAGCTGTGGGGGAATCCGTCGCAGAATCCATCATGGGCTCCGCCGTCGGCGCAGGGGGACTGAGATTGGGGAGCTCGTCCATCAACAGGTCACGGATGGCAGGCTCCGCAGCGGGCTCAGTGGTGGCAATTAGGGAATCGAATGAGAAGCCGTCCGACACGCTTAGCCCCGGCATCGACACGGATGGCGGCGTGGGAGGTTTCTGGGCTTGCTGGTACACTTTTCCAATTAGCCAGGTAGTTCTACACCCGTCGGACGCAGTCACTCGATGTACGTACATGTATGTAGATCAACCGGGGTGGATACCGCACCATGGTGCAGATCACCGGAATCGTACGCGTCATGATTTCGTAGGTTGAAGGCGCTCACTATATCGGTCGCCTTGATCTGGGGATTCGCCCGGCTGAGCGCGTCGACATCCAACAGAAGATGGGACATGTCATTGTCAAAGTCCACTGCTGCGTATTAGCAATCTACCCGACCTCGTGTGGGCGAGAGCAACGTACTGTCAAACATGAAATCCCCCTGCGGTCCAGTATTTCGAATCCGGCTTGCGTCGGGGTCTTCACCCTCCTGCCGACTCGACGACTTAGGGGGATTGGGCGGCTCATGCACCGTATTCAACGCGGGGAGTGCTGAGGCCCCTCTGATTCGACTGGTCCGTGAAGTCGCCGTACTGGAGACGGACCAGTCGTTCCTGTGGCTGCCATGCTTTGCCTGGCTGGAGGGAAACACACAGGCGATAGAATTGGCTCTGCATCTGTCGCAGTCCCCGATGCGGCCGCTACATCGCAGCTATCGGGAATCGTGAGTGGGAGTCGAATGGATGGCGACGCGAAAAACAGCCCCGATGTTGGGCAAAAAAGGTACCACTTTTCATAGCGCTCACCTTTCGTGTCTGACATGATAAACACGCTGGCCGTCGCCCTAGACGCATACGGCTCTTGTCCCGGTTTGAATTCGCACCGCGCGACGCAACCTGCTCCATTTCCGTCTCCCCATCGGCGCTGGGGCGTTTCAACGTGATGAACATGGTTTCGAATCGGAGCTCGCGGACAGACACTCGCAGCAGCCGGACCCAGAACCAACACCACCAACAGCGGGTAATCGTATACCCAAGACCTTTTTGTTTTTGCCGTTGCCGGTCATCGCGGTGGTGGTCAAGGGAGGCGGGGGGCGATCCTCGTTTCGATTTGATTTGACGCGATTCCTTGGCTCGACTGTTTCCTCTTAGTCTTTAGTCATCTAACCGTTTTGTGGCGCAGTTAGCAGGTAAATGCCTCGTAACCAGCAACGGAGATGATCGGATACGAGGCAGGCGACAGAGACACGAGAGATCGCTCCCCAAAAGGGCGAAGTGACGACGGGGCGGGCACTTGAGCAGCCCACTTGGCTCGTATTCGTCCACTCGTCGTGTTGAGGATTGGGGTAAAGACGCTCTCCCGCTCCAGCTCCACCGTTTAAGGCTGTGGAAACCAACGGCCCTGGTAGAGGAAACTTCTGGGGCGTCTTCTCAGCCACTTGGTTGGTTGTATGGGACAGGATAAGCTCCCCCCAAAGAGCAAAAGGCCATGTCGTGAGACGTTTGCAACTTAGAGGTTGTCGGTCCTCAGTTCATCTTATAGAATATCCACCATGGGTCAGATCGGAAACAACCGTCGGTGGGATTACCGTGTCTCAGCGATGGCCAATCTCATGGATGCTTTTGATCTTCACGATGGGTTTGCTCTGATCATCGAAAGAAGAACAGTCGCCAAGATGGGCTGGAACAGGATCAGATCTGTATACCTGCCCAGGGAGACCATGAAAGTATGTGCTCTGTGAGTCAGAGCAACCTGTTAAGTGTGTGTACTATGCCAATAGGGTCCTATATATATAATAGCGCATTATTGACTGAAGAGTGCACTCCTGATACATATGTCATATGGGAAAGTCATACCTTTTCCCCCTGATGCTATCATACTCTCTATTGTTCATACCACGGGCCATGTCCAATTACCAGATTTTCCTAACCGTTAGAATAGCATTGACTTGCCTTCAGGTCTATTTGCCGGCTAATGAGATACTTTATTGAATAAAAGCAGTGATGCACTTAATAAATAAGGGTTTACCCTCGGAGGGCTTGGGATCAAGTCAATCACAGTCCCTCAAATACTTGCTCCTGATTATACATGATCAATCAATTCGTGTGCTTCTGTCTTCTAATAATTTACCACATATTAGGACACTTCCAAGGGTTCCCGACAACTGGAGTGTTATCAGGAGATCATAAATATGTAGTAACAGGATCTTTCTACTCTGTTATCCTCTCAGTCTCAGGTTTATTATCATGCTCACTCCTGTCATCTTTAGATTCACTATCAGATTCATCTTTAGGACGCGTTTGCATCCCCTACTCCTACAAAAATCTAATAGAAATTATGAGAATTGAATATATGAGTGACCAACAACGACAGATACTCATTCGAACTCCACCATCATCCATACAAGTCAAAAAGGAAGTAATACAACTTAGAGGAAGGATTTCTCAAGGGTACTACAAAGATAATGTCGGATTACTTACAGCTCCTACCGTAGTTTGAGTAGCAATATCTAACCTACAGACCTGTATATTATTATCTAGATACTTGGTGGTTATTAATATACACCAGTACATAGCAAGCGATATCTATTTAGGGCTAATGGGTCCTATCGGGTAACCAGTCTCAATTCCGTAGGGGCTGAGGAACCTGAACAAGCCAGGTATTTCGTGCTTTCAGACCAAACCATCGCGATGGAAAGGCTGTTGCTACTGTGGTGGTCAGGTTTGGAAAGTACGCAACTTCCAGAAAGCCTGGTGCATCTAGGAGAGTTTCCTACAGATGGAACAACTACACCGAGAATTGGTGCGAGTCTCTCCGACCTTTTGATACTTCCTTGTTGGACATACTTACTTTCTGGAGAAATGATCTCTTTCTCAGCCGATGTCCCAAGCGTTCCACTAGACGATATCAGACCATATGTTGTGGGAAATGAAAACCCCCGGAAAGCAGAATTACTTGCTTGCTCGAGGCAGCATAATGGCCAACGCCCTCCGTATTGACGCAGACAAACTCTAGTCTGCAAGGCTGAAATCAAGCCACCAGAAGATGTCGAACAGAATCATTCGCTGCGGCTAGATCTCTAAACCCGAAAGGGTGGAGAACAGACCGCCACTTAGAGCGCCACCAGCCTAGGACACCTGATGCTATCGCGATACGAGCCCTATTATTAGCATCTTCTATCCAAATATACTTTATATGAAGTGAAGTATCTGGGGAGAATTTTAAAATAGTCTCTGGACAATTGGATCCTGCACGAAGGATGGAGACTGCACCATATGAGGAATGGCTAGCCTCGCGCGAGGCCGTAAGGACGCTATGGGCCAAGATGTATACGGGCTTGGCAAATGATTCATTTCCACGGGAACAAGGCTGCGATATGGATGAAGATGGAGGCAGTCATGGCAGCGTTTGCGACAATGGGCTATAAATTGGACCATACTTCCTCGCCATTTTGCCTTCTCAGCCAGCAGCCTCACATCCTCCAAGACAGTCAAGAAAGCACAAAGATAAACAAGCATCATGCATCTCAAAAGCGCCCTCCTTTCCCTCTCCTTTGCACTCCCTTTGACATCAGCCTACCATCTTGCCGTCACCGACCAGAACTCCAAAACTGTCCGCGTCTTCCCACGCGACGCCGCAACATGGAACAAAGACGCCATCTACTGGTCCTTCAAGTGCGACTACAACCCCTGGCCCTGGCAAAAAGACATCTGGGGCGATCTGTCCGAGGTCAAGATCCGCAAGACCGCCGACCGCGGTTTGGTCGCGCTCGTCGCGACCTCAGGCGGGATGGTGGGCATGGTTGACATCAAGTCCGGACAGAAGTCGACCTCGCTGCGGGACGTCGACTGGAAGACCTTTGTAGGGGATAATCCGCACTCGCTGGAGCGGATTCCCTACTCGGGTGCGTTTGTCGCCGCCAGCTCAGACCCAGGCAAACTGACGCTCTACGTTCCTACGGACGGGGCCAATAACCTCGAGCGGATTAAGCGGACGTATCGGTACGATGTGCCCAAGGCACATGGCGTGCTGTGGCACGGGGACAATCTGTGGGCGATTGGGAAGGATTACCTGTACAAGTATGACGTTGTGGGGAAAGGGGAGGACATGCAGTTGAAGCAAGTCGGCGAGCCGATTGATCTGCCGGTTGTCGAAGATAAGAAGACGAAGAAGAAGAAAGCCCGGAACGGCCACGATCTGTCGGCGAGTTACAAGCACGATGATATCCTGCTCTTGACGCATACCGCGGCGGCGTACACATACAATACGACTAGTGGGAAATTTCACGACCTAGAAATGGGCGGTAAGCTCAAGTCGCTGGTCCAGCATTCGTCGGGAGAATATGCCTGGATCAGGGGGGTGGAGAAGAATCATGAGATGGGACAGTATGTCCGGTTCAGTGACGAGAAAGCGCCAGGAGAGGAGACGGAGAAGAGGGGATGGGGGAATGCGGAGTTTTACAAGGCGAGGATCTTTGATCCGGGGTATGAATAGAGGACTGCATAGTCGTTGATCCCTGAAGAAAACTTGTCAGTATCTCTGTCTGCATGTTTGCAGAGTTATAGTTATCATGATAGTTCAGTTGCGGGATCTTTGCGAGATAAGTTTTTTCTTACTTTATAGTATAATAAAACACCTTTGGCCAGTGAGACTTATTGGTATTCAGTTTGTAGCTTGTTCTGGCTTTACTGCTTTACTCCCTGTCTAGTTCATCATTGAGGTTATTCTTGTTTCTCGGTTAGGCGGGCAGCTCTGGGATGCGTGTAGAGAGTATATATTGTGCACATCACAGCTCTCAACCCAGAGTATCAGGCATCTAATCCACCAGCGAAACCACCTGTGTCTTTTTCTAGCAAAGGGATGAAGAAAATAAGTGCTTAAAATCTTGGGACACTTGGTTTCATACAGCTAATGTTGATTGCTGCAGCTATATAGTACAGTGTGGAGCCAGGTCACGTGTCACGACAGACGTCAGTCGCTTTCCCCATTTGCGATGCGACGAGAATCTCACCACTCCCAACATCATACCGCCATATCGTGCACAATGCCCCCCTCAGAACCACCCAGTCACAGCTCGACCCCTCGGTCATTTACCAGCCAGTCAGCCTCCGCAGAGGAGCTCCTCAAATCGCAAACCGTCGGTCTCGTCCATCTCTCCGACTTTCGCAAGCGCCGCGCCGAGGTTCTCGAACAGAAGGAGCGGGAGGCACACGATAAGTCTTTGGGGAGAGTTGCGTCTGGTAATTCGAGAAGTGCCACTCCGTCGGCGGGCGATGTAACTGACAGGTGAGTTAAGGCGCAGTTTTATCCTCATTCTCATGCTGACGGTAATGCGCCAGTAGCTCGAGGTCGCAAAGCGAGGGTCCTCCCAAAAAGAAGAAGAAGAAGCCACTAGCCAAGAGCAAGCTGTCGTTTGCTGATGAAGAGGAGGAGACTGAGAATACCGGTGAAGAATCTGCGGCCACTCCGCGCGAGCTGAGTGTCCCGCGGTCCAGTTCCAAAACCCCCGCGGAGGACTCCTTGCCTGCATCGCGACGGATCACACCGAACCCCAACGCCCCTCCTCCTCCCAAAGCCATCACAAAGGCGGCCGTGAAAGCAGAAACGGAAGCGCGAGATGCCCTCCGCAAGGAATTTCTGGTGATGCAGGATGCGGTCAAGAATACCGAGATCCTAATACCTTTCATCTTTTACGACGGCACAAACATCCCGGCGGGGACGGTCAAGGTCAAGAAAGGCGACCCGGTGTGGCTGTTTCTGGATAGGTGCCGCAAAGTTGGGGCGGAACTAGGTGTCGGGGGTGGCAGCCATGCGTCGAAAGGACGGAAGGATAACCGTCGTGAATGGGCCCGAGTGAGTGTTGATGATCTTATACTGGTGAAAGGCGAGATTATCATCCCACATGTACGTTCATGAAAGTGCTCTATGATGCCCGACCGCGACCGCTGACCTGCGTTTTAGCATTACGAGCTGTATTATTTCATCGCCAACCGCGTGCCGAACTATTCGCTTCCGGGCGAGCTGCTATTCGACTATTCCGACAAACCCTCTGCATCGGCGACAGATGACCCCCTATCGCGCCCGGATAGTGAACAGCTGGAGGGTGGGGACAAAGACCCCACGACGACCAAAGTGGTCGATCGACGATGGTACGAGAGGAACAAGCATATCTTCCCGGCCAGTCTATGGCGGGAGTATGAGCCGGGGGGAGAGTTCGAGGAGAAGATGCGTACGACAAGACGCGATGCGTCGGGGAATACTTTCTTCTTCTAGATGACTTATGATATTATTAGAATTGGCATGTACAGTATATACTGCTCAATAGCGTTGAATGAACGAGACGAACACATGTTCTATGAAGAAGGCAATGCATAATATAGTGTAAACAGCCGGTCCAGTGAACATTAAAATGTCTACGGCTTCCGCTGATGGCCTGCTAACCCATCAATTCGCTCCCCTCTTTTCCCTCGCAAAGGTTCTACACTGTTGAACACTCTACTTTCACAAAATGGATTTCTATCTTCGCTGCAACTCTCTCAAATGCCGGTCCCAACTCAAGGAGAGAGCCGTCGTCACCACCTGCTCGTACGATGTCTAACCGCCCTGTCCTATCTCTTACTTCCCTATTCTAAGCTAACTGAATACATGATTCAGACACATCTTCTGTCTCCAGTGCGCTGAGAATCTCGGACTCTCTCGTCCTGACCCAGGCGAACGTCGCTGTCCAGCATGTCAAGCCATCCTGATCAACCCAGACGACGCAGTAGCGACCATCCTGAACCCAACGGAGGATTACAAAACGAGTGTTCTCAGCGGACTCGATCCGAATACCATCATGGAGTGTGCGGGACGGGCGTTGCTGTTCTGGACATACCAATCGAGCCAGGAGATGTGCGACTCTGAATCTGGAGTACAGAACGTCTACTGACAGAGGCAGTTTCTACCAGGAATTCCTCGGAAAGACGCTCACGGAGAAATACACAAATCTCAACACTCAAATGGATAAGGTCGTGCATAATGCAAACACGGAGATTGCAACCCTGCAGGCTAAATTATCAGGTATAATCCACCATCTCGAATACCAAGTATCACAACTCAGTAGCCTCAGAAATGCAGGACACGCACGAGCAGCTGGGGAAGAAAAACCAAGAGCTCGCCGACCTCTACCGGGAAAAGTGCAAGAAATTCACGCAGATCACCAACCTCTACAATCTGCTCAAGACGCGCGCGATGCGGTCTCAAATGCAGACCGCTGCGTCGGACTCAGTTTCTCAAGCGTTGAGATCGCTTGCGCCGCCGCAGGCTGAGCCACACAGCGCTATGCCTCCATTACCGGCAGCAATTGCAGGCCCTCCGCCGCAGACACCGTCTTCGCGTCAACAGAGCGCCTTTCCAGTTGACACGGAGGGTGTGGAACAACTACATCGGTACCAACGCAGTGGAACGGGGAGCTCGCGGGGGACGAAGCGGAGAGCGGCTGTCAGTGCCATGGCTCCGCCTAGTCGTCCGGTGGGAGCGATCAGAAGTATGTCTTATCTTGTCTTCTCTTCTACCGTGGGATGATATCAGCTAACTTTCTGATAGATGACATGCCCCAGGCTACGCCGAAACACCGAACGCGCCTTACGGGCCCCCCTCGGTCGTCACGTCCTTCGACGGGACTGTCCCAGTTGCCACAGGACAGAGTCATGTACGAACGGTTCCAAGGGGAAGCAGGGGTTGATCATCGGGTATGCGATGGCGGGGGTAGTATACATGCTCCTCCTAATCCGAGGGAGGGATCTGGGCTGAGGATGTATTTTGACAGACGGTAATAGTGGAGGACTGCGAGTATGGAGGTTGCGTATGGGATGACAGCATCGACATGAGATGAAGTGCGACTTTCATGCCCTTGATTGTTGATGTTGAAGAGTCAAGAGACGCCAAGACGACAATATACACTGTACTATATTCTCAACAGCATAATAGTTAGCGCAACAGTCCTATCATGTCAGATATCACTCAACAATATAATATTTCAGACAATATAATACTCCATGGACATCCAAAGGATCAGAACCAGATCGGATCAAACAAGTAGTAGTAGAATAGTGACTAGTAGATAGTCTTTACCAGAAAATATACCATTCCGCATAGATGCAACATCCATTCACCCGACGGAATTAGGCCGCCCTCACTGTTTATCTCACATATCCACAACAATTGGGTTTAACGTAGAGAACACATACTGGAAAAAGCTACGAAGTTAATCCTCCGATCGCATAAGACATATCAGATATATCCTAGTTGATCTGGTTAGCGAGTTACCTGGTAATTGAAGCAAGTCCAACTCAATGATACTGAGTACGTGCTTGATATCAAGCGCCCACTCACTACCACCTTAGTGAATAAGACCCGGACCAAAGCAGGTCACATCCAGCAACAAACAGCAGTACCCAAGGCAATAAGTAACACAAGCTTATCTCTAAATTAATCAATAGATAGATAGATAGATAGATAGATAAAAACAGAAGAAGGGCCCACCCCCACCCATCCCCCCGCTCCAATCCCCATCCCCAATCAATCAACCCCGATCCCCAATCTCGGACGTGCGGAAGTCCCCAGCACCACAAACTAACGACTCTTCCATCTCTCCGAGCCACCACCACCACCACTACCACCCAATCCACCTCCGTGATCAGATCGCAAGACACTTACTTTAATTTAGCTTATCTGGATCAAGATTCGGGAAGTTTGACAGCTTGTGTGGAGTTTGTGGGTTTGTTTTTAGTGGTATTTTTGAGGATGCTTATTTGGACGTTCCTTTTCCTTTCGTTTGATGCCATACTATACTATACTGTACTATACTATACTACCTACACTAACCCCCCGGGGAAAATGTCACGTGTACATTTACGACCTGCGTATTCCATTTTCAGGGTGCTTTATGTACTCATCAATGGATAGGCTCAAATACAATCTATATCTCTACATTTACCGACGATGTATGGTCCAAACCTAGTAGACACTGGTAGATACTGAATTGACGCGGATCTAAACCGATCTAAAGTCCATCCCTACCGCATGCCGCTTCTAAGTCAAGGCCGCTAATATCGTCTCCTCGGCATCCCTGCTCCAGTAGGGTAAAAATCAAACAAAATAAGGAAAACCCGTGTCATGCCATGCGTTCAGAAAATTCAACACAAAAAGATCACAAAAGAAAAGGAGAAAAAAAAAAAAAAAAAAGAAGATTAAATTAAGTAAATGGGAGAAATCTCAGAGGCATTCGTTTAGGCACCAAACTCCTTGATGTCGGTCTTCTTGCCGCACAGCGCCAGCGGCACGATGCCGCTGACGTGCATCTCGGGCCCGAAGACGTGCATCTTGAGGCCCAGCTCCTCGCCCACGGCCTTGATGTTCTTGAGACCCTCCTGGTAGTTGGGACCCGCACGACGCACCCAGATCTGGACGTTGTGCTCGTTCAGGACGGGGGCCACCTCGCGCAGGGCGCGGATGACGCCCTTGAAGGTCGAGGCGACGTTGGTGAAGTTGGCGATGCCACCGCCGATGAAGAGGACCTTGCCGTCGGGGTGCATGGGGGCCCGCAGCATCAGGTCGAGGATGGTGTGGGCGTAGTTGTAGGTCTGGGTCTCGGTGGGCGCGCCCGAGTACTCGCCGTAGTTGGCGAGCTCGCTGACGAAGCCGGCCGAGGCGATGGCGTCGGCGTAGACGACCGAGGCACCACCACCGGCCACGAGGGTCCAGACGCGGCCGCTGGCGTTGAGGACGGTCAGCTTGAGGGAAGCACCGGTCTTGGCGTCCATGTCGGAGATGAACTTCTCCTCCTTGGTCAGCTCACGGCCGAAGGGAGCGGGGAACTCCATGGGGGGGCCGGCGTCGATGTTGACCTTGTTGTCCTTGGGGGCGGCGGTGATGCCGAGGTTGGCGGGGGCGCGGGCGACCGCCCACTTGGTGCCACACTCGAACTCGGCGGTCTGGTCCAGCTTGGCCGCGAGATCGAGGAAGTGGACCTCGGCGGAGGTGGCATCGGCGTTGGGGATGACCACGAGGGGGTTGATCTCCAGGTAGGTGAACTGGCAGTCGACGTAGACGGCGTAGAGGCGGGTGATGAAGTCGACGAGGACGTTGTGGAGACCCTGGGGCACCTTGTTGAGCAGGGCCGCGGCGATCTCGTCGTTGGAGGGGTAGTTCTTCAGGTTGACGGGGACGAGCAGCTTCTCGGCCTTGGCGTCGACATCACCGACGTCGACACCACCCTCGTGGGTGAAGAGGATCCAGTCACCCTGTGGATGTTAGATTTCTACCGGTACGACCAACGCAGAAGGGGAAAAGACATTCTTACCTCACGCACGGAGTTGATGTTGATGTAGTATTCGGTCTCCTGGGGGTGGGGGACAAAGGGTTCGACGAGGAATTGGCGCAGGACCCCGGTGATGGACTCGACCTGGACGTCCTTGGTGGCGCGGGCCTCGATCCATTCCCGGGCCTCGGCCCAGGTCTTGTTGAGGGCGAGCAGACCGCTCTTCCCACGGCGCTTGATCAATTGATCTGGTTTGGCGACGAACTTGGAGCCGGGGACGAGGAGCCACGGGTAGGTGACCTCGGCCTGGTCGAGGATATCCTTGACGGCGGCATCTTCGGGGAAGTAGAGGGAGGCCAGACGAGAGGGAGGGTTGTGGGTGGTGGGAGCGGGGAGAGGGGAGGGCTTGATGACGGGGGCGCGAGTGAGGTGATAGTTGAGGATAGCCTTGCCATCAGCCTCGAGGATAGATTTGGCGGACATGGTGTGTGATTGATGTGGGTGGATAGGTGGTAGAAAGAACCTCAAGAAGAAAAATCGAGGGAGAGGAAGAGGAAGGGAAGAGGAAGAGAAAGAGGATATGGGGAGAGAGATGGAGAGAGAAATGGAGAGAGATGGAGAAAGATGAGGAGAGAAGAGAAGAAAAGGTCGACAAAATCTGGATTGGGTATGTATGATAGACGGTATTGGTATTTTATTTGGACGATAAATAAATAATGATGATAATAAATATAGAGGGGCAATGGGGCTGTACCTGATTACCGTTTCCTTATCGGTATTATTACAGTCCATCAATATATTACAGGATGTTATCCCTCTTCTTGATTAATCCCTCGTATAATCCTGATCATCCATGAGAAAAAAAGGAATGAAAAAGGAGATCTTCCATGGAATTCCATTCCGTGATCACTCCCAGGGTGAGAGAACGACTAGAAGGACTGATTGTACACGGTAGAAGAGAGCATGAACTCCACCGAGTTGTTGAGATGGGGAGACGATGGGTGGGGACTGGATGGGACTGGATGGGACGGATGGGGAATAGGTGGGACTCCCACCCGAAACTGTCATCAAGTTTATTTTCCTCCGTCCGGTTGGGATGGGATCATCCTCGATTTCGTCTGCAGTATTGGCCCTACGCGGTAGACTGAATACTGTTTCCTCCTTTCTTTCTAGTGTTTCTGATGTTGGTCGATGTTGGTCCAGGGGTTGAATCCTGGAGACAGATGTATAGTACAGTACTCCGTCCTCCGTACTATCCGTAAGATGTAGATATCTAGTAAGAGCTGATGTCAGATGGATACACCTCTTGACCCAACTACTTTACTATCACAAGTACTAACACAAGTAAATCATGAAAGAAACTGCCACGTAACTCCATGGAATTGGAGGTGATGTAAGTCGGTGAGCAAAGCTGTTCGATCAGGCATCGAGGATGATGTGGGCTCCACCGCCTTTTCCCCACATCCATACTATACAGTACGTAGTCCGTATACCGAGTATAGTCAGTATACAGAGTATATACTATGTAGTACTTCATGTCTAGATTCGACTCCTAATCATATTGATCCGAAGGGATGGATATCCGATGGATACTCTTCTCGAGACATAAATGTTGAGAAGCCGGTTGACCCAGCTGTGATGGTGAAGGAACCATGGACCCAAACCAAGGGAGACCAAGATTCCCCACATCGGGCCATACGGTCACAATACCGCATCTGGAGGGATCAGAGCTACGATGTACAATCCATCACTTTATTTCTTCCTCCGGAGAGGGAGATTCGGGTGGGAAATCGAGGGGAATTGAGAGAAAGACTGAGAAGAGGAGAGAATAGGAGAGAAGAGGATGATGGATGTCTCCGATATCGTCCACGGTATTTGGTTATTTCAGATTGATTATTCTATAATTATTCCAACATTATATTTATTAAAATAGAAAGAAATAATAAATAATAAATCACTGTATTATATTATCTTATCGTGTATTCTGGTATTCTTCCCCCTCTCTTCTTCTCTTTCTTTTCTCTCTTCTTTTTATTCTGTTTCTTTTTCCCTCCTCACTTTCACCTCCAGTTCCTCTCTTCTTCCTTTCTTCCTCTCTTCCTCTCTCTCACTTCCATCTAATCTCTCCCTCTGGTCCACGTCTCTTCTTTGGACCTCCCCCACTACTCTCTCTCTCACTCTCTCACTCTCTCACTCTCTCCCACTCACCTTTCTTATACTCTTCTCTCCCCATTCATCTCCCTTCGGTCCTCCCATCTCCATCTCTTCCTGGGAGCTCCCTACAGGTATCTACTCTACTAAGCTCTCACCTTCATCCCCTCATGACACCGACTAATATAATCGCATTCAGTCACCATGCCTGCCTCTGCTCCCCTCGTTAGCACCGCCAATGGCGGCTCCAACGCCAACGACAACATCACTCGTTTCGATCCCCCCAGCCGTGTCCGCTCCCCTCAGGGCGCCGCTCTCTTCCACAACAAGACCCGATGCTTCGTATAGTGAGTCTACCAATCCCCTTGGCCCATCCTGCAGTTCGACTGACTCCTCCAGTGGCATGCAACCCAAGGCCGTCCAGGGTATGCTCGACTTTGACTTCATCTGCAAGCGCTCCACCCCGTCCGTCGCTGGCATCATCTACACGTTCGGTGGTCAATTCGTCAGCAAGATGTACCTCTCTCTTTCCAACTCCCACTAAGTCATCCCCGCTAATAAAGATACAGGTACTGGGGCACCAGCGAGACCCTCCTCCCCGTCTACCAGGATGTCTCCAAGGCCATGGCCAAGCACCCCGACGTCGACACCGTCGTCAACTTTGCCTCCTCCCGTTCCGTCTACAGCTCCACCATGGAGCTGATGCAATGCCCCCAGATCCGCTCCATTGCCATCATCGCCGAGGGTGTTCCCGAACGCGTAAGTCTCCTGACATCAGACCGCATCCCCAGCCGCATTGGCTGACCTTATCTAGCGCGCTCGTGAGATCATGGTTACCGCCAAGGAAAAGGGCATCACCATCATTGGCCCCGCCACCGTCGGTGGGATCAAGCCCGGTGCCTTCAAGATCGGTAACACCGGTGGCATGATGGACAACATCGTCGCCTCCAAGCTCTACCGCCGCGGCTCCGTCGGCTACGTCTCCAAGTCCGGTGGCATGTCCAACGAGTTGAACAACATCATCTCCCAGAACACCGACGGCGTCTACGAGGGTATCGCCATCGGTGGTGACCGCTACCCCGGTACCACCTTCATCGACCACCTGCTGCGCTACCAGGCCGAGCCCGAGTGCAAGATCCTCGTCCTCCTGGGTGAGGTCGGTGGTGTCGAGGAGTACCGCGTCATCGAGGCCGTCCAGAACGGCGTCATCACCAAGCCCATCGTCGCCTGGGCCATCGGCACCTGCGCCAGCATGTTCAAGACCGAGGTCCAGTTCGGCCACGCCGGCGCCTCCGCCAACTCCCAGCTGGAGACCGCCGTCGCCAAGAACCAGGCCATGCGCGACGCCGGCATCCACGTCCCCGCCACCTTCGAGGACCTGCCCGAGGTGCTCAAGCAGGTCTACGACGCCGAGGTCCAGAAGGGCGCCATCAAGCCCCAGCCCGAGCCCGTCGTCCCCAAGATCCCCATCGACTACTCCTGGGCCCAGGAGCTGGGTCTCGTCCGCAAGCCCGCTGCCTTCATCTCCACCATCTCCGACGACCGTGGCCAGGAGCTGCTCTACGCCGGCATGCCCATCTCCGATGTCTTCCGCGAGGATATCGGCATCGGTGGTGTCATGTCCCTGCTGTGGTTCCGCCGCCGTCTGCCCCGCTACGCCAGCAAGTTCCTCGAGATGGTCCTCATGCTCACCGCCGATCACGGTCCCGCCGTCTCCGGTGCCATGAACACCATCATCACCACCCGTGCCGGCAAGGACCTCATCAGCGCCCTCGTCTCCGGTCTGCTGACCATCGGTTCCCGATTCGGTGGTGCCCTCGACGGTGCCGCCGAGGAGTTCACCAAGGCCTTTGACAAGGGCCTGAGCCCGCGTGACTTTGTTGACGGCATGCGCAAGGAGAACAAGCTGAGTATGTCCTTCTTCTCTTCTCCCCTTTTTTTTTTTTTTTTTTTGCTACGGTACCTCCGTGATAGATGATGATGCTAATCCGTATAGTCCCCGGTATTGGTCACCGTGTCAAGTCCCGCAACAACCCCGATCTCCGTGTCGAGCTGGTCAAGGAGTTCGTCAAGAAGAACTTCCCCGCCACCAAGCTGCTCGACTACGCCATTGCCGTCGAGACCGTCACCACCTCCAAGAAGGACAACCTGATCCTCAACGTGGACGGGTGCGTCGCCGTCTGCTTCGTGGATCTCATGCGCAACTGCGGTGCCTTCTCTCCCGACGAGGTCGAGGACTACATGCGCATGGGTGTCCTGAATGGTCTCTTCGTGCTGGGTCGCAGCATCGGTCTGATTGCCCATTACCTGGATCAGAAGCGTCTGCGGACTGGTCTGTACCGTCACCCGTGGGATGACATCACCTACCTGCTGCCCGCTCTCCAGAAGGGTGGCTCCGAGGGCCGTGTCGAGGTCAACATCTAATTATCTACACCGTTTTAATATCCCTTTTTAATCTCTTTTCCTTGATCGACATCCCCTGGAATGGCCAGTGTGGGACACTTTTTGACGTTGGAGTTATGACTGGTTGCGTTGCATCTGTTTTTCGAATCTTCTTTTTTCCTTCTACAGTCACGTCCGCTGATCGAGATGATGATTATCAGCGCAGTGGCGCTCGACGTTAGATGTTAGACTTAGCATGACGACCAGAATTACGTTTAATTATTGAGTTTGAGCAAAGCCAACCGTATAGTAGTAGTGCGAGGGACTCCATTTACTCGTGTCAATAGTAAATAGCAACCACTCCGGCCCGGCTGGGCCTGTCACACCCTGGATTGGCTCCACGGGCACACCCCTGTCTTCCTCACCTGTGCGGTATCTCAACCGTATAACCCGTCATCCCATATACTTTGACCAGTTCAACCACCAACATGCCAAGAGCAAGAGCAATGTTTTCCAGGTTAAAGCCGTTGATCACCCGGCATCCAACCACCACCCACAGTCGCTGCATGGCTAGTACCTAAACTGCCCAAATCAACCCCACACGTCTCATAGAAGAGGAGACCCTCCCATTCTACAAACCAGACCAGTTCTATCCCGTCCACACAGGCGAGCTTCTCCACGCAACGTACCAAGTTATCGGTAAACTAGGATACGGGGCCTATTCCACCGTGTGGCTATGCCATGATCAGCGGTGCGAGAAGAGCCCCCGTTACGACTGACTACTCAACACACACTGAATTCTTGTAGTAATCGCATCCATGTAGCAGCCAAAGTTCTGACGGCCGCATTCTCAGGGCAAAAGTCTAGAGAGGTGGAAGTTTACCAACACCTGAGCCGGCTGGGTCGATCCCACGTCGGAAGTGCCTCCATTCGGGGGCTGTATGATATGTTCGATATATCTGGACCAGACGGCCTGCACCGATGCTTGGTGCAAATGTCGATGCACGCGCTGCGAATGCGAGCTGGGTCTGGTAAACTCAGTGAGCCTTTATTGAAACAAACCTTGATTTCTCCACCGCGAGGGGGAAGTCATTCATTGTGGTATGAACATTCCTTGAATGGTTGATATAGAGGCGATGGTCGTTAAAGGTGTATAGATATCAAAGCATCAAACATCATGCTCAGCATTGACGATGAGACAATCCTGTCGAATTTCGAAAGGACAGAAGCAGAGCATCCCAGCCCCCGGAAGACCGTGGACGCCAATCGCACGATATACGTATCGCGGAAGCTTCCTTCTCCGAAGCGAGATCGATGGGGTCAACCCGTACTATGTGATCTCGGGGAAGCTAGAATTGGCAAGCTCCATAGAGGGGATATCCAACCCAACATCTATAAAGCTCCGGAGGTCCTGTTTGACATGCCGTGGAGCTTTAGTGCTGATATATGGATCGTCGGTGTCATGGTGCGTTGAGTCCCGTGATCTAGTAGAACACTTTCTAAAACACATTGCAGATCTGGGATATCTTTGAAAACAAGCATCTGTTCAATGCACTTGACGAAGACAGGGACTACTCCCCATCCCATCATGTCGCCGAGATGGTGGCATACCTAGGAGTCCCACCGCTTCACTTTCTCCAGCGCAGCGAGGAAACGCGCAATGTCTTTGACGAGAAGGGTGTGTTTGACTCCTTGCCACTCACTACGAAGGTAAAAAGCTGACTCTGCTAGGCCAATGGTTAGGGGCAGGTGGAGTGTCCGTTCCATCGATCTCATTAGAAGAATCGGAGGAGAACCTCGAAGGACCAAACAAGCAACTCTTTTTGCAGTTCCTGCGGTCAATGCTGCGGTGGGTTCCTGAGGAGAGGAAACTGCAAAGGAATTATTGGACGACCCTTGGTTGAACGCTGAATAGGGATATCATGTGGTTCAATGCAGGTGAAGCTATACAGCATGCATGAATAATTCTGGGCCTCTATGAAATGAGGACGATTTGACGAAATTCTTCCCAGATCGCTGGAGATCACCTACAATGTCCCGTACATGAAACATAATGTTGTTGTATCAAGAACTAGTTCCTATATAGTCATGACCCCGACCAACCCCACTGCATATTGTACTTGGTAGATCCTGGCATGGAGTTGGAGATGGCCAAGTCCGCCCAATATGAAGATCGGATTGTTATCGATCTCCGCACCTTATCTTATCGCACGTGCGCTCCACCCCAAAAAAAGTCAACCAGTCAGCAGCTGGACCTACACCACTCTCCAAACCAATTGCTCTAAAACAAACCATTCATATCCAACCACCCAGGAACAAAACAATCATGGTCCGCGTCAAACACCGCTACCTCCTCGTCGAAATCCTCTACCCAGAGCCCGCCTCATGGGCCGCCACCAAACCGCCCAGCAAAGCAGGCTCGACGGCGCAGACACAAGCGCAGCTGCGCATCCACTCGCCCACCTCCGACGCGTTGACGCCGAGCGTGTTGGCCCGGATGCTGAGGGAAGAAGTCGATAACATGTTTGGGGATTGGGGAGTCGGACGATTGGGGGGTGTTAATGCGGGGGGTGTTAGTGGTTCGTCACATCTCTTTATCTACTCCCTCCACACACGCATACATGCGGAATTGAGCCGGACAGGATCAAGGCTAATTAATTGTATCTTGTGTACAGTGAAATATCTCTCCCCCGCTACGTCAACAGCCATCGTGCGGTGCCCCCGGGCATCCTTCCGACTTGTCTGGACGGCACTGTCTTACATGTCTCGCGTGCCGGAGATCGGGGCCCCGAAGGGAGCTCGAGGGGCGGTTCTTTCTCGTCCGTGCGTGTTCCGCGTGGTCAAGGTGTCTGGGACGATGCGCAGGGCTGAGGAGGAGGCTATCAGGCGGGCGAGGAGGGAGACTTTGCGGTTGAGGGGTGTGGATGAGCAGGGTATTTTGGGGGGGTTGGTTGGGGAGTTGGCGGGGGTAGACGACGTGATGGATGATGACGAGGATGAGGATGTTGGGATGGAGAGTGATGATTGAGTGTTTTGTGTTGTTGATGGCCGGATCTATGTCTACTGGCATTAGGTCGTCTTTCCTTTGTTGAGATACCCCGTTATATTATTATATGTACAATGCAATGTCATGATTTTCGTACGACTTTCACCCCGCTATCTGGTAGCGGACCTTGCGGAATATCCTCGTCGAAGCCCTCGTCACCCGGTCCGGCACCGTCGCCGCCGGCAGCCTCCTCCCGTGCCTTGGCCTCTTCCTGCAGCGCTCGCAACTCATGATCGTCGTATTCATCCTTCGCATCCAGCCAGCGCTCCTGGACGTCCCGCACGTCCATCGTCCCCAGCCCCTCTCGCACAGCCACCTGCCACACCGTATCGTTGGCGCCCTCCGCCGGACCAAAAACGTACCCACTGGCGCGGTCAATAACCCTCAACAAACTCATCATGCTCTTCTTGTCTTCCACAGCGAGGGTCTCGAAGCTCACGAGCCCAAACTCCTCCACCAGGTCAATGATAGCATGGTTGAGGGGGCCGAACTTGGTGTGCGCCAGACGCGACGACTCGGCTTCCAGATGCGGCAGGAGATAGTTGAGGTCTTGCACCTCGGTGTAGAAGTCTAGGTTGAAGGGGAGCGGGGAGTAGTTGGCTAGGTTGTCGATCTTGGTGAGGACGTTGAGGTGCGGGAGGTCCATTTGGAGCATGGCGCGGAGGGAGAGGAGGAGGGCGGAGATGTACATGGATGGGAGGGTGAGGTTGTAGGAGTCGATGAGGTGTATTACGACGAGCTGTAGACTCTGTTAGCAGGGGGGATGCTTGGAGGGAATGCGGAGACTAACTCTATATCCAAGTTTCTGGAGCTTGAAGAAGATATTCCGTAGGGATGAGTGATGCGTAAAGAGCTCTACCTGACCAGGGCAGTCAAACAGGATATAGTCATCTGCACCACGGCGCAATCCAGATTAGCAACATGCTCACAAAACCTAAGATGCGAGACCTACCACCCAGCTCTTTTAACCCCTCCTCCAGCCAGTCGAAGTTCTGCTCCACCTCCTCCACCGCATACAAAACCCCCCCATTTGGCCCTAGCCGATCTTCACTCATGACATCCTCCAGCGTAACGAGGTCGCGGACGTCCAGCGCACACGGATAAGAAGTCTGATCATTCGCGGGGTCCAGATTGACGACGGAGCATTTGCGGCCGATGGCGCCGAGAAACTGGTGCATTCCATTGCAGTAGGTGGATTTCCCTGCCCCGGGGGGTCCGATAACCAGTTGCGCGAACGGCATGACGGCACGACAGATCTCCAAATATAACCTGTAGAGCCTGTCTTGATATGGGTTGGATGATTTTTCTGAGTCCAGACAATGACGATATCGGATCTGGCGGGGAGAAAGTGGCAGGGCGGTGACGGGCGGCAGGAAAGGACCCAAGCTTTGAGCGTCGTCGGGACGATCGATCAACAACGCTGCAACTCTCGACTCTACCGTCTTCGCCACTTGCACATTTGGAATTGACCATGGCGACTAGTATGTGCTGCGCTTTCGCTGAGTGAGACAGGGTATGCTGATCCTTCTAGATCAATTCACGCTTGCGTCCCCGCCGACCGATGCGATCTCCGCGCTGAAATTCTCCCCCGAACCCGAGTCCACACGGGTGGTTGTGTCGTCGTGGGACAAGAATGTATACCTCTACGAGTTGCGCGATGAGAATGGGAATATAGGCGAGGGCAAGCTGCTGCAGAAATTTGAGCACCGCGCTCCGGTGCTGGATGTGTGCTTTGGCGCGAACGAGGATGAGATCTACACAGCGGGACTAGATTGGGATGTCAGAAGGTAGCACTTGATTCCTCAGGACTTTGGGCCTCTCCCAGTTTGTGCTGGTTATGGAACTAATGTCGATCAGGATCGACTTAACATCATCTACCCAAACCGTCATCAGCAGCCACGACGCCGGAGTCCGCAGCGTTGTCTACAGCAAGGAACATAACATAGTGGTCTCGGCCTCGTGGGACTCGACATTACATGTGCACATCATCGGGGAGAACATCTCTGCCCCAGCCATCGTACCCCTCCCGTCGAAGCCCTTTTCCATGTCCCTGAGCCCCACGAAGCTGGTCGTCGCCATGGCGTCGCGCTCGCTGCACATCTACGACCTGAAGGCGCTGGCCATGCTGGCCAGCCAAGCGGAGGCCGGAAAGAAGCTCGAAGTCGAGCCGTGGCAGCGGAGGGAGAGCAGTTTGAAGTTCATGACACGCTCCGTGGCGTGCATGCCCGACGACGCGGGGTATGCCTCCTCGAGCATCGAAGGACGAGTGGCGGTCGAGTGGTTCGACCCGTCCGCCGAGTCGCAGGCCCGGAAGTACGCCTTCAAGTGCCACCGACAGACAGCGGACGACGTCGACGTGGTGTACCCCGTCAATGCGCTGGCATTCCACCCGGTGTTTGGTACGTTTGCGTCTGGCGGCGGGGACGGCGTGGTGGCTCTGTGGGATGGGATTGCGAAGCGGAGAATCCGGCAGTACCAGAAGTACCCGTCGAGCGTGGCGGCGCTGTGTTTCAGTGGGAACGGGAAGTACCTGGCGATTGCGATCAGCCCTGGGTTTGAGGACGGGAAGGACGAGGTCGCCGAGGGAACGGTGCGGATTTTCGTGCGCGAACTGGGCCCTACGGAAGCTCGGGGGAAAGGCCCCAAATAAACGTGCATGGATTTTTACGACAACTTGAATATAATTCTCATGACTCTACGCATTCCCGGAAGTATACATCCGTAGACGGAGTAATTGGATGGAGACAAACACGAACTGGTAAATGGTGTATCATTTATATATGAAACTTTCCAAAAGTCGGAAGACAGACCCCTAGGCCTTCCTGACCGATACAGAGCCGTCGGGCATCCCGAAGTAGGCCGCGATGGGCTTCTGGCCACCAATACCACCCTCAGCCTGGGCCTGGGGCCCGTTCACGCCAGAGAAGATGCCGACCTCCAACACACCGGGGATCTGCTTGATCGCCTTGGCGAGGGCGTCCACCTCCCAGACGCCGCCCTTGCCGCTGCCGTCCTTGCCGCCTTCGACATCCGCCTTGGTGAGCAAGTTGGTGGGGAACGGCGCATCCACGATGAAGAGGCCATTGTCCGTCTTCAGGGGGCCGTGCTTGCCGGGAGACTCGTCGCGGACCTTGGGGTCCACGGCGCCCAGTCGCTTCAAAGCCGCGAGAACGCGGTTGGCCGCGAAGGGAGCGACCTCGACGGGGATGTATTTCCAGGCAGTCAGAAGACGGGACTGGAGCTTGCGGGAGTCTACCATGTCGTTGTCAGCGCGTGCTCATGGAGGTTCAAGTTAGACGGGCCAGGCACTAACCAGCAACCACAACGAATTCCTTAGCCTGGAGAGCCACGATCTTCTCCTGGAAGAGACAGGCACCACCGCCCTTGATCAGGTTAAGCTCGTCGTCGACCTCGTCAGCGCCGTCAAAGGCGACATCCAGGACCGCATCCTCGGGGAAGCCGTCAAACTCCACGGCAGTCAATCCGGCGTCAGTGATGAGCTTCTTGGATTGGAAGCCCGTGGGGACGTATTTGGTCATGGACGTGTCGACGCCGGAGTTCTTGATGGCCTCGACGACGTAGGCAATGGTCGAGCCGCTGCCAATGCCGATGATCTTGGCATCCTTGGGGTAGTGGTTGTCAAAGGCGGCCTTACCGGCGGCGCGCTTTGCGTCTTCGATGGAGTTGGACATTGTGGATTGGAAACGAGCCGAGGGACGGCGGATGACCGGAGGTGGGTGCGGACGGGATTGGGGACGCAGGGGGAATGACAGGAAAGACCTAGAGGAGAGACAGGAAGCTGGTAATCTGAGAAGGAGATCAGCCAATTTTTCCAAGTCTTATTTAGGGTTATTGGATCGCAGGAAGTATCTAGCGGGGCTGTCAAAAAATCTTGGGCAAGCGGGCCAACGGCGCCCACCGGAGGGGAACGGGGGACCCTAGAAGAAGAAGTGGGGGAGGAGGGGCTCTCTGAGGCTGAGGAATACACCTCCAGAACTAAGTGCAGAGAATGAGACCTGTTATTCGTTCACTTACAAGGATAGTCCACTTGTGGTGACGATCAACCGCATACCTGGGGAGAGGAAGTTGCGCGACAGGATCGATCATCAATGCCGTCATCGTCATCGTCGCGATCCCCGCGCTGCGTCCTCAGGCAGCGAACAGCACGCACGGACCAGGTACTATCACGTGATGAGCTGCCAGCTTGGTGCCTGAGGATGGATATCAGTCGGTCTGATGTCCATACTCTCTCTCCTTCTATCAACCACACCCCATTCATCAATCGTGTGGATTCTACAGTCCGGTCTGGTGAGATAGACGCTGGTCTTCTACTCGCCGACCTCCTGTCTACCCCTCATTCTTCCCCTCATCAACCCCACCAAACCCCCAGATGGCGGACGCCTTCCCCCAGGCCCTGGCGGGGCCATCCTCAAAAGAGAGGAAGTACGATCGTCAGCTTCGACTATGGGCCGCCAGTGGACAGCAGTCGCTGGAGGAATCCCGCGTGCTACTTGTCAACTCGGACGGTCCGTGGGGCAACCAGAGCTCCGGAGTCACAGGCGTAGTAGGCGTCGAGACGTTGAAGAACCTCGTACTTCCGGGAGTTGGAGGCTTCACCATTGTTGATCCCGCGGTTGTGACTGAACCTGACCTGGGGCTGAATTTCTTCTTGGAAGAGAACTGCCTGGGCAAGTCTCGGGCGGGGGAAACCTGTCGATTGCTACGGGAATTGAACCCGGATGTAGAAGGAAGCTCCCATGCAAAGGTACGTATTGACAACTTGATTGTCTCTGTAGATCGACGCTAACTTGTGGATAGCCGATAGCAGAGATCGTGAAAGAAGATCCAGACTTCATTTCACGACATCAGCTGGTGTTGATCTCGGGCCCCATCCAACGGTCTTCACTAGACATGCTCTGCACCGCCGCGAAAGACAACGGCATCCCTGTCCTGTACACGCGGTCTGTTGGCTTCACTTCAACTTTCTCATTACAGCTCCCGGATGTCTTCCCCATAGTGGAGACACACCCCGACCCCGAAACCACCCAGGATCTGCGCCTGCTCAATCCCTGGATGGAGCTAGACATGGCGGGAGCGCGCGTCACGAATCTAGAGAGTCTAGACGATCATGAACATGGCCATGTCCCGTACATCCTCCTCCTTCTACACTACCTGCACAAGTGGAAGCAATCGCACAATGGTGCCGTACCCTCCAACTACAAGGAAAAGACCGAGTTCCGAGAGATGGTGCGGTCAGGCGCACGAACGAACACCCCAGAAGGCGGGGAAGAAAACTTCGACGAGGCTGTGGCGGCAGTGATGAAGTCCCTGAACCCGTTCAGCCTGCGCAGCTCCCTCCGCGAGATATTCGAAATGGACGAATGCAAGAACCTGCGACAAGACTCGGCCGAGTTCTGGATCATTGCGGCGGCGATTCACGAGTTTTACAAGAAGGATAACTTGCTCCCGCTGCCGGGCTCACTACCGGATATGAAAGCCCAATCGGCAGACTACATTGCCCTCCAGAACATCTACAAAGCGAAAGCGCGAAAGGACATCGAAGAAGTCGTGGGGTTAGTCCGATCGATCGAAGCCCGACTTGCACGCCCAGTTAAGGTTTCCGAGAAGGATGTCGAAATATTCTGCAAGAACGCCTCCCACGTCAAGGTCATCCACGGACGAAACATCCCCCGCCTCGACGGCGACGCACGAACCACAAAGATCATCAAAAACAACCTGACCAACTCCGACTCCATCATCTCGCTATTCCTGGCCTTCCAGATCCTCGACGACATCGTAACAGACATCCAACAAGGGAACGCCCCCGACGAGTCCCTGGACAACGACGCCGTGTGGAACACCCACATCGACCGCGCCATCGGGGTGATCACCAGCGACAACCCGGCTGACATTGACGAGGAGGCGCGCGAGCGGATCGTGCAAGCAACACAGGAGCTACGACGGACCGAGGGCGGCGAGCTTCACAACACGTCGGCTCTAACCGGTGGACTGGTCGCGCAGGAGGCGCTCAAGGTGATCACGAGGCAGTACGTGCCACTGGACAACACGTGTATCTTCGATGGTGTGCGCAGCCGCAGCGAGATGTTCAAGTTGTGAGACTACTGTTTTCCAACAGAGAATGATCGACTCAATATGATTTCATGACCTATATTTCCGAGTTCGACGTAGGGCACTACAATGTGTACTAGGTAGTTATTGGGTAGATATTAGTGCTGAGCATCTCCAGCACGCCTACCATGTACAATCCAATTCAGCGACGATGATGTAGACCAAGCCACGGCGGATTCAATTCTTCACACCACCGAAGCTGATATGGCAAGGCACCATTGGCACCCGTAGGCTTCGTTCCGCACCGCTAAAGAAGCTTGTTTCACTCAACACTCAGGCTCCACGATAAGAGAAAAATCCAAATAAAACGATTGATTAATGTAAAGTAATTAACGAAGATGAAGACTAAAAATATACAATCAACAAATCTACGGCACCCATAAGCGTACGAACCCCCCAACCTCCTGCCTGCAAGTAACACAGCTGCCAAAATTATTCATAGCAAGGCTGACTCGACAGTCCTCGCACACACACAGACAGCGACACGGCCAGGTGATGATGGATCGGGGGCTCGTCTGGCAGACTACACAAGGGGGACCACTGGGACCGAGGCCGGAGGCGCCCGATTCCCAGGTTTGTTCGTGGGATGCGGAGGCAGATGAAGCTGCTGGTTCGGACCGGCGCGAGAGGATGAGTTTCTCGAGTTGCTCGGATTCTTCTTCGGGGGTGGGCTTGCGCTTGTCGCGGCCTGAGCGCTGGGATTGGACCCGGGAGAGCAGGACCTTGGCTCGGTCGCGTTCGACCTGCGCTTGGTATTGACGGCGGGTCATGATGCGTCCGTCTTGGCCTGCTGCTAGGTGGGCGGCGAGGATGCGCGCCTCCTGTCGGCTTTCCTGGTCTCGCGGGTCGAGGAGACGGGCGAAGGAACTGATGTCCATGAGCGGTTCCTGGGGCGGGGTGCTTTCGCGGGAGAAGCGGCCTGGGTATGGGTCTTGCTGGGTAGGTGTGCGGCGCCCGTCGGACTCATTCTCCCACTCCGAGTCGGTGGTTGTTGACATTGACACGACGCTGGTCGTGTCGTCCCAGTCGTCGCTAGGCGGCGCAAAGTCGGGCGTTTGGTCCTGATCGCCCCATGAGCCGCCGGCTTTCCACCAGTCGTAGAGCTTCTCGTCCAGACGGCGCTCGTCTGATTGCTCCCAGTCGGCCAGACTCAAGCGCTCCCGTTTCCGCATTTCCGTCTCCACGTCGAATTCATGATTGCTGGGCAGTTCTAACCCGCCGTCGTCGCCTAGGATCCAGAAGTCTAGGGGTTCTCCACGGCGGGCGCGGACAGCCTCCTGCGGCCCTCTTACGCGCGCTCCCAGGATTGTCTTCAGCCACTGTGGTCGGCGACTGATGCCGCACTTGCTTAACAACTTGTCAAGCCCGTAGGCAATCCACCGGAGAAGAAGATAGAAGATGCTGCGAAAGAAAGAGAAGCCATGGTAATACCTGGCGGCACTTCGAAGTGCGCCTACACCAGGGTCAATCTGAGATCGCGCGGGCCGAGTGCCATGTTTGGGTTTCTCGATCTTCCTCTCCTTTCCATATCCACTCTCCCATTCCGAGGGTGCCTCTGGGATAGCGAATTCGATGGCGTCTTGACCCTCTAAAGCCATTCCCGTAGTGTTATCGTGACTAGGTCGAGCCGGTTGCGTCTTCCGAAGGGATTCGAGTTCTGATAGTCTCTCATCTTCTAGCCACGTCATGTTTCGCGCAACGACGCCTTGGCCTTCGTTGAGAAATACTGCTTCACTGGCAGCCGTGAGGACGGTGTATCCGATCCTCAGAAGTGTTGTGTAAAAGTCATCATGCCTGTTCAGGCGGATGCTGTGCATCTGTGTGGACCCTTGCATGTTTTCGTGGGCTAGAGCAAGTCGTTGTCGGACAGATAGGGGCTCGGAGCTGTCGGTAGGCAGGGAGAAGGCGGTGATAAACAGAGCCACGCCGTAAATCACCCCGCACATGATAATCCCCAGCAAAATGAGAAGATGGGGGACAAATCCCACGATGCATACCGTGGGGAATTTGAGAACCAAGTCCTCCGCCCCTGCCGAGCCGCCGCTCATCAAACCCCATGCCATCGCAGACATGTAACAAAATCCCCAGAAGCCGGTGTTGAGCAAACGATACCGGCTCTGCTTCCCAAAGACATCCAGAATGTTCGATGTCAAACTGTTGGAACAGGAGATCAGAGCGATGAGGAGTAGCTCCGGGGTCACATTCATGCGTTCCAAGACCTGGGCCCGGGTGAGTAGATGTAGCGCCGATTGAGAGGATTCACCGGAGTCGGCTTTGGAGATATTCGCCTTGGGGAGACCAAACAGCCCCAGTCCAAGAGACTGCGAGATGGTCGACTCTGCTTCGGCAAAGGCCAGGGAATGCTCAAAAATCGACATGCCGGCTTCTGTGACGACTACCCGCCCCTGCAGCGCGCATGACAATGTTTCGACAAAGTGGCTCAAACAGAGACGTAAGAATACCGGCCACAAGAACCTAAAGGAGCCATAGGGGATATCGGTAGAATTAACCGAACGAGACATATGGACCGCACTGCATGATTGGTCGTCCGTTTCCCACGGTGTCAGTGTGGATGCGAGCGAGTAGATAAAGCCCCCGCCACCCGCATGATCAAGCGAGAGTCGCTTTCCGGGAGTGCCGTAACGCATGAGGGGATAATCCGGGGAGGACTGGCACCGCATGGCGCGGAGTAATGTGAAGATCTGGGTTATGAACAGGACGATGGGGATAATGCGTAAGGAGAGACGTCGGTGCCAGTCGAGGTTGAGATGGCGGCGCGTGGATGCGTAGATGGTGATTCTATTTAATACTAGACCCTAACCGACAGAGTTAGCATCTTCCTCCGTAGCAAACCGAAGGACTTTGATAGCCATCGGGGAGGACCATACCACGGTGAAGCAGGCCAACGACCAGCGACTGGTCAAATAAGAAAAGAGCCCGCTGAACTTCACGACCGCCTGGAAAAAGTCCGCAAAATGCAGACCCGAGTCTGCAGCATCCGCCATGCCCTCCTGCGCAGCTCCCGCAACCGCCTGCGTTGTGGCCGCCACGGCGTCACTTCCCGGCCCCGTGGCCGGCCCTGAGCGCCAAAGGTATGTCGCCATCCCGGCAATCTGTCGAGGGATCGTCGAGAATGCCAAAGTCTCCGCCTGATGGAGGCCCCGAAGCGGCAGTGACAACAGTTCGCGCGGGTAGGAAGATAGGGAGAAACGAGCGGTGGAGTTGCCGAGGGATTGCGCGGCGAGTAATGAGGTGCTTGTAACTGCGGGGGTGGGTACGGTGCCAGTCAACTGTAACGTGGACATGTCCATCCCTCCGTCTGTGATCCAGATCCACGTCTTCGAGATCTACCCAATACTGGAGGTAGTACTCTCACGACATCTGTGGCGGGCGAGCGTGAGACGGGACGTGGCGGAGTAGAACCCCTAGAGATGGAGACACGCGATAAAGGTGATCGGCATAGTGTGTATTCTCCCAAATTTAGCACATGATATGAAGCGAGGGTGGCACCACGACCAGATGGTGAGGTTAAAGAGTGAGAGTCGATCTGGATGAAGTGGAGGGGAAGAAACAAGACAGTCGGAGGCCTGAGGTTCTCGGTCTCCATCGTCACCGTCGCTGGCCTAAGGCTGTGACGCTAAGCCGTTACGGGCGATTCCCCGCGGATCCAGGCCGGTGGCACGTGCTGCTGAGTAATTATCCAATTATCCATATCCAGTATCCATATCCAGTATCGATATATGGTGGATGATCATATCAAACAACTAACACTGAATGATACAGCTGGATTTCTTTTGGTTTTTGGAGAACTCCACTGGGGAGGCATTGAAGAGTCAAGGTACCTGCCGTGCCAAGAGATATCCAGATACGGTCTAGCCCAACTGATTATCAGAGACCCGCTTCTTCTATCCATCTTCGACTGTTCTTCAACCCGACCAGTGACCGACATTGACTACATTGACAGGAACTAGCCATTCCTTGGCTTAATGATCGGCCTTTTCTGAAGCTACCAAGTGGAAATACCACTGTTTGTGTCAATTGTCCCTTCAGCCCTCTTCCTAAACACTCCGTCCCTACCAAAAGCAATGAACAACCGACCAGTGGAACAGGCGTTGGCCACGCTGGTGCCAACGCACGCCAATGATCTACCTCCAGAGCTCGTCGGCCTAGCATCATCCCTAGTGGCACAGTCGCGGAGCTTTGCGTCCAGCTTACGACCCGAGGAGGAGATTGCGCGACCCTTTGCCTGCTCAGAGATCGCGTGTCGGAGGTATGTCCAACCTCACTTGACCTTGGCAGCCCCAAACTTCCCAGGCCATTCTAACAAAGATACTCTTCTACAAACTCCAGGCTAAGCCGCAAATTGAAACTCCCCGCTCTACTAGGCCATCCGCCGTGCCCCCCACGCGCCTACAAGAACCTCTATAAACTCCTCGATCAGTCGGTATCAACCGGCGGAACGGGCGTGAAACGCTCCGGAAGCAATTCCGTCCCAGGGACCCCATCGCGTGCCGGCTCCAACCCATCAACACCAACCAAGGAACCCCGATTGACGCGCACTCCGTCGAAACAAGCAACGGCCACCCCGCGGGCACTACAGCACACCCCCAGCAAAGCCACACCGCTAAAAGGGTCTGTAACGAACGCCGAAAGGCCGCGAGCATCACACTCGCCGCAGAAATCCTTCAAACCCCGCCCACATGGGCTCTCCAACTCGACGATCATCGCCGACGCGCCCTCATGGGTGATGACGGCCATCCGCACCATGTGCACGACGCTCTCCACGCCCGCGCCGCGAACAAGTACCTGGTCCCGACCTCCCGTCTCACGAGAGCTCCCGCCGCATATCTTCGCCGGCACATCCTCCATCTTCCACTTCATCTCGCAAGCCAGCTCCGACGACTTCGACGAGGAAGTCCTAGCATTCATCGAGCCGATCACGATCACCCAAGACAAAGAAACAGACGAGGAGTTCCAAGAGCTCGTCAAATCCCTCCTAGTAGCGCTGTACTTCCTGGTTCTCGCGCGCAGACGAAACCCGACAGCCGAAAGCGCCGAGACAGCGGAAGCGCCGAAACTGGATAAGAAGACGTTCTGGGACATGCGCCAGACGGCACTCACGAGCCTGAGTCTACCATCAACAGACCGACGACACCGAGACAACGTCGAGCAGTGGATCGCGGTCATCATGGAGCAGGGCTGGGCCAACGGCCAGGAGTGGTTCGAGAACATCCCGCAGGGGGCGAGCCTCGACGAGGAGTATCTTTCCGGAGAGGAGGGAGGGGTTGATACGCCTCACGGAAGCAAGCGTCAGAAGACTATGGGAGGGTCTCTTTTACAGCGCGACTCGAGAAAGGGCCTTCTGCCGGGTCTGGGGACGATGATGCAGGACCGGGTGGATTTTCTGAGTGAGGACCGACGGGAGGATTATTTGGAGTGGCGAGCTGATGTGATGGCTCGGACTGGGGGGATGAAGAGTGCGGCTTGAGGCATATATCAAAGTCCGTAGGGATCCATACCCTCAGAATGATACCCTGATCTACTATTATCACGATCATTATTAACTATTGTTGTTATTCTTTTACCGTCCGGAATTGGTCATTGGAATAAGAATTCTGCTGTATTCTATACTGCAGAGAAAGAGCGCGAGGCCCCGCTAATCCAGCGATCACACGGTGTGCCTCTCAAAATTCACCACAATAGTCCTAGCGGCCAGCACAAGAACAGTAGTAATGTCTATCTATGGAAACAGAAAGTGGGACAAAAGCGAGGGTATAGTAGTGAAGAAGTGAACGGGAAAGAAAGCCATCGTCTGGTTGTGGACCCAAAAGTGTAGATGGTGCGATCTCGGGTGCCCTAGGGCACAGGTTCAGTACCAGATGCTTCTGGTGCGGTGGTGGGGAATCGACTCCTGTCCGTCGGCCTCGATTTCTTTCATGGTGTCGTACAGGAAGAAGTCGATGAGGACGGCGTTCACGTTCGAGGTCTTGTGCTCTTGGACGCTCTTCTGCCTGAAGTGCTTCTGGGTCGAGCACATCCTCGCGGGGTCGTCCTCCGGCGACAGGGTATTGGATTTGTCCACCGATCCCTGGCGCGTCGTTCGAAACTGCGACCCGGGGTGTTTTTGTTCGATCTCACGGCGGATGAGCTCGACGCACCAGACGCTGGTGGCACGGAGCTCGACTTCCCAGGTCGAACCGTGGGGCAGCGGCTTGAGGTCCCGAATGTGGCTGGTCAACGGCGGAGAGTAGACCAGACAGCCGAGTTGGTGGAGGATTTGGGGGATTCGGTAGTCTAGACATTCATCAGACATGGACTTGGGAGCACGGGGCGAGATTTCATACCGGCAAACATGGTGATCTTGTCAATGTCGTGGAATTCGCCGAAGCTCTCACCGTTGAAGCACGCCCACAGATCGGCAACGAGGATCTGCGCTCGCTTATACAGTCGAACCCTGCGACCCTGGAAGGATGTCTCGTCACGGAAGCAGGAGAATGACTCCGTCAGGATATTGACGAGGGCCGCCGCTGAATAGTTGGCGTTGTAGATGCAGTTCAAGAAACTGCCCTCAAAGTCCTTGCACAAACCCCGTCCGGCCTCGCGCAGGCAGTCCACTCGTTCTCGGAACAGAGGGATCGGCTCTTCCGTCGCGGACCGAAAGACATGCTGGAGCTTCTCGTCGGGGCACGCCTCCTCGTTCACCCAGAATTCGGGGTCCGTAATTGGGATCCCTGCGAGACTTAAGTCAACCATCCTTGTTGCAACCGACCGCCTCTCACTGATCCGTACCTTCATCCAACGCTCTCTGCAGAGCGGCCACCAAGCTCCAGTACCCGGTCCAGCGTCTCCCGCGATAGTCGATCGCAAACCGTTCGGCCTCGGGAAGTTCGGACCAGAAGCTGAAATTGAGCAGATCCATGGTGAAGATGAACGCGACCGTGGCCTCGTCCTTCGCTTGCGGGTGTAGCTCATGATCGGACCAGGTTTCCGTCGAGTATTCCTTCTTCTGCATCAGGCGCCAGATGGTCTCCGCGGCCTCCTTTGTTTTGGTGGGACTCAATGCGACATCGACGGCATTGTCGAAGACGTATTGGGCATTTTCCAGGACCTTTGTCTCTGCCGCTCTTGGATTGGCTGGACCACTGCCTAACCCCAGGGATTTGCGAAGGAGGGCGAGCAACTCGGGGTCTGCTTCATCGTCGGACATGGTGGGCGGGAGGGGGATACCACCGATAACGATTTGACGGTGGTTGCGAAGAGAGCAATTGGACGGCGCAACAGTATCTGTCAGATCCACAGTGAGATTGAAGGGGATACAAACGGGAGAGAAAAGGGAAAAAACAATCAACCCAAGTGGTCAACAATTCTCGTCGACAACGAAAGAACAACGAACACAAAAAATCATAAAAAAAACAAACAGATAAGGAAAAAGGTCAAAAAAGGAGGGGGACCGGTTTAGCGTACTCTATTAGGCCCGCAGGGAGTTTGGGTTCTCCACGACCGGAACCAACGGGAAGACCGTTTGAAGTAGTCGCAATGAATTAACTCCAGACGATCAGGGTCAATCGCACGCTGGGCCAGCTGGTTTGATCAATGGCAATCCACAAAGGGAGGGAGATCCACCAAGGGCGAAGAACGGTGGTGAAAAGCATCTTGGAAGATCCAGCACGTTCATTCTTTCATTCTTTATTCTTCCTTCTTTCATTCTTTCAAGTTTCGAGGCCTTTGCTGCGATGCCGTTATGTAAGCAAGGGCCTGGAATGTCAGGAGAGAATGTGGGAACCGTCTAGGGCGCCGCATTCTGATGCAAGTTTTGTATGATAGAGACTAGAGACAGGACATATCAGGAGCAGACATGGATGGATAGTCCAAGCTCAGGAAAGATGCAGGTAATATGTAGGTAGGCCGAGTGTAGTATAGTCTCATGTAGATCGCACGACGGGGAGACGGTGGTGATATGCACGAGGGTCAGATAAGGAGAATGAAGTTGATGAGTAAAATAGACAGAACAGAGAAGAGTATATAATAAAAAAGAGAATAAGATCAAAGAATCAACAGGGAGAGTGGAGTGTAGAAGACAAGAGAGGTGAAGTGAGTGAAGATGAGAAATGCCGTCATTGTCCGGTCGGATTCCCATGATCGCGGTGGCCTGAAACCCCAGGCCGACCACCGTTCTCCTTCAGTCAAGCTGAACTTCATTCAATCTTCAACTTCATCTTTTCCTTCCTTCTTCCCCCTTCCTCTTCTTCTTCTTCAATTATTATTTCTACAGTTTCCCAGTCTATTGGCGATGCCGTTCGACTTCTTTTGACTCTGGTTACCATCTTCTCCATCCTGTACTTGCTCCTAGCTCCCCCGTGGTCGCCGCAATCATGCCGCGCGATACTTACCTGAAGCGCTCCGTCGGCACGCTTTCCAGGCGCATTGCAGAGGTATGACCGTTTCTCATTTGATGGAATTGTTGTATTCGAGCTTCTGAACATGTTCTAATGTCTCCTCCGTCTAGTCCCGTGTTCTTCTCGTCGGTGCCGGTGGGATCGGCTGTGAACTGCTCAAATGTCTCCTGCTCTCCGGCTTCGGTGAGGTCCACATCATCGATCTCGACACCATCGACCTCAGCAATCTCAATCGCCAATTCCTCTTTCGTCTCGAACACATCAAGAAACCAAAAGCTATCGTGCGTCGTCTCAGTCTACCCGATCCCCTGCTTCTTCCGCAACCGTTGTACACATAACTCCCACCCGACCTAGCTAGGTGACTGACGGATTGGTGCCGAATTCTCTAGGTTGCGAAAGAAGCGGCGCACAAGTTCCAACCGCGCGCAAAGCTAGAAGCCTACCATGCGAATATCAAGGACGCCCGCTTCAATGTCGATTGGTTTGGGGGGTTCGACGCCGTCTTCAATGCGCTCGACAATCTAGAAGCGCGCCGTCATGTCAACCGGATGTGCTTAGCGGCCGATGTGCCTTTGATTGAGAGTGGAACAACGGGGTTTAACGGACAGGTTCAGGTCATCAAAAAGGTGGGTGCACTTCCTCCTGTTTCTGGGTGGCCGGTCGGGCTGACAACCAGCAGGGCCAGACAGAGTGCTACGATTGCAATTCCAAAGAGGTCCCGAAATCCTTCCCGGTCTGTACGATCCGCAGCACGCCGAGCCAGCCAATCCACTGCATTGTCTGGGCGAAAAGCTACATCTTTCCGTAAGTTGCCGCGGCATCATTTCCTCTCCAGCTCAATACTAATCCTTCCAGGGAGCTTTTCGGGACCAGCGAGGAGGAGACGGAGGAGTTTGATCATTCAGAGGATGCCGAGAATAGTCAGTCCCAGCAGGATACCCAGGGTCTGAAGTGACAGTGGCTAACATCTCCCAGAGGAAGAGATTGAAACCCTCCGCCAGGAAGCGCTGGCTCTGAAGGAAATTCGTCAGTCCATCGGTACTTCGGAATTTGCTGGAAAGGTTTTCGACAAGATCTTCAAGGAAGACATCAATCGCCTTCGGGGCATGGAAGACATGTGGAAAACCCGCAAGGCCCCGGAGCCGTTGGACATGGCGGCCTTGGAACAGGAGTCTTCCTCCATCGACCCGGCAATCTCCCAAACGGACCAGAGGGAGTGGACGTTGGCCGAGGATTTTGTTGTTTTCCGAGACAGGTGCGGTTCCTTTCTGTGCCTTTCACATCTAGTGGGATAATGCTGACCAAATTCCAGCTTGGACCGACTCAGTAAACGATTGAAGAGTCTCCAGGCGGCCCCTACCGGAGATGTGAAGCCTATACTGGTCTTCGACAAGGATGATGTTGATACGCTGGACTTCGTGACCGCTTGTGCCAACCTGCGAGCCACCGTCTTCGGGATCGACCCCAAGTCAAAGTTCGATACAAAGCGTGAGCCCATTCCGTATTTCCTGGGAGATGGTCTAGAAGGTCGCGCTAACGTAATGCGCAGAAATGGCTGGCAATATCATCCCAGCGATCGCGACTACCAATGCAATGACCGCCGGGCTCTGTGTTCTACAGGCTATGAAGGTCCTCAGAGGGGAGTATGACAATGCGAAAATGGTATACAGGCTTCTTTTCCATACATTGCGACTTGTAATAACCGCCAGATAGGTATTCCTCGAACGTTCTGGCGCCCGCGCGATCAACTCCGACTCTCTAAAACCTCCGAATCCAAACTGCCCGGTCTGTTCGGTTGCCCAGGGCCGATTAAGAATTGATCCCCAGCGCGCCACCGTCCAGGACCTGGTGGACGATATCCTGCGTCTACAGCTTGGGTACGGTGAAGAATTCTCGATCAATAACCAATTGGGCACGTTTTACGACCCTGATCTGGAGGACAATTTGCCCAAGAAGCTGTCCGATCTGGGTGTCGAAAATGACGGTTTCATCACGGTCATTGATGACGATGATGATCAGCCGCGTGTGAACCTGGAGCTTGTCGTCCACGTGGCCGAGAAGTGAGTTCCTTGAATGTTTCTTAACCACTGGAGTACATACTAACAGCTCGCCAGAAACGAATCTTCATCGGAAGAGCAAAAGCCCATCACCCTCGAAAAGATCCCCGAAATCCCGCGGAAACCCAAGACACAGTCGGAGCCCGCCCCCGAAGTCAGCGAGCATACCAACGGCACCTCCGGCCCCGGGAAACGGAAGCGCGACCTGGAAGAAGCAGGGCTCGCGAACGGAGACGATCGCGCCAAACGCCTTGCCAACGCGTCCGTAGCCGACGGCGACGGCGCGAACCCCATCGTTCTAGACGAAGCACCAGGGGGAGCGATTCTCATTGATGATTGAACGGGATTGTGGAGAGGAGTTGAATCGGAGTACACAGGCATATTCATTTTCATTTAAGGTTCTGTTTCTATGGTCGTCACCCAATCTTGCATGTCTCTTTTTTTTTCTTTTTGTTGTCAACCCCATCTTCTAAAATTTTCCCTTCGTCTGTATCATACATATTACGGTCTCTGGAATAGAACAAGTGACGGCCGGTGCTAGTACTACTTAACTGTTAAACAAGACGCATATTGTATACACGAGAGGCAATCGTCAATTGATATCTTCACTATAGTACAATTACACAAGGTATAGACCTAAAGGCTCCGACGGATGAGCAAGCCCGTACAATAATATCAAACAGCGCTCAGCCCCCCATCCAAGTTCAGAACGCAGTTATTCGCGTATTCGTTATGCGCCAGGAACACCGCCGCATCGGCGACTTCATCGGGGCGACCGAACCGCCGAAGCGGGATGGACTCCTTGAGCTTGGATGTCTGGCTCTCAGTGAAATCTGCACGGTGGTCAGCTAATCCCACAAATACCAGTCAAACACATAGTATGGAGAGTGGCTAGGCGGGGAGAAGGGAAAGCTAAGAAAATACATACCAGCAATCATAGGCGTCTCAATATACCCCGGAACAATAGCATTCGACCTTATAAACACACCCTTCAACGACTCAGCCGTCTCAACAGCCAACGACCGCGTAAGTCCAAGGACACCAGCCTTGGAAGCCGCGTAGGGAACGGCACCAGTCCCGCCCTTCAGCGCCAGCAGGGACGACACGTTGATGATGCATTTCGAAGGGGGACGGGCGTCCGCCGACGGGGTGGATGCAGATCGGGTCTTCACTCTGCTGCGGATAGAGGCGCGGACCAGCGCGCGTGAGGTGAGCAGGGCGCCTTCGAGGTTTGTGCGGAGGACTTGCGAGATGTCTGATGGTTCGGTGCGGGGGAGGATGTTGGAGTTGGAGATTCCGGCTGCGTTGACGAGGATGTCGACGGGTTGCTGTGGATATTAATATACGATACATGTATATAAGAGTGAGGACCTACCATTGCCTTTTCAAGCTCGCGACCCCAAGATCCAGCGTCGGAGACGTCACCGACGAGCAGGTGGAGACGCTCCGACGACTCAATCAACGACCCAGGCGATAATTGTTCCGTCGGTGTATGTCTCGAACGTAGTTGACGATCCTCTTCCGGCGCGCGCGTCGCCACATCGTCAGTACTGCTGTCCTCCCCAGCAGTCAATGTCGGGGCCTCCAACCGGGCAGCAGCAGCAGCTAGACGATCAAACGATCGACCGACTAGGATGACGCGCGATGCGCCTTCGCGCAGGAAACGCTCCGCGATAGCGAATCCGATGCCGGATGACCCGCCGGTGATCATGCATGTTCGGCCGGACAGTCGATTAGACGTGCAGGGTGCAGATTGGGTGTTTTTCGGAGGTGTTGAGAGGAACGTCCGCCGTTGCGCGTTGGCTGGGGGTGTCCTATGCGGGGAGACGAGAAGAAGTGATGATGGGCGCGTCGCTAATATAGCTTTGCGGGGGCAGAATATGCGTAATTGATGCATGTCGAACGATATTCAGGTTCTATAGGACTCTATGGAGTAGTCGTATACATCCAATGGATCCAATGGATGGTTTGACCAGTTCGTAGACCTGTCGGTGGAATCATACAAGATGCATGTGACGTGTTGTCAACGCGAGGAAGGGGTCTTCAAGATCGCATTGATATAGGTGAGTATAAATATGAAGTATATTCGAAATGACGTTATCTCAAAAAGAGAAAAGACAGTATAGAATAGTGGACGAATAGTAGAAGAAGCGGCCGCACTGACCAGCCAGAAACCGCGTTATGATGCCGAGTCTCCCCGCTTTCCGCCTTTCGATCGCCCGCCATTTCTCTTCGTCAACTTCAAACCTGACCTCCTCCCAATCACACACCCACGGCAACAACCATGGAATCCACCCCGGAAGTTCAGAATATGTCACTCTCGTCTCAGGGGATGGGTTCGAGTTCATCGTGCCTCGAAGCACCGCCTGCGTGTCCGGCACAATCCGTCGCATGTTGGATCCGTCCAGTACGCGCTTTCTCTTTTTCTCAATCCTTTCCCCTCCCTTCTTTTAGAATAGAAAATGCTAATAATACCATAAAGGTAGGTTCTCCGAAGCCGTGACCGGTCGCTGCGTCCTCGAAAACATGAGCGGCCTGGTGCTGGAAAAGGTCTGCGAATACCTCTGCTACAACCTCAAGAACAAGAATCAGACCAACGTGCCGGATATGGATATTCCCCCGGAGTTGTGTCTGGAATTGTTGATGGCTGCGGATTATTTGGATACGTAATTACGGTATGTTTCGTTCCTGGTGTCATGTCTTGCATTGGAGGGCTTTCATCTGACTGATAATGATTCTTACAGAAACTACGCGAAACGATGACGGAAGACGCAAGTCTGGATAATGCTTGAGAAAGATTTCCTTTTTGTATATTTGGTGGAGTTCGGTCGGAATATTCTACAGCGTGGCGTTGGTTAAGGTATGGTTCTATACATTAATCCTACATTATATACACATGTTTTTGCTTGCCAAATGCCTCCAAAGGTATTGGCATGCCTCGGTTTCCTTGATGGTTACCTTTCTTCTGTCCAAAAGTCTCATGAAGACAATCGCAAGCCTCGGCTTGGCCATCGGAGCATCAACGGCCGCCTCTACATATAGGCGGTCGTTCTAAAGATGATGGCAGATCAGCCCACGGTGCAAACCCCTCCTATTCGGCCCTCGTCCCACTGTCATGGATATGAGGACCTTATTCCAAGGGGGACATGCTTTGGAGCTCACGGACATAGTGCTCGTGTTAGAACTCTCCCAGTAATTCATATCGTCGAATCGTCTTGGTTTCACCGTCCCTTCGCTCGAGGTCGGGGAGGACCCCTCTTCTGATTCGGCTTCGGGCCTTGCAGTTTGTAGAGCTTTTCCTTGCCGAACGCCGAGTCGGCCACCCGGAGATAACTGACGACACCCTGGTCCACGACGGCCAAGATGACACTCCGGTATCCCTGCCGTAGCCGCAGGGAGAGGACTCTGTCCATCCTGGGACCCTTGGGTGGGTCCAGCGGCGTGCTGTCGAGCAGAGCGCTCATTTGGGCTAATGTCGGCACGGCGGTTTCACGGGCGTTCACGACAGCGACTCGGAAATCGGCCGCTGGAGGAGCGGATTTGCGGAACGGCGTAGAAGGCTTGTACACGTGGAAGACGACGCGGAATGGCGGGGATGTCGGGCGCGATTCAGACCGCGGGGCAGTAGGATCTTGCCAGGGGATGATGGACAGTTTGCGGTATATGTCATCTAAACGGGAGAACATTAGCTGAGAAGCAAGTCGGGGACTGTAGAGTACTACCCACCATAACTGCGGTGAATTCCAAGACCGACGAGAGGTCCTGCCGCAGGACAAGAAGGGGAATCAGACAGCCACTGCATGAACCGTCCAAAGACCCCCGCCAAGCCAGGTCCTCGCGACTGCACCTGAGCATCCTCCGCACTGCAGTCCCCCTCATCGGCATCATCGTACCACCCAGGAGCGCGCACAAGCGTGTATCCCAACCGCCGTAGCCCAGTATAGACAGAGAATCTCTCCATATTCAAACCACCGTGCCCAAGGAAGCACGCATACGCAGCCTGCAAGCTCATCGGTATCCCCGAATCCGCCGTCTCACTCTCCCCGGGACACCCCGTCGACGAAACCGGCCATCGGATATCCAAGCTGCCTCGCTCAAGCAGGTACAAGGCTTCCTCGGGGAGTAGCCAAACGCGGTTCCACCGATCTGCGCGACCGATCGTTTTGAAGTATTGACCTTTGGGGTTCGACACGTAGACGCAGGACTCTGCGGGGACGCCCATCTCCATCCCTGCGACTTTGGCGGGCTCAGCATCCCCGGCTGTCGCTGTGGTATCTTCTGTTTGTTGCGGTTGAGTGTCGTTATCTTCTAGAACGGTATCCATCTGCTTCGACGGCTGTGCGAGCGGTGGCGGCGCGGGGCCGTCGGGCGCATAGATACCGATGACCTGGTTCCTGGGGTGGTGCAGACGGGGGTACGCGAGGGCATTGTGCATCGCTTGGCGCGACGCGGAGAGGATGTCGGCTTGGAAGAGGGTCGGGTTCGGTTCGAAGTCCTTTTCCCCGCGTTTGGGGAGGCTGCCTTGGGATCCATCTGTGAGGCTGGTTCCTGTTAGCTAATATCCACTGGAAAGGAAGAGTCAGTCAACATGGGGTATACGAACAAGGTGAGGTGGTTCAGCATGCGAAAGTCTTGCGTCTCGTCGGAGAGGTCGGTGTCGATGTGCGCGGAGGAGTCATTGGAGGGCATGTGAATGGCCGCTTCGTCCGTGTCGGCCATTTTGACGATTGCAGATATTTTACCCCGAAGAATCAAGCCGGCGTCAAGTGTGGAGAGTGTGGTTGAGACGTGGAATGAAGCAACGACGATGCGCTGCAGAGCTGGATTGATAACGATGCGCGATAAAAAATCTCGGTGGTCCGTGCTGGAGCATATCAGCCTATCGGCCAAGTCATCCACGGTGCATCTCGCGGGGTTCAATGTTGTTTCCTGCTCCACCTTCGTGTCGAATATCTTAACGGCGGATATTTATCTTTCGCCAGAGGATCTTCTCATGGATACGAGCGCGGCTGGAAATGACACTGACTATAATGAAATTCTCTCTCAAGTGCGCTCACCACTACCACCACTGCACGCCATTGACAGCCCCTCACTGACCCTGCTGATATCTAGATCTCGGTGAGCTTGAATAATGCTCTGAACACGTATGGTGCTTCGTCTCCGCAGTATCAGACGATCCTCTCGATTCTCAAGGATTGTCTGCAGAAATATGGGTGCGATGGTCGACAAACACACGAGCTGGATCCGGATACCCTGAGTCTGGCAATGGGTTTCTTGGAGATCGGGAGATAGTCTGCCCCTCGATCAGTTGGATGAGAAAAGTCTTACAAAGTGGTGTCGACAGGCGCAATGTACGGGAGTAATCCACGAGCTTGATCGGGCCCATGGCAAATATCATGCCTACAAAGAACCAGAGAACACTCCGTCGCGGACTGGCAAAACATAGACTACACATACAGCATCCTCAAGTATAAATGTTACACATTAATCCAAATACTGGGGAATCATTTAGGAAGCAACCGCCCCTGGTCATAACGGGACTCTTCGTGGAAACGAACAAAGCCAACCCCCGGGCCAGTAGAACACGCAATAAAGGCTCACACGAACACCATGCAACAACAACAAAACTCCGGGTCCCATGCATTCATAAAGCGTTAGTGTGCCTGCCGTGTGGTCGCAAGCTGTCAGAAGGATATGCGCAGCAGATTCTGACATCCATCGCGTATATCTGACCTCTCTCGATCCGGTGCCGGATCAATCGATCAGAGGCTTCTTCTGGTTGCCCACGATCGCCGCCCCGAGATGACGAAGGGCGTTGTTATCGGCCGGCCGCACTATCGAAGGTAATGGTAACATCGGATTGTCGGGGTTCACATGGATTGCATCGCGCGCAGCCTGTTCGATCGCCTCCATTTCTTCCTTACATCCGGCATGATCGAGTGGGCAAACCACAATCGGCTGTCGGATGATAATGTCTCTTGCGGAGGTGAGATGTGCCTGTTCCCATGAGTTAGCACAATGTAAACGAACCACCTCAACTATAACCACCATGACACCAAGGACAGCCATACCTTCACGGTTAAATAGTATTCGATTTTGTAGAGACTGGCCGTGGTAGTGAACCCGCTGAGCGCATACGTCGGGAACGCCGCCTTCCCTCTGGGAAGGATGCCTTCTGAATCTCGCATGTCCTTGGCCGGAAATACGAGACCTAGATTGGTCAAGTACCCCGTAGGCGGCATCTTGACACCAATGGCCTCTGTCCGCTTGGTCAGTGTCTTGGCTTTGCGCTGGGGCTCATCGCCCTCGTGGTTATATATAATCTCCTCGTCGATGCCGATCGTGATTTTGCTGATCGTGACCTTTCTAGCCTTGGCCATCCACTCGGGGTTGGGTGATAACTTGACGTAAACGCTCACGGGGTCGAGCGGCCCGTAGGACCAACGCGGGAGCGATATCCCCAGCGTCACCAAATGATCCGACACTCGCTCTGCCGACTCTGGGCGATTGTACATTCCGAACGTCGACAGCGTGTCGTACCGAGCGATGGGGACCGGAAACGCATACTTCCGTTGCTCCGAATGCCCCTGCTGAACCATCACAACAATCTCGTAGTAGGTCTCGGCCGTGCGACTGGGAAGCTGTAGACTGGCCGGGGGGACTCGTCGGGAGGCATCGGGACCCCCGCGCCCGAACGGGATAAATAGGACGAAAGGGAGGTCCATCGAAATGACCTCCTCGTATTCTCGACCAGCTGGGCAGCGAAACAGGAGCATTTCCTTGCCCACGATATCCGTGATCTCCTTTCGGGGCGGCGCAAGCCGTCTCTTAGTCAACGAGTCCGCCGAAGGATGTATTGTCTCGCGACGATGGAGGGATATGGTGACCAGCGACACGTTGACGGGGGCGGTAATACCGACACCAGGCCTGATCTCGACTTTACCTTCAACACGAGGCTGAAGCGCGGGGGTGTGGGTTAGCAAAGCGCTCTCTCCCCTGGGACGATAACAACCCCAACAACCACATACTCACCATGGTCGCAGAAATACCAGGGTATCCAATCAGGAAATTGCCATTCGGCGGGCCTGAAACGCGCACGAAGGCGGCCATTGTGCAAGCGCAGGACCCGCACCACCATGGGCTGGCGGCGGTTGAGAGGGATGCGCTCCGGGACTATTGCGGGGAAGTTTGTGATCTTGACGACCTAGGAATCCCTGACAGGACCATAGATGCCAGCTGTCCCACCTTCTCCTGCACGGGATGCGCTGTACACCGAGTCTGGGTGAAATGAACTTGGTGAGGCTGACAACTCGTGTTGGTTTCGCGAGGCTGTCGATGCGGTCAACTGGCCAGGCGGGATATGTCGGGGGTGAGAATTCGAGGGATAGAATGCCGATCCAGGGTAGATCTAGGCGCGTGGATGTCTCAGAATTGAGGGTATCTGGTTGTTTATTTCCTTTGTTTACCTCCCCCAACCCAAAACGGTGAAAAAGTCGAGAAATGCAGGAGTTGGGAGGATTAGCGCCAATGTGGGGGGGAAGTGTTGAGGTGACGGAGCTGGAGAGGGGGGAAGGAAACAAGAGGGAGAAAGAGTGGCGGCGGCTAGAGAGATTAATTCTAGAGTCCCTGAGCCTTCTTCGCTTCTGCCGTCAGCGATCTGCGCCCACCATAGAACGGACTAGTCTACGATGGAGTCGGTAATTTCGGTGGCTTCTTTCCTTGATTTGCTAAGGTTTATGGTCTGACATTCCTCACAGAACACCTTTGTTGTTTGGATAAATATTGTTTCAAGACGGGGGACCGAGTACAGCCCCAGACGGTGCCATGGACGCCTCCCCCCTGGGCGTTAATGGCATATACCTTTTCGATAGCCACCCCCGGATCCCCGGTACCTGAACAGTCGATACCAAAGGTACAGCTCGGGGAGGTGGATCGGCGGCAGATTCGGGCGCATATCGGCTTTCCTCCTGGTCGTGTCCACTCCACAATTCCCCATTGTGGTACATGGTACGAAGTCTTTCGTTTCTGCTCAAGAGAAGCTTGGTGAAGCTTAAACAATTCGACCTTCAAATCCTGGGCCCATGTAATGCACGGATCCGTCGACGTCATAGCCGATATAGCCCTGGTCTAGGATGTCTAGACTCCCTCGGCCTAGTCATCTAGTCAGCAGTCAGCACAACCAATACCTGGCATTGAACACAATCTGGATGAATGGAGAAACAAACAATATCGTTATGACAATCATTCATTGTAAAGTTCATCGAGAGATCAAGTGCGATCAAATTCTCGGTTCACCCACTATAACTTCTCTCGACGATCTTCCCTCGTTGAGATATTTCAATCCCAGACTATCCATTCCGGCCAGGGTCTAACTGCCGCGAGACCTCCTTTATTCCGACCTCAGTCCATTATGGAGTACAGATAGGCTTTGACTCGGAAATAAGCCCGACGACAAAGAATCCCAGGCGAAGGGGCATCGAGATACCTTGTTCACAAATCCTCGACAGAGCCGATGGTTTTCATTCGTTGACATCGCTCCTTGGCAGAAGACACATTATTTGACCGATAAGGGCCACATCAGGAGCAGTCGAAGGTATATCAGAGGAAGATTCTCGTAGCAAAATGTAACAGGCAATCTAGGTGATATGAGGGCTGCACGAATGCCCGTATGCCCTACGCATCAAGAACGTGCGCCGCTACCCATGTCAAATTCGGGGGAGCATCACAGAGTGGCTTCGATCCAAAGAAGACCGAGCGTTGCTCCAGCAATGTGAAACACGGTGTTAAATAGTGCATTGGTCTCCTTGAAACACTGCATTCGCGTCTCAAACCATGTTGCCTATGTCATAGGACGGGTTGACTTCTCAGCATGGTGCTCCTAGTGTCAAACCTAGGGCTGATTTAATGTCCGAGCAAAGCACGTTGTAAGATTGCCAAAGAGCCTACATTGTTTGACCAACAATCCAACCCGACAGTCTATTCGATTGAGTGGACCCCTGGGTAGATGATACTCGTTTCATTGTCCAGATATAATGTCCTACATCGTCGGAACAAGGGAGGTCATTTCAGCGGTCAGTTTAGCTGTAGCAAAAATAAGACCTGGGAGACAAAGGCAACAGGTCACTCGGCAAAAGATCCTGTCACAGGCTTCCCTCAATGTAGGGAGTATAGAGGATTTGTATAGTAGAGCCTAGTGTGAGTAGGAATATGGTCGAAATCAATGTTATTTTCCTGTTTTTCATGCGATTGGGGTAGAGATTCGGTCGTTGAACTGAAATGTTTTGGTCTCAGAAGATTTCTAGCCAGGAATATATATATCCGGTGTGATATGTAACATTATTGGGATTGACACGAACATCCTATCTTTGAATTTTTGCGGGTCTACCCCTCAAATGATAAGCTCCATCCCCAACTTCTTACTAAACAGTACCAATCTAGAAATATGAAAAGAATGATCAATTGAAATTGGTTCCTGTAGATGTTCTACTCCGTACTATAAGAGCATGATAGATCGTGCTCTGAAAGTGACTAATCGTATTCGGCCAGGATGACTAATATTATGTCACCATCAGTGAAAGGTGAGATTCTGGAGACCCATCCTGTACATGATTCCAAAGCTTGTAGTCAGGAGACAAGAGTCATGAGGATTCTTAAAATTAATTAATAGATATTGTCGGGTCTCATTATGGGCGAACCCATAGCCATAAAGCTGGCGTTCGACGCTGCAAGCCAGTTTCTGAACCCGGTCCTTCAACGAGGCAGGCAGATCTCTACAAAACAACGTCAAATTACATGCTAACTCTATTGAAGAGGAACTTGAAAAACACCGAGGGAACTCTCTGTTGGAGATACTGGGACGAAATGAAGCCGTTGACCATTCGGATGAGTCAATCAGAGCAGTCGTCGTCCATAAAGCGCTGGAGATCTTGTTCTCCGTCCATACCGCATTTGTTGCCCCGGACAATGATGCTGGGCAAGCTTCCCAAATCGTTGAAGTACCGGACGATCCAGCTCTAGAGGATGCAAAACGGCGTCGGATGCTACATGCTCTTCTTGATTTGATTTCGTTGGAGGGGATCTACCCTTCACTCTCAGCTGGAGTGGGCATCCCTTTACAACAACGGGTGATTTCTGTCCTGCCGCCTGGCGTCATTGCACAACAGCAGCAGAAGCCCGCGCACGGCACTCTTCAAGATGAAGAACTACTGGATTCTATAGTACAGACACTAATGAACATCGTCTTGGATGAACGACCAAGTATCCAGCCCGTTGTTCGCGGTCGAATCTTGAGTGATATAATCAGTGCAGCTTCTGAATTAGCCTTTCATTCGCAAAGTCTACCAAAAGAGAAGAAAGATCGATACCGCCAAGGCTTGGAAACTGTAATTGATGAGTACGTACTGGTAGCCCTGTCTGTCGCGTGTATCTACTAAGCTACTGCAGCACTCCTACCCCGGTGTTGTTACCGACATTATCGAACTTTCTCCAAGCAGAGCCGGCACCATGGTTTAGGTCCGTGATATCCGCCGCTTTGTCACGGATACCCTTACGCAATGATGGTGTCTTGCAGACGATTGTGTTTTTGGCTTCGCAATTTTCCCCTTCACTGGGAGAGAATCCCGAAGACCAGACGTCTAGAGGGCCGCATTTTACCGTTCAGTCCATCATGCAAACGTCTCATCTACTATCTTCCGTACCGCAGGGGATGGATGCAGCTGTCTATTTTTCATCAATCGCACCGCAGCTATTGGCACTTCTTGACGGGGATGATCCTGATTTGAAGAGGACTGCAGCCTATGTTATCGGTAATGGGATTCTGGGAAAGCGTGCCTATGGCGCAGTCGGGACTATAGGGCACGCGATATTTGTGGAACCCATTTTCAAAGCGCTGACGGCAAGGCTTGACGATGCCTCGAAAAGGTGGATGCAGCCTTTGGATAGCAAGAATGATGGGAAACCACTACACGACCTTGTTGATCACCCTACCCTGAGCCTGGCCATCGAACGCTTGAGGTCCCTTGTTCTTCAGCACTCAAACCCGGGACTAGTTAAAAGAGTCGTATACCCGGTTATCCTCCCACTTTGGGGATTGGCATGTTTCGCGTGCGACCAAGATGACAGACTTCACGATACACTTATGACTATATTGAAGACATACTTTGGTATATCAGTGGGTGTACAACCGCTGGAGAAGATAGCCGACAATCTACTGTACAATGGCGGGGTTGATTGGACATATGGCCTTGATCCGACATCAAGCGTATCGTTGATAAAGCCTAGTGCAGACTCCGAGCAACACAATATTGTCCAATTGATCGACACCCTACAGTCGCGAGTCAAACTCTTCGCCAGTCTGCTGGGTGCAGATCCCAACAGTGAAGATCGGACTGGCGATATTTTCCTTCATGTGAGCGAAAGATGGCTAGTAAAACGACCAGGCAAGGAGGGCTCGTTGTCCGACTTACAGCTCCCGTCAGCAGGCGAGGGGCAGGATCATATTTTGCAAAGCCTTGTCAGTGCGAAACTCGCAGAGTCTTTGCTAGACAACTTCAAGGATACTCTTTCACGCCGTCCATTAAGAGTGCTTAAACTTGTCAAGCAGATCATCAGTGGCGAACTGAGCCGGGTGAACGCGCAGCATCATAAGTCGGCAGATCGACGAGATGGACAGGTTTCCTTGTCCTCTTTGGCCAATATCGTCAGTAAGGACGACAGTGAACCGGATGAAGGCTCAACCACGACAGACTCGGACGAATCATTGCCAGCAGTATTCAGTTTGCTATCCACTGTTCTCGCGTCTCCTGAATTCTCCGTCTCGCCTGAGATACTGGGAATCCTCGAAAGTGTCAAACAAGAACTAGACCAACTGATCCCCAGTCTCCCGCAGTCACTTGCAAAGCCGGCAACAACCGCGTCGATGCTGATAGAAATCAACATCGCTTGCCCCGAAGGGCTTGACAAAGAGAAATCCGCTCCTGGTATTTCAGATTTTGAAACGCATCGCCGAGCATTAACCAATCTCAACTCCGACCTTCCCCCGGTGCAAGCAGAGGGCTTTTCGCTTCTTTCTGACTTGATTACGAAAGCCTCACCCATCCTTGACGTACCATCCACGCTCACTCTGCTTTTATCCATTCTCACGGACTCTTCTGAAACCCAAGCCAACGATGAATTCGTATATCTGAATGCTATCAAGTTGGTGGCTGTATTGGCTTCTCGACACCCACGCACAGTGGTGAAAACCCTCATCGACCGCTATTCCGACAGGAGCGAGAGCATGACTCTTGATCAGCGGCTAAAGATTGGCGAGTGCTTACTCATGACCGTACAGGATCTCGGCGAGGCCCTACAGGGGGAAACAGCTAAAATCCTCGGCGAAGGTAGTGTTGCCGTTGCGGGACGACGGGCACACAAACCCCAAACGCAAAAGAGCCGAAGACAACAGCTGGAAAAGGAAAAGAGGCAACAGGAGCGTGAAGAGCGCCAACGGGAGAACGATATCGCGATGCCAGATGGTTGGAAGGTGTCTTCGCCCGCCCTTGCGTCTGACGAACTCATGGAAGATGCGGACTCGGACTCCGAGTCTCCGGAAAAAGCTGCACATGCAGCTAATATAGTTGCTGCTTGGGCGGCAGGCGCATCTTCTGACGAGGAGCCAGATGACTTGCGCATCAGAGCATCCGCAATGTCCATACTAGCCACTGCAGTGCAGACAAACATTGCCGGTCTTGGCCCCTCCATCGTCGCATCCGCCGTTGACCTTGCTCTGTCAACACTGACATTGGAATCGGAGGAAGGAGCTGCAATCCTCCGTCGCGCAAGTGTTGTCCTCCTTCTTGATATCCTGAAGGCCATCGACACAGCCCGAGAAACCCGTGGAAGTGGTGCGTTGGGTTTCGGGTTTTCTCTTTCAGACGAGCCTACGACCAGCAATTCTAATGATCGGGGACCCACAACTGTTGGAAACCTTCCGTATATGCTCCGTGTGCTTCAATTCGTGGAGAGCCACGAGACGGACGCCATTGTACGTGGCCACGTCCGCGTCCTGATCGAAAGCCTGGAGGCCTGGCTAGAGAAATCTATACTGTGGGGGATCGGAGCCCAAGGAACGGACGAAGAAAGTGAACCGCGGATGGAGCTGGGAGATCAGATCGCTGGCCTTGATATTAACCCATTGGCAGGGACTTCTGGAGCCGGCAGGCCCAGAATTGAGGAAATCGAGTGATACATGGACACTTGTTTAAATATTATCTACTTTACCTGTAATCCTATGAGCAATTAAACTTGAGAAATATTAGACTCCATACCGAATTGCAGACTGTTGCAATCTATGGACAGTCCCGTACAAATGGGTTGAGCATGTGACCAGAGTTTATATCAACGCGCATCTCCCACTTTCAAACAACCAATTCTTCTTCCTTGACTCATATTAGTGTCGTTAATTGTTGAGCATGTAATTATTTGATGAGAATGCGCTTTGAGATACCGAAGTACTTGACTTCTTATCAAAAGGGAGATCCGGGCGGTGCCATGGGTGTCGTCGTCGGTGGCTGGCAGTACATTCCAGAGTCACGTGCCCACGCGTTGCGCGTTCCCGTCATCCCCGGAGTCAAAACTCCTTGGTTACCCTCCGAACTTGTTCTCTTCCATCCATCCTGGCAATGGCGTTGCCTCCCCCATCCAGTCCTGCTGGACAGGTCCAGCTTTGTTATCGTTTCGCAATTCTAGATTGGTTCCGGTTCTTGATCTACGAAGCCATCTTTGATCTCATTGCTCTCTTCCGAACGTGTCGTTCCGTCGTCATGCGAGCTCCACTGTCACCTCTCTGACCCGTAAGGGCATCATCCACACAGATCACGCTTTCATATAGCTTCCCAATCCCCAAACGCATTCTTCGGATGTACTGGTAATTGGGAATCTGACCCTAATACCCTAGTCGGTGCGATGCCTTTTCAGGCAACAGTTTCGCGGTTTCGCATGGCGGGTTTACCCACTACTTTCTCTAATCCGAGAACGGATCAAAGGGACGAACGGTGTCCGATGTCCAGAGCCTTGCGGCAGAAAAAGACGGTTTACCATGCGTTTTAAGCTCCTGAAAAGGACGCGCGTCGGTCTACTTATGCTGGACGCTGCATGCTGATCACCGAGGATGGTCCCCCTGTGCTTGGTAGATTGGTGGTTAGGAGAGAACATGGGCGGAGCATGTCAGGCACCTGGTAATTAGGGTTGTCTTTGGGAGCTGTCTGGCAACACAGGAAGGATCTGATTCAACTGTCATTATGTTGTTTTGCATTAGCGCTGGCAATACTGAACACAACAAATTTAGTCCTCGGACTGATGCCTACACACGGTCATGAGGCTGGCATGTTGGAAAACTTACTCGTCGGAATCAGTGCAATCTCTGGATAATGCCTAGGCCTTGTTTGGATGATTGAACTGTAGCGAGATTTTTTTCGCTGCCATGCTGAATGGCCCCGTTGAACTATTGCTCTGCGATATCTCAATCATGCGGCTTGTTGTCACGTTCCGGTCAATTGTCTGGTTGCAATGCAAATCATATAATGGTGAAACGGTTGTTTTGGCGATTTCTTGTACGTGCCGGTGCAGTGTCCCGTACATGCTTCCAACCTCGAGTTACCTGGGTAACTTGTACCCATTTTCGTCCTTCTGCCGCCAAATCTACGTCCTGTATCTCAGAGCCAGCGGACCCGAAATCACGGCACCAGCCACCGGTTTCGCTCCATATGGAGGTCCGGATCGCCCGCGTTAACCATCTCTTTGCGACGCAGGTTGCGAATAGATTGATGGGCGCCGACAACGATGATGAATGAGCTTCATCATTCCTTCCTTTGGGAAGAAGGAAGCGGTTTTTATGGATGTTGTTTGTCCGCTTCTACGAATGCCCTCCTACGCCCGGCGGCATGGAGAGGAAACAAAAACTTGTCCCTGAAGGCGCTGTGTTACACACGAGAGGACTTTGGACCACTCCATGATTCATGGGATGACACGTTCACGAGACACTGGGAATTGATGCGCTGTTTTCAAGGGCCAAGACTACGGCTTGTTTAACGTTTGAGGCTGGCTACCATCACAGAGGGCACGGGGCAGGGAACGTCGTTCGTCATGTCCATTGACCCATTATCATTTCCCGAGAGGTTCAACTCTTGCTCCACAGCTTCAAGGCATTTCCTTCGCTACGGCTTAGCGCTTGTGTTTGGGGACCGCAATCATCATAGCCGAAGCCCGCTAGGTTCTCTTCCCTCCGTTGCCACTTTGATATTGTCTACTTGTGTGAGGGCCTTGTTGGGATTCGTTCGGTCAAGGTAGACAAGCACGACGAAGTTTTGCGGGACCTCTCTCGAGTGAGGATCAAAGCCCAGGCTTGTCTGCATTGCTTCTGTCAGTCTTCCTTGGACGGACGAGTCTCCGCATCGGGGTATTATCGAGGGGTCAGTTGATAAGATAACGAAGAGAGGATCTGGGCATCAGCAGTACGTGGGGTTGCTGGTTTCTCGGATGCAATGCTAAGGTACTTGTTGTGGGTTTTGGGAGCAGGAGCCGGACGTCACGGTTGGTTTCGGGTCGTGGACCGCCGTTTCCTTTCGAGGAAGCGGCCCTTTTTTTTTCTTATAAGTCTACCTACACTCCAATATGTCTGTGATTTGGCTAACTACTCGAAGGTTGGTGTTTTTTGACCTGGTTCCGTGGCATACGACTTGGATTGATATTCGTGGTGGAAGAAGAGCTCTTGGGATGCTGAAATGCGTCTCGAAATATATGTACACATAAGACAAGTATAACTTTAGCCATTACCTTGAGTCTCCTGGTTATCCAGCCAACCTCTAAACAATGTAGAGATCCACTGTGTTTACTGTTTTTGGCAAACTTGATACTATCGCGATGACACTGATACGGCTGACTAATTGCTGCCCCGCCAAAAAAAAAGTTGCCCCGCCGCCACCGGCGATGCTGCTCTGGAAGGCAAAGGAAAGTTCCCGCGACTACCAAATTTTTTTTACGCTGACACTATCTTTTCGGGTTCATCACTTTGCGTGGAGTATAAATTGCCCTTTTCCACATTTTCTTTGCGCTTTCTCCAATCTTTACATCATACCTTTATAAAACCTATCACAATGTCCGCCGACGCAGAGAACCAGGCCAATGGCGAGTCGCAGTTCCAGAAGCCTAGCGACTTGGTGGAGCGAAATGAGGACACCGGAGTCATGTCGCTCGAGAGTCTCTGCATGAACTGTCATGAGAATGTAAGTTTTTCTTCAGGATAGATGAGATGGGGTCTTCGCTGACATGTTCAGGGCATGACCAAACTGCTGTTGCTTCGAGTTCCCTTCTTCCGCGACATCATCCTCGAGTCCTTCGAATGCGAACACTGCCACTTTAAAGACAACTCGGTCAAGGCCGCCGGTCAGATCCAAGAGAAGGGATCGAAATACACGCTGGAGGTGCAGGACGAAAATGACATGCAGCGTCAGGTCATTAGGAGCGACACGTCGATCTGCAAGCTGGAAACGCTCGGGATCGAGATGCCCAAGGGCGAGAGTCAAATGACGACCGTCGAGGGAGTCCTCCAGCGCATCCACGAGTCGCTATCCAGCGAGCAACCATTGCGCAAGGAGCAGGCCCCTGAGCTGTACGAGGCTCTCGAGCCGATCATCCAGAAGCTGCAGAAGATCATCGACAGAGAAGCCTACCCCTTCACGATCTCCCTGGACGACCCGACGGGCAACTCGTGGATTGCGCCGTCTGCCAATGAGACCGGAAACAAGTACCGCCGCCGTGACTACCCCCGTACACACGAACAGAACGAAGCGCTCGGCATTGCCGGTGACGCCGAAGCGGTGCAGCACGAAGGAAAGCGTGGCGAGGAGAGCCTGGACGATCTGGACATCGTCGAAGGACAGCCGTACAGCCTTCCGTCCGAATGCCCCGGGTGTGCCAAGGAGTGCATGATCAACATGAAGAAGGTCAACATCCCGTACTTCAAGGAGGTCTATCTCTTCGGAACCGTGTGCGACCACTGCGGATACCGCACGAGCGACGTCAAGACGGGCGGCGAGGTCCCCGAAAAGGGCAAGCGGATCACGCTCACCGTGGACACCGTTGTCGACCTCCACCGTGATATTCTCAAGTCCGACAGCTGCGCGCTCCACAGTGACGAACTCGAAGTCACGGTGCAGCCCGGCACCCTGGGCGGTCGCTTCACGACCGTTGAAGGCCTGCTGACCGAGATCCGCGACCAGCTCCACGGCCAGATCTTCGACGTCGACGACTCCACCAGCGCCGGCGGCGACAGCATGGCCGGCTCCGACAAGGAGAAGTGGAAGCGCTTCTTCGACCGCCTCGACGCCGCCATCAACGGAGACCTGAAGTTCGTCATCACTCTCGAGGATCCCATGGCCAGCAGCTACGTGCAAGATCTGTGCGCTCCTGCGCGTGACGAGAAGATCACGATCGAGGAGTACACGCGGACAGAAGAGGAGGAGGAAGAGCTGGGCTTGAAGGATATGAAGGTCGAGGGCTACGAAGAGGAGGCCGCTGACGAGCAGAAGGCATGATCATCAACTGTACATGGGATCGATCCTCTTTCGAGGGGTTGGGTCTCACGGTTTGATTTATGAAGTTTTTCCCCCTTACGACGTTTGCAAGTTTTCCTAACGGCTGTTCTAATCTTTCTGTTTCTTTTTCCTTTTTATCTCTTTTTTGTGTTCAATATCCGGTCATGGATGATTATGAGATTGTGGCTTATGTGATAAACCTGGGTTTTGAGGTGTATTTGTGATATGACGGTGATAAACGAAAAGTTTGATATCAGCTGATGCAGTATTCAGCTTTATAGACGTGGATTCTCATGAGGTCATTAATGACATTAGTTTCAGACACTTCGCTTCAACGTAGCTAGCTCGTGTAGATCCGTCGAGTAATGACGATACTTGGTCCACACGAAATGCAGATGGTTCTTTGGCCCGCTCGGTCCAAGGCCCATAAGAGATGAGCATATACTCCAGGCAAGGGATTCTACCCAGCGACACTGAAGCCGGACAGTCGGATAGTCGTCCACTGAATATCTGTGCGTCGCGATGCCTGATCATCACTGGCACATCCAGCCAGCGCGAGATACCGAGCGAAGCCACACACAACCACTTCTCGCTCCGGTCCCTTCCAAAAGGGCAATAGAATGCATACCAGCCAAAACAGCCAGTCAAACCAACAACCTCACCCCGCAAACGGATTCGCATGAACCGTCACACTCTTAATCCTTAAAGGCTCAAACTCATCCCCCTCCTTCGGCTGCACCACCCTCCCCTTCTTATCAACCTTCACATTCGCCTTCTCCAACCTCCCAAGCACATCACCGCCCTCATCCTGCGCCTCCAGATTCAACACCTTCCCAAAAACCGTACTCGCGCCATCCAAATGCGGCGCCGCCGCAAAGGTAATAAAGAACTGACTCCCGTTGATGGACGCGCCGGTCGCGTTCTGCGACCCCGGCGCGGTGCGGTCTTTCACAGGCCGCGCAGCCATGGAGAGCATGCCGCGCGTGTTATGTCGGAGGGCGGGGAGGTGGATTTCTTGGTTGAGGGCGCTGGGGTGGTGGATGGAGGTGCCGCCTTTGGGGATGTCGTGGAAGGGGAGGGCGGGTTTGTTGCTGTTGGAGGTGGAGGATACGGCGGGGCCGAGGGAGATGTCGCCGCCTTGGATCATGAAGCCTGGGATTAGGCGGTGGAAGGGGGTATCGTTGTATGCGCCGCTTGCGCAGAGGGCGATGAAGTTCTGGAGGGAGAGAGCTAGGTTAGATGTGGTTTGAGGAGGGGAGGTGAGCAGTGGTTGGACGTACTTCTGCGGTTTTGGGGACGGCTTCGCAGAAAAGCTCGACCTTGAGGTCTCCTTGGGTGGTGTGGAGCTGTGGGTGATTAGCAACTATGCGGTTGACTTTCGATGGTAGATGAGTACTCACTGTGACGGACATGGTGTTGGAGAGAGGATCCAAGTAGTTTGGTGGTTGTGCAAAGTCGATGTCGGAGGTTGACGTTGTTGGGGCGGGAATAAAGCGTGTCACATGACGCGGAGGGATCGGACATAATTGCGCATCCCGGAGTCGATCAACTCCACAACTCTATCACTTCATATCCAGAACGAATTGTTCAATTTGGAGTCAAGCTGGTCACGTCCTCGGTACACCCGTTTAAGAGATTATATCCCGTGGCTCTATTCTCGCTGCAGCATACACGACTCTCTCGTACAGTTGACAGCAGCCGCATGCAGAGTTACAGCTCCCAAGTGCCATGAGCACAACAAGATGGGCTGATAATGATGCTTTTGAGGGTTTGGTATACTTGATATGCTAGTGACAGCCTTACGTTTGAGCTATCATATTGGACTTGCCTGTCAATACATCAGTGCCGCTCTGATTGATCAATTTAATATGCAGCTGCATAATAATGACTATCCAGATATTCTCGATATCGATATCAAGCATCTTAATCAGCCTTGACAATGAATGAAACATGATTGTTCCATACAACCTGATAATCTATCAAACAAAGTACCGCTCAAATGTACCAGCCCGTTCACACTTGTCTATTATTGTCATCATTTCCACCGCTATTGCCACCATTACCACCGCCATTGTCATTGTTGTTGCCGTTGTTGTTACCGTTGTTGTTGGCATTGCCATCAGCATTGTCAGTGTTGTCCCCATTATTTCCCCGATTCCAGAAAGCTTTCCATCTCGTAACGAAACCATTGAAAAAAGTACACCTGTTTCCACAGCGTCGTAGTCGGGCTCGAATTGCACTTGGGCGAAAAGTATCCGGCGGAACAAAGGATACATACGCGTTTGGACTTGGGGAGCGATCTGCGGGCGAATCTGCGGCTTGATCTGGAGGCTGATCTGGGGGATGGTCTGAGGATTGTGCTGGGGGCTGTTTGGGGGGCTGCTCTTGGGTTTGTGGCGGTTGCTCCGGAGGCTGGTTTGGCGACTGGTTTGGTGAAGTTTGTGACGATTGGCCCGGTGGACTCGGTGATGGAACCGGTGAACTCGATGCTCCCTCTGATGACCCCTCATCTGCTGCATATCCCGTGTCTCCCGTGTCTGACGCGTCTGACATCGCTACTCCCGAATCCCTCTTCGGTCCCCCCGTGTTCCCCGGCCCCGATCTCAACTGATCCATGAGCATCGATATCCCCCCTTTTTTTACCGGTAGTGGTGGCCTGGACGGCCCTGGAATCCCGACTGGTGGACTAGGCCGGTGCCCGTCCGATCTGCCTGGGGTGGATCTGTTCGGTTTGTCTTGGTTATTCTCACATGCGACCTCGCATGTCTGGCTTAAGCATAACGGGTGGTAGTCTTTTACTTACAGTGTCTGTGAGGTATTGGCTGCCGACCTGGACTTGGGGGGTACACTGTCGTCCACTGGAGCATTGGCCGGAGGGGCAGGGAGTTGTGCGCTGCTTGTAGCCTGGGGCACGATAGAGCGTCAGCTATAGGCCTGATACTTGTTGATTTGGATATGGTACCTGGGAACCCTGTCGATACAATCCTTGACTAGCGTCACCTGTTTGACCACCGGGCTTTGGTATCGACTCTTCGCGGAGTATTGAATGGTCCCCCGTTTGACCGAGACCAGATTTGAGCAGAGGCGATTCTTCCCCCGCCGAGGAGCTTTCCTGCAGCACGAAGCTTGGGTCGGATTGACTATCCGATTGATCGAGCCCAGGCTCCCGCACGGGCACTCTTTTCCCCGGGGAGGAGTCTTTGCTGGGTGGAATATCCGCTTGATCGAGTTCAGGATCGAGTAGAGGGGCTTTTACCCCCGGGAACGTGCTTGCGACGGAATGGCTTTTTGATTGATCGTTGTCTGATTCGTTGTTTCTCGGCCTGCGGCGAAGCATCTGGTCCAGGTAGTGTGCAGGTGAGCGATGCCCTGAGCTTTTTGGTATGTGGTGGGATACCCAGTGTCAGCGTAGTTCCTGACGTGATAATTGCTGGATCGTGTAGAGAACGGAGTTCTGTGTTCAAGCTGAAAGAACTTTGTCTTGGATAGATTGTCAATCTCGAGTGTGACCGGCTAAATAATATATGTAAAGACACTAAGTGCTAAACGTAAACAAGAGTGAACGGAATATAGTAGTGATAAATATTCGTGAAGGATGAGTAGATGAATGGATAATAAAACCACAATAGAATCCAGTCCAGGGATATTTCTATGATTCCCACCGTGCACGTTCACTTGAGTTTATAATGGAAAGGACTACGAGGGTGATAACTCACAGAAGGCAGTTACGACCGGTGCTACACTCTTCACGGTTCTTTTTGCCTGTCTTTGTGCTTACGGTGATAATGGTAGAAAAATATAATTTTTCAATTAGTTAGTAGAGTATCTGGTTGATTGACTTGAACTCATCCCAGATATGGCATGATATGTCCACGCTGCATAAGAATATCCCTCACAAGACGACATGATCATTCAGCACCACTGGTGAATCTGGTATTGACCTGAGGAGAGCATTCAACATGAAGAAACAGGGAAGTATGGTTGAAAACAACGAAAAGGGGAAGGAGAGTTCAGGTTGCAGACATGACATGCGCATAATCTGGCGCAGAAACCTTCATGTCGTCATATCCATCCTCCCATAACAGAGAAAAGGTGTGCCGGCAGCCGCATGAGCGCGCAGCATACAAGAGGTACAGGCGTGTACTTGGGGTCAGAAGATTTAGTAACGTCGGCCACCTCTGCCACGCCCCCCTCGACCTCCACCTCCTCTACCGCCGCCTCCGCCTCCGCCTCCGCCTCCGCCTCCTCTACCACCTCGACCAGGTCCATATCCGCCGCGACCGCGACGGTTGAAGCCACCGCCTCGGAAGCCATATCTAGGTTCTTCAGGTCTGGGACCAGCGGCCACGCGAGCTTGACGTTCTTCTTCGCTGATGTCGAACTTATTCTCGATCCCGACCAACTCGCAGAATTGAGAGGTTTGAGGGTTGGTGTATTCTGGAGGAAGATCCTCGGTGGTGATCGGGACGGCGGGGTCATAGATTGGAGCGGTGGGCGTGAAGTTCTCCGGTACGTCGAGCTTTCCGGGTTTCACGACATGCTCTTCGATCCATTCTTCCGCCTCAAGGATCTGTGACTTGTAGACTCCGTCACCAAGATCATGTGATGGGTGGGCCGCCAGATCTCCTAATTGGAGATCGTTGGCGAAGACCCGCGTGATGGCGAGCCACTCTTTGTCGTACTGCAGGCGGAAAGGTCTTTCAGGGGCAGAGTTGTCGGTTGTGGAAATGGTGGGGATCTCGACTAGCTGGAGGAACTCATGCCCGGGGAGACACTTGTCCAATGCAAGGAACTGTGTGGTCTTGTTGGAAATAGCTTCCGGTAGCGCCTCGTAAACTGGGTCGGGCAATTTCTGGATCTGTGGACGGGCGAAGCTGGCGGGCAGCTGGCTTCGGATATCTTCAGATACATCGGTCTCGTTCTTTTGAGTTTCATTAGACGGTTTCTCAGGGGCCGAAAGAGGCATAGCCGGGGCCGTGGCTGGATGGGAGGAAGTATCCTCATGCGGCTTCGCTTGGGGAACCGATGCCTGGGGCGCGCCCGAATCAGAGTCACTGTCTAGATCCAGATCGATCTCGTCAGCATTCTTCACGGGTTCTTGTTCGTGCTGGACTTTCTGCTTCTTGCTTCCAGGAGGCTCTAGCTCGCCATCTCGCTCGATCCCGGCCAGGGTGCGACCAACGCCATCGGAGCCCACGTCGACCTTGCGCCAAGTGAGGTTATGCTGCAGTTCAGGAGGAGCAGATCCTTTATTTTGTTCATACTCGGCCAGGTATCGGGCGTTGTCGGCGGCCTCATTCTGCGCGGCAACGCTGTGGAAGTTGTTCCACGCCGAGAGTCTGGTCGTCGTGTCTCCACCGGTGTTTCCTTGAGGACTGGATGAGCGCTCTTCGGGGAGAGGTTCATTTCCGGTGACAGAAGCAGTGCGATCAGTCTCAGTGGGTTCAGCCGGCTGTTGGGTGTTGACTTCTGACACATTATGCTCGGACCGCTCGGGCTTGGACGCTGTGGGCTCCGCGGTGTTGCCACCGGGAGTTCCGACCTCTGTCATTGTGTTTTGGGGGGCTTCACTGTTGGCTGCATCTGGGGCTGCATTGTTGTTTGGAGGCTCATCGATGGTAATGAGGGACGACATGGAGCCATCGAAACCAAATGGATGTGCGGGGTTCGGGTGCGTGGGCACGGGAGCTTGACTCGCAGCACTTGGAATTCCAGCGGGGGTGTACTGACCATGTTGGATCGAGGCAGCAAACTTGACATGGAGATGGGCCGAAAACCAGTAGGCCGGGCGCAGCCGGTCAAGGACATGCTTTGCCGCCGTGTTTCCAAGCCTCCCGGTCTGCGAGTCTTCACGGAACCCTCTCTTGATCCGGAACAGGGTTTCGTGGTCGCCGCCATATTCGACATATTTAGGCCAATCGTGAGACAAGCCCATGTCCACCTGACTCCGGATCTGGAGCAACTTGCGAACATCCAGCTCCCTGACATGGTAAATGCTCTGGAGGTCATCCCGGTTGTAGGGGAGACGCTCATGATGGGGCTTTCGGTAATCATACTTTTTCCAAATGCCCGACATGCCTGCGATGCGCAAAGGACCGCAGCGCAGGACGTTGGCGGCGCCGAGGTAGTAAATGTTGGGAGCGACCCATCCGCCGTAGTACAGCTCGAATAGATAATTACTGGCCTCGTGATTGCCACCGATGAAGATCGTCAAGTACGGAGCCGTGCGTTTTCCACTATAATACTCGTGGAAATCGCCAATCTGCTTATATTTGTTTGGCACAGACATACACGCCATGTCGTTGGAATTACGGACGGCCTGGTCTACATTAGTCCGGGGAAGAGGAAGATGGAATGGGATGTCTTACCTGGAAGTCACCTCCGATGATGAGCAAGTCAACGCCGTCCCATCCTTTGAGAGCAGCCGACTTTTCAACGGAGGCATAGATGTCGTGTAGACAGCCATGGCCCTGTATGTCCATTCGATTAGCATGTAGATCGTGGCATTATAGTACGGCTCCACCGTCCCCGCCAATGACAGTGATGGAGCCCGGCAAGGAAAATGAATGAAGACTTACACATCCTTCCAGAGCGACTCTGATTGACGCCGGATTGGACTGAGGAGATTCCATTATTTGCAGAGATGGAATGCCAGTCGCAAATCAACTGCGACGGCTGAATCTAAGAAGAATTAGATTGGCCTAGTAAAACGCGATGGATCCAACGAATGGTTCCGAGGAGTCAATCCGGGCTAATAGGTGATATTGGTAGGGCAATAGATGTGAGATAGGGAGAATATGATGATCAAATGAAAATAAAATGGAAAGAAGATAGAAGAAGAGAGAGAAATCAATAGGACGGGTGAGAGGAGAGGGTAAGAGAGAAGAAGTGAGAGAAAGTGAAGTGATTGAAGATCCCGAGCTTTTTCCCTCTAGATCTGCGCCGGTTATCAGATCCGTCTCCGTATCACTCTCTTCCACTACAATACTCTCCACTTTATTCACCAGCTTGATTCATTCTTCTTCAATTGTTTATATATTTTTTATTTCCTCTTAAAGCAGTCCAACATCATTGACTCTATTAAGTCAATCAACATGCCTATCAGTGATCATGCCCCCCGGTTGAATTTCCTCAAGGATTCGGCCTCTTCCTTGGCTTCGCTCAGTCCGTCTACAGCGGCCCATCTGATGGCGGTCCACCACCATATCTTCCATGAGGAATGTAGACCTTTAAATTCACGACTCCAGGAGAACTACTGTGGTGCCTGTGGCAGTCCCAGGAAGCCAGAATGGACCAAAACCCGCAAGGTCCATCCGAAACCTGCCAAGAAAACAAAGACACAGGGGGCAACAGTCTACACATGCCTTCGCTGTCACAGCCGGACAGTGAAGCCTGGGCGTAAAGATTCACTGCCAACAAGAGTCACTAAAGTTGCTACAAATGCTTCAGCCTCAGCTTCCCCTGTCGACTCCCCTGGGGTCCCTCTGCCAGATGATCGCAAAGTGGTGGACAATGCCAGCAGTAAGAAACGGGCCAAAGCCAGGAAACAGGGAGGGCTGCAGGCATTGATGGCCTCCAAACAAAAGACCCAGAATAACACCTCCTCTCTGGATCTGTTCGACTTCCTGCAGCAATGAGGTTATTTGTGCATGATTGTGATTTTTATGCCAAGACTCGGCATCGGAGCGGAGTTGACCCGGACCTGCATCCTGAGGCATCCAAGTCACGGGCGGGGCATATCGATCATCGTCACTTGCTGGACTGGGGGAACTTCGTTGCTTCGATCCTCCCAGCCTCGACTTCTTGCTCCAACTTTCTTTCTCCATCCTTTCTCTCTCCCCTTGTAATTTATTTTCCCCACCTCTAGGACCACCTCGAGCTCTGGTGGGAAATTGGTTCCTTCAACGACATCTGACATTCCCCTCACTACACTACCCTACACTGCTCTCCCCGCAATGTCTTCCTACTCCCAGGATGACGACCACGATCCCCAGGCGGACGAGCTCCGCGAGACCGCCCTGGTTACCCTGGAGACCTTGATCAGCTCTTGCGGTCCTCAGATGCAACCGTACCTACCGAATACCCTCCGATCCGCTCTTCGATACCTGAAATATGACCCGAATGTCGCGGAGCTCGAGGAGGACGAGGAAATGGGTGGTACACAAGACGATGGCTCTGAGGATGATGGAACCGAGGAGCCCGACCTGGAGGATGATGATTTTGAGGATTTTGAAGAAGAGGGAGGCTACAGTGATGTGGACGACATGAGCTGGAAAGTCCGCCGCTGTGCAGCCAAGCTCCTCTACACCCTCATCTCCAACTTTGGGCACGGCCGTACTCTGGACGAGAGCTCCTTGTACCAGCAAATCGCCCCCGCTCTCATCGCTCGATTCGGCAAGGAACGCGAAGAGAGTGTCAAACTGGAAGTCATCTCCACCATGACGGCCTTGGTGCGGAAGACGGGTGATGGGTCGATGATCATGACTTCGAATGGCTATCTGGAGTCCGTCAGTGGCTCGAAGAACACCAGGAAACGCAGACGGCAGGACAGTGACGCGAGCATGGTGGACTTTGAGCCGAGTATTGGGACCTCGTCGGCCGCCAGCACCCCGGTCATCACGCCGTCGTCGCCCAAGTCCGGCCCGCAGGCAGACCTCGCTCGTTCGGTGCCCGTGATTGTCCAAAGCCTGGTCAAGATGTGGAAGCAGGCGTCCGTGCCCCTCAAGCAGGCCATCATTGTGCTGCTGAAGAGCCTAGCGCTGGTTCGCTACGGCGGATTGGCCGACCACCTCCAGCAAATTGAGGACCCCATCGTCGATGTGCTCAAGTCTTCTTCCCTATCCGGAAGCTCCTCCGCACCGGCCGGCGCGGCAGCCAGCGCAGGCACTCTGCAGACGGAGACACTCACCCTCATCGCCGCCGTTGCCGAAACCCACTCGTCCGACGCACTCCTGCCTTTCCTGATTGCGTTGATTCCCGGCGTCACGGGGGCGGTCAACGATAGAAACTACAAGGTCAGCAGCGAAGCTCTGGGCGCGGTCGAGCAGATTGTCAAGGCCCTCACTCCACCCCGAGTATCTGCTCCGTCTCAGGACATCGCGTCGCAGCTCGAGCAGCTGTATAATATCGTCCTCGCGCGGATCACCGACACCAGCGCCGATCTGGAGGTGCGCCAGCGCGCCATCCACGTGTTCGGGGTTCTCCTCGCTCGCACTTCGGGTGACCAAGGATCGGCCTTCCTCCCGTCCGACTGTCGATCCAAGGGGCTGTCGGTGCTGGTGGATCGCCTGAGAAACGAGACCACTCGACTGTCGGCCGTTCGGGCGGTCGACGACGTCGCCGTTCTGTGTGCTCGTGAAGTCGACGTGACCGCCGCGTGGGTCAGCGAAGTCACGGCGGAGCTCGGGGCCCAGTTGCGGAAATCGGACCGGGTCCTTCGTGGTGCCAGCTTGGAAGCTCTGCGGAGCTTGGCCATGAATTCTGCCACCAGAGCTCACTACACTGACAAAACGAGGCAGGAACTGGAAGACGCCCTGTTGCCGCTCATCAACGCCGAGGATTTCCATTTCCTCGCCCCCTCTCTCATTATCCTAGCCAAGCTCATCCCCGGAAACGCTCCACTTCTAGTCAACCAAAAGCTCGTGTCCGCTCTCTGTTCGATCGTCGTCGCCCCTCTTGTCGGTACCGTGTTGAAAGCGTTGCTCCTGCTGGTCAAGGTGATTGGTGAAGAGGGCGCCGGTGCTGATCTAATGAAGACCTTTCTGCGCGATGTCGGCATCAATGGCGACACCTCCGTTGTCGGCCGGGCGGTTGGGACGCTCTTGGTGCACGGTGGCCCCAAATTGGGGGTCAAGATGGAGGATTTCTTGGCGGAGCTGCAAACCGCGCAGGACGCCCAACGGAAATGCCTCGCACTCGCCATCTTGGGAGAGGTCGGCCTCCGGATGGGCTCCGAGTGCTCGCTTACGCCCCAGCTTTTCATTGACCACTTCAACTCCAAATCCGACAAGGTCCGCCTGGCTGCGGCCACGTCGCTTGGAAACGCAGCTGCGGGTAATATGAAAGCATACCTGCCGACGATCTTGGGAGGTTTGGACAAGTCGAGTTCTCAGAGTTATTTGACCCTGCATTCCGTGAAAGAATTGCTTCAGCATCCTGAGATCGTTCGCCCAGACGTTGCGCCTTCTGCCCAGAAACTGTGGCAAGCTCTGTTGGTTGTGTCGGAAGAGGAGGATAACAGAGCGGTCGGTGCCGAATGCATTGGTCGGCTGGCGTTGATTGATCCTGTGGCGTACATCCCGCATTTCCAGGTGAGTTCACTTTCCCCCCCCCCTTCACCAAAGAGACGTGTCTAAACATCACTAGGAATACCTGTCGAGTCCCGATCCCAGCATCCGTGGTGTTGTGATTTCCGCCTTCCGGTACACGCTTTCGGACGCGAGAGATAGCTTTAATGACGTCTTGAGGCCATTGATTGTGCCGCTGCTGGTCAACATGCTCAGCGACCGCGATCTCGGCAACCATCGTCTGGCGCTCACAACGCTGAACTCTGCCATCCATAATAAGATGGACATCATCTCGCCGCACCTAAACGAGCTGCTCCCGGCTGTGTTCGGCGACACAAAGATCAAACCGGAGCTCATCCGGGAGGTTCAAATGGGGCCATTCAAGCACCGCGTGGACGACGGGCTCGAACTTCGAAAGGTATGTCTTATCCTATACCCCAGCTGTCCTTCCCAACATCCATCTAACGGATAAACAGAGTGCCTACGAAACGCTCTACGCCTCCCTCGACACGACCTTCTCCCTCTCGCACGTCGGCGAATTCTTCGACCGCATCCTCGCCGGCATCGACGACGAGCAAGACATCCGCACAATCTGCAACCTAATGACCTCGAAACTGATCACGCTTTCCCCGGACGAGACCCAACGACAGCTGAACGCGCTCTCCGAGCGCTACACGGCAGTCCTCTCGTTCAAGCCAAAGGACAACGCCGTCAAGCAAGAGCTCGAGAAAGCGCAGGAAGCCTCAATGGGCGTTCTCAAGATCAGCCGCGAGCTGAGCAAGGCGTTCCCTAGCGCTGAGACATCCGGTGATAACCATAAGTGGAAGGCTTATATGGAGTGGGTTCGAAAGACATTCACTTCGCAGCTGAAGAGTCTCGATACGGAGTTCTAAGACGGATATGGAAGTAGAGAAAAGAAATTACAAGAGGTGGCAGGAAAGTGGTTAACTTTGTAGAGGTTATGGCAAATATTTTTATTTGTCTTCCAAGGCAATGCAATACAGTCTAGTGCTGCGGTGTGCTTACGAGTGAATGATGAATGCAGACGATATTATGCTGGGATTGACTGATGGCAGTCACAGCAGAGGCAGACAGGCATGGCTGTCCACTGTCCACTGTCCACAATAAAACATACCCTTATCTTTCGCCAGAGATAGGAATAGAATCAAACTTAGCAATTACTACTATTACCACTACCACCAAATTCATTATAGATCCACTGAATTTAAGAGTTTGGATTGACCAAATAAATATGTATGCATGCATGCAGGCACCAGCAATCAACAGTTGTCCTCCCTCGCAAAGAATACAAACAAAACAATAAACAGCAAATAGCCACGAAAACAGGCAAAAAATAAACTCCGGGTATGTATGTATGTATGTATGCAATGCCATGATCCGTCCATCACAACACCGCCCTAGCCCCATGGCTCCCAATAGTCCCGTCATCCAGTCCAGTCCAGCAAAGAGACAGTGGACTCAAGAAAGAATGAAAACAAGTGCAACACAAAGGCAAAAACACGCGGAATAGCAGAATCACGGGAATAGCAGAATCACGGGAATAGCAGAATCACGGATGAACAAATCAACAGTAGGCCCCCAGGTACAGTCATGGACGTATCAGGTAGGTAGAGCTATACCTCCGACTGTAACAATAGATAATAAATCAGCACCCAAGCACCCGAGACATGCCAACAACAGACACCTAAACCAATCGCTAAATATATGAAAACAAGATGAAAGTGAGGGTAAATGCTGGACGCCCTCAACTCAAACGAAACAAGCAACCGGGCGAAAGGTATGGAAAGGTAAATAAAGAAGAAGCATCAAGCAGTAATAGCCTTCTTCTTCAACACGCCCAACTTCTCCAGCCTCGACCACGCACGATCCATATCCGACCCCTCCTCAAGCGTAGGACGCATCTCAAGCCCATCCAGGAACTTCAACGATCCGCCCGTCCCAGCATAAAGCATGAGTTCGAAGACTCTCCGACGGAGACGCGTCGACTCGTCCAGCCGAGAGACGTACTTCTGGTCGGCGAGGGCGTCAGCCAGGGGGAGGGTGTACGGGTCATCGATCTCGGGTCCGTCTGCCTCGTCGTTATCATCTTCATCGTCATCGTTGCCGATGATGCGGGAGAGTTCGTGGCAGTGGCTGAAGTCGGCTAGGACGGAGGGGAGGTCGAGGCCTGTTTTGCGGGCTGGGCTTGTAGGCGGGTGGGACTCCTCTTCCTTGGCTTTGAGTTTCCTGGCGTCGGGTCTGTTGTCGCGGCCGCTCCCTGTAATAGCGGGCGGGTAGAAGCGGACGGTGAGGGGGTTACCCCTAATGTCTACCTTCTGGAGGGAGGAGACCTTGCTCTTGTTCATTCTGCCGAGGCGGCTGAGGACCTGGCAGAATTTGCGCAGGCGGGCGATGCAGTTCCCTGCGACTGTGAGGCGGGCGAGGCAGTTTAGGCCGACGAGTTCGGCGACGCTAGCTAGGGAGTTGAAGTTGAGGTTGAGGACTTTGAGGTTGGGGAAGTTGAGGGCGAAGTCGAGTGGGAGGGTTTGGATGTTGCAGGATGCGATGTCGAGGAGTTGGAGGCTTGAGAGTGGGACGGATGGGGAAAGGGTCTGCATAGAGAGGTGGTTTGAGGATAGGAAGACTTTGCGGACGTCTTTCACGAGACCTAGGTCCACGTCGAAGAAGCCGCCGTTGTGCTCGTTGGACAGTGTTTGTTCTCGGGCGGAGAGGATCTCCAGGCTGTGGCAGCGCCCCAGGCCGGAAATAGTAGAGAGACGGTTTTGGTCCGCGTAGAGAAGGGTCAGTGAAGGGATTACCCCGACATCCAGAGAGGGTAGTTGATTGTTGGAGACCCGCAATGATCGCATGTTGAGGAGGACGTTCGAGAACTCCGCCTTGCTGAGCTGGTTAGAGCTGAGGTCAAGGGATGACAGTGCAGACAGGGTGCCCAGGTTCTGCACGGATAGCAAGTCATTGTGGCTTAAATCCAACTCTTCAAGACGAGTGCTGTTTGAACACGTTAGTAATAGTAGATGTGCTGAAGAAATTAGCTAGACTTACAGTTCCGACCCTGCAAAGTCAACCATGGTCAGGCTGTTATTGCTCAGCTTCAAGCTCAGGAGGCCATTCAACTCGAAGGCTCCGGAGATGTCTCTGATGTCGTTGTTGCTGGCGTTGACTTCTCTGAGATGAATCAAACCACTCAGACCATCCAAGCTCTCGAGGTCATTTCCTGAGACATCCAAGTACTGCAAGTTGCTCAAGTGACTCCAAGACGTGAGATTCGAAAGACAGTTGTTCTGCATCTTCAGAGTCCGTAGACTCGAAGGTACACCGCCCAACTGGCCGATATCGTTATAAGACACATCCAGGTCTTCCAACCGGGGACAGAAGTCCGCCAGTTTGTGCAGAGTGATCAGCCCTTTCCGGCGAAGAACCAGACGGCGAACGTGTTCCCAGTATGGTTCAAACGGCTCAGCCTCCGTGATGTGCTTCACGATTTCCTCAGTAGCCATCGCAAAGGTCCCATGGACCTGGCGCAGCGACTTGGGATGCGCCCGTTGGGCTACATAGCTCATCTCCGGATCCAGCGACTGGTCGACCTGGTCCACGGTGAAATCAGGCAAGGGACTCATATGGAAACTGTAGGTCGTGTCATGGCCCGTGTTCCGCACCAACATTGAGTTCTCGTTGTAGTGCTCAGACAGGAAAGTCTCGGCAGGCATCGAGTTTCTCCGTACCAGACTCATATTTTCCGCCGCGTCTTCATCTCGCTCGTCGATCCGCGAGATGGACCGTCTCAGGAAAGGCTCTTCGTGCACTGAGTTGCGACGTCCTGTGAGCGTGGTCGTTTGCCTTGCATCTAGACGAGAAGTCTCGCCCTCAGTGTCTTGATGCTCAGTCTGAGAACCAGTACTATTCTGTTCTCGGCGAAGTTTCGCGGGACTCTCGTCGTCACTATACGCGACCTGTGAGACAAGGGGCGAGGAAAAGCTGATGGTAACGACCCGCGCTTTCTGATTGGCGTCTTTCTGTGGTCCAGGAGGCATTGACGGCTGCCCTTCGTGAAGCTGCATCTCGTGCTTCGCCTCGTTTGAAGAATCTCTGCTCTTTCGCGCCTCCGTGCCCCACGACGTGGCACCTGTTCCGGTGTGTGGGACACTGGAAGTAAATTGGGTTCCTTTCGACTGGACTGAGCTGGCTGTGACTGATGGCTCGCCGTCTTTCGACTCTGGCCGGGGGTCTGACTTCGTCGAATGACTCTCACTCCGAAGCGAGCCTTGAGCCCCACTATACCGTGCGGAGTCGGCGGTGTCCGGACGATCTGAAAAGTAGCGTTCTATCCGCAGGATTTCTTGCATTTCGTCGACGCTGAGATCGGGAATATCGCTAAACGGGTCATCCTCGCTATTATCCTCTTTGGGTACCGGGGCAACCCTTCTGGGTCTTTGTCTAACCCATTGGTGCTTCAAACGGTCATACGTCATACCGTTTACCTGCTCAGGGATCAGGTGGGACACCAAGTCCGACGACAGAACGCCCTTGGCTTGTGAACTATGGGACGAGCTGGTCGGTATAGAACGTGCACTAAAAGCCTTTGAAAGCTGCGTGTTAAGGGTCAACAGATCAGGAAGGTCGTCATCTTCGCCAAACGAGTTCTGCGTGGATAGCTTGCGTTTGCGGGGCCCAGGGATACTGCCTCGCCTGCTACCTCTCGGCAGGGACCTTGGGTTTTTAGTCGGATCGAAATTCAGGGACATGACGGACCCGAATTCCTGATCGTCTTTCTCCTGGAACTTGCGTAGATGGCTCAGTACGCGGGCATTCTGCGTCCGGGGCTCCCGTAGCTTGCGTATGTCGACCCCTTCGCGGCTTGGGGGTCGGGAGAAATCCTCGCGAGTAGAGTCATCGTCGTAACTGTCGTTACTCTTGCCGTCTTCGGCAGTCGACTCTTCCACGCTGGACAGGCCATTGCCCTTGTGGCCGTTGGATCTGATGATATCCATGATTTTGGTCGCTTCGTTGAGAAAGTCCTGGGTCGTAATTGACCCTTTGCGGATCTCATCATTGACGCCAGTCACTCTGACGATCGGTACGTCCCGATTCGGCGACTGCTCCCCATCAAAGAAATTGGAATCTCCGTCAATCTGGCTGAAGCTGTCGTTTCCCGCGTCAAAGGATGCGGTTTGGTTTGGAGTCGGACTCCGCGGCCGTGTAGAATCCTCGTCGTAGCTCACGCCATGCTGCATCAAGCTTCTCTGGAGCAGAGACATATTGTCCGGGGCCTGGCCTGGCGCCGTCCACGCTTCATAGTCATCCTGGATCGAATCGTCCGACATCAGGATCGTCCGACGCCGTTTGGGGTGCGGATCCTTTGCTGGGGAAGGCGGCGTCGCGTCCTTCTCCGATGGGTCCTGATTCTCTTTGTCGGCGTCCCTGCCGCCGTCCATCTTGTCTCTCTGGGTGCTGGCGGCTGATGAAAGGTTCGACCGGACGAGATACTTGGAGTTGGAAGCATCCGAGGTCTGCTCGCGACTGGACGTGCGGTATGAGGTGCGTCGGAGGTATTTCTGCCGTCGCGACGATGGACGTGAGTTGGCGTCCGAAGGTTCGTGGCTCAGCAGCTGTGGTTCGTTGGGATTCGTATCAGGGAATCCGAAATGATCCAACTGTCCATCTCCAAATTTATGCAACCGGCTATTCGGGGTGTGTCGAGACCTGGGTCGCTCGTACCGTCGCGTGGAGTTCTCACTGAACGGATCGTCATGCCGACCCAGGAGACTCCGGTTCTCTCCCTTGCGACGAGCCTCCTCCGATGGCGAGACCGGCTCGTCGTCTTCCGAGAGGCCTCCAAACGTCTCTTCGAATTGAGACATTCGGCGCAGCAGTTTGTTGTTGGTAAAGGTGTCGTGGTCGCCAAACAGCTTCAGCGGGCTTCCAGACGACGGCATGGCGTCCGTTGAGTCTTGTCCGGTTTGGTCAAAGTTTGTCGATATGACATGGGCGGATGAGGGTCGCGGAAGCGTGAGTGAATCCGTCATTGGGTTTGGTTTGTTGTAGAAGGGTGGCGAGCTGCGGATTCGGGAATTCTCTGGGAGGAATGGAGAGAGATGAGTCGGGAATGAAGGTGGGGAAAGACGTCGTCTTTGGAACGAGGTGTCGCCCAGGTACTGATCCCGCCGCAAGCTCGCAAAGGCTCTTCGTCCCCGGTGGTCCAGGGTGCCGACAGACAGGTCCTGCGGCAAGGAATGACTGGTGACATCCAGCAAGTCGTCCTCTGGCACCGTTTCGACGGCGGGGTCGCTTTGTTGGTTCAACAACACGCTGTCGCTGGCGCGGGAGTTGGGTCGCTCCCACGGGGCCAGCGACAGCCGTTCCAGCTTGTTCGTCACCTGCTTCAGGGCGGACCGAATGACTTCCGACGTCCCATTTCCTTCGACCGTGTTTGTGCGCGAAAAGGTAATCGGGGTGATGTCCTCGTTGCGAAGGTCCTCCAGGCCGCTTGCGGTTCTCCTCTGGGTATCGTTCTGTGAGAGATCTTGACTCTGCTCGAGGTCTAGCGACGGCCCTTCCGACGCGTTGGTGGTTTCCGTCGGTCTCTTTGGCGATCCAAGGGGGCTCGTGCTGGCTTGTGTGGTGATGCGCGGCTTGACTCTGGTGATCGACGACCGGGGATTAGCACCGGATGAGTTCCGCACCGATCTTCTCTTCGCAGAGTCCTGCTTCGCATCCGTATCCTTATTCTGGTTCAAACTCCGATCAAGGTCCCACGCCTCGCCGGTGTTCTTCATGTGCGCCATCGGATCCTGCTGGGTCTTGTCCGACCCTGGAGTGGGCGGTTTGAAGACACTCTCCAACCCGATGGGAGCAAACAGATCGCGCTGCTCGCCCGCGGGGATGTCACCCTTCACCAGTCTCTTCCGCCACTCGGGTGTTCCCTCCTTCTCATCCCGTTTCTTGGGCCGCACCTGGACGGTCCCCTGCTGGCTCGACCGGTTGGACATATTGGACACGTTCGAGACCGAGCGCAGCGGCGATTTGGTGTCTGTGGGGGGCGGCTTCTTGCGGCTCGCTGGGGGATTGTATTTGGGGGTCGACCTATCGGGCCTGGGCGTGCGAACCTTGGGGACGGGGGTGCGCGGTTTATGGGGGGTCCTCGGGGAATTGTACTTTGGGGTGGGCGGCGCGGGCTTTCTCGCAAAATGACAGGGACGAGGGACCTTCTTCTGATCGATGGAGGAGGGTTCGACGGAGCGACGCGCGGGGACCGGTAAGCGACTCGGGGTGCTCTGTAGGCTGGAGCGTCGGGAGTGGTCGAGGGGACGAGTTGTTGCCGGACTGGTCGGGGTTGCTGGGGTTCCGGGGGTTGCTGGCAATGGCACCCAGTCGTCGGACAGGCTCTCCAGCCATGGAGGATTGTTTCCCATGTTGACAGAGAGCTCGAGTGATCAGCTCAATGCGCGCGACCCTAATCAACTCAGCCGCAGTTGGATGAATGCAGGTCCAGCAGACAAAAACAACAACAATGCACGCCAACCATGGGGTGTATGTGCAATTGCAGCGGGACTAAAAGGTAAGGAGGCGCTAATACTCAAATAAAATATAGTCAGTAATCAAACATGGGAGTAAACAACATGAGGGACAAGGAGGGAAGAGAAAGGGAGAATGCGATCATAAATTCGAGGTGGAGATGGAGAAGTCGGCGCAATCGATAACTGGATTGGAGGACTTTGGACTGTTTGCTTCGGGTGGTCGGGGCAACAAGCACGTATCTCTCCCCACGATCTACTCCGAGTCACCATGTGGTTATCCACAATTATATCTATTTTATTTATATATCTTATCTTTATATATAGTGTGTTCTCATAGATTTGTATGTTCATATAATGAAATAATCGAGATATAGGTATACATATGAGGTATTGCTACCATCCCATCCATCAAACCGATAAATTACATACAGACTCGATGATGCGCTGGCAGCCTGACAGTGATGGGACAACATCAAGGCAGCAGTAGCGGTGGACTATGCCTAATATTCCAAACCCCACCGACAGCCAAGGACACTGCAGCCCGAGAAGCGAGGAGGATAGAGCAGTAGCACTGAGTGGTGGTGAGTGATGCTGCAGCTGCAAGGACGAAGCAAGGCGATACACACGCTACTGTTTCGGGTAATTGGATAAACACGAGGATCGACAGTCCGGTTTCATTCCTTTAATCCTGGTTTGATCGATCGTTCAATTACTCGTGGACTCGAGGATTATTTGCACGAGTGTCTATTATTTTTTTTTTTTTTTCTCTCATTTTACTATATGTTCGATGTGTCATTTAAAAAAGAAATCAATCCATTGAGAACGTCTTGTCTTCGATAAATCGAGTCAACTGGCCAATACTGCCGTATTCGCAATACCTCGTATTGACCCAGCCCTTCCACTCAACATCTCCATCTCTTCTCTCTCAACAGCCATGGAGAATCGAAATATGTAAATATAACCACGGGTCCTTGCAGGTGATACCTGCACCTGCAGCAGCAAGGTTGACTGGGTTCTTCTCTCTCTATCACGCTTGCTGCAATGCGATATGGACTGCATCTGAAACAACTGGTGCAGGCAAGGCCTAGGTCTTGTCCTGTCTACCTATTACCTTGTCCTTATGCTCATGGGCAGCTAACATTATAGCTAAGATACTTGATCATAGTGCTTCATCTCATAGTATGATGGCTGTCCCAATCACAACATGCTATATGTGAATTGGGTGTGTCAAACATACATTAGGATCATATATGCGGTCGAGTCGTATCAATGACCAACCAATACCCCTAGACCATAGAAGATATCATGCCACTTCTGCTTCATAAATCACCCGATTTTCAGTACGACTAAAAAGCTTTGCGCAGGAAGTATCCTCATACTAAATGACACTCAAATCAATACTTCACCAATAGAATGGATTGTTTCTCAAACTATAAGTGGTGGTTGGTTTGGCTTGCGATCGGATAGATCTCATCTAGGGTTGTTGTGCCATAACCAAGTTTCAATCAAGACTACCAATGACGAACATGTCTCTACTTAGAGAATTGTTATCTATTGCTGGCAGTAGGTAGTCTAACAATGATTATGGTAGATCGTTTATTAGCACAAGAGAAAGGAGAACAGGAAGGCGAATCTGAGGTGACTATGACATCACAGTAACCACCGAGCTTGTTGCGGCCATCTATGTCATTGTCATCTATGTCATGACCCAGCCAGCCTCCCTACAGCATTCCAGACTTTAAACTGCCCCTTGCCATAAATTTGTTCAACATCTCACATCACAAGCTATACTCATCCCCCAGCAGCTAATTTTACATATATGAAGATGATTCCCTCCCGATTGAGCAGTATCTCCCTCGCAGCTCTGCGACCCACCCAAGCTACAGCTTCCCGGTCGACCCAGCTGTTCGCGCGACGGAGTTTCGCAACGCAGCCACCGCAGCATGGACAGAGGTCGAGCGATGTCCCATAGTACGTGATTTATTCTCACCTCATGTGTAACTCTTGGGGTGATGAACAATGGATCACTAGTCCGCGGTGCATAGAACCAAGCTAACGATCACCAGTGCCCTAGGCGCCCTGATCCTCGGCGGAGGAGGAGCATTCCTGTTGCTACAATCAGGACCCGAAAAGAAGCCACACCATGAACCGATCAAAGAACAGGCTGCTCAATACGTAAAGGGGACCCAGGAATCCGTGACCGGAGAGAAAAGCAACAGCTCGTTCGAACAGCCGCCATCCACAGTTGATCCGGTGCGTGTCCTTCCTCTTTGATATCACACAACCACTGCCATGTATACATTCATTCTGACACCCTGCAGGCCAGTTCGAGGAAAGAAGCTGGTGGATACAATAGCATGTCTGGAAAGCAGGAGGGTCTCTCCAACGCCACCAGCGACAATCCCTACATAAATGATCCGAGTCAGAGTAACAAGGGCGAGGGAGAGTCGGACTCGGTCAAGGTGAAGGGGACTATTTCTCCAAGCCGCCCACAAGCCTAAGACTGTGCGGGCTGTATAACATTAATATACCAAAAGGATTGGGTTTATGTGTACTACAGACTTTCCATCAAAAGTCCTACTACGCCACAGCATATCAACAAAGTTCTTTACCAGTTATCCCAATATTGCTGTACAATCCAGTACAGGCCGATTCTCAATCCTCCTCAAATCAGCAAACACCTCACCAATTCCATCCTTCGTAACACATCCCATCTGCAAGTAGTCCCCAACCTCGATCTGCCTCTCCGCAGCCCCTCGAAACGCATCCCGCACCAACCCTTCCCCAACCTTACACTCAAGACCACATCGCACCACCACCACCTGCCCATCGATACAAGGAATCATCAAACCTCCCGCCACCTCAGCACCACAAAAAGCCCTCTCCTCACAACCCCCCGCAGGATCGTATTTGTAGAGCACCCCACGATCACTCCTATCCAACCCCGTCAGCATCGTCTGCAACTGATACGGGGAAAGCCGCTTCTGGTACAGCAGAGTGGTCTGCCATTGTTCTCGTAGAACTATCTAGTAAATCATTTGCCTGAGAAACAGTGGCTGCGATGATAGCTGAAGAACTGAGTATCACTGTCGTCAGCCCTGGTGGCCTACTTTATCTACATATAGGCACTACGCGTACATGTACCTTTACTACCTAGGTATCTGTCAAGGAAAGTCCTACTTCAAGCATACTCCGGAAGAAACCATTAGATAGTCAATTCACTCTTTTCACATTAATGACTATACTCCTGATATAGATGATGAATGAACTCATACAATGAATCGTGATAAGCCATTGATATCGATAAGGATAAGGAAGCGGGGCCTTATATAGGCGTTGCTGGGGCAGCCAGGCGGTGAGCACGGCCCATCAAGTGGTCCGTCCGCCTGTTTTTTCGCCTGATTTGTTGGGCCGGAGATGGTGATGCCTGCAGACAATCTAGGTTGAAGCTTGATTGATTTCTTCCCCGCCATGTCATCGGATCAGCATCTGTGCTCGAAGATATGAAGGTATCTTGGCAACTTCTCCCGCCCATTTCGACACCTCCAATGCAGTCCGCGTCCTGCTGTCGTTCCATCAACCACCGTGGTTAGCCTCCATGCCACCTCGTCCGCCCATCCCCCCACCTTCTCTCGAAACATGTTCGGTTTCGAACCCCGACCTCGATACGGATGGGATCATCGGATCCGATGACGAGCTCGATGATGTGGCGCGTGTCGCCCAACGATCGAGGATCGAGAAACTCGCGGAGAGTTATGCTCAGGGCGCGCCGGTCTATATTCTATCCGCTTCTCTCCGAGGACCGTTTGATGATGGGTGGGTAAATCCATGGAAGAAGAATAGGCGGAGGGACTATACGAAAGGGCGCTCGGGACGGACGAAGAAGAAGAGGGCGACATCGCCGAGTCCGGTGGTGCAGGAGACAAATTCACGAAAGAGAAGGCCGTACCACGATTCGGAGATTCGGGAGGCGAGGACATCGGCTGCCAGTCCCTCCTCCAGCGTTGGCCTATCGATCGGCAAATTCGACCCAAGGGCCGACTCCCAACGTCGATCCACCAAGAAGTCTTTCGGAAACAAGCGTGGTCTATCAGCGGTGTCACCAAATACTCCGAGACGAATCCCCCCGTCGATAGTGGGGTCCGATGTACCTTCGCAGCACTCGGCTCCCTCCAGGCCTACCGATCATAGATGGCTTAAAAAGGACCACGTCCGAATTGGGTTCAGCCAGGTTGACCCACCTACCTCTCCTACTACGTCCATATCCTCTCGTGTTGCTGAAACGCGAAGCCGCGTGGTTGAGGGTTCTTCCAAGAAGCGGAAGTCTCATCCTTCAAACGACCGGAGTCCGAGCAAAAGCAATGAATTGAAACGACCATTCCAGCGTGGCAACTCTACACCCAGCCGTAATGTCCACGATCGGTCACGGGTCGACGCAAGATCCTCGTCCCCCGGGAAGCATCTCTGTCCACCGACCGTGGTAAAGAGACTTGCCGAAGCTTCTTACCGAGATCCGTCGTTCCACGTACTATCTTCTTCATCCCAGCTGCCGAAATTCGAATACCGTCGAAGGAGGCAACTTGTGCCCGACGGAGAGGCGCACTTTAAACCTCCACCCACGGCTGTAGCGAATGAGAGGGGCCCCGCCGGATCAGTTGCTTCTAACGACACGAAAATTGCGGACAATGATTTGGAAGTGCCCCGAGAGTCGCCCTCAACCAATATAGTCGAGAATGGACCACCAGAAAGCGCACAAGGCCCTCGAGCGTCCTTCACAACCAGCAATACTTCCAACACTCTTCGTGATGCGTCTGACTCACATTCAGAGGACCAGACTAGTGGATTCCACACCAAGGGAAATACAAGTGAGAAGCTGCCTTCGGCCCAACAGGTTCAAGAAAACCCAACCATAATGGATTATACCACCTCCCTGCGTTCGATCGCTATACAAAAGACCAATTCGGAGCATGATGGAGATGCAAATCATACATCTGACCCACCGTTTTCAACACAAGCGGCTCTTCGACTTGCCCAGAAGTCGTTCCAGAATGACCTGGACACACCGAATCGCATTCCCGCAATATCGGATCAGACCGGACTCACGTCGCGCTCACTCGACCCTGGATCAGCTGGATCAAAGAACATTACCCCTTTTCACCAAATGACCGCGCCTGCCATAGATGACGGGCACAAATCCGCACCTGGAACGACCGCACATCAAATGATTAGCACCCAGCATATCATCGACGCCGTTACGCCGTTCACCTTTAGTGCGGAGAAGAAGATACAATTTCTCACTGCATCCTCCCATAAGGAAAGGTCCAGGGATTACCAAAGCGATAGCCGCCTCCCGTCGTCGCCTATATCTCCAACCCCCAGTGAAAATCACCGGGAACCTCCTACTTCTGGGGGCGAGAGGGATTCTGTACATAATGAGTCCTGCCAACAACCAAGCATTCCAATCGAGATGCAGAGCGCCCTTGCCATGACCTTATCCGGGACCACCCCGCCCACAGCACAGGACGGACAAGGCGCAGCCGACAGTTTTAACTTAAGCCAGGCGATCGCAGAAGCTGGGAGCTGGCTGCAACACAGTTTTGATCTGAACCGCGATATCATGGCAATGAGGCATTCTAAACCCGGGTCTTCTGCGAAGACGGCGAGATCTGCCGCTGTGAGTTTCGATACCACGAAATAAAACCCACTTTATCTGGCATGAAAAGCCATAAACAAACCTTTCGGATATGCCAGTCTTTCGGTTGTATATTTTGTTTCCTTGGGCGATGTAGGGTGATTGCATTGGGGTATTTCTTTACGATTGGACATGATAAATAGCAATGATATGCGTACATACTTAATCATATTTACCAGTAGATTGAGAGGACGTGTGAAATCCACGTGTATAGTTACTTAAAACATAGGCAAATGTATATAATGCGGATGGTGGAATGAGTGACGTTTGGAATGATCCGGAGCTCGGCGTTAGCGCGGCGGAGACTCCGCGATAACAGCGGGATTGCGCCAGCTCCCTTTGACCTCATCTTCGACCTTCTTCATCCCACTACGATCGGTCTGTGACCGCGTCCAAATGGCTCTAACATCAGTATGCACTGTTTCCTCTGCGAAACTGATGGTTCGTTCTTACTGACGTGATTATCCAGTGGAAAGCCTTCAATTTCTTCGATGCTTCGCAGGTGAAGCTACCTGATGAGAGCTCATCGGTATTCAGTGTACGTTTTGCGCCCCCCAGAACTCCGGTTAATTGTGATTGTACATATCTAATGTCTGTGTGGAACTAGTCTGACGTCGCCTCCATCTGTACCGGCTCTTCGAATCTCTTCCTCGGATCCGCCGATGGCCTCGTCCACATCGTCTCGTCGGCCTTTAAAGTCGTGCAGTCATTTAGAGCCTCCGATAATGGCTCCATCACACACATCAAACAAATAGAAGGGACGTCGCTTCTGGTGACAATAGCGGAGGATCTACCCAACGAGCCAGTATTGAAGGTCTGGGCACTTGATAAGCCGGAGAAGAAGACAGGCGATCCTCGGTGCTTGTCGGCAACCTCGGTGCAGAATGCGAGGCGGCCATTCCCTGTACGTCGGTCCGAAATACCCTCCATCGTCTGTCTCTTTGCTGATTTATATAATTCGATAGGTATCTGCATTCACAGCCCTGGAGGACCTCTCTCAGGTGGCTGTCGGCTTTGGCAACGGCTCCGTCACCATCATCCGCGGCGACCTGATCCACGACCGCGGGGCCCGACAACGGATAGTGTTCGAATCGGAAGAACCCATTACTAATCTGGAAGTACAAACCGGGGGGATATTGACTTTATACATCTCGACTACCAGTCGCATATTAGCCTTGGTCATTGCTGGTCGAGGACAAGGCCAACCTGCTCGTGTGCTGGAGGACACGGGATGCGCCGTTAGCTGCATGTCGTTGGACCGAGACTCGGGCGACGTACTGGTTGCCCGGGAAGATGCGATATACACATACGGACCGCATGGACGGGGGCCTAGTTACGCCTTTGAGAGTCCCAAGAACTCGATCACGATCTTCAGAGACTACGTTGCGCTGGTGTGCCCGGGGTCTTCGCGACCGGAGTCTTTGCGTAATTTCGGGGTCAGCCCGGCTGATGAGATATTCAATACCACCACCTTCACGCTGCTGGACACGGATCTCAAATTCATCGCGCATGGGGAGTCCCTCGCGTCCTCGGTAAAGCATGTCTTCACTGAGTGGGGGAGTCTGTTCATCCTCACCACTGATGGAAAGGTATGTGCATTTGCCTTGGGGTAGTTGAAGCGACTTAATAACCTTGTCTAGATGTTTCGGTATCGTGAGAAGAGTCTCCAGCAGAAGCTTGAAATTCTCTATCAACGCAACCTCTATATCCTAGCCATCAACCTGGCACAAAAGAAGGGCGTGGACCATTCGCAGCAAAACGCTATCTACCGCCGGTATGGGGACTTTTTGTACCAGCGGGGCGACTACGATACTGCGATGCAGCAGTATCTTCGAGCCATTGATAACACGGAGCCATCTCAGGTCATCCGAAAGGTAAGCTCAAGCGGTGGTCCACAAATGATCGTGTTAAGTCTAAGGATCTTTGCAGTACCTTGACACCCAGCGGATTCATAATCTTATCGAATACCTTGAAGAATTGCATGAACATGACCGCGCTACGGTCGACCACACGACCCTGCTGCTCAACTGTTACGCCAAACTCAAAGATACTGGCAAACTGGACGCTTTCATCAAGGCGCCCGGGCAGCTGAAATTCGACCTAGAAACCGCCATCTCCATGTGTCGCCAAGGTGGTTACTACGAACAAGCGGCCTACCTGGCTACGAAATACGGCGAAAATGATATGGTCGTGGATATCTTGATCGAAGACTCCAAGAAGTATGCCGAAGCCGTGGAGTATATCTGGCGACTTGATCCCGAATTGGTTTGTATATCGGCGTCAACGGATTGGACTAAGAGTGCTAACAGATACAGGCCTACCACAATCTGATGAAGTACGCCCGAGTCCTGCTTCACAACCGTCCAGAGGAAACTACCGAACTGTTCATCCAATATTATAAGGGTACATTTAAACCCAGGACGGAAGTTGAATCACCAGTTGAACCGCAGGAGAAGTCGGGAAGCACGCTGCAGAGTCTGGCAGCGTTTCTACCCCTGTCTCTCATGAGTGCCGGCTCAGGCAAAGCCGAAGTGGCCGAGCCTCCATCTGAAGCTGAGGTTGAAGATACGGATCCAGCCCCTACTTACCACGCCCCGAAGCCGCGGACGGCATTCTCAGCCTTTGTCGGCCATTCTGGGGAGTTCATCACTTTCCTTGAAGCTCTCATTGAGAAGAATGACCTCAAGCAAGAAGACAAGATTGACCTCTACACCACTTTATTCGAAATGTACCTGGACACGGCTAGCCATAAGAAGGACACAGAGAAAGAAGAGTGGGAGAGCAAGGCCAAAAAGCTAATAGAAGGGAAAGACGTAAGACATCTCTCCCCCCTCCCTCACCACTCTACTCACCGCGTTTAGATACCGATTTCCACATCCAGCGTGCTGCTCCTTTCCGATCTCTCTGGCTTCAGAGAGGGATCAACTCTCGTCCGAGAGCAGGAAGGCCTGCGGTCAGATATCTTCCGGTCGTTTACATCAGCGAAAGACACGCGCGGCGCTATCAAAGCTCTGAAGAAGTACGGCCCGCAAGAGCCGCAGCTCTATATAGATGCCCTGACGTATTTTGCCTCGAGTCCGAAAATCCTAGAAGAAGCCGGCGAAGAGCTAGACGTCGTCCTGAAACGGATCAACGATGATGGCCTTATGTCCCCGCTGCAGGTCATCCAGGCACTCAGCAACAACGCAGTCGTGACAATGGGCCGCGTAAAGAAGTATCTCAGCGAGAACATCGAACGAGAACGCAAGGAGATCTCAGGAGTGAGCCCTCCCTCTCCCTCCTCCCAACCCACAACACCACTGCACAACGCGATAGAAAACTAACAGTACATAGAATCGCCGCTTAATATCCAGCTACAGCAGCGAAACCGAAACCAAGCGCGAAGAAATCTCCCAACTAGGCACCAAACCCATCGTCTTTCAAGCACGCCGCTGCATGTCCTGCGGCGGAGGCCTCGACCTCCCCACCGTCCACTTCCTCTGCAAACACTCCTTTCACCAACGGTGTCTGAACAAGGTCGACGACGACGCGGAGTGTCCCGTGTGCGCGCCGCAGAATGCAACCATCAAGGCGATCCGCAAGAGGCAGGTTGAGTCGGCTGATCAGCATGATCTGTTCAAGGGGGAGCTGCAGCGCTCGAAGGATCGGTTCCAGGTTGTGAGTGAGTTTTTTGGGAGGGGGGTTATGAGGTCGCAGAGTACAATGGAGTGAATGGTCTGCATATTGTAGTGGGTAGAGGGTTGTTGGTTGATTTACGCGATACGTAGCATTTGTTATACATATGCATATGACTCAGGTTTACCATATGTCGTCTTCAAAGTTTATACATAGTAATTTTGAATACCATTTAATAAATAGAATAAACGTGGGCCATCTGATCCACCGCTGCGGACAGCCTCAATAAGAAACAACTGCCGTTAATGCTATACTATCAACATGAGCATGAAATATCCGCCATAACGCCATCATCATATCGTATCAAAGCAAACGCGCAAAATGGGCTTGCAGCCAAGAAAAGAAAAAGCAAGTTACTTCCGCTTAATCCCAAGCGACGGCTTAGCCAAATCCTTCCTCTTCTTCTTCATCTTCTGAAACGACACAACCGGAGGCGGCGGCTGCTCCGGCTCAACCTCATCCTCCTGTATCCGGCGCACGCGATCCCCCTCCGCAGTCGTAAACGCCCTCTTAGCAGCCTCCTCATCCTCCAACTCCTGCGCAGTCCGCGCATCAGCCGCCGTATCAGCAGGCAGCGGCCCCTCCTCAACACCCGTCTGCTGCGCGCGCTCCAATCGCGCATTACGCACACGGATCTCATCCAACGCGTCAGCAACAGCCATCTCGGTCTTCGCATCTGCCGCCTTCTGCTCCAAATCCGCCATGACGTCGCGCTGCGCTTCCTCGCGCTCCAGCCGATCCAGCCGCTCCTCCTCCGTCTCTTCATCTAGCTTCGCCTGGCGCCAGGGCTCGAAGTTGCGTTTTGCGCCCTTTTCGCACTCATAGTCCATGTGTTTGGGGTCCGTTCGGAAGGAGATTTCGGTGGAGCAGCCTGTGCAGCGGATGTAGAAGCGGTAGATGGGGATCGAGTAGTATTTTTCTTCGGTGGTTTCTTTGCGCGCGTTGAATTTGCGGCCTTTGTAGATGTATTCTCCGCAGCTGTAGGGGTAAGCTAGTTAGATAGGTCTTGAGAGGGTTGATTGACGGAAAGTAGAGTGGTTTGTTGCTTACCTGTCACAGCGCATGGAGAACGGCGCCATCAGACGAACGGTCTGGAGCTTCGGGCCGGCATTTTTGGGCTTCTTCTGCCGGGTGATTTGACTCGGGTCGAAGTCTGCGACTGTTAGCTATGCGCCGCTATAATTCTGCTCAGAATCACATACCTGGGGGATAGTACTTGGTGAGAACTTTGCGTTCAGACATGGTGGCTAATGCGCGGAGGCGGACGTATAGGGTTCAGCGAAATAAGTAAAGTGTAAAGTTGATGTTTTTTTTTTTTTCAAATACACCTCTCCAGCCGCAGAATCTCCGTGAAAAGGTCGTGGCGAAGTTGAGAAACGAATGACGGCGAGGTGTTGGATCTCCGCTGGAAGGCGATTATCGCGGTCACATGACGTAGGATGTGCACTAAGCCTATTGTGGATCTCCTGTCGAGGAGCCAATCATATCATGCATTGTATACTTCTGGATGCCGCAGGCATTCATGGAGTTCCTGACAAGTACAGCATTATTTGGACTCGATAAGATATACTGCTACAAATTCTGGTCTTAAGGCAGATTAAAATGTTTAAATATATCGGATTCAATAGCGTCATATCATGCTACTACCACATACTCCCAGATCCCGGGACGCTGCTACCACAGACCCCTAGGTATACCAGGTTGGGGACGGGATCTCATCCAGCAGGAAGAAACGGCCCTGCTCCGACTCCTTGTAAGCCACCGGGTCGTGCAAAGTGTGCGTCCGTACATCTCTCCAAAACCGGTCCAGGCCGTACTTTTCCGCTGTCGACCTCGCTCCGGTCACCTCGAACACACCACTGGTTACATCCAGCGCGGTGTGTGTCGCGACAATCTTGACACTCACGACCCATTCGGCAACTTCTCCACGCTGCCGCGCTGTTATGTCTCGCTTGTCGCCGTGATCTCTGTACAGGGCGGCTAGCTCTTGACCAGCTCGGTCAGCCAGCGCATCTGCTGCCCGAAGGGACGCAAAGAATCTCCCATAGCGCGCCAGGACATAGTGCTCGTCTGCGGCGCTCTGCTTCGGGTCATGGGCAAACGGCCAGGGACGGGTCTGAGTTGATGTATAGTGTCGCGCCGTCCGGAGCGCCCCTTGAGCGATTCCAATATAGAAGTTGGCAAACATCAGCTGGATGGTCGGTAGGAGCAAGGTGGGAAATTGGATGCCCAGAACCTCGGCTATCGGAGCCTTGGTCTCCTTTGACCATCCCAATGCGTCTTCCCACGGGATAGGGACGTTGTCGATCTTGACGGAACCGGATTCCGTAAGGCGGAGTCCGATGTTGTTCCAGTTGTGCGAGAAGATGATTCCAGGCTGGTTGGTCTGGACCAAGGCGAAGATGTGGCCGTCTGTGTCTTCATAGATTCCTTCTAGTACTGTGAGATCTGATATGACGCCACCCGTGTTAAAATTCTTGAAGCCGTTGAAGACGAGACCATCGCCAGATGGCGCCTGCGTGACGCGACTGTCGTTATCGCGAGGGTTCACCGCGCCTGTAGATCGATCTTTATCAATAATCTTGTCCGTAGTTTGTGGTAAACTGTCGATGACTTACCCCCAATGAAGTAATTGTTCTCGAGGATGAGCTTCTCCGTACGCTCTTGCTGTTCCTTGGTGCCAACAATGCGCGCCGTGGTCGACCACAGCAGGTGATAGCCCAGCAACATACCGATAGACCTATATTATCAAGTCAGGTTCCATAACCAATCACACATATATCAAACCTACCCATCACCCGCAGCAACCTCTCGGATTACTTTATATCCAATTTCCCAGCTCTGCCCGCCACCGCCATACTTGACATCTCCCAGAACCTTGAGCAGCCCTGCGCTTTTGAGCAGAGCGACTTCAGCCCGTGGGATCTTCTGCTCTTTACTCCGAGCAGCGGCATCGGGGGCAAGGATCTCAGAGACCTTGCGCGCCCTGTCCAGCCAACCGGTGGATGTCTTCGGCTGGCCTTCTGCATCGAAAGCCTCAAAGTTGGCCTGGTAAACCGAAGGGTCCGAAGACGACGGGGCGGGGTTTGTGGTAGGGTTTGCAATTGCCATGATTGTGTGCTTGTATGCGAGCTAATGAATTGTCCGCATGATGGTCAACTGAGAAGAGCTGGTTCTTATACTTCAAGATGGGAGGGATTCGTCAGAAGGTGCTGCGATGGTACCACGCACTAAATCGCTCCATTCAAGGTCCTCGAACGAGATGCAGATCAGTTGCCATCCAATTGAAGGACAGTTTAGGCGCTGCGTGTTCCTTTGCTGGAGACGGACATTCTTGGGTCGATTGCGAATAGCAGGTCATGATTGCGTGTTGTAGATCTGCCATGGGGTTAATAGGGTCAGGCACTTCAGTGAACGACTGATGATGAGAGAATAAGGATTAGTTGTGTTCGTCACACTGAGTTCGACAGGTTCGCGCGTTGATTCTGTACGTAAGTCCAATCTGATGGCTACCAGTGCCCCTCCTATCACGCCATCATATACTGCGGGGAACGGATGAAGGGGTTTGATGATAGCGAACATTGGCTAGCTATCTTTCTGCGCGCTGTTGGGTCAAACTTTATATGTCCTCCTTACAGTTTCGGTGCCCTCTTACCAATTGACATGGTTCGCTGAGAAAAGTCTTTAAATGGCCTGAAGATTGCTGATGTTCCCTTCAGTCTCCCCGGTCGTTGCACAATTCTCAACTTGCGTAAAGGTGAAAAACGATATCTCTCCCCTTTCAGATGAAATCCAACCTACTCAGTCTTTCGTTTTTACCCAGCGCAGGCAGATAGGGTGTCCTGCTGTATCGGACATCGCAACGCTCCGTCCACTATATTGGATCCATCATACTGTGGTGTAAACGTACAGTTGGCGAAGATTGTGCCGTAGGATGTAGCATCAACATATAGATCATAACTGGATCTTCACGGACTAATGGTGTTTCTGCAATGTCACCCCTGTGTTGGGTTAGAAAACACCTATTTCAAGGGGTTGACATGGCTGTATATATATCTGAAGTTCACTGTATTTTGACACTTCGAGGGCCCCCCTAGGGATGATAAAACAGCTTGATGTAGTTAGCAGTTCAGAGTAAACCAGTAATTGAATAGATCCAAAGGGTGAAGAGTCGCAACCTGACATTGTCAACAGGTTGATGCAACAAAAATCTCATAGTTGGAGGTCAGAAGAATATTGCCTATTCAGTCCTAGTCGAGTGGGTGAACGTGCCCGATAAACAATCACTGATAAGCATTTCACTCCGAATTTCATCTGCAACTCCAACTCTGTTTTAACTGTCTTTTTTACACCTATTTACTACTCATTGGAAGACCCGTTATATCTCTCGTCCTTCATGTCAGACTACCGTGTGATCCAAGACTCTGACGATGAAGAGGATCCTCTGTCAGAGGAGGTTACTGCGCCCATGGTGAACGCGCCGCAGGACGCGCCAGGTCACCAGGCCGATAATGTCGGCGCCCCCCCCAACGAAACACACGTCGCAGGATCCAATCAGACAGGCCCGTTGGCAGTTGATTTCGATCAATTCCTCCAGTCTCAGGAAACAGGACCGGCAAGGCTATCTGCCTCTCAGCAGCAGAGGGAAGCCAGATGGATACCCGGGAATGCGGGGTGCGGTAGAAACGGTAGGCGATAATTAACGTACCGTCTATGATATGTCAATTCGGTCACTAATACTCATGGGACTGACAGGTTCAACCATTATGGAGATTGGCCTTGCGCAGCAGCGACTATTCGAAGACGAAGACGCTCAGCACACCCACCATCCCTCACCACCTGCGACTGGCTGTTCCGAATCCTTCCAATCCGGCCCAGACCCAACAGATGAACTGCAACTCGTTCCAGATATGCATGCACCAGAAAGGGCTATCGATACTGGAGCGGTCGACCCGAATAGTGGCTCGAACGATACGGAAATCCATGCCGCGCCCGAATACCCACCGACTGTGCCCTACAGCTCCGTACCCCAATATGCGATCGGACCTGGAAATGGCTATTTAAACGATGGAACACACGCATACCATGCCCCGGCACAAAATCTGCCACAGTACAGCAGCATCACATCCGACGGTTCCTCCCGATCGGCTCCGTCATACAACCTGTTCGAATCGTCCTTGCGGCCGTCTGATACTTACAACGAAGGCAATTTCGCAATGAATACCGAGGTGACAGGACCGACAGAAGCCCAACAGCAAAGTCTACGAAGACACAATTCTATGCAAGCACCGTTTTGGTCACCTCATGATACGGAGCCGTTTTCCTCCGTCGCGTCGCCGCAGGCTAGCAGGGTGAAAAGTGACGGGGCTGCCACGATCGGTTTGCAGCAGTCTCAGCACAGTGCCGATGAGCTTTCTGCGCCCGTTTCAGTGGAAGTGCAGATACCTGAAAAGAAGCGGGGACGTAAGAAGAAGCAACCTGTTTTAGAGGATGACGAGGATGACGAGCTTGCTCAGCCCATTGTCCGTGAGCCTATCGAGCAGGTCGACAAGCCTGAGAAACGGAAGCCGGGAAGACCGCCAAAGAATGCCAAGGGAGTCCTTGATGAAAAGGCTACGAATGGGACAGGTGATACAACCACCACTGGACCCGTGAACAGTGACTCGCCATCGTCGGATAATGTGGCCAAGAATTCCACCCACGCCGGGGATAAGGTAGCTCTAGGAGAGGCATCGGAGAAAGAGAACGAGCCACATCCCGCACGGACGGTCCAGCTCGTTGAACCAACCGAGGCCGCCGTGAAAGGGAATCGAAAGAAGAAGATGAAACGAGGAAAGACCACTTCCGTCACCGTCAAGAAAACATACGACTCCGACGTGGAAGACGATGTGATATGGGTGGACGAGCGCCCTATAACTACAAGTCATGCGGACCCGCAACCCAACACGGGCACCGGCAATGCTGAAACAAAGCCGGCACAGTTTGAGATCGTCCCGCCGCCACCGAAGAAACGTGGGCGCAAGAGAAAGGGGACGACGGAACAGGTTCCTCCTGACGAAGTAGCGAAAGAACGGAGAGACGTTGTTGATCCTGGACTGGACGGAAACCGAGGCCAACAGAACGATACTGATAGTCCGGTAGTTGAGCCCCTTGTCCCCAAAGATGCGGTCGTGAGTGACAGCCACCAGACAAGCGTAGAGCCCTCTACCGTTGACCCTTCGGACCCCCTACCAGACCCAACAAAAGAAAAGAAAGAGAATGAGGATGCCCCCGCGACACCCCGGAAAGCAGGTAAGGTACCAGAAACACCCGCCAAAGGACCGACCAAGCATAGTCCGATCTCCTCGACCTCGCGGGTTCCGTACCGCGTCGGACTGAGTCGGCGGGCTCGGATTGCGCCCTTGTTGAAGGTTGTCAAGCGATAGGGGGACCTAGTTCGTGCTCTTCCTTGTGTCTTTTATGTATTTGATGCCCAACTACCCTCGCGCAACCTCATTTTGAGGCCATGTACCGTGGAATGTATAACGACCTATTTAACTATGTATATTATTATCCTAATGAAAAGAAATGAGACTCTGAGGATCTACAAGCGCGAAACAGCATAGTTTCGAGATAACGCTAGTTCCTCACCATACGAGCATTTGTCCTCGTTCAATATCATCTCCCCACGCCTAATATTTCCTGTTCCTGTCCTGTCCTGTCCTCCTTTAAGAAGGCTTCCTTGGGTGCCCTCGGCATTTTCGGCAAATGTGACGACTGTGTGGAGACGGTGGAGCTTGGCGACACCAGAGGGTCCCTGCGACGATCCGACCTATTCGCCGAGGAAGCTCGAAACCTCAGCCAAGTGGGTAGCTGAGGGTCACCGTTACAATTGTATTGGAACTACTGAGTAGAACCATCACATTCCAAGATCCATCGAGTCCAACTCCCACAGCTCCTGAGCCATGGTCATCTCCTGCCGTCGATAAACCTGGACCGTGGAGGACCGATAAATCGACGAACGGGATGATGGCCGATAGTGTGTCGATCGGGGACGGTCAATGGTCCGGAATGAATACGGTGGAGTCGTAAAAGTGGAGACAGGAAGCCAAAAAGAGCAGCGAGAGAAAGCAAATGGAACGCGACCAAGAGAGAAAGAGGAAAAAAGGCGGGAAGGGGAGAAGGTGACTTGAAGCCAAGTCGAGCTGAAGCCGCGACTCCCCACTTCGACCTCTCTTTCCCCTCCCCTTGGCCAATTACCCAAATTTCCACCGTCGTGAGGTCAATCGCCAATGATAGCACTTGGTTGCTTGGGAGCCTTGTCATTTCTGGGATTCTCTGCCAAGTCAACTGGTCGACTGGAAAAATCTCGCTCGGGTTAGACGCGTTTCTCTCTCTTCTTTCCCTCTCCTTTTCCTGGTCCTTCTTCCACCTATTCTCCCCCCTCTGGTCCGAAGTAGTCGACTGGGTTGATTTTCCTTTTTCGTCTTTCGACAATTCTCCGACCTTATCCGCTCCTTTCCTTCTTGGGTTAAACTGCGGGCTGGAGGTCTTGTGCTTCCCCTATCTTGTTACCGCGGTCGCCGATTCCGACTCCGCTCGGGACAACTCACGCCGCGGACTTAGCACGAATTGCGACCAAGACGCCCCCCATACCGTGATTGGGGAGGGGGACATTTGTTATTCGAGTCTTTACGACATTTGAACGCCTGTCCTTTTTCTTTCCATACCATCGATTATGGCTCGCACCCGGAGAAGTGCCAGCAATCTCGGGGCGGATATTCGGGGGGACACGAGCGCCCCGGCGATGTCGACCATGAATGAGGTGAGCCCGATTGAGACCGAGGCGCCCAAGTGGGATAAGGTACGTGGTGTGATTTGGGGATGGCCCATGTCAAGGGAGAGAAAGGGATTGGACTGACAGATTTCTTGACCAGGTCCTCCCGCCGCGCTCCGAAACGTCCAAGTCGCAGTCGAAGCGTCGCAAGAGTCGGTCCCTGCTCCACCGCTTCAAGGATCTTTGCCTCAAACACACCTGGGTTCTGCCGCTGTTGATGGTGGTGGTCTTGCTCCTGGCGTATGCGGTCAACCCGACGGAGAGCAACCCGATGCACAGCGCCATCTTCCTGTCCTATCCGCAACCCCCGAAGACGCCGGGCGGCCCGATCATGTACGGCAAGGGCCCCAAGGATATCGCCTTCGTTTCCTTCTATACGATCGTCCTGTCCTTCACCCGCGAGTTCCTGATGCAGCGCATGATCCGTCCGCTGGCCGTGTACTGCGGCATCCGCGGCCGCGGCAAGACGGCGCGCTTCATGGAGCAGGTCTACACCGCGATCTACTTTGGCATCTTTGGGCCCTTTGGTCTGTACGTGATGAAGCGGTCGAACATCTGGTACTTCAACACGACGGCTATGTTCGAGGGCTTCCCGCACCGCGAGCATGAGCCGGTGTTCAAGGCGTACTACTTGCTCGAGGCCAGCTACTGGGCGCAGCAGGCGATCGTGCTGATGCTGCAGCTGGAGAAGCCCCGCAAGGACTTTAGGGAACTGGTGGGACACCATATCATCACGCTGGCCCTGATCGGATTGAGTTACCGCTTCCACTTCACGTACATGGGCCTGGCGGTCTACATCACGCATGATATCTCGGACTTTTTCCTCGCTGTATGTTTCCAATGGTCTGTCCCGTGAATTTTGAATGCGTGCTAACTTGATCGCAGACGTCGAAAACGCTCAACTACCTCGACTCTGTCATCACGATTCCCTACTTCGGCATCTTCGTGGGCATGTGGATCTACCTCCGACACGTGCTGAACCTGAAGATCCTCTGGGCGACGTTGACGGAATTCCGCACGGTGGGACCGTTCGAGCTGAATTGGGAAACCCAGCAGTACAAGTGCTGGATCAGTCAGTACATCACGTTCGCGCTGCTGGCGAGTCTGCAGGCGGTGAACCTCTTCTGGCTCTATTTGATCCTCCGCATCCTGAAGAACTACATCTTGAGCAACGTGACCAAGGACGAGCGGAGTGATGACGACACCGAAGAGGAGGAGGAGACCCCCGCCCAGCCGCCGACGGCCCACGCGACGGGCACCGACGCGCCCACCCTCCGGGCACGGAACGCAGGCAAGGAGAACCAGGCGCCTCAGGTACTGATCAACGGGGAACCCGTCAGCGACAACACCCAGAAAGGTCGTTAACAGACATACGCTCTGGGAGTCCTATCGTCGTTGCGAAGCAGGCCAATGACCTGATCCAATCAGGACTTGTGTCTGACATGGGCTTGTCTATAGTGGTGGAATGAAATCTGCAGCGACCACGATAAATCGTCATCCTACCTTATCCAGAGGGCGACGTCGATTCAGAGAGAGAGAGAGTGGCGCGTGAACCCTCTTGTTCTTTTTCCTTTTTCCATTTTCCCGTCCATATTTTATTTTACTTTTTTTAGTTTTATTTTTTTCTACTTGTCTGTACAACAACCGTTGCATGACGCAGCTGAGTGGATATAGTGACGATCCCATGAGTGAGCGCTTTTGATTATCGGAAAATGAATCACGGAGGGGACAGAGACGGAGACAGAGACAGACGGGAGACCCTGGGACGGGGCGGTGTTTGATATAATATAATGAATGAATAGATTTGTGCTGACCATGCTTTTCTTTATTCCTATTCTCGTTGGTTATATTCACTAGGATGCCTGGATGCAGGGTGTACTGCCTATACATTGGTCATTCATTCGACATTATGAGGATATGATACAAAGGAAAGGAGAGAGTCGTCCCATATCTGAATCGTCATCGCATGCTTGCGATCAAGACTGGGACTTCTCAGCGGGAGATTCCTCCTTGGGCTTGGAGTCTTCGCCTTGGCTGTCACTCTTGTCCTCTGTCTTCTCCGTTTTCTCGTCCTTCTGGGGCTTGTCCTCCTTTCCGGACTTCTCCTCGGGCCTCTCCTCGGACTTCTCGTCCTTCTGGGGTTTGTCCTCCTTATCCTCTTTTTCAGGCTTGTCCTCAGACTTCTTGTCCTCCTCAGGCTTCTTCTCCTCAGACTTATCCTCAGATTCGGGCTGAGATTGCGTCTCGGAAGCAGAAGCACCCTGCTCTTCCTTCTTATGCGACTCCTCATGCGCCCCCTCGTCATGCCCATGTCCATGAGCATCATGGCCCTTCTCCGGACCAGACTGGAGTAGGAAGTACGCCGAGGGAACGGTTAGACCGACGGACGCGAGGATCCTGTGAAGGTGTTAATATTCTTCATTTATTGTACAATTTTATCCATGATAGATTGATGTTTATGTTCAATAAGAGGGAATTACCATGGTAAATCGCTAGACTTGGAGACCTGTTCGGCAGCGGAGCCGGGGGAGGAGGCATAAGTGCGACGGAGGGCGTGCTGGGCTGGGCGACGGGCTGTGGCGTTGAATGCGCGGAGGGAGGTGCGGAGGAGGGTTGGGCGTGCGAACATCATGGTGGGAATAGAATGATTGGAATTGAGATATTATATGTTGTAGAAGGATTCTAAGTTGTATGTTGTATACTGTATAGAGGTGTTTGTCGGGGAGAGACAGAAAGAAAGAGAGGGAAAAGTAGCCGGGAGAACAGGGAATAAATATTAAGGAGGCTGGAGACGCCCATTGATTACTCGACTGACCTCACTCTATTGTACTCCGCAGTCGCCAGTGTAATATCCGACTAGTTACCTACTGTCTCATAACAGACTACCCTAACGGTCAAGTCCAGGAACTGCGAGTTCGGAGGTTGTTGCTCTGATGTAATCCATCAATCCGGTTTGCGATGATATCATCGAATACCTTGGTGTCATAAATAGATAGCATTGGGATGCATCTCTGTAAAAATAAAATAATAGTAGAATAAACGATAAACTATTGAATGACTTAGTCTATTGTCTAGGAATGTATCTATCTATCTATAAATATAGTTATATAGAGTTCATGTATACTCCGAACCAGAGTTATGTGGCAACCTCAGGCATCCACCACGGCAGCCTGAGGCCTTATCCACTTCTCATCTCGACTTCAACCTCAACTTCTCCCCAACTTCCCCTCATCTACATCAAACCTCCATTCTCTCGCTCCCCTCAACTGGCGCGATCTCGGTAATTTTTAATAAACTGTTATCGAACTGTTCTTGCAGACTCGTGATCCCCATTCTAGATCAATTACCCATTATCACCCCTCGTGCGGGGTCCTCACCATGGCGGACCGACAGGCTGTCCAGCAGAATGTCAACTCTCTACTCTCCAAGCTCGATGACCCTGATCCGGACATGAGATACATGTCGCTGAATGATCTTCTCGGCATCCTGAGCGCTCCCACTTCTTCCTTCCTGTCCCACGACCAGCATTCCTCGTCGCGCCTGGCGGACGGCCTCCTCAAGGCCCTGGACGACCAACATGGAGATGTCCAGAACCAAGCCTTGAAATGGTGAGAATTCCACCACCACCATCACTACCTTCAAGACCGACCATATATCTAACTGCGGTCTTCTAGTCTCGCCCCCCTCGTCGTTCGACTGCCAACCGACAGCCTCACCTCCATCCTGGAACAGCTCTCCGCCCTGACGGCCTCTCAGACCGTCGACACTTCCGTGCCCAACACCGCCCTAAGAACCATTGTTACGGCCCTGCCCCGCCCCCAGACCGGTCAGCCACCGAGCTCCGAGGCCGCCTCCGCGTACGCCTCCATTGCCAAGGTCTTGATTCCGCGCCTGATCGGGCCTACCCCATCCCCCTTCAGCCGCCGGGGTTCCACCGTCAAAGGCATGCTGGAGAAGGACCAATCCCGGGGTTTCAGCAGTGATGCCATCGATGTCCTCATTCAGGTCGTCACCTGTTTCGGGGCTTTGTTGAAGGACTCCGAATTGACCGGCCTGAAGGCCTCGGTCATGTCCATCATTGATAATGACACGGCTGGTACCGTTGTCACCAAGAGAGCGCTGGCTGCCATCTCCGCCCTGGTCCTCCACTTCTCCGACGCCCAGCTGGGTACGTTTGTGTCGGAGCTCGTCGAACGTTTCAACTCGCCGCAGTTGAGCATCGTCCGTCGCCGCCACCTGATCGCCGCCGTCGGCAGCATTGCCCGAAGCGCCCCGGCCAAGTTCGGGCCGCACCTACCCACGCTGGCCCCGTTTGTGTTTTCGGCGGTGGGTGAGACTGATCTGAGTCAGGTAAACTAGGAAATCTTCAGGCCGTGGTGCTCTCTCTTACTGACCTTCCCAGTAGTCGACCGTCTCCCACGCACGTTCCATACCTTCCGCCGCCTAGACCATGGGATTCATGTAGCATGGGCGACTCCGGATGGAATGTATTTGATATGGCGCTGGTGGACTTGTAGCGCCCACAACCATTACGAGGCATCCGAAAATGAAGCTATTGAATTTTACTCTTTCCAGCATTCTGTAACAAGACTTGATACTATTGATGGCCCTGGAGTCGGTCGACCGACGATGCTGCAACTACTTGCTGAAGCTAGACCATCCGGTACTTGATCGTACATGCCGTTTTCTCAACCTTGACACGGCTGGGCGTTGCTCCCACGCAGCTTCCCTTTCCATCTTGGAGCACCATGTCGCTCCTTCCAAAGAACATTACCCCCGGGTGATCTCCCATCCCCTTCACGGCACCGTGAACCTCTTCGCCCTCTCATCCCATTCTTTCTTGTATACATAGCACTAACCCACTATTCTGTTTGCTGTCTCTGATTATTCCATATCTTACCTCAAATCATCTTACCGGATTCAAAGCGTCAATATGCATCTTTCTACCGTCCTTGCCCTATCAGGCATTGGCTTACTGGGATGCACGACTGCTCTCCATATCGCGGAGCTTCCGAATACCAAGCCCTACAATGTTGTGCCGGTGTCGGGGGCCACCAGCTCCCCCATTACGTTGACTCCACGTGCGGAACAAGCCCGATGTGGACCTGGATTCGGCCATTGCACGGATGGCAACTGCTGCTCCACCGCAGGTAGCTTCTCCACATGTATCTCGCACGGTCAGCGGCGCTAACGGGTGTAGGATACTGCGGCAAGACGGCAGCTCACTGCCGCTCGCCGGACTGTCAGATTGACTTTGGTCACTGTGACGCACTTGAAGTCCCCGGCGGCAACCCCACGGACGATGTGCCTCGACCCAAACTTGGCAGTGTCCCATACGGTCCGCAGACCATTCGATCCTGCACCAAGCAGGGGGTGGTCGCGCTTACCTTCGACGACGGGCCTAGAGAACACACCAAGGACCTTTTGGACCTGCTGGACCGGTATAAGGCTAAGGCGACCTTCTTCGTCACCGGAAACAACAACGGCAAGGGGGAGATCGATTCTCCCGACCAACCCTGGGCTGACCTGATTCGCCGCATGGTGAACAGTGGCCATCAACTGGCAAGCCACACTTGGTCCCATCAGGATCTCAACAAAATCACCCACGAGCAGCGTCTGACCCAGATCCTGTTCAACGAGGCTGCCCTTCGCAACATCCTGGGTAGTTTCCCGACGTACATGCGGCCACCATACTCGAGCTGCACGTCCCGGACGGGGTGCCTGGATGACCTCGGTGTGCTAGGCTACCATGTCATCTTGTACGACATTGACACCGAGGATTTCCGTCATAATTCCCCGGATCAGATCCAGAGATCCAAGGATATATTCAACCAGAACCTGGACAAGAAGAAGCCATCGTGGCTCGTCATCGCGCATGACGTGCACGAACAGACCGTGCACAATCTGACTGAACACATGCTGCAGCGGTTGGCCCACGATGGGTTCCGAGCCGTGACCGTCGGCGAGTGTCTGGACGATCCACCGGAACTCTGGTACCGCGCCGACGACGGTGGCAATGGTCGGCTTTCCTTGAAGAGTTCCGGGAGTTCTCAGAGCTCCAAGACAGGCTCTACGCGCAATGGCAAACCTAAGAATGAACCAAAGCTTACGACGCACATGGGAAAATCGAAGCATCATCACCAGGCAGCTAAGTCGCAGGCTGCTCCCGTGGTGCAGGTCGGACTCGGGGTGATGGGACTGGTTTTGTTGGCGGCGATTCTGGTTCAGTGACTAGTGAGTGATCTGGTTTAGGAGTATCACCATCATTATATTTCAGCTAAAGGATTGCGGACTTTCGCCATAAGGGTGACTGTCATCAGTGGTGGAAATCACAACGCGTTGATCATAGGAACAGTAATTCATCACTTCATCCTTTGTGTATAGCCACCAAACCTACGGAGTAGTTCTAGAACAGCACGCCCTTACTTGATATACATCATCATCGTCATTTAATAGGAGCATGAACGAGCCCAATAATAGTACACCCCCCTTGCATCAAACCAGGTGGCTAGTCGTACTCACCTTGCGGAGGCAAGGGATGTATGTTTACATAGAATATATACTATATATTATATTGCACACAAGTAAACCACGACCTTTGTACAGTGACGTGTAAAAGTAAAAATGGCATTGTGTCTTCACCGACCTCTATAGCAAAGCAGGTATCTAGTGGTGGTTGATGGGTTGATTTATCTAATGATATGATATGACATGGATGGATGGATGGAAATATGTACATAATGATGTGGGTAAAATGTGAGTCTCACAGAGGCGGATGAAAAGGGTCAAGGTAGGTAGGTAGGTAGGTAGGTAGGCGATAGGCGACATATCTGACGTGAGAAAGATGGATATTTGTTCTAGGTATGTATAAATTCATCTATATGTATATATCGAATTTAGGGTCTCGTATGTACTTGGTATTTTGCTCTCTCCGTCCCTTATTCCACCATCCACAAGGAAGAAGGAAAGAGGGATTAATAAGGAAAAGGGGTAAAAATGAAAAAGAAGAGGAAAAAAAAAATAATAAATAAAAGACAAGGAAACGAAGAAAGATTACATCTTCGAAGCCTCATCATGCTGCACAACAGCTCCATTCGAACCCTTCTCCTCATCCCCATCCACAAATCCAACCTGCTCCCTCTCAGCGCCACTCCTGAACTCGTTCTTCGTCTTCCACGCGGGGCGTCCAATGAGCGGAATGCCCGTCGGGTCGGTGAAGATCGCTTCGACGTCTTCGAGAGTCTTGCCTGCTGTCTCAGGGAACATGAAGAACACGTGCAGACACATGGCTGTGCAGAAGACGCCGAAGATGATGTAGACTTTCCAGGCGACGCTGGCGAAGGCGGGCGGGACGAAGTAGCCGAGCGCGAAGTTGAAGGCCCAGTTGGAGGAGGTGCAGAGGGCGTTGGCCTTGCCGCGGACGCGGAGCGGGAACAGCTCGGGCGGGTAGACCCAGCTGACGGGGCCCCAGGTGATGGCGTAGGAGCTGGGAGATGTTAGTTTTGGTATGTTACTTGGGTGGATGGAGGCAGAGATGTGCTGGATTGGGGTAGACATACGCAACGAATAGATAGGTCGAGGCAATGACTGCCTTGCTGGCAGGTCCCTTGATGACCCACGACTGGGCCTCAATGTGGCCCAGGCCGCCCGGCGGCGCCGCGTGTCCGTATGTGGCCATCAGGCCGGCATTGAGGAACATGAAGGTGAGCATGCCGATGGCGCCGAGAATGAGCGTGGGACGGCGGCCCCAGCGGTCGACCCAGAGGAGAGCCGGGACAGTCATGCAGACGTTGATGACGTATTGGATACTGGACGAGACGAGCAGGTTGTCGCCCTCGAGACCGGCCATAGCGAAGATATACAAGATGTAGTACATCATGGAGTTCATGCCGGTGAGCTGAGACCAGATCTGAGTGAACACACCGACGTGAGTGCGGTTGAGCATCGACGGCTTGAACAGCTCGAGGTAGGAAACGTCGGCGTTTTGGCGCTCGAACTCGCACACGGTCTTGATCTCTTCGTACTCGCTAAGGACGAACGGCGAGTTCGGGTCGCCTTTGCCGTGGACGAGCGTGAGCACGGCATGGCATTCTTCCCAGCGGTCTTTGCGTGCGAGCCATCGGGGGGACTCGGGAAGGAAGATCATTCCGATGAAGAGGAGAATGGCGGGGACCATCTGCACGCCCCAGGGGATGCGGAAGGAGGCGGTGCCCTTGATGAAGGTGCAGCCGTAGGAGATGCTAGATCAAACGTTAGTACTGCCGTTGAGGAGGTTAGAGGTGTAGACGTACTAGAACATGATCATGATACCCCAGGTGATGGCCCACTGTTGCATGCCGACAAGACGACCACGCTTGGTGGGGGGTGCCTGTGGGGTCAAGTTAGTGGGTGAGGACATGAGTAATGTCGAAGAGGCGACTGACCATTTCAGTAATGTACACTGGAACCTGGGCCGAGCAAATACCGACGCTGATACCGTTCAGGACGCGGCCGACGATCAGCATAGGGATGTTTTGCGAAGCGCAGATGATGATAGACCCGATGCACCTGTCGATGTTAGATGGTCCATCAAGGGAAAGGGAGTAAAGTGAAGACCCACCAGATGACAGAGCCGATCATGATAGACATTTTGCGGCCGAGATTATCAGAAACAAATCCGGAAATCAAGGCGCCCAGCCAGGAACCTCCAGCCATGGCGGCGGTGATACCGCCCTGTACGTCAGGCCTCGGCCCAGTACATGTAGGATTACCCTGTGCATCCACATTGACGGCTCCTTGTTGGAAGTAGCACAGATAGGACTGAGTGGTGATGATGGCGGACATCGACGAGATGTCGAAGCCGAACAGGCCACCGCCGATGACGGCGATGGCCGAGATGGCATACAGATTGCCGATGATCATGATGGAGACGCTCTAGAACTTCCACCAAGTACGACCGCAATGCCCGTTCACTGTCTCTAAAAGGCCGAAACAATTCCAACGAAAAGAAAAGAGGAAGAAAAAGCACGAAGGCGGGGGACCTGTCCTTTATAAAGGGGGCCCCGCGTCAATTTCCCCGGGAAAGGTTGCATTCCCCTTGGGAGAGGGTCGCAGATTTCACACATGGCCTGGCTCTCATGATCCAAACCCAATCTGCGCATGCCAGACCATTACTCCAAAGAAAAAATAACTCAGACAGACCGTACCAGGTAAGATTGGGGTGTTCTAAGAGACAGCGCTTCTACGCATCTGGTTAGGGCCGACGCACTCGAACCCAATAAATGCATGAATCTGTCTCGAGACGATCCACCCGGGGTGGCGGTCGACCGACCACGCGAGCTTTTCGGCTTCCGACCTCCCTGTTGCCGGCATCCTCATTTGTTACGGAAAGGGAGCTCAGCCCACTGAGACAGCCACTGCGCCTGGATGTTGGGCTTCGGGCTGAAGTGGTAGCCGGACACCAACAGACCAGTGAGTGCCGTAGCGGCGAGGGCAACGCACCGAAGACGTCCAAGGAAGAGGAAAACTAAGGTGCCGGATAAATGAGGAATGTGAGTCCGGGGGGTGGGCCCCATGCAACCACGCGAGACCACCTCCGGACGGCCTGGTGAGCTAGCTCGACCGAAGACTGCCGGGCCCGGCAGGACAACGCAAGCGGATGATTGGACGGTGTCACCCTGGGAGCCGTGGATTGTGGAGGGATCCGGGGGAGCAGTCACCCCGGGAAGCACATGAGCAATCTCAGGCCGAGAAAATATTCCAGCCGAGACATGCCAAGAGAGGTCCCATCCCCGACGCAGGATGCAGGATCAACACACGATGCTGCCGGGAGCGGAAGTGGCTCCGGTGGCGTTCTTTTAGCTGAATACCGAGACAACTTTTCAGGGAGTGAGATCGATTCGAGATCTCTTCTGTTTGCTTTATTCCCCCTCCTTCGTACAAAAAGGAAAGTTTAGGGGAAAAAAGGAAAGAGACAGGACAATCTCGGGTAAAACCGAGGGATAGTCGATCCCACACATAACGGTTATAGTCCCCTTTTCAGACCCAGAATTCATAGTTTATCTCGGGGAAGCCGCAGGGACTGCGCCAGTGAGAGTCGAGCTGGTTCCATGGTCCACGCATAGAGTGGAGACTTATGAAACCGATTCATTACTAGACGAGCCGATGAGTTAGTGTCCTCGTGACAGACCATTCCCCGCAGGAACATGCCATTGTGGGTGGTGTAGGTAGTAGAGTTTTGTCAGGAGAGATAATGAATTGAATCAATACACAATAACGCGTGAGTCTTGGAGGACGGAGGGGAGAATAGAGATGGAAGTGGGAAGAGAAGAAGTGAGAATGAGAGATGAAGTCAAAGTGAAGTCGAAGTTGAAGTCGACGGATCCCGTTGCTGCCTGAGGTTCCCACGTCTTCCGACACGATGGGCCTGAAGGTGGACATGAACACAACCTGATGGCGATCGTACGATAATCTAGAAAATGCCATTCAGGATCGCGTGTCTGGCAGGCCAACGCTACAGGGAAAGAATGCATGATCGGAAGATCGTCGATCTTGTTGCCACATGGTCCACCTTGTATACACTGGTGGTCATTGTTTGCATTCGTCATCGGAGTTCAAGGGCGAAGAAGGCCCATTAATTACACCAAAAAAGAAAGAAGGAAAGAGGAAAGAAAAACAGACACTGTGAGAGCGAGATCCACCTCATCCATCACGGTGTCGTCAAGCCTCAGTATATGCGGGAATATCCTTGCCAATGCATCGCGCCAATGGAGCCCAAAAGGAAAAGAAAGAGAAGAAAGAGAAAAAAGGAAAGAAAGATCTACGCCACCAAATCCCACTGTGCCAGGTACGACCAGCTCATACCCACGCGCCCCTCCGCTCGCCGGTACTCCTCGGGTGTCACCCCGCGGCAGTCGTGTCGATCGCCCATGGTCTTCACGACCGCAAGGTTCAGTTCCTGGCCCGCAGCCCCGAGCATTCGCGCATTTGGCACGTCGACATACCAGTAGTCGCCGCCCCCACCTGGCATGCTGCCCCGAACGTGCGTGAACGGCAGCCGCTGGACCTGGCGGCCGTCTACCCCGTGGGTCCACAGCAGGAAGCAGCCGGGCTGCTGCTGGCGACAGTGCCGCTCTAGCGTCCAATGCTCGCAGCGGAAGCCGAACTGGAACCGGAGCGGACCGGGCTGCGAGATCGAGATTGTGGGGCCTCCCGGGCGAAATGAGCGCGGGTCAATGTCGAACTCCTCGAGGCCGAGGAAGGTCTGGGGGGGACGGATTGGCCCTAGCGCATCCGGGTTGGAGAGGATGTACTCCTCCCAAGTGATCGTTGGCCGACCATCGTCCCGATAGAATCGAGCGGGGTCCTTGGGGAAGTGCCGGAGACCGAACTCGTCGTTGGACATGGTGAACATGGCGGGCTTGAAGGCTTTCTGGTACGGCAGTCCCTTGCCTTTGACGTTTCCTGCGCCCCAGCATGCGTCGAGCAGCTTCCACTGTCCGTGGTCGATGCGGACTGCATTCCAGGCGTGACCGCCCAGGTTCGGGGTCGGTATCGGGGCACCCGGCGCCGGGGCGTTATACCCAAATCCTTTGCCGTGACCGGAGATGACGACCGCCTCCATACCCACGCTGTTCGCCAGGGTTGCATACAGCTCGGCGTAGCCCTGGCATACCGCTAGCCCGGTGCGGGCGGTCGACTCGGGCGTGGACCGTTGGATGCATTTATTGAAGTAGGAGTGGACATCATATTCGACGTTATGGTGGCACCACGTGAAGAGGGCCCGGGCCTTATCGGTATGGGACGGGAAAGGCTCTGTGAGCTCCCGGGCTAGCCAGCCCAGATCGTGCGTGGGCAGCGACTGGCGGGGATACCGCGCAGCATGTTCGTCGGGGGCGGAGAAGTCGCGGCACAGCATGCACGACGCGGCGGGTGTCGCCGACGACGTTCCGGAGGCCTGAGGGCGCGGTTTCGTGGCCTGGAGTTTCGACAGGTCGGGGCGGGATGCAAGTGGCACGGGGGGCGGAGTGCCACTGGGATCCGTAGGCGCTCGGTTCATGCGCCCGAACCCAGATTCCCTAGCGTTTCCAAGCACGATGTCTGTGGGTGGTGGGGGAAGTTTCCTCGTTGCTGGCTGAGTACTGACGTCTCCGTTCGTCAGGGATGATCGACTCTGACTGTTTCTGGACGGAAGAGGTGGCCGAGTCTCCGCGGTCGCGAGGCTACTGCCGTTGGTCCGGAGACTGTTGCTCGAGGGTCGACGGGGCGGTAGTCTGGGCTGAGAGTCACTCGACGTGCGAGATGACATCGGACGCGATGGTGGCTGGCTGGATTGTCTTTTGGGCGGAAGGGGTGGGAGATTGGCTTCCTCCAATGGGGGCGCCCGCAAGCGACCCGAATCCACCGAAGTGGCTGACGTCGCGATCGATGATGCTCGGCTTGCGCTCGTTGTAGTTGATCGGGAGAGATCCGAGGCCGTCGACTCTACCGAGTTCCTTCGCGACGGATCCTGGGACGGTCGGCGGGGCGGCAGGGCTGGTGCTGGCTGGTTCGAGTTCTTGCGCGAGGGCAACGGTGGCGGGACCTTGGGTCTTTGACCCGTCGATCCCGGGGTAGGCGGTGGTCTAGTATCCCCATTGACCGGGGAATAGTTGATAGCGCTGTAGGGAGGGGGCGCGGCGGGGCGCGCGGGCAAAGTGACCTGCTTTCCGATCCCCGGGGATGGAGCGCTCTCGGGCCCATGACCAGTCTGAGCATGCTTCAAGGCAGCGATCCGCTGCTGGATCGACATTACTTGGGTTTCTTCCGCCATCTCCACCGATGAGATAGATCAAATAGGCCCAATGAAGGGTATATGAGGGAGGAGGGAGAGGAAGTGGAGGGCCCTGGTTAGTTTAATCGAAACCGTGGAACGAGGGGAGGATGAATCAAGGCATTCAGGAACGAGAGCGAGAGGAACAGGGATGATCCATCGAGACTCCGACACCCCGGAAGTAGGTATCAAAGGAAGGATGAAGCAGTGAAGAAGAGAGATGGAGATGAAAGATGAAGAAGAACGAGAGATGGAGAAAGATAGATGAAGATACAGAAATAGTAAGAGAGAGACAGCCTGGGAGCCTTGCGAGGCTGCAAGGCATGGGGCCAGAGCGGGGATCGATGATTGGCCAGACCGTTGCCGCATTGGGACGAGTGGGTCACGGGGTCATATATAGTCAGTCTTCTTTTTGATATTGATGTTTAATGATAGAGATAGATATACGTAAGTATGGACGATTTATAGTTATGGATACTGATATTATCATGGATATAGATATAATATGTGCCTTGTGGGCGAGACTGGGAGTCATCTTCCCCAGGCGTTTGCAGCCGATCAGCCCTATAAGCCTACTACTATTTTTAGAAAAAGGCCCAGTATGTACAGGCATCTTACCGTTCTTCTGAGAGGGTAATTGCCTACATTGCATCAGACATTTCTATTCTAGATACAGAGAAACACTTGAAGCAACAAAAGACTACATCTAGATACGTAAGTACTGAGTATTACATACCTTACACCCAGAGTGCCGTATCGTACCGGTTTATTTACCGGCTTTATTATGTCAACAGTTCTTACCACGTGCTGGATATGATCTTGTCCACGACTTCATCTCACTTTATCAAGTGTCTATGCACAATGAATATCATTAAATCAATATTCACCAAGCCTTGCTCCCCTATATATAAGCTCCTTGGATCACGATCTCGGCGAGCTGTGTGTGGGAATGGGAAAATCACAGAAGAACCAGATGATTATCACCCAGGAGGGTTGCACCCAGTGTCGCTAGGTGACACCTTCAATTTCAATCAATATGAAATCCTCCGGAAACTGGGCTATGGACAATACTCGACGGTGTGGTTAGCGAGGGATTCAAAGTTCGTTATCGATCGTTGTGGTACAGTACAGTCAGCTAACGAGGACGACAGATATCAACGATATGTGGCGCTTAAGATCCTCAGGGCCGATTGTTACGGTGGACCCCACGATATCTTTGAGAGAGAGATGTTGTTGAAGATTGCAGAGAAAAACTGTCACCAAGGTCATCATCATGTATCCAGTCTTCTCGATCATTTCAATCATGCTGGGCCCAATGGCGATCATGTCTGCTTGGTCTTCAACGTCCTGGGGCATCATCTGGGGCACCAGATTATTAAATATGAAGGTCTACGACTTCCGGTAAAGTCTGTCAAGGTGATTACACGGCAGCTGCTCCTGGGGTTAGACTTTCTCCACCGAAAGTGTGGGATTATCCATACCGGTAGAACATGAGATTACAACACCTAAACCATCCGCGTGGTACGCGAAGGCTGACTGGCCCATTTCTCCCATAGATCTAAAGCCAACAAATATCCTTCTCGAGTTGGAAAATCCGAGCCAGGTGATTTCCCAGTATCTGGGAAAGGTTCCCCCGCGCACCGGTCCGATGCGCGGTGGGATAGGGCCACTGCGCGAGGTACTCACAACACCTCTCATCCCAGATATGGCGAAACCTCATGTCCGAATAATAGACTTTGGCGTGGGTATGTATGTAACCCAACTTTCTAACTCGCGCATCTATTGATCTCGCTAGCATCATGGAGGGGAAATCATCTAACAGATGTGATCCAGTCCCCCGCCCTGAGAGCACCTGAAGTAATTATTGGTGCTCCCTGGGATGCCGGGGTGGATATATGGAGTCTCGGATGTCTTGTAAGTACCACTAATGATATGTCAAGATCATACTACAAAGCAATTCGTTGACATCGAAACAAAAGACATTGGAATTTGTCCAAGGGATTGTCCCGTTCTCCTGCCAGGCATCAAAGAAAGGGACTTGGACAGTTGAAGACGATCATCTAGCGAGAATAACCGAGATCATTGGTCCATTCCCGCCTCAGTTCATAGAAAAGGGCAGCCGTGCCTCGCACTTTTTCGACAAACAAGGTAAAACCATATGACATTTGCCGATCCTCCAATTCCGTTCTCATGCTTTGGCTATAGGAAACCTCATTCGGATCCCTAACTTGAGTCCCACAAGCCTGGAACGCCTCGTAAACGGGACCGCAATGCCTTTCTCAAAGCCGAGTGATATGCCTAATGCAGATGTCCCTATCTTTGTCGACTTCCTAAGAGGCATGCTTGCAATTGACCCGGAGACTCGAAAATCAGCCTCAGAACTTCTTCAACACGAGTGGATCAATCGTGGAGCCGAGTGAAAGTAACGTGGGGTCAAGAGAGTATATAGGGCTACATGGTTCTGCAGAGTTCAAGTGGAAATACATTAATCATAATATCTAGTTAAAGTGCTTTCTTACAACCATTCATCTGGAGGGGTTCTCTTTGGGTTATGGCAATTCCCACCACATCCACCTCGCATAGGGAGGACCTGGAGTAGCAGTCGCTACCGCTTGGCAAGATTTGACGTCGATATCCGGCAAAATATCCAGCACCATCCACGAATCCATATCGCCTGCAATATAGCCCAGGCTCACGGAGACGAAATCACCAGACTGCCACGTCTCCAGCATTTTCCCATGCTGCACGGCAACCCGATCGCCCGGACCACACCGAAGACAGAACAGGACGATGGCCCACAATTATGGATTGCCGTATATCCTTCGCGAGCGCAGTCCATACCCATAGTGTCCATGCTACTCGAGCTCCCGAGTGTACCGTCCGTCGAGCTCCCTCGGCCGGTCCCCGGTCTTATCGAGCTCGAGGACGTTCCGCGACTGGCCATTTGCATGGATCAGTGCGGGATTCCCACCAACCCATTGCCCCGCGGAGTCATGACCTGCGCCCTTACCATGCTGCCCCTCTACCGGCTTCGGTCCCCACTTCTTCCGGAAGTATATAAACGCCACAGTAGCTGCCACTATGAAAACCGCCAGACCGACCCCGACGCCAATTCCCGCCGCTGCACCGGCCCCAATTCCCGAGGACGAGGTGCTCTTCGCTGCGGTAGCGCTAGCACGAGAGCCACCCGTTGCAGTCGGAGAAGAGGTAGGCGCGTACGACGCCGAGCCGTCTTTCGAGATGTACGCGATAGTGGTGAGGTCTTCCGGCCGAGGGCCAGGGAACTGATCGTCAGAGACGGCAGCGCAGTCGGGGTCGCCGTTTGGATGACGCGTGCAGCATGCCCAGCGCGCGCTGGTTTCGTCGAGGTACGTGAGGAAGGAAGTATTGCGACCGCCTAATCGTGCAATTTATGTCAGTACCACGCACATCGTCTCGGTAACCTCACAAACAAACGAACCGCATCGCGTGACGCAAGATGGATCTTGCATTGTCGGGTCGCTGCAATCGGCATTATAGAATTTGAGACCCGGCAAGCCATACGGATCGTTGCAGATATTATTACTGAGGCAGTAGTGACCGACTAGACAGCAGGGCGCGTAAGGGGATGCGGCGTTCGTCGGGGCACAGGGGACGTCGTTATTCCATCTGAGGATTTTCCCCTCTTTCATCCGGAAACAACTCCCCATGATGACGGCTGCAGGGAATTATCCGGGGTAATGAAAGCGCTTAAAACACTTTGCGATGGAACTCAAGGGGTCGGACGAAAAGCAGAGATGAAGCTGAACAGCGACAGACGGGGGAATCCCCGAGGCTAGAATAGATTGGCCCCCACCTGCAAGCCTCGACAACGTTTCCTGGGCTAGCCTCCATGGCGCTAATATGCATACTCGGCTGGCTGAAGGATTGGCCCTTTTACTATAAACGGTCGGTGCATGATTTAGTCCCACCAACGAATGGGCTGTGTTGCGCCAGGGTTGAATGTGTGTGATGTGATGGGCTTATCTCGTGGTTTGTATGGGACGAGACGCTGCAGTGTACCTGACCACCACTCAAGGTGCATTCTCACAATAGTAATTGAACAACACTTGATTTCCGTAGTTCTGGGAACCAATATGTAGTGTTCCTCGCTCTGGTCGGGTCGAATGTTGCGGTGCTAGTGAGTCTTCCTGCTGTTCCTGCGGGCCCGATATATCTTCTCCACAAAACCCCCCATTAAAAAAAATAGAATCCACGGGATTTTCATCCTAATAGGATGATAGGTTATTAAGTTTTAGGGTTGTTCTACTAAGAAATCATGTGAAATTTCACGGCCATTTTGAAGCTGAGTGCGCCCCAAAGGAACCCCAAAGGAAGTCAATACCTACCAACATTATACAGCGCCTGGAACAAGTCATTCTAGAATCCATAGTCTGTCCAACAAGCAATGCATGGAGGACCCTTCGAACAGCTTTGGACGGGCGTCTCGTTCCTGTAATGGACTAGTTGAATTTCAAATTCACAACTCCCCGGCGAGAGAATGCTTTTATAGCCACGAACTGGCGTCCCAGTATGTGCTCGTGGAAGGTCTTTCATGAACTAAATGTTGTTCCAGTATTCTGTGTGCGGACATAGCAAACTGAGCACTAAATAAAACAGCTAGAAAAAAAGCCCCCCTCATCTCGACAGCTCCGTGCTATTTCGGTGACGGCATCTGTGACGGGATCTCCCGAAGCGCAGCATGCCGATGAATCATTTCCATCATCTGTGTCTGGTTCAACGGCTTGGGCAAGTAGCCGTCCATGCCAGCAGCGAGGCATTTCTCCTGGTCCCCGAACATCGCATGCGCAGTCAAGGCGATGACGGGGGTATGGCGCTTGTTCTCCAATCTCTCGTACTCGCGAATTTTGGCCGTCGACTCGAAGCCGCCCATCACAGGCATCTGGACGTCCATCAAGACGACGTCGTATTCCCGGAGTCGGAATTCATCTAGGGCTTGCTGCCCATTGGCCACTACGGTCACTCGATGTTGGAACTTTTCCATCACTTTGCAAGCCACCTTCTGGTTGACCTCGTTGTCTTCGGCGAGGAGAATGACCAGTGGCGATGTTCCCTCCGCGTGGACGCGGGATGGTCGTGCTTCTAGGGCGGGCATGATGCCATTGACTAGGTCGATCGCGCGACAGGGAGTAGTCACGTATGACGTGATGCTTAGTTCCGATGCAGTCTTCATGCTCACCGACACGACAGGCGAGGCTAAAACGGCAGGGACGGCCTTGAAGTGCTCCGAGGTTCTCAAGAGGGCTGCGGACTCTAGAGTTTGAACGATCAAGGCGTCGTACGGTCGGCGCGAGTCGCCTCGGGATTGTATCTTAGCAGCCGGCGGCAGACCGCCGTCCTTCAGGTCGAGAATCTCGACGTTTAGGCCCATCTCAGACAACATGAGTAGAATGGCCTCGGGTGAATCGACGTCTAGGCTCCGGTCATCCTTGATAAACAGTACTCGGTGACCTTTGTATGAGGCCAGCATCCGGGTAAGGTCTTTCTGCGACGGAATGTTTGGTTGTAGGGCGCATGTAAAGGCAAAGGTACTCCCTGTACCAACGGTGGATGTCACCCAGATGTCGCCTCCCATGAGGTTGACCAGTTTCTTGGAGATAGACAATCCGAGACCGGCCCCTCCAAACCTCCTTGTCATGGAACCGTCGCCTTGCTGAAATTTATCGAAGATCAGCCCCATTTTACAGTTTTCGATGCCGATCCCTGTGTCCGAAACAGCAAATTGGAGCATATATGTGTCGGAATCACTATCTTGTTCGGCCTTGTCGATGGCTAACTGTATTCCACCCCGTTCGGTGAACTTGATGGAATTCCCGATCAAGTTCAGGATAATTTGCCGCAGCCTAAACGAGTCTCCGATGACGCTATCCGGTACTGAATTACTGATACGGCAAGTGAGCTGAAGACCCTTTTCACTTGCTCCGACAGCAAGGGTTTTCAGAGTTTTGAAGACAGTCTGGCCAAGGCTGAATGGGACATGCTCAATCCTTAGATGGTTTGCCTCGATCTTGGAGATGTCCAGGATATCGTCTATGATGACCAACAAGCTGTTACCAAGATTGTGGACAACATCAAGCATCTCGCGTGCATGAGGGTCGAGGTTATCCACATCGAGCGCCAGTTGGGTCATCCCAATGATTCCATTCATGGGTGTCCGAATCTCATGGCTCATATTAGCCAAGAACTCAGACTTGCTTTGGTTGGCTAGCTCTGCAGCCTCTCTCGCTGCGGTGTTGCGCTGGATACTGTCACGAAGGTTGGAGATCATTTGGTTGATCTTTTGCCTGAGTTCGTCCATTTCGCCGGACGTTCGCACCGTGATTGACTGGCTAAAGTCGCCGTCCGTGGCAGCGTTGGTGATCTGACCAAAAGCCCGGACTTGAGAGGTCAGGTTGTCGGCCATGATATTGACATTGTCGGTCAGCACTTTCCACTCTCCTTCAACGTCTGCCACCACCGCCTGACCACCAAGAGTACCGTCAACCCCCACTTCCTGGGCCACTTTGCTGACCTCAAAGGCGAATCGGCTCAGGCGTTCGACCATGCCATTGATGGTTTCCTTGAGACCCAGTATTTCCCCGTGCACGTCCCCACCGATGCTCCTGGTGAGATCGCCCCGGGCCACCGCGGTCGTGACATCGGCAATTTCCCGTACCTGGATGGTCAAATTCATTGCCATCCTGTTGACATTCTCCGTCAGGCTCTTCCAAACACCTTCCACTCCATAGACCTTGGCTTGCCCACCGAGCACGCCGTCCGTGCCCACTTCTCGCGCAATTTTGATGACCTCCTGCGCAAACTGCCGGAGTTGCGAGACCATAGCGTTGATTATATCCTTCAGGGCTAGAATTTCCCCTTTACAATCGGCCTGCACTTTCCGAGTGAGATCCCCATTAGCCACCGCTGTTGTGACTCTGGCGATATCGCGGACCTGGGTCGTGAGGTTGTTGGCCATGGCATTGACATTGGCCGTCAGCTCACTCCAGACCCCATGCATTCCAGCAGTCTGAGCTTGGCCACCAAGAATCCCCTCGGTTCCCACCTCCCTGGCCACCCGGGACACCTCACGGGCGAAGACTCGCAACTGGTCTAACATGGTGTTCATGGTTTCCTTGAACGTGATGATGTCCGAGTCCATCTCACGGGGGTGTGTGGGGACCTTTCTCGACAGGTCTCCGTTAGCAACTTGGGTAATGATCTCCCCGATCTCGTGCAGTGCTTTCTTGAATTCCCGGTTTAGTAGCCGATGCTTTTGGAGCTCGAGCTTCATCGTCCCCTCCTCCACCGTTTGACGACTGGCCATAGCTTCGCCAAATAGACGGGCGATGACCGGCCGCGGAAGGTTGATGTGGTCACACGGTTCGTCTAGAGCTTGCTCAACCCGACGAATATCATCGTTGTTAGCGCATGTTCCTGGGCTCCATGGCGTATCTTGCTGTTCTGGTCCATCCACGCTGGAGATAGCGTTAGCACGATCTGGGACCTCTTGGGCAATGGATGCCTCAATTTCAGCAGCGAACAAACGCCTCAAATTCGCATCAGAGACATACTCGTGGAATTTGCGCTTCGTGCTCCCACGGGCGATATCGGATTCCGAGACTGGGGACGGAAGGCGGGACGGGATCTCGGGGGGTTCTGGCGGGCGGTCATCTGGAGACTCCTTGGATTGAAGGAAACGGACATAGCGACCCAACGACTGAAGCTCCGTCTGGAACGCAGATTTCCCGGTGGACATGCTGCCGGGAATCCGACAGTCGAAGAAATCCTCCAGTTCGCTCCACGACCCGGGACATTCGACGGAAGATTCCGCGGTCTGGATTTCGTGCAGAAGACCGACGTGCAGATGGGATGCCGCCGTTCGAAAAACCTCATCAACGGTCGTCATTGCGACATTCAACCGAATGCTTGTGTGTCATAAGCGTGTGTGGTATTTGACGAGATGTGAAGCTGGTATATTCTTGTCCAGCCTGTCCCAGGTTTGGGGCGTAGGAAAAGTAACCGGATGTCACCACCACATTCCACAGACCCTACCAGACCGCCCTCAATGTTGGTATCAGATTGGCTCTGACAACCCATCACATTAATAAAAACGCCGGGATTTAAAGTCCAGTAGGGGGGACCCTTGTTGATTGGGGGTTTCGGAAAGTCGCCGTGACGCCAACGATGGAGCCATGGTTCGGGCCCGAAGCCACGACACCGCGATCGGGCGTTCTAGACCGATGAAAGATGGGGTCCCTCACAAGACATGATTACTCGTTTCGATCATGATTCCGTTGTCTTGGATCCATGAACTCCACCATTTATCCATGAATCGACAACCACCTTTCGTGATAAAATTCTAGAATTTGTCCAAAACCTCGTGCGTGTTCCAGCGGTAACGGGTGACATGCCAGGGAAAGTTCCGATTCCAAATCAAACCACCTTGCAAGTCTCGTTGTGATGGCTCGTTAGACTTTGGGGACGCCCATCTGAATCTGGTAGTGTGTCGCCGTCGGCGTTAGGGGTGTTGAGATCGGGACAGCTTCAGGCCCATCTGTCCTAACGCCGCTTACAAATTCGAGGAACCGGAAATTCAACTAGGAGCATTATAACTGTGGCTCTCTTCGTCATGGTCCTTGGACATGGAGGTGAGGTTGAGCTTGACCGAAATCACGGCTAATCAGGTATTGTCAGTTATCGGGTACTGATTGTTCGCATATCACCGAGGGATAATGACAGCAGACTGTATGGTCATGACGAGGGACCAACAGGACTATGAAGATGAAATGAAGATGGAGATGAAGAAGAGAAAGATAGAAAGATGAAGATGAAAGATGAAGCCATTCACGAGCCACGCCAGCGCGCTAGTCCCAACTGGGCAATGCAAACCGGTATAGTTACATAATCCCCTTGTGTGCATATGCTTCTCTGGATTTCCGTGATGGAACTTGGATGGAATCAAACGCGTCCTGTTCGCGGGGGAGTCCAGGACATCAGAAAGCGCCAAAAGGCGCATCTTGCTTTGTATGATGCAGACTTCACCATGGCTGTGACGACAACAGGTCGATATATTGCCTGTCGATGTCGATCTTGACAAAACCACGGAATTGATACCAAGTGGGGAATCAGCTAGTCAACCTTGAAGCTAGTCAGAGAACTAAGTCGATTAGTTCGTTTCTCATTCTCCCCTTTTCTCCTGTCCTTCCGTTCCGTTCATGCCTCATCCTTCGACGGTCAAAGAGAGGAAATAGGATGGACCGCGGTTGGAGCCGACCACCGTGCTTGGCTTTACTCATCTCTCCTCCACTTCCTCCACCGCGTCCATCTCCACCATGACCAACCGAGACCCTGAATTTCGGCATCAGCTGGGGAAATTCCGGCTGGATTCGTCTCTGCCGCCTCCGCATTCCGTCTCGTCTCCTCCGTTATCGCGACATCCTCACCCTCCCCCGCAGGAACCGTCGCCGACCGCACTCAACCCGCCCTCCCCCCTCCACGTCCCCGGTCCCCATCGCAGCAAGCGCGTCTCCACGGCCTGCGACTTCTGTCGCAAGCGGAAGAAGAAATGTGATTTTCGCTATCCCAATTGTTCCGCCTGTACACGGGCCGGCGTCCGCTGCACCATCCCGCCTCCGGGACCGCAGGTCGCCAACGCGTCCGTGCCCCGCGACCAGCTCGAAAATTTGCAGAATCGGGTCCGATGGCTGGAGGACATGGTGCGCCGCCAGACGGGCGTTTCGGTAGCCAACCGGCCCACGGGGAGCGCGCTCGACGGTGCCGGGGAGGGCGACGCCGACGGGTGGTATCAGGTCCCGGCGATTATGATGACGCGCGGCGCCTCTCCCCGTCCAGCCACGGCTAATGCGGCGGCGGCCGCAGTCACCGCATCGGCTTCGAGTCCGACGGGGGCCACCAGCCCATCGGCGGCCGTGGCTCCCGAGCTGCCTAACGTTGGGGAGATCTTTCGCGACCAGCTGGAGCATCGTCGGCCGTCGGTCGCGCGGCCAGTCTCGTCTGCCCCGCGCGTCGTGCGCCTGCCCTCGCTGGCGGAGGCGGAGCGCGTGTCCGCGCAGTACTTCGACAGCATGGGATACCAGTACCCATTCCTGGACCGGTCCGAGTTCATGGGGCATCTGCGTCGCATCTACGCGGGGGAGACGCCCGGGCCCGAGGTGGTCTACAGCTACCACATCACCATCGCCATCGCCCTGTTGATCGGGTCGGCGGACGAGACGCAGACCGCCAATTTCTACCGCGCCAGTCAGGAAACGCTATCGTTGGCGCTGCAGAACGAGGATCTGGCCGCAGTGCGGGCGCTGCTAAGCCTGGGGCTCTACACCATGTTCGCGACGACGGGGCCGAGTGTGTGGCATGTCCTGGGTTCGGCGCTGCGGCTCGCCACAAGCCTGGGGTTGCATCGCGCTCGGCCGGGGATGAACCTCGTGGACGAGGAGATGTCGAAGCGTGCGTTTTGGAGTTTGTACAATCTGGATCGGCTGATCGCCAGCACCCTGGGTCGACCATTGGGTATCGCGGACGACGACATCAGCGTGGCATTGCCGCGGGAGCTGAACGAGGATTGGACGGAGGCCCCAGGCACCAGTCCCATGACTATTCCGCTGCAGGTCGTCCGGCTGCGACGCATCTTCTCGCGCATCTATCGCTACCGTACGTGTTTGGGATGGCGTGTGGACATGATTCAATATAGCTAATCATCGACAGTATATAACAACCAGCCGCCTCCGCCGGCGTCCGAGGCTGTGACGATGCTGCGACACTTCCGCCAGGAGCTGGACGATTGGAGGCGCGCGGCCCCCGTCTATCCGCCGGCCCTTCTGTACTCGACCAGCTACTACGATTACCTATACGCGACGACCCTGCTGCTAATGCACCGGCCCAGTCCACGGAACCCGATGCCGGATTCGACCAGCATCGTAGGCTGCGGCGACGCCAGCATACAGGTGATCCGATCGTACTGGGACAGCTTTTCGGTAGGGAAGATCAAGTGGATCTGGTTGACGCTGAGCCAGACGTATTTTGCGGGCATCACCATCCTGTGGTGTCTGAATCAAAACCTCCGTACCGTGCAGGCCGGACAGCCTGCGGTGTGGAAGCCCGACGACCAGACGATCCGCCGCGCCACGCAGGCGGTGGTCGTGCTGTTAGAGGAGTTTAGCAAGCGACGGCCTGGGGTGGAACGACTAGCGGAGACGTTCCGACAGCAGAGCACGATGCTGTTCAGCCACCTGGCGTATCAGCAGGAGCAACAACAAGAGATGTTCCAGCAGCAACAACACCAGCATCCACCCCTACCACAGCACCTGCATCAACCCCAGCAGCAACAGATGCCACCCCCACCACCACCATCCTCGTCCCTCTCTCACACCCAGTCGCCGCTACATCCCGATTCGCAGCCGCACTTGCTGGTCGCACCACCGGTGCCGCTCGCGCCGGTCCTCGACGAAGTGTTGCTGGTGGATGGGTCGGGGACGATGCCGGTGATGGATCCGCAGTTGGCGGAGCAGTTATTTTATTCGTACGATTGGTTTCAGGAGGAGATGGCGACTTATTATACCCTGTGATTGTACATATGGTTGGATTGAATATTCCATACCCTATATATATTTTACCCAAATATACTACACTTGTTCATATATTTCGGAAACGAAAACAAAAGTCAGGAAATCTCAAATTTCGACATACTAAAAAACCATCACCCTCCATATACACCCACAAACCAGACTCCACTACAGTGTCCCACAAGAATAAGGAAGCTCAATCAGATGCAGGTCCGGGGCTGTTCATGTAGGCATCTCCCGGGCCTTGGACCAAATCCATCAAAAGCTCACTCCAAGTAGGACTAGGGGGTATGTCATCACTCCAATCGGAATCTGAACCCCACACTTGACGTCTTCTGGCCCTTCTCATTGCCCGTTCAGCCCGCAGCCTGGCCCTTTCCTCTCGGGCTCTCCGTTCCTCCGCCCGCTGTTCGATTGCTTTTGAGAATAACCGACAACTGCGACATTCAGACAGATTCCTGCCGCCTTATACAGCCGCCTCACGGAAGACCCGGCACGATCGGCAGACGACATGTTGTTCGCCTTGTATGACGACGTGGTTTCCAGGGGTATATCGGGTCGCGCCTGGACCACCGCTGACGCCGCAATCCACGCAGAATCGTTTTCCTGCATCAGGAGCCCACCTTGCTCTTTTTTTCTTAATCATGTTGTCCGCAAATGCGGCCCTTGGGCGTAGGCGCATGCAGTCCCCACGTGTGTATAGCTCTTTCTGGCAGCCAAAGTTTGTGGCCTCTACTTGCAGCATTTGGGCGAGGCTGAGTGAGGGAATCAAGGCGCGGAAATGGCGGCATGTCATCTTTAGTAGGAGGAGACTGGGGAACTCGAGGTACCGAGTAATAAGGTGATGAATTTCCGTAGGGAGATCGAGAATTGTGGGCCCCATCATCTTGAGCTCACGACGAAAGGGCTGAAGTATTTGATATTGGGTGCAATGGAGGGGCTTCAGGACGTCAGGCACAGTGTTATAGGCGAAAACTGATACGTCGGACCTAATCACATTCTAGATGAATCGATGAATCGAAAGCTGTCAATATTCTGAGAATTCCTTCAAGAGTTAGAGCCAGGACTCACAAAGGTAATAACAATACTGGTGAGATTCGTAACTACCTGTGGAAGGGCGGATGAGAACAGTCAAAAGATGATGACATATATATTTGCAAGTTGCAGGAAGAGAAGACAATGAAACAGTGTGGGAAACCCTCCATGTCTCACAGAGTCTCCAGTTCTATTTAATCTACAGTGACTGACACATTGCTGCCGGCTGTCACCTCTATAATTCTGGCGAGTTGACCCCGCAGATCATCCATATGGGGCCGTGCGCGATACATGTCGTTTACAAATAGTATATAGGACCTTGTTGTTTTCCTATGTACCAGAAATCTACGCGGTGCCTTACCAGATAGTAGGTCTCACCTACCTATTTGCCGGATATGGCCAGACCAGTCACCAGTGGAGACTGAGTATATGGTATTATCTCCATTAGAACTCGAGATCATTATAGACAACCCGCATCATGGCGCCCCCCCCGGCGGCAAGGGATTGAGAACCTTCCCAACATACACCAGCCAGTGGTCCATCCACTGCAACAAGGGGAAGATAAGGGCGTATTTCCGGTACGAAGGATACAGGATGTAAAATATGCAAGGAATGACGAGATACAAACACAGGTGGCCAATGGATGGATCCAGATGCGCCCCGAGGCTGGGGAGGTATCTGCGGAAGGCTTCCAGTCTGATGTGGCGCACTTGGAAAGGACAAGATCAATACGTCTCTCCAGAGTCTAGACTGGGGTAGTTGTATGTCGTGGAGTCACTGGTACGAAGACACATGTACCTTATACTAAATTTTACCATATACTATAACAAAGGTCTTTTTACCCCAATATCAATTAACCCATACCATAAGGGAGAACAGAAAAAAGAGACAAAAAATGGAAGGCAAGAACCAAAACAAGGATCAAAAGTGAGTGAGAGCAAAAACAAACAAGGGATATAAAAACAAATGAAGATAAAACATCACCAAATAGTGAAGCATGGAGGGGTATGTGGTGTGAATGCCAGGGCTCCTCTCGATGCCCAATCTCAACTCAAAGCCAACCATCATTGCATTGGCAACGTTGGCAACGTCGATCATAACTGTTTTTTTTCATCTCTCGCTCAAGGGCTCAATGCAATGATGTCTTGGTGGCTCTGGGGAGCCTCGTCGAGAGTACTCACGCCAGACAATTCCAACACATTATATATAGCTCTAGAGACACCTCTCAACAATTCATCCACCTAGCTTCTCTCATGTCACTCTTTTCTTGTTTGTCCCTTCTTTCCATTCTTTGATTCGCCTTGATTTCTTTTTTCTTTCTTTTCTTTCTTATCTACTGGGTTGCGGGCACGGGTTTGGCTATGGCATCACTGGTCTTTAGCCAGGTTGAAGACCAGGCTGAGGGCCAAGCTTGTTTATTTTGGTGTCCAGAAATGGCGGCCAATCTAACGGCTATCCCACCTGATATTCCTCTAGACCTCCTCGAGACCCATGCGGGGCCCGTAGGCACCTGGGAATATCATAGCAACGGGCCCTATCCCTATCCTGATTTCGATTCGAACGGCGTTGGCGAAAGCCAACCGCAATTCGCCGATGCCTCGCCCTCTACGACCTACGACACGGCAGAGTTCGACGCCAGTGATCCTCAGGATCTGATTTTCGAGAGCGAGCCTCTATAGAGAGCTACCTCGAATGAGATCCTGACCGGCACAGGTTACTCCGAACATGCTGGGATCGCAGGGGTGGGTGAGAGACACGCAGACGTTGAGAGTAAGGGAACCGGGAGTGCGATTCCCATCACGACCGCGCCAGGTTGCGGTTATACATTCGAAGAAGCTGAGATGCCTTCGTATGACCATATCCGTGCCTCGTCGGAAGATGGGATGCTTTATTGCCCACATGAACATCGTCATGGTCACCCCGTTGTCTACGAGCATATGGGCGACTTCCGGTAAGTTCCCTAGCCACAATGTTGCTTAGTGTCCCCCTACTGAGTACGAATAGGAAACATATGCGGGTGCATGTTCGGCCTGTGAAGTGTTCTTGGTGCAAAGAGACGGGCGCAAATCAAAGCGATATTCGTCGTCATGTGGAACTATATCACAGGGAACGGGCCCAGGAACGGTGGATATTGATCGGTCCGTTTACCTGTGACCTCTGTGGCACCGAGTTCACACGCAAAGACAATTTACAGAAGCATGTTAGAAACCAGCATGGACTACCTGGGAGGGCACCGGCTGCTTGTTAGGGACCAGGGCATGTGGGCAGTTTAGTTATCGTTTATTATGTTGAAGATGGGTGTTCGCTTTGATCAATGACTGGTTTGCATGTAGGACGGTAGTAGTAGTAATAAGGAGTAGTCGTAGATACCTCCAGGATTTAGAAATCTTCCGATCGTACATGCTTTCTGGAGGGATGAACTTTTCAATTATCCAAAGGGATGGGTGCACGCGATGGGTGCTCAAAGGTTGAACTGCGTGAACTACGTAGATATAAGACAACTCCGCTTCAGGCAGTTACTGTCCTCTCGCAGACTTGATCAACTCTGTCCTACACAGGCGGGCCACACATCACATCAGACTGATAATGGATTGGTATCTAAAGAAGTGGTATCTAAACCCAAATAGAGACCCCTCCAGCTTCCGAAGCAGAGTCTTCATCCAGTTCATCTTCCTGAACAGGTGGACTGGGGGTTTCAGTGGCAGATGATTCTGAATCTGTCGCAACATTGTCATCCCAGAACCCGTCGACTGAAAGCTGACTAGAACGGGAGGTGGGCCGAGGGCAATCGGTAATGTTCGTCAGGCTATCAGGATGCCAGTGACTGGCCGGCGACTGCTTGAGGATCTGGGCGATGGCGCGGCCGCGAATGTCCGCAGTCATCTTGTTGAGAATGTCGAGTTGTTGCCTGGAATCTGGATCACTTTTGGCGAAGCGCTCCACGAGAGGCGGCCCCCAATTTGTCCAAACCTTGTTATGAGAACCAGGGACCACCATGCGAGCCGGGTGATGGGTGAAATACATTGCGCAACACAGACAAGCGGGCTTGCTGCAAGCAACATAGCGATCGTCCCCGACAAAGCGCAGCCGGTTTCGGTAAAAATGTTCTAGAACCTGCACTTCCGCATGCACCTGCGGGGTGCAATTATCATAAGCCTTCCAGAAACCTTCAAAGGTGCCGAACTTGAAGTTTATCAGATGCAGAGCTTCTTCGATTTGGGACCGCTCGGGGTCATCTTTCCTCAGCATCCGGTCCAGAATGCCACAGAGCGTGGTCCGCGAGTCAGGGAACTGTCGCGGCACAGAAGCAATGGGCTCAATGGCACACACTTCATAGGAGTCCAGTAGCTGGCTCAAATGACCGGCGTCTTCGATCAGCTGCAGAGGCGCCCGGATATGCTCAGCCAGCCGTCCAAAACAATGTCTGACCGAGGAGAAAGGTGATTGTTTCTCAGTTGAGCTTATCTCTTCCTCCCTCTCATGGGCTCTCTGAGTCAGGATATCAAGGAACTCCGAGTGCCGATTCTTGTAGGCATAGCGACAGAGTTTGAGATCACTATCCTGCTCCACGACCGAATACAGCCAGTCTCGCAACTCTCGATCTAGAGAACCGATTTAGCGCACTACAATAAAGAACCCGGTTTTTTTTTTTTTTTTTTTTTTTTTTTTCTGGCGCATACATACCTGCTGTGGATTTCGGAGCGCCCGGCGTAGGATAACATTCTTTGATCTTCCGAACCAAAGTTTTTGTCTCCCCCCGGATGCGTTTGGCGGCGAAGCCAACGCACAGTATCACGAGAGCATCGCGGTCCGTCTTTGAAGCCCCCGGAGAGTGACTGGGAATGGCTTGCAGGTGACCAAGAACCGTTTTAAGGAAGTCCACGACGCTGCCATTGACTTGGTTGGAGGCGATCCAAAGTCTGTAACGGGTTTCCGTGTCCTCCAGCCCAATAGCCGTGCAGGAGATGCCCGATTTCTCATTATCACAAATATAGGCTAGATTCTGCAGGAATCGCCGTCGGCGTGCTTCCTCGGGGACGAGATCGCAGAAAACTGTTGTATGGTCTGCTCGTGTCTGTCCGAGTGCCCGTAACAGGAGCAAGGGTTCGTAGAATCGACTCAAGACTTTTTGATACCCAAACCTATGCCTTGTAGCCGCCGGCCGATCGCCATCGCCATTGGGGTTTTTGACGCTGAGCCTCGCTGATAAGAAGGACGACATTGTGAGCGGATCCTTGGTCTCTTGGTGGTGAAAAAATAAATAAAAGAATCTTGAACAATTCGAAATTGAGCCTGATGGGCGGGGAGAAGAAGACTTTATAGGGTTTATGGAAATAATATGCCCAAACCTCTGAGACTCTCCGTTACGACGTGGCCTCCTGTCGGAGGCTTCCAATGCGGGGAGGGCTGGAATGCAGCAAGCCCACAACGCAGGAGGCTTCCAATGCAGGAGGCCTCCAATGCAGGAGGCTGCCAATGCAGGAGGCCTGCCATACAAGATAGAACGAGAAGAGTCTTTCCTGGAACAAACGACAGAGAAACAATCCCGTCGTCTTGGACGACTGCAAAGCTTGGGAAAATGACAAAAAGGAAAGGGTATAAATGATCGCTATCAGCCAATATCACAGGAGCCACTCGGTTCAGACTACCACTATCTTTTTGTTCCTCATTGGCAACTCGGGCAATTGACTATATCAACCTCAACTTACTATTGGGTGTTGTTCGACTGCAAATTCTCCAAACAAATATGGACGCTTTCTCAGAGAGTGCGCCGTCCAGCGAGTGCGAGTGTCCCTGCTCTATTCGCTCGGCATCAATGGGTCATGGGTCTAGCAGCCAGATGGAACACGACATCATGTTGAAAGATCATCTAGATCTATTGACCCCCCATGGGCGGACAGGGGGGTCGAGGGAAGCTTGTCTGGCACCGATCATGACGGGTTCCGTCCTCAGCCATAGCACAGGTTGCACCTGTCAAGAGCGGCCCCCCGAGCTGTCGCAATTCGGGCTTTTGGCAGGCATCAAAAGCCTGCTCGGAACCGGAACTCCAACGCAGGAGCCAGAGGATCGGGACGAGGAGGATGACCCACGCCTCCTCTTCAACGTCTCCATTCCATCGAGTACGTTTATCTGTGGCTCACAGGGCTCGGGTAAGAGCCATACGCTGTCCTGTATGCTGGAGAATTGCTTGATCCCTTCGAAAGCGGCTCATCTTCCGAGCCCTTTGACGGGGATCGTGTTCCATTATGACACGTTCATCAGTGACAGTATGGGATCACCCTGTGAGGCAGCCTATCTGTCATCGCTTCTTGGAGACCGTGTTAGAGTCTTATGTTCTCCAACTAACCTCCATACCATACGGGTGAGGATGCCCTGTCCCAGATAGCAGTTTGATAGCCTACTGTGCCGCTTCCAAATGCTAATGTAGAACGTTTCGTCACACAGGGCACGTACTCACGCTTCGGTATCCGGGTTGAGCCCTTGGAGATCGACCAGAATCATCTGAACACGAAGCGGATGCTTGACCTGATGGCAGTGGGACAAAACGACGGCCCCGTGCCACTGTACATACACACGGTCAAGCGCATATTGCGAAACATGCGTATCGCTCAGCAAGAAACGGGCGGTGGGTTTGACTATCAACAGTTCAAGCGGCTAATTACCTCCTCTGGTCTCACTCCGGCCCAAATTGAGCCTCTCAACCAGCGACTGGATACATTGGAAAGCTTTATGCCCAAAAGGGAAAGCGTCTTCACTGCAAAGAAGAAGAAGACTCTTGTCCAGGCAAACGGGACGAACTGGGAACCATCGGTAAGATAACTAGCTCGCGACTTTCTTTGATCATTAGCTGAGTGGTGCCAGCCTGGTCGCTTGACCATCGTCGATCTCTCCTGCCCTTGCATATCTGCCGAAACAGCCTGTTCACTGTTCGATATATGCCTGAGCATATTCCTGGAGCAGAGCGCAGAGGTTGGAAGAGTGGTTGCATTGGATGAGGCGCACAAGGTCTGCCACCCCGGACCCTGGTCCTCCTTGACCGGTTTCCCTAATAGAGCTACAGTACATGAATACGTCGATCGAGTCCCGCCTGTTCACAGAGACCTTGTTGTCAACGGTACGCCTGCAACGCCATCTTGGAGCGCGTATTATCATCTCAACCCAAGAGCCAACGATCTCCAAATCACTGCTCGACCTATGCTCCACGACGATCGTCCACCGGTTCACGTCCCCGGAGTGGTTGCAAGCGCTCAAAAGCCATCTGGCCGCCGCCTCAACGAAGCACTTGGTGAGTCAATCAGCGGGGACGGAGTTGTCCCCGAGTGGTGAACATACGCAGGAAGAGGATGTTGCTTCAATTTTCGACAAGATTGTCTCTCTGCGAGTGGGAGAGGCATTGTTGTTTTCTCCAAGCGCCGTGGTACGCTCGGTGGATGAAGAAGACAGACTCCGCTTTGGCCGTCTGGGGTCTAAGTATCTGGTCATGAAAGTCCGAGCTCGCTTGACTTTGGATGGCGGTATGAGCGTCCTGTCTAATGCGCGCAACCCTTGATGCGCAAGAGATTGCCTCACCCGATATCATCTACAGGGTATGTATGACATGCCACAGAGCTACTCTGATATGCTCGGAGACCCAAAACTCAGGTGTATCCCATGTGTTGGCAAAGACCTTGACTACTGGTACAACCCTGGTTGTGATTTTGGTTCATTTTGGGCGATTCAATGATTATCACGATAGACAGCTTGAGCTACTAGTATTGTGTCATTCAGTTCTTTTCAAAATAGAATGAGAATATCTACCGTTAGCATTTCATAGGTACGCTTATACTTCAGACCCTGTTTGAAGATCAAGAATAGAGATTTCGTACTATATAAGTTATGATTCCCTGCTAGTGAGATTGATCATACTCTTTTACTGTATGATAGTGAAGTGTATTTCTTCTGGATGATTGAGTATGCATCACTATATTCTTCTATACTAGAAAATATGAATTATAGACAATATTACGAACATTATACATAGTGTTGTTGACTGGTCTATGCAGGCTACTCATATCTCTACTCATTCCCCTACTCAGTGATCAATCAGCTCAGGGCGCTCAAGTCTGCTCAACGAGCAAGCAGCAGAAAAACAAAGTGTTGGAACTGTGTGAAAACAGATACACACACTCAACGTATCTGTATATACATGCAGCTATCCGGACCCCGCACCAGCAGCATGTCTTCCCCTCAGTACGACCCAACTATGTCTTCACTTCTTCATCTACCACACTTCAACTCTCCCTCTACTCCACCATCGCATCAAGAACCACATTAAGAACACATCAACAATGCCCACCCAAACCGCTCGCGCTTTCTACGGCACCCTCGTACACACCCCCGAACCAACCAACCTCGAAGTCCACCACAACACCCTCCTCATAATCTCCCCCACCGGCATCATCCAACCCTTCCAGCCATCCACCCCAGCCAACACCATCCCCTCAATCCTCGCCTCCAACAACTACACCCTAGAAACCTGCCCCTTAACAACCCTCTCACCCAACGAGTTCCTCCTCCCCGGTTTCATAGACACCCACAACCACGCCCCACAGTGGTCCCAACGCGGCACAGGCCGGGGCATCGACCTCCTAACCTGGCTGGAAAAGATCACCTTCCCACACGAAGCGCGCTGCGCGGACACAACCCACGCCACGAGGCTCTTCAAGAACTGCGTTGCGGGAGGCCTCAAGCAGGGTATCACAACCGCCTGCTACTACAGCTCGCTGCACGTAGAGGCGACGACCATTCTGGCACAAACATGTCTGGAACAGGGCCAGCGCGCCCTGGTCGGTCGGTGCGCAATGGACCGCAACGCGCCAAGCTGGTACGTCGACGCGGACTCCGCCACTGCTATCGCCGCGACAAAAACCTCCATCGCGCAGATCAAAGCACTGGATCCCAACGGTGAGCTCGTGCGACCAGTGATCACGCCGCGGTTTGCCATCAGCTGTAGCTACACGACCCTGCAACGCCTGGGAGATCTGGCAACAACACACCGGGATCTGCCAATCCAAACGCACTTCAACGAGTCGCGGGGCGAGATGGAGTTCACCAAGGAACTCTTCCCACAGTATGACACCGAGGCAGAAATGTACGAGTCGCTTGGACTGCTCGGGCCGCGAACGATCCTCGCACACGCAATCTATCCAAGCAAGTGGGAGATAGGGCGTATGCAGGCGCGGCGATGTGGGATCGCGCACTGTCCGACGCCGAATACGACGATGGATGAGTTTATGGTTGCGCCGATTAGGGAGTATCTGCGGCGGGGGATGAAAGTTGGACTGGGGACGGATTGTGGGGGTGGGTTTTCGGGGTCGATGTTGGAGGTTATGAGGTGGGCTTTTATGGTTTCTGTTGCTGGGAAGGGAGGGGTCAGGGGTGAGGATGCGACGGGATCTGGAGGATCTGGAGAGGTTGAGGGCGGGGCGAAGGCTGGGGAGGAGATTTCTCTGGTTGAGGGACTGTGGATGGCGACTGCTGGGGGAGCGAAGGTCGCTGGGCTGGGTGATAAGGTGGGTTTCTTTGCGGAGGGGATGGAGTTTGATGCGATGGTTGTGAGGACGGCGGGGTGGGAGGATGAGGGGGAGGGAGTAGATGGGGTGATGGCGTTGGTGGAGGAGGGGGATGACATGGAAGCTGTTGTAGAGAGATTTGTGATGACGGGGGATGATCGGAATATTCGACGGGTGTTTGTTAAGGGGCGGGAGGTCAAGTCGTTGGATTAGGAAGGGTATACTGTCTTTTCTGTGAGGAAACGTCTTTAGTAGAAGATGATTTCAATGCAGCATCTCGTTCAGAACAGTAGACTCGACGATTATCTGACAACAAACCACCCTATGAAAATTATATACTCGCGACCAATATGTGCACCAGGACTATATATACCCTTGACACTTCCACCGTGCCGGTTTTTAAAATAGACCAGCTACTGCCAGGTCCCCTTAGCAGGGCCAAAATATCCCTGCTCAGGCAGTCCCTTCCAAGGCGTCCCCATCCCATCAGCCGTGTTGCCATAAACGGTATTCCCCCACCAGCTGAGCGGGCCCGCAGGGAGCACGATGCAGAAGAAGATGATGACCGTGGCGACGGCGACGCCAGAATCCAGCGCGGCGGAAAGGACGTAGTCTGTCTGGTTAGTACGCGTTCTATGGACTTTAAAGGCTGGGTTGTATGACATACTGTACTTCGACCACCACGCGGCCTTGCGGCGCTTGATGATGCCGTTGAAAATAACATTGATCACCCACCACGACGAGAAACTGATCCCCGTCGCTGGCGGAACGAGACTCATGGCGCCAAATGCGACCGGCCAGGACACGTAGTTGAAGGTCTTCCACTTGCGCCCGAGCAGATAGGTAATCACAATGACGACGGGACCGGCGAGGAAGAACCACAGCAGGTTGCCGTAGATCTGCCCGGGGGAGAAGTTCCGCGCGGGTCCGAGGGCACCTGTTCAAATGGTAAATATCTGCGTGGGATCAAGAAGTCGGAGGACGTACCCCAAATTAGAGAAGACGAGTATGTCACTTGACCGTGCGGGCAGGTGAACCCCCCCGAGGCCTCGGGGGTGCATATCCCGTCAATGCGGGTGATCATGAAGACCTCGACGCCGCATTGCACGATCGCCCCGATCAGCACGGCGAGTCCCTGCGCGAAGAACAACGTGCGCGGCGCAATGTGCATGTAGTGAGCCAGTTTCATGTCGGCGACGAATCTGCAAAGGTTAGCGACCTGGTGTGGAAGGCGACGGACCCAACTTACTCCAAGCCCTGCGACACGGCCACGTATCCGTAGAATTTGAACGCCATGTTGGCCACGGGCCGCCCGAGGAACGCATATCCCCCGATAAACTCGGTGATCAAGTTGAGTTGATTGCTGCTGATGTTGGTCACGGCCTTGATAATGCCGACCGGGATGAAATAGATGATAGGGAGGATGTAGGCGATGACCACCCCCCATGCCGGCAAGCCGGTATGCCACACCTCGTTGGTCACGATGCTGAGGACAAACATCAGCACGCTCACCGCCGCGAACCACCACCACGGCACGTCGCGGTAGCGTTCCATGATCCGCGAGTGGACGTCCTTCTTGTCCCGCCCCTGCCACTGCAGCCAGAGGTCCTTCCCGTGATACAGGGCGACGTGCACGAAGATGCCCGTCAGATTGGCAAACGCCACCCCATAGGTGACCGCGTAACCCGCCGGGAGAAACATGGGCGAGTATTCCTGGTACGCCTTGGCGTCCACTGTCCCGTCGTTGTTCATCACCCGACTGGTGTTGTACGACTGGCCCGTGTTGTCGAACGTGTTCGGATTGAGCATGGGCAGGTGGGCCGAGTACCACGTGTTGGTGTAGTAGAGGATCGGGCAGAGCAGCCAGAAGAAGAGCGCGAAGGACCCCATCACGTTCAACCCCGCCCAGAACGGGACCAGCAGCGGGCTCTGGTTCGCGTACACGACCTGTGCCCAGTCAAACGTCAACACGGACATGCCCAGCCCAGTCTGCTGTCCGAACAACTGGTTGACCACCACGTTCGTCGGCACGATCCAGCAGATAAACGTAAAGTAGCTGAGACCAGTGAAGAGATAACCGGGGGCGAAATACCAGATCGCGCCGCCGACAAAGACAAACAGGAAGAAGCGCAGCCGCGTGATGATCCAGCCATCAGCGACCAGGTTCTTCCGCGAGTGCAGCGTCGCCAACAGAGCCGCGTTCGACAGCACCTGGGGCCAGAGCATGGTGGCCGGCCGCACCAGCCAGCGGGACATCACTCCCGCCAGCCCAAACCCGAACATCTGTGTGGTGATGGTGAGGAGGATCTCAAAGCCACCCTGCGACGGCATGCCGTAGAACTTGACCATGGCTTCGATCACCTGGGTGGCCGCCGCCGACCCAAACGACACGTTGGCCATGATGGTGATCATCGCATGCTCCTTGATGTTGAAGTGGTGGTCGGGATTCCACCACCCCAATGGCAGCCATCGCGCCCAGGCACACCCGACGGGGAATGCCAACAGCTGTGCCACCAGGGCACTGATCGTGACACTCGGCTGGCGCAAGCTGAAGAACTGATTGAGGCCGGCTCCGACCTAGGAATCCTTGAGTCAGTACCTCACCAGCACCACGACAACAGGACGACAATCGATCCAAACCTACAATTGTGAAGATAATCCCAATCACCCACATGCGCATCGTGTTCACAGGCAAATGCGCCTCATCCACCGGGCTCACGACGGCGCGTACCTCAGGGAACGGCGAGTCATCCGCCTCATAGGGCAGGATTCTGGTGGCATCGTCGTCACTGAGGATGCGGCCCTCACCTATCTGCGTTTCATACAGATGATCCTATAGTCTTGAATTAGGATGGGAAAAACAACCGCGGAGGATATATCCAACCCAGCGCCAAACAATGACGCCTGTCAGATTGTGACAGCCGCGGGAACATGCATAACCCCGATGTGTTGTCCCACGCCACCTCAATCAACGTATCAAACCAGTGCAAGCCACCTACTCGTCACACACGGGCGTCACCGAATACGAGGCTATCTGGCCCCAAGACAAACAAAGAGCGCATACGTACCAGGGTCGGTTCCAGCCCTCGGGGATTTTTCTCATCATCGCTTCCATCCTTCACAGAAGCCTTGGCCTCAACCATGATGAGGTGAGATCAGCTCACACCACACTTTCTACAAAGGGGGGTGAATAAAGATCTGACTGGAGACAAGACAATATAATTCCAAAATGTGGATAGGAGAGACACTTTGGCGCAAGTGGAGAACGGAGTTGCGGCCTTAGTGGCCTTAGTGGGGGTTGTGGAAAGTCACATGTCCGTACTTTGGCCTGAGGCGGATGAAGCCGCCTGGTTGCCTGAGGGAGATGGAGGAGAATTGCCGGATTGGGAATGGGAGTCACTGGATCTTCGATGTCCTGAGGCTTCGATTCTTCTTCTTCTACGGGAGACTTCTACGGGAGATGGTGGAGATGCGGTGTTTACAGTTGAGACAGATGGAACCACTCCCCCACCCACGGCAGATTCTTCAGGAGAAGTCAAGACTATTGAAAGCACGGAGGTAGATTGTGATACTCCTTTCTCCACTCCAACGAAAACAACAAGTTGATACGATACTAGGTCAACGTCCGTGATCCATCCTACAACTGCAGGTTTCGGCGCCACCGTGGCCATCAGCACTTCGCCTACGGATGGATATCTCAGGAATAGAAGAGTGCGCATTCCCACGTGGGTAGCTGGCCCGTCCGTTTGCCCAATGAATGGGTCAGACTCGGCTCGTCCGAGATTCCAGTGTGCCGTGGCGTCGGAGGAGCTACCAGAGCTGGTCGGGATCAACCGCTCTCCTCCCGCCTGTGCTGGAATCCCAAGAATCTGTGAGCTGCACAGATGTCGTGCGCTGACGAGTACCCTGAGATCCAGGTGGTCTGCTAACTGAGTCGAGCAACCGTGGGTTCGCTGGGTTTGCGGCTCTACCCGACCGTCGGTCTGGGCGCGCTTCTATCCGACATCCACATTTAGTACCACCAACTGTGGAAACGCACGCAGACGAAAGAGATCATCTGGGAAATTTTCTCTGGGAGACGGCGGATCGAGAGATTTAAGAAGGCAGTGGGCACGACCGTCTGTAGGAGAAGGTCTCCATCAGTGCTCGGTAGTGTGTTAAATCAGGGAAATCGCCCTCCGTATCCCCTGCCGCAATCTCCCGGACCAGTGGACGGGGGTTTAATATCGTCACGTATCCCTGCTTTTCCTGCACTTTTCTCGCATCTTCACCACAGGGCCTTTACTGGGACTCATTTTCTACACTCTGCTTTGAAGAGCCACCTCCGGATATACCATATTGCAACTACAGGATGGGGGAACTGAGCCCACGGAGCCCCGCGGAAGGCTTGCCCTTTGCGCAGCGGCCCATTGTCATCTTGGGTGCAGGGATCATTGGATGTGCCACGGCACGTCAACTGCTCCTCAACGGATTCGCCGTCGTCGTGGTGGCCGAGTACCTCCCGGGAGACCAGAACCCGTGGTATGCTTCGGCATGGGCGGGGGCCGCCTGGCATGCGGCCGCGGGCATCAGCCCTGAACACCGCTACATCCAAGCGGTGACCCATCGTCACCTGCTGAAGATGGCACAGGAAGACCCCCAGTCAGGGGTGTGTATCGTCGATGCGCGCGAATACCTTGACCTGCCTCCATCGGAGAATTCCTCGGTGTGGGGCAAGAAGGTAGCGGCCAATGTGAGTTGGAAATCCCTCACCGTGTCTGAATACAGTCTACTGACATGGGTGTAGTTCCGTGATCTGAAACCGGGCGAGTATCCCGCCGAGTCCAACTCTGGATGGGCGTACGACTGCCTAGTCACCGACCCGACGCTCCACATGCCCTATCTGGGAAAGCAGGTTTCGGCTCTCGGTGGGCACTTCATTCGGAAGCGGGTGGACTCTCTGCAGGAGCTCTACACCATGTTCCCAGAATCGAGTGTTTTCATCAACGCCAGTGGCGTGGGAAGCAAGTCGCTGAGCGACGTCCAGGATGACAAGTGCTTCCCGGAGCGGGGCCAGAACGTCTTCTACCGCACCGAGCAGTGCCGCCGGTTATACTTGCGAGTCGGCAAAGAGTACACCTACATTATCCCTCGACCGCTCTCCAACGGGGTCGTCCTGGGTGGGGTCAAACAGAGGGACAACCTGTAAGTTACCGCTGCTCCGATGTCCTATGCCAAACACTCATGGGATCTAGCTCCCCCGACCCCGATATGGAAATTGCGCGGGATGAAATCGCCCGCGCACACCGTCTCGCCCCTGAAATCGTGCCCGCAAACCCACCCGAATCGTCCCTCAGTCACATTGTGGGTATCCGGCCCTCCCGGGAAGGTGGATTCCGTCTCGACTCCCAGCAGATCGGCGATCGCGTCATCGTGTCCGCCTACGGGTTCGGCGGCGGTGGATATGCCTTCTCGTACGGTATCGCCGATGCCGTCGCCAAGATGGTGGAAGAAGCAGAGCGGACAAACGTGGTTTCGTGATGGACGAATCCGACCGGATGGTAGCGCAGCCAGCAGTTCTTGAGCCCGACAGTCATCGGGACCAGCTGGACTGGCGGTCGCCTGTAGTTCGGCTTCCGTGTGCATTTTTGATAGCGTTTACGACCTAATATTTGTTTAACTTCCACAATACCAACCTCCGTGCCGTTTTTCGAATGTCTAGTATATTGACCGTCGTAGGGTGCCTCAGGCAGAAATCTCCCATCGCCGGCGATGTCGGCGTTTCGGCCGGTTCCTCTTCAACCTTCAACCAAACTTCAATCAACCTTGAATCAACCTTTAATCAACCTTTCGATTATGCTTTCAACCACCAACAGTGTCCAGCCACATCCAGCCACGTCCAAACAGAAAAAGATTTGATATCATCATATATATCTTCATCTCTACTATAGCCAAGTCAACTGCCCAGGTTGTAAACCCCAAAGTTACAGAATAATGATGGCTGGCATGAGTGAACATGACAGGACTATGACGACTTCGCACGTTGACCCACCGAGAAAACTCCGTCTGTACCAGCGGATCTTCCCGGTGCAGATCCCAACCATTGCTGTCGTCTCGCCACAGCCACACGTCTTGATTCAGGTTTTGCGCGATAGCAAACCATGGTCTGGTTCATGCCTCTTGAGCCTCCCAAAACGCGAGTATGTTGGACATAGCACAGCAAAGGTGGAAACAAATAACGATCAGGGGAGCAACTTATACTAGAATGGGTTTAGCACATCGGTTCGTCTCGGCGGATCCGGAGCCCTTAGTCGTATTCAATTAAGTTGACAGGGATTGTTTACGCTTGTCAACGACGTTACATCGTGATTGCTATCTGTGTGCGACTCGCTTTTTCGAGCCACGGGTATCATCCTGGGTAATACTGTGTCACCACGCGAAGAGGTTCGACGGTTCGTCACAGCAGAAAAGCAAAGCCTTATATAACTATTACTCCGCGACACTGCCGCTGAGTGGCTTGATACACGATCGTACTACTGTGCAACCCCATAATACATGGCTGTGATGATCTTTCGATATGGATTTGGAACGACTGCAAACTTTTATATCCAAATCGTCGATGCCTGCGTCTATTGGTCCCTATCGATCGTGGCATAGGCGATCCATGGTTAATCCGGGTATCCACATTCCTCGGTAACTTCCCTTGGACAGGTTGATAGAAAGTTCGAGGACAATGGGCTGCAAGGAACACTGCCATGATGGGACTTGGAACTGGCTTGACCACTGACGTCACTCTACTTATCACTTTGACATAGACTTCTCCTGATTCATGGTATCTTTTCTTCTTTTCTTTTTTCTTTTCCCTTTGTGGTCCAGTGTATCTTTTCCTTTCCTTTGATCTTTTACGCCTGGTCTCAAGCCCGGGTCCCGCGCAGCTACCAAGGCGCCGCGGTGATTCGCCGCCAAATGTGTTAGTTTCAACCCTCACTATTGACGTCGGTGGTTAAGATTGGTTAAAACCGGTTAAACCTAGCCCCAGATGCGTGGGATCCGCAGACGCCACCGTCCCCTATCGCCACTTTCGGCTCTCGAACTTGACAGCTTTTTCATTTCCTACTATTAATTGCCCTCGAATTTTCCCTGGATCGTGATTTTCTGACAAAAGTACCGCTTTGACTTACACGAACGCATCAATTAATTAATCGCCTGGCCATTTCGTTGCCAAGCTTACAAGCTTATTCCTTCTACATCAATTTGATCGAGCGACTTTGCCTGAATCGAGATTAACATGCACGGCCTCTAGCAGGCCACTTCTAACTTTGACATGGAAACCAACACTCTACCCGTCGCCGACCCGGCCATTTTCCCCACTCCCCCAGAGGAAGATCACTTCAACCTCAACGAATTCAGCGGCGCCCTGTCTGAAGCTAGCGATTCATCGCCGCAAAAATCCTCGACGGCTGAACCTTTCAATCCTGCTCTGGGTCGTATCTACCGCTATACACCCGTTCCGACCCTCGTCTTAGATCCCTCCCTACACATCGTCGAAGTATCCGAGAGTCACCAAACGTTTTCCGACCAGCCCAGAGATCAGTGGCTCGATCGCTCCATCTGCGATGTCTCCCCTCGCCTGATACCTGCCCCCGACTTTGCCACCCTGTACGGTGTGTTACGCGTAGCTACGTCTACCCGCAGCGTACAAGTGATAGATGGGTTTCACGTCCAGGAGTGTCGGGGATACTACTCGCTGCGCGTCACGCCCATCTTCGAGGGGTTTACGCTGCTTTACGTCGTGCTGGAGGCCCACAATGTCACCAAGGACTACATCCAGTCGGTAGGCAACCGCAACGCTTACCTGAGCGAGACGTACAAGATTCTGCTAGACACGGTTCGAGACTACGCTATCTTTATGCTGGATACTCGCGGGAACATTGCCACGTGGAATTCGGGAGCGGCGGTCATCAAAGGATACTCGGCCTCAGAGATCATCGGGAAGCATTTTTCGGTCTTTTACGGCGAGGAAGACCGGGCATCGGACAAACCGGGAAGGGAGCTGGATGTATGCCTGCGCGAAGGCAAAGTGGAAGACGAAGGATGGCGGTATCGCCAGGATGGGTCGCGCTTCTGGGCCAACGTGATGATCACTCCAATCTACCAATTTGGCCGACATGTAGGTTTCGTCAAGGTGTCCCGCGATCTGACCGAGCGCAAAGCGGCCGAAAGCCGGATGATCGCCGCGTTCGAGGAGTCGTCAAAGATGAAGACAGACTTCCTGGCAAATATGAGCCACGAGATCCGGACGCCGATGAATGGCATGAACCTGGCGCTAGCGATGCTCACGGACACGGACCTCAACGAGCAGCAGCGGGAGATGGCGTCCATCATTCAGGATTCGACATCGGTCCTGCTGGAAGTCATCAACGACGTGCTGGACTACTCGAAATTGTCCTCTGGGTCCTTCTCTCTAACCGCCGATGTGCTCGACATCAAGGCTGTATTGGCGGCAGTCACCCGGAATTGTAAATCTTCTTTGAAGCCGGGCGTTGAACTGATCAACTCCACGGCCCCCGACATTCCTAAGCATCTTCGTGGCGACCCCTTGCGATACCGGCAGGTGCTCCAGAATATGATCAGCAACGCCGTCAAGTTCACAGATCAGGGTTATGTCAAGGTGGTCACGTCGTGCTTGACAAAGGAGAAGAATCCGCAAACGTACGAAATCTTAACCGAGGTAATCGACACCGGGATCGGGGTGCCAGAGGAGTCCGCCAGTACGCTCTTCACTCCGTTCACGCGGTTCGCGGACTCGTCCACAAAGAGATACCAAGGCACAGGGTTGGGCTTATCGATCTGCAAGAGCCTCGCCGAACTCATGGACGGCGCGGTGGGATTTCGACCCAACCCGGAAGGCCGTGGCAGTGTGTTCTGGTTCACGGCCAAGATGAACTGTTCGGGTGCGGCCGGAAGGGACGCCCTGCCAGGGACGGTGGCTCAAGAGGATGCCAAGCAACTCGAGGCGAAGGTAAAGGATATCGCTCCCCAGAAGCAACTGTTACTGGTGGAGGACAATCTGGTCAACCAAATGGTGATGCTGCGACTGCTGAAGAAGCTGGGATTCGAGCGGATCGACACCGCCTGGAATGGCGCCGAGGCGGTGCGGTTGGTCAAGCAGACGCCATTGTCGTACAATGCCATCTTAATGGACATCACCATGCCGGTGATGGACGGGATGGAAGCGACAACGTGCATCCGGAACATGAAAATCGACGTGCCCGTCATCGCGCTGACAGGCAACGCCTTGGACGGGGACGAGGAGACTTATTTGGCCAAAGGGATGAATGATTACCTTGCGAAGCCGGTCCACCGCAATCAACTCACCCGAACGCTGCTGAAGTGGATTGGTCCGTGATCTGTATTGATCGTCTAATTATTAATTTTCCCGCATTCATCCTTTGGAGTCCCCTGCAGTGCATTTTCACCACTGTGTGGCTGTGTTGCGATAATGGTCTCTTGGATATCATGGCCAGACTCGACGACAACACACTCTTCGCACATCGACCGTCGTCTTTTGACCCCGGTATTGGCATGACTCCTGGCGGTTGGCGTTTAATGGTCGCATATGATACCCGAGCAGGGAAGAGGGTATCCACGAAGGTACCTCTGATCTTATTTTGTACATTAGCAATTGAATATGACATCATTGTAATTGACAATACTCACACTCAATCCACATAGAGAGTAGATTGTTGACTATTTGCGAGGACTATCGGCCATTAGCACGTGGGCGGACTGGCCGGCTTAACCTTAATCGCTTTTTCTCCATCGCGTCTCTCTCCACTTCGTTCTTTCTCGTTCTCCACTCTTTTCCACCCCATACACGATGACGACGCTCTCCTTCTTCCATCACTCCGGGTTCGACTTACCGCAAATGATGCACAGCCACTGGAGTTTTCTCGGTCGAGCACAATGAGCTTCGTCCCCCGCATAATGTATATGCAATCGCCATCGTCAGCGTTGGATTGTTCATCGCTCTTGCAGGAGGAACCCCAAAAGGATTGTTGGTAGTTCAGAAGGATAATAACCTACAGGACGAAGCTGCACCCCCAATCCTCCCAACATCGACTGATTGGAGTCCAACCCTTCTCGCCCTCCGCGCGGACCGTCCGGATGGTGATCTCTTCCAAATTGGTCGTGTTGGGCTCTTCTTTGTCAGCTACCGATCGGCGGTGGAGATCCGTTCATTGAGTTTGCCGTGGGATTGGGACCCATTTCGCACCATTGATTGCCGTCTTCTCCAGTGACTCCACTGCGGGAGAGAGGGCTATCCAGGGGTAGGATTGCTCAGACTTCAGATGGCGCAAGTAGGGCCTCAGGGGGAAAGAGACGAGGGGAAGATGGCCGGAAGATCGAAATTTGAATCCGAGTGTCAGATGAATCGACGAAACCAAGGTGCCGAGCAAAGGCCAGAACCCCATGTTTCCCCGCAGCACGTACACGCCGAAAGCTTATTGCGGCTTCACATGGAGGCCATATCCCGAGTAAGCTCGCCCGAGGATGCTGCGGGGGGATGTGCAGGACCACTCGATGATTCGACTCCCAGACCGCGCTTACTCGATCGTTGCGGGTACTGCCCTTGTGGCTAGTTGATAGGGGGTATTGTTGTAGTGCCGTCTACCGCAATTTCCCATTCTATCCTTCTGCGAGGACCCTTGTGTGGGCTCATACACTGGGGTCATGGCCAATGATGGCCACTAGCACCGAAGATCAGACCCCAGTGACGAGGGAATTAAGTTCAACCTGGCCGTGCCGTCCTGCTTATCGTAACTTTATGGCGAACGCTGCTAGCAAATGTCTCGTCCACCGCCATCATGATCACCTGTGGAGTTTCCAGTTTGAGCCACCAAGGCTGTTCCTGAGCGCGGGGACGGCTCCTCGGTCTCTGTATAAGTACTGATGGGTGCTGTGGCACCCCCTGAGCTGGTCTGAGGCTTTTCACCCCGGACTGGTTCCTGTTGTCACGATGAGATCCTCCTTCCTGCTTCTTGGTGCGGCCACCGCCGGCGTGCTGGCCATTCCCACTACGGACCATGTAGTCCATGAGCGCCGCGACTTTTTGCCCAGTCATTGGACGGAAGAGGGTCGCCTAGATGGCGAGGCCATGCTGCCAGTGCGCATTGGTCTGACCCAGTCTAACATGGACCGCGGCCATGACATGCTGATGGATTTGTATGTGTCTTTGGTGTCGTGGGACGATTGTCGCTGACTGTTGACTGTTCAGGTCCAACCCCGGTTCGGACCAATATGGCCAGCATCTGTCAGCCGAAGACGTCCATGACCTGTTTGCTCCATCGCAGGACAGCGTAGACACTGTCCGTAACTGGATTGAGTCTTCAGGTATCCACCCGGAGCGCGTCTCGCACTCTACCAACAAGCAGTGGCTGCAGTTCGATGCCACTACCAACGAGGTCGAAGATCTCCTGCGCACGGAATACTACCTTTACAACCATGCTGGCACAGGCCGGTCGCACATTGCCTGTCGCGAGTATGTTCTGCGCCTCCTGTCAACTGGGCTAGACTAACGGAGTCAGATACCACGTGCCGAAGTCGGTGCAGGATCATGTCGATTTCGTCAAGCCTGGAATCAGCTTGATGGAAGTCCGTGGCGCGCAGCACGCCCGGCGTGATACCCCTCACACTCTGGCGAAACGCCAACTCGGCATCTTGCCGCCGATCTTGCGCCCGCTGACTGAGCCGATAGAGGCTATCATGGGTGACTTCCTTGGGTTCTGCGGTGTGGCTGTCACCCCTAAGTGTATCAAGGGTGAGTTGTCCTCCGCCATCAGCGGGTGCATCAAATGCTGACAGCACAGCCATGTACAACGTCACCGACGGCAGCAAGAAGGCCAAGGGCAACGAGCTCGGCATCTTCGAAGGTCTGGGAGACGTATACGCACAAGAGGATCTGGACATGTTCTTTTCGACCGTGGCCCAGTAAGCTCATACACCTGCCTATATACGAACGCATCAACGCTAACACACCGTAGTGAAATCCCCGAGGGCACCCACCCCGTGCACCACCTCATCGACGGGGCCGAGGCGCCCGCCGAGGTGACAAACGCGGGCCCCGAGTCCGACCTCGACTTCCAAGTCTCGTATCCCCTCATCTGGCCGCAGAACTCGGTGCTCTTCCAGACCGACGACCCAGTGTACCAAGAGAACTACAACTTCACGGGCTTCCTTAACAACTTCCTCGATGCGATCGACGGTTCCTACTGCAACGAGGAATCCCCCGAAGACCCGCCCTACCCCAACCCGGCGAAAGGTGGCTACAAGGGCAAAAAGCAATGCGGCGTGTACAAGCCGACCAACGTTATCTCGATCTCCTACGGCGCCGCCGAAGCTGACCTCCCGATCAAGTACCAGCGCCGCCAATGCCAAGAGTGGATGAAGCTCGGTCTGCAGGGCGTGTCCGTCGTCGTCGCCAGCGGCGACTCCGGCGTCATGGGCCGCGGCGGTAGCCCCCGCCCGAGCAACTGCCTCGGCGACGATGACAAGGTGTTCGCGCCGGACTTCCCCGCCACATGCCCCTACGTGACCGCCACCGGCGGCACCGTCCTCCCGCCGTTCGGCGACGCCGAAGCCCACGAGGAAGTCGCCACGTCGAGCTTCGCCTCGGGCGGCGGCTTCAGCAACATCTACAAGCGGGCCGACTGGCAAAACGACGCCGTCGAGAAGTACTTCAAGACGGCCGACCCCGGCTACAAGCACTACTCGAGTGTCGACAACAGCTCATTCGCCGCCGGCGGCGGGATCTACAACCGGATCGGCCGAGCCTACCCCGACGTCGCAGCCATCGCGGACAACGTGCTCGTCTTCAACAAGCTCCTCCCGCAGCTGGTCAGCGGCACGTCAGCGGCAGCGCCGGTGTTCGCGTCCCTGCTGACGCTCATCAACGAGGAGCGGATTGCGGCGGGTAAGTCGACGGTGGGCTTTGTCAACCCTGTGATTTATGCGCATCCGGAGGCGTTTAATGATGTGACCGAGGGGAATAATGAGGGGTGTGGTACTGATGGGTTTAAGGCTGCTAAGGGGTGGGATCCGGTTACGGGGATGGGGACGCCGGATTATCAGAAGTTGTTGAAGGTTTTCATGAAGGAGTAACTTCTCTTCTGTTGGTATCTATGGTGGAGGACACTGTATATATAGATATATATATACGGGTTACAGGTATAACTAATACACTGAATTCAACGAAGCACTTCAACAAATGCTAGATGTATCCTTAAGCAATACGTAGTATGTGTACGGTACCAGAGTACGGGACTACAAAACAGAGGGCAGGCCAGATCATATATACAGAACATCATTCATCATACTACGTAATACACCTCAACTACAACAACCCACCCCCCTCATAACGACATCAAAAAGCGTAGCAGAGTCTAGACAACAACCTTATGCCCAGCAGGCTTCTCCTCCGGCTCGCCAAAGATATCAATATCCCAGCGAGGGCTGTTGGCCGTGTAGGGGGTGTTATAACGACGACGGTGAGCCGTCAGAGCCGAAACCTGAGCAACCTCATCAGCGGTGAGCTCGATCTCCTGGAAGTTGTCCTTGATGCGGGACTCGGTGACGCTCTTGGGGATGACGGAGTGGCCGCCGACTTGGGACCAGGCGAGGATGACGTGGGCGCCGGAGACGGGGCGGCCGAGACGGGCGGAGGCGGCTTCGGCGACGGCTTTGACTTCGGGGCGGGTGATGAGGAGGGGTTCGCCGATCATGTTGTTGCCGAAGGCCTTTCCATTATTAGTATTGGTTTGAGGGGAGGGGGTGGGGGGGTGGGAGGGAGGAAACGGTTGGAGGAAGGAGGAGGGGAAATGACATACAGAGTAAGCAGTAATGTGGATGCCCTTCTTCTGGCAGTAGTCGATGAGCTCGGGGCTCTGGAGGAGCGGGTGACGCTCAATCTGGTTCGCAGCGGGCACGACACCAGTGGCGTTGATGATAGCGTCAAGGTAGGGGATGATGAAGTTGGAGACGCCGACGGCGCGGGCCTTGGACTTGGGCAGCTGGGTCATGGCCTTCCAGGTGTCGACGATGGAGATGGAGTCGTCGATCTCGACATCGCCGCCGGGGAGGGGCGAGCCCTGGACGAGGGGGAAGAGCTCGCTGCCGGTCTTGAAGGCGACGGGCCAGTGGATGAGGTACAGGTCGAGGTAGTCGAGCTCCAGCTCGGCGAGACACTCGTCGAGGGATGCTTCGACGACCTTGGGGTCGTGCTGGCTGTTCCAGAGCTTGGATGTCTGTGGTATTTGCGTTAGGGCATGTGTCTGCGGGTGAAAGGCTAGGTTCACGTACGATGAAGATATCCTCGCGCTTGAGACCGGGGACGTCAGCGTAGGCACGCTTGATGCCCACGGCGACCTCCTTCTGGTTCTGGTAGCTGTTGACTAGTCAGTTTGTGTGTAGTTTGGTGCATGGTAGGGCGTGCCGTACATAGTAGCCAGATCCTGCGGCAGTCAGTTGCTGTTTCATGATAGGGCTCGAGGAGAAACTCACCAGATGACGGTAACCCGCCTTGAGAGCCTGGTAGACGGCCTCACCGACCTGACCAGGCTCCGACTGCCAGGTGCCAAAGCCCAGCTGGCTTGTTGGTGTCAGTTAGGAACTTGTTATGGTGGGTGAGGAGGACATACGGGATTTGAGCACCGGTGTTGAGGGAGACCTTCTTTCCGAGAGACATGGTCAATTGATGTGGATTGTTGATATTAGTGAGAAGAAGACAAGAGACGATCAGAAGTGAGGAATCGAAGCAGGAGAGAAGGAAGATGAAGAGAAGAGGAAGAGGAGAGAAGAGAAGAGACAGGAAAAGTAGAGGGGATTGTCTGATAGATAAAACCCCGGCGGGGAAGGGTAATACCATGACGCAATACCGGGCCAGAGGCGGGGAACGGATGGAATCAGGGGGACGATCTGGTAACGGACGGTAAGGAATGGATACAGACCCCGCATTGGTGGGGGTCATGGTTAAATCGGATATTCATGGTTGTATACATCGATCAAGTACATTTGTTTTCATTCATATTGTCATGTCGAATGTACAGTCATTGAGTTAGTAGATACCATGGTTGTATACTAACATTGTCTACCCAAGTATCTCCCAGATATTCCCTCTACCTCTCTCGCAATTGAAGTATAAACAGGAGGAAACGATACGAACGAAACATACACACCTATAGTCTATACTAGTGGGTATTGAATGTCTCGGACGGCTAATTTCCCGCCGGATAAATTCCCATTCCACCAATCCCCACCTCGGCTTCGAGGCATCGGCTAATATCGGTCTTGGCTGGTCGTCCAGATACTCCGTACTACCTGGGTGGATATGCCGAAGTCCTTTGTCCGGACGAATTCCGTCTTTGGTCCAGGGTGTGGATAGAACTCGTGCGGGGGGTAGTCAGGTAGGATATCTCTATAGTACTGCATGTATATATAGTTCCCGATACGTTCAGACGCATACCTATCCATCTAGGTCATAATTCTGTATGCTATGCTTTTCTATCCCAGAATAAGATTTCATTCTTCAGTACTGGACCAACTGAGGGATCACTCTTTGTGACACTCTTCTCCCATTGTATACTTCAACAAGGCAACCAAAACAATGCCTCAGGGCTCAATAAGATTGATAGGCGGAATGGAGGGTCTAACCCAATCCGGCTAGGTCAGCCGGCTGAAGAGCCGCCCGAATCCGCGGGTCACCCACCAATCAGCACCTCTGGTTACCCGCCCCCTTTCGGCCCATCTCCACCCGACAGCGATTCTCTGCGCGTTCTCCGATTCAACATTTCAGCTTCAGCCTCGCCACTTTTCTTTTACCGAGTTGTATCTCTTAGTGTCTGGCAACTCTCTCATGGCCAGTTTCTTCCCTTGAGTCGCCCTAGAACCCGTTCCCTGTCTCATGGCAATGCGCCTCTTGCGCCCCGGCCGTCTGGCCGTTCTCGTGGTGCTGATCATCCTCGTGGTCATGTTGACCCTGTCCATGTATCAGCGTCGCACCGAGGCCGGTCCCCCGCCTGGTATTTCTCTTTCCGGACATCAATAGAGATATGTTCCCCGCTAAGAGACAGCCCCCGAACCCGGACGCAACGACATCGTGCGCCAACTCGTGGAAATGAGCAACGCCTTCACCAGCGCCACCGAGATCGCCCTCGTGATGGCCGCCACGCGCGCCGAGGATCTGCGCTGGTTATTAGATTACTGTCGCGATCGGTACACCTCCCCTCCGTCAACTACTCCCCACCAATCAACCGTTCTAACTAGCCAATCGGACAGCAATGCCGTCCCCCTCGTCTACAGCACCGATTCCAACCCCGACCCCGGCTTCCAGATCCCGCGCACCACCCGCGGCCGCGAGACCGCCGCCTACCTCTCCTACGTCGTCGACTACTATGACCGTCTCCCCGCCTACAGCTTCTTCGTCCACTCCAACCCCGACCAGTGGCACAACGACCTCTTCGGGCCCATGACGAAGGATACTCTCCCACACGTGCGCTTGGAAGCGGTCGACGCGCAAGGGTACGTGAATCTGCGGTGCACCCACGACCCGGGGTGTCCGACGAGCGTGAACCCGTGGGACCCGACGCAGATCGACATTGAGAAGGATGACATCCGCGCCTTTTTCCCGCAGGTCTACGAGGCGCTGTTTGACGTGGGGCCTGATCAGGTCCCTGAGCATATCGGGAACGTCTGCTGCGGGCAGTTCGCCGTCAGCCGCGAGCGCATCCGGCAACGACCCCGTGCGGACTACGAGCGGATGCTGCGGTGGGCGGCGGAGACGGAATTAACGGATAGTTTCGGGGTGGGGTGGGTGTTTGAAAAGATCTGGCATATTGTTTTTGGGACGGAGGTGATCTAGTATGTTCCTCTTTCTTTCTCTCTCTCTCTCTCTCTCTCTCTCTTGATATGAATACTGACAGAAATAGTTGTCCCCGGTTCGAACAGTGCCGGTGCGATGTCTACGGGTGGTGCGGCCCCCTGCCATCGGGCGAGACACTGCAGGCAGTGCGAGCGAAACCTGTATAGACGTGATGCGATGTGATGGATAACGATACATAAGATATATTCAAGATCTACGTAAATTAATTGCATTGTTTTTTTATATCACGAGTCAGCCATGTGTCTGGAAAATAGATAACTGGCAACTGAATATCATGTTATGTATAACTATTGTGACCAGGGAGGTACTAACAGGAGCACCTATTTTGGTCTGAAAAGACTTGATCTGCTTCAGAGCGATCAGAAAATATGTCCATGCTCGTACTTTGTATAACAGTATGTTCGTTCTTCCCAGTCTGCCACAAGGATAGACTATGATTACAGACATGGCAAGAACAAGAATGTAGGAACCCATAACCATCCCAGCAGTAAGGCCAATTGTTATTGGAATATATATATATATATATATAAGGACGTAAGGACGAAAGAACAAAGAACAAAGAACAAAAAAGAAAGAAGAAAAAGATATCTAACATATGCGCTAAACACCAAAACTTCATATCATCAGGGTTACGGTGCCGAATCGCAGGTCTCAGCCCTACTCCTAGCATATATAGCGCATGGTGTCTTGTTCAACTTCCAATCTCACGGTCATAAGTAAGAAGAACACAAGAAGATGCGACTGCAGGTACCGTCCAGGTCCTAGACTATCAACAGAGAGAGAGGGCAAGTGAGGTCTCTGCATTTGACTGGGCATTCCTGAAATGTGGTAGACGGTAGCCCTAATAGGCGGCTGTAGGCCCTGTCAGGGCTATAGCTCTATTAGAATGAGTCTGTGCGAGTACCAGCTCTTGCAGGCGGATCTGGAGCGGGAGTTCCCCGAGACGATGGAGGGGATTGCGAGGGTCGAGAAGTGGGAGTTCGAGGGCTGTGGTGGCGGCATGGCGGAAAGCAATGAGGATCAGCTGGATGTTGGGTTCGGGGGTGGCAGTTGATCGAGGTGTAATTATCTTTTGTATGCTGGCTGGATTCAGATAGGTTGACGATCTGTCCCTATACTGACACTCATTAATTAGCAACACATGTTTTTATCATACCAGTAACTACCAGTTTGCTGTCTCGTTGGTACCAGATACACTGTACCGCCCACCTCTGAAGACACTGTAGAAACCAAGCAACCACCCTCAAATCCCTACTTCTAGCAGTCATCCTGTACGCAATCAAGCTCACAAATCTCTTCCAAACCTTCAAACCAGCACCCATTCATCAATTCACGCTATCATCAATTCATCTCCCATGAACAAGGTATCATATCATAGCCAAGAACACCACTATATACAGCGATCCCTTCCCGGCAACCAATCCCCAATATACACCCTACCATCCCATCCTATACTCCCCCTACGCAGCAACCTGAGGCTCAAGCACCCGCATATGCAATCCCCGCACAGGGGCCTCAAGCTCAAACGGCCCCGCCTCACGGTCACGATCCCTCTCAGCAGACACCTCATGCACGTGTTCACTATCCAACATGGGCACGTCCGTTTCACTGGGCGGCGCCTGGGGCACAACCCTGGGCATCCCGGGTATTAGCGAGCGGGGTATATCATTGTGTGTCTCTGAGGTAGGAGGAGGAGGAGGAGGAGGAGGAGAAGGTAACGACAGCGGCTTGCGCGGAATGGGCGAGGGAGCATCCTTCTCGACGTCGACGTCGCCGTCAACATCGCTGGGGGGTTTATTATCGTTATCAGGTGGAGATACCGAGCGAGGAAGAGGCGAAGAGGATCCCACTGCGGCAACGTCAAGACGACGACGCTTTCTCCGCCGACAGTAAAGCCATATTAGGACGGCGAGGATAGCGACGACTACTATTACGGCGATGGCGATGCCGGCTTTGGCGCCTGGTGAGAGGGAGGTTGTGGAATTTGAGCAGGAGAAGGAGCCGTTGAAGACGTCGGTGTTGTCGTTGTCTTCGGAGGGGGAGAGGGAGTTGCAGTTTAGAGATCCGGAGGAGGTGATTTCGGTTGCGCCTTGGACGGATTCGAGGTTGGGGAAGGATATTCTGGTTGCTTTTAGCATTCTTTATATGGAAGTTTGATATATATATATATCAAGGGTTACATGAACGGGGTGTTGCAGAAAGGACTAACGAGTCAAACGGCCCATCAAGATATAACCCCCCCGCGACCTGGTCCAGTTCATTGAAGCGCAGGTTGGTGAGATGCGGATTGGCGCGAATACGGACTTCACCATCGACAGTCCCCAGACTCCCGAGCTGCAGCGAGACGAGGGCCTTATTGTTGCGAACGCTAAGCAGACCGGTCACAGTTTCCAGGTCTGGGGCGATAAATGAGTCAAGCCGGTCTGTATTGTCGATAGTGAGGCCGGAGCGGAGATTCTCGACGTTGGAGAGGGTGATGGAGCCCGAAGCGGCGGGGGAGATGGTTAGAGTGCCGGAGATGGTGTCGCAAGATGAGAGGGAAGTGGCATCTGCTTGAGAGCGGATTTCGATAGGATTTGAGCCTGTTTGTTATTAGTTATAGACGGGTGAAGTAGGTAAGAGAGGGAGAAGTACAGTCGGGTTTGGAGGCTGCCAGTACAAGTGGCAGGGATGTGAGCCCCAGGAGGACCAGCAGGAAATGGTCCATTCTTCCCATCGCCTACCCTATGGGTAGTATCTCAATTCGAGATGGGTGAAAGAGTGGAAAGAGAAGGTGGATGGGCGTGTGGCTGCACCATGGCAAACGAATGCAGGGAGCCAGAGCCAGCGAATACAAGCCAAACCACCTCTTTAGCAGAGCGGGTGACGCGGGTGTTGTTATTATATACCCGACACCCTGCATGGAATGGAAAAAGAAAAGAAACTAAAATAGAAATGAACATCAGAAAATATATAAATAAAAAGGACAGGATGAGTCCCCCGCGCGAGGAGAACCCGCTGAATCTCCGTCACACATGCATATCGGACGAGCTCCCGTGCCCAGACCAAGCCCTAAGTTGATATCGTCAAGACGGGACGGGTGGATGGATAGCATCTTGTCGTCGACTGCAGGGAAGGAGATGTGCCGAGAGAACACAGCCACCTTCCACTCCACTCCGCGTCCCGTCTCATGCAGCCTAGTAAGGATGTCGTTTTGGACCATGGGACTATTTCCATACGAATCTTCAGTGTCGGTCGGTGGCTAGTTACCACAACGGGCCACCACAAGTTACTCAATCATACTTGCTCCCATGGACGTCGCCATTCCGAATCCATCCTAGAACCAGCATAAAATAACCAAATAGCCAGTTCAATGAATGGAAGAAATTGGGTAATACTCCACAGCAGGCAACCACTTTACCAGCCGCCCATTCTGCGGTCCAGAGATATGTGGATGCCTGCGGCCCATCCCGGTCAGCTCTCTCCGTCGGAGCACTCCGTGTGGTTCTTTGTCTCGGCCATGCAGCTAGGCGACCAGAAATGCAGAATGCGTCCTCTGCTGGCCCTCCCATTCCGGTCTTCCCCGCAATTCCGAGTGGACATGTTCTGTCGGTGGTTTTATGCTGGCTGACTCAGCTGTGTCCCTGCATAATTGTGAATGCCTGGGGCATGTGTTAAAGAAAGAATTCCTCCTGGTATTATATAGTAAATCGTGGAAATTGCTTTTAATGAGATGGTATATAAAACCCAGGGATTCATAATTGCTCTATCTACTTCATGTCGGTCATCATTTTCCATCGGCAGGCTACACACTGATCGTCTTAAACACCCTGTAATCAATTAGCAGCCGTCATAAGAAAAAAAAGAAAAGATGAAAGGATGAAAGAAAGGGAAAGAAAGGAAAAAGGAATAGAGAAACTTACCCAAATCCTGCACTCCCAGTAGCCATGACCGTCCCTGGCATCTGGGCCTGCCAGTGCACTTCCTTGACCGACTCCATGTAGTGCACAAACAGCAGCTGCGGCGGCACCTCCGCCATCCCCGCCGCCCGGCTCTCCTCGTCGTCCAGCTCCACCGCCAGATCCCAGAGCGTCACCGTGTTGTCCGCCGACCCCACCGCCACCACGCTGTCGTCGGTCGGATTCCACTCGATGCTCGTCACCGGCTCCCGGTGGAAATCGAACGCCGCCACCGGCGTCGACTGGGTCTGCGTCGCCGCCGGCTTCCAGTGCCGCAGATCCCACACCGCCCACTGCCCGTCGTCCGCGCCCGTCGCCAGCAGGTGGAAGGTCTGGTTCGACCAGCTCATGACGTTGACGTCCGTGCCCGACACCTGGACGTCGACCGCGGGCTTGCGCGACTTGGACCGCACGTCCCACACCTTGACGCTGCCGTCGCTGCTGGCCGACGCGAACACGTTGCGCTCGTTGGGGGACCACTGCAGCTCCTCCACGGACGAGGTGTGGCCCGTGAACGGGCGGGTGTCCGTCACCCAACCGCCACCCTCGGTGCGGCTCGTCGCGTAGATGAATCCGTCGTTATCACCCGTCAGGAGCTTGCCGAGCGGGTGCAGCGGCGACCAGTCCAGCGCGTACCCCTCCGACTTGTGCATACGCAGCGTCGACAGCGGCTTAGATGCCGACGGGGGCAGCACGGTGCCGGGCACGTCAAAGCTGGTCAGATGCGGCGTGACGTCGTGGATGACCACCTGGGCGTTCTCGAGCATGGTAGCCGTGATGGTCTGCGGGGGCTTGGAGTAATCGCCCGACTGCGCCGGGGTCTGGTGGGAGCGGATCCGGTTCGCCGTCGACCCGAGCGGGATGCTCTTCGACTCGAGGATGGGTTCGCCCATGTCGTCGTCGTCCGAGTCGCTGTCCGAGTCCGTCTCGTTCTCCTTCTCCATCTTGCTCAAGCTGCTCATCTTGAGCACCATCAGCTCGTTATCTTTGGAGCGACCGCCCTCGGCCTGGGTGCCGGTCACGGCGTACACGGTGGCCGGGTAGGTCTTGCGGTTGTCGCCCAGCGAGTCGGGGACGATATCGAAGGAAAGACAGGGCCACGGGGTGCTCAAGGTGTGCAGCATGTCGTAAGCGGAGGGATCAGGCGACAGCACCTCATCAGGACCGAGTTTCGTTCTACCGGGGATAAAGGTCTGCTTGTCCACCTCCATAGCCTCTGCGGGCGATTAGCGACCGTTTTAGAAAATTCACACATGATTGTCGCAAGTCCAACGCACCTTTTTGCTCCTCTTCCCGTTCCGCATCAGGTCGCCCATCTACACCAGCCTCCAGGATCTCATCCTCGCTCTCGAACTCATCCTCATACTCGTCCTCGAACTCCCCCGCCTCATCGGGAGGGGCATCGGCGATAGGACGCCCTCCGGCCTTGAGGGCGGATTGGTCGTCGGTGATATCAGCAGCTCTTTTCGACATGATGAGGGAAAGGAAAGGAATTAAATAGACAGCCTTTAAAAGCTGACCGAACCAGTCGTGCAGCCGGAGAAAGTTGACCAGAAGAAGGAAAAAGACGGACTTTTTTTTTTTTTTTCGGGGACAAGAGGGGAAAAGCGACTAAACCTATCGCGGACTAGCGGCGATCGGGCGGCTGGCTGACCCAAACGGTGATTATGTTGATGTCGACCTGGATAGTATCAACTCCCCTCTCTTCTCCGCGTCAACAACTTCATTTAGTTGATTATCCTCGTACTCTGTCGTTCTTTGTTTGAAATTTCTCTGTCCCACCGTGTCGCTCGCCCGGTTCGGTCCCACCCGGGTCGATTCCCTCTTTGTTGACCCCTCCCGACTCCTACAAAGGTGAACCAAAGAATCACATCCCCCATCGTGATCGCGAGAAAAAGAGATATCCTTCGGGGGAAGATCGTCGTTCTGACAAATCTATCGGACAGGTCACATCGGAGAATTCTGTCGTTCCTCAGTTGATGAATTCTCCCGGCGGTTGGCCTCCATTCTCCATCCGCATTCTTCACCCCGGTTGGTCCCCCCACTGTTGTGACCGCCGCATATTAACTCCGCACATGGACTGATGACAGGTATTGTAGGTTCCTGTCGCATCGATCGGAGCCTCCATTATGGACACTTCCCAACCGTCAGACCCGCTGGCTGGTGTCGCTCCTGAGCTCCACGAACAGCACCCCCAACCGCAGCCGACGCCGCAACAGTCGCAGTACCCCGTCAACCCCGCCGGCCCCTATCCATCCCACGTCGAATCCGTGCCGCCAGAAGTGATTCCCAGTGCTTCGACATACCATGCGGGATACAGCAGCGACTCGCACGCCAACTACTCGTCCCATGCCGCCGATTTCAACTCCGGTTCCGAATACCTACCCCAACCACGTGCGGAGCTCCCTCGCGCGCAGGAAGCCGTCCCATCGATGATCCATCCACCCGCGGCCCCGTCGTCGTCGCGTCCCAGCTCGGGGCTATCTAGTGGACCCGACCGACTCGGCTCCGTACAGTCCGGACAGGAGCTCCCCCCAAAACAGCCGATCCCCTCCAACAAGAACAGCGTCGTCATCAAGGTGGGCATGGTTGGCGATGCGCAAATCGGCAAGACCAGTTTGATGGTGAAATACGTGGAGGGCAGTTGGGATGAGGATTACATCCAGACGCTGGGTAGGTTTGATGCGCCGGAGTCGAAATGGGTCTGACTCGAACAGGCGTGAACTTCATGGAGAAGACCATCTCCATCCGAAATACAGAGATCACCTTTTCGATCTGGGATCTGGGCGGGCAGCGCGAGTTTGTCAACATGTTACCCCTCGTCTGTAACGACGCCGTCGCCATCCTGTTCATGTTCGACCTCACGCGCAAGAGCACCTTGAACTCGATCAAGGAGTGGTATCGCCAGGGTCGGGGGTTCAACAAGACGGCCATTCCCTTCCTTGTCGGTACCAAGTATGATCATTTCGTCAACTTTCCGCGCGAAGATCAGGAGGAAATCTCCATCCAGGTGAGTGTCAACCTTTGCCAACCGGTGCCGGATCTAACCATTGCATAGGCCAAGCGGTTCGCCAAGGCCATGAAGGCCAGTTTGATCTTCAGCAGTACCAGCCACAGCATCAACGTGCAAAAGGTACGATCAGTCGTTCGTCCGCTGACCATATTGCTGCTAACCTAATCTAGATCTTCAAAATCGTCCTGGCCAAGGCGTTCGACCTGAAGTGCACGATTCCCGAGATCGAGAACATCGGCGAGCCCCTGCTGCTCTACAAGAACCTCTAAACCCGCGCACGGGGCCATGATTATGTACATTGGGACGAATGATGTGACGACCACGTGGATGTGGCCGAATGTCGGATGTGAAGCTCCTTCTTTTTTTGACTTTTTTCCAGCATTGGGATGCGTCTCGGATTTTCTTCTGTCTGTTCATTATACTTTCCTATCTCTGTTAATTCTTCTTTCTTTCTTTTGATGCCCCTTTTTTTACTTTTCTTTCCTTTGTTATTTTGTCCGTTGGGCTCTCATGTCCTTTTTCTTTCTTTTTCCCTTCTTTTCTTTTCTTTTTCCCATGGTGTCATCGACTGCCGCAGAGGTAAACCGACGATGAAAATCCAGGAGCTGGGGAGCGCTGATCGGATATATTGTGAAGTCCACTAGTTTAATCCGTGCAAATGTTAATATGGTGTGAATCAGCCCTGTTAAGGGTTGACATCGAATCGTAAGTCAGATGTGCCGTGCCTTGTCAAGCGTATATAATATACAGTGAGTATAACAGTGATCAAAGCGCAGTGATCATGTCAATACCCCCGCCCTCCAATAAGCAAAGGCCCAGCTGTTTACTAGTATAATATGCAACCACACATACTCAAGTACTACAGGTCTGAAAAGACCTATCATACATTCTTTGTATTAGTAGCTACCCTCGTCTGCATGCTTAGTTGGGCTGTACTCTAGAGGTGCGGTATAGATGATGCATCCCCGGTGGGAGGACCTATACGAGTGTATCAATATACTCGAGAGCGTGGGTATAGACACGATGCCAGACTGTCAATATCAAATGGGAGCTGGACATGTGACTATCCCATGGTGACATGTAAGATATGATATGGGAGATACGGAGTAGAAGTCATGTACTAGAATCAGATTGTACATGCAATCTAATCTGATAAGAGAACCGGTTGGGAGTATGTCGAACTGACGTATCTCATGCAGTTATTTATTGGGTAGATATGATCGCATAGGGCTGTGTAGTTCTATTGTTCTACTCGTGCCCGAGGTATACATATGAGGTCATACCCAGGTATGTGGATAACGTTATACAGTCTTGTTGGGTGAATGGAGATAGAGATAGAAATCACAGCATTGGAATATCTGTATTGATTGAATTTGTCCCCAAGTATATTTGATTATAGCATCTTTGAATCCATCGTGTTGGAGAATATATATCAGCACATACCTAGGCACTGACTGTACGTGAAAGGTATATATATCATATTCCCGTGACACACCCAGCCCTAAGTAGTATCTTCACGATAACCTCAAATAACAACCTCAGACAATAACATACTCAAACGACAGGAGTATGTACTATAGCAATCCCTACATTCCGTCAGGACTCAAATCAGTCCATCATAATCAATGTTACCACGAGGGGACCCACGGACTAACCAGAACCAGGAGGGATCGACGTTGCGCCCGCCATCACCAGAGGCGCCCTACAGTTTCAGCTGGTTTCAGCCATGATAAACGAACTCCTTTTACTCCAGTTCTTATTTTGCACATTGTCATTCTTCACTCTCTGATCCACTGTCTTTCATCATCACTCTTTGTCCCCTTGTCCCTTTGTTCTCCCTTCTCTCATTCATCCATTCATCTATTCATTCATTCATTTATCTATCTACACCCTCATTCAATCTATTGGATCCTGCCGTCAAGCGCTGGACGGATTACAGTGCATTGATCGCACGCGCCAGCTGTCGGTCCCCCCTGATCTTGACCCGCACGTTCGCTCCACCCACAAAGCGCTTAACCGTTGCGACCCTCATTTCCACGGCGCTTCGCCTGGGAATCATCCTTCCTTCAACAACTCAGTCTGAGACTCTGTTCGTGTCGCTCTTTTGAACTCGATCTGCTTTCTTTCCCTCCAATTAGGTGGAAATGTCCTGAGACATCTTCCCGCGCCGATCATCTCCAAGTCATTCTTGACCACCAGTCTTTCCTGGGCGCATTGAATACAAAAACCACAACACTCGTCGCCCCATTTCACTCGTTCCATATCCTTCCTGACTTCGACCGGCTGGCCCGACGAAGTCTTCCTGTCTGTGACGAACACCGAATCGCCGAGCGATCCCGTGCTGGACTTCCTGGCAGGACCGGGCCACAATAATCTGCACAATGCCGTGCTGTGGGGATCGCGAAAAGGGCGGCCCCGTGTCCCTGGAGGAACAATGGGATTACATTGTACGTGTTGATCCAGTCAATTGCTGGCTTCAAATGTGGTGGTGGCTAACCCCGTGGTAGAACCTGGACGACTTCAAGTCCGAATCATGTCTCAGCCCGTTCTCCTACTTCTGGCTGTGGGTTTTCCTCATCGTTTCCCTCGCCGTGTATGGTGTCGACACCTTTACCGCCGTCAATCTACTCGCCTTCTCTCGCTGGGCCGGCCAGATCGAGCCCGCCATTCCATTTGCGGCGTCGCGCTGGGTGTTCGCCGTCTGCATTATCATCTCGTTTGTTCTGCTGGTTCTGCGCTGGCTTCGCGCCATTCGGGCGATCCGTTCCGGAAGCATCGCCAAAAGCTACCTGGACTCCCTCGCCGTGCGGATCCAGAGTATCCGCATGGGCCAGAATGGCCGTGGGTGGCGGAGATTCCTCGTCTTCGCGGAGCTCACCAAGGACCGCAAGGGAGCCGAGTACATTGCCTTGTTCACGTACTTTTCGTTCGAGAGTAGGTAATCCTTTCCGTCGCGATCGTGTGGGTGACAACAGCGTACTGATGGAGACCAGCGTGGATGAACACGCTCTTCGCCGACGGGCCCCGTCAAGTGGTCAACGCCATCACCCTGTACTCGGTCATGCAAATGGATCTGCTCCCCGGGGGCAAACACGCCTCCGAGGACCAAGACCAGTCAGGGGCCTCCCAATTCTTCAACAACGTCAAGATCCTCGCCGAGAACAACAATCTGAGGGCCGTGATCCTGTGCGGTATGTTGTTCACCGTGGTGGTCTGGGTGTTATCAATCTTGAAACTCCTCCTGGCCATCATGTTCTACGTCTTCTTCCTCTTCCACCACATCCCCGAGAAGGACGGCAGTCTCAAGTCATACTGCAAACGGAAGATCAACCAGCGACTCACCCGCATTGTCCGTCGCAAGGTCGACAAAGCTTTAAATAAAGGGGTCGCCCTGCAGGACCGGACGCCGACCGGGCTGAGCTCGCGGCCGACCCTCCCCGTCATCGGTCCCGACCTCGACAAAGGCCCGGCCGTCGCGACCATCTCGCGCAGCACTACCGAGACAACACTGCCGGTGTACACCTCACGACCAGGCACGGCCGCCGGCCAACGTCCGACCCTGCCCGATCTAGGGGGCCTCCAGGAGAAACCGCCGCTGAGTCGATCAGTCACCCAGTCGTCAGGCTGGTCAGACGGCACGGCCGTCTCTGGATACAGCCCGTTAGACCGCCAGGCATCGCCGGCGCCGCCCGTGCCCGCGCTTCCCAGCCACATGGTCATGGCGGGCTCCCGCTCCCAGACGCCTATGTCGCGGTCCGCGTACACGCCGTCCCCCGCGCCTGCAGGCGTCATGACAAACCGCATGCTGCCCCCAATCGCCACGTCAGGCTCGCCATTCCGCCCCTTTAGTCCCGCAGTCGACCCCTCCGGACGCTCGTACACACCAGCCAACCAGAGCGCAACCGGCTACGCCGACCAAGCCGGCATGCGAACGTTCTCGCCCGCCCCTGCGCCTCAGAACCCGCAGTTCAATAACCCCGGGGCGTACTATTCTCCTGCGCGCGGGACTCCAGCGCCCGCCTCTCGCATGGGGTACTCCACACCAGTCTACCAGGAGAACTTGGCCGCCGGCCGACCCACGCCCGCGCAGCAATACCCGCCGCGGGGATATGGCGGGCAACCCCAACCGCCTCGCACAGACTACTTCTAACCTCCCTTGGGGATCGACCGCGTGCGCGGACACGCCCGATGATCTCTACCACGTTTGATGAAAATATTTTCCTATACCCATTGATGATCCAGCGAATCTGACCGGGATGGTCTATTCCCATGCATTTTATCTTGAATATCGGTGCCTCGCAGCTGAGCTGGTTTGTAGCCGAAAAAGACGATGTAGATAGATACCACCGCGGTGCAGAATAGTGGAACCTGTTCATAAACCTATCCTTCTTAAATGCAAATATATTACAGTTTGTAGATCTTTCAATTCTTTCCTTGAATCAAGTCCTGTCATGTATTGGAATCCATCAATCTGCAACGCGGTGGGTCTTAACTCCCCCTTAACTCCGACTGACCGCCCCCGGTCGCCGCCAACCAACCATGGTCGACGCAGTATGTCAGTTCAACATCATCATCCAACTTACCACCTTCGACATTCTATTACAGAACTCGAGACACTCGACTGTATGCGCATGAATTACCCATGATCCTACCTGTAATCGCGTAACAGGTTCTCCCGCTCGGGCTTAGTTCAGCCGTCCCGGATGCGCGTCCTCAACAATCCCTACGATGGCGTCGCCCCGAGCCGTGCCCGCTCTCAACGGAGAACACCGAAGCCCCTCCTCGTCGTCGGATCCCCATCGCGAACCTACAGAGACGTATCGACTACGCACAGATAGCGGGCGCTTGACGACGCGACCGGAACCCCCCACGGACGGAATGGCGCCATCGCCTTCACCGCAGCGGATCCCCATGAGTCCGACGAAAGATGGAAGAAACCGCGTGGTCGCGACGGGGAGTCCCGAGCAGCGAAAATCCTCGGTCCACCGGTTGGAGCCGTCGCCGAATTTCTTGGAGATCGAGGGATGGCAGACCAACGGGGTGGAGGGATTGCAGATAAATGGAAGGGAGGGACACGCGCGAAGACTGTCGGCGAAGAACTCCGACCGCAGGGTGGATGGAAGTCCACGGTCCGAGGACGATGCCAATCGCGTCGAGTCGAATGGTCGCGTTGCGGGCGCGCCGGCTCGGCGGGGTCAGCGCGAGGTTAACGGCGACCGAAGAAGCGGTCAGGCCCCGCTTTTGTCGGAAGGGGTGGTCTTTGAAGAGCCGGACGAGGCGCGGGGCGTACAAAGAACGCCGCTGGTGGGCGTGTTTGAAGTTTCGGAGGGCTCTGAAGGCATTAATCGAAGTTCCGGAGAGGTTTCTTCTCCGTCGCATCAGGACAAGGAGAAGGATCGGATCCTCAAACTATCGCCCGCCAAGATGCAGGCGCTCACATCGTCGCCGCAGTCGATCCCCTATCGCGCGGCCCCGTCGGAGTCGGAACCGGGTCGACGAGTCGTGTCGGACGGGATGCGCCCCGTCGTTCCTCCGCTGGAGCCAGTCGACGAGTCACATGTGCCGGGGGACAAGGTGCGCTCGAATCAGGAGTCGTTGGAGGGCGCGCCGAGCGCGATCGGCAGACCGTCGACGTCGACGACGACAACGACGCGCAGTCGGCCCATGCCCTCGCGGGCTGTCTCGACGCCCGGCAGCATGCGGCGACAGACCGTGGCCGCGGGGAATGAGCGCCTCGCACAGACGTGGGCCTCGCGCTCGAAACAGGACCGCCTGCCGATCAACCGGGAAAGCGAGACGAAGCAGACCGTCCCATCGTCACAGATGGGCGAACCGGCGCTGCCCTCTCCGGTGCCGCCCACGATCCCCATCCCGCCGTTGTCCGTGCCGACGTACCTGCAGCTCGAGCTGTCGTCCGGCCGACCTTCCCCTCTGTATATTCACCGCACTGCGATGAGCGACTTCCCGTACGAGTCGTCCCGCGTGAAGCTGGAGCGGCTGATGAATTTCCTGATCCTCCCTCCGGCGCTGGAGCAGGTCCTCTGGTTTGGGACCCTGGCGTGTCTGGACTCGTGGCTCTACTCGTTTACCATCCTCCCGCTGCGCTTTGCCAAAGCGCTGTACATATTGTTAGAGTCATGGGCGGTCAACCTGGGCGTCGAGTTTCGGTACGTTTCCGGGTTTGTGGTTAAGGGTGTAGGACGCGTGTGGCGCAGGCGCAACAACGCACCGGCGGACAGCACCAGCCAGGAGGTGCCTCGAAGTTCGGAGCCAGGACCGCGGCGGTCGCGGACAGCGTCCATGAAACAGGAGATGCCCATCGAACGGCCCGTCAGGATCAAAGCGACGGAACCGAGGCGGCGTCGTACAGACACCCAGTTCCGTCCGCAACATCGACGGCAAAAGTCCATCCCCTCGGCGCTGATGCCCGACGACAAGGCGGACATCCTCAAGGGCCTGCTGATGATCGCCACCTGCGTCGTGCTGATGTACTTCGACGCCAGTCGCATGTACCACTGGATCCGGGGACAGGCGGCCATCAAGCTGTACGTGATCTACAACGTGCTCGAAGTGAGCGACCGCCTCTTCGCCGCCATCGGCCAGGACGTGCTCGAGTGTCTCTTCTCGCGCGAGGCGCTGGAGCGTCGGCCCGACGGGCGTAGCAAAGTGTTCCGGCCGTTCGGGCTGTTTCTTCTAGCGCTGGGGTACACGGTGACGCACGCGACGTCGCTATTCTACCAGGTCATGACGCTGAACGTGGCGGTGAACTCGTACTCGAACGCGCTTATCACACTGCTCCTCTCGAACCAGTTCGTGGAGATCAAGTCGACGGTGTTCAAGAAGTTCGAGAAAGAGAACCTGTTCCAGCTGACCTGCGCGGACGTAGTCGAGCGGTTCCAGCTGTGGCTGATGTTGACGATCATCGCATCGCGGAACATCGTCGAGACTGGGGCGCTGAACTTCATCGGCGAGCTGGGCACCAGCTTCAGCGGGCAAGCGTCGGCGAGCACTAACAGCACGCCGATGTCTACACCACCGCGCATGGCCTCGTCTATCCTCCCACAGTCCTTCACCATCGTGCCATCCTCTATCGTCGCCTCCTTCAGCCACGTCAACTCCTTCCTCCCGACCCTAGCCCAAGTCCTCGGACCATTCCTCGTCGTGCTCGGCTCCGAAATGCTAGTAGACTGGCTCAAGCACGCCTACATCAACAAATTCAACAACACCCGCCCAGCAATGTACCACCGCTTCCTCGACATCCTCGCAAAGGACTACTACACGAACGCCTTCGGCGACCCGAACCTCATGCGCCGAGTCGGCCTCCCCGTCATCCCGCTCTCCTGCCTCTTCTTCCGCGTGTCGGTCCAGACCTACCAAATGTTTCTGACAGCGCTCCTCCCACAACAACCCTCCTCCACAGCCGTAGACTCCACCTCACTCTCCTCCATCCACAGCCACTACGCGCCGTCACCCCAGCCCTCCCTCCCGCCACTCACACTGCGCACAATCCTCCCCGCCTCCGCCGCCCACGCGGGTGCCTTCTTCCGCCAGCTCCTCGCGAACGCGATCCCCACCCCGGCCCAATCAGTCTACATCTTCACCGCCGTGCTCCTCCTAACAGGCTTCGTCCTCCTCCTAATCATCAAGCTCCTCCTCGGAATGCTCCTCCTGACGTGGTCCCGCGGACGGTACAAATCAATGAAGCAGCGCGAGCGCGAGCGCGAACACAACACAGACATGCCCCCGCCACCCCCGCCATCACAGCCACAGCCACAACAACAACAACAACAACAACAACCTCCCCCAGACCACGGCAACGCGCCGCGCGGGCGAGAATACGCCGTCGAAGGCAGCCGCCGCGTGGGCGGGTGGGGCGTGGTAGAAGTGAACGACGACCACCGGCGGTGGATCTACGCTGATGATCCTGCGGCGCTCAAGCGGTTGAAGGCGCGCGAGGAGAAGGAGAGGAGTGGACGGGGAGAGGAGGATTGGAATATGGATCATGTGACGAGGTATGAGATGGTTGCTAAGAGGATTTGGTAATAGTATAGAGTGTGATGAGCGTATATTACCTGTATATTCCCGTGATCTTTTAGAACATTCCATTAGTATTATAATTATCATTTGATTGACCAATTCAGTGTAAGAACCGTAGTTATTCGTGAGATAATAGAGCCATAATACCGAGGAAACAACCATGATGAAGAAAAGCAACAACAACAACCATAAAGATAGAAAACAACAACAAATTCTTTAAAAGGAAAAGAGAGCGAGATCAGTCCTTCCTCCCAACAACAACCTGCAAATTCACCACCGGCACAGTCTCCCCCACAGCCCCCTCCAACGCCCCCACAAGCCCCTCCGTCCTCCGCCTCGCCTCCTCCTCACTCGACACCTCACCCCCCGCCAACAACGACCTCGGCAGTAACGAGCGCAGCACCTCCACCAGCCACACGCGGGCAACACCATGCAAGCCAGGTTTGTCCACAGTGGAGAACACCTCGCGACGGATGTCGACCAAGACGCCCTGCGCGCGGAGCAGCTTCTCGACGCGCTGGGGGGCGGTGTCGCAGAGGCCGAGCTGGCAGACGCCGTCGGCGATGATTTCGCGCATTTGGGTGACTTGGGGGGTGGAGGGGGTGGTCGTGAAGGCTGTTGTGTCGCAGTCGTCCCATTGGAGGTGGCCTCCTTTTTCTATTTCGTTGTTAGCATGCTGTAGTATAAATATTATAACTCCCATCTTGATATAGAAAAGTATGACCAAGACAAGTAAAAGGAGAAGAAGGAACGTACTGAGTAACTCGCACACATTCTTCACAGCAACAGCATAATCCGCCTCCTTCAACGCCCCAGCCAGCAAGCGCAAATGCACAAGGTCATACCGACCACGGTGCTCTTCGGGAAAGCGCTCGCAGATATTATGCACAGAGAGACGGATGGTACGGGTTGGAGAGACGTCGTTTTCGCGGGGGAATTGCTCAGGCGAGATGTCGAAGCCGTGGAAGTAGCGGGGGGATTTCGGGGGGGGAGGGGGGAGGGATTTGTCGAGGGTTGAGAGCCATATTCTATTCATTCATTCTCTCATTAGTCTTTCGCTCTTTGTTATTCATTTCGCCGGGGAGAGAGATGATGGGATACCCAGTTCCTGTGGCGATGTCGGCTACACTGGTGATCGAGTCGGTAGGGATAGACGAGTGGACTTGCGAGGCGCCGATGAGGTTGATGAGGAAGTCGTGCTGGGCATTGAGTCTTTTTGTTTAGTTTCTTCTTTATTCTTCAGGATATATGTGTATACCTGGCTGATTCCTTGGGATCGCGACCCAGGAGGTAGACTTCGGATGGACCGTCCATGGTGTGTACTCGACAGGACAGGATAGAAGAATTGAAAAGAGTCAAGTCAAGGTCAAGTAAGGACAAGGTAAGATAAAGTAAGATCAAGTCAAGTCAAAGTTAAGTTTAGGTAATTCCACATTCCTTTCTCTCCTTAAGTACTCCGTAGCAACTAGCAACCTCCATACCTCAAGCCCTAACTAATCCTCAGCTAACTCCATCCAGCACTTCACTCCCAATCTACCACTATCGTCCCACTTCCCCTCACCCCGATATAAACAATCAGTCTCCACAGAGAGTTACCAAGTACAGATAGTAAAAGCGTAAAGTACTATTCACCTACGCCCTAGCAAATAGCAACCCCAGTAGTACGCAAACCTCGTACCGCAAAAAAAAACGCCAATAAAGCCACCACCAGCGCGATCCCATTGGGTCCGGTCCCCCCGACCCACTTTTGACAAGCGTAGTGCAGAGATCGGCCCTGCCAGCCGTTAGGAGGTCCAGAACGAGAAGGATGCGATCCTGCGGCGCGGACAGCAATTCTCCCTTGCAGTGGATGGTGGGTGTGGTGTAGTGGGGTGGAGTGTGACTAGGGTAGTTCCACCGGATGGTCGGTGGTTGGGACTTTGGAGCAATTGTAGTGTTTGGATCAATCACATTGTTAATATCTGGGAGGGGCACCCACTTGCTAGGATCCTAGCGTCCTGCGGGGTGGTCGTTTGGGAATGCATTTTGTGGAGCTGATTGTGGGACGTTTTTGTTCTTTGGTAGGTAGGTAGTTACAGGGGTGGTGGTGGTGGTGGGATGGAAATCCTGCTTATGGTTCTATATAATGGTACCTTGCTCAACTACTCTGCACAAATGGACTCGTGTAGACCTCTGCTGTGATTCCGAGTACTTCGTCAGTCAATAGTCTCGGCTGGCTGCATGTTATGCATCCAGGTTTGTCTGCTTGTATGTACCCTTCCGTGCAGGTATGGGGGTTCCGACAGATGGGATCACAGGGATGTATCAGGTAGTCTATATTATCCTAACACGACCATCATTCCAGACGTAGACATCATCGTCGATATAAGGTAGTTTCTCACATTATATAACAACTACCAACTAATTTGTATCCCGCACCGGCAGTCTAGAGAAAACATGGCTGAAAATCTCACGACTCCGATACAGATTCTCCACCCGCAGCCGCTCATTATACAGATGCGCGTTGTCGCTAGCCTGTCCACACGGCAAGTTCGCCGCCGGCGCGCAAAACTCCTTCTCCAGGAAGCGGATCGTGGGGATCGAGCCGCCCTCGCGGATGTAGATCGGCCGGACAGTCGATTTGGTCGCGGCAGAGGCGGGCGGCGTGGCGGTACCGGACGCGGGTGCGTCGCGCCCGCGGGAACCGGCCGGACCAGATTTGCCGGACAACGTGAGCGAGGTGGGCACGGAAGGATGGGCAGACTGGTGGCGCGCGGCGGACTTGCCAGCCGAGGAAGTCGTCGTGGACGTGAGGATGCGGTCGATGTGGGAGGCGAGACTGTCGGAGGAGTCCTTGCGGCGGAGGCCGCTTGTGCTGGGGGTTGTGCTGGATCGCGTGGACTGGGTGCGCTCGAGGGCGCCACCGCGGACGGGCGGGTACTGGTGTTTGGCAGGGTGGTGCTGGTCGGGGGTCCAGGCGGCGGTGATGGCCTCTTCGAGGGTCTTGAACATCTCGTTGTCTGGGTCGCCGAGCCAGGGATCGGACTTGCCCGTGATCTCGACGGTTAGGTCATTTTGCGATTCGAGGGCGTCGAACTGTTCTTGTGCGTATAGCGTCAGACTGGCGGCTACGTCATCGGCTTCCTGGTTGGGGACTAGTCGGAGTGATAGGCTGGCCTTGGCTCTCCGCGAGATTGTCGTTGTCGTGCTCTTGCCGGTGCCGGGGACCTCGACCGAGTGGATTGTGAGGGAGGGTTCGCGCCAGCGGTGCATCAGCGAGCGGATGAGGGCCTCGCGGTCGGCGATCTCCGGGTGTCGCTGGAGGAGGATCTGCGCGATGGTGGCGTACCGTTGCTGTTCGGCTTCGGTGATCGGCAGGACCGATTCTTGCACGCCAGGGATGTTGATCCGGCCCTTGGGGCCGACGAGGGTCCCGAGGAGCATGGTCAGATCCTTCAACGGCTCGTCGAGCAGCGTGCTGCCGTCGATACCGCTGTGCAGGTCTGGGTGGTCGCTGTTGACGACCAGGTTCGCATGCACCACCCCGCGTAGCCCATACGTCAGGCAGGGGTTGTAGTCGTCCAGCCAGTAGCTATTCGCCAGGAGGATCCAATCCACCGGGCCAATCTGAAGCTTGTATTTTCGGACGGTCTCGTGGAACCCTTGCGAGCCGGACTCCTCCTCGCCCTCAATCAGGAAGACCAGGTTGCACCGGAGTTCCTTTTTGCGCGCGAGGTCCGCGGCGGCATACAGTGCCGCCAAAATGGGTCCCTTGTTATCGGACACGCCGCGGCCGTAGAGAAACCCGTCGACGGATGTCAACTGGAAGGGATCGGTATTCCACTTGGCTTGGTTCGCATCGGCAGCGACCACGTCGTAGTGGCCGTAGAAGAGGATGGTTTTGTCGATGTTCTCCGGCGACGTCGCGGTGAACCGCGCGTGCACGATGGGATTGGTATCCTCGCCTGTAGTCAAGAGCTTGGTGTGCGCTCCCAGGTACACGCAGTGTCGCCGCAGAAACGCGGCTCCTTGGTTACATTCGCCGGCGAATTTTGGACTGGCCGAGACGGTCTTGAACGCGACCAACTTGGCCAGCGAATTGACCATCTCATCTGCTACTGTCAGCGACTGCCATTGCTGTGTAAGAGAGGCCGTCCATACCGTTGTTGATGGAAGACAGTTGATCTTGATTGAGAGACGCTTCGGTCAGGTCCCAGATGCCCACCGTGTTGTCGTTGCCGCCGGTGGCGTATATATGGCGATCCTTGTACCGGCCCGCCGCCGACGCCAGCATCGTTCCGCCGTGAGCGACCCAGCTGCCAACTTCCTCGAATCGCGAATTGAATTTCTACACCCACCATTAGCCTGTTGCTTTCACCCGCTCCCCCTGGAAGGTTCAAACCTTGACGATTCCGTTTGAGTCCCCGCACACTGCGACGCCATGGATGATGTCGACGGCCCACAGGTCCCCTGTCTGAGTCGTGATCTGTTTCACCAGCTGGTAGGAATCCAGATTCCAGATGTTTAACGCGCCTCCCGCGAGACCACAGTACAGGAAAGAGCCGTCGACGGCTAAGGAGAGCACAGGAGCCCCGTTCTCGAGCTTAGCCATCTGCGAGGGCGCTGCGTTGGATTTGTCCTGTTCCAGACGCCACAGCTTGACGACTCCATCCCCCGCACCCGTCACCAGCACCTCCTCGGTGGGGGCTGATTCCACGAGACCCCGCACCAGACGCATGGTATATACATAGCCATGGTGGGCGAAGAGCTTGTGGTGGTCACGCTTGAAGGTCACGACTTGGCCACCGTGAGATCCATCGGCGCTATCGGGTCGGGATGCACGGGTACCGTCCGGGCCGCGTGAGTCAAAGAAGCGGTGTGTCCGCCGCGACAGTTGGGCGGCGGATAATTGTGTTGTCGCCTCATCCACTTGGGAGATGTCGCACCACTGGGGCTTGTTAGATGGGGAAGACGGTACACGGCCTGTGATAGGCTTACTTGGATACTGGTATTTTGGGCACCACAGTAGATGGTCTTCAGGCTGGACGAATAGGCCACGGCAAAGATGTCGCCCACGTCATGATGGGAGTGGATGGAATAGAGACGGTCGAAGGTCCGCGTGGACCACACCTACGGGAGTCAACTTCTGCTTGTTGGTGGGTTCTGGGACGGGACTTCGTACGTTGATCACTGAGTCTCCGCCACTGGAAAAGAGCAAATCCCCATCCTCGGAGAGATACAAGTCTAGTACACTCTCCTTGTGCGCCTGGACGGAGAGGATCAAATCATAGGTCTCGAGGGACCATGCCTATCGGACAGTCAGCCACGATACCCCAAGCGTGAAACCATGCATGACATACTACAATGTCGCCGCCTTGCAAACCAGCAAATACGCAATCATCGTCGAGGGCCAGGGCCAGGACGGATCGACTGGCCTTGACACGGTGGCCGATACCGCACTCGAGGGCCGAGTCCGACGGTTCGGGGGCATCCTGAGGGCGGAGCGGCATGTCCTCCCCTTGCGATGGAATACCAGCCTCGGAGAGCACTGTGGGGTCCATTACTGACCGCAATGGAACGAATAAACAGATTTAGCCCAGTCTATGGAGTGGTCGTGCAGTTGTATACAATCGCCGGAAGAGTCAGACAGTCAATGGGCACGTGATATCCTCTCAAATGGGTCAATACAACATGGATTCCCCGTTCTATTCTGTACAGAGTGTGACCCGGGATGAGAAATAGAGTAGATATGGAGACAGAAACAGAGACAGTACCCAGCCTTGAATTAAAAGAAAAGGAGGAAATGACAAAGGATGGGGTGGATGAGGAAGATGGCAGAGACGGATGTCGTGATTTCGGCGGTGATGCTTGGCAGGAAAGTGGAGATGCCTGAGGTGTCTGGCCGGTTACTCACCTGTGGGCTTCCCTTCTCGACAGAAACACCTGTGGGTGTTAACCTTCGTTCTTGAACATGTAAATATCACTTATATATAAATAACATTTTATATTATATATCAGTAGAAAGGAAAGGGGAAAGAAACAAAAGAACGAACCTGGATTCCTCCCATTGCAGACGTGCCAACAACGGCTGTTTCTTCCGTTGAGTCATGATGGGATCATGGATATCATGGATATCCTACACTAACACGGACTGAGCTGTCCCAATGCTCAGTAAATTGGACATGGATTTCTATATATGTCCACGAATTCCAACCAGGTCCAGGGGGGACTGGGATGGTCGCCCAAACGCCTGAGGGATCAGGCAGATACCATCATGCAGTGCTGATAGGTCATGCTCTATCTCTTCGTTTGCTCTGCAGATACACCTCTCATTACGATGAAGTCCTCCGATCTAGACGAAGTACCCTGCATGGAATTATGTATCTACCTAGCGCGCCACATTCCTGATATAATTTCTATCTCTTCAAACAGACCCATGACATATCTCTCGGTATCTCCGTATCTGATCGTATCAGATGTGTATTGAATGTAACATCAGCCACGTATGGTCACATCGGGTATCTACGCACCAGCCACTGTGGCGGTGGTCATCCCCACCAATCAAGTGGAGCCTGCATCACCGCCATTCCTGACTCATCCATCAACTTTCAAGGTTTCTTCTCCATCAATGAACCAACTGACTGACTCGGACCAGGTATGAACCAGCTTGTCCAGTCACCGAGCATGATACCATGCTACGTATCCATCCAGAATGATGCTGCGGCCCATTGGGATTGCACTGCGACAGCAATGCAGTCTCCACCGATCCCCCCCACGTCCCTTTCATTCATTTGACTGCCCGGTTTCTCTTCACACCCTGGACACCCAACCCGTTTCTCCCCCCAAAATCTGGTTCGTCGCTGGCTGCCCATTTTAGGCGCCTGAGTTGCTGGGCCCCTTTGACTTCCCAGCCCCCCTCCATGGGACTTGACCTGTCCTTTGCCATCTTACATGTTGCCTGTGCGATCGAACCATTTCTTTCTACGTTCCAGGTTGCCTCATTTTACAGCGTGCCCCGTGCTTTTTACTGTGGACCTGTTCCGATCGGCATGTGGGTTGACGTATTCAGGGTGGCCGTTGAACTGTACTCGATCCAAATCATCCCTCTGGCATCGGAACTATAAAGGGCTTTCCTCAAACACACCGTTTTCTCGGAGGAAACCAGAATTTTCGAATCGTTCCGAGATCCCCCTGAAGATCCAGGCGACAGTCCCCAGTATTGAACCGGGGAAGAAGCGGACTAGAACCACAGTTGGGGGTGATCGCGCCCAATTCCCCACCGGGGGGGCTTTAGTCACGATATTAATATCCTGTCATTCATCTCGACAACGCTACACCGCTCGTTCGATCTTTTAAATCGACTCTCCGGACGCATACGGTCTGTGAAACCAGTCGTCTTATCAATGTGCTGGGTCGCGTGCGTCGCATATCGACGACATCTCTGTTGACTCCCGCCGTGAACTCTGGTCACGGGCTGCCTCTGCGGTCCCCCAGCAATCCGTTATCCAGCACCCCTTACTGCCATCCGGTCATCATGCCCCCGTTGGGCGAGACCATCGCCGTGATTGACAAATCCGGCAAGGTCGTCAGTACGGTAGGTGTCCTGGTTCGACCGCTTCCCGACCACGCGGACTGACAACCCTTGCCCAGAGCAAACACCTCTTCAGCGTCTTTGATCAGGCCAAGAACGCTTATCGCCAGCGCAAGGCGGCCTTCCAGTCCGAGAAGAATGCTCGGATTGCCGAACAACAGGCGTTGAAAGCCCTGCAGAACTATACCATCGATGACGGTCCTTCGGTCGCCTCGTCTCGCAGAAGTCGGTCGCGGCACCACTCGGGCCGTAGCCATCATCATCACCACCACCGCCGTCACCAGGGCGAGTCCGTCTATGAGCAGGATCTCCAGTCGGTCTCGTCGCGCTCGGAGAGCTACTATGGTAGCCCCAGAGACGTGGCTCGACGCCACACCCATCATGATATCAGCATGCGCGAACGAGAAGGCCGGCCGATGGCCGTTCGTTCCCGATCCGATGCCCAGGTGGACATGGACCTGGCGTACGGCGACTACAACGAGACCTCTCTGGCTCGACAGCCGGCCCCGGAGGCCGGCGCGCTCCAGAAGATCGAGGACCCCGAGCTGAATGGGCTCGTGGGCCGGGCCCAGTGGCTCTTGGAGGAGGCCAACTGCGTCCATCACAGCGCCACGCAAACCATTGCCCATCTCCAAAAGAATCCCGACGCCATGGCCGCCGTTGCTCTCACGCTGGCCGAGATCAGCAACCTCGCCTCCAAGATGGCCCCGGCCGCCCTGAGCATGCTCAAGACGGCCGCCCCCGGTATCTTCGCCCTGCTCGCCAGCCCCCAGTTCCTCATTGCCGCCGGTGTCGGCATCGGCGTCACCATCGTCATGTTTGGGGGCTACAAGATCATCAAGCAAATCCAATCCGGTGGCGCCAGCGCCGACACCGCCAAGCAGCCACCACCCATGGGCGGGCCCATAGGTGAGCCGCAGGGCAGCATGGACGACATGCTAGAATTCGACCCCGAACACGTGAGCGGCGTAGAGATGTGGCGCCGCGGCGTGGCCGATGCCGAGTCCGACAGCGTCGGCACGTCCGTCGACGGCGAATTCATCACCCCGAGGGCAGCCACCATGTCGGGGATCGACGTGACCACGGCGCGGGCCTCGCGGGACCCCCGGTTCAAGTTCGACGACGACCACTCCACAGCTTCGTCCCGTCGCTCCCGTCGTTCGCGTGCCTCTCGCGGCCCATCCCGACACCACCGGTCGCGGGGAGACCATGTCCCGGAGTCGGAGGTGGGCTCGAAAGCGCCCTCCAAACGGCATGGGCGATCCTCTTCCCGGGCTCCCTCCAAGGCCGAGTCTCACTTCACGGACGGAGAGCCCAAGTCCAAGGACAAGAAGAAGCGATCCAGCCGACTCCGTCTGATGTTTACTTCTTAATCGAATTCGCACCACTCCCCGCTTTTTCACACGATTATCAGGTCGCCATGTATATAATACTGTACAGTCTTTTGTTTGGCTTTTTCGATACCGTTGTCCATTACAGCTAGAATTTGAACCCAGCTTTACAAAGTGAAAAGTGCATCTTTCCTTTTTCCTTTTTCGTTCCTATCTTCTTTCGACATGCTGGGGCCCGAATTGTTGGATCTCGCGGTCTTATCAACCCTTATTGCGTCATATTGCATCAATCGGTATTGGGAGGTGTTGGGTTTCTTTTCAAGCAAGGGATATCAGGAGTTGTTCATACTTGTTTCATTATACAATCAACGTAATTTTGTTATCACAAAACGTGTAACAAAGATTATATATAAAGAGGTCATCAAAGATATAGAAGGATGGTAACTTTGGTCGTAACATGCGCTCTGTGTCCATCCACCATTGCTGGCAGATTTTACCCAAGAGAAATGTGATCCCAAAGTACAAGATCTTAACCTATCACACTAGATAAATAATCTATCTCTTCTTCCCCAACGACACCTAGTAATAGGGTCAAAGTATACAGATAACGTGACTTGCTGATAAGGCGACCCACCGCCTCCCAATCAGGCTAGCGTCGGAACCCACTTATTCCGCTGTGACCCAACCTTGGCGCCTCAGGCTCACCGTACTCCGGTCAGCTCGAATCCCGGAGTGGCATATCACGACCTGCCACTTCATCGCCATCACACCCACTTGCTGCAAGTGATCTGACATCCAGACGCACCTACAGGACCCCCGAGAAGCCCTTCTACTCACTGGCCCAGGCATGACCCTCTCCCTGCGAAGATGACCAGGCTCCGCGGAGCTTCCGTGAGCTCCTACGAAGCTACTCGTGGTAGCGGCGGCGTCGACAGACCGCAGTTCCACCGCTCCAAGTTGCCCCCAAACGCGCCGGAGATCATCGCCCAGAACACAGTCGACGTGTCCGATCCGACGCAGGTTCTCCTCTGGTGTCGGGACGAGCGTCGTCGCCAGTTTAACCTGCTGGTCCGCAGGTGAGTACAGCACTTCAGCCCTCCGGATCTATACATGCTTGGCGGAGTAGGCTAATATATCTCCCCCGCTCGCTCTAGATACAAAATTCAAATCCTCTACGGCTGTCAGAACCCCGGGTGTTCGACTCCCACCTGCGCCAGCTACCGGAAGAGGGTCACCGAGGGCCCCTATCGCCGTTACACCGAGCTGAGCGCCCGCACCTTGGCCTGCTACCTCGCGAGCGTGGATAATGCAGAAAGCGGCCTCTGTCGAAATGCTCCCCGCGTGACATCCGAACTTGCTCCGCACGAGAACCAGCGACGACCGAAGCGACGGCCCCGCTCTCATCCTGCGTACGAGTCGAAAGAACCCGGCCGCATCGCCGGGGAAGGTGGAACGGAGACGCAGGCGGTCCCGGACCCGAATTCCGGATTGGTGCGGTTTGAGGGCCGTACTGGAGAATGCCAGTCTGCGGAGTCTGCACTGGATAAAAGTGGCCAAGGCGTGCCGGAGGATGATGGCCGCCCGGCGCAGCGGCTGAAGGATCCCAAGTCATTTACGCAGAATCTGTTCGATACGTTGTCGTTGAGGATGATCGAGTGGTTGCCGCTGCGGCGGTCGCCGAGTGCACTCGACGAAGATCCCATGTTGGCGAAGATTGCGTATAGCACTCGACCACAGGTGCAGGGAGAGAAAGCCCGCAGCCACTACCCCGACCATCGGACCGACACACGGCCCAAGCCAGACCGGGCAGTTCCAAGTCGTCCCGCTGGGAGCAACCCCCATACGCCGTCTTCGCGTCACGGAGCCCAGACGGCCGCTGTGGAGCTCAAGTTGCCGAACCAGCAGATCAAGCGACTGTCGGTCACGGAGGTGGACCAGTGGCGTCTGGCGCCACGGTCCAATATGGAGGAGAAATCCAGCGCGGAGCTCAAGCCAGCCCGGAAGCTGTCCGTCAACACGCGCACCAACGACGACTTGGTCAATATATCATCGCCGCCAGCTCTGAAGCATCGCCCACAGAAGCACCGCGGGCGGGCGGGCGACCTGAACGCCACCCCCGTGCCAGACCAGCGGAAGAAAGAGAGACGCGTGTCATGGGACGGGGCTAAGACCTTGAACGAGGTCCCAGTACCCGATACCGAGACAACCCCTTCAGGGAGGAGTGAGCAGATGACGGATCTCAAATCGCCCAAGGAACGAAAACCTAGACGAAAGGGCTCACGCCGGCGGCGCAATGACCCTGGTATCCAGTCGGTCACACACCTTACCGCGGACATTGTTGACGGACTCGCGGCGATGATGATTCTATCCGAGGAGGAGGCGCAGAGCTGGCGAGAAGAGTTGGCGTACCTTGAGTCGACGGGCGGGTTTGAAGACTCGGAATGGCGATTTGCCACCCCTCGCCAACGCCAGGTATTCACCTTTGTCGGCCAAAGCGTGTTTTATGCGCTGGGTAGCACTAAGCAAATCCTTCGTTCGTTTCGCGACAACGCGTCGGCTACGTCGACATTGAACCTCCATCACATTCAGCCGTCACTGCGGAAGCTCTTCACCCTGTGCCCGAAGGACCTCATCTTCCATAGCCTGTGGAGCGCAGTGGAAGCCCTATTCATTCCGCCCAAAGAGCTTTCGACGCCAAGCAAAGCTTCGCGCCGATCGTCGTGCAACTCGTCTTCCGGAGCTCCTCCGGCCCCTATTATCCGTCGCGCGTCCGACTCGGGTGGAAACGCGTATGTCTCCGACGACCGAGCCGCGGACGTCGCGACGGTGGCTCTGTTGGCGCTGGCCGGCTCGTTGCCAGAGGTCGACGCACCGACGTGGCGTGGCATTTTGCACATGCGGGCGACAGGGACTGTGGCGTCCCAGGCGAAGATTCAGAAACTCCCGCTTGACAACAAGCGAGTAATTATGGACACCACGGACATGCTCGAGCATGAACTTGCTCTGCGGCTGGTGAACCGGCTGGTTCGTGCACTGACCGCGCGGTCCGCGTTCCACGAGATCTTCAAGGCCCGCCAGGCATACTCTCACCACGTACCCCACCCGCGCAAGAACGGCGTGCTGGACCGCCTGATTGATAACCTCAGTGTGCATCGCGATCTTCAACACGCCGGGATACCTGCCCACGACTCCGAACCCAAGCCCCCCGGTGCGCCCGCCGTCATCGCCGAGTGGCTACGGACTCTTCTGCTCCGCGAATGGGACGGGAACCCAGAGATGTCGAAAGGGAGTGCCGCGGGAGGTGCCGTGCAGATCCTGTCTGTGCTGTACAAAGAACGAAGCCGCCTCGGTCTCATCCCCGAGGATTTCCACACGCCGTTCCTCTCTGAGAGGCTGGAACCGCTCGAGATGCCGGTAGACTGGATGGGTAGTCTGTCCGACAACCGGAAGATGCACCTACTATCATACTCCTTTCTCTTCCCACCGTCCGCGCTGGTCATTTACTTCCGCGCGCTGAACTACGCCGCCATGTCGCGGTACTACGAAGCGGCGATGACCACGACGCGACACGTCACGCAAACCGCCTTCGGGGCGATCCGGATCCAAGACGACGTGAACCTCCTGGCGCACATGCGGACGTCCATGACGACGTACCTGGTTCTCGTCGTGCGGCGCGACAACGTGCTCACCGACGCCCTGAACCAAGTCTGGCGGCGCGAGCGACGCGAGCTAATGCGGCCGCTGAAAGTGCAGATGGGAATGGAAGAGGGCGAAGAAGGGCTGGACCACGGCGGCGTGCAGCAGGAGTTCTTCCGGGTTCTGATGGCCGAAGCACTGGACCCAGCCTACGGGATGTTCACGCTAGACAGCCGCACGCGCGTGTCGTGGATTCAGCCGGGGTCGCTGGAGCCGCTGTATAAATTCGAGCTGCTGGGACTGTTGATGTCGCTGGCGGTGTACAACGGGTTGACGCTGCCGGTGAACTTTCCGACGGCGTTCTACCGCAAGCTGCTCGGCCATAAGGTGAAGCAGCTTGACCAGATCCGCGACGGGTGGCCCGAGCTCACCAAGGGCTTGGAGGGACTGCTTAGCTGGGAAGACGGCGACGTAGGGGACGTGTTCATGCGAACCTACGAGTTTAGTTTCGAGGCGTTTGGCAGTATCCAGACGATCGACATGCATCGAGTCGACCGTGACGCGCCATGGCCGGTCGACCCATCGCCGTTGGACGTCCGGCGATCATCCACCTCCACCTCCGCCGACGCAACAGACTCACAAGTCGACATCGCCAAGTCCCTCGACGGATCCGTCCCAGTCCAGTCCTCGACCCCACCCTCCGAAGAAGCCCCCCTAGTAACAAACGCCAACCGCACGCAGTTCGTCCAAGACTACATCTTCTGGCTAACGGACAAGTCCATCCGGGGCCAATTCGAAGCCTTCGCACAAGGGTTCTACACGTGTCTCGACCGAACAGCCCTGTCGATATTCACACCCGAGGCACTCAAAACCGTCGTCGAGGGCATCCAAGAGATCGACATCGGCGAGCTAGAGCGCCACGCGCGGTACGAAGGCGGGTTCGGGCCGCACCACCGGGTGGTGCGCGACTTCTGGGCCGTCGCGCGACGTTTCCCGCCGACAAAGAAAGCGCAGCTGCTGGAGTTCGTTACGGCTAGTGACCGGGTGCCGGTTAATGGGATTGCGAGCATTATGTTTGTGATTCAGAAGAATGGGGTTGGAGATGCTGTATGTTCCTTCTCTGTTCCCCTTTCTCTCTCCCTTTCCTCCCCTTATATCGGCGATAACGAGATAAGAATACTGACCAAATAGCGCCTCCCCACGAGTCTAACGTGTTTTGGCCGGCTTCTGCTGCCGGAGTATTCGTCGAGGACCGTATTGGAGGAAAAGTTGAGTAAGGCGTTGGAAAATGCACGGGGATTCGGCGTGGCTTGATTATACCCTGTATATTACAATTATTACATTTACATATTTCTTTATTATAGTTGCAGACTATTATACATTCTATCTATCCCTCATTAGATATATATTTATCCTGTATAGATGGTTCGCCACTGCCGGACGTTCCTCGGCGCCACCAAACATTTAAAGTTTGCACGTTTTTCCTTTTCCTTCCATTCTTTTTCTATTCCCCTTCTTTTCCTATTCTTTGATATATCCCTAAATATAACTCATTTTTAATATCAACAATACATCCCTTACTCTACTCAACCCTGAATACATCATATAACCCAAGTAAGTCACCGGTGTCAACACAATGGGTCCGGTGCAGCGCTCTAAGCGTTAGCCCGGCCGGACTGCATCGTCAATCCTTATTGGCTTCGTCCCCTGAATGTTTTGGCCCCGCGACCCCCACGTCTATTTCTTCTTCCTCTCACTACACTCTCTTTACTTGAGATCTAACTTGTTCACAGAACAGTTCAGAATAAAGATAAACAATAAAACATCAAGATGGCCCCCATCGTCCACTGCGTCCGCCACGCCCAGGTTCGTCCCCCATCGCAATCCCCAAGCCAACTCCGAAACCACGAACCCAAACCCGAAACCAAAGAACCAAAACAAAAGCCACAAGAAAGATAGAGCAAAAGAAACTAACATTAAAACAGGGCGTTCACAACCTCAGCCCCGAAAACCACGTCATCCCAGACCCCCCCTCACCGACCTCGGCGTCTCCCAATGCCGCACCCTCCGCGACTCCTTCCCCGCACACGACAAGATCGACCTCGTCACAGCCTCGCCGCTCCGTCGCACGATATACACCGCGCTGGAGAGCTTCGAGCCCGTATTCCACGCGCGACCCGACACGCGCCTGATCCTCATCCCGGACGCGCAGGAGACGAGCGACGTCCCGTGCGACACGGGGAGCAGTCCGGCGGAATTGCAGCGCGAGGTGGAGGAGAAGGGGTTGCCTGTTGATGTGGGGTTGGTTGAGGAGGGGTGGAATGTTAAGGTATATTCATTCCCTTTCCCCATTCTGCGGAGGACTTGTGCTCCGATTGGTTGTGGTTTGTGTAGTGTGTGGCTGGCTAATGAAGAAACAGGCTGGTCGGTATGCGCCCACCAGTGACGCGATCCAAGAGCGCGCTCGCGCCGCCCGTCGCTGGCTCAAGGCGCGCCCGGAGAAGGAGATTGTCATCGTGACGCACGGGACGTTCCTGCACTACTTTACTGAGGATTGGGAGGACTGTTCGAAGGGCTACGGTTCGTAGATTCTCTTTACCCCACCTCGCACTATGCTCTCCAGTGAATGAAGCAAAGTATACTAATAATCACAGGCACCGCATGGGTCAACACCGAATACCGCACCTACACCTTCAGCTCAAACGAAGACACCGAGGATCTGGAAAGCCGGGCAATCGACGGCGACAACGCGACGATGATCGAGACGAGCGAGTCGCGCCAGCGCCGCGGGAAGGAGGGCCCCATGCCGGGACGGGAGGAGCAGAAGAAGCTGTTCCTGCAGGGCAAGCAGCGGTGGGACGACCAGGGACTGCAGCTTAGCACGGCGGAGCGGGAGGCGGCTACTAAGGCTAAGGCTGAGGCGGCGGGGCAGGTATAGATTGGACCTAGAGCTTCATTTCGTTGTGGATAGACAGGTATAGATCTGGATGGGCCATAAAGGGTTTTCACTTATGATAGAGGGTGGGTGAATCTTTGCTTGCGCAGGGCATGAGCTTATGAGACAATCTATGATTGTTAGAGTTGTATCTATTGTTGTATTGAGGAAAGAATTGAACAAAGAACTCTTTCTCGAGGAGAACCTATAAGGAGCACTCGATTGCATCATTCTCATCTGATTTGATCCCAACCAGTATCTACCACGAGACAACCGATAGCAGGCTGGTTATAGATAGGTACGTCTCGACTCGACTCTTACTCACACAGAATTTTTAGGCTACTCCGCATATAATAGGTACATGTTTACCTCCCTCTCACGAATAGGATAAAGCCATCCACATTGTATGATGAAGACATGAATCTACATGAGGGTGATACTAGACATAGGTATGTGAACCCATATCTCATGCGAACAGCATAGATATATTTCTTGAATAGCATGCATGGAAATTGATCAAAGACTGGAAAAATGCAGGATCAAAGGTGGCTGAACAGGCGTGGAAGAATGAGGAACTTCACTATATTGATTACTGTGATAATCATACCAAACGAATGATACAATTACCCTAGTTAATCTCAGTCACGCGCAAATAAATGAATTGGTAATTGGTCAGGAGTGATGACGGCGACGTCCACAAACCAAGGGATAAGCTCTTCACCGTGGGACTGGGCGATATGAACCTCAAGGCCGATTTGCTCATGAGTCACACTACCCACAGACAGTGTTAGCTTTTGCCAAGGCTGCCAATATATGAAGAGGTCACACTGCAACTGCACCAGATGGGTATGTGCCTGCTGTTTGTCCGTCGACCGTGCATTCTGCCAAACGGCTTTGAAGTGTAGGAAGCTTTCTTCCTTCATCTCGGAGCCAGATTGGAGATTAGACTGCTCGTGAATGCTGGCATTGATGTCAAAATGATTATCCTATCCCTCTGCGCTGCTTCTTCCCAGTCCTCGACGGTTGCAGGCACTGTCGTAGATGGTCTGTATGTCGCTGCCTGTCATTAGCAGTACGCCTGGGGGGGAAGGTGTAGGATGTCTCCATGAGGAGTAATGGGTCTGAAATGCATTGGTAAAGGAGACCAAATAGGCACTGTTAAACATGTCCGTAACATACCTCATGCATCAACCTCCCAGCAATGCAACCAAAGAACCAGACTGTCATTAAGACGGTACTAGCTATATAACGGCCGTCTTTAACAACGGTTCTATCCAGCTACTACAACAAGATACCGATTCAGTGTTTTTGCCGATCTTGATATCATTGATATTCCAACAAACCATATCACTGCTTGAGAGTATTTGCCTGGAGATGACCCTGTTGCATCATCTGCATGCCAAGACGCTGAAGGACAGGTAAGAGGTTGTCTAAACATAACGCGTATTGAGAGATGGAGACCAACTTCAGACCACACGACAGACTCCCTAGGAGGAAGATTCTCACTGCTCAGTTTCCCTTCCCAGGTCTCCCCATCGCAGATGTAGACCGTAGGGCCAACTGCAAGGGGCCCGAGTTCCCCAGTCTCATACATCCGAATGAGAGTTAGAATATTGATACTCTGGCGTTCATATCTAGGGTCATCGAGACATTCCTTCAGCTGCTCAATACGTTCGTGAGGCTGGATAAACAAAGGATTTGGGCAGGCCGGGAGAAACTCCTCCTGGGGGGCCATTGTGAAGACTAGTGTTACAGAGGTTGACAAATTACGATAACTTGAGGCTACCCTCGGCTCAAGCAGCAGAGCAATGATCCTATCTATGAGGAAGCAAGATTAAATCAAGGTTATCGAAGGTGTACTCGAGAACACGACTTGAGGCCTTGGGGAGACGGGAAGTAGGTCTAGAAAGGAGGGAAGACGAGATGAAGATTGATAACGGGTGCATAGATAGGACGCTAACCATCCTGGGCCTAGCGTGTTCATCAGGTGGCTGTGATAGCCTCAGGCAGTGATCCATGAGGGAATCAGGGCTTGGAAGTCAGGTGACAGGACACATTGGCTGTTTTGACATCTGCTTCATTCTTCCCACTATGGATCTATTTTACCTCATGTGGACCATCAATCATGGACCCTGAATGTGTCTGCCTGGAAGGCCGAGCCGAGTTTGGCGTCTGTCTTGGGCTAGCTACCACATCGCGTCAACGATATCTTCTTGTCTAGACACTTGTCTCACAGTCTTCATTGCTTCGTATTCTATTTTATCCTACTTTTTCACGACGGGGGATTGGTGCTACACTGTGTACTTGTTCGTGCAGTCTTTCCAAAAGGGTACTGAGATTGACCAGGGGGCATACGCGCACCCTCACAGCTGCGTAGCTGGCCCAAGTTCAGCTTCCATCTCCTTAGGATTGTGTATTTTTAGGGTTGTATATTGATAGTCGGTATGGCACTGCGCCTTGACAAGCCCAAGTCTATTTCCCGCAGTTAGGCGGGCAGTTCGATACTACCTAGGTCAGCAGCGCCTGTCTAGACCTACTATAGAAGATATGATACCACTTCTGTGATTTATAATCCCCTCTGTCATTACAACAAATCTTTTTCTTTGCTTACTCCCATCATGCGTTGATACTGGTCAGTGTTTGCTAAGTCTGGCTGGGAATATTTGATTCTCCTAGATATAATAAGGCGTCCAGTCTTGTGCCAAGTGAGTTGTAAATCCTGAGTTTAGTAAAGAAAGATTTCCATCATCTTCTATAATCCCGCGAGCAGCATCATTCAGCATCTGGAACATGATATGATCGTTATATATGAATTGCTTTCCTATATAACAGTCATAACTAACCCACCTACTGATAGTACCCTACATCCACTATCCAACTCAACTGAGCATCAGTACTCTTACTCACCATGTCTGTCTACGTGATTACCGGAGTGTCTAGGGGAATAGGCATGAGTCTCCCCTCTCCCAAGTCTGCACCGTCTGTTACTCATCCAGCACAGTTCGAGTTCCTCCGGCAGATCTCAGAAGACCCGAATAGCCTGGTCGTCGGTCTGGTGCGCGACAAAGCTGCGACTGAAAATAAGATCACAGCCAAGCTGGGCGACCGCCCCAATATCCATATCCTCCATGGAGACCTCAGCAATTACGCCAGCCTGAAGCAAGCTGCAGCCGATACGGCCGAGATCGTGGGCGAGCGCGGTGTTGACTACCTGGTTGCCAACGCAGCTCTGTTGCCCAGCCTGGGCGTCTATAGACCCATCGGCGCATTGTAGGTCTTTCTTTTTCTCTTCGACTCGTCTCTAGAGCAGTTGGTGGCTAACGGCAAGGGTCAACAAAGGAGCGACAAACCCGAGGAGATTGACTCGGTCTCGGCCCAGCTCTCGCAGACTAATATTGCTGGGAACATCCACCTCTTCCACCTCTTCCTCCCTCTAGTCCTGCAAGGCACGGTCAAGAAAATCATTACCATCTCGACGGGGCTAGCCGACCTTGACTTGACCAACAAGTATGAGATGGACGCGAGCGCTCTGTACGCGGCCTTCAAAGCAGCCCTGAACATCATCGTGGCCAAGTTCAACGCGCAGTACAAGAAAGACGGCGTACTCTTTTTGAGTATCAGCCCCGGGGTGGTGGATGTAGGCCACAACGCGAACGGTTCGTCTCCTTTCCTACCTTATCTTCGTTCACGATGGATGTTCAACTGATGCGTACCGATCCACAGCTACCCCTGAAGAAATGGAGAGCTTGATGGGATTCATGGGCAAGATTGTGGCCTACGCGCCTCATTTCAAAGGCCCAATCATGCCTGAGGAATCCGTCCGACATGTCCGCTCGACATGGGAAAAGGCAAGTATCGAAGGTGGGCACGGTGGGGCGTTTGTCTCGCATTTTGGAGACAAGCAATGGGTATAATCTCGGGGATTGCTACATTGTTCCATCAGATAGTGTCGCACTCGATGTATGGCTTGTTTTGCATGTCGAAAGTGTCATGATATGTTGGGTATATCAGTCAGGTTAAGCCCTATACCGAATGTTGGTCGACGTTTTGGCGTAGCCGCTGAGATGATATCTTTGGTAGTCGAGTGGTAATTGTTTGCAACAGATAGACTCTCCACAGCGGTGACAGAGTGCATCTTTGGACGATTCATCTCGCTCTTCTCATTCACTCTAACTTTATCTATCCCTTCCGTACATTGGATATATACAATGTAGTCTACTGCAATGACTCCTCTCACTCTTAGTGCCTATACTATGGCTAAAACCCCCGATCAAAGACAAGATGGTGAAAAATGGATAGGCGTGGGGATTGTCTGTCCATGCCTCAGACGACCAGGACAAATCACGTGTAGTTCAAACCTGAGATCTCTTTTCCTAACAACTCAGCCCTTCGTATCTGGACACTGAACATCGAATATGAAGCTCAACGCTATCGTCCTTCTTACGCTAAGCACCCTAACAATAGCCACGCCTCCCCATCAACTCGAAAAGCGCGGTCTGTGTAATAGCAACGTAGGTGATATGTGTATTGGTGCTTCCATAAAATTGAGGGAAATGTACTGTGATGACTTGATCTGCTTCTATGCTGGTGATGGCAAGGTTTACTTGACTAGTTTCGAGGTTGGATTCATGGATTCATATATCTGATATGCCGACGATGCCTAGTGTGGATACAAAAATCAATGTTTAGAAGTTGCGTGTTCCGTGATTCCTCTGTGTAGATAGATCTTGATCAAGGGGTGATTTGGGACAAAGGGATAGTTCAGTTGCGTCAGGGATGCTCAGTCATGTATGGGACAGGAATGGCGGAAAGAACATCGCAATTAGGGTTGGGGTTGGATCATCCAATCATGTTGACATACAATCAATCAAATTCAGTCGGGCGTTCAGCCCGCTGACATGCATCATCTCACCTCAGCCGGCATTATCCCACAGAGGCCACCATGAGATGGATAGGCTCATGTAGGAAAGGAATTGAGCTGAGCGGGTGGCGGCGTTGCAACCATCGTACGCGCCATCCTGTAGCAGGCGTGAAGTTCTTTCCCGAGTCGAAAAGTGTGATAGCGAGTCATAAACCCTCGATCGATGATATCGGAAACGGAATACCATCAAGATCGAGAGAAGTCCCGAGCATGGGTGATCCTCGTCCAAGTCTACATCGGAGATCAACAGACAACGAATCAAGCGGGTGAACACCGCGATGACAAGGATCGCACCAACAAGACCTGCAGCAACCCTAGTTCCCAATTCAGCCGACAAACGACAGATGTAGCCGCGCCAGCCCTCTGTGATACCTTCAACCTCCCGAGTCTTCTCAGCTTCCCCGCTCGACAGTTTTAAAACCCGTCGCTCTGGATAAGTCCAGATGGGAAGATTTGTCTCAGGCCCACCGTCCCCAATTTGCTCCCGACACTTCGTTCAGTCAATAAAAAGTGCAGCCCCCGGGTCATGTAGCGGCATGGTGGAGCCGCCCAATACAGCGTATGGTAATAATGGCTCGATGGTCCTTGGGATCAGCTGGGCGGAGACAGCCTTGGCTCTGGTGCTGGTGGCGCTGCGGGCGAAGACCGCCGCCGTTTGTCCCCCAGGGCATCCGCGGGCGGGGATCCTGGGTCTGCGATGGGATTTCATTTGGGTGATGATTGCTCTGGTGGGTCTGACTCTACAGAGTATGCAATATATACGTATATACTGACGTCCATGGTCATGCACCAAGGGGTTCGCCCTGTGCACTCAGAGCCTAATGACTGCGAGCGTCCACTACGACCTCATCAACCACAGCGAACCACCCGTGCACAGAGACCTCGTGAAATCTAAGTTGTGGTCGTGGATGGGTCAGATCACCTCTCTGCTGGCTATGGCAGTGGCACGCATCGCGGTTGTCGCACTGCTGCTGACGCTGCAGTCCGGGACGGCATGTCGCGGCAGGACAGCCCTCTACTTCATGGCCGCGTTCCAGTTGATCATCAGTTTGGTTCTGGTGGTCCTGATGTTGACACAATGCCAGCCGATGGCGAAGCTCTGGGACAATGATATCGACGGCGCCTGTCCTTTGATCGTTGTGTGCTCGCGATTTGGCTATTTTCACGGCGGTATTCTCTCTTCCTCTCCCTGTCTCTTTCGTCCAACACGATGCTGACTGACACCGGGGTGTGTGTTCAGCAGTCACGGTGCTTCTGGATTTGATCCTCGCCTTTTACCCGCTGTACATCATCGGACGTCTGCAGCAGATGAAGCGGTCGACCAAAGTTAGCCTCGGTCTGATCATGTGCGGAGGACTGATGTACGTCGGCGTTTCCTTTTTTACCGCTGACATTGTCGGTTGATAACACCTAAGGCCGACAGATCTGGGATTGCCGGACTCAACAAGACGGTTTCCATCACGCAAAACACCGAGCTTATCGGCACCGGTACCACCAGCAAGGTCAACGTGTGGGCCCTTACGGAGATGTGGTTTATCATCATCTTCGGGTCAATTCCCGTCCTTCGGGCGTGCTTCGTCCGTTTCACGCAGGATATCAAGAAGACAGCCGCACGGTCCAGCGGGTCGTCCTCCGACCCGTCCGACCCGTCCGACCCGGACGGGTCTTGGATTGAACTCCACAATCGGTCACAGAGCGTCTGGGTCACGCGGGGATCATCCCACGCCACCGAGGGATGTCCGGTGAGGCAGATCCTGGTGACGACCAACACGAGTGTGGTACGAGAGGGGAAGTAGCTGTCCTTCTGCTCTTAGTCCATGTATTACGGACGGATTGATCGCGGACGTGCTTGGTTACACGGGTGATGACGATGTGATATATATATGGATAGTCTGCTGTAAGATAGAACTCAACCTGACATGCGGTGAGCGAGGCAGAAGTGTTGTATATGCGTTAACCTAGTCCATGGTGCCCCATACACTGCCACGGGTTGGATGGCATCAGCGTCCAGTCATTAAACTAAACATAGCTAAGCCCCATCCCCTGAAGATCCAGCCAACAGATGAACTACCGTTAGATGTCTCAATTGGTATCCATCCAGAGACCAATCAGGCAAACTCCAATCTAGCTCGATCCCACAGCGGCGGTGCAAAAGGCAGCCTGGCGATCGGCATCATGGCCCGTAGGCGGAAGCATTTTGCTCGCAGATCGCATCAATCAGGTCCGCTAGAATGGGGATGCCTATCGTGGAGGGTCAATATTATGTGAGTTGATGCAGGGATTCCCTTGAACAGAAAACTGAAACGACTTGAGAAGAAGACAGCCGTCGTGGGTGCGAGAGATATATAGGCATGATGGGAAGTTCGCATCAACAAATCCAACAAGTCGAATAAGCGTTCATTAAGTGGTTGTGCACTAGCTATGTTTGGCTGACTAAGTGGGCCCGGCACAACTATTTATAGCCGTGGCGGAGTTCCAACCTGAGGCACCACCCACTCCGCTTCCCGGTTGCGTCTCGATTCAGCAACAACACTGGGGCTCATCGTTGGATTTCTGCCTCCACCTCATTGTCCTGCTTATAATAATTCAATGGCATCCTGCCAAGTCGAGTTCTTGGTTTTACATTTGACTTTGGTGTTGCCCAGTGGCCTCCGTATCGTGTAAATCCCTGCAGAAACCCACCATGCTGGACGAAAACCTCCCCAGTCTGTTGTCCCCTCAATGACCTCATTTTACATCTCAAACAGTCCAGAACGCTAACAATTATCTAGCCTTCTATGTCAAGCCTGGCAAGAAAGAATCCCATGCCTCGACGGTTTACTTCTGTCAACATGGCAACGAGCCAAACCCCGTCTACACCCTACGGTACCCCGACCCGGCCTCCCCCTCTTCTTCCAACCGATACGCCATAGCCTTGGTCGACCCATTCGTTCCCGATGTCGTCTACGGCGAGGTTCTCCTCGCGCCTGAATTCACTCAACCCAGCCTGTCCGCCGATAGCATCCGACAGAATGGCGGAGTGGCCCCGCCCCCAGAACTCATCATCCCCACCCGCTTTACCGTCCGCCTCTACAACCCAGACCAGCACATCACGGTGCAGTTCAAGCCGAAGTCGTGGAACAGCCCGGCGACATGGACGTTCGAGATGCCACAGCAGACCTTCCGGCAGCCGTCGAGCTCAACGCTTGATCAATCCCGCATCGACCCCGCCACGGCCGACACAACCCCGAAGCTGCGGTTTAGCTGGCGCCGGGATAGCAAGCTATCTAAGGACCTGACGTGTTTGCTGTCGGGGAAAACGGCCACAATCCCAGAGACGAAGACGAAGAGCAAGGAGCCGGACATCACTGTGTCGATCTTCCGTAGTCTGCGCGAACTGACCCTCTACGAGCCCAACCTGTACCGCGTCGAAATGGAGGACTTCAAGGGACTAGAGGTCGTACTCCTGCTCGGCGCCGTGACCATCCGGGACGTATTCTTCGAAACCATGAAGGACGCCTTCCACTTGTCCAGCCCTAAGCCCACCAATGCCGCGTCCGCAAACAAACCGCTCCCCAACCCCAACGGAAAACAACCACAACAACCACAGCCCGTGCCCGCAGTATCCGGCGGACTGAAAGGGAAAGCCCCGATGGGCACCACGACCTCCAACCAACCCCCACCACAAATCAGACAACCACAACCCAGTCGCGAAGAAGAACGACGGCGACGAAAAATGAAAGAAGAGCAAGAGCAAGCACGTCGCCGGCGCCAAGAAGAGGTTGACAAGGAGACGCAGCGACTGCAGCAGATATACGGACGGGAGGAACAGCAGGCACGGGCGCAGGCGCGCACACCAGGCCTACCGCCGCGGCCGGCCGCGCCACCCGTTCAAGCCAGCACCCGGCCGCCCCCACAATCCGCCGTTCCACCCCGCGGGGCGCCCGCCCAGCGGTTCTACCACCACCATCACCACTCACCGTCAGTGCCGCATATCGTGCCAGTATCGGGCAGGCCACAGGGCACGGCAGCGCGGCCACAGCCGACGGTACAGCCGAAAAAGAGCAGTTTCTTTGGATTCCGCCGCCCGCCTTCCGACGAGGGCAAATTGTCGAAGAAGCGGAGCTCGATGTTTTAAAAAAGCAAAACAAAATTGTCAATAGATAGGATGATACCCAGCTGTATATAACTTTCATGAAAGGAAAATGATTTCAATTACGTTGTACTTTTGGAAGGTAGTAGTTGGCCCAGGCTTGGTCGTGCCGTTCGTCGTGTCTTAGTGCTTATGGTGGTGTTCACTAATACAATCATGGCGTCGGTCAACCGCAGCATGTAGTCCGTCTATCTTGTAAATTTTAGTCACATAGGCAAAGGGCGTATCCTACAATACATTTCTACCGAAATCCCGCGATTACCGGTCTAGGGGTAAACAGTGACCAGGTCCTGAAGCACAGAGTGCTCATCAGCCAAACAGTACTCAGCATTAACAAGACAAGACATGAGAAAATACAAATGTCCAGTCCCAGTCAAATTGACCTGCCACTACCAGTGGAGCTCGGGTCCAGCTTTTGAAAAAACTCCACATGTCTAGTCTAGAATAACCCAAATGCAATACACACATTAGTGGGCACACGCTAGTCACCACGCAGTCCCAACATGCCACCCTAAGCAGGCAGCGTAAGGCCAGTAACATCCTGACAAGCCTTCACAACAACCTCCTGCAAATTCTCATCCGCCGTCAGCGGAAGAGGCTCCCCGATCTGCCTCTTAGGGTCAAAATACACCCCAGTAAGACTCTGATCGTAGTCTCCCTCTGCCAGCATAACATAGGTCTCGAGCCCATCTTCCATCTTACCAGTCGCGCTCTGGCCTCCCATCTTAGTAGCCACCCAGCCGGGATGCACAGCCGTGACAGAGGTGCCCTTAAACCTCCTCGCCACGGCATTCGCCAGCAGGATCACATGCAGCTTCGAATCGCAGTAAGCCGGAAAATCACGGAACTGCTCCTCCCCCCGCTGAAACCAGAAGATATCCTTCACGTCGGTATCAGCCTCGCGGTGAAGAACCGAAGCAATAAACACAAGCCGCTTCGGCTGTGTCAACAGACAAGCAAGGATATAAGGCGCAATGACGTTAACGAAAACCATAGCCGGGACACCGGTGTCAGGCGTCTTGCGGAAGGGCCCGGAGAGCATTCCCGCGTTGAGGATGACGGCGTCGAAGGCTCCTATCGCGTTGGCTTGCTCAGCGAGTTTGCGTGTCTCGGCCACGCTGGTTAAGTCGGCGATGAGCACGCCGGCTGCGCCGGGGCATTTGGCTTGGGCGGCGGCTGCGCGCTCTTGGTTTCGCGCGTGGAGGTAGACGGTGTGGTTTCGTTGGACTAGTTGGCGGGCGGCTTCGAGGCCGAAGCCGTCTGTGGAGCCTGTTATGAGGATGCGGGCCATGTTGTGATGTTGGATAATGGGTGGGTTTTATATTCAGCGAAGACGCAGGGATAGCCGGGTGGAACAATGGCCTTTAGGGATTCAAGAAGGGAGCAAGCACGGTGTTTAGTCGGAAGAATGTTGCTCTAATAAAGCTATTTAAGTCTGGCGTGATAGATCGGCGCCAGACGTAGGCCGATTTATAAGCTTATAGAACGTGGCGGAAGCCATCCGATGTACTGCGTATACTGTCGGTCCGACGCGCCAAAATTCAATAGATCTTTCTCCACCACAGAGATCCATGGATAGCGTGCCGGTTGGCGCACGGAGCACACACTGTTTCCGAGATATCCGGTAACGGGGTGCCAAGATTCCGAGGCCATTCGACGTTCCAACAAAGAAGTTGGCTCATATAGATATCTCATACTGTAGTCCCGAAGAATCCTCAAGGGGACATTCTTGGGATTCGGTAAGGGTGGGACGAATATTCACCGAGTTGACTATGTGTGCGATCAACCACGACACCAAAATGCCGAACAGCTTTTTGCGAGGACTTGACCTGACTGATACCCCAAACATACGCACGCCCTGCCAAGGTATTAGCGTGTTGACGGACGATTGAAAGACGTTGGTCAACTGAGACACTTTCGGTCAAGTTGTTTAGGGCTTCTTTCACCCCACTTGAACTACCTGCCTAGAATTCTTATCTCCGTTGACCCCGCGCTCTACAACTGCAATTTGACTTCAGATCATGGAGGAAATCCACCAGGATCCACTGTACTAGCTTTTACTCCGCCTCTTCTTGTCAGAAGAGATTCTAGATGTCAAATCCACCAGCGACTCTTCTACAACAAATGTGAATGAAGTAGTGAAGCAAGAACCCAACTTAAACCAATTCATCGGTTACAACGATAAGATCACCAACCCCACACTCGTTGGCCTTGACCAACAGGGCTTTATTTTCCGATTTAAATATCATGGAACAGACCTTTGCCTGAAGCTAGTATACCTATATCCATACCAACCCCATAGACAACCCTGATGTCAGGAAGGAGAATTATAGAGAGGGGTGGATTGTGGATCTGGGATCTACTGTTACCTTTCCTTTCTTTGCTTATTATGCGAACCCGCGAGAGTTCCACTTGTTTTGGATAGGTCGGGGTTACGTGGACGGGACAATTAGATTTGGCGTTATTTCAATCTAACCAAAAAGCTGTTTCCTGAGTTGACAGCCTCATCCAGCGGGACTGACAATCATAAAGACAATCCATCAACCCACGGATTCCTTTCCTCCAGCTATGCTTCAGTGTCCGGGATAGCATAGTCTAATGTGAATCACAATCCATATAGTATACCCATTGGATAGTGATCTTCGAAGCTGTCTTCATCCTTGTCACACTGGCCAGTCTTAAGGTCCACGAGTTCGGCCATTTCTTGCTTTTCTTCTGGGTTCAAAAGCTCTATACGGTCGTCAAGAGAGGTAAAAAATAACCCAGTTTTCATGGAGTCTTCTATACGTGGAGACAGGCGCTGTGACTCATCAAGTATTTGTTATTTTATTAACTCGCTTTCACGATCACTTAGAACCTTCAAAAAAAGACAAAGTCTAGGAAGATAATGAGCCAGGAAGAGGTCAAGATCACCCTCCCAGTCCTTCGGCTGCTGCAATAAGAGCCACTAAGGAGTAACCCATCTCATCTCAGCAGGGGCTGCGTATGTAAATTCCCAGTCAATAACGCCCGAGACACGAAAAGGATCGAGTTCTATTAGGACATTTGAAGGTCGGAAGTCGTCACAATATAGCCGAAACGGCCCTTGAGGATGCTCCGTGGAGAGTTTCCTTGTGATATCTAAGAATAAACAACGAGCGGTGAATTTCTTTCGACAGTCCTCCTCGTTGCTAACAGCGTCTCGTTGCTGTAATCGAAGATGGGAAAGATGCTGCATAGCAAGCGCTTCAAAGTATTCCGTGGATGACTTGAAGGTGTGCGAGGGGAAAGCTTCTTCGGGTAGGTTTGCGGACACCATCAACTCGTTCATATTCAAGGTGAGAGGTCGCCTTATGATAAAGAAGTCCCCGTCATCGTCCTTGAGGACACGATGGAATCAAATTCGTATCTAGACAGCTCAACAATAACCGCAGCCATTTCACGATAAGCCCGCTTCAAGCTCTGATCACTTATTTGCGGGTTTAGTACTGGCCTTCCTCCTGCAGAAGGATCCTTCAGAAGTAGTGATAATGGCACCCCTTCAAGAAATGACATAATGATGTAAGGACAAGCCCAGCAGATACCGTGGCCAAATACTTCCGAACAAGTATCGAAGTATTCCTGCGTATGTATCTCATTGTCGTGACCTTAGTTTAGACTTTCTCTCTGCGGAGAATAGCCCTTCCAAGGGCAGCGAAACGGATAATAATATCTGGTCCTTCATCATATCTCACCCGGTAACATATGTTAAAAGCACCACTCCCCCACAGACACGCTGGTACAGTTTTGCCAGGCCGGTGCTGCTTCGCAAGCTGCATGGACAGGATCTCTGGGTTCCGGCTTGACCATAGCTTCAACCAACCTAGACCCCTTTTGTGTTTCAGCCACAAATGACCTGTCGCTACCATGAACCAACTTTATTTGCTCCGTTTATATCGATGAGTGTAAGCTTAAAATAGACTGGAGTCAAGTGAGAAACAATGAAACCTCGAGAGCCAATTTCTTGGATTAGGAAATGTTATCCCATCATGGAATAGTTGTGGTTTCTAAGCACGAGGAAGTGAATATATATCCATGCAATCACTTCCCACTAGTCAATATTTGGTGGGCTACTCCAGATTATATATTTCCACCCCACCTCATCAAGGAAGTCCAGCTCCTGCGTTAATTATACTTGTATAAGGTCAAGACAATTATCTAACACTATATCAAATCCTTCGTCAATTGTGTTCATTTAGGACAGTATTCGCATGCAAAAGCTCCCTGGTGTATTTCTCCACAGTCACTTTGACAAGCTCTAGCATATTATCAAAGTGGCCACAAAAGCTCCTCTTCCCCCCTTCTTCTTCTACCTTTTTCGAGTATTTTTTTATAGCCTAAAATTACTGCATTAGGAGACATTGATATTCATGAGGGGAAATATTAACCCAGTTCCAAGATGACTAAGGACCCTGTACTGCACTCCAAGTTATTATAACTCTTCCATATATAACATATCCATGCACGGTATCTGAAATCAAACAGCCCGCAATCATGGAAATAAAATAGGCAGCATGACCGAGCCCATTTCATCAACCTTCTTGATCTCCATTGTTCACACAAAAATGTAATGGAGGATCACAACAGCCTCCCCTCCACCCCCCCAGCCGTAATCTTCACAGGGAGGATATTACCCTCCTCATCGAACTCCATCCGGTCTATGCAAGTCACGCGATGGTCGCGCTCGGTGTCGCCCACCGGCCGCCGGTGATACACAATGTAGTACGTTTCACCACCGTCGGGGGTGAAGACGCTGTTATGGCCGGTGCTGTCGCCGACGACGCCGTCACCTTGGAGGATCTTCCGTGGGGTGGTGCTGAAGGGGCCTGTGGGAGATGGTCCGGTGACGTAGCTGACGCCGTAGGAGGAATCGCCCCATCTGATTGTTTATTTAGTGAGTGTGATATACTAAGGAAGGGAGATGGGGAAGAGAGACTAACCCGCCTACGGAATACATAAAGTAGTATATTCCCTTACGTTTCAACACCCAGGGACCTTCGACGTAGCCCTTTGGTGTGATTTCTTTATAGTCACCCGCCAAGGAAACCATATCCGACGCGAGCGGCACGACTACGGCGTGGCTCCAGCCGCCGAAATACAACCAGACAGAGGCATCATCGTCGATAAAGACCTGCGCGTCGATGGGCTGCGCACCGTGGATAGTCTTCGGGACGAGGGGTTTGCCGATTGCGTCTTCGAAGGGCCCATCAGGGCGGCCGGTGACGGAGCGCGCGACGCCTATGCCAGCACCATCGCCGGCGGAGAAGTACATGTAGTAGGTGCTATGGGCGGCGACGACGGAGGGGGCCCAGGCGGCGCGGTTGGTGGACCAGGGGATGCGGGTGATGTTGAGGACGTGGGGGTGGCGGGTCCAAGTGAGGAGGTCGGGCGAGGAGAAGGCGTCGAGGGTGGTTTGGGCTTCGTAGACGGTGGATGTCGTGGGGTAGATCCAGTAGGTGGTGTCGAAGATGCGGGCTTCGGGGTCGGCGTACCAGCCGGGGAAGACGGGGTTGCCGGATTTGGGGTTGACTTTGACGTTGGTAGTGGGATTCATGTTACGGTTGTTGATGGTGCCAGGGCTAAAGTTGAGGTAGGGTTGGGAAAGGAGGATGGGGGAGGAGTAGACGGGGGAGAGGATGGAGAAGATGGCGATAAACGCGCGTATATACATGCTTGCTTTCCGAGTTCGTTCGACCTTGGTTCTCGACACAGTGAGAGAAGAAATGTCATTGTGGTTGAGGCTATTGCCGCGGAGCAAAAGAGGGGAAGGGAGCAGGGATTACGGTCTGCACGGACAGGGATGTTTGGAATGTCGCATATCTTCAGGCCTCGGATGGAATGCGAGATGGAATGCGAGATGGGATGCGATATAGGGCAAGATGTCTCAGCCCTAAACAACGACCGACATGGATGACCACATCGAGCCAAACAAACCCCATCATCAAGCAAATAGTATGACATAAAAAGAGCCAAACAAATCGCAGGATCAAACAGATATGATATAAAAAGAACCAAACAGACCCCAAACGACCCACTCACGGCTGGAACACGAGCCGATCGCCCTAATTCTCCCATTCCCCAAATATCATTCGTATTCCGCCTTCCAATCCCGGCTCGAACCCCAGGGAATCCCAGCCTTAACAGGGCCATTAACAACTACTTACATAAGCGTAAACAGAGCATCTTGGCGATCGCCGGACCCTGCAGACTCGGAGATGAAAATAGAAGCAGCCGCACTAGTGCTGACTAGCCCTGTCGGATAATCGATCGTCTCTCCACCACCGCTACTCTACGTCGTGAGATTGGCGATACGAGTACCCCAGAGCTCTCGTATACGCTTCAGCTGGAGCAACTATCCGTCTGCGAGGGCTGGATCACGGCGACGAGCAGCCGTCGCGGTCTGCAGTCAGCGACAAGAACGCAGGACATCGCATCGCAGATGAGGTTCCGATTCGTGGGCGAGGAAGATAGGCCTATGTATAGCGACAGCTTCCACTGGACGGAGAGGTGAATATGCGACTGGTAAAGATAGATACTATCTCGGATCCTGTCGTCTCCGTAAACGGTAGTCATAGCGAAGGGCCGGTAGTGGGGCGAGTAATAATAGCGAACACGATGAGTCCAGCGTGTAGTAGCTAGTCTCCGACGACGAATCGAGAAGCATCACGATGGACAGATCACCATCGTATTGCACGGGGCCGCTGGGTTGGGAACTTCATGTGTGTATAGAGACGTGGGTAGATAAAGGCCGCTTGTCTTGGGGCTTTTCGAGCAGTGTCAGTCTATCCATCGTTCCTTTCACCACCATCATCATCATCATCTGCCAGTATTCGCCAGTGCTGGACACAATCCTTTGTTAGACGAACACTCTCCTTCTACTGCTCCTACAACAATCTCTACTCTACTTATTCGATCCAACTACTACACAATACAAACTCACCATGGTCGGCGTCCCCCACAGCACAGGCTGCGCTTTATGCCGAGAACGCCGCATCAAGGTACCACTCCCCTTCAAACCGACTCGACAACCTTAAGAAAGACAAATACTCACTTAACAGTGCGACCAAGCAATCCCCGACTGCACCCAATGCCGACGCTACGGCCGGCCCTGCCCAGGGTACCGCAAAACCTACCGCTTCCAAGACGAGCGCCCCGGCCTCGAACGCAAGCACCGGTCATCATCGACGACGACCTCCTCCCCACGCGACCCCAGCACCGCATCTCCCCCAACCATCAACACAACACCTCCCATGCAGCGGAATCCCGCCGAGCTAGCCAACGACACCGACGATGACAGCAACAACCAACGGCTCCTCTTCGTGGAGTTCCTAGCCACTGCATTCCCGACAGGATGGGCGCACGTCGGAACCCGACTAATGGCCAACGAAGGCGAAGACGCATCTCGACTGCAAGCGCAGACAGCGCGGCTATGCGGGGGACACGGGTTCCAAGCTACAGCGACGGCGTGTCTGACGGGGATATACGTGGCGCGGGCGCGGGGCAGCGCGGGGATGGAGGGGACGAGCCGGCGACTTTATGCGCGGGCCTTGCGCGAGGTTGAGCGCGGGCTGGACTGCGCGGAGACGGCCATGTCGGGGGTGATGGTCGGGGCGGTGATGATGTTGGCTGTTTATGAGATGTATGCGCGGACGAGCGTGGATGCGTTTGTCGTGCATGTTGAGGGGGTGGAGAGGGTTATGTGTGAGCGGGGTGCGCGGGCGCATGAGCGGGGCCTGGCGCGGAGCTGTTACCTTGCTTTTCGGGGGTTGTTGGTTGCGACGGCTATTTTTGAGGGGAGGGGGTGTTTTCTTGAGGGGGAGGAGTGGGTGCGGTTGGCGAGGAGGGTGGGCGAGGAGGATAGTCGCCGGTGTGGGGGTGGTTGGGGGAGGTTTGTGATGATGTATGAGGAGGTGTTTGCGCAGGTGGTGCGCGTGCCGGGGTACTTGGAGGAGGCGAGGCGGGTGAGGTCGGAGAGTGCGGAGCGGGATTTGGTACGGCGGATGCGCGAGACAAGGGCCCAGTTGAGGGAGTTGGTAGCGGCCATGGATGGGTGGGCGGGTTCGTCGGGGAGGGACTCGGCGCCGTCGCTGCTGGTGTGGGGAGCGGGGAGTGCGGTCGCCCTGCTGGATGCCCTTCTGGGTCGGCTGCGCGTGCAGGCTGGTCCGCTGCGCTTTCGGGTGGTGACGGAGTTGGGGAGAGGGGGGGAGTCGCTGACCTGGCTGGACCGGGTTGCTTCGTCTATGGGGATGCTGGGGACGGAGATTGTCTTTTGATCATCTGGTATGATTGCATATAGATGGTTGGTTTAGATGGAGTTATTGGTTTGATCAATGCATTATGTTCACACAATGATACTAGAGAGAGTATATTTCTAATGTAAGAGAGAGTATTGCTCTACCATGTCCAACAGCATCATTGTGAGTACTATATACATATTAGTGATCAGCAAAAGTACGTATTCGAAAGCGATTATGATTAGTCTGGCCTTGGCTCAAACCACGCGAGTTAGGGTTCCAGTGCCACCTGACCTATATCTGAACTGGTAGTAATCTACATCCAACCGCATCCATCAAGCTCGAGCTGAACACACCAGAGAATAGGTACTCTCACCAGTAGTTCACACCAATGGAATAGATGGCACAGTCGGCCGACAATGCAGGCCATCCCTACCACACCCGAGTCTCCTGGGAAACTGATCGACCGTGCATTACTTGGCGACCAACAGATCGTCCTGGAAGAAGGAATCCCTAATTATCTATGGAGCGCAGGGATAGATCAGCAGGAGCTACTGCGAGACGGGATCCTAGTGTGCACATCGTCGTCCTTTTCAACGAGGACAGGATTGGACGGAAGAATACATAAGTTGGACACTATAGATAAACCTGCATGAAGCTAGAATAGTGCGATGAACTGGCACTGTCTCGGTTAGATCACAGGAGCAGTACTTGTGTCAGCTGGTTTGTGTCTCCTTTTCGACTTCTGCCCTAGCTCTTTTACTATACTAAGCTGACAATAGGGGAATATAGGGGGCTTATTCGTTGACTACGTGGTAGGATACTATGAGACGAGTTCTAACGGACATCCGAAATTACGTTGATGATATGACCCATGCAAGATGCCCCCCACGTTTCGTTTCCCCGAACAATAACACCCAAAGTGCATGGAAATAAAGTAGAATAAAATTGGGCGGGACGTGCTGTCTTTGGTGGGGTCGCTCGACATACGCGATTGTGGGTCTGGTCGCCACGATTCTCCAGGAGACAAACCAGCACGACACGGATAGGCAACAGGGGATCTGTCGGGTGGGCAGGGGTTTTGAGCGAGCTGGTGTGGAGCTAATGGAGGGTTGGAAAATAGAAGATCTTAGAATATGGATGGTACAGCCAGTGGTGGTCGTGACGTTGGTAGCTCCAGATAGTGCATCCTATACTACACCAGGACGACCTGCGCCCGAAACAGGGTTCGCTAAACGGCGAAGACGGGAGGATAGACTGGTGATCTTTCATAGTTAACAGATGGCAATGTAGACACTAGACAGGGTGGGTATTAGTGCTGCTGATCGACTGGAGACCCAGGAGGTCGGAGACCCTGAGCATGTGAATTACCAACATCTCCACCAGGGCGCGACGGTATCCCCGACGTCATCTATGCTCAGTTCTACTACGACCCAGCCAGACCAACCCGCCAGAAGTACAGGCCCTATCCCCTCACCGGTTAGTCACCCCTATTCCTGTCTCGTGTGCCGCAGGATCCTGACTAGCCCCAAAAATAAAACAAACTTAACTTAGTAGCTAACCTAGCCCGACACCATGATTATTGCGCGATTCCTGTAGCACCCTCCCATTCCTCCGATATAGTAGCAAGAATACGGTCGCAATACATAATAACGCAAATACCATGCTCCGTCCTCAATGCATCGGCAGAGAAGAACAACCATCTACCGAGAGAAGTGGGGGTGGACCCCATTGGGGGGATTAACAACCGGACCTGCGAGACTGGGTCTACGTTCTCCCCCAGAGTGGGGCGGGGAAGTGGAGACCGGAAGTGGAGTCCGGGGGAGCGGAGTGTTTTAGTCGCTTTGGCGCGGAGATGGAGGGGTGGGATTCCGCTGTGCTGTACTACTGCTCACCACTGAGTATGTAGACTAGTATTTCGTATGTAGTCTAGAATTAGTATGTTATCTAGTGTCAGGATTTAGCATCTAGAATCTATGAAGCTACTTCCTTTCGGAGATTCGTTTCGTGCTATGGCTGCTGATCTGTCTGTATTTATTTTCGTACCTAAGGTAGGGGTGGTATGATAACATGTGTTTATCTCAATCTAATCACAGCTAGTCACTACCTCTCCACCTCGCCTTCTCTCATGTACTCCCAGGAGGATCCACCCTGAGGCAATAGCTCTGAGTTTTATGATGCACCACAGCTGGGTACTCCACTCGGACACACACTCAGTAGTTGGTAGGTTTGGTACTGAGTACTACCGACAGTGTTGGTTCTGGGGGAGCGTTGGGATCCCGACGATAATAATGATAGTCTAAGGAGATTTCCATTCTGGGAGAGTGCAAGAAGATCAATACGGACGACAGGAGTTGGATGCTGTATAAAAAGCTGAATTTTGTCCAGCCATGCAACACGCTCTCTCGTTTCAATCTTCGATTCCCACTTCTTCTTCCATACTATACTGTTTATAATACCCTTTACTACCCTTAATACTCCCTCTCTTCCCCCTACCTACCCAACATCTACCCACCCACCTACAACCAGTAGGTCCAACCCCCAAAATGGCCGACACAACAGAAAAATACGACCTCGCCAACACAACCACAAACGGCTCCTCCCCACTCCAACAAGCACAAACCAAACCGGCCTCCGCGCCCTACGAAAACGGCCACTTCGGCCCCCTCGCGCACGTCAACACAGCCGAGTACCGCCTCCCCGCCTTCGGAGGCGAGTTCCAGCCGGGCCTGTACCGGTCGCCGAAGAACCGCAAGATCGGCAACCCCGCGCCGCTGGGTCTCTGCGCTTTCGCGCTGACGACATTCCTCCTGGGCTGTATACAGATGCAGGTGCGCGGCATTACCCAGCCGAATATCATTGTTGGGTCGGCGTTTGGGTATGGTGGGTTGGTGCAGTTGTTGGCTGGGATGTGGTATGTTCTCTTCTACCCTGTGTATAAAGAGAGACAAGAAGATGTTGGAGGCTAACACACAATAGGGAAATGGCGGCTGGAAACACCTTCGGCGCAACGGTCCTCTCCTCCTACGGTGGATTCTGGATCTCGGTCGGCATCACCTTCACCCCCGGTGGCTTTGAGGTCATGTCATCGTTAGAGAAAGTCGACGGCGGCCAGACAAACATGTTCTACGACAGTTTCGGCCTGACCATTATGGTACCCTCCCTCCCCTCCATCTCTCAGGTTTCCATCTCCTACATCCCACAACGACGCTAACAACAATGTTTCCAGGGCTGGTTCATCTTCACAACCATCATGCTCTGCTGCACCTTCAAATCAACCGTCGCGTTCTTCACGCTCTTCCTCGTCGTCGACATCGCCCTCCTACTGCTGGGTCTCGCCTACCTGCTGCGCACGTCGACGGGCATGCCGAACCCGAACCTGTCCCAAGCGGGCGGCTTCTTCGCGATCCTGGGTGCGTTCCTCGCGTGGTACAACGCCTTTGCGGGTATCGCAGACGACAGCAACAGCTTCATCCTGCCGCCTGTGGTGCACTTCCCGTGGTCGGAGAAGGGCCGTGAGGCGCGCTTGGAGAAGCAGAAGAGCGCTGTTAGCTCGGGGGCTGTATGATCAATACATAACACAACATAACGTAACATAGTAGACCGCTGGGGGAGGGGTACCTTTATTTAGGTAGTGATGCGATCCCCTACTTAATGACTGGGTTATAGAGGTGGTGGAGTGGGTGTTTGTTTGTTTGATGTACTTTACTGCGTTTCCTTTGTATATTTGTTTTGTTCCGTAATAGAATTACAGGGTCCCGGCGAGGGGAGAAGACCCCGGGGGCACCGTTGGATTTGAACGAGAATATACATCTACCTTCGATATATATGTTCATCTTCATCGACGTCGTAAACAGAGACACGGGTGAGCTTCGCTCACCCACCAAAATCATCCCCTAGTGCTTGCTATCCAGTAGCTCCATGATCCGATCCAGCTTGTCCAGCTGGTCCAACCGGCGACTGATGTTCCCCAGCTGTCGCTCGATGTTGTCCACCCGCGTTCGGAGATCCCCCTCCTGCTGACACTGGTCCGCCACCGTCCGCAGGAAGCCATCGATATTCTCGCTGAGCAGGTACGGCCGACGCGCGTCGCTGGACATCCGGCGTCGCGTCGCCTGCGGGGACCGCCCCGCCCGTTGCTCGTCCGTGGCTACCCCGGCCGTCTTGGGCCCGGCTTTCGGGCCCGCCGCGTCCCCGCCCATCCCCGACGTCGAATATGACCGTTTCGTCCCCTGGCTAGTCGGGGTGACACTGGGCCCGACAGCGGACTGGTCCGCCCCGGGCTGGGCGACGTTTTGAAGAGCACGCTCGTGCGCCTGCAGGTCGTCGAGAAACGCCGTCCACTCGTCCAGGGCGTCGCGCATACCAGGGAGACCCGGGTACTGCGCGGGGGGGAGACGTTCGCGCAACCAAACGCGGTGTTCCTCCGTGGAGGTCAGGACCTTCTTCTGGCCCGTTTGCCAGTTGAATTCGTCGCGCCCGGTCGCGGCGCGGAAATCCTGTGCCACGGTGATCCAGAAGCTCTTGTTGCCGCGAGAGCTGGTGCAGAAGCCTTTATTTTGCAGGCAGATCTCGATCAGCTGCGTATATTCGTCGGGATTCATGCGTTTGGCGCGCTTGCGTTTCGGCGTGGCTTCTGACTCCGCTCCCGCTGCGGCGGCGGCGGCCGTTACCGGCTCGGTGGGAGCCGCGGAGGAGGGGGGAGCGGCGTGGGAGAGCTGATTGTGTGGTGTGTGGTTGGCGGCGACGGCGGTGGCATTGTTGTTGTTGTTGTTGTTGTTGGTGGTGGTAGTGGAGGTGGTGGTCGCGGTGGTTGTGGCGGTGTTGGGGACCGGACTGGGTGTCGGTAAGCCCTGCTGGGGTTGGGAGTAGGGCGAGGATTTGGTGCGGGGCGTGGCGGTGGCATCGTGCAGGGACCAGGTGAATTGGCGATAGGGCGAGGAGGTGTTGGCATTGGGATTATGATGGTGATGGTGGTGGTGGTGGTGGGCGTGGTTCGGATTGGGATTCGTGGGCAGCGACGCGGTAGGTGCCCGCCGCGTCGCCGACGGCGCGTGCATGATCGGGGAGGCCTGGTTGAGAGACAGCGGGGTGGGCTGCTGGGATGGTGGTACCGGCAAGTCCGGCGTGGCCTGAGGAAGAGCGTAATAATCATCCATGATGAATAGCACGGCGGGATGAGAGATAAGGGAGTAACCCGAATGGAGACGGCGGAGAGAAAGGAGAATGAAAGAGAAGAGACAGATTGATCGAGATGATTGTTATTCCCAATCTGATCGGGCGATTTCTTGGGGCGTCTGGCGAGTCTAACCGGATGGGGTTAGCGGGCCCGCTGTCGATTGGTCGATCGGACGCGAAGATGGGATCCACTAGCCCGATAGGGTTAGATCAAGCTGACTAAGAGTGAGATTTATGTCCACTATGTCCACTTATGATCTCCATTCTCCTCTCTCAGTATCACGTATGCTATTGCTTGTCTGATTCCGTGGAATGTCTATATGTTGTTACAATAAACGGGAAATATAGACATACTTATACATATAGTGGGGCATCGCGTGCTGCCTCGACAGCTCCGTCCCCCTTGCGGCGATGGCATGTATCACTAACAGACTCTCAGGCATGGACCGACAATGGATGCCAATCCTCCCACGACTGACCAAATGATCCGGTTGTTCAAGTTGCTGTCGTGGGGATCAGTCTCGGTCTAGCTTGCATCCCTGCTCATGATCTCAAAATAACTCAGGTCTACCAATCACGATATGGCCGTGTTTCAGGCCCATCGCGCGAGTCACCGGAATAACCCGGCTGATGTAAGCGTTATGTTCGGCATAATCCCGAATAGTGCGATTTCCCCTCACCAACAAGTGGAGAATCAACGCTCAACGAGAACCATGCAGTCCGAGAAACGAAGAACCCCGGGCGGAAATCGTCGACGCAAGGTAGCGTTGGCCTGCGAGCCGTGTCGGGTACGGAAGTCTCGCTGTGGTGGTGAAAAGCCGGTGTGTGCTGCCTGTGTGCACCGGGCACTCCCGATAGACCATTGTGTCTACAAGACGCAAAATGCACGATCCGCAAGCAGTGACGAGTGAGGACATTTCGAATCTCTGTTCGAGCAATGGTTGATTGAATGTTCTAGATATGTGCGCAGCTTGCATCAGCGGATACGCGAGTTGGAGGCGAATGCTCGGCGTCAGGATTCACTGGTACCGGAGCAGTTGGGTGCTGCGGCCACAAACTATATACATCATCCACCCCATCCGCATGCCTTGGAGGAGCGTAATACCCTCGCACTCAATACCCCTGAGACGCATCGTATAGGGGATTGCTGTCTAACGTCATCGAGGGCGGAGGACACCCTCGATTTGGGTCAACCACGCCGCCAGCCCGATTCATCCCACAGCCCACTTGAGTCGCCTAGTGGGATCAGCGGGATGGGTGCTTTCACCACGGTCCATAATACCCGCGATCTCTCCAGCCAGAATGCGGAGTACTTCGGAAGCTCGTCCACTGCATCACTGATGTGTCTTCTAACTCGGGACCCCAAGCAGCACCAGGGTCGGCGTGCGTGGGCATCGCAGCGAATCCCTCCACCAGACACCAGCGGGGATTGTCGAGTCACGGGCGCTGACACATCTCCTATCCTCCCAGTAGAAGACTTCGTCCTCCCTCCTCGCGAGCTGGCGGATCACCTGCTTCATTGTTTCTGGGAAAGGGTATACTGTCTCTACCCCTTCTTCGACCGCCGTAGCTTCCAGCAAGCCTATGAGAATCTATGGATTCCCAAAAACCATCTCAAGCATCAACTCACGCATCTAAATGTTGGTCTCGGAGACCAGTGGCACTCGGGGTCTAATTCGATTGTCTTCTCCTGCGCACTAAACACAATCTTCGCCCTGGGGTGCCATTTCTCGGATATCCCATTGCAGGGACGCGAGGCCGTCACTCACGACTTCTCTCTGCGAGCAAAGCGTCATATTGGACTCTACCTCGTGGATACCCATTCGATCGGTGTGGTCCAGACACTACTCATCGTAGCTCTGCTTCTCCAAAGCGCCCCACATCCCCATCGGTGCTGGAACTCCATAGGGATAGCGTGCCGCCTGGCGCTCGGTCTAGGATTGCATGAAGAGCATCTAGAGAGCTCCAAGGATCCCCTCCAACAAGAGATTCACCGGCGAACTTGGCATGGCTGCGTTATGATGGACATGTAAGGACCCGGTTTCGTCAAGTGCCGTTCCACCAGTTCCCATCATGCTGACTGCCCCAGGACCGTCAGCATGACCTACGGCCGGCCGAGCATGACCGGTCACCTTGCCAATGTACCACTACCTGGGATGTTTGACCTCGATCTGCGCCAGGAACCGACCGGCCCGTCGTTGATTGCGTTTTATATTTGGACAATCAAGCTCTACGCAATCCTGGAGCGGATTCTCTCCGACGTCTACAAAACGTGGCGGGGGCGGAATAATGACTGTCTCACCAAGACAGGACCCGGCAGTCTGGATGTAATTATCCAGCTTGAGGATCAGCTCCTGCAATATGAGCGCAGCATTCCGTCATTTCTGAGCTGGACTTGTCCGGGGGAAGCCTCCCACGAACCCATTCTCTGCCGGCAGCGCAATGTGCTTCATTCCCGGTAGGCTGTCACATTCCGCTCGACAATAATATTATATCTATAAACCCCATTAACAATCGCCAGATTCATCTACCTCCGGCTTCTCCTCTACCGACCCATATTCACGCACCTCTGTTTCGACACCCCAAATGACGAGCTTGGCTCCAACTCCCTTCAATCATTCATCTTCTCCAAGTGCGCAACAGGCTGTATCCAGGCTGCCGTCGATTTAATCTCCCTTGTCCACGAGACCTACAGGACAGAATTAACAGATACTTGGTGGTACAATGGTTTCTGTCAGTATCTACGTGTTCCCTTTCCCCATAAATTACCCAATACCCACCAGCCAGCCAGCCAGAAACTTCTAACTCCAACCCAGACATATCCACCGCCGCCATCGTCCTCACAATGTCCCACCTGTGTCGCACCGCCCACGACGCCAAGAACCACACCAAAGACCTTGCATGGCGAAAAGCAGAGCAAGTCCTGGAGTACATGGCCTCGTTCAGCATGTCTGGCCGAAACACCCTCGGCATCCTCCGGTCTATCCGGAATCAAGTCCTCGCGAATAGAGACGGGGGGCAGCAGCAGCAGCAGCAGCAGCAACCTGTGTCGCGATCGAGCCGCGATGCTTCTCCTGAAGCTGGCTTAGGCGTGGGCCACGACAGTGCTGGTGGTGATATGGGCGGAGATGTGCCGGAGCCGGCGCAGTTCGGGCTCTGGGACGGGGGACTGCCGTCAGATGAGTTGGGGTTCTTGGGGCCGTTTGATCTGGGGGATTTCCAGGGGTGGTTTCCGCAGATGGCGTTGTAGGTATATTATACCCAGGATATTAGGTATCCTTGTGTGGGAAGGATGTTCGGCTCTTTTGATTTTAAATTATATTTTTCTTTTGTCGAGTTCTGACTCTTCGTAGATTGCCATCACCGAGATCTTGTGAGCTTTTTGGTCAATTTCAGATACTCTGCCCCGGGCCGGAGCCTGTCTTTGTTCACTTGTGGCTCGATGCCTGGTTATCGTTCATCAAGGTTATATTCATTTAGGATTGAAGGGATAGTAGCTAGGAAACATATAAGCTAGGAGAGTTATCCAAGCGCTACTTGTTATTCTCCCTTCATTGCACCCTTATCATCACGCTTCACAGGCGGTCGATCCCACCCCACCACATCCGTCCCATGAATCCAGTCCATGATACCCAGCGGACTATAATTAACCCTAAATTTCTCATGATGCAGATCATGGATCGAAGCCGGAGGCAGCTTGAGAAAATCATACCCGCTATGATCAGCAGCCGCCTGCCAGAGTTCGAAAAGCGTAAAGCCCGCCAATGACAAAAAATGTGTCCCCTTCAGCGTCAGCGGCAGGGTGACGGGGAGCACATTTGCTAGAATGTGCTCCACCGGATGGGCATACTGCGCCGCAAAGCTGATTGGCGCCGTGTACCGGTGGTGCAGTTTGTGGATGTGGGCGTAGATGCTGGGGTGATGCAGGGTGCGGTGCACGTAGTAGAAGGAGATTTCACGAGCGATCAAACCGAAGATGAAGTCGCTGATGAGCGTCGATACGGACGGAAGGGTAGGGCTCATGTCTAGGAGGCTGTGCTCGGGTCCGATCAGGAACTGCACGGTTGTTGCGTGGATGACGACGCTCATGAGCTGGTTGAGTAGGGATATCTTGATGCAGTGCCGGATTTGAGTCTTCGTTGGCTGGCGCTGGGCTCCTTGGAGCTTGTGTTTGCGCGAAAAGTGAGGACATAGACTGTCGATGAGAAGGTATATAGTTGCTGGGAAAATGAAACCGATGAGTTGAGTAACAATGGTACCGATGATCTCAATATGGCCCGGCTTGTAGTGGGCGCAAATCGAGGCCCATGTTTGCTCGATCTTGCCAATTGTTGACATTTTCTCTGCACACTGGAGCTGCAAAGGGATCTGAAGATGGTTTTGGTCGGAGTGAGGACGACTGCCACTTGTTCAATCATAACATATGGGAGGGCGCTTGGCCATATTCCGGCCTAATATACTGTATTCCCTTGGCCACTTCGGAATGGACCCGGCATGTCTCTGCCACTTCGGAATAGACCCCACGTATCAAATCCGGCTCGCACGATTCATCACGAGGATTTCTCGTGTTCTCATTCCTTCAGACTGATATGAATTCCAATTTGATTGCTCCACGGCGCAGAGAAATGTGGGAAGGCCACCGGTCCCGATCCGACGGATTTCCCACAGTAGCGGGATGATCCCGAACGGACCGAGGCAGACTTGGATAGGTATAATACTCTCCCAGACATCTCTATAAGATATCCGTATGCAGAGCCTGTCTTCGTTTGCATACATCCACCCCCAAGTCTCACAATGGCCGAGAAATCGATACCAATCCCGGCTTCCTATAGCCAGATTGCCTGCATAGGGACGGGTCTGAGTGCGATTGCCCTGGGGGCAACGCTCAAGCGATGGTATCAATTGGACGACATCACGTTCTTTGAGCGCCATACGGACTGTGGAGGTACCTGGCACATTAGCACTTACCCTGGTAAGGTTCAGCCTACTAACCACCTGCTTGAAATGGCTTTCACGTAGCTGACTGCCTTAGGATGCGCCTGTGACGTGCCGAGTGCCCTCTACAGCTTCTCATTTGCGCTGAGTCCGAGCTGGACTAAGTTGATGCCCTCATATAAAGAGATCAAAGCATATCACGACTCGGTGATGGCAGAGTACGAGCTGCGAGATAAGATGATCTTCTGTACCGAAGTCGAGGAATGTATTTGGCGAGAGGAAGTCTCACGCTGGCTGATGATCAACCGTAATGTGGTCACTGGTGAGGTGAGCTATCACGAATGTCAGGTCTTGTTCGCTGCCACGGGACAGCTGGTAGAGCCCAATCCTTGTGATATCCCTGGCGCTGCATCCTTCCAAGGTGATATCTTCCATTCTGCACGATGGAACCATGATGTCAGTTTAGAGGGGAAAAACGTGGTGGTAATTGGGAATGGATGTAAGTCCCGTCCTCTCGTGAAATAGTATAAGATACTGACTAGACTCAGGCACCGCTGCCCAGATCGTCCCTGCGATCGTTGATCGGACCAGAAGTCTAACGCAAATCGTTCGCAGCAAACACTGGATTTTCCAAGGGCCCAATTTCGAGTACCCGAAAGCGCTGCAGTGGCTATTTCGCTACGTTCCACTGACAATGAAGCTGCACCGCTTCCACATCTTTTGCATCGCTGAGAACGACTTTCGTTTGTTTCCGACAACTAACAGTGCTGCCAAACTGCGGCGGAAACGTCGAGAGAAAGTGGAGCGCTATATGCGGTCCACTGCACCCGCTAAGTATCACGAGACTCTGATTCCAGACTTTGACGTGGGCTGTAAGCGTCGAATCTTTAACGACGGGTATCTTGAGTCTCTGCACAATGACAAGCTCCACCTCATGGAGTCCAAGATATTGGAAATCCAGCCCGACGGGGTCCAAACCACGGATGGCTTTGTACCCGCGGACGTCATTGTGCTGGCAACTGGGTTCAAGACCAACACCTTCCTGCCGTACACTCGGATCCGCGGTCGTCATGGCACTGTATCCGACCACTGGGAGCGATACGATGGCCCAGCAGCATACAACTGTACTGCGATGAGTGGATTTCCCAATTTCTTCTTGTTGTTGGGCCCCAATGCCGCAACAGGACACACTTCCGCACTGATGGCATTAGAAAAGTAAGTACATCTCCCGGACGCTATATAGGATAGTGGGACTCTACACATACTGACCATAGTAGCTCCGTCAACTACGCTCTCCGGGTTCTAAAGCCTATTTTGGATGGCCAAGCGGCTTCCCTCGATGTGAAGCCAGACGCCGAAGCCAAATATGTCGAGGAAGTCCAGGAGGCGTTGCGTCACCGTGTCTGGAACACGGGATGTGCTTCTTGGTACTTGAATGAGAAAGGGTGGAATGCAATGGCGTATCCGTGGACCCAGACTCACTTTTGGTATCGCAGCCTGTTTCCAATCTGGTCTGATTGGGCTTATAAGGTGAGCCGGTGTTTTTCTTTCGATCCCAACTCGCACTCATCGCTGATCCATTGGCCCACAGCAAATCAAACGACCTTCGGTTTCTCGAGGTAGATCGATACTAGCTTTCTCACTTGCTATAGCAGTCGGGGGGGCTGCCGTTGTCTACATGCAGAATCCTCGGCTTTGGTTGCAGTTTATGCACTCAATCCAAGATTCCTGGGTTTTTACGCTCGCCCAAATGTATTGGCAAAGATGAATGGCTGCAGCCAAGCAGTGGGATCTGCTAGTAATTGGTACGATAGGCTCAAGGATCTATCATCAAGGGGTTACTCTTGTCGTGTTCTGTACAAGTTGCCGTTAGGCAAGAAACATCGAGAATATATATTGGCATCATGAATGAATCTTATGGCTGAATTGGTGCAAAAGTAAGACACCGTAAACCTTGATCCCACTCGACACCAGTCGCACTTTGAGATGGTTATCAATTGCAACTGTAACGTCGGTACTGTCTCTGTGGTAAGAATGATGCAAGAGCAGAGAAAGAGTCGGGCGATCACAGGATAAGAGGAATCGGGTGTTTTTTAGACACAGCCCTGACAGCATAGCAATTTTTATCACTTGAAACTCTCAATTACCCAATCTATCATCAGCCGTGCTGAACCTTGCGGTCCCCTTTTGGCTGCGAAATCCATCAGCGGAGCATCATGAGCTTCCTTGGCATCAATGTACCCTACAACCTCCAAGTCCGCACTGGCCTTCCTGCGCAGTACATCCACGAGCTGAACAACATGGTCACGAAAGACTTCTTGCTCCCCGCCGGTTACAAGCACTCGCTCTACCACGCTCAGCCCATCCCACCACTGTTCTGACACATCCAGCGCCATGCCCCAGCCATGACCGAGTGCTATCTCCCTGTGCCACGGACTATTGTGGACCAGAAGTTGACCCCATTCCCAGACACCCTTCGCACATAGCACATCAATAGAGAAGGGCCGATGATATGAAGGAACAGTGACGTCAAAGGACGTCAGGGGAGAGACCAAAAAGCATCCTTTGATGGTGTTTCCTGGCAGAGCAATGTGGCCATGGAAGCCAGGTTCGTCCGGTCGTCGATGATGCAGATGAGCGAGAAGAGACAGAGAAAGGTGTCCGCCGGCTGAATCGCCCCCAAATATTATCTACACTCATCAGTCGACGATAAATTATTCATGGCGAGGAAAGCCCACATCTGATGAGGAATATCCGCTGTCTACCAGCTTCTGCAGTGCCTGGACTGCCTGACTCATTTGTCGCGGGTAGGGATTGTCCGGAATCAAATCTTTTGCGGAATCAGTACACACTCTATCCTCCATTCAGGTCGGATGGATCTAACCATATTCAAGCACGCTCACACTAAGACTCACACCCGCCTGCGCTGCCTCACTCTGCAGACATGCCATCCAGTCGAGATGACCTCGAGACAAGGGCATCACATAACCACCCCCTGACAGACACCAAAGTCAGTATCGGGACACATATATCGCGGGGGCTATACCAGAGTGAAAGTGATATATACCGTGAAAAAACAAAACTACCTTGCGCCCTCCTTTTCGTAACCATAAAAGGCGAGACACCCCGTCTCTCAAAACATCAACGATGGGTGGAAATCCCTCCGCCGCACACCATTCCCTATAAGTATCGATTGTCGATGGGAGGATCGCCTGCAGTTGTGAAGGCGTAATTCGCGACATGAGAGCGCGTGCAAATCCATTCCATAAAGCGGGAGGCAAGGGATATCCTTTGCACAGTGCCCTTATGGCCGCTCGTATAGCGTTGTATAGTCCTAGGGGCAGGACGAGGAAGATGAGTCTACTTAACACCCCCAGTTTCTCCATGGTCGATGAATGAGGCATGAGGTCGTTTTCGCTTCTGGCTTGAAGCGTTCCGCAACATCAGATGCCCAAGCCGGTATTCTGGTATTGAGCAAGTGGTAGATCAACTGCTACCGAGGAATTCCATCTTGGATAGTGCCAAGTACCGAGTTAGCCTATTGTCGGAACGAGTCCGGTCACCGGCACCCACCCGAATTACCGGCTTGAGGATGTATGCCAAACAGCCTCAGTCTCTCGTTATTTCTCTGGCAGTCTATTCTGGGTCTCCAATCGTATCGGGCTGTCTCCCGGTTGGTTCATTGAGAAGGCTGTAAATTGGAACTGTGATCGGAAGCGTCAACCGGAATACTTCCGGAGTTCGTGAAGATTGAAAGAGAGCGTGAAGCAATCAACTGACAGACCTGTCGCCATACATGAAGGCCTTCTTTTTTGGGGCATTTCTCTACCATTGACCACGACAGGGTATTCTGTTTTTCCAGTTCATCTTTTCAAAATGACCACAAAAGGCATCCTTCCCCGTGAAGGCATATATATCGATCCAATCATCACCGGCCTGCGGAGAACCATCCTCCACCCACTCTTCACATTCACCTTAATGTATTCGGTGGAAACGGGATACTTAGACATCACCGCGCCATACCGGACCCCCGTACGATACCTCGCAGCTGTTAGTGCTCTCCTTTGGCTCAACGATTACTTGAGCGCCAAAAGCCGGAACAATTGGACAACAAATGATAGGCTAGATTGGGAGAAAGAGCTGGTGGTGGTGACCGGTGGTAGCAGTGGTATTGGCGCAGGGGTGGCTCAGCGCCTCGCGGCCATGGGAGCACGGGTTGTTGTTGTTGACTTTGCTCCTTTGACCTATTCTCTTGGTATGCTGACACGCACCGTGCTACGGTAAACCGCTAGCAGAGAGTACTGATCCGGGGAATATTTTACTTTATTCTTGACAGAAGAACAAGATCGCATCACCTACTATAATTGCGATCTGAGTGACGAGAAACAAGTTGCGACGCTCTGTGAGACAGTTCGATCCGAAATCGGTCATCCAACTGTATTAGGTCAGTGTTAGCGATCTAGAAAACTCACTAGGTTTAAATACTGAGATCATTGTGGGATACCCTGTAGTCAACAATGCTGGTCTTTCGCGCGGTCAGACCGTGATTGGGAGTACATACAGCGACAATAGCATCACTCTGAGAACGAACCTGTTAGCACCAATTCTCCTCACCAAGGAGTTCCTCCCGGCCATGATTCAGAGAAACCATGGGCACATTTTCAATGTGTCTTCGCTCAGTGCTTATATCCCCCGCCGGGTCTAGCAGACTACGCGGCATCGAAAGCCGGGTTGATCGCGTTCCATGAGGTAGGTAGACTGCATCGCTATGGCGCCATCTTTTCTTACTTGCTGGATATATCCAATCCGCTGATACATTTCTCTCATTATTTTGCGAAGTCTCTGTTCCAGGAGCTCAAAACCCAGAATGCACCACTAGTTCGCACGTCTCTGGCCGTGCTGAGCTTCACCAAGACTCCCCTGTTCAGGGGTGAGACAAACCAACCTCATTTTTTCATGCCCCTTCTTCATGTCGATACGGTCGTGGACGCTATCGTGGAGACACTTGACAGTGGCGCGAGCCGAACAATCTTCCTTCCTAAAACAATGGGTCTTCTTGCGGGACTTGTGAGCTTATTCTACATCGCCTGTTTCTCGTACAGTAGGACCATTGCTAACAGAACGTTTGCAGCGAGGAGCACCGGACTGGATACAGGACTTAGTCCGGAGCGGCACTAGGAAGCTCAAGGTAGATTTCAAAGGGCGACAGAAGATCGATCCAAAGACTGGAAAGCTGGTCTAACATGGGAGCCGTTCTGTCGCTGTCGGTCCTTGCCACCTGCATAGGGTTCAAACAGGCGGAGAAGTATTAGCCGCAACTAACCTACAAGAATGATCTAGCATAGTCACAGGCCTTGTCCTATATATTCATCTGACTCAATAGCAGGGGTCTTCGCCAGAGAATATAGATGGGTGATTGTTGGGCGTACCAGGTCATTACGTGACTAAACAGCAAATCTAATCCTTTTTATTGCAAACGTGGACCCTTCTGTGTATGCAGCTCTATACTCTGCCTCCATTTTCTTTTTTTTTTTTTTAATGAGACTTTATCAATTTTGTTGGAGTTCTCGTGCACTTACTCCTACTGTCGCTGTCCCACACTGAAGACTATTGATCAGATCAGCAGAAACATTGCATGGGTGACAGCTCACACACCACACAAACACAAGTTCATTGGATTCTTCAATTTGTTCAACTGATGATGACCTGGAATATCTAAGTTCTACAGGAACTGTCGATCACGCAGTTAAGCAGGGAGATGTTTAAAAACATCCCCAAGCACCATTCCCAATCGTCCTGCGTCACATAAATTGCTGGAAGGGTAAAAGCAGAGCATTATCCTTCACACTACAGTATGGTCGCTACGGGCTTTACCCCTTATATTACAGAATGGATGGAAAGGAACCTTGAGCTCGAGAAGCTCCTTCAACAGGGGGATTTCCAGCCTGTGCTTCTCCGTCACCACCTCTCTCTAATAGGGAAGAGTCGAGAGTGGCAGGATCACCCCCGGAAACACGCCTCCGACCCCAAGGTAGTCCATAGTCGGAATCCACGAGGATCCGCAAGAATCTGGTAACCCAACAATATGACTTTACAATTATTTAGGATTGTCAGAGGTAGTATATACGTGACGTAAAATCTCAACAACTATATCCTCTTATTCTAGGTCCATATCTCCAAAAATTACTCGAGATATTAACCTTCAATGTAGATCCTCGCTTATCATACTAAGATAGATATTAACGTCTTCAACTACTCCCAGTTGATTCGCGAAACAAGCAATTGGCAAAATGGTGGCTAACTTTCGGTGTTTCCTAAATAAGTGGTCAATTTGATTCCTCGTGTTTTCTTGCAATCTGGCAACTAATTCCAGCCTCTTGATAATCAGCGGAGTTATCAATTTATCAATATTTGACCTTTTTCGTCGGTCTTCCCAAGCCTACCAAGTAAATCTCTCGTTACTCTTGCTCATATCTCTAAAGATCATGGAAATTAGCCTATCTCATGAACGATATACAATTTCCATAGTTCTGATCAAAGGTTAAAAAGAGAGATTAGGTTACATATTGAATTTCTTCGAAAATATACTTAAATACAGTGATATAAGTGGGCAATAAGCCTGGAGCCCTGTGGGGACTTATACATATATGCCTGCTTATAAAAGGATAGCTTGGGGGAGCTCCTACAATCTGCGCCAATCCGGCTGAGTTCGGGGGGCAAATTCTGCAAACGGGCCCCAAAACCCGGCCGGATTGGAGGCAGCCCTAGTATAATCAGCCCTAATTCTCCCCGAAATGCAACTGTACAGTAGGTCAAATTAGTAGAGCACATCCCAAGTCGCGCCGGTAGTAACATCCACTCTCCATCATTGGCCCGTGAGGTAAATCAGACATATCGATTAATCAGTCTGGTATTATCTCAAACCAACTGGGCAAGAAAGCCAAACCCGAAAAGGGTTCGTCTTTTTCAACAGGCTGGATATGACTGATATCCCCAACATATATATAAGACAGGTCATCTCAACCACACTCACTTTGATGAGACAAGAATTCCCGAAATTTATTAATATGTTGCAACTGTCTCGGTAAAAGTACAAAACACGCGCAAACATGTCGTCCGTGTCAGATATTTTCCGAGTCATCGAACACGCAGTACCATCTCATCGCCAAAACGAGGCCCTGGTTTTGTCCGTCAAACAGTATATTCCATTGGATAACCCCAACCCTCGTTCCGACGATGTCATCATTATCGGAGCCCCCGGAAATGGGCACGTAAAGGTCAGCGACTAACTATTATCCCACGATGCACCCTTTCATACGCACACGAGGACTGAAGGATGTCTTGCAGGAGCTTTATGAACCCCTTTGGGAAGAACTGTACCTTCGCTCGAAGACAGCCGGTTTTCGGATCCGCAGCATTTGGATCGCCGATGGGACACATCAGGGCAAGAGTGGTATCCTCAACAAGGGTCGTCTTCAGGACAACCGTAAGTCGCGGCAGCCCACTAGCTGAAGCACGCTCACTAATAGTATACCGCTCCCTACCCAGTCGACTGGCTGGTTCATTCCCATGATCTGCTCCACCTCATCGACCTTAAACATGCCGGCATGCCCGGTCCGATAGTGGGGATCGGACATAGCATGGGAGGCACCCAGCTGTGCGTCTTGCCCAGAACGACTAATTTAGGATCGACATCGCTGACCATGATTGTGGGGATAGTGCATACCTATCCATTCTGCAGCCTCACCTCCTATTTTCTCTTATCCTCATCGAGCCAGGTATCGATGAGCTCTCCCCCACCTCCGTTGTGCAACAGGGAATCACCCGCTGCGCACAACTCTCGCTCAACTCTCCAGATACATGGCCTTCCATTCAAGCCGCACAAAGATTCACCACGCGGAATCCCCTCTTCCAAACGTGGGACCCCCGTGTCGTGAGACGCTGGCTGCAATACGGCCTACGCGAGGTATCACCAACCGGAACAGGGACTACACCTTCATCTCGACGCCACAATCAAGACAGCATCATCCCGGTAACACTGACGACACCACGTCATCAGGAAATGCTCGTCTACAAGCGCCCAACTAAACCTGCGGGCTCTAACCCTCTCCCTCCTAGCAACAAGCTCTCCCCATATTACCGCCCCGAGGTGCACCGCGTCCTCGCCCGTCTGCCCCACCTCCGGCCCAGCACGCTCTACCTCATTGGAGGCCAGTCCCCCTTGTGTTCGCCGCATCTACGGGGGCTTAGATTGCGCTGTACGGGGACCGGCGTTGGCGGCAGCGGGGGGCTGCTTGCGGACGGGTTCGAGAGATACATGTCCCCGGGCGTGGGCACTCACTGAGCTTGGAGGGTGTTGTGGAGTGCGCAGTTGAATCTGCAGGTTGGCTTACAGTCGAGCTTGAGCGGTGGCGTCGAGAATCTCATAATTGGGAGGGAGGGAAGGAGGGGGTGGAGGCTGGGTCGCGAAGTAGGCGTGGGAGTGAGCATAGAGGAATACGGTCTAGGTTGTAGAATGGCTAGTAGATTGAAACTCAGGCCCGGGTTGGTGTTTGAAAGAGTTGGATTTTCTGGGGACTATATAGATATAGATTGATCGTGATCAGACTCTATGTGAGTGAAAAGGCTCTAGGTATTATAAGTCCTCTCCTGGTAGTATAGGTATAAACGGCTTCTCTGGGGGTGCCGGCCACGCTCGTTTCGACCGATTCAAAGGAGGAGAAGTGTAGAGACGAGTGGCTGCGTGGTTGGAAGGATGCAAAGGAGGAGAGGTGTAGAGACAAGCGGCTGCGTCTATCTGCCAATATAGGTAGGTCTATATGAAATATCCACATAAAGGCAGGTCAGGTGGTTGACATTTGTTTTCACTTAGAATAATGATTCTCACATCAGTCTGACAGGTGACCTCCCAAATCTCCTTAGTATGCAGGTTAGAAGGACTACGTAAGGAGTGAGTCTAACTAGTGCTCTGTATCAAATTAGTATAGCCAGGCGGGATCATATCCAGCTTGTTCTTTACTATAGTCAAATTACCTGGATTGTAGCATTTGTTTCTTCTGTCGAGCATTATATAGTATGGCCGATCATGGTTCTAATTGCATGTGAGGGAACCGGGTGTGTTCCGATAGCGCGATCCAACAAGCCGCGATATTGCACTTCTCCTGATAAACATGAGAAACTGATATGAATCCATGAGACTTACTAAGAGTATCCTCACCAGTTTATGAGGCAATTCACTCATTCGCGCTGGAATCACGATTAGCACAGGAGGGAGCACCTCCTTGTATCTCCGCGCACATGGACAACGGACGGGGGAAATGGTACTAGGCTAATTTCTGTTTTGTCCATCTAGCGGGAACCGTCCGCCGTATTCGGCACGATCCCGGGGTTTATATAGATGTTAAAACGACCGCGGCAGGCTTCACCACATAGTGAACGGAACGATTATCATGTTGGGCGTGAGTTTGTCATCGGCAGCGCTGCTCGTCCTGCTTTACTTTGTCAACCCAGACAGATTCAGGGCCATGAGTGACCACGCCCTAGACTAGCTCGCGGAGAAGGCCATCGGCTAGAGCCACACCCCTCCGGTTAATAAGATCGATACTCACCATCACTTCGTGCCGTCATTTTATGCCCAAGGTAAGCGAACCCTCCCCCCGCAAGATCGGAACAATTGACTAAGCGAACCCTACAACTAGCTGTTGAGGAACAAGGGGGCGATCCCAGTGGCTGGCCCACTTCGTACTGGAGCCTGTTGCGGTCGAAGCTGCTCGTGAAGCGCCTTGGGGTCCAGACGGCAGTCCTCTCCGTGACAGCTCCAGGGGCATGTATTCACCCAGACCGTCAGGCACGGGCACGGCTTGCACGACAGTTAAATCAGTATGCGGCCGACCTTCGGGATCATGACCCCCAGTCTTTTGCGTTCTTCGTATCGTTACCCAATATCCTCGACACAGAGGATGCCCTCGCGGAGATCGCCTATGGGCTGGATACTCTTGGTGCAGACGGAGTAACGCTGTTCATTCGATACGGCGACTAGAACACCTACCTGGGCCACCCCGACGTGGAGCCCATCTGGGCGGAACTAAATCGACGACGCTGCGTCGTCTTCGTGCACCCCACACACCCGGTCGATACCAACCCAGTCAACCCAAAGCTCCCACAGCCAGCGATCGACTATCCTCATGAAACTACCCGCGCAGCAATGGACATGATCACCGACCGGACGCGAGCCAAGTATCCAGCCTGCAAAGTCATCCTATCGCATGCCGGCGGGACGCTCCCCTACCTAATCTCACGCGTTGCGACGCCAATGCGCAAGGCGCCGGATTTTGCGGTTTCGCGCCGTATGGGTACCACACATGACAAAGTGGTGGAAGCATTCCGCAGTTTTCATTTTGATCTGGCGTTGAGTTCCTCGCCACAGGTGCTGGACTTGCTGCTGAATATGGTGCCTCATGACCATATCCTGTATGGGAGTGACTTTCCGTATGCCCCGGTCACTGCCTATCCGGCTTTCCTGGAGGAACTGGAGGGATACGAGATGGACCAAGAACTCAGAGATATGGTCAATTTTGGAAATGCGGTGAAATTATTTCCGCGGCTAGGCCAACGCGGTGATGCCCATCTGTAGGTATATACGACTTGGGAATGCTAGAGTCGGTCTTGGTCAAGGAGACATCGTGAAGTGTTGGTGCCGAGGTTGTTATATGTGGGAGGAGCGATGGAAGTGGTAAAAACATTAATCATTCCACTATTTTGGAAGTTGTAGAAAGGTGCGACTAGTTGCAAAATGGTGAGGAGTCAAAATACTCGATTGGTCGGGGGAAGCCCTTGCGAATCAGCTTACATGTTGGCGATTGCATATCTCCCTTTTCCACATTCGGGCATTCGGGCCTCAAAAACGATTTAGCTATATCTCATGAAACATAGGGGATTCCTTTCCTGTAGAAGCCCAAAGAGTCAGAAGCATTGTCAGTTCCCCACATGTACCGCATGGGTTGCCCATCGCTCTGGAGCTGTCTACATTTCGGATCGTTTTGGGCCTGTCACTTCATTCAATCCTTGCCGGTCATGGACCATGGACTAACCTCTGGTGATATACCGATAGACCCCACGGCAATAATTGACCGGTGTTGTAATAAATCCATGCCACCATTGGCGCTAAACAAAGCATGCTTACAATTGGTTTACAAGTACAAATTGGAGCATACTCAAAGCACGATATTTTCACGTCTGTCTAATGTAAAGTGATCTATAGCTGATTAGCACGTGATATACTGCAACATGAGGACTGTAGCCTGACTCACCTGCCGTTACTTCCCTAGTCTGTGTCTTATGGCATTCACTAGTAGGTAAGAGCTGGAACCAAGCAAGACAGCCGCAGCAATCTTGTATCCAACCACAGACGTGGCTATGGTTTTCGTGATGTTGTTCTCCACATTTGGGTTCTCATTCCCGTGTACTGCCCTCTTAGAGCTCTTCCCCTCAAAATGATCACGCAAGCCTCGCAGCAATTCTTGGAAATAAACATCGGGAGGAATGTCTTTGGGTAGAATATCGCGTGGATCTGGTATTTCGAGAAAGGTATGGCCTTGACAGGCCCGCGATACGCCACGTCGAGGGTATCTACCCATGCAGTCGGAGCACAACTCCATCTCTGCACAAGTCTCACAAATATAGCGAAAGCCAGCTTTGAAGCTTTTGCAACAGACATAGCAATAAGTAATCTTTTGAGACAACCTAATTGGATTGAGCAAAGAAGTCATCATGGAAAAGACATCAATAGCGTCTCTGGGCCTTTCGAGAAACATCAAACAGCGCCCTAATTCGAATAGTCCAGGAGTGGTCCATCCATCGGTAGTACGGAGTAATTTCTTCACTAATTGTCGTACTGACTGTTCGAGGACACTGCTTTGGGTTTCACTAGGTGTGGGCGTATACAATGGCCAGTACTCTTGTAATTTCGCCGACATTGCCCGGTCTTGACTGGCCCAATCCAGGGGAGTTTTTCCATAACCATCCATATCAGGAAGATGGGGAAACCATTTTGACATGAAATCAGCGAGTTCAACATGGCCGTAGTATACAGCGAGATGAATCGGAGTTCTGCCGAAATCATCAACCTTGGAAACTAGTGCACCATCAACACTTATAATGAGGTCTTTGAACCCTCGTCGTGTAGCAATATGGGCAAGTGTCTGGTCATTTTGATCCGGTAATGAGGGGTCCGCCCCATGACTGAGGAGCAGTTTGGCGGATTTGGTAGGATTTTCTCCTTGTACTGCAGCTAGAAGCGCAGTGCCATACTTCCCAGCCACCTTATTAGGATCTGCTCCTGCATCTAGCAGTAGCTGTATTATCGTTATGGACCCTGTATATGAAGCTGCCTGGAGTGCAGTGCCATATTCCCCACCCACAAGGTTAACGTCTGCTTTTCCATCCAGCAGCAGCTGTAAAATATCCACACCCCATCGCCGTGAAGCTGCCTGGAGTGCAGTACCATATTGCCCACCGATAATATTAGGATTTGCTCCCGCGTCCAGCAGCAGCTGCATTGTGTCCATATAGCCTTTCCAAGAAGCTGTCTGGAGCGCAGTGCCATACCTCCCTCCCACGATATTTGTATCTGCTCCCGCATCCATCAGCAGCTGTATTATCTTTTTGGACCCTTTATATGAAGCTGCTTGGAGTGCGGTGCCGAATTCCCCACCCACAAGATTAACATCTGCTTTGTATTTCAGTAGCAGCAGTATTACCTTCATGTAGCCACGGGACGCAGCTGTCTGGAGTGCAGTACCCTTTTCACTCACGGCATTCACATCTGCCCCTGCATCCAGTAGCATCTGCGCTACGTCTTTGGATCCACTGTTTGATGCTCCCTCGAGTGCAGTGCCCTTTTCACTCACGGCATTTACATTTGCGCCAGCATCCAGTAGCATCTGCGTTATCTCTTTGTGTCCATTCCTTGATGCTGCCTGGAGTGCAGTACCCTTTTCACCCACAGCATTGGCATCTGCGCCTGCATCCAGTAGCAACTTCACTGCCCCTTTAGATCCACGGAATGATGCTCCAAGCAATGCGTCTCCAAGAATCCCAGCACAAAGGCCCTTGGAAAGGAATATCTCCAGGATGGCTTTATGACCACCGGATGCAGCATATGCCAGAGGAGTTATTCGGCTTGTGTTTTTGAGATTCATATCGGCTCCTCCGTGAACCAGACGTTTTGTGATGATTGTATTTCCAGATTGTGCCGCATAATGTAGCGCAGTACTACCCTTGCTGTCCTGTTCATTAATCCATACTGATTTAGATATTAAGTAATCAACGATATCCGGTAAGTTGTTGGCAGAAGCAATATGTAACGGTGTCCCAGTGAGTTCCACGCTATCGCTAGAATGATGACGTGAAACACTATCTTTCGGAAGCCTTTGTGAAGTAATCTGTTGCAGCAGGAGAATTTCGGCTTCAAGGTTTGTAGAGCGGTGTTTTCCTGCCTTTGCTGCATGCACAAACATATGCTTCGAGGCATATCTCAGAAACGGCCGAGTACGGCGGAGCATTTCGCCTTCACGCTTGTTTTCTATTTTGATGTTTTTTGCCAGGAAATAATCCATACATGAGAAGTAAAGCCTACCCTGGCAACATTGTATGGCGTTCTCGTTGCTCAAATCTGCTGTGTGGCATGGATATTTTCCCTGGGACAGATGAGCAAGTCTAGCAAGAAGAACCAGCCCTTTAGGAAGAATGTAATCGTTAACAGATTGATGAACAACCTGTACGCTTTGTTTCACAAAGGGCTGGTCCATTTTCACTACCTCGACTAAACCACCAGACAATGTCTTTATTTGTAATTCCATCAGCTCGTCATTCTGAGGAAAGTCTGGAGTCTCGTGACGTCGAATACGCTGCGAACTATCGATCAAATTCCACATGGACATAATGGAGCATCGCGTTTCTGGCACTGATAGCGGTCGTTCCGCAAGACATACCCATTGAAACAAGAGAAAGGCACACTTGTGATTGTCGACTTCAATGACATTTTCTAATATATATTCATAGACCTCCTCAAGCTTTTCAGGAACGTCCTGTAAAAATTCTAGGGTGCGTTGAGGCGACTTGCCCTCGCAGATCCCCTTCTTGACGAGAGGGACGACAAGCGATGCCCACTGGAAAATCCCCTTTGCGGAGAGAATAATATAATTTATCACGGAGCCCCATGACGGATAGTCGTGCGCCTTCGTGGGCAAGATGACATCTAGACGTAGACAATGATGAACATATGCCTTGATGTCATTGTGATTGTGAACTTCTACTGTAATCTCAATTCCAGGATTAGTGGTAAAGACAGGATAGTGGCGGCATGAAATGCATATTTTTCCGAATTTCGACTTCTTTGCAAAAGAATCGTTGATTTCATGGAAATAATTTGCCAGATACTCTGCACATTTATTCCCTGCTTCATCCAGGGCATCCACGAAGACAATGAGAGGCTTTTTTCGGGCGCAAGCAACAATACTTTCATGAAGAATCTCCTCTAGCTCTTCCTGCTGCCAGTCCCAGTATCTTTCTCCGCCAAACGGATCGCATTTATCCTCGTATATTTTGTTCAATTCGGGACGTATGTCGGGGTCCTGGCAGTATAGCTGATTGAGTAAGGACCGCAGCATTCCTAGCGGCGTGCGTTGTATCTCGTCCCCTCGCGCGGTGAAGAAGAATTCAAGCGTGATCCCCTGTTTTGCAGTGTCTGATTTCATGACCCGTTGGTACAAGAAAGCCATCAGGGTTGATTTGCCAGCACCTGGCTTTCCTTTGATCCATAGAAGACCTTTGGGCGCTTTTACCCAATTTTGGTACTCCTCTAATCCCAGAATCCACCTGCAGGTGTCCGTATGTGGCCGGTGGATTTGGAGTCGTCTGTACTTCATCTGCGCAAACTCCGTAGACTTGCAGACTTTGGGTAGAGAGTCAATAAACGTAGCTGGACAAGACCCAGGCCGGCGGGTACAAACTTACATTCCTTGCTGATATGACTATCGCTTTTGGACTGCCCGTTATTGATGGTGATGGACTCGGCAATAAATATCTGGTGTTCACCTTGGACAGCAACATCGCCTTCGTTATGAAAGGTCCGCTGATTATGATATCCTCTTTCGCTTTCCATGGCCGCCGTAGCATTACCATGCAGAATTACCATGCAGCTTCACTTTTGATCAGGCTCGAGGATTGGAAGTAATGCGATAGTCGAAAGCAGCTCAGTATACTGTCGAGCATTCAAAAAGGGGCCGGTTAAAGAGAGGCTGAGATTGATGAACTTCACATTCGCTTAACAGGTGCGGGGTTCGTATATTGAAGGCTGCGCATACGACCAATCCAGTGTTTACACGACTGAGGTGGTCATAGTCGACCCTTGTCAGGTGAATGCAGCCACTATCACCTGGCGGCTGCGCCTTGCTCCTGTAGCATGCTGACAGCGGGAGTGTTGACAGTTATATGTTTGATGCTTTTTACGTTTAGACATACACGCGATATACCAGTCTACTGCACGCTGGACTTGAACCTGTACGGCCTCTCTCAAGATGCAACATCTACCACCAGTCGAACGAGACGATTTCACGATTGCGATCATCTGCGCGTTGCCTGTTGAGTCCGATGCGGTCGAGGCGGCATTTGACTCCTTTTTTGAAGATGACGACCTTCCCTTTACTCAACGTGATGGCGACCCGAACTTGTATACACTGGGAAAGATTGGCCGGCATTATGTGGTTCTAGTACATATGTTTGGAATGGGGAAGGTTAATTCGGCCAGCGTTTCGGCTAACATGTTTGCGAGCTTCCCTGGAATTCGACTAGGGTTGGTTGTCGGCATATGTGGTGCAGTGCCTCAATCGGACAACAAGGATATATTTCTTGGTGACATCATTATCAGTACGGGGGTGGTGCAATCCGACTTCGGGCGACAATACACAGGTCAATTTATTCGCAAGAACAACCGCGAGGACAATCTGGGACGTCCCAATCAGCAAATTCGCTCATTCATGAATGGAATCATGGGACAGAGAAGACAGCGAAAACTCCGAGACGCCTTGTTGCAAAACATTACCGACATCTGTGACAAGGAAGGGTTTGCCGACCGGACTAGGCCGATGCTAGAGAATGACAGGCCGTATAGAGCGAATTATGGCCACATGCACCGAGTCTTGAAGGATTGCTCTGTGTGTGCTCACGTTGCCGAGGGAGGCCCAGTTGTCTGCGAGCGTGCTCTCACAATGTCATGTGAACAACTTGGATGTGATGAAGATCAAACCATGTCGAGGGAACGTAAAGCTAATGATACCCCGGCAATACATTTCGGTGGGTTCTCTTCGAGCGACCAGGTCATGAAGTCTGCACAAGATCGGGATCGAATTGCAAAGCAGGAGGACATACTGGGCTTTGAGATGGAGAGCGCTGGTGTGTGGGATAACTTTCCCACGGTCGTCATTAAAGGCGTCTGCGATTATGCCGACAGCCATAAAAACAAGAAATGGCGGCAGTACGCCTCTGTCACTGCAGCAGCGGGTGCGAAGGCCTTCCTACAACAGTGGATGATGACCAACCAAAACAATACTCGAGCGACTGGGGGAGCTGGATTTGAGACTGCCGCTGGCAATGGAATTGTGAGTCACCCGAAGTTGCATGCTACTGATCGTCTCTAACAAGATACAATAGGGCCAGCAACGAGCCCTGCTTGAAAATAATGGCAACGTTGGGATTCAAGGCTTGTACCAGGCTTTTCACGGCCACGTCACAATGCGCTGAAATCAGTTCAGGGAGCATGGTAGCTTTTGAGATGTCAGTCATATCAAGCCTGACCAAGATACCGATTCTGGGAGTGACGTTTTGGTCGGGTTCTACGGAGATGCTAGTCTCGCAGCGGAGCTTCCCGCTCCTCGGTCGGCCACAATTGGCTATTTTGTACGTAGTAGGGGTTGGGTTTTTTTTGGACGAAGGTGATGCTTTCTGATGGATATATTGACGAGATGACGATCTATTTCGCTTGTTCCGAACTCATCACTATCGACATGAAGACGTCGACGGTAGGGGGAGGATGAAAAGGAACCTTAGGAAGATTGTTCTTGCTTTCTTCATGGACAGGCATATATGGCAGAATCATATGATGCTGGCCTGACCAGAATGCACATCCGTTGGTTCGGTGTAGTAGCTGAGATCATTCGCGCCATCGTATGGGGAGAATATCATCAGCTTTCGGCCCTTTTCTGGTAGACCCATACTATCATCATCTGTCGGCAGCCTAGTAACTCGCACAATCAACAGCGTCATCAGGAATATTCATTCTTGCTTCTGAGGCTGGAAAGGGTCACGGGAATGCTCTCAGGGTCTTGATAACATAGCCTTGTATGGTTCAATAGAGGCAGAAAGGATTTCGATTTTCACGTGATCAACGGCTATCGATCCTGATGGTCCTTCGAGGTCAACCCGAGGTGGCAGATACGTGACATATGGGCACCACGCCTAATTCGTGCCACAATTGCATCCTTCCGCCGCTTGCTGTAAGATTAAAGGGTAGAATTAGTGACCCAACCACGGAAAAGCCACAATGGGATCGGCAGGAGTGGAGCCGGCTACGCGTCTCTTTGGCACACTTTGCCATTGTCGGGTGTCAGAGCCTCCCCGCCTGCCCTTCTAGGAATAGATTCCCCCAGTTTTGCCGGCATTAATGGACCCCGCCTTTAGCCTTGTATCCCCTGGTCGATTTTCATCATCTCTCCATCTATCCCTGTTCGATCATTGCACATAGTGATATCCTCCGTTCTTTTGGCTCTCTTGAAAGTCTACGCTCTTTCAATGATCCCATGGTTTAGCTTCGTTTTGCTCTGATCTTTCTTTTTTCTTGTTTTATACTTTCCCTTCTTTTGGTCCCTATTCCTTGGTAGACCCTCACCGTCCATGATAATTCCTTGTGATATTTTCTCTTTTTCTTTCTCCGTCTCCCCCTAATCTTTTTAGTCTTCCTTTCTTGTTGATAGACTTCTTCTTTCCTTCTACTTGTACATACATGTTCTATTAGCTACGATCACGATGGTTCGTTTCTCCGCCGCCAGTGCCCTGCTGCTGGCCGCCGGCGCGGCCGCCGACACCTGGCCGTTCGCGACGTACGATACCGGTCCCTGGACCCCTCCTCAAATGAAGGTTCACAAGAGTGGAACGACAGAACCGGGATATATCTTCGTCGGGCCCCGGGGGAATCAGCCTAACGGAACCGCCGCCCTGATCTACGACGAAGAGGGCCACCTGGTCTACCAAGGGCCTACCCAGGTCACGGCCAACGTCAAGGTGCAAAAGGTGTTCAACGAAGATACCCTCACTTTCTGGGCCGGTGACATGACGAGTTGGGGATACGGGTTTGGGACGGTGCATATCCTGGACGACACGTACCGCGAGATGTACACCGTGAAACTCCCGGACGACCCGGCGACGGGCCGTTTCTTTGCGACCCCAGACGGCAACAGCCGTCCCTCGTACATCGACCTGCACGAGAGTCATATCACCGACCGCAACACCCTGCTAGTAACCGCCTACAACACCACCCAATACGACCTGACTCCCGTGCGTGGCGCGCCGGATGGCTGGATGCTGGACGCCCTGTTCTACGAGATCGACATCGCTACCAATGAGATCGTGTTTGCGTGGAGCGCCTTGGAGCACATCGCCGAACTGCCATTGGAGGAGTCCTTCCAGGCGATCGCGCCCGGATTCGGCACGCGCAACCAGCCGTGGGATGCCTACCACATCAACTCCGTCGAGTTGATGAGCGACGGCTATATTCTCTCTCTGCGTCATTACTGGTCGGGACTGTACGTCTTCAACAATGGCACCATCGCCTGGCGGTTGAGTGTAAGTCGTTGAACCCCTCTTAGATGCCCACCCCAGGAAGCTAACCGGTCTAGGGTGCTCACGATGACGGCGACTTCGAGATCGACGACGCCGGGTTGTACCAGTGGCAGCACGACATTCGCATCTTCGACGAGACGGACGAAGGATTCATCATGACTCTGTTCAACAACGTCGACACCCCCTCCGACCCCAAGACGGGCCCCACGACGGGATTGAAATTCCAGGTGGATCTGCTGAACCGCAAGGTCACCACCCTGCAGGTCATCACCAACACCCACGACGAAGTGTTCAGTGTCAGCCAAGGCAGCTTACAGACGCTCAACCGGGAAACCGGCCACATTTTCATGGGATATGGCTCGGTTGCGACAGTCAAGGAGTTCGACGGCGATGGAGACGAAGTCTTCACGGCGTCGTTCGGGGATCCCGGCCTGGTGGCCTCATACCGGGGCTACAAGTGCCAGTGGAAGGCCACGCCCTTCTGGCCACCCGCCATGGCGGTGGTGCCGACAGGGCCGGGCGTAGCGGAGATTTACATGAGCTGGAACGGCGCGACCGAGTACGACAACTGGGCGATCTACGCAGTGGACGGGCCGGAGGCGACGACCAGCCGCTTTGTCAAGTCGGTCAAGCGGGCTGGATATGAGACTCGTGCGGACGTGGGCAGCCTCAGGACGCGCTTCATGCAGGTCGTTGCCCGCAAGGGCGATATTCCGTTAGGGACATCGCCGATTGTGGAATTTTAAACCGTCTGGGCCGCGCGGGTTTTGGTCCGATGTTCGAATTCTTGCATATGTATGTATATATATACCACTGCCGTAAATATCGACGGTTACTATAAATACGATTCGATCGGGAAGCAGAAGTAGGCGGACGGTGCCAGGCTGTCTCCGTGCCACCCTCGATTTAGTATCCGCGCAAGGGCGACGCACACCAACCTGAGGTCGCATCATCCATTGCCACTCGATCGTATCCAACCACTCTTCCACATCAAACCGATACTACAACTCCTACTCCTACCTACTTACTATCCCTAGTAGCGGCAGTCCAAAAAAAGAGAAGGCAAGCCGGTACCACCCGCCCAAACAATCCCACCACCCCTGCATCTCAAACCTCGCATCCCACATTCCACACGCGCCGCACGGTACGATTCTCGACTCGCGGATGTAACAGGAAATGGGTTCCTCGGCCAGTCAGGCTGTCGTGCGGGTCTGGGACGCCGCCACAGGGCTGCGGGTGTGTTTCTGCGTTGGGCCTGTAATTCCCGATTGGGGGGCGTCCCTTGCAGATTGTCTTGGGGGTAGGGTGAGACGGTTGGGTACGGGATACAAGTTTTGAACTGGGTGGGCTGGAGGACGAAGGTGAAGGTGGCGATTGGGGTATAAATATGGCTTCGTTTCGCTGGAGAAGAAAGAAGAGAGAAAGCAGACACTCGCTCGTTTCTACTTTATCAATTACATTCGTTATCTGAAGCCAAACAACAACACTCGTTCCACACAAGCAAATCATTAAATCAATCAAAAAAATGAAGTTCAACCTCCTCCCCGTCTCCCTCCTAGCCACCCTGGCCGCCGCCCACCCCTCCACCAAAAACAGCACCGCGGCCATCACCCACCCCGGCACCAACACCTCCACCACCTCCCCCGCCGCAAACCCCGGCCGCGCCATCGTACAAAACAACTGCGCGGAGCCCATCTACCTCTGGTCCGTCGGCAGCGGCGTCAGCGTGGAGATTCCCATCCCGGACGGCGCACACTACAGCGAGACATTCCGGCATGACCAGAAGACCGGCGGGGTCAGTCTGAAGGTGACGACGGTGGCGCACGGGCTGTACAGCAGTGCGCCGCAGACGGTGTTTGCGTATAATGTGGTGGGAGAGTCGGTGTGGTATGATCTGTCGGATGTGTTTGGGGATCCGTTCAAGGGGTCCTCGGTTACGCTGTTGCCCAGTGAGCCGGTTATTCGGTGGAGTGATGGGGTGCCGCCTGTTGGGAGTATGGTTAGGGTTGTGGGGGTGGACCAGGATTTGAGGTTGACATTCTGTTAGTTAGTAGTATGATTGGGGATGTTAGTGTGGTTAGTGAGTAGGTGGAATTGTGGAGGATGTTATTGACGTTGAAGGATTGATGTTATGATATGATGAATAAGTAGAATGAATAACCTCGGACTTCTGGCCGACCTTCCTGATGGGGAATCCCCGCACTTTGTCCCACCCCACACTTCTCTCTTCTCTCCGATCTCTTCTTCTCTCTCACTCTTTTCCTTTTTATATAACATCTTACTCTCCTCTTTTTTTTTTTTCTTTATCCTCCCTCTCCTACATCTGCTAATACTCACCTTGTCCTGTCGTATCGTTGTTCCGACTCCATCATGGTCTCCCCCGCAATTCGCGTCCCCCCTTCGGCCGCCAAGCGGGCCCTGAACCTCCTACGCACCGTTCAATACACCCACCCCCCATCATGTCCCTGCCATGGCAATCCCAGTCACCATCACCACCACCGTTCCTCAACTCTATCCGACCATGTCCGCCGTCACATGGCCACGCCGGTCGACCCCTCGCGCCAGAAGGAGTACGCCTTCGAGATGGCCGCCTCCAGTATCCGCTTCGGGCCCGGTGCCACCAAGGAAGTCGGGATGGACTTTGCGAACATGCGAGCGAAGCGGGTGTGCATCGTGACTGATAAGAATGTGGCTAAGCTGGACGCGATGAAGCAGGCCGTCGAGGGGTTGAGTCGTGAGGGGATTGAGTTTACCGTGTTCGACAAGGTTCGCGTGGAGCCGAAGGATTATTCGTAGGTATAACCGAAACTGTGAAATCGGATGTATGGGCTAACGGAAACAGGATCAAGGAGGCGATCGCGTTTGCTCAACCGTATAAGCCGGATGCGTTCCTGGCAGTCGGTACGTTGTCCACTCATCCCTGGCATACCTCGGCTAAATCGTAATAGGTGGTGGCTCGGTGATTGACACGGCCAAATTGATGAATCTCTACGATGCTTACCCCGAAGCTGACTTCCTCGACTTCGTCAACGCCCCCCTTGGCAAGGGCCGACCCGTGGACCGGGCATTGAAGCCCCTGGTCGCGGTGCCCACCACCGCGGGCACCGGTTCAGAGACCACAGGCACGGCGATCTTCGACCTGGTGTCCAAGAAAGCCAAGACGGGCATCGCGCACCGCAACCTGAAGCCGACGCTGGGTATCTGCGACCCCATCAACACGCGCACCATGCCCTCGGCCGTGCACGCGTCGTCCGGCCTGGACGTGCTGTGCCACTCGCTCGAGTCGTGGACCGCCATCCCATACAACGAGCGCACGCCGCGCCCCACCAACCCCATCAATCGCCCCGCGTACCAGGGCGCCAACCCCATCTCCGACATTTTCTCCCTGCAGGCACTCCGCAGCACGGTCAAGTACCTCCCCCGCGCGGTGCGCGACCCGGGTGACTCGGAGGCCCAGGAGCAGATGCTGCTGGCCGCGACGCTAGCCGGCGTGGGATTCGGCAACGCGGGCGTCCATCTCTGCCACGGCATGAGCTATCCCATCTCCAGCCAGAACCCAGGCTACAAGCACGCGGGCTACGACGTCGACCACCCGATCATCCCGCACGGCGTGTCCGTGGCCGTCACCGCGCCCGCAGTCTTCCGCTTCACAGCCGCCTCCAACCCCGACCGTCATCTGGCAGCCGCCGAGGCATTCGGAGTAGACATCTCGACCGTCAAGCGCGAGAGCGCGGGTGAGGTACTGGGCGAGGCACTGGCCAAGTTCCTCTCTGAACTGGGCGACCAGCCGCGGGGTCTCAAAGACCTCGGGTTCAAGGCGTCGGATGTGGACGGGCTAGTAGAGGGGACGATCCCGCAGAGGCGGGTGCTGATGCTGTCGCCGAATCTGAGCCAGGAGTTGGAAGCGGAGAAGGCGGAGCTGCGGGGTTTACTGGAGCAGTCGCTGCACTACTAGAATGACCTCGACAATCCGACGGTGTCCGTCCATTTCACCCAGTGAGGACCATCTGGGGATATTAAAATGACGTGTACTGTATACTCGAATATATCAAACCATGTAAATACGCATAGCAGCCCAATCAATCCACCACCGCAGCGTCGCAACAATAGCAGCATCCTACCTAATTATCACTCGAGGCACAAACCCACTCCATCCATTGGCGGAAATCCCCCATCCCAAGCGCCCTCTACGCCAACCAGCCCAGATGTATTCAAAATCGCCAATGAGAACCACAGTCGGGGTAGCATTGGCGCCATCCGGGGGAAACCCGAGCTATCCCCATCAGCCCGGGGAGAAGGATGGAAGCAAGCCCGCTGCACAGCGGTCTAACCGAGTCAGGCCTGAGCGTCACGTTCGTAGTATTTCTTTGTTTAACGGTTTGATGGCGCCGCAATCAACTGTTTCTACTTTAGGGTAATGGTTGCGCCAGTCGTTTGGCCACTTGATTGGATTATCGTTGACCGCTTCGACCACAGACACCGAATTCATTCCCTGATTTGGGTAAGCGTTTCCCCGCCGGGCTACATGCAGACTTGCTCTACCCTACCTGACAGAGGAACTGCGGTGCGTACCGTGCAGGATGCACCGTGGCAGAGGCACAGACGGATCCGCAAACTAGCCGAGAGGCCGGGAATACCCCACAGTTGAGCTTGCGCTGGACCGACTGCCGAGTCCCTCTGGTGTTGATACTGTTGTTATGGATTGAAGGAGGAGAGCTGGTGGGGTCTGTGCTGTGGTGCCGATGAGCTGGGTTGGGTTGTATAAATGGTGTGTTGTCCTGGTTTATATGGGAGGTTGTTTTGTACTTTGTAATCTGTACTCAATCTTTTCTATACCTCTGTGCTCGGTGCTTGGTACTTGGTCCTCGGTACTCATACTTACTCTTTACTTCCTTACCTTCACCCCTCCATATCTACTCTATATCTATCTGTATATCTACTCTTCATACTTATCTTACCTCAACCACCAGAATACCCAACCATCCTCCAACCGATCAAACCAACCAACAGTCAATCCCTCTCAACAAAGAGACCGAGAAAATGCCAACCCCCCACTCCCTCCTCACCTCCCTCGTCCTCCTCACAGCAACCTACCTCAGCGCCGCCAGCTCGGCCCCCCCAAGCGTCTACAAGCCCCGAAAACAATCCAACCTCTACACAGCCGACACATTCTACTTCGTCAACACAGTCGTCTCCACCATAAAAGCCACCACAACAGCAACAATGCTCTACCACGCCCTCATCGCCCTCCTCTACCCGCCATCCACGCACCCAACCCTCCTCGCAAACATCTGCCCCCACACCGACCAACTCACCCGCTCCCAATTCACCTGGTCCCCAACGCACCTCCTCGCCCTCGCCGCCATCCTCATCGGCTCCTCCGTCCGCCTCTCCGCCTGCAGCGGCCTCGGCAAAGACTTCACCCTCCGCCTCGCCGTCCCAGACCGCCTCGTCACCCGCGGTCTGTACGCCTACGTCCAGCACCCGGGCTACACGGGATACCTGCTCGTGCTGGCGGGATGTCTCGGGCTCGGATGTCGGTGGGATGCGTCTGCCGGGGCGTGCTTCTTGCCTGGTGGGGTGCTGGGGGCGCTGAGTGGGTGGGGGGTGTGGGTCGCTGGGGTGATTGTGGGGGCTCAGGCGGTTGTGTTTGGGGTGAGGGTTGGTGAGGAGGAGGAGATGTTGAGGGGGAGGTTTGGGGAGGATTGGGTGAGGTGGAATAGGGGGACGGCGCGGTTTGTGCCGTTTGTTTGGTAGATTTCTGTATTCTTGGGGGGGTTAGATGTTTTTGGGGGATTGTTGGAGGTGGTGGTGGTGGTGTTTTTGGGAGGTGTGCTAGGGTTTCTATCTAGATAGTGAATGATACTTATGATTGTCTATCTGGATACTCTCTAGTATGCAGTAACACATAGTATATTTCAACTACCGGGCAACTACCAGGTGGAGATAATCCCTGCAGCAGATCATCTGCACCCTCCATCCGGTCTAGTCAATCTCCACGCCTGTCTCTCCATTCTCCAGTCTCCAACCTCAGCACGAAAATAAAACAGGCTGTGAAAGTCCGCCAGGACTCCTCTATACTACCACTAGCAGTTTCCCAATCGAGCAAGTAGGCCAGATCCGGAAGTAGACTAGAGACGAAAGAGAATAGGTGACTCAATACGCGAGAAAAGAAAGCCACCCTCCAATCCGACAGACCGATCTGCGACGAACTCCCGACGGACTTCCGACACACCAATCAGTTATTAGGTTATTAGGTACTAACTATCATGCACCTCGGTAGTTGGGGGGGAGGTGGTTGGTAGGTGATGTTTTCGCTGTCGATCTTTACTTCTTCTTCTTTTCTTCCTTTTTTTCTCTTTTTTTTCGAATTTATTCGATGAATTGTGCTAAAGTTGGGGATCTTCGTCGTACTTTTGTTATTATATGTAGTAGGTACTTTTACACTCTCATTCCCTTCATCTACAGAGTACAACTACCTAGATATATCATAGAACAGCAGTAAAGACCACAATGAACTACATAAACAGCACAGCGGATGTCAAGTGAGAATAAAGTGGGTCACACCCAACTCTCCGGTCTTGGGATGGAGTTCTCCACACGCACGCCCACACGCACTGATCATCAACTACACCGACCTGCTGTTTATGACCTACTAACTATTAGTATAAAGTCTATGGACTCGGTTGTCGGTGGGGTTAACAGCTTGTTATCGGTGACGGTTTCCTGTTGGTACTTAGTAGTGGGCTGCTTCTATACCGCTTTTTGGGTGGGTGGGAATTGGCTGTGGTGGGTTGTTGGTTGGTTGGGAGGGGAGGGGAGGAAGATGTAGTGTAAAGTCTATTTGGGATGTGGTGTTTCTGGTTGTTGGTTGCTTGTGTCTGCTATTGTATTGCCTAGTCAGCGGTGTTTAGAGAATAGGTACTAGGTAGGTAGTATGGTTATATTGAGGAACATGGGAGGACCGATAGAGACGGTCAAAATATTGATGATAATGATGACTCTTGTAATCTTGGAAAGGTTGTGAATAGTTGCAAGATTGCACACCTATGATCAGCCATAACAAACCTTATGTAGGGAAATCTCCGTAGATCAGCCGATGTTGGCTGATTACACGTCTTGATATTCCTTAGACAATATGTTGGTTGTTTATCCCAATGATATACATACAACTAGACGTATACTGTAGGAAGTTGGGGGTAGTATTTTACATATCTCGTGGGAGATTGAGTTCACTAAACCATATAGTCCAGAAAGTATCATCCTACGTTACATAGATGATGGATATAGATAGAAATCATCTATCAGGTCAAGCCTTATGGGCATCTATATTCTGCAGGTAGAGCAAAGGAACTGATCGTGTTGGGTCAAGTACTCGATGCATATACCAGACACTATTAACACCCATGTCTATATCCGGAGATATATGGCTGACGATCTCGCGGAGAGAATGTAGAATAACTGAAAGAACAATCTGTTCATAACCAGTCCTTATTTAGTACTCAACCCAACTATAATATCATCATTAATAATAAGGATAATTAACCTTGACGGCAACTATGATGTATCTGTCCTGCAGCGGCACTGCGCAGACGGCTACCAGCAGTCTGCTTCATGCCACGTGTACTGCGTTAAGGACATGCGTCATGTATATTATCTACTTCATCTGAAATTACTTTTGTATATCTGATGGTTTTATCATCTTGGGTGATATATAATAGAATATACGATTACATGTCACATTCCAGGCAGATATACTACCAACTAGTTTGCTTAATTCAGTTAGACCTAGAGACACAGAATACTGTACATCTATCCTCGGTAATAGTGGTGATCACATGTAAGAAATGTTTTGACTCGAGATCCTACTCTACTATCAATCATCACCAAAACCGCCTATCACGACACCATGAACAAAGACAGAGTCAACCATTTCCTTATGAGTTTCAGGTCCCTGCCCTGGTCCGTCAATCAAGCTTACGTAGCTATCATGGCTACATCACCCTGGTGTAGAGCTACACCTTTGTTCTGTCACTTCCAACGTGGGCATTCTTACTGGACCGGAAAGACAAATCCACCTTTCAACCACGCCACAACCTTCTTTATCACCGTTTCGGTGACCGGAACAATTCCAAAGCCACAGCCTTCTTTGTCGCCGTTGACCCGCCGGAATACCTCCGCATCAATGAAAGCTCTCATCCTAGGTGAATAACCAACACGCCAGGGTCGTACATGTGGAGGCGCAATTCAAAGACAAAGAAGCCCCTTGCAAGCAATAACGGACAATGGTCGATCCTCTTCGGCCGTTCTAGTCGATCGCCGCCAGACAACACGGCGCGATATAACAGTAGAAACAGGGGGATTTGATTCTCCCGAGATCATCAACCGTTGTACACACGGAGCGGGATCCGAAGGTAGGTAGCGAATTCCCTTGGCGCTTCCATAGAAAGGATGATCAGTGTTCTGGTGGAAGGAATGACCGCTTTGATACCAATTTTAGATAGCGGAAGGCTCGAGGGTCTCCACGTGCCTCCCGGCCAAATTTCTCTGTTTAGGGGCCTTTATCAGGAAGTTGAAGGGATGATCTGAGCTACCAAGATGGTCATGTCCGTTTCTCAATTCAGGTTAGCTCTGATCCTGCTTCCCCTAGGCCAGTAGGATGGTCCGACAGCAAAGCGAAATCGTCCTTCGGTTATTTGGCATCCTTTCGGGGATACCAAGTGTGGGGATGGACTCTGTACTGCATTGTGCCTAATGACATCCTGTCGTGTCGAACAATAAGAGTAATCCCTAGCGAGTATGTCCAGAGTACATAGGGATAGGACATGAGAACATAGGGATAGAGACATAAAAGGTCTCCAGACTCAATGTGGGGATTTCCTCTTTTGGAGCGACCAACGTGCCTTAGGCTTCGGTCTAGTGTCGTGATGCGCTGCCTCAGGCCCGAGTCATGACTCCGTCGTTCATCCGGATTGACACGACAATCTTCCTCTCTCTCTCTCACGATCATCCAAAGATCGCTTGAGATTTAACCGAAACATCCAAGCGACTAGCCTAGACTCCATTCCCGCCACTCCATCTCCCTGAACCTTGTTCATTCGATGGTCCAGACCGGGATATTGCCTGTCCCTAGTCTATTATACTCCCTCGTGTCGTCCAAGGGACATATCGTTGGACCCGGTACAACGTGGCTCGAAATCGTGCCATGTGGCTGTCCGAGCTTTCCTGGAGAAATCAAATAATCTGGGGTGTGAGGTTGGATTCAGCGTCGACTGTTTCCTTCGTATCTGTGGGATCGAGCGAATGAAACTAAGACCATTAATTCCCCCCGACTAGGAACGGAGCCATTGAGGCTCTGGATTGGCCATATCCCCGGCGCTATCGCCCACTTCAATATTAAATCGACAGGGAAGATTCTTAGATCGCCACTCATTCACTGCAACCTTTCCCCCCCCCAGATGTTCCCCTCATTTGGCACTGACTGCGGTGCTCGTGCATTGGCCCACTTTTCAGGTCGGCTCTTTGTCTCCACGCTAGGTGTTTATATCACTGGTTTCGCTGTTATTATCTTGCGATTGCCTCCCCCCGTTCTTCCCCCATCCTTCTTCCACTATGCGTCCGCCCTCCTCGAATCCCTGAACCTTCTTCCATTGGGATCGATAATGCGTTGCGCGCGGCTCGGTGTCATCTAAACTGCGGGATGTCTCCTTCCGAGCATGTCAGTCGGCCCACCGACCCGGATGCCCTCGTGCTGGAAGCATGGGGACAGGGCTTGATGGTCGGGTCGTTGGTGGTAATGGCCGCCGTCACCTTTGCCAACATGAAGAAGCATATTCTTCTACACAAGCTCATTTTCGCCGAAGTATGCCCCCCAACAAAGCCCAAAGCCCCCCAATGAAATGAAAAGAAAGGAATAGAAAATAAACAAGAAAAAAAAAAAAAAAAAAGATCTCGACGCCGGAGCTGGTGACTCGTATGCTGACGGTGCATGACCCCAGCTCATCCTCGCCATGCCACATGGAACCTTCATTTTCCCTGCGGAACCCGCCTACGGCTGGTACCTGTCCGTCAGCGCCATCGGATTGAACATCTCGTGGAGTCTACACAACGTCATCGCCTGGATGAAAAACCGCCCATTCTTCTCCAAACGAGTGTCCATGTTCTACATCATAACGGTCCTGCTGGTCCAGCCGTACTGGGTCGTGGAAATCTACGCCAATTTCACCTATTTCAACAACATCAATCAGATCTTCACAACCACGCGGCCGTTGGAGCCATTATTCCGGTATTTCTCCGTCCACTCATCTGCCGGCTGTGTGCACCGTCTGACCCCTCTAGTGACCCATGGTGGGTGTTCACCACCGTCTCCCTCTTCTACACCATCAAGCGCGAATACAACTTCGGCATCATCGAGCTCGTTACCGTCAGCCCGCGTTTCGGCATCATGCTGGCAAGTATGTGTCTCTCCATCGCCTTCATCGTCGTCGACACCTGCAGCGTCTTGAGAGTATTCGACGCATCATCCTTACCCACCGGCGTGGAGCCATTCTGGAAGGTACATCCCTGTCTACCTATAAATAACCAACCAATAAAAAAGGAACATGCTGACTCTCCCAGCTGAGCTTCATCTTCAAATGTCTCTGTGACACCGTCATCCTAGACGACTTCAAGACCGCGCTCGATCGCATGCGCGCCCATTGGTTCCAGAAACGGGCACGGTCCGGCGAGATCTTCCTACCGCAGTCATCCTCGCGGGGTGAGCAGTCACGTCCGCGTCAGACGCCCCAGCAGGCTGCATTCGACGATGATGTAGATGCGGATCTGGAGACGGGGATGGGGATGGAGCCGACTAAGATGGATAGTGGGATCCCGCAGGTCCACACACGAGAGCGCCAACGCGTATGATGAACTTGAACCTTGATACCCAGTAGTAATGCATGCAACTGTACATATGATAATCATCATGATCTTCATCTTCGTATAATGTACCATAACCATACCCATACCCAAAAGAAACACTTCCAAAAGAAAAAGAGAGATTAATGTCTAGCCCCCTCAACAGCATGCAAATCCGCCGCCTGCGCATTCGTAACAACCTCCTCCTGAAACTCCTCCGAATCAGGCAACTCAACCCTATAATCCTTAATAGCAGCCGCACCCAGCACCACCCCCTCACCACCATCATCGACCTCAAAACCAGTAACATGACCGCCCTTCTCGCCCCCCTCCGCCACAAAATGCAAATGAAACCCGGCCACACTAAACCCATTCGTATACTCCGGCGACCAAAACCCAAACAGCGTCCCCTTCACATCGCGGAACTCAACCGGCGACACGCGCTGCCCCAACTCCTTCAGCGACTGCCGCGGCCTCTCCTGCGCAGGCACAAACCGACACCGCACAACACTAAACGACCCCTCAATCTTCACCGAAATGAAATGATTCTGCTTAGCAGGCAGGAGCGGCGCAAGCGCTTTATCAAGCGTGCTCATCGAGAGCGGGGCAGAGAGCCGCTTAGTGAGGGTAGGTTCGAAGCGCGTGATCATCAGGAAGGGCATTTGCTCTGTGGGTGGGAGAGGTTTCAGGTTCGTGTAGTCTGGCGGGAAGTGGTAGGCTTTGCTGTTTAGGATGACGATTTCGCCGTTGAGGTGGGTGATGGTGCCGAGGCCGTGGTCGCCGTGCTTGAGGACTTCCGAGAGGGTGGGGCCTGTCGTGCTGATGCCGTGCATGAGGGCGTTGAGGATCGAGTATTGGTAGAGGGTGTTGGGCTCTGCCATTGTTGCGGTTGGGCGTGGTGTTGAATTCGCTTGTGGTGTTGTTTCGGCGGCGGTGGTTGTGCAGACAGTTTGGTGTCTGTCTGACTGTCTGATTTCGCGGTTGATAAATTGGACGCCTTGCCCCGCAGTGTTCACAGACAGTGGTAGTTAATCGCTCAGGCCGTATGCGCTGTTATGCAAGTGTGGTTGGTATTTCGTTGTTGAATTGTGGTCAGCGGGGAATTCGGAGTCGAGTCAATCAATGATATCATCCCACATGCCTAAGGCAGAGGTTTGTATCTCCTTAGGCTATCTATTATGCCTGAGGCTTACATTTCTACTCTCGTGAATCGCACTAGCCTGATTTGGAGTATTCATGCCTGAGGCAAACATGTTCTATATTGAAACAGCGAACGATTTCGGCTTCTCTACTGTCTCTCACTTGTTTGATCCTTGCTACGGTTCATTACATGTCGATGATTACGCGCTGTCTAACAGCTGGAATTATTAGATAACCACAAAATACAGATGTTTACTCCGTCAGTTCATACAAAAGCTGAACGAGATCGAGGGTATTGGACATAAACTCCAGAATCACACCTCACTATCCAACACTATCCAACACTCCGGCTGATTATAACACAGGTACAATTTTACGAGCTGTTGTGATTCTCATATATATCTATCATCTCTCCCGATCTTTGATTTTCATCCTCCACAATCTCGACCCCAGGAAGAAGCTACCCTGGCTTGCTGACATCAGATAATATATATTATCATTCCAAGCCCCCCCCCCCGACTGGTCTCCACTAACCTCCTGCTCATTTCACTACACTCTTGGAATCTATTTGTGGACATACTATCTCAAACGCAAGCGATCTAGACCGGCAACCTTGCTCCTATTTTTTCAGCCTAAAACTAGCCAGTCGCAAACAGTCTAGGACAGATAATCCCACCAATACGATCTTGCAAATTACTCGGCCCGAGTATCTGAGATTGAGCTGGCTGTGCCACAGACTAGCTCTCGTTTCATAATCTGGTGCACGGAGCCCATTATCTTGCTGCGCACGGGTATGACTCGCGTACGTGCTGAATCAGGGGTTGCGTCGACAGTGGATTGGGGAGACAGATAGATATCTGACCTCGTTTTCATAGAAATGACGAATCCATGTAGACAAACCTGTCTGGCCCGTCTACGCTGAGATGGACTCAATGCGATAGCAACAGTTTCATCAACCCAACAACGGACCCCGATCTTAACCACGCGTGGTATACCTGGACTAATTTCCACCACTAATTCGGCGTGTGTTCTCTGGTAGAGGCACATATAACATGAGTTGCAGCGCTGTTGATGCGATTGTCGGCTAGTATGGTTCATACTATTTTATCCGCATTCAATATCGAGGTGACATATTGGCAGCCATACTACTAGTTTCGAGCCATGATAGACATACTACTATAAACTATAAATTATACCAACATGACTCTAACCATTCAACGAGAGAAGTATACAACAGTATAGAAGAGATCAAATCAGACTATAAATAATATAAACAACCAACAATTATATAGATGTGGTACTGCGTCTGAAAAGTATAGCCGTTACCGGCAACCCATTGACGTCATTCATCTGAGATCCAACATCTCAAATATATATACGAATACTACATTCTCCATCACGACTCCAATTCTCCATGTCGATCCCATTCAATTAGTCAACTAGTCAATCTCTATTTTTATACTCGATCTAAAAGCCAACTTCACCTCTACCCTCGTCTCAACCTCACCACCCACCACCCCCCCTCAAAAGAGCATCCAATTCAAAATGGACAGACCCCTGCCACCAGCTAGCACAGACGTAAATATCCCCCCCTTCTCCCCCCATTCCATCCCCCCTTCCCTCCAATCTCCATTGATTATTACAACCTACTAACACCAACACCAAACCCAAACAGCCCGTCGTCCTAACCGCCCAAGAATCCTCCCCCAGCGTCCTCTTCCCCACATTCACAGCCACAACAGCCTGGACCCTCGGCCTCAGCCTGCGCGAACGGATCCTATCCCTGCCCTCCTCCCAGCGTCGGCCCGCGCTCATCTCCATCTCCCTAGGCGGCGCATACCCATCCCCCCACGTGGTGTTCCAGTGCGCGACGGAGCCGGGCACGGTCGCTGATAATGAGGAGTGGGTGCGTCGGAAACGCGCGACTGTGTTGCGGTGGGGTGTGTCGAGTTGGTTGATGAGGAGGAAGGTGTTGGCTGGGTTGGGGGCTTTGGAGGGTGGGGAGAGGGAGAAGGAGGTGGAGGGGGCGTTTGTGAGGAAGTTTGCGCTGAAGTCTGGCTCTGGGGGTCCCGCGGATGAGTATGCGATTCATGGGGGTGGGTTTCCCGTTAGGGTTACGGGGGTTGATGGGGTTGTGGGGGTTATTGTTGTTAGTGGGTTGAAGCAGGAGGATGATCATCAGGTTGTGGTTGAGACTGTGAGGGAGTTTGTTGGGGAAAAGTCCTGATTCTCTTTTGATCTTCTTATTCTTTTTTGGCTTCACTTGTGGTGGTTACAATCTAAGTTATACGAGTGATGAGTGTATGTAATACCATAGGTAGGATGTCTGATTAGACCGAAAAACATAACTCCAGAAACCCTCTAATTATTTTACAATTCATCATGCCCGCTGGGCTCGTCATCCTCTTCGGGAGCCGATCCGTACAGCTTGCTGGTGATCGGGTACGCCACGTTGGACAACTGCTCCTTCTGCTCCTCGAAGTCCTCGGTCGTGGCATCAGCCGCGTTGTCCTCGAGCCAGTCGGACACCTCCTTGACGGCGTCCAGGATCGTCTGCTTGTCGTCCTCGTCGATCTGGCCGCCCAGTCCGTTGTCGTCCTGGACCTGGTTCTTCAGGCTGAACGCGTAGTTCTCCAGCCCGTTGCGGGCCTCGATCTTGGCCTTGACCGCCTTGTCCTCCTCGGCGAACTGCTCCGCCTCGGCGACCATGCGGTCGATCTCCTCCTGCGAAAGACGGCCCTTGTCGTTGGTGATGGTGATCGACTCGGCCTTGCCAGTGCCCTTGTCATTGGCACCGACCTTCAGGATTCCGTTGGCGTCCAGGTCGAACGACACCTCGATCTGGGGAACGCCACGGGGGGCGGGCGGGATGCCGGTCAGCTCGAACTTGCCGAGCAGGTTGTTGTCCTTGGTCAGGGTACGTTCACCCTCGACTGTGGTTGTTAGCATCATTCATACATATCAGAAGAAAAAGAAAGAAGTGACATACAAACTTGGATCAGGACGGTGGGCTGGTTGTCAGCGGCCGTCGAGAAGATCTGCGACTTGCGCGTGGGGATGACGGTGTTGCGGTTGATGAGCTTGGTCATGACACCGCCGGTGGTCTCAATACCCAGGGTGAGCGGGTTGACATCCATGAGAACGATGCCGTCGGCGGCCGACTCGCCGGTCAGAACACCACCCTGGACGGCGGCACCAAAGGCAACGGCCTCATCGGGGTTGATACCCTTGCTGGCCTTCTTGCCGTTGAAGTACTCCTCGAGGAGGGCCTGGACCTTGGGGATACGGGTGGAACCACCGACCAGGACGATGTCGTCAACGTCGGCCTTCTTGACCTTGGCGTCCTTGAGCACCTGCTCGACGGGCTTCAGGGTCTTCTTGAACAGATCCATGTTCAGCTCCTCAAACTTGGCGCGGGTCAGGGTCTCGGAGAAGTCGTTGCCCTGGTGGAAGGCCTCGATCTCAATGCGGGTCGACATCTGGGACGACAGCGTGCGCTTGGCCTTCTCGACCTCACGCTTCAGCTTACCCATGGTCTTGAGGTCCTTGGTGATGTCCACGTTGTTCTTCTTGTTGTAGAGCTTGACGAAGTAGTCCATGACGCGGTGGTCGAAATCCTCACCACCCAGGTGGGTGTCACCGGCGGTGGCCAGGACCTCGAACACGCCGTCGTCGATCGACAGAAGAGAGACATCAAAGGTACCACCACCCAGATCGTACACGATAACCTGGCGCTCGTCACCGGTCTTGTCCAGACCGTAGGCGATAGCCGCGGCGGTAGGTTCGTTGACAACACGGAGAACGTTGAGACCGGCGATGGTACCGGCGTCCTTGGTAGCCTGACGCTGGGCGTCGTTGAAGTAGGCGGGGACGGTGACGACGGCGTGGGTGACCGCCTTACCGAGGTAGCCCTCGGCGATCTCCTTCATCTTACCGAGGATCATGGCGGAGACCTCCTCGGGGGTCATGGTCTTGGGGGTCTTGTTCACGTCGACCTTGACCACGGGCTTGCCATCCTTGTTGGCAATGGTGAAGGGGAAGTGCTTGGCGTCCTTCTGGACATCCTTGTCGCTGAACTTGCGACCAACCAGACGCCTACGAACACGTCAGTAACCGATTCCAATACAGATGACCCGAAGAGGGACTCACTTGATGTCAAAGATGGTGCGCGTGGGGTTCGCGGCGTATTGGTTCTTGGCGGCGTCACCGACGAGGCGCTCCTCATCGGTGAAGGCAACATAAGACGGGGTGATACGGTTTCCTTGGTCGTTCACGAGGATCTCGACCTTTCCATTTTGCATGACACCGACACAGCTGTAAGTGGTTCCCAGATCAATACCGACAACTAGATAACAATCGATTAGCTCCTCTTCCTTCCGACAGATCGAGGGATCGGATGCCTACCGGTTCCATACTCCAGCGCCGTGTCGTCCTCGGCGTGTGCGGTCCCGAAAAACGCCAGAGGCGCAATGAAGACAAGTAGCAGGTAGAGGACAGTGGTCCAGGCCGTAAACGGCTTGGCCACGCCATTGTGACTCGACAGACGCGCCATGATGCACGTAGAATCAACCGTGACGAGAAACGCGTCGAGTTACACGTCCAGGTTACGAAGGTAGAAAGAAAAAGGATTAAACCCAAACAAGAGAAAGAACAGCTCAACCCAGTCGACAAGGGAAAAAGGGTGAGAAAGGTGGGTTGGGGATGGGTGTAAGAAGGAGAGACAGGAAGAGAAAGAAAGAAGAAGAGGAAGAAGAAGCAGTCGGGGATGTTCTTGTATGGCGCGGACGGCGGCGAAGAAACACAGCGGCCATGCTGGCCTTTTCCTCAGGCTGCGGCCGCCCTGCATCGTCTGGTTTACTTCTCGCGCGCTGATTGGTGGGAGCTCCGGGTGACTCATCCTGCAGAATTGACCGCCTACTGCATCGGGCAGTTCTGCCGGGTGTTCGTCGGGCGGCCTGAGGCGGCGAAACTGCTAGAAGATCGCCTTAACTAAGCAGGCACACCGCGCATAGCATAACTCCTGCATACTTGCCACATCTATCAAACCTGGGGTCATCGTATAATGGATCCCTTGGGAGTCAATGGACAGACAGGCACCGACAAGTAAAGGACACTTGTCCTCTACCTTCGACGCCATTCTCGAACTATCCCTCCCCATCTGAACCACTGGAACCATCCCGTCCACAGCCACAACCGCCCAGTGGATCGAAGTAGGCTGGGTTTCTTGGCACGTCCACTAGATCGGCTAGGAATAAACCATAATCTACAAGCTAGAGGAAGATGGGGGATGTCATCTTTGTTCAATGGATCCACACGACTAGTCTAAAGGACACTATTCCAGTAACCCAGCGGCCACCGTGTCGCCGCCAGCCCGCAGCACAATCCGCGTCGGGGCCTCGAGGGGAACAGCCTGGTCCATCTCGACCGCAATCCGCGCCACCGTGCCTGGGGCGATGATCTTGGGCTTCTTCTTGAGCACAGCGCCAGACCCCTTGTCCAGCGTGGCCACCAGCTTACTGATCCGCCCGGGCACGTGCAGCCGTCCGTGGTGGACGTCGATCATGCTGGGCATTAGGTGCTCGAACGCCAGCACCTTGGTGGTGAACGAGGTGATGTTCTTAATCGGTGCGGACGCGCGGCAGATCACATCGCCCGTCCGCAGGTGGATGGGATCAATGTTCGCCAGGTTCAAGACCACGTTCTGACCGGCCACCGCCCAGTCCCGGGGCGTCCCGTCTACCTCCAGACTCCGGATGGTGGCCGTCTCCCCGCTGGGCATCGTGAGGATGACGTCGCCCACCTGCAGACTGCCGGCGTCGAGGCGGCCCGAGATGGACAGCGGGTTCTGCACACTACCCCGGAAGACGTCGCCAATCGTCATGCGGAGGGGCTTGTCCACCGCGTGGGCGTGAGGCTCGGTGGCCTCCAGCTCCTCGATCACCGTGCGGCCCGTGTACCACGACACCTGGGGGTCTTCGCTCCGTCGGGTCACGTTGGCACCGCTGATCCCCGAGCAGGGCACAAAGGACAGGTTCTTGGCCTGGAACCCGGCGGTGGTCATGAAGGACGACACCTGCTGTTCGATCTCTTCGAACCGGTCTTTGCTCCACTCCACCGAGTCCATCTTGTTCACCGCCACGATGACCCTCTGCACACCCATACTGCGCACCAGTAACGCATGCTCCTTGGTCTGCCCCTTCAACCCCGCCTCGTAGTTGCCGGTCCCCGCATCGATAACGAGTACGGCGAAGTCCGCCTGACTGGCGCCGGCGATCATGTTCGGCACGAAATCTCGGTGCCCGGGCGAATCGACAATGGTGAACACGGTGTCCTCCGTCTCGAAGTTGTTGGTCGCAATATCGATCGTCACACCGCGCGCGCGCTCCTCGGACCCCTGATCCAACACCCAAGCCAAAGCAAACGACCCCTTTCCGATCTTCTCGGCTTCCCGGCGGTATCTATCAAGGGTGCGTTGGTCGACTGCCTTGAGGTCCGCTAGTAAGCGTCCCATCAGTGTACTCTTTCCTGCATCCACGTGACCTAGATGGGCAACATTAGTAAACACGATCTCAATCGAGATGCAGGGTATGGCACCCACCGATCACCGCGAAATTCATAGCTCTCTTCCGTTTCGTCTTCTCAAATTCCGACAGAACGTCGAGATTCTTGCTCTTGACGTTCACCTTTTCTACAACACTCAGGTTGTCCATACCGCTCGCCAGATCGCTCGATTTCTTGTCGCCTGTCGACTTGGCAGCAGACTGTTTCGATTTGAAGCCTGCATGTCCATTAGGGAGGTCCTAGATCTTGCGCCGAATCGCCAAACCTTTAGCTGAGCTCTGTGCGTTCATGACGACATCGTCGGGACTGGGGCCTGTAAAGTCAAACGGTTCAGTGAGGTCTTGCCCGTAAATCTTGATCAGATCCAACGTGTTTGAAGACAGGTGGCTGGGCTCGGCCTTTGGACGGATGGCGTCCCCGACGATCGTGCTAGCAAAGGTAGACGGCGGCGCCATGATGTTCACCTCCGGCTCTTCCTTTTTCGTCTCCGTCGGAGTATCTGCTGGTGGACTAGGATGGGGTTCGTCGACAGTGCTTGGCTTAGGACGTTCGGGCGAAGGCTTCGGCGAAGGCTTTTTCGGGGACGCAGGACTCTCCAGGCGCGACCCTCTCGCCGGGCTCGGAGACTGTGAGCTATCCGAAGACTTGGGCAGCTTCCCGTTGCGTGCAAGCCTTTCACTCAGCGATAGTGGGGCGCCCTTGGATGGAGTGGCGGACCTCGAGGGCTCAGCGCTATCTGTCTGAGGCGTGGGGACAGGGCTGGGTGTCTTCTCGCCCTCCTTCTTTTTGCGCGCCGCAGCCAACGCAGCCAACTTCGACATCTTCCCCCCAGCCTCAGGCGCACCCCCGAGAAGCCCAAGCCCAGGATACAGAGGTTCCACCAAAATCTCGGCCTTCCGATGCGCTGGCACGCTAAGCCACGGCGAGTCGCGAAAAAAGTCCTTTGCCGAGAAGTGGGCGACAGGCGGCAAGGACGGTATGGGAAATCCAGGAAAAGACGCCGAAACTGCAAGTCCAGTTAGAACATGTTCGATCTTGCCCAACGGAGTCAGTAAAATTGATCGACCGCAAGAAATCGAAGTAATACTCACTGCCATCTTCGATCCGCCGGGGAGGGAGAAGAAAACGCCCCGCCGGTAACCCGAGCCCAACCACGCGGAAAATGCAAAATCAAGGAGACAACCAAGGAACGCGAGGCCAGCTTACCTGCACTACTGCCCTTTGCCTTTGCGACCGGAGCCGGCGCGCTCTGCTTCTTCTTGGTCTCCTTGGCTCTCTTGTCTGTCATGGAGCAAGCCACCAATTAGCACACTTCGAATCACTCGCCGAGCGGGCCGGGACAAAAGATTGCCACTCACTTCGTATGTAGTTCACGGTTTTTTCGACATCATTATAGTAATGCCACAAGCTCTCTTGGACCTCTTCGCGTGTCGCAGTGACCGGAGAATCCCCCGTGCGGAGCTGTTTCAACACCTCCTCTGTACATTGTTGGGCAAACTCCTGTTCTTCCGAGTTATATCCGTCGTCATCGTAGTCGTCCAACTCTTCATCGTCGTAGCCAACGGCTTTAATGCGATGGCGCGACATGGTGGCTGATGCGGATCGGTAAGGAAGAAGGCGGGGCAAGCTGTGCGAGAGGGGTTCGATCGTAAAGAGGCCTGCAGAGCACGGTTCGTGAGGATAGGGATATATATGATCGAATAACCCGTGGCTGTATTGCGATCTATGAGAAATATGTGCAATTCGAGAAAAGAGAGGGCGTCAACCTGTCGAGAAAAGGCGATCGAACAGGCGAGGATGTGGTCGTTGGAGGGGAAGAAAAGAACCAGACGGACTCCGGTCCAGCTAGCGGGATGAGGCAGTCAGGCACTCAGTCATCCACCACGTCATTCCCCACTACGGTCTCCATGAACCAAACCAACAAACCACAAGCCAGGTGATTACGCAGGGTAAAGAATATGGGGTATCCACGGCAGAATGCTGCGGGTGTAGAATTTGAATTTACTGTGAATTTCAATTGGAGTCTCTAGCTTAACTACCTTGAATAAACTAACACTGACCGGGCTTTGAAGCCAGGTGGGTACATCGTAGCAACCAGGAGACAAACTTCTATCGCCATGCCATCGATCAATCAATCATACCATGCACAAAAATATACTATCGTGAGAGGTCGTCAGGATTCGCCTGTTTCCACTACAGGAAAAGGTCGTTATTTCAGCGGACTCCCGCCAAAGAAATCCCCTGCTCCTGGGCCGGAGAATGTGCCATTGCTGGGGGTGAGGGCAATGGAGCGTCGGAAAGCCTGGCGAGGAGTCGTGGGGGCGCTGGGGACGGTCGCGGTCGCTGCCGTCGTTCCAGGGTCAGGCACGTTGGGGGTGTTTCGGCCGCTGGCGTTCTGCATACTGACTGCAGTGCCGGGCCGGGAGAGAACGGTCACGGTTCCGTTGCGAGGGGGTGGCCGGAACCCAAGTTTGGATCCTTCGCGGAATATCTCCTCCAGCATCTGCGATACGATCCCTGCATCTTCGTATTCACGGAACTTCTTCCACAGCCGCAAGGCCATGCGTGCATCCTCAATAGAATCGTGGCCCTGGGTGTTGTCCACGGGTTCTTCTTGGATATACTCCTTGAAGACCGCCCAGGCGAGATACCGCAGACTAAGCCGACGGTTCTTTCCTGGGTGGAAGTAGAGGTATTGCGTATCCACCGTCTGATTTTTCGGGACCTGGATGTTGATCTTCCGGAAGTCGGAGGCCAAGCCGTGACCGACAAATATGCATCCCAGGTTGAGCAGCAGCCACAGTTTTTTATATGCCACTTTAAGCGGGACCAGGTTGTGCTGACTGGTTCTGGGGTCTAGGTCGCCAGGGTTGATGCCGGAATACTGCGTCACATAGTCGACAATCGTGTCTTTGATAGTAATGTAGTCGTCGATGAATGTAACGCCTTCGCGCAGTCCCGAGCCTCGCAAGACAGATACCCGGGCAAGACCACTCTTGTTGGGCCTCACCATCTCCTGGGAGCCGTCGGCTTTCACGTCTATCTCGGCCTTTTCCAGGTCGACGAACTCGGTATCCAACGCAACGGGAGTACCGGGGGAAGGTTTTTCGTCCTCGGAAAGCGTCACCCGCGACTCTACCGGGCGACCACCGCTATGACAAGCCAAGTTAGTAGGTGAAGATGTTGTCTTGATAAACTTGGACTTACTTTAGTGACCAATCGCGGAACAGCAGAGTGGTGTCGAGGGTGTTTTTCCACGAATCGTCCACGGCGTGACGCGCATCCTTGATCTGGTAAGCCAGGACAGAGGGGATCTTCCATGGTTGGTTAAACCGGAGCGCCTCGTCCTTATCCACTTCTGTGACGAGGAAGTCATTGAACAGGTGCCATCGGTTCTGGGGTTCGGGTTCGCGAGAAGACACGGAGACATTGATGAAAGAAACAAGGTGGGCCTTCTGGTGCTCAGGGACATCAATCTCACACACCAGACCCACCAGCTCGTACACCACAAGCCCCGGCATGTTGGCCTGAACGCGCACACGGAGGTCCTCTCCTTCGAAGCACATAATCTGCCCTCCTTCAACGAAAATTCCAACTTCCTCCGGTAGCCACCCAGGGACCGCCCAGAGTCGTCGGCAGAGCGGGTTGCTCAAAGCGGCGTTGAGCATCATCACGGGAGGCATGCGGTGCACTGACTTGCGAATCGTCACTTGCTGATAGCGTCGGCAGTAGTTGCACCAGCCCCTGTTCTGCGTCTCACGTTCGATGCTTGCCCGCAAGATATTCGAGAATCGGAAAGCCGGGTTTCTGCGCGCCTGCTTGATATCGATGGCCGGGTAGATCAACTCGCTGGCTAGCGAATTTCCGGGCCGAACGATCTCATTGTGGCAGAACATGCACCGAATCGATTCTGATGCTATCGTGGCGAGCCTGTGGTCCAGGTCATCCGACCCGGGAAGGATCATGCGGTAGTCATGGGCGATTTGTCCGAGGAAAAATCGGTGAACCGCCTGGATGGCTGAGGAAAGGGACTTATTCGTCAAATTTTCTTCCAGCAATCCCAGGGTCGATGCTTCGCGATAGCTGCTGAATGTTTTCAGTAAATTAGTAGCCTGGCAGTTCTGGCCATTCGCCTTTTCCAGCATATCAAAGAGATACCCCATTTCACACAAGAGACAGTTCTCGAAGATACAAGAGCTCGCGGCATGCTGTAGGGCGACGTTTCGGACTAGGGGGATGAATTTGAAGAGCTGAAGAAGAGCATTGGTGAAGGAGTTGGCGATGTGTGTTTCCAAACCGGAGAACTTGGTCCGGTTATAGAACCTAGTTGTGGAAGTTAGCACGTTACGAGACCGACTTATGACAGGACCATCTTCATACCTAAAGTCAAAATCATCCACACCAAATCGACTGTACTTGATCTCAACGTTGCTGTACTTGAGCAATGGATCGTCTTCGCCCTCTCCGTTGATCTTGCTGCCCGCCAGGGCCTCGGCAGTGTCACTTACTGAACCTTCGGATTTCGCCCTACTTTGCTCCCTGGCTTTCTCGCTCAGGAACTTCGGGGCAATGAGGGCGGGCTCCGAGGTAGTCAACGCACGAGTGTTTTCGACCTGGTTACGTCGGGTTTTCTTCGGATTCGGCGCGTAGTGACCGACCTCGGCCGGGCGAAGGTACGGGAGCAGTGCCTGGTCGACTTGGTTCGGGGGGCTGCCCACTTCGAAGACAAGGTGACTAGGCCAGGCCGACAATAAACGTTCATGGTAATAGGGCATGCCGACCATGTTCAGGGGGGTATCCGTGGCCCAGTCAAAGGGCGGCGGTCGAGGGACCACGTCGGCGAACTCCGCTTCTTTGCTCATTTCATTGAAATGTATCTTTGCCGGGGAGCCCCACAGGTGAATAGAACACTCTGCATCATTGATGGCCAGGGCCTCTCCAGACGGGGAGATATCAATGCCCAGCATGAAGGACACATTGGCCTGGCGCAGATTGATGGCATTGGGATTCATGAGGTCTACCACCTGCAGTTGTCCGGTCTGCGAGGCAACAAAGCTAGTGGTGTGGAGCTTGGGGTGCATGCGCACATACGCGGCGCCGGCATGAAATGGGATGGGGGGAAGCGGGTTAAGCGTCTTGAGGTCGTAAACATTGGCTAACGGATCCACGATGGGCGACCCAAGATGCCTCATCGAGAAGCCACAGGTGACCAAGAGATCATTTCGAGCATCCATATCGTTGACCGCCGTTCCATGAGCCTTCCACGACTTGACCACGCGGAAATCAGCCAGGCTGAGTGCGTTCACCGACCCCGTGTCCGTCGCAGCACAGAGATACCGGCTCTTCTTCATCATCGTATAGTGGTACTCAGTCGGCAGTTTATCCACTATTGTTCCCTTGTCAATGTCAATGGTGAACATCGCCTTTTGGCACCCCGCCACGATAATTCGGTTCAACTGCGCGGTAAAACTCATGCAGCGAAGATCGACCATATCGTCGTGAGTGATGTGCCATTGTGTCAACCCGCGCCGCGTGATCATGTGAATACTCTTTGACGATAGTGATATGACGCCTCGGTCATGGAAGAGGATCTGCCGTACCATGCCCTCCGAGACCGGATGGGCCCTAATGGAGGTATACCGTTGCAGCTCAGGACCGTAGAAAGACGTGATTCGGCCCTATCCACATCAGAAACACATTAGAATGCATCGATAATTCCCATCCTCGAAAAAAGACTCACATATTCATTCCCGACCCACAATAGCTCCGACACATCGTCGAAAGCTATCGTTGTTGCAATCGTCGGCAAAGCGTGCGAGCTTGGCGCCGGCACGGGGATGCGCGACAGCTCATCCCAGTCGGCCTCCATGGGGAGGAAGGAAGAATTCCAACTAGATGGATCTCAATAAAGTCGATAGATATCCCGTCTTTCAAAGAATGAACTGGAACTGCCCATCCGGAACCAGAGCGAGAGTGGGCATCGTTCAGCCACGCGATTGCGGGGAGCCGTTGGATCGTTCAGGCACGATGATGATGGGTGGGAGGTATTCAGGGCCAGCGGCTAATGGTACGTATGAGGAAGCAGATTTGCGGAGACCGAAACCCGAAAGAAGAGAAGGCTGTACAGAGAGAAAGAAGGAAAAGGGCCCCAGGCCAGGTTTGGCATTCCTGATCGATGGACGGCGATGACCAGACGGGCAGCGGTGATGTGGGACACGCTGTCACGTGGTGTGTTGGCGGCCTCAGGCGGTGATTTCCCAAATAGGCAATAGCATCAACGACAGTCCACGTTCAACTATACAGCATACTCTTTCTCCAGCAGTGACATTAGATCGCTGGCTATGGTATGCTCATCGCTCTTTACTGAGGCTATACATTCCATAATAAAGACCAGTAAAAATGAGTCTGTCATACACTCTGACCATATTGCATGCCATGTGCCTAACTATGAGGGACCTGGCGTACAATTAAAACCTGAGGCATCCAGCGGTCGTCCGCCTTTTCTATAGAGTATAGACTGACTTCAATCTTCATCTTTCTTTCCATCATCATATCGGCCATATCTATAACTCCGACAGTACCAATAATTCTTTCTGGTGTCCCGATTACCTGAAACTTCTTCGATAATCCTCTGCCACATAGCTCCCTCCCCACCCGAACACTCTAACTCAAACCCCTATAGCCATGCTATGGATTCGAGACGAGAGCTCTCTACAAAGCGGGGCTAGCACATGCCAACCCCTTGCAAAATAAGTTCAGTTCTCGAGATTTTGAACGAGGTCCCATCATACGCGCGTTCCCTAAACAGACACGGTCTGAGGCGGCTCTGCCCCCGAGATAGTAGCATCTCTGAAGGTAGGCTAATGTCAAGTCGTGGTTATGAAACATCCATGCTAACCATTGTCGGTTGCTTCTGACTCTCCGATCAGGAGACTCATGCCATAGCCTGATGCTATTTACCGCTGCTCAACGCCAGTAGTATGGCTCTCGCTCCCTGTGCAACTCTAAGTCCGAACAATAGACCCCCCAAGGCGGAAAGAGAGAAATCAGACAGCCGTCCGTGCCACTTCGAGGTGACAATGCGGTCGAACGTTCTTAGGCTGGGGATTCGCCAAACTAGGCGTTCTCCAAAAAGTTTGTGTGCTGGTAGATGCACGCCATTGAAGCCGCCGCTGTGTCAGAATACGCGTATCAAAGTTGACAGCGCCGGACAGAACACAATATACTGTTTGATCGGCTTCCCGCAAGCCAAGTCAAGTACGACACCGATACGCATAGGCACCGATCAAGGAACGGAGCCCGTCCCGTTTAGGTCGGTTAGGAGCATTTCCAATATGGATGCTGTACTACTGGAGGATAGAGTATAGACGAGTTTCGATAGCTGGTATTGATTCAAAGCACACAGGCAAGCCTGTGGAGATATATCAGAGATTGGTATAAAAAGGGCAACATGACCAGCAAATGATCGAAATGGTCATTCACCACAGGAAAACCTCCAGTTCTATACACATTTTCAAGGTCTTTCACGATGCGGACCTCTTCAGCCGCTCTCCTTGTTCTTCTGCCCAGTGTCTTTGCCATTCCGCTGGGTGAGGCCCCGTCTCTTAGACTGGATGTCACTCTCAGTCGGGTCGAGGACACTCGTATCAAAGCTGTTGTGAAGAACGTCGGCAGTGAGGATGTCACCTTTGTCCATATCAACTTCTTCAAGGACACTGCTCCGGTCAAGAAGGTTGCTTTATTCCAGCATGATGGTACGTTTTGTATCTCCTTCACCCCGGTTCCCCGCCATAAGTTGTTCTCCTTACACATATACACCAGATTCCGAGATTGCCTTCGAGGGAGTGGAGAAGCTGTTCAAGAGCAGCGGCCTCACTGAGGATGTACTTACCTCTCTGGCCCCCGGGGATGTCTATGAGGACGAGTTTGATGTTGCCAGTACTAGCAATCTCAGCAAAGGAGGCCACGTCACCCTTCACGCGGTGGGACGTGTTCCCGTAGTGGAGAACAGTACTATCACCGGCTCTATGCCATTCAAGTCTAACAAGCTGGTTATCGATGTTGACGGTCCCAAGGCCTCCAAGGTCGCAGCTGCCATGAAGACAATGCACAAGCGCACAACAGTGGAATCCTGTCCCTCGAACGACAAACAGTCTGCGCTGACCACGGCGCTGCAAAATGCCGCCTATATAGCTAGCCAGGCTGCCGATGCTGCCGAATCGGGCCCTGATGTCCGCTTCCAGGAGTACTTTGGCACCACTGACAGCGAGACTCGCGGTATTGTCGCTGCTCGCCTCAGAGCGGCAGCTGCGGAAGCTTCCTCCACCACATTCGGCCAGACCTCCTACTACTGCTATGATGTCGACGAGTGGTGCAGTCCCAATGTGCTCGCCTGGACCACGCAGACGACCAACACCATTGCCAATTGCGATCTTTACTACACCGATATCCCGCCTCTGACCTCCGTGTGTCATGACCAAGACCAAGCCACCACCACGCTGCACGAACTTACTCATGCGCCGGGTGTGTATAACCCTGGTACGGAGGACTTTGGCTATGGGTATGATGCGGTTGCTGCCTTGAGCCCGGACAATGCCCTTAACAACGCGGATACTTATTCGCTGTTTGCCAACGGTATGTCCTTCTTGTCAACAATTAGGTGATATGTACTGACGATGGGTTGCAGCTGTGTATCTCAACTGCTAGTCCGGGACTCAGCGAGAGCTTGTTGTCGTGGTGGTAGTAGCGGTGCCTGTAACATAGTGTCAAATTATTGTCAGACTATGCTGAAACATACCTGTAATACAATGTGATTCAAATTGCACAATCTAAATAATGCTTTACATCCGCTGAGTCCGGGGTATCATCCTCCCGAGAGCGGCGGGTTGATACATGGTAGTAGCGCATATCAGTCTACTGTGGAGACACGTCAATATCAATATGGGGTCAAGCAACATAAATCCAATTACTACCCCCCGGCCATCCCCTTTCACCTGTCCTAATATCGGAGAAAAAGTCGGACCAAGAAGTTTCCACCCAGTGTACCCATTAACATCTACCTTGCTTATGGTGTATAAACGAACCGGTAATCAGGTACCCATTCGTCTGATCTCAACGCGACAAGCCACTAACCCTAGCCCTAACAACCTCGTCGATTCCAACTTAGGAATCATCATTCTGCGTATCTAGCAAAACAGCATTTTATCGTCCCTCGAACATCATCCTGACAGTGACAGGATATCCAGGCCTCTTGAGCCTTAGCTAAGATCTCTTCATTTTCTTCCGTGTCTAGAGTGTCATACATACTTGAACCGTTCATCTCGGGAACTATATGAAATTGTTATCTGCGTTGTATATGAACCCTCCGATCATTGCGTAACAATGATAATAATCAATCACCCGGCAAGGGAAACATGTAATACAGTCAAGAGTGGTGGAATCAAGTGAAACAGAAACACAAGTCTTCTGATTTGCTAGCCATCGCAGAATAGTAGTACAGCAAAGCCAGAGACATATCGAAATAAAGCAGAACAAAGCCTCTGCATTTGCAAGAAGAAACAGGGAAACCAGCATGGGAAAAACCTGCATCGAGGCTACAAACGATGTATGTCTCGAAAAAAGCCAGCCCTTCGTTCCTCCATAATAACCGGCTGGGTTTCAAAGAACCTTGACTGCTTCTTAATCCCCCTTGAGAATATTCAGTAAATTTAGTTGTAGTTGTCATATGGGAGGGAACACTTACAACATTGCCTCCCTCCATTATCAGGATAGTCAGCTGGCTGGAACGGTCAACCATTATAGACTGATAGACACTCACAAGCTACCCATTCCACCACTATTAGCTGGCTAAAATAGTCAATCACTTTATAGACAGATAGACCCTTACCGGCTATTTGTTATGATTGCCTTTAGCTAGATGCTGATTATATAGAGTGATAGATACTTACATTCTATACATCATGATCATTAGCTAGCTGAAAGCCTGGAGTAGAATCAACTATCATATAAAGAGATAGTCTCTTACCGACTATGTATTATCATCACTGTTAGCTAACCGAAATAGTCACTGTAGGAAGAGATACACTTACACCCTATTTATCATTCTTATGATTAACTGACAGAGATAACCATATGTTATATAGAGATAGATACTCACAAGCTGTTTAGTATCATAAGTATTGATTGTTCGGATTAACCAAACACTGTATAGATAGATACTTACAATCTACCCATCATCATCGTCATCATTATTAGCTGGCTGAAATAGTTGATCACTATCTGGAGAGATAGATTCTTACCGGCTATTCAATATCACCACTGTTAGCTACTAGAATAATCAATTGATATGTAGAGAGATGGAACTTACAGTCTGTTTACCATTATTGAAACCAGTTAAGATAGTTAATACTTAGAGTGGGATTGATACTCACAAGCTATATAGCATCATCACTGTTAGCTAATCTAAGTAATCATCCTTCTGCAGACTGAAAGACACTTACACTCTATTTATTATCATTATTGTTAGCTAGCTGAAAAAGTGAGTTATGATATAAGGAGATGAGTACTCACAAGCTATCCAGTATCATTATCATTAGCTGATTTGAATAGTCAACATATATAGAGATAGATACTTACCGTCTGGTTATCGCGGTCGTTATTAGCCAGCTGAGATATTCAATCAAAAGAGATAGACACTTACATCCTATTTATTATGACTATTATTAGCTTCCTGAGATAGTGGATAAATATAAGAAGACAGACATATACTTACGGTCTATTTATCATCATCACCGTCAGCTGCCGATATAGTGGATAGATACAGAGAGAGATACTTACATCCTATCAAGTATCAACACTAGCTAGCTGAAATCAGGATATGTAGAGGTAGATACGTACAAGCTATAAAGCATCACTATCAGCTCTATATATAGAAGACTTTAATATGTAGGATTCATGGCTATCCAAACCTGGCGCTTATCCAATCCAGTGTTACCAGTTATCGGGCTAGCCATTGCAAGAGCAGAGACCAGGACCAGTAAATACGCGGCATGCATTTTTAGCAAATGGTTTCCTGAGCTATTAGTGGTTGTATAGGAGAAAGAAAAAAAAAAAAAAAACAACCAGTGCAGCCACAAAGAGGGTGGATTCTAGATGGGGTTGGAGTTCTTCCAAGTGACAAAGCGGGCGATACAGGATATGATATAAATACCTTTTCATTATCCTAGAATTATGCATTATGAAAGTCTAATCTATCCTTTCACCGCAAGGGTAGGCAACTACACATTTCAATGACGTATGCCTTGATTTATCAACCGCTTGACTATCTGATAGGGTACATGCATCCACGCGCAGGGTGAGAGACCCGAGTGTTGAGATGAGATGGCAGAACTACCTCCTGATATAACTAAGGGATTTCGAGGTTCTGGACTAGTCAGGATACAGGAATGTCCCACTTTCGCGTAATTAGAGTATGTTTGTATTTGATAGATGCAAAACGCATTGCTCCCCACTATTTAGCCTTGTGATGGTGAATGATGGGGGTATGTTAGGGCTGCTAAGAGCGGTCTGAATAAAGAAGCTGCGGGACCCTGTGGGAGGCGTGGCAATGCGCGTATTAGTACGGAGACATTAGAGCTTTGTTATCCTAGAGGAGTCGACTCCGCATACAGTTGTAAATTAGTGTGCCTTTTCTGGGCCGCAAAAATATGGTAATATGATTCCGAACTGACATATTTTCTATCATATGTACCTTCAATTCTGGTGCTCTGATAAGACATGAATTATTTGACCAGTGTTTTTTTTGTGAATGTGCCTAACAATATGGTCAGATAGACCCATATTAGTGTTGATATGTATTATCATGGTACCAGATCATGTGTAATAGAGGCATCTTATGAATATTTGATCAAAATAGCTTAACACCCAGAGTGAATTATAGATCATTTTAAGAAAGTGGACAGTGTGTTATTTCGTATGTAATAGAAGCACAACGATACCCAACCACATGTACTGGATAGGGCAACATCCATTCATTCTCAGTCATTATGCATTCTCAAAGTCTTACTGGGGTAAGTCTATCCTTGTTTCTGTTCGCCGAAGGACCACTTCCCGACAACACACGCCCTACATTTAGTCTTCCAAGGCTAATTCGACAACCCCCATATTTGAATTAGCGGGCGTAGTGATATTCGCGACCTTCAGCCTGGGGTCTGCCATGCCCACCAGATGTCGGAACTGCGCTGCGCTGCGCTCTTGGCCGTTGGTGGCGGCAAGCATGTTCATATCAAGGGTGCTGGCGTATGTCAGCTCGAGTCCATAGCACAGGGAATGCAAAAAGGGAAGGAAGGCAGAGACAAAGAAAGGATACGATAAATAATAAGGAGGAAGCAAAAAGAAAGAAAGGAAAACAAACCGCAGGAGCTGTTCAACAAAGAGCGACCCCGTCCCAGACTCTGGCAATATATGTTCCTGGATGACGACGCGATCTCCCTGTTTCAGTCCCGCGACGACCGCCCGTAGAATGCGACAGCACTCTTCATCGCTCCAGTCGTGCAAAATGAGGCGCAGGAAGTAAACAACCTTCTTCTCTGGATTCTTTTGCTGCAGCTCGAACATGTTGTGCGGCTGGAATCGGACACGACCTTGCAACTCGGCCGGTAGGATGGCCTCCCCTTGGCGGCAGACGCCTTCGTAGTCCTGCACAATGAACTCGAGTTGCGGAAAGTGAGCGGCGAGCTTTCGGCTGATGTGTCCCAGGGATCCCGCCACCTACGTGTGTTGGTCAGTGTGGATACTCCACAGTGCATACAGTCAAGCTCGACACTACTCACATCAACGACGATGGCGTCCCCCAGGCCGGCCCAGTCGTACCCGCTTATCAGAGTGTCAATCGGTCCGAGAAAACTGGACACGGTGTTCATGAGCTTTCCGAACGTCTCCTGGGCCACCTGGTTCTGGTCCAAAGACTCCCAGATGGTCTTGTCCGTGTTCAAGGCAATGTTGTATCCAGCCTCGTTAGGCTTCGGGCTGGCTCCCCATTTCGTCAACGCATCCGCGATGTGCATGATGGCAGGGTTCCCCCAGCGGTAGATCACGTTGAACAGGACATCCGGCCATTGTTCGGTGGCCAGTGTGGCGGACAGACGGGTGTGAGAGACATGGCCTGGGTCCGGTTGCTGGAAGACGCCTCGCGTTATGAGAGTCTGCATTACTCTTTCAATCAGGGCCTTGTCCAGACCGACTTTCGCGGCGATGTCCTCGTAGCTGATGCAGCCATCGAGAGGCACGGTCTGGGGCAGTTTGAACCGCCAGGCGATCTCCAGGACTGACGAGACAACAAACTGTGGGTTCTTAGTAAGTTGGTCTGTTGGCTGCTTTGTTTGTTCTCACGGCCCACGTACGTTATACTGGATCGACCGAAAGGCCTCATGGTTCCCAGACAGTAAATAGACGAGACGCAACGCCGCATCGCGAAGCTGTGTGCGAGCATCGTGGAACGCCTCCGCGTTGGGGAATGTGAGGCTGCTGGGATCGGGGTACTGGGGATCAGGCGAGAGTTTCACCTTGTTCTCCTCCAGGATGCCCGACATCAGCCGGGCCGATTCCGACACAGTGTTTGACAGCTCGATGAGGTCCATTTTGACAATATCACACAGAGATAACAGATCAACAGTCCTGTCATGGTGAGATTCATCCGAGACGGCAGCCCTTTAATACCTGTTAGACACTCCGCTGTGTAACCGGTCCGCAAACTGATGACCCGTGCCTGTAACCCTTCCCTTTTAGAACCTTGTCATGGTTTAAGTGCCCACACATGCGTGACATGGCACGCTCGGAGCCATGGCACGCTCGGAGCCATTGCATCTACTACCTTCTGACTGTCTGGATCAGGTCCTGTCACACGGTAGAGCGTACCGGACATCCCCTTGTCCGAGTTCCGTCTATCCAGGAACCCCCTCAATACTGAAATCGCGCAAGTCGAAATCTGACAGCACTGCACCAGTATCCTGAAGCGGTATCTGACCAGGGGTGACATGACTGATACCCGGCAATATCCATGTTTATCACGTACAGCGCTATCAACAGCTGAGCAACCCCGCAGACAAAAGCAATCATGGCATAGCATGACATGATCCAAGTTCGCCACGATCATCCTCGCTCACTGAATATACCCACCACTATCCAAACCACATCGCTCCTCATGAGATTAGACCCAGCGCCCCCTGACGCTAGCTTATCCAACATGCATTTCACTTCCGTCGTGGAACACCACTAACCGACAAAAATGGTAACACAGTAGTATCAACTTCACCAACCGGATGGGCAGGTTACCGGATGAAAAATCAATTGGTTCCCAGATAGGCAATCTTCAGCTGTTGTCCTACATCTAAAGGGGGGTCGCGTCCGCAGTGACCTTGACGGAACGCCACAAAGTCCTCTCCCTGGTTTGAGAGGACGGAAGACTGAATGGTGGTGGATTGGTGTAACTGTGCTGGTGATACTCAGTGCATGACTGCACGTGGATGGCGCATGTGAGAGAGGTAGAAGGAGGTGGTATTGACTTATAGTGTACGCTACTGAGATATCCTTAGTATAAACTTACTTTGTTCTGTGGTTGATTATGAACCCATATAACGATGCATTGAGCCTAGTTAGCCAGCTTTTGAAACCATCCACAGTTTTGGTGTCACGTACAATTAGCATCCCTAATAGAGACTGTCATTACCGCCACGGCCCCTTTTGGTGATCAGGCAAAACCAGTAATGAGAAATTGTAATTTGAAAGACTGGTCAAAAACTATTTCCCAATCTCTACCTGATCTATTCAAGAATTCCGGATGGTCGGATACAAGGTTAGGGGCAGTCCGTTCGAGGAGACAGTTTGAGAAAGTCATCCAAATCGACATCAGACACTCGGTCCGGAGATTCCTCGGCAAGGTCATTCCAACATGGTAGTTAGGGCTGAGTTGCAAACCAGGGATGGCTCAAAACATCTGCAAGGGGCTCGCGTTTTGGCGGTCTGGTTCACTTCGAGTAATCTGTATCCCATATCCTCCTTTTTTATCCTATTCCCCGCAGCCTCCTGGGCTTCTATGCCTATGATTCAGTTTTGTTAATTATGTCTGGTGACAAGGGTTGCTACGGCGAACCATTGCCTGAGTCGGATGCAGAGCGAAGACACTTCCTCGATAAACATGAGGAATTCGTGCCCTTGGCAGTTCATAACAACCAGCGCAAGTGGTTCCAGCGTGTCATCATCATCCAGTGGATCGTGATGGTTATATTCTCGCTCATCCTCATCACGGTTCCCATGTCTTTGCGGAACAGGAAGAACTACTGGATCCCCAATGAGATATACTGTATTCTACACCCATATTTCCATTCAAAGGAAGAGCTTACTCTAAGTGCAAACAGCCCCGGTACAGGATCTCATTCGCTATAAAACCCGGGTATTTGACTCCGGCTTCGGTAACCACACGACCAAGTACATGGGGAGACCAACGAAACAGAACCGCCAGTCGTGGGAGGATCTATATCAAGGTCAGCAAGTCATTACCCTTTTAATGAAAGCATTCTCACATCGCACAGCCGGTATCTCGAAGATCCCATTGGAACAAGCTGCCAAGCTACCGGTGAAGACGGCTCCCATTCCCGAAGCCCCGGGATATTACGTTGTTGGAATCGACGTTTTCCACCAGTTACATTGTTTGGTATCTGCCCTCGAAAGATAAAGATCGTTTGGATAGAGGCCATGCTAACAGATAATACAAATCTAGAATCAGCTCCGCCTGAAGGTATGGGGTGTGGATGAGCCCCACGGCTCACACGGCGCCAGAGACACTGTTGGCGTAGAAGAGGAGGAGGAGGAGGAGGAGGATGGACTCCAGGATATAGGCCATTTAGACCACTGCATTGACTCGCTCCGGCAGAGTCTGATGTGTTCGTCGGACATCTCAACCATCATCTGGCAATGGGATACGAATACTGGAACTTCTCGACCCCATGCGAACGTCACCCACACCTGTCGCGACTTCGACGTGATCCACCAATGGGCGCTGGAGAATCAGGCGCCAAAGTGGAATCAGTCAATCTATGTGCCAGATCCATTACAGGAGTAGCTTTGATGATTCCCTTCTTTTCCTTCCTGTTGTTCAGGTTGGAAAACAGGGTCTAGCTCCTCGCGCGAGAAATCCACTTTCTATATTGGCTGTCCGACCATTGAAAGGAATGATCAAGACCAGAAAGTACAGGTATGATAAAGCAGCGATAATGACGCATGATCACCAGATAACGTTACTGACTGAGATGGGATGGGGACAGGTTGTAAGTGTCTAACCTCACATTCAAAAGTGGCCAGGGAGCTGAACTGACTGGGTTCGAACGTGGACAGGATGTAAGTATCCCCCACCTTGCTTTCAGAAGTGACCTTCTAGAAGATTGAACTAACTGGGATTCAATGCGGATAGGAGGTAAGTCTCGAGTCCTGTATTCAAAAGTGACTACGAGAATTTTGAGCGGAGAGATTAAAACTGGATAGGCTGTAAGTGACTATTCCTATACTCGGAGATGGCTACCAAATGATGACTGACTAGTATGGGATATGGACAGTATGTAAGTGATCAGTCCCATCTTTGGGAATATCGAAGAACAAGCTGATTGGGATAGATCCTCACAAAGGAGTAAGTAATCAGCACTATACATAGAGACGGCTTCTAGACAGCTGATACGGAATGGGAGATAAATAGGCAGTAAGTGATTAGCCCTATATCCGGGAGTGACTGCCAGAAGACAGCCGACTGACATGGGATGGGGTATGAATAGTGGGTAAGTAATTAGCCCTCTATGTTCAGAAGTGGCTGCCAGAAAACAGCTAATGTGGAATGTGTTTAGCTAGTAAGTGATCGACCCTATGTTCAGAGGTAGCTACCAGAAACAGCTAATACGGGATTTGTTCAGCAAGTGAGTGATAAGTCCTATATCCCGAGACGACTAGCAGAAGACAGCTGACTGGGATGGGTATGAATAGCGTGTAAGTGATCAGATCTATGTTCGAACGTGACTATGAGCAAAACAGCTGACTGAGATAGGTTGTGGATAACTGGTAAGTAACCAGCCCTACATTCAGAGATGACTGGCAGAGGACAGCTGATTGAGATGGATATAAACAGAGTGTAAGTGATCAGCCCTATATTCAGATGTGGCCATTAGAAAACAGCTGACTGGGATGGGATGTGTTTAGAAAGTAAGTGATTGATCCTATATTCAGAGGCGACTATCGGCAGATGACTGACGGAGATGGGGTGTGAACAGTGGGCAAGTGCTCCGCTCGATATCCAGAGATGGCTACTAGATACCAGCTGACTGGGATGAATATCAATAGCTGGTCAGTGGTCAAGTCTCTATTCCGAGATGGCTACCAGAAAACAGCCAACTAATGGGTGATATAATCAGGAAGTAAGTAAGTACTCAGTCCTACATATGGAAGTGGTTACCAGAAGACAAGTCTGATTTACCATTTCTACAGTAAATTCACCAAACAAGCACAACAATCTAGACACAAAGTGTCTTCACACGGGCTACAGGTATGGGTTGGAATTCATATTACGGTTTCTAGACTGGCTACTGAAATACCTGCCCAGACGCTTTACACAGCCTATTCCGTTCTTCCAAATATCTCAACTTGCAGCAAACGGTCCCACTGCCTTGCTATAGGTTTTCCCTGTTGACCAGGTTTTCCCTGTTGACCAGGTTTTCCCTGTTGACCAGGTTTCCCTGTACCGTGATGTGAATACAAAGGCGTGGAGCTTATCATAAGACATCCCTATGTGCTTATTGTAGAGAGCAGTAAGTAAGTAGTATGGCGCTTTTAACTAGTATGGTCCAGAGTATTCATCCCCAAACAAACCCTTCACCACCTCACTACCTATCAAACTAATACATCGTATGACGATATTATCTATTTATCCCGTGCAATACAAGCAATACGATAGCAGACTCAACGAGAGGCCGCTGGTCTGGTGGCAACTCAGGCTATACTCATATATATCGACAAGTATCACGTGGGCTTACTGCTTTTGCTAGGGCTGCTAGATGTACCCCCAGTGAACCGTACTTATCTATTTTTTATATTTTTTATATTTTTTATATTTTTTTGCCTGATTGGTTGATTGGGTGATGGTTGATTGATTACTCTTTTGCTAGCATATCGCTCCGCAGTAAAAAACTAAAAAAAAAAAAAAAAAAAAAAAAAAAGAAAAAAAAAGAAAGCTCCGGAAAGAAAGAGAAACACACCATTGACTAACTAGTAGCTAAGTAGGTAATAACAAAGTCAAGGCTAAATGAGATGTAACAGTATTGGTAATACTTAGTAGAACTCAACTCGATTCAATCAAACCATCAACTCAGTATTCAGTCAACTCAGTATTCAGTCAATCAGTCCACACCATCCATCATCCATCATCTTAAACAAACAGTGTAACCACATTATCGATAGTAAGAAGCCGGGTTCGACCCAGCCATCCCCCCCGGCTTATAAGCCTGATACCCCGGATAAGGTGCCGGCGTAGAACCCGTCCCGGGGACAGGCGGAGGCTGGCTAGCAGGCGGGGCGGGGTAGGGTGTCTGGCCTGGGGTGGCGGGGTCTTCGGGTCCGTAGCCACCGGGCTGCTGCTGCTGCTGTTGGAACGGGGGCGGGCCGCCCGGGTACGGGGCTCGTTGGGCGGTGGTGGTGGTGGTTGCAGGCGGGTGGTGGTCGACTGGGGAGTCGTAGACGGATGTGCCGAGTTCTTGGGGATGGTCGTAGGTGGATTCGGGGCGGTGGTAAACGGGCTGGTAGGGCTCTGTCGGGGCTTGTTGTTGTTGGTATGGGGTCGCGGCGGGGGGTGTGTGCATGCGGGGGTCCGGGGAGTGCGAGGTTGTGGGCTGGAGCTGGGACTGGTCGGGGTTGTAGTAGGGGGTGCCGGTTGGTTGGGATGGGGAGTCTAGGCCGTTAGATTGCGTTCTATGGGTATAGGAATGGGGAGAGGAAGACGAACCTTGTGGACGGGGACTGAAGTAGCGCTGGGGATCGTGCGGCAGCTGCCCTTGAGGATAGCCCGCGGCTTGCGGCGGGTATCCATACGGCGATTGGCCGGGTCTCCCGTATTGAGGCTGGGCCGGATGCGACATGGATGCCTCCAGCAGAGATTCGTAGTCCCGGCGGGCTTTGATGAACTTCTCGTTGAGCTGGGTGAATTCGTCTGGTTCTGTGAGCATACGCACGCTTATATAACTGGAGATGGACATACCCTTCTTCTGCGAATACTTCCCAATCAGCTCTATCAACTTGGGCCGGATCGCCAGCGTCGAGTGATACAACGAGGTGATCTCCTCGTTATCCTGCGCATTGGGGTCGGGGCTCCGCGTGCTGAGCAGTGTCAACAGCTTCTCGACGTTCTTGATCTGCCCGAACACGTCCGCCTCCATATGCGCCTCCCGCTGCAGCTCCTCCACCGTCGGGTCCGGCAGCTTCTCCACATAGTTGAGGGGAAAGATGCCCGTCTGCCCGCGAAGCGAGCCCTTCCACCAGTCCTTGTACACGGATTCAAGAACGGCGATGATATCCCCTTTGCGAAATTGGAGCTCACCGGGCTCGGACGGCAGGAAATCGAACAGCGCTCGGACCCGGGAGACTGTGGCGGCCGAAGTGCCCGGCGGGACAGGTTGCGATGGCGGAGCTTCCGCTGCGGCAGGAGTCGCGGCAGCACCGGCGGCAGCGGAGGAAGAAGCCGCAGCACTAGACTGGGCCTTCTGTGCGCCAGACGGGGTCGGTTTCTCCCGGATCGAGAGCGCAAGCGCCATCTGGAGTTCCTCTTCTTCCTTCTGGCGATCGACGTCGGTGATCTCCCTCTTTCCCGGTTTAGACGGAGGCTGTAGGTTGGGGTCTACGCGATCAGCTTCTCCTCTAAGTGGTACCCTGTGTCTTCCAATATGGCTTACTCTGTGTCTTGAGCTGCATGTAGGCTTGCTCCATGATCCCGAAATCAGGGTTATTGGCGAAGATCTCCGTCCATTCCTGCATGCGCTCGAGGATTTTCGACTTGACTTGTTGATGGGTGTTCTAACCAGTCAGTATGGTTACAGCCAGTGCAGACATTATACTCACACGGTCATTTGCCAGACGAAGAAGAGCGTCAGTGAAACTTCTCGAAGCGAGTTCGCGATGGATTTTGGGGCCGCAGTTCTGCGCGAGCGCGTTTCCCAGCTGTGATGTCGTCAGTATTAACCTCGCCCGAATACGACCATCGCGACCAACCTCCAGTGTGTATAATTGTACGTTTGCGTTCCGGTGCGCCAGTCTTTTGATCAGGGCCGCGACGGCATCTTTCGGCCTATTCGAGATCATCAGCTGTGTCCGATTTTCGTTGGAAGAGGGTAGAGCTTACCCCGACTCTTCCCCAGCGACCTTGTCACAGACGTCCTATTGACAGGATGTCAGCGCACCTCCAATATTCAACCACATCAATCCCCCCTTCAACCCAAAGAGGGGTCATACCAAAATATATTCCCAATTCTCCGACGTAAGATTCTCATCCGTCGCCTTGGCTATTCAACGCAACCAATCAGCAATCAACAATCAACAATCCACCCATTACCTCCACCTAACCAATCCACAAACAGGCTCCAGAGTAAACAAGAATCCTTACCGACAGCGTCGTCAAAAGCGTTCTGCTGAGCGCGAAACATCACGGTTGCCTGGAGTGTATCTCACTGTCGGGCGGGAACTAAAGGAGTAGTAGGAAAGAGGTGCGTGTCGAGGGAATCCACCCGGTTTTGTTCCGCTATCCAGGTAGTGTAGGGTGTAATTCCGGTATTTGGTGCGATAGGTAGATTGGGTATGCGTGGCGAGTCCCTAATCTGGTAGGTAGGTGGTACGTAGGTAGGTGGTGGTAGTGGTGGTGGTGGTGGTTGTGGTTGACTGCGGGGGAAGACGGAGAGGGGAGATAGCTGATGCCCCAGGCGACAGACTCGTCACTAGCAAGCAGTCAAGTGACGGAATGGGTAGACGATAGAGAATGGAAGTGTGTGGTAGGGATGACCACCAGCGATGATGTATGTATATTAGTAGATTGACGGGTATCACCGAAGTAGAAAGAGAGGGGAGGAAGAGAAGAGTCCGAGACAAGGCAGCTGAACAAGGTGACCAGGTTGAAGAGAAGTGACGATTTACTAACTAGTTGGGTTGGAGAACTACTAGTTAGTAAGTGAAGAGTGACTGCGCCTCTGACGCGGATGCGCGGCCCGCGCTAGGCCGGATTAAGCGAGGGGGTGACTTCACTGGTCTTTATGGGTCATATTTACTCCGTCCTACTTTTATATAGAGAGGTATATACTCCGTAGTGAAAATACAAGTAAGATACTTTTATTCCATAGCCCGGAATACTCCCCAGACAAGTCATTAATCATAAGGCACAGAGCTGGCCAGGCGCCCACTTCGCAAACCGCTCAGATCAAACATGATGGCGCGTTCATTAGGAAGAGAAGAGGATCCTTCCAGCGTATGATCACAGACACTAGAGCATCACTCTGTGGATTAAAAGAACAGTAGCGGCAGCAAGGCAACCGCCCAGGTTTACAGCATCGTCCACCGCACCACAACTTGCACGACGGCAGACACAGAGCGATACAATCGAGATCATCAATATAGAAGGATATATCGGTCGTCGAAACAGAAATCATAATCGGTGGGGAAACAAGTCGAAAATAACAAACAAGGAAATGGGTCATCATCAAGTCATCGCTATCTATGGGTGGAATGGGGGAACGGAAACACTGCAGAGGGATGGAGACAGGATCTGCCATGATGCAGAACCGACAGATCACACGTCCAGCAGCTTCGGAATATCAAGAGGCATGGGTATCTGGGACAAAGACAAAAACACAAGGGGAATATATAAACGAAACCGGGGGCCCGGACGCTCAGTGTCCACCCTTCTGGGCTTTTTCCTGGGCCCGGCTGACCCGGGCGGCTTTCACGAGCGGGGAGAGATGCGACAGTGGCGCACACAGGGACATGAACGGGTGCTAAACGGGTCAGTCAGTCTGAGATTTCACCATCGACGAGGAGAAAGAGGAGGGGGGTGGGAAATACCTTGAGCAAATCATGGGCCGAGGCGCGCTTCTCCGGATCAACCTTCAGCGCCAGATGCAGGAAATCGCGGAAGACCGGCGACAGCTGGTGCTCATCCTTGATGGTCGGGGTGCCGTTGGTGGCAATCAGATACAGCGCCCGCAGCGGCGATTCGGTGAGATACGGCGGCTCGCCCTCGATCATCTCGATGGCCATGATCCCGAGACTCCAGATGTCCACCTTGCGGCCGTACTCCTTGCGTGTAACGACCTCGGGGGCCATCCAGTACGGGGTACCGACCATGGTGTTGCGCTTGTTCTGCGAGTCATTGATCTGGGCACAGAAACCAAAATCGGCTGGTAGTTGTTAGAATACGAAAAAAATAAATAAGAAAAAGAAAGAGGAAACGGACTCAGCTTGATATTGCCATCCATCGCAAGGAGAATGTTGTCGGATTTGATGTCACGGTGGATGACACCCTTGGAGTGGAGGTGCTGCAAGCCACTGAGGGTCTGGAAACAGTTAGTCAACTGGACCTCCCGGCGAAATTGGTGAGGGAACGTACTTCTCGACAGACCACGGCGATCTGGGCTTCACTCATGATGTTAAAGGTGACGACATCCGTCAGACTGCCGCCCTCCATGTACTCCATCACGACCCAGAGATCCAACCCGTGGAGGTAGCTGTCCAGGAAGTTGACAATGTTCTTGTGCTTGCTGTCCTTCATGACGAGGATCTCGTTGATGATGAGTTCCTTCTTGGGTTGCAGGTCGAGGTTCATCTGCTTGATGGCCACGCAGTCGTGGGCGCCGTTGGTGTAGGCGGTGTAGACGCCGCCCGAGGCGCCCTGGCCGATCTTGTTCAGGTTGCGGTACAGCTTGGTCGGGTCGCCCGGGGTGCAGATGGAGTTGAGGCGGGCGCGCACGTCCATGGCGGTGCTCTGGCGGGGCCGTTGCCGGGGCCGGGCGGCGGGCGCGCGCTGCGCGGCCTGCACGGCGGGGTCGTCGGCGGCGGCGGCGGCGGCCGGCTTCTGGTCGGGCCGCGCGGGCGCCTGTTGGCGCTGGCTGCGACTCCGATCGAGCTGCTTGCTGGCCAGCGCCTGCTGGGCCGCGGCCATGGCATGTTCCTGCTGCTGCTGGTATTGCGTCGGCGTGGCCACCACGGGCGGCGGCCCGTAGGGCGCCCCGGTGGCGGTGGGGGTGGTCGTCGGGGGCGGCGACCGGGCGCGGTGCGGCTCGGACGCCAAGGGCTCCGTCTCGGGGATCATGGGGATGGCCGGGGCGTTGAAGGGAGCGGGATACGCGTCGGGCGGTCGGGTCATGGTGGCCGACATCTGTGGGGCGGCGGTGGGCGGCTGCGGGGCTGGTCGGGCGGGCGTCATGGTGGTCGCCGTCGGGGGCTTGGGGGGCGCCCGGTTGGGGACGAGGCCCCCGACCGGAGGGGACATCGCGGGCACGGTGGGCGGAGAGGCGCCGCCGCCGCCGCCGCCGCCGCCGCCGCCGCGGGGGATCGGTGGCGGGGCCCGGGGTTCTCGAAGCTGCCCTCGTGATTCTGGGGGAACCGGGGGCTCGTGGGCGGCGAGGTCCGCTGCTGGTTGGCGGCGGCGTAGGCGGCGGCGCCGACGGGGTCAATCTGGGCGGGGCTCGTCACGACCTGATGCTGGGGGTAGGCGTGGTCGAACTTGTGCCAGACCTCGTCATCGCCCCGGGCGTTCTTCTCGTAGAAGCGCATGATGTCGACCATGGTCTGGGGATGTTCCTCCTGCTCCTTCTTGGAGATGCCGCTCTCCTGCAGCAGGCGCTGCCACTCCTTGGGCAGGCCCGTGAACTGGCCGGTCCGGTTGTCATAGCCGACGTGGGTGACATGGACGGGATTCTCGGGGGCGGAGATCTTGATGCCTCTGGGCGAGCCGAGCATGCTGTTGACGAAGCTGGAGAAGCTGGCCTTCTTGCTCCGCCCGGTCCGGGGCCCCCCGGCCTCATCGGAGTACCGGTTGGTGGGGGGGGTGGAGCGGTCCTGGTCGTTGCGGTGGACGAAGGCGTCCATCCGGTTGTGTAGGGCGGTAAAGCTGGCGGATTGACGGAGCCCCCGCGTGTCGGAGGTGGTCAGGGAGGGGGGGAGCGGCGGACGGGTGGACGAGGCGGGACGATCGAATTCGGCGCTGTTCTCATCCAACGCGGTGAGCATGCCCCGGGAGTCGAAGGGGGAACTAGTCAATTCATCGGAACTGGGGGTCTGCAGGGAGAAGCGACCGGAGTGGGGAGGACGGGATGGTTGTTGTTGGGAGGCGGCGGCGGCGTGATGGGGAGGCGCGTGAGCCAAGTCGTTGCTGGAGGGGGCGGGCGAGGGACCGGCGCTGTGCTGGTCGAGGGAGGAGGACGAGGAGGACCCGTAGGCGTTGGAGCGGGTGCGAGTGTGGTGGTCTCGACCGGGGGTGCTATTGGAACGCGGATAGACGGGGGCGGAGGGGTGTCGTTTCAAGGACGTGGTATTGGACTGCTGGCTCTTGAGGATGCGAGAGGTAAAGCTAGGGGAATCTTTGTGAAGCTTGCTTGAGGTCCGCCGAAATTTCAGGGAGGAGAAAGTATCGTGATTCATGACGTGTGGGGGACGAGAAGAATGGAGAGAGTGACAGGATGTAAAGGAGAGAGGTCTGATGGCGGTGGTGGTTGGTGGTGGTGGTGTGGGTGGGGGGAGAGATGACTGGTAACTTGGTCAGTAAAACTGCATGATTATTATTTTTTTAACGTGTCGTTTCTTCCGATTTGGTGGTAATTTTGACCATTGTTTCTTTTTTTCTTTTAATGAAGGAATGAATGAAAAGGGGAAAGACAGACCGGTCAGAACTCAATCACACCAATCAAACCAGGCGTGAATGTTTGTCCTTGTCTTCAAGGATGGAAGGAAGTGGAGAGAACCTTGAGATGAGAGAGAGAGAGAGAAGAGACACGAAAGAGAAGAAGAGAAGAAGAGAGGAAGAGAGAGAGAGAGAGAGAGAGAGAAGGTTGGGAGAGCAGGAGTTGGAGCCACTTGAGGCGGTGCTTCTATCGTCAAGTGTAGTTGGAAGGTTGGTATGGTATGGGACAATACGGTAAGGAGGGAACTATGATACGGCACGATCAGGAGGGAAATGACACCCGATCAAGAATGGAGAAAAATACCATCCATCGAATCAAATCGTACGGAGTATAATGGGGAAGGAAAAGAGAACGAAAAGGAAAAGAAGATGGAAAGGTGGAAATAATCCAGTGGAGTGTGGATCGGGGAAATGCAGGAAAGAATTCCAAGCGGAGAGAGAAAGTAAGGGAGAAAGAAAAAAAAAAAGTCGAGAAAAATGGTTGGCACGTGGAGAGCCCGCTCTGGCTGGATCCGCCTGAGGTTCCAGACTGGGTGGAGGCAAAATCACAATTCGAAGATGCAGCCATCCTTTACTTGATTTATTAACTGGTGAGTATGGTTTATTATGATTTATATTTTCATATTCATATCCTATTATTTTATAACTATTTTATAATTATTTATTTATAATTTTAGATAACACAGCAGATGCCAGTTTGTCTGTACTCTGGGTTAGGCCACAGACGGGCGGCTGGACCAACCAGATCAGTCCAGAATCCAGTCCATTATATTAACTTACCATACCACGTTTGTACTTGTACATACCGTATTATATATAGTATTGTATCATATCATAGTATCTATATCAACGTCTCAGGAATCTATCCCATGGATTCTTGATTATAATAGTCTGCTGCATCTGATCTCTGGGTGATATCCTCCTAGTCATATTCAAGACCATACATTAACAATAAGGTGATCTGTCAACACTTTGTCCATCGCACAATACACGTCGTACACTATCAATGTGACCGATACTACCAAGTAAGAGGTAATCGAACCTCTCTCTCTCGAATATGATTTGTACTATTCCATCAATCAATCTTGTTATAAATTTCCTACTTCCCCTTTCTAGAATGAAATTGGTTTCTTCTCCTACCAGCCTTTTAGCGCCTGTCCGGCTGTTTACTTGTCAACACGGGAAAAGCGGGGCCATCAGTACCAGTGTCTGTATGGAGGTTCTTCGCCGTAATACCGTCTGCTTCATGGGTGATCTCAACAACCACTCAGGAGGAGTAGTATTTCTCAAGCAAATACCAGTTCGATCCCAAAGTTTCATGTTTCAAGTTCAAGTTCAAGTTCAAGTTCAGGTTCAGGTTCAGGTCAGGTTCGGGTCAGATTCAGGAGTACCGAGCGGGGACACCACCAAACCGGCATATATCGTCACACAACACCAGGTGAGACACCAACAAGTCAACAGGATGGTCTATTCAGATGAGAGAATCATAAACAAGTGGATCATCCGAGTTCAGACCTCCCTCAGACAAAGAACCTTTACCCAGCCACGTCCTCCCTCCTGCAATTAAATACACTCCAGCCGTTCTTGATCCTGCAGGTACCAAAAGACGGGTAGTCGTCCTCGTCTTGTCTCGGTCAACCCGGCTGTGTGTCTTCTCTTCCCCGTATCCCTACCTGCCTACCTACCTGCCTACTGCACCTGCAGACCGATGGATCCAGTGCAAGGCGGTCACACCTCTTTCTCTCGTCTCGTCTCGTCGGCTTTCAATCTTCCAGCGCATCACAGGCTCCCAGGTCCCAACAGACCAATCATATCGTAGATTCCATTCAGCCGTTGACTGGTACATCCTTCCATGACGATCGGTCGAGAAAACGGGCGGATTGATTAGCGCGTTCAAGGACAGGCTCAAACGGTCCGGATGGTCTGATGAGTGCAGTGCTGTCATGGGGGGAGGACTTTTTCCCCTACCCAATAGGGGACTATTTCAGCTTGATTTGACGCTTGACATTATTGTAGAATTGTCGTAGTTGGTGATGGGATCATGGAGTTAATGATCATGTCTGATTATTAGGTTTTTAGTCGAGATCCTGATCCTACTATATAGGTGGAGTGTCTGTCCCGACTGATCAGTTGATCATATTATAGACAGTAGAATTGGATTCCTGGCATTATGGATCTGTTTATGGACTGTGGTACTAGAATGACAATTTTGAAATTATCCTCTCGAACTCTGGGGTGAAACCGCAGCTAGCTTGCATACGGATACTTACCATGGTCTCTCCTTGATGTCAGGACATTGGGCGCTACTAAATATAGATGAGTGGCTCGATGTCAATCTCCTTCATACTGCAATTGATACCACGCAGTGAATATATATACCCTACCCCACCAAGTGTATGTCCTCTACAGGCATTGATTTATTCGTTGATCTGGGAGACAATGATAGATACTTATAATTCACTATTGGCTGTCTGTACACTGTGTCCCTAGATCATAATGTATGATGTGGTTAGAATATCAAGTAACAGTGGGTTCTTTATGGTGTCTGAATACCTTCAACAGTAGTCAAGTTAACCAATCTATAAATCTATATGTTATGGATATTTGTGACAATGACTTTGTTCTTTGATTATGATAGCATCATTATAATCACAAATAATATATCCTATACATCATATCTATATTTTGGTTGTGATCTGACTTCTAAAAACTCTAGCTCTGCACCTTGAATAAACCCGGATAGCTTCACAGCTTCAACCAACCTTACACCACTGTTGAATAGTTAATTTTCACTATATCTACGGAGTACTATAGCTACCTATATATAGATCAAGTGTACTGATTGAGACAGTTCAGATGCTGGAATTGAGCTAGTTAGGTTGAAGCTGTCTAACATCGATCTGCCACCCTGTTGATAACCAAGGGACCACCAGAGACAGTCATTGACAGATGCCATGACAAGAAAATCAATTATCAGAAGTATTAAGAAAGACAGTGACTATCAAAATGGTCACAATATATGTTGGAATGTTCATGACTCTACCACGTAACCTCAACGTTCTCCATCCGACCGCCAAAAGAGGAATGGACTCCTTAGCTTCGCTCTCCGCCTGTCTGTCCTCTTCTCTTCTTCTCTTCTTCTTCTTCTCTCCACGCTCGACTTTCTTCCTCCCCCCACTCATCTCCGTCACTTCTCCGACCTCATTTCTTCTCCTTCTCCTTCTTCCCCTTCTCCCTCTCCCCCCGGTCAATCTCTCCTCAATTGACCTTCTTCCCCACCATTTCATCTCTCCAGACCTCCGTCTTCCGACAGTTCTCCCCACGCTCTCTCCGCTTTCCCTCTCCCACTCCCGAACCAATTGATCGACACCCAATTGATTTTCTGCCTGTCGAAAATCTTCGCCTGTGGTGATCGCTCAGCCTCATCATCTACGACTCTGCTCCTCTCGTCTATTCTGATCCCCTGTGGTTTCGTTGCAATTGGTTGTGGTCCGATTGTCCGACTCCCCGGTCGATTTCCCACTCGGCAATATTTCCGTTGCTTCCAGGTATTTCCTCCACCGACGGCCACCGCAGTCGCTACGTTAGGCAAATCTCCCCGGGGTCCTTCCCTCCTGCTAACGAAAAGATCCGGCAGTGCTCCCTCCATTCTGACCTTCATCCTCCGCTCCGAGGGTGATCGATTCGAACTTGCGTCATGGCGTCCGAAGTTCCCGCTACCGACCCGAATGGTGCGCCCAAGTCCCGGGCTGCCATGCTCGAGGAACAGCATGCCCGCCACGAGCCCCACAACGTGACCGTCGAGGATACCGTGGATGAATATGATGCCCAGTTCCCGGCCCCCTCCGGTGCCTCCAAGCCCGTCCAGGCCGCGACCCCCGACCCGACCCCCGCACCAGCGCCCGCGGCCCCCGTCGCTAAACCGGCCCCGAAGAAATCGCCCGCCTTGGATGTGCGCTCCGAGGAATTGTTCCCCGCCCTGGGCAGTGGTCCGAAACCGAAGACCCCCGCCGCCTCCGCATGGGGGTCCAAGGGTCTGTCCGGTGCGGCCGCCGTCGCCAATGGTGCCCCTGCCCCTTTGCAAGCCAGTATGTCTCCCCCCACTCACCCGCGTGTTGGGACCCTCTAGCTGACAGGCATAGCCGATGTCCCCCGGATCATCAGCCTTCCCGGCAAGCACATGGAACAGCTCCGTCTGGCGCCGTCCCAGATGCTCCCCCGGGGTCAGCTCAAGAAGCCCCTGCGCGATATCCTGCGCGACATCTCCCGACGATCCAAGGCGAACGTGGATATGCGAAACGGTCCCGGTGGATCCATCATCTTTGAAGGCAAAGGATCTGTCGATGCCGTGCGACAAGCCCTCAAAGAGGTCGCTCAGCAGGTTGGCTCCAAGGTATGTCACGAACCCACCCAACCGCCGGATATACCGAATCTGACACCCATTCCAGCAATCCGTTCGCGTCCCCATTCCGGCCTCCGCCCGTCCCCACATCATCGGTCGACAAGGCGCGGTGGTTCAGGATCTGCAGCAGCGGACCGGAGCCCGCGTGCAGGTTCCTCGTGCGGAGGACTCGGCCCCCGGCGTCGATGAGGATGACAGCGACACCATCGATGTGCTGATCGAAGGCGATGCTGTCGCCGCCGAGATGGCCCGTCGGGAGATCGAGGCCATCATCAAGGAGCGAGCCTCCAACATGAGCCTGCGTCTCAAGTCCATCCCCCCCGAGTTCTTCCCCTTCATCGCCGGCGCCCACAATGCCAACCTGAAGGAGATTCAGGATCGCACGCAGGCCCAGGTCCACGTGCCGCGGTATGACACCTGGCTGAGCCAGCCCCCGCCGCAGGAGGCCGAGGCCGGTCAGGTCCAGTTCGCCCCCGTGCCCGAGAAGAACATCCACATCTCGGGCGAGCGCACGGCCGCCCAGGAGGCCCGCGCGGAGGTCGAGCGGCTCGCGGCCGATCTGCAACGCCAGCTGACCCTGCGTCAGCTCGCCATCAACCGTGGCCAGCACCAGTTCATCCTGGGCGACAACGCGGATGCGCTGCACGAATTCCTGGCGGACACCGGCTGTTCCATCGTGCTCCCCCCGGCCTCCGACGAGAGTGAGTTCCTCACCATCACCGGCCCCGTGGATCGCATCGAGGACGGCATCAACCGCGCCATGGACCTGGCGACCAGCATGCAGATGGCGAGCATCGACCTGTCGCGCCAGCACCCCAACGCCCCCAGTGGGCCCCACGCCCACGCGCGTGCGCTCACCCGCTATCTCACCCAGCGCCAGATCATCAAGGAGCTGGAGAAGATGTACGACTCCCGCATTGCCCTGCCGCCCAGCGCGGAGGGCCCGGTCACGTGGGAGGTGTACTCGCGGGATGGCAAGAACACCATCCGCGCCCGCTCCGACATCATGAATCTCGTCCAGGCCCACCCGCCGGCCCGCCTCCGCCACCTGTCCATCGACCCCTACTTCCACCCGTTCCTGCGCTCGCGGAGCATCTCGAAGCTGCGGTCCGACTACGGGGTCCACCTCCTGACCCCCGACGATGTGGAGAGCTCCGACGTGGTGCTGGTCTACGAAGGCCCCTCGGCCAGCGCCTCCGGGTTCGAGGTGCCGCGGCAGCGACCCTCGCCGGCCGAGCTCGCCGCCTTCGAGGATGCACTCCGGCAGGCCAATGACTATCTCCAGAGCACCCTGGGCGACCAGAGCGACGTGGTGGCCCGGACCGTCGCCATCCCCGGCAAGTACCAGGAGAAGGCGCGCAAGTTCATCCTCCGGGAGCAGCAGGCCAAGGGCGAGGACCAGATCCCCGTCCGTGCGCTCGTGGGCGAGGTGCAGGGCCGTAACGGCGTCTGCGAGGTCGCCCTGCGCGGTCCCTCCGGCCTGGTCAATGACCTGGTGTCGAAGCTGGAAGCCTTTGTCGTGGAGCAGGAACGCGATGACCTGGAGCGCGGGTACACGACGACCTTTGACTTCCCGCAAAAGTACGCCAACTTCCTCATCGGCCGTCGCGGCGAGAACATCAACAAGCTGCGCGACGAGTTCGACGTGGACATCAAGGTCGAAAACGGCAAGGTCGAAGTCAAGGGCCCCAAGGCCAAGGCCGACGCCGCCCGCATGCGCATCATTAACATGGGCAAGAAGCTCGAAGACGAGACCACCCATGTCCTGAAGGTGCCGGCGCAGTATCACCGCGAGCTGATCGGCCAGAAGGGCAGCCAGGTCAACCGGCTGCAGGACCGCTATGCGGTCCGCGTGCAGTTCCCGCGGGCTACCGGCGCCACCGACGACGTGGCCGAGAACTCCAGCGACGCCGGCGCCGCTCGCCCGGGTCGCTCGCAGGGCGCGGACGAGGTGGTGGTCAAGGGCCCCAGCAAGGGCGCGGATTCCGCCCGGGATGAGATCCTCAGTCTCCTGCAGTGGGTCATCGAGCACTCGTTCTCCGCGACCGTCTCGGTGGCGCAGTCTCAGGTCCCCTCGCTGATTGGCCAGCGGGGCCGTGAGATGGACAAGCTCCGTGCGGACACGGGCGCGCAGATCGACGTCCCGGGCGTCAATGATGACGCGACGGACGCCTCGGGCCGTGTGCAGATCAAGATCAGGGGTACCAAACCCCAGGTCGCTGAGGCGAAGAAGATCCTGGAGCAACGGTCCCGGGAGTTTGATGCTATTGTTACTAAGACGCTTGATGTGGATAAGAAGTTCCACAAGTCTCTTATTGGTGGTGGTGGTACGTTCTCTCTCTCTCCCTTTTTTTTCACCTCTCACAACCATTCTTTGAATCAAACTAATAACAACAGGTGCCAACATCCGCAAGATCATCGCCGATGCCGGCGGTCCCACTGATGGCAGTGCCTCGCGCATGGTCAAATTCCCCCGTCCCGAGAGCAGCGAGTCGACGATCAAGCTGGAAGGAAACGGCCAGATCGTGGACAAGATTGTCGCCGCGGTGGAAGAGTTCGTCAAGGAGCGCCAGGACCAGGTGACGGAGACCGTCGAGGTGCCTCAGCTGCAACACCGCCTGCTCATCGGCCGTGGCGGCGAGACCCGCCGGGGCATCGAGTCCCAGTTCAACGTCACCCTGGACATTCCCAAGATCGGCTCGGGCCGTCCCGACATCAAGCTCAAGGGACCCAGCAAGGGCGTCGCCGAGGCCAAGGAGCACATCCTCTCCCTGCTGAAGGACCAGCAGGGCGAGCAGGTTGACGTCCCGCGTCACCTGCACCACGCGGTCTCCGACAACGGGGCCTTCTTCCGCCGCCTCCGCAACGACTACCACGTCACAGTGGACCACGCCGGACAGTCCATCCCCGCGAAGCCCGAATCCGAGGATTCGCGCGGCGCCGCCAACGGATCGTCATCTCTGCCCCTCATCACCGACGACCCCAGCGCCAGCGCAGACGCCCACTCCTGGAATGTCGTCGACCACAGTGCCCCCGCAGGCGAGTCTGGCACGATCCCGTGGGTGCTAGCCGGCAGCGGCGACAACGTCACCAAGGCCAAGGCAGCCCTGCAAAAGGCCCTGGCAGCCGCCTCGCAGCAGTCCGCCACGGGGTACCTCATCCTCCCGGACCCCCGGACCTACCGCTTCGTGGTCGGCCAAGGCGGCAGCCAGATCAACGCCATCCGCAAGCAGACCGGCTGCCGGATCAACGTGCCCAAGAACCAGGCCGGCGGCGAGGCCATCGAAGTCAAGGGCAGCAAGGACGGTCTCGAGGAAGCGAAGGATATGATTCTGGAGGCGGTCCGCGCGGGCCAGGAGGGATCTCGCTAAAATCATCTATTCTATTCTTGTCTTGAATATTTAAAATTTTTCTTTCCTTTTATTTTATTTTACTGTCTATTTCTTGCATAATCCAGCCGTTGAGCTTTTGAGCTTTTGAGCCTATTGGCGATGAGCCTATCTATCTACCTATCTATTTGAAGACGAAGACGAAGATAAACACACAGATGAGAACGAAAATATCAAGGATTCTCTTTTTATTTCTTTTTACTTTTTCTTTGATATACTGATTTAAAACTCTATTGTTATTTGGAATGAGTATGTTATGTACATGAGTGATTCTACCAATCTATCTTTTTATCTATTTTACTTTTCCTGGGCCTCTTAGAGATACTGTAGACGCAACTTTTGACCCCGAGCCTCGTGTGGCCATTTGAGATGGGAGAGTACCTAGGACCTACGTAGGTACAGTAGTGAGTCCGTGGTAGAGTCCATGCTGGAGTCCATGTCAGGATAGGGCGGGCCAACCAGGCACACACACAAGGATCCAGTCTCCGATTCTCATCGAGGTACGCGCATAGGGCCTATTGTCTGGCATGCTGCTGTGTCGATGTCATCGGTTTGTTGGGGACGTCGGATGTAATCGAGGACTGAGGGCTAGGCGAGGAACGTGATCTAGACATGTCCTGTTCCTGTTGCGATATCAAATAGTGCATGAAGGAGTACCCGCCGAGCTCAGAAGTGTCTAGATATCTTTTGTAGCCGAGTGGCATTATTTTTCGACAGTCATTTTCCAGGGAGCATTGGGTACTGTGGTAGAGTATTGGATATAACCTGTCAAGGTCCCTTGGTGTGTCAGGGTTTCATGCAAGTTTCGTGTTTAGAAGTGCCTGGCTTATACTATAGACTACTTACTGTATAGCCCAGAATAGGTAACAGCCGCATTCTTGGTAAACAGAGAAAGCGTTTTTGTTAACGAACTATCAACCAAGGGGCCTATCTAAAACAATTTGGAGGCCATCATGTAACTAGAAAAGAAAAAAAAGTCATTGCGAAAGTTTCATCCGTCAAGAGATGCTGCAACATATCCATAGGTCTCTCTGCCTTCAAACTTGACTTGGATAGCTATCAAGCCATCCATCCTTAGCTACTCAGGGTTGACTGCCAAATCAACGTCAACATCGATCGATTCGTGAAAATAATAGGCAAGAGTTGACAAATGGAAAACTCAGCTGGTCAAGATCTGGCCGGTCAAAATCAGGTCATGCGGAAAAGCAAGCCCTTTGTCCGTGCTATCCGAAGAAGGATTGTCGGCCTTGAAGATGTGCTTGCCCGGGTACAACAAGTTCGTGGTCAAGAAATAATCGAGCGTCTTCACCTCCAGGTTCACATTAGGGCTGGGGACCTGCAAGTTCTTATACTCCGCCGGAACGGAACCACGGCCTTTCCACGCCCTTTCCAACCAACTGCGTTCGTCAACCTTGGGTAAATGGATATTCCAGTTGCCATCGCCGACCCAGTCAAAACCGAGCATATTGGGGTGGTCAGAATTGCTTTTATCTTTCCACGATCCTTTCGCCCCCCAGGAAAACTGGAGATCAACTGTGCCAGAGCCTTTCACACTACCTTTTTCGGTTCCTATTTCATCTTTCCACGATACTTCCTGCGTCGAGCTGGTAAATTGAATTTCGTTCGACGTGGCGTTGATATCACCGCCGAGCGTGATTGTCGTCTTGGGCACCCCCGGACTGAAATGGAAGCCCGCCAACTGCACTTTATAGTACCCTAAACCACCATCAACTTTGCCATCGCCATTATCCACGGCCGGAACCTCAACAAATCCTGCTGTCATGTTCCCAATGCAAGCCAAACCACCTACAAACCAGACGTTCCGGGTCAGTCTTCATGCATGCGAGTAGGTTGTACGGTGTCTTACCTTCACCTGGTTTTGTTTTGTTCTCCAAAGCACCGAACCCATTGCGTAGACTGGGCTGTGGTACGGTTAGCAGGTCTCGACATGGAGGTAAAAAAAAATATTGGGCGGAGTGATGGGAGCTCTACCAAGATAAGTTGGTCCACAAAAACGTCACTTTTGATGATCATGCTGCAATCAGATCCGCGGGGCATAGGAAGCAAACCGTCAGCACCAAACGGAGTCCATGCAGAATCATCGCTTCCGCCTGTCCCTTGCGCGACGTGGATCCGCATACACAACGCCGAGGTCTCGGCCTCCGTGTTGCCTTTGATTGTGGCGAACGAAAAGGCGTGAGGCCGTAAAAGATGGGATCCGGATTCCGGCTGGTACTGGTTGGAAACACCAGCGACATAATATTTGAGCTCCGCATGCTCCTTGAAATATTTTTGCAAACCACTCTTCACTACAGCCAGATCCAACCTGTCCTGTCCCGTGGTGGAAGTGATATCGAGCGAGGATTTTTCGAAAGTAACGCAGACTCCCTGGGACACGTTCTTTTGGTCCGGGTTGAGGATGACTGGCTCGTTGACTGGCGCGGTTTTGGCACCTGGGTTCGCAAAGTCACCTTCGACGGTCCCAGTGACGTTAACAAGAGTGGTGTTGAAACTGAGTACAAGATCGTCGGTTAAATAGTCCGTATTCTTTGTATCCTTATTTGTGATTGATCCTGACAGGATGCGAAATGCAAGGGTAATGTTTCCGTATTCATCCACAAATTGAAGACGAGGGTGGTCGAGCTTCATGGACACGGAAAGGTGAACTGGGCCGACACCAGTGATCTTGCCATCTACATCCAGCGGTCCCAGGCCTAGGATTGAAGTCAGGCTCTCGGAGCGTGCTTGGAGGAGTTGGTTGATTTTTTCCTGGGAGTAAGACACCAGAACGTCGTATCCATTGATCGTTTGTCGGCCCTTCATCTGCTCCACTAACTCGAGGTACTTCAATTGCTTTGCCATTTTGCAAGGCTACACTTAAATTAGAGATAAAAACAGCCAGAAGGGCAAAAAAAACGAAAAAAAAAGAAAGAAAGAGAGAGGGAGAGAGACTGAGGGGATGGATGTTGGATATCTTGCCCTGTGGAAGATACGAGCACGATATAAATAGCTATTGCAGCCCTTTGGTTTGCACGCTTAGTGGGGACGATTACAAGACTAATGACGTGGTTTTTGGTCAATTGATCGTTCGATCGAACTGCATCATGTTGAGTATTGGATTAGGTACTCAATGCATCCAACACTCGAGGTCTTGGTGTCACCAGGCGTACCAGTTCCGGTCCTGTAGTATATGGATGAGCTGTCACTGTTTATCATTTAGTTTGTAGATATCCACTCGCTGAAACTTCAGACGCTACTGCACGCAGCAATTCCTGACATGCAATGCATGTATGAACTGTCACTACTCATCACTACTCATGTTGATCATTGCCAATTAGTATATATGGGATTGGTGGAGATTCTGATAATACTGTAGACAGTAATTTTTTATCTGCAGTATATGCATGACGTGTACGTGTTACATTCTACTACTCCCATTGATTATCATTAACTAATATATAGACGGGGTAGGTTGGATTGGACTTCTCATGCTACGCAGTACTGCATGCAGCAATGCCTGACCTGCGATGTATGCATGACGTGTTGTACAACCTCTGCATGGTCTCGGATGTAATCTGTCACATCAACATGCCTGATATGCTTTCAACCCATGAACGGAAGAAAGCCGGAAGCGCCAATATCCCCGGGTTTAAGATTCTGTGAAAGCCCATCAATTAGGGACTCCTTGTGTTGATCAATCAAGTGGTCATCCATACTCTAAATCTCATCCACCATGGCGTCCGTCCTGCCAAATAACAGCTATGCCTACTACAGTACTGAGCAGGCCACGATTATTCTGAGCACGGAGAAATACATTATCGACGACAAGTTCAAATTCACCACGGATACCTGTTTGGTCTACGCAGAGGAACTCGAAATTACCTCCAGCATCACCGCCCGCGGCAAGAGTATCGGGCTCTTTTGTCATACACTGACAGTCTCCAATGGTGTCACTATTGGTGTCTCCGGCGAGACAGGCGCGGCAGGCATCCCCAATATCAACGAAGATGGCGGGTCGGGAGGAAATGGCAAAGATGCCGGGAATGTGTGGATCTGTGTTCGGTCCGTTCCAGGCGAAAAAGCTTTCCAAAATTTGACGATCGAGGCGTATGGGGGAACCGGCGGTAGCGGCGGCGACAGCACCATCTCCGACAAAGAGGATAAAGACAAGCCAAAAGAGACCAGGGGGGGCGCTGGCGGCGACGGTGGAAATGGAGGTAGGTCTATGCCAACCTTCGCCCAGGGATATCAAAGATGACGTGGTCTAGGTGACATTGAACTGTTATTTGGAACAGCAGAGACAGATGCCGTGGTTGCCCTGCAGAAGATCTACAGACGATCGTGGCCAGAGCAGGTTTTATGTCTGACTGAGCCGGTGCTCTCAGACAGTCTCCCTGGGTGCCTCTCCGCAGGGGATGAAGAAGTCCTCCAAGTACTGAAGAGCCTCAGTGGAGTTCTCCAAGATCTCGCCGTGCATCTCGAGGTCTTGTCTAAAGCGGGTCTCAACAAAGAAATTCAAGACAATGCCTCGTCTCTCATGCAGGAGGTGCACACCAACCTGGCCACAAAGGACGAGGCACCAAAGGATGTCACCACTGAAACAGTCACTCTCTTTGAAAAGACACTGAAATCAGTTCGCTCGATCAGCCTAGAGACTGGAACCGCTGATGCAACTCAAATTCTTGCGGCTGCTCAAAAGGCCATCGAAAAAGTCTCCCCGCGAAAGGATTCTCAGCTGGTTTCTCTCATCCGCAACCTAGAAAAGAGACTCCAGGCAGATTTGGCGAATATGGAGAGTGCTGCCTACGACTTTACAAAGAATAACTCTCGAGGTGGACTTCCCAACAGCCTAGCATGTCCTTTAACTGACAACCTTAGGTGCTGGGGGGGTGGGTGGCTATGGGACCAAAGAAGGTGGCTTCAGATCCCAAAACGGTGCCAATGGCAAAGCAGGGCTGAATAGTGGCCAGAGCCGTGCTACAATCCTGCCGTTCAAAGGCTTCGAGGAGGATTTGGATGTTTTGCAAGCCTACATCTTTCCCGAACAATGCCAGATGCTGCTGAACAAAGCGGACGATATCTTCTTCAGCAGCAACACTGATGACTGGAAGAGAGCATACGCACTCTATAACATCTTGGTCGGCCGTCTCCAAGTGCTCAATGCTTTTCAGGGCGAGCGCTCTGGCCTGTTGGATGCCCTGGAAGGCCTGGAAACCAAGCTCAATGTAACCAGCAATCCTGTCCTGCAACTCAAGTCCGTTTATGAGCAGGCCATCAGTCGTCGCAATCGATTGCTGCTGTGTCAAGATATGTTCGGCCATGTTGACAGCTGGGTACCCCGTTTGTCATTCGGTTTCTATGCCCAGTCCGTGGAGGAACGATTCCAGGTCCTCGATTCGACAGAAAAACTGACCGCAGCCTACGAAGAAGCCGTACAAAATGACAATGACGTCCATACCCTCGTGGACCAGGGTATCAGCAAGATGGCCGATGCCCAAAAGGAAGCCGAGGCCAAGATTGACCTTCTCACCTCCCCTAACGGCCCACTAGCCACTGGTGTCAGTAAGATCGCTTTCCTGACCAAGGATATTCGAGTGAAGCGACAGCTGCTCGTGGACGAACTGAGCAAGATTCGTTTCAAGAATAACCTCGACTGGACTATCTTCCTCAGAGGCGCGAGTGCCCTTGTCTCGACATACCGTGACCCCGCATCTATCCTCGATCAGGTCAAAACAGGCTACGATTTATATCAAGAAGGAACAGGTGGATCGGTGAAAAACCTGGAGGGCGATGTGGTGAAGAGAGAGTATATTATCGACCAGCTGGAACAATGCGGTGACACCCTTGACTCGCTGGAACAGGCACTCAAAACCAAGAAGAACAACGAGATTGGCATCGATGATCCGGGGGCGCTGAAGATCCTCAGCACGGCGGATGATATCCGAAAGATTCTCCGCGAGTTCAAAAATGCAATAGAGCCGGCGGACCTGAAAAGCATAGAAGGCGCCTTGGATACTTTCGTCGCAGTGACCCTAGATCGCAACAGCGCCGTTCTGGACTACAACGCTTCCATCCAGCTCCTAATCGAAGCGATCAATAATCGAGACTATAGCAAGAGCCAAGGTGAGACTCTGGGCCAGAAGAGACACACGCTCAATCCGAAATCTCCAGCTATTCTATTCTGGCTCCGCAAAACACGCGATACCATGCGACTAGAGCTTATGCAACGTCTGAACTACGAGAGCCGAGCGATCAGATTCTGGGGACTGCAGAAGGAGCTCGACTTTTCCCACCCGGCGCCCCTCAACTCAGTCACCCAGCTACAAGACAGCCAGTTGAACCTGAAGAAGGCCTTTGAGAACTGTCTTCAGGGTTATGCCAACAACATTCGCGTCACATGGCCCCGCTACGAGAATGACAAGGGACTGCTGTATGCGCTGACCAAGGAGGAGCTGGAGGCTTTCAAGCGTCGACAGGTGCTCACCACGTCCAACGGCGACGATGGGGTCTATAGTGCCTCCATTCGGCTGGAGCCCGGTGCCTCCCCGTTTGGCACTGGCCGTGCAGATGTCCGGATCAACCAGGTACGCCTGTGGTTGCTTGGGGTCCAGGTGAATCCTGATAATGCGCTTCGCAAGCGACTGCTGGTGAAAATCAGCCATGTGGGAAATGAGACGCTGGAAGACACTGAGCGTAAACGGTTTGAATTTGCCCACGACGCCGTCAATATTCAGTTTGAGTACGATACCGCCAGAGTCCAGGGGGTCGATGACTTCAGCTCCGAGTTCGTCTTTGGCAAGCAAGGGCTGGAGGATAATTGGAGTGGTGGTGACACCCAGCTGACTGCGTCGACATTTGCTGCCATAGGTCCCTTTACTGAGTGGCACTTTGATATTCGCGAGTCGGAGAACCAGGGTTTGGATATGGGATTGGTGACGGCTGCGTATGTGGAATTCCGGGGGGCGAACCGGCCATTCTCGGTGGACTATGGGGAGCCGACTCGATCTGAGCTGGAATGAGATCAGTAGTTTGAAGATAGAAGAAAGGAGTAGAAGAAAGAGGAGGAAGTTATCATTCCAGTAACTACCTTTTGTCCAGGGTATTTCGGTTTGAATTGACCAAGAATATACAAGTCTAGTACACGTGAAAGCGCCAGCCCTAACCCATTATAATCAAATTCTTCGACTATCATGAGTCTGCCTCGCTGCAAGCTTGACCATCATAGCTACAATGTCTCACCGTCGACTGATTCAGCCTGACACAAACAGGCAGGAGCATTGCCATGTCCAAACAAGTATCTCGTAGGATCTGAACGTATAGCCGGCCCGGGCTATCCATGCTAACAATCTGAACGGCTTTCCACGTCTGGTCACTCCGTCTCTGGTCTCCAAATCTAGTGACCGGTCCGGGTTCTTCTCAAGTGACTATAAACCAACAGTCCCTGGCAACTTTATTGGCCGTTGGAGCTGCAAGTCTCTTGGCTAGATCGAAGGATCAATCCCCTTGAGCTAACGAACTATGCAACACCGGCCTGCGACTGTTGGCAAAAGTAATGGATCTTACATGTCAGCACTACAAAGCGCCTCGCCACTCCACACCAACCTTGTCTGATCCCTCCGTTCTGTGACGTAGGTGCGTTGTGGGATCTTGGCATGACGTTTTTTATCCCGTCGTCCAAATTCGGCCCCTTCTGATCGGCCTTGTATGTATAGACTTCTAGCAGACACAGCCCACTGCCTCGATCGCATTTGGCAAATGGTCTTGATTCACCTGTAGATAGGATGTAGAAGAAGAGGCAGACAGTCGACAATGATGAGGTCGATTTGGTGACGATGTCAACATATAAAAAGCGACAAGTGTCCCGCCGACAAACTGATTCTTCTCCATCATCATCATCATCATCATCCTCTCCCACCCGATCAGTTGACCTCATAACCGTTGAATTGAGAGCTCCTTCTCACTCTGCCCGACCTTGCTTTACACACGACCCTACGGTATGCATGCACACGCCACAACGATCCATATCCCAACCACTCACTAACCCACCCCAGAACCAAACAAAAAGAGAATGCACATCTCCAAGCTCCTCCTCGCCCTGGTTGCCAACGCGAGCCTCGGGTCAGCCTGCACCTTCGGATTCCACATTATGCGTAATCAAAACACCTTCGACTTGAGCGGCGGTCTCAGCTGTGAAATTCGCATCTGGAAGGCCGACGACGCTACGGGGAATGACGAAAGCCAGGCGTCGGCAAAAATCGAATGTGGCGAGGGCTGCAAGACGTTAAAGTATGACGGAGCCGAGTATGAGTTCTGCCATAATGGACCGGGCGAGATCGCGTCTCTGAGAGATGGGGCCACCGTCCAGAGAAAAGGGGGCGGCAACAAAGTCAACATTATCCCCGATGGAGAGGACAAGAAAGATCTGGATCAGGGCCCATTTGCCTCGTCGAACCAACATAGTTATTGGAGAAACAATATCAAATGTTAAGTTGGGTGGGGGGTTGTTGGGTTTGGCGCGTCGATGGATGAAAGCGGGTTGCTTGGTCGCTCGTTCTTGGTATACATGCTGTATTTCTTGTCTTTCTGTCATTTTCAACAAATGAATGATATTCTGAGCTTCACGGCCATGTTCCTTTACGGCTGTGTTCGATCCTCATCCAATCCAAAGCCAATATCTCAGTGGAGAAACAGTGAACCCCGCGAGCCCAGGTATCAATATCCAAGTCTGAGTATCCACATTCCTATTCAAGTAAGCAAACCATCCAGAGTCGTCAGAATAGGCCAGCCAGTTCTACCGTGGGATCATGGCAGTAAGCGCGAACATGTCTTTCTCTTCCTTCCCCAACCATGCCATGGGCCCGAGTCACGCACAGAGACCTAGCGCCTTGGACTTTGCACACCTGATTCAGTACATGGGCTCCTCCGTGAGGACTGATGAAACGGTTACTTATGTATACATCCCTGCTACTACAGCGACTTGGCGAAGAGGGGCATCCTTGGCAGTGCAATCTATCACAAACCCAACAAAGAAAAAGAACAGCGGTGGTAGGTACCACAGCGGTCTAGATGATCAATCTTATGTCCCTAGGTTGACCGGACAAGAGGTGATATTGAAATAGATAGATCATAGACGGGAGATCTCCATCTCGAAGGCCTCATCTCATCTGCAGAAGCACGAATCGGGATACGCACGCCTCTGTCCGAGATACGTTATCTGATAGATCTGTTCGCTCTCAGCCCTTGCATGAGCCTTACTTTCCAACCACGGGGTACAGCGCTGGTTGGGTAAGGTGGGTTGATCTGTGAGGGATCGGAAAAGCGGTGGGCTAGAGGTACTAACTATATCTTAGCCGCTACGCCACAACGTTGACCGTTGACCAGTGTTTGGTATAGGGCTTGAAATCTGATATTCCCAACGGTATATAATATACAGTATCTTGCTCTTCGTCCTAGTGTGCAGGTTAAGACGGCTTCCGTCCGGCATTATCATCATGGTGTCCGAATCAGGATGTTGTGATTGTCAGGGGATGCAGCGGTCATTACTGAATGAAGTAGCTATGGTATCTAGACTTAAAGAGCTGGTTCAGTCGCAGGAGTCGTCTCCCGTTGTGTTGGACGGGCAGTCTCTCGACGTGAGTGCCGTCGTCGCTGTTGCGAGGTATACTCTTCCCGCTGCCTTTCCGGGCATTATAGTGACCACTCCGCTAACGAACTACCACAGACACAACTGCACCGCAACAATAACAACCAACTTCACAGTCTACCAAGCCATACAATCCAGCGTCAACCAACTAAATACCCGCCTAGCAAACGGCGCCACAGTCTACGGCGTCAACACCGGCTTCGGCGGCAGCGCAGACACCCGCACGACAGACCACCGCGCCTTACAAAAGGCACTAATCCAGCATCACAACGCGGGCATAGTCTTGCCCAATAACAATGGCCTAGGCGACTGCAGCCACAACCACCGCATGCCCGTACCGATCGTGCGGGCTGCAATGCTAACGCGGTGTAACTCCCTGCTGCGCGGGCATTCAGCCGTGCGTCTTGAGGTCGTCGAAACTATACTTACTTTCCTGCGTCACTCAATGACGCCTGTTGTGCCCCTGCGGGGGAGTATTTCTGCCTCCGGGGACCTTACTCCGTTGGCGTACATCGCGGGTGCATTAGAGGGAAACCCCGATATTGCTGTCCACTGTGGAAAGGACGCGCGGGTTATCCCAGCCGATGAGGCGCTGCGCGAGCTCGGTCTGCAGCCGCTGGATTTTGGACCGAAGGAGGGTCTGGGTCTGTTGAACGGGACTGCCTTCAGCGGTGGTGCGGCTAGTCTGGTGGTGTTTGACGCTACGCGTCTGCTCTCGCTGTCGCAGATGATGACTGCTATGGCGACGGAGGCGCTGGGCGGCATGGCGTCTAACTACCACCCGTTCATATCCCTAGCAAGACCCCATCAAGGGCAGATGGAAGCCGCGGCGAACATATTCCGGTTCTTGGCCGACTCGCGCCTCGCAACTATCTCCGCAGGGCCGGAACACACCGGGCTAGCACAAGACCGGTACGCCCTAAGAACGTCTCCCCAGTGGATCGGACCCCAGATCGAGTCCATGGCGCTGGCACTCCGGCAAGTCCGCACAGAGCTCAATTCCACCACCGACAACCCGCTCGTTGACCCCGAGAACGGCGCAATACACCACGGGGGCAACTTCCAAGCTGCGTCGATTACATCGGCGATGGAGAAGACGACGAGCGCGGTGCAGATGATTGGGAGGATGATCTTCGCGCAGTGCTCGGAGCTGATCAACCCTGTGCTGAGCAACGGGCTGCCGCCGAACTTGAGCGTGGATGACCCGAGCTTGTCGTTTGCGTTCAAGGGGGTAGATATTAATATGGCGTCGTATGTCTCTGAGCTGGGGTACTTGAATCATCCCGTTAGCAACCATGTCCAGTCTGCAGAGATGCATAACCAGGGGCTGAACTCGCTTGCCTTGATTGGATGTCGCTATGCCGCTGAGGCTGTCGACGTGCTGTCGCTTATGACCGCGACGTATCTGTATGTGCTGTGCCAGGCGCTGGACCTCCGTGCGTTACACACTGAATTCGTCCGCGATGTCCGCGGGAAAATTGAGTCTGTAACGGCTGAGCTTTGCCATGTGGGCGACTCCCAGCGCCTGTGGGATGAACTGCTCGACCACTGGCGCCGGCACAGCACCAGCGATTTGAAAGACCGCGCGGTCCAGACGGCGAATAGCTCTGTGGGGCTGCTCTTGGATTTAATGGCTGCTAACAGCAATCGCATCGCTGCGGACGAGGTGGCTCGAGAATGGAAGACTCAGATGGCGAGAACCCTCGCGGATAGTTATACCGCCACGCGGACTGGATTTCTTGAAAATCCTACGACGAAGAACTATCTGTGCAGTGCGTCGCGGAGACTTTACGGCATTGTCCGTGATGAGCTCGATGTGCCGCTGCATCGGGGCCTCGAAGACCATCCTACTTATGATCGGGAGCGTATGAAGGGCAAGAAGAGTATCGGGTCGCGTATCACCACCGTTTATACTGCCGTCCGAGACGGGCGTTTTGATGATGTATTGGCCACCTTTTTTTGAGTGGCTTGGTGGGTATTTTCTTTCTTTTTTTTTTTTTTCTTTTCTTTCTCTAGCATCTCGTTATAGCGTATAGACTTTTCGGTCAATATGAACTCATGCGAAGTATAATCCTAAGACTTCAATATCGGACCATAGTTGAGCTGTAGAATCTTGGCTGGGAACTGCGAAAGTTCCTGATTAGTATGGTAGGGTAGCAAAACCTATGTATAGCCAACGGTTAGGGTCAGTAGGTTAACTACGAATGTCGCATACTCCGTATATCAAGAAAATCACAGAAAAAAAAAAGTTCAAAAGGGTCTGTCTTTCATGGTCTAAGCATGGACTGATGGGTCCAAAAATTATATAAACGAAGTAAAGAAAAGAAACATCCCGGGAAATTACAAAACACGTGGTAGGTAGTAGTGGTAGTCAAAACACGAAAAGAACAAGAAAATGGTCTGGTACTGGGATATCGATAACGATCAATCAGTCAATCAATCAATCCATCCATCAATAATCAATAATCAATCAGTTGGCCCTTCACAACCCAGTCGTCTATCGGTAGGGATGTTTGTAGGTAAAAATCGGATGCTCTCGTCAGTGTCGTTTGATTGTCTTCTTCCCTCCTTTATTTTTTGTTGAAAATTCTTTCTTGCGGAGGATGCACGCTTACTGCGCGGCGCCCTGCTGCTGCTGGATGTAGTTGTAGGCGACGTAGCTGATGACACCGCCAATCAGGAAGAAGGCGTACAGACCGACGCCGATGCCCGCGGTTCCGGAGCCGGAGGAGGCAGAGGGAGCGGGGGTGTGAGCGCGGGGCTCGGGGTCACCGGGCTAGAGGGGTTAGTTGGATGCGACAGAGATAGAATAGAGACGGTGTTGGGAGATGCATACCAGGCGCTTGACGTTACCGACGAACATGCCGTCGAGGATCTCACGGGCCTCGTCGCTGTGGCCGACATCCTCGAAGGCCTCGGTGGCATCCTGGCCAGCGACGTCGAGGAGGACTTCCTCACCACCGCTATTCGCATTGTCAGTTGGACTCTTTCCGGTTGTTTGTTTATTTGTTTATTTGTTTATGTTTGTTTGTTGACATTGGGGGAATTTGGAGTAGGACGTACGGGTGCTCGTCAACAAAGGCAGAGACGTCGTAAACCTTGTCGTGGACGGTCATGTAGAGATCCTTCTTGGTGTTGTGGCCGGCGATCTCGGCGAGGGTGAGTTCCTTGGTCTGAGACATGATGGGTGTGATTTGAGACTGGAAGAGTGGGATGGTCAGCAGAGGTCTAGACGTGGAAAAGTAGCAGGTAGAAGTAGTAGGTGAAGGTGAGCAGGGACCGAGTGATCAGCGAGGGGGTTACACCAGGGACCGGTGAGAGTGCGGTGCAAGGGAAGAGAATTTGTCCGGGGGAGATAGGATGAAGTCGAGCGAACTGGAAGTGGAATCCCCTGGGATTTCCAGACTCCTAGAATGACCACGACTTCCGATCGGGACTATCTGTTCCTGTGGGTTGACATGGAGGGGATTTGAGGGACCATGGGCAACTCCTGAGCGCGTGGAGGGCAATGCGAAAAGGACAACAATCGGGACGTACCGAATCAACAGGGGAGATGGATCGACTGAGGGAGAGATAAGCGGTGAGAATGAGGGAGAGTCACGGAGGAGAGTGGACTGGAGGAAAGATATGACGAGGAGAGAGATATCTAAGGTGAAAAAGAAGAGGTGTTTGTAAGAGAGAGAGAAAGGGAGAAGAAGAAGAAGAGAAGAAGAAGAGGAGAGGAGAGAAAGAGGAGAGAAGCGGGCTAAAAGACTAGGGCGGGCCTCACCAATACTATAGAGAGAGACGTCTCGACCGTTGACCAGTGTCCGGAGTACCACTCAACCAATTCTGTTCAGTGTTCTTCAAGATTAATTTTCCCTGCCGACAATCCCTTCCGAGACAGGAACTGGATCTTTCCCCACGGTTAGACTGGAGTCAAATTCGGTATTTCTTCCAGAGAGAGAGAAGAAGAATCTCCATTGAATATTTTGGATCCACGAATAAGAGTCTGCTTATTCGGTCTGAGTCAGCTGCATAACCACTGATTCTGCATAACTATACACTGTCCAATACTACTGCATTATTATCAATACTGTACGACTATACTAATAGTACTATACTGAAAGTACTATACTAGTACTACAATACTAATGCTACTATGCTACTATGCTACGGCTCTTCCGATATGATTATACTATTAAAACCACTACCATGAATACAGGACTATCAAATAGAGATAACCTCGGAAGTCCCTCTCCGCCCGTCGGATCGCTGCCTCGGGATTGTCCGAGCTTATCACGGGAATCTTATATAATACAACACTATACTTGATTATCTAATATACATCTTGGTTCTCAGAAAGTTACAGAAGATGATACTCACCGCCTATCTATTCTGTCAGCATTATATCAGGCGGTAAGTATGTACCTCCTCAGGCATCTCCACCAATCCCCATCCAACCACTTCAAACGCTCATCGATGGATCTGCCTGGAGCTTCCATCAGCCTCATCCTCCTCCATTTCCCTCTGCGCGGTCATTTCCTTGATGAGACTGATCTATCTTCCTATTAATCAATCACGATATACCTTGTTATAACATCTTCCGATCGATCTCACCCCTCATCCGCTACTCTACTCCTCCCACTTAACACTCGATACCCAACGTCATAACCTCCTCCTCCCTCACTCCCCATCCTCCCCCACCCCCTCCTCCATCGTCTCATTCCCCCATCTTCCTGTCGCCGTCATCATGGCGGGCTGGTTCTCCTCCACCTCCCCGCTCGACGAGCAAGTCGAACGGGCCACCGCCTCTTCCCTGTACGGTTTGATCCCCTCGTGATAACATGACACGCGACTGATAAAGAGTCCTACCAGAGAGGATATCGCCCTGAACCTAGAGATCTCCGATATGATTCGATCCAAGAACGTCCAGCCCAAGGAGGCCATGAGGTCGCTGAAACGTCGATTGGAGAATCGAAACCCCAACATCCAGCTAGCCACGTTGAAGGTGCGTCGATCACCATCGGACCGCCACGATCTTCAAGGCTGACCACATCCAACCGTATAGTTGACAGATACCTGCGTGAAAAACGGCGGAACCCACTTCTTGGCCGAGATCGCCTCGCGCGAGTTCATGGACAATCTCGTCTCCCTGCTCAAGGCGGAAGGCGCCCTGCTCAACGCCAATGTCAAGGACAAGATGCTGGAACTGATCCAGGACTGGGCCATGGCCGCCCAGGGTCGCATGGACTTGAGCTATCTGGGGGAGACCTATCGCCGACTGCAAGACGAGGGCTTTCGATTCCCCCCGCGGACGCAGATCAGCGGCACCATGCTGGAAAGCAGTGCGGTACGTTCCTCTCCTCCTTCCCCGCCCCCGTGGATCGCGCTGATCCTCTGTAATTGGTAGCCCCCCGAGTGGATTGACTCCGACGTGTGCATGCGATGCCGCACCGCCTTCAGCTTCATGAACCGCAAACACCACTGCCGCAACTGTGGGAACGTCTTCGACGCCCAGTGCTCCAGCAAGACCCTCCCGCTACCCCACCTCGGTATCTTCCAGCCCGTCCGCGTCGACGACGGCTGCCACGCCAAGTTGACCGCGAAACCGTTCCCGCCGGCGGGTCTGTCGGACCGGTCCGCGTTCAAGAACCACTCCATCTCCAAGTCGAATGCCATGGAGCCCCGGACGGCCCGCGCCGACACCGGCTTCGACGACGACCTGCGTCGCGCCTTGCAGATGAGCCTGGAGGAGGCGGAGAATCGCGGCACCGGTGGCTACGTCCCGCAGGCTCAGGCTCCAGCCGCCCCGGAACCGAGTCAGATGAAGACAGCCGAGGAAGAGGATGCGGACCTGAAGGCGGCCATCGAGGCCTCCCTGCGCGACATGGAACAACACAAGCAGCAGCATGCCGCCGCCCTAAAGAACACGACCCCCGACTTCCCCGCCCACGAGACCCCGGGGGCCGCCCCCTTGCCCCGGAACCCGTACGAACTCAGCCCGGTCGAGGTGGAGAACATCCACCTGTTTTCCACCCTCGTCGAGCGACTGCAGCATCAGCCCCCAGGGACCATCCTCCGTGAACCCCAGATTCAGGAGCTGTACGAGAGCATTGGCGCTCTGCGGCCGAAGCTGGCCCGGAGCTACGGCGAGACGATGAGCAAGCACGGTATGTTGTCCCCATCCCTACCTCTAGGCTTCCTCCGTCTACTTCTTCCCCGGTCGATGTGACTAACAACGATCTAGATACGCTACTCGATCTGCACGCCAAGTTATCGACGGTGGTGCGGTACTATGACCGCATGCTGGAAGAACGACTGTCCAGTGCCTATTCGCAGCACTCGCTGGGGTACGGGTCCGTCCCGGCCAAGTCCCCGTACCCCAACGTCTACCCGTCCATGCCCCCGCCCCCGCCCGCGCCGGAGACCCGCACGGGAGCCGAGAGCTTCTACTACGGGACCGCGGGCGAGCAACCCCCCGCGGCCGCGCCGTATGCTCCGCCCGCGGATGCCAGCGGTCACCGAGGTGGTGCGATGAGTCCGGGCGCATACGCGCCCCCACCGGCACAGCCGATGCCGCCAAGCGCGCCCTGGACGGGTCGGCCCCCGTCGGTGGCATCCCCACCGGGCCCCAGTGCCGCCCCGGGCTACCCGGGACCGTCCGCCGGCTACCCACCCCCCGCGCCACAGGGATACACGTCTCCGACCGCAACCGACCCATCCGCCCAGGCTTACTACTCCCACCCCGGGGAGCCGAGCACTCCGTCTCAGGCAACGCCGGGGGCCCGGCGGGACTCCTACTACCAGTCGACCGGTCTCCCCACCGCCCCCGTGCCGAGCGCCCCGGAGCCGTCCGCGCCGGCCGCCGATGGATATCCCGCGGGGCCCGGGCATCAGCGTCAGCCATCCTATTATTACCAGCCGCCGCCGCAGGGTATGCCGCAAGCCCCAACCCATGCGCCGGGAGTCCCCCCAGGATCGCATGCGGTCGGCGATGTATCTCCGCTGGGGCCATCGGCCGCCCCGGCACAACCGGCACCCGCGCGGCCCGCCGTGGAAGAGAGTCTCATTGAGCTGTAGACGGAGAGCGGGGTGGCGTTTTGTTCGTGTCATCTGTTTCCGCACCCTTATGATACCAGTTTTCTTTGTTTGGAGTGGGAATGAAATTGTATTATTCATGTATCGATGTATACGTAGTATGCCAGAGAATCGTCGCTCCCTCGAGAAAGGGACATACCTCTATCTTCCAACTGTCTGATGTTTATAATCATAAGAGTGCTGTAATCCAACGCAATCCATGACCGGATTGGGGATCCTGAGGATATAGTTTGGAGATGGGAACACACGTGACGGTACGATACCAAACATACCAAACTTACGGCCTTCACTCCCCATTTCACTTCATCTTCTCTTCTTCTCTTCTTCTCTCCAACTTCATCTGCATCTTTCTCTCCTCCATCTTCCTCTCTCTCACTCACTCCTCCTTCTCTTCCTCCCCCTCTTCTTATCCACCAATTGAGTATTACGCTTCCCCAAGTCAACCGCTCCGGCCAATTGTCGGATCGTTGCTTTTTCCAGCTGCGGTGACACCCGACCTGCAGCTGCTCAGAATTGGCAACCCACTTCCCCCCCAACCTCGTCAAACGGAAACAGGCAAACAGGGAAGAGAATCATGCCGAACAGCACTGCCTCCCCCATGAAGCGCCCTGGCTTAGGGCGCCGCGCTATCTCCTCCCACGCCGTTGTCACCCGCTCCTCTTCCTCCATCGCTCCTCACGCCGATCTGTCCGGCTCGCACTCGTCCTCCTCCCAGAAACTCGCCCTGCGTCCTCATCATCACTATCCCCGAACTCATGTGGTCGGTGGTCATCGCCATCATAATCGGAATCCCTCCTTCGGCAAGAATCTAGCCAAACTGCAGCGCCATCTCTCCGCCCACCAGATCGCTCAAGAACCCCACACGGGCGCCCGGCAACATCAGCGCAAGAAGTCCGCCCCCGTCACCCCCGCCGCCAGCCCCCGCGCGCATAATAATAATCACCACGTCCGCTGGGAGGGCGTCTTGGATGATTCCCCCGATCCCGTTCACACCCCAATCAAGAAGAACAACTCCAGCCCCGTCTTGCGACGACGGCATTCCTCCCACGCGAAGGCGACCGTCGTCACCGCCTCCGACCGCCCCCAGACCGACAAGAAGAAGTCCGTCGGCTTCGAACTGGGCGACGACTCCGATAACGAGGACGGCGAGTGGGAAGACACCACCCAGTCTCCTGAGAGCACCCGTCGCAGCTCCGTCGTGGCCCAGTCCAGGGATAGCGTCGAGAATAACCAACCCGTTATCGTCGACCCGCTCACCTTTGTTAAGCGGCCTGTTCCGCAGTTCGCCCGCGCCGCCAGCCTGCCCGAATCCGTCAACAAGAGCTTCGACCAGCGGACCCACGACGGCGAGGAGCCGACCTCGTCGCGCGAAGACCACGACCACGACTACGACCACGACCACGATCAGCACGACGGCGACGACCACCGCGGCGACGACGAGGCAGAGCACCCGCCGGACCACCCCGCCATCACCTCCCGTCTACTTACCCCCTCGCTCGCCGCTAAAGCTCCGCCCGCCATGTCGTCCATCTCCGCGACCGCCAAGCCGGCCGTCGTCGACGCCCTGGCGCGGAAAACATCAATGTCGACTCTCAACGCCGGGGCCGACGGCCGCCGGCCGACTTCGTCCTCCCACGCCACCACACCCGCCGGCCACGCCTCCGGTCCCACCCAGGCCACCTCCTCGTCCATTGAGGGCGGTGTGTCTCGCTTTATCATGGACGGCAAGGCCGTCGCCCCAGGCTCATTCCGCACCGACTCCGAACCCAACACCCCGTCGTCTTTCCTCCCGCATTACCATCCACAGACGCCGCCGTCTCCCCACCAGAGCAGCACGGCCGCCGCCCGGCGACGCGCGTCCCCGCCACCCCGGTCGCGTGGCGTGGAGCCGCCATCGCGCACGCAGCAAAAGCTCTGGCTGCAGCGGACGGCCACCCTCAACACCTCGCCCCCAGACAGCCACGGCACCTCCGCCACCGCATCTCCCGCCGCCCTCGATCCCAGCCACAGTCGGCCGGGAACCGCCCCGTTCGAGGCAAATCGGGGGATCGCCAACGGCGCGCCTCGCACCGGCACGGGGTCCATCCCAGACAGCGAGGCGAAACACATCCGCAAGGCATACGAGAAGACCGCCATGGAACTGACCGTAGTGCGACGGTTCCAGTCCCCGACGGCCGACAGTTTCCAGCGTCTCGCCCTCCTCCTCACCGACCTCCAGCTGCCCCGGTCTCCAGCGCTTGGTCCATCAGTCCAGTCCGCCCCGACCCTACCACAGGACGGGAAAGCACCTCGGGGGCGTCCTGGCGCGCGACCAGAATCGCGTCAGTTCTTGGGTAAGCGGGCGAACGACGTCTCGCAGGCTTATCTAGACGAAGCCGCTAGCGACACGGCCCCGCTGCGCAAATCGACCTCCTTGCATCCATCGCACCGCCTGTCGACCTCCGCCGAGGGCGAACCCAGTATGGGACAGGACGAGGCCGCGGAGTCTTCTCTCCTCCCAAGCGAGTCAGAGATGCTGATGCGACGGATGTGGGAGAGTCGCGAGGTAGCAACGTCTGGATGATCTCTCCTTTTCCCCCTCCTTAACTCTCTTCCTGCTTAGCTGTCTTTTTGTCTTCTCTTTTACATTCTTCTCTTTTACATTCTTTCTTTCTTCTATTCGCTTCATACGTGTGGCGCAGGCATGGTTGCATTTCTTAGCGTATGCGGGAGTTCAACGTTGAATAGGGTCCGATATTTGCATGTCACTATCACACCGGTCCGAACTTGATTGATCTGTTTTGCTTTGCTGTTTCGGCTGTTTCTGGTGGTAGGTGGGTGGGTGGTTATTATCCGGGTACAGTAATATGGAGTAGCTAAGGCTAATGTGAATACTTAATTATCTAGTTTATTTATGCCGTTTGGATAGTAGGATGTATGTAGGTAGTAGTAGTACTTGTGCAGAGAATAGGGGGGTGGATGTTATGCTACAAACTGTGTATCAGACAGTACTTTATATTAGCATAGAATGTAGTATAATATATATGGTATAAAATATAATATCGTAGTGATACAACACAAGAATACAAAAAGCAAACCCAACCAAGATATATCACAATTCATACACAGAGAGGGGAATGAAGAAAGAGAAAGAGAGAGAAGATTATCGCCCTCGTCCCCTGTGAGCGCCTCTCCCTCTTTCTCCTCCTCCTCCTCCTCCACCACCGCGTGGGGGCGCACCACTGCCGCCTCCTCCTGCTGCTGCTCCGCCATTCACAGGAACAGACTCCCTATGACTACTCCCATGACCAGCGTTGGCTTTCTTGGTGTGATGTTGTTGGCGGTGGTGAGGGTGAGGGGCGTGTTCTTTCCGCTGAGGGGGTGCTTTCTGTGGATGCGCATTTGCAGTCGCATTCGCACTGGCACTGGAATCCTTCGGAAGACTGCTGCTACCAGCAGGGCTAGGGCCATGGCCATTCTTCTGCCTGGAAGGTAGTTGTCGAGTCCCACTAGCTGTGTTCGTGTTTGTGTTTGTGTTTGCAGCTGCATCTGCACTTCCAGCAGCTTTCCCAGCTCCACCACCACCACCCCCACGCCCTCTCTTGCGATTCGCGTTTTGCCCAGAGCCAGAGCCGGGGGTATTACCCTGGCCCTGCCCCTGACGCTGACCCTTCCTTCCATCCATGCTCTTATCCTTCTTCCCACCCTTCCCAATATCATCACCAGTCTGCTCCTCTCCCTCTAGCTCCTCATCAGGAAGTCCCTGGATACGCCTACTCTCCTTATTCCACCACTCCTGGAACTGCTGCTCGAGCTGGATGTCGTGGAGGTTGTGTTTGGCGGTGGCTGCTTCGCGGATCTCGTCTTTTTCGGTCTGTTGTTGGAGGAGGATTGTTGAGAGGGAGGTGCGTTTGGATTTTTTGGTTGGTTTGGGTTTTGAGGTGGATGTTTGTTTGGGGGTTGGGGTTGATGTGGAGGCTGGGGGGTGGTTGAGGGGGATTTGGGGGTGTGCCGGATTGAGTGGATGGGCTTTTGCTGGGGTTGTTGATGTAGTTGGGGAGGTTGTTGGGTGGGTGTGGGTGTAGTATTGGGGTTGGTGGGTTGGAATGATGCGGATGATGGTTGTAGCTGTGATGGAGGAGTGTGCTGCACACCCCCCACACCATCCCCTGCTTTAACCGGCACAGGGCCCACCGACTGCCCCTTCAACGGCGGCGTCCCGGCCACCGTCTGCCGCATCGTCATAGAAGGTTTCCTCGTCGGTTTTCCCAGTTCAGCTGGCGTAGGCTCCGATCCATTACCAAGCTGACCCAGACCCCCCTTTCCTACAGAGGCAGCAGCAGAAGAAGAAGAAGTAGGAACAGGAGGAGTCACCCCCCAAGGATTAGCCCTCGCCTCCTTCGACCTCTCCTCCGCAGCAAGCATCTCCTGCATCTGCAGCATCTGCATCTTCTTGCGCTCTTTCTGCGACATTTTCGGCGCAGCAGATTGGGCGTTATCGCGTTTGGCAGACATGGACATGCCCAGGCTGAGGTTTGAGACTTGTCCCTGGGAGGAAGCTTCCTGCATTATGTCTTTGAGGGGCTTCTTTGAGCCGGTTACCACGGAGGTTGAGGAGGTGTTGGTGTTGGTCCATGGGACGGACGAGGTGTTGTTGTTGTTCCTGTTTTGGGCGCGGTTGTAGCTGGGGGATTCTCCTAGGCCCGTATCGTGGGAGCCCATCAGATCGTCGAGATAGCTTCTTCCACCGTGTGGTGATTCGTCTGCGAGGCTGGATGCGAAAGCAGGCGAGTCTGCGGGTGCGTAAGGTGCATCTACACCTCTGGACCCACGAACGACGCCCTTCCCTTTCAAGCCCTCACCCGGAGACAAGAACTGCTCATCGTCCATAGCGAACATCAGTTCACCCGCAGACTGCCTCGGTCTCAGCGAGGGGCTCTTCGAGGGTGTCGTGAATACATCCCTCGTTTTGGAGGACTTCTGCGCCGACGCAGGCGTCTTGTCGCCGTTTGGCATGCGCTTGCCTTCGGTGTTGAAACGCGTCCGCAACTTCATGGAGTCTATTCTTTGCTGTCTGTCGCTCTCGATGAAAGATACTAGCTCGGGATACATCTCGAAGATATACTCGTCTGTGTTGCGCCCTCTGGAGATGGGGAAGCTGGAGAGTTGGTTGTCGTGGCAGACGGAGTCTAGTGCGGTGAGGAGGTTCTCGTTGAGGTCTTCCAAACTCCTGGACAGGATCAGTATGCATTCATTGATAGGTTGGGGGAGGGGGAGGGATAAGTACCTATTCGTGAGCAGCCCCTCCAGGTTCAAACAGATATACTCCAACGCGGCGTCGCGGAATTCCGTAACGTAGCACGGCGCGATGGAGTTGAGGAGAGTACAGACGTTGCGTGCGTTTACTACACCACATTAGCACCATCATTTGAAGACATTGGTGGAGAGATAAACGTACCAAATTGACCTAACACCCTCTGACAAACCTGCGCCAACCGATCAATCATCAACTCATTCGCCACAAACGCGACCTCAAACACCAGGTCTATGAAACTGTCTAGATCTTTCGAGCGGACTTCATCGAAGAGCTGCTCGTCTGTATCGGCGTACATATACCGCAGTACAAAGTCGAAGACAGGGCGGTCGATGTGCCGCAGGTCGACGCGGATGCTACTATCCGACGGGTTCGAGTTTTCCCGGCGGGAGAGGAGCCATCTACCACCCGAGCGGCCGTTGAACAGCACATCGAAGAAGAGACTTCTCTGGCAGATGACCTGGCTGTGGACTCTGACTTCGTCGTTATTGAGCTCGATGACGACGTCGCCGCTTTCGAAGAAGACAGGGTCGGTGAGTGTCAGCGCCATGTCGGATTTGAGAGACCTGTGAGGATCGATCATTAGGCGCGCGGCGCGCTCGATGGACGGGATGTCGAGGTGCGTGCCTAGACGCATTACTTCTGTGCGCACTTGGCGGTAACGGAGGGCGCTTTCGGGTGTGTGTCGGGCGAGATGCCACATGTCGAAGATGTTGTCTGTGTAGATGAAGAAGGCGAGGTTGAGGAGTGTGTAGATGTCGAGGTTGTGGAAGAGGATGCGTGTGCGGTTGTGTTGGTCGTGCGAGATGGTGAGGATGTCTGGGAGGGTGTATGTGGTTGATTTGCGGAAGGCGTGGAATGCTTTTCGGAGGACGGCGCTGCGGCCGGAGAGGACGAACTCGTGGACTGGGATTTGTACGTCGGAGAGAGTGGTCGTTATGAGGACTACTCCCTGGGGCAGATTGACCGGCGACGGTGGAAAGAAGGACTCGATGTCTGAGGCGGACATCACTGCGTTTTTGATAGCCAGAGTGGGCTCAACCAGCATCCCATCCCCAACTCCAGCTTCTGCATTTCCATTGACCATAGAGGCGAAGACGCCAAACGGAGACAACGGCAGCAAGTCCTTCCACAGCGTACTCGGCCCAACCTCAATTTGCTCCCTCGTGACATCACAATCCCTTTGCGCAGCCGCAAACGCCCCGAACGAATTACTGCAGACACCCACGACCCTTGACAAGCCCGGCACACGAGCAAACTTGTACTCCTTCGCGACGCCATCCTTGCTCTTCCCCCGCTTTTCCTTCCGCCACGCAGACCCAGACGCCGTGCAGATAATGATCGAGCCGTCCTGGCCGACGTCGACATCCTTAACAGCCATGTGGGCCTTCTTGAGCGCCCACACGCGCGCAGGCGGCGCGACGGCGTTGCGAATTTTCGACGGGTTGGTGGTGGAGGTTGCGGACGGGGTGTCGGTTTTGGTGTTCACCTGCACGGTGAAGACCTCGCCGAAGCTGGACAGAGCGCAGATGGTGTTGCCGCCGGAGCGGATCTTGATGATTCTGTTGACGGCGGTGTCGTAGCGGGTTGTCATGAAGCTGTCCCGGATGAATTTCGAGCTGATGTCTAGCGGGAAGGAGAGTTTGAGGTAGCCGTATTGCGCGAAGACCCATACTTCGTGGTTGTGGAGGAGGATGGCGGTGGCTTGGTCGATGGCAGAGACGCTGTGGATGGGGGCGTTGAAGAGGGAGGCTCCGACGCGTCGGGGGGTGGTTTGCGCTTCGAGGGACCGCGCGTCGGAGTCGACAAGGCCGAGCTGGCCTTCGTTTTTGCCAAATGTGTAGAGGCCTGCGTGGCTGAAGACGACTGAGTGGATTGCGGACGCCGCGGCGCCGAGGATCATTTCTTTCTTGAAGGGGTTGAAGATCTGGCGGGGGGTGGTCTGGATGGGCACGTCGTCTCGGTTGGTGGCTCGTGGGAGGCTGTAGCCTAGTTGACCGTACTTGTTGCTACCCCAGCTGAAGATCTCGCCTTGCTCGGAGATGGCGAGCGTGTGGTCTTGGCCGAGAGCCACGGAGACGACCTTTCGGTTGGCGAGGCCTCCGCCCTCGATGCAGACGAAGCTGAATCGCGTCGACTCGTCGCCTGTGCCCAGGCGGCCGCCCGGACCGAATCCGCATGTAAAGAGGTTGGCTTCCGGGTCGGTGGTCAGAATGGCTGTGTGCAGCTTGGACATGACGATGTCCTGGTATTTCATCGGCTTGTTCCTGATCAGCGCGGGGAGATCTTCCGCGTCATCAGGGCCCGGGGGGTGATCGTCACCCCGCTGTTCCTGGGACTCGCGGAAGAATCGGCGCAGCAGGTGTTCCGGGCGTTTCAGCGTCATTCGCTCTGGAAATTGACGGTCATCCTGGTCGCCCACGCCTAAATTCAGATTCTTATTACTCCCAAAGGTGTATACTTCGTCGGCCAAGAGGTTGACGCGGGGTCGCAATACACCCCGCGGCGCATGGCCGTCCTCGTCCATATCCTCCCCAAAGGACGACGCACTCGACTCATCGTCCTTATTTTCGATATCGGCGAGCAAAGGATCGTGCTCCGTCGCCGGGAGCACCATGCGCTTGATCTCGCGCGAGGAGATGGTAGCCCCGTACACGTCAAAAGGGCTGTACCCCTCGCGATCCTTCACCTTGATCAGGCCTCCACCGGGATGACCCGGTGACCCCGCCTTGCTGAAGTCGGTCGCGTCCCGGATGTCGCGCGCCATCAGCGCCTGAGCGATAGCCGCGTTTCCGGCGTACAGCGCGCGGTGCAAAGCCGTCCATCCACTCTCCCAGTCCTGCGCGTATATATCGATAAACGGAGTCTCGAGCAGCATGATGGCGAAGTCGATGGCCGTCGACTTGGGCGATGAGGCCACGTGGTGCAGGAGCGTGCGGCCATAGTGATCGCGGGCGTTCAATTCCTCGCGCGAAATAGTCCGACCGGGTCGCGACGTCGTGCTGCGATCAGGCAGCGGGGTTCCAGGAGAGGCCTCTCCGAGCTTTTTACTGCGGTGGAAGATGCCCGGCGACGAGGCTATCACCGAGCCAGAACCTCCAGCTTTGGAATTGGGGGTTCCGCCGGAGGTCTTGTAGCTGGCGGAGGCCAGGACACCCCGGAAGGTCTCGACGTCATCGCGCAGGAAGGTTTCCCAAAGCTTGCCACTCATGTGCCCAGCGTGACCGTGATTTTGTCAGAATCTCTTGTCGACCGAGGACCAGGACGTCGTTGTCGCCTGACGGGGTCAACGGCGCACCGGGGAGGGCTCGGGAAGAGCTCAGCGGGGCGACAAGAATTCCGACTGGAGGAAAGGACACGGGAGGAGGGAGCGAGGGTGTGGCTCAATGTGACGGTTCGGATCGCAGGAGACGGGTGGGTAAGATGCAAGGGTTGAAATGAGCAGGGAGGTTGTTGTCTGGGGAAGGCAACGTGTCGTGAGGATGAGAGTGATCGTGTGGCGGCGATTGACGATTGTGGGTGGGGATTATTATCTCCGAGAGTCGAGTGGGGTCGGTCAGGGTGGTTTGTAGTAGATCTGGAGGGATCACACAGGAGATGCGACTGTAATATGGGGAGATGAAGAATCAACGAGTGAAGGGATGGGGGAGGGAGGTATAGGAGAATAATTCGCGTTCTGAGAGAAAAGAGAGAGAGAGAGACAGAGAGAGACAGAGAGAGAGACAGAGAGAGCCATGGATAAGGGCATCGTTGGGTGGGCCAATCAGGAGGGGCTGTCCCCTCCATGTTCCGACGAGGGTTTCTTATTTGATTATATATATAGGTATATACCATATATATTCTATTATATGATATCGATCGATGTTAAATAGTCGACTGTCGGATCCTTGAAAAGTAAGGTGTATATATCACTGCTGGCAGTATGTTCTCGAGTGCCAGTCATCCCGCCAACTGGCAAACTGTATCTATAAGAACATCTCACCAGGGTCCCAGCCAAGTCGAGAGCCTCTTGCTAGAAAGTACTAAGAGTACTCCCAGGGAGACAAATTAAGCAGACAAAGTACCTTGACCTCGACTCACTCATCAACTTCCTGCAGATGCATACCAACTGGCGCCAACACCCAACCCGACGTGTCAAGCCTCCATTCCCTTCTTCAAGGAGTCAATACAATACATCCGATATATTTCTGTACACAATACACCAAATATAATTTGTACGACCAAGCAGGGGTTCTGCAGGAGAGATTCCGATGTGTCTGGACTCTAGACGATGAGCTCTCCACCGGGCGTCGTCCCAGCAAACGGTTGCAGGTGAGGCGGCCAGTCTGATGTTCGAGATTGGTGGTCTAAGCTTAATTACTTGATCATCTAGTTTGTACTTAGTACTACTTAGTCTCCTAAGTAGTCATACCTTTCTCTTACAGGGAGTCATTGATTCAGGGTAGATCTCCTGGATTGATGATAAGGTTCCGAGATCTGTGGAAATTAGTAAACAAATTGAAATATTAGAACAAAAACAAAAAAAAAAAAAAAAAAAACAATAAATAAAAAGACAAGGATCCATGATGAGAAAGGATGAAAGGATGAAAGGATGACTGTCATGGATTAGGGTCATGCGTGATTGACGGTGGATCGCCTAGCGTCAGTTGGAGCTGTCAATCATCTATTGTCATGTACAAAAACAGGATTTGCATTATAGAGAATATCATAGTATCATCAATATCATCAATATCCAGCATCATATATACCATCCAAGAAAAATCAATACATAGATAGAAGATAGAAAATAGAAGATAGAAGATAGATGATAGAAGGTAGATACTATAGTACCTTACCTCCCCGTACATGACACTAAGCCTCTTTGGGAGGAGTAGCCGCTTGACTCTTGACCGCCTTGCCACGGTCTCGGTATGGTACCGTATTATCATGAATCATTATTGATTGATATATGGGTATGATGATATTCTATATTTTATTCTCTGTTTTATATCTGTAAATATTTTATAGAGAAATATAGATAGATTATAAAGTTAGACATATAAAGGGAGAAGATAGATATATATAGATGTCCACCAGGTCGAGTCACGGGTGTGCGTCACTCTCCACTTATCAGTACCTGAGGTATCTCCACCTCCCGTTATCTGCTTGCGTCTTCCTCTCTCTCTCTTCCCTCTACTTCTCTACTTCTCTCTCCTCTATTCTCTCCCGTTTATTATTCTTCCTCTTCTCCTCTTATCCCTTTCTCCCTCTCTCCCAACTGACTCCTCTACTTCATCCCCTAGATCATCCTGATCATGTCTCCGTAATCCTTCTTCCCCATCTACCTGGCTGGTGATCCACTCGTGAATGCGGAGAAGTTCCAGACCGCATGCTCTCCAACGCCCTGTTGCCTGTCTGCCGCAGACCATGAATCCAGCCTGCTGTCTCTGCCTGGACTTGCTTCTTTAACTCTCTCTTTCTTTCTCTTTCTTCCTCCTCCTCCTCCTCCTCCTCTTCTTCTCCCTCTTCTTCTCTTTTTTCTTTTTCTTTTCCTCCTCTTTTTGGTTGTCTTGTTCCCTCCTGGTTATCCTACTCCCCGTCCCCCCAGTCGTTATGGCCTGCCACTCCACTCCGTCCCCTTTCCCCGCTTGATCCCTTCGACGTTGTGGTCCTATCTGTGGTTATACCTGGTTGAACCTGTGGTTGAATCTTCCCTCTGGGTTCCATCTGCCTACCGGACACCATGCATCAACATCCCCGGTCGCCCGCCCCGGCCTCGGCGGGCCGCTCCAATGCCTCTCGTTCCGAGGACCGCAGGGAACAGGGGTTCGGCTTCAACTCTCCCACCGTGGAAAGGCCTCCGAGTGGAAGAGGCCTGGGGATCGAGACCGATCCCGAGTCCTCGGAACACGTGCATCCCCCGCAACCCTCCAAGGATGTCATGGCCAAACTCAATCAGATCATATCGGTATGTCTCTGACCCCTCTGCCGTCATCGTCAAGTCGGATGCTAACGGGTCGCTACCCTTCCAGAATTACCATACCAAGGCGGCGCTGATCATCCTGCACTCTCGCGTCGACCTCCCTCCCTCCTTCGCCAAAGGCTCCGATAACCCCAAGGTGAACCGCTGGGTATGTTCTTCGTTCCCCATTCCCTGTGGGCAGATTGTCCGAGCTAACATCTATTCTATCATTCTAGTTCAACGTCGAAATCGACGAAACCGACGTGCTCCGCGAACAGCTCCGGACCTGGCGCGCCTGCGACGCCACCGAAAACCGTCCCCCGCCCTTGATCATCGAAACCTACCTCGACACCAAAGGCCTCACCAATAACCAGAGTCTCGTCGTGCTGGATGATAATGGGAAGCGGTGGGATGTATTGGAATCGCTCGCCGCCTCCGAGGGGCCCCAGCCCGTCCGTCCCCCCTCCTCCCGCTCCGACGACGTGATCTTGGAGCGCTGGAGGATCGAACTGGGAGAGATGCCCAACCAGCTGCCCACCGACCTCGGCGCCATCCTACCTACCGTCTACAAGAAGAGCATCGTGCTCTTCCGCTCCTTATTCACTTACTCCAAATTCCTACCCGCCTGGAAGTTCAAGCGGAACGGGAGACTGCGAGCCAACCCGGTGTTGCGCATCAAGTATCGCGTCCTAAACGGCCAGGCCGCCCCGGAGTCCGCCAAGCCAGACCACTTGACCGCCCCCCTGTACGAAGGGAGTGGCAAGGTCGTCGATAACTACAGCTTCGGTGTCACGGAGTCTCCGGCCGGCCCATTTTCCGTCCAAGTCACCTACCGGACCACGTGTGATTTCCGAGTCGATGACTCCGAGGCGCTCTTGAGCTCGCGGTTCATGGGCGCCGACGACGAGATCTTTCGGCCGTCGCTCCCAACTCGGGAGTCGACCCTCAAGGCCCCCACTCACGAGATCGGCTCTGCCCCGTTGGAGAAGAGATCCCTGGAGAATCCCGACCCCAGCCAGGCCTACGGCAGTCTCTCCACCTTCCATCAGGTGGGGCCCACCACCAGCACGAGTCCCATCTCCGCCCTGCGCGCGGCGCGGGACGCAGGCGCTGTATCCCCCTCTCCACCCGGTCCATCTGCGCGGGCCCCCGTGCCCGTCGCAAGAGCGAGTCCCGCCGGCCGTGCCGCCGTGCTCGCCAACGAGGCCAGCCCCGGGGTGGCCAGACGGCCGTCCATCTCGTTTCAGCCCTTCAAAGCGCCCCCGCTCTCTGCGTCGCCCTCCCTCACCGACCCGCCGTTGGGCGGATCCCCGCGCTCGGCGCCCGTGCCGCGGGTGGAGCCCCGGAACATGCCGCCCCCGTCCTCGGCCGCCGCGGCTCGGAGAACCCTGCCCACGGCCGCGGATAACCCGATCGCGGCCTCGAACTCCGCCTCTCCGCGACCCGCTTCCATCTCGCGGTACAGTAGCGCCTTCAGCCACCGGCGAGGGAGACTGTCCCTCGGCGGTGGGCCAGTCCGGATGGACGACGACGCTTCCAGTGGGAAAGCCAGCGCGACGTCGTCGGCCCAGCCAGGCTCGGGTCTGCTGGCGGAGCCCACGGGCACCAGTGCCGATTCGATCCACGCCGATGATGAGAACATCTCCGAGTTCTTGAAGATGCTCGACCTGCGCAAGGATCTCATGAGCCCGTCCAACCCGGCGGCCCTCGAGGCCTCCGCACGCCGCACGACGGCGACCTCGGCGGCCTTGGCCCGCTTCCAACGGATGCGGGACTCCAACGCGGCCCTCTCGGACTCCATGTCGTCCTCGCTTCTCCTGCAACGGTCGTCCAACTCCTCGAGCAAACAGCTCTCCGGCGTGCCCCCCATGGTCGCCGGGACGTCCGTCTCCACGGCCTCCTCCCCGGGCAAACCCATCTCCCCCCACACCCCACACACGCCCGCCATCCCGTCCCGCCTCAGTTCCAACAGCATTGTCGACTACAACAACGCCGGCGCCCACGACCCCACCATCTCCCACGTCGAGCACGGTTCGCCCGGCGAGAACCCGAGCGATCAAACATCCGTCATCCCCATTGACATTCCCACCTCCCCGCCCCGACTCTTCCCCCCGACCTTCCGACGCTCGAGCTCGGCGGCCCATCGCCCAGCCCCCGCCCCCTCGGACGAAGACGACATCTTCCCCTTCAACTTGCGCAGCATCAGCCTCGGCGCGGAGGATCGGTCCAACGTGAGCCTCAGCGTTCTCCAGCGCCAGCACGACTACGAGAGCGCCACAGCGACTGCCGGCCAATCGCCCCGAGACCAACTTCCATCGCCCGCCCATGACGAAGGCCCCGGATCCCATGCGGGTGTCTCGGAGGCGGGCTCCTCCCATCGAGGCTCGGGGCCGTCTGCGACACCCCACCACGTATACCAATCGCGCTTCGGGAATTACCGCCGTCGAGGATCTTCCGGAGCGCCCCACTCCTTCAGCTCCGGCTCTGGCAGTCTGGCCCGCGGCGGCATGCACCCTCCTTACCTCGCGGAACGATTTGAGATCGACCGGGATGGCAACGGGAGCGGCAGCAACAGCGGAACGTCGACCATGGAAGGGCGCGGGACGGGCCGTCGATCGAGCGCCGGCCGCCATGTGCCTCCCCCGTCCGCCCAACCGGACGACGATGAAAATCTGCTGTTTGCCATGAGCGACTATAGCGCTTCTCGTCGGAGTCTTGAAGAAGGACGCCATTTCAATCCTGGGCCTTCCCGACGGTTTTAATGGACTTGATCATTGATCACACGAGACATGCTTATCACGAACGAATCCCCTCTCCCTTCTTCTTTCTTCTTTCTTCTTCTGTCTGGCACAGCCAGACAAGGTCAACCGAGCCAGCCTCCTTGACCCATTTACCCGCTATATTCTCGGGGATCATCCCCGGATGTCTATCTCCTATGTTTTGCTGTGCTATTTAAAATCACGGGCAGTTCTCTATTCTATTCTCTATAGACTGGTATGCCAGCGATGCACGATTTTCAATTTGGGAAGACAAGTAGAATGGCTTTCTTATCCTTTTCTTTTCTATTGGTTTTTTATTCTAATCCTTGCCTTCCTGATTGAAGCCTTTTTTCTTTTTTATCATTGCTCATTACTGGTGTTATTGGTTATGGCGCGAATTTGGTCTGCGATCTCCCTTTCTTCTGCACTTTTTTCTCCTTTCCTTACATTCTTCTTTTTCTTTATCCCGTGGGACACCAACACCAACACCAACACTGACCAACACCAATCTGTCCATATATGATTGATTATATTCTATTCATCCTATCCGTGGGACATGACATGATCCCGCGCTTTATGTATCTAAGCTAGCTTAACGAGTATGGAACCGACAAGACAATTTTGATATGATTTTGAATCTGGCTTGATTTGCTTTACTTGGATTAGACTTTTGTTATTACTGGGTTTGGACGGTGATGATGGCGAATCTTAATATCGGTAAGAGAAAGATTGAGGTTCTTGTTCATCAGAAACCATATTTGTGTTTGTAGGTACACGAACTAGCTATATAGGTTGGATATGCGGGATGTCCCCCTCGAGTAGAATATGAATATGCCTAACCTAACCAAAGCTCCTTTTTATTAACAAAGAAAAAAAAAAAAAAAAAAAAACAAACAAGCACAGAGGAAGAAAGTAAAAAAAGGGTATCTATCTATCAATCTACCTACCTACCTACTACCTATCTCCTGGGATCGATCGACCTTCAAAACCACATCCACGTCACCCACATGTCACCCACATGTCCTCGCACTTCCTCGCAAGCAGCCGGCCAGTCAGGTACTAGGTCGTCGACAGGGCTCGACAGCGCTATCTAACTTCTAGCTTCCCACACTAACCGGATGTGTCTCGCTGTCGCGTACAGCCCAGACGAACGTGTTGTCTGTTGATTGAAGTGTGGATGACCGACCGTCTGGGAGTCAAGGGGACGAGCTGCTCTCCATCGTCACGATGAGGCCCTTAGACCCTAACAGTCTGTCATGGACCAGATGATAGTATTGCAAGGCCAACGAAAAGGCACAAAGGATAAAGTACCGTAGATCACATCTTGCGGAACGTATTTCCGGAGGCACTCCGTCTCTCCTTCGAACGGAAGTTGTTAGACGAAGAGTAACTCGGCCGGTCGTTGTCGGGTCTGTCCTGCCTCTTCTTCGAGTGCGGCGTGAAGGTGACCTCCCTCTCGCCGACGACAGTACTGCGCCGGGCGGGCTTGTCGCGGGTGCGCATGTTCTGGGCGCGCGCGCCGAACGAGCGGTCGCGGGAGGAGTGGCCCGCCCCGGCGGAGGAGGAGACTTGCATTTGGGGCTGCGGGCGGTTGGTGCGCTTGTAGGAGGAGGTGGAGATCTTGCCGGAGGGTTTCTCGGCGGCTGGGCGGCGGGATTGGGGCTCGTCGGAATCGGAGTCGCTGTCGGAGCTGGAGCCGGAGGCGCTGTCGAGGGCTTCTTGCTCGACGGCTGTGAGGCCGCGCTCTTTGCGGGGCTGGGGGCGCCGGAGCCGGGGGTGGGGACGGTGCTGGGGTTTTGCAGCTGGAACTCGCGCGAGGTCTCGTCGATGGCGAAGTCCGTGTCTTGGAAGAGTTGCGCAAAACGGCTGTCGCCCATGAGGCCTTCTTCGTCGGGTTTCTCGGCGGTGGTGGTGGTTGTGGTAGGGGTGGTGGTGGTGGTGGCGTCGGGCATTTCTTCGTCGCCGCCGCGTGCCAGGACGCGCTGCGCCTTGCGACGCTCGTTCTTCTCCTCGATGTACATGAGCTTCTCGGCGAGGTTCTTGTTGACCTTGACGGCGGCCTTCTTCTTGCCGCGGATGCGGCTCTCGCGCTCTTTGTCGATCTTCTGCTTGACGCGCTTGGCGCGCTCCTCTTCCCAGATGTAAGGGTTGGTGATGAGGCGGGCCTCCTCGTAGAGGCGCTGGGCCACGAAGTAACCGTGCATGTAGGGGCGGAGGAGGTTGGTGCGGCCGATGAGGTGTTCCAGGTTGAGGGTGCGCAGCTCGGGGATCGTCAAGAACTTGAAGTTGTCGTAGATGGAGCCCGCTTGGTTGACGTTGAAGGCGTTGGGGTCGTTGGGGTCTTCGGCCATCTCTTCCACGAGGTTGTCCAGGAACGAGCACCATCTCGGGGCCGGCCCAAGCTGGGGGATGAAGAAGGAGTGTTGTTGGCGTCCTTCGTTGGCGGTCAGGATCATGCCGCTGTCTCTGCACCAGGCCACCGAGTTGATGTCGACTGCGGGTTCGACGGACGTCCAGGGGGTGCCGTCCTTGGGGTCCCACAGCTTGATGATCTTCTTGTCCGCGGACATGATCTTGGGTTCCAGCGTCTGCTCGCGGGATGCGGTGGAGGGCTGGAGGAACTTGAGGGTGTGGATGGGGAAGCCGTAACCCTGGTCCTTCTTGAGGAGAGGGACAGGCGACCGGAGATCGTAGAGGTGGATCAAGCCGTTCGAGGAGCCAGTGCCGAGGGTCAATCCGGAGCGATGGAACTCCAAGGCGGTGATTTCGTTCCTCATGTCGTCGGGACCGGTCTGTGTGGGTGGTAATAACACTCCCGCCCTACCGCGGGCTCTCGAATCCCAGAGCTCCACTGTTCCCATCGTAGTCCCGAACGCCAGAAGGTTGTGGCTCTCTTCTGCGATCGCACCCGTGTTCACCGCACCGGTGTGGATTCCACCCTGCAAGGTTCCTCCGCCAGTCGACATGAAATCATCACCACCAACGTCCACCTCGTAGCTCCGCATGAACCGTCCCAGCTCCAGATTCAGTCGGAACACCTCACCCATCCCATCCTGATTGACACCAACCGACGGAATCAGGGCATCCGTCGTCTGTCGGTCGTACACGAGGTCACGACCATATCGGGGGAGACGCGTGCGGTAGTGGCATCCGGACGGGGTATGGAACTCCAGCGACCGATCGGACTGCAGATGGAGGGATTTCGAATAATCGGATGCAAGGAGAAGGAACGTAGTATTGAGAGCGTCCGTATGACGAGCCCACGAAAGCGACAACTGTGGGAGATAATGGGTGTGCATTTGAGGTTTATAGGTTCCTGCAAAAGAACGTACTTGTCAGTCGCAAACTCTGACCAACGCTGTCCACCATGTTGATCTCTCTTACCTGTACTCATGACCCATTCCCCATCCTCACTCACTCGCACACATTGACTCGCCTCCTCGAACTCGAAATCCTGCAGCAATTCAATGCGATTGGCATATTCGGGGTCATTTTTCAGACTGCGCTTGCGCCGGCGAGCCAGCCACTCAGGCAATGGACGGGCCGTATTCGAACCGGAGATCGTATAAACAGGGACCTCTGACTGATTGGAGAGCTTCATAGTGAGCGAGCTCCAGGTGAGGTCAAGAGAGAGGATGTATTGTGTTCTCCGTCTTGGAGATTGAAAATCCAGAAAGGAAAAGATAAAAAAAAAAAAAAAAAAACGATAAGCTGACTGATAGCCGCCCCACGTGACCGAGCCGCTGTCGATCGGCGCTGATTGGTTCGCGCGGGCCGAAACAACCTCCGTTGGGAATCGATAACAATCGCCATCATCAACTCATCGGCTGCATCGCTCGTCTCCTTGCGCGTCCCTCTATTGCCCCTTCAATGCTGTAGTTCGCCTCTTGTTCGTTGTCTGTGTTGGTTGTCTCTGGTATGCTTCTCTCGCAAACCTATATGCGACGCTCCCTTTGATCGCCACTCCGTCTTACCTGGCATTGTTTACTCGTCAATCCCCCCCGGGCGGCGATGGCATCAGACCCCCGTTCGATGTGCTGACTTCTCCGCACCTAAGTTTCATGCGCTATGATGGGTTTTGCTCTGGGGTGTTGCTGTTTATCTAGATAAAATTTCTGGAAATGCATTCGCTCTCGGTGAAACTCGTATTTCTGGCGACATACAGGACGAGCCAGAATCTCCCCCGGGACAACCGCCGATAAATCATGGAATTTCCCGGAGGGTCCATTACCAATATTCGCGCCATAGTATGTGATTGTTCAATCGCGCTGAGAGGCGACCATCTAACAGGGATGTTTAGGACGGGTTCTCCAGTATATATTGGAGAATATATACAGAAGAGCCGAATATCGCCAGTATACCGGGCGAGACTCCCGCCAACGGCTATACGATCCTCAGGCATCTCAGTCGCCTCAAAGACCTAGAACTGCGTCTTCGGAATGCGGATTGCCTCGTCTCAAGCTACCCTCGTCGGCTGGGTCTATGGGTCTTCTCGGCGACTCCCGATTTCGAGAGCTTGGACCCGTTATGTCCCAACCAGGGTCAGGATGAGCGCAGTCGGTTGGTCGTAGATTCGTTCACACTGAAAGGTATTTACAGTCCGCGCTCTGGTTCGATTGTTACTAACAGGGATGCAGCCTCCGGGTCAGGGAGTACTACGGCCGCCGATCTAATCAAGAACCTATCTACCGAACCTCAAACACCAGGTCAGAATGCGTCTGCGTCGCAAAGACCGACAAACGGCCCTCCGCCCGCGAGGCGGATGGATGGTTATGCAAGTCCGGGTGCGATCTACGCCGCATTCATTTCAGCGGTGACTGGTGCCCTCAGCCTGCAATTAATCCGGCGCGACCATGCCATTCCTCTGGGGTCACGAACACTTTTCACCGCCATCGAGAGCGACGACCATGAGAGCCCCAGGATCGCCAATGATGATCCAGCGTCGATTCCGACATTGACAACCCTCCACGTTCAGCTCACCTCTGTCGGCAAGCTGATGATATCTCTGCAAACGGTGGCCCAGGATGGCATCGCACGACTCAGTCAACCCGACTCGGTACTTGAGGACATTGTGGATGCCCCTCGTGGAACTGATCTCTGGTTATCTCCCAGCGGATCGGTTGCCCGACTGGTGTCTGCTAACCCGGACCCAGCTACCGCGCCCTCGCCCTATGTGACCGCTGATGCCGCCGGGAATGACCGCTCAAGAAGTGTACACCACAAGCAATGGAAACTAGCAGTGTTTGACTGGCTCAGGTGCTTTGGATTGCCTGTAAGGCCCATCGACGAAATGGCGTGGGTGGAAATTGAGGTCTGGGAGCCGTTTTACTCTAGGTTGGCCGGCGAGACGTGGCGGCTGGGCGAGGATAACACACCCACGCTTCCCCTGAAGCGCATCCTCTGGCCGGCTATCTATTGCTTTAGGAGGACAAGAGCAGCTTTGTCAGCCCTGGTCAATCCCCTCTGCAGCAGCCCTTCTCTTCACAATGACCCTTTGGGGTTTGCAGAGATGTGGCGCACGGTAGACATTCCCAAACCTGTGGAAAGGGACCCTGTACCCTTATCCAGCCATCAAGATCAACATCCAAAAGCAGAAACTGATTCCGGCGAACTTGACTTTCCCGAAGGAATAGAGAGCCTCTCCCGTGCCTCCCAATATCCGGAGTTACAGACGGCAAGTCTCGTGTATCCCACGCCGCCGGACGGAGCTGCTTCCCTGGGTGTAAACCCTACAAATGCGACAGATCTCTTTGTCGAAGATTCTAGTTTCGGTTCACTCCCACATCAGACTAAAGTAGGGTCTCTAGCACAAATGCCCACTGGAGATTCCGATGTTCCGATGGTCTTTGGCCCAGCGGCTGGGCTTGTAGTCGGATCTGGTCTGTACGACACAAATGACGACGATCTTTTCGGCGACATGGATGAGCAGGACTTTGGGGATAAAGGAATTACGGATGCTGATTTCAACTTTTTCGACGATGCTGACTTTCAGGGCTTGGGTGACGGCCCGCCGGGCCATGACACCGACGAAATGGCCGATCTTCTCTGTGCTGAGCCAGATGCGTCACCTGCGATTTCTATGCAGCCACCAGTGGAAAGCGAACAACCCTCAGATCAACAAGCGCCGGTTGAACACATTGAAACGCCCCAGTTCATCAGCACAGACCAACAAGTAAAGACTGAAGAAGAGCAGATCGCCCCGCGGGACCACACAACACCCCCCTCGTCGCAAAATGACAACAACCAAACAATAAGCCCTCCCCTGAGCCCTGTGGAAGTCAAGAAGATCATCCTCCCCGCCCCGGATGGAAACGGCCGGCTTCCCGTACCAAAGGGGCAGAAGAGCTACTATAAGCCCGTGGCATTCAAACAAGACATGTCCAACTGGGACCAAAAATATGGTGCGGCTGGGAAGTTTTGGTTCACGAATGCTCCATCCGGCGCCGATCAGTCTACCAAGACTGATGGCGACATCCCAACAATCGGTCTTCCGCGCCGTACGCGGAATAGTGTGGTTTCCAGAGACGTTGCAAAGACGATGGACGGGCATGGAAGTCCCTCGACTGAGCTGGCTCAAGACGATCAAAGCAGCGTTACAAGCGAAGGGAGTGATGAGAGTGGTTCGGACAGCGAGTCATCCCACGCCACACTGCCGACTCTCAAGAGAAAGCGCGTCCGTTCCAACTCCCCTAGCACCCCGGCCATGTCGCATGGAATAGCTCCGGTGGAAGACGAACAAGATTCCCAGGGTTACCGAGCCGAAGATGCAGTCTTCTTGGGAAATCTTCTCTCTACCTTTTCGGACTGGTCAATGACGGGCTATTTTTCACTGCCAGATAATCGGCTATTGCCCGCCATCGCCCGTAGGGAAGTGCAGGTTCAAATTGCACAACTTCTATCCGACCAGGTCACTCAAACTTCGTTAAATCACAAACTTGATGGAGATCTTGGTCTCGGTGATTTTGGCAGTAAGCTGTATTCCTTACGGACTTCCCTTGAGGATACTCCGTTCGTGGGAGGGAGCGAGAGGCTTGACTTGAGCAATTATGCCTCACTGCAAGACACCAATAATCTTTTTTCTCCTCCTTCTGGTGGTCTTACCCCGCGACAATCTTCTCAGCGCCGAGAGGCCGCGCGTGGGTCGGTATCGAAGCTAGCATCGCCGCATCTACGTGTCCGCCGCGGCAAAGACTATTTGGAGGTTCTGCCGGCCGCAATCTCCTTCTGGGAGACGTTCGGTCTGGAACCTGCTCATGGACCGAAAAACATCACGGCCTATTGCATACATCCTCACACGGCGGGGGACGCCGCCGATGTTTTTCTGGAACGTCTCAGCTTGGCATATACGAGCTGCAATCTTGGAACTCACAATCGAGGGAATGAATCAAATCATTTTGAACATGGTTTGGGCAAGTGGGTTACCACCGTGACAGGAGGGATCGGCTACCCGAACGTGATGATGACCTTGAAAACCATGTGTGAAGAATTCGGTAAGACAACCGTAATAGTGAGAGTGGCCGTAAGCTAATGTTTCTAGGCGCCGTTCTTACGCAAGGCGTGCCAAAAGAGGGCAATATAGTGCTTTACATTGTCAATCCGTTCACTCACGCTACGGCGTTGGCTGACATCTGTGCCGCTTTCTGGAGCCTTTTCCAACAGTACGCAGCCGCCGCGGACACGCAACAGACCCGACAGTTGAACGAGCTCGTGCTACAGATCGTCCCTAGTGACTTCGTAATGTCCGCGGAGTCTTTGGTGGTGCCGCCGCAAACAAGGTATCTCAGTTTAGCGCTGGAAGTCTATAGCCGATGTCACCCCAAACCCCTGTCGACGAGCCTCACGGGCTGTAACCCTCCGGTCCTTCTCGCAGACTCCATCCCAAGGTCCATCAATTTCCGACTTGCCCCAGAGAAGTCCTCGCCCTTACAAGATGGGCGGTGCCTTCACATCGCATGCTCAAGAAGCCAGGACCAGCGCTGGCTCAGCGTGGCGTGGTCTGACACCAGCGGGAACCTTCAGCGAAATATCTCCTATTGTCTACGATTTCGGAACGCGAGCGCATTCACGGCCATGTCTGATATACGCAACGAGATCTGGAAGGCAACCAAGGAGATGCTGGACAGGGCACAAGCGCGGTGGCGGATCATGCTCGCATACACGGACACGGTCGACCAGGAGGAAATCGACAGTAAGACTATCAGCTCCTAGGTTTGGTTGCTCGCTTGCTAACATTCTCCAGCATGGTCCGGTTTTATCGACCAATACAGCAAATCCAACGCGGTCTCTTTGGAACTCACCATCTTCGCCGTCAACACCACAACCGACTTATCTCTCGAGCCCCCAGCCACACCCATCCCAATGAGCGTCTTCAGCTCCCAACCCGCCTCAACACCCGTCGCCACCCCCAACCCCAGCGGCAGCGTCCTCTCCCCAGAACAATCCGCCAACGCACCCACCCCTCCAAGCGGCGGCGGCGCAGCCGCCAACGCCCCAACACCCACAGACGCCCAAATCGAAGCCGATTCCGAAGCCACCCTAATGGACATCAGCGACGAAACCTGGGGCGTAATCCTATCCCACCGACTCAACAACTCGCCCCACCTAACAGAGCTCCGCCCCGTCCTAGCAAGCGGATACCTACTGCGCCGTCGCGGCGCCGCCGACGGCGACGGCGTGTACTCCATGTGCGTCAATCTCATACACACCACGCGGCCCTCACAGTCCTACGAGGGCATCCTCCGAGAATCACTGGGCATGTACCGCGGCCTAGCTACCCTTGCCCGGGCAAGGGGTACAGTCACCGTGCAGCACAGCACGTTGCCTTGGCATGTTGCTACGGCAGTTCGAGCACAGGAAGTGCTCAGCTATGTTCTTTGATGTAGGGAATAATATACCCATGACATGGCGTCGGGGTGTTTGATTTCTTCCATATCTTGTTCTTCCTTCTATCTTCTGGATCTTTTTTCTCTCTTTTGGCTTTTTCTTTTGTATATTGATATTGAAGCATTGGATATGATATCCCATTTCGCAGGCGGTTTGTTTTATTATCAGGTTCAGGAATATAGATTTGATTTGGCTCGGGCTGCGGTCCATATACTTATTTACTGACTCAGTTATCCATTTATTATCATGTAGGATTCTCACTGCTGAGTGTCTGATGGGTTTTTTTTACAATTGAAATAAGAGTAATATATATTGCTCTGATTATTGGGGTTTTACTCGTACGTAGTATAGAAAATGTCACCAATATACTCATCATTTTTGAACGATAGATATATATATATCTCTCTCTCTCCACTTCAACAATGGACAACTTAAGTTTCTATTCTATACGCCCGACAGAACCCTACAATTACTCACTCAGCAATATATTATCCCTCTTTTACAAATACTCTGCAACGATCAAACAAGTTCTTAAAGCTGTTATACCGCCTTTATGCCCAGCTGACGAGGCACAAAACCAAGCACATTATTATGGCTGGTGTCTTTGGAGACAGATTGGTTACTCAATGTGTCAAGAGCGTCCAATAATAAGTAGAAGTACCTAGTTAGTTTTGCAGCACGCTCGGATACAAGTAGCGTCAAGGGAACGTGGAGATTTGACATACCAAACACCTGAGTCCTAGCTATCTTGAGTTTGACACAAGTCTTCAACCAGTCCATATGCTAAACCCGAGAAAGCGCCCCCAAATCGTATTGCATAGTCGATGAACAATGGTGATGCGGGGTCACGATTCCCAAGAAGCCGACGTTCTGGTCGGAGATCTGTAGGCAGAGAAAGACGCAATTTAAGGGTTTTATGACGGCCTGCAACTCTGACGCGACACCCTGGGCCTCTCCTTTTGCGTCGACTCGTTGCATTAATACCGCCGGGGGCAAGGCTTTGGCGATTTTTGCTCTTGTGGCAATTAGGACATATGTACTGGTGACCAGGCGGGGTGCAAGCCAAGCCAATGCACTTTGTATGTTTCCAGACATAGCACAAGGTGCAATAAACAGCAGCATCCATTGTATCTAAATGACCGCAACACGGAACTGATGAGTCGAAGTGCCATACTCTGAATTCACCAAGCTGGGGGAGTGAAGTATAATACCAATACTCAACTGCCAAAGAAGATTTGCAAAAGGACAAAATGTCTCGAGGTCTCAGTGCTCTGAGCATCATATCGAAGATTTCAGGAGGCGAATTTATACCCCACTTTTCCCTGTGAGCAAGTGATTTCTTCCAGCAGGAGGAAGACAAAACATGTGTAAGTGCACGGAAACCAGGTGAGCATTGCTCTGCTGATGTATTGACAACTAGTGGGAGCACCTCAGAGCTCATAATAGACTCTGGTGAAAGCTCAACGAATTGAACGTGGCGCGATGAAACAAGGATTAATCGAGCCTTCTGCTGCACTCTGCTGTAACCATCTAGCAATGCCTTATCTCACAGAGCCGCTACAGTCGCTGATGAGTTCGTATCAAGTGTGTCACAGACAACGACGAGAAAACCGTGATACCAAAACATATCTGTTTCTGTACTCTCCCAGCCTGAAACAGATCTAAAATTGATTGGCAGCTCAACTCGGCTATCAAGGCTCTCGTGTGTTACTTCAAGATCCCACGCAGCAAGACGTAGAACACCAATAACAAGTGTATTAAGCAGTGTTGATGGGTACTGCCATAATGTGTGATCATCAACATAAAGCCTCCATTGAAAGATAAAGTCCGTAAAGAGCCGATATTGGAGCTCATTCAACGGCGTTGGCATATCGATGTTGATCTTCAAATCGTCAGAGACAATAGGCTCGGTTTGCTTTTCAAATGTCAGTTTTAGAAATCGCTCTAAAGGTCTGTCTGCTTTCTGAAGTAGACACTCAAGCGATAGATCCGAAGCCTCGTCAACCTCTGCAAGTTCGATTCGGAAAACCGATGGTATAATCCCGTTGGTTTCTGTCCACGAAGAGATTGTTATTACCGCGGTATCCAGATCGACCGTGTAGACATAATTCAAACTGGAATGGGGTGGGCTGGGGAAAGGGACTTCTTCCCAATCATCAGTATTCCTTTCCTCTTGAAGCTGTTTTATTTTCTGAAATGTGGCTTTCTCGCCTGGAGAGCTGGTACGTGCTTGAGAATGACAATAGCGAAACCATTTGCCTGTAACACATGGTAAGCACACTTGAATTGACTTTGTATCAGATAGTGAATACCGTTGATATGCAGATTCCAAAGACCTCTGGTGACCATTTTAACAAATAACCCTCAAGTATATTAGTTAATGTAAAGTTCCTTTTTGTTTCATTTTTTTCTAGTGCTTGAGCTTTGTTTTAGCTCTCAACAGACCCAGGTTTTGGTGTCTAGAGGATGAAATTATCCAAAGCCCCTTCGATATATATATACTGGTACTCCGTCATCGGGAGATCACCTGACCCACTATCAGCTTATCATATCTAATCAGCATCGCATCTGAAAAATCATTTCCACCTTTTTGATAGACTGTTTTTTACAACCATTTAAACCACTCAATTGGAAGATTCACACGCGACAGCATTCCTTAACTTGTCCTACGAGATAATAGAACTTACACACATACATTCGGGACAAGGTCTACCGACCTCACCTACCCACCTACTATCCATCTACCATCTACAATCTACAACCTACCCCTCCACCAAAAAAAAAAAACCACCCAAAATGTCCACCCAAGACCAACAACCCGCAAACCCGGCAACAGCCCACCTCGACCTCGGCATAACCCTCGCCATTCACTCCTGGCCCGCGCTCACCCTCGCTGTACAATCAAACTGGGGCGGCCCAACAAGCGCCGACAAACGCGACTGGCTCTGCGGCGCGATCAGCGAGATGCTTTCCGAGCGGCCGGAGACCGATGCGGAGGATCTGGAGGACGTGCTGGTGCAGGTGATGAACGACGAGTTCGACGTGGTGGTGGAGGACGAGAGCGCGGCGCCTGTTGCGGCGCGCATTATGGAGATGAAGGGGGCTGTGGAGCGCGGCGAGACGGAGGGGATTAAGGAGATGTGGGCGGAGTGGGAGAAGAAGGCTGCGAGTAAGGCGGATGTTGTGGCGGGGTTTAAGAGGGGGGAGGATGAGGAGGGGGAGACGGATGATGATGAGGAGGATGAGGATGATGTTGATATGGGGGATGCGCCGCAGTTGGTGAGGGCGCCGAGGGAGAGAGTTGAGCCGGAGGTTGATGAGGATGGGTTTACGAAGGTTGTGGGGAAGGGGAAGCGGTGATTTACTAATTTGATTCTTTCGTTTTTGATTTATAACCTGTTGGGTGAGGTGGCTTGTGTTTTATAGATATACCATGGATACGATAGTGTTACGATGGAGGAGTGAACATTCCAATACTTTTATTCCAATCGACTAAAGCAAGATGGGAATTCTATACGCAAGGAGGAAATAAGAAGTAATAATAAGTTCATCATCGTCAACCGAGTCAGGGCGTCATTATTCGCCCAGCTCTCTCTCTACCCGCCACTGATTCCTCTCCGCAGCCGATGGGCCTGCACCCTGTTTCAGGGAAGGTGGTGGGATCAACTAGGAAGGGGGGAATCTTGGTGTCTAGGATGGGCATCTATTTCTCCTCGTTGGGAATCAGTCTGGTAATCATACCAATGGCAACAGTTTGGCCCTGTGATCGGATTAGTATTCGCTCAATTGAATCTTGTTAAAAAGGATAGCTCACCTGGTCACGCAGCGTGAACCGACCCATCTGGTTGTAATCTTCGAAGCGCTCCACACACACCGACCCAGCAACACTGGTAACGTCCAGACGGGCGATGATCGTCTGGCCCTTGCTGGCGAACGGCGGGGGACGCTTGCTCTTGCGGCCGGTGCCGGGCTCACACTTGTGCAACAGGGCGGACACCGTCACTTCTTCCACAGCGGAGTGTACGTGCATAACGCAGTTGTACCCAGCCGTCAGGATGCTCTTCAACTCGAGAATGCGGATCTTCGCTTCAAAGGAAGAGACGCAGTGCACCAGACGCTTGGGCGAGCAAAGCACGAACCCGGGCATAATGTCTTCCTCTTCGGCGCCGCGGAGACGCATGCGGACCTGGTCACCGCAGGAGCCGGTGGCGATCTCGTCTTCGGTTTCGCCGTACAGGGCCGCGACTTCGACCTTCTGGCGGTTGGGCATCATGATGCAGGTGGAGTTCTTCTTGATGACACCGGATTCTACACGGCCCTCCACCATCGTTCCCATGTCACGGTACTTGGAGCTGACGGGCAGCATGAACGGAGCGTTGATCTTGCGTTCGGGCATCTTCATGTCGCTGAGATACTCCAACAGCGACGGACCGCCATACCACGGGGCCAGATCCTTGGGGACACGGTCCTTGACACCCAGGGTGCGCTGCGCCGAGATGGGCATGAAGTACAGGTCGTCCTTCTTGTAGCCGAGAGCCTCAAGGAACTTGGAGACCTTGACCGTGCACTCGTCGAAACGGGCCTTGCTCCACTCCACGGTGGGGTCGTCCATCTTGTTGACGGCGACGATGAGCGTCTTGACGCCCGTGTTGCGGGCCAGCAGCGCGTGCTCGCGGGTCTGGCCGCCCTTCTCAAACCCAGTCTCGTATTCACCCTTGCGCGCGGAGATCACGAGGACACCGACATCGGCCTGCGAGGCACCACCGATCATGTGGTGGACGAAGGCCTTGTGGCCCGGGGCGTCCAGGATGGAGAAGTCGCGCTCGACGGGGCCGTCGGGCGACTGGATGGTGAGCTGGAAGTGAGCACGGCCGACCTCGACGGTCTTACCCTTGGCACGCTCCTCGTTGGTCAGATCCAGAGCCCAGGACAGGTACCAGGTCTCTCGACCGGCCTCCTTGGCGTCCTTGCGGTACTTCTCCAGGGTTCGCTCATCGACCATGCCCGTGACGTACAGGATGGCACCACCCAGAGTGGACTTGCCCGCGTCGACGTGACCGATGAACACGATGTTGACGTGTTCCTTCTTCGCGCCGTAAATTTCCTTCAGCGTATCCTCGTCCACGTCCGCCTGTTGTTCCTTGGAAACGGCATCCGCAGCGCGCGCGGCGCGGGTGACCTCGCTGCGCGACGGGCTCGACCGTCCGGGGCTGGAACGGCCCGAGGCCGAGGGAGCGGGCGAGGACTTGCCGCTGGCGGCTGCCTTTTGCTCCGCCTTCTTCTCCGTCTTGTCGACCGCCTTGCTGGCCGTCACCTTGGCCGCCGACTGGGCCGCCTCCGTGCCCTTGGTATCACCGGGAGTGTTGGAGCCCGACGAGGGGGTGCTCGAGGGGGTGGGTACGCCAAGGGACAGGACCTTGGTCTTGGGTGCGGACGCGGAGGTGCTGGCGCCGCCAATCGAGAGAACCTTGGCCTTGGGGGGAGCGGCGTTGCTGGCGGCGGGCTTAGGGGCCGACTGGGCGGGTTGCGAAGCCGGCTGGGTGGCTGCCGGAGCGGCCTGGCGCGGCTGCTGAGCGAACTGTTGCTGCTGAGGGTTCTGAGGCTGCTGATAGCCACCGTACTGCTGGTTATAGGTCTGGTTGGGTTGCTGGCCGTACGCGCCATACTGGTTGTTGTTGTACTGCTGGCCATACTGCGGGTAACCGCCGCCGTACGCCTGCTGACCATATTGAGGGAATCCGCCACCATATTGGAACGACTGACCCGGCACAAACGCCTGAGCCCCTGGCGTAAACGCCGACGCCCCAGGGTGGAAGGAGGGGGCCTGTGGCTGAGGGCGACCTTGTGCGTTCAGGTTGACACCCTCGGCCTGCTTGGAGAGCTCATCCTCCCAAGAATCGGGAGTGTTGCCGGCCATATTCCAGGTAGCTCGAAATCAACAGAACCAGGAGACAGGCAGAGAGAGAGAAACCTCGAGTGATGACCGAGGGGAGATAAGGGTGAGTTGAGGGAGTATGGACGAGAGTATATAAGTGAGGGGCGCCAGCGACCTCGATGGATTTTGCACCGGCTGAGTCAGCACCCCGCCCACGCGTGGATCAGAGCCGCATCCTCACGTGATCGCCACTTTGGGACCCCGCCATATGATCGACATGATTCTTGACTCACATTGATGAACATGACTAATTGTAGACTTGTAGCCGCAGGTAGGAATAAGATTGCAGGGCCAGGAAATAGACTCAAATACGGAAATATGCGATATGGACATGGATATAGAATATGGAATGGAATATGGTTGGGCAGTAAAGTATAGATCGCTCACCGCCCAGCTATCATTTTGCACTGTTTGTCTTCTCCATCATCGCGACGACGTCGTATTCTCGATGTATTTCTGGGTGGATTCGGGATGGATGCAGACACTCAGGTAGATCGTAATCTGCCTCAATCCGACGGGCGACGGTCACCTACTTCTTATTGTTTCTTACCTATAGGCATAGACCTTCTACATTCACGCTCGACAGACCAGTCCTATCCCCGTGAGCAGACCATGTGGGTTTCTCGTTATCGATAAGAAAAGCACCACAAAATCCCCTCATTGCCTCAGGGGCCCCTCCTTCATCCTCTGGACTCGGTATACTCTGTCGATCAACTGTCTATTATACGTCGGCAAGATGGACGTCTTTCTCTCTCGGGTAAGCCGCTTGTGTCATGGGGAGGAAAGACGAGAAGAGTACCATATGCTAACTGTCCTTAGCTCACCCAGCAGGCGATGAACTATGCCATCCGGTGAGACCCTGGTGGAAGACTTGCGAGCCAGCAACGAAGTAAGCTGACACGGTACTATCGTAGTTCGGGGATTGCCATCACAGCAAACTATGCAATCGGTCAGTCGTCACGTTTGCTGAAAGTGAGTGAAATTTCCCCCCGCTGGTCGATGACGCAGTGATATCTAACGGCGATCCTTCTCGGTACTTGCAGAATGTGGAGAATCGAGAAGAACGAGAGGAGCTCTTGTCTCTTCAGCAGCGACTGGAGAGCAAAATCCAGGTGGGTTGGAGTCCCCGGATGGGTCACAGCAAAGAAGGCTAAACCAAGAGTACAGGTCATATCTCCCGCCATCGACATGATTGAGCTCATGTGGGTACTCACAGATCCAATTCTGCATGGAAGAAGATCACTGATTCTCGTCTAGAGCGGCCCGGGGTAATACTTCGCTCGAATCTGCCGTCTACCTGACGAAATCTCTCCGATTGGATATCCAGGCTCTGGGGCAGCGACTGGCAAACGCCGCCGCATCAGAAGAACTGATGCGCAGAGGCGCAAAATCGTCCCGAGACCGGTCCCGCAATGACGCCGAAATCAAATACATTATCAAAGATATCAAGAAACTGCTCATCCGGATAGAAGACGCGGTGCCGCTGATGAACCTGGCCATTACCACGTCCGGGGCCAAATTGTCCACAAACTTGCCGTCCACCATATCGCCAAGCCGACTGCTGCAGGCCAGCACTTTCTTGACGGCGGGGGACACGCAGTATTCGATGTTCCCGGCGCAAGCGATCCAAATCGGTCCCACCTTCACGCTGTCGTTGTACATGCTTTTTGCAAGCCATCTGCGCCCCAATGACGAGGAAGGGATCCGCACGACGACGTGGAAGGAGGTCGTGCATAAAGCTCGCTTGAAGCTTCGACGCGTTCCGATGGATCTCACCGTCCCTCCGGCAGAGGCGCCGCCACACCACGTGCAGCTCCCGGCCGAGGCCCGGGTGGATGAATTCGCCTACCAATTGCTCCTGATCGAAGATCTCGACGACGGCCGGGTGCATACGCTGGACGAGGATGAACCACAGCCGCAGGCATACGAAGACGTCAAGACCGCCGGCCTCCGCGAAATCGTTCCCATCCATCAGATTTCAAAAATCTTCTACGCCGACACCGGCAAGATCCTCAACATCAGCCCAGACGGGGAGACCAACAACCCGGTCCTCCTCTTGAAGCGCGACATCCACGCCATACCACCGCGGCGCATGGTCGAACGGGAGCAGTCGGCGTACGGCCACTCCGATGACGACTCCGACCAGGACAGCGCAGTAGACGAGCTCCAATCCCAGCTCGACGCCCAGCTGAACGGATCCGCCTCCGCAGCACCCCACACCAGCTTCCACGAAACCTCCATCCCCGACGAATGGCGCTTCCCCAAAAACCTCGACCCCGAATGGATGGCCTTTGAAGTCTACAACGAAGAAGACGACTCAGACACCGAATCTGAAGCCGACACCCCACAATCCCGCCAACGCGAAGACTCCCTCGACCCGGAACAATTCGCAAAGCTCTCCCTCGACCCAGAACAACGCCGATCAACACCACCCCGCCCGCGCGGGCTCTCCAAACCCACCTCCACCACAACCAAAACCATCACCAACCCCCTCTACAACAACATCCGCACATCGCTCTCCCTCCTCGAGACCCTCCTCCGCCTCACCTCCCTCCAACAATTCCAACAACAATCCCACCTCTCCATCAGCGACGAGCTCCTCAACTTCTTCCTCGAAGAATCCTCCACAACCGGCGCCGGCGGCGACGAGCAGCACCGCCAGCGTCTCCGCGCCGACGCCCGCCGCCGCGTCGGCTGGGACCCCTACGACGAAAGCCCCGTCAAGCGCCGCGGCGAAGACTACCAGTACGCCGGCACGCCGTTGCGCGCTTACTCCTCTCACGACGGGAGCGATTACCCGTTTAACTCGCCGAGTGACTATCGCGCGAGGGGCCTGCATCTTCGCTCTAGGGAGCATACGCCTAACCCTGAGACGCCGTCGCAGTCGCGCCGTGGGACGCCGGTGAAGAATGGTTCGCGGCGGCAGAGTGCGATGCGGGGTACGCCGCTTTCGAAGATGTCGGGGCGGGTTGCGATGGATAGGCCTGGGTATGATGATGATGATGAATATGATGATGATGATGATGTGAGATCCAAGGTGAAACGGGAGGAATCGTGATAGTCTTCTGCCATGGTAGCATGCTCTGTACCAGTCTTTTTTTTGTTTACTTTCTACTCATGATGTGTACGGATATGGATATGCCAGATGGCTAACATTGGAAGTGTAAAACCGGTTGTAAATAGCTAAGTGCTCAGATTGTAGAACAGTAGCTACAGCGTAGATACAACAACGTAGGAATTTTTGATTGACCGGTCATGTAGTCAGGACGATCCACCGTTTGCAACGGTGAGATCCATCGCAACAATCAATCAACGCAAACAATCAACTAATGAAAGAAATGTCCACGCGGGGGATTGATATCAAGAAAGCAAACTGAATAGTCGCTTAACAACGCAATAAACAACAAGCCCACAACTCAACTCCTAAAATCAACAATCAGAAGACACAAAAAACAGTAAATAAAAAACCATAACTCCTTCATCGAGATGTAAAGCGTCAAAATACCTATAAACATGGACGATGTTTCCAAATCGGGACTTGCCCCTCACGACATGCGCTACCCTTACTCCCAGTCATCGTCGCTCTCGTCGTCCTTGGCCTTTTCCTTGGGACTGGCAGGCGTGCGGCTGGTGGCTCCACTGACGAGGTCGTAGCTGGATTCGCTGTCCGCGGATGATTGCTGGTCGTTGGAGGGGCGGCGCTCGTTGGACTTGGGAGTGGTCTTTTCGGCGGCTGGGGCAGTGGAGGCTTGAGCTTCGTCGGTGGGCTTGTTGGACTTGACTTGCGGGGTTGAGGGGGAGTCGGTGTCGTCGTCGGAATCGTCGTCCCACGCGACCTCTTCTTCGTCGCCTGCGTTGGCGCCTGTACTAGTCAGACTAATTGCACTGAAAATAGAGAAAGAGATGGAATAGAGAAAAATGATAGAAGTAAAGAAAAAAGAGACATACCCTTCAGCAACTCCTTGCGCTTCTGCTCCTCCGTCTCAATAACCAGACGCAAGAAATAATACCTGCACCAAAACGTCGCATACTCCACCTGCTCCGGAACAAGCTTCTCCATCGCAGACCGCAGCTCAGGATATTTCTCCAAATCAGCAGCGACATCATCCGTCTTACTATCAATGTCGAACTTCTCCTTAAACGCCGCCCACTCATCGCTAACGGGATCCTTCGTGAAGCTCTCCAGGTTCGAATGAATAACATGCAACTGGGCCTCAAAGCGCGTCGCATGGATCACCCGCTTGCCATCCGCATCCTTGCTCTCAAAGAGCAGCTTATCCGCCTCCGAATCCGGCGGCACAATGCTCACAGCGTCGCGCAGCTTCTGCCCAATATTCATCCCGAATCGCAAGATAGCCTCGTCGGCTGCCTCCTCCGCCTTCTCAATCTCCTTCAACCGCCGAGCTGCCTCGGCTTTCAACCGAGCGAGGAATCCCTCGCCGGAAGCAGACCCCTCGCCTTCAGCGCCGGTGCCGGTCGGCGTAGACGCCTCATCCTTAGCAGCACCACCGCTATTACCCTCGACATCATCCCCACCAGCAAACGCCGTACTCAGCGACAATCCACGCGTGCGACCCACAATATTCTCCCTCAGGTCCGAGAACCCCTTAACGGCCTCCTCGCTAGCAGCGGCATACTCCTGCCTAGCACCCTCATAGTAACTCTCCCCCTGCTTGCGCACATTATCCCACAATCCACCGATGCGAACGCCCCAGGGGCTGGCGGAGAAAGCACGGAAGGTCTCCTGCAGCTCGGTGTTGAGATCGACGGGCGGGTGGTCGGCGGCGGCCGCGTTGTTGGAGTCGCCTTCTTGGGTGGCGCCGCTTTCTTTGTTGTCTTCTTTTTTGGCGCGCTGACTGGCGGCGAAGATCTCGCCTTCGATGTGGTCGTAGGCTAGATCCATGTCGCTGGGATGGGTGGGGTGGATGTTTTTGTTGGTTGTTTAAGGGGGGTAAGTGAGTAACGTTGGGTGGATTGGAGAGGGGGAACTGATAACGGGCGGCTGGCTGGTGCGGAGAGTTGATTGTGGATTCCCTGTGGGCGTTTATCGCGTCCGTTTCCGGGCCTACGACGGGCCGAGCCCACTGTAGTTATGTCACTACTGGTAGTGACTATATACAATGATTTCGTGCAGTCTATAAACAGTAGGTCTTGAAGTTATTCCATTTCATAGTGATTGCAATTACTATGGAACTTGCTGTGTATCTTATTTATTTATTCATATATTCTTGGTCTTATGTAGCTGACTATCTATTATGTGCTAAATCCATATGCATATGCGGGTATATATATCGTGTATCAATGTAACGTTCTCAACCACTCGTATCTGGAAGACTGTAGGGTTCTCCTACGCTATCTTGACTTCCCAGCCAGAACGCCGGGAAGGGAACGCTTTCCATGACACTGGATGTAAGAATCTGGCTGCCAGTCAAGATACCTCTGGCAGGAGGGTTCTGCCGTTGGCTGATGGTTTTGGTAAATCTGTCTGCTGGCTGCGATGACTCGACTTGGACGGCGGTGTCTGGGGCTCGGGGTCCGAGTGGATTTTTGTTGTTTGGACGCATGCGAGTTTCGTGCTCTGCGATGGGCGAAGACTCGGGAACAAGTTCAGTCGATGTCTTTTCCAGATCCTGAGTTTGTGATTGTGATTGCGTTTGTGTTTGAGTTTGCGTCTGGGTTTCGGTCTGGGTCGAGCTTTGGGCGTGTAATGGATCAGATGGGATAGGCGATCCAATGCCTCGAGATGGGCGTGACCCAGAAGCTGTCGACATGGAGTGGGGGTTGTGGGGTTTCTCAGGAAACAATTCTGCCATTTTCTGTGTATCCAACACCGGGATAGGCTCTAGCGGAAACTGGGTAGCAGACTGCACCCTCTGATAACATATTGATGCATCGGATGGGAGGTTGGTTTCTGACGTGAGACCGGACTCGGTCTCTAGCTCAGTGTGAGGAATCGGTGGGAGATATTGGGAGTCAATATCAGGCAGCTCGTCGTCGTCATTGTGGTTGTCGTGGGTTTCATTATTGTCGTCACTTTCGAGTAGGTGGGCCGTGGGTAAGGTGGGTGTACCAGAGAAGCCGCACTCTGAACTGTCGTAGTTCGATTCCCCATCGGTCTCATATACCACGGTCCTAGGCGTGGCGGTGGGAGGTTTTTCAGATTCATCAGCCGCATTTCCTACGCCCACTGCACTATGAACGGGTGGCCTATAGAAAGCAGGCCGATTAATTGGCGAATACTCTCGCTTGACGGGAGTCGGAGACATATGTCGGGGTAATGTTCCCAAGTCCGGACTCTGTCGCGACACTTCTGGCTGGTTATGTCGGGGTGATTCTTCTTTGATAGGATGGCTGTCCCGTGGCGAAAAGCGTTCCAAAGGAGACCGTTGTGCGCCGCGAAATTGAGAAGAGGATATTATGGCGAGTCCCGGGCTTTCAGGCGACTGCGAAGAAGGAATGGTAGTCCGGTGGTTTCGAGGCGTTTTTGGTAGTTGTGGATCCTGATGTTCGAGATCTTGTGCCGCGGTTTTCACCGTTTTCTTCTCTGCCACATCATCACTGGCTAGCTTTCTTCTTTTGCTTTCGCTAGAGGGCTCCTGAGTGTGATCGGGGTCTGGCACCCTCTGGTTCGATATACGATTCCTCTGGCTTTCTTCCCTTTTGGGAGTAACATAGGTGTACTCCAGCTTCACATCGTCATCAGGCTCGATCTTCAAATAACGGCGCACATAGTCCATCTGCGTGAGGGTTTTATCCTTCTCTGCTGGTTTGTTGTCCTTCTTTCCGCGCTTGTTCTTCGTCTCTCGCTTTCCATCAGCTCTGTCCTTGTTCGAAGTCTTCCTCTGTTTCGACTGATCGCGTTTCGAATCCGACCCAAACCTGACAGTGCGGGCGTTGCCTCTCGGGAGACGTGACGGTGGCTGGTAGTCATCATCTCCCGAATCATCAATCTCAATCACCTCGCGCGACGTTTCAGCACCATTTCCAGGCGCTTCATCAATATAGTCGAGATCATCATCGTCCTGCTCAAAGCTACTCTGCGACTTCGTCGACACGAAATCAATCTGCGTGAGGGTCGGTTGGTCTCGCGCACTTGGCAGCGAGTTCCTCTTCCGCGGTCTCAACGCAGACGCCGACGAAGCTGGCGTTGCACTCCTCTTCTTCGAGGTCGTCGCTGCCTTGGGCTTCAGCGCCGAAGGGGCCCGGTCCGGCGTCTGGAAATGACCCTGGTTTGTGTTGGCGGTTGTCAACGGATTGCCTCCCCGTCTCATCGCAATTCAGATCTGTGGAAGGGACGGGAGGCTTTGCAGATAGCCATATGAGTGGGAGATGGTGGAACCTTGCACACGCTGGTTTTGCGCAGTTTCGGATGGTTTCGGATGGTTTTCTTGTTGGATATTGGTTGTTGATAGTCGGATTGAAGGAAATGACAAGTCGCGTCGACGCGTCGGAATATGTAAGCGTAAGTGGTGCCTGAGTGGCCCGTGCGTCCATGGTTCCAGAACCTCAATCCCAAGGCACATCAATACTGGGACGCTCAACATATTCAATGGACTAATTATGATGAGTTCTTTGCTCGAACAATTCGAAAACACTCGAAGGAGAAGAATGAATACTCTACACTGATCACTGATATTAATTTCCCAGCTAACTGCTATACATCATTAAATTTTGCCCAAGTATGCGACATATATAATCACACCCTCTGTCTTCTTTAACTATCCGATTAAAGCCAGCAGATATAATAACGCAGGAAATGGGTTACATACAACGCCCAGAGGACCATGTTAATCCTTGCGCCATGAGTTCAGTGTTACATCGCTTGGTAACCTGAAATGGCTTGCAGTAGCAGGAACATTGTCCCAGGCTTGCAATCACATTCAAATGACACATATCATACGCAATCTGATAGCCACAAGGTTAAAACATAGTTTCAAATGAGGAGAAACTTTCCGGTTCATCGACGCTCAAGTCTCTCTAATAGCGCACCGGAAACAACAGGAGCTTTATGCTTTAATTGTGGCGTACTCAACATGTCACAATGAGATCAGGGCCTCACGGTGTACTGAGTTATATAGTAGTGTAGACTACTCGTCATCTCCAAGACCAGGAACATCTACACAATCTACTACAGATCGATCCAAATCAGCAAGACATCAGTCACCACCCAAATATACGCAACAAGGTGATCAACCACAGAGTGAAAATGAGAGTCAAAGCCCACAACAGAACGTCTCCCGGCACCATGATCAGGCCGGTACTCTCGCTTTGCATGGTGAAATTTTCCTTCAGGCCGGTATGTACTCCTTACCCCCCCCAAAAGACCATCCCGTCAATTCTAAACACCGGCTCTACTGATACCAACCAACCCCAGATTCATTCAATGGATATATGCTTCAAAAAGCGGGTCAATGACGTGGAGCGTTTCATAGAAAAGTCCGGTCTCAAGTTCAAGCTCTTCTTAACTAACATGGTTGTCGCCGGTAAGTTTCTCACTCTCCTATCCGCTCAAACACGCACTAAAAGAAAAACTCAACGAACTACAGAAGGGACATGGGACCAAATATTCCAGCTCATTTGGGACGTCCATAACCTAATTGACCGGGACGGCGTGCCCAGGATCCACGCCAGCATCAGCGTGGAAACTGGGCAGGGGATTGGACTGATGCCTAGGTGCGGCCTGTCCGGCGTTGAGTCTACTGACGCGAATCGTGCTCACACCGTCGATTGTGCTGACGAGATGCGGCCACTGGGGCTCCCTATCTACGACTGGTCCTACGGTGGGCCCAGGGACGTGAAGCGTTCTGACACCGTCGAAAGCAGGGCCGTCGGGACCCAAGGACCTGGGCTGGTAACCTCCTACGACTGGTCCTTCGCTGGGCCCAGGGACGCGACGCGTTCTGACTCCAGCGATAACGCCGACGAGACCCAGTCACTGGGGGAAGCCAGCTGTGGCTGGTCCCGCACTGGGTCTTTGGACACGCAGGGTTCTCACCCCATCGATAAGACCGACGAGACCCAGTCACTGGAGAAAACCAACTACGGCTGGTCCCCTCGGTCTATGGACGCGACGCGTTCTCACCCCAGCGATAAGGCCGACGAGACTCAGTCCCTGGGGAAAACCAGCTACGGCTGGTCCCCTCGGTCTAGGGACGCGAAGCGTTCTCACTCCAGCGATAAGGCCGACGAGGCCCAGTCACTGGGGAAAACCAACTACGGCTGGTCCCGCACTGGGTCTTTGGACAAGAAGGGCTCTCACCCCAGCGATAAGGCCGATGGGACCCCGTCAATGGGGGTATCTAGCAACGACTGGTCCTGGACTGGGTGTAGGGACGCAAAGGGTTCTCACTCCAGCGCTAAGGCCGACGAAACCCAGTCACTGGGGGAAGCCAGCTGTGGCTGGTCCCGCACTGGGTCTTTGGACACGAAGGGTCCTCACTCCAGCAAGAAGACCGAGGGGAAAGTGGTATTGGAGCGGTATCTTGATACAGTGAACAGGCTTGCGGCGAGAAAGGCTGAGAAAGAGAGGTCCTGATTCTACATCCCATCTTTAATACAGCTATACAGAGTCGAGAAGACGATTTCGCCAAGTCGTTGGTGATTGTTTCGCGTGCGCAGCCATTGCCTTTTTCTGTTTCGGTGAGAACACCTACTGGCTGAAAGACACAGAAGCAGGGAGGCGACGTTAATGATTCGACTTGTCGCTGATAGGAAGGGTATTGGTGGGTGAGATCAGGTGGGGGTCGAGTCTGTTGCTGGGGGGAAATATCGCAGTGTAATTTCCTCTTCATCTATCATGTTGTTAGTGGTGGTGGTGTTTTCTTTGTTTCTATCTGATTTACTTGCTTTTTCTATCCTTCTTGCTTTTTTGACTACTGCAGCCTATTAATTACCCCGGCTAGTGCTAATAACGCGGTTGGAATGATCCAACGTAGAATGTCTCCGAAGAGTCAATTCAATTGCTACCCTCTGAATCTAGAATAAACCCCCCGAAAGACATAGAATCGAAAACCCAACAGCACGGAGCAGTCAAACATCCTTCATGACAATTTGCTTCTGCATAAATGTTACCGACGCCTCGGGCCCATCATCACATTGTCAATGCAAGACCGTCGCACAAGACAGCACACGCAGAACAAATCCCAACCCTCGCTAAAAACCCCCGTCCAAAGACGAGACCCGAGCTAGACAAGGGTCAGCAGAGTAAGTGTAGAAGTAGCCTAGCCTGCCAGGTGTTCGATGCGCTTTTTATTCTACGGTCACGTCGTACCACCGACCCATGACGCTAGTTAGTACTTACCTCAGATAGTATCCGTAGTCGTTCTAGGGTTTACCGCCAGAGCGGTTCCCACTACCGGTCTGAACTCGAATCGGCTGTCCGCCCCCTACTGATCCTGGTCTCGGAGGGACGGAGTGTAACGTATCTATATAATTGCTTTTGGGGATCCGGGAAGTTGGTTTTGGGACATGTGTTGCTGGGATGGGGTGGTTTGGGCCTTTACGTGGCTTGCAGGTCATGTAATATGCAATGAGGGGGAGGGTGAAACAGGATACGCCAAGTTCCATGAATATGATGATTAGAAGAGGGGCGTATTTTATTAGGTTTATAGGATTATAGTCGGCTATGCGGGTTTAGGGTTCATAATAGCTTCTACTTTGTAGTATGCGTGGTTTAATATTGGATATAGTTACAGGGATGTTCGGCGTAGTCATCTGTCTTGGTGACAAGGTTATGGGAACAGGGAGAGACAATGCAACATGGTCTCTTTGATTTCCTCTTCTCTTGCAATATATTATAATCTATTTTACTTGATGTCATTACATTTCCTCCGCTGTATTTTCTGGCAATTTGTCACTGATCTCTTAAGAAGTACTGATCATCCGATTAGCCACCACCCATGTCATAATACACCTGGAATCCTGCACATCATCGCAAACAAGGACTAGAGCCATTGCCACCGACCCATTTTCTCTCGCCTTCCTCCAGGAGCCCAGAGTAATACATGAACCACCAATCCAGTGTCCACCACATCTGACCGAGGAAAAAATCATGAGGGGCACGCTTACCCACCTTAGGCAAGAGGGAGGACGGACGGACGTCTAGCCGTCTGGCCGTCTTGGAAGAAGCATGCAGATCCAGGCTGCATTGCAGACTTGGCGCAGCGTCTTCGCTCTTCTGTTTCACTCTCCTGGTCTATACTGGGTGGAAGGAGCGGGGTATAGTAGGATAGGATAGGAGTGCGAGGGATGAGGAAAATCTTAGCCGCTACGCCAGCATGCTGACCAGCTTTTGGTATAGGGCTTAATCTGACCGTAATGTCCCACAAAAGATAGATAAAGAAGGGAAAAAAATGGAAGATCCGATTTACTAAGAAGAAAGAGTGTGTGTTACTTATGTGACATACAGCATACCCTGCGAAGAAGAGATACTAACCATGGGTTGTTCGCCTAACCCTCAAATCCACATGAAAAAGCGGCTCGCGGATTAGAATTACAACTACTAGCCGTACTTGCCGTGGGGATGCAAGATCTTAATACTGATCCTCCTCGGCCAGACTCGGTGCCCGGTAGGGTAGGTAGTCTGGTTTACAGAATACACTCAGCGAGAGACAGCTGGTCTCTTTTGGCGACTCCACATCCACACCGCTGTTGAACGTGAAAGTAGGATCGTGGCATGGGTAGATGGACCCTTGACGAGTTAGTGTGCGTGCTAGCTCGGTTCAAGGATGCAGCGTGTCACTACGAGGGATTTGACAGAATGCGGAAAGCTTGATTTGGTTGATTGAATAACTATCATTAGTACGAGGGGTCTCGACTTGAGGATTGGAAGGCGAATCAAAGGTCTTTGGGTTAACATCGTTGCTCTTCATGGGTATCTAGTTCTCTATTAGTGGTTGATTGTCACTCTCGGGGGAATTTCCTCCGTTTCTATTGCGTTTGTTCTATTTTCTATTTTTGTCCTCGTTGTTTTGTCTCCATACTAGACGTGTTTTAGCTGTCAGTCAAGCCAGATCTTACTACGACAAGGCAGACAGCCTTTGCACCGGAAATCCTAGAAAAAGCCATGCTCCACATGTCTAATGGATCGAAAGAAAGCAAGAGTGGCATGAGGCTGTCTGAAGTTGAAGATGGCCAGACCAGGGGCGTAACCAGGAGAGTGACCTGTCTCATAGTCCCATTCTCGCCATGCAGTAGCGAATATCGGCTATCGTCAACTAAACCCAAAGTGCCTAGAGAGATGGACCGATTCAAACCCCGAAAACCCACCAGTCCTCAGTCCTCAGTGCACTGTCGGGATCACCAATCAGTTACTGAAGCGCTGTCCCCATTGATGTGGAAACTGACCCTATTTTCCTCCTGCATAGTACGTCCTGGAAGGGTTTCTTTTCTACTTTTCTTCTTCTTTGTTTCTTCTTTGTTTCTATTCCCTTTTGGGCTCGCCTCTATAAGCGATGTACATGCAGCGTCATGATTGGTGTCTGCGATACAACGTGGATACCCTGGCTGTAAGGCTCTCGGTCAATTATGTGGCGAGGCTAGTATTAGTGGCATCGATATGAGCGAGGAGAGCCTTGCGATGCGCAACAAACATGAACTGAACAGGCGGAGTTCATTCCAGGACTCTTGCGAGCTGCATGACGGCTTGCATGTAAGAAAACATGGGGCCAACAAGGACACCAATCCCTGCCCAGTATTCTAACTACTATACGAAGGACTGACAGAGGAGATGGTAGGTAATACCGTTCATTACAGACACCAGAAACAGAAATGGTGTGTTCGGACTACTAGTAAGGCCTGGTTAGCACGATCATGACAGCCAAGGAAGTGAAGGAACTGCCTATACAGTGGAGCACCATCACCATCAGTCAAGGCGAGGTTTATCAGACCTCTTTTACCTCCTCTCTAACATGGGTAGAGGATTCGATAATGCAGCATCCTCCCAGAGTTACACCGTTGGGCAAGGATAACGCACGCGATTGCCCCGGGAGACCAGACCATCCAGACAAACACCCTCTCAATGGCCCGTCTATCAGCATCGCTTCCCAGTTCCACCGTGATTCCCACCCTGTCCCGCTTTAAGTTTCACCTGCCGCCCGGCTTTCTCTTGGTTTGCAGCCACCAAGCCGACGATCAAGGAGGATCGAGTATCGGGCGTCCCCAAAAACACAAATCATGAAACAAGGAAGGAATCCATCCGTTCGGTTTCTCGGAATCCGTCCGTCGAGGTCAGGTCAAACTCAAAAAACACCATCGAAGGATTGGAAACACAGCACTGTACGACAGGCTAGCGACTACTGGCATTGTTGAAAGGACGCACCTCCGAGATGGGAGACTCGTGGAGCCTTTGGACCGCCTGCGAGTGGGACAGAGTGGAGGCCCCATTCCACTGAAATGGGTGTGGGTCAGGGATCCGACAGCCTGGATACAGCGGCAAGTTGTCACTAACCCTGTTCGATATCACTGGTGCGAATCAGACTACGACGGATTGGGAAACACCCTCCATTGACCTCCTCGAGCTTATGGAGGATGTTCGAAGATAGGAAGGTAAGGCTATCTTGACTCTGACTGGGTTGTGGTCTGCGTTGTGGATGGAGACCCCTTGTTTCTTCCACTACACCGTACTGTCTATACAGTGGTTCTATATTAGGACGCAAAGGGCGGATTCAAGACAAATCAGTCAGGGATTACTCTCCCTCTTGTGAATTTCCATCCCCTGTCTCATGGTCACTTCAGCATCGGATTCACTTCCCTGAAAAGGACAGACACATTCCTTACGCGCCATCCCCTTGACGAGCAGTCATACAATTAGGGGGAATAACTGAAGGATGGTGATAGTTTCCGGCAGTATGGCACCAGCGGCCATTGGATCCCGGTCGCTGCTGAAGATCGTCCACATGATCCCTGTACTGATGCACTCCCTTCCTCGTCTGTCTGTAGTACCATCGAATGATCATGATCTTCTTCTACCATAGGTACTTGAAGAAGATGTTCTCCCAAACTGGAAATACCCGAGACATACTGATACCCGTAGTACGTACCAAGGATGTACCGAGTGTGACGGCATTAGCCGAGGACTCGTACGGGTCAATACGAACCCTCGGCCTAACCCCTTTGGATCTTTAGGCATTTGATGAACCAACCCCCAGATCCCGAGAGCCCGGTACACCCGTGTTTCTAATCTCGAGTTCAATGATGGATGGCCTGACTAGATGACAAGACGGCGATGTCCTACTGATGAGTGACGGCAACTTCAGCAACCGATCCTGTATGCCACATCGTCGTGGTCAAATCATCAAGCTCAGTAATACGACGTACGTCTTGGAGAGGGGTTGGTGGATGATTGACTTTGTGCAGGAAACTAACTTTCCTGCCCACAATATCCTCCGTTTCAATAAGAGGGGAGGGGGCGCTGCAGAAAAGAAAAAGTTTCCGAGTCATCTCAGTCATTTGTCTTGTCTAGTTGCAAGAATACCCGTTCCTAGGGCGTGAGATACCCCAGTAAGCAAGATATAAGATCGTACAAAGTATATCATACCATCATATCTCGTTTCACGCCGGAACCGCCCTCCTGGGTTCATTGTCTGCAGGTTGAGACCTGTGGTATGGTATTTTTACTAGGTAACTACAAAGGTCTTTGCTTTTCTCAAGGCTCCGTCCCCTCATTTCTTCCGTTGGAGCCCCCGAGGTCGTTGGTTGGTTGGTAAACATCCCCTTTCCCTGCTAGCTTTCTCAGACTTTGGTTCCAGTGGATTACCTCCCCATCCACCTAAGTCAAACTTAATCCAGCCTGTCGGGTTTATAATTATTATACTATTATAGTGATTATGATAAAGAACCACAAGTGGACATGATGGTAGTAAAAGAAACAGAACAAAAATTAGAAAAAAGATCAAAACCAATTACTAGATCAGTTCATGATTATAGAATAACTGAGATACACAAGTACAGGGCATGTTGATGGTTAGCATCTTAATACCCAGAGTCAGGCAAATATATAAATAAGATGAAATAAAATAGTAATATAATAATAAAATAATCAAATCAAATAAATAAATAAAAAGGCAACGATGACTCCCCCCATCCATCATACTATTCGACTTGCCCAGTAGCGTATACCGCCCCTGTCAACCTGCCTGTTCTACTGCCGAGCCCAAGCAAGTATTAACTACTAGTTATACTTCCCGTCTTTCTTAAATCCTAGACCATTTTCCAGTACGTCGGGTCTCCCAGAGTCTTCAAATCCGGTCAATCTGTGATCATCGTCAACGGAGTGTGAGGAAATTGTAATCGTATCCCTGACTTGTTTGGATTCTTGTAAATATTCGACTTTTTTATTTCTTGATTTTCTATTTTTGTTCTTCTTGGTTTCTTGGTTTCTTGATTTCTTTTTTTATCGTGTCAACCTGTGCAGATTGTCATTATAAGGTGTGGCGACGACCCTCCTGACCGGACTCGGTATCCTCCCCACACGAAAATTGGCTCCAACGATCTGGGTACGATGGGTGCGAAGTCGGCTGTAAGTGGCTTTCCCTTTTTCTCCAGTTCTATTTGTGGGCCGTGGATTCCACGGCCCGGTTCTTCACGATTTACTTGCCTGTTTCTCAACCCTTCCTTTTCGCCCCCCAGTCTTGGATTTAGATATACGAGGGTGGGAATCAAGCTGACGGACAATGTCTCAGGATACTGGTCAAGAACAGTAAGCTTCCTGTGACGATCACATATGATCGTGGTGGTTGTTGTCTCCCGACAGATCACTAACTACTGAAGCAGAGACACGCAGTCTTTGACTGACAGTGTGACCGACTATCCCATAGAAAATGGACGGCGATATCATAAATACCATGAAGGCTGTATGATTTGCCTACCTACCTAGGACCTGTCTCCAGCGCCTTGTCTGACCTGATCACCAGCATACCCGTATCCAAATGACGAGAAGGAACTAGACCGTCTGGACCTGCAGCACCACATGCTCAAGATAGTCAACGACGGTCGATTATTCTTCGCTCCTATACAGAGCCCCCGACGAATCCTGGACGTCGGGACCGGCTCTGGGATATGGCCCATCGAGATGGGTAGGTACTCACGCTGCCCCCTCTTACTACCGTACCATGTACAGCTTCTGACGCTCACTTGTCCAATGCACAGCATCCCTCTTCCCACAAGCCGAAATCATAGGCACTGATCTGTCCCCCGTTCAGCCGACCGAAGTACCCCCCAACGTCCACTTCTTCATCGACGACGCCACCGAGGAAGACTGGCTGTGGGAACCCAACTACTTCGATTACATCCGTGTCGGTCATCTGATCGGTGCCTTGGCATCGTTCAAAGAAATGTTACGCCAGACCATGAAACACGTCCGGCCGGGCGGCTACGTCGAGTGCCACGAGTTCGACCCCCGGCCACTGTGCGACGACGGCACCATGCCACCCGAGAACCCAGAGAGCTTCAGCGAGTTCGCCTTCCACGACTGGTGCGACTTCAACATCCGCGCTTGCCAGATGTCCGACCCCCCACGGCCGTTCCGAGTAGCGCATCGGATGGCCCGCTGGATGCGGGAGGTGGGTTTTGTCGACGTCCAGCAACGGATTTCCAAAGTCCCGCTCAACCCTTGGCCAGACGACCCCCATCTCAAGCGGATCGGGGCGTGGAGCGAGACGAACTGCCTCGAGGCACTATCCGGATACTCATACAAACCGTTCACGCTCCTGGGGTGGTCAAAACCCGAGATCGAAGTCTTCCTGGTCGACGTACGGAAGAGCATCCAGAACCGCAACGTGCATGCCTACCTGAATTATTATGTGGTGACGGGACGAAAACCCCGGCCTGGAGAGCAGGTTCCGTGATCTGATCGCCTCTCGTTTCTTTTACTTATATATGGATGCACTTTTGTTGTCGCTTTAGGCTGTTTTGCATTAGCATAAGATACCACTGTTGGGGAGAGTTTGGTGTACTGAAGACGTGCAGTATATAGACTGAATGGAGTTGTACTCATTTGGACGCAAGTTTGTCTATTGAGACTTCGCTTCTTGCTCCGAATCGGTCATTCATAATAGTTGTTTATGTAGACAGACGAGCAAAGAGACCCAACGAGTCAGCACCAGGTAATATTTAGTTCATATTGACACGCATGCAGGATACACAAACAAAAGCAAGCTCTAGACGTTGATACAGCAGCAGAGGCTCAAACAGTGACAAACACCTTCGCGGCCTCGCACAAATTATGCAACGACGCTAGTCCATCTTGGTCTATGCACAGCACTGCACAACTCCGTGTCCACCGCTTAGTCATCCCCAACTCCAACCTCCAAACATCCGCACCGCAGCGCAGCTCAGCTCCGCGCTTTTTAATCTGCCACCTCTAACAGGCCCAGACACCTCGATTGCGCCTGCATGCACCCAATTGCCCCATGTCTCTCGGGAGACATGCCTATAGGCATGCAATTCAGCCACCCTCACGCACCCTCGTCGACCACGTATGGATAAGCGAGGACTTCCTAGCGTCGACGTTCCGGCGGTTCGCAAACGGCCAGCAGCGCCGGTACGAGAGCCGGGTGCCGGGACCCCTGGAGGCGAGGAGACGGCTGGCGAAGAGGAGGAATACGGCGCTGGCGGGCGTTGCGGGCCCGGGGCCGTTGGATGATATTGCTTGTCTGTCCGGGCGCAATGGGCGCGATCATATGAAGTGGACGACGGATAGTAAAGGGCGGACGGGGACGGCGTCGCAGCAGCAGCCGCGAGGTGAGATTGGATCTGGATGGATATGATTTGTTGGGCTGGTTTCGGGTATTAACTTGTTGTTGTAGGGTCGCATCCTCGCCAGTTTGACTTTTCTTCGAACAATCCTTTCGCTTCTTATAATCAGGATGTCCATCATCCGCATGGCTTCGACCCGCCCCCGAGTTGGCCGGTTGGACCGGGCGCGCCTGATATACTTTCGACTGGGGAAGCGTTGGTTGCTCGTATAGATGCGTGCCGGACGGTTGCGGATGTTAGGAATATCGTGCACCAACTGCGCATCGATCTCATGCGGGAACCGGAATGCAGTCAGTTGATATTTGGCCGGCTGTTGTCGCGCTCGGCAATTGGACAGGTGTCCACCGAGGAGCTTCTTATGTTTCTCGATGACCCGTTCCTGAATATCCGCGGGGCAGGGAACTACCAGAGCGTAGCGGAGCACCTTGTGTCGTGCGCGTCGGATCAACCGGGACGCCAAGCTTTGCTGGATACGATTGTTCGTGCTCTCGAGCTGGGTCTGATTCCGCCTGGGGAGCTGTGCGATATTGTTAGGACCGTGTCGAGCCTCCCAGCTGGGAGTGCAACTGTGGATGGAGAGGGAATGGGGTCCGCGTTGCTCGTTTATCGGCAGATGTGGGATGCCATTGGACGGTGTGACATATACAGACATAAAGACCTCGACAGTGCGATTGTTGACGCATGGCTTGGGGCGCTTGAAGACGAGACCGGATGTGATTATTTCGGCCTGGCGAAGGATATTATCGTGGCGACTCAACGCCCTGACTTGCTCGACTGTCCCTGGGTAGTGGAGTTTATCACACGCGAGCTGGAACTTCATACAGGATCCGACGTGGAGAGTGACGAAAACCATGGGGTCCAAATTCTGCAACACTTCGTTCCGAAAGTTGCATCGGAATACATCATCGGTGTGACGGAATCGCTCGTGTCGTCCAAACGGGCAGATTTGCTGGAGAGATGGCAGGATTGCTTATTACAGCTTGGTGATGTTTCGGCTCTCGTCAGGGCCCAACGGTGGACTGAAGTCCAAAACCAAACGGCCGCCGCGCCTGGACTTTCACCCCGGCATCAGATTGTCCTACGCCTCTGGCTACTACGGACGCTCAGCAGAAACCTTCCGGAAGGGCCACTTTGGCGACGGGCGCCGCGGGCAACTGATGCACCTGCATGCGACCTATTCAACCTATACCAGTCCATCGGCAAAGTTCCCACCAAAGACTTTCTACCCACTTTGATGCAAGCAATCCACGAGATGGGCCTGCCCTCCAACGGCCTGCTACTGATGGCATCCCAACTCCGATTCCAAAAGTCTCTCACACCAACAGCCCGTCGAACATTAAAAGCAATGGAATCGCCCCCAGTATCATTCGCCGAGATCTTCTCAGACGTGCACGCTTACAACGCAGTCGCTCCCCACTTCTTCTCCGCCCTGCAAGAAGCCGTCCAGCAGATCGACATCACCAACCCCTCATTCATCTCGCACAGCATCGAGCTCGCCCGGACAGGCGACTCCCACAGCGTGTGGACCCTCTTCCGCATCTTCCGCTCCCACACACCTCTCAAGATCGCCCTCTCAATGTCCTGGGAAATCACACCTCCTACTCCCGACACAGCATCCCCCACCCCCAGGACTACTTCTTCCTGTCCCAATCCGCAAGCCGCCCTAGAAATGATCAACTCCCTCGCCGTCTCCATATCCTGCTCTGAGCGGTTCAGCCCCCGCTGCGCGTACAAGCTCGTCCACTGGCTGTACGTGTTCCTCGTGCGACACGAAGCCCCTGTTAAACCAGCGCTGGTGCGCGCTATGTACCATGCTGGGGTTATGCGGTTTCGGAGAGAGGGACGTCGTGTTTCGGCTACGCAGTATGCATTTATCATGGCGTTGGTGAGAGATACGGAGGGGGTGGATGTTGTGGCGGAGCTTATGAGCCCTCAGGTAGGGCGGAGTGGGCTTGGGGATGAGGAGTTTATGGAGTGATGTTTCAGGTGCACTTGTATATAGATAAAAGTACCTTAGATTCAATGTATAGGTAGATTATTTGACCTTATGATGGCCTAATAACTTGGTTATAGCTAGCGCAGCGTCACGTGTTCTGGATTCTACAGACTCATATACAGAGACATAGTGGCCATAATGTGAGAATTCTTCATTCGTCCAAGTGCAGAAACAAAGCGTATAACCCAATTAATCTACTTCGTAACCCTGTAACCCACCATTCACGAGTCCACCTCCATCAGGTTCGGATCCCCAGAGACCTCCTCGACAGTGACATACTTCCGCATATCCTCCTTGGTAGTAACCTTCTGGCTAACCCAAGCAGTAGTACCCTTCTCAAAGCGATAGTTGCGAGCCTTCTGGCCACGCTCATTCGGCTTCATATAGTTCCGCAGCAGATCAGTCGGCTTATCATTCTCGATAACGCAAACATCGACATTACTACCAGAGCCCAGATCGTTGAAGATACCAGCCTTGATAGCCTCGGACGCCAACGCGATCGCCTCCTCGCGGTTCAAGTTCGGCTTCCACGTCGACTCAAACACCGACATCGCAGCCAGCGAGCCGGATCCCATCGTCACGTAGGGCAGCTTGTCTGTGGACCCGTGCGCGTGCACCGTGTACAGGCCCGTGCCGGTCGGGTCCACGCCCGCGACGACCAGATATGCGCCGATATGGCCCTGGTATCGGAAGAGGTGCTGCTTCAGCATCGTCATGCAGGTGATTACGCGCGGCGGTCGGCCCGTCGACAGCGAGTGCAGCTCGACGTTGGAGCTGATGAGCGCTGTCGTGAACTCCGTGTCGGCTGCTGTGCCGGCGCCGGCACACCAGATCTTGGGGGCGATGTAGTGCAGTTTTTCGCAGTTCTATTTCAGTATCGGGGGTGTTAGTTGGGGCGTTTGTGATGGTGGGTGAGGGATGATAGGCGTACCTTGTCTGCTACGATGGGGCCGCTGGTGGCTCTGGTATCTGCTGCGATCTGTCACGCCGTCAGGTTTCATCCGGTTTGTTGAAAGGTTCAAATCGACATACCACAACGCCATTGTCAAAGACACAACCCACAATCGTGGTACCTGTGCTGGTGGCTTTGGGGAGAGGCACGCCCTTAGCGTGAAGCACGTTGTTGCGGTTGTAGTTGGAGAAATCGAAGCCACCCATGGTGACGGTTCGGGATTGGAGAGAGTGTGATATATTAGTAGATATCGAGTGAAGGGATCCAATGCAAGGACAGCACGAGAGAGCGAGATGAGAGGTGGATAAAGGATTGAGGGTTGGAGAAGAGTGGAGGACAATGATGAGGTTGGAGCTGGAGTGACGAAGCTCCCGCCGCCTGATCGTTGACCGCCTCAGGCATCCGCTCCGCCCGGACCAGCCGCTGCCTTAACTGCCTTAGACTGCTGGACTGTTTTTGCTCCAACCATCAAATAATCTTCATTGTCCTCCTCGATCGCAGTCACCCTTCAGCTTCCCAGGTGGTGTTGAGCACTCCACTTGTTCCCTTTTATTCTCTTTCTCGACTTCATACTATTTCTTCATTGAACTCTCTTTCGGCGAGTCGTCTCAAACGCGCTCGAATATCCGACGCTTTCCTCCCTTGAGGGAAGAAAGGCTTCAAGGTTTTTGCGCGCACTGGGTAGCTCTTCAGCCAGAGTCCCCACGCACGCCAGCGTCGCTCCTTTACCTCGGTGCCGAGTAGTCGCATTCTCCCCATGCTCTAAAGAATCGACTATCTTAAGGCGATCGTCCGCGTTCGATTTCAGCCGACTACGACCGACTGAGAATGGCCTTCAGCTTCGGGGCCCCCAAACCCGCTGGGGGCAATATTGCAGCCGAATTAGGCCCGGAACTTCCTGATCTCTATGCGGAGGTATGTGGAGTTGATGTGGAAGGTCGGTTGGGGTGTTCGCGCAAATTTGCTAATTCTGCGACAGGAAGTCGGCTTTAAAGGTGTCTCCAGCGATAGCAACGTTCGATTACTTCCTACCTCCTGGCCCGATGACGCCCTTCCCGCTCCGACGAGTAATCTCTTAGCAATCGCACCGACGCAGGGTGTGGTGGCTGGTGCCGGACCCGATGTCCTGGTGATCGCGTCGTCGGATGCCGTGCGGAAGGCGATTTCCGCGCCCACCGGAGAGAGCAAGGTCAAGACAAAGCCGTTCGAGCCGCAAGCGAAGATAGTCCTCCCTGGACGACCGACGCATATTGCCTTCGCATCGGGCGAAACGGCCTTGGTGTTGGCTACGGAGAATGGGGCCCAACTGTCTGTTTTCCCGACGACCAGCTTGACGGCGGGAAATGCGCAGCCGGCTTTGTCCATCGCGACGAACGGCGCTACCTTTCGCGCACTTGCTCCGAATCCGGCGCCTGCGAGTGAAGCTCATTCATCGCTGGTTGCACTGGTTACGACTGGGGGCGAGCTCTTGATTGCGGATCTCAAGGCGGGTAACCTGCTGTCGGGTCCGAACGGCCAGGTGTTGAAGAGTGGTGTGAGCTCCGTTTGCTGGAGCAACAAAGGGAAACAGCTTGTTGCTGGACTGGCAGATGGCACAGGGTTTCAGATGACGCCTGAAGGCGCGCAGAAGGACGTGATACCCCGCCCTTCGGATCTTGAGGACGATTGCCATGGTACGTTTCCTACCGAATGATCCCGGAAGATGTCTGTTCATCGCTGACAATTTCGTACAGTGTCTTCTATCGTATGGCTTGAAAACGATGTCTTCCTCATGGTATACACTCCGAATGCTATGGAGGACGAAGACGGCCAAACACCCTCGTCATCATACTACATCATCACTCGAAGGAAGGGAGCCCCCTTCTTGATCCAGAAACTGCCCGAGTTATGTACGCCATTTGGCCTCAAGCGTGCACCCGCATACCAGTTTTTTGCCCGCATCAGGGACTACAAGCCACACCTCAAGGACGTCCTGATTGCATCCTCAACAGCATCCACCGACGTGGGCCTGATCACAAGATCAGATGCCCCGCTGGCGAGTGATGATAGCGCAAAGGCCGCCGTGGGGCAGTTCGCTATGACTGAAGTGAACGACGACACAAAGAGGGCATCAGCTCCTCTGAAAGAGTCCGGCGATGAAACCTCCGTCATTGGTTTAGGGGTGGACTTTTCCAGCACCGACATCGTCGTCTCTCCCATCGCAGGTGAAGATATCACCGAGAGTTCGACTCCGTTGCCCAACCTATTGCTCCTCAGCAATGACGGCATCCTGTCTTCCTGGTGGTTCATCTACTCCGAGTCCATTCGTCAGAAAATTCCGTACCATGGCATGGTTTCTGCCAGCACACAGCTGCCCCAGCTGCAATCCCCACAGCAGCAGCAGCCTCCCGCTCAGCCCGCGGCCGTCAAGCAATCAGCGTTTGGGCAGTCTGGCTTTGGGGCCCCGTCCGCGTTGGGTGGGACCTCTCCATTCGGTAAGCCCTCCGCTGCACCTGCATTTGGCGCCCCCTCGGCCTTGGCTGGTGGCCAGAAGCCGGCCTTTGGTGCCCCCTCAGCTTTGGCCGGTGCTCAGAAACCAGCCTTTGGGTCACCCTCGCTTGGAGGCGGTGCTCCTGCGTTCGGCAAACCGGCGCAGCCCGGGTTTGGCGCCGCCAGCTCCTTGGGCCAAACCGCCAACACCTCACCATTTGGGAAGCCTGGCTTCGCGTCGATGAGCACGGGATCAGGCTTTGGACAGCCGTCGACGCCTGGAAAGGGTTTCAGCTCTTTTGCGTCGCCTGCCGCGGCTTCTGGAGGCGGCTTTGGGGCATTTGCAAGCTCGGGTGGGGGTGGCTTTGGTGCCGCAAAGCCGTCTGGCGAATCCCCCTTCGCTAAAGCCGCCGGTGGCTCTCCTTTCAGCAAGCCGTCGACTGAGTCTCCATTCGGTAAGCCGTTGACCGCAGGCCCATTCGGGAAGCCGTCGGGGCCATCGCCCTTTGGAGGCCAGACGGATACAAGCTCGGCCTTCGGTCCTCAAAAAACCGAAGAGGCGAAGGGTGCCTTTGGTATGGGCACTAGCGGCTTTAAGCTGGAGTCTACATTCAAGGGCGATGGTACTGCTGCCAATGACCTCCCCAAACCGGAGAAGCCGTCCTCTGGGTTGTTTTCTATGGGTGTGCTGGATGATATGGTCGCTACGCCTACCAAGACCAGTCCTACGTCGGAAGCGATGGATGACGGGGCGGACGAACCCGCAGCGCCGGAGCCAGAAAAGCCAGAGCCCAAACAGCCAGCACCTTCTTCTCTATTTGGCGCACCGGCCACATCGCAGCAAGATACCGTGCAATCCAAACCGTCGGCGCCTTCTCCTTTCGGTGCCCTTTCTAAAGCTGAAACGCCGGTCGGATCGTCTCTCTTCGGCAGCCAGCCGCAAAATCAGCAACCTTTTGGGCAGGCTCAGCCAAGCAAGCCCTTCTCCTTGTTCGGAAACACTGCTCCCGAAAAACCTACGAGCCCCCTCTCTGCACCTTCTGAAAAGACGGCAATCGCCAGCCCCAGAGAACAACCGACAGATACCCAAACTTCTCCAGTCTCGTCGATGATCGAGCCCCCGTTGCCCCCCGATTCAACCAGCAGGGACGCGTACGGACCTGGAGACACATCGGCATCGTCAAATGTTTCCAAGATTTCCGTGGATGATGCTCCTCTCCCACCTGATTTCACAAAACCGGCTGGGGGAGAGCCGCCTCTACCACCGGATTTTACAAAGACGCCCAAGGATGATTCTAAGGCTGTTGCTGAAGAGGCGCCCCTGCCCTCAGAGCCCGCCACGCCTCCGTCACCTACTACGCCGTCCGGAGAGCCTGGCCCAGTTCCAGATGAGTCAAGTGCCGATGAATCCGAAAGGGAAGGAAGCGATGGCGAGGAAGACGAATCTGGGTTTTCTGACAGCGGGGAAGAAATCACCCACGAGATCAGCAATGACGAACAAGAGTCGGAACCAGAAAGTCCAAAGACTTCGACCGAGAGCCCTTTCGGCGGTGCGTCCACAAAGGGCCCCGCGGGAGGTTTGTTCGGGCAGGCTCCTAAGCCATCGCAACAGCAACAGCCATCGCGACCGCTATTCGGGGAGATTAACAAACCCTCGTTCCCTCCGGCACCTAGCGCCAAACAACCGCCACCCAGGCCGATTAGTCCCATGCGTCGGGGTTCACAGAAGAGCTTCCTCCAGCCAAGCAACCAAAAGCCGAAGGCTGCGCACCCGCCAGGAAGCACGCTTGCTGCGCGCAAAGCTTCTCTTACCGAGATCGCGAAACGCGAGAATCAGCTGGCACCCCAGCTCGATCGCGTGTCCCGGGAAGAGAAGGCGCGATTCGATGCCCAAGCCAGACAGCAAGAGGAAGAAGCCTTGTCGCTTTCCGACGACGATGAAGACGAAAGACTCCATGCCGACCTTGCCCAGCCCATCCAGCCAGTGCCCACCTTGGATCCTTTCTTGCCGCATCAGGACTATTCCGGGCAGACAAGCAAACCAGGCATTCCTGGACAGATCGAAAAGCTCTACCGCGATATCAACTCCATGGTGGACACGTTGGGGATCAACACTCGGTCTCTGTCCTCGTTTCTTCTCTACCAGCAATCTCCTAGCGGATCTAACTGGGTGGATATCCTGCAAGGAGAACACCCGGCGGATGTCCTAGACGAAGAGCTCCGTCTCGCTGAAGTAGAGAAGCTTGATGACGTGGTTGCCAAACTCGCTGGCTCTCTGCAGAAGCAACGGGTGCAGGGTGTGGAAGAGAAACTCGAGAATTGCCGGACGCTATTAAGCAAAGACATCCTCGCGCTGCGCGCTCAGTGCGCTAGCATTCGAAAGACCCTTGATGCTCACACCGACTCCACGGCAATCCTTTCTGCGCCACTGTCCGCCGAACAGGCCAACCTCCAGCAGGACCTACGGACGGCTTCTACGGATATCCAGGCGAAGCTCGCTGACTTGGAGTTTGCCGTATCGCTTCTACGGGCCAAGATCGCGGATGCGCCGCGACCTGACGGTGCTGGAAATGGATCGAGAAAACGACCGACCGTCGAGGCGGTGGTCTCCACCATCGGCACGATGATGAACATGGCGGAGGCCAAGAGCAGCGACATCGACTTCCTGGAGCTTCAGCTGAAGAAGCTGGGCGTGGACACGTATGCGACTCCCGCGGTTCGCGAAGGGTCCCCATTCACGACGCCGAAGAAGGGCGTGGGCAAGTTCCCTGCGACGCCCGGGTCCCGGGGCTCCATCGATCGCCCGGCACCGCATACCACACCCCGAATCCGCCAAACGGGCCCTCAACTTCCGCTCGAGCATCACCGGCTCAGCCAGAGCCAGTCGTCTTCGCTCCTTCGAGGGCGCGGGCGATCTGGTCAGCAGACAGGAGAGCGCGCAGTGGAAGGCCAAGACGCAGCGGCGACAGGCTCTCGTCGGGAACCTGAAGAAGGCGATTGAGGAAAAGAAAACCAGGGTCCGGGGATTGGACGATCAGTAATGTAGGATTATGCACTTATTATTATTATTATTCAACTTTTTCCGTTGTGGTTTTGCGATATGTATGAAGAATAAACAGCGGGTCATGGCGGGGTTCAACTGGTAGTTCTTTAGTTGATTGATGCGATTCAGGTTGGATAGCGCTTTCTGTACATAACCCACTGTTGAATTACAACGAGAACGCTGTGATTATCATTCATTTGGCTATATCATCAAACCGGGAAATGGGGCATACCATACGTATTGAGTGTTGACACCCGATTAATCAAAGGGAAGTGACATCATCAACCACAGTGACATCAACCATTCCCTCTCTCCATCACTCATACCACTGACATCGACAACACATCCAACACATACATAGCCATTATCCCACCCCATCTTCCACAAGCACAATCCAATTCTAGACCCTCACAGCCACACATATCATACCATACCATATCATATCATATCAAATCATATCAAACCGCATAACATCCCCGCAGCAATGGACGCAACCGACGACGTGATGAACACCATCAGTGAGTTCATCTACTTCCGCGTGGAACCCTCCGTGAAGCCCGAAGATCCCAACAGCGACGAGGGCTATGCTCTGCTGCGGGTTTTCGAAGCCGTGAAAGCGCAATGTGCGTATCGGAGCTCCGCGTGGGGTCGGTCTGTGGAGGATGAGAGTGTTATTGTTTGGGTTGTTGGTGCGTTACCCTATATCTATCTTGCCCAGTCCATATTATCCTGTCCTGCCATTGATCTACAACCATTCTCTCATGCCAACGCACTACTGCGATATTCGAATACGCAGTATACGAGAAACCACATACTAATTACGAATCATAGAATGGACTGACATCTACGCCGGCACAAACCTAACCTACCTCAAACCCTTCGTCCCACCCGACACGCACATCCAAGCCGTCTACGCAACATTGACACCCCCAATCCACGCAACCGAAACCCTAACCAAAAACCCCATAACGGAGCTATGCGCCCTCGCCTTCGAAAGCGGGCTGCCCCCCGCACAGCAAACCAAGCTCAGCTGCGACCTGGTGCACTTCCGCTCGACGCTAACAGGGTCGTCGGTGCTACCGGAGGGCCAGCGCCCGACGTCTTGGACGATGGGGTATGTGGAGAGGCCCGGGACGGTCCCTATGGAGAAGAGTCCGACGGGCAAGGCGCTGGTGTATTTGCTTGTTGTGGGGTGGCCTAGTGTGGAGGCGCATTTGGAGGCTAAGAAGTCGGAGGCGTTTGCGGAGGGGATTAAGTCGGTTAGGGAGGCTATGTTGGGGACGGCGCCGGGGTTGGGGATGATGCATGTTTCTTTTAGGAAGGTTTAGTTCTTCTTTCTTTGTCTTTTTATTGGGGGGGTTGTATATGGGGTGTAATTGTAATGTTGGTGGGAGGTGAAGGTGAAGGTGAAGGTGAAGGTGAAGAGAAACCATAAGTGTATTGATTAGGCTAGGATAAAAACGCTTTTCAATAAAGTACAACGTCAAGATTTACCCGAAAACGAAGTGGTACTGCGTAAGAAAATCACCCGGCCGCCCTAAACAAAAGACTTTGGGGATTAAACCTGAAGCTGTCCTCGAGACAGCCTACGTTGACGAGACGTCGCACGCTCACATGCGGTGCTTTTCGCTCTCTGTTGGGAATCATTTGTTAGCTAGGTTTGAGTGGGATAGCATGCAGGTAAGTTACTCACCAAGTCGCGAGTACAGCATGTACAGAGCCATCTGGTTGCACTCCTGGGTGCCCGTGATGGTCACTAAGCGCTCGTTGCTGTTCTCTTGGGGCTCGTTGATCTTGATCACGCTGCCGCTGAGGTGGCGGATCTCGTTGATCTTGGCACCGCCCTTGCCGATTATGGCTCCCACCATGTCGTTGGGGATGTAGATCTGCTGGGTTAGCGGCTGACCGGGGAGGGCTCCACCCACGGGGGCAACGGGCGCAGGGCCGCCACGGGCCTGTGCCGGCTGCGGCGTGCCGTAGGGAGCCGGTTGGTGCGGCCCGGCGCCGGCGTACGGGGTGTGCGGGGTGGCACCGTAGGGCATGGCCGGCTGGGCAACCGGGGCAGGAGCGGGCTGTCCGTGAAGGTAAGGAACGCCGTAGGAACCGGCCGCCGCGCGGTTGGGATGGGGGTGATGGCGCTTGAAGGTGTCCGGATGGCCGTACTGACCACCCACCGGCTGCGGCACATACGGCACCACTTGCATGCCACCGGGCACGGCGCCGGCGGGGCCACCGCTGCGGGTGGCATACGCGGAGGCCGCGGGGCCGCCGAAGCGCTCCGTCAGCTGCTCGACCAGGGTCACGGCGACGTAGTAGGTGGCGATGTGCACGGCATCGGCCACACCCAGGATCACCAGGGACCGCTCGGTGGACAGGGGAAGGCAGGCATCGGAGGCGTTGAGCCGCGCGCCGGACGCTTCCTGGATCTCGCGGATCCGGCTCCCACCCTTGCCAATGATCGAACCAATGAGAAGATGGGGAATCAACAAGCGCAAGGGGTATGTCTTGGATTGGGCAGTGGAAGGAGAATCAAGGGGCTCGTTGTTCAGGGTACGGATGATCAAACCAAAGGCCTAGTTGGCCAGTCCCGTTAGCAGCTGATCCACCGGGAAGGATGCTCCAGTGAGGGAGGGACTTACTTTAGCGACCGCATCTTGTGGACCGCTCACCGTCAAGATACGCTCCACCGCGCCACGCGAGTAGTCGCTGACGGTGCATTTGGCACCTGACAGACGACGGATCTGAGACACGTTCTCCCCACCCTTACCGATTACCGTAGCCGCTTCCTGGCTGGAGATGACGGCGCGGATATGAACCCAGCTGGACTCGTCCTGAGGACGCTGCTGGTCTTCCTCACTGCCACCGGTCTCGGTGTGAGACGCGGTGGACTGGATGGGCTGGGTTTCCGACGAAGGCCCCTTGGCGTTGGGGGCGTCGGGAACCACCGTGTCACCTTGGCCATCGGCGTTCCCGCTGGGGGCACCAGCAGCTTCGGTCTTGACATCGGCGTAGGCCTCCGAATCATCACCCTTTACTACTTTGTCCAAAGCGGGGCGCTTGGCCTCCGGTTGGTCATTGGGGCCGGACGGCGAGGAAGGGTCCTCTAGAGGACGCTTGGTCGATTGCAACGCAGATGGAGATGCCGACATGATTTCAAACTGTGCAGATTTGCTTCACTTACGCAGGAAGTCGAAGGGTCAGATAAACAGAATTGTTCTTCTTTCTTTCTTTTTGTTCTTTTCTTCTTGTCTGCCTTATTTGGATCGACTATGTACACCAGGAGTTCAAATAAAACTTGCTGGTGCTGGCGATCGACTGGAGAGGGAAGTGTTGGTGCTTGAAATAACTGGGGAGGCTGGTGATAGTTCGAGGACAATGAAGGAAGTGATGTTGGAAAGAAGGGCCGGCGGAAGTATGTGCAAATGCTGGGAGGACACGGGCCTTGTGCTGGATCAGAGAGCTTCGCGCGTGCAAAGCAGGGATAGTGTATAGGCAAGGAGGAAAGAAGAAGTTCTTCGGATTCGGGAGCGATCAGACGGAAGAGAGGATTGTGTGCTGGACGATGATAGTGGTGATGGAGAGGATTCAGGGTCCGGGCGATGTTTGATAGCTGGTTTGACAGCAGGGGAGAGGTGAATGTGGAATGGAAGATGAGACCAAAAAAGCAAGTCCTGGATGAAAGCCACAACCAATCCTAAAATACCCTCGCCTAAAGAACACGTCTTCGAGATCCACGAGATACAACTCAGAAGTCCGTCACGCTGGTGCCCAAATAGGAGACTTGGAAAACTCGGGGGTGAACGCGGACGCGGTCTGAGTCAAGACGATGACCTCAACTTGTCCTTACAACAGACCAAAAATTCTCAACCGGGAGGAAGAGAGATAGCAGAGACAGCAGAAGAGACCTTGATGTGATAAAAAGGTCCTGGAGTCGTGGGTTGAAGAGGATGGTCTGAAGCTGAGGACGGAGATGGGGAAGAAGTGAGGTTGAAGTCGAGTCGGTGGCACGGGGTCGCGCTAGTCTGTTTTCGGTAAGCATCAGGCCCGACGACGTCACGTGCTCAGGCATCGGCTGCCGACTTGTTGATCGGGGGATTTGATACTCGCTCTTCCCTCTTCGTCCATTGCGCCTGGGCTGTCTTGCTGTCAATTAACCGAATTAGGATTGTCGCGCGTCCCCGATAATACAACACCCAAGCTAACCGGCGGGGAATCACCCGGGTCAACATCGAGACGCGCCATGGATGTGTCGCAAGAGACCGTGGAGCGCATCCAACGCTTCTCAGAGAAGCGCCAGGAAGCCGAAGAAACATACAACAAACAACCCCTCAACATCTCCAATGTGCAAGCATACAACAGTAAACTGGATGATACGTTGCGACAGCTCCAAGATCGAGTCCGGCGCCATGAGAAAGACCTGCGCAAGGTAAAGCCCCGCAAGACCCCGCGAGCAGAGCATCAATGTTGACCTGCGCCTTAGCTTCGCGAAGTCAATGCAGTCGATCTTGATAAGATGGAGTCAGATCCATGGTCGCGCGTCTCCCAAGTGCGACGAGCAAAGAAGGCCTATGACTCTCTTCTCAAATCGGGGACTGAGCTCCCCAAACCGGGATCTCCCCTTCCATCTCTCTTGGCCCTCGAAGAGACCATACGGCTAGTGAAAGAGAGCAGAACGTCCATCTCAATGACAGCAGAAAAACTGTCCCTCGATCGCCAGCGTCTCAAAGTAGAAGAGACCAATTTGCGCGACGCGCAGTCCATCCGAGACGGGCTCCAGCGCAGGATCCAGAATATCCGACGGGACGCATCGCAAAAGCAAGAAAAATCGCCGTCGCAACTCGCGCGCGAAGCCATCAGCACCCAGGAAACGAAGAAAGACAATATCGACAAGGCGACAGATGATCTGCGGGCCTCCCTCCACAAGTTCGTCGACGAGTCCCTTGCGCCGATGGTAGCAGCGGAAAACCTCGGGGGCCCAACGGTGGGGGACGTTTTCAATATTTCCGATACCACCTTAAACGCGGGCTATACGAGCCACGGCAAACCAAAGAAACCCAAATCATTGGACACAGAGGGCCCTGACACGAACCAGCGTCGCATCGATGAGCTTCTCAATCGTCAGTCGGGCCAGAATGGAAGTCATCCGTCGAACAAGCGGGAGGCTGCGGCGACGGAGATACATGAGCTCCTGGATGCGTTGCTCGATGCAGGCTCTTCTTACATCGACCTGCCCCGGGAATCGGCCGCGTCTAGATTCCTTGTACGGGCAAAGGTCGCCCAATTCCATCCTCGCGATGCCCGCAGATTGAGACTAATAGATTTTGCGCGCGCCTTGGACGACTGAATATAAATCTGATATTACGTTGTTATGGGATTAATCATGCCAGTGTAAATTATGCCACAGGAAACACCTCTAGGCGTAAGACGCCGTGCAGTTCGCATTTATACTTGGTATGCCTGCCAGACCACCAATCTCGAGCGCAGTAGTCCAGTAACGAAACAACACATCCGCTTCGCCCGCCAAAAAAGAGTCATAAAAAAAACCGTGACAGAAACGAACAAACGCCTATATATGCAACCGACCATTCAAAGCAACAAACAGGCTTGGGATATAACATTAACTCCATCGACATTGGACAAACATAAACAACCATCATATAGGCATCATTCCTATTTTGCTCGTGGTCTCTTTCGCCTTGGGGGCCTTCCGAGAGCCAGAAGCGCGGCCGCTAGCACGACCGCTACTGCTTCCTTTAGACCGGGAGGTCTTGGTCCGGGGTTTCGAATCACCGGTATACTTGCGCCGCGAACGCTTACCACCTTGGCGCGGTCTGGATTTGGAACTGCTAGCCCTGGAAGTCGGTCGACGAGAGTCGCCATAATCGTCACTGTCGTCGTCGTCGACAGCCTGGGTGGAGAAGTATCGACTAGCAATGGTGTTGTCCTCGTCCAGTTCGAAGGTCGATGCTTGGTCGTCGAAGATACCACCGTCGCTGAATTCTTCGCTGCTCGTGAGGTTGATGACGTTGTGATGATTGGGATCAGGGACGACGCCCTCAACATCATCGCGTTCCTTTTTAAGTTCCGCATAACGACGCTGTGTGTCTCGCACAAGTTTCAAAATTTGACCTCCGTACCGATTCACCTTGTCTGTATCGATGCCCGGGATAGTACCTAGTTCCGCGAAGTCTATGCCAAAATCAGCACTCAAGTCTTAATCATATTCCAAGGGCTCAAATGTCCACCCACCTCTAGGGAAAACAATAACCATTTCACGCAACACCGTATCCGTAAAAGGCTGGTTCCGCAGACCCTTGTTGATCATCAGCTGCGCAGGCAAGTTAGCTTCTGTATGCGATGTAGTGAAGTCGAGATAACATACCTCTTGACAGTAATTCTTGGCGTAAACCATGAAGTCTTCCGCAACCGCCTTGTGAAGAGGATCAAGTCGATCAAATCGGACATCCTGGGTGATTGGCGGACCAGGCGACCGCTTCTTCTCTCGCCGTTGTTTCCCCGCGACTCGGATTCTCTCAAACCCATCACTGTCCCGTTCACTATCGGAGGCGCCCTGAGCTTCATCGTACCGGTAACGGGCCAAACGGCGTTTATTTGCCGCTTGCACAGGCGAAGACACGTTTGTAGACTGCGGATGGTACTCCTTCTTTGACGTAGCTCGAGGTTTCTGAGCCTTCCCATTCGGCGAAACCCGGACATGGAGTTCAAGCTTGCGTCTGCCGCTTTCGAACTCCGCACAGCGCCGCCCGACCTTGATATACTGAACAGCAAATCGACTGCCGTTGACCACATTTTCTTCGTATAGCGCACCTTCGCTGAGCAGTCGGTGGAACAGACGTTCGGCCTCTCCTAGTTCCAAGGAAGACCCATCGCCGTAGCCGGTTGCCTGTCTGTGGTTAGGAGACCTAAACTTCTTGACACTCCCTCGGAACATATTCACGCAGTATGACAAAGTCACTCTGTCATCTATGTCCTGGAAATAACGCACGACCTTGATCACAGAAGCGGCGAGGTGGGAAAAGTCGTGCAGCTCAAAGACGGAATCTGATTTGCAATTGTCACAGGCAGAGTTGCAGTCTTCGCGACGGAAGTATTCGTTGAAGTAGGCCAGAATTTGCACTCTCCGGCAGTCGCTTTTGTTCTCACAAAATTGGACCACATTGTGTAGCATCTGGCGCTGTCTGTTCTTCTGTTGCTTGCTGCCGTCACCGTTGTCGATCATGCGGGTAAGGGTCATTGTATCCTTGTAGCAGTAGTACAGATAGCAGCCGGAGCGTTTGCCATCCCTACCAGCACGTCCTGTTTCTTGATAGTACCCTTCCAGGCTCTTGGGAAGGCTATGATGGATCACGAAGCGAACATCAGGCTTGTCGATACCCATGCCAAAAGCAATGGTCGCAACAATGACGTGGGATTGTCCGGATTGCCAGCGTTGCTGTACATTGGCTCGCTGGTCGGGCTTCAGGCCCGCATGGTAATGTTCGGCCTTGATGCCATAGTCCTGCTTGAGCTGGCTTGCAACCTTCTCGCAAGAATCGCGCGAAAGGCAATAAACAATACCAGATTTGTTCCGATAACTCGACATGATTGTATTGGCAATGCTCGTCAGGAGCTCGGCGCCCTTCTTTTTAGGCCGCACGTCATAGAAGAGGTTTGGCCTGTTAAAGCTCTGGGAGAAGATTTGACAGCCCTCCATCTTGAGATTATGGATGACATCGACCTTTACATTCTCCGTCGCAGTAGCGGTCAATGCCATCATCGGAACATTTGGTAGCTGAGACCTGAGTCCGCCCAGTTCTTTGTAATCAGGACGAAAGTCATGTCCCCACTGACTGACACAATGAGCCTCGTCAATGACAATGCGAGCCAGCTGGCGGGAGTCATTGAGTTTCTGCAGGTTCCGGATAAGAGCTTGGTTCTTGTTTACCATTTCTGGGGTGATGTATAATAACTCAATTGGCTCCCCCGTCCGGTAACCTGCCAACGTGCTCATTATCTCCTGTCGCTCTTCTTTCGGTGTTTCTCCGTTCAATAAGAATGCTTTAATGTCAAGTTTACGTAGATGATAAACTTGATCTTGCATCAAACTGAGCAACGGTGATATCACAATCGTCATTCCTTGAGTAGATCCGGTAGTCACAATGGAAGGAAGCTGATAGCACAAAGACTTCCCTCCACCTGTCGGCATCAAGACGAATGTGTCCTTCCCGCTCAGTGTTGCATCAATGGCTTCAAGCTGATTCATTCGAAAACCGCGAAGGTGAAAGCGATCCTTAAGGACGGTTCTCACCTCCTTTGACCAAGGGTGTTGATGCCAAAGGGCATTGTGGCTTTGAGATTTTTGCGTTGAGGGTAAGCGTGCGGCGTTCCCCGAGGTTTCGGTGAAAACTTTTCGATCTTGCATCTCCAGATCGGTCGCTGGTATATCATCTTGGATGTAATTTACAGCTTCCAGCATGTCATCGTCGTCGGCACTCAAGTCGAACTCATCCATAGGCTGGGGTGCCATGGCAGGCGACCCCATGGTCCTGGTGAATGCATCGTCATCAAAGCCGTCATCGGTCGCCATAACATCATCATAATTAAATAGGTTGGATTTTGGTGTTTCCCTGGGTTTTATAGACGAAGACTGAAAGGAGAGTTCAGGAACGGATGTGCGAGAGACACTGTGGCTTGGTTTTGATTTTTCAGGACTCCTGCGGATTGATTCATAAGCCAAGGGCTCGTTCCTAGGTCGCCTGTCGTTATCTGCGTATGAAGACCCCGGAAAAGAAGCCCGAGGCGAAGGTAGAGAAGATTGAGTGAAACCACTTTCCAGCGTGTTCATGTTCGGCAAACCCGTGGGTGAGAATAGGTCGGCAGACATGATTAGGCGTTTCAGATCCGCTTCAAGCTCGTCCAACTGCGCTGTAGCTTTTCTATTCTTTGCGAGCTCGTCTGGCAATGAACGAGGGTCGCCACCTTGAGAGATCACCCGCATCAGAACCCCTTTCAGCTGCTCCCTCTTGGATTCGCTAGCATGGTAAGCTACCCTCTGCTTCTTCAGCGATTCAATTGCATCGATTCGATCTGTGAGAACCTTATTCTCAGAAATCAGTTCTGGGGTTAGTTCACCCTTCATTGCTTGCTGGTAAACGATCTCCGAGTTGCTTGTAAGCGTGTTCTTGAGGTTTGCAATCCGCTGCTCAAGCAACCCCAGCGGAAGCTTTAAAAACCGTGCAACATCCTCGTCTCTTGGTCTTGATTCTGGTGACGTGGAGGGTGGAAGGGAGCCAACGGACGGTTGTCTTTCATCGAACGCTGACCTCTGAGAGACACTCGAAGCAGCGCGAGCCACGTCCGGTATGGAGTGGTTTCTGTTTTCCTTTTTCAAGGGCCTACTCTCATTCTCTGGTTCGTCCAAAGGATCATCCTTCGGGAGGATTGGATACAGCGGCTGTTCCGGCTCCTGCATAATCTCATCGTCACTTTTGACCAGCTCGTCGAATAGGGTATCGTCTTCTTCATCGTCGGAGTCGGCAATAACTTTGCTGGCGTGGCTTCGGGGCCGAGAGGCGTTTGATCGGTTACTAGTGGGGTGTTCCGTTGATCGCAGGGGAGTTGCACGCGTCTTGTGCACCGCCTCTGACCGACTGGGAGAAGCCTGCCTCTCGTTCATCCCAGGCGAGCGAATCCTTAAGACATTCTTCTGGGGAGAGAGATCTGAAGTGTACTCGTCACTCTTTCGCTTCTTTCCTCGTATATCAGCAGGAGCTTTGCGGAAAGCCGCCCCTTCAGTCCACAACCGACGAGGCTCGCCGAACTCGTCTCCCGCAGGCGCGGGAACCCCAGCGCGATCGCAATCGCCGGTCAAATCAATAGTGTCGATTGCCAACAGTGGCGAGGTTAGATCGAGCGTATCATTCGACTTGATGGGCGTTGCAGCGGGCCTGTTACTATAGCGGAAGGAAGAAGCCGTATCACGTTGTTCTGTCCAGTTTTGTTCAAGTCAGTCAACACTCCCCACAAACACACTACTAAGCCTCCTAGCATACCTGTGACATTACTTTTCGGCAATGCCTCTTTCCGAGCTCTTGGTGTTTCGACAGTCCCAGAGCCATTCGAGACACTCGGCGGGCTGGAAACAGAACCCTTAGCACGGCTGAGCATACGAGGTTTGCTCGCAGATTGCGGAGCAAACATCAGTCGCGCCATATCGTCATCAGGTGTTAAATCCTCCCGCTTTCCAGCATTATGGTCAAGCAGCGGTTGCGAGTCCCCAATCGTAATATCCCTGATCTCATCATTCGCCGCATTGATCGTCGGGGGCGGTCGCGTATCAGTACGGCTCTGACCGCTCGTGGGGTCGTGACTGTCGCCAGCAGCAGGCGTTAAAGACTGGTAGAGTGCAGGGCCCTGACCAAGCAACCATTTGAGGTGAGACTGCAAATTGTTCCTAGTCATAGGGACTATGTGCCGTTTTTCATGGCGATCTTCACGACTCCGGCAAAGCCTTAAGTTTGAATCGGGGCTGGATTGTACCGCCGCTAATATCAACAGAGGGCCTGGTGGAGATAAATCGGTCTATCCACAAGGCGACTGATTACACTAGTCAGTCCGCGGACGCGTTGGGCGCGATATCACGTGGGCGGTGAGCAAAGACCGGCTGTATCTGTTTTTACGGCTGTAATTTAATGCGGGGATCTGATTTGATGCCTTAATTTTTTTTTTGTGCAAGAACCCCGCTGTATATAAAAACGCTAACACTATAACTCCACCATTATAACGAGTAGAGAAGGGGCCATTGAACCGAATTTCCCAGGTTCTCACTTCTCTGGGGAGACCAATTTTCCATTAACAAAGAGCCTCGACAGTGAGAGAGAAAGTATGGCCAAGAAAAGCAATAAGAAATCCGCCGAACACAAGGAGCGTGTAGCGGCGAAGCAATCTAAGAAGGCCTCGCAGAAGGAGAAGAAGGGCAAGTCGAAAGGAAAGGATGCAGACAGTGATGTCGAAGACGCCGATCTAGACGCGATCCTAGCCCAGTATGCAGAGGAGCAGGCTCGGTTTCTCAAGGTCACAGAGGTTCCCTCGGGGCCACCGAGTCCCCGGTCCTCTGCCACCGTGCTTGCGTCTCCTTCGAACAGGAACGAGCTTCTGGTCTACGGGGGGGAGTATTTCGATGGCAACCTCGCCTCATTTTTCAACAATCTTTTTGTTTATAACGTTGACAAACGGGAGTGGAAGGAGGTCACCAGTCCTAACAGCCCGCTGCCGCGGAGTGGACATGCTTGGTGCCGTGGAGGAAACACGGGGGGCGTTTATCTGTTTGGAGGCAAGTATTTTGGTGTGCGTGTGAAAGCTCGGATGGACTAGGGGCTGACATTATCGTGCAGGGGAGTTTTCGTCCCCGAAGCAAGGGACGTTCTATCACTACAACGATTTCTGGTACCTCGACCCGTCTGCCAGGGAATGGACCCGCCTCGAGACCAAGGGCAAGGGCCCTCCGGCCAGGAGTGGTCACAGAATGACATATTACAAGGTGCGATAGCACCTTTTTGTGATCCATGTTGTCATCATATACTAAGGCCGTGTTAGAACTACATCATTCTCTTTGGTGGATTCCAGGATACCTCGCAGCAGACGAAATATCTCCAGGATCTCTGGGTGTATGACTGCTCGAGGTATACGTGGTTTAACCCTCCGTTGTCAACGGCTTCCCAGAAGCCCGACCCTCGGTCATCGTTCTCTTTTCTGCCCCATGACTCTGGCGCGGTACTCTACGGCGGTTATTCGCGTGTCAAAGCAGTCGCCGGCGTAGGGAACAAGTCTCAGAAGGGCGGACCGCAGCGCATGACCATGAAGCCTATGGTCCACCAGGACACGTGGCTCCTGAGAATCACACCACCGGAGTCCGATGCCCCTGCGACAGCCGCCCCTACAGTCCGCTGGGAACGCCGGAAGAAGCCCGCGAACTCTCCCAATCCGCCCCGTGTGGGCACCACCATGGCGTACCACAAAGGCCGCGGGATTATGTTCGGAGGTGTCCACGATGTGGAGCTCACTGAAGAGGGAATTGACAGTGAATTCTTCGACACCATGTACGCCTGGAACACTGATCGCAACCGTTTCTTCCCCCTAAGTCTGCGACGACCAAGGGCGCAAGGCAAGAAACAGTTGGCCAACCAAGCGAACAAGTCGCGGGATCGAAGCAAAGCGGACGAAGAGGAGCTCTTGCAGAACTTGAAAGCCTTAGAGTCGAAGGGTGGAATCCGCAGTCAAGATGACGACGACGAAATGCAGTTAAGCACGCCTAAGGCTGAAGATGATCCGAGTGAGGAAGAGAAGCAGCCGGCTGTAGTCCGCTTCGAAATGCCGCACAAAAGATTCAACGCCCAGTTGGCTGTGCAGGACGATACTCTTTATATATTCGGTGGAACTTTCGAGAAGGGGGATCGAGAATTCACATTCAACGACATGTACTCCGTCGACTTGGTCAAGATGGACGGTGTCAAGGAAATCTTCTACAACGAGCCCGAGAACTGGCACCTTCTTAACGAGGAAGACAGCGACGACGAGATGGACGAAGACGAAGATGAGGACGAAGAGGAGGGAGAGGAAGAAGAAGCGATGTCGGTGGACACCGCCTCGCCCGCTCCCACCGAAATCACAGTCCCATCCGTGACTCAAGGAATGGAGCAACTGGAAGTGGAAGAGCAAGAGAGTGAGCCATCTGTGCAGGACAGCAGGCCCCTTCCTCGTCCTTTCGAGAGCTTAAGAGAGTTCTTCACGCGTACCTCCGAAGAGTGGCAGAATGTCTTGATGGACGCCCTGAAACACAAAGATGTGGAGGTGGCGAAGAACATCAAGGAGCTGCGCAAGGATGCGTTCAGCATGGCCGAAGAGAGGTGGTGGGATAGCAGAGAGGAGATTATGGCGCTTGAAGATGAGCAGGAAGCTGCTGGCATTGGGGAGGTGGTCAACATTGCCGATCGCAGCAATAACGCTGGCGGTGCTGGACGACGCAGGTGATTAGAGATACGAAGTGAGAGACCCAGGCCGATGTGTATATAAACAATGGTGAATTGAATACATGCAAGGCTTCTGAAAGTGTTCATGCATACTTTGACCGTATCCAGTACAGATATATGTACCCATGAGGAGCCAAAAAAAAACAAAAATATTTACTTACCCGGTGCGCAACCACGCCTTAATTTTCCTGTCTGACTACACTATCCAATACATCAACCACAATCCCAATATCTCTTTCCTCGTCGACTCTCCAATTCGAGATCGCAATTCGACAAGCAGGACGTCCTTCCCAGCTAGTCCCAGAAACGAAGATTTTCGACGTATCGTTGATCCTAGCCGCAAGATTCTGGTTCAACGCGTCGTTCTTTGCACTGAACAAAACGACAACAAACGTTTTATCCACCAACGCCTCTTTCGTGTCCATTTCCAGCAAGGTGTTATACCCCGGATGCTCAAACAGCCACGCGGCAATCATGCGAGCCAGACGGATCTGCTTTTGCAGCATAACCTGGTATCCGACGCGGCCATACGCGACGAGAGAAGCGTAGACTGGCAGCGCCCGAAAGCGCCTGGAGTTTTCAATCCCAATATTCAACGGAGAAGGGATCGAGGCGGCCGCCCCACCCGTCAGATAAGCCGCATTGGCATTCTGGAAGACACGTCCCGCTTCGTCTGGATGGCGGCAGAGGAAGAACCCGCAGTCATACGGCACATTGAGCATCTTGTGTCCGTCGCCCGCGATGGAGTCGGCAAACTCCATCCCTGCACTTCCTTGTTTGACTGCAGCGAACTCCTCGCTGTCGTCTAAGATCCGGCCGAATATGCCGAATGCGCCGTCGACGTGCACCCATGCGCCGTATTCATCGCACAGCCAGCGGATGGCCAGCATGTCTTGATGGCTCGTTGTCGCAAAGTTACCGGTGTTGACCTCCCCACAGGAGACGACAACAATAGATGCTTTGTCCGAATGCGCCAATTCCGCTTCAAGGCGTGCTAGGTCGATGAGAAGGGGGTTGTCCTCTCGGCATATGTTTTTGACATTTGCGCGGCCGATGCCCAGTATCCCAGCGGCCTTTGCGATGCATGAGTGTGGCAGTGTGGAAAGGACTTGCACGCCCGAGAGACCTGCTGCCAGGAGGACTTCGAAGAGGCCATGTTCTCCGACACTTGTGGATGTCGCGCCCTTCCTGCTTGCTGCACCCCACAACACAAACTCCCGGCCACAGGCCAAGCCAAGAATATTGCTAGCCGTGGCACCCGTCGTAAAGGTACCATGCTGCCAGGCTTCCCTATCCAGGCGCAAAAGATCCGCGAGGAGGCCTAGGGCAATGAACTCGACATCGGTAGCGATTGTGTGCTCTGTGAGGTGAACCTGGACGTTCTGATCGTACGTGGAAACAATGCTATCCGCGAACTGCGCAGCTGGGGTGATCCCGCCCGTGACGAACCCGTAGTAGTTGGGGCTTATGCTGCTGGCGTTGAATCCCGGGACGATATCGTCTAGAATGTGCTTCCTGGTGAGGTCAAAGCCCATGCCGTCATTGTCAAGGGATGTTGGAAGCGATTCCCTCGCTTGAGTCAGGGAATGCGCACTGGGCAAGATGGAGGAGGTCCAGGGTGTTTGTGCAGTCTTCCACAGCTCCTGTTGGAGCTTTCCCTGCTCGTTGGCCGTATTCTCAACGTCTTGGAGATCCATTGCGAGTTATTCTTTCTTTACTGGATGAATAAGATACGTATATCAATGTTATTTGATTAGTTGATAACTAAACGCTCCAAAGCATAGGGGTGGACAAAAAGATGACCAAAGAAGCATGTAGAGTCATAAGCACTTCCAACAAGGACTAACGCGAAGGGGGTTAGGTAACCTTTTGGTGCGGGGCGTGCCTACAATGCAGTCTAGTAAGGAAGAGAACGCAAGAATTACTGGCGATTTGCTTCCAGTACAGCTTTCAATGTTCATATATATCTGGTTTGAAGATGGTAGAAGGAAAGCTCGGTCTTGTGTGTAGGGCTGGCGCGGTTACCATGTAATACAACTATAGGGGTCGAACCCGCTTTTGGTACTCACCGGATTATATACCTTTATGGCCTACTCGGAATATAGATCCTGTGTTTCCTTTTTGAGCAATGGGATCGTTGATTCACTGCCAGAGACGGGGTTTCTTGAACAGCGTCTGGAGAATTCTTGAAAGTCATGGGCCCAGACAATGATCACCTAAATGCAGAGCCCTGTGTCAATTGTCTGGGCGGTATGGTCTCTGCAAAAGATAAATGGATAAAGAAACGTAGGTTCAAAATACTCTGCTAGGTTCTCCCAGGGAGTTTCCTTTCCCGATACCATAGTCAAGCAACCACATATCAGCTTCAATGCTTCCAAGCCCAATGAGCTGAAAGGATATCGACAATCAAGCAAATTTACCAATGCAACTGGCTCGACAATCCTTGGCATCGCCGCGCTTCTCAATCAAAAGCACACCATCAAACAACAGAGTGACTTCGAGGTACTTGTTAGAAACGAAGTCCGAGCGACGTAGCGCGTCCGGCACATTACCGAAGACGAACGCATCACGGCGGCACGCTTGCCCGATCTCTTGGTAAGCACGACAAACCTTCTTCTTCCAACGACACAGACACGGGATTCTTCTGCGGCAATTTGTGCTGGATCCTGCCCGACATCCCCTCCCCGGTACATGGAGACTGCCAGCCCATCCGTGGCCAGGGAATACACATAGTATATATTCCTCTCGGGAGGACGGTCCGTTCACCCAGACTTGACCCACTCTTGTCGGTGTCATTTGTTTGATTTTCGCAGATCCAGGGTGGGTTCGCTTTCCTGGCGGGAATTTGTTGAGCAGTGAAACAAGTTAGCATGACTTTATTTCCGTCAATCCTGACTCTTTCAGAGCTATTTAGTCTTCACTGTAGTTGTGTAAGCCACTGTCAAATGCAAATCCTGGCCCTGTTTCAAGCCGAGATTGGCCGCTATCAGAGGGATCGGTTCCATCCCGAAACTTGATATCAGGACATGCGCTACTTAAGCGTGGGGCTTACAGTTTCTCGTTACGGGTGTGGTTTCAGTCGGCCTTGGCAGACGGTTCCACCGAAAATGTCTCGTCCTGTCACGTCAAGCCGGATCTTTTCCATGTTCGCGCTCCGAGCGAACATGATCATGCGATGGCGATGGATACTTCGTCGGGGTGTCCCACTACCCACCCCCGGAAAGATGCACGATCGGGTGACAGGATTCCAGTGCGGGGATCCCAGTGGTCGAGCGAGATCGCATTTCGTGATAACCAAGGTTGGTACCGAGACTGTGCCATTCATGGACCGGTTCAACCTCCGAGGAGCTAGGCGTGTGGTCCGCGCTGCTTTCTTCAACCGATCGAGTCTGTTAATTTGATTCTCTGGTGATTGAGGAAGGGAGGCAGTGGTGACCAGATTTTCCACCTCATCTCACCTCGTCTCATCGTGTTCGGATGGATCCTGGGGTGTATGATATCTTCCCCAGCTGCGGAGAAGTTTCCCCGTCAATATTCTCGCTCACCGAGTGACTGTGGAGAGCGAATAGGGGAGAGACGGAGGATGCGGAGCAATCCCCCTTTGGACACGGAGGACGCGGGGAAGACGACGGACTGGGATGCGAGTGGGGCTACGGACCAGCCCATGGGATCATGGCGTTCTCAAGCTTCACGCCTGTTCTTGTTCTGTCAGGGGTCCTGGAATATACTCATGATTTCACTCGGGCGGAGAGATTCCAAAGTCATGGAACTGGATACGATGCCTATCCACTGCAATGTACTCCGGAATTCACTATGGGAATCCATGGGTATCCATCTGGTGTACGCACTCCAGACTGCTTCTGCCGCTAGTCCAACGGTCAACCCTGCTAAGCTTCCTGCTCAGCACCCCCAGTCTCTAGACCGTTCTACATGTGCCTGTTTCATAGCGTGCTTGGGCAGGATTGGTACCCTCGCTAGGGTTGGCGCTGGCAAGAGTCTACTCTAATCCGCCCCGAACGCCACTCTAATTTAAATTTTATATTACTTTTCGTGACAAGACCAAGCCATTTAATATACTATTATACTTGGGTTAGTGTGTATACTACCAGTTATACCACGTATCTGAGAGTAATAGTCGAGTTACTATTTCGAGGATCCCTCCCCACTCCTCTTTCGACAAGGTGGTCTACTTGGGCCAAGGAGATCTGCAACGCTCCGCGACAAACGAACCAGGTGCCAGCCTGCGCGGAGAAGGGAGAGGAGCAGGCCTGGGACTAGAGAAAAGAATAAATGCGTCGACTCACCCATCCTGTTTCACGTTTCCTGGTTTTATGTGCAGCTTTGAGATTTGTGGTCTGAAACACACAAATCCAACACTCGTTTGACACCATGGGAGAACACGCCCAACCGCGCAGTTCTGTTGAGAAGGGAGCGTCCACGGAGTCCATCCACGAGGAGAACGTCGATGGCATCCGGGTCGAAGTCCTCCAGGGCTCGATGGGCCTGGAAATGGCCCGTCGATCCCATCCTCCATCGCCCTGGAGTCGGGCGATGCTCCAGCTGTACGCATGCCTGTTGGTGGGCTATCTGTGCTCAGCCTTGAACGGTAGGGTCAAAGACACCTGGTGGTTGGTCAAGTATAGTGAGCTGATGAGACTTAGGATTTGATGGCTCCCTGATGGGCGCCCTGCTTCCTATCCCACAGTTTCAGGAAACCTTCGGTGCCGGCCTCGTCGGTTCCCAGGCGTCCCTCATCCAGGGGATGTACACAATCGGCGGCGTCAGTGCACTGCCTTTTGTCGGCTTCTTGCTGGACAACTGGGGTCGTCGGCTCGGCATGTTCGCTGGATCCGTCATTGTCATCGTCGGGACCATCCTGGGAGGAACAGCCAACAACATGGGCCAACTCCTGGCCAGCCGATTCTTCCTTGGTAAGATGACTAGGCTTCCCTTCCTTCTCGATGATATCACTAACACCTTGTCTTCTTGACACATTGCAGGCTGGGGATATTCTATGGCAGCGTCTGCTGCGCCCGCCTACGTGGTCGAAATGAGCCACCCTGCATACCGTGACGTCCTGACCGGTCTCTACAACTGCCAGTACTTTGTCGGTGCCATCGCTGCCGCGGGAGCCTGTCGAGGATGCCTCATCTACCCAGACTCTCGGGCATGGCGCATCCCCATCTGGTGTCAGCTCATCTCGTCGAGCTTTGTGGTACTGTTTGTGTGGTTCCTCCCCGAATCGCCCCGATGGCTCTACAGCCACGGACACCACGAACAGGCATGGGACGTCATCACCAAGTACCACGGCGAGGGCTCGCGTGACAACGCCTATGTGACATTGCAGATCCGCGAATACGAGAATGCGATCAACCTCGAAGGCTCGGACAAGCGCTCATGGGACTTCCGGGAGCTTGTCGACACCAAGGCCGCTAGATGGCGTCTGATTTGCGTCGGAATTGCCTCGTTCATGAGCCAGTGGGCGCAGGGAGGCGTCACGACGTACTACATGGGTGGACTTCTCAAGAGCGCCGGTATCACCGATACGACCACAGTCCTGGACGTCAATCTCGGCTTCACTGTTCTCTCCGCTGGAGGGGCCTACATCGGTGGATTCTTCGCACAGAGACTGCGACGACGGCCGATGCTGCTCGGCGCTTCTGTTCTTTGCGGCGTAAGTCAAGCTTCTGTGGCTGCATCTTCTATCTTCCATCCTCGCTAACCCCCTACCAGCTCTCCTTCGCCGGATTGTCAGCCACAACGGGCGTATACTCAGGCACCGAACAAAAGCCCGCCGCCACCGCCTCAATCGTAATCATCTTCCTCATCGGCTTCTTCTACAGCTTCGGCTGGACACCGCTGCAAGCCATGTACTCCGTCGAGTGTCTGGCGTACGAGACCCGCGCCAAGGGCATGGCCATCTACTCCGTCTTCACCAACATCGCCCTGCTGGTCAACCAGTTTGGTATCGGCAACGCCATGGAAGTCATCGATTGGCACACGTACATTATCCTGGCGGCGTGGAATATGGTGCAGGCCTCGTTCATCTACTTCTTTGCGGTGGAGACGTGCCAGCGCACTCTTGAGGAGCTCACGGATATCTTTGCGGCGCCGAACCCTAGGAAGAAGAGTACTGAAGCGCGCAAGGTGTTGCTTTCTGAGGAGACTGATGAGGTGCTGCAGGTCAAGGAGGCCTGAGTTATGACATTCTATTCCAGTCGCTCCACTGGTTCCCATCTTTGGGTGTTCTTGATCGCTATCTATTCTTCGCACAGGATGCTTTTCTTTTTTGGGTAGTCTATTACAGTAATATGCAGGCATACTCAATGCATTTGATAATCTGGTTTTACGATCTACCATACATATATTTTAGAATCTAGAATATCATTCCACTGGCGACCCGCAGACAATTTCTTACTGGGCTATGCTTGACCCAGCCTATCACTTAGTTCATAGCATTCTTTTTACCCTGTCATGCTGCCTCAGAGTGTTCTCACAGTCAGTCCCGGGCCCTGGTAAAGCAGTAGGGTGTCCTAGTTCTACCCTCCAGAGTATGGTCAGAGTACCATCTGTCAAAGCAGTGACTGTCATGCTTCAAATATATCACTTGACTACTGATATATATAGTCAGATTTTGATACAGATGTCCTGTTGTTCCTCCCGCAATCTATACACTTCCTCCATGGTTGCGATATCATCTATCTCATCAATCTTTTGGTCAATTTTCTTGCTCCTTGCCCGTACCATACATATTTTCCAAAGAAAAGCGCCCCCGTTCCCAGTATCAACAGAAGAATAAGAGTGAGTATATTCTAGCCCAACTCTAGTGCTTCGTGATTCCAATTGTACATCATAATGGTCTTGTCTAGACGTGTCCTGTCATCCCTCGGAGGCCCTCTTCCTCTCATGTTCATCAGAAGTCTCTACGTGTAAACCAGCCACACCTCTCCACGACTTGCCCAGAGTTAAGCCCGCGCGACAATAATACATGCCTCTACGAGCCCACTGCGTGCCCACCAGTTGGTAACAAATCCTGCTATCGAGAAGTCCATATAATCCCACTTGCTGCCCCCCATTTCCTGCCACTTGCGTCCCTGCTGACTGACAAAGCGGCTGTACTGGGCATACGCATGCTCCGAATAAGAGACGATGGAGATATTCTCCCGCTTATATCCACACTCCACAAGCGTATCAATGTATTGCTGTCTGGTCAGCACGCGGTCCCAGGACGTGTCGAGTAGACGGAAGGAAGCCCACGTCTTGAGGGTGTCAAGCGTCGACATATTCTCTTTTTTGAGGTGTTCCGTGACCGCAACCGAGACTCCTAGCTCTTGACGAGCAAAGGTGAGAATAGGCTTCCTTGAGGGTCGGAAATCACACAGCGCATCCAGGGACACCAGCCATGGGTTGGGCAGCGAGCGGACTGCGTCGTTGATTTCGGCGTTCCATGTATTTGGCTGCGCGGCATCGGCCTGGAAGATCTGGCATTTGGTCTTGGTTTTCCCGTGGGACAAGACCGTGTCTTCTCTCAAGCGGTCTTCTGCCATCTTCACTTGGAGAGAGCTGAGCGTGAGGCCAACCCAGTGGGTACATTTGTCCTGGTACTCCTTCAGCAGCAGACGGGCGGTCTCAGCGCACCCGCACCCGACCTCCAGCATCGAAAACTGCTGTTGAGCTGAAATCCCAGCCGTGGCTAGGAGCTCTCTGAACAAGTCTGCGCAAGCCTCGGAGGGATGGGTTGCGGTCTAGGGTCAATCAGCGCTGAATTCATCCCACAACCATTGATAGAGAATCTCACCTTCCAGAACCCCAGATTAACCCACAAGGATTGGGGCTCCAAGTCCGCGTTGAACCAAAGGTTCTCAAGTCCATAGGCCAGGTCGGCGTTGGCCCCGCCGATTTGATACCGACTGTTCATCTCCTTACGGCGTTGAACCATATGGCTCAGGAGGGGGTTGGACGGACAGTGGCGCAGCGGAACGACATACGTGCAGAATATGGCGACTGCGAAACCAAGGACATAGCTTTTCAAGAGATGATAGAAGGCCGCCCGTTCTTCTTGACTCGACTCTGCGGACAGATAGAACGGAGCAGCCACGCAGGGCAGTAAGGCAAGGCCGGCGATATATCGGAACATTCTAAAGGAAGGGGCAGGGACGTTTGGCTAGTAGGTATCAAGACCGACGGTGTCGACACTTGTTTTAGCTTTAATACCCTAGAACTACGAGCTGGTCTCAAACTCGGTGACAAGTGTCATAGTGGGTCTTGATCGAGGCTGGCTGAATCTCATATTGCTCCTTGCGTCAAGGACGCACCTCGGAGGCACAGACATCCCATGTTGCATATGATACGCGTCAAGTAGAGCCTGCAAGGAGCCTACATCCTCTAAGCCACGCAACTGAGCGCTGCATGCCGGCCCATACAGAATTCAAATGAGACTCAATGAAAGTCAATCTGTCCCTAATTGGGGTGAATTCTGTAGGTCCCTATTTCTGGGGACTTCCCCGACTAGCATGGAAGTTGGAGAAAAGACAATACAATCTACTCGACAAACAAGATACCTGGAAGCACTGTGTGTCCTAGCTTTACGCACCATTGCCTAGCCATTCACGATGGGTTCTCTTTGTGATAGCCTCCCCATGGACAGTACCACCACTCGCCGCTTCCAAGAGATGGTCGCCGGTCTCAAAATTCGTCTGCCTCGTGTCCTGGATCCCACTGTGATGGCATTGAAGGAGTTGCTTGAAGGCGATGAGGAATTGGGGGCCCTTTGCCATTCCATGTTCGCAGAGGCAAAAGAGCTAGTCGAGACGAAGAGAGCCCATCCAGTCTACCTCGCCATCAACAGCATTGAGGCTCTCACGCAGATGTTCGATTATATCCTGACGCTGTCTCCCGTGTGGGAGGTCCACGACAGCCCCGACAATCTCGGTGGCCTTCCTTTCAACCTCATCCTCATGGTCCTCATGGAAACCCACAGCGGCCTTCAGCTGTTCAAGCACGTCGTTATCAACCAGCACCTTAAACAGATTCTCCAAACATGGGCTCGGTTTCTGGAATCCCGTGACTCACTCTACGTCCTCAACTCGCAGACCGGCTGGCTGTCACACCGTGCCGTAGCGAAGCTAGAAGACGTCGCCAACAAACCCACTGGAGGGATCCGAAACTTTATTGACATCTATGACTGTCCAGACCCCAACGATCCAGAAACGCTGGGATTCCAATGCTGGGATGCATTCTTCAGCCGCAAATTTAAGCCAGGTCTCCGACCCACCCCAAGCCACGACGCTCTCCTCGCCAACGGGGGTTCAGTAATTTTGAACGCCTGCGAGTCAAAGCCATGGCACATCACCCGATGTTGCTCGGGCCACACCGAGATCGTCCTCAAGGGCACGCCATACTCCATCCGCTCCATGCTCGGCAACGATCCACTAGCAGCGCACTTTGAAAACGGCACCGTCTACCAAGCCTACCTGTCCGCCTTGAGCTATCACCGGTGGCATGCTCCCGTCTCGGGCGTCGTTCGGAAGGTCCTCTATCTAGACGGTAGCTATTTTTCCCAGCTACCCATGTCTGATATCCTGGCTATGGAGAAGTCCCAGAGCTACCTAGCAGCCGTCGCGGCGCGTGCGGCTATCTTGATCGACGCCTACGATACGCGTGTCGGTCTGGTCGGCCTTGTAGCGGTTGGCATGGGCGAGGTCTCATCGTGCGAAGCGTTCGTTAAGGAGGGCGATCATGTACGAGCTGGTGATGAAATCGGATGCTTCCACTACGGAGGATCAACGCACTGTCTTCTGTTTCGAGAGGGTCTGGATGTCCTGTTCGAGCCGGGAGTGCAAGACAAGACGAGGGATCAGAACATCCCTGTGCGAAGTCTCCTCGCTCGCTGTTACGCGTGAGGGAAGCACCTCGAAAAGGAAAAAAAAAAAAAAAAAATGGAAAATAGAAAGAAATATAACACAAGTCTGGAAGGCCCTAGCCGGTGAATCGTACCACGTATGCTCTGCAAGGGTAGGCAGGGAATGCGCTTGAATCAGCCCCCAACATCCTGTTCCGAAAAGTAGATATGATAGAGTTCAGACATGATAGAGTTTAAAGCGATGGCCAGGAACAGACAAGAGTCAAAGAGATATATTTGGCTTTAACATTGGCGTGGTCTACTTGACAGCTCTGATTTGTCTCATGTCGCCTACCTGCAAGAAAATCATTCCGGACCCACACTGAGCACCGGGAATATGCAGTACGTAGAAAACTCGATAGTTGCCTTTTCATTGCATTGGCCATGTGAGGTGTAGCGTGGGAGTAACCAGCGGTGTGGCTATCCTCCAGTATGACGCGCTGAACACATCTGTATACACACCCCACTTGCATGTATAGAATCCGCTCAAGCCTAGAGGAGTGAGGCAACTTATCAGTCCATCATGCATTCAGCTCACCACCTGTCATGCTCGGAATGACACCGCCTAAAAACCGTGTATAAGAGGTGATTTGCAAAGCGGGAACCCGCCGGTTAGATAGGCTCAGTATCATCTTCCAACGGCCAATCCAACGGTTCCTGTTAGGAAAAGCATCACCGATGTCTTATCCTCAAACGTCCAGTTGCCGGGAGTTTGTCCCGAACAAGTTCAACACGCACACACTATGCAAAGTCACTTCTTTTGACGCTATCCTCAACTGGGAGAAGTATACAGTAAAACTTGAGCGGTTGGTTGCGGCAGCATGGTCCATCGTTGGATCACGATGGTTCTACAAGGATGAAATTCACTTTCATCTTCGGGTAGCCAGAGATAATACGCATGCGTCTCTTCCAGTGCGTGTGCTCACTGGACCTGATATGACTGTGGGGGGCCTACTACGGCAACTGGAGGCGCAAATAGTACCCGAGAATCAGGGTATCTTGTCCAAACACAACGCCGCAGAGCATGCCCAACCTCAAGGGTTTTCCATCGTCTATGGATCAGGTAAGGGATTGACATTTTATCTGTGAGCTCGTGGCTAATTTGAGATAGAACCGAATGACGGCAAAAGCGACTGCACACTTATGTTAGAGTGCGGTCGACGAGAGTCGGGGTTGCACTTCGAGGTGTATACTTCTGGGGATGTCCTCCGCTTGGAAGAGGCTCAGAGACTGGCTCGCTCAACGCAGAAGCTGCTTGAGCAGTTTACCTGCGGTCAGCTCGAGCACACGGTCTTGTCGGATATCGATATGATCAGTGAGCGTGACCTCGCAGACGTCTGGCGGAGAAACGGGACGGTTCCCCAAGCGATCGAGACTCCCGCTCATGAAACTATTCGGCGACATGCCAGTGAGCGTCCAGAGGCATGCGCGGTATGTGCATGGGATGGATCCTGGACATACAAGGAACTGGATGATCTTTCAACTCGGTTGGCGCTGGGCTTGATTCGAGCAGGGGTGGGGAGGGGCGTGACCGTACCCCTGTATTTTGAAAAATCGAAATGGATGCCAGTCGCGATTCTGGGGGTAATGAAGGCGGGGGGTGTTTTCCTTCAGTTGGCTAGCTCTGTTCCCAAAGGTCGAACAGAAGCCATCTTGAGTGTGGACAAGCCTCCGTTTGCCCTCACCGGCCCAGACGCTCCAAGTTGGCTGGCCGATCTTGTGCGAACATACACGGTGCATGATCTCCTGTCGCAGGATACCGAAGGATTATCCCCCATCCCCAAGTGCTCTTTGAGCCAAGATTGTGTTCAACTATTCACATCCGGAAGCACGGGCCAGCCAAAGGGCATTGTCTGGACGCATGAAGTACTGGCGACCAACTGCCAGGAGATCGCCAACATACAGTCGATGGGTCCGCACACGAGGCAGTTTCAGACCGCTTCCTATGAGTTTGACGTGAGCATGATGGAAACGATTGCCGTGCTCTTAGCGGGAGGTTGTCTCTGTATCCCACCGGAGCAAGACGGCGTGAACTGCTCTCCCGCCACTCTCGAGGCGCTGCGAGCCAACTCCGTCTACTTGACTCCAACCTTGGCCGAAGCCCTCGATCCGGACGCTGTTCCCTCCCTGAAGACTCTTGCCTTGGAGGGTGAGATATTACCCAAGCATGTTGTGTCCAAGTGGGCCGGACGGGTGACGATGTTTAACTTCTACGGGCCTGCCGAATGTCCCCACGTTGCTGCATGCGTTATCGACCCGGACGCCTTCCAGACGGGGTTCGCCGGATCAACTTCTGTCTGTCTGCGGTGGGTAGTCGACCCTCACAACCACGAAAAGCTCCTGCCTGACGGAGCAATCGGGGAGTTGTTGGTGGAGGGACCAATCCTCCTCGACCGGTACGTCGGGAATGTCCCGAATGCAGCACCGTTTGTTAGCCCTCGCTGGTTACATTGTGGTTGTCCTGGCGTTCCCGGGCGAGAGGGACGACTGTTCAAGACGGGCGACTTGGTCCGTTGTGACGACAATGGGGATTTGACCGTCATTGGCCGCAAGGACACCCAAGTGCAGATTCACGGCGAACGGGTGGAGCTCTCCGAGGTCGAGCACAATGTGCGCCGGTTCCTAAAGGATCATGTTGGAGTGGTAGCCGAAATGATCATTCCCTCAGGATATACCAAGCCGATCTTGGCTGCCTTCCTAGTAATTGGCGACGACATGGCTTTGTCCCCTCGCGGTCCCGGGGGAATTCTGAAAGACCTCATATCCGGCGTTGAGCGTCTGGCTGACTACGTACCGCAGACGTTCATCCCTGCTGTATACATACCGGTGAGGCAGATTCCGATGACTGTCTCTGGGAAGACCAATCGGCGCGAACTGCGTCAGATGGGGTCATCCATGACCTTGGAAGAGTTGGCTGCAGGACATCTCGCATGCAGGGGAGAAACAGGAGAGTGATGCATACGCATGGCTTAGACAGAATATCACATTGCTATTAACGCATAGTATGAGCTACCCGTCATGAGCTGTTGAAACTAAAACAAACCTGGCGTTGGAAGATTGTGCAACCGTTTGTAGATTGTGGATCCATTCAAGCATTAGGTTGAAGGGTTTATGGACTGAATCTGGTTTTTGATATACCAAGGTATTCATGGAATACATGTAGTACACACATGCCTTCGTAGATATAGAGGGTACGTACTTAGTGACATACATATCTGTTCTTATTTCTTGGAGCATACCATGGGCCTGTTAGTCCTGGGCATATGAATATCATCCATGAATGACTGCGCATGAACCGGCGATACAAGACGGATTTGACACCAGACACGGACCTAGGAATTCAACGTAAGAAGTCAATCTCACAATTCCAGCTGTTTATATGAATTATGTGCATGGAAGCCCCCATTAACTGTAGAAACCGGTTAGATCCTCGATGGCATGATAGCAATGCTCATTTTCTTCCAGAGCACCGATATTTTGTCTCCGTATCCCCTGCGCTGATCCTTCTGGTCCCCACAGGCCCACATACCGACAGGACGTGCCTTGAGTCCTTTCAGCTGGTCTCGTCATTTCTCTCCTGTTGTGCTCATTATATTATATGGTGCGTCCTTTGCCCCTTGCCGTGAACTTTATATATACACGTCATAAAGGGCGCTATGTGGCTGCCGCGCGTTCGTCCATCGGGCAACCTCGCATCGTAGGCTGTACAGGTAGAAGTAGTGATTGATATTAGACAAAGCTCAAAAGCATGTCTGACCCCTTGTTTTCCATTCATGCTACTCCTTCGTCATGCTCGTGTACAAGTGCCGATGCGATGTCACCCTTTCCTTCCACGCTTCCATCCCTCAAAACGCCCGATACATTCACCCCCATGCCCCCAAAAGAAAAAGACAAAAGGAGAGAGACAGGATTCGGTGAATATATGTCATTTTGTCTGGTTTGACAGCATTTTTCCAATTGCTTTATGAGTTCTCCCATTGCGTGGCATACTGCGTGGCAAACTGCGTTACATGCTGATGTCTCAAAATTCAAGATACATATATTCCGTAGAGGTCACATGCCTCATACCATATGTAGTTCGATTTGTAGCGCCTTCTTACAATGTAGTGACGAAAGATATTGAATAGAAGGATAAATGCTAATCGAAAAGCAACAAGCACAAAGGATTCTTGGCAGGATCAAGATCCCCCTGCCCCCAGCTAGTCATTTCAGTGACGAAATACCAAGACGACCACTCCACACACGCCCATCGGCACCGCCAGAGCCCACGACATAGTCGTCCACCCGGCATAATCTCGAATGTATCCCCCGAGAAAGGGTCCCATCAGTGCTCCAGCAGCAAAAAAGCCATTGCTCAGCCCGCAGGCCAGTGCAATCAAGGCCTTTCCGCCCAACGCCCCGGGGCTAGCTACTGGCGCGTCAAGCGCAAGACGGGTCACCTCGACCATAACCGGTGTCTCGACGATACCAACGCAAGCACCAATGAGCGCCAGCAATGCGCAGAGAAGGATCTTATGACTGAGAAGGTTCTCCGTGACATATCGCAGGCTGCACAACAGCGGCACCAGGGAAAAGAGGGCCGCGGCAATCAAGTAGTAGCGGGTCTTGGGCCACCGGTCTAGCACAGAGCCGATGACGGGGTCGATGATATGCGGTGCCATCAGGGGGATAAAGATGAGGCCTTGGGCCGTTTGCTTCCAACCAAAAGTGTCATGGACAAACAGTGGCAACACACTGTCAAATGCTGCCAGGACCGCCGAGACGAAGAAATAGACCGTCAATGCCAGAAGCATCCGTGGAGATCGGAGCAGGAAAAACGCTGCCGTATGTGCCGAGGGTTGACAAGAACCCAGCGGTGAAGAATTCATGCCAGACTGGTCTGGTGTTTGGTCCTTTCGCGCCCAAACACCAGCTCCTTCTTCCCCAACTGCCGTGGTAGCAGCGTTTTCTTCGACGGGTGCTTCTTGTTTCTCAATTTTCACCTGCACATGTTCCGCCTTGAGAGGCTCCATTGTTGCCTCTTCTGGCGCATTCTCGGCGATCATAATGCGGAGAACCGCGTCCAACACAAGAACGCCAAATGCTAGTCCGAACGGGGCGTAATAACCTCCATGTTCATAGAGAATGCCTCCCAAGAGGGGGCCAGCCGTAGTTCCCCCTACCGTGGACATGGCGGCATACCCCAGCGCTTGTCCCAGTGCATCCTCCTCAAATCGATCCACCAGCAGCGCGAGCCCCACAGTCCAGACCATCGCCCCAGCAGCGCCCTGAAGTAAGCGTCCCACAATCCACAGAGCCAGATTCGTGCCGATACAGAGTAGCGCGGTGGCGACTACCAAGATCGCAAGCCCTATGAGGAACGGCCACCGACGTGACTGGGTGCGGTCTGCAAGATATCCGCATATGGCTACATTGAGACCGCGTTAAGGGTTTTCGTTCCAGCGAGGAGGGTCAAAACTCACGAGACACTATGGTCATTGCTGCCCCGTGTAGCGCGAGAAGAATTGACGTCCACCGTTGCTCTGGGGAGATTATCGATCAGTACTTTGGGCACGAGCATCTACCGATGGACACACTTACCCTCTCCCTGAGATAACTTGACTCTCTCATGGAGAGCTGTCGGGACAATAGGCACAATCTAGAAGTATCAGTACCGTAGGGTCCATGGATGGGGTGTGGGCCCCCTTACCAATCCGTAGAGTAGCATGTCCTAAATCGACCATCATCAGCAGGAGTCTCTTGCGTGTATTAGATGGCAGATCAAGATAGCCATACCGTCATCCCAGCAAAACAAACCACACAGATAACGAAAGTTCTCGAGGATCGCCATCCGCGCGGTAATTTTCTCCCACCACCAAGGTCTTGCGCGACGGTTTCCATAGTCAATTTGTCTGTGCGCGTTTGCATACCAAACAGTCCGGAGTCGTGTCTGAAAGTCAAAGTAGAAAATGGGATGTTATATATATCCCAGCCAAAAATATCCTGTCCTGTGCGCAAGGGTCACTATTAGAGGTACTAATTAAGGGATGGGGATCATCATCGTCCATAGTGTCCGAGATGCCTTTCGACAATCGTCATAACCCCTGCTCTTCCATAGTCACTGATCACTATTAATGTCCAATCCGTGCAAAGTCGTCAAATTCTACCAGCTGCTACCTGCGTGGGAAACGACCCATAGAATATTGTGTGGATGTTCAAGTTGACACCATATATTCATCTTCTATAATTGAGATGATGGATCAGCTCTCCTCCAGATTCTTTCAAGACAAGTCAAATTTAGAACTCACATAACCCCTATTCTGAGTCTATTGAAACCCCATTTACAATCCATGTAGAATACTCAGTACATACTTGTATTTGATTCATGTAAAGGGTTAGTTGCCTCAGGTAGGTTCATAACTGTTATGCTCAGGAGTTAGCCGGCCGTAATGCAGATGCTGAGTCAACTATACCAATACACAGAGCCACACTGGCTGGCTTGTAGATTTCATGAACTCCACAGTAGTCGGACCCACCGAAAGACACTAGTTGAGGAAGGATTCGAACGATGATATTGAAGATATAAAGATAAAGATGATGATGGTGAAAATACAGCTGTATAGGTGATCAAATTGGTATGGTCAGGTGACCTGTTCATCGTGGTATATATCTATCAGAACCCACTCGTTTATGGTCATTTCGGAATTGCAATTTGAACACGATCAAATACGTGGCTTAGATTCATCAATACAAGCCAGACGTAAAAAGACTAGAACAATGGTTGATTTGGATTGAGGGGTCAGGACGGAAGTAGTATGGTAGTAGCCACGACTGGACCTACCCGTGTTGATCGCGCGGCATCAACGCCCCGCTAATCCCTCTTCTACTTCTCTTCCCATAATCATCAGCACCGTGATCGGTTTAGTACGAGAACAAACCACTCACAATGGCGGCTAAGTTGATCGATAAACAGCTCCACAATGTCCCCGGTATGCGTCTCTTACTGGAATACATGGCTTAAACAGCCTTACGCCGGGGTAGAAACCAATAATGTTGACATGGGACACAGGCAAACTCCGCGTGGCAGAGCTGCTCTTCGACGTTCCAGTCAACTACAGTAAGCCCAATGAAGGGACTCTCAGACTGTTCGCCCGGAGTGTGCGTCGTCTAGTGACGCCGGTTGAGTCCACCAAGGAAGAGAAGCAACTTCCGTGGCTGGTCTATCTGCAGGGAGGCCCGGGGATGGGCTGCAGGCCCCCGCAGGAGTATGGCTGGGTCGGAACGGTCCTCGAAAAGGGGTACCAGGTAAGTTTTTTCCCGGTTGTGGAATTGTAGATCATACATAAGAGGGGGGGCCGGGAACCAGTCACTTAATCCTTCACATAGGTCCTGTTTCTGGACCAGCGTGGCACGGGTCTCAGTTCCACCATCACCGCCGGCACACTGGCTCTCCAAGGCAATGCGATCAAGCAGGCAGAGTATCTTAAGAATTTCCGCGCCGACAACATTGTTCGAGACTGCGAAGCTGTCCGCCGCTGTCTCACCACGGACTATCCCGAAGACAAACGCAAATGGAGCGTGATTGGCCAGAGTTTTGGTGGATTCTGTATCGGGACCTATCTTTCCATATTGTGAGCTGGACCAAAATCCGGAGTATACAACAACTTCACCCGGTGTACTGACATCTCATAGTCCAGAGGGATTGGCTGAAGCGTTCATTTGTGGTGGACTTCCCCCGCTGGTGAACGATCCAGATCCTGTTTATGCGAAGACCTATGGTATGATCTGTGAAGGAAATTTCTACATCAAATCTGACATGCAACAGAGAAGGTGGAGCAGCGGAACAAAGACTACTACGCTAAGTATCCCGAGGATGTTGCGCGAGTGAAGAAAATCGTTCAATACTTGAAGGAGAACCGGGTTGCCTTGCCGTCAGGGACTCTGTCGCCCGAAAGATTCCAGCAGCTAGGTATCAGCTTTGGAATGCATGGTAAGGAAGGAGTAATCTTCATGGCATTATTCCGCCACAATCTTGCTAACGATTCATAGGCGGCATTGACTGCGTCCATGGTAGCGTGACACCTTCCCCAACGAGACAGACGAGGTTCTAAAGCTGATCACCCATGCCAGAGCTCGTATATCGCGCCTGCAATGATCTGGAAATCTTCGGGTTCCTCACGCACCCTACCCTGACCTCCATCGACAGCTATGGTGGCCAAGACCAAAATGTCATCTACGCCGTCTTGCACGAGGCCATCTACTGCCAGGGGTAAGGGCCCCCAGATAATTTCAAAGGATTTAGATTTACTAACAACGAACAAACAGACGAGCCTCAAACTGGTCCGCCGATAGATATCGCGCAGCTAACTCACAATTCCATCTCAATGCTGATCTTCCCGAGATCTGTTTCACCGGCGAGATGGTAAGCATTTTCCCTCCATACACGCATACAAAGCACTTATATCAGCGCTGACAATAATACACTGCAGATATACAAAGACATGTTCGACTCATACACCGAGTTGAACAGCATCAAAGAGGCAGCAGACATCCTCGCAACCACGACCGACTGGCCGGCCCTCTACGATGAGGAGCAGCTAGCAAAGAACGAGGTCCCCGTTTACGCCGCGACCTTCGTAGACGATATGTACGTGCACTTCGACCACTCTTTGAACACCGCTTCGAAGATCAAGGGGACCAAGCAGTTCATCACGAACGTCATGTATCATAATGCTATCCGTGCCAAGCCGGACGAGCTTATAAGGCAGCTCTTTGCGCTGCGGGATGATACTATCGATTAAGCGCCTCCTCGCACTGCTGGTCGCTATTGCATCGGACGTCTCAAAAGACGTTACCTCATGGATTCTTCTATATTTCCAAACCCGCGAGTATCAATACGCGCTGTGGCGTATACAGGTGTCATCAAATCATTACACTGCAGATGCCCATATGTCTATAAGCAAAGACATGTATCTAGAATATATCGATATCCAAACTCGGCAAGATAAAGGGCGCAAGCAAGCTAAAAAACCTATACGTAGATATACCATTAGACAAGACCCACGCTACGAGCGAAAGAAAGGAAAACACAACACTTACCGCACCACCAATAATAAACAGCCTCTCTTCTTCCCGCTCCACCCACTGCACAATCTTGCTCGCACTCTGAGCAAGAGCATTTCTATTCGCGTGTGGGCCAGCCACGCAGTAGAACTCGAACACGGGAGTCACCCACGCAAAAGACGTGGACGACTGGGACACGCAGTGGTGGACTTTGACGTGCGTGTATTTCGCATGGATGCTTGCGTGGAGATTGTTGTATGTCGACATGAGTCTGTCGTATGTCAGTCGATTGCATATATAGCGAGCTAGCTAGCTAGCTCTCAGGAAGCGGGGCTACTACTAACCTGCGACGGCGAGAAACGGATGAAAATTCGGGGTCGTAGGCCGACATGCTGAATTGCACGTTTGCGCGAGATTTGTACAGGAAATGGTGGAGGACTGTCCCCGGGACGATGTCGGTTGTAGCGGGACGGCCTTTCTCGACAGCCTCTCTTATGATCTTCATGCTGCCGTTGTTTTCCAATTGCTGAGAGCAAAAGATTAGCGATTTAGGCTGGGCAAGGTTACGGCTGTTGAGGTCTTTTCCTACCTCGACAAAATTGTTCCTCATCTCTTGTAAATCGAAGAAGCTTTCCTTGTCTGTGCTGATCAAGATAATGGCAACAGACTCTTCTTTCGTGGTGGTGTCGTCGGAATTGTCGCCCGCGTTCTCTCGAAGATCGAGGAAACTGACATACATGTAGAGATAGCCGCTGCTGTTGAAGCCCGGTAGACAAACCGGGATCCAGCTCTCGCCTCCGCCTGCCTTTACGGCATCTGCTTCAAAGATCATGTTGAATAGAAGTTGGAGGTCGCCGGGGTGTAATGAGTGTTTCTTCGGGCGCACAACGCTGACTAGACGGCCGCCGGCCACCACTAAACCGTATAGGAGACTGTTGACCTTTGCTTTGAGGAGTGTGCTGTTGATCTTTTGACGGTGAGATTTCCGGAGTTTCAGGCACTCAAGGGCTGAGAAGAGGGTAGACGGTGATCCTTTAGTGAAGCTGTCCGCCAGCGTAGAGAGTAGAGACTCGGTTCCCTGTAAGGGTCGTTTGAGATCTGTAGATGGACGGACGGAAAATAGATGAGTCAACGACGGCAGAGTCAACGTAGACAAAATCTGCATATACAGGGCTTCGAGTTGCAGCTTGAGTTGGGTGTCGCTCTCAAGGATCCGGCTGATGGCTACCAGGTATAGTGGCCCTTTGGTCACGACCACGAATTTGGTGTCCCCAGCAGTGAAGCTACTTAGATGATCCTGGGCGTCCTCGTAGAACGAGATGATGGTCTGGATGACACCGACATACGTCGAGATTAGCCCACCATCGCCATGACGTGTCCATATTGGTTTCCCGGCAGCAGACAGGATGATATAATGCTTCCGCTTGGCCTGCCATCTCGCAAGAACCAACTCTAGAATTGATGAACCCGTCAGCGTATGAACAAGGCAGTCTATTACGGAATCTACACACCCTCATTATTACCGTCCTCATCCACGTTACCGACGGGCTCGAATTCGCTGGCGAATCCATCCTCTACATCGTCGGCTTGAAACTCTGGAAACCGGAGCAACCCTGAGCTATCCTGCTGCACAGCCGGGTCATCCGACACGACAAAGTCACTAAAGACATGGTCGGCCTCTCCAGGATCTGCATGCGGGATAGAGCTTCGAATGCTCGCAGAATCGCCCGCTTCACTCGCTCTTGAGCTGGCTATATGACTGAGGCTTGCCTTCGCCCTCAGGTTATCGGCTAACCCGTGCGCGGGATTATTCTCCTCCTTCCCTCCGCCATTCGAGCCGATATCCGTGAGTGATACAGCGGTCGTGGCCTTCGATTGTAAATTCGATTGCGTTGTACTCCGTGGCACCCGTAGAGACGCGCCTCCTTCGTCCAACAGGCCTAACGTGTTCGGGCGCGGGGGCAGTGGCGGCGGGGATCCTTCAGGGCTTGCGCTGCGACCTTCACTACCAGAGTCAATCGGTCGCGCCTCGACGACTTCTAATCCGCCGTCATTCGGTCCTTTTAAAGGGTCGCTTCGTGAGCCCTGAGCTTCGGGCTCGGCTTTCGAATCCATGGCCCTTGGGCCGCGCGCATTGACAAAACGTTTCCGGTAGTCGTGGTCTCTCGTAAATCAGCGAACCGAATTCAAGTAGCGCAAAGCATCGTCGGAAGTAAAATTAATATCTCCACCGATCGTTGGAGACGCATATCTCGTATAGAAGGTGGTTGACAGACGTGAGGGTGGACGAGTGGGGATGCGAAGGAGTGTACAAAGATCCTCCCGGGTCGGAGCTCCAGATGCGGGCGGTCGGTCGTTTCAACACCTCCGCCTCTTCGTGTCCATAACGCATTACAGGCACCGGCACCTCCCTATCTACACCAATGAACAAACCATGACGAGAGATTTTCTGCGCTTAGTATTGAGCTTTACTATCGACATATCTCCGTCCACACCATGAGCCTCGAACCCGGCCTTCCGAGGTCAGACTCCCCCGCAAGCTCGGAGAGCTCCTTCACGCGCTCCCGCTTACGGGGCAAAGAAGGTGCGCAATCACTCCCCCTGTCTTGAGGCTCTACACTTTTCGAGACTGGGATTTTACTCTGACTAACATATACGTCTCCGCGCAGAACCGCTGAAAAAGGATAAGAACTATCGCCGTTATGCTCACAATGTTGAACGCGCCCTTTCGTTGTTTGATACCGCCCTGCAGGAGTGGGCAGACTATATTTCGTTCCTTAGTCGACTATTGAAGGTGGGATATCGCCAGCACTGGGATGCGTGATGGTATTGAGCTAATAGGGCAGTGATTAGGCGTTGCAATCTCATCCGCCAGATATATCGATTGTCCCCCATAAGGTGCTCGTGTCGAAACGATTGTCGCAATGCTTGAACCCCTCGCTGCCGTCGGGCGTCCATCAGAAGGCTCTGGAAGTGTACATGTTTGTCTTCAATTTAATCAAGGTCAAGATAAGCGCTGTTCTTCCGCGAAGTGCGTCTGCTGACGTTGCATGCTGTCCATCTAGCCAGAAGGACTTTCACACGACCTGCCTTTATACTTTCCCGGCATTGCGCCGACCTTAACATTCGCTTCGCTTACGGTCCGTCCGTTGTTCCTGTCCCTGGTGGAAAACTACGTTTGTACCGTGGAAGCATGGGCAATTCGACCGGCCTTGAAGGCGATCCTCTTATCCCTTCTGCCGGGGCTCGAGGAAGAAACGAGTGATGATTTTGAACCGACCCTCCGACTTATCAATAAATTCCGCGACATTGCGAGTAAAATGGATACCCAGAAGGCTGGAACTGAAGTAGGCTCACAGGGACAATACTTCTGGCAGTGTCTCTTCCTGGCATCTATCACGAGCCCTAGCAGGCGTTCCGGTGCGCTGGCTTATCTGAATCGATGTCTCCCCAAACTAGGCGTCACGGACCGGAGGCCAAGTAGGGGTGAAACAAGCGATCCATCCGAAATGTCACAAGACATGCTAGCGGCTGTCGATTCGGTCGTACAGCCAGAACCCGGTTTACTGATTCGATGTTTTGCGTCGGGCCTGTTGGATGAGCAGGTCCTTGTGCAGCGGAACTTCCTTGACCTACTGGTCACTCACCTGCCATTAAGCTCCCCGATACTGCAGTCGCGGATTGTAAATAATGATCTCCAGAGGCTGGTCATTGCAGCAATCGGAGTTGTCACTCGGCGTGACATGAGCTTGAATCGCCGACTATGGTCTTGGCTCCTAGGGCCCGATGCAGCGACCGATCAGTCTTCCTACGAGCGTCGCAATTCGACATCTGACGGCGCCGATCAGTCGGCTGATAGCGGGCTGCTCTCCCAGTCTGAATACTTCAGCCGGTTTGGACTGAAAGCCTTAACTGATGGCCTTCTGCAGATGGTCGAGCAGGACTCGACCGCTTCCTCCGAGACGACCAAACCATTCCGCATATCTCTTGCGTTGATGGACCGATGGGAAGTCGGCGGGCATGTTATTCCAGAAATATTTTTACCAATCATACGGAAGGTCCAAGCATTTGAAGATACGGCGTCCAAGGCTCGATTTGAAGAGGTTTTCCGCAGCGCGAACGCCTTTTTTGACGGCGTCGAGAGTTCTGTGATATTCTCCGAGCTCGTTCGCTTGGTAGACTGGAAAACCGAGGACCTGAGCCACAATGTGGAGTCGGTTGCGAGCGACTTGACTCTTGCACATTTCATACTCACCAACTTCAACGTGCGAGAAGAGGAGATGGTTACTCGACATGTTCCTCTGCTCGCACTCACCGTCCTGATGAAAATGGGCGAACTACCTATTGGAGACCATACTTCTCTGACCCGAGACCAAAGCTCGCAGGTAGCAAACAAGCTGTCGAAGATAATGCACTCACTTACTGGGCTGCTTACTGAGAGGGCTTTCAGCAGAAGATCGAATTCGCAGGCAGCCAACGCCTCTTCAGACCCTGGGAATGCCGAGGTCTTGAAAAAGATCCATGATTTCTATTACCAGAGCAAAAATCGTCTGGACTTGCCCCAGCCACCGTTTCACCCTAGACAGCTGGCAGAAATGATGATCAAGAAAGCGCACGAATTGGCCATATCAGCTCTGCAAAATACATCCAATGATGCGCGAACGCATGAAAGGGTGAATCTCTTCATGGTATTGCTCAAAAAGCTACCCAAATCACGTGTTCTTCGTGATAGGCGCTTTTACATGGCGATCTGTGAACGAGTTCATGCTCACCAAGTTGAGCTTTCTACTGCCTCGTTTTCTGTCATATCCTCCATTTCGTCCGCCGTGACAAAATTGTATTTTATCCACAAAGTCGGGCTCTATATCAGCTATGAGGACGTATCTGATCTGATCCCAATTCTGGTGAAACAGCTTTGGGCATTCCTTTCACCCTTGAGTCCCAAATTCCATGTCGAGGCCGTTCGTTGCTTGTGGAACTTGCATTCGGCCTCTTGGAGGGACCATCTTGTTGAGGCATCGATCACATCCCTTATGATTGACTCGTCGTCCCCTGGGTCTCGCCAGCTGTCATCAGAAGAGCAAGTTGGAAGATACTTTGTCTTGTGGACTCATAGTCATCATGGAACGTATGAACTTCCACCGAAACACGTCCATGATGCGGCCAAGTCGCAATACTCTTATCATGCTTCCATGCTTGAGCGGCCTCTGTTCATCGTCTTAGACTTGCTATATGAGGAGTCGAACGAGACGTCACAGATAGCCCATCGCTGGATCCACGATCTGTCATCCATTCACAAGTAAGTCAGGCTCTTCCCATTATTTTTCCTACTAGCCACAATGCTTATCCCATTGCCAGAGTGTTTCGTATAGTAGTTTTACGGCTCGAAAGTCTCTTTCTGCGGGCCGACCAAATTTCAACTGGCGGTGAAAACCCGTCAATATGTGGCGACGATTACAAGGAGTGCAACTACCTGTTAGAAACAATTTACAACGTTGTTTCTGCGCTGTCCCATAATGGCTGGGTGGCTCTCATGACAGAATCACTGTCTCCAGTCGACAGGCACCACGAGGTTTCCGCTTCAGAAGGTAAGATTCTCTCCCAGTCGCCTGTGCTCTCACGCTTACAACGACTCGCAGATAACACCCAGAGCCCAAGCATCCATTCCGTCATTTTCCAGGCATCGTTGCGGGTAGTAAGTGGGCAGACCACAGCTACGGCTAAGGATGGTATGGAGGAGGTTAAGCTCTATCAAACCTCGCTGCTTGTCATGCGCCAACTCCTGTTGGGCCCAGGGGCTGATGAGGTTGTGGACTCTGGAATTGACGCACTGCTTGTTGATCGTCTGACAGCTGCCCTCGATGAGAAGGGCAGTATCCCCGTCCAGGGGGCACTGATAGACACCCTTCTTGCAGCACTCAAGGTCCGGTTCGCTCAAGCTTATTTGCCTCCCCCGCCCCCAAGACCCAAACACCACAGAGCAAACTCTCGCGATCGGTTAACAAGCCCATCGATACTGTCTTTTACAAGTGACAAGGCAGAAAAGGCTCCGGCGGCACCAACCTTGCCCCAGCCACCCAACAATCTCTTGGATTGCCTTCTCAAAGGCATCAGCTCCCCCAACTCCAGGGAGATTGTAGAGAAATGGACGGTGTTGCTGTGCGAAGTGCTTCCTCTCTATACTGGATCCCTCTTTCAGATTCTGTTGATGCTAGTGGAGTGTTTCTGTAGGGAGATACGGCTTTCCTATACGAACCTCCAGCTTTTGTTCAAGCAGACAGAGAGCTGGCCCGAGGATCGGTCGGAGCATGCCACTATTGCACTCCTCACTGGCCTTGAGAACTGCATCGCCAGTGCCCATGAACGTCTCATTGTGGAGGAGTCACATACCCCTGCGGCTAAGAGTCCGGACCAAACTCAAGGGTTTTTTGGGAACATGGTTTCGGCCGTATACAACTCCGATATGGGCCAACCGCGCTCAGCGGCAGCCAACAACAGACTCACCGTCCTGCTCTGCTTCCAGGATGCGGTGCGGCTGTGCTTTTCTATATGGTCCTGGGGCGCAGGCGAGAAAAGCAACTTGCCCCAAGATGCAGAGTCTTTGGCATCTTTCCAGTATACATCGTTGCGCATGAGGAACAGGTCGCGCCGCATCCTCGAGCATCTCTTCACGGCAGAAGCTCTCGAGTGTCTTGAAACGCTTGTCGAGATGTGGACTAAGTCGGACTCCGAGACTTTGACTCTGATCTTCGGTCTCCTTCATACTCTGGATGGTTCTCGGCCAAAGATCACCATTCCGGCTATTTTCAATGCCATTTATACCAGAACGAATCCGGCAGCACTCGACGCGAACCGGAAATCTACGCTGACCTCCAGTCTCACAGAGGGTGAACTGGCCGGGTTTCTCGTGACTTATGCCAGGTCGCTTGACGATGACGTGCTAGATGAGATCTGGGCGGATTGCACGACTTTCCTGCGTGACGTGTTGAGCAATCCCTTCCCGCATCGGCAAATACTTCCTCGCCTGGTCGAATTCGCCGCGATCCTCGGGGCAAAGATGGAGAACACGAACTTTGGTGAAGACCGGCGAATGCGAAAGGAATTAGGAGTATGTTCTGTTGTCTCTCTAGCATATGACTTTATACTGACGGTTTCTAGGATGTGCTTCTACGATTGCTTACGGCCATATTTACCAGTAAGCCCATGGGGCTGTCGCAGGAGTCGAACCTTCTGAGCCGGGCGTCTCAGGACTTAGACCATACATTGGCAACGCACATTGGTCCCGATGACATCCTCAGCATCCTCGCTGTCTCTATGCCCGCATTTACAACCACGTTAGGCGACTCCGATCGGATCAACACAGCCGTGAGTGGGATCTCAACCAATGTTATCGGGCCGCTGCTACGATCTCGGCTTTTCCCGAACAATCTCAACCGCAACTTCGTGGAGCTTCTCCAACATATCGTGAGGGCCCAAGGCACCGCGAAAGTCTGGAAGAAGGATATAGCCGAGGCCTTCAATGACCCACGCTTCTTCAACTCGCACGTTGAACTGGTGAAAGACGGCTGGATGAATCTTCTGCGGCAATGGGTTCTGGCTGATAAGGAACGACTGACCGAGCTTCTGGGTCGTCTCCCGCCGCCCAGCACGGCAGGAATCATGTTTGGCGTTGGAGCCTCTGCCGCACGCTTGGATGCCGACCGCAAGGCGCAATTGAACCTTCGCAGGATCGCGCTCCTCATTCTCTCGTCAAATGACGATTATTTCATGGGTGAGCTCCCTGGTCTTCTCCAGAAGCTGGAAGACCTCCTTGGGGCGACGAGTTCGTCATCACCGTCGTCCACGACCAGAGCGGAGATCTTCATGGTTCTTCGAGCCCTGGCTCTCAAGAGCTCAACCACTGCGCTAGGACCTTTCTGGCCGTTGATTAATACGGAACTCCAGGAGGCGATCTCCGCCATACCCCTTGGTGCTCAGCAAGAAGTCTACAACCCATACTCGTTGCTCCAAGCCTGCAAGCTGCTGGATACATTACTCGTCCTCACTCCGGACGATTTCCAGCTGGTCGAATGGCTATTCGTCACGGACACTGTCGACGCCGTCTACCCGCCCGAGCACTGGGATTCGAAGGCACTCGTGGACGAGGTGTCGCAGAACCTAGGGACACGGCTGTCGCCGTCGCCCGACACACCAGCAGAGCCAACAACCGATGTGGACCGGAACGTGAAAACCCCGGCACTCACAGCCGAATGGATCCGCGACGTCGCCAAAGACGAGATCATTGAGCGCGTGTTGCGGCCGTTCTTCGACCAGCTTAGCATTCGTGCGTATGAGAGCACTTACAGCATGGGCCGGCCCAGCTTGGAGACCTGTCTTGATGACTTGTTGGCGGATTTGTTCAACGAGAGCACTATGGCTCACTAGGAGGCTTAGCTGTTATTGTCGCTGCTCTGGTCATGATTGTACTATAGGTTGTTGGACCTTGGTAGCTCGCTGGCATGTTTGCAAGAAATGTCTTTTTTCGCGTTGTGTAGTTGATTTAACAAGCGATCGTTTATAGCAATCATCTCATTAGCTTCAATCAAATATTTGCAATAACTCCTCTTCTCAAATTTAGCAGCAGAATAACAGTAGAACCTGGAACATCGACACAGGTCCCAACCTCAGGCAGGCACAATATTGTATAGTCAGATTGACGAGCCCTGATTGGCCACGGCGATCGTCCCGAACGGGCAGGCCCAACGTCACGGGCCTCAGGCTCCGTCATCCGCAGCTCTCCCCACATCCCTGCCTTTTCGCCTCCTCCGCACGTTATCAACAGTAAGAACACCACTTTATCATCTATATCGAACCTCATATAATGGTCCCCATTGACTCCATCTCCAGATACGCGTATTTTACATGAAAATGAATGCCTCGCGGGTGATGATGCTTCCTGGTATCCGCGCCGCCGCGTCTCGGCGTGTATTGCCCTCCTCCTCCCCGATGCGGAGGAGCTTCTCTGCCTCGCTGCCGACGCGGGATGCAGTGGGCTCTGCGCTGCCTGCTAAGAAGCCTGTGGGCGCGTTTCGAGGGGGGTAGGTTCCGCGTGTTTCTGGCTGTATCATGCAGCCTAAGTGCTCTGACTTGTGGTGTTTGGCTGACCTGTGATCTTTTCTTGGCATAGGCTGTTTGGCTTCCTGGCTGGGACTGTTGCTGCTGGTGCGGCGGTCTATTACTATATTTTGGGGGAGTATCGGGTGTCGAACGAGATGTTGTCGGAGGATATCGAGGTATGTGATGATTTTGTTCTTCTGTTTCGTTCTTCTTCGTCCCCCCTCCTCTCCTTCTCCGCTATCTATGTATGCCATTGTCTGGTTTTGCTTCTCCGTGGTTTTCTGGGTCTTTCAATTCACATCGACGGTCTCATTTCTGTTGCGATGGGAATTCCTGCAGCGGCAGTATTGCATGTGGTCTAAGGCTAATATAACGCAGGCTCTCCAATCAGCGACACTAAAGCTGCAGACCTATATCGGTGAACTGGAAACAAAGGTGGACCAGCTTAAGAAGAAATGAAATGCCGCAGGCTATGGAATTGCGAAACTTCATCTCCCTTGTTCATCTTCATGGCGTTCGGTTGTTATTCTGGAATTTTAGCATGTCCTCTACTTGCCATTTCGGGTAGGGGCGATATTTGTAAAAAGTCATATGGACACGTTACTTGCATTCTAATGTACCGATCGTCCTATCAAACAGACAGTGTCTCTTCCACGGTATCATCAATTCGAGTAAGTCATTCGAGCATGGCGTATCAATCTTCGTATATGGTGGCGCTGTGTCATTGGTGCAAACAAGCCAAACACGGACTCGGCGATCCATCCAAATCAGTCCTCCGATAACCCAAGACCCTCAACCACTCCAGCCCTCAACTCCGAACTGCCATTTCAGGAGAAATCATGTATTCCATCGAACTCCTCCCAAATTCCTCGAGCCACGCAACTCCGGGATGGACCTACGTTCCAGACAGACGCGACAGGGGCTTCGACCCAGCCAAGGCAGCCATCACGCCCGCCGTGGGTAGAAAGCGAGGAATTCGCGACCCAGGACGCGCCGACCTTTCCTCGCGACAGAACAACGCCATCGTGCGTCATCTGGCTGAGCTGGACCGGGAAAATCACAAGGATGTCAGCATTCCCATCCCGGTGAAGCAGCAGAAGGATGCCAGCGGCCGAGGTTAGTCTTCATCAACCCTCAACTTTTCATCTCGCTAGACAAAGAGGAAGTAAAGGAACTAACATCCACATCAAACGCAGGAACAAGAGGCAAGGTAACATCGAACGTGCGCCGAATCCTCCAATCTCAAAAAACATTCCGCAACCACCTCGACGACGAAGAAGCTGCTCAGGCTCAGGCCGCGCAAACCGCCACCCAGCGTCCCGCCCCGGCGCAAGTATCCCGACTCACAAAACCCTCTTCCTCCAGACGGAGCTCCACGCCTGCCACAGCCTCAAAGCCTGAGCCATCATCGTCCCGACAAAAGAAACACACCACCCCAGCAACACCCAGCGCGGTCCCAACAGCCTCCACAACAGCCTCCACAGATGGCGACGGCGACAAACCAGACTCCGACCCCAGCCCCAACCCCGCAAAACTCATAACATCCGAACACGACAACGACCCCCTCCTCCGCTCATACATCCCTTCAGCCCCTCCGACCGCATCATGCAAGCCCTCCTCGCCGAACCACCTCTTTCCTACCACGCCGCCCGCGCCGGCCCACCCCTGACGAATAAATCGCCGCGCCGCTTCTGCTGCATGTGCGGGTACTGGGGCAAGATCAGGTGCAAGAACTGCCATCAGCGGACTTGTGGGCTTGATTGTTATAAGGTCCATGAGGATTCGAGGTGTGGGGCGTTCTTTTAGTGGCTTGTGCTGCGCTTGTGATGTCGAAGTACTTCGCTAGGATCGGGCGAGTTTCTTCAACGCTATCGATTGTATCTTTATGGGTGTATACATATATATGTATATGTGTACAGGGATACTTACACACCCGCTATTCTTCCTCGGTGCGCCACGACACGGATATCGTTCCAACGCGGACATCGCCTGCCTCGTCGCGTAACGAGCAGATGGCTACACCAGCACCTCATCAGCAGCGCATATGCTGTCCGTCGCTGGAATCGAAGTTACAGCACACCGGGGATGTTATTGCCGTTGAGGAATACTAGTCCTCTGACAGTCGGCAGGCGGAGGGAGTCGGGTCTACTAGGCTTCTTGACTCTCTCGTTGAAGGGTCGTCGGAAGCCTGTTCAGGTTGATGGGATCCCTGCGGTTATATATCTGTGCCGGTATCCGGAAGTACCCAAGGGGGGCGTTCTTTATTCATACCGTGGTTAGTCTAATATGTACGAGTTCGCTTTGAGTTCACCTTACGGGGTGAAACAGAATAGCAGATATTATTATAATGATACCAATGAATACTATATCTTAATACCACATCTATACAACCGTATGAAGGATCCTTATAGCTATGCACGTATATAATCAACAAACCAACAATCAACAACAATCAACACTTCATATTAACACCAGCACGTAATTCCTCCTCCCTTATCTCAAACATCACCTGGACACCCACGAACAGCGCCCCACACGCAGCAACAAGGTAAGCAAGTCCCGAGTACGACCCCAGCATACCAGACAGCAAGCCCTTCAAGCCGTCAATTCCCAGGGCGAAGCCAACCAAGTTAGCAATCATCATCATGAGGATATTGCCGACGGCGCCGACGCCGCAGAGGACGCGGTAGGCTGTCGGACGGGAGCGCCAGCGACGAGCAGGGAAGAGGAGCGTGGCGATCGCTTCAGGGAGGATGAACAGCGTGATGAGCCAGCCCCACATGAGCAGACGGAGGTTGATATCGTGCCAGAGGGCGACGAAGGTGAAGACGACGAGGAAGTTGAAGATCTGGCGGGCTATGGAAGCGAGGGGGGATGCGGGTTTGCCTGTGTCACCGGCGCTATTGCTTCTTCTGCCCCCGCCGAGAGGAATGTAGATGTAGCGGATGATCCAGCGGTTGAATGAGCGGTGCCAGGCGCGCCAGAAGGCGAAGCCGGAGTAGTTGTTTGAGACGCAGCGGACCATGTTCTCTGGGGGATCGATGCCGTCGACGAGGGCCCAGAGGCGGAAGAAGCGCCAGGGGATGAGCAGCTTGAGCCAGATGATGTGCAGGTTGAAGAAGCCGAGCATGCTTAGTTGGCCTGGGGTGTAGGAGGACCAGTTGGGGGAGGCTTTGGAGATGGCTTGGACGTAGATGAAGTGGAGGATCATTTCCATGGAGAGCATGGTGAGGAGGACGCGGGTGCCGTAGAGGATGATGCGGGATTTAGTGAGGGATGGGGGGGCGTGTCGCTGTTGCGAGATGTAGTCGTTGAAGGTGAGGATCGGGCCGATTAGGTAGAGCGGTGCGTAGAGGGTGTAGGCGAGGTAGTGGCGGCCGTTGAAAGCGGACGGTTCTGCGGGGATGGTGATGCGGTCGCGTTCGGACAGCGAGGCTGGATCAAGTTGTTTCTTCTTATGTTTGTTAGATTGAGGACGTCGTATGTTGCAGGGGAGTAACTTACTTCGATGGGGCTGGATGACGGGTAGTTGAAGCTCCAGTAGTAGTCCATATTGAAGCTGATCAGTCGCAGGACCGTGATGTTGAAGAGGATTTCCCATCGAGGCAGCAAGCCGCCAAAGCTATCGAGATATCGACCCCATAGTATCAAGGCTGCCTCGTGCCCCTCGGGTCCCGTTGGAGAAGCAAAAAGCGCTGCGACGCGCTCGAAGGGGTACCCCTGGCAGAGCTCGTTGGCGAACAGCGTCGAAATGTTGAACACCCATGTTGCGGCGGGGATATACTTCTTCGGAAGGGTTTTGGCGATCTTGTAGTTGGTATACAGAATTCCCAGGACTTTGAGGGCAGAGATACCGTGCAGCGCGAACAGGAAGATCGGCGCAAAATAGAGGTCGAACGTCACCCGCTGGCGAAGTCTGACATCTCCGCTGATGGCGGTCGAGCTCTCTTTCGGACTGTCCGCGTCAAGAGGTCTGGTATAAAGTTCGTATACGCGTCGAAGCACCGGGTGAGCCACCAGGAGAATCAGGAGGTAGGGAACGTTATCGCGGAAGCCTGAGTATTGCGCATCGGAGTTGTCCTAGAAACACATCATGCATTAGTCAAGTATAAAGGGCACGGCTATTAAATCTTGACTCACCACTTTACGGCCAAATATCCAGCCATCCGACAGCAGGTTGGCGTAAGTCGCATAGGTAGGATGACTTTCTAAGACGTGATTTAGTTTCCGCTCATCTCCTCTCAGCGAGGGGATTCTACCTTGAGAGACCTCAATCACCGATTTGAACATCCACGGTATCGCAAAGAGAAATACCATATAGTAGACATAAAATTCGAGCGTCCCCCATTTGGAGGGAGCCGCATTGTTGGCTATGCTGTTCGCGCGGGCATCTTTGGACGGGCGAGAATCCGCGGCGGCCTTGAGAGGGGTGTTTGCGGAGGCTGTGAAACGAGTGTCGAGGGTGTCAAGGGAGTATAATTGCCGGAACCATGCCAGCATTGAGAAGGTCATCTTAGCACTTCATCGCGTAGCCAGCCCCTCAAGTGATAATGAATGCGGAGCAAGACCGGCGGTGGTGAGAGATGGACAGGTGGGTTCGTGAGATTGTGGAGAGAGAATCATTGGGTCAGGGGGGACGACAGTGGAGGCCTGTCATTGGTTTACCTCGCACTGGAGTTGTGAGACCGAAATAGATTTGATTGTCTGCTGGGGGCTGATTCTGCTGGAAACAATAAGACGATCCGATTTTGATCATCTTATACCTTCATGTCAACAATTATCAACCTGAAATTCAAGATCAATCGGCGCCATCCTCAGGCACCTACTGCCTCGGCCAGTTGACAGCTGAATCAGCTACTCTGCCCAATACGGAAGTCTTGGCGGTAATTACCCGATTGGGTCGAATCTATATCGGGAAGGATAGCCTGGTTGACTAACCAGCATGACTTCATTATCAACACCACCTTGTCCATCTCTCTTACCAGATAGTTGTGTAAGGTAAGACAGATAGATACAGGCATTGAACGAAGCATCACCATCGAATATGTCATCTCAGCGGGTATGGTCCTGTCTCTCCAGTTCGCGTTCATCGTCTGCATTCGCTATAGATCTCCGCACATCGTCGGGTTCGCATATACACTTCGAGTCTCACTGACACATCCAGATCGCATACAAAGTCCACGGGACGGTGCAAGGTAGGACAAATACTTGACTATACGCGATATGAACTTCCTTTAAAGCGCTCATATCTCTAACGTCGTTGTCCTATCCAGGCGTCGGATTCCGGTAAGAACCCTCCTAGCCATAGTCAACCTGATCAAGAAACTGATCAATATCAGCGACTTTACCCAAAAGCGAGCCACACATCATAACCTAAAAGGCTTCGTTAAAAACACCAGCTGCGGGCGAGTACGTAGACTCCATCACTCTATCCCCTAGCAGAGTCACCACTAACCCTCTACTAACTACAGGTCGAAGGCGAAGCCCAAGGGGACAGCGAGTCCCTGCAGAACTGGCTCAAAGATATCCACAAAGGGCCGCGCATGGCCCACGTAGTGAAGGTGGAGAAGAGAGAGGTAGATGTGCGAGATGGGGAGAGCCACTTTGGTGTGATGAGGACGTCCGAGTCTGCTTTTGATGCGCCGGCTCAATCAAGTTGATCTTGGTAATGATTACTCTTCTAGCCTTGTGTACGTTGCAAATGACAATTCGATGAAGACCTGTGGTGGTGATGGCTTCTACAATGGTATTATTCGAGATGAACGTTGATATATCTCGATGACGCCGGCGGCGCATCTTACTTTATCTTCCCATAGTATTGAAGATGCGTTTCATAGTTGTATTATCCCTGTCATGATAGGAATGCTTACAGCCACTGGAAATGGCCACTCGGAAGGGATCCTATTCCCACACGGAAAACAAAAGAAATAGTAAAAAAAAAATGAAACCAAGAAAGCAGTATACGTCCTCCGGTGAGTAAACTTGTATAATCAAGACGGGAGAACGGCCCAAACGTTCGGGATGCCCGAAAGGCAAAGCAGAACCCGTGAGAGTTGACTCAGAGCAGCCCGATCTCTCCCGAGGTCACCTGCCCGTTTCCCTTTCCGTCAATATTACCTCATCCTTGGAATACTCTTCATGAAAATAATCGAATAAGTCTCAGTGGCATTCATTGCTAAATGGATAATGGAGAGATCGTTGAACTCGCTGTCACTTGGAGTGTTGAATAGTAGGTCTACTATTCAAGGCCCCCAACGTGGGTCCACTTGCAGTGGTCATAGACTTTGCGGGAATGTCCAAATATACTATACGGGTCCTGTTCCTAAGGCACCCCACCAGTCAGATCGATCGGCGTTTGCTTGTTGAGGTCATCGAACTATACCCACTCTTACAGGTCACCGTGGCTGAAGACCTCCTGGGTCCTATCGGGTCCTGTCGACGAGGGAATTTGCGCATGCTGGTTCCTGATGACTTGAAAGGATTTCTGGCCTAGTTGTGGTTCCGCTCGTGTTGGTTCCGGATCCGTCGAATGTTGTATTGAGTATAAGTAGGTAGTATAAAGGCCTGAAAAAGAATGTTACCCATCAATGAAGTGACTGCAAACCTACACTTATCTCCCTTCAATTTCAGTTTTAGACGTTCGTCGATCTGCTTGTCTATACACTTACTCGCACTTGCTCTTGACCGTCTGTGATCCTCATCGATAGACCATCGCATCGCATCGCATCGCATCCATCAGCTGTCATAGCTCATCATGAGTCTATTGCTTTCAACAACGCCCATCCGGGCAGCGTCCCTCACAAAGCCATGCCTAACCGTCGCAATTCGAGGGTTCTCCAGTGCCGCCGCGGCAAAGGGTCTACCAGGACCACTATCCGCCAAAACCTATCAGCATCCCGCGCGCAACCACCGTCTGCTCTCCTCGACACCCCGGCACCAAATAAAGGAGTTCTTCCCGGCTCCTGATGCGCCCCGTATCGAAGAAGTCGAGACGGTTTGGGTACATCCTGTGTAAGCTCCGATCCAATCCTCTTCTAACGATGACGATGTGGGCCAGTCACTGATAGCACCAGCTACACCGAGGAACAGATGCAGCACGTCACGATTGCTCATCGACAGGCAAAAGACTGGTCGGATTGGGTGGCTCTCGGGACAGTCCGGGTTTTGCGTTGGGGCATGGACTTGGTATCGGGGTACAAACACCCCAAGCCCGGCCAGGAGGGCGATCCCCGATTCCAGATGACCGAGTCGAAGTGGCTCACGCGGTATATCTTCCTGGAGAGTGTGGCCGGTGTGCCCGGCATGGTAGGCGGCATGCTCCGACACTTGAGAAGTTTGAGGCGAATGAAGCGAGACAACGGATGGTGAGCCAGCCCAGCCCTGATTCCCCAGCCATCATCAAAACTGACACCCGTAGGATCGAAACCCTGCTCGAAGAAGCCTTCAACGAGCGCATGCACCTCCTAACATTCATGAAACTCTCCGAACCAAAATGGACCATGCGGCTCCTCGTCCTCGGCGCGCAAGGCGTCTTCTTCAACGGCTTCTTCCTCTCCTACCTGATGTCCCCGCGCACCTGCCACCGCTTCGTCGGGTATCTCGAAGAAGAAGCCGTCATCACATACACGCGATCCATCGAGGAACTCGAGGCGGGGAGGCTCCCCCATTGGGAGAAGGAGCAAGCGCCCGAGATCGCCATCCAGTACTGGAAGATGCCTGAGGGACAGCGGACAATCAAGGATCTGCTGTATTATGTCCGCGCGGATGAGGCCAAGCACCGCGAGGTGAACCATACTCTGGGCAATTTGCAGCAGATGGATCCTAATCCTTATACGGCTAAATATAAGGATCCGTCCAAGCCGCATCCGGGTAAGGGGATTGAGAACTTGAGGGCTACCGGGTGGGAGCGAGATGAGGTGATTTAGATTGCCCATCTCTTTTTCCTTCTTCTTTTTCCTTCTTCTTTTTCCCCTCTTATTTTTTTCATTCTTCCTCCGTTGTGTTTATACAAATTTTGAAGAAGTGTGTGCTGTATCCCCATGTCCAACAGGACAGGACAGCCAAGTCGAGAATGCCCTATATGGAAGTTGGAGTCTGGAGTCCGGTGAGATTTAAATTCGATTCAGTGATCTTCAATCTGAATTGGCTCTATAAACGGAAACATCAGTTGTATCAATTAGTAAAATCTCAAAGAACAGATATAACCATCATGTACACAAATGAACAGCATATAACAAGATGTTAATTCTCTGTCTGTGATTGGGAGTCAGCATCCAATCAGTATCAATATCTCAGGGTCTCAAGAAATGGGCTTATATTAATTAATCAGATATAAGCTTTCATTAAAGTTTCAAAACACGAAGATCTGTGTTAGATAGCAAAGCCAAGTGGGCATCAAATTGGAGCGTGGCGATTCTGTCACGATCGAAGGATGGTAGTAGTAGACCAGGGCCGAAAAAGTACCTAATAGATAGACACCAATGCCACACGCGGACAACTCCTCCATCCCAGTTTAAGCGACATCGCCTGGCCTCAATCGGAATACCTACTCAGTTCATTAACTAGGTAGTACATACTTGGAAGATCCAGCCAAGACCTCATCACACTAAATGACATAGTAGGTATGAAAAGACGCTCTCGGCCCGTTGAGCCATGCGGAATTATATTGGACGAACCGATGATCGGCACTGCGTCTTCGCGAATATCATTGTCTAGACAATGACCCCAGGTAGCCGAGCTTCGAGCCGATTTGTCGATATCACTTTCTCCTCTATGCAAGAGACAAGAGACATGCTGTTCATACATACAGACAGTTGCCTTCCGCCTCCCGCGACGGCTTGGAATCCGTCAACCGCGATCGCTTAGAGGATTATGACGCCATGGATCTCGCCACGCTGGGAACTGGTTGCCATGATCTCCCCATAGTGGGAGATTCCGTTCGGACGGTGACGCTGGCTGGGTCCCGACAGCGGGAAAATCTTGGAAAAATCTTGGAAAAGTCGGTGCCGAGCTTGAACCTGCTGTCCGAGATTTTTTCCGATGTGACGCAATTGGGTGCCTGCGGGGGATAAAAAGCGAGTCGGTCTTTGTTTATTTGATTTAGGATGTTGTAGTAACTATAATATTCTCTGCTGGTTTGAGATTAATATATTTTAATTAGATTATATCTTCTTTCATTCTTTCATCTTCATTTCGTGTCGGCTTCGTGCTGATATCCTGTCTCATCTTTATATACTTTCTATACAACATTGTGATACCGACCTGAAACAACACCAACATGGGCGAAAGCGAAGAAACCCTTCGTCACGGCGAAAAGGAAAACCAAGGAGGAGGTACTACAATCAGCCAATCCCCAAATCAAGATCCATACTCACAAACCACAGAACCCAGCTACCGAGAACGACTCTCCTCACCACGCACCCACGATGAGCACGATCGCAGAGCAAGCGTCGGCATGCAGCCGCAATTCTCCCTCGCCGGCCACAACCCTTGGCACCAGGGCAACAAATACATCTCGCCAGAGTACGAGTCGATGAATCCCCATTACGGGGCCAAGTCAGAAGACGACGGCCCAGTGTGGAGTCTCTCTCAGCCACTGCCTCGCGTGGTGCGGCCCGGCATGCGCCGGGGCATTCTCCCTGAGGACCGCGAGGAGGATAACACCGCTGATCCCAGGGCGGGGCAGTCTGAGGGTCGGACGGAGCAGGAGGCTATGGATGCACAGGAAGGCCGTACCGATACTGGGCCGCAGCGGGACACTACCGCCGAGGACCAGGAAGGCGAATTCCTCAACACCTGGTGCAAGATTCGGCATTATATGCGTGAGCCGCTTGCGGAATGGCTTGGGGTATGTTTCTTTCAATTCCCTCACTTATAACTGATCAAGAAGAGTTAACTAACTGTGTCAATAGGTAACAGTAGCCGTCAGTCTCGGCCTAGGCGCCTCGTTATCATGGGTCACCTCACAGGGCCAAGCCGGATCTTTCGTTTCGCAGTGCGTCACCTGGGGCTTCGGCTTCATGCTCGCGATCTACATGACAGGCGGCGTGTCCGGCGGCCACCTCAACCCCGCAATCACCATCTCAATGTCCGTGTGGCGAGGGTTCCCCGCCAAAAAATGCGTGACATACGTCCTCGCGCAGCTCCTAGGCGCCATCACCGCCGGCGGCATCGTCTACGCCATCTACCACGACGCGATTGTGCTGACGGCGGCGCAAAACAAGGTCGATCAGAACGCGTCCCCGGCGGCGCAGGCGATGTTCACTCAGCCGAAGAGCTTCGTCAGCCCTGCGACTGCGTTTTTCAATGAGTTCTTCGGCAGTGCAATCCTCATGGGCACGATTCTTGCCTTGGGTGATGACACCAATGCGCCACCTGGGGCGGGTATGCAGGCGTTTATTGTGGGAATCCTGATCACCATTCTTTGCTTGGCGTTTGGGTATAACACTGGAGGGTACGTTATCCTTTTACCATCTTGACTCCTGACTCCTAGTTTGATTAATTGCTAACGATAACGGATAGATGCTTCAACGGCGCGCGAGACTTCGGCCCCCGCCTGGTAGCCGTAATGGCCGGATGGGGCGGCCACCTGTTCCGAGAGTACCACGCCTGGTGGGTGTGGGGGCCGTGGGTGGCTGACATCTTCGGCATGCTGTTCGGAGCCTTCATCTACGACTTAATGATCTTCACGGGCGGCGAAAGCCCTATCAACTACCCCCCGCGACGGAGGAAGCGCGGTCTCCTTGTCAAGGAGATCAACCTGCGGCGGACATTGGGACTTGGTCGGGATAAGGTTGGCGATTTGGAGAATGCGGCGAATAAGTATAGTTCGGGTAGTTGAAGGTGCATGATAATTTGAATTGAGGGTTGTATGTTGTGTACAGAATGTCGTGATAAAAGTGGTGGGTGTTTTCAGTCTTGGTTTTGTTGGATTATAGCGCAGCATTTTTGTTATGTTACTAGTGTTGGTATATGATTTATGACCTGTTCTGCAATGATTAAAATGTGTATAGGGTTAGAGAATACTATAGGAGGGCTGTGTAGATGTGTCTAAGGAGTAGTAGGATGGACCTCGGCAGCGCAGGTGCCTAGCGTGCCGAATGGTTATGGGTCCCCTGAACAAAACTGTCCAGTTGGCAGTTACTGTACAAGTCGCTTAGGGAGGTCCACTTCCGTACTCCGTACTATCCGGAGATCTCTATCCAGATAGGGAGCTGGACGAATTGTAGAAATTAGTCGATAATTGTCCGACATAATTCTCGCTGGGGGAGAATGGATTGTTGAATGCAAAGATTCCTGTTCTAACAACAAGATATGATTGATCTGGATGTCACGCATATGAATGATTCCTCTCATGTCACTGTATAATGACGATACGCTAGATGATATATCATAATTGATAGAGTGACTACTCTGTATCATTCTCTTCCACTGTCTGAATATCATAATCCCTAGATTATGCCTGTCATAGCGGGACTGTCATCCACTTATGCAAGTCTTCTCGGTTGTGGGACGGTGTAATTTTGAGCTGCATACCAGGATAATACACAATGCCGACGTTTCAAATTAAGGAATCCTGCGTTTATAGGTGGGAAAACGGGTTCTCTAGTGTATTATATACTACTGTACCAGTAATATGACAGTTTGGTTGTGCCTGACGGGTATGTAAGGAGAAACATGGATCTCTCATTCCATCTACGCATATACAGGTATAGATGGAGAGCTTCAGATAGGGCTGTAGTGAGAAATCAGGGTCAATCAAATTAATCTAATCTTGACTTTAAGGGGTTACGGGTTAAGGATCAAGGCTGAAATGTGATGGGTAATTCCTTCCATCCGTCTTCCTTCTTTTTTCCATTTCTTCTATTAATATCTGCATATAATTAAGGCCGTTAGCCTACCTATACGACCCGCTTCTCCCCTTTTAGTGGGAGGAGCACTCCGTACGCCCCCTTTCATTGTTCGGATTCACCTCTGCCAGCAGATCGATCATCGTCGCCTTTCCCATCTCAGCGTAATTAAATTGAAATCCCTATTGAGTATTTCTAGTACCCGTTGTCGCCCCAACGATCACGCTCCCCCTCGAATCCACCGTGCGATACAACTTATCTCTCCCAATTTTGGCGTCGCGTCCACCGTGCTTCTGAGATCTGTTCACACCACCAACCACCAGAAAATTATAATCATAATAATCATCATCACAATACCAAGGAATGAGCCACAATGGATGACTTTCTCGACATGGAATCCTCGGCCATCCGCGCCTCGTCGCCCTCCCCGTCCCTCTCCCCAACACCCGCCATCTCCTCATGCCCGTCCCCAGACCGGACCTTCTCCACGGTCTCCTCGCTCTCAACCTCATCCGCCACCTCAGCCGACGCCCGCTCCTCCGTGTCCATCTCGACCAAGAGACGCGGATACATCCGGCCCCAGGGCGCCGAATTCGCCGACTCCGCGCGCCACCGCGAAAGCGTCATGAGCCTAGGCAGTATCGCCCACCTGCAGTACTACTTCGCGCGCACGGGCCTGCTCGATGGCAAGGGCGGCCACGCGCGGGAATACAAGAAGAAGAAGAGAAATCCGGAAGATCGGGCGCGGATGCTGCTGACGCCCAACGCGCGGTTCATCGACGACATCTCGGACAGTGCCACTACCGATGAGGAGATCTCGGATGTGGGGGAGGATGGGTTCGACGGGCATGATGAGATGATGCTGCCGCCGACGGTCAGCACGTATAGCATTAAGACTCATTATATTCCGCCGCCGCCGGATCTGATGACGCTAAGGAGGGACTTGGTGCATTCGCTCGATAAGGCGAAGCGGAATATTGATGATATCGTCGCGCAGAAGGGTCTGCCCCCGGATATGAATCCGCCTCGCATCAGTCTGTCGCCTGATGGTGCTCCTAGCGCGGATGAGGAGTCGCCCTCCAGCGAGCCGGCGCAGCCCATCTCGCAGCGCTTGCATGAGATCTACGGTCTACGGATTCTGGACGTCGTCACGCTCGCGATCCGCGCGGCGAAGATCTACTACACGACCCACGAGCGGCCCGAGCGACTGGCATCCATCCGGAGCGAGCGGGAGATCCGACAAGATCTGTTCAACGTTCTAGAGGTGCTAAAGCGATGGGCGTCGCGCAACTTTGCGAACGGGCTCCGCGAGGACGAGCTGTCCTCGATTCGAGGCTGGATGTCAAGCGTGCACGACCTTCTAGCACAGGAATCCCAGCTCGAGGCGGCAGAGGCCAAAGAACGCGAAGGGTGGACCTGGGCCCGGGGCGACTGGAGCGGGCGAGAGCGCGAGCGCGAGGAAGCCTTCCTGCGCAGTTTGATCGAAGACACCGACAACCCTCTACCAGCCTGGACTGCCCCAGAGGACGGACCCCTCCCGACGCCGCTGCTGGAGCGCTTCCGCGACGGGCGAGAACTCGTGCGCGCGCACAACCAGGCGATTCGGAAATCCAAGCGCCAGTTCTGCGAGATCAAGAAATACCACCAGGACGTCGCGAAGCCGTACCGCTGCGCTGAGAATCTCCGCTTCTGGGTCAAGGCCGCCGAGATCCGGTGGGAGACGAAGCTCAAGATGGACGTGATGGGCGTCGTCAATGGCGGCGATGATGACGCTTGGAGGAAATTCGATGCTGCGTTGCTACGCTGGTGTCATGCGGTGCGCGAGGAGTTGACGCGCGACTGGCAGGAGCCGCAGGGCGTTGCAGATGCGGGTGTTCCTGCTGACAGTATGGCAGTTTGATCTGCAGTCTATCTCTGCATGACTTTATCTCGCATGAGTGCATCTATCTTTCTATCGGTTTATGTTGTTCGCGTTGCATACATGTTTACTTTCTGCCCATTTGATACCCCCTTCACCTGATTCTTTCATATACATACTTACGGGCTGCATCGACTGTCCCTCCTTTTGTTTCATTCTATTGTTCACTTGGATTGGTGTCACCGTCTGAGCTGAATATTTGCATCTAATTCGTGTGATCTATTTCTATTTCTGTTGTTTTGGGGGGTTCGCATTGATCTCTTGGTCTCTTGTATATAGCTTCGAGGGTATCACTTGCATTGTTTTATATGATTATAGCATTGCATTTATTACATATTACTATAGCATTACTACATATTGTTATATCGTTGCATTGGTTGGATATAATCACTTGGCAGTACTCCGTATAGAAATTGGGATACACATGACGTAGTAATAGCGATAAATGACGTCCACTGCTACACAAGTCAGTTGTGCTTGCCCTCATCTTGCTCATGAAGTGAACCATCATAATCCTCTCTTCTTCTCTTCTTCTTCAACATCATCATTACCATCACCATCCTCTCTAAACAGCCAAGTCCAAAAGAACCAACTAAAATGACCACCCCAACCCAAGCCCCCAACCCCAACCCCAACCCCATCCAAACCCACGGCTTCACAGCCATCCCCGCCTCATCCACCAAATTCACAGACCCAGTAACCCAAAAGGGTGTCACCCCCCATCCCCTCCACCTAACATCAACACCCATCCCCACCACCCCCCTCGCGCAACGCATCCTCTCCTACGCACAGTCCCACCTCCCAACCCAAACCCTACAGCACAGCCTCCGCGTCTACCACTACGGACTCGCCATGAAGCAATACCTGTCCTCGCAGGGCGTCGGCGACGAGTCCAGCCCAGGCTGGGCGGGGTTCTCCGACGAAACGTTCTTCCTGGCGTGCATGCTGCACGATATTGGCACGACGGAGGAGAATATGCGGGGGACGAGGCTGAGTTTTGAGTTTGCGGGTGGGGTGCGGGCTTTAGGGGTGTTGTTGGGGGATGGGGGGGATGCTGGGGTGGAAGGGGTGGCGAGTAAGGAGCAGGCGGAGAGTGTTGTTGAGGCTATTGTGAGACATCAGGATTTGTGTGAGGTGGGGTGGATTACGGCTCTTGGGGGGGTGTTGCAGTTGGGGACTATTTTTGGTGAGTTTACTTTATTTTATATCTATCTGTATCTATGCCTATGTCTATATCTATATCTACATATGGATATGGATATGGATATAGGTATATATTGTCGTCTTGTCCCCAGTTCTATACTGGGTTGAGAGTCACTAATAGAATGATCAGACAACACCGGCAAACACGCCCATCTCCTCCACGAAGACACCATACAAGAGGTAATCCGACAATATCCCCGGACCGGATGGAGCGCGTGTTTTGCGGGGGTCGTGAAGGAGGAGATTCGGCAGAAGCCGTGGGCTCATAGTACGGTCCTGGGGGAGGAGTTTGCAGAGAGGGTTCTGGGGAATCCGTACGGCGACGAGTAGATATAGGTCAGTGTGGGTATATACAGGTGTATATACTGGAGAGTTGAATATGTCATTGTGCTTCTGTTCTATAAGAAGAGGGTGTCATTGGTGAGGTTTAACCGCTAGACTAGTGATCGACACTACTGACTAGCATTCGTCAGGTTTATACTCCCTGGATAGTCCATGGTATATCGTATATCTATATGATTCTTCGTTTCTTTCTGGCTGACAAGGTAGTATCATAGTAGAATAGTGGTTGTCCATATTGTAATCATCAACTATCTAACTGAGACAGATCGTGACTCTATAGAGAAATGTCTATATCAACGTACCTGAACAGGCACACGGATCGGGCCGCACTTCCACTTGAGTTGAATTCAAAGGATTTCTATATTCTATGATTCAAAGGAGTTCTACAATCTATGGTACAAGAGATATATCCTATGATACAATGATATATTCATGTTGATAAGTATAATGATCCGACATACTCCGACTGAATCTCCGCCTGAGGATCGGTATTGTCAGGGCTGTATGGAATGTTACCGCCTAACGGTCAACCCTGGTTTCTCCTCAAACACTTCAGACATCTGGCCGATCCCTTCCTATCCCTCTCTTCTTCCTCTTCATCTTTATCCTTCGTCTCTACCTTTCTTTCTTCTTCTTTCCTCTCTTCTTTCCCCTCAATGAACAGAACCAGACGACAGAACCAGACAACAGAAACAGACAACAGACAAGAGAATAAAAGAAAAGAACAACTCCACCCTCAGGGGTCCCCCGCCAATAAGAACCACCTCCCCCTCCACTCATCCACTCTTCAATCAGGGGAACGAAGGGACAACATACCCTAGGATCCTCTAGGATACCATAGGATACCCTAGGGTCCTCAAGAACGCCTCCCAACACCTGTCCGGCATTCCATAACCCGCGTTCCCCCCCAACTCTAGCGTGAGCCTGTCCATCCGTGGATACCGGACCCATGCATCATAGTCCCATCTCACCCGGGTCGACCGCCGCCACTGCTGCGCCCATCCGTCCCGACCTCCGAGAAGACTACTACGATTACGACAACGCATCGTCCACGTCGCTTCTCTCCTTCCCTCCGCCGCCGCCGCCGCCTCCCCCCGCACTCGCTCTCTCTCCCCCCGATGAGCTATCACGACCGTCACGCGTCAAAGCGAAATCCTCCTTACGAAGTCTCCGGAGTCTAGGGAGTAGCCACGGAGACGATCGCAACACCAGTCCCAGTCCCAGTCGGAGTCGGAGTCCCAGTCCCAATCCAAATCAGCCGGCATCCGAAAAATCCCTCATCCCCCCTTCCATCCTCCGTCGCCTGTCCCCAGGTCTCGCCGCTCGCGTCAAGCAACTAGACGGCAGTCACAAGAATTCCGCGCGATCGCGCAACCCCGGTGCCGTCGGTCGCATCCCCCAGGAACACATCAAGGAGCTCGACAATCTACACAAGGATCTCTCGGTGAGGGTCGTGAGGAAGGGCAAGGCCTGGAATGCGTCGCTAGGCGAACACCCTCCCAACGAGCAGGATCTCGACCCGGACATCTGGGAAGTGGTCGAGCCGGGCGCCCCAGACGCACCGTCGGTGCAGGAACCGACCCCCGCGGAGACCCTTTCGGAGACCCCTTCGGAGACCCCTTCGGAGACACCCGAACGGACGCTAGAACCGCCGCTGGAATTCCGTCCGCCAGAGTCGACCTCCCCGGACGAAGAAATCAGGCAGACCCCACCGGCCATGTCTGTGATAGAAGAGCCCGCGCTGGCGCCGCCAGGCCCCGCTTCTGCTGACGATTCTAACGCGCCCGAACAGACCGACTTCGAGAAGTACGTCCAAACCACCAGGGAGAATGACGGGCATCAGCCCCCGCCCCCGCCCCCGAAAGACGACCAACCGTCGCGTCCGGCCTCGAGCGCCTCCTCCTCCTTTAACCCCGCCCGCGCGAGCCGCACCGATTCCATCTATTCGTTCGGCCGCTCCTCCTTCAGCAACCAAATCTCCCAACTCACCTCCGTCAGTCTACCGCAACCCTCCTCGCTCGAATCGACCATCGCCGGCATCGCCACCGCCCCGTCCGCCGTCAAGGCCCTCACATCCGCCGCGGAACAGATCAAGATCTGGATCGGAAAGGCCTCCGACGTGCTCGGCGGTTTGGACGCCGAGGATGACGTCGAGTGGGCCGCCGCGGGCGGGCGCGAGGGCCTCGAGAGCGTCGACAAGGCCATCACGCGGTTCGAGAGCCTGGTGAACGTCTACGTCAAGGCCATCGAGGAGGTCCAGCTGCGCGACGACATCAACGACGTCGGCCCCGAGAGCCTGAATATCATCGTCTTGCAGATGGATTCGGTCATCCAGAACTGGGGGCAGATCAAACGGCGACTCCGCGCCGTCAAGGAGCAAGTCGAGTTGGCCATGGAGTGGGAGGAGCTGTGGAACAGCGTCCTGGGCGACGTCGGCGCCGAGGTCGACGACCTGGGCCGACTCGTCTTCGAGATGGAGGAGAAACGGCACATGACCATGTCGACCGCACCCGAGTCCCACTCGGGGGTCGACATCAACGAGCTAGAGACCATCGTCGAGGAGACCCCGTCGGCGTCGAGCAAGCGACTCAGCATGGAACCCATTCTCGCGGCGCCTCCGACGCTAGCCACCCCCATCATCCAAACGCCCCACGACGACACGAATCACTCGAACCTGATTGCCCTGTTCGCCCGCATCCAGCCCTTGCGCGCCTCGCTGGATTTCCTACCCATGCGCATGTCCATGTTCCAGTCCCGGGCCGAGTCGATCTTCCCCAGCGCCTGCGAGGAGCTGGAGGAGCGACGCAGCCGGCTCGAGAAGAGTTATCGGGCGCTGGAGGTCGACGCCGAGTCCCTGCGGCGCGAGCTGAGCGAGGACCGGTGGATCCTGGTCTTCCGCGGGGCCGGCGGACAGGCGCAGAAGATGTTCGAATCCGTCGAGCGCAGCATCGGCAAGCTGCAGGAAGGCCTCGAGACCGGCGGCCATCTGCATAACCCCGCCGACTTGGTCAAGAAGATCGAGAGCTATGAGGCCAAGAGGCAGCACTACGTGCCGGCGATCGAGCGGGTGCTCACCATCATCGAGAAAGGGGTCCAGGATCGGCGCACCGTCAACGGTGAGACGATCCGGCTGCTCTCCGACATGACGTCCCGCATCGACGCGCTCAAGGCGAGCATGCGGGTGATGGACGCCTCGCTGGAGGATGTCAGCCTCTCCCGCAGCCAGCACATGCGCGACTCGATCTCAACCATCCTCACCACGGACAGTCCTGCCACCGGCAGCGGCATCGACTCGCCCGGCAGCTCCCCCGCCTCGTCGGTAGTCATGACCCCAGCCATGAAGGGATCGACTACGCCCCTGGGCGGATCCAGCCGGCGCGGGAGCTCCGTGAGCTCAGCTGCCCGGTCCACCATGAACAAGGTCCGCCGCTTTTCGGGGATTCCCCAAGCCACGGCGACCCTGACGGGGAAGAAATCAGCCATCCCTAAGCCCTCCTTCACCGCATCTCCATCCAAGTCCTCCTTCTCGGTCACCTCGCCGTCCAAGCACAGCTACCGCGCCACGACGCCCACCCCGCTCGCCCGACGGGCCCCTCCGCCCATCCCAGCAGCGCTCGCGAACCGCCCGCGATGGAGTAGCAGCGTGAACACCAACGACCTCGACGTCGGCCACTCCCGCCTCCAACCCCCTAGCCCCCTCCCATCCCGCAACAACCGCCTCTCCCGCCCCGCCTCCACCCTCCCCTTCTCCAACCGTCGCGACCTATCCGTATCCCCAGCTCCCCCGCGGACCCGCAGCCGCATATCCAGCCGGCTAGGCTCGCTCAGCCCCGCGCCAGGCGCCTCTCCCACCCCGTCCCGCTCCCTCCTCGACCCGCCCCCCTACAGTAAACTCCGCCGACCCCTAGGACCAGATACCATGGTGAACACCCCTCGCAACCGCCAAAGCTACGCCGGCCTATCCTTCGGCCGCAGCGTGTCCCACGCCCCGGACAACGGCCTCCTCAGCCCGACAAAGGCCGCCCGTCCGGAAACCGCCCTGGGCCACTCAGGAAGCCGCCGCATCAGTCTCCTCCCCATGCCCAAAGGGCGATCCGGAAGGGACAGCGCGACGGGGAATCACAGCAAGGTCGACGACCGGCCGCGATGGCGGTGATTTTTTGTCCTCCATATTATCTTGTCTCCGAATTTCTGCTATTCCCCCTTCAATTTTTTTCTCCCCACTGTATTATCTGCATTATCTGCATTTACTTGATTCATGTACGGTGGCGGTACGGTTACGGAGTGGTGTCGGTTGTTTATCTTATTTTATTCCAATTTCTTTCCTTTTCTTTATTTGATTCCCCTTATCTTCCCATTTTCCAACGTATGAGGGACAAACAGATTGTTTGATTTTGATTCCCCTATTGTTTTGTTATTGTCATGTCATTGTTATTGTTATTTGATTGTGCAGATTAGCGTGATCTTTACATTGTATTGTCTTTCTATCGTTTCATTGTTGTTTAGGGTTAGGTGCTTGGGTTTGTTTCAATGGATTGATTGATTGATTGATTGATTGATTGATTGATTGATTCTTTCTGTATGATATGATAGATAGATGGATAGATAAGGACCGGTTGTCTGGAATTACATTGTGTTGTTCTTGTTCGTTCAATTACCTATGTATCCACCTAGGGTAGGTATACACTATTCCTGATGTCGATGTGATATACTATCTTGACTACTGTACACCTACCTACTGTATCAGTGTATTTTGTAGATACCACCCAAGCTTGAATAAGGAACACAGATCATGATGGTAGATAGAATAGTATGAAATAATAGACACTCAACTCCAGAACCATATGGTAGAACGAGAAGAACACAATAAGAAAAGAAATAAGAAAAAGGGAGAACCCGTGATGGTCCAAGGGGATTTTATCAACCGTTTCCACCGTCCATCATTCATCCACATCCACATGTAAGCCGACTCAGGATTGTCCATCCGTCCACCACCACCACCACCACCACCACCACCACCACCACCGATCCATTCAAACCCATTCAGCCCATTCAATCAACCAAACAAAAGCGGCGAATGAGTAAACTGAAAGGTCGAAAGAGCGAAAGAATCCGCGAAAGAAACAGCGAAAGAAACAGCCTAGAAACCCCGTCCACGCCCCCGTCCCCGACCCCTCCCGCGACCACGCGGCCCACCCCGAGGCCCACCACGCGCACCACCGCGGTCCGCCTCCTTACGCGCCTTATTCTTCGGCTTGGGCTGATCGTCGACGAGCAGGGTATCAAGCGGCAGGCTGTCGGGCAGGATGTAGTAGCGGATTGTGGAGCCGCGCACGTTGATGGTGTCGAGGGAGATGGGGTCGCGGCCTTTTTGGGTCATTTTGACGGTGCGGAGGGAGGTGTTCATTTGGGGGGAGACGGTTGTGATGGTGCCGTGGAGGATTGTTCCTTTAGTATTTTTGTTAGTGTTAAGTTTAGAATTGGGGGGAGTGGATGGAGGGAAAGGAAGGAAAGGAAAGGAAGTGAGGGAGGGAGAGAAGACTAACCATTCTTCAACTCGATCGTCACCGTCTCGTTGGCGCATTTCATGAGGAATCTGTATTAAGCTGTTAGATAATCTCTTCTTACACATTCTGTGCGTCCATCAAGTCCAGAACTGTCAACAGTTCTCGCCATGCGGACACCACTTTTTCTTCCCTCCTCTTTCTTCCTTCTTTCTCTGTCAAATAATTGAGACTCACCGAACAAGCTTCATCGTGGCGGATTGTACGCACTACGCGCACTGAGGACTTTCGGGGAAAAGGGAGGTTGATCAGGAGTGGTGGTAGGAGCTCCCAGAGATGTGCTGCAGAGCGGCGGTTGAGCTTGGATTGGCGTCGGCCGTGATGGGGCAGAGGCTGGAGCGGGCACGTGATCTGCATCATATAAGCGACTAGTCATTTCTATCGTCTCCGTCCATCTCCATCATCAATATCCATTTGTTCATATCGTTTGATGAATACCAGGTTCTATGGACTGAACTTTCATGGATGCGATTTAGTTGGATTGATATTGAAGACGGAAAGAGGATGGAGTTATTTTGTATTGTTCAATTGCCATTTGGGTATACTACATCTTGGAGCATAACAGCCCTGCAAATGGTAAAGACCGGGATCTGTCCAGGTAAATATATCATAAAGAGGCACTTCCGATTCTATATAGTGGTCTCGTCTCAACTCAGGACTATCATCATGCAGCTGAATAGAGTTATCAGGAGGATAATCTAAACTCCATATAAATGTCATCCTGTCAAGAACAAAATCATAAGAGCAGTGGCTCTTTTTATCGAGTGATGAACATTAAATAGATTTTTTGTCATGATCACGACTATACAAGATATCGTAGCTGCATGAGCACTCATGTTTATTCTGCAGTATGAAGGAGAGGGCAGCGGAGTTGAACAGTAGATCAGCGCTCTAATGCTCGTTGTGATCTGATAGACAGCTAGAGACTAGCAAACTGACAAAAATGACTAAGATGCCATTTTCCACGACGTGTATCAATGTATGTCTCACCATTAAGGATGGGAGAGTCCATGTACTTATGGGAAGGATTGGTGCCTGGATGAAATCAGTCAAGCTCAAACCAATATAGCTCATTGCAAAGGCAAGTATAATAAACCAAAATGGATTAAGTATTGTTGAGCTAGCATGTACATTATTTATAGCAGACAGTAGGTAGATGAGAGTATAGACATCAGCCCCATAATTTCTATCAGGATCTCAAGCACGGAAAATAGCATTCACGAATAGACAAGGATTCGCATAATATCACCATGGGCGAAACTCCATGAAAGAGATATCTCCAGAATAATACCCAAGCGCGATGGTACAGCCAGTACTGTCCCAGGACATCGGACGATACTCAAAAGGCAGCCACAGAAGCCTAACACCATCAAGGTATACCCATCCGTTTATTAGTGACATACTCCTGCTGTCAGCAAGGACTGTATCAGGGTGGCTATTCTCATACTCAAACTGAATATCAAGGCTTCCTTGGTCGGTTTCCAGACACCCGCCGTGGGGGGAGAATGTCATGTATCTCACACACTCTTTCACTGCTAGGCTCTGCGTCAGTGTCCCATATGCAGTGTCCCATATTTTGACTGTGCAGTCATCACATCCCGACGCTAGCAGTCTGCTATCAGGCGAAAACACCATGGTGTTAATCATGTCTAGCTGGCGGTCCAGTGTATGTCTGAGGTCTCCCGTAACTCCCCAGATCATAATTATACCATCACGTGAGCTAGATGCTAGTAATTGGTTGTTTGGTGAGAACGCAACCTTATCGACCCAATCTTGATGGCCTGGTAATGTCTTCAGCAAAGCTCCTGTAGTGACACTCCAAAGTTTGACCATGTAATCAACAGAACCAGATGCAAGTATCTGACCATTTGGAGAGATTGTAGTAATTATAACCTGACCAGAATGGTCTATGGGGATTTTCTTTGCTTCAGCATTCAGTTGTGTTGTTGGTGAATTTTGTTGCATGTGTTCCCCCAAAAATCCAGTAGTGATATCCCAGAGCTTGGCGGTTCCATCATGAGAACCTGAAGCTAGCATTTGTCCATCTTGTGAAAACCTCACTGCCCAAGCTGTAGACATATGGCCCTCTAAAACTTGTAGTACGGCACCGGTCGTAACATCCCAAATCATAAGTATACGATCCCCAGAACTAGACGCTAGTACTCGGCTGTTTGTCGAAATCGCCACCGCCACAACGGAACGACCCTGATAGGTTGCCGTCTGTTGGGGATACCCTTTTGTATTCATCGTTTGCTTCAAAGATAAAGTAGCGGCGACCCAGAGATTTATGGTGCCGTCTCTGGAGCCCGACGCGAGTAAAGTGCCGTTTGGTGAAAATGCAACGGTCAGAACCCAATCGACATGACCTTTCAAAGTATCTTTCAAGGTTCCAGTACTAGTATTCCATAACTTAATCGTCTCGTCGCAGGAACCTGATGCCAACAATTGGCCATCTGGTGAGAATGATAAAGTTTCTATTTCCTCCGTATGGCTTTCGAGCGTTTGTCTCATAGCTCTGGTATTGGCATCCCAAAGCCAGACTGTACCATGATTGGTACCAGATGCTATTAAATGACCGTTGGGCGAGATATTCATGGTCCTAACTTTTCTAGTATAGTCATTATGACTGTGCTGCAGGGCCCCTGTAGAGATATCCCAGACATTGATTACATGATCGTCCGAGCCTGACACTAGTGACTGACCATCGGGTGAGAATTCAACAGCAATGACCGATCTTGAATGACCTTTTAAGGTCTGTTGTAGGGCTCCAGTGGTAGTATCCCAAAGCTTTATTGTATGATCCCTGGAGCCAGTGGCTAACACCTTACTATCTGGTGAAAATGCCACCGCCCCAACCGAACTGAAGTGGTCTTCCAAAGTCTGGATCTCTGCAGTCCAGGTTTGCCTGATTTTTGGTGGTCTGAGAAACCAATCTGGGAACTCACTGCTAAAGGTCTTTCTTACGAAAGACAATTCTGGTGAAAATATGAGACCAGATGCGTATAGCTGAAGCGGTGCGACGTCAGCAATATGTCTATTTCGAAGAACAAAACGTCTCATATCACGTATGTTGTCGGACATCTCAGGATCCTTGTTATATTGAGAAATTAGTACATCTTGTACTATTCCTGTAAAATGATTTCTATTTCAGGTGCTTACCTGTACAACCGACTGTAATAGCGCAAGCATTGAAATTGCTTCAGATAAGAAGCCCAGAATGCTCATGACTTCTATCCAGTGAAGAAACTGTTCCTCGAGGAAAGAAAAGATGCCGGATACGTCGGCGGCTGGCTCCTTTGTTTGGACTAAATGGTGTATCCAGTAGCGGCAAGAGTAACGCAAATCTGATGGCAAATGGTTATCCACAGACTGCATGTCTATCTCTTTGCGTAGTTTACCGTCGCTTGGAAGCTCGCAGATATTCTTTCTCAAATTCTTCTTCATGTTTTGTAAGCATAGTGTAGTGAGAGTTCGGTGGACTCTTTGTTCATCTATCCAGAATGTACTGTTTTCTTTTTTAGGATTCAGAAGCCAATCCCTGAATGATAGGTGAAGAAGCCTCACGGGCTTCTCTGTATCATTTGGTATGTTCAAAACTGAATGAAGCCGTCGTAGTCGAATGTTAATGTCATCTTTGCTCATTTCAAGAAGCCGAGAAAGACTATTAACAGAGAGAGGAGTAGCAAGAAGGATAATAACACCAATTATCTCTTTGAATTCTTGAACCAACTGCTGTGACTCAGATTCCTCTTGGCCAGTAAGGAGTTGGTGTAGCACTGGCTGGTATATGCCATCCATTTTAGAGAGGTACGTGGTTTCGTCGGCAAGTATTGCCCTGAGTCGTTTTTCCGGGATCCAATTCTCATCACCAATAAATAGACACAAGGTAAATGCTGAAATGAACAGTGGGATGGCTTTCTCGACCAAAGCCCGGGTAGCCTCTTCACCAGGCCAGTCCAGTGGAAGTGAACGTTCCTGTCTCAGTAGCGCGAGTCGATTTTCAATATACAATGAGATATCATGTCTAACCACTGGTTCTGGGATCTCATGTAGAACCAAATCCTGATGTACATCGGTAGAAATGCTGCTGAATCCTAATCTGATTGGTAATTCGGGTCTGCTGGTCAGCAGGAACCGAATTTGGACCGAACTTGATTGATGAACCTGCGGCAAGAGTCTGAGAAGATGCCGTATAGATTCTTCCTGGTCGCACTCATCTAGCGCATCAACTACAATCACCTTTGTGATGGTCTTTGTCCAGTTGTGGCCAATTTCAAGCAGTGGATGGAGGAAAAGCTTCTCGAATTGCTCCCTAAGCACCTTTTCCGAAATATTGGGATCGTCCTTGATTGCAGCTTGGACACCCGAGACCATGTCTGGCAAGCCAATAACCAGCTGCTCCACAAGCGTCGGGAACAGTTTTTTGGCAGTCCCGCGGTCTTCCTCGCCCTTCTTGAAGAAGAAGCTGGCTCCGAGTAGCCCCTGCCGTTTTAGGCGGCTGGCAATGGTTCGGGAAATGGTTGATTTCCCAGTCCCTGCCATGCCATTCAGCCAAAAGATGCATTTTCCATCTTGCGCGGTAGCCCATCTTTCAATCTCGTCTAGTAATTCGACCCGTGTTCCAGGGAGACACTCCTTATGCAAATTGTCGTACGAATCGAATGCGGCGCCTTTCGCCGTGCGTAAGGTGCCAAAGTCTAGCTTCCTGTCAAGGATGCGCGCAGTCTTCCTAGTATAATATATTACTTCACTGCGCCACATAGAGCATGCAGGAAACGGGACTCGGACCATGCAACCTACATCTGGTCGATAAGCAAAGACAAACTGAACATTGCCTTGTACCTTTCAATGTGTTCGATAACCCTGTCCGCCTCTCCCTGCTCAAGGGGCCACTTGAGAAGATGAAGCTTCCTCCTAATAGCTTTCTGCGTGGTCTTCAGATCCAGCTTCTTTTCGAATCCGGAGAGCGTCGTAAAGCATCTTGCGATGTTTGCGAGTAGGTCGTCATGAACGATGGAATCTGCGCCGTCTGGCCCGGACATAAATTCGTGCAACGTGATAAGTATCTTCCGAAGGGCGTCAACTTCCTCTCCAAGACGGAGAATATCTTGCTTTGCATCCTTGACTTTGCTGGCATATACCCCACATAGCTGTACAATGGTTGCTGTCAGCTGGACGACTGCAATGACACTTGCCGCGGCAGATAGAGGGTCCATGATCGGTACTTCATATATGACAATTTTGAGCTTTGTAAGTAGGGCTGTATTGAGGGTGATAGAGAGAGATATGTAGGAGGGGTAAGTGAAGACAAGGCTGAGAGTATAAGTTGAATTGGGCAGAAATGAGCAACAGCCCTAAGTTAGTATGGGTGACAGTTTACAGGTGATAGTAAATATGTCTGATAAGTCTAAATGTTTTTCTTTGGTTTCAACAAGTTAGCCTGGCTAGCTCAATCGGCAGAGCGTGAGACTCTTAATCTCAAGGTTGCGGGTTCGACCCCCGCGTTGGGCTTCTCTTTTTGCATTTTTCCCCCACGTATTCCATTTATTTTTTTCTTCTAGAGAAACAAAAGGTTACTTTACTTACTGCTGTTACTGCTTTTTTATTGCCTCCGCAAACGATCAATGACTTTTGAGAAGAAGAAACAGGAAGTACGGACAAACCAACTCAAACTTGACCTGGGGGTACGATCAATAGTGTAGATGGCTCTATCATCTGCGAATTTCCTTGCCCTTTCCTATAAACATGCAAGTACAATAAGATAGATATAATTGGCGATTATATAAATCTACATAGAACACCCTACGCTTACACCATCACCGACCCGCCAACAAACAAGAACTATCAAGAGGTCAAGACATTTCATTTCATACCTATCATATCAAATCATACCATATCACAAGCTCCCATGCCTCGCCTTAAAGATCGAAATCTTATCATCATAAAACAGAATCTCCCTCAACCGGAACGCAACCCTCGATCTCCCACCCTCAAACTCCACATCATCACCATCAGACGAGCCCCTATCATCAGATGACGCCTCAGAGTGCGAGTCCGCGGCGCTGACGGCGGCGGCGGCGTCGTCGGAGTCGGAGTCATCGTCCATGCTGTCGGAGCCGGCCCAATCGTCTCCGCCGGGGACGAAGCCCTCGCTGTGGGTGTCTAGGTAGTCGAGGTCGTCGTCTTTGTCGCCGCGTTTGCCTTCGAGGATCTCGTAGCACTTGCTTTGCATGCCTACGTAGCTGATTCCTACTTCCGGGCGGATGGTTACGATGTCTAGGATTTGCATGGCGAGTTCTTTGGGGTCGCGGTGGATGGGGTGGGCGATGTGTGCGATGTGGAGAGCGCGGAGGTAGGGGATGTTGGGCAGTCTTTGGAGGAAGTAGTGCTATTTGTTGTTAGTGAATGGAGATTTAGACAAGGGGAGGGTGTGCATACCCAGTCTTTGGAGTGGATGGTCATGGACAGCTCGCGCAGTCGGGGCATGCGCCCACTCGTGAAGAAAGAGACCATCTCTCGGGTGAACATCCATTTCCGCCAGCGGCTGGTGGCCAGCTCACCCCCGTCGGGCGATCGTTCGGTGCTGTCGATTAATACCTTGCGGAGACTCAAGCGATGATGGCGAACCACATTTTTGTAGATGGCGTCGATACCGACGATCGAGTCGTACATAGGTGCCTCGTGCAGGAAGAGCGTCTCGAGACTGTTCGGCGCAAGGGCGTCCTTGATGAACAGCAAGAGATATGGCGAGACGGAGTCCGTATGTATGTGCTTGATCTTCAGCGGAAAGTCGTACAGTAAGGTGGAATGACCAGAAGCGGACTTTCGTCGTGATCTGGACGATTGTGGCGTGGGGGACGGAGTGAACTCGCGACGCAGGGCCCTCCAAAGCTTTTCATGACCCTCGCAGCGGAGAATCGTGAGCGTCGTGATCCTGGTCCAATCAAGAGCATGTTGCATCGCTAGGACTGATAATGGGACACGCTCTAGCTCCAAAATTTCCAGGCTCAATCGAGGCACGTTATCATCCCTCCGCTTTTTGAACCTGGTCGTTTTGGATGATCGCTTGGAGCTCTCTGGTGGGACAATGGGAGCTGGTGTTTCCGTCGGAGACGATTGTCCCAATGGCGAGGAGTCATCGCCTTGACCTGGGTCGCCTGTAATACTAGGACCTTGTTCCGTTGAGGCAATATCCACGGGTTGGGACGGGGGGACCTCAGGTGCGGCGTTGCTAGTTGAAGGTGTTTCGGCTGGTGGAGTTATCCCGTTATGTTCGTGAGTATTGGCGACACCAGCGTCTTGCTTCTTAGCGGAGCCACTCGCAGAATTATCGCCCAAGGGGTCACTAGACACCCCAAACAAGAGACCCAGAACACCGCCATTCTTGGGCCAACCAGGCACTGGGCCCTGGCTTGGAGGCGAACTCGATGACCAGACCGCGGGGGCTTTTAACCACTCCGCCTGGTAGACCTTGGGGGAGATGCCAATGCGTAGTTCCCTCAGTTTTCCTACTGAGCGCTCGATGAGAACGGCCGTTTCTTCCAGATACGAAGGCTCGTCTATGTCCAGCACACTCAAGCTCCGCATGGGGGGCAGGATGGAGAGGGTCGGGTATTCTACATGCCCGTATTTCTGCTGCAGAGGGGTACCAGACGCCGGAGGGTTGGAGGGCACCTGCATGGCAGGCAGAGTCAAGGACGATGTGGTGGCCACGTCTTGTGCAGAGCGCATTGAATTTTCAGAATTATCATGCCACCGGACCCAAACCCGTTCCAGGCGGCAATCGTGTCCTGGACGATCCGCTAGCGACGACAGCGCGATCCACACGTCTCTCAGAACTCCGGTCGGCATGTCCCAGATGAAGGTCTCCAGGTTGACCATCCGTGCGACCGCCAAAGCGACCAGCGTGCCTAGCATCTTGCCCGTCTCCTTGGTCACCGAGTATTCCTGAACCCAGAGCAGAGGGCCATTTCCCACCGAAAACTTGCGTGTATACTGAGCATAGTGGTTTCCTCGGCGTATCTTCCGGGTGCCGTGGGGCCCTTGTGACGCTGGCGGTCGATCATGCGGGGTAGCGATATCCGTTGGACGGCGTCCGGCAGGCAATTCACGAAAGACGTCCTCCCCCATGACTAGCGTTGCAAGACCATAGGACAGGGCGTCAACCCCAGCAGGATGATCGGAGGACGACAGGGTGTCAGGCCATACTATATCGAACCGAGAGTACATCTGAGGGATGGCGAGAGAATGGAGCGTAGAGCACGAGAGCGCCAAAGACGTCAAATCGTTCGTGTGGGTGACCTATACGAGCGCAACTGGGTTAGCAGCTCTCACGTCGGACAGGGAGCACGCAGCAGAGAAGATTTATACACACCTCCTTCATGATCACCTGCAAAATATCCATCGGTAGATCTAGTAGATGCAGTGGTCGTTTGGGCGGGGTGGCCGAGTGTTGGATCTCCACAGGCGTACGGACCTCCTCCTTCACCCCCGGAGTCACCACGCATTCGTTCCCATTATCAAGACCCGCTCCATCTGATGGCGAATCCATCGATAACGCGGTCGGCTGGTGGTTGTTCAACAACACCACGGTGGCCTCTCGGTCCTTCCCAAGTGGCCGCGTGTCCGACCCCGCAGATGCGGTACTGGCGCTCGAGACGAAATCATCATCGTCCGATGATGCGCCCAGGTCGGAGGCAACTCTGGAGTCAGCAAAAACATCGCTAGGACCTGCCATGTTATTGCTGGATATCGTGTAAGGGGTGCCCATTGGTATGTAGGCCTTATGGGAAGACCCAGAGCATCACCCGTATGTTTTCTTGGTTTTTATGATGTTCTTTAGATGGATGCAAGGCTAAATAGACAAGAAAGAACAAAATAGGAGATCCTGCTCCTTGGGATGAGCGGCGAACTGATAGAAGGTTGGTGAGCTTGCTGGGCGGTAACGGCGGGTCTGACGGATCGGAGAATCGGGGGGGTTGAACGGGGAGAGTGGGACGGCTGGAACCCGAAAGACCACTGATAGCAATAGGTAACTGAGGTACCTCTGTCGTTACTGAAGGGACTAGGTAGCTCCTTGGAAAGTTGTCAACTGGACCACGAAGTAAACCACCAATCGTAAAGTAGTTGGACTCGACGGGCAGCCAGTGACGGGAGTTCCATTTATGGAGAAGAAAGAGAGGTGGCTAGGGCCTCCCCACCGAAGAGCGACGGTCAGAGGATGGACATGGGGGAGCTTGAGCTCGAGGTTGGAGTACTTGGCGGGTTGGTGGGGCTCGATGCTTGAATTCGGTTGGTTTAGATGGTTGACTTGGGAACAGAGTTGGCGGTTATGGAGAAGTCTAAGAGGTCTAGTCGCTCCAAGCGATGATAAACCTGAGGTGTCCACTTATGTCCCCATGCGCACGTGCCACCGCCTGTCATTGCCTCAGGTTGGGCGTGAACGGGTTTATATTGTTCCGCCCGGAACAAAAATTCTGCGTTGTGTGTTACCGCCCTGGCGATATACTTATGGGCGGGATCCCCCTCCCGACAGGAAAGCTTTTTACAAATAAATCTTGAAATGATGCTGCTCTCCACCACCATGGCCCCCATCCCCGGCATCACGTGTCCAGCATCATACGGTGTCTTGATATGATGTCAAAAGGGTGATCGATATCCTCTTTTACTAACGCAAGGCTCGCTTTACATATCATCACTGTTATCATCATACTCGACCCTGCGTTCTTGGTCGTGCTACGTCAGGGCTCCCTATATCGCTTCACCATACAATGATCTGTTCTTACACCTCATCCTCCGTGAATGCCTCAGGCCCTCCGCCGAACATATCCCTTGTCTACCTACCCAGTGAACCAGGCAGATGGAAACAAACTCGAAGAGAAAACTCGAATTAGCATGTACTCCATCAACACAGCCAGTGTGATGTAACAGGTAACAGGCAACACACCTCTTGGGCACGACCTTGCCACAAGGACCAGAGGGGAGCTACGGGTTCGAGTCCTGGAGCTGGTATTCTTCATATTTCTTTTTTCCCCGGATCACAGAATACAGCTTGCCAACTACTGTTATCTTACGCTGAACGTGTTACCTTGGGCTACTCAGCCAGTTTGGTGTAATTGGTAACACGTCTCCTAGCCCGCGAGGGCAGGAGGAGCTACAGGTTCGAGTCCTCGCACTGGCATTATTCTTATCTTTTTTTTCCCGGCCACAGAAACAGCCCGCCCGCACCTTTAAGTACAAGTTATCTTGTTCTACTTGACAACGCAGTCCGTTTGGTGTAAAGGTAACACACCTCCTGCCTACGGGTGGGGAGGAGCTTCAGGTTCGAGTCCTGCGGCGGGCAATTCTTTTGCTCCCGCTTCGTCTTTATGGCGGTTCTGATGACGGCTGCATCACGGCAATGTCGGAATTTAGATATTATAAGGTAGGGAAGGTACTCAGGTACAGGAAATGGGTTAGATGATGAGGACTTCTTTATTTGTGAGGACTCTGATTTGGTACGGTGTGTAAACGTATCGTAGACTTCAAGCTCAATAGTTGGGAAGGAGACTGATGAAATCAGTCAAAATAACAACGACATTGATCACTACGAAGAAATGCGAATAGTTCCAAAGACTGTATAAAAATGTGGAGAATCAAAACAATGATTTATGTGGGGAAAGCACTGTAAGGCTGATGACGTCATGTCTATCAGTCCCACAAATAGTTGCGGGTCAGCTCATCGCCTGGGATGATTGATAGCCCTTTGGCGGAATGGGTTGCACATGCTATATCTGCTGGTACTACGTGAGGGAGTAGTCTACTGGTAAGAGTGCAGGGCTCAGTGTAACATCCAAGATGAGTTGATCTTACTGGGATACAGCTCTACCAAATGCATTGGACTACCATCCTAACTACCTACTACCAACAGTAGTCGCTTCATAGATAACATACTCTGTAAAAAGGCTGTAGCTTGTGTGCTAAAGTTCTTGCATAACTATCTTTTTTCGTCGTCACCTCACCCATGTTTACTCCGTGTGCTATACAGGATACATTGCTGGGTAACCCGTTCTCGAAAATCTCTACTGTTGGGGAATGAGAATAGAGTAACATCGAACACGAAGAAAATACATTGTTGAGCTAAGATACACAGAAATTCCCGACATTGCAAGATAGCAGCAAACATACAGACCGAATGTATCAAGCGCAGAATATCAAAGGCTAGCTAGAAAAACAGAATGAAACAGAACGAGTAAATGAAACAAAAGAGGAAGGAAGGAAGGAAGGAAGAAAGGAAGGAGAAAATGCAGTAAGGAAGGAATGAACAATCCGAATCATTCACCCATTATACCACATCACCATTGCTCCTTCCATCCTCAGCCAAAATGATACCACACACGCGACCAGAAAATCCCTCCAAACCGGTAGGCGCGCCCGATTCCTGCGCAGACGAAGCCAGCGCCGCCGACGCACCCGGCATGAGAAGCACCCGAGCACCAACCTCAACCCACTCAACGGAGTTGACAAAGGTGAAGGTAATGCGCACATCCCCTGGAGCGTCAGGGCCTCCAGGCGCCCCGACCATGCGGTTGATCACGGACCTGTCGGGACCGCCGGGCGAGTCGCCGTCGAAGCTGAAGAATTCGGGCTCGGTTGGGGACGGCGGCGTCGAGACCAGCTCATCTTCTGCGAGAGCCATGCATGTCACTTTGACTGTGCTTCGGATGTTGGAGATGTAGACAATGGCGTTACCTCCTAGGAGCAACGGGGGAGACAGGGAGGACAGGAATTGATCCGCGCTGAAAGTGGCGACGAACCCTTTGTGAGATGCCAACGGCCTTGGAACCGACGTGGACGAGGTTTTCAAACTGGCTAGGATGGAGCCCTTTCGGATTTTGGCAAGGCGGGGTGGTGGCTGGCCGTCTTGGTCTGAGGAGAGAGGTTCGACTCCGATAGTGCCGACTTGGTCTTGGACTAGCCTCTGCACTGGTAGTCGGAGGTTTCGGGCGCTCACGACGCGGACGCGCTGCCACTGGCCTTGAGCGGAGAATCGGGACCGTGTTGAAAGAAGGCTGTGGGCGAAAGATGCTGGGGATTCTCCGGGGACAGATACACCGCGGATATCATCTTGGTCTGAGCGCTGCTCGCTTCTGCGTCGCTGAGAGGCTTGACCACCACCGGGTTCGGGTATCTGGGTCAAAAGGGGTCCGATCATGAGCTCGTCGCCAATCGCGATGGACCCGTAGCGGACGAGGCCACAGAGGACCACGCCGTTGTTTTCTTGTTGCCCGTGGTCCGCCGACATCGAATACACCTTCGACGGAGGGATGGCAAACACCTCATCGATGTTGAAGATGTTGGAAGGCGGGTCGGGGGAGTCTAGCGACTCCGGCAAGACGGCCCGGACCAAGGATGGCCGTTGCGGAATGGGTAGAGATCGAATAAAAGCATGTAATTTCCCTATACCCGAGCCATCGACAGCACTGGTGAGGACAATCGGCACTGTGGTCATCCAGTCGTCCGTTTCCGAGATCACCTTCCTGACGCTGTCCCTATCTGCGGATGCTATATGCTGCAAGTCGATATCTTGATTGGAAGAGCCAGGTAGCATTGCAGGCTTTTTACCCGACGCCTTCAATGCTGACAAGACTTTGGTGAGGTTGCTTCTCAATCCAGCCCGCGATGCAAGATCCATCTTAGTGATCACCACTAGTATAGGGATGTCCAATTTGGTGCACACATCTAGATAAGACAGGGCGAGGTTAATATCGGTTTGATCAGCCGAACCACTGCTCTCATCGTCGCAATTTGCCGGAATACACAACAAGATATAATGGGGCGCCCAGCTGACCAGTCCTCTGAGAGCTGATTTCAAATATCGCACCGATCCTGGAAGGTCTGACACGAAGGCCAAACGGCCGCCTTTCGCAGTCGCGTGAACGTCGTTCCAGGCATCGACATTACCCGAGGCGTAGTTGATGACATTCGTGGTGTCGAGGGACTGCTCGCTAGCCGCATATCCGATCAACTCATGTGCGACAGAGCTGGTGATACCGGATGAAATTTCGTGCCGATGCTTGAGAAGCCCCAGTCTGCTTGCGCCTCGCCCATTGTCAAGTACAGACGACGTCAATGTGCCAAGAAGCGAAGACTTGCCAGCTGTTGTTGGACCTGTGATCGAGATCCGGATTTGCTCAGTGTTAGAGTTCGCCGCATCAGGCAAGTCATTCTCCCCGAGATTGGACAAGCTGGGCCGCGTCTCACAGTAGCCATTTGTGGATGAGTTCGAATGGTAATGGTCCCAATCCGGACTCACAAGTGCCTCCGCAACCCAAAGGTCCCCTGTCTTATGTTTTCCAGTTTCGGTGCCCTCCGCGCTCGAGTTCTCAACCCATTCGCATTTTCCAACGATGACTCTGCGAAGAACCTCGACCTTGCAGCCCAAGCTAGTAGCCATGACATGCAAGTTGAGTAGGCTCTCTTCCAATTCGTCGTTGACAAGCCCAACAAAGGCCCCATCATCGGAAACACCAATCTCATAGAGAGCACCTTGGCTCTCCTCAAGACCAGGGAGTAGCCGAGTGGGTTTTTGCGGGACCCCCAGCTGGGGTGACGCCTCAGGCAGAACAGGCAGCACGAGGCTAGCCGCGGTAGACGAATGGAAAGGCGAAGACTGCTGCAACCGCCACAAAAGTTGGGTAGTCAACTGCTGCAACCGCTGCTGTCGACTCTGCGTCGACGGAGTCGGAGCCGGTTTCGCACCCAATTCGTAGCTGGCAGATGTCGGGCCCGAGGTGGAGCCGCTCTCATGGGAATGGCAAGATCTACCGGCGGCAGGCCTAGTCGAAGTGGAGCTATAGAGTCGCCGCGGGCGAAGGAGAAGATGCAGCTTATATTCCATCGGACCCTCTTGCGGTTCCGGCTCCAATTTGCTGATTCCGTAGTCGGACAGGAAGTCGGGATCGGTCAGAGCCAAGCGCAGGCTCGAGTTGGACCGGGATTTAGTCGCCATGCCACGACCGCCAGGCCCCCAAACCTGGGGGGTAGATGTACCTGACGTGGACCATGGCGAGGAGACCCGTGGCGGGTCCGGATCATAGGTGAAGATGGACGCCATAGTTCACAATCCGGCGGACTATACGGCCAATTGAGTTCCACGCAGGGTAAAACAAGGTGTGATGGCCTGATCAAGAGAATAAAAATGCTTCAAACAGAGATGAGCCCAAGATGTAATTATCGAGACGTAAAAGATGTAAAAGTTGGAGTCTGCCACGTAAAGAGCCTAGTAATAGTATGTGCAGTAATATATTCATCTTGGGGACTGAACAAGTTATATGCACGAGTCAGCCTAGGCAGAGAGTTATGTCCTTGTAGGCAGAGAATGAAGATACAAGTTCATCAAGCAGTCAAGGGCAATTGACACGTTTAAATAGCAGACGACATCACGCAGGCTGAACCGTGAATGAGTCACTGGGCGCCATCCCTGAGATCCAAATGAAACATACTTTACTCACAAGGCTGCAGGAAGCGACATGCCTCGGTCAGGTGATGGTGATGTAAGCACGACGTCGGGGGTTGGCCTGTGGTGCCTGAGGCAGCCTACTATCTGGGGTTCGATCGTGTATGAACCATGGATCTCGATGGATCTTTTGGCGTGATCTACCTTGTTGATTATCTCCACTTGGTGGATGGTAGGCTGGGTTAATTGCTTATAGGGCCAGGGGGGTCTTGATTAATGGAGGGCTTGATCGTATGATTGTGTGCGCTTTCTATATAAAGTACATGCTATTGCGGAGAAATGCGGAGCCACTTTATTAAGCATCTAAGGTATCGATTGTTACTGTGTAGATGAAAAGCAGCGTGATATAGCGAGTCATGTACCCACCCTAAGTCTTCGTGAGACAGGTGGTCGATAAGCTATTTCTCAGTGGTCCTCCTTTGTCCCTCAAGCTTTCGTCTTTCGAAAAGCAGTCTATCTCAAAGGCTTGATTTTCTATCATATAAATTAATGTATAATGTAATTTATTTGTGACCAAAATAGTATTCTAGTAGATAAAAAGTAGCAAGCTCTGACCAATAACAATATTAAACCCTCCAAAAACAGGCGCTCCAAAATCAAAAACAGGGGAAAGTGACAGGGGTCTTCTTTTCCCCCATGTATAAATGCAAGATGCGTTCACAACCTTCGTTAGCGGGGACTCCATATCCCCAGTATATACAGGGATCCTCCATGCCGGACCGGTAAACATGTATGCAAAATATAAACCAGATGTAAGTGCTCTCCTTTGTGGCACATGTTTCAGTACACAATTTGTGTCCTGTGACGAGTTGGGCGCGATTTATTCGGAGATTCCAGTGCCCTCATGGTATGCGACGTAGTGTTTCGAAGCTGCAGTGGCTTTATCTTCTCCGCGCGCGCTCGGGGATTTACTCCGCGGACATGTCTCGTCCACTCCCTTTGCACTTCCCTTGGGCGACATGGATATTTCGTGCCGTGGTACGAGTAAAAACCGCACCGCAGCTGGGGCATTCCGCTTTGGCGACAACGCCGGACTTTTCTCGTTGATGACGGAGGAGGTTGCTGAATGTGGAAAACTCGCGTCCGTTGCACCCGTGATCCCAACACTGCGGCTTTGGTCGGAAGCTTATGACTCGGACTTGCTGCTCGGGGTCTGACGAGGCTGGGACGGAATCTGGCGAGGAGTACACCGTGCTGGGGGGCATCAAGTTCGGTGGCTGGGGGCTCACGGCTATTGAGCTCGAGTTGGATCTGCTAGTTCCACGAGTGTAAGCCTGAGGGGTCATTTGACGGAAAGAGAAAGACCAACACTGATGAGATGGAGGAACTCGGGGTGAGGTAGTATTCTGACTGGTTCATAAGATATGATGGGGGTCTGCCTTGGTCTTAGTACAGCCTTTCCTAGCCTTAGGGAACGGGGTAAGCTTACGACAAGGTGAACGGGTGATCATGCATGGCTGAAGGACTGCTGGCTAGCGAGCTGCTGGGATAAGAGTAAGAAATGGAGGAACTTGAGGGTGCAGCCAGTTAGTAGCCGCAATCGTAAGGCTGATTCTTGACGGCATAGATTCTCGTACCTTCGGGGTTGCTGGCGGGCTTGTGGTAAAAGATAGTGTGACGAAGGGGCTCCTGGCGGGTAGAAGCTTTGGGAGGGAGGAAGTTGGTGACCATATGCAGGATATCCAGCCGATGAAGACATGCTGTGTGGGGGTGCGAACGCGGGCTGACCCACTGCCATGGATGGGGGTTGAAGCGGTTGTGATGACCGGCTAGGCCAGCCGTAATCTGTTGGATTTGGTCAACGAACAGTCCCCATTCAGCGTGTCGTCTCAACCTACTTTGTGGGTTATGCGTCATGGTGTCCATTTAATATGCTGAGGTATTTGTTATACCTTTGTTGCCTTTAACACGACATTAGCAACGGACTTCCCTTACAGCCTGTGATCCAGAAAGACGGAAGGCAGCGAACAATGGAAATAGGGAAACGGTGATGGAGAAGACGTACAGCCGAGTATTCGACGCTATCTCTCTGAAAGAGCTTCGATGCACTTCCAACCACAAAGTTCCGTATGAACGGTTGAATGAGGACTGGAAGATTGAAAAAAGAGGTCGCCCTCTCTGCGAGCGATTCTCACTCTCACACTTGGAAAACCAAGAGCCAGATACGATCTCGTCCAGCGATCAACCAAGATGATAAATTGGAATGAGCCGATAGCAACGAGTCTGATGAGGACTCTCAAGTTCGTGACAATAACTATAAATTTGTTGTCGATTTTGATCAAAATACGATGTCGTTTTTATTCTGATGTCGCAGGATTAGTCTCGTCCATCTCAACCCAACCAGAGAATTCAAAGGAGACAGAAATAAAGGCAACAAAAATGGAGAAAACACGACAGCAGATCAATGGTCATATATAAGAGAGGAAACAGAGGAGGCGATCAAGCAGGCAATAACTGGAGGATATGGTGGGGGGGTGTGATGAACATACAGTCAATCAGTGGAGAGCAATCCTTTGCAGTATGGATGTATCAACATTGATCATCGGAAGGTTATTAATTGAAACGCAAGTAAGGAACACGAGAAGTAAGCTCAAAAGTCCATACCCTAAGATAGGGCAGAGCAGCGTATTTAAGGATTTCAGGGTCGAGAAGGATAGAAAGCGAGAGGAAGAATAAGAAAAGGTTAAACGCAGCGATACAAATGATAGTACAGAGTTGGGAACCTCAGCCTGGCTGCCTTAGCGAGTCGTGCTATTATTTCCACTGATTATTATGATGATGATTATTGTTTTTTCCTGGTTCAAATAATTCCAGAACTCCATTATTTTATTTCTATTTTATTATTTTATTTCCATATCATATTTAGCGTTTGGATTGTTCTGAACAGTGCGCCATCCTTATCTGCTAACGGAGATTTCATTGAAAAACCAAATAAACAATTAAATAAAATGGGAGAGAATAGAATAAAATGGATAAATTTATTTGAATAAGGCAGAATGAGATAGATTAAGAGTAAAATAATATAAGAAAAAAAAAAAAAAAAAAGGATTTCAGGAACTTGACCCTAAACACAGAAGAAAAAAAACCGATCTACCTGAACTGGGAGAAAGCGTCTTCACTGCCACTCACCTGATCATCGTCAACGAGATTTTTCCTGAAACAACAAATAATCAGCATTGATCATGGTCTCGTCATCGTCTGGAGCCACCGTCTTACTACTCCAGAGGTTCTCATCTCGCAACCATGCTACAATCATGGTTCTTTCTCCCTCGAATTTGGCAGTGTGGTCAATGATGAGTTTGTTGACTCATTTGCTTCGTCTCCATTGATGGTCGCATGATCTTTCGTCTCTGGCTCAATTTTCCAGGCACCTTGCCATCATCGTCAACAGGAGAGGGGCGGTTTCGGGATACTCGATCCAGAATAGTCCTGCAAATGATTTACAGTGTCCTAGACGAACATGCGAGGACTCCAACACTCGGGATTCAGCCCCCAGCCCCAAATCATTCTCTCCCGTTTCCCAGACTCCACCTCACTAGACTAAGGGAGTCGATGACAAGTGACTTTCCATGATTATTGGCGAAGCTTACGCTGGCACTGGACCTAGGTGCGACGGACCTTTTTGACTGGAACGAGGTACTAGAGCAGTGGAGGGCGGGGGAGGGACAACGGAGTAAGCTCATTTGGCCCCGGTTTATGGGAATTGGTATTTATTTTTTTTTTTTTAATCTTTTCTTTTTAGTTGATTCTTTTTTTTTTTTTTTTTTTTTTTCTTTCACAGCGCCTAGCGGTACAGCGAGTAGTAGGTCGCCGGTCCGGTCTCTTCGCCTCTCTTTGGTCGAAAACTCGATGAGTGAATTGGGGGCCAGGATGATAGAATGCCTGCGATTCGCATGGCCGGTGGAGCCAAAGCGTCCAAACCAGAGCGGGTCGCCGGGTACTTGGACAGGTCCACTACGTCCCAGGAGTCCCCCGGAGACACCGCCTGACCCAGAAAACGGAGTACATAGAGCCCCGACAGAGAAACGGGCTGGGAGGTAGGGAGTAGCGTCCTCTTGATTTTTAAGGTCAGGAGTGCATCCTTCTCTCTCCTTATCATTGGTGATGATAGGCAATAGGCTTCAGAAAAATCCCTTTCTTTCGTCGAACCAGATCAACGGCCGCACTGCGCCATGAACGGTTCTTGCTAAAGTCCACCAGCATTGAGCACAAGGACCATCTGTCGGGTGCAGCAGAACCTTTGGCTTGTTCGTTTTTTGGCCCCCACGGGCGTAGTCGTGGTCGCCCGCCACTCGATGGATCCTAACATTTATCAATTAGCCCTCTGATTTGCCCAACCGTAAGTGTCGATCACAGCGCGAGATATTGACACCATAAGAACTCCGGAACATTGACCATTCTTGCTTGACCTGCACCAACGGCAACGAGAGCTGGAAGCCACATGGGGATTGGATGTTCACATATTCATAAACGCTTAGTGGCTCGATAGAGCTTGTCGCAGGGCGGGCAGACGTACCTACAACCACGGGTACGAGCGATCGTCGACCCCAACATCCCGATCCGATAATAAGCCTGGAAGGGCCTGGGAATTTCCAGCCATGGTGAAGTCATCCTTGTCGGAGCGAAAACAACTTTTGGTTTGTCACATGGTGATTGAGGGCGAACCAACGGTATACCACCTGGCACCAACACTGCCAGCCGTGGAACACGCTCGGAAATTTATTTGATTGTTATTTGTTTTTACTTTTTTAAGGTGGGCGCTTAAGTGCACCTGTCTTTTGTTCCCCTTGATTTCTTTCCCCCTTTACCCCGTGTTCATTCTTTGATTTCCTTGTTCTGTCAGACAACTGCCCACCATTTGAACAAGGCAAGTCAGTTGGGATGGGGGTTTGACAGCCACGGTAAGGATGGACCAGGATCAAGAACCTATTTCTAAGGTCAGTAACCGCTCAGTTGGAACTCGGAACCGAGAGGCTCGTAAAAAAATCACTAGGCAGCTTCTTGTGACAGAGGATCACCCCTCCGCTCCAGCATCACACCGGGCCCAAGTCCCGTTAGATTGACGCTCTAACCAAGCAAGACCTAGCCTTATGTCGTTTACGAGGTACGTGTCAGTTTCCAGCGTGGTTTGGTCCCAACCTGACCCTATCGGGCGGCTTTTGCCTCCGTCCCGATGCTTTCTTTTTCCTGGTACTCTCCTCCTTTTCCCCACACAGCAATTGATGGGCCCATCCTCATCAAAATTTGGGGCCGTTTATCGACTCGGCGAGCTGCATCCGACGCGCCTATTGCTTGGAAAAGTATTTCCTTGGACTTTGATTCCTCGTGGCGCTCACGAGGGTAAGGCGTCAACCAATATGTGGTCTTCACGGAAATTCGAATCCCCCGATTTTCGACCTCTTATCGTTGCTTTTGCTCGCGCTCTTATTATGATTATTATTAATTTGTTGGCTTTATGATAGTTATCTTTATCATTGTCACTATTTATTTCTCCGTACTTTTGATTAATGTGGCTAAGTATTCTCATTTCGAGACGATTGACCTCGTCGACGGTCAATCGGCCATAAGGTGTGACATGATAGCGGTCCACACGCCGCCACTGCCCGTCTGCCCTCCGACATTCCCTGATGACACTTCCTTCAGGTGTCACCAGGTTCACAGGCCAGGGTCCTACGATCGACTTGACTCCACGTGCCATGGCACTTCTATCGATCCTGCTGGAGCTGCCCCCAGCCAGAGCGGGTGTAACCTACATGCTCCAGCCACTTTCGTTGGCAGCTGTGTCTCAAGACTCGCTGGGGCCCCTCCAGCAGGCGCTCCATTTCCCTGATGAATCAACGTCCGAGGGTTGAACCCACCGTGCCGAACAATCCAGGAACGTGAAAACAACCAAAAGAGAAAAATAAGAAAAGCAAAAAATAAAAAAGCGCACAAGGAAAATATCGGGGATTCAAGCACGGTCCAACGAGGCTCATGATTTGTCACCGTTTCCCCTGTAATCCACTGGGAGAGCCACTTCAAAGATTTGGCCCCGTCCAATCCCGGCCTGGTCGGAATGCAGCCTTTTTACCCCAACAGGCAAGTCACCATAAGCCCTATCAATCTCAGCCATGGTGCTGATAGGCGTGGGTTAGAGAGTAAGCATCGACCGAAAATAGATCCAACACACAATAATCATGAAAGGGGGCAGGGCTTCATGCCAGGATTATCTGAAGAGATGATACTACTGCTATATAGTGCACGGTCTGACCCAGTTCTGCCTCGAGTAGTGATTACAGAGTTCCGATGTCACGGCTGGCGGCTACTCTGGTTGGACCTCGCCTTCACTCCGCACTGTCGATGAATTAAGCCGGGTTGGCACGGTGGCTGGCAGACCATTTACCTACTCCGTCCATGGTGTCATACACAGCCCTCTCTCTCTCTCATCACGTTACGAGCTATTTTCTCTCTCTTGTTTATCCTGCCAGCGCAGCGATTGAGCCTTGGGGTGAGTCCGACAGGTGCGACGCAATCAATGACTGCCGCTAGTCTGCCTTTGCTGCGGACAAATTAAACTTTGATTGTTTTCTCTAGACATGTGTGGTATCTTGCCCGTGGCTTGCAAAGTCGGCGCGTGTCTTGCTCCGGAGGAAAGAGAGAGAGGGAACAACGGCCCCCAATAAAATGAATCAGACAACAGCGGCTAGTTGACCGTTGACCGCGAACCCAACCAGGGCCCGCGGACGGACATATTTATTGACCGACACTGACAGGCTTTAAGCGCTAGCCCATGAATGGGGATCGGCATTGGCTTTTGCTACTGTTAGTGTTGGTGTTCGTGCCGGTCTCGTGTGAACTGCTGAGCTGAAAGTGAAACAAATGACCAGGAGGATGACGACGACTCCGTCTAGCAAGTGCGCAATAATCATCCTCCACTGACTACCCCATCTTCACAAGGAAGAGATGAGAAAAGAGATCAAACGTGGGGGAGAGAGGGTCAACAACCCAGTCTGCAGTGGTCAGCAGCAAAGCTCAAACTGATCATTGAGAAGCCGTCAGCAAATTTCTCAGCAGCCACCCGTGCAAAAATATTAACAGACTGAACATAGCCCACCGTACACTCCCCCGTTGCCTCCAGGATCCCCATGAAGCAAATGGTAGCCCATCATCGCCATCGTTCTAGAAAACACCTAACGCATCCTTCCAGCACAGAAAAAAACGGCCGGGAATACAAGGCGCAGGACGAGTGTGCCCCGGTCGGTAGTCGGAGTGTGGGCAATGGGGGGGGAAGGAGTGGGCTTAGCCCCCAAGCCAATCTCCACAATAGACGACAGTCATAGCAGAACGGAAAATACTAGTAACCGTTATTTGTTCAGCCGTCTCGAGTTGATCAAAGCGGCAAGGGGACTCAGATTAAGCGACGATTGTCGGTAGACACTCAAGGCAGGCAGGGTTAGCCATCCTCACCCGCATCCTTTGATTTGCCCTGCAGAAGACAAAGCTGAGGGCTTTTTTATCTACTTGGAGTTAAGGGGGGGAGTCCCGTCGTATCTACCTACACTATACCTTACCCCGAGCTACTAACTACTCCGTAGCCAGATGACGATAACCAACTCGACATCCGTATATTTGGGGGCCAAGTGCCGGTCGCACTGGAAGAAAGATTACCTATCAGGGTGAACGCAGACGCCACAGCCACAGCTGACAGCAACAATTAGGTTCATGACGGATATCAAACCGGCAAGGATAGTCCCCATGTATTTCTTCAGGCCCCATGAAGATGATGTGATGCGATGCGATGTCATGTTAACGAGCCTAACCGTTTCCTCTGCAGAAAGGGGAGAAAGCCCTCTCCACGACCCCTTTCTCCCTTCTCCACTCCATGCTTTACAGCCCCCATCTGCTACTACCCATGATTCGATCCGCTGGGATCACCAGATCCAATGACTCGATGAACGCCCTGGGGGCCAAAGATGTTGCCCTCAGTGAGGACTGCGTTGTATGGCTACGGTTGGAGAATAAGCCACCCCCTGAGCTACCTGAGAGGGCCAAAAGTGCCCTGCCCTGCTTGCGGAGCTGGGCGATGTGGGACGTGACCTATGTGGATAGGTGGATGGATGGCCCCAGTTGAGGCACAAGGCGCCTGCTTGCCTTGTCGATTCCAGACTCGCCGGTCCGGAGTGTGGAGCCTGTCAAATGATTGTCGGGCCGGTCGGGGGGTGATTCCGGGGCTTTGTATGGGTGTTGATACTTTCTTGGTGTTGGGTTTGTTGATGGGTTATGGTGGAAGTTCTCTACTTGTGGGGTTGAGCTCTGAGCTCCCTCACATGTTGGGAAACGGCATCTTGGTTCTTTGGAGGCCATCTTGAGAACCTCCTATTCCACTGAAGGTTACTATTCACGATCTTTCTGGCAAAGATCCTAGACTACAGTTCTCCCGTGGAAGACCCCTTGCGGGTCCGTTGCTGAGTTCAGTGCTATCTAGGAGCTCATGTACGGCCATATGTTCCTTTTGATATAATGCGCCGGTATTCGAACCCTGTGGGAGACTGATTGAAGCTAAAAGTTGCTCTATACCAAGCCGTGCTGACCCAGGCCGACAAGACACAGGTTGAGAGATGATTACTATCAGAGTGGCATATGGAAAGGCGATAACTTGATAAGGGAGCGTGAATATACAATGAAGTGACTGGGACGAAATATGAGGGAATACATTGGCATGAATCTTGCATGGCTACAGTAACATTAATAGTTCATTTGAGACTAATGGCCGCCCTTCTCATCAACCCTATTGACTCAATGTGCTTCGGAAGATCTGACAATCTCAAGGATCTAACTGGGATAATTCAGATGTCGTGTCGCGGGAACATGGAGCTGGGTCAAGTTGATCCCAGGGAAGTATTGGGGATATCGTTGACCTTATCACAATTATCAATACTTCCTTGGCATTGTTATTTCAATATGCTCTTTTATCCATTATCCTCACTAGTGCAATTCTCCTTCTTCGCTATCATATCAAGTTTATGCTACCAAATGCCAACAAGCCCAAATCTTATATCGAGCGCCATGAGTCATGCTTCCAGTTGATCCACCCATGAGAAGCAGGGCAGGCATAACAGGTAGGTGTCTTCCCAGCCCACTCGTTATTTACAGTGACTCACATCAATGTACTAGTTGTCCCTTACTACCTACTATCAGTACTAACAGATGACAAACAATGGTTAGAATTGAAATGCGCAACATTCTCATTATCAGCTACGTTCCACAACCAAGATAGTCCTCAAATGATCCCCCTCGTTCAAAGCCCCCTCGTGATCAGCTTGAAAGCCACCAACGGTCGACCGCGAGAGTATAGTCCCAGCCATACACCTCATACTTTTCATGGAAGTGGGTCGACTCAGCCGTGTGAGACTATAGATGAGCTAGGGGTGGGATGATATGATCGTCTTGCCACGTATGGCGCAGGGATTTCTGTGCGCTTTATGATAGACGTTCTGTCAAACACGGTAACCCTGGACTATGAGATATAGTTCTTGCAGATCGTGACCGTGACTGTCACCTCACTGGGCTATAGGAGACTAAAATCGGGCCTGCTGGGTTATGCAGAACGAAGGGCGATGGATATCTTGACAGCAATTATAACACTTTACCTAGGTGTCGGGTGTAACCCAATCTATGGCCGATATGTCTACTGAGTAACCCTAATGCGATTGGTTGACTCGCGTGCAATAGTGCAAAAGAGAAATTAATAGATACAGGGCTCATCTGGTTCGCTTTATATTCAGATAGTAAAGCAATCATTCCACCGGCCATGCACCTGGCATCACTTCAGGTTCCATCTCTATCATCTCCCAGAATTCACCTGCATAATAATCTGATTTTTCAGACACCCATATGTCCCAGTCATCAGGAGAAGGACCATAGCTAAATCCAATGAGTGGCCGGAGCCATAGCTCATAATAATAATACTGAAACTCCTGGGAGAGGTATTCCCGCACTCTATCGGGAAGTTTCTCCCAAATCCTCTTCTCCTTTGCGCCGAATTGTTGCAAATCAACGCCGGCGGCCTGCAGATCCTTCAACCACACCCGGAAGCCTGTCTTCCAGGACATCACACAATATTTCGGTTCTTCCACCCATTTAAGGTATCCCACCAAAAATGTCAGAAAGGGGGTTCTTCCATCAACAACCTGGTGTATGTCCGCCCCAATACCCATAAATTCTTTGAATAAGCCATCCCACGATGTATATCTAGATCTCGCGGGACCGGGGGGATACTCCTCGACAAATGTTTTCCTATGGAACCCAGATAGGTATTCCTCACGCTGTATCATGGCCAAATTTTGGCCAACCTTCCTTGAAACGCATTGCACTAGAGTGGTCCTGTCCCTATAACCGACATGGACCAACTGCTTCTCTAACTGGAGATCCTCAGCTCTCAGCGGACCGGGTCCAAGAATGGCTCTGATTGTTTCAGGCAGATGACAGGCATCCCAGTGTCCTGATGTAGCTTCTATGGCCACTGCCGTTCGAGTCCCTTGTGACATCGAATAGAATGACGGGCATAATTCTCGCTGGAAAAATGCGAACTCTTCCGCCGTACCGTGGAACTCGTTCAAAACTCCTTCCAGAACTTCCTCTTCCGTATCATAGATAACGTCAGGCATGTGGCAAAGGAAGGCGCGGAAAGATGGAAGCAGCGGTGAAGTCAATCCACTCATACTCCCAGACCATACCAGATAACCCAGTGTATCTTCGATGTTGTTGCCGCTACTATGTACATCTGCTCCCTGGCTCACAAGAAATTCGAAAGTTTCCTTTCCATTTGCACCACCAAATGTGTACTTGCATACGTTAGGTCGCCTGAGGGTGGGTGGGATGGTAGAATGTCGGACTTACTCCAAGCAGTCCCCTTGTGCATGGCCCTTCAAGTTGATCGAATGGCGTTGCTTGCCCCGAGGCAAAAAGGCGTTGTAAGTTTGCAATGTCACCATGTGCTGTAGATTGGATAACCTCGGACTCCCATGGAACCGCCCTGTAGGCTCGGAGCTGCCAGTCCCAGCCACCAGGGAACCTTCTAGCGGTAATCTCCAAGGCTTTGCTGGTCACCCAGGTGGGCATATTTAGTCGCCAGAGGTAGGACCACTTCGACGTAGGTTCTACTCTCCTTTGCTGCATTTCTCCTGTTGTCCTTTTGGTAATTTGAGAGGAAGCTTGAATGCCGGAATTCAGTCTCACACGCTTCAAAACGAGGATTAAATATCAAGTACCTTCTGCATACGGAGGAGGATCCTCATCTGTGATGCTTTTTGCAGTCTGTGCCATTTTCTGGACAATCAACTCAGGCTGTACCCGCATCATAGCCCTAACCGCCGTTGGTCAATCACGCGCACCGTCTTCTGCCTATGGGAAGGAAAAAGATGATAACCCACCGCAGATAGCACTGCTGAGACAGCTGCAGTAACTGCAAAGCATTCTGTAGCACAGCCATATACTTCTCGACTTTCGAGCGCTGAAGCACCACCTTAACGGCCGCATAGTGCCTACGCAAGCGACCAGGGCCTGATGGTTGTATGTCTCGGACGAGCTCTTTGGAGATATCGTCTAGTGTTTTCGTCGCTTGTATGCACAGCTGAAGACTCTTCTGGGCGTGCTTGTTTCTCTGCAGCACGGAAACAGCCGTCGCGTCATCCTGTGCGAGATCTTCCTCGATGTCAGCCAGGACGTAACCGGCTATCTCGATGCTCTGCAGTAGACGCTTGAGGTCGTCGGGTGCATCGCGCACTTGGTCTACGCAGTCTTTGAGCACTAGCAGGGAATCGGTGAATTGCACTATGACGGTTCCAAATCCGATGGCGGCTGAGACGACCCCGAGAATTTCTGCCATCGCGAACAGTAGATGCGGGGATGCACGAGGTGGAATTTTGTATACCAACAACGTCTTTTATTTTCTAGAGAAGAGGAAATCCTAGCTGGTTAACGAGAATACAAGCCGTTTCTACCTTTCGCCGGGTGGGGTAGACCCTTTAGTATAGCCCTTAGCGCCTATCTAAGAATGAGAAGGCTGAGTAGATGATTCCCCTACTAAGGTGGAGGTTGTATGTTTCTTTGCATTTTATTGGATACTATACTACACCACGTATGTGTCTCCAATGCATTGGCCATATTAGGTCACAACTACATTAGGCCCAGCTAGTGCGTTTTCCGAAGCTCAGCCTGATTTTCTAATCTTGGAGTATACACGTTGGAACAAAAACATGAAGAAACTGTCAATCTTGCTTCAGGTGCATGGCGACTCTTAGGGTTGACGAATTATGACACGGTGGGTGGAGAGAAGGAGTATAAACTTTACGGGAACTCCCATATATATCATCCAATATCTTTGCAATGGTATGTTCATGTACGTCCTGGCTGTGTAGTGAGTATCTCTCGACTCTATTCATGCAACACCGGGGTGATCTCAGTTTCTAAGCACCGGCATCGAGGGGCACTTGACCCTGTATGGATGCACTGTAAGATGATGTTATCTGGTATGTCACAGCACGTGCCCATGCCTCAGCGCGACAAGGAAATTCCCGGCTCGAAAGAACGAACAGTCCGTTGCTGACTGCCTATTCGGCGGTGAGATCGGCGCGAGATAACACCATACAATAGGTTCATGTCAGGAGGGGCTTTTCAGCCGTGTCGAACCACCAATTGCCGTTGAGCCGTGAGGGGCTACCTATGCTATCTTTATACTGGGTGTATCGCGAAAGAAGCCCAAGTTGGGTCAGTGTCAGGCCTGAGGTTATTGCTGTCTGACTGATAGCCTGACAATTCAGGCGTTTATTCTTTAGGATTGCAGGACTGACATTTCAGGCACCACTGGAGGGGCCATGTGATGCCTGAGGGTGCCCAAGAGGAGATTCTCGAAGATGAAGAGAAACAATTCGACGTGATCGAAGGTCGGCTGCCCTGGCTGGAGGGGGTCGTGACCTGGACCATGACTCTGATTTCTCATTCTCCGCTCCCGGCCGCATCATCTTCATCATCCCACCTGATTTCGCATCGTGGTCTCCAGATTTGCCGCCCACTACTGAACATATTTACCTCACTGTCTCTCCTACGGTCCCTGTGGGGTAGACTAATACGATCCCTCACAAATATTGGGGTATTTTCTGATCAGACACTCTGCGTTCCTCCAACAACCCCCACCGCTAGTTGAATCCCGACCGTGACATCCCCTCACTCCCCCGCCAATCCTCGCGGATCACCAGGTTATCACGCCCACAGGTGTCTCTATCTCATAACAGTCAGTGAGGTATGCTCGTTTCTTTACCCTTGGATCTTCTGAGCCACGCACGGATCAGGCGCGATCGGAAAAGACCCTAAAGAAGCCTTAGAGCGAAGAAAGGAAAACGAAACAAAACAGACAAACAAACAGATCCTAACGGTTCGCGGATCGCAGTTCCGAGGTCTAACGTCATTCCACATTCCACGATCAAAAAGTCTCAACAGCTCTAGAGACCCAGCCCGTCTCCCTCCCTATCTCCCAGTTCGCAAACCCGATCCGAACCTTCCCCCGCGATTACCCGGTCCCGAAGTGTCCGTCCTCCAACACCACCATGGCCTCCTTCATAGAGGATCTTTGGATGAGCGTCTTTACGCCGGGTCCCACCCCGACCTTGCTCGTCGCCACAAACGTCACCTTTGCCGCCCTCCAGACCCTCCTCATGGCCCTGCTCTGGTTCACATACAGCATTCATTTCTTCGCGCTGTCGCTCTTGTCCGCGGCGCTATGGTTTTCGATCAACTGGTTCGCCAAGGAACTGAGTCAGGTGCAGGCTGAGCAGGAAGCGGCAGCGAAAGACGGTCAAGACGGCAAGACAGGAGAGGAGAAGGGTTCGTCGGACGGTAAAAGGAGACTCCCGGGGGGGCTGGACACCCCGGGGAGCGATACGGAAACGGAGAGTTTGACAGAACGCAAGGGTCCGGCCGCGTCGGGTTCCGATCTTCGGCCTACCGAGGCGGCTCCGACGTCGCTGGAGTTGCCGGGCAAGCATAACGAGGTTCGAAAGCGTCCCAGTATGGGTGGGGAGAGCTCGGGCTATGTCAGTACCGATAGTGAATGGGAGAAGGTGGAAGATAGTAATGGGAATTGAGCTAGAGCTTGAGGTGTGTGAAGGGACATCTGTTGGATTTGCATGATCATCCGTGCTCAGTAACTTATCCAACGGTAGATGCCGGGTTGTCTGTTTGTGGGGGCAGTCTCTATATTGAATGATACCCTAGAGATGTCTTATGCTTTTCGATGTTATGCTAGAACAGTGTCTTCTGTTTTGGTCGAAGTGGTTGTGATATTTTGGAAGGAATCGATAAGATCACGTACATTGAGTTTATAGTCTCTCGTGCATAGTAGAGCTACAACTAAGCAACCATGTTACACTGCAGCTGAAAACAGCCAGGAAGCGCTTCAGGCAGCTCAAAACGACAGTGAACCCTGTTAATCAACCTGTATAGGCCAACTAAGTAGCTTACTCTTCAACAGTTCAAAAAATATCTCAGGTCAGTGCAAGATATCAATGACAGAACCAGTCTTTGGACCATCCTATTCCTTCTAGAATCGAGTCGGCCACTGGGCTACCTTCGAACAGTGTCTTGTTCCTGGATAAAATAATATCGAACATAGTAAATTCGCCTGTGGTAACAACCTACCATCACTCTACCGTAAAAACCGAGTAATATCAAAATACGCTTACAGTTAGCAGTCTCCAACCGCAATCCAGATAAACAGCTCACCAAGTGTTCGCTTACGACAACATCATTCCAGCTCTTTCCTTCAATCGCCTCACTACTTAGTCTTCTACTCATTACGTGACTTCCAAATGTCTCCGTCCACGAACCATCCTTTACAGCATCGTCCCCGTGCAAACCAACCCCGTCCGTATGCATGTCCCGCCATACATATTTGTCTCCTCTTATCGAAGTTGAATATCAGATTCAGATAAAGCTCCAGTCTGTCCCCTTGCTAGACTTGAAAATCACTTCTATCCCTGCGATCCGATGCCGACTGCGCATATACTCGGGCCTCACAATACCCATGACGTCACCTTACATATACCGACGCTTGGGACTGCTATGTTCATCCCGAAGCGTGACTACCTGCGTAGTTACACCGGAATGCACTAGGCCTTCTGATTAACCAGTTTTAGGTATTTGGACTATCGTACTGGGGTGCTCAAAGCCGAGCAGGGTCTTGTTCTGAGAACCAACCCTAGTTCGGACTTCGGGGGTGGATCTAGATCGGCCCTTTGGGGGAATGAGGCTGGCTCGGACTTGGATTAGCATTTTACTAGCTGGTCTATTATAGCAGTGGGATCTCATCTGTCCTCATCCCTGCGAGCCCTAATCTTGCATGCCTAGGCCTTATGATGTAGTCATTCATTGTTCGCTGGTATCTTGTTCAGGTAGATACCGTCGTGGATATATGCTGAAGACATGGTGTCTCACTGTATATATCAACCAGATTGTCAGAAATTTGCAACAACAATTTCAATCTACATCGATATACACTTGAATGTTGAAAGATGTTGCATCGGGGAATATTGATAGTTGATACTGACTCATCCGCCAAGCCCAGGCCACGTCCCAAACCGGCTAGCGCGTGTTGTTATCTGGGGATGCTTCAATCAAGCCGATACCAAGATCTTCACACGCCGACGCAACAACCAAAGAAAAATAAAGACGACACTAAACTCGCTGTCTACCGCTAATACATCATCGAAATGCCTCTCAAGTGACGTTCGCAATGCCACCCACAGACCCCATCATCCCCGCCCGCCGACGCGTCTTCGAGTCTGTGTTTTCCCCCGCGTCGCTCGAAGACTTCACCACGAACAGATCGGCGATCGGACCGACGAGCTCCTCTCCATTCTCCTCCAAATCGAATACCTCACAACCCCGGGCCCAATACGCAGGCCATCGCCGCTCTCGATCGTCCACGGCATCCCAGTTGACCGACCCCGCGAGCACAGTCGACGAACCGTGGCACGACCAGGCCACCTGGGACCGAGCATGGCGGGCAGCGACGAGGTTCTTGTCGGTCCCGGACCGAGAACTGGACATATGGGTGCTGGGAGAGGATGCTGAGGAGACGAGACTTTTACGACACTTCAATCGACACACGCGGCCGTCGAAAGATGTCAGTGCTGCACTGGCGTTCTTGACTGCGCCTTTGTCGCAAGGGGGGCCGGACGCTGCTCAGCGAAGTATTATCGATTGGTATGGGTATGAGATACGGAGACATTTCTTGAAGAACTTCCGAGGAAGCTTACACATGGTGGGTTACTTGTTGTCCTTTGCGGTCCTGCCTGTTATCCTAACTGTTTGCATTGCAGCTTTTGAACCACCCCGAGCAGGACCAACTACTGCAGAAGATAGTTCACTGCTTACAATTCGCTCGGAGGATCTACTTCTCCCCACTCGTGGAATACGTGCTTCCGCTGCTGAGTGCAGGGGGAGAGGAGCGGGCGTTGATTAAGCTACGCCGTGGCTTCCATATGATGGTGGCATATGCGCTGCCGTGGCCCCAGTTTTCGGTATTGCTTACGCGCGAGCTTGCTAGGGATTCGTTGACGATACTTGGGATAGATACCTTGACTGAGGAAATCTTCGAGGATGCGCTTAGCGTCGAGAACATGGAGATCGACCATCAGTACTCCGTGTCGTACCAAGACTGGCGGGATGCCCCGTCCGACGAGTTTCGGCTGCAGATGATGTCCGACGAGGGAGAGACCCGCGTGGCTGCTGCTCGGGAAAAATTGTTGTCATTACTGCATGGTTTGCAGCTCGTGGGACTGGGCGGGGAGAAAGCGCAAAAGGTTTTCGCCGGTGTGATGAATGCCATGATGTCGGAGTTTATTAGAACGGCGTACGCAAACCAGTGGGAAGGGCCGTCCTTGGCATCATCCCATCTGCGCCATTGGATCGAGAACGTGTTTGCGCGGCTGGTGGTTCAGGTCCTGTCTGTCATCAATGTCCCAGAGTCTGGGCAGAAAGAGCCCGATCAGCTTGACGTGAACCTCAATGACGTAGAAAAATGGCAGGAAATCGGGATTTCGCGTCTCGGGTCCCTGCGGACGAGCGAGCTTTTCGATGTGATCGTGGAATGGCCTGCGAGCAGTGGTGCTATTGAAGATCTGCGACACTTCATCACATATCCGGCTGCGCGATCCCACCTAACGCACTCGTTTGTCGCGACGCTCAATCGCAGGCTACTACACCCGGGTGCTTCGACTGTTGAAATCTTGCAGGTCTACATTTCCATCATTCGGTCATTCAACTTGCTTGATCCCAAGGGCGTCCTCCTCGACCGGATTGCGAGACCAATCCGCCGGTATCTACGGGATCGCGACGATACGGTCCGGGTGATCGTTGGCGGTCTCTTGGCTGATCCGGCGGATGCAGATGCACAGGCCTCATCGAGCGGAGATAAGCTGGTTGAGCTGTCAGCAGAACTGACCAAAGCGCACCAGAACTCGCTGCGCGGCGAGAAAGGAGAATTAGACTGGGACGACATGAGCTGGGTGCCTGATCCAGTCGACGCTGCGCCCGATTACCGCAAATCGAAGACGTCAGACGTGATCGGCAGTCTAATCAGTCTCTTCGAATCAAAGGAGATGTTCGTCAAAGAGATGCAGAATATGCTAGCCGACCGGCTACTGCAAAAACGGGCCGACTACGACCAGGAAATGTCGGTCCTAGAGCTTCTCAAGCTCCGGTTCGGCGACAATGCTCTACAGGCGTGCGAGGTCATGCTACGCGATATCTTCGACTCGCGACGAGTCGACGCCGTGGTGCGGAACGACCAGGGGCTTGCGAGAAAACAGTCCGCCGCGACGCCGTCGACTCCGGCTCAGGGTGCGAAACGCCCAGCCGGGAGGGACATTCCGGACCTGCATGCCAAGATCCTGTCGCATTTCTTCTGGCCCGATATCCAAGAGCAGGAGTTCCACGTGCCGGAGGATATCGTGCAGCTGCAGCAACGTTACGCGGCCGGGTTTGGCTCGTTGAAGCAGTCGCGGAAACTGACATGGCTCAACGGACTCGGCCAAGTGACCGTCGAGCTGGACCTCGAAGACCGAGTATTCGTCAACGAAGTCACGACGTGGCAAGCGACCGTCATCTACGCCTTCCAGTCACCGTCGGGGGACTCAAAATCTCTCACCATCGAGGACCTCGCCGCGCAACTATCCATGTCACCGTCGCTAGTGCGCAGCGCGTGCTTATTCTGGGTCAGTAAACGCATCCTCATCGAAGGACCGCGCGACACCTACCGCGTACTGGAAGTACTACCAAACGAAGGCGACGAGACGGCCGCCCCCGGCAGCGCCAACATCCCCGGCGCCGACGACGACGGAGCCGCAGCCGCCGACGCAGCGCAAGCAGCCGCAGCCGCCGATGCGGCGGCGGCGGCGGCAGCCAAGGAATCGGCCGAAGCGGCAGCCATGGAAAAGATGAACCTTTACTGGCAATTTATTGTGGGGATGCTGACTAACCAGGGGGCGATGCCGCTGCAGCGGATCGTGATGATGCTGAAGATCGCGGTGCCCGGAGGGTTTCCTTTCAGCAATGAGGAGTTGCGCGAGTTCCTGGCGGGCATGGTGTCCCGGGGGAAGCTGGAGATAGTCAGCGGGGGGAGTTATAAGATCGTGCAGTGATGCATGCATGCTATGCTAATAGATATGAGTTACGACAATGGACAATCAGTTACTTATCTTATCTGTATAGATCTGTCTCCGCATTTGATATGCGCTTGATATATGGGCTGCAGCCTGCCGCCCTTCAGTGGTTGATAGATGCCGCTCCACGACCTCGCTTCTGAGTACTGATACCATATATCCGAATAACCGACAGATAAGCTTTGAAGTTATTCGCGAATCCAAACGGACCGCCCTTCCAAAACAAGTAACATTATGCGTCTGACCCACTTTTTAACATTTTTCTTTAAAATCCAACCCATGGAGATGCGCCACCCAAAACATACAACAATCCAATTCACTCAATCCGCCTTACAACACTCGATCAACATACCAGCTTATCATCAATCAAAGAGAACAAATTACAGAGAGTGCGCAATCAAATCAAGCATCGACAAAGCGACAAATGCACATCGCCATCCTCGACGCGGACATCCCCGTCCCGGCCGTCTACGCCCGTCGCGGACTCTACTCCTCTCAATTCAAAAAACTCCTCCAAGAAGCCGCTGCACGAGTCCATAAGTCTCCTTCACAGATCCACACGACAGCCTACGACGTCGTAGGAGGCTGTCTTCCCTCCCTAGACAGTCTACGCAAGCAGCCCAATCCCTCCTCCTCCACCACCGTCGCCACCAACGGCACCACCACCAACGGCGCCAGCGACAACAACTCAAACACCAACCCCCTAACCCAACCCATCGACGGCATCCTCATAACCGGCTCCAGCTCCGGCGTCTACGCAACAACCACCCACCCCTGGATCACGCCCCTCCAACACTTCATCCAAACAGTCTTCACATGCTACCCGCACGTCCGGCTCTTCGGCGCCTGCTTCGGGCACCAAATCATCGCGCAAGCCCTGCTCTACCCATCCGTGCACGTCGAAGCCTGCCCCACGGGGTTCGAAATCGGCCCCGTCGACATAACGCTATCTGAGCCGTTCGCGCGCGCCTTCGCCGGCCCGTGTCGCGCGCTGCGCGCGGGGCCGGAGTGTATGCGGTTGCAGATGGTCCATGGGGATTGGGTTGTTCCTGCCAGTCACAAATACCACAAGGATGAAGAGGAGGGGAGGGGGTGTGGGGGGTTGCCGGCCCCGTGGGTGAATGTGGGGTCTAGTGCGGCTTGTTCGGTGCAGGGTCTGTATTATCCTGGACGGGTGTTGACGTTCCAGGGACACTTTGAGTTCGATGGGTTTGTGAACCGTGAGACGTGTAGGGAGTTTGGGAGGCGGTTGGAGTGGGGCGAGGAGCGGGTGAAGAGGGTTTTGGAGGAGATTGGGGGGAGTGGGGATGAGGCTGGGGTGGATGATTCGGAGGTGGCTGCTGAGGTTGTTTTGAGGTTTTTTGAGGGGAGGGATTAGGGGGTTTGTTATGGATTGCATTTGGAATAGATTAGATTAGATTACTTGTATATATGTTTGCTTTATTAGTATATAGAATTCATTTGTTATTAGATGGCAAGTCATACTTTATAAGACCTTGGTGGTTAATAAAGGCAAGGCCGCGCTATTTTGAAAGATGGAAACCCTCTATTAGAACTATATTAATCCAGAATTGATTGGTTCGCATACACAGAGTGGATAATAGATACTTGATACTCATGACTGAGACATACCGGAGTATCTCACGTTTCCAGTAACATCTCCATCTCCCTAATAAGCGGACTCGCTTTCCGAATCTTATGCCCATGAAAGTAAAAAACAACAGGAATCAAAATGCACACAGCCTCCACAATCCCCAGCAGCGTACTCGCCCAATTCAACCCAAGCGTCGCATACATTTCCGGCCCAGCAAGCGGAAGACAAGCCCCCATAACACTCCGCAACACCATATTCCCCGCAAGCGCCGAAGCAGCATAGATACCGTACGAGCGCGCCATATAGTTACTCGCATAGATAAAGACGCACGCATTCCCAGCGCCAAAGGGAACGCCCGCCAGAATGGGCGCAATCCAGTGCACATTGGGCGTGCAAGTCCAGGCGAACCACAGCTGGCCGATTGCTAGAAGCGTTGCGCCGAAACAGATGATGCTGACCATAGCTTCTGGTGGCACTGTGCCGGTTTCTGGGCTTTTGCGGTGGAGGTTGATGACTTTGCGGAAGAGGGGCTCCATGGCGATGGCGATTAGGACGCCGACTCCTATGCCGGTGAAGGAAAGGCCGCTGGTTCCGGGGGACCAGCCGCGTTCTTGGTGGAAGGCGATTGGGTAGGCGACGAAGCAGAGGTAGAGGATGGCGTAGACGATTGCGACGTAGGTATCCCAGAATAGACTGTAGTGTCATTAGATTAGGTTTCCGTATAAGGGTGGTTAGCGACAGTCTGGTGAGAAACATACCATATTGGTTCCGTTATGATCATCATAAACGGCCGACTGAGACTCGTTTTAAGCAATGACTTGAGATCCTTTTCACCATCATAACGAGTCCACCATTTTGGATTCTGCGTTTCCTTCCGTTGTTTTTCGGCTCGTTTTCTCAATATAAGCGGAGCGTACGTTTCTTTGATACAGACCATCAAAGCCAAAACGACACCGCCCATAATGAGAACAATCCAGTTCGTCCATCTCCAACCCAGATATTGGAATACAAAGCCACCGATAATCGGACCATAAACCGGGCCATTAGTAGGTCCAATCGACCAGAAGCCAAAAGCCAGAGCGCGGTACTCATCGGAGACAATATCATTGACAGAGGCGGGAGAGTTGGACATCATTGCACTTCCGAAAAAACCCCCAAAGAACCTGCTCACGAGAATTGACTCAATGTTGGACGCTAAGGCACTCGGCAGTATCAGTACGAGGAATATTGCCATGGAGACAATATAAACAGGCCGTCGACCCACGACTTCACTCAGCGGCGCAAATATAACCGTTCCCGCCGCCATGCCGAGGAGGTATGTGGTGACGCCCAGGAGGGCCACACTCTTGGATATATGGAATTCATCTTGCAGCCCTGGGATCCCCGATGTGTATAACGTGCTGAAGAGACTTACGACTGTAGCGCCGAGACTCATGGTCATCACTGTGAGGCTTTTGTACCACAGGGGCCATAGACGGGGATTCTGGGTATCTTGGGGGTCCCAGTATATCTCAAATTCGGGGGGATTTAAGATACTGGGTAGTTTGGATATTACAGGCTCGAGGGGAATAGTGTAGCCCTCTGTAGCTGCACTATAGCTCCTTGTTAACCCATCATCCACGCAGGCTTTTGCTGGAGGAGAATCCATGGCGGTAGCTTTGAGCTATTTTGCGGGAGAAATTGGGGAAGAAAAGAAGGAGAACAAGAAAAGAAATTCCATTTGACATAAATATAAGGTTGAAAAAAAAAAAAAAAAATCGGAAGAATCACGACCCAGATATAAGGAGTAGGGTTATTTGCTGTTTGTCATCGAAGTATACCTACTGAGCGGGATGCCGATAAGGTGGTGGGGATACTGAGTGATCTCCGGGTCGGTATCCCGTTGACGCCATATTCTGTAGTAATATGATTTGCGTCAAGGTTGGTTCGTGAGTGTACATGATTCTGATCAGAACTATTAATGTTTGAGAACTTCAGGTGGGATAGCCCGAGAGTGTATAAGACAACGCAGTAGTACACTGGTCTGGTCGGCCTAATCGCATATATACCCGCGTGTGCACGCTGTGAGTTATTTTGTAGAAAATCTCTACCATTCTTGCATATTTTCGTATGATATTACAGATCATTTTAGAGTTGTAGGGTTCCAAACTGACATATGTGGTGTGGGTCACATGTCTTGTCCATAGTATGGATGGTGACTTGCCAACAAGCATCCAGCATGATGCTACCCTCGTATTCCAAATTCTTTGTCTTGGTCAAAGGAATTGTCTTCCTTATACATATTTTTTATTATTATTACCATTGTTAATAGCATTGTGATACGTCAGTCCTTATATATTACTCAACAAACCAAAGCCATGATAGGTGGAAGAAACTCAGGCTGAAACTGCCCAGCTTGTAAATTCACCAGTTGCCAACCAACCTCATCGACATACCCCCATATCTAGCTGAAAAATCCCCAATTGAGAGACCACTGCTGGCAGGACAAATCCACGATGATCCCAGCTTCGCCCCATGCAATCCAATCTCAATATGGCCCCCATTTAGCCCCCATCCGGCCCCATCGGGGCGAATCCTGCAGCGAATCCTACCCGGTTTCACCACTGTCGCCGGGAACCCCCGGGCCTGAACAGGGGTAGAGAAGCCGGTTGTGAAGGATAGACGGACAGACGAAGCCGCCTGAATGACTCAAGGACACGAGTGTTCCTGCAGGAGGGATCGTAAGTGCGGCAGATAAATAGGGTCATTTCCTGATCTGACCTATCAGTATCAGTGACTGGTGATGTCTGTCGTGGTGGACATGTTGTTGGGCACGGAGGGAGGAGTTAGGGCTTGACTGATCATCCCGTATGGATCATATCAGCCACTTTGTGATCTCCTCCTTCATAGATTGATAGACAATCGGGGCGTAGCGGGCAACACTCGAAATAAATGAAGTGATACAGTTACATTCCAGACGTACATGTCGATCCATACCACTCCCAGCCTGTACTTCCCCACATCAACACCCCCAATCATCCCTGCCACGATGCTTCCTTTATCCGGAATTCAGCCCTTCAAAGGGCTCTCCAATCTTTAAAAACCACGTCCCTTCTCTTTTTTCCTGGCCCAAATTCTTCCTTGTAAATGCGAACATAATCAACGAGAACCGCAACAATGATCCACCCCCTCACCACTCTCCTCTCCCTCTCCCCCTTGCTCTCCGCAGCAGCAGCATCATCATCATCATCATCACAAGCCAACATCTACGCAACCCACTACAACGGCAACGTCTACGCCCTCTCCCTCACCCAGCGCCACAATGACGCCTACAAGCTCGACCTCGTCTCCTCCCTGAAAGCATGCGGGCCCATGCCCAGCTGGCTCACCGTCGATCCGGACCTACACCTCCTCTACTGCTCCGACGAGACGGGCGATCCAAAGACCAACGGCTCGGTCAGCACGCTCTCCATCTCTGATAAGGGAGGTTCTCTAAAAGAGATCACCACGACGGAGGTCCCTGGCGGCGGCGTCCACAGCGTCATCTACGGCGGTGAAGACGGGAAACGATATCTCGCTATTGCGCACTAGTATGTCCTTCTTTCCCCTCCCCAATATAAATATATACACCACATAAGATCTATAAAACTAACAAAGAAACCAGCGGCGGCGCCTCCCTCTCAACCTACACCCTCCCCCTAACCCCCCACTCCGAACCCCACCAATACATCCCCTACAAGCTCTCCACACCCTCCCCCAACCCGCAACAAGCCATCTCCCACCCGCACCAAGTCCTCCTCGACCCCACAAACACCTACATAATCTCGCCCGACCTCGGCGCCGACGAGATCCGCATCTACGCGATCCAAAAATCCACCGGCAAGCTGTCCCCCTGCCCCTCCATCGGCGGCTTCCCGCGGGGCGCAGGGCCCCGCCACGCTGTCTTCTGGACGCCGCCTGCTTCGCTGTCACGCTTTGCGCCTGTTGGGCATGTTCCTGGGGGGGAGGGCCAGACGACGCTTTATACGGTTAATGAGTTGAATGGGCGAATGAATGCTTATGAGGTTGTTTATCCGGCTGCCTCTGGCTCTAGCTCTGGCGATGATGACGAGGAGGAGGAGAAGGAGAAGAGAGGGGATGATGAGGAGGGAGAGGAGCAATGCCCTACCTTCAAACACATCCAGTCCTTCGTGCCCTATCCGGATGAGACCCTGCCCGAAGGCGCTACTCTCTCCGCGGTCGTCGCTGCGGGGTCCAACATCTACGTTTCGATCCGGACGGACCAGGCCTTTGCGCCTAATGACTCCGTGGTGACGCTGAGCCGTGCCGAGGATGGGACAGTGAAGGTTGAGGATCTTGTTTCGTCGGGGGGGAAGGTCCCGCGCACGATGGCTGTCAATCGGGAGGGGAATTTGATGCTGGTTGGGGATCAGAGCTCGGCGAGGGTGGTTGTTTTGGAGAGGGATGTGAAGAGTGGGGAGTTGGGGGCGGTTGTGGCTAGTTTGGATGTTGGGGAGGAGGGAGAGGTGGGGACTGCGGAGGGGGTGAGTAGTGTTGTTTGGGTTGAGTAGTTTTCTTTGTGTCTTTGTTTTTTTGTTGATTTGTTTTGTTTCTTGTGGTTAGAAATGAGACCTGCTGGTGAGTTGGAACAGATAGATAGATATATCTTCATTGATGCAGTCACCATACATATATCATAAGAAGTCAAACCAACCAACCACAGGATAAGTATGAAAAAGCCAACACCAAAATGCCACCGTTAGTGTATATCGAATGATCGCCAGCGTCACGTCAAATCTCACTGAAGAGACAGATCTCACCAGTTATAACAGTGAGAGAAGAAGAAAAAGCATCTCATCTAGTGAAAGAGAGAAAACAAGAAGAGAAGAGAAGAAGAAAAAGAAAGAAAAGAAAAGAAAAGAAAAGTCCAGCTTTCACATCTGGTGCGTTACATCCAGGGTTCTCGTCACTTAGGGAGTGCCCGCTGCTGTTGTCTGTTCCGCCCGCTAAGCACTCCCCGTCATCATCCGTAAATCTTTTGAGTACCGAGTCCCTCAATCCGTTAATCGTAACGTCCGTAAAACATGATTGACTCCGTCCAACTCCGTGTTCCGGTGGATAAAAGAATAAAAAGAAAGAAAAACAAGAGGGTTGAAGGGGGGGAATGTGAAAAGGTGAAAAGGAAGGAAGGATCATCTGAAGTCCAATCGGAATGCCTTCCACTTCCCTCCAATCGCCCGGCACGATGGACAGGGCCGGTTGGGATAGCTGGTAGGTCCATGCGATATGGCACTGCCCGGGCTCGATGTCACATTTCGGAATGAGTTCTGCGGACTACCCATGAACATGCCCACGCACTCGCGACACACGCCGCAGATACACTCAGTACAAGCGTAGCACTCGTTCACGGGCCACGCGCGCTTGCAATGCGCGCAGTAGATCTCGATCTCCTTGCTGCGGTAGGAAGCCGGGGTCGGGTTCGAAAAGCGGTGGTGCTGGCGCTGCGAGGCCGACGAAGGGAAAATGTTCAGCACCGGGCTCGAGTCGTTCATCGGGGGTCCCAGGCGGCTAACGCCCATTCTGCCGGACGTTGTCGACGCCGAGTCAAGCGACGACTCGATGGACGGGAACGGTTCCAGGTCGCTGTCGCGGTTGCGGGCCAGGTCGTAGGGCGGTGGGGTCAGGGATTTATGCAGAGGCGACGCCGCGTACGAGTGAGGCCCGAAAGGACGATGCGACGGATGAGGGAGCCCGGACTGTGCGAACCCCGGTGGTAACGACGACCGAGTTTTCTCGGATGGTCCCGTCAGGTTGGAAATTAGTGGGGGAATGGTGGGCGAGCGACCGAGCTGACGTCAGGCACGGTTAGCAATCTCTGATAAGGGCCGGGATGAGAGGTCTATGAGCGGACTCACCTCAGACTGTCGATCGTCATCGACCTCCGTCGCCGATGTGGCTGCTTCGATCAGGTCCTCCCACCGTTTGCCTTGTGCCCATGCGGCTGTCTGTGGTTCGGCCGAGAGCGCCTTGCGGTCGCCGAGACTAGGGCGTCGTCTGTTCAGCTCGCGCGACTTGATCCGTTCGTGTTTCGGCTTGCGAGCTCCAGAGATGGACGACTTGCGCGGTCGCGGTAGCTTGTCGCTTCGTTGAATCGGAGGCAGGGTGGAGGAGCGCCCCGGAGGCGAGTGGTTGAGGATGGACGGGAGCAGGCCTCGTGGGCGAGGAGGCGACAGTGGCCGTAAGGATTCTTGTTTAAAATGATCACGCAGCGAGGGCAGTTCAATGGAAGAACGCATACGACCTTGCGCAAGGTCGTTGTCCGAATGACTCTCCTGTCATTTGTTATTCCCACCCTTTAAAAAAGGGTCCAAAAGGGTGAAGTCAACATACCATATCCGTATCCCAGTCCGAGGCGAGCCGATTATGATGCAACTGGGCCAAAGCTACGGCAGCTGTCGCAGCGGCCGGATGAGTCTCATCGGGCCCGTGAGGAGTAGCGGGAGAGCTGGCATCCGCGACGTAGATATCGCGGTCGGCGATTCCTAAATCCCCATCAACAGGGTATTTTCACGGTCGCATGGAATATACCCACCATTGCGCCTCCGATGAGACTGGGACTGGTTTGGCGGAGACAAATGGGCCCGTTGATCCGGCGGCGTGGTGACCATCAGAAGGAAGCTCTCCTCGGTCGCCGGGAGCTTCGGGATATAGTGGTTCGGATGGGCCCGCCGAATGTGCTCCTGCATGGAGCGATAGCGCTTCTCCTAACGCGGGGACATGACATGTCAGATGCGAACGCCAGATAGGTGGTTATAAAGCCTCAGCCTCCGTCGCCACCTCCCTCCCCGTTCCAAGTCCCATGTGTGTATCTCCCAGCCAGTTGACAGAGTGATAGTCATGATCAAAACGGCCGAGCTTGCCAGAAGTGGGGCTCTTATCGCGGAGTGGTGGGCGGGCGAGAGAACAAATAAGGAGGGGGGTGGGTGGGAACGGGAAAACTCACGCCCAAGCATCTTTTCCGACAATTGGAGCCATCATTGTTCTTCAGTGGGCAAACCACCTCATTGTTGGCGTCCGTCACAGAGAATGAGCTAGTCATGGACGCTCGGGGGGGCATGGTCTGCATGAATCCGTAGATGGCGGGGTTGGTCCGAGGCAGAAGCTAGCCAACAAGCACGCAGATAGATAGATGACAGCAGGACAATGAATCAGATCACTCTTAAACCAGCGATACAATGCATGCTCCGAGAGAGGGCAGGGGTAGCAAGCATGCAATCGATGAAGCGGCGCCAATATGGGGGGGGTCAGAGGGGTAGAAAGGAAGCTGAAAATGATGCCAGTGGCAGACAAGAGGCAAGAATGAAGAAAGAAAAGAAACCCACTACACCAGGAGGTTGTAGGAAACAAGTTAAGAATTCATCAGACCAAAAAAAGCTGGAGTAATTAAAGAAAGTTAGTTGGCTTTGCTGGAGCTGAGGTTAGTTAACTATAGTCGTAGTTAGTCAGGGTACGGTATTTCAATAACCAGGCTGTAAGGTAAGGAAAGAAAAGACAAGCTACCTTTAAGAGGAAACTAGGACCAGCTGGTGTGGACCGTGTGCTGAAGTGGATCCAAGAATGGATGAAAAACTGATAAAAAAGGAAAGCCAAATGAATATTGGCAAGACCACGGATAAGAATGGAGAAAAATGGAGAAAATGATGTGAACCAAAAGTAGAAATAAAGGAGGAGTCCAAGACGAAGAGAGGAGGAGGCAAATGGCCATGTTCTCTTGCGAGCGTTATTTACCAATAATACAATTATACCAGTATACCAAATACCAGATACCAGATACCAGATACACCCATACCCTGCCGGAACCCTCCGACTATGATCGTTGGACTCAGAGGCGAGCTGACCAATCTCCAATCCCCAGAGAAGATTGGTAGAGGAATGAGGATGAGGGAGTATTTGGTACCGTACGGTATCACATGAGAGACCGGGTAACACGGCTCATACATCCCACACAATGGGAGCTTAAATGGCTTGGATGCCAGAGGACGGACTACGGAGTAAGGTAGAGGTGGTTAGGAGGTATATGAGACTGTATTCCAGAACAAGTCAGCTCGAGATAAGGATGAATGCCTTATCCTGATGCGCTCGATATCAGCTGGTTGATAAGTCTATCGATAAAGCTGACCGTGGACAGCGCGATATCCGCCCAGCAAATCCATCTCCTCTGCAGCCAACTGACTAACTAACTAACTTTGCTCGGAGTAGCATCGACAATGTGACATGCGACACCGGATTAATTCATTTTGATTTGATCCCATGCACAAAGACAAGACCTTGGATCGAGCTGATTCCTCTCATCTACCATCTCACGTGTGTTCCGAGTTCTCTGCCTCGGGTGGACTGTCCCTTACCATGACCTACACCAGCAAAGAGGGGTTTTAACCGGTCAAAAACGGACAACTCCAAGACCCTTAACAGTACTATCCTCTAATAATGAAGTTGGAACGCAAGGTGAGCTCGGCCTTGCAGATGCTGTGCTCGTCTCGTGGTATGCTTGGTGCTTCCCCACGAAAAGGCCCGGCTGAGATCGGCCTGGTCTGATACCGTTGCTGTCAGTATCATGTGGTATTTAGTGTATTGTGGTGTATGGTATGGTACGGTATTGTCGGAGTTTGCGACAGCTGCGGCAACAGCTTAAATCAAGACAAGAAAAGAAACAAACAATATGCGTTCATGGTGGATAGAAAATATTCCAAAATATTACTACATGTGTCTCCTATATATCTATTTCTGATTCAAAAAAAAAAAAAAAAGAGAGAAAGGAAAAAGAAAAGACAGAGCAAAAAGAAGAGAAAAATCCAAGGTGGGATGCCCCTCCTCCAGCTCTCCGCAGCTCCCGCGTAGCTTGCATGCAACCCTATTTAGTTCTATTGGAGCTCCCGAGCTTCGAGCTTTCACCTTTTCTCTGGCCACTGCCTCCCACTAGGCCTGTTGGGGTTTAGCTAGTGGCGAATTCGTTCCTTATGTCCGTGCCAGAGTCATCCTTCTATGAGACTTTTGAAACAGCTGGTTGTCGCAAACAGAGACGAGGAAATTTTTATTTCCGCTTAAAGGCCATCTTAGCCTGTATTTTACAATATTAGATAAACCTAGGATTAAATAATTTCAAACACAAAGAATCAACCAATATAAGGGGGGGGGAGAGAGAGAGAGAGAGAGAGAGAGAGAGAGAGAGAGAGAGAATATATATGGGTCTGGGTGTGTGCCTCCCAGAGTGAGAGATTTTCTACTCCGTAAACCTATCTTAGGTAGAAGTCAGGAACAGCACACCGAGCCCCATCATCCACGCCACCAAGACCGTATTTCAGATGAAAAAGCCCTCACCGAAGCTTCCATTCTTCGGTGCGGGGGAACAATCACCTTGATCCATGTTAACTGCCGGTTTCGTTCTGGTCACAGGCAGGGGTAGACCGTAGGACCTAGGCAGGTTACTACTCACTACCAGTATCTAAACAAGTATCCAGGTGCCTAGGTACTAGGTCCAGACTATGTACTAGTTATATGCAACCAATGCAACCCCGTGCTCTTCGCTGCATGTCGCTTGAAACCAGGCTCTCTAGCTCAGGGAATCTGTTTCTGTTTCCTGGTAGGGTGGATCATAATCGCTGACCGTACCAGGCTACTACTAGGTACTACTGCACTGGCTACATTAGTAGAGCGTCTTTCAACCACTTGAATGGACAAACGATGAATCTCGAGCCATCCTGATCAGATGGAGACAATGCCGGCGGGCGCGGTGGTTTTGTTTCCTGTTCAGGGCAGATGCAGACGAGTCCAAAGCAGTGTGATTGGAGAGTGATGCCGCTGGGGTGGCTGCTGGTACCCAATTAGAGCTGTGGTTGTTATACTCTGGACTGGTTAGTACCGGTATTGCTGGAGGAGTGGGTAAGTACCTCCGGTGGGCAGCAATACTTCTGGGCATAGAAAGAGAACCAACTGGATAGATAGCATTAATCCGTTTCGCCTGGGTGGCGTCTACAAATACTAGATTCAGGCAGTGTATCAAATTAGCCAAGCTCCCGAATAGATCCTATTAGCCTGCAGTCAAATAGGTAGCAAAGTTCTGATGTATAGCCGAGACCTAGTGCACAACCTCCTTATACGAAAGATAACAAAAACATACACTATCAACCAAAAACAATAGAAGCAAAAAAACCTCCAGCTTACTCTCACCCTAGCAACAGCTATGCGAAGCAGACGAAGCAAAAGCAAAAAAATTCGACAAGGGCCGGATTCGAACCGACGACCCCGAAGGGATAAGATTTCGAGTCTTACGGATTAACCACTCTCCCACCTTGCCGTCTTGTTGAATATTTGTTTTTGCTTTGAAACTGTAAGGGGAGGGTAATTTTAGTGACAGTGTAACCCTAACTTGCTGTGTTCACGGTACTACCTAATATTTCCGACAATCGTGTTGGAATGTGTGGATTGGGATTGATAGTATCATTGTTTGTTTAGATTAGCTGCTAATAGGTTATTATCTGGGTTTAATCATAGATACAGGGTACTCTGTGTGGGTTATATCGAGGTTTTCTCGAAGTTGTGTCAGTTATATATTTATTGACATGATTAAAGAAATTGCTATATATCCAAGGCCAGATTTCTAAACAACACAAACCAAGTTGAATTAGTACCACCCTATAAGAAGAGAAACATAATTCCAACTAGCGTGTAATTTCGTAAACCTTCATAAATTCAGGAGTTTTATCAGAACACCGCTGCAGGTCTAGCAACGTCCAGACGGGACACAAAAAGGCCGAATTGAGGCCTAGCAGGATTCCTCGAGCTGACCACGATCCATAGTTTCCAGAGCAGGACAAGATAGCTGGAAAAGCTAACAGCCTGATTGAACATAGGCGTCGCAGTTGAAAACCAGATAAATCGGGTTGCAGAGCTCGTATAGTGTGGTTAAAGGATGATGCCAGGTTTTTGACAAAACGTCCCTCATCGCGTATTAGAACAGTTCGACGATTACCCGGTTCAATCGACCAGAACGTTTATTAATAGGCTAATTGAGCCCGTTTCCAAACCGGTAGTATCGCACTTTGCACCAGATCGAGAGACATGTCCCGGAACACAACCTCGAGTTGGCATAGGTATAGTCCACCACAGTCACGGCAATATTGCCTCGACGTGGGATCCCGTTGACACAGATTTTGCTGCTGCTGGAAAACTAAGTCTCTACCTAATGCGAAACAGCAAATTAGCGGATTCTGTCAATATATCTTGTCTGGATCTTCTGACTATTCATACCTCCAGGCTTCAATCCCAGGTTTTTTTATCATTCAGGGAAAAAGTGCTTTATTTCAAAGCCTATCATAATGATCCGTCACAAGTCTCTCACCACCCTGGACTCTCATCTCATGGGCAACGCTCTCCACATTGTCGACCTCCCTTACAATTACGAATATGGAGATCGATGCCATAGTGTGTGGCCCGCAGACGGCCCCCTTTTGTAAAATCCTGGTAGTAGGCCTTGCGATCCTTGCGTTTTGCGGTGAAGAGACTGACCAGCTCAGCCTCCTGCAAGACAATCCTTTCGGCACCCTGGGGCACCTGCAGCAAGGACAGGGGGATTTCTCTGGGGTTCAGACGCAAAGGTTCTATTGTATTCAATAGGCCTTGTTAGAATTGGGCTGTCTTCGTGTGTGGGTTGTATAATGCTGAGAGACTTACACTGAGAGCGAGACCCATATAATCAATTAAATTATTACTGATGTAGCTTGGTACTCTCGTATATGGTTTTTTTGTTCAGGAATTGGCGGTAAGTCATTGGAGTGATGAACGTGAATTATCTCGTCAAAGTCTTTTTCAAGGACCAGGGACACGATGTGGAGAAGCCTCGGATATCAAGACTTATAGAGCCTGACGGACTCCTTATTGTTGCAATAAATAAGGGGACTGTCAGGATGGCATGGATATATGACGATTTTGGCCTTCTTGAGTAACCCTATATTCAGGGCTACACCTGTAGATCGAACGGCAGAATAACTTGTCGAGCGATAGATGTATCTGGAGCATCCATGCAAAACGCAAAAAGTGTCGATGCGTGGCACACCGAGGGACAGACAGCATGTCTAGGGAGCTAATCAGTATGGGCTGGCAACCTATTTTGATGGATTGGATTCTATTACCTGTAAGGGACTCGTGCCATGGGATAATAGATACTGAAGTCCAAGGAACTGAGCCTCGGCAGACGGTATGATATTCCGTATCTCGGAAGGAGGGATTTTATCCACAGGTCCCTTTCGACGAGTAATAACGACCACCTCAACCATCCCTGATAGCCGTACCCTGAGCCAGAGCCGCTAGATGGGCTACTAGGTAATGCTGTCCTTTTTTTGAATTGGGACTTGGGCCTTGAAGCTTCTTGGAGACGAGATAACAACAAGTTGGTCATTCTCTGTGGGCTATGCGACACCTGATGCAATACTTTGAAGCACCAATCTATTCTCTTCAGTGATCTCGAATTCGGGTGCCTCTGCCACCGTTTATGCGCAGCTTTAGCGGCTTTTGCTTCCACACGATGTGTGGCTTTAGGTGAGTGAAAGTCGGGGTAGCTATCTGGTCCATATGAGGCTAATATCTGCCACTGGGTGACTTTGAAGATTCAGGATTTCTGTTCTTCGGAGATGGCACGCCTCTCGTGACCGATCAGTAGCCTCATGTTAGGGCATGGGTGGCCAGGCTTGACTGACTGAACATATCTACTTAGCCACCTCGCTCCCAATCAGTTTGGCTGGCACAATAATTAGATTCATTCCGTCGTGATCACTAGCTTGTGTTTTATCAAGCGGTCATCTGTGTAGTAGCACCCTATAGGGAACGACCTAGCCGAGGGGTAGCTGGTAGCATTGGACACTTCTAAAGGTGACGCCCTGTGCCCGTGAGGCTTGCACATTTGCGCGGCTCGGATTGAGAAACAAGGATATATATATATGTATATCTATATATTGATTTGGAGGTTTTAAAGTAGATGTGGGAAAAGAAAGATGGAAAGAGGAGGAGAAGAGGATGAAGAGAGAAAGATGGGCATATTAGGTAGAAGAAAGACTGACACCATGAAAGGCCCATAACCATACATTTGATTCTCTTCTTACTAGAAAAGTCGAAACGATGAATGATAACAGCATCGTCTGAAGGATTTAGTACCTAGTGGATAGGGCAGGCTACTGTTTGACCAGTTACTGCTGCACAAAGCAGCTGATGATTGTACATGGTTATTTGGTATGATAGAGCTTAAAGAACAGAAACCAAGTTACTGAAATAAGTACTAAGATATTGAGCTCAATGAATTGATTGGAAAGAGAGTGATGTGAGTGGTGAAGGGTGGACAAGAGTTGAGGGTATGGATGTGGATATTCCTGTCCAGGTTTGGTCTACGAATAGGTGCTGCTAGTTTACACAACTGTCTTTTCTCTTTATCTTGGTATCCATTGTGGTATCCGCACTTTCTTTATTTTGGGATATATACTTTGACATATAATAGAGTGGTACCATGATGCCCTAGTCGGCAAGTAGGGTACTTGCATATAGCACGTTTTCTACGGTCCTCCATTAAGGTGTAGAGCCACCATTTGAAACACATTGTTCGCCGTCTGCGACATGAGCTTACAGCTACTTCTATTGTGGGATGTTGACAATGCCAGGCCAATTGTAAACCCTACTACGTCAAATGCAAGAACTCATGCATGATCGACAGTGCGGCATTAGCGCCTCAGGCAGCAGACGGCGAAGAATCTGGAAGAAACAACGCGAATTGATCTTTGTTCGCTTGTAATGGAGACTATTCTGCTTGAATTGAGATTTCCGAGCCATTTGGACCCATTGTTGTCCGCAAGGACAGTAGATTGAAGACGGTTGAGAAATGCAGACAGCCAGCTCGACCGTGTTTGTCTACACGGCTGAAGAATGGCCGATAGTAGATACCGGTATGTCCAAATTTTCAGGTGGACCCCGAGACTGAGCTGCGTGTCTGCCGTGTCAATAGAATCGTTGTCTGGATCCAAGTCCACCCCTATCCCGTGCGAGAGGGTAAGAATTCTGTCGCGAGTGGATACTATTTGCAAAACAACAACAGTGGAAAACGCGGTTGTTGAGGGATAAATTGGTATAATTGGTATAACTGCCTTGATCCGCACGTGAGGCGGGCCGCTAGAGACCGAAAGGGGAAACTAAACAGCCCACTTTTTTTTTTTTTTTTCTTCTGTCTTCTTCCCCTCCGCGTCGAAACTTTTTTTTTCTCTTTGCTCTTCATCTCTTTTATTCTTCTTCTCCTCCTCCCCCCTTCTTCCTCTCTCTCTCTTCCTTTCTCTTTCTTCCTCTCAAACTCTCCTTTTTTCTCTTCCTTTTTCTTTCCTTTTCTTTTGTTCCATATTTTTGTGATACCCCTTGAGCTGCCTGTCATTGTGCAGACAGCTCTTTTTTGTCCCTGTACAGGAGCCTGTGCAGAGATTTTCTTCTCTTGAGGACCTGGGACTATCCCCTTAATTCATCAGTACATAAAAATTTGGTTACAAAAGCATTGGGTTTTTCTTTCACAATGGATCAGCAACGCTTTCTCCAGCAGTTGCAGATTGTCCTGAACCGTGAGTTTTCCCAGGTGACGCCGATGTGACAGATCATACTGACATGTCTTTTTTCAGCCTCTCAGGGCAATGTCAAGGAAGCAACTGGGGTGCTCCAACGCGAGTACTATAACAAGCCCCAGTCCCTGGTTCTTCTGATCCAGGTGGCTACCGGCCATGAAGACCCCAACCTGAGACAGCTGGCCGCTGTGGAGGCCCGCTCGTTGGTGAACAAGCACTGGGTTAAGATCCAGCCCAACGAGAAGCCTCAGATCCGCGAGCAGCTGCTCCGCTCCTCCATGGGCGAGAGCGAGCCTCTGGTCCGTCACTCGATTGCGCGCATCATCTCCGCCGTCGCCAAGGTTGACCTGAACGACGGCGAGTGGGCCGAGCTGCCCAACTTCCTGATCCAGGCCGGTGGCAGCGGCAACAAGGATGAGCGTGGCGTGGGTATCTACATCCTCTTCACCATCCTGGAGACGCTGGGTGAGGGCTTCGAGGAGAAGTTCCAGGACCTGTTCAACCTCTTCGGCAAGACCATCTGTGATCCCGAGAGCGAGGAGGTCCGTGTCAACACCCTCCTTGCTCTGAGCAAGCTGGCCATGCACCTGGACTCCGATGAGGACGAGGCCCCCGTCAAGGCCTTCCAGCAGCTCGTGCCCCCTATGGTGGCCGTGCTTAAGGATTCCATCGACCAGCAGAACGAGGACCGCGTCATGCAGGCTTTTGAGGTGTTCCAGACCCTGCTGGGCTGTGACCCCGCCCTGCTGACCGTCCACCTCAAGGACCTGGTGGTCTTCATGAACGAGATTGCCGCCAACACCAACGGGGATGAGGACACCCGCACCCAGGCCATCAGCTTCTTGATGCAGTGTGTCCAATACCGCAAGCTCAAGATCCAGGGCATGCGTATGGGCGAGCAGCTCACTCTCACTGCTCTGCACATCGTGACCGAGCTGGGTGATGATGAAGAAGACGACGACATCACGCCCGCCCGGTCCGCCCTTGGTATGCTGGACATGCTCTCCCAGAGCCTCCCCCCCAGCCAGGTCGTGGTGCCGCTGCTGCAGGCCCTGGGCCAGTACTTCAACAACAGCAACCCCGACTACCGTCGTGCGGGTATCATGGCCCTGGGCATGTGTGTCGAGGGCGCCCCCGACTTCATCAGCACCCAGATGAAGGAGATCTTCCCCATGGTCCTGCAGCTGCTCGCCGACCCGGAGCCCAAGGTCCGCCAGGCTTCTCTGCACACCGTTGCTCGTCTGGCCGACGATCTCGTCGAGGACCTCAGCCAGGAGCACGCCAGACTCATGCCCCTGCTCTTCCAGAACCTGGCGAGTGCCATGCAGGAGTACAAGGGCGAGGAGGATGGCCCCAACGTTGACATCATGAAGGCCGGCATCAGCGCCATCGATGCCGTCGTTGACGGTCTGGACGAGAAGGATGTTGCCCCCTACCAGGGTGAATTGGTTCCGATCCTGCACAAGCTTTTCCAGCACCCCGATTTCAGAATCAAGGGTCTGGCCGCCGGTGCCATTGGCTCTCTGGCCTCGTCTGCCGGCGAGGCGTTCCTGCCGTTCTTTGATGAGACCATGCATCTCCTCCAGGAGTTCGCCACCGTCAAGGACAGCGAGGAGGAGCTGGATCTGCGCGCTAGCGTGACCGATGCTATGGGTGAGATGGCCATGGCCGCCGGCCCTGAGCGCTATCAGCCCTACGTTGAGCCGCTTATGCGTGCCACCGAAGAGGCCCTTCACCTGGGACATTCGCGCCTGAAGGAGAGCACCTATATCTTCTGGGGTGCCATGTCCAAGGTGTACGTTGAGCACTTCTCTCCCTTCCTTGATGGCGTCGTCAACGGTCTGTTTGCCTGTATCGACCAGGACGAGACCGATCTCGACGTCTCCCTGGGTGAGCATGGCAAGGACCTGGTTGGCCAGGAAGTCACCATCGGTGGCCGCAAGGTTCGCGTTGCCAGCGCCGATGACGACGAGCCTGTCGGCGAGGATGGTGAAATCGAGGACGTTGATATTGATGAGGATGAGGACGCCTGGGATGACATCACCGCCACCACTCCGCTGTCTCTTGAGAAGGAGATCGCTGTGGAGGTGATTGGCGACCTGGTTACCCACACCAAGGCTGCCTTCCTGCCGTACTTCGAGAAGACCATCGAGGTTGTGCTGCCGCTGGCGGAGCACCCTTACGAGGGTGTGCGCAAGAGCACCATCAGCACCCTTCACCGCTCGTACGCCATGCTCTTCGGCATCGCCGAGGAGACTGGCCAGATGGAGAAGTGGAAGCCGGGTCTGCCTCTGCAGGTCCAGCCTGCCAAGGAAGTCAAGAAGTTCGGTGAGATCCTCATGACGTGCACCGTCCGTATGTGGACTGAGGAAGATGATCGGTATGTCAACCTTTTTCTTTTCTGTTATTATTACTCTTCCCGCTCGATTGAAATCGAAGAGGATCTTTTCCCACTTCATTTTCACCCTGCCTGGAAGAGTCTCGCGAAGGATCTCTATCCTTCCGAGGCGATTACCATGATGAACACCTTCGTTTACCCAGCTCACTCGGAGTCGCAAAGCGACGTTGACGTGAACGACGATTTATCTACTCCTGACTCAAATCCCCTAAACCGTGCCTGTTTTTGAATTGCTTGGAGAGATTGATATCTAACCTCTTCGATGCTAGTGCTACTGTCGCCGACATCAACCGCAACATGGCTGAGAACCTGCGCTACTGCGGTCCTGCCCTGATCGCCAACGAGACGACCCTTCACAACGTCATCCAGATGATCACCGACATCATCACCAAGCAGCACCCCTGCCAGATCGAGTTCGGTCCGGAGGAGGAGTCCGCCGAGGCTGGCGAGGAGACCTCCGAGTTCGACTGGATTGTCGTTGACACCGGTCTCGACGTTGTGTCTGGTCTCGCCGCTGCCCTGGGTGAGAGCTTCGCCGAGCTGTGGAAGGTCTTTGAGAAGACCATCCTCCGCTATGCCAGCAGCAACGAGTCCCTCGAGCGTGCTACCGCCGTCGGTGTCCTTGCTGAATGCATCAACGGCATGGGCGCTTCGTGCACCCAGTTCACTTCCTCGTTCCTCAAGCTGCTGCTCCACCGTCTTGGCGAGGAGGACTCCCAGACTAAGTCCAACGCTGCCTATGCCATTGGCCGTCTGGTCGAGCACTCCAACGCCGACGCTGAGATCATCAAGGAGTACCCTGCGATCCTCAGCCGTCTGGAGTCCTGCCTGCACCAGGATGTGTCCCGTCTCCAGGACAATGCGACCGGGTGTCTTAGCCGCATGATCCTCCGTCACCGCGAGAACGTGCCCCTCAAGGATGTCCTCCCGGCCCTGATCAAGCTTCTGCCCCTCAAGAACGACTATGAGGAGAATGATCCTTTGTTCCGCATGATCTGCCAACTGTGTATGTCCCACTCACCCGGAACTCTAGTTTTTTGAATGACCGCTAACGTACCAATAGACAAGTGGGAGGACGCCACCATCCGTGAGCTCACCCCCCAGCTGCTGCCCATCTTCCAGTCGGTCCTGACTGGCGATGCGGAGCAGCTGGAGGATGAGCGCCGGGCCGAGCTCGTCGAGCTGGTCAAGTGGCTCAACCAGATGCAGCCTGGAGCGGCTCCCTGGGCGGAGCAGCTTTGAGTGCACAGCCATATTTGAAAGATGATGGCTTGATGATTCCATGAATACGACATGATGGATAGACTGGATCCTTCAAAAGGAGCTGTGACGATTTAGAACACGATACCCTAGCACGCGGAACTTGGCCGTCCGCACAAGTGCAATGACCCATGCCAAATCTATAGAAGATGGACTGGAAGGAATGATTTATGACGCCAAAAGTTGATTAATAGTTGTACATATGGTTAGCCTTTAATGAGGATAGCAATTCTTTCCATCATATTAATCATCGCTCATTGTAAACGACCACAGTAGTATCTATATATAGACAGCAAGGCTGGAATTGGGATCTCCACCTGCAAGAACATCGTGGCCTCTGATTAGCGGCCGCATCACTTAGTCTAGGGCACGACCCGACCCCGGACTGGGCGTTTTCACAGCTGCCTGATCGACTTCTTCATCCACCACCGTCGCATCACCATAAGGTAGGTCGTTAACTGCATACAATTACTTCATAATAACGACCACGAAAAGCTGACCATTAAGCATATTGAAGTGATCCCTCCATCCACCCACTACTACCTCCGCAGTCAGTCAGCCAGTCAATCGCAGACCACCCGCTATCGCAAGCCACCTACCTCACCTCTCAACCTCAAAATCGAACATCAACTCAAATAAACCTAAATCAATAAAATAAAATGGCAACCGGATCCACCCCCTCGCTGGTGAACTTCACCCTCCCGTCGTCAGGGTCCTCCGGATCATCAATCAGCAAACCGATCAAGACGGTGTCGAAGCCTTGCTTTGGGTGTGATTGTGGGGATGAGGAGTGTGATTGTTGTATTTGTACTGTTATGTAGGGGGTTCCCTGCATAGATTTTTACTCATGTGTGTATATTGGGGTAGATTTGGGGGATGGGGTTGGGAGGGATGAGATGGTTTGGGGTTAAGTGGGTGAGTGGGTGATTGATGATGATGATGATGTTGTTGTTGTTTGTGATATCCGTCTGGTGGACTTGATCGGTCAGACTTGTTAGGAATTTTTACGTTTTTATTGATTTATTTGATTTATTGAGGGATTGGATTGGTGTGACTTGATTTTGGATGGTATTTGATTGTTGTTCGCTTTTTACTTGCTGTTATGGTGTCTTTTGATGAGTGGTTACGGATGTACTATGTCCGGGTTGAGCGTGTGTATCCTAGCAAAGCTTGACTTGTCATTCCAGTAATTGGCTTGTTGGTTGGGTTGGGTTGGGCTTAAACAATGACATTATACGTGCTAGTCGTCTATAACCACAGAAAAAGAAAGCCATCCGGTCGTATTCACGGCCATCCCCATTCCTACCCATCGGAGATACCCGAACACGTCTTCAACATACTAGCCTCGTGTGATTTTCGCCCTCGTATGTGATTTAATCAAAGACCGGCATACACACGATAGTATGCACGCTGTTCGTCTGACTCGACAAGCGCGGTAGGGACCTCCTTGGTAGAAAGAGCAGATATCAGCATCGATCTCGCTCACTGCTTGCTGCACAGTTGAGATCTTGCTTGCGTGCGCCAGTAGCAATGCGCCGATCTCGGTAGCCACCGATCTGGCTGCATGGGGTGCTCATGTTGTGTTATGGGTCTCGTGGGGGTGGGATTACAGGTGATGCACCTGGACTGGAGGGGGATGATATCATGTCCGGGTTTGAGGGGTGCTGTCTTCGTATCTTGATGGTCTTGAGGTGGAGGGAGCTTGACTGTGCTTGATGAGTAGATCGTATTGACCCACTCGGGGAGATACTTGAACACGATGAGTGTATACTAGTATGAGTTGATAGTGGTACCCCGACGAGAGATGGGAAATGAGCGGTAGTCAAAACCAGGATCCATCCAAGGAACATCCCGCATACCCCGACCAACCTAGCCTGTAAACCTTAACCGACCAGCTGGAGGCTCGACCCAAGTGAAACAGACCGCAGCTTGTGTGGCGATCCAGTCTTACCTCTGTGGACGTTGGGACACATTACCTAATTATATCGGGTCGGGGAGAAGTTGCCCGACGCCGTCAGTGCTGCGTCGTCTTCACTGGCTCCATGGCTTATGACAAAGGTTGCACAGCTGCAACATCTTCTTTGTCTGAGATTGTGGAATGAGCGGTGTTCGTGTCAGAATCAGGGGGCCATGTGGTCCTGGTATGGATCGACGTGATGCTTATGATATCAGCCTCCGATATCGTCTGGTTCCATTCAGCTTTTCCCACTGCTCTGGAATCTGTCTGCCTAGCATTCCAAAGAACAACACAAAGGGATCTCCAAGAATCCCAGAAAAGCAAAAAAAAAAAAAAAAAAAAAACCATGCGCATGCTGACCGGAGCAGCAGTGAAGCTGCAAGTGAATCCACAGCCTTTATGGATCGAGGATGATCTCCGCTGACTAAGTGGCTGATTTCGCCCCCTCTGTTTGTCAGCGGCCTCGGAGTGGAATTTGATGTAATTAAGCATCCTTCGATCCCCGCCGTCGTCTCCGATTTGGTTCTATACTGTGTAGATGGCCGTTGCGACTTTTCCATACTAATCCTTAGCTCTTACTGAGGAGGGGTTGGCTGATTCCGCACTAAAACGCCAGGTTTCCCGTCTCGGCTTGTCGCAGATCTATCATGTATCCGTCCCCAACTTCCGGGGAGAATCCCGAAGACGACTCGCACTCATCCAGGAAGCGCATCGCGAGAGCATGTGATTCTTGCTACAAGAGAAAGGTACGGACAAATTGGTCTCTTTCGATAGAGAAGCGCACTGGAGTTCTGATTAGATCTAGATCAAATGCGACGCGGCTGTACCACAATGTAATTGGTGTAGCCACCACAATATCCCGTGTACCTTCACGAGAACAACCCATAGAAGACGCAAGGAGAAGATCCATGCCAATCCGTATGACCCACATTCCACGCGTTGATAATTGTGGATCTGCCGAGTATGATTGAACTGAACGGCTCTTTTAGCCAGCAGAAAACTTCGCGTTTGGCGGAGCGCATCGATCGCATAGAAAAGCTCCTGACCGATAATTTGCTGCGAGACTCCGGTATGTCACTAACCCCGAAACCTAATAACCCAGTACTCAATGACTCAATGGATGCAGTGCCTCGCGAGTCTCCAAATAGCTCGAACACCGAAAGCCCAGGCTTCGATCACCCGCCGAGTATCACCCCCATCGGCCCGTCTTCCGTCTCCTCGTCCGTGCCCCTTCACTTCGCCGGTCGAGAGCTGGGAGTCGTCAGTCTGATCACGGGAATTCCGTTCCTACTTCCTGAGGGCCAGCAATGGATCCAATCGAGAACCGGACAGCACATCGCCTTCGACAAGCTCAGTCCCGCCCGGCCACCATGGGAAAAGCAGCGAGCGATGAGCTCTAGTGCTCTGCTCATGGATCTCCACAAGGTGTTCGAGCTCCCAGAGCGGCACATCGTCGAGATCAATTTCGAAGCGTACTGCGGCTCCCTGATGATGCGGATCTTCCCCATCATCGACACGGCGTTGTTCCAGAAAACCATCACTACTGCGTACCGTCATCAGAATACCCCCTCGCCTATTGGCCAGGCCGCGACCAGGGCGTGTATCTTTGCTTTCCTTGCCTTTACCTCTCTCACACGCATTCCGGAATTCGACTCAATCCGCCAGCAGATATCCCCGGTGGACCCGGAAACTTTTGCCTTGAAGGCTCAGTATCTCATACCGCAGGTTCTGCAGGAGTCGGCGACGCTGGAAGGGTTACAGACGGTGGCGATGCTGGTAAGTTTACTCCATTTGCTCCATTTTGGGTGACTTTGATGCCCCGTAGGTGTAACATACTGACGTCTTCAGGCACTGTACGAACTCGTTTCTGGGAATCTGCAATCGGCCAACTATTACGGGTCACTCTCTGCCCGCATGATCTTCATGCTGGGCGCGCATACAACCACTTCCCAACAGAGTGTACTCTACCAAGACTCGGTCACGGATACGGACCCACGCGCACAACATCATCTTCGAAACATCTTCTGGCTGTGCTACACGATCGAGAAAGACGTGTCTCTGCGAACGGGCCAACCGCAGCTGTTCGTCCACGATAACTGCGACCTAACTCTACCACCCGGCTACGTGGAAAAACTCTACACCAGCTTGGAATACCACCACCACTCCCAAGAACTGCCCGAAAACCCCCTTTTCCCCGTCGATCTCCGCCTCAGCATCATCAAGGCGCGAGCGTGCAGTGCGCTATACTCGTTCAAGGCGCTCCAGAAGACGGACGCGGAGCTGCTGAAAGAGATCCGCGAGCTGGACGACGAGCTCGAGAAGTGGAGGGTCTCGGTGCCGTCCGAGTGGAGACCGACCCTGTCATTCTCGCACGAGACGCCGGATCCCAACGTCAGCATGCATTCCGTGATGCTCCGCTTGAACTACCATCTTTGCATGACCATCATCCACCAGGCCAGCAGTCGCTGCAAATCGTGGGCCAATGGACAGGGCGGCATGATGGAGGGGGTGAGCTCGAGCCTGGCCCTGTCGGTCGAAGCGAGTCGCTCCACGCTACTGTACCTCGAAGCGGCCGAACATGTCCTGGTTGATGGAATTTTCTGGTTTGCCGACCTCACCTACGTTTTGTGTGCAAAATGATTGACATAACTCTTCCCAGGACCCTCATTTTCTACCCCATGTCGGCGTTCCTCGCCATCTTCTGCAACATCCTCCAGAACCCGATCGACCCGCAAGCCACCAAAGACCTGGGTCTTTTGAGAACCGCGACCAGCATGATGGAACGGGTGTTCCTACGGCAAACGTGTTCCACGAACGAGGTTGTCCACATCAAGCTCGTGGCCGATTTCGTCACCGAGCTGTACAGACTGGCGAAGTGTGCCATTGAGAAGGCATGGCGCGAGCGTGCAGTTTGAAGCAGAGGTGCAATTGGTTGGGATGGAGACGAGAAGGGGGTTGTGATTTCCGGTGTTATGGGATAGTTTAATGAGATATGACGGGATGGATTCTTAGGCGCACGGCGTTGGAGTTTTTTTCAAAAAGGATGAGGGGTCGTCTGCATGGTCGATTGGGGCGTCAGATGTTTGACCATTGATTCCTTGGAGATACCACCACCTTTAGAAGTGAAGAAAAGCTATATAGAATATTCAATAACACTCATCTTTCTTTTACGTGGTAAGTTATGTTACTCGAAGGTCAGTAGTCTGATTTGGTCCTGCAGTACTATATATAGCAAACCTGCATGCGACCGTCCAAAACAAACAACCTTTACAGCCTTTCAAAAGCTCCCGAGGATCATCTCTAATCACCACCTTGTTCAGGGGAATTATTTGACCAGGCGGATGCAGGTGTCATATTCTGACAGAGACTTGACTCGTACACAGGAACTATCAATCTGACATATCGTCACTCATAGCCCTCCCCATCAAAAGAATGAATTGAATCTCCGATCGAAAAACAACAGACACCCCCTCGCACGCGCACTCCACACAAGCCGACCTTCATATCTGCCCTACTGTCCATGCGGAGACGAACGGCCCTTGCGTGTGTCATTGGAGCAAGGATCTGCGGAGAAGCCAGACTAACCCGGGGGCGGATTGACGCCTATTGGATCGTGAGGTCTCGTATCTGGGCTATCAATTGGGCTTCCCCACGGCGGTCTTTTATCCGCTCTGGCGAGTTGGGGTTGATCATAAAGATAGCAGTTTAGCTCTTCCGGGGGTGTTTTAAAGGGGACGGTTCTTGTCGGGGTGGATTGTCACTACGACCGCTACAGTTCACGAAAAAGGAATACGAAGAAAACAGTGCTAAACGGTGAAGGATGGAGCGCGATAACTCCCCAGACCAGGACGTCATTTCCTGTGCCCCAGGAACTGTGCTACTGGAGGATAGTAAGTGTATACTCGGCGTTTTCAATGTGGAAAAAGGAATGCGATAACTAAGTCTTGTCTAGGGACACGAGGAGACGAAATAGTCCTCTTCCCCACGCCATCCGAAGACCCCAACGACCCACTCAACTGGTCCTCAGGTCGCAAGTCCGTGAACCTAGGCCTCGTGTGCTTTTTCGTCCTCTGGACCTTCGTCGAGCTCGACATCGCCTTCACAGCCTGGGGCCCCTTGCAAAGCGAGCTAGGCTTCACAATCGACCAGCTCAACGCCGGAGCAGCAGTCAACTACGGCGGCCTAGCCATCGGGTGTATCTTCTTCGTGCCGTTGGTGCACAAGTACGGTCGTCGCCCGGTGTACATCGCGAGCACCACGCTGCAGTTCGCGTCTTGTATCTGGCAGGCGCGGACTAAGACGGTGGGGGACTTTATTGGGTGTAATCTTGTCTCGGGCGTGGGGAGCGCTATCAGTGAGATTATTGTGCAGATCACTATCGCTGATTTGTACTTTGTGCATCAGCATGCGACGATGAATGCGTATTTTGTGCTTTTTCAGTGCATTGGGACTTTTCTTGGCCCTGTTGCGGCTGGGTATATTATTATGTCGCAGGGATGGCGGTGGATGTGGTGGTGGTGTGTTATCTTCCTAGGTGTTACTCTGGTCTGCGTGATCCTCTTCTTCGAAGAGTCGAAATACGTCCCTGTTCTGAACAGCCAGGAAGTGACCCCATCTTCATCACGCGCACAAAACCACATCTCCGCAGGAAAAGACGGAGCAGAAATCCCACCAAAACTCACAGAAGACAACAGCACAGCCAACCCCAAAGAACCACCACCCCAAAACCACATCCCACGCCCCAACTCCTACCGCCAGCGCCTCGCCCTCTACACAAAAACCGACGAGTCCCTACTCCCCTACTTCCGACAACCCATCATCGCGCTCTTCGCCTTCCCCGCGGTGACCTACACGGCCATCACATACGGCACGACGCTCGCCTGGTTCGCCATTTTCACCTCCATCCAAGCCACGTATCTCATCGAGCCGCCATACAGCTTCGACGCGACAGGCGTGGGCCTCATGAACGTGGCCCCTTTCATCGGGGCCGTCGTGGGCTTCTTCCTCGGCGGGTATCTCAGCGATAGGATGATTGTGGTCTTGTCGAAGCGGAATGGGGGGATCTATGAGCCGGAGATGCGTCTTTGGTTGGCGCTGCCGGTGGCGGTTACCAATCCGGCGAGTTTGTTGATGTTGGGGCTTGGGCTTGCTTATGTATGTCTTTCCCCCCCCAGCAGCATCTTTGAAAGACGACGTTGCCCCTGTTGTAATGGGTCCGGCTAATACGGAAATAGGAATCACACTGGAGTGTCATAGCCGTAGGATACGGCATCTTCGGCTTCGGCTTCGCTGTGATCGGCGAGACGACGCTCTCCTACCTAATGGATAGCTACCAGGACGTGAGTTTCTCTTTCCTCCCTCATTTACTTCCCCTCCACCATTCAACAAACTAACCCAAAACCTTAAAACGAACAGATAATCGGCGACGCCCTCGTAGGCGTAATCTTCACGCGCAACATCCTCTCCGTAATCGTCCTCTTCGTGCTCACACCCTGGGTAAACGGCATGCACATGCAGAACACGCACATCCTGGTCGCAGTGCTATGCTTCGTGGTCCTGCTGCTGCCCGTGCCGCTGCTGCTGTGGGGGAAGAAGGCGCGTGTGTCGACGGCGAGCCGGTATAGGCGGATGGCGGCGAATCAGCCTACGCATCGGGCTGCTTGAGTGGTATTTTGTGAGTTGAATGTTGTTGTCTTTGGTTTTAGTAGGCGTTGGATGGCTTGTTGATAGTACAGTATATTTTACTTTGGTGGTTACTGCTTGGTAGTTTGGTTGAGTATACTGGTATTTGTATTTGCCCGAGTTGCTACGAAGATTTAAGAGCGTCGTAGATGACTAGGGTATGTATGTGGCAGGTCGGGACTCGGGTGTTTTGTGGGTTTTTTGTGGGTGTGGTGGATATTGGTAGCTCGGAGCCGGGAGTTGGTGGATTTTTGTGGGCTCGGGATGCAAGGATCAACAATATTGTTGACATGCTTCTGTAGTTGAATTTCGCGATTTTTATAGAGGGCAGGGGTTGGAATGTTCTTGTCGAGGTTCTTTGCGGCTTCTGGTTTCTGTTGACTGCTACATAGTGTCCATGTCCCCAGGGATAGTACGATACGAATGGAGGGAAGGTCTTTCGGGACTGCCATGTAGGCATTGATTGGATGGATCAACGAGCTTTGGACAATGTGTTCCATGAGATTATATTGCATCTTGCTAATTGATAATGGTTCATCTTGCAATTCCTGTAACTTTCAAGCCATTATTAGTAGACAATTCATCTTCCGATTAGACAAAACCACAAGAACAAGAATTGACATTGGATCAGATATATAGAGGTAAGAATGCATAAATATCACCACGGAGCACTGGTAGATGCTCTCAGATGGGGTTGAAACAAAGATAAAAGCAAATCATCATTGAATTGCAGGTAGGAAACCATATCAAAACACACGTACCATTTATTAGTAGGGGGGATTGGATTGGAATGTTAGCACCATGACCACTGTGCTCATGGATGACAAGCCATTGGCAGCGCCATCAAGCTGCGAGGGTCGAGAAGACCAGCTTCTCTGTCCTTTGGAGAAACAAGAGGGAAAGATTCCAGGGGAGCAGTTGGTGGGATTTTAAGCGCGGCGGATTAGCGCGTCATGTGACCCAACCGGAGAAACGGAAATTCCATAGTGCCGATTCCATTAACAAATGGAAATTATGCCGGGATTGAGACGGTTGATTGGATGGAAGACCGTCTGTTCTGTGTCCAGGCACTGCGTGGAGTGCAGATTCGAGTCGAATAGTGACCCGCGTGGAGTTGCAATCCAAACCCGGCCATATGGCACGTCTCGATGTAGGGTAAGAGGCTTTGCATGCAGTGTCTCAATTGGCGTCGTCCAACAGATCCCAGATTAGCTTCGAGTTGTCCTGCGGTGGCTTGGCGGCTGCTGTGGCCTTCCTGGTCTCTTCGTCGACAGTAGCATCCACGTCGATTCCTTGGGCCTTGAGTCGGTCCAGCGCACTCGTGACCTCGGCCTTGAGCTTGTCCATCTCTTGAATCTCCTCCCGGGTGCGACTCAGTTGTTCTTCCATCATTGTAATCAGGGACTCCCGGGCTTGGTGCGGCCGGTAAAGGTTCAACAGGTGATGCGCATTGACGAACAAGTTGCGCAGGTCCTCCACTTTGGACTCGTATTGCTCAGGCGTGACCGAGAGTACGCCGACAAACTCGAGGAAGTTGAGAAGGAGGGACTTGCTGATTTTGAGGAGGTAGTGGGCGTGGTTCAACGGTCGCGCTGGTTCGGAAGACGGTTCGCGGTCGGCTTCCCCGCCGGAAGAGGGGTAAAGCTGGGTGATGCCTTGGTCTTTTAACTCGGGGAGGGCGGTTGAAAGCTGCAGCGCTCGGTTGTAAGCAAACGTGGGGAGGAGTGTAGCAGTGCGAGATCTTGAGTACTCACATTTTGGACCTCTCCGAAAACACTGTATTGTCCTGACGTAGGAATGTCGGGAGGCACGAGGAGACGCAGCTCTGGGGGGAGGTCCAGCGAGCGCAATTCCGTAGCGGTCCACTTATTCTTCTGTGGTTTCCCATCCTCGCCCTTAGACGCTTCTTTCTTGATCTGTTCCAGCTTTTTGAGGTTGTCTGGCGTGAAATGTTTCCATAACGGAGGTGGTGGAGCAAAGGCCGTGGTCAGCGCTCGCTGCTGTCCGTCGGCCATGGCGTTGGCCGGTAGATTGGAAAACGAATGGAGTTTTTACCGGACCGGATACCCTCTCTGACGGTATACGACGGAATGACGCGTTGTCAGGAGAAAGATTGCATATGGTCAGGTACGACAGTGCACATCAGAATGAGCAGATCCATGGTGTTGAACTGGACCGTGCGCCAAGGCGGCGAGAGAGTCGGGATTGGTCTGGAATGTTTTCGAGCTTTGCCCGTCTGGGAATTCCGCTTCGTGACCAGTTCGTCTGATCCCAACCTAGTGATTCTTGCGCCTCGTCCAGTCTGTCCTCTTTCTCCTCTTTGCATGATGTCGCGTTGTGTCTGATTTCATTTCGGACTTCTTTTTATTATTTATTTTTGTCCTCGGCTTAATACAGTTACGATATGCGATCCAGCCAGCCCGGAGTTCCTGGGGTGTTGGCCCGCTTCTACCAGCGGGCCTCCCCGGTAATGGACTTTGTGGCCTTAGCGGTCATCTGGGGGAGTTCAGTTCTGGTAAGCAACTTGGTATATGTTAGTGGTCGAGATGAGAATCTGACAACCGCCATATGGGTGTAGGTCCAAAAAACGTTGAAACCTTCTCCTCGCTTGTTCATGCTAGACGACAAGGATATTCAACACCCTTTAACTTCCCATGAAAGGGTGACCGTACGTAAGTGGTTCTTCCTTCTATACTGTTCAGGATCAGAAACTGATATTGAGCGTTTGTAGAACTATCCATGATCTACGCCGGCCTGATTCCTCTCCTCACTATCATCGCCTGGGCCGCCCTGACCCGCCCCAGTCGCTATCAGATCCAAGTGACGCTGCTTGGCCTTTTCACGTCGCTGATGCTGTCCTCGCTCCTCACGGATATCATCAAGAACTCGGTTGGACGCCCTCGTCCGGATTTGATCGCGCGCTGTCTCCCTCAAAAAGGCACCCCGGGGGATGTCTGGGTCTCGTTGTCTGTGTGCACCCAGGAGAATAAGGGCATGTTACTGGATGGTTTCAGAAGTTTCCCCAGTGGCCATAGCAGTTTCTCGTTTAGCGGACTGGGGTACTTTTCGTTGTGAGTTTCATAGTCGCAGCAGTGCTTGTATAGACCAGGTCGCTGACTGCTGCTTTCAGCTTCCTCGCCGGTCAAATGCGCGTTTTCCGGCCGAGATCCGACCTCTGCCGCTGTCTGCTGGCCTTCATGCCACTGTTTGGCGCGTTCTTGATTGGACTTTCCCGCCTGGCTGATTACAGACATGACATATACGACGTGACCACCGGCTCCCTTCTGGGACTGGGCGTCGCCTATTTCACCTACCGGCGGTTCTATCCCTCTCTGGGATCCGTCATGTGCGATGTGACCAAAGACCGCGATGAGGACCTGAGCACATCCGGCTTTTCGAAACTTCCCGATGACGAGGAGCAGCAGATCCGCGACGTGGAGGAGTATCAACTGGACGAGACGTCTTCGTCTCACTCGCCGTAAATGGCCGCTCTTTCCCCCGGCTTTATGATACCCTTTTTGCGGTTCTCATTTGGCATTCATTCGATTCTCTCTTGGCCTAGCTTACCGTTTATCATGTATTGGTGGCTCCGATGCCTGGCTATTTCTTCAACTATAGCTTTTTTTGTCTATTTGTATATATAATGTCGTTTCGCCTTCCGGTCTCTCATTTGACATGGAGTCACGAGCTCAATTCTGACATATACTGTTTCTATAATTATCTATTGAGAATCTTCGCGAAGCCATGGGAAGCCGGTGCACTCATTTCGCTGTGTGGTCTACGCTGTCTTTTCCTGCTCTTTGCCGCGATAATATCATGAATTTTCGCCCCGTAGTTGATTGCATGCCTGAGGCACGAATAATGACAGGCGGCGATTGGCGGGCACGATGGAGACGAGACTTTGGGCGATTCTCCACCGGCCTCCCTTATCGATTGACCCCGTCCGCAAAGACAGTAGGTTCAAGAGCCCAGAGGGTTTGCATAACCGACGCTCTCTGACCTACCTTCTGGGGATTCACTAGTCTTGCTACTTTACCGCAAACATTCACCGGCTCCGCTTTTCTATACCCCAGCCATTGCTGGCAGTCTCGCCCTCGATCCAGACCCGGTTACTGATATTGGCCGCGCCACCAGCAATTCCCACGTCAGAAGAGCAAACAATGTAAGAAAAACCAGCGGAAATGCCGCGCAAAAAACCCACAGAAAACACCAAGCCCATCAAAACCCGCAGCCGCGGCAGCTGCAAGGAATGCCGCGCGAGCCGGGTGCGCTGCGACACTAAGAAACCGGCGTGCACGCGGTGTCGCGAGCGGGGGCTGACATGCTCGACGGATCTTGTCCTCAAGTGGGAGTCGGACTTTGCGAGCCGCGGGTTGGCATTTGGTAGAGCGGGTGTTTGGAGGAAGGATGGCTCGAAGCTCTCCCCACCGGCTTCTTCTTCTACCTTGGGCGGGGACGAGCATGCGTGGTGTGCTTTGCCGCCTATAGAGAAGTGGGGGTTCGTGAATAGTGGAGTGGGGACGTTTGAGAGGCCGGATTGGGTCGATGTTGTTGCTTGTGAGGATGAGGATGAAGAGATCTTGACTGATATCCCAGATGCTATCGGGTTGGACCGACAGCCGCGGGGAGCTGTGCTTACACGGCTTCCTTCGCCGGCGCCTTCGTTGGCCTTGTTCCCCCAAGTTTCGGAGTCTTCTGGCCATCTTTTCGAGTACTATGTCCAGCAGGTGTGTCCGCGGACTACAGCCAGCTCAAAGCAACCGTCCCCGTTTGCGTCTATCATCCTGCCCTTCTCTCTATCTGCATCGTCGACGCTATTCTCGGCGATACAGGCCTTGGGTGCATGTCATCGCTCGCGGTTTGATGGCTCGTACAGAATGGTCGGGCTACGGCACAAGGCAGCCGCGCTGAAGGGTCTACGGCAGCGGCTCGCGACAGCGTCTACAGCAAGCTGGGCTACGGATCCGGAATTACTCGCTGTCATGGTGATGCTATGTCTGTATGAAATCGTGGACGACTGTTCCCAACAGTGGACGGTTCACCTAAAAGGCGCCAAGGATTTCATTCGCCTGCGGCGACGGCAGCAGCAAAAGACCTTGACGAAGACGCCTGATGCCCAAGACTCCGTGTCTACCTTTGCGGAGCTCTTCTTCGCCTTCCAGGACGTCATGGGCCGGACTGCGTGCGGGGAGGAAGTCCTCTTCGGAAGTGACTACTGGGCGGAGAGCGAGCGCACAATCGACCTGTGGATGGGGTGCAGTCCCGAACTAGCATCCATCTTATCCTACATAACAGAGCTCAGTCGTACACGACGACACCTAGACTCTGATTCAGCACGCGCGCAATTTTCCCTCCGAGCCGCCTCCCTGGGAACCAAACTAGAAACCCTAGTCCAGGAGGTCCCGAACGGCGAAGACCATACCCTCCAGTCCGCCGCGGAGATGAAACGCCTCGCAGCAGTCCTGTACCTACACTGCGCGCTCTGCGGTGCATCACCGACTACGCCACTAGTCGCCAGCTACGTTCGCCGCATCCTGAGACTCGTCTTCGACCTTCTCGACTCCGGATCGTTCGTCAGCATTACCTGGCCTGTTTTCGTCGCTGCCGTGGAGCTGGACCCCGCGCAGGACGAACTCTGGCCCGAAACTCCCCATCATGCCGCTGCGTACGGGCGTCCGCTCGTACTGCGTGCTTTGGCGGCTATGGCGGAGTCCAGTGTGTCTAATGTAGCACGCACTCGCGCCGTAGTTGCTAAGGTGTGGCAGGCTCGCGATGGGGATATGACCAAGGGCCCTCCACTGGATGCGTCGGGGGTGAGTGCGAACTGTAATGATTGGGAGTGGTATGTGGCGCCGATTAGCACGGCGATGAGTTTGGCATGATCATTTATGGGAGAGCGTTTGATTCTGGTTCACAGCCATCATATTGGTTTTATTGGTTACTGTTTCGGGAGTTATGGAATTGGGTTCAGCGTGTGTTTTACATGATTTCTAATATAGTGTCTTTGAGAGACCAGACTTTAATGCCCATTGAATTTTATAAGTTCTCACACAAACTGAGTCGAGATATACGTTGAGGACTCGATGGTGTACATGACGTTGTCTGCACACCACGTGATCTGAACAGCCACTAAACCCGAATTAGAAAGAGGTGGTGCATCTGACCAATCAGCAGCGCAGGCGGGGCACGGCGGGCGTGATTTGCCGAATCCGACGTCAGTGACGATCGGCCTCACATCCATTTCTTATCAACTCGATCCTCTTCATTCTTCCTTCATTCTTGTCATTATCTTGATACCTTTGTTTTTTCCCATCTTCAAAGAGATCTCAACCCCTGTTCCGAAACAATAATTCCGTTCTGGTACTATCAATTGTCTGATTCGGTTTCTATCTTGAGCACAAATTGCAACCCTTCTCGGGACTTTCCCATACTACGTCCGGCCTCAGCGCGTATCCACTCCCCATCACGACACGAACATTTTCCATCAACGGCCCTGCAGGATCAGGTGTCATCATGTTGTGAACTTGTCTGTTTCATATATTGACACGTCAGATTGGTCATTAATCTTACAATTATGTCGCCATTTACTACTTCTTCCAGCGTGTCGCACAGCCTCCCCAGCGTGCCACTCGCCAGCAAGTTGAGCGAGCAGCTATCGCAGCGGAGGGACCTAAATGACTCGGGAACCACTTATAATAATGTGACCGGGAAGAACAGTTTACTCGGACCTCCATTGCGCCCGTCACCCAAGTCACGATCTCTATCCGACGCTTCAAAACCCACTTCCCGCTCCACCTCCAAATCCGACGACAGTCGGCCTTCCAGCAAAGATGACATCTCCCTGTCATCCGTCCCCGAGACCCCGCGACGGCCATCCCTAAACCAAGAATTACAACTCCACCTACCCGCGAAGCCCACAACGCCATCCTCGGTGTCCAGCCAAGCCCCCTTATCCCCGAAGCTCGACTCTTCTCAGATCTACGGCTCGCCAGGATCAGTCCTTCCCCGTCGCTCGCGGGGATTGGATTTTTCGCGTGCCTGCACCAACCTCCATCACTCGACTCTTGCAGAGTCCTCTCCAGATTCTTCTCCGATCATCGGCGGGCGCGGTGTGCAGATCCCACAACGCCGCGGCTCCATCGGCTCCACCTCAGTTCATCCGTTCTCTACCTCCGGACCCGCGGATCGGGCCACGGTATCCAGTTCCGTCTCGAGCGTCAATATGATAGAATCCGACACCAGTAGCAGTGAGGACGAAGAGGACGAGGCTATGATGGGAGATAGGGACGACATGATGATCACCAATACCCCGCAGGCAAACAAAATGAGTCACGGAATGAGTCCTTTTGCGCCTGGTGGGGTCTCTAGCCCTGGAAATGACTGGATGGGGGGATACTCCCAAGCGGCGACCAGTCTGATGAGCTTTCAGCGAGCCCGAATTCGCAGCAAAGGGGCCCGTAGTAGGCACAGCTCCAGCAGCGCCAGTGGCAATAGCTCGAAGCCTAGTCCTGGCCCGCTGTCCCCGCCGGTGATGAAGAGCATTGAAAACCCGGGTAATGGGTATTTTGGAAGCCGAACTGGGGCGGCCGCTACGCGGAGGGAAAGTTTGAGCTTCGGTGCGCGGGAACTTCGCTTGTCGGACTTTAGTGACGAGGGTGAGGGCCGCGCTGGGCGTGGTCACAGCCCAACTACCTCCAACTCCGAGGGCGGGTACCTTGGGGTCATTCGCCGCGCTGTGACGCGACGTGGGAGTTTATTGGTATGCTCCATCCTATTTACTTTCGTCTCTTAGTCGTCTTGGCCTGAACCGGTCTCTAACCCTTTATACAGCCAAAGACAAAGACGTTCGCGCGGATACGAGCTGCATTAATGGAGGAAAGCGCTCCCGTTGACAGCGACTCCAAGCGTGAAGCCGAGGTTATTCGACAAGTCCGCGAGAGCGAACCGGGCATTCCGCAGACGTCGCCGGAGATGACAGCCCACGATTATGTATCGCCTGGCGGGAGCGTGGCTCACCCCGTCGATCTGCCCGGAAAGGCTCCTTCCCACGACGAGCCGAATTTCAGCGAGCAAGCGCATCGAAACTCCGCCGGGGCTGATTTCTGGAACAATTTCGACGAACGTTACCGCACGCCACCGCCCTCGTTCCGGCAAGCCGCCGCATCGTCTGTGTCGGAAGACGAGCTGGCGATGGACTTCACGCCGTCTGCCAGAGCCGGATCCTCCGCTGGAGAGTTTGCCAAACCCGGAGAGAGACCGTACTCACGGGGTTCTACGCCCCTGCAGAGCCATTCCGCCGCCGTTGCGGAGATCAAGCGAAAGCGACGACGGGAAGACGACTTCGACCCCAACCTATTTAAACGTCGCGCGGTGTCGCCAAGCATGAGCGCGCAGAGCAGTCCCATCATGCCGAACTCGCCCGCGGTGAAAGATTACAGCTCCAACATTTGGGGACCGCCGCCCAAATCAAACCTGGGATCGCTATTCGCGGATCATCCACAGCCAGACCACGGGTCTCGGAACGCGCCGACCACACCTCACACGGGGACCTTGAAGCGCGTGGGATTGCAGGGGATGACGGAGACCAATGACGGCCTGATGAATATGAGTATTGAGTAGGCATTGCATGGGTGGTAGGATTTCAGTTTGTCACCGCTTTTCGATGTTGTTCTTTTTTTAGCGTGCACATTCATGGATAGGGTATATTGATGGTGTTTGTCACTTGGCGTCTGGGAGATGCTTGAGCGTTGTGGGATATCTGTATTCGAACTAGCTAAGCGTATGATATGAACCTGCTACATCACAGATTTATACAGAAATGTAGTCTACAATGCAATTGGATGTACAATCTACATACAGATGGCCGGACACGTGCCGCGCTTATCGCGCTAGGCGGGCGCTGTTGACACCGGGGAAGCCATCCGTTTCAGGCATCATCCCCCACTTCTCCAAGTTGAACCTATTCATTCTCTAATCTATTCACAAGCGGCACATCCTACTTATTTAAATAATCTATCTAAATCCGTTCCCACCGATCGCATCGCCCCCATGGACCACACCGTTGAGATCGCATCCTCGTTCATCGAGGGTGCCCCGCCCGGCGAGGTACGTATAGCTTGCTCTCAGGGGATCATCCTAGCTCGACCGTACTGACCTTGTCCAGCTCGGCGATGTCGTTGCTGGTATGTTTATTTCTATCTCAACTCTCTCAAAGCTCCAACATTCCTTATAGAATGCTAACATGTAACGATTACGACAGACATCAAAGCCCTGACCGAAAGCGACGACATCATCCCCTCCCTGGCCCCCGCTTTCGAACGATACAACCACAAACAGCTGACGACTGTCCGACTGCCCGGTGCGAGTCAGGAGGTACTTACCTACACAACTACATGATTCTGGAAGACAATGGTGGATGGTGATGCTGACGAGTGGAAGGTCATTGTGAGCGAATTCAACCGGCTGGAAGACGGTCGGTACTTTGACGTTGAGAGTCAGACGTCTTTTGAGGTGGACCATGTTACGCAGGTGAGAGAAACAATCAGGAATGAGTATTGTGGAGTGAAATGGGATGGGATGGGCTGATAAAGGTATTGTTGGATAGGAAGCGACTGGATCGCAGACGTACGGGCTGGAATCGCAGAATGCCGATTTGATGTGAGTTGGCCCAAGCTACGACGATACAGGAGGAACGGAATGTGTGCTGATAGATGGACAGTAAATCCCTCCTCAAAGCGATGGGTAACCATGCGCGCGAGCACTACCGGAGTTGCTCGTACGGGGTGTACCCGATCGAGAACGACTCCGCCATTGCCATTGTCCTTGTCGCGAACCGCTACTCTCCGAACAACTTCTGGTAGGCTCACAGTTGTCAAAACCCTTTTGCAACTACATACTGATGAATGGGGTAGGAACGGACGATTCCGCTCCGTCTACACCGTGCCCGTGTCCGAGCCGACAACCGTGACGGGCCAGATCCAGGTGGACGTGCACTACTACGAGGACGGCAACGTATCGCTCAACACGCACAAGCCGGTGCATGCGTCCGTGCCGTCGTTGTCGGCGGAGGGCATCATGTCGCGGATTGGGGCGGCGGAGCGCGACTACCAGGAGCAGCTGAACCGGGCGTTTGTGCAGATGGCGGAGGGGGCGTTCAAGGGACTGCGACGACAGCTGCCGGTTACGCGACAGAAGGTCGAGTGGGAGAAGGTTGGGGGTACCGACTGGGACAGGATATTGCCGGGGGGCGGTGATTTTAGTTCTCCTTGGGATATTACACTGTCAACGTCTGCGAGGTCAGGCGATAGATATACATACTAGTATGGATACGGGGTACTCCGTAACGAAGCCCTTGCAGGGGAAGCGTGCAGACTGCAGACTGCAGAACCTCGGGAGTGAGGCTGATCCTAATCTAGTACATACACGAAACGGGGGGTCCACACCGCTCCTTAATCAACACCTTTCATCCGTAACTACAGGGTACTCCGGATCCTAGTATTTGCACTCCCATCAGCATATTAACTCCTTCTATCAACCCAACCAAGGAAAAAACGAAGACAGACAAACAGAAAGCAAGTCAATCAATCAACCCCACGAAAATGGCCACAGCCACAGCACCCAAACCCACCAGTCCCAAAGTCCACCAGGGGCGACCGCCCCTGATCCAGAAATTCTCCACCTTCACACGCACAGCCGCAGGGCTCGAAAAGACCCTCCGTCTCATCAACGCCACCTGCCAGATCGCGGGTGCTTTATCGGGTGATGTCGTGACTGCTTCGCGGTGGGGGGCTGCGAGGGGGCAGTTGGCTTTGAGTTAGTATTTTCCTCCGTCTTACGTGTATTGATTATGTATTGGGATAATGTATAGTTATTTATATAAGATTAATATATTAATGTGTGATGTAGCAAGACGATACTTCCGCTTCTTCAACGTCATTGACTGTTTCGCTCGCGTGGCGGGTCTTCTCTCGGGAGACGGTGAGGCTGGGTCAGTGATGGCCTTGTTGGAGCTGGCGCGATGGACTTGTTTGGGGATGTATTTGTTGTTGGAGGATATCACTATTGTATGTGTTTTCCCCATCCTTTTCTTATTAATCTCCTTTTGTATTACTTATATTACTTTTATTATCATGGATAAAAGTATGATGGTAACTAACCTGACACAGCTCCACGCAACCAACATCTACCCGGTCTCATGGAACGCGCGCGTCACAACCGAGGCCTACCGGTTCTGGTTCTGCGGGCTCGCATTGTCTGTGTTAGGGTGTGTATGGGGTGTCTTACTTGGAATGATTACTTCTCCCTCCTCGTCTTCGTCTTCTAATAATAAGGTATCCTCCAATGGAGGGTCCGAGAAGAAGCCCGAAAAGGAAAAAGGGCCTGTGGCGCAGTTGCCAAGATCGGTGCTTGTCAAGAGGATTATCGTCGATGGATGCGATTTGTTGATTCCGGGGGCGTTTCTGGGGTGGATTGGCGTTGGGGAGTTGGGCGTGGGCGTTGCGATGTTGGTGAGTACGCTTGTTGCGGGGGGGGATTTGTGGGTTAGTGTTACTTCTACTTAGTATCTCTATATTTATAGAGATAGATGTTTATACTGTGAGTGGGTATAGACTTGCAAGTGAAATGAGTCTGGTCAGTACACATTGTTCAAGATCAGTGCTGTCTACTCCGTAGCATCCCTCCATATTAGTACAGCCTTGTGCGGGGATGAGGATGACACCCTTGACTGTTGAATCCGAGAGTCTGAGAGCAGCGTCCGAGAGCAGCACAGACTCAACCCTAGCCTTGTCCTGGTCAATGAGTTATATAGTGTAGGAATCATCGTATGACTTCCAGACTCAGAACAGAGATAGATGACATCATGACATCCCCATCCATGGTAACCCCCCAACCCATGGTAACCACCAAACCAAACCACAGCCCCCAACCACCAATCCTAAACAGTAAATTAAATGTGTTAAAAAAAGCCAGAAAATTTGGAAACCGAACCCACGAGCTGACGTCGCTTTGCCCCCCTGCAGGCCCAATCATGGGTCTTCAATCCTTGCCGATCGCTTTAGCGCTGATGTATCCAGCAGGGCGATGATGCCGATCGATTTTCTTCTCTCACGAGACTTTTGGCTGGGACTGCGCCTTGCTTTCTTTCTTTTCTTTCTTGCTGTGATCCTTTTGGACGTTGGATACTATAGAGGAGATTCTTACAATATTCTTTTTGGGGCTCAAGTTGAGTATATACACTGCATTGCATTCCTGCGGATACTCGGCAGGTTTTAGACGACTTACTTTGCATTACCTCCCTACGCTGTTACGATATTACCTCACGACTTAATCTTTATTTACTACCTATTTGCTGAGCCCAGCTCACTCGACTACATATACACCTACATACACATACAGCATACAGACAGACAGATTACATACTGATGCCCCCAAGCTATCTATAAATTGAAACAACAAAATGCGCACCCGAGCCTGGACCGCCAGCGCCGGCGCCGCCCTCTTCGTCACAACCGCCATCTCCTTCTACCTCTACTTCTCGCACCTCCTCGTCCCCCGCCGCTGGCGCAAACAAAACCGACCAGGATCCATCTACCGCCCGGTAGAATGGGCCCCGCCGATCAAAAACAGCTACTCGCGGACGCTGGTCGTCGCGACGACGCACGACGTCGACACGAGCTGGGTGCAGCGGCTCGTCGACGAGGAGGACGATTTCTCCAGCGCGGTTTACACGGTTGATGCTGGTGATGGGCTGTATGCGCGGAGTTTCAAGCGCGCTGTTCCTCCTTCCACATTTTCCTCTTCTTCATCCTCATCCTCTCAATCCTCTTCTTCATCCACCGCAGCTGGAAATGCGACAACGACAACAACACCACCACCCCCGAAACACACCCTCACCATCGAGCGAAGCAAATCTTCCCTCCCACACAACAAAGGCCGCGAAGTCATGGCCTACCTAACCTACATCATCGACCACTACTTCTCCCTCAGCGACGTGAACATCTTCCTGCGCGCAGACCGCACCGACAGCGCCGTCCACGACGACCTCTTCGCCGGCGACGCAGCGCTCATGAGCCGCCGCCTGCAACCGGCCTACGTCCTCGACAGGGGGTACGTCAACCTGCGATGCCAGCACGCGCCAGGCTGTCCCGGGATGTCCGTCTCCAGCAGCGCCGTCAATCTCTCCTCCACGAAGCGAAACGCAGCCGAAGACAGCGCCTCCGACCAACTCGGCAGCAGTCTCAGCGACGCGTGGGACGCGCTCTTCCCGTTCGACTCGATGCCGACGGAGCTGGCGCAGCCCGGCGGCGGGCAGTTTGCCGTCAGCGGGCGGCAGATTCGGCGGGTGCCGCTGCTGGATTATGTGTCGTATCGCGGGTGGTTGGTGGACACGGCGCTGGATGATGAGCTGGCGGGGTCGATGTGGGAGCTGCTGTGGCAGTTTGTGTTTACGGGGCAGGCGGCGCTTTGTCCGGATGAGCGGAGCTGCTACTGTGAGGCTTATGGGGTTTGTCTTGGGGAGGGGCAGTATCGGGTTTTTGCGGATGCGCGGGATCGGTTGGTGAGTTTGCGGGGGGAGGACGGGGGGTTGATGGTGGGGTGGATGGGGAGGAGATGGCGGGGTTGGAGAGGGAGATGGAGCGGGTGAGAGGGAGGGTGCTGAATCGGTATGATTATGATTATGTGACTGATGAACTTTATTGAATATATTTTCATTATTTATTTCTTACATTTACGTGGGTTATGAATGTAATGTAGAGTAATGTCTATCCAATGCGACTCTATCATGCAAGTATATACACATTCGACATGATACTACATCCCCATACTCTAGTAAAGACAGCCCCCATATTCTAAGAAGAAGAAGAAGAAGCCTGAGCACCCCCCCACCGCTCCGCAACCATCTCCTCAATATGCGGATTCAACCAGTATCCCTTAATCGCATCCTGACCCATCTGTCCAGCCCCCGCGATCCAACCCCGACAGACGCCCTCCCCAGCACCACACGAGCACTGGAACGGCTGGTCCATCTCCCACTCGGAGCTGGGGTAGAAGAAAGTCAGAGCATCGCCCTTGTTCAGCGGCCGGTGGTCGACGACGCGGACCTCCATGCGGGACATGTCGAAGACGAGGGACGGGTCGCAGGAGTGGTTGCAGTAGACGAGGTCGGAGTTGAGCTCGATGTGGGAGTCGCGGCCGGTTTGGACGCTCGTGTAGGCCTTTTTGGCCGGGGTGGCCGTGGCGATTTTGGCGAAGAGGGCGCCGGCGGGCAGGGAGACGAGCGAGATGGCGCCGCTGGTGAAGGCGCCGGGTTGGCGGTCGACGTGGAGGATGGTGGGGTGGGTTGGTGGGGTGATTTTGCTGGTGGGGAGGGTGGAGGGGTCTTCTGTTGGGGGAGGGATGGCGATGGGAGACATTTTGGGTGGGTTGGAGAGGAATTGAGTGTATAGAGGAGAGTTTAGAGTAAAGTATAGAGTAGTGTATATAGTAGAGAAGAGAGTAGAGGAAAGAGGATGTGGGGGAGAGGAAGACAGAAGGGAATGGAGGGGTTATATGACGATGTATAATAGAGTAAATAAGATTTACTATTAGTTAGTATACCATGAAAGATCCCTTGCACCGAGGTCACGCTGACGATCCTCAGGCCGAATCATCCGGATGAGTGATTGGCCGACTTTAGACCGAGGTTCATCTTTTCACACGGAGTACGGAGTACTCAATTCCTGTTGACGGATGCAGATTGTCTCAATGGATAATATACCTCAGGGCCTATTATCCCGTAGCGGATAATGTCAATACTACCTAACCGACTACAGTATGGTCGATTGACACGCTCGATGTCACATGCATGTCCTGCATAGATTGATAATGCGATTAGTTATGTCGGCCAGGTCACATGCCCCACATGCCCTAACTCCCTTGGGCACCGGTATACCGTCAGTATAGTAAATCATACTCTGTAAACGTGCTCAGTAAATACTCAGTAAATAGTAGGTATCAATTCAACCGCGTTGTCAACTCCTCCCCATCCCTCCATCGAGCCAAATTTTGCGCAACCTCCTCATACCAAGCGTGGATCTGCTCATCCCCATACCCCATATGCGGCGTCAACACAACCTCACTCCGTCCCTCCGTCCCCCAAGCCGTCGTCCGCCACGGACTATCCGCCGGCAACGGCTCCAAATCAAACACATCGAGCGCTGCCCCACGAATCCCGCCCTTTGACAACGTCTCCAACAATGCTTTCTCATCCACCAACGGTCCCCTCGACGTATTCACCAACAGCGCCCCCTCCTTCATCCTCTCCAACTCCTCCCGTCCGACCACCCCGCGACTCCGTTCCGACAACACATAATGCAAACTCACCACATCAGCCACCTCAAAGAGCTCCGCCTTGCTCTCCGCGCACCGCATCTTCCCCCCCTCCACCCCCACATCCCTCGAAACAACGTCCACCTTCCCAGGTGTCAAATTCTCCGACCACGCCACAACGCGCATATCAAACGCCAACACAGCAACCCTAGCCACCTCCGCCCCCAACTTCCCCAACCCCACCAACCCCAGCGTCTTCCCCGCAAGATTCATCCCCAGCGTCTCCCCCTGCCATGTTTCTCCGCCGGGACGCTTCAGGGCGGCATCATCCCGGACAACATGTCTCGCCAGCGCCAGGATAAGCGCCCACGTGTGCTGCGCCGTGCTGTGTGCAGTTGTGGTTGTGCGAGGGCCACTCGTCCCCGCAACGGGAATGCCGCGCTGGGCGCAATATGCGGTGTCGATTGCGCGGTTGCGCGCGCCGGTCGTGAGGATGAGTTTGAGGTTGGGGAGGGCGGAGAGGATGGATGCGGGGAGGGGGGTGCGTTCGCGTTGGGCGATGATTATGTCGTAGGGGTGGAGGCGGGCGATGAGGGCTGCGTGGGAGGTTGGGTCCGCGGGGTTGAGGGTTTGGGCGTAGTGGTGGATTGTGAAGTGGGGGGTTAGGGGGTGAGATGGGGGGTGGAGATGGATTGGTAGTCGTCTAGGACGGCGATGGTTGGGTTGGGCATGGTTGTAGGTTGTAGTATGTAGTAGGTTGTAGGTTGTAAGGAGGTAGTAGATACTCTGTAGATCAGAATAGTGTAGATGATTGTGATTCATAAGTAATGATAGCGGAAGAGGATATAGCCGTGCCCCGCACGACCCAGTCTAGCGATATAGAGCATATTCCAACCCTCATGTATATATATACAGGGCATGATAACCAACCAGTCCTCCTAATCATACTGGTGATAGTAAGACCACGTACGATTCAGCCTCCCTTCCTCGAAATCCTTCGGCTGTCCACAGTCAGTCAGCGAAAGCCCGCCTTTCCCAAGAAAGAAACCAAGGTACCAACCAAAGCATCCACAAAATAATCCACCAACTCAACCTCATCCCCAACCCACTGCCTCTGTCTTGACGAAAGCGAATCCCCCTCAGCAAACGTTTGCGCAGAATCAAAGTCGATCCACAACACCCGATCGCGTTCCCCTGGAGATAGCGATACCATCATATTACGCGGATAAGCATCACCATGTAAAACACCCGCGTTGTGTATCTCGTCAAGGATGTCACGGAGTGTCTCCAAACGGCGCTCTGTATAATTGGACAGATCGATCTGCTGCAGGTTGGGAATGTATTCGATGACGGTGGCGTTGGGGGGGAGTTCGTCGTCTAGGAACATGGTGAGAGAGGGCCATGAAGCCGGTTGGATCTTTCTGATCGTCCCGTAGAAATCAGGAATAACGCCTCTATGGCACAGGCCTTTTGCTTTTAGTCTGCTATATGTGGTGGATTCTGAGATGAATAGGTTAATTTCGCGGTCGGGGGGGGGTCCCATTCGGATTTGCCTCTGTCGTGATACTTGCATTTATTATACCTCAGCACACAGTAAGAGGCAGTAAACGAAGAGAATGGTTCATTTGTTTACCACTGTCATGACGCATATCTTGTCTCGGAAATGGACTTTGAAGACTACTGAGTTCTTGCTCTCTTTTAGCGTTGCGAGGAATTTGACCTCGGATGGGTTGACATCAAGATCGTCGGACATTGGGCTGGTTAGAGTTTGCAAGCTATGAAGAAGAGGTTGAATGTGGATTGTGTGTCGGCTTTGTAAGTTTAGGTAGGTAGGTGATGGTACAAACAGACATAGGTGCCTGACGAACTGAATGATACCCGGCTTTTATTTCTTTGAAAGAAACGAGATCATGTTCATTGGCTGCGACTTGCTCACTTAAGCTCCCCGTATCTTCTCATTTGACAGAAACCAAGCCTGTGCCCTGAGACCTTCAGTTACTTCATACATATGTGCTACTTGGGATGGCATTTAGGATGTTCATGACGAACGTCAGAACTGGTGACTTTTTCAATGGCTGCGGTGCTTTCCTTCCACCCTCTACCTCAGGTCTCAAGCTAGGTACTTCTTTCCCACCATCTCACCAAATAAGCCAGACGCAGCAGCATCAACCAAGCCACCTACTCAGCATCACGCAAATACGGCTTCAGCCTCACCAACAGCTCCCCCTTCTCATAAACAATGTAAACCCGCTGACGATCCGCCCAATCCATCTGCCCGTCAACCAGCTCGATATCGAAATTCCACAGCAGCCGAGACACCACCATGCGCATCTCCGCATAAGCAAGGTACTTACCGAGACAGTCGCGCGGGCCCGTCGTAAACGGATTCGACGCCTCGCGGTTGTCGTCTGCGTAGCGCGCGTCGTACAAAGGATCATCGGCTGGGAGCCAGCGCTGCGGGGCGAAGAGGTCTGGGTCGGTGAAGTTGTGCGGGGAGTGCGTGGTGGCCCATTGGAAGATGGAGATTGGGGTCTATGTTATTTATCAATTTTCTAGTTCTGTTTGTATGGTAGGTTAAGTTATAGAGAGGTGGATTGGGAAAACTCACTCCCTTTGGAATGTATCGGTCGTTGACGACCCATCCGGGCGAGATGCGAGGCGGAGTCTCTGCCAGAGGCGGGTGGATGCGCAGGGTTTCCACGAGACAGGCGTGCAGGAAGGGCAGCGCGGCGGTGGCCTTGATGGTGATTTCGTCCTGGGAGGTGAAGGCAGAGCGGATCTCGGAGGCCAAACGGGCGTACACGTCGGAGGTCTGCGTCAGGTAGAAGACGAAGGCGGCGAGGGCAGAGGCGGTAGTGTGGCTGCCTGCGCCGATGAGGGTGCGGGCGTTAGCGACCATCTCGTCGTGGGACATACCGCGCGAGCCATCCTTGCTGTTACCGAGCACGTAGGCCATGAAGTCGCGGCGGGGGTGGTCGACGCCTTGCGCGATGCGCTTTTCAGCCTTGGCGCGCGCCATGACGTAGTACTGGCGGCGGGTGTGCATGTCGCGGTTGAACAGAAGCGCGAGAGGTCGAAGGAGGGGGTAGTGCTGGAAGAAGGAGAGGCGAGCGCTGGCGCGCATGCTGTTGAAGATCATTGTGGCGAGTGGGTGGAAGTCGGTGCGGTCGAGGCAGGAGAAGGAGTCTGCGAAGGCGAGCTCGCTGATGATGTCGATCGTGAGGTAGTTGAGCCAGCGCGTGATGTCGACGGGGGAGCCGGACGCGGTCTGCTTGCGCAGTTGCTGGATGAGGAGATCGGTGTAGTGGGCGAGGTGAAATTCCTGCTCGGAGAGGGCGCCGGCGGAGAAGGCGTAGGCCATGAGGCGGCGTTGGCGGCGGTGGTCGTCGTGCTGGGCGGGGAGGATGCCGATTCCGTCGCGGGCTCCGTAGAAGGTCGGGATCTTTTCGAATTCGGGGACGTTGGGGCGGCGGGAGAAGACCTCGGGCCATCCGATGGATCCTTCGATTGCGAGCTGCGTGGGAGAGATGCGGACGATGGGGCCGTATCTTTCGTGCATGTGGAGCATGTCTTTAGCCAGGGTACCGGTGATCTTGTTCTGGTACAGATAGGGGAGGTATGAGGCTGCGTAGAGCTTCGGACCGGGGAAGTGGGCCAGAGGGTGGAAGAAGATGCGATACAGGATCAGGCCGACGCGATGGAGGAGGCACTGTATATACTTAGTAGCGTTTCCCTTCATGAAAGAAAGTATCTACTTACTGCTCCCATCAGCAGCACGATGGCTGACCAGATTGTGATCATGCTGTGTACGAGAATCGAATCTCACAGGGATTGAATCTTATAGGAATCTGGGTGAGTTGCAGAGAGGAGAGAAGAGAGTTTTATAAGATCGATCTTTGAATTTAAGCTGGCAACCACAGACAGCCACTGGCAACCACAGACAGCCACTGGCATTCACTGACACCCACTGATATCTACCTGGGGCTGTTAGTGTGACCTGTAGTATCCTTGTCAAGCCCTGTGTTGCAAGTGAAAGTTACTAGATAGACTGTGCAATTATCCTGAATAATATGAGTGATAGTATATATAAGCTTCATATAGGAAGGAATACATAGAAACTCAACAGTAGGTAACAGTTATGAGTTATAATCAATATCAATCATAAGTAATTAGATTGACATCAACTGCAGCACTCTAGTATACACTGGGCTACAGTGACTGTAGATATTTGCCTGATCATGCTGGCCAACTCAATTCAATGCGTTGTGTGACATAGACTTGGATAGTGTCATACTCCTGGCTAATAACAGCAGAGTAAGATGATCGAACTGTGTATAGTAGACACTGTCTAGAAACAACCTGACATGAATAGAGAAAAAGATATAGATCGACATGACATCATATACCTGCCTCAGGCTGCACACTCACCGCCCCGTGGACCGGCAGAACGTGACCCTCTCATCACGGACGGGATCGGTTCATTGAATCTCTCCATCTCCATCTCCATCTTACTTATTGGTTCTTCTGCTTCTCCTCTTTCTCCCCCTGCAGATTTCCATACTTGGCATCTCTTCTGGACCATTTGCTGCTTGAGACAATCCCAAGCCACTAGTCGCTTTTCTTTTTCCTGCTCTTTTGTCTCTTTTTTCTCTTTTTCTTTCTTTCTTTGATGTGAGAAATTTCTTCTCCAGTCCCACACCTTTCAGCCGCGCCCGTGTCAATCATTGAGGGACCCGTCATTATCTACCCTATCATCGAGCTACTTCGCTGCAGTTCTGGTCTCCACTGCCTTCACTAGCCCGGTCCGGCGCTCGACCTTACTTCCAACCGTTCCTTCTCGTGCCATGCCCACAAAACCTCCAAACTCCAACCCACGCATATATTAAACATGTCCTAGTCCCCCCACGGCCCCCGATTTTCAATCTTTTTGTTTTGTTGTTTTTTCTCTTTCCTTTCTCTCTCGCTTCTCACCCCAATGGTGATGGCGACATCCCCACCTTATAGATCACTGGCCCTCCGGCCTGTTGTTTTCGGTCTGGCAAAACTGCTGGTACTGGCCTTCCTTCAGTTACCTCTCATCTCGGCCGCTCCCACCTCTTATGTCATCTCCGCGGAAGAGGAACCGAAACCACCCAACGACCCCGGGCTATGGCTGTACTTGAGTGTCGCCGCAGCCCTCGTGCTGAGCGGTGGTGCGTTTGCGGGGTTGACAATCGCTCTGATGGGCCAGGTATATTCCCTCATCGATGCGGGTGGGGTTGTGGTTCTGCGGCTAACCCGGTCACAATCTATAGGATGAGGTCTATCTGCAGGTGATCCAATCCTCCGGCGAGGTGCACGAACGGAAAAACGCAGCGAGTGTGTTGAACTTGCTGAAGAAGGGGAAACACTGGGTTTTGGTGACGCTGTTGTTGAGCAATGTCATCACCAACGAGACGCTTCCCATCGTCTTGGACCGGTCGCTCGGAGGCGGATGGCCCGCCGTCCTGGGCAGTACGGTCTTGATTGGTACAGAAACCCCTCACCCTGCTTATCGGTCATGGGGACTAATTGCGGTGACTAGTCATCTTCGGTGAGGTCGTCCCTCAATCGATCTGTGTCCGCTACGGCCTTCCCATCGGGGCCTGGATGGCCCCGTGCGTCTTGACCCTCATGTACATCATGTCCCCGGTCGCTTGGCCCATCGCCAAGCTGCTCGATCGGCTCCTCGGCGAGGATCATGGCACGATCTACAAAAAGGCCGGATTGAAAACGCTAGTGACCCTCCACAAGACCCTAGGAGAAGCCGGGGAACAGCTCAACTCCGACGAGGTCACCATCATCAGCGCCGTCTTGGACCTCAAGGACAAGGCGGTGGGCAGCATCATGACCCCCATGGAGGATGTCTTTACCATGTCCGCCGAGACCGTTCTCGATGAACCCACCATGGACCTGATCCTGTCGCAAGGGTACTCCCGCATCCCGATCCATGCGCCCGACAACGACAGGAACTTTGTCGGCATGCTCCTCGTCAAGATGTTGATCACCTATGACCCGGAAGATGGCAAGCGCGTGCGTGACTTTGCCCTGGCCACTTTGCCCGAGACGCGCCCGGAGACCAGCTGCCTCGACATCGTGAACTTCTTCCAGGAGGGCAAGTCGCACATGGTCCTGGCCTCGGAGTACCCGGGCGAAGACCGCGGCGCTCTCGGTGTGGTGACCCTGGAGGATGTGATCGAGGAGCTGATTGGCGAGGAGATCATCGACGAGTCGGATGTCTTCATCGACGTCCACAAGGCCATCCGACGCATGACGCCGGCCCCCAAGTCCCGCGTGCCCAAGGGGAAGATCGTCGAAGAGCCTCCCATGCTGCCGCCGCCGCCGCCGCAGAACGGCACGGTCGACCAGGAACATGAGATCCACGTCCCGAACGGGCGGTCCAGCGACCGCCGCCGCAGCTCCGTGGAAGCGCCGCTGCAGCGATTCCAACTCCGCCGACAGGGCAACTCAGACACGGCCGACCACATGGTGACCCAGCGCGGGGCCACCGATCAGATCCTCGAACACCTCAAACACTTGGGCCCGTCCAACCTGGCCAGCCGGCCCCGGCAGACGCGGTACCAGAACGTGAAGATCAAGCGTACCAGCGTCTCCCCCAGCCACTCCGGCCGGACGGACCTCGACTCCGGCCCTAGTACCACCGACTTGTCCCGCCGCGAGATGCCCCCGCCCGCATTGGCCGGCGGGATCGGAGCGGGCCTCCTGGCGTCCGCCGGACTGGATGCCCGCGATGGCGCCCACGCCGTCCAGCTGGGCTACGATACCATGGCCCACACCCGATCCTCCGAGAACAGCACCCCGGCCGGGAGGACGGGGAACCACGTGTCTATCCCGGAGCCCGTCAGCGAGGAGCAAGACGACCATGGTCCGGCCGGCGACAGCGCCGCCGTCAGCGACCGGTCCTCGGAGCCGCACTCGCCCGACGCGGACCGCCCCCGCGGCAAAGACTACCTGCACCGGGGCCCGGCCCGCAGCGGGAGCATCACGGAGCAGGTGTTTGACGTCAACGGCATCCGGAAGGTCGTCCTCCACACGACCAGCACCAGCTCCTCCGACGTCGATCGGCCCGACACGCCGCGGAAGACCGGTACTTCCCCTGTGCGGCCGGCCAGCCCGCTGATTGACATCGGCGACGAGAACGCGCACCCCGACAGCGGGTCGAACAAGGCGAAGAAGCGGCGTCGTCGCCGCAAGCGTGGCACCGGCAAGTCCGACGAGCCCGCCGACGAGACGTCGCCTCTTCTGGAGCGATAAGACGGTCGTCCGCCCGGACGAATGATATCCATTGAATTGTTCTGCGGGCTATAGGCCTACTGGATGAGGGTATACATGCCTCATTCTTCATGATTCCTCTCTCATTTTCATGTTTGCGTTACAAGATCGTTGAGCGGCTTCTTTCCTGTATCTATTACATTGACCGCCGCACTTATGTATTTAAATAGCCAATGGGTGTTTATGCTCTACTTTTTGGGGTGTTGATTATGGTGCATCTAGTCATCGCATTGATTACACAACTACTGCCATTATCATACTCTTGTATTATTCAATCTCAACCATTATCAAAGAATCATACCCATTCCAAAGATAAACCGTAAGTGTATATAGACAAAGGAATGGCAACAGTCTTGACCGGTTGGGAGAACAAGTAAGTAGGTAAAGAAGGAATAGTAGGTACAGTACGGTACTCCTTGCAGCAGGCCTTACTTCTGTATACTACCTAGACAGGTAACCTCACTCTTATTCACAAAGCCTGTTTTAGTGAGGTAGGTTATTAGTAGGTAGATAGACATGCAATGTAATGTTACACAGGACTATCACCATCAAGCCTTTTACCCAGTGATTGGAAACCTCTTACCTGCCAGACCAACAGGACTGTTACTATCATTATTTCTGGTCAGAACTTACTGGTTTTTGTTCCATATTTCTGAGCTAAAAACATGCAACCTTTCTTTCTTCCAAGACAAGGAGCACGTCCTCCTTTCGAACTCTTGCGGTGGAGCCCAAGTGGAGCGAGAGTTGAAGATCAAGAGTCTTTATGCTAATATGGCTCTAGTACTACTGGACAGCAAAGCCCTACCAGATCTGCCATTATCATGCAACGAACAAAGCTGCAAGGAGGCCACCATATCAGTATTATCGAGATTCCTTGCGTGAGACCGACATGGCACAGCACGACACGGCACGCCTAGAATAAATATACCAAAACGTGGTTACATTGAAGCCGTTCTACCTTCGTCAGTGTTTCACATACTTGCTACCAAGAGATTATGCTGACTGTCTCCTACACCCGTCTTATCACTTGAGTAGGCAATGGCTAGCATTCTGCCGGACGGGGGTCTTTGGGGCGGTGCTGTTAGCTTAATGCTTGCTCTGCCTATGTATGTTGGACAGGCTGTTTTCTAGGGGTATGTTTATGACTGCATATTCTGTAGATCTTCTAGCGTCCATTATACATATACTACAAGGCTGATAGAGATAACCCATACAAGGGCAAGTCGAAGTAGACCTGACGAACATCATATGGCGCGGACAGAGTATCGATAAGCTGAAAGGCGATCATGGTGCAAGAGAGCCGTCGATCAGACGTCAGAAGTAGACAATGAGCTTGTATTACCTTAGTAGAGGAAACATTTTAACTGAAACGTGTGATGTTTTGCCATTTGTATATGAAGACTGTAGCGAAACCGACAGCGCCGCAGATTCAGCTTACTATACTTCCCATCCCCGATTACCTAGATAAACACATACTTATTTATCAATGAGCCAGGCGATGCACAATTCTAGCAAAGACACAATTGATCCTGGATAAGTACTCAGCCTAATACTAGAGGCTGAAGTTGAACTCGGTGCTATCCCAGCACGCTTACTACACGTCCAGGATCATCCATGTTCGACATGGGAAAGGTTAGGGTTAGCCGCATATGCCTGTGACAGTGGTGTGACTGCGACATCCCAATTAACGTATTGCGAGCGAAATCACACATGTACATGTTGCTTGGGCAATTGACCCAAAGCCACCCCCACGTGTAATAATCAACTTAACCAACCAACCTAGCCGTAAGTTCATAGCCTTCTGGTCCTGGTTCATGGGTTGCGGGGGGATGACGGGAGTGTTCCAGTGTGACCGGTTTCCGGTGCTTCCGGTGAGACCACGGGATGGAAGGGCAGGAACTATATAATAGATGGGGTAGGAGCCGTTTTCCAGGAGAGTGATCTTGCTGTTCATGGTTTATACCTTTCGTGTGATAGATGTATTGACATTAGTTGTGTCACTTGAGTAATATCGCTTGGTTCTTTCAAATATCCTGACCCCTACGCGTTGCACAAGATTCGGGTGCTCCGGTTCGTTCGTCATGGGACTGACGCGGGCTAAGGTGCCCCTGGATGTTATCGTTGTTGGGTAAGTCGCACACTGATAGGTTCTAGGCCTAGATGCTGATTGTTCTTGAACAGTGGGGGTATGCGTGCACTATCCATGGCGCAGATAGCTCGTTGCTAACGGCAGTAGGGCTCGGGGGCGTGGCTGCGGCCCTGACTTTGGGGTTGCGGGGACATAATGTTATAGTGCTAGAGTCAGCCCCAAAAGTATGCGCGTAAACCTATAGAGGTACTGAGTATTAACCAAGACAACAGCTTATGGAAGTTGGAGCCGGTATCCAGGTGTCTCCTAACATGCTAACCCTGCTGGACCGTAAGTATCACACCAACTTCCCACCCAGAGAAACAAACTGATTGACATCCAGGATGGGGCGTGTCTCCCTCAATACACGCTCGAGATGTCTCCCTAGAACGCATCCACATCCGCCGCTGGCAAAACGGACAACTCCTCGGGACTATGCCCGTCAACAAGACACACGGACAGCAAGTCGTCATCCACCGCGCAGACCTGCACAAATCACTAGCCGACAGCGCATTAGCACTACCCAACGTAGAGCTTCGCATCAATTCAACCGTGTCGGGGGTTACGTTCAGCCCGGTATCGGTAAGTCTAACCACCGGCACAGTCATCACAGGAGACGTGGTCATCGCCGCCGACGGCATCAAATCTACCGTCCGGGGTCATCTGCTAGGCGACGGATCCAGCAGCCCCATCCCAACAGGAGACGCCGCTTACCGGATTACCTTGCCTCGAAGCACAATGGAGAGAGACCCCGACCTGAAGCGCTTGATCGACGAACCGGCGGCGACGCGGTGGATTGGCCCTGCGCGGCATATTGTCGCTTACCCACTCCGTAAACACGAGCTGTTTAATGTGGTTTTGGTGCATCCGGATCGGCGCGGGGTGGGGGAGTGTTGGACGACACGGAGCCCGAAGCAGAGTATGGTCGATGACTATTGCGGTTGGGACCCTGTTGTGACCAAGCTTATTGGTTTGGTTTCTGAGGAGGAAGTCCCCGAGTGGAAGCTGTGTTTGCATAGACCGTTGAAGACATGGACTAGGGGGTGTGTTGCTTTGATGGGCGATGCTTGTCATCCTATGCTGTAGGTTTCTCCTTTCTCCTTTGGTTTGATGGATAAGAACGACCGAGCTAAGAATCGCACACAGCCCCTACATCGCCCAAGGCACCGCCCAAGCAGTCGAAGACGCCGCCGCCCTTGGTATCCTCCTATCCAGCATATCCACCCGCTCAGAGATCCCCCTCGCCCTCAAAGTGTACGAAAAATCCCGCAAGCGGCGCGCAGAGACCGTCCAGCAGTCTGGATCCGACAACCGGATCACATTGCACCTCCCGGATGGTCCTCAGCAAGAAGCTCGCGACAAACAGTTCCGAGCTTGCAGGTTGGGCGGAACGAACCCTGATCGGTGGTCTGACCCTGAGATGCAGCAGTATCTGTGGGGGTGGGATGCGGAGAAAGCGGCTTTGCAGGCTTGGGATGGTGAGTTTGATTTTTCTTGCACTTTGGAAAGGGTGTATGCTGATATTGGATGTTGTTATAGAGAGGAGGGGACGTGTGTTAAGGGAGATGCGGCATCGTTTATAACATGTCATCTGTGAGTAGCGATATAGGCATATATGCGTGTGTTTGTAGTTACATAGACAATTCGATGCATTACCGATGCACAAGACTAGGGGAGAAGTATAGCTGCACAAGCCTGTAGAAGATTAGTTAATAGTCACGGATATTTGCATTATAATTGAAGAATACATTACTGCAGGCTCCAGAGTGCGAAGGCTCGTGGCCCCGGAAAGTCATGGAGATCTTATAACAAGGATCAGCTAGATTATCTGTATGCATTCTTTGTTCTGTCCTATTGATATCTATTTATAACCTGGATTGCTGTAGGTCCAGCGGTGACCAAGTAACAAGGTGATTGATCCTTCGGGGCTATGCAACTCGTATGAATCTAAAGCCATGTCTGGCTGATCTTGGATCCTATATAACATTGCCAGAACATAAATCCTTGTGTTGAAGTAAGTAAAACTAGTATGAGCATCTTTTCCACAGCCAAATACATATACTAATCATGACTGTGGATGGTTTAGTTAAGATACGATTCTAGATCTTTAACTTCCTTTGGAGTAAGCCTTATAAGAGCTAACTAAACTGATATAAGTCCGTCCGCTGCCAATAAACAAGTATCACAATAATTGACTCTACAGTGATTAGGTAGATAGATTCCAGTGAATAACAACACGTGCACCAACCAACTGCCTGTTATCATGATTTCTATATTCACTCTTTGTCTCTTTTCACTGTCACTCAGGTCAAGCCAGCAAATATAAATTGAATCAATTCTGACAGAAAAAGCTTGACTCCAACAACGTCTTCCTTCTTCAACTCCTCGTATCCTTGGCCCCCACTAAGCAGCCCCTCCCATCGGATTTGATCTATCAATAATCCTCCAAGATGATCGAGATCCCCCTGTCAGCGGTTTATGTCGCGCTGGCTGCCTATGCGTACTACTTCTCGTCTCTAACCCAGTTCCTCCTGTTGTCCTTCGCAGCGACCATCCTCAAGACCTTCTACGGCACCGTCCTGTACCCCGAGTACTTCACCCCGCTGAAGCAGGTCCCTACTCCGCCGGTAAGCACCTCTAATACTCTTAATCTGTCAGCGACACATGCTGAAATCCACATAGAACCGCTCATGGATCACCGGCAACTCAAGATCGCTGCTCGACAATTTCCCCTTCAATACATGGGGCACATGGGCGAAGGAGTTGCCCAATAATGGACTCCTGCGAATCTATATGCCGGCAGGGATGGAGCGATTGACCGTGACAAACACCAAGGCTTTGAGCGAGATGCTGGTTCAGCGCGTCTACGACTTCCAGAAGCCCGAACTGTCTCGTATGAGTCTTGCGCGCGCCGCGGGGGATACGGGGCTCCTTCTTCTTGAGGGGGATGAACATAAGGTGAATCTTACTCTCTGCTTATTCCACGTCCAATACTAACTGCATAGCGACAACGGCGAAATCTGATGCCGGCATTTTCCTACCGCCACATCAAAGACCTGTACCCGATCTTCTGGTCCAAGAGCATCGAAATGGTGAACCTGATGAAAGAGGACCTCCAGAAGCGCCCCGACCCCTCGAACAACGTCGTTAAAATCGGCGCGTGGGCCACCCGCGCGGCCCTAGACATCATCGGAGTAGCCGGCATGGACCACGATTTCGAGGCCCTACGCGACCCAGACAACGATCTCGCCAAGGCCTACGAAGCCATCGTCAGCTCCGCCCCGCCCTTGACACAGATCTGCTTCATCCTCTTCGTCGTCCTCGGCCTCGGAAAGCTCGCCATCAAAGCGCCCCTCAAACACAACCGCGACATCAGCACCAGCGCCGACCTAGTCCGCACCGTTGTCCGCAACGTGATCACCGAAGGGAAAAAAAAGAGAGACTCAAGCAGCAGCGACAGCATCACCCCCAAAGTCGACATCCTCTCCGTCGCCCTCCAAAGCGGCGCCTTCACCGACGACGAGCTCGTCGACCAGATGATGACCTTCCTCGCCGCGGGCCACGAAACAACCGCCACAGCCCTCCAATGGGCCATGTACGCGCTCTGCAAGCACCCCGACGTGCAGACCCGCCTCCGCGAGGAAGTCCGCGCCCGCCTCTCCCCCTCGGCTCCCATCGCCGCACCCACCCTCGACAGCCTGCACTACCTCCACGCCGTATGCAACGAGGTCCTCCGCTTCTATCCCTCCGTTCCGGCCACCATCCGTGTCGCCACGCGCAACACTACCCTCGTAGGCCAACACATCCCTAAAGACACCATCCTCATCGTCTCCCCCCAGATCATCAACCATCTCCCCGAGCTGTGGGGCGACGACGCCGACGAGTTCAACCCCGAGCGCTGGATGGGGCCTGGCAGGGCTAATACCGGCGGCGCGACCAGTAACTACGCTTTCATGACTTTCTTGCATGGCCCGCGTGGCTGCATCGGTCAGGGTTTTGCTAGGGCTGAGATCGCTTGTATGGTTGCGGCTATTGTGGCTCGCTTCCATATGGAGCTGGTGGATCCTGATGCGGAGGTGAAGGTGCGCACGGGAGCCACGGTGTGTCCGGTGGATGGGGTGATGGCGAAGTTGACTCCGGTGGCGGGGTGGTAGTGATGATCTTACTGGTGGTCTTTACTGATGGGTTTTATTCTTACTGGTGATTCTTACTGGTGATTGTGACTGGGGTTCTTTACTAGCGATCTTTACTGGTCATCATTTACGGATGTATTTCCCAAGGAGCGGATGAGACTGATCATGGAAAGTACCTGCGTGATTTGATTTACAATGGATGATGTGACTAAGTTCAAAGAACACGAACTCTAGTGAAATAATGATACATGCTTGCACTACTGCTTATGAACCATTCGTATTCGGATATAGTCTACTAGTCTCTATAATCTCAGGACAGTCCCAGGACAGTCCCAGGACAGTCCCAGGACAGTTGCAACAATATTAAAGCCCACACTGATGGATAGAAATCTACATCAACAAGACCATTCAACAAGACCACCATGCTCTTCCTAAGGTAGTATATACTATATACAAAAAGTACACACCCCTACTACTACCCCCCACCCCCAACAACAAAAGACAATAGGGCGAATAAAAAAAAAAGGGAAGAAAATCAACAATTCTCCCCACAAGACCAATGGTGCGACCCACAGTCCCCAAACCCCTTCGTCTTCTTACACTTCACCCCATTAGTCGACACCGCGTTGCACGAATGGCCCGCGGACTGCAGGTTCGCGAGGAAGTCATCGCGGGCGTCCTTGGTCGGGTAGGAATCGCACGCGTTGGTGCACTTGTAGGAGCATGATGAAATGCCTTTGCTGGAGACTTTGCAGGTCTGTTTGCAGGCTTGCACGCTGGTGGTTGCTGCTGCGAGGAGGGTGAGGAGGGGGAGGATTTGAACCATTTTGGTTTCTTTTTTGCTGATTGTTCTTTGGTAGGTTAGTGGATGTTTGAGTGGAAGAGATTCGAGAAGGAGGGAATTCACCTTTAGTTGTGGATAGGTTTGGGTTTCTTGAGAGGGGATATGTTTGGAATGAGGATGGCTGAAGGGTGTGTACCGTTTATGTATGTTTGAGATTGGACTCTGTCAGACGGATTGCGCCTCGCAGTCTTGTTCTTGTCGTCTTCAAGGCTGTCGACAGGTAGTTGGACTCCCACCTTTACCTATTATCTCGCTACTATACTACGAACAACTCCATGCCCACCCGTCTGATGAAGAAGCCCGCCAAGAACGCCAATACGAAGCCCCCATTCTTAGGAACGCCTCTCGTATCTGCACGACAAGGGTACCAAAATAGTCTGAACTTGCCTATTCTTGGCAATGCCCCGAGATCTCATTTGGCAAACGATGAGATTGTTCAACGCGGCTGCACAGTCCGTCCAATCAATGCTGCAAGATTCTCGTGTCGAGGCTGGATAATGTTCTTGATGAAGCCACTTGGCGAACCCCGGACTAAACCTCCTAGCCCTGAGCTTGCGATCTACCACCCGCTAAGGGGATGAATCCGAGCCCTAGTTTAGTGGATAATATATGGGGATGCTACCTTGGTGGGTCTGCCTGCTCCGGGTAAATCGTATTCCTGATTTAGGGCTGGAACTGCAGGATCTAGGTTTGGGTTGTGAGTATATAGACATTGTTGATTCTATTTATATGTGCCATTGGTGATTTCTATATGTTTTAAGTATACATAGAGACCCGATGACTAGGTATTAGTGATATTCACCCAAGGCTGGCCAAACAACTATCACCCCCCACCTCCACCTCGGCCATATCACCCAACTCCAGCAATCAGCGAACCATTCCCAGTCAGTAAGCAACAGCCTCTCCCTCGTATCTCTTTGTATCTTCACATGTATGAGAAAACCACGTTTGCCCATCTACACAGCGCCACCGCCCTTGGCAGGGCGAAGCTGGTGCAATGTAACTCCGTATACAATATTCCTCACAATGTACTTCACGGATCCTCCTCGTTTTGCCCCAGATTTCAATTACCTGTTTGGGGTGTCAGTGGGGAGAAGGCTTCGGAATCCTCGATTGGGATGTCCCGTTGTTGACTGAGGTGGGGGCCTGGTGGGCATCGAGGATTCAGACCATGTAATGGCTTCACGGTGTGTCCCGTTGGTAGCTGTAGGTGGTTGGAGGATTGGATAGGGCAGATCCACTGTGTTCGTATACCTGTAAGCGAGGTTGAACACGAGGTTACTTCGCCTAGCATCTATAGTTAACTTGGATGTTGAATGCACTCTTCATTCAAGCCTTCAGGTCCAAATCTCAGGTATATAAACCCTCATCTTTCCCAGATCATAACTGACAATCATCCACTCATCAGTATCCAAATCATCACTTCAAACCAAACCAAACCAAACCAAACCACTTCACCCCAAACCACCAAAGTGCGTCCCATCCCCTTCCCCCCAAACCAACCATCTAACCAGAACCACCAGAACCACCAAAATGGTCAAAGCCACCTTCCTCCTGACCGTCCTGGCCGCTCTCGCCAGCGTCGAAGCCTGCAAGCGCACCTGCACCCCCACCTCCGACAAGGCCGGCGTCTGCACCTACAGCTGCACGAAGATGTGCTCAAGCTTGGGCGCCAAGGAAGCTCGCGACGAGTTCCTCTCCAACCTGCAGTCCGCGGGTCACAGTTGCAAAGCTAGTGGCTCTTCGGGCGTGAAGTGCACTAAGAATTCTTCGTTTGGGAGCTGCTATGATCATCACTGGTCTTGTGGCGGTGGGTGCTAGATTGGGTGAGGTTTTTACCTACCTATCAACCTAGTAGGACGGACTAGCTTGTGGAAGGATTCGTGGATGGGATGTTGTCGGTTGAGTCTGGAGGAGATTAGGGATTAGGTAGAGAGTGAGAGTGTGTGGCTGTTTTTATGGGGAGATATGGTGCTCATGTATATGAATAGTCAATACTTATAGCTAGAACTCGCTTTGTTGTTATTCATGACACTGGATATCTGTAGAAGTACACTTATCAACTCTCAGTCTCGACTCTTGGTTTCTTGGTGGTCTCAGTCAAGACCCACCTGTTGGAGTCCAAGCACTGGCTTCACTGGCTGAGGGTATCTCAATGTGTGTAGTTGGATGCCTTGGTTCGGCTGGGTATGCTGTGTATAGAACATTTGATAGAGTTCCCTGGTTGACTGTTGAAGGTAACCTACTAGCGTCTACAGGTGGGACCTGCAAGGAAGATGAGGGAAGTAGTCCTAGGACGTCTTGCGTCTTGTGGCCGAATGCCCCGTGCCACGTGCCTCAGGCAACATTATACAATATATATTTATGCCTCATTTTGCATGAACCATACTGTTATCTTAGGAACGTATCAATCATTGAATACCCTACGACCAGTAACAGTCAGAATATTGCCCTCAACGATACTCCTCTCTAAACACCATCACCCTCTCAACCTCATAGCCATCATCCCCAGTCTCAATCCAAGCCCTCCACATGCCCCCGCAATTGAAATCAAACACCACTGTACCGCGCAAGGTCTGGCCATCCTCTGCGCTATCTTCCACCCGAGCCTCGATCCCAATGATCCCACCCTCGCCCTCTCCAGTCTTACGCCATCGCGGGCCTGCAGAGCGCTGCAGCTCACCTCCGGGTCCCGCAATAGCGGTGACAGCTGCTGCGGCTGACATTTCATGGGGTGAAAATCGAGTAATGGCGCATGCTGTACGGGCTGCAGCGACGCGGAGGAACGAGTCTCCATTGCCGGTCCCTGAGAGAGCCATTGCTCGTTTTCTGGTAGAGGAGACGCGGGGGGCGCGATCAATAAGAGCGTGCTGCTCTTCGGGAATGTCCGTTGATGAACATGTTATGGTGCATATGTTAGTGGAACACATGAAAGAAGGAGGAGAAGGAACATGCGGGACTGTTTCGCGAGAGGGCGGAGATGTCCGATTCCCGAATATATCGTCCCATATGCTTCGTAGCGAGTATGTTGTCGTTAAATCTGCGCAATCACGTTGGGCTGGAGACGACGGAGCCCGGTACACCATTTCCTTCATGCCCCCCAAGTCTTGCCCATCCCCTCCAACCTCCCCATCCCAGCTCTCTGCCCAAAACCCCGCCCCCAGGGTCGGAGTATCCCCAATACGGCCAGGGAGTTTGTTCGTCATGCCCCCCGTACTCGTCGCCACAGCAAGACCACCCCATCGATCCAGACACACGCAGCCAACAGTCCCCTGGCTCATCGACACCGGCTCCTCCTTCCCCTCCAGTCCCCGACGATGTTCATCCCAGCGCCGCTGCGTAAAAAACCACTCATCAGGTTTAAACTCCAATCCCCATTCGCGAGCTAGCTCCTCCACATACGGCGCCGCAAGCTGCGAATGCATACTACCTCCATCCGAGGTAGGTTTCCCATTCGCGTCATGGCCGGTACGAAGGAGGCTTTCCCGCGCGAGTCGGATGGGGTGCCGGACGTTTTTCAAACCCATTACCCCAGCGGCGCGTTTGAAGGCACCTCCTCCCCCTTCATTCTCCAAGACGCTGGACACCATCACTGAGGCTTCCATCTCGATTGTCCCTGCCTTTGTGAATACGCTGCCGCGGCCGCAGTTGAAGAGTTCGTCGTCTTCCATGAGGGAGACGGCGTGGACGGCTGCGTCGAGGGCGGGGGTACCCTTGTCTAGGAGGTCTTTGGTGGAGCGGAGGTAGGAGAGGAGGGAGGCGTGGTAGCGTGAGTAGAGGTCTGGAGGGAGGGTTGAGCGCTGGATTGCTCCGGCGCCGCCGTGGATGATTAACGTTGGTTGGAACATGGTGTGGGGGATTGGGATCGGATCTTTGGGACTGTGGGAAGATGTCACGGCTTTGGTGGGATATGACTGTTAGCATCACAAACAAATAATATAGGGTAGATAGAAGCAAAGTAACCTGAGATGAGTATTTGATCGTTGGAATTAGAGTTGCGTGGAGATAAGTCTGAAGATGCGAGTTAAGTGCGGAGAAGGCGACATTTGAAAGGGCAACTTAACACCTCAGCTGCAGGTGCCTTGCCTATTCGAGTAAGTGTTTCACCAAGTAATCAAGATTGTTAGAACGTGTACACAATGTCACATTAGAACTGATTCTCTCCTTGTTAATGTACATAGTTTCATCCCCGGTCGACTCTGAAATCCACCTGCCAGGGAACTCCTCTTTTTTTTTTAGCACCCAGGTAATATAACAAAACACACGGATGCAAGGCTGTGCAATCCAACCGCCGACAAAACCCAGTGCTTAAGAACAATTAAGAGCAGGGATAGAATAGAAGCAAGCATTCTAAACGATGGCCCTGGAAAACGACATGACCCAGACCAACACCTGAGAAGAGAGATATAATAATATACGATGCGAACGGGGAATTGGTGAGAAAGGAAGACGATAGCTCCCGTTGAGATTGGTGTGATGGGAGCGAGTTTTTTAGGCAAGGGCCTTTTGCTCGGACGGGGGCGGAGGAGGAAGCTGTGTTCGACACATGTTAGTTTCGAATGATTGCAAGAGACGATGGCTATCGGGAAGATCTCACCTCCAGCTTTGTGTTGTCCGCCATCATCCGCTGGAAACCAATACCGACACCCTCAATGACAGCCAGGAAGACAGCGCACATAATGGCCGAGTTCCGCGCAGCCTTGACACCACCACGAACAGCCAACGAACCACCAGTGAAGAAACCAGCGATGACTATAGGGAGATTTTGTTAGCGAACCCAAAATGTGTCATCAACGGGTGTTTTAAACGGAAGACAGCGAGACGTACTGGCATTGTAGGGGTCCTCCTTCTTTCGGATGCCCTTGATCGCGCAATCGTATGTCGAGAACAGACCACCCCAAACACCAAAGTTACCGCCGAGAACCGGTGCTCGTGCCTTGATGGCAGTGATGGCACCTATCCGTCGCTCTCCGTAGGGGCTGTTTCTGAATCCCTTGACACCGTGCCAGACGGCACCACCGATCGCCTATATTCACGAAATTCATGTCAGTTCTGTTTCGCCAAAAGAATAAACACAACCTGAACCCGGTGATAGACGTACACCCATGCAGAAAGCACCGCCGAAATCGCTCAGGGCGACCCAGGGGCAGGGATCTCTCGAATGATCCATGGCGAATGTATGACGCGAATGTGTAAGAAGTGATTGAGCAAAACTCCTCCACTAATGGAGTCGCAATGTGCACGCAGGAGACGAAAAGATCGATGAACGTAGGTCGAGGAGAATCGGGTCCTGGATAGATCGAACGAGGTTCAAATCGCTGGAAATAGAGAAGGTGTGAGTAAATTGACGATCACAGAATAATAATATACAGAAAATAGATGTAGATTAGATAAACTGACAGTGGAGGCAAGGACGCCGTCTTAAAAAGTGGATGGCGAAGGAGTCTCGAACGGAGCAGAGATGACGACGGAGCCAACTCGGGAACTTTTGGCTTTTTTTCGCCCGGCAAAAACGTGACTTGGATGGGGAGCAGGTCACGTGCCGATAACCGCCCCCCGAACTCCGCCCGCACTGGTTAAACCTCTCCGGGATTTTACCTACGGCTACGGCGTGCTGCGTCCTGGTTCTACTCGTCCGCGCCCTGGTGGCGAACCCCCCTGCACCTACTCGGGCAAACTAGGAACAATGATGGACAAATGATCCATGTCAATGGTGAAAACTTTGCGCAAATCTAATTTTAGGCTAGAATGCAAACTGAAAATTTCTGGGTATATTATTAACTTCAGCGAATCTATAGAATTAGGGCTATATGTTTGAACAAAGAGTACGCTCATGATGGCAGATTCCAGATGAAGTTCAATGCGCCGCCCTCATATGCTGGAAACTGCCCTCCGCTGCTGATACCAAAGGGAGCCATAGACGGATCGAATGGCAGGGAAAGCCAGTCGTCCGCGGAAATATCGTTCAACGATGGGATGAAGCCCATCTCTGGCATGTTTTGCGGGATGGATGTCTCCATGGTCGAGGGATAATGTCCATGGTCTACATATGGGACCGGCCCCGCAGACGGACGGTTCGCGGTTCCATGGTTACTCTTCTTCATGAATTTGGAGGACGCCAACAAGTTGCGCCGGAGACGCGACACGTGCATGTCGAGCAGCGTGGCATACCGAGTGCTCAGGTGTATATCGTCTAATGCATTCGATCGCAGGGCCTGTATGCTCTGTTCGAGAATATCGAGCGATTCGCGGAGCGTCGCTTGGCGAGTTCCGAGACTAAGCGCTTTCATGAGGAATATCGATGAACTGGTAATCCGAAGGAATATCCGCACGGGACAAAATCGCAGTGCTTCCATTTGCGCGAGCTGCACGACTTTCTGGAGGATCTGACAGCACCCGTCGATCACCTCCTGGATGTACTCGTAATCGGTCGGGTCGATGTTCATGGCGCGAACTTCTTCTACGTTGTGATCGTTGTCTTCCAGAACGCGCTCAACGACTGCCTGCATTCCGACCGAATGGGTATAGACGCGGACAAAATGGTATTCAATGAACAAGATGTCAAAGAAGTGTTTGTTCAGTGCTTCGAGCGGTCAGTTTAACTTCACGACGAGAACAATTGGTTGGTTCCTTACATCGCGGCTGGAGGTGTTTCTCCTCCCACTTCGAGAGCAGTGGTCGGAAGTGGTCCAGTAAATCAATATACCGGCCACTGTGCAGATGCTGCCTCGCGAAGGGCACCGACGGGAAGAACATATCCGTCACGGATTTCGCCAGCTTGGTGAGATCCATCCAGGAATCCATAAAGGTCAACCATTCATCTCCCGACTGGCTCAGCTCTTTGGCCGACTGCCGACCCAAGATGGCATGGTTCAGGCTCTGTGGAATAAGCGACACGCACCCAATGCGCCAGGCCAGCTGGTTAATGTACACGTATAGCAGCCGTTGAACTCGCAGTCTCCGAAGCTTCAGCTGTTCGGTGGATATGTAATCTTCGTAACCCGCGGAGTAGTTCCACTTTTTATCGTCGACCTCAAAAATCCCAAGCTCGTGTGCCAGAGACAAGGCAGAACCAAGCAGCATCCACGACATCTGGTCAGATCTCCGCGCCGGCTCGATCATATCCTCCAGCCACCGGTTTGTCGAGGGGTTGTCGCCAGGTTCCCGAGGTTCCGGGGGCACAGTGATCAAATCGAAGTCCCAACCATCACTCTCTGGTGGGAAGTGCAGAGACCGCGGGTGCCACTCTGACATTAAAAGCAAAGCCTCGATCGTTCCAATGCTCCGGATTTTCGGCTGAGACGACTTCTCTTGGCCGAACATGAGTCGCATGACAAGCTGCTGGCAATGCTGCCACAGCCGATGGTGTATAAAAAAGTTCCTCGATTCGCCGCCAGCCCCTGGCAGCAAGTGATAGCGTGACGATATCATCAAGATGGTGCAGCATAACACAGGGTCTCGAGAGACCAACCAGCGGTGGTTGGCGTGATCCGCGTATATGTTGGTCAGAATTGGAGAGAGCGGCGACATGTTTTTGAAGAAGCTGGCCAAGGGAAGTCAGCTCTACAACTACCCGAAGAACAGCAACCAGGGCAAACAGACAGATCAATAAACGTGACCGCTTCCCTCGAAGTAAACCACCCCATTTTAACCAACCGGCACGCTTCCCAGACATCCAGAACCTCTCTGGACGCATGAGAAAGCTCTACCGGCCGCATAGCTTTTGCGAGAACCTCCGGGGCGACGCCAGATTGCACCCGGTTGATTGAGGATCGGTGATTGCCGGAGTCGCCCATCATATCATTGGCATTCTCCGATCGTACCTCTGGTTCATTTGCACCTTGCTCTCGACTATGCGCCGCCGCGGCCTCAAAGAGGATATTAAGTGCGTCGTTACCGCTAGACACCACAGTGCGCATCATGGAATTGGCCAGCGTCGAGGTGGACTGATGTCGGGTTTGGCAACTCCCTGATATATCCGAGGGTGGGCTGTTCCCGTCGCCTTCGTGAGGACTATCATAATGCAGCGACGTGCGAGCGCTACCAAACGGTTGGTATGCATCGTCTGTGTCACGTCGAACGCTGCTCCCTGTCCGTCGACGCATCCGTGGCACCGACGAGGACGCAGCTTCCGGAGCGTCTATCGCAGTCCCGAGTTAGAACAACCCAACGGACCAGCATCGTAGTAACAACAATAGTAAAAACCAACCACCCACATACATACCTCTCTTCCTCCTCCTCTCCCAAGCGCGCTTCTCCGGAAACACACAATCCCTCTGCTCCCTGCGACACTTCGCACAAGGCGGGCCAGCCATCCCATCCGGCCCGGGGTCAATCTCGCATTTCGCCTTGCGCTCCCGGCAGGGGATGCAGGCCTTGTACGTGCGCTGGTAGGTTCGGTTGAGATTGCCTCCAGTGCGCGGGAGGGTTCTAGTTTCCATTATCACCTACCGGGGAAACACCCGCTGACCAATCACGCGTGAGACAGTTTAATGACGTTGGGATACGGGTGTGAGCTGCATGGAGGTCGCATGGTACCTTGCGCGACTGTGGTAGGATTGAGCCGGATGTTTAGTTGTAGTAGGGTTGTTGTGGGAGCTAGGGTAGATGTGGGTTTGCGGAGGGTGAAATAGCCGGTGGTTGCCGCTCGGAGGGGGAAAATATCCGGGGGGTTGATAGCTGCTTTATCGGGGCGCTTGAGCTCTCAGTTTGCATTTTTATTGATATGCTGATGTGGGGGTATCTCTTTTACTTCAATCCTGATGAGTTAGTTCTTAGAGGTTACAAAATAAACTGAAGAATCAATAGAATTAGTCCAGATTACAATAGGACGTCTAATATTAGACGGGACAGGGTTACGGCAACATATCATCACCCGTTCAACTATCAACTAGTTATTCACATGATCCTACGTAAGCATGATTCAACAGCGCCTCCATCAAATCATGGACTTCCAGGGGTCATAGCAATTCTAACTTCAACCCAGGAGTACGACTGAGCTACTACTGGTTACCAATCTGCGGCAAGGAGCGGAAAGCGATGCGCTCAGACTCGGGTATGCGAGTGGCGGAAGTGTTCCGCTCGGATGTGGAGACATCAATGGTGGAAGTATATCGCTTTGTAGAGCTTCTGTATACGGTGATATTGAAGAGGTATATACGAAGATGTACAGTAGATAGCTGTAGTCAGAGGGCAAAGAGAAAATAGATGTAGACTGAATCAAACAGACATGGATGCGTAGGTTGCTGTATATCTACTCCCATCGACTATGTACTCCGTCTCTCCGCCGTCAACCGCGTTCTATACGGGAGTTTCTAGTACATGAAGTATTTAGCAGGCCTGAATACTTAATATCTATAACACACCCCTCTTCTCCCTTTCTCACAAACCAGAACTACATCGCTCCACTACTAGCTCAAACATACCACTCCATCCAAAACCACCAAACAAGATGACCGACTCAACCCCCAAAATAACCCTCTACACCTACTTCCGCTCCTCCTGCTCCGCGCGCCTCCGCATCGCCCTCAACCTCAAAAACATCCCCTACACCCCCATCCCCATCAACCTCCTCAAAGGCGAGCAACGCACCGCAACAAACACCACCCTCAACCCCTCCGCCACAGTCCCCACCCTCATCGCCGAATACCCCACCCCAGCCAAAACAGTAACCATCACCCAGTCCCTCCCAGCCCTGGAGTACCTCGAAGAGATCACCCCCTCAACAACACCCTCTCTCCTCCCACCCGCATCCAGCCCCGAGCTCCGCGCCGTCGCCCGCACCCTCGCGAACATCATCGCCTGCGACGTCCAGCCCGTCACCAACCTGCGGATCCTCAAGCGCGTCGAGGCCTACGGCGTCGACCGCACCGCCTGGGCTAAGGAGCTCACGGAGGACGGGCTTCGCGCTTACGAGGCTGTTGCTGCTTCTGTGGCCGGAGAGTTCAGCGTTGGGGATAGTATCACTATTGCGGATGTGTGCTTGTTGCCGGCTGTGTGGAATGCGCAGCGGGTGGGGGTGGATCTAGAGCCATTTCCTGTTATTCGGCGGGTAGTGGAGAGGTTGGAGGAGGTGGATGCTGTTAAGAGGGGGCATTGGAGGGCGCAGGCTGATACGCCGGAGGAGTTTCGGGTTTAGATGGTTTGGTGGGAGAGGGGGGTTTGTATGTTTGAATGGTGTGATGGGCTGGTAGGTGGGTTATAGTATGTATGGGTAGTGTTTTCGCGAGTGTGCTACTTCAATATTGGATTGGACTTTGAATAAATAAGAATGAATTTGGAAGTAATGTTCATAGCTAGGTCATAACATGTCGAATCCTTTTAATCACACAATACAAACACAAGATACTAATATTTAAAAGTTCAGCTTAACAGCGGGAAGGATGGTCCCCACGCAGTCCCCAAACCCGACATAGCTACCTTCCGAGCCGGCCTTACCGCGCAAGACGACAGTGTCGCCGTCTTCAAGGAACGTCCGTTCCAAGCCATCAGCCAGCTTGATGGGGTTCTTGCCGTTCGTCTGCTCGAGCAGACTACCCTGGGACTGGGGGTCCGTGCCGGAGATAGTGCCGCTACCGAGCAGATCACCGGGGCTCATGTTGCAGCCGGTGATAGTGTGGTGGGCGAGCATCTGCGGGAACGAGAACAAAAGGTTCTTCGCATTGGTGCGCGCGATCGTCGTAGGCTTACCGCCGTCATTGGTAACCTCGACCTCGAGCGCGATGTCATAGATGTTCTTGGCTTGCTTCTCGCGCAGGTACGGCAGCAGCGAGTCGCGGTTCTGGGGCTCCAGGCCCGCGGTGCGGAACGGTTCCAGGGCGTCCATGAGGACGACCCAGGGGGTGATTGTCGTGGCGAAGTTCTTGGCGTTGAAGGGGCCGAGGGGGACGTATTCCCAGGCTTGAATATCGCGCGCGGACCAGTCGTTCATGAGGACCAGGCCGAAGATGTGGTCTTCGGCTTCGTCGATGGAGACGGGCGTGCCGAGGTTGTTGGGTCGGCTGACGAAGGCGGCGAGCTCGAGCTCGATGTCGAGACGCTTGCAGGGGGAGAAGGTCGGGACCTTAGGGTTGGCGGCTGGGTTGGCGAGGATTTGGCCGTTCGGGCGGTGGATGGCGGTGCCGGATGCGACGACTGACGACGCACGGCCGTGGTATCCCACGGGAAGGTGCTTGTAGTTGGGCTGCAGGGCGTTGTCTGGCCCGCGGAAGAGCACGCCGACGTTGTAGGCGTGGTTGAGACCGGCGTAGAAATCCGTGTAGTCGCCGATCTGCATGGGGACGTGGTTGGTGACCTCTGACAGGGGCAGAAGCGCCTCCTTCTGCAGAGTGGCATTTTCTTTGAGAACCTGGGGGAACGAAGTGTCTGCACGGAACACATTCTGGATGAATTCACGGACTTGACGGTGCACAGGGCGACCCAGAGCAGCGAATGCGTTCAGCGTGGGTTGGCTGAACACGTTGAGATGAGGCTGGATGACCGGCAGCTGAGAGAAACCTCCCGCAGCGGCAAAGGCACTCAAATTCAAGGCATAGTCGCCAATCGCAATCGCCGCGACACGCGAGGGGATATTGGCCGAAGAGATGACACCAAAGGGGATGTTTGCCAACGAAAAGGGCGAGTTCTTGGGGATCTGAAGCCACGAAGCCATGATTGCGATAGTTGAGCGACAACACAGGGAACGACACAAGAAATCAACAACAAGGACAGAAACTAGATACTAGTGATAGTGATCAGACTTGGTTTCGAGAGAAGACAGATGTTAAAAGTCAACGACCCCTCCAACTCCTCCTCTTCCACAGCCCGATGATTGATGCGCATATTGCGTGGGGTTCCGTCAGCGGAATGGCCCCGCGTCCGCTTACCACCGGCAATTCCCGCCAGTCAATTCCGCCATTTGTCTCCCCCGCAATCGCCATGTCTCCCCACCGTCACGTCGCGCGATGCGGATTTCCGACTTCACCTCCGTCTTGGGTGCTACTTTAAAGACCCTGTCGATCTCATCCTCCATTGTTCCTCCTATGAGGTCTGGTTTGTCTTGTAGTCGTATCAGATTGATAATCCCCGGTCCACGTTGAGAAGTGATACAATAGGAAACCATAACAGAGAAAAGATGCCGGTCACTAACTTTTCACACCCCGACCCTTATTCTTACAATACTGGGTTTGACTCCTATCATGAGTATGTTATCATCTTCATCTGATATGTGGGCCTTAGGCTAATCTCCTCGCAGGACCGAAGCGGTCAAAGGGGCTCTCCCCGTAGGACACAACTCCCCGCAGAAGGTGCCTCTCGGTCTGTACGCGGAGAAGCTCTCGGGGACGGCGTTTACTGCTCCTCGACACGAAAACAAACAGACATGGGTCTACCGGATCTTGCCCGCGGCGGCCCATGAAAACTTTACGGCCGAAGATGCCGAGTCCTACCACACCAGCATGACGACTGAGACGCACAAGTTACATCATATCCCCAATCAATTGCGGTGGGATCCGTTCGACCTGGATGAGAAGGTGGACTGGGTGCACGGTATGCATCTGGTCGCCGGATCTGGGGATCCAACTCTAAAGCATGGTCTGGGCATCTTGCTATATGCGGCTGGAAAGGACATGGGGAAGGAGGCCTTCTACTCGGCCGACGGCGACTTTCTGATTGTTCCGCAGCACGGTGTTTTGGATATCCAGACCGAGTTGGGGAGACTGATGGTCCGTCCCAATGAGATTTGTGTTATCCCTCGTGGTATCAGGTAAGAAAATCGCACGAAGTAAGACCTCTCAACAACCACCCGCTAACAACATCTTCAACGACAGATACCGTGTTACTCTGCCGGCAGGTCCAGTGAGAGGCTACATCTGCGAGCTCTACCAAGGCCACTACCAGCTTCCCGAGCTGGGCCCCATCGGATCCAACGGCCTCGCCAACCCCCGAGACTTCCAAGCCCCAGTAGCCGACTTCGACGACAGCGAGGAAGAGCACAAGCTGTACAGCAAATTCAACAACACTCTATTCTCCGCGCGCCAGCATCACAGCCCCTTCGACGTTGTCTCCTGGCACGGCAACTACTACCCGTTCAAGTACGATCTCGGACGCTTCAACACCATCGGTTCGGTCTCCTTCGACCACCCCGACCCCTCCATTTACACCGTGCTGACGGGGCCCTCCGACCACGCCGGTACCGCCATTGCCGACTTCGTCATCTTCCCGCCCCGCTGGCTCGTGGCTGAGAACACCTTCCGGCCGCCGTGGTACCACCGCAACACCATGTCCGAGTTCATGGGCCTGATATGCGGTGGCTACGACGCGAAGACCGGCGGTGGCTTCCAGCCGGCGGGTGCGAGTCTGCACAACGTCATGAGTGCCCACGGTCCCGACTCGGATGCTTTCGAGGGAGCTAGTAACGCGGAGTTGAAACCGCAGAAGGTTGGCGACAATAGCATGGCGTTCATGTTTGAAAGGTAAGCCATTCCACGTCATATTAGCTATTCCCAGTCAATGACCAACTAACACTCCTTGTAGCTGCCTCATGGTTGGTGTGTCCGAGTGGGGCTTGAAGACCTGTAACAAAGTCCAGGAGGAGTACAACGAGCATAGCTGGCGTCCTCTGAAGAGACACTTTAAGAACCCCAACAAGGCTTGAGGGCTAATTCGTTGATGTATGGTACATGAGTCATGCGGTATACTATGATTTAAGATATATCAAGATTACAAATGTACTTGATTTTCTAGACAGCTTAATGGTTTTCCCTTCCTGTTAGTGCTTCCTTTGCCACTTTTTGCTCACCGAGTAAATCCGAGCACCCCCTAGGCTTATAATGCGGCATGGTGTGCTTGGGTCACCACGCATGTAGCCCTTATAAATGCATTAGGAATACTAGGTCATTTCTCACGTTTGTTTTCTTTGATTTTCTGTTTACCTAAATTAGGTTTATTTTTACTTATAGTTACTTTTTCCTCCTCATCTGAGTCTATTCAACTACTTATCATGGTGGGGCCGATTTCTCAGTTACATTCAATGCTATAGAGCGTTTTTTGACTTCAGGATGAAAGAATGCTAATTATAAACACTTGAAAACCCCCTCAAGGTAACCCCAGGCGATATGGGAATGCTAGGGGGAATACTTCGATACCACCATCTCATCTCAAAATATTCTAGGCCCCGCGCTATCGTTGCAAAGAACTCAAGCTATCTGTGATTCTATTTATTTACTTCTCGCTTGTTAACTACAACATGCGGCTCCTTGGCAGACACAGCTTTGTGCTTTGGAACGAAGGTATCTTTTTGAGGTAAGCATGCCGTAGCCACTTTGAGGAACCCTTTGTGCGCCAAGATACATGTTGATAGCACTGAAGGTTGATCTTGGGTTTGAATCTTAAATCAAGTCGACATTTTACAAATCACAGAGTCACTCATCACCAAAGGCCAGGATCTAACCCCCCTCCATCCGCTTTTTCATCAGATCGACCAAGAACTCTCAACCCAATTTCTCCTTATCGTATTGTCTTGGTTCCAAAGAGCCATGGACCTATCGATTATAGCGACGAGCAGGTCATGTGAATATTGAGGGAGAGACTCGAGAAGACTGTTTTGCAAAGCGGCAGTAGTTGTTTCAGTCGAATTCCTCAATGTCGTCATGTGTTTCATGGTAGTCCTTATCGCCAAGTCCCGAAGACCTCGGTCATGCGGGGGAGTGGAGAGATATATTTCTGAAATTGCCTTAGGGAAGGAATTCGCATCCAATTGCTGGACTAGTTCGAGTTCAACATACTCCGTGGCGAGAGCTTTTAAACCATCTATGAACAGACGATCTGCAAGCGAATACATCAATATGTGAAACGAAAGAGCGTTATATTTAGCAATTGGGTTTATGGATGGATTCAGCGAACCGAAAGGTTCGGTTATGTTGGCTGGTGATCTTTCTCTTTCCGTTTCGCTAGGCAGGTTCGTGTTTTCCGAGATGATTGGCAGTTCAGAAGTCTCAGTCACCGTATCTTCGTGGCTAATGCAGTTGTCAGATGAAGCAGTAGGCTCGACATCATAATCCAGGGTGTAAAGATATTCAATCATCATTTTCACTAAAGCCGGATCCTCGTTCAACGTAATGACGCCCGTGGAAGCTTCCTGTCATCAATTATTAGCGGAGGATTTCGAGGGGCATTGAACCCTCAGAATCTCACCTTGAAGTCCCCATCACAAGCTCTGGCAAAAAAAGCGGACCGCGTGCAAACAATACACCGATGAACAGGGTAAGTCTCATTGTCGCACGAAATAGTCAAGTCGCTATACTTTGGCTCAGAACGCAAGCTAAAGCGAAGTTAGGTACAACTTGCAGTGGCCGAGTAGCAGCAGAAATACCTAGCTAGAGCACCGAGCAGTTCTTCACCGGGGATAGTATCTTGGCATCCCACAGATGTTGGATTCTCTTGCTGACCCTTAGTCCGCGGAGCGGACGGGAGCTTCTGGCTCTTTTTCTTTGCCATTGGTAAAGACCAGGTTTCCTTGACTGGGCAAGATATTCTCAGTGACACACGAGGAACTGGAAGCAAGTAACATCAAGAAGGTACGGAAAAAGGGGCAACCGCTCGCGTTTTCTTGTGGCACCTGGCTAGCTATGTGTTGGCGGGTCACCTTTCAAGTAATGCCTCCTTACATCAAGTAGGGATTCCAGTTGGGCATTGCGCTGGGGAAGCATGACACCTGCTATTGATTCACATATAATTTCGAACAGCTTTGACACGGATAAGTTCCATCTAGAAAGAATGGGGGCCAAAATAATAAGGGGGCTGGGCGTAACTTTCTAAACATGTTAGATGTATGTAGCATCGGCCACTCGTTCCTTACGCATCATTCGTTACTGTACTTGTCGAACAACTCAAGTCATGAGATCATCTATTCCTTCATTCTGTTTATGCCTCTTTCTTACCATTTTGACCAAGAGTATCGCTCTGTTCAAGGTAGTAGTTGCGATATTCCTTGGATGACTCTCCATGTCTCATTGACAGACTAGGATGCATCTCAACCCTATCCAGGAGCAGTCATATAAAACCCCAGGAAAATCTCACTACCTGTCTGAGCAGGCTTGTCTCGTACAAGTCTTAATAAATTCCTTACGGACTTGATACCGGCTCATGTTGGCATGGCTGCGCCAAGAATCCACATATGAAGCCCCCAGGCCCATAGTTGTGGCCATGGGACGAATTTTACTCTGATAGCACTTTTCATATCGACGATCCAGACTTTTGCTCCAACAAACCGCCAAACGGTCCAAAATAATGCGAATTCAGTAGAGAATACCTGCGAAGCCTTCTGGTTTGAAAGCACTATACTTGGACTCCGAGCAGACATGCTCTCCCTGGGGACCAGCAGTTGACCCTAATTTTGTGCGAGCGTTGGGACTCAGCAGATTGGAGATCAAAGAGTAATTTCCCAAGGCGTGGCCGCAGTACCTGGAAAGAAGAACAAGATCAAGGGTTTGGGAAGAGGAAGGACAAGAGCAGCAATGTTTACAAAGCCTTTTTACGGTATATTGGGACCTAGTGATGGCGCATCTTACTCTTGAGTTCCTTGTTTGGTTTGGTGAGATAAAGGTATTACCACAGGCGGAACCCCGTGTAACTCTCCAGTTAGCCCTGAGATATTTGATGATTGCCAGCGTTCAATTGGACCCCAGAAAGGCATGTAACATCTGTATCTTTGCTCCTAGTTTGTATCAATCAGATCAGCGGTCAGAAGGAAAGTTACATTCAGAACCCTGCCTCCTTGCAGCTCTGCTGTGTAGACGCCCACACCGCAAGAACTCAGTTGGCCAAAAGTGTAAGCTAAAAAGCCAACATAGTATTTATTTTGCTTCAAAGTTCCGCGCAGGGAAATCTAGCAAAAGTTTCTTGTAACAACAACTTTTGGTCGTCAAATCTGCAAGAGGAATCAACAGGTTCTGTGGTCCGCCTCACTCTCTTTACAGTCATTTGCGAACTTTTAGCTGTGAATAAGATTGCTTTTCAGTATTAAGGGACCTACTTTGTGCTGACCTTGTACAACCACGACCACCTGCTTATCATGGCGTTGTCCAATGGAAACCAGAAGAAAAAGAACCATGGTCAGGGTTTTCTCGGTGCACTTCAAAATCTTGAGTCGTCAGTCAAAAACATTGTTCCTTTTATGGAAATGATAACAAACTGCGAGGATTTAGCAAAACAGAAGAAAGACCTTGAAAGCCAGCTTGAAAAGGCAAAAGCTGAAAGCACAGAGTCACACGTGAACTCAAAAAACTGTGAAGAACAGATGAAGAAAACCTTGAGCTTATTCGAAGAACGTATCTCAATCTGGAAGCAGCGAGAGAGTCTACTAGAGTCACAACTTTCGGAAATCAAGAATATCACGGAGCAGAGTCAGCAAAAAAAGATCAACGAGTTGACCCAAAAAATAAAGTTTCAGGGGAAAAAAATTGAATCCCTTGAAAGCAAGCTCGCAGATCAAAAAGACATTTCATCTGGGTTAGAGGCTCGGCTGAAACAGAGCCAGGACGAGCACAGAGCCTTTCATCGAGATATTGGAGTTGAAAAGATGGATTTTGATTAGTATACCTCATATTTCGCAGTGAACCTACAGATGACTGATATTTGATAGTTTTGAAGGCTTTAGGTCTCTGGAAAATGCTCTTAGAAGCTTGGCTGAAAAGTTCTTCATGGAATCTCCGTTGGCCTTGGATGAAGTAAGAGAGACAGTCACCCTCGAATACGCCACATATAGGTCTGCTGACTCAAAGCACCACTTAGGGGAGCTCCGCAATAAGTGACTGGCGTGTAAGGCAAACCGAGGTAATACAAAATTGCGCACATTCATTGCCATCGCTGGCATCTGCAACATACTCCCATAGCCTGTCAGTAGAGTCGACGATCGCAGCTCGACTCTGTCAAGACATATTTACGCCACTTTGTCTAGCATCACCAACAAGCCGCATGAGTATGGGAGCATCAATCGAGAGAGCTGATACTGTTGAACCCGCTCAAAAGGCCATCCTTCGCACGCTCCTTTTGAAGGCTTTTGGTCAGGAAGAAGAAGATGCACGGAGACATATCATCAAGACATTTGTCTCTGATATCACAGAGGAGTTCTTACCAAATTCTCAAGAACAGGACGTAGAAGATTTCCGAAAGGAACTTCGTTCACTGCTCACATCAGCAACATCTCTGTGGAGTGAATTGCAGAGAGGTCCATGTTGGATTACAGCAACTTCCCGGACATCTGTTCATACGGAAAGCTGGAGGCCCAGGCAGTACGCTGGGGGCCCCGCCAAAGCACAAAGCCCAAGCCACCCACTCGTGGCTCTATTCCCCCACATAATCAGTCACGGTGCTGAAGCTCCTTTATATGCTGGATCTGCACTGTGGACCGAAAACTTGCGGCATGCAACGATTGCAGCGCAACAGCCGATTAAGCGTATCAGCCTACCAGAAGACTCGTCTAACAATGTCGAATCTTCAGACGGACGGGTCGTTCCTTGGGCTGAAAAATCGACAAATGGAGGGTTAGGGGATAATAGCTCCCATGGCAACTGCGTGAAGGTAAATCCATTGGATGGGCACCACTACGGGAAAAAGCGTGTCAATGGCAAGTCGCCATCTCGGTAATTTCAGAGGGTCTTAGGGGCGATAAATTCCAAAAGTTTTCTTTCAATCTACTCGTTACAGTTTGCCTGGACGTAGGCTGAGGTCTCTGGAGAAGATGCCCAAGACGGTGACACATGGAGCGGATTGGGGCGGTCCGGGGCCGGGTTTCCGGGGGCAGTCCTGCCACTCTAGAATAGGCTCAGTTGCTAAGACTAGTTAACTGCTGGTTGTAACCTGATAGTTGAAATCTAGGCCTTAACCTACCTGTTGACCAGCGGTCCAGCAGTTAAGTTATAAAGGGGGTCCTTGCTTAACCTGGCCTACCCTGCCTATGCACTACTCTCATTAGAACTAAATCATGATCTATTAAGTATATAGGATACTGTAGTTATATTACAAGCACACAACATACAGAGGGAAAAACTGTCTAGACATATTTTGTAGCCGAGCGGTATTCTTTTCCACATATTGCGTATCCGCCTTCGACCGGATCCAATATGGACCAAATTGCTGAACCTGAACAAACTAGTTCTTCCTGATGGGAGCCTTTCATTCATCCTTCATATGCTTGATGTATTATGCGCTAATAGTCGCCTCGGACACGTATAACTGGTCGCCATCCTGCGAGGAAAGGATGACCTTAATAATCGTCTTAGTACATGGTGTCGTGAAGCAAATAGGGCTCATAGACTTACCGGCCGAGGTGAAGGTGCTTAGGGTTTCCCCTATCACTGAGGGCGACGGTTACCATCTCAGCTGTCTCGTGCCAACTTACTTTCAGCTCGTGCCTCAAGTGCGCTCTAGCTTTGGCTTCGAGAATCGCATACATCCAACCAGTAGTTCTTGACTTGAGCAGTCCGTATGTTGTACAAGACAGGCTATGAACCTTCGAATCAATTCCCTTGGCCTGCTTTTTGTCCTTGCTCTGCTTGAAATCGAAGGCCAAGTGCACCCTGGCGGGACTGCAATTAATCCCTAGGCCAGGGTGACAGACACAGACTGCCTAAAGGAAGTTAACGCGAGACATGTTGACAAGTTCTTCGTTCTAGCCATAGAGTTTCTTCGCCTCGCTCCTCCATATCGACTGTCGGGGTAGCTAGGATGTCTTGGCTCTTAGGGTCCAGCGAATCGGGCTCTTCTTTTGGTATTCGCGTCGCGGTCTGAGTTCCGGCTGTGATGAGAGCATATTGCCAGAAAGGATTATCCTTGTCATATTGCTCGGATCGACGTTTGAGGATAACTTTCTGATACGGCTGCACGAATTCTTTCTTCCAGTTCTAATCTGGCGCGACCTAAAACTGCTGCTTGTACGCAGCCCAGAACATTGATACCAGAGCTAGGCGCATCTCTCCGCTCAAGTGCGCTAAGGTACAGGTTGAACTCCGGAGTATTGTCCAGATCTTGGCTAGTTTTGTTGAGCGAGGCACCTAGCCTAAGGTAGATATGTGTCTGGTCTATGTTCGTGGTCTGTACCTTCAGCCAAACAGCTTTGAAGTGTAGGAAGTCGCCTTCCTTCATCTGGGAGCCATACTTGAGCTTGTACTACTTGTGATAGCTAGCGTTGATGTCAACAGTGAGTGTTCCATTCTTCTGCGCTGCTTCTTCCCAATTCTCGACAGTTGCAGGCACTGTCGTCGCCTTTTCCGGCCGCATCTCGACACGCGTTTTGATAGGCGTATGGCGGTTGTGGATAAAGGCGGATATGTGTTGACCGGAGAAGAATGATAGAAAAAGAGAATCCTGGCAGTGATCATAAGTGTATAGAAGACGGTGAACATGGGGTAAATGAGGCGAGAGTGGGAGTGGGAGAAAGAGAAGAGTTGTGTGTCTTTTTGTTCGCTGTTCACTTTCACTCCATGCATTTCAACGCTACCTTTTCCTTTGATATTCACTACATACCTACCTAGGTACTGGTATATTCTACATGGGCCTGGAAAATCACTGGTAAACATCTATTTACTCATATTTTGATCATCCTGGTGATCGTCAGTTCAATCACAATCGTTCTCATCAATCCGGTTAGAACCATCCACCATATATACAATTTGTTTCCACAATAAAGAAGAACAAGAGTACAGTTTACACATAGCTCCCAAGAGACTCGAATGACAAATTACACGCTATGCATGCTCAAATACAACAAGAAAACACTATAAAACACACACATCACCCCTCCACCTCCTTCCTCAACGCCTCCTTCACAATAGCCCCACACATCTTCGCATAAGGATTCGTCGGCACAGCCATCTGCTGCGCAACCTTATTCCCAAACCGCCCACCCAAAAAAAAGTCCCGACTAGCCATCTCCTCAATCTCCTCCGGCGTGCAACCCTTCAGCTTCTCCGGGCCCCCATCACTCCCGTCCTGTCTAGCCCTCTTCAGCTTCAGCAGCAGGTACGCGCGGTGCGTGTGCGCGTCGGCCAAAACCCGCGCTTGCACGGTCGACACTGCATCTGCAGGCGACGTGGGCGTAGCGTAGGCGATTGTGCGGCCCAGGTCGTCGAAAAGCGCTGATGCCGCGCTGGTGTTGGCTAGGATGAAGATCTGCTCGTCTGAATCTTCGGTGGTGGACTGCGTTGTGGCTGGTGTAGTTGTGGTGATGAGCAGGCGCTGGGCCTGGGCGCGGTTCATGTAGGCTGGTGGGTATGTTGGATGTTCGGCGATGAGTACGTCCAGGTCTTGGAGCGCTGAGCGGACGGTTTCTGGGCTGACATCACTGGGTTGTAATGTATGGATGATGGCGAGTTCGCGCGCTTTGAGGCTCTCGTAGGTTTCGGGGGTGATGTGGAGGTGCGGTGGGAAAGGTGGGAGAGATGGGTCGATTGTGACGCCTGATGATGGGGAGGATTCGGCGTCGAAGAGGGCTTGGAGGACGGCCGAGTCGTTGGTTGTGAGGGAGGGGCGAGAGAGGTGGATGTCTGTCATTTTGTTGATCTTCTTCTTCTTCTCCTTCTATTTACTTATGTTGTAGTATGAGATGGATATGTAATGGTGTTGAAGACAGTAATACTAGCAGTATTTAGAGTGAAGGTGTCGCAATGTCCACGCGACAACAGTTAGGTCAAAAGAACCAGATATAGCCGACCACTACACTGCATCCTGTCTAGATCCATGGGTAGACGTGGATGATTTCATGGTGTCGATGAGGCGCGATTGCCGGATAGATCCAAGATCCAAAACATCCGCCGGGCTATCATTGGGTCTTTCCAAAATACCCGTCGCCATCCGCCACCCATCCCCTGCGATATCCGCTCCAAACCGACGCAATCCCCAATTTGCCTCCAGTTTCTTTCTATCAATCAGGGGGCTGTGAGGCGGATGGATGCCATCATAGCTGTTCAGCTGGGTCGCGGTTTCCGGGGGAGAGCCTGGGATATCCGCCCAGGCGTCCCACTGGGACATAAAACAGTTCGTGTCGCCGGGTTGGATGTTGGAGGGACAAGAGATTTGTAACTATTACACATATCTGTATTCTACATCTTTTATACTACTCCTTCGTTTTACAGGATCATTCTACCCTTAACATATCACAAACATGGCTCCTTCTGCTATGGCGGGTAGCCCGCCGCCCTCGAACCGAGTGGCGTCCTCCGACTTGGCCAGCTACAAAGGCTATGACCATGTGCACTGGTACGTCGGCAACGCAAAGCAAGCCGCGACATACTATATCACTCGCATGGGTTTCAAGAAGGTCGCCTACTGTGGTCTCGAGACCGGCAACCGAGCCATTTGCTCTCACGTCGTGCGCAACGGCGATATTACCTTCGTCCTTACCTCTCCCCTCCGATCCCTTGACCAGATGGATCGTGTGAGTCCCGAGCACCGAGAAGTACTCCAGGAAATCCACCACCACCTGGAAAAGCACGGTGACGGTGTCAAGGATGTCGCTTTCGAGGTGGACTCTGTGGACTCGGTGTTCCAAGCTGCAGTGCGCAACGGAGCCAAGGTCGTCTCGGAGCCGCACACCCTGCGCGATGCCGACGGCGAGATCCGAGTGGCGACCATCCAGACCTATGGCGAGACCACGCACACTCTGGTCGAGAAGCGCTCGTACAGCGGGGCCTTTATGCCGGGGTACCGGACGGAATCGGGAGCTGAGGATCCCATCTCGGCCTTGCTGCCGGGTGTGCATCTCAGCCACATTGACCACTGCGTGGGAAATCAAGACTGGGATGAAATGGATAAGATTTGCGAATAGTATGTCTTTGCCTTATCTTTTACGTTGCACACAGCTAACAGTTCTTAGTTACGAGAAGGCTCTTGGGTTCCATCGCTTCTGGTCTGTCGACGACAAGGATATTTGCACGTAAGTTTCGGACGGTATTTCCAGTCTCTATCAAATACTGACAGGAACAAGTGAATTCTCCGCTCTGAAGAGTATCGTGATGGCTTCCCCGAACGAAGTCGTAAAAATGCCCATCAACGAGCCAGCCAAGGGCAAGAAGCAGAGCCAAATCGAAGAATACGTCGACTTCTACAACGGTGCCGGTGTTCAGCACATCGCTCTCCGCACAGATAACATCATCCGGGATATCACCAACCTCAAGGCTCGCGGCGTGGAATTCATCAAGGTCCCCGACACATACTATGAAAGCTTGAAGGTGCGAATGAAGAAGACGGGATTGGTCCTGCACGAAGACTTCGACACCATTCGTAGCTTGGATATTTTGATCGATTTTGACGAGGGCGGCTACCTCCTGCAGCTGTTCACCAAACACCTGTTGGATCGTCCCACCGTGTTCATCGAGATCATCCAGCGACATAACTTCTCTGGGTTCGGCGCCGGGAACTTCAAGTCTCTGTTTGAGGCGATTGAACGTGAGCAGGAGCTCCGTGGGAACCTGATTTAAGCTGTTTGGGAGCATGAGACGATTTACGACTGTATTGAATATTTCTTACCTTGCTTAGTGTTCAGCTTGTCTCTGTTGTACATAGTTAGCCAGACAGCTCAATTATTTTGACCATCCATGACGTTTCGAATTATCCATTGTAGCAGGCCTCAAAACGAAGGCAGAAGGAGAAGATTTATGCTTGTCCCGTGATCCCATGTGACTTATCTTATATAAAGGACCAACGGGGAAATACCTCGACGACTGCTTCCTTCGCACGTACAACCTCACTGCTCACTTCTCAACTTCTTCTCATTTAGACCATGTTCCACTTCCACTCATGTGGGTACTACGGCTGTTCGTTAACATCTACTAAACGGAGCGACGAATGCATACTTTGTTAATTATGAATATCTATGTCAGGCGTGGTCATCGACTTCAGCCGTCGGATACTTTGCTCCATGGGTATCCACGATCCATTGACAAAAAATCTCCCACTGCGCATTCCAGCTCTGCAAATGACGGGCCTTGATACCTTGTCCGCGCTCTCCAAGCTGAATATCACGTATCCAGTCAGAATGAGGCTGATCCTGGAAATTAGCCCAGCGGATACTATTCTGTGCGAGAGCGCCCTGTTGTGAAGGAACTTCGTCAGTTTTGTCCAAGCAAGTAAAAGGTGTGAAAAGCAGATGGGAAAAGAATCACTGACCAGTCCAGCCAATCCAGTATTGTCAAATCCTTGAATAGTCTGATAGAAATCATAACTCAGACCTGCAATATCTTGGCCAAGAATGGATGGATCATCGTTGCTGATTGCTGTGGGTACACCGTGCGCCACCATCGCGGGCAGAGGATGGTGCAGGATATCCGTCGCCAAACGAAGGACTTCGTTCGATATGGGGCACACTTCCACCAGGACCGTCTTTTGGATTACCTCGTGTGTCAGCTTGGGGTGCTTGTACAGGGAGAATCCGTGTCCGATACGACGTGTTTGGAAGAGCAACGCGTCGAAGAGATTAAGGTCGGTAGAGTTCCCATCACCCAGCGTCTCTCCCGCATGGAAGAAGAATGGAATTGTGACGTTGAGGATCTCCGTCTGCTTTCTGAACCAGACGAGCTCCGGGGCCAGCTCGAAAAGAGAGTGCCCGAGGTCTTCCTGTCCAACTAGGTCGTATCCGCTAACGAGATAGGGGAATTTTTGCTTTTGCCCAAGAGCAAGCTTCATGTCTAGATTGGCAATCAGTAAGACGACGCATTCGGTGGATGGGAACCATATTGCTACAATGAAGGAGTATCACATACTCTCAGCGATCAGCGTTCGATTGGAGCCCCGCAAGTCCGTCCAAATGACCCTCGCGCCCCAGAAGCCCCTCCCTTTTGATGTCTTTTGGAAAGACTCGATCTCCTCATGCAAGACGTGCCACCAAGCATCCGGATTAGGGTCAGTCGCTTCATTGCCGTTGTGAACAATCTCGCCAGGTGCGGTGCGTATCTCCACCCAGTTGATACCATCATCGACCAATCTCTCAAAAAGCTTGCGATAGAATGTGCGCACGATAGGCTCATAGGTTAGGATCTCAGTGAGTGGACCAAAGCATTTCTGGAACTTGCGCCATATCTCATCCACGCCTAGATCATGTCGCACGGAGTCTCCGGGCAGGATAGTTATCTTGGTCTTGACGAACTCCAAGAACGCCGGGCGGCCTCCCGGAAAGGTATCGGCCGCCTGGTTGATAGGGATCTGCGAGTTGGGCACATAGTCTGTGTCATGAATGGACCTATGTATCTCGTTCAATGTGTGGTTGACATGGGCAAACATGATGGTCGCATTCTCGCGCTTGAGCGGGGTCGAGACGTCCTGCGACGCGGATATCACCATACCCTCTGTATGGAGTACCGCATCCAGCAGCACGTCAGCAGGCAGCATGGCCTGCAGATGGGCGTGCAGCAGCGCCCCCTTTGGCATGCGCTTCACAATCGACCATAGAGTGGTGTTCCCGATATGCGGACGCGCTTTGGGGAACATCTCACCTGCGAACCTTTCGCGCTCCTCGTCGCCGACGACGCCGGGCACGCGCCAGAATTGATCAATCTCCTCTTGTCGGATGGCTCTGACGATCGCGTCGGCGCGTCGCGCCACCGGCGAAAGACTCTGACGGAAGGCATGGTCTACGATGGTGATTAGTACGCGTGTATGGATCACCAATTCCCTAGATTGTCCTTTTCGCACCTTGTCGCTGTCCCATCTCCTGCGTGATCATCTCAGATCGGGAGCGGAGATGGTGCTGCACCACTTTGTCATTGATAGACGGTTCGCCCACGAAGTCCAAATCAACTTCAGCCGACGCAACCGACGACACGCACCAAGCGACGACCCCAAGCAAAAACAGGAAGTTCATAGTGGGCGGTAGCAGCTTCCTGTCGGGTCTGTCGAACAAACAAACCACTTCTCCAGGGACCCGTTCCTCGTATATATAATACTGCTTTGCGACAGGAAAACGAAGTCTCCGATCGACTGGACCGAGCTGAGGGTCGCAGCTGCATTTCAAGCCACCGCGGCCCCTGTTATTCACAATTTCACATTGCTTACGGACCCACAGGGGTGAGATAAGTAGAGAGATAGTGTCGAGACTAGCAAGGTTTGCAGTTGCATCGGACTATTGGGTCCACACATTCCAGTGACTAGCGTTTGCTGATCAGGAACAAAATAGGTGATGTGAGCCAGTGATGGAAGGCCTCATTCGTCCAGAGTACATATTTGTGACCCTACAGCTGAGAAAACAACGTCCTGAATGAAGCTAGTCCCTCCTATGCAACCTTCTGATCAGGAAAGTCCAGAATCCTGATACAGAAAAGGCAGTGGTAGGCAAAAACTGTCGGTCTGCTGATTATGTAGGTACGTGTACTCCAAACTCATTCCGGACTCCGACTCCGTACATATGCATAATTCGTTGTCACATCTATCTATTCAGCCCCGCTTGTTTTGGATTCATCTGGGCTCAGCTACGATTTATTTGGTCTTCTTCCACGGCATTGGTGCACGTGTCAGTTATTACGAGAGGGATCATTGTTTGGCGCATTCTATTAACATACCATCATAGGACTGGGTAGTTTTTACGAGGTTGACCTAGAAATGGCTCTAGTATCCAGTCTTGGAATGATCAGCATCCGGTGTCTGCACTGGTATATGTGCATTGTTTTGACAGGCTAATTCTTTGGTAGTGATGTGCCCTTCGGATTGATATGGAATTTGACCCACACTGCCCACATTGACAGTACAACCATCATATTCTCAATCACATTGTCTAAGAATAGCGGTATGTATGTCTTCATGCCTTCGTGCAACATGCCTCAGAATTCCAACCCAACCACCAAAGAAAGACACAGATCACTTCTTCTTCGAAGACCCAGCACCACCAGGCGTAGTCCCACCCCGTCGCTTAAACTTGCGCGGATCTAAAAATCGAGCACAAGAATCAGTATAACCGAACCAGAACCAACAAATACCACGTATAAAATGAGAACATACCCTTCCTGCTCATAAGCGCCCTATTTCTCGTCCCCTTTCCGCCCTCCCAGAAGCCACTCCCGGCTTTGCCTACGAGGACTGCGCGGCAGACGCCGCAGTTTTCGGGTCGGTAGATTTGCTCTCTTGAGCAGAAGCCGCTGGAGATTATGTTAGCGCTGCGCTGGTTTGAGGGGGTTGGGCTGAGGGAGGTGGTGGTTACCAGATCATGCGGTTGGCGTGTTCGTTGGGATGGTCTGTTTCTGCGTCGTGGCATCTGGGGATTGAGGTTAGGTTTTGATTTGTTGATTTTGGGGGTGTGTATGCTGTGTTTGTTGAGGGGAAATGGATGATAATATGGTCATGGGGTTGTTTGTGAACGTACTTGTCGCAGGGGAAGACCTTCGCACAACAGCTGAATCTGGAGAATAGTGAGTAGGCGTCTATCGACGTGATGAGTAGTAGGAGTGTACCTGAACCAGCGGTAGCTTTTCCCGTAGTGCGAGCAGCGGCCCCGACGGGGTAATTCTTGTCCGGCGACGATGCCGAGGACTTCCTTGGGCTGATTGTCATACTGTCAGGACATATCTTGCAATATGTTTATGTTTCGGTGAGACTTACCTTCTTTCGCTGGGGGCCACGATCTCTCGCTGAGACTGTAGATGATCTATGTAAGCGTGGACTGGGCGATGGGAGTTACTTGGATGAGGGTGGACACTTACAGGCTGCTGATCCTACTTTCAAGAATTTGACCTCGGGGATTTTGAAGACTATATGCGTTAGTGTACTATACTCTTTGGGGTCGGTTTGAACGTACCCATTTTCCGATGGCACTGGCGACAGTTCGCCATTGCGCTCTCTCCACGGACGGCGACGACCCCGGGCTCGGGGAAGGATGTCGAGCATTCAGCGCATGTCGGGATAAAGCTACTGTGAGGTTGTCAGTATCTGTCCAGAGTAGCAAAGGTAAACAGTATGTACCTAGGAAGAAGATCGACGATTGTACATCCGTCTAGGTCTAGATAACCAGCGCGACTAGAATTAGCATGGATCAATTGCCGCCGGAAGCCTGCATAGCAATTAGCATAAATATGCATGAAAACCAACCAATATGACTGGAAGCAGGTCTTATCGGTAGTCACATAGACACTAGGGCGATCCTTACCAACGCTCATGGCATTCGAGCACTTTTTGCACGTTTCCACCTTGGGTACCAGTAACCCAGTCTTGTCGTTTGTGTGTGGAACTTTCTTCACATCCATCATTTCCTTGCACCGCTCACATTTGATTGTGATGTTGAGACCAATCAGCTCCATGAGTTCGATCCCATACAGCTCCAGGAACGGGAATGAAAGAGCGACGCCGCTTTCTTTCGTTGGCTCGGGAAGACCGGGAATAGGAGCACCACCGTCTTCATCCCCTTCGTCAGAAAAGTCGTCTTCGTCGTCAGTCTCGTCTGTGGCATCGCTGCCACTACCGCCTCCGCCGACGGTCCACTCAGGTGGACGGGGTACAACATGCAGATGGGGCTTGTCTCCCTGTGGTACCGGCTGAGGTAGCGTAGACTCGGGCAGTTCCTGTTCCAATGCAACGGGTTCCTCGACAACACCGACATCAGGGGCTTTTTCGAGGGGCGTCTTAGCGAGATTGTGCATGTTGCTGGTCAGATAGTTGACCTGCGACACGAGGTTCAGCTGACTGTTTCCTTCGAGCCACTTCAAAAATCCGAGTTCTACTGCCTGCGCCTCGTCACCGGTAACGCCCTGCATATGAACCCTGCTAGGCTCAAGTGGGTACAAGCGCGGTACCATCAATTTCACCGTCTTGATTGACCGCAGTGGAATGGGCAGTCTATCGACCTTAGTCGGGTTGACAGGGATCGTAAAGGAGAGCCCGTCCGACGACTTCTGGAACATAGGAAGTCGGCCAAGGCGCGCCTCGATTTGCTTCGTCTCTAGCGCCCTGCGCTTCTCTGCTTGCGCCTTCTCCGCCGGCGAGTAGACAGGCGCCGGTGCCACTGGAGGAGGAGGTCGTGGCGGCGGGGCGGACACGCGCATTTGCGCAAGCTTTTGCTGAAGAAGCTGTGTATTTCGCTCGGGCTCTCTCGGCTTGTCCTTACCGGTGGTGATGTTAGGGACAAACTTCAAGGTTGGCCCTCGCTCTGTGGTCGTCAGGAACCGTTCCAGATTCCGATCAAGCGTATTCATCCAGGTCAATAGTGATCCTCTGGAGCCAGTCCGAATCGTAGTGTCGACGATATCGTCAAATCCCCTTTCGACATTGGCCTGAAATGAGGGGCCCATGTCCGCATTGGTCACCTTCAGCGTGGGTCTTATTCGTCCCGGGTACGATGCTGGGACATGCAGCACACACTGCAGCTTATCCATTTCGAATGGAAAATCCGGATCTGAAGGGGCCATGCCAAAGGTGAGGGATGTGCCCGCATCGTCTGTCTTCTCCGTTGGGCTGTACCGGCGTCTGAGCTGGTTCAGCTGGAATTCTCGGGGATTGGAGCTCTCCGCTTTGGAGATTGGCCTTTGGCCAGGAATGGAAGTTGGATTTGTCGCCATGGTTCCGGATTGAGTAAGGATTGTGACAATAATGAAGGACTCCTCGAGATGTGGAGAGGGTAAGCAAGAAGTATATCAAGCTCTGGTCACGGGAAGTTGTTGACGTCGGTTGGTCCGTGCGTTGGTAAGGTAACGCTAGTCCGAAAAGGGAGCTGGTGGGGATGACTCGACGTGACTCATTCTATCGCATCCACTTTGCATAACAGATTGACTCGAATGAATCACGGTGGCAAGAGTGCCTCTCCACCTATGGGGAAACCCTGAAGTTGGTCAACAGGGGCAGAAATGATCTACATATCGAAGGGTGGCAACAGTCCAGTATTCAAGCGGTTCGCGCTTAAGATTTCTGCACCAGATTGATTGCTTCGGTAATGTAAAAAAGTTGATGACTAGGGAAAGGGGGAGACAAGTTTATACAGATCACGATTCGACATAGGGCATTTCGAGAGAATCTACGTTGTCGAACATGTCGAGTATCATCAGAATAGCTCGTCCACTGCACCTCCGCAATGCACTCAGTAAAGATATGAGATGAGTGGAAAGTCCGTCTTCGGCCAACTCTCAACAGTGTGGCTTGTATGTCCGATCATGGGTCTTACTTCCAGCATACAGTCCTGTCAAAGAAACTACCATCATTCCAACGACAGGTTGCACGAAGACCATGAAACCCGATGCTTCAACAATTGACAAACGAATCTATGCTTTTATATTTGTCAGTCCCAGCCTAGATAGTCCCGGAAAGGATATATCCTCGTGTTATGGATTTTCATGGAGCACAATAAACGACGTGACACAAACTTGTGTCAGACGTTGGCAAGAGAAACAATAGCTTTTCGCAGAATACCACTTCAAGCAGTCTACATGGGATTTATGATCAGAAACACTACTGGGATTGACTTCTTTTTACGCTCAGCTTATCGAGTGCTACTACAGCGATCCAGGTATCAAATTGGCAGTCTCCTGAGTAATTCAGATATAGAACTTGCAGATATCATATTCCAGTGATTGGGTTCGTCCAGGACGAACTAAAGTTGCAGCTCCGGAGTCTAGTCCTTTGGATGGCTAGATGACATGAGTACAGATGAAAGCGCCCTAGAATATTCAATATCTAGTCAGGGATGGGCCAATGAGATGTTTTAGATCATTCCACGCTTCTGGCTAATATTGGTGATCTTAACGAAGATATGGCACATTCAATGATAGTATTTACACGCAGCACACTAAAGGTCTCATCCGTTGAAATACCTGAGATACAGGCATACATGTCCGGGCTTTGGTCTGTTGGTTCAGCCCCTATCTCCAACCTCGGTACTCCTATATAACCTATGCAGCGACGTTTGACTTAGCAATAAGGAGCTATATTCCCTTTGGGACGGTGGACACTCATCTGAACAGACTAACAAGAGCAGGTCTACAATACTATCCAGCTCTTTGGTCACAGTACTCATATATGTGAGACCTCAAAAACATCTAACCGCCTGAATTTGATACCGAGAATACTCAGCTTCTGGCGTCTTCCCTCAGGTCTATATTACGGCAAGCCTTTGGAACCTCTAATTGTGAATGAGAAATTTAGTCTGAATCAATCACCTTTATTTATTTTCTTATTTTCAATTGCTTATTGCCATTGTCATTTGCTGCAAAAAGCCCGACAAGAACCACACTCCATATTAGACCAAATCGATCGGTTCAATTAGTTCCATAGTTATAAAGAAAACATCCAGCCACAAAAGATAGCTGCCATGGAGATGAAATGTTCACTCACAAAAAAATGACAAATACCTCTCAGTGGAATGGCTGAGACGTCGTTTCGGAATCGTCAAGCATCCAGATGTGGTCCGACTCGGATCACCAGCGGTCCGTCCCAGCAGCGCCTACAATGCGCCCCCGCCAAGATATAGCAAACCAACGGTGGTGTCAGCAAAATTGGCTTGATTCCGATTCCCTGAAGTGGGCCATGTAATGGATCTACACGCTGAACTCGGAACGGTAGGCAAGGACTTGAACCTTCGTACCAAAGTAGCCAGCTAATCATGAGGTACGGGTATACTACAGGAGTTAGGGTTAGGTACCAGCAGAAGGGGATGAATGGGGAGAGCAGGGGTTGTTTCTCTCCTATTCGATTCCCCATATATAATCTTTGTGGGACTTTTCATTCCTCTGTCTGCTTTTCCCTTTTCTATATCGTTCGCATGGCATAGTTGGTGCTTATCGATCATGCCATCTCTCCTCGTCCCGACGTACGCCGCGATTGGTGCGCTGGTGCTTGTTGTCTTGAATGTCGCGCGTCAGCTGCTGTTTCGCAATCCCAAGGAGCCACCCGTGGTCTTCCACTGGGTGCCTTTCCTAGGAAATACGATTGCGTATGGGATCGATCCGTATGCGTTCTTCTTCTCGTGCAGAGAGAAGGTGAGTCTCAACGTGACATGATCCAATCCGCCATCACTAATCAGAATCATGTACAGTACGGAGACATCTTCACCTTCATCCTCCTAGGCCAAAAAACCACCGTCTACCTCGGCATCCAAGGCAACGAATTCATCCTCAACGGCAAGCTCAAAGATGTCAACGCAGAGCAAGTCTACCGACCCCTCACAGCACCCGTCTTCGGCTCCGACGTGATCTACGACTGCCCAAACTCCAAACTCATGGAGCAAAAGAAGTTCGTCAAGTACGGGCTCACCCAAGCAGCGCTCGAATCGCACGTGCCGCTCATCGAAAAAGAAGTCCTCGACTACCTCAACACCTCTCCCAAATTCCACGGCCCCTCCGGCACCGTCGACGTCTGCGCCGCCATGGCCGAGATAACCATCTTCACAGCCGCGCGCGCCCTCCAAGGCGAAGAAGTCCGCAGCAAGCTCACCGCCGAATTCGCCGACCTCTACCACGACCTCGACAACGGCTTCAAGCCCATCAACTTCATGCTACCCTGGGCGCCCCTCCCAGGGAACCGGAAGCGCGACGCCGCGCACGCGCGCATGCGCGAGATCTACATGGACATCATCCGGGAGCGGCGGCGCGCGCAGCGCGCAGGAACCCAACCACCCGAGAGCGAGCAGACAGACATGATCTGGAACCTCATGCGGTGCACGTACAAGGACGGCGGGCCGCGGCCGGTGCCGGACAAGGAGATCGCGCACATGATGATCACGCTGCTGATGGCCGGGCAGCACTCGTCTGCGTCGATCGGCGCGTGGATCATGCTGCGTCTGGCGTCGGAGCCGCACGTCCTCGAGGAGCTGTACCAGGAGCAGGTGGATAACCTGGGTCGTGCCGGCGCAGGCAGAGACGACGACGGTCTGCCGCCGCTGCAGTTTAGGGACCTTGAGAAACTCCCGCTTCATAATAATGTCATTAGGGAGACGCTGCGGCTGCATCTCTCGATTCACTCGCTTATGCGCAAGGTCATGAACCCGCTTCCTGTCCCTGGGACGCCGTACGTCGTCCCGACCAGCCATGTGTTGCTTGCGTCCCCCGGGGCGACGGGCCTCATCGATGAATACTTCCCTGATGCCAAACGGTGGGACCCGCGTCGCTGGAACAGTCGGACGGAGAAGGAAGACGAAGGCGGCGAGGACGAGATGGTCGACTACGGCTACGGGCGCGTCAGTAAGGGCACCAGCAGCCCTTATCTGCCGTTTGGGGCCGGGCGCCACCGCTGCATCGGGGAGAAGTTCGCCTACGTCAACTTGGGTGTCATCGTCGCGACCATCGTGCGGAATATGAAGCTCGTTTCTGCGGATGGTAGCAGGGGAGTGGTCCCTGCGACGGATTACTCGTCTCTGTTCTCGGGGCCGATCAAGCCCGCTGTTGTTGCCTGGGAGCGGCGGTTTCCAGGGGCGGAAATGGAGAAGTTGTAGTTCTGCGTAGCCAGGATTGTTGGCAGATACTGGTTTGGAGGCGATATTGGATGGAAGTGATGCTCTCTCATATGTACTTAATCAATGTAATATCACCATTATATTAATCTATCCAAGTAGTAACTTACTTACTGTAAGCTTCCAAAGCCCTAACCTTGAATCTGACATTTTCATCTGGCCCACGGCAGTCCACAACCGTACTATTCCATCCATGTCAGCTACTCCTTGCCAAACTCCAGTCCAACCTGACTGCGCAGGCATTACATTTCCCAAGCAATTCTCTACCGTAGCAATCATGCTCACCCGATGGCGACTGCACCCCAACTGCTACTACCAGGTAGGTAGGTATCTACAAGTAACCGTACCCCCAACCAACCCTCACCTGTCACAGCCCCATGTAACCAAATCCGAGATCAGATCACATCATGCACAACCACTAAAGAAGCGACAAAGGCTGCGATGGACCCATAGGTCGCGAGCAGCAAGGGCACCAACTGGAAAGTACCTGCATCGGACACGGCAGCCCCGTCACGCACAAAGCCTCGTACAGAAGAAATCATAATCACCATCCATCCGTCACAGACCCGACCAGGGGCGGGCCCGTCAGACGGAAGAAAGCAGCATCATCTCGCGACAAGACGGCGAAAACCGAATGACAGACAGCCTATGCACAGCAGTTGTCACATTCGAGGTGCGAAAGGGGGAACGGACCTACAAAGTTTGACTGGTGCGTGCGCGTTCAGCCCGTCCCCTCCCCTCCCCGCTGACAGCATCCAATGCGGTGTCGAGGTGCCTTTTTGAGGCTGAGACGCTGCCAGATCAGCAGCACCCTCCATGTAACACCCCCTGTCCCTTTGTTAAAAAGGGGCGGCTGTATAGGGTGGCGTGTGACCAGGAATCGAAATAAGGAAATGGCCCGCGGGCCGTCCGTCCCGCCGGGCCACCATCGTCATGGAGGGGGAGAGCAGATAACTATTCTATATAGCAAACGTAGTTAACCACACACCACACATGTATCCACTTACAATACTTTATGGATAGACAGACGTGCATGGCGGCGTCGATCGACAAGGGGCTAGACTGTCGAACACGAAGAGCGGGGCTGTAGGTAGCGACGGAGCAGTTCCCAGTTCCCAAGGAGTATCCTCCGGGGTAGAGAGGCGTGATCTCACGGAGGGCCGTTGCTGGAAATTGTCCGGTCCCTGGGTGACTGATGCGGTCAAGCGTTTCATTTTCATTACATTTTGCTTTCTTTTATTTCCTCGTTCTTTTTTCTGTGATTTTTGTCGATTTGAGGCGCCTTAGGTGGACGCGTCGCCCCTCCCGCGGGGATTAATCCATCATGCATGGGAGAAGAGGAGACCGACAGGGTTCGCTGATGTGATAATCCACGGCATAGATCGGCGCATAGATCGCTAAATCATATAATTATGAAAGGGAAGGGGACACAATGCGAGGAGGGGGGAAGGGGGGGCGCATGGAAGAGGATGACCCTGCGCAGTCGAACTGCCAACGCAGCGATCTGGTGACCCCGAGATATCGATTTATTTATTATTTATTATTGATTTTTATTCATCTTCTTTCTTCGGGTTGAACGAACAACACGCAGTCTTGTATCGATCGTGGTGACCTACCTGCAGCCACTAAGACAAGGACAATGCTGGGAGCTGGGAGGCAGTCTGATTGGGAAGGTCGAATCCCAAAATATCTCTCATGCACGGTACTTTTTGTTTATTCATTTTCAATTTCATTTTCATATTCATGTTCTGTCCAAGATTTGATATCCTCAGATGACGCCGACGTGGGACGGATGAGGTGGATGCTGGAAGTTGAGGGATCCTTCGATGAGGGGCCAGACCACCACGTGATGGCCATGTTGCAGGCGCCATGGCGTTTATTGGACTGGATGGACTCTGTTCGATGCCATTCGACCTGGTCGGTCATGGAGAGTGGATGCTATATGATCTCACGACGGGGAAAGAATCCGGGGAGCTGGCCCATCCCCTTGGCCCAAATATGGAAATGATGAGAGGGTGCGGCGGGCCAACAGTCCGGTCGATAGGTGGCTGGCCAGTGGTCGAGTGATGTTAAACGTCTGGAGCTTGCTTCCCTACCTTCGATCTCGAAGTCCACCCTCCTTCACCGAAATCCAAAGCTCTAGACGGTCCGACAGAAATACCTATGATCTATGTGGGTGATGGGCACTCGCAATCCGACGCCTTGTTATCACATTCAACAGCATGATCATGTTAGACTCCGACGGTCTGAGGGTCTGTCCTGTTGACGACCTGTGGTCTGGACGCCGCCCCAGAGACGCCCGTTGAAGCTTGTTGCGTCTGTCGTGCCCAACCGGCTGGCGGTGAAGGAGTCAGTCATCGAACAAAGAGGCGATCGAGAAAACCCAGAGGAGGACAATGCCATCATAATTACACGGCGGGATAGCAAAGCTCCTGCAGCACGATCCTGATTGCCTGCAGCAGCTACCGAGGCCTCCGAGATACATGTAGAGAGAACGCCCACCTGCATCATTTGCCTTGTACGACACGAGTCTAATCGACGTGAGTTTGAGAGCGAAATTTGTTGTAGGACATTGACACCATGATTTCCGAACTTTTTCACCGTGCGGATTATGATTATGAAGCCGAGACCGAAGTAATCATCTGGTATGTAATCGCCGTGTCGGGTAACGCATCATACATACCTACTATACACCAGCAAAGCTGCATTGATTACCCCGAACAAACTGGCTTTTGATCGCCCAATGAATCGGCGGATCTCAATATCTCTTCCCCCCTTTCCATTAATCTCGATAAGCCTTCACCCCTCCATCAACCACCACCCCTCGAGCCACACAACCAGATAAAGGAAGAAGCTATTAAAAGGGCAACACGAATCATCCACACATCATCAAGGGGCTTGGGGAGGAATTAACTCAGGGACGGTCTTTCCACTTCCCCGCCAAATCATGACGCCGTCTGGGCCTCCCCCCCGCGCGCACAGAGCTCCAACCAAACTTGATGCAACGTCGCTCTCCACTCCACGAAAATAATCAGGAACTGTTCGACCCACTCTTCAATCAGGATTTTCCTACCGTCCGACCTGGACCATTCCTTCTATCGTTCGATTTGTATTATTTGGGATTTTTCAAATCCCTATTGGGTTTGGTTGTTTTTAACAGGCTTATGATCTGCGGGTGCAGCTTAGTTCGACGGACTATACACTATCGAGCTAGATCCGACCGGGTCGGTCAACTTTTTCAAGTCACCGGACGGTCAGAATTTTCAGGCCGCCAGAGTCATGAGCACGGATTGCCGTTGGTTATACTCAGTACTAACTATGGATGAGGAGCGAGATACGTAGACTATCAACCCTTCAAGACCAACCACTACACAGTACAGACAGGTAACCGACCATAGTCAGTTGATCCTCCTCCTATCGCAAAATCCAAGAGCGAGGTCCCCTCTTTTTCAAAACTCCATATAATAGTCTCAACATAACACTCCCGAACTACTCCTGGTAAATTGATAGTGCGTGATACCTAAACCAGCCAGACGCACTAGCCCGCGACCCCGAGGCAAGGGTCAAGAATTCCTTCGACCTTCGATACTTTCCATCGAAACTCTAGCTGCTTGTCTATACAGTTTTAGCACGAACCTAGCCCGTTCCCTTCATCTCCGGGCTATAATCCATGTCACAAGAGCATGCCACCAAAAAGCGGAGATATCTCGGCCATTTAGTACATGAAGTACAGATATAGACTCGCAGAGGCGAGAGACCAAATACGGGATAGCATAGCATACAGAAGAAGTACGGACTAGGGAGTAAGCGTGTAAAACGACCATAAAAAACCGATCAAGATACGCCTGCATGCAAGAATCACTCACTCACTGACCAACTACTACGGGGCCGCTGTCACGAGCCACTAGTTACTATCGTCGCAGTCGGGGCCAAATCCTTATCAAGTAAAAAAAAAGAAAATAGTAAATAACTAGAAAGCCACCATTGGGCACCGATCAAGCTGCAACTCATACTTGCTTTTCTCCTCTCTAGCCTAGCCTGTAAACCTCTTTACATATCTCCAATTCTCCATCAAACCCACTATCCAAGTGGGTCAGAACGAGTTCAAATGCACAAGTGAAGCTGAAGAGGGGTATGAGTAGCGTACGATACAAGCCGAAACCACCACTCCACCGTGTATTATACTAGACTAAGTATTTTATGTAAGAATACTGACTAAGTAGTACCCACCACCAACCACACCGCCATCCAAATCAGGACAGGCGCATTCTCCGCCTTCTAGAACCTTTCTTGAAACCGCACTAGAACCGAGTTTCTATTTTTCTATTATTATATTTTTTGGCTTTAGAGTAGGTTTTTTAGAAATTTTTTAATCTTTTTTATTTTTTTTATTTTAATTTTTCGCCTCTGAATTATCATCCGACCATGGAAATCTTTACACTCAAGGAAGTAATCCCGCACTTGACATATCTGTGGCGTCAAGGCACAATCAATCCATATCCTAGGGTCTGGTAAGTTCAGGAGCATACTTTGATGTGACTTTGGCTAGCTGTGGCGTCGATGACAACCGGTTGATATTTGGCTATTCACGTGGCCTGTCAAAATCCGATCGACCGAATCAGATGAGTGGGATCTGTGCATCTGATCTTGGATAACATCATAGTTGGGATGTCAGTAGGTATCATTACGTACGTGGGACCTCTTGGCTGTCTTTTCAGTGTGGATGCCGTATGTACAGTAGTATGTCTAGCCAAGCCGTTTCTGGTCTCAATGCCGGTTCTCAATTACAATCATTTATCAGTGACTCATTCTGGGGCAAATAATACTACCAGCTAGATATTGCTGCCCAACAGTCCTCCTCCTCATCGGCATAGTCTTTCGGAAGACAAGGATGCGAGGCATATCCCGCAAGCCAAGACGGAGATAAAACCGGCTAGGATTCCATTCGCTTGTATATCCTAGCCTGGAAGCAATCCGGGCGGTCTATGGGTGTTCTAGATTTGGCAGATGCGCTGTTAAGTCGACACGGCTTTGCTAGTGCCGCGCCGTCGGAGGGTATCAGCGCGTGGCAGTGGCGGTAGCGTCGGCATGCCGAGTGCCTTGAAATATACGTTAGTTAGTGCCGGGCCGGTGATCATTCACGAGATCATATCCAATGGTATGGAATATTTGATTGGCATTTATTTGGTCTTTGGATTTTCTATTCCTTTCTCGTGATCTCTATGGTATTTCACGTAGTAGTTAGTAGTTACTAGGGTAGACAACCCTGCCTCGCTACTCATCCTAGACACTACAAGTATAACTCTATACAGAGTACTACAGTAGGAGTACAGCTTATCAACAAAAGCTCACAATCATACTCAAAATACCAACCATCCCCGTCATCCTCATACACTGTATCTGTATAACAAATCCACCCAATACACAGCAAAATTCTAGTCTCACACAGCGGACAAATCACCCTCCTGCCCAGCTTCATCCCAGCTCCACTACAGACCCGCACCGCACCACAAATTCCCTCCTGCCCCAATCATCAGCTGACAGTGTACATTATCGAGTATCCACAGAAAAAAGAAAAGAAAAGCAAAGAAACTGAAAAAGTAAAGAACAGAACAGGAAAAAAGAGTCACATTAATAATACCCCCAACATATCTCCCATCTAATTGGGCTTTCTTTTACAAACCCCACATGCACTTGTCACCAGCCACAAGTCCATCGACCCTTGGCCTTGGCTTTCTCCACGCTTTTTTCCTCGCTCGGAAAACGCCGGACGTTGCAGTCGGATGGGGTGTGGGGCGGACTTGTTCTGAGTTTGGCTGGTGCTCGGGAGTTTTAGGGATGAAAAGGCTGCTGTGGTGGATAGAGAACAGAGAATTATAGAGGCTCAAGTAGGGATTGTGAAGCTAACTGGTTAGTTGTATTGTTGAAGATTTGCGTCGGAGCACATTGGCCCTGCGCTAATAGTAAACTTTTTTTCTTTGAAAGTCAATCAGTTGGGGGAGAGAGAAACAAGAAGAGGAGTCAGTCAGTCATTGTTTGAGTCAGTCAGTCTTGGACAGTACTTTCTTACGTCATATTCATTTACATCCCCCAGGCCATTCCCGGTCCTTGGTAACTTTATACCCATGGGACAATAGTCATGGCCTGGTCATCAGTCATTCGAGACAATGGCCTTGTTCAAGCTCTCAGTGAATAGTCACTCCCTACATCCTAGTAAAACCCGGTAGAATTCCCAACCACGCTGCATCGTGCGTCAGTCAGTCAGTTGTCACGAGGTAGGATCGATCGGCGAACGATCGGGATCCTCAGTCTAGACCAGTCGTTGATGATCTTCGAGACCTACCTTGATGTCTAGTAAAGCACAGAAAGGGTGTTGATGATGATATCTAGCGTTTCAGTATTGGATTCCGATATCGTACTCTAGAAGGCTGCTTGCTTGTTCCGAAGGTTTTACTCGGTAGTGATCCCTCTCCTCTCCATCGGGCCGTTCTACTAGCTGTCTACCGTACCTATAGCGGTGAAAGTCACTAAATACTATCCATCCATCCGCCCGTATACAGCCCTCATAACCTAGGTTATCAATCGGTAAGATCAACCCATCAAAAGTAACCTCCAATTCGTAAAGTAAGGTAAAATAGAATGACGGAAAAGAACTGGAAGTGCAAAAAAAAACATAACCGACCTAACCGTCCGATAAATCAACAGATCCTCCACTCCACACAAGATAAAGACGATGCGTACGTTACACCTGTCAGCCACGAGCTGTTCATCAGCAATAAGTAAATACGAGGGCCGATGATCAAGATGACAATGACAGACAATGGAATTATTGTATGTAGGACAATCAACGAGTTGTGATTAGGTTGGTTAAGACTTTGTTTTTGGTTGGCGAGTCCGGGGGTCCGTTGTCATACCTATCCTATCCTATCTACCTATACCTTCAAGTTTCTTTAGGTACTTGCTAACTACCTATACTATTATATTGCTATCTCCCTACCTATCTACAGAACTTACGTAGGTGATATACATTCTGCATAGTATACAACGACTGCTTGTGATCCAGATCAAATACAGATAAAATAAATCAACCGAATGAACAGAATCAAACCCAACACGTGAACCACATCAACCCACCAATATACTATATACTGTCCATTCAAAACAGGCACATATAACGATAAAACATAATAAAATACCAACACAGACCCATGGCTTGCATCAAGCCAGTCAGTCAGCCAGTCAGCCCAATCTGCAGCCAGTCCGGGGTCAACACTCAGGATTGAAGACCGCATATATCGCCGTTGCCGCCGCTTTTCTCGGCCTCTTATTCTGCTTATTTTATTTACAATATCAATACCTACTTATAGTTTAATTATGATAACGGTAATAATAAGAATAATGATAATAATAATATATCAGTGGTAATACGATGCGATATTATACTTGATGTTTTTGTTTATTGTTTAACCAAATAAATGGTGTATTTAAGAATATGATCTGTGCCGGTCTAGATCTTTGACATGGTGAGCTCTTTCTGCAGGCTTTATCCTTGTTCGATAGGAGGGTCAATTTATACTACCATCTGACTTCCAAAAAAAAAAAAAGCATTAATGAGATTTACTCATAAAGATAATGGTATGTCCAATGTTTCTTTTGTTTATGTAGTATCTTAATATAAAAGACAATGGCGTACATAGCATGTGCAGGCTCCGGTATCGACCTATGGACAAGACAAAAATCACAAGTATTTGGTATCTGGTATCAGAAAAAAAGGAAGAGAGACAGTAGGAAAAAAAGTTGATCAAGACAGGGTTAATAAAGACATGTTTTTTGTTGGCTGTCGTCAATAAACAAGCAGTCCCTAAGCACAGTGGTAATTCCCGTTGACCTTTCCTGTGGCTCCGGCTCCGTCCTGACAAAATGAAATAATTCAAAACCAATAATCAAAAACAAACCCCATGTCCATGCCAGCCAGTAAGCCATGTCCCGTCGCCGTGCAGTACCAAGGAATCGTCTGTACAAGAAGATTAATCGTCCAAGGGAGGTTCCGTGCTCCCCAAGACGACTCGGATAGTTAACAAACAGAACAGAGATAGCCACGCAATGTTATGACCAATGGATGAATGAGAAGACCCGAAAAGGATATTAGGTCGGAAGTAAGATGAAAAAGATAGGAAAAAAAAAAAAAAAAAAAAAAACCATATGATCCCGAAGTGCGCCAAAATGCAATGCAGAGTCGTGATCGGACGTGTCACAAGGTTATTCAATCGGGTGGTCGTATAGACACACGTGCAAATGTGAAAAACGTTTGTTCTTTTTTTGGTTGAGGCTGGGGTTTCGTAGTCAATAGACATTATTACCCTTCGTATAATATTCTGTCGATGTAGAAAGATGCAAATACATGACGACGGTTGTTGTCAATCCGTCTACCACCCCTTCGCATGATATTCCCAGGGCCCAAAGTCGGTGTAGTTGTTGAAGGATCCCATCTTGGTGTCCTTGTCCGCGCTCTGGTTAGAGGCGCCAGGGCCGGCTCCTCTTGGTCCCGGATATTGTTTCAGGTTCGCCACGTCATGTGCAGTGTGTCGACGTTTCATAACCGCATTGGCAGTGGCGCTCTTCTGCTGGCGCTCCCAGAGCAGATGACGGCGGAGAGACTCGGTGAGTTCGGTCGCAAGCATGTTGCGCCTCGTCGTCCGGGGAGAGTGCGCCACGGACTGCGGCGCAGTCTTCATTCCAATCGGATTCGACCGAGGTACATCGGGGCCCCGCATCATCAGGTTCTCACCGTCATGCTCCGGGGGGGAAGCGGGGATAGACGGTCCATTAGGTGATGTCAAACGCGCGCGTTGCAAGGCTGGGCTGGATCGTGTCGGACCCTGCATCATCTTGATGGGCTGGTGCATCATCATGGTGAGGAGAGAGCGGCGGGAAACCAGGTTCGGCCGGGAATCCACCCGCTGGAACATGCCACGCTCTTCGGCGATACTCGAGCGACCGCTCTCGGTCACGGAATCCTCCCAGTCAGAATCCTCATCATCCTCAATGGCGCTCTCAGAGACTTCGTCCTCCGTCTCAATAGCATCCTCGTCCATGTCACCGCGCTCCTTGATCGGCTTGACATTCACTTGGTCTTTGAAGGACGTCTTCTTTTTCTTCCCACTGGCATCGTTGTTGGTCTTGCCCAACGCCGACTTTGCCAACGCTGACTTGCCGAGTTCGTCGGAGAGCGAGCTGCGCTGGGGCGATCTCTGAATAGCCATACGGTCCTCAAACGAGCTTTCGTCATCATCGCCGGAAGACCCGCCCAGAGTAAACATGCCGCCCTTCTTCTTGAACGGCGACGGTTTCAGATGTGTGGGTGGTTTGGCGGGGCTAGGTTCCGCAGCCAGTCGTGCCTGCGACCGATAGGACGAAGAGATGAGCGAAGGGGAAAAGCCACGGATAACACTAGGAGATTTGACTAAATCGGGACGCGACGGTAGAATGCCGGACGACGAAACACTCGTGTCGGAGGCAGCCGGGTTGGCGGCATCGCTATCGCAGCCCTCGGGGGCGGTAGTCGAGCAAGACTCGGTCGACTCATTCTTTTGTTGACTCATGGGGTATGTCGGTGGCGTTCGCCTGACCGTGGACACGGACGGAGGGGTGGGAGTGGGAGTCGACGGGCGGGGAGTGATGTCGACAACGGGGGGAGAGACGGCCGTCATGGCGGTCGAGAGCGGCTCCAGGTTCTTCTTTTCCTTGATGTTCAGTACCATCCGCTCCAAGCCGAGAGAGGTGATATGCTTCTCCTTTCCTCGGCCGAGGTTAACGAGCGAGTCCTCCCGAACAACGGCGGGTTTGTAGTCGCATTTGGGACGCTTGATGTGGCTCTCGATTCTCTCCGCCTGATCGGAGGCGGCAGATTCGACACTGGCCGACAGTTCGGGCAAATCCCCTTCCTCTGAACGGAGAAGCGGCAGAACCGAGGTATCACTGGACGTTTCCGGCTCGACACAAAACGTCTCGCGAGTCCATAGTCGCCAGCTCAAATTTTCCAACCGACGTCCCTCTTCCATATAGTCGGCACATTTGGAAAATACTAGGCAAAGTCAGCCACGTAAAAAACACTAAAATAAAGAAATTAAGAAAATTTCCACTTACCCATCCACATGCCATGAAGACTCTGAGTGTTCGCCGTGTCGACCTTGTGGATCTTGGCCGTGTCCACGGTCAGGACGGGGGTGGATAACCGAGAAGGCATTCTAACGATGCCAGTTTGTAGATTGCTGAAAGGGAGAAAAGACACAGATTCGGGGTCGCCGCCTGCCCCGAGCGTGGTCGTACGGCGCGTGTAAACCTGGGTGAAAAGCTCTAATCCTGCGCTGGTGGCCGAAGACGATATTTCCATATGATCCGCGATTTGCTGCGAGAAACTGATTGAGCAGCAAGTGGCACCCCAGCTGCCGTAGATGCAGCCGGTTTAACGGTAAGACCTTGGTGCTTGGATTGTCGCGTCGAGGGTCGTCCGGGTGGAGATGTCGGGTTCTTGCCGGATCAATGTCGTAACCGTCGGTCGAGGGAAATGACGAGGGGGGTATCAATCGACCGAAAGCGAAGGAGGTCGAATGGAAGCGAGGGTTGATGGAGTTGAGCGAAGGTGGCGAAGTCGAGTGTCGAGATTGATCGGTATAGGAAGTATGTTGGAGGAGTGGAGGAGAGGTGTGAGGTGAAGAGGAGAAGGGAAGTCCAGGGAATAAAAGTGGAATATGGAGGAAGGAAAGGAACTAGTCGTCGGTTCGACGAAGTGGAGCGGACGAGAGGGAGTAAAAAAAAAGAAAAAAGAAAAAAGAGAAAAAGAAAAAGAAAAAGATACTAGTAAGTAAGTAAGAGTGGTGAATTACGAGATAAGTGGAGAACCAGGAGGGGGCAGGATGAAAGATAGTATTGGTCTGGTAAGTAACGGTACCAGGGGAGAGAGTCAGAGAGAGGGAGAGAGGGAGAGAGAGAGTACCGAGGAACAGGATCCAATTCCACGGTGACGATGAATGATGAAGATGAACTGATGGGATTCCTGCCAGGTAATAAGAAATACTTTGAGAACAGGATCATAAATAATTCCAGAATGACCAGAATGATCAGAAAATGATTATTCTTGTAATTATAATATTCAAGAATCAATAAATCAAATCAAATAAAGAAGAAAATGTAGGTTGGATGTATGGGATGGCGGTAAGAGGACAGCCAGGATCCTCGTTGCGCCTCCTCCACGGTCGGGACCTGTATTATTATTTTTGATTTAATCTTTCTTTTCATCTTTTATTTTTATTCTATTTAATGTTCTCCATTATAATGGTTATAATTATAATTATTATTTCTATGATTATTATTATGTTACTCTTAGTGTTACGTTCCGGAGACCTCCCGTGGGTCTGGCAGTATTTCTTACCTTGTCATAACCATCGGTAACTTTACCGGTCTGTTTCCGGAGTCCCACCCAAGAAAAAAGTACGGAAGATGATTCAGGCGTTCAGTGGAAACCATATTCCTGGTCTGTTATTCGGATATTCAATCTCAACTACGGAGTACAGAGTATATCTACACTGCTTTACTTCTTGATAGATGAGAATTAACAATTTGGAATCATGGACTTATCTATCAACCATATACAGGGAGTCAACAGGTTGAAAAAAATGAATGATCACAATCTGTACTATCGAATATGTAGGATGAAAAATTGGAATAAAAAGAACAGAGTCTAGACAACGGGTCAACAAAGATCGGCTTGTCCTGTGACCTCCTGGGGGTTAGTCAGCCACTCCAGGAGGCTGACAGTTCACCTCGGTCGGGTCACTTGACTGGCCCCAGATGGGTCCGCCTGTTGCATTACTTGCACATCGGTTGCGATCACTGCATTAAAGTACCAACAGGCGAGGCGTTCTCTTGGGGCTGGAATGATTGACAGACTCAGATTCATTCTCATTTTACTGGTTTCTCTCCCATCGAAGGAGGCAATGCTACCTAGTAATGTCAGTCTCCTCCGCCACTGCTGCCGCCCTGCCGCCGTCCGTCCTCCTGACTGTTTACCTGTCTTGATGCGGGTCGACTGCATTCGCCACGGACTCGCTTTCGGCGACATTCTGCGGGGAGAACGGAGCAAGATGGGATGGAATCCTTATCAAGTATGTAGGAACCTACCCAGGAACCTGTATATCTTCTACATGTTTGGATTTTGGATTCTTGAAGCCACTGAATCATTTCCACTGTAAATAATTATCCCATGAATATCATCTCAATACCAATCAAGCATACCCCACGATATCCTACCCTCTTTAGCCTTCACCCCATGCTCAGTTGATCAGGTATCGATCGTGTTTATCCGCCTTTTACCCTCCCCCATCCTTTGTCCTCACATTGGACACGTCCATATCCAGTAGTTGACCTATCCCGGCTGAACTGTTATTAACCGGGAGGGCGTCCCCCTCCCCAGACAGAGGCGCATGCCGGGGAAGCGTCCAGTGGTTTCCGATCTGGCTGATCCTCTTAGCTCTGGAATTCGTCTGGAAACTGGATACACTGGGTAGAGGCCTTCTCCGTGTTTTGACCCTGATCGAACTTCCTTGATTAGGGACGGGGGTCACTGCGCTTCCTGTCCCTGAAACCCGAAGCCATAGTGATGCTCAGGCCATCTGCCGGTTCGTTCGTTTCATCTTGGATTGGGTATTTGATATGATTGATTTTTGATTCGATTGATTATTGATCGAGGTGGATTAATCGTAGTGTATTGTCATGATCAGCATTATTTATCTTATTTTCTTATATTTTCTTTTACTTGCTTATTTAGTATAACAAATAAGTAAATCAATCCCTGATATAACCCGTGTTCGTCTCCCGGGATATCTGCCAGTCTTCGGCAGAAGTGTCACAGCCGCACTCATTCTGATCTCAACAGTCGTCAGAAGTCACAAGGTGCCTGTCTTGCCAGCTGTCACCACTAAATCATATCTAATGAGATCATGAGTATCATCTATACATCATCTATATTCATCATTCATCATCCATCATCCATCGTCAGGTTTATGTGCTGTCGCTGTCAACCTTGACCTCCGTACAGAATGGCAAACAAATAACTACTGGAGTAGACAGCTTCTATAATGCAAGAGACATGGTCTGTTGACCAATTCTTCGGATACAATCTCCCAAATCTCTTCCCCGGCGCTAAGCATGTAAAACAACCAAACCAAAATATCATATAAGATCAAATAACAAAATAGGCAAAATAAATAATACGCCACAGCTGATCAACTCCCCAGTTTCCCAGGCAGGCGGTTCGGGGAACCCAGGTTCCTCGACAGACACTTACACTATACATACTGGTATACTTACTTACTTCCAAGTATGATGACCACTCTTCCTCCCCAGCACGTCAAGCATAGCATTGCATACAGACAGCCTCTGCTTTCCTCCCCTGTTCACAGTCCCGTCAGCCTCAAGTCACACAGTCTCGCACGTTTTGTCAATCAGGTGATGTTCCACGTCGAGGGCCAGGACCGGGGAAGGAGACCGGGGGTTTGTACACCTGATGGATGAGTTGTAAGATTTTTCCATGCTACTAGGTGATAATTTTTTCGATCCGCATGATGATGCTCGCCTTGTTTTTTTTTTTTTCTTTCTTTTTGCTTGACCTCTATTTTTTGTTGGTCTTTGCTTTTTACTTTCCGGGTGTTTGTCTAGGCTGAATGAATATCTACTAAATAAAAAGAAAAGAAAGAAAATGAGATCAATAAATAGAAAAGGGGCTAATCTCCGAGAGGGACAGAGATCCCGAAAGTCAACAAGATAAAAATAAATAAAAATAAAAAATATACAAAGAAAAAAGAAAAAAGAAAGAAAAAAGAAAGAAAAAAAAAGAATATAGAATATAATCTTAGTTAAGCTCGGCTTATTGTGAGAGACCCTAATCTCCACGAGTAACGGTGCCTCGATGCGCGGCGATTATCTACCGGCGACTACTACCACTACTGCTACATACTACTCGCCGTGACTGAACTACCTCGCCTAGACATAATCCTAGGGTAGTATTCGTTATACGAGATACTACAAGGGATGGAGTCTTTCTCAGCTCTGTACGAGTCTATTCAGTTGTCAGCCAGTCAGTCAGTCAGGTAAGGATGGATAGGATAGGAACTCCATAATGAGTCAATCATTGTCTAGTACTGAAGTATATGTCTGTCATCAGTAACAATCTTCACGATAGTAACAACAATGTAACTGGCTAGCGTTCCCGCAAGAAAAGAAAAACAAAATAATTCCCCCCCGCATTCTTTCATGCATCCACCGGGTACCCACCACGATGCACACAATTTATCATCTTATATCATATCAGCGGAAGCATACGGACAGGACCAACAACCCACCTAGGCATCTCAACCCCCATCATCAAACAGATCACGAAAACTAATCCAAGCGAGTGACGTCCATCTCCTACTTCGCCCTTCCCGCCCCTCCCCCTCCTCAAGTAAAACAGGAAACGAAAAAGAGAATAATATCGTGCCGCGGCTGTAGACCCATCTCAGCTCACGATCACATTGCTCAGCTGCCCATCATACCTGCAGCCCGTTGTTCCACAGCGACGACAGAGAGAGAACCACGTAGCCGCGGATCGTCGCCCTGGGGGCGCCGTCTTCCCGGCATCGTCAGGCGTACTGCAGCTGTATTTTCCGGTAGATGATCTGCTAGTTAGTACGCAGATGGGAGGGAGGGGGGGGGATGGGAAATGGCCCGCAAGGCGCATTCAGGTGTCTCTCTTTCTCTAACTCCTTCCCCGTCAATCCGCGGAGGTTGTGACTCTTGATTCATTCTTACGTATGTCCCCCGTTGTGGGCCTGGTGGGAGGCGGAGGAGGAGGGGGAGGGGCGGCTTATGGGCTACGGTCATTACCGGCCTTGATTGATTGATGATTGACCCGGCCCCAGACTGACAGTAAGGCCTCCTCCCTCTCCCCCACTGATCGACACCCGTGTTTGGACTTGAACGTGAGTTGTGTTCTTAACATAGTAACTCACTGCCTACATTACACGATCTTGGACTGACAGTCTCCAGATGTGGGATGGATCTCAACCGGTTGGCGCAGCGCACACCTAATCCCATCATCCATCCCATGGTACCTACCCTTCCTTCCTATCCATCCATCTCGTGGTGAACAAGTCAAACGTCCATACCGTCCAGAAACTCGTCGACCAGCTGTCAACCTTCAATTGGCCTTTCCTCCGACGGTGCAAGGGACGGGGCTCCTCATCTGAGGTAATTAATCCCGTGGACCGGATGTAAGGTTCCATGGTGTGCCAGTCCAATTCCTGGTAGAAAGCAGGGCGCTGCGCGTCAGTTACTTCAGTTACATCAATGTAGCATTCCATCTGGCGAGAGTAAAGTAAAAGAAAGTCAAAAAAATCAAGGACTGAAAAGAATGAATGGAAAATCGCCGTTGCCGAAGAAGAATCATCGCGTGGCTGGGATTGCGCCTTTCTAAATGCGTTCCGTTCGTTTCATCTAATCTGGTAATCCCCACGACAGGACCAAATCTGGCCTTCTCCCTTTTAGGAATCCTCGTCCGTGGGCAGTAGCAGCAGCAACAAGCAGTAACTATTGAAGTGGCGAAAGCGGTCACAAGAACAGGCGACTTGCTTGTCACATGATGTGGGGTCGGTCGATCCCGCGGCTGTCGGCCATGTCGTATCAGCGAGTTATAGGCGGGTATTTGCGGAGTACTCCCTCCCGGGGTTCAGTATGCAGTGGTACTTACTGCGACTCTTGTCAACCTACGTGGTACCTAACTAAGTATAGGTGTGTATCTTCCGTAAACGGAGTACCCCGATGATCAGGTGTTCATCTAGAATTCCCCCCCCTGTCACTTTCGTGTTTTCTTTTTTCTGTGCCTGTTCTTTATGGAGTTCTTGCGATGATGGCATTGCAGGGGAGAGCGTTCACTCATTGTTCCCCTTAGATTATCTGTGATCCGCGGCTTATGAGAACTCTTTCCCCCCCAAAGCCACAACTGAAAGCCACCAAGGCGGATGACAACCCGGTAGCAGCATTCATCTCACCGACCATCGTAACGAGTATCGCGCTGTACACCCCGCCATCCCGTGTCCGGAAGTCGTCATGGTATGACCACTGGACAGCACAGTCCATCAACTAGACAAACGATCGAGAACTGATCGCCGGACAGCTCGGATTTAGCTGTATCGGGTGGGATCAGAGTATGTGGCTTGTGGAGCGGACAAAGAGATCACCTTCAATATATCCATCTATGGTGTCTCCGTACTCCGGCAATGATAGAATACTTGACTAACCCGACGGTGTCTTACGAAACCCTTACACCCTCCGTGCGCCCTGAGTTCATTATTATGCATAACCTAAAAAGCTTGAAAGCTTGGACGATGGTTGCGCACAGATCCCAGGACTGACTTTCTCCCTTGTCGGCCGTTCCATGTTAAGGGACCGGTTTGTGTCCAGGGAGACATTTTTTCTTTCACTTCCCAGCCCTAGCCCTCTCAACGGTAGGTACTCAATCTATCCGTCTTCCGATTGAGGCGTGTTCCCCCCTGTTTCGAGAAAATAGGCTTTGGCCTTCTAGCGACACGGAAGTTAATTGATTAGCCGCCGATGTTGACTTCTTTGTTCCTTTTTGATGAGCGTGTGTGTTTATTTGTTCCTTTCACTTCAACCCAAACGCATCCATCAAACGATTGAGGGGTCCTTGCCCATGCCCACGGACATTTTGTTCTTTCTGAGCAGTCATACTCACATCATACACATAAATACATAGGTACAGAAATACAAACATTACAGTACATACTTTTTCACCATCTATCTTTTCATATCTCTGATTTAGATAATGATCTCCAACCCTTCCGGCCCGCCCTCCCCGACCAACCCTGGAAGAATCTGGAAGGAGGGGGGATCTTCGTCACGCAGCTCCATCAAGAATGTCTGTACCTGGATCGGGGGGAGGGGAGGGGAGGGAAGGGGAACTCCATCTCTCTCAGCGCACAAGCATTGTCCTACATACCATACCTTAGTACAGATAGTTCCTCTCCAGAAGGTATCAAGGTACACGATTAGCAAATAGCCCGGTTTGCAATTGCGTGGCGCGCAGACCCTGGTTGGACGGGGATGGATGGGCTTCGCTTTCTGCAATCTTGCTGTTTGGACGGGGGTCCCAGGGCGTTGTGTCCCCTGGGATTAGCAATGGAAAAGAGAGGAGAGGAGAAGGAGAGTGAATGGGTGATGACTTCGGACGCAAGGGTTACGCGGATTCAAGTTCCCCGTTTTCCATCTCCACTTCCACCTACCACTCCCAACCAGCGCGGTCGGTCGAATGGATCTATAGGTAAATAGGTAGGTAGCTGACTACCTAGTTGTATACTGGGGAACCTTCTTCCGAGGAGAGAGGGAAAAAGTCAATTCATCGAAAACGGGATACAATTACGACACCAAAATCTTCAAACAGGGACAGAGCGAACGCCTCTGTTGTTCAGACTGACACAATTAGTACTACCTACACCTGTCCCTCTCCTCCTCTCTCCTTGCTGCAGTATCCAATGTCAACGTCCCTTTGACGCGGTCGTCATCATCGCCCGCCACGTTCGGTCTTCCACGGGGAATTACATTCCCGTCCCCAGATTGGTTTTCCCGTCGAGAAAAAAAAATTAGAAAGAAATAAGAAAAAAAAAAAAAAAGAAAAAGAAAAAGAAAACAGGACACACGGGCCCTCGAAGTAGCGGTGGATAGATGATGAATCACCCGCCGTGATGTTGACGGCACCATGCCACTGATACATATGTAGGGACAAAGACTGGACCTGGTAGGTAGGTAGTACAAATGGGTTGATTGTTTGGGTAATCGTTAAAGCTCTGCTATTCCAGTCAGTCCCAGGCCCCAGCGTCAACGGATGTGAATGAATAAATGATGGATGGATGGATAAATTGAATGCGATAGATTAATGACGCATGTTGGACACTTCCATCCCGGTTTGTACTGCTCCTTGTAGTGGTCCTTGCACAAACCAGGAACAAAAATAATAGCTATATCAAAACAAGCCCACCCGGACCCCATCACTCCATGAGTCCATCCGTCTCCGCGCACAGATCGCAAGGTACATACATACATACATACGTACTCCATACCTACGTAGGCACATACATACCTGAGGGGTGTTCCGCATAGCGCAGCGAGATGAGCATCATGCATACATACATACATAATTGTGATACCGGAACTAGCCATAGCCAGCTAATCCACTCTGTCTTAGGCGATCCTGGATCGACCAGCAGATAGTCAGTTACAAGACAGGGCAGGCTGTTGCAGCCAGCGTGTCCAGGTATCTGGGATCACAGGGCCTAGGCTGGTGTTTGTTGATTCAGTCTTTTGCTGGGAGACCCACTCGGTGATCGGCGCTAGGGGTGGGAAATTACTGGGGTGGATTCTTTCTTTTGGTCTATTCTATTCTCTGTCTGTCTTTCTGAGGAAGAGAGGGTATGTATTTTGTAGATCGGGGTGATCGTAGTATAGATGATATGGTACTTGTGTTGGCTTCTTTATATTAATTAAGTGATTAATTCCATTTGATGTCCAATTTCTTGGTTTCTGGTCAAAAGCAGGGTCTGAGTGTCAACAGGGTATATAATATCATGTATCTATATTATAGCATGATCTATATTCTCCTCGTTTTACAGAACACATCATAATATTTTTGTATGGATGTGCACATAAGCGTGTGTGTACTCCGTACACAACCTAAGATATGTAACTGTATACAACACATGTAGCGCGAGAAGTCACTCACCCACCCCTTACCTCGCCTCCCCTCCCCTAATCAACGGATATCATCGCCACAACGGATATCATCGCCACAAGGCAGCTCCCAAGCTGTCCATATTGCCGCCCAACGTCGTAGAACGTGTCGGCGTAGCAGTGACGGCGGTGGTCATTTGATGATGCGGAATTTTCACCCAATACTTTACCACCATTGACTACGGAGTACTCCGTACCTACTATCACTGTTTCTTCTGGAGTAGGAATGAACATGCCTATCGAGGAACCGGAACAAAGCGCGCGTTCCGGCGCAGGATCCCAGTTTTGGTGGATGTCATGTGGATGGTTGGTTCCTTTGCGGCTTGCCATTCTGTCAGGGTCGGGGGGATGAAATCGGATGTGTCCAAGGTTTATTTTTCTTTGGTGTTTCTGGAAGGTGATGGTTTGGGGGATCCTTGTCTTTTTCTTCGTCTTTTTTTCTTTTTTTTTGACTCCTTTTTTGGGTTGGGGGTTCATTGGTTTTTCTTTATTGGATTTTTATATTGTATTTGTTATTTTGTTGATTTGATTATTGTTCACTCAGATGGTATTTTACACTTCTATATTAACTTCTTTTTTACTATGAATCCTTTACCTTGTTTCATCCTTAACTTGGCCGTTATCGATCACGCCGTTGTTCTGGTTGAGTGGTAGCCGCTGTAAGGCACCAGTCGATCTGCAGTTATCCGCTTTGGAGTGCACATGACCTGATTATAATAATATAATTGACATAGTATTATACTATTAGGTATTGATAATATTATTTTCTTCCTTCTCACTAAAAAATCAGAAGCACCAATAGACAAACCCACCGGAATAACTTAGCTGAGTCCGACCCCAGCAGGAGAGACAGTCAAGATGCCCGACGACATGTCAACCCCAACCCGCCCTGGTGGTTTGTTGTCCCCATGTGACCCTGTGTTGCCAAGAGGGGGCCTTATTTCTGTTCCTGAGATGACTGTGTTTCATATCTAGCTGGGGGGAGAGGATGGGGATTGGAGAGGTGATTGGGTGTGTTGGTGTTGTGGGATGGGCCAATTGTGTTGGAGTATGCGGCCTTCTATACATAGATACTTAGGTAGGCATCTGTCTGTGTCTATCACTTCGTAGGTATTCAAGTACTGCTAGTGATAGGTGATCGTGACTATGGGGTAGTTTACTTCATGGAGGCGAGTATTCCGGAGGGCCATGAATCGTACGTCTTATGCTGCAAAATTATGTACTGCTGGTTGGTTGTGCTGCATAGAGTGATCTATTGGGAGCCTCTTTGTTGGATCACTCGCAGTAGATAATTTTGCAGTCCATAATATTGCGGGTGATAGATTCCAATGATCAACTCAAGATGTAAGGATGATCATCAAGTCTATCCTATGTATAGATCCAGCCTGTCAAGATATATACCAGCGTCATGGTGAAAACACTAGAAATTACCATCAACAATACCATACGAAACACAGCCCCATCCCAGCTCTGAGAAAAGGAAAAGAGAAAAAGAATCAAAACCCCGTCCGCAAATTCCTCTCATCAGATGTTCTTTCTTTCCCCGACATCCCCCATCCTCACCGCAGTCAGTCAGTCGTGTGATGGGATCCATCAAAGTAGCGGTATAGCTCTTGGTAGAGTCATGGCACCTCGGAAAGGAGACAAGACACCCATCTGATAACTATGACTACCCAAGCCGCTTCCCCCGCCCAACAAACAGAAAGAACAGAGCTGTCACGAGTGACGGGGTTAATAAAGAGGCCCCCAGAATTGTCATCACCCGCGGGGATGGGGGGAGTGCATCGCGAACAGACTCGGGCCACGTCAATGATGGGGCCGGGCCATGTGATGAGGGCTCTTATTCATGACCTTCATCTGCGGGCGGATGGATCGTTGACAGAGAGTGAGGGAGGAGTTGCCCAGGCTGACCTGCAGTTGGATATTATCATCTGTACTTCTTTTTGATGTACGGAGTAATTATCCACGATATCGAACACCTTCAAGAGGGTAACGATTATGACGCAGACAAGAAGAATAGTGGTCTAGAATCTATAGATGAGTCGTTTCTATTTCGGTCGCTTTCTCCAGTATAGTGACAGTCATAGTTCTCCTAATTCTTACTTTTGTTCGCGTCATCTGAACATCAAATTCAATCCCCTCTCAGGCTGAAGTCTCCTGCTTCTAGACCCAAGGATCGGAGGCTGTCCACCTGGAAATCGAATCCGTTGAACCTCACTAGCATGCCTTGTGATAAATCACCTTCATCACACACTGACAGCATGTACTTTGAGCATTCATACGGTAGGATTTAGTATCTACCATCCACACGTCGTAACCTACCTAGGAACTATACCCGATCATCAGATCCCCGACACACACGGCTGAGCTGTCAACTTCATCCACCCCCTGAATCCTTCCCTCCATCCGAGGCCGATGACCCCTCTCCTCTCTTCTGCTCTCCACCCGGCGTTCGTCGCAGCATAGTGGATCCATCCATCCTTCTACAGTGCAGATTCAGCTAACTAGTTAGTCGCGATGCGATCAACCCACGATTCACATGTCACTCACGATTCACCCTAGTCCTCCTCCTACATCTGCCGTGGATTGAATCTCATCTCCCCTCTCGGCCACGAGCCCGCGGAACTGGGATGTTGTTTCCACGCGTCGCGAGACCCATCGGCGGGTTGATCCGTCTTAATTTAGTAGAATCGATGGATGGTCGTGATGAGGTGTTTTATCTCCATGTGAATTAACTGCCTATCTGACTACCCCTGATCAAGAAGGATTTGGTCCAACTTCGTACTTTTTCACTTCCTCAACAATAAATGAATAAATAATAAGGGATAACCAGATACGAGAAACCGATAATCTCACAAAAGAAGCCATATTAAACTTTTATCCAACCATCATGGGATCTCGACCCGACCCGGGCCTTCCCCGGTTTGAGACCATTTATATATACCTAAAGTACTCCATATAGACACCCTCATCCCGTGAAGCGATCGACACAACAAATGCCAGCTGGATCAAGACATGAACCTCGGGACCACGGATGTGGATGGTACCTACCTACCTACCTGAATAACTAACCGACCGATTTCATGTCTCGAAATGGGTCATACTGAATCCAACACATTGGTTCCTGCACACCACCACCTTGCTCGCCCCATCGTCATCTGACAGTTAGTTACCAACGACCTAATCCCTGCCTGGCGCCCCCGCCGGAGGATTTCACATTTCACCCTCCTTGATGAGTGAGTATACTTTGATTTATCCACCAACTCCATTTACTTATTCTAATATACTGCTTGAGGGATCTAGGTAGGTAGTACTTCTTACGATGGAGGATGTATCCATAGACAATCAAAGGAGTAGATAGGATAGTTCTACCGTAGTATTTATCAAATTATGACACCTTACTCTCTACAGTCTACACCGTGCCCACAGCAAATACCCACCAGTCTAAACCCCTATGTAATAACTTCGTCTCATCGGATGACACGACACGGCACAATACAATGCCGTCCACACAAATAGAACAAGTGAGGTACATACTGGACACACTGCATTAAATCAGGAGACTTCCCCCTCCCCCCATTACTCCGCCTTCATTCATCGCAGGGACGATCGGCAGTCCGCGTCTTTCGGGTGTTTTATATCCTGTTAGGGTGGGCGCTGGTTAGTGGGCGAGTTATATATATTATATATATCTATATATAGACTATCTTATCTTATTGTGGGGGTGAGAATGCATGGGGGCCATTTTATAATCGATGGACTTGAGTCGGTAAGGTAATCGAGGGTGAATGTCGTAAGATATATACATATATGGGCTGGGATCGGACATTGGCCGGAGGAGATACATGAGTAAGGTCAGTGTGATATGGCTGTGTCTGGAGTTATATTTACCGGTTAGTGGAACCTTATGGATATAGTATGTTTTTGTGAATGGGGATGTTTCCAAATCATATATATTTCTATGATGACCCATCACTGGCTGCTACTACGTTCTCATGAAATAGATATTAAGACGATTGTTGTCATTTCTTTCATTGCACCGGACTTTTCTATGTATCCCGCCATGATTTTGTAGACACCGACCAAATGATTACCTATGGCAAAAGTTTATATGTACCACACAACAGGCCACGCCACAGTCGCCGTTGAAAGGATTAGACTGGATTCAAGAAATCTAGAACTCTTGGTCATCGTCACCCGAGATGATGATGTTGTTGATCTGTTTGTTTGTTAGTAATGTGACTTTGCTGGGGTTGGGGAGATGGCTTGACTTGCCTTCAGGACCATGCGGCACAGCTGGGTCGCGAGCAGAAGCTGCTGGCGCTTGCCGATCAGGGGATCAATGGCGAAGTGCTCTCTCATGTCTGTAGATGTTACATCCGTTAGCGATAGGAGAGAAAAACTACACGATATATAACATACCGTTGGAGCCGGTGAGCATGCAGTCAACACCCAGGCGGGAGTTGTTCTCCTTGACCTGGCGCGACTTGATCGAGGCAAGCGTCTCGATCGGGCTCAGACCGGAGTTCTCGGCCAGAGCCAAGGGCACGGAATCCAGGGCATCCGCAAACGCGCGCATGGCATACTGTTCAATGCCGGGGCTCTGTAATTACGTTAGCCTAGAACTGGAATTGGAGAGGGCATCCCACGTACCTTGACAGCGGCATCTTCCACCGCAATGGAGCAAGCAATCTCCGCAGCGCCACCACCGTACACAACCCGGTTGTCCGTGACCAGGTTACGGACGACGCAGAGCGCGTCGTGCAGCGACCGTTTCGCTTCGTCAATGATCTAAACAAAATTAGTTATCGCATATACCAGTGTGGAAAATAGACGGACCATCTTGTTGCTGCCTCGTACGAATACCGTCACGGCACGGCTGTTGGCACATTCTTCGATAACGAGCATCTTCTCCCGGGTGGTGCCGAAGGTCATCTCGCGCACTTTACCGGCGGAACCCAGCTTGTCCGCGCTCAGGTCCTCGAATCGAGGGACAATGCGACCGTTCGTCGCAATGGCGATCAGCTCGATCTCGGGACCGCCGACCCAACGGACAGCGGGGAGCTTGTTCTGGAGGAGCAGATGGTTGGCTTCGTCGTCAAAGCCCCACTGGCAGATTGCCAGGTTGGCACCGGAGTTCTTCAAGTGCTGGATCATCTCGGTGAACTTTTCGCGCTCGTAGTCCTGCAGTCGCTTGTATTCTTCGACCGACGTGATGTCGAGCTTGTGCTTGGTCTTCGGCTTCGGGGGCTCAAACGGACAGGTGAGGATGGCCAGCTTGGCGTCCGAGATCTCACTGGGCATCTGAGGGTGCGAGAAATCCTTATCCACGATCACACCCTTGACAAGAAGCGAGTCCTCCAGGGCACCGCCGACCTTCCCATCAACCTTGATCAGCTCGAAATCGACATCCTTGCGCTCGAGGTCTGCGACGGAGAGAACGGCATCGACGGCGATCTTGGCGAACTGGTCATGGGACTTGGAAACACTGTACCTATGTTAGTCGCACGGAAAATATAACCCGGCAAATAGATACCAACGCACATCTTGCTACCCAGACTGGTCTTGGCGACCTTCATCAGGTTCGAGGTGTCATCCCTGCTGAAAGGGATGGTGTCGCTGATCTTATCAAGCTGCTCAACGGCAATCTCACAAGCCTGGTCGAAGCCATCGGCAATTCGGATGGGATGGATTCCCTTATCGATAAGATCGGAGGCTTGCTCCAACATGGACGCAGCGAGGACGACGACACCGGTTGTTCCATCACCAATCTCTTCATCTTGGGATTTCGAAAGCTCAACCAGGAGCCTCGCAACGTTGTTCGTGATGTCCATCTGAAACCCGACATATTAGCGGTTGTCCCGGAGGGCGTTGCGGTGTTCTTTGGTGGGGTCGAACCTGGCCCAGGATAGTAGCACCATCGTTGGTGACCGTAATATCTCCATCGGGGGAGATCAGAATCTTGTCGAGACCACGGGGCCCCTATAATACTCCTTAGCATGCTGCCATTGTGCCACCATTCGCATGATTCGCCGTCACATGATCGTACCAGAGAACTCTTCACGATGTTCGCAACAGTCTTAGCGGCGACAATGTGTGATTTGATGGCGTCGTTGCCATGTTGTCTCTTCTTCTTTCCTTGACTGTAGTGAGGGAGAAAAAAAAAATCCGTCAGTGACATGTTGTGCTGAAAGTCATCCCCCACCGTGACCCCTAGTAGGATAGCGCAACGTACTCGCGAACGACAATGAACGGCCGGCCCTGCTCATCTTTCATAACAGAAGCTGTGACGTGGGTTAGAATCGAAATTCGAAGGAGGTCATCGGTATAAAAAATGTCTAACCTTGAGATAGATCAAGCTCTGCGAGAGGTCAAGAATGTTAGCACGGGGGGGGGGTCACGGATGAGGGGCATTGAAAACGTACGCATCGCCATCTTGACGGGCTGCCACGAGGCAGGGGACTTGTATTGACACTTGAAAGAGTTGACAAGTAAAAAGAGAATTTAATCCGAGGAATCAACCCCTGAAACGTAGTAATAGGGTGACGTGGTGGTATGAAAGACGGTAGATGGAGCCGGGCTTGCGGTGGTGAGTTCAACACTTAGAAATTCTGGAGATTTCCCAGTTGGGGCTAGTGAGCTGGTTGCCCAAGGCGGTATGGCGCCCTTTCCCAACTACGCGCCATGCGCGAGGTCGGCATCCAGGAACCTTTGTTTCGTCACTTCGAGCGCATCGTTTATTCCCCAATGCTCGTCCTGGTACTTTCATCTTAACTGTGCTTATAGTGTGCTTTGTGCTTTAATCCGCCAAGTTGTTTTCAAAGCTGTTGAGCCTCGTCTCTCCTTCCCGGACAATGCCTCGTAAGTGATCGCTTGTTTGGTGCGGCTATGCTATGAGTTCATAGCGGTTAACCAAGAACACAGCACCGTTGGAAGACGTTTCGGACAGCGAGTCCACCGGCGACTCGATCCCTTTCAACAGCGCCGCGGAGAGCAAGGATCGCGACGTGGCAATGGAGGACAATGATGAGGACGGCGACGGAGAGGAGGAGGAGGAGGAGGAGGAGGAGGACATGTAGGCTGAGCCGCGAGTCGCTTTGCGATCGAGAGCCGCGCTGATGCGACTAGGTTCATCGTGGACAAGATTGAGGGACATGAGTTTGCGAAAAACGTGCGCTTTCCGGCTTGTTTCCTGCGGATGAAGTACTCGGCTTTGGCTAATCGAGTTGATCGCATTAGGGCGCTCTCTTGCTTCTAGTCAAGTGGAAAGACTACGAAGACCCCGCCGACCGAACATACGAACCGGAGGAAAACCTGTTAGTTTGACGTTCCTCGGAATCGACCTTCATTGACACCCTGGGTCTTAGGGAGGGCGCGAAAGATGCCGTCGACGAGTACTATCGCAAACTGGGGGGCCGACCCCAGAAACCCGAGCCGAAGAAGCGAAAATCTATGGGAGGACGGCCGCCGAAGTCTGCAGCAGTGAAGCAAGAGAAGCCAGAGCCTAAGCGACAAAGAAAGTCGCGGGGCGCCGTCGAGGACGAACCCGCCGAAAACAACGACACACCCAACTGGATGCCCAAGTCCAAGAACTGGGAGAAAGAGGTCAAGAGCGTCGAAACGATTCTTCGCGACGCTGAAACAGACGGCTTAGTCGCGTTCTTACTTTGGGAGAATGGGAAGAAGTCCAAGGTGTCCATCGAGATGTGTTATGATCGGTGCCCGAGGAAGGCAAGTTGCGACCCCCGCGGTATCCCACCTCCATGCTAACCTACAACCAGATGCTCCAATTCTATGAATCACACCTGTAAGTTGATTGTTTTTCGCGGTCTGGAATCGCGAATCTTTCTAACATAGTGGCAGTGTTTTCAAGGACGAGTCTTAGCGACGTGCGCCTGCGGAATCTATGCTGAGTTGGTTTTTATAGCGACCTAGGACCAATTCTTTATTCATTTATTGGCAAGGTAGTCATTGCATTTACAACATAATGTCCGAAGGCCTTAGCGCTTGAAGGGTGTTCTTGACGGAGTTTTAGGCTAATAGGTCGCGTTATATGATCTGTAAGATTATACACCCAGGAATGGGGTTCCAGCCATGGTGGCTGTGTGGCATTGCTCGACGGGAAAGTGCAGAAAAACCACAGAAAACAGGCCTCAGACACAAGGATGGAGGCTTACATCCTTAGTGATCGTGGGGCCATATTCTTATCTTTCATCATTACCAGGTCTTCTCTATCTCCCTATTTCATTTCTGACTGCTGGCAATGTTGATTTTTCCGGGTTTCTACGCTATCTTTATGTATTTTGATTTTGATACTCCTGTTGTTGTACATCCTCAACGTCGTATTTGATATTATTATTATTATGGTCAACTATGTGCATCCTTGCCGCGACTAGTTCCCTTCTAGGCCAGTGGCCCTTGCCATGTTGAGGTATTCCCACCGATTGTCAAATGCCTCGGAGCCATGCTTTTGTATGACGCGATTGACTCTTCGGCCATCCGCCGATTCCATGTCTCTGTCGTCGTCAGGTGTCCACACACCGGGCATATTATCAGGAATGCCTCGCCCGGCAGCCAAGCTCTCCAAGACCCGATCTGCCAGGACAGGATCCATACTAGCCCGGCGGAGCGCCTCAACGATCTGATCTTCGTCTTTCGCTTTGCCCGTCCGCAGGCGCTCATCGATCCAGGTATCGATATCCTGCGGGGGAGCTTCTTCGGGCTCGGGGCTCCCTGGGAAAAAGGGTAACTGTAATAGGGTGGTATCGAAGTCGTTATCAACGACGGGTGGGGGCGGAATTTGCGCATTCTGGGCTTGCGCGGCGGCATTTGCATTGCTTTTGTTTGGAATCGGCGTTGACGGTGCTTCGCTTGTCTGTGGCCTCGTTTCTTGTGTTCGTGTTACACGCTCTTCTGGGGCTTTCGCTGTAGGCTTTGGTCTTCGTTTGTGGCTTGGGCTGGGCGTCGTTTCTGCGTTGCGATGCTCGGGATTAGCTTGAGGCGAGCGCTTCCGCTTCTTATCTTCGGGATTGGCGGGTGCCTCCTGTTGCGAATTGTCTCGAACAGGCGGCCTCTGTTCTTCGGTGTTACTCGAGGCGAGGGCGCCTGGAGCCAGATAGGTTTTACCACCTGGTCGGTCTTTGCCTCGAAGTCGCTTCAAGTACCGATCCCGCCATGACTGGAATGTGTGCTGGGGGTACTGTGACAGAAGAACTTAATGTACGGCTTCTTGGAGTTAAGAACGGACGTGCTTACCCTTGCGGCCAGATCTTGGTAGATCAGGTTGCCTGATATAGGCGCAGTCCCTTGTTCTTCATACGGCTGCATCCAGTCCCAAAGAATCTGGTCGTCCTCGATGGTATAAGCTCGCTTGTGATTCCTACTTGGGATGTTGGTCGCCCCGACAGGTCGCGGTGCAGAAGGGCCAGCTTCATATTTCCGCAAGTCTTGCATTTTTCCCTGCTTGACGGAGTCCTCGACGAACTTGTAAGAGTGCCTGATGATTGATGAGTGTCTATGCGTGCAAAGATGTAGAATAGAATCAGGGTGTAACCCTACGTGTCTGGTGGAAGGTTCTTCCTTAAATGGTCAACCAGCCTGATGTCTGCATCCTTTTCATACAGTCTGAGAATGCCACCGTTGTTCTGCACGTTGGTCAGCGCGATGTCGCAATGTCCAAGGTATGAGAGGTCGTACCTTGATCAAGTCCTTGAACCGCCCTCTTTGAGGAACGTTGTGAGATAACCAGAACTGTTTTCCCTTGAACAGGCCATCATGCCCATCCCCAACCTCTTCTACCATTTCCGGTCCGAAACCGACAGAATTCGGGATATTATTGACGATTTCAGAGCTTCGTGTCCAAAGGCTGCTGACGCGCGATCACGTGCTGAATGCCGAATTTAAATTGCGCGTGGTCCTGGAGAAGATGGTTCGCAATAGAACTATCACTAGAGGAATATATCTCTTTTCTACCGCTTCCTTCTTTCGAGAATAAGGTGAACGAATCTAGACGTTGAGTCGTGTCGATAAAGGATTGCAAGTATGCTGTCAGTTGGTTCAATTGGTCGCGTTCCGCTGTATCGGGAAGGCCGGTCACGTGGCGAGATCGTCGCCCGCAAATCCGGGGAGAATGATAGGTGGACAATGTGTTGATGCAATGCGACAAGTGAAGAAGCTGGAATCCTCCGACCTGTCCTTTGATAAAGCCAAACGATATAATGACTTTATAGAAGCTGGATATCACACAATAACGCTCACCCACTTCGCCTTTATCGATTACTGAAGCGGGGCTGAGCTGACCACGCGTCAGAGCACGACCAGCATGGGTGTGGTGAGAACCATAGCCCTCGTCATTTTGGGGATTTCTGGATTTGTCTTCGTTGCTCTTTTTGGGAGACTGCCTGCATTTCGGTATGGCGAGGCTCCTGATCTCATATAGATACTAAGGATAGGGCCATGACTGACGATGTTGATCTATAGAAAGACTCCCATTGGCTTCTTGCATAGAGTTTTATGCATATCTATTCCCCGCCGACTAGCTTCTATTGACAGTGTTCTCTTTGGTGGCCGACTTGAATACTGCTGCAGTCGATCTGGCAGATACGTATTGCATGAAAACCACCCTCTTGTCCTTGTCAGTCCTGCCACTGAAAGTAACAGGTCATTGGAGTTGCTGACATCCTGTCTAGATCTTCTTTCTCGTTATTCTCATAATAGGCCAATGCATATTCATCCCGGCCGCATGGTCAAGGGTGTCTCTCGTGCATCGAGTCTGCATACTCTTTCTAATATGCTTGCCCTATGGGTTCCTGTACGCCAGCATTGCCACCAAATCCTACATCACCACCAGGAACCACGGAGAGGAACTGGAACGGTACCCCTATGACAGAGTTCTGTTCCATCCTGGGCGTTACTGTAAGACATGCCAGATGCTGAAACCTGCACGAAGTAAGCACTGCAGTATATGCAATGCCTGCGTTTCCCGACATGACCACCACTGCGTTTGGCTGATGAACTGCGTTGGGCTGAACAACTACGGCTACTTCCTGTCCATGATCTTGTCACTCAGCGTCATGTTGCTGTATGGGTCCTGGCTGGGCCACTCGCTCCTCACGCAAACGCTGGACAAGCATCTGCCACCAAGTTCCCACATTCGGACGACCCGGCAGAGTTGGGTCACCTTTTTCAATATCTGGGCCGGCGTCGTGGCCATCGATATCCGCGTCGGGTCGGTGACCATGTTGATGCTCATGACGGCTCCGCTCGCGATGGCCTTTCTCGTGTACCATACGTATCTCATTTGGGCGGGCATGACTACAAATGAGAGCTCGAAATGGTCGGAATGGAAGGAAGATGTAATCGATGGGTTTGTTTTCAAAGCTTCCAAGGCCGAGATCTATGATTCTTCTCCTCTACTGGGAGAATACCAGAGGCCTGAAAATTCCTGGCCCGTGAGCAGTGATAAAGTCCTTGTGGTCACTGATGAGCCACCGAAAGAAGGGTGCCTTCTGTCACCAGAATCAAATGAAATCACTCAGCCAAGCGATCGGAATGCGCCCATTGATCAGAGGTGGACTCCAGTGCGCGGTATGGACGAGATCGATAACATCTATGATCTTGGTTTTTGGAACAACTTGCGCCATGCATTCAAAACCCCGGCCAGAGCGAAGACATCTTGATAGATAGCATTTTATTTACACCGGAATCACTCTCATCAGTACAATGATAAATTTAGTTGGTGAATAAGATGTCAGCCATGAATGTCATTCATTCATCGTTTCTAGCTGTATTACCTAAAGAGGAAATTGGCGGGACTGTCTCGGAACCGGAAAAATTCCCATGATTGTCTGCCTTTCTTTCTTCCCCGCCGAACCCTGCGGACCATGATTAAAGCAACCATCTTGTCAACAGCAGTGTTTGACTTGAAACCCCCGCCAGATCGATCACAATGGCGGACCGGGCTGCAGCAGAGATGAAGCCAAAATGTACACCCGCCGAGCTCATGTTAAAGGTCATCCTGACGGGAACCTTGAGCCACTACGAGACGCGCGGGATGATTGACGACAAGCGTTTAGAGCACATGCTGTCGGCAGGGAAACAAATCCTGTACAAAACTCATCAGGAAAGCGATGTGCGGTATGGAATTATTCGATCTTCTTGCTTTTGTTTTGCGCGCGCGGAATCCTCGAAAGCTGACCCTGTTCTCCGATTCTAGACACAATTTGGGACTGTCTCCCGACATCTGGCAAGGGTTCACGGACGTATTGACGAAAGCGATCCCGGTGCTAGAATCGCAGTCCTTTGCCTGGAAATGCCCCCCGACCGCGAACTACGATCACTCGTCCTCGAACCTCATCGCCTACAACTACTTTTCGCTAGTTAAGGACATCGAGCGTTTAAATGACCTATGTACCATCGCACGCAATCTCCTCGCGACCACGAAAAAAGCGCAAAACATGGCCGCGGAAAAAGGGTTCGATCAGAGGATCTTGGCGCTGGTGGATACATGTGTGAGAGTTACGGCGCGCGGCTTCGACGGGGAAACAAATGCGAGGAACGAGGAACGCTGGCAGAAGGTGGTCAACCTTTACAAGCGCCTTTTGATCACCTGTCTCCAGTTCCTGCATAATTTTATCATGCACAATGAACAGCGGAAGATGGTCCTCTGGCTGGATCTGTTCGGGTATCATTCAACGGGGGATTCGAATATCATCCAGCCCAGGGAGCCGCTCGATCAAGTCAGCAGTCAACCCGAAGGCGTGGCGCCCATTGTGAAAACCGGAGAAAGAATTGTCAACCCCCCGATTCGCGCACTTTACGATCAGACTGCGGAGGATCTACTACTGGAGACGATCTCCAACTTCCCCAGAGAACCCGCGACGATCAAGGAAGAAGCGGCCATGCTCTTACTCGCGAACATCAAAGATCACATGGAGAAGCTTCTTGGACGCGATCTAACTGCCATACAGGAGATGGGAAAAGACCCTGAGCAGGTCAAGGAGATCAGGGCGGCTCTGACCGCGATTCTGGGCGCTAAGGTGGACGGTTGGTCTGATCTTCAAGACCGGGCCAAGGACCTTCCGCCTGCGTTGCCGGAAGATGAACCGCCGCGCAAGAAGTCCATTCTTACAATCGATCGCAGCTCTACGGCGGGGTTCCCGCGCATCTGCTGGGCCGATCTTCCCGACCTCAGCGAATACGGTGCCCTCGCATCGGGCGACGCCCCTATCATAGAGGAAGATACTAGCATGCCCCGGTCCGCGCAATCAGCCGCAGAGACGCTCCAAGAGGCTAAGGACGAGCTCATGGCAAGATTGCAGGAGACTTCGCAGATCGGCGGCGATGGCGATCATGATTACGATACAGGAGATGCCGGGACGGTGGGCGACGAGGATTCTCGCAGTCTGGAGGCCGTTGCAGATGGCAGCATAGAGGAGGAAGAGGAAGAAGATGACGAGGACGATGACGACTATAGAGGCCGCCCGGGCGATCAACAGCGAGGTTTATTAACCGACATCCCTCTCGTGCTGGGACCGGCGGAGATCGAAGCTCTCCCGATGATCATCCAAGCGGGCATAGTCGACAGTTTCGGGCTGAAGGGTGGCGAGCGGACTGGATCTAGGAACATGCAGTCCCTCAGATGTCACGTTCTCCTCACCCAAGAGACAGGACGGAATCTCCTCCGGGAGCTTCTGATCTTCATCGCCGCGTGGGATCTCCCCGACGACGAGCTCTACTTCAAGATGATGGTTCAGATCATGGACGCAGTGCTCAAGAACGGCCTCATGTCCCACGCGTATTCCGACTTCGGCCAACCAAAGGACATCATTTCACCAGCGCAGGCCGTTGTGGTCAAAATCCTCACGCACATCTTCCGCACCAAGTACTCGCCCGCCTCCGTCACAGGCTCAACGCCAGCCAGCGCAGCGAAGAACCCAGCGCCGCTTCTACGCGTCGACGTCCTCACCGTGCGATACATATTCACCATCTTCCGCGGGAACATCATCCCCGAGACGTGCGCGTTAATCTACCTGCAAGGCCAGATCCGCGCGGGGCGCGCCCTACCCGAAGACTTCCCGCTGAACCTGTGGGACATGGAACGCGTCTACGAAGGCGTCTACCAGTTCCTCGAATTCTTCGCCGTCCTGACCGAAAACAACGACTGGAAGAACTTGCTCTTCAAGTGGGAGATCGTCTACGACCTAGTAACCCTCATCAAGGAACTCGAGGCCAGCATTCCCAAGGGCCAGCTCAGCGCGCTGTCCTTCGGCCGCCACAGCCCGCCCAGAGAGCCTCCGCAACAACAACAACAACCAGGCTCCACGCCCGGACCCGTCGCCGTCGAGCGACCCTACGACCCCAGCGATCCGGACCCCATCGACGCAGGCGCCGGATCCCGAGCGGAGTCCCCGCCAATCACAGAAGACCCGTCGGAGTTCGAGTGGCGCAATCTCAAGAAACTAGTCGTGCTAGTCCTGTCCTCGCTGGTGTGGAAGTGCCCTGAAGTGCAAGATCAGATCCGGCGGTACGGCGGCGTCGAGACCATCCTATCGTGCACGAACTTCGACGCGCATAACCCGTACATCAAGGAACACGCCGTCATGTGTCTCAAGTTCTTGCTGGAGGGGAACCGTGAGAATCAGAAGCTCGTTGAGGATTTGGAGGCGAGGGAGGTGGTTAAGGATGATGGAGGATTGCTGGAGAGGAGTGGGTTCAAGGCTGTGATTGAGGATGGGAAATTGGCTATTCGACCAAAGGATGAGGGGAGGTTCAGCTTTTAGAGCATATGCATGGATGGATGGATGGATGGATAGACGGACAGAGGCGTCATATTGTGTAAAACAGAACAAAACTTTCACGAGAGGATATGTCGGAATGAATAAAGAAGAATAAAAAAAAGATATCATCATCATCCAGTCATCACTGTAAACCAACCAACCAACCACATCCTGTAAAGGCGCTCGTGTTTTTCAGTCCCCGCAACGCTCATCAAAACAGTCCAGTATAGCAAGTAGCGTGAAAGATAAGAATCAATCGACCCGGTATCATCATACTTCAACCGTACATTCCATCCCACTCTTCCTCGTCATCCTCAACAGGCTTCTTCTTCCGCGCTTCGGCCTTCTCTCTCTCCTCCTTTGCAAAGTCCCTGCGGTCAAGCGGACACGTTCCGCGGAGGCGGAGCCACGGCCGCACGCACTCTAGATCGAACAGGTGGGTGGGGTGGCAGGGCAGTCGCACGACGAGAGGGTACTGATCTTCCAGGAAGGGGTTATTGCAGATGGGACACGATTGGGAGGGTTTGAGGCTGGTTTTGGGGACACGATCGAGGACTGTACGGATTGATCAGTCAGTATGCAGTGAACCACCCGCATGTAGCAAGCCACCATGTAATTTCCGCAAAGAGAAAAGGAAGAAAGCAAACATACCATCACAAAACTCCTCACTCACCCCCTCAATCTCCTTCGGCGGCGTCTCCGCCTCACTAAGCAGCGTCTGAATCATCTGCGCCAGCAGATCATCCCCATGAACACTAGCGGCGGCACCGCCGCTGTGAAACGCAGCCCCGAGGTCAGGCACGCCGTTACCAGTCGGGATTCCCCCGCCTTCGCCCTCCCTGCGCATGACGTTGAGCGCGTCGGCGAGGGAGTAGAAGGCGGCGCTTATGTCGCCGGGGACGGGCACGGCATGGGGGCGCGAGCGGGCTTCGTCGGAGCTGATTTCGGAGAGCTTGGCGAAGAAGGTGGATAGGTCGGGGCGGCGGCGGCGTTGGCTGGATTGGGAGGGGGTGGAGAGGTCCGGGGTGCTGTGTTCGACTTTTTTATAGAAGTGGTGGGTTAGTGGGGTTGTTCTGCGGGGATGTAGAGACTGAGTCGGAGAGGATGTAGTTTGTACCTTCGTAGGTGGACATTATGATGGTGGGGTGTGAGATTATGGAAGGGTTTGGGTTAGGTCGAGACGCGAGTAGAGCTTGTGCTCTCGCGCTTGATATCAGCTGGGCTTGTGGTCTCCCTTTGGTTTAATAGAGTGGTCGATGGGAGAGTCTGGTGGAATGACGAGACGGCGGGGAGGGGAGGATATAAGCTTGAAGCTGGAGTGGAAGAGGTGGGGAGGCGACCAGCCAGCAGCGGGACGCGTTTTCCTTCTCCGCCTTAGTCAGGCTATCATGCTTTCTCTCTATCAACCACTTGTTAGATCCAGGCACGTTTTACTTTATGATATTCTTTGACAGGTATATACTGCCGTCTCTTCAGCAGAATATCCACTATATGCAATTGTCAGCACACTAAACCACTGAGCTGGTCGCAGCACCACAATGTGATTTCTCACCGTCCACAACTCCACTGTCTCGTGTCTAGTATACAAGGGACAGATTCAAAGCTGAGAGCCCTCTGACAGACAATTTTGTCTTATCTCAAAACCAGCCTTAACCCCAAAGAAGTAATCATGCCGAACTTGCTCCATTGTTCGCATCTTCTCCTCGGCCACATGTCATAACTATAAAGTCACATGACACGGATTTTATATCCGCTTATGTAATACAATCTTTCGGCCGCGGAAAAAATAAATAACAATAAAAGGGACAACGGTCGATCCAGCATCAGCCGGTTGTACTTTGCGCGCTTATTCGCTGTCCCCTACATATATGGAAGAGATGTTGCGCGAGTTGAGAAGGTGATGATCAGGTATGTATATGTATTTGGAGTTGTGGGTGTGATGGGTTGATTTTTCGATCTTCTTGTTGATGAGACTTGTATTGAGATATATAACGGATTGATGAAAGTAAACTGATTCTTGTATAGCTACTGCATATATAATAGCCTATGCATGTAATAGCAGCAGCATTTGACTGATCTTAGCAACTCAGTCGCATCCAATCTCATATTGGAATTTGGAAGTGAAGGTCAAGGGAATGTTTCCAAGCCTAAGGCCCAGACCAACAGCGGCCCGCGTGCTGCTAAACTCCGGCGGGCGCTCCAACCGGCCCCGCTGTTTTCGGCCAACAATCTTTGCCTCGTCTTGGTTTTGCACCGCCAAACAACACCCCGCATCTACATCTGCATCTGCATACACTGTACGTTTGCCATACAACTTGAAGAGACGACTACCGTCTTGATCGCATAAAGCAAAGGACTATACTAATCATCTGTGTGATAGTCCCCATCCATCATGACCCCCCCCACCGACCGCCGCCCCATCATCATCTCCGGCCCCAGCGGGGTCGGAAAGGGCACGCTGTTCAACATGCTCTTCGAGAAACACCCGGATACGTATACGCTATCCATCTCGCACACGACGCGCAGTCCGCGCCCGGGCGAGAAGCATGGCGTGAACTATTACTATGTGACGAAGGATGAGTTCCGGGACTTGATTGCGCAGGATAAGTTTGTGGAGAAGTTAGTCCTTTTCCTTTTTCTTAGTTTGTCTGGCGAGTGGATTCGTGTTTGTTGTGAGGGGTATGCTAATGGTGATTTACTGATAGTGCCCAATTCGGAGACAACTTCTACGGAACGAGCAAAATGACCATCGAAGAGCAGACCGCCAAGGGCAAGGTCGTCGTGCTGGACATCGAGATGGAGGGCGTGAAGCAGGTGCGGAACTCGTCGATTGGGGCGCGCTACGTCTTTATTGCGCCGCCGAGTGAGGAGGAGCTGGAGAGGAGACTGCGCGGGCGGGGCACTGAGACGGAAGATAGTGTGCTGAAGCGGTTGGCGCAGGCGAAGAAGGAGTTGGAATTTGGGCGGCAGGGGGGTTTGATAAGGTTATTGTGAATGAGGATTTGGACAAGGCGTATAAGGAGTTGGAGGAGTGGGTTTATGTTTAGGATTATCCATCATGGGGTTGGGGGTTGTGTGTGTGTGTTTTGGATTGCGTTATACACCGTTGTCGTAATTTTGTTTTAATATAGGGGCTTTGAATAGATCGTGTTTGGTTGTACATTGTGGTCTGGATGATGGGTCTACTGGTATCCCTACACTATTTTATATTAGCGTATTGGTAAGGAGTGCCAAGCAGATAGCCACTGGGTAATACTCAAGCTTTTTGATTATCCCCTAGGCTCAACCGCACGGTTCGACTCGGAAACATTGCCCATTTAGATGCTGTCATACTATAGTCATCATCAAACCTTGCTAACCTCGGCTGCGTATACTGTGCACGCAAGCCACCAATTTCCGGAATATACTCCCAGGCCATTATGACTTGCTTGTCCAAGGCCTAGCCAGCCCGTGGGCGTTGACGCTAGAGCGTGTCGTCCTCGAAGCAGTCTCATTGTAAGACAAGTTTAATTGCCAAGCATCAGGCAACATAGTCCTTCATTTTGGGATCAATGGGACAGAGACCACTTTTCCTTTCTCTCAAGGTTGCAGTGGCTTGAAACTCATTCATGTCTTTGGTTTGAGGGAGCAACTATCCGTAGGACAGTCCATCCTGGGCCGGAAACTAGATCGTTCTACTCCGTACCTGTGCCTGGTTCCTGATCTGACAGGGCCGCTAGATCCGGCTAGGGATCCTCCCGGGTGCGGGGCGTAGACTTCGATGACGATATTCAACCTAGCCATTTTGACTCCTGGTGTTCTGCAGGAATGGCATGCTACTTGATCTAGTCATCATATCGAGTAGGTCTTACCGAGGGAGAATCAAGCGCAAGGTACTGTCGCGTGGGACCACGCTCATCCCCAGATCCGCCGGTGCAACATTGCCGCTTAGCGACTTGGCAGTTTTGGCTTAGTTTCAAGGAGACGGAGCCGCTATTAAGGAGCTGATACCATTGCTGGGTAGTGATTGGAGCTTAAATAGAGGGGTTCCCTGACGAAAACCGTGAGTCTGACGATCAAGTACAGTTTTCTTCGTGCAGACCTTCTAGTCAGTGTTCTTGTTATATGATCATGGCGATGAAGTTTACTAGGAACCTGGCCCTTTCGGTGGCCTTCAGCGCATCTGTGCTGGGCCAGCAGGTTAATGGCCCCGATTACAATAGCCCTACCGGCGGTCCTCCGGCCAAATTCTTTGAAGCTGCTGCCTCGATCCCAGTCGCCGGCCTTCAAACCGCCGCTGCGAAGGCGAGCAAGGTCCCGGATGTGGCAACGTATCCTGTGAGCCTTGAAAAGAACGCAGCCAAGTCCACGATCCACAGTGACTGGCTGTCGTTCAGTGAGGTGGGTTCTTCCCTCTGGTTCTTGCTCGACATCTAATGTGGTCACCAGGGAGCGGCCTTGTCATGGGTGGCAGACATGGATGTTGACTGCGACGGCATTGATTATAAATGCGTGGTAAGGCTGAGAATAAACACAGCGAAGGGATCTCTCCTCTGATGTGAAATCAACAGGGAAACCCTGATGGGCAAGACCAGACCAACTGGGGTGCTCTGGCGGCGTACGAGGTGCCGTTTATCGTCATTCCGCAGAAGTTCCTGTCAGCAAATGGAAACCTCCTATCGGGAAACAACATTGCTGCTGTGATCTGGTAGGATCTTGAGCCTTCGGCGTCGAATGAATCCCTAAATGACTGCTACTGACCGCATTGCACATAGCAACGGCAAGATGTACTACGGTATCCTCGGGGATTCCAATGGCGATAGCCCGCAGGTTACCGGCGAGGCTTCATGGTTGATGGCCCGTACTTGTTTCCCCCAGGACGATCTGAGCGGAAACAAGGGACACACCGCTGCCGATGTCACCTGTAAGTACCGGGCCCGGATGGGAGCTGATGGCTTTGCATGGTTTCTGATGACCCACGATGTAGATATTCTGTTCACCGGCAAGGACTCGGTCCTGCCAAGCAGCGCCCTGAACGAAAACTATATCACCAACTTCAGCACCTTGCGGTCGATGGGTGACAAGCTGGTCAACGCCCTGGCCTCGAATCTGGGGCTCGGCGGTTCCACGCCCCCCACGACTACCTCCGCTACGATGACCACGACAGCCAAGCCGACCACGACAGCCGAGCCGAGCCCGACCGACTGTTCCTGGCCCGGTCATTGCCAAGGTGGGTTGCATCTGAGATATTGCTCTATTTGATAAGCTGACGGGAGCTACTGCAGGCGCTGCATGCTCGAGCTGCGACGATTGCGCGGACGACCTTGTCTGCACTAGCGGCATCTGTTCTGCCGATGAAGCGCAGACATGCTCGTGGGAGGGTCACTGCGAGGGTACGTTGCATGTGCATGGGGATGTGAGATGAACACTAACCCCGGACTAGGTGACTCTTGCTCTTCCGACGATGACTGTTCAGATGAGCTGGCCTGTGTTAGTGGCGTTTGCTCTGCTGATGAGGATACAGAAACGACGTGTTCCTGGGAGGATCACTGCGAGGGTATGTCGACAGTGGCCCCTGATACTGTTTTGAGGTCGATACTGAATTGACATTTTCAACTAGGATCCTCTTGTACGAGTCATGACGACTGTGCGGATGAGCTGTCCTGCAGTGATGGAGAGTGTACCTCCTCGTGAGGGCTATGTGAGTAAGAAGAGTGTGTTGTATGGGTTGACGATGGACGGATGAAATGTCAGTCGAGAGGGATATCTAAGAATGAGCGAAATGAGTAATGTGTAACTATCTCTACAGTCGTGATGAGAATGGAATGGAAGCGTGGTTAGTCAGCAAATAAAAGTCCCAAAGGGGATAACCTAGTGTAGATGCACTGGTTAGTAAGAAACATAGCACAACGCATACACTTAATCAATCCAGGGTTCAACATTCGGAACGAGAAAGTCTAGAACGATTTCAGATAAATGACTTGATCCTTTTTATTTCCATATTCATTCTTCTGATCATGTTATTTCAATAGGAATTTGTCTGCTGAACTCACTCATTCCTCACATTGTTCAGTTTAAGACACTGTTACCAGGCAACTGCAATCCATCTGGTCTTGATCGACAGATAAACACGGCAACAGACCAACACGAGCCTGCGCTAGGCTGGGTTCTTTCTTTAGCAACACCCGTGGTGGAGCCAAGATCAGCCGAAGGAGGCGCGGCATTGCGACAGCATCAGACGTGTTTCCTCTCTCTGTCTCTCTGTCTCTCTTTTTATTTTTCTGTCCTTTCTACCTACTCACATCATATCATCTACTCTCGCTCTTGCTGGCTCAAGGCGAATAAACACAGACCAGCCCCCACGAAGACGTCCCATCTCTCCTCATCCAACCATCCATCTGAGTTCACTCACATCTCTCCACATTGATAGCCCCAGGCTGTCTACACATCTGTCGTCATGCGATCGAAATCCGTCCAACCGTCTCTCTACCGTCCTCTCCCCTTCCATATCATTCGCACTGTCGGGTTCATTTCTTCCCTGGTCGTAGCCATCATCTTGGCGGTGTTCGTCTACCGCCTCCATTCCGACAATTTCAAGCTCCCTTGGGCGTTCCTGGTGGTACGTATTCACTTACCTTAAAACACCACCAATCCAAATGCTAACCACCCAGATACTCATCACCTCCATCTTATCCCTCCTCAACTATGTCCTCACAACCATCGTCCACTGCGGCTACGGCCTCGCCCCCCGCCTCTCCCTAACCTTCAACTCCATCATGCTCTTCCTCTGGCTCCTCTCCTTCGGCCTCCTCTGCTACGGCATGTCGCACACAATCCTCACAACCTGCAACGCAACCTACTGGGGCAACTCCACCGGCATCAACGTCTGCCGCGCCTACAAAGCCCTCTTCGCATTCACCATCCTCTCCATCCTCGCCCACATCGCAGCCGCCGTCCTCGACGTGATCACCCGCAATCGCCAGACCCGTCTCGGCGCCTACGACCCCATGGCCAGCAATCAGGCCCTCTCCACCGCAGACTACAAGATGCACAACCGCGGTAGCAGCGTCATGTCCACCACTGCCGCCGCCGGCCCCTACGAGGACCACTACCCGCTTTACTCCCACTCCCGCGATAACTCCACCCACGATGACCCCTTCCACGACGGCCCTGACCCCCACAACCACCTCCTCCCCGACGAGCGCCACCCGCTGCCCCCTGTTTACGGCGCCCGCTCCACAGAACAGTACCATCAAGGCGACGCCCACGACTACTATGACTCGGCTCCCGCCGCGCTCAGCCAGCGCAGGGCGCCCCGCGCGCGGTATAACGGGTACGAACCGGCTGATGTACACGGCCATCAGGGGGAGTACACTGCCTATGACGCGGGCGCGTATCGGTGAGAGCCAGTCACGTCTACAGTACTGGTAGATGTAGAAGGAGAAATGAGATGTGGAAGCTTGTGTGTGCATTTGTGCGGCGTGATGTGTGTACAGCATTTTTTATATTCTATATCTTTTGGAATGACCACATCACCCGTGCTGTATTTGTCTGATGCGTTACGAATTGCGTTTTGTTTGTTGGTATAGGCGTGGCGTGTCTTTTTGGGATTGATCTCCCTTTTTTATTTTATTTTATTTTATTTTTGTTTTGTTGTGTAGTCTGCCGGTGTCGGAGGTTGTGTCTAGATTCGATCAAAATGATGTTTTACGTGATGTTGAGCGGATTCTTTTGTGTGGCTATAAGTGTGACCCATACATCATATGTCAACCATATACGGGAAAATAGTTATGAATACAAGCACTACGAAAAGAAAACTAGACTCAGCTCGAGAATGGAAGAAAATGAAAGATAATGTGGTCTAGGACGCTCAATATAGATCGACAGGAAAGCTTAGATCGGCAGGATACATCAATCACAACAGTTGGAATTAGAAAAGGCAGGTCATATGCACTCCTAGGGCAGAAATCCCACATCGACGGCTGGGCTCTACATGATAACCTCGTTGGAGACGTCCTGTGGCATTGTCAGTTTTCGAATTCCCTTTCTCTGAAATGGCCCACCGGTTGGGGGGAAGGGAACGTACACGCTTGAGTTCCTTGAACGGCAGACACACGCAGTTTTGTACCCGGACTTCATCACCCACGCCGCACTCCTTGCCGAGGATGGTGATGCTCTGGACCTTGACGCCCTGCTTGACGATGCTGGTCGAGTGGCTGCCCATTGGGATCGGGGTGCCCTCTACGCGCGCCCAGGCGCCGACGCGGCTGCTCCACCCGATGATGGAGTGCATGACGCAGGCGTCGTGCTTGATCTCGGCGTCTTCCAGGACGATGGAGTCCTTGACGCGGGCGCCAGCGCCCACGACCACGCGCGGGCCGATCGACACGTTGGGGCCGAGCTTCGCGGTGGGGTCGACCTCGGCGGAGGGGTGGATGTAGACGGGGGGTACGATGGTGGCGGACGGGGCCATGAGCTCGTCCGATTGCGCCTGGAAGGCCTTTTGCAGGTACAGGGCGTTGGCGGGCACGGCGGACCCGGCGGTCTTGATCTGGCGCCAGAAGTCCTTGGTCTCGTGCACGAAGAAGCGGTTGCTGTCGGCGAGGTCGGAGAGGATGTCTTGTTCCAGACGGAGGACTTCGCTTGGCTCCGACTCGTCGGCGGCGATGAAGGAGGTATCGAGGTTTTCGGAGGAGGGGTAGGAGACGAGGCGGGGGCGGGTGGTGCGGCGCTTGATGGCGCTGCGGATGGAGGGGAAGATGCACTCGGTGGCAAAGAGGTAGACGCCGCAGTTGATCAGGTTGGAGATGTGCGACTCGGGCTTCTCGACGTAGTGCAGCACTCGCTTCGTGTGCGAGTCGGACACGATGCACCCGAAGTTGGTGGCCGTGTCGTTGCTGACGCGGGTTCCTAGGATGACCGCCTCTGCGTCTTTCTCCTCGAACAGTTTCAGCATCTCCACGAGCGGGAACGAGCAGCAGACGTCAGCGTTCAGGACGAAGATGCGCTCCGGCTTGCCCTTGAGGATGGCATCGCGGAAGTGGTAGAGACCGCCGGCGGTCCCCAGAGCGGTGTATTCCCGTAGATACTGGATACGAAATTGGGGGAACTCCTTGGCAGAGTCCTTGATGAAGTCGCGGAAGACGGTCTCGTCGTAGTAGCCGACCAGGGCCACATCGCGGATATCGGGGATTTTCGCAAGAGCTTTCAGACAGTGCTGGATAATGGGGTGACCGGCAACCTCGAAGAGGGGCTAAACGGAAATACGTCAGTCAGCTGATAAGGTACGAAGTTATGGTTGACAGATTGAGCCGTTCAAGGAGGGGCACAATGGGCGACCGAAGGAAAGGAGGGACAACGGACCTTGGGCATGTCCAAGGACAGAGGGCGAAAACGAGTACCCCTAGATGGGCCTCCGACCTGGCAGTGACATTCTTGGTTAGAGATGAATTGATCTATGAGGTTCAGGGGGGCATACCAAGATGATGGCTTTGGTGGAGGCCGCATTGGCGTGATCCCGCATGGGAACTTGAAGCATTGCGGAGACTGTGTGGGGTGGAGACTTCGGAGGGGTAAGATGGAAGTGACCCTAGATATGAGGTCTGTCTTTGTTGGGGAGAGATGAGGTCAGAATCTTGAAGAAACTGAGTTCAACAAGGAGAAATACAGAATTGAGAGGGTCAGGAACAACAAAGAGATCCCAGAGTGGAGTTGGTTCCCAGCTGGGTCATTCATGGACGAGACTAGACTCAATCACGGTTTGGGTCCGACCAGAGATGACCAGAGCTGATCTCACCGCTTTTGCTTGCGGCATCTTCTATACAATGAGTCTCCACGATGCATTCCATGATCAATGAACACGCTCATATGTCTATAATATAAGGCTGAGATGAGGAGATAATGATCTATCATATTAAACAATTTGCTATCATCACACTCAACTATTTGCAGATCTAATCTTCGTCATTTTCTTGCCATCGCACAGTGGATATCCTGGATCAAATCCTTTACATAAACCAGCCACACAACTGTATCAAGCTTATTCAAACTTGTTGTGCTGTTGAATATTCACTGACAATGTCCCTATCTAAAAGTTGTGGGTTTCTACAACCATCCCTGATACTAAGATGGGGTTGTGGTGGAAACAGACCCAAGTCCAAGACTGCGTAGACTCGCCTGCCAAATTGTATGGCCCGAATACAATCACCTGTGAGAGTGATAGACCAGTCCACACGTCGCATTCACTGTTTCCTATATAACCCAGCCATGTCCTCACTTTCACTTCTTTACCATCTATTTCTTATTCACTCTTTTCTTCTTATTTCTGACTATTTCCCTACTTGACTTAATCTCTACTCTGATACCCCCTACTCTCTTCCCCTCTCCATCCACTAACTGCATCTACTTTTACATTATCTCGAATACCCCTGCTATGAAGCTTGACTATAGCCTCACTTGAGCTGTCTAACTATCCTCACTCTGGACATGCTCTCAGTGATGCTAAATTCAAATCATAGCCCTTGTCCCAGTATCAAGCAGGATATCACCGAAGCCTCAAGCCAGACGACGAGTAAGTCCACAGTCTGACATCCTGCTCCCCATCCAAGTCTCACCATGCTAACAGACATAAGACACCATGGAACCCTCACCTCCATCGGAGCTGGATGCTATAAACATCATTGGCCATGGCATGAGGAGCCTGGTCAAGAAAATCCAAGAGTTGAGACACATCGGGATCGAAGATAACAAGATCGCCCTGCCGAAAATCTGTGTCATCGGCGATCAGAGTACCGGCAAGTCTTCTCTAATTGAGGGCATGTCGGAGATCAAAGTGCCAAGAAGCGCCGGTACCTGCACAAGATGTCCCATGGAGATCAACTTGTCTGAAAGTGAACCGGGTCAGCCGTGGACTTGCCGCGTCTACCTGTCCAGGAAGTACATGTTCGATGGTTCCCAGAAAATTACGAAAATCCCAACACGGTCAAACCCTCTGGGACCATGGATAGAGCAAGACCAAGAAGACGAGCTCTTTACCACCATAACGGAGAAAGGTGATGTCCAGGAGGCCATCAAATGGGCGCAGCTGGCGATTTTGAATCCGAGTCATCCACCTAGCGACTATATTCCCGGTCAGAATACAGCCACGGGACTCCATCAGCAAGTGAAGTTCTCACCGAACGTCGTCCGCCTGGATATTTCTTCTTCAAACTTTCCGAACCTGTCGTTTTACGATCTTCCCGGGGTCATCAGCCAAGCGGAGTTTGAAGAAGAACGCTATCTGGTTTCCTTGGTCGAAAACCTTGTCAAGGATTACATCTCGCAGAGTAATTGCATTGTTCTCTTGACCTTGCCCATGACGGATGACGCTACCAATTCCAGCGCTGCCCGCCTCATGCGGGATGTACGCGGGGCCAATTCCCGTACTCTCGGCGTCCTCACCAAGCCGGACAGAATTCAGAACGGAGAGTCTTACGAGCAGTGGACTGAGATCCTGGAGGGTGACAAATTTCGACTTGGCCACGGATACTACGTTGTTCGCAACAACCCTGACCCTAATATTGAACATTCGAAAGCTCGGGAAGAGGAGACCGCTTTCTTCGCTTCTGACCCATGGGCCACTGATCTCACTGCATACCAAGGAAGATTCGGCACTCGCAACCTACAAACCGCTCTTTCCAGCCTGCTTCTCGAACAAATCCAAGACTGCCTGCCCAGTATCATCGAAAAGATCGAGGAGAAGGCAAATCGTATTGATAACGAGCTGAGCACGCTTCCAGTCCCACTTTCGGGAAACATCCCATATATTCTATGCGGACATATGAATCGCCTGAAGGAGGCTATCCGTGCTAATATCGATGGGGGCTCGTCACAGTATCCCCTCCAAAAACGATGGGGCCGCATTGCTGTGGATTTCAAAAGGGCCCTCACCAAGACCCGGCCAATCGTTCAAATCCTGACCGAGCGTGAGAAAAAGATGTACATTGAAGAAGAAGACGACGACTCTGACTGCTACGAACTCAACTCGCAACGACCCGTCAAGCGACTTCGAACCAGCGTAACAGCCCCTCTGCCCTCCACCGAGGTCAAACCTTCGAAATCGCCAGCTCCCAAACAGTCGGGATACAACTTCACTTGCTTCGAAATGTTCGACAAACCCGCCAAAATGTTCACTTGGGATGAGATCCGGGAGTTCAATGAGGATTCGTGTCGCGCAGGTATCCCGGATCAGATTGACCCGAGGACTGTGGAGATCTTGAATCAAAAGAGTGTTGAACATTGGTCGAAGCCGATGGAAGTGTTCCTCCAGGCCACGCACTACCTCGTGAGAGAGATGTTGATGCAGCAGCTGGAGAACGTCTTTGCTCAATATCACCAGACGAGTTTGTACCGCGAACTCAGAAAGATCATGGAAAGCTATCTTCAGAAGCTGAAGACCGAGCACTTCCAGCATGCTGCGGAAACATACGAGATTGAGCACAACAAGCCATTTACAATGGCGACCTCAGCCTTGGAACAGGCCCGCAACGAGTCTTACAAGCTTCTTGCCACGCGCCGTCGTGACGCGAGGGTTGATTGCTATCTGAGGAACAAACGCAAGATCGCACCCGCAGATCCCCGCTGGGAAGCGGAAGGGAAGAAGGTTACGGATGCTGAGCTCAAGGTCGATTCGTATCCCCAGGAGGTCCGCGCCATGGCAGTAAGGTTGATAATCCCACATCGGGCATTCCCCGTAAACTGACCGAAAACTAGACTTCTCGGGGATACTACGAAGTGGCTAGCTCGCGGTTCATCGACGTGGTGTGCCAAAGCGTGCATACAAAGTTGTTCTCCAAGTGCCGCGAGGAGCTCATCCATGTCATTGAGACTGAGTTGCGCATCTTCGACGACAATGGTATGTCTCTATACAACGTGATGTTTGACGACACTGCCACTGACACAATCCCTAGCCCTCGATCGGTGCCTCGAATTGATGGCCGAAGACCCGGAGCGACAACGGCGGCGGACCTATCTCGTCCGCGAGAAGAACAAGATCACCAAGGCTCAGCAGTGGCTTGCTACGGTGCGAAAAGAAGACCAGATGGATACCCCCATCAAGTCTCAACCCCCTGGTGGCTGGGCTGACCTTGATGGAGCAGTCTGTTGATTGTCCTGGGTAGTTTGAATCTTTCTTTAAGGCGCAATGGACGGAGTGGCACTGGAAGCAATGAACTGGTACGAACACCTTCACCATAACGTACGATATCACAGATGAAATACCCGAAATGACAGCGAGAAACATATCTGGATGGCAGTTGAATAATTGATCGATGCTGTACTGAAGCCCTGATAACGGGAGCCTGAGGCTGCGACCATGGATGGCGGGGTAGTCTGGAAACCCCACCAGGGTGCCCTAAGCCCTAAGTCCAGATTGAACCCTCCTCAGACTGTTGTCTGCAAAGGTTTAGTCAAGCAATTCCAATTTCATTTCAAATAATGCCTTAAAACACAGCTACATATGAACCATCCATGTAGAACCACCCTGTAAATACCATGGAGAATAGCAGCCTGAGTCATCCGCCCGAAACGGACCGGACATCTTATCGGCCGTGGGGCCTGAGGCTCACGCCCAATCAGAGCGGCCGAGGAGTGACTCCGCGCCCAAAATTCTCTCTTTGCCCACCATCGTCACTTTGACCTGCTTCCTCACCCCCACCACGATCCAATTCATACCATTCAATCTTAATTTTCACCATGGCTGATCCCAGCGGTGTTAAGGAAGCCGAGGCCTCCATGGCCAACCTTTTGCTCGACGAGGTCACCGGTGAGCGCGTGTCCAAGACCGAATTGAAGAAGCGCCAGAAGCTGCGCGAGAAGGAGGCCAAGAAGAAGGAGAAGGAGGCTGCTGCCCCTCCCAAGGCCGAGAAGAAGACTTCCGCTGAGGATGAGGAGGCTAACCTGACTCCCAACGTGAGTTTGTTTGGGTTCTGGAATGTCCCGGGGACGTCAGAAAGACAGAGCTAACCAGCCGATCCCCATGTCTAGCAATACTTTGAGATCCGCAGCAAGCGCATCAACAAGCTGCGTGAGACCAAGAACCCGGATCCGTACCCGCACAAGTTCCAGGTCACCGACGACCTGCGCAAGTTCCTCAAGGACTACGAGAGCCTGGAGAAGGGCGAGCAGAAGCCCGATGTCCCCATCCGCCTGGCTGGACGTATCTACACCAAGCGTACGTCTGGAGCCAAGCTGTTGTTCTACGACCTCCGCGCGGAGGGCGTCAAGGTGCAAATTGTGTGCCAGGCGCAGAACGCCAAGGGCGAGGTTCCCTTCGAGGCCCAGCACGAGCCCCTCCGCCGCGGTGACATTATCGGTGTGATCGGTTTCCCCGGCCGTAGCAACCCCAAGAACCGCCCCGACGGTGAACTGTCCATCTTCGCCACGGAGGTCGTGCTGCTGGCCCCCTGCCTGCACGCCATCCCCTCCGAGCACTACGGCTTCCAGGACAAGGAGCAGCGCTTCCGTCAGCGGTACCTGGATCTGATCATGAACGACCGCTCCCGTAACGTCTTCGTCACCCGCTCCAAGATCGTCTCCTTCATCCGTCGCTTCTTCGACAGCCGTGACTTCGTCGAGGTCGAGACCCCCATGATGAACGCCATCGCGGGCGGTGCCACCGCCAAGCCCTTCGTCACGCACCACAACGAGCTGGACATGAACCTGTTCATGCGCATTGCCCCCGAGCTGTACCTGAAGATGCTGATCGTCGGTGGTCTGGAGCGTGTGTACGAGATGGGCCGCCAGTTCCGCAACGAGGGCATCGACCTGACCCACAACCCGGAGTTCACCACCTGCGAGTTCTACTGGGCGTACGCCGATTACCAAGACGTCATGAACATGACCGAGGAGCTGGTCTCCAGCCTGGTGAAGCACGTCACCGGCGGCTATGAGACGACCTTCCACACGCAGACCGGCGAGGTCTACAACGTCAACTGGAAGGCGCCGTGGCGCCGCGTGGAGATGATCCCCGCGCTGGAGGAGGCGACGGGCGAGAAGTTCCCGCCGGGCGACCAGCTGCACACGGCCGAGACGGGCGAGTTCCTGAAGAAGGTCCTGGCCAAGACGGGCGTGGAGTGCTCGCCGCCGCTGACCAACGCGCGCATGCTCGACAAGATGGTGGGCGAGTTCATCGAGGAGACCTGCGTCAACCCGACCTTCATCATGGGCCACCCGCAGATGATGTCGCCGCTGGCCAAGTACCACCGCAACAACGTCGGTCTGTGCGAGCGCTTCGAGGCCTTCGTCTGCAAGAAGGAGATCTGCAACGCCTACACGGAGTTGAACGACCCCTTCGACCAGCGTCTCCGCTTCGAGGAGCAGGCCCGCCAGAAGGACCAGGGTGACGACGAGGCCCAGCTCATCGACGAGAACTTCTGCACCAGTCTGGAGTACGGCCTGCCGCCCACCGGTGGCTGGGGTATGGGTATCGACCGTCTGGTCATGTTCCTGACGGACAACTACAGCATCAAGGAGGTGCTGGCCTTCCCCTTCATGAAGGAGGACAAGACGGCGCAGGACACCAAGACTGCTGCTGAGGTGGTTGGCATTGAGCCCAAGCCTGAAGAGGGTATTCGTAAGTGAACCCGCTGTCCGCTGATACGCGATGGAAAGTGGAATCAAGCTCATGGTGTCTATCTCAACAGCCCACAAATAAATGACCATTGCATGGCTCTAGATACATAAGGATGCATGAAGACCAAGATTTAAGATATATGTCTATACCGTTCGCCTTCTGTCTGGGATAATCTCAATAATGAAAACGCAAGTACGGTGGGAGTTTAATCTCTGATTTGTAGACACTGACCATGTTCTTGGGTAGTCTTTCAATGATAACGGTCTGATAAATTTGTAAAAGTCTGTAGTATGCTACCGTGCCGTACCTACTCTTCTGGTCTCATAGTCTATCAGGCCTACTGACAAGACTGATGAAGCTCAAACAGTCTCACCTATAATGAGCATTGACGGCATCTTGCCTCCCAAGCCCAGCAAGACAATGCCTTCTATATCCCCATTCATACACCCCACAAAGACTCATATAATGCCATACACCCCCTCAATAATCCTATTGTCTCACCAAAGAACACCATTCTCCCACCAAAGGATCCCATTCATTTCCTGCACCGGATTTCCAAGCACAGCACAATCCACCACTCAAAGAACCGAAAGAAAACTCAATATATAATCCCCCTTAACGAACAAGTGAAATATCCCACCAGACAAGTGAAAATGACCTCTCTCGAGCGAGGTACAACCACAGGTGTGTCCCTCCCACCATGACATCGTTTGTCGTCGTCGTTGAACACCAGCCGTCAACGAGGGTCGTGGTGAATGAGGCACTTGCTGGTTATTGACGTTATTGTTGTCGTTGTCGTTCATGATCGCGTCGTGCTGGCGCTGACTTTTGCCTTTTGCCCCTTGGAGGAAGAAGTATTTATAGGCTGGTCCTTTTCCTCTGTCTGTCGCTGGCTTTTGGTCTTTCCTGTTCATCTACTGCTTTCTGGATCTTGTTGCATGTTGGGTGATTTGTCTTGTTTTTACTTCGCCTGTCTTTTCTACGGAGTTACGTATCTGAAGACATCTCAACGGTCCTAGTATCTTCATCTAGGAGTCTTATTTCGAAATATTTGTGATATCCCATCAAGAGAAGAGGAAGAAGACACATTATGGCTGGATACCCAGACAGACGTGCATACCCAAGCTCTGGGCCCCGTGGCTGGGAACACAGCTATACCAGCTATCATCCTCTTAACCATCCTCCTTTCAACTATCCTCCTCCATCTTATTATTCCTCTGCTTCATCAGCATCGTCGGGGTTGAATTTCCGCGAGAGCAGGGCTCCCGTGTATCATCGGCGTGTTAGACACGATCATCTCCCTCTGGATTACATGGTATGTTATCATCATTTCTTGTCTATGTCTAGGACGTATCTATACTATCTAGGACTGGACAGTATAAGAGAAAGTAACAAGCTAACAAAACTCCTTCTCCCCCAGCACTCCTACGAAAGACCTCACCATCGCCAACTCCAACTCACCCCTTTCACTCATACCTCAGCAACGCACACCAGACCACCCAACCAGGTAAGTCGTGAACCCCAATCCCAACACCCCAGCTCCATTTAACTAACAAACCCAGTGGACCAACCCATACAACCCCCGACCAACCCATCCCCCCACATACAACACATACAACCCTACCTCTCAACCATACGTCCCCGTACGAGAACCGTACCGTCCTGCAATCTATCCCGGCGAAAGAACCTCATACGGTATATCTCCAAGCCAAAGACACTACTACTCCCAAGAAAGCTATGTTAGAGCGGAAGCCCCGGCGCCAGCGCCATCGATGGCACCGCGCGCCGCTCACCACGACAGCGGATGGCCACCCTGGGACTTCTCCACCGCTTCGCCTCGCGGCTTTGGTGAGGTTGCTGGACCGGCGCGGTCGGGCCATATGAAGTGGTCTAGTAGCCCTACTGTGGTTGACAGGTCTGGGTATGCAGAGCGTGCTGGGAGTCTGGAGCCTCGGGCAACTGGTACTGTACCCCACGGTCTTCCTTCTTTCAAGGACTTCGAGCAGGGTGTTTCTCCTGGGGATGCACTTGGGCCGGGGGGTCTTTTCGAACAACTGTTTCCATCGTCACCTCCAAGACAGACACAGGATCTCGAACCAGCACAGCTAGGTGTCCAATTATTCACAGAAGACAGCCCTCGCTATCATACTAGTGAGATCTCAACACCACCACCACATATCAAACCAATACCCGACCTATCCCCAGAATCGAACCCAGCACATCACACTAGCCCAAGCCCACGCTCAAACCCAAACCCCACACCCCCCACCCTAGCCTTACCCTCAGCAACCACATCAGCCCCATCCACACCCAGCACCGTCACCGAACGCCATCCGAGCCTCCGCGGCCCCGTCAAAGTCCCCGTCACCTTCGAAACCGTCGCCGCCCACACCGCCAAATGCGACCTCTGCAACGGCCGCAACAGCCAGGGTATGACCCGCTGCAGGGACTGCGGATGGCAGTGTTGCCATGCTTGTGCTGGGAAGAATGGACACACCCGCACGCATGTTCTCGCGGGGGGATCGCGCGTCCATGTTGCTTCTTCCCCTTCTTCTTCTGCTGGCCGAGACGGGGATGAGCATGGAGATGACGACGATAGTGATAGTGATAGTGATAGCGAGGGGAGTAGCAGAGTGGGCGGCGTGAGACCACGCCTTAGGGGCGAGGCGGTCGCCAGCGTGACTCGTCGTCAGACGAGGAGTTGGACGAGACGGAATGCAGCGAGGGTGGAGGATGCTGCAGTTGCTGCTGCGGCTGCTGTTGCTGCTGTTGGGGTTGGGGGTTCTGCTGCTTCAGTCTCTAGATCTGAAACCAGATCCGAGTCCGAATCCCCCGCGAGAGAATTCTCAATACAGGAAGGTCCCAGCGAGGAAGTGTCGATGACGCTGTCACTTGGTGGTGGTGAGAGTAGCAATGTTTATGGCGGGGGAACAGTGCCGCGCGTTTCGAGCGATGTGATGGATGGTGCTCGGTCGCTGTATGATCTTAGTATCAGCGCGCTTTGTAGGCAGGGTGGGTAGCTGTGGGGGTGGGATAGGTGGAAGATGGGTGGAAGACGGGTGGGTTGTTTGGGTTTGCTTTAGGGGTTACTCTATGAATGTGGTGTTTTGCGAGTTGGATGCCTAGTTCGGCGGGTGTGTATCTGTTGATTTCTTTGATGTACTTCTTGTTTAACGACTGGCTTTAGCTTTAGCTTTAGATTCCTTATGGTTTAAGTTGGTGAGATTTTATATGATTTGACTCCATAATTCATGGTTTAAAGGCATAATGCAGGGAATAAAAAGGAAGATGCATAGTATACATTCTAGAAGGAGAGATTTATAAATACATAGATGATACAAACATTCGTAAGCATGACATGCGACTGATAGTGTTGCCCCGCTCTAACGCGGACCATTTATCAAGCAAATATCCAATTACGCCTTGTGAGCATGCACGGCAGCCCTCGACACAGCCTGGCTGCGGGCCTTGGCTGCCATCTGAAGCAGCTTAGCCGTGCGAGACGGATGCCAGATGCGGCTCCCCAGCACCAGCGTCCAGGTAAGCAGGAACAAGCTGCCGGCCTGGTGGGCCGACGCGAGAGGCGTAGGAACGAGGTAGAGCAGGGTGGAAATGCCCAGACCGACCTGCATGAATGCGAAGGCCACGACGCCGTGCACGCCCTTCTTGGCGGCCCGGGGCAGGAGGCGCTTCATGGTGGCTGACCCGCGGGTGTAGCCCCACAGGGCCATGATGCTGGAGAAGGTGGTCATGGCGAGGATGCGGTGGTCTAGCTGGACTAGGGACGGGTTCTCGAGCATGTTTCTCCACCAGAGGTCGGAGCGGTCTTCGTGGCGGGAGTATCGTTCGTCGAAGAGTTCGGACTTGGGAGGGGTGAGGCCGTTGCCCATGTAGGGGAATTCGTTGTAGATGAGGCCGGCGTCTAGGCCAGCGACGAGGGCACCGGAGATGACGGTCGTGAAGACCAGAGCGGCCAGTCCGGCGACGGATCGGCGGAAGATCTTCAGTTGGGGGTTGCGCAGCGAGTCCAGGAGTTTGATGCCGGCTTCCGGATCAGCGAGGAGTCGATGGGTCCGCAGAATGGCCAGACCGTTCCAGAGCATAGTCACGTAGCAGACGAATGCCGCCCCGAGATGTGCCGTCAGTCGATACTGGCTCACGCGGGGGTGGCTACCAGGCGCGAAGAGATCGTCCTTGAGACCCGACTTGACCATCCACCAGCCCAGGAAACCTTGGAATCCGATCAAACCGGCAATACCAGCAAGACGCAATGCCATCGGCTTGCTGACTTGTTTTCTCGCGACGAAGTAGATAGCGGGGAGCACGAAGGACATTCCGACGAACCGGCCCCAGAGGCGGTGGATCCATTCCATGTAGTAGATCGACTTGAATTCGGAGAGCGTCATATTCGGGTTAAGCAATTGGAATTCTGGCGAGTCTCGATATTTCGAAAACTCGGACTCCCAGTCCTCGGCGTTCATGGGAGGGAGGGAACCAGTGACGGGGCGCCATTCTGTGATACTCAGACTGGACCAGTGTTAGCAGTTGTCCGTCGTCCTAAACCTGGGGAAGTGCGCGAAAGACGACATACCCAGACTCTGTTAACCGGGTAAGTCCACCAAAGACCACAATACCAAAAACACTAACTGCGCTGCCAAGCAACCAGTACGCGACCTTCTTGTCGGTCACCTGCGGGAAACTCGACTTTGCCTTTGAAGCACCTTCTTCCACCGCATTGGCGACTGCCGATCCGGATGTCCACCGTTTGACACTTGATGAGAAAGCCTGTCTCGCAGACGATTGAATGCTAGTTGCATTGACCCGGCGAGCATTATAGGCCGACGGAACAGTCGAGAAGTTCTTGCGAAACGATTTGGTCGCGAAATTTAAAGGTTGGGTCGCGAGGCACTGTCGACACGTGAAGAAGTCGCGTGCCAACCGGGGTGCTAGACTCCGGAACATGGGCACGGCGGACCCCATATTCGCCATATTGACGAATATCGAGAGAAGCAGGTGAAGGTGTGGTTTGAGGAGAAGATCAGATCAGATCAGTTTCTTTGACATAAGAAAGACAGGGCGGGCATTGGAATGGCCGAGATGCCGACGGCGGAACCAATAAGCGTGGCCTGATTTGCTTGCGGGTCTTGAATTGATATGGGGCCATTTACACTTCTTCTACGACAGCTACAAGTATGGGAATCGGGATATACACTAGAACTTGGAATCGTTTGCTTGAATGATGACTTTTCAGTGGGATCTGTATCTGTTGTTTTGCTATCTCAACACGGGTCTGCGCAAACTACTTGTTTCTACCACGATGCGCCGTTAGACACTTTTATACATTGCCTATTGTTGTCCAAGTCTATAGTCTGTAAATAGTAAATTCTCGTCGGCTGTTCACGAGACCAAGATAAATTAGAAGAGAGAGAGAGAGAGAGAGAGAGGGTTGGATCAAATAATGATCTTCAATTAATTGATGCTGATACCTGAGGCAGAAAGTACAGCTCTGACTAAGCCATCATCCACTCCAGCCCAACACGAAAGCTCCAGTCTGGACAACAGCTGTGAGCTGCCCACACTCACCTTTCAACTCAATCGAAGATGTCGTACGCCGTGGAAACGAAGAAGCGCAAATTCCAACGAGTCCTCGATTCGTTGACCAAACCGTCCAGCGCCGAATCCTCCAAACCACCGACGACGGCGCGCGAACAGCTCCACGGGGAATCATCAGCGGCAAAGAAGATCCGATTAAGTGACCGCGACGATAGCAGTCTCGCGTCCGCCAGGAGGTCGATTCTAAAGGTCGGTCGTCCGAGTTCGCGCGACTCCTCCGCATCCTCGACCCGTCCCAGTTTTGTCCCGTGGGATCGCGAGCGCTTCCTCGAACGGTTGGAGACCTTTCGCCGGGTGGATCGCTGGTCGCCGAAGCCGTCGGCGATTAGTGAGGTCGAGTGGGCGAAACGGGGCTGGATCTGTACGGATAAGTCGCGGGTAACGTGTGTGGGGGGATGTGGCGGTTCCGTTGTCGTCAAACTGCCGGACGAGCTGGATGAGCTGGACGGGTATGATTACGATAAGGTGGAGGAGCGGAGGCAAGTCCGTAAGTGCTTGTTGCGATGACTACGGCGCAACGCGACTGGATGCTAATTGTACTCTAGGTGACAAATTGGTGGATGAATATGCGAATCGTCTAGTTCAAGGGCATGGGGAAAGTTGCCCGTGGAGGAATAAGGGCTGCGATGGTTTGTTCAAGCGACTCGACAATGAGATCATGGCTGACCTTGTTATAGCGACTATACATCGTCTAGCATTATCCAATGCTGATGTCGCGATTTCAGCCCTTCAAACACGATATTCGAACCTGGTCAAGATCGCCGATTCTCTACCGGCCGAGACCATCATCCAAACCCCGGAGTCATTCAATATTGAAGAAATCATATCGACCTTGCCCCCAAAGTTCGACGGGTCCGAAGCACCCGTGGAGACGACCGAACCGCAAACCCCCCAGCCTACGGAAGAAGCACATGAAAATCTCCCGACACCACCGGTCGTCAATCAAACCGCATTTGTATTGGCGTTCTTCGGCTGGGACACCACCGCAGAAAAGGCTTCCGGGCTAGCCTCATGTAGCGCATGTTTCCGACGGCTAGGGCTATGGATGTACAAACCGAAGGAAAACGGGGACCCTGGTATCTACGACTCGTTGGAGGTGGCCACCGAACACATGGAGTATTGCCCGTGGATCAATGGGAAAGCGCAGAGCGGCACTGGCCGGGCATCTGACAAGCAAGCTGAACTACCGAGTGGGTGGGAGGTCTTGGCCCAGGCACTCCGCGTCAAGCATCGTCGGCGGATGCGTGCATCCACCTCCGCGGGCAGTCGTGCGGTGTCGGAGTCACCTTCATTAGACTGTTCGTTCTTCGACGAGTCGAACGATGACATTAAAAAGGCGAGTGACCGCGAATGGTGGTCGAAGATTCTGCGGATGCGACAGATGCTCAACGTGAAGACCCCGAAGAAAAGAAGCGCAGCCAGTCCGTGATTCTTGTTGGCGGGAAGCGGCCCTTTACTACATTATCAAACTGATGGAAGCGTGCTTGGTCTTCAAAGCGTGGCGTTCTGGCACTGGTTTATCTACTTCATTGACTGTACCTTATTTGCGATACCTTGCATTTGCGCCTGGTTTTAATATATGCCGCGCAGCATCGAAACGAAATGACAACGATCTATAGAGAACTGTAATAATTCCACATTTACTCTGCACTATTCTTCTATACATACCCCTAGATAACCCAAAGTCATGCAGTAGTCGAGATCATCGGTATATGCCAGGACAAACTCCGGATGCGGCCAGAAACACAGTTTGCGCTAGACTGGACTGGGGAATCAAGAACGTTGTAGAGTTCAGCAACCTTATTAGGTATCTTTCATCTCACTTTCCCTTCGCCAGAGAATCCCAGACATGGCCATCATTTTACACTATCAACGACATCACCAGCTCCCCTGTCATGGCTGATCAGTGGCAACCCGGACGAAGTGGAGAAGGCCAAGGCGGAGGCGGAGGAGGAAACGGGATGCATTATGATCCTGCACGGGACCGCTGGGAAGCTGCTTGGCCGCAGACTCAGCGTCCATCTCCCCCGGCTCCTGCATCCCAGTCGCTGCCTGCCGTCGTTTCACAATCTCCCTTGGTATGTTCGAAGCCTGTTCGTGTTGTGAAGCGATTTGATCTTTGTTTTTGCTCGTCTTGTGGATTTGTTGGTGGTTTTTGAGAGTTTGGAGAACTTGCCTGCTTCTGCAACGCGATCGCTAGATCGTCCTAGCTTGTTTTTTCTTCGTCTTTTGTTTGTCTAGACCTTTTTACTCTACCTATTACTTGCTTTCATTGACGCGGTCTACTTTAAGGATAACGCTGACGAGTTTGGATGGATTTGCGACAGATCTCCCACGACTCCAATTCGACCCAACACATCGCATCCGGCAGCCAACCTCACCTACACCCTCGCCATTCACCCTCCGTTCCTCGTATTGGATCACCCATTCAGCCGACACGACTCGAACCGTCGTCCCTGAACCCATCCCAGTCAACAGATCCAAACACGTCCATTCCCGCCTCGAAAATGGATCATGCAACCGCCGACGAGGTGGCTCCGAGACATGGCCCCGCGTCGTCACCGACGGCCGGCTCTCCCGACAGCAAAAAGCGCAAGGTAGCCGGAGAAGCTCCGACAGACTCTGCAGATCCTCCGACCGGCAACCCCATCTCCAAGCGGAAACGCATGGAGGAGCGACATCAGAAGATGCGCAAGCGCGGCCCGACGGCCTACTCGCGACGCGATGGGGATGAACGCTCGCGGAGACCGGAGCGAGATGATCGTGACAATCGGTCCCCGTCCCCTCTCGCTCCGCGGCGGTCTCCTACCCCTGAAGAGCAGCCACGCCAGCGGAAGCGCCCCGGCGGTGGATCGCGCATGGGGCTGGTGGATCGGGAGACGCTGCGTCGGCGACAGGAAGAGCGCGAGCGTGCCGAGCAGCAGGACGCCGTGCGCTATTCGCAGCACCGCGGCGTGACGGATATCGTCCGTCAACACTACAACGCGGTGCCTGAGCGAGGCCGTGAGTGGAGGAAGACAGAGAGTAAGATCAAGGGCCTGCGCACCTTCAACAACTGGATCAAGAGCACCCTGATCCAAAAATTCTCTCCGGACGAGGAGTTCGTGTCGCGGTCTATCGGAACCAAGGACTGGGCAGACACTTCGGCCCCGCCTCCCGTGGACGAGAAACGGCTGCTCGTGCTCGACCTGGGCTGCGGCAAGGGAGGCGACCTGGGCAAGTGGCAGCTGGCGCCGCAGACGGTAGACCTCTACGTCGGACTGGATCCGGCCGACATCTCCATCGTGCAAGCCCGCGAACGCTACAACAGCATGCGGTCCGGTCGCGGCCCGCGGGCGCCGCGCGGACGGCGTCCGCCGCTCTTCCACGGCGAGTTCCACGTCAAGGACTGCTTCGGCGATTGGCTGGGCGACATCCCCATCATTCAGCAGGTCGGGATCGACCCGAACGCGGGGCCCGGTGGATCTGTGATGAGCTCGCGGTGGGGTGGCGGTGGTTTCGACGTCGTGGCGTCTATGTTCGCCATCCACTACGCCTTCGAGAGCGAGGAAAAGACGCGCCAGATGCTGCGCAACGTCGCGGGGTGTCTGAAGAAGGGCGGGCGATTTCTGGGTGTCTGTCCCAACTCGGACGTCATCAGCGCCCACGTCGCGGAGATCCACGCCAAGCGGAAGGCTGGCGAGGCGGACGCAGACAAGGAGACGGCTGAGCCTGAGGACGGCGAGGTGAAGGAAGAGTTCAAGACCGAGTGGGGCAATTCGATCTACCGCGTTCGCTTCCCGGGCGAGACGCCCGAGGATGGCATCTTCCGCCCGCCGTTCGGGTGGAAGTACAGCTACTTTATGCAGGAGGCTGTGGAGGAGATTCCGGAATACGTGGTGCCTTGGGAGGCTTTCCGAGCGTACGTACCTATGGATGGGTCATTGATCTGATGGCCATTGATCTAACGGGACATGACTAACATCAATTCACAGACTCACGGAGGACTACAACCTCGAACTCCAATACCGTAAACCTTTCCTCGACGTTTGGAAAGATGAGAAAGACGATGCGGAGCTAGGCCCACTGAGTGAGCGGATGGGTGTCCGCGATCGGAACACGGGCGAATTGCTGATGACGCAGGAAGAGCAAGACGCTGCCAGTACGTTCGACCTGATCTTATTTTGAGGATAAGAGCTAACGAGGACAGGTTTCTATCACGCGTTCTGCTTTTATAAGGTGTGAGCGATGGTTTCGGATGATTTTACAGCAGGATGGTCGTTTTGGCTTTGACATTCGTACGGTGGGGGTGTAAATCATGATAGGATGCATATTACTTATATTGGGCTTGTTTGTTCGTTACTGCGTAAAGCGTAGAATTCTGTCGAGGTACTATTATAGCGCAGTCTTCGAGTCTTGTTCGAATACTCCTGGGCTGACCCCGATCTGCTCTCCGACTAGGGTTGGGGGCGGACGCCGCGGAACCCGCCAGGACGTTGATAAATACTACTACTACTACCACTACTACCAATCTCATTGTCCTGATCTGCTCTGACTGTCTCCCATCATCGCCCCTTCAATCCAGAACATCATCATCTGTCGGTTACTACCTGGTGTCAGATAGGAGGGAGGTATTGTATAGTCTGACACTATAAGGCTAGTACGGAGAAGAAAACATTCTGGTGAGTGACTATATCAACATACCCATACATACATTTCCCATTTTTAGAGAGCTCCAGAATATATTCCAATATCTAAGCTGACGATTTAGCACGGAATGGCCTGGGTTACAGCAGCAACTAACCCTTCCAGTGATTGCTATGAAGTGGGAAGATTCAGTTCCATCCATCCACCAGATGCTCGTATTCGGACTCGTCGGTCCCTATCGTATTCGGGTATAACCCACCCCATGCTAGCTATTAACTAGGTTCAGTCCTAGGCTGTATCTGTTGTTCTGCATGCTAACCATGACCTAAACGGGGTTGACCCCATACCATATGACCCGCTTCAGGCTGGGCGGAGATCGACGGTTAAGAGGCGCTAAAATCGTGTACTGGGTGTGGAGAACGATATGATGAAGCTGTCTGAAATTCTATCCTTCTGTCCATCCATGCTCATCAGAGAAGTTCATCTGCTCGGTATAGGCTTCTTCGACTCATTCGTCGCATGATCTACTCCCATTGCTACTCCTTGTCACGATGGACCCCCCACTAGTGCCTAGACGGAGCCGCCCGACGAGGGCTACCACCAGGAGAGCTACAATGGAAGCTGCAGACGCAATTGATGATCCCATTAATCCTACCGACAAGGAGAAGATTCGCCGGGCCAGGAAGCGGGCTACTGACCGCCAGTCGCAGCGGGATCACCGCGAGCGACAACGGATCTACATCAGACAATTGGAGGAGACCGTTCAGTCCTACAAGGACGCCTTCTCCAGTAATGGTAGCAGTGATCTAGCGGCGTTGCTGAAGGAGCAGGAGAGGTTGCAGGCCAGGTGTAAAAGTCTTGAAGCTGCCTTGGCTCGGATCAAGAAGTTGGCAAGCGATGTGCATGTCGGTGACGATGTTGGCTGCACCGATCAAGATCCCCAGAATTTGTTTGCGAGGAACCCTCAACAAGCCAGTGTCTCGACCTCGCCCTCCGCCGAGCTTGATAGTTCGGGCCCGTCTGATGGTCTGCCCCATGTCGGTCAGCCTGTCTCAGGCACCCGTGCGATGGATATGTCGATTGGACTACCTTCTCATGAGATGGATTACTTCGACCTTTCCTGTGACCGTACGCCAGTATTCAATACCACAATGCCCCTCATCCACCAGGAAGACCGAGTCGAGGAGCTCCGCGCTGGCGATGATCTCGACCGCTGCATTGCCAGCATGGTGGACGGGACAGCTACAGACCCGAGTCTCGTACCGGACTCTATTGCGATGCGAACCCCTCTTCTAACAGAACCTGTCATACCAATCGACTTCAACGGGGCCCTACCCACGCATCCAAGCTTTCCCAAACTAAGCCACAGCATGGGCAAGTGGGACGAGATTCTGTTGAGCATGGTAGATGAAGCACGACTGCAGCATCGCCGTGGCCAATTCGGCATGAATGAACCGTCCCTGCGAAGCCTTCTGTCCGACAAATCCACTGATATCCTGGCTTACCGACTTTTTCACCATATCAGTTACTATCAGTCTATACCACTACACATCCTGCTTTCAATATTCTGGGTCCAGTATCTCTCATTAAGGGTGTGTGATGTCCCCATTCCCTCTTCCTGAGGATGCAAGTAACCTCTCGGCGTCTAGTGGTACGTGCTAGGAACCCAGGCCGCTTTTCTTCAGATTCCTGAATTCATGAGACCAACCGGCTTGGAGAAACGTATTCAGCACCGACCTTGTATCGGGATGCTAGTATGGTAAGACTGCACCCCCTCGGATCATGCATCACAAATACATTGGCAGTAGCTAAAGGAAGTTGCATAGGCCTGACTTACGACGCGCATTGATTCGCGATTCACATACTGTCGACCCCGAGCGCATAGGCATTGAGCTGATAGAACACATGGACACTACGTGGTCACCGACTACACGCGACAGGGGCGATCTGATCGGCAGTACGGACGTGTTTGCCATGATTGAGCATCAGGCGCAGAGAATGGAGACTTGGAAGGTCGACCGGAGGTTTCAGGAGAAATACTCCCAGTTCGCAGATTGCCGGCTAGGGTAGGAGTTAGCTCGATAGAGACTCCCTCCGCTGCGGTCTCTGAGAGCATGCTTTGTGCCGTACAGTTCCGGCATATACCGTGTTGGGATAACGTATATCACAATGTGCGCAAGAGGAAGTGCCGGTTAACGTGCGGGGCTATGGGTGTCTCCTATGCAATACTATACCAGGGTTTCACACGCGGGCGAGTACGACGTATTCGTGTTCGTGCTCGTACATATGCCCCCTTCAATACTGGCACCGATGACAGTCCATACGAATACGATGCTTGAGACGACGATCGACACCCCAGATTATAGATCGGCCGAATCTAACCCGGTGAATCTGGCGCAAACGAGAATCGCTTGATTGGTTCGAACCGAGCATGGCAGTTTTGAGCGAGTCAGCTATACTGACAGAGCTTGAACTGATCCTGGGTGAATAAAAGCAATGGTATTTATTCTCCGCGCAATCATGCCTCGGGTGGAAGACTGTTGGCTGAAGTGTACTTGCTTTTGGTTGTGTTTATATCCTTTTTGACCATGGCTTTTAATGCAGACAATGGGAGTGGCCTGATAACAGCTGTCGGGCAATTCCTGATGCCCGCATCATGGTCGCAGGTGCTGCTGCTTGCTTTTCTAGGTTATATTCTCGTTAACCAAGTGAGACACTACCAAAAAACGGTAAGGCAATTACACTCCAATCACAAGAGGCTCATTCTATGGGAGACTGACATCTGTGAAGCCTGCGAACGTCACAACAATCAACTTCCCCGCGGTGTATCTTCCGCTCATCTCATCATGGATCGCGGCCATTCGCTTCATGAAGAATCCCGTCGAGTCGGTCCGCGAGGGAATGGCCAAGTCGAAAAACGGACTGGTGCGCATTGCAACCTTACAAGGCGAATTCATCCTCGCTACGGATCGGCACAGGGTCGCCGAGTATATGAAAGCCCCCGACACTATCCTGAACGCGCAGGACGGATCCAACGACGTAAGTCAGTCATACAGATGAAGAACCGCGGCTGATGTCAATTATGAAGCAACAACAAATCCCGTTCACCATGGGGTACGGAGTCGGCCACCGGACCTACCACACGGCTGTAGTTCGCGGACCCATCACTCAAAACATCATACCCAAGACTCCAGTGATGCTCGATGAGGCTTTGAGAGCTTTCGATGACTTGATCGGCTCTCCTGTTGGTATTGTTTCCCGCTATTAGCTTTGGGCCATTATACCTGTGCCCATAACCTAACTTAAATCGTGACAGAGGAGACGCCGATTGCGCTGTATAGTGCCATTGCCATGACGGTCGCCCGGGTGGCGAACCGGGTATATGTGGGAACGGAGCTCTGTAGGTTGCCTGGATTTTGCGGATAATGGATCCTCGCCCGTGCCATGCTCGTACTGATCTTTAACACCCCAGGCCGCAACGAGGAGTTTCTGCGAAATGCCACCGACTACGCAGAGGCCGTGGTTATATCGGCTGAGGTTCTGCGCAACTTTCCGGAATGGATGAAAGGGTCAGTGCTCTAGTTCTAATCTTGCGTACGCACGGAAATATAGAACGGATGCTCATCCGTTATGAGCTTTTAGTTTTCTAGTACGGCTCCTTCCAGTGACGTCCTATCGTCGACAGGGTCGTCGGTTTCTGGCGCCTCTCATCCAAGACCGTCTTGACGGCAAGCTGGATGCGAATGGAGAAAAACACAAGGACTTGATCCAGTGGTTGATTGATGCTGCGCCGCCTGTCGAGAAGACTATTCCTCAACTGGCAGAGCGAGTAATGGCACTGAATGTGGCCTCGATTCACACTACTACCATGGTATGCCCTTACCTTCTCCCATCAACTCTGAATATCCATGCTCACTGTTGTAATTCTGGCTACTGGTAGACATTCACTGCCGCCTTATACCACCTAGCCGCTGAACCCACCAAGTACACATTAACCCTCCGAGAAGAGGTGATGGCGAACCTTGAACAGGGCGAAATCACAGCAACAACCCTAAGCAAGCTCCCCAAGATGGAGAGCTTTCTTCGCGAATCGGGCAGATTCGACTCGTCAGGGCTGAGTACGACATTCCCCACTTGCACTTGAAAAAAATACATCCCCATTGAAATCTCTACTAACACGCGCACAGTGTCCATGCAACGCAACGCCCGAAAAGAATTCAAATTCTCAGACGGAACCGTCCTCCCGCCCGGCTCGAAGATCGGATCGCCCAGTCTCTTCCTTCACCGGGATCCGGAAGTCTTCGAGGATCCGGAGGTGTTTGATGGGCTTAGATTCTACCAGCCATACTCGGAGCCTGGTACTAAGCCTAAGACGATGTTGAATACCGATGTTAATTTTCATCTGTTTGGTCATGGTAGACATCCGTGGTATGTCCAATCCCATCCCTCCATCTAATTTCTAATTTCAGGTGTATTCTTTTCGTGGTCTAACCATATCACAGCCCTGGGCGGTTTCTGGCCGTGCATGAAATCAAACTCATGTTTGCTATATTGCTACTGCGGTATGATATCCGGCTCAAACCCGGCACCAAGCCGCAGCCGTTCTATATTGGAACTATGTCTCTGCCAGATACAAAATTGGAGGTTTTATTCAAGGCTAGAAAGTGATGTGCAGCTTTGGTGGGCATGTCTCAATGGGGGTTTGCACTGCGTGGTCTTTTTAAAGCAGATATCAGATACCAAATTGTTTTTTTGGATTAGTAGTATTAGTAGTAGTAGAGGTGGGAGCAGCAGTATGTGCATGCTGAAACATAAGAATCATCACCGAGTTCATAAATTTCGATATCCACTACTTACTTCCCCCACAGTATGCATGCAAGCATGTCTGTATAAAGGATCTACATTGTCAACCCCATGATCCACATCTTTTAAGACGAGGGTCATACTATTGGCAGTCCCACTGAGGGGTCCAAGGTCCCGTGGACCAGCGAGTCAATCCCTCTGACTCGCCTTGAAGATAAGGTACATATCAAGTCATCCGAGGCAGATCACATCTCCCCAAACTTCACAAACTACCACTACACCCAACTTCATTATCTCAATTCCCCTTCCTCAACTCGACCAATCCAGTTCCACCCCAAAATGGCCACCGCCGAACAAATGGCCGCCTACACGGCGCACCTCCGCACGCACACATCAGCCCAAAACAAGCCCGTTACAGAGCTCTGCATCTTCAAACTCCGCGCCCCCTACACGCAAGACCACACCGCAGCGCTCTCCACCTTCGAGTCCCAAATCGCGGCCAATACCGCCCCAGGAAACGGTAAACCCAACGCGCCCGGCATCCGCAGAATCGCATACGGCTTCTCGGTCGACGACCCCGGCACCTTTGTGTGGATGCTCGACTGGGACAAGATCCAGGACCACTGGGAATTTTGGCAGACGGAGGCGTTTCCGCCTGTTATTGGCGCTATTACGGAGCTGTTTGTGGAGGGGAGGCCGCTTGTGAGGCATTATGATTTTGGGGAGGAGGGAATGCTTGATGGGGTCTTTAAGATTGCGAGGGTGGTTGTTTGGGATGATGGGGAGGGGAGGGCGAGGGAGTTGGGGAATCGGGGTCTTGCTAGGGTGAGGCAGGTTAGGGAGGCGTATGCTGTTGATATGGATGAGATGACTTGGTGGTGTTCGTTGCTTGGGTATGAGAGTGAGGAGGATTGTAGGGCGGATGGTGGGGATGTTAGGGCTGGGGAGGGGGCGGAGAATCATATTGTGGGGTTGCAGTATAGATGAGTATATAGGTATATCATTTGCATTGGATTTATGTTCGGACGTGGAACCTGTCCTGTAAAAACTGTATCACCCGCTTCCAGCAGTCCTCGACGTCCTCCTTCCGGTACTGCTTGGAATCTTCCCTGTAGTGGCTGAATCCATGAATCGCATCCTTATACTCGTGTTCAGCTACCGTGACGCCCGCCTGTCTTAACTTCGCCGCGTACTCTTTCGCCTCCAACTTCAGACAGTCCATCCCAGCAGTAATGACAAGGGCTGGTGGCAGATATGCCAAGCTCTTCAACAGCGGGACCGTCGCATCCACAGGCGCGGATAAAATACTGCCCTTCTCGACAGAAGGTGGCAGGTACGACGCCTCCATCAAGCTGGCTGCCCAGACCGGCAGACTTGCAGCCTGTACCCGAGCGTCGCAGGCGTCAAACCGCTCTTGGTACGGTCTGTTGCAAGCCGTACTGGGATAAAGGAGGACTTGAGCGGCCAGATGGAAACCCTCCGGTAGCTCCTCGCGGAAACGGGCACAGGGCCCCGTCGTGAAGGAGATAAGCAGCGAGAGCGCGGTTGCGAGATTCCCGCCAGCGGAGTTGCCCATGGTTGCTACGCGGGATGGATCGATAGCTACGCCCATTGCCTCGGATCCAGCTGGGGAGAGGGCCCATTTCAGGACGGCGTGGAGCTGGAGGAGCGCGTGGGGATAGGGGTATCGGGGGGACTTGGCGTATTCGATTGAGATGATGACTGCGCCGAGCTATTTCCATTATTGGGAATCCTCAAGATGGAAAGATGGAAGCATACCGTATCTGAGAGTGATCGGACAACATGTTCACCATCGCTTGGCTGTCCGAGAACAAACCCCCCACCTTCCGTGACAATCACCAGCGGCTTGGGTCCTTCAGGGGCGGAATCGTTTGGTATGCAGATGGATAGTTTGACGCGTCCCTCGCCTAAGCCGGGCGTGTCAACGTAGAGATTCTTGTCGAATAGTTCCCCCGTGCCTGACATTAGAGCAACGAGGTTCCTCAGTAGCCATGCCGACGAGTGGAGATAGAGGGTGTAGGGTAGGCCGTAGCCTGCGGCGGTGGTGGCCACGGGGGGTTTGATTTCGCTCTGGTCCATGATTCTACTGTGAACCTGTTACTGCAAGCCTGTTGAATGAGATGAAGTATTCACATACATAAATTGACTCATTTGCGGAGAAGATGCGGAGTCGAGTCAGTGTGGAGATGGTCGTGTCAGTCGAACTGACATCGCTTGACCCGAATCACCAGATCTACATCGCATCCCACCCTATCGTATACCACTATGCGTGATCCATGAATAAATACTTAACCCAGTCAATTTCACATTATCAAGAGTACCAATTCTACCATCACCTCATAATCTCCCAACCAGAACACTCCCACTATGACAATCAACCCACCCCCAACACCCCCTTCCACCTCCTCCAACAATGGCACTCGCAACCTCGAAAGCTGCGCATAATCCACATCGGCGCCGGCGCCACCGGCCTCTGCGCCGCCTACAAAATGGAGCGCCAACTGAGCGACTACGAGCTCGTCTGCTACGAAAAGAATGACGAAATCGGCGGGACGTGGCTCCAAAACCGATACCCAGGATGTGCGTGCGACGTGCCCGCGCACATCTACACGTACACCTTCGAGCCCAACCCGAAGTGGAAGTCGTACTACGCTTACTCGCCTGATATCCACGAGTACTTCATGGAGTTTTGCGAGAAGTATGACTTGCGGAAGTATATCCGGTTTAGACATCGGGTTACGGCTGCGGTGTGGTGTGAGGAGAGGGGCCAGTGGGAGGTGACGGTTGAGCGTGATGGAGTGGTTTTTACGGATTGGTGTGATGTTTTGGTTAATGGGTCGGGGTTGTTGAATAAGTGGAGATGTAAGACAGATCTGTCTGTTGGGTCTTTTGAGTTGCTGACATGATGCTATCAGGGCCGGATATTGAAGGACTTCACTCCTTCAAGGGTCCGCTCTTGCATTCGGGGGAATGGGATCGTGAGTTTCACAGACTTCCCGTCGAAGTGTCATACTGATAAGTTATAGCGACGGTCGAATACACCAACAAGCGAGTCGCCGTGCTAGGAACAGGATCATCAGCAATCCAAATAATCCCCCAAGTCCAAAAAGGTGCACCATACTCTTCCAACCCAACTCCATCTGCTAACCAAGATAATCCCAAAACAGCCGCCTCCCAAGTAAAATGCTTCATGAGAGGCAGCACCTGGATCAGCCCCCCAATGCCACGCGTCCCAGTCGATATCCCCGAAACAGACGGCAGCTCAGACACCGTTCACCACGACCAGGACGCCGCGCACCCAGAAGTCGGACAGTACTATTACACAGCAAAGGAGACACAGAAACTTTCCTCTGACCCCGAGTATCTCCTCAACTACCGCAAGAGGATCGAATTTGGCATCAACATGGGATTTGCCATCTTCTACAAGGGGATGGAGCCGTCGCGTATGGCGGAGGAGTATATGCGCGCTGAGATGACGAGGAGGTTGCAGGGTGATCCGGTTTTGACCAAGAAGTTGATTCCTAGTTGGCCTGTGGGGTGTCGGTAAGATATTTCTCTGTCTTTTCTCGGTCTATGGTCGTTGGATCGCCAATCCATGGCGATTGTGCTAATATTGGATAGACGCCTCACCCCCGGCGATGGCTACCTCGAAGCCCTAATCAAACCCAACGTCGACTGCATCTTCGCCCCCATAGCCAACATAACCCCCAAAGGCCTCACAACCACAGACGGCACCCACCACGAAGTCGACTTAATAATCTGCGCAACCGGCTACGACATGGCCTGGACACCGCACTTCACTCTCCTCGGCCGCAACGGGCTCGACATCAAAGACGCCTGGTCCCCCACGCCCAAATGCTACCTCGGCATGGTCGCACCAGGCTTCCCCAACTACTTCGTGATGAACGGCCCGCGCGGGAATCTTGCGAACGGGACCGTGCTGCCCTGCTTTGAGACGGAAATTGAGTATGTCATTCAGGCGGCGAAGAAGATGCAGAGTGATCGGATTAAGGCGCTGGATGTGCGGGAGGGTGTGGTTGATAAGTTGAATGAGTATATCGATGCGTGGCAGGAGACGAGTGTTTTTAGTGGAGGGTGTCGCAGTTGGTATAAGGATAATACTGTTGATGGGAAGGTTTTGTGTTGGGGGGGGTCGGTGAGTCTTCCTCTATCTGGAGTTATATACTCACATGATGCATGGACTATACTAACTATGAAACAGTCAGTCCACTTCTTGAAAACCCTCAAAACGCCTCGTTGGGAACATTTCGACATGCAGTATATGGACGACAACCCGTGGGCATTTTTGGGTAATGGTCGGATCAAGGCGGAGTGCGAGGGTGAGTTTGAAGGGTTGACGCCTTATTTGAGAAATTCAGACACGCCGTGGGAAATTGTATGACCTTACCTATACCACACTCAGTATATAGATGGCTAGTTTGAACTTGTAGAGTGCTACTACAACTACTTTGGCGTTTATTACTCATTCCAAAAGAGATAAAGAGTAAAATCATGATATAACGTCTATATACTAGTACCAGGTCAATCAGTAGGGTCGGTGATAAGGAACTCATCAATCACTCAGCAATACAAAAACCATAGTGAGGACAATATCAATTCTCCAAATATGAGTCCGTGAGCCTACAGATCTATACAAATTGATACAGTTATGCGCTGCTGTATAAATATATGACTAATCAATGATGAACGCCGATCCTCAATGCCCGCATAAAGCAGTATAACCCAAACAAGCCTAGCCCCGTCGCGTCGCGGTAATACTAATGCATCTCTTTGATCTTCAACGACAAAGAACTCCATCAAAGACACTCAAAGACAGACTGACCTCTCTACCTGACTTATGTCGAACATCCTCTCAATAACCACCCTATTTACATCAACCCAAGACACACCATCATCCAAAAGACACACCCACCCAGCTGAAAACCCATCCCTAAACCAATAACGCCCAACATGGCCCCCCGCCCACGCCGCCAACAACAAGAAGAAACAGAAACAGCAACAGAAACATTCACCTACGAACCCCCCCTAACAACCCTCACCAGCACGGGCCACCGCGCCCTCCTCCAACTCCTCAAAACGCAGCCCCTCCGCCACCTAAAAACGCACCTCCAGCACGCTGAGGAAAAACTCACCGACGCAGCGGGCGAAGTCAATGAGCGGTTGACGGACGCGCACGTGCGGTATCAGCGGTTGAAGGATAGGAGGGGGAGTAGTACGCGCGACGAGGAGGGTGATGGGGAGGATGCTGCGGCTGCGGCTGCGGCGGTAGAAGGCGGGGGTAATGAGGATGAGGATAGGGAGAAGGCGCGGATTACAAAGCTGGAGGATGATGTTAGGGGTGTTACGGGGCGGTTGGAGGCGCAGATGAGGGAGACGATTGATGCGGAGGCTTTGGTTGATGGGTTTGGGGGGTGTTGGGGAGGTTTGAGGATGAGGCTGAGAGGGCAAGTGTTGCTGCGCCTGTTTCTGCTTCTACGAGGGGGAGTCGGAGGACGAGGAGGGCTGTTGCTGAGGGGGAGGGAGAAGAAGAGGAGGAGGAGGAGGAGGAGGAAGAAGAAGAGCAGCAAGAAGAGCAGCAGGATTTCGTCCCCACTAGTCAAAAGCTGGCGGATGAGTTAGAGGAGGATCACACCAAGTGGGATAAGCTATCTCTAACAGAGCGGTATTCTTCCCCCCATCTTTATCCCCCTCTCTCTCTCTACTCCAAGAAACCAAAACTAACAATATCAATCCAGATACTCAACAAACAACGCCTACATAGGCTTCTACCGCATCATCCACGAAGCCAAACACCCCGGCAACGACATCCCCCCGCTCCCATCATCCTCAACCTGGTTCACGCACCTCGAATCACCCTCCCAATCCCACCACCAACAACCCTCCTCCTCCTCCTCCTCCACCCAACCCACCCAATCCCAACCCACTCACACCCGCCCCGCCCCCACTCCCCTCCCCCACCCCCTCAGACGACCTAGCAATCTCCAGCGAAATCATCTCCCTCAAATGCCCGCTCACCCTCCTCCCCTTCCAAAACCCCGTATCCAGCACAAAATGCCCGCACAGTTTCGAGCGCGAAGCGATAGAGTCCATGCTTTCCCAGAGCTCGACGACCGTTGCCGTCTCCACGCCAGCTCAATCTGCCGCTAGTGCAGGCTCGAAGGGAAGTCGGAGGGGCAGGCGTGTTCGCGCGGTCAAGTGTCCTGTTTGTGAGGAGTTACTGACGGGGGATGATCTGCGGGCTGATGCGGTGCTTGTGAGACGGGTGAAGAGGGCGGAGGCTGCGAGGCGGAGGGAGGAGGAGGGGGATAGTGAGGGGAGTTTGTTGTTGGTGGGAATGGTGGGGGGTCGAGGAAGAGGTCGAGGAGGAGTGAGATTACTGTTGGGAGTGATGATGAGGATGAGGAGGATGAGGAGGAGCAAGAGGAACGGGAACAGCAGGTGGTTAGGATTAAGCAGGAGAGGTTCATGTCGCAGGGGTAGTCTATCATCTTGTTTAGTTGGTTCTACTATCTATATATGTAAATACGGTCGATTACATGGGTGCCAGTCTACAAAACTAAATTCAATGTAAATATATCATTAGCCAGCAAAACTGGTCGCGCAACAACGGGTATAGTATAAAGAGGACAATCAATCAAACAACAAGCCAGTCCTGGCACTGACAATCCACCAGCGCTCAGTCAGGACGTGCCACTCGGCCCTTCACGTGCTTTTCAGAGCGACCGACAAATGGTAACATTCTCCCTCACACAGCGACACGACAACGAAACAGGATATCTGCCGAAAGAAATCGAACCGATCGTTTTCACCTGGTGGCCCCAGCACCACGTTTTCCGATGATCAATCGATCGATCGATCATCGTAGCGTAACGAGAATAATAAATGAAATAAGACTAGTCAGCGATCGAGACAAGGCGACGTCTATCTAGTCAGAATGTTGAGGTAGTCGGCGACGATAAGCGTGACCATCCTAAAGTGGAGCCGTGGGGTTAGCGATAAGCGTCATAGCGCCCGGGACGGGTGGGGAAAGTAGGAAAAAGAAAAGAGGCAAGGAAAGGGCACTAACGCATGGGGTGCGATCCGCACGTAGTACGTGCCGAACCCGCGGTAAAACCGCAACCAACCCTCCTCCTTGGCGACCTTACGGGCGCAGTCCAGCAAACCCTTGTAAGGCAGCTGGCCCGTCTTGGGGTCCTTCTGCTGCTTCTGCAGACGGGTCTTGATGAAATCGAAGGGCAGCGACAGGAAACTAGCGAAGAAGCCGGCGATGCCGGAGGCGGCAAAGGTCTGGTTCTGCTGGGACAGGCTGGTGTGCTGCTTCAGCTGGCTCTTGGACTCGGCGAAGAAGGCCAGCTGGCCGAGGTTGAGGGCCATGGCGCGCACGACGGTGGGGAAGGCGCCGGCCCAGAGGGCGCCGACGCCCTCGCCTTTGGAGATGCGGAACAGGGCGTCGATGACGGAGCGGTAGTGGGCGCGCTTCTCGGGGGACTTGAGGCCGTCGGATTGCATGCGGATGAGGGCCAGGTCCGCGGGGTTGCCGATCATGGCTGCGACGCCGCCCGCCAGCAGACCGGCGCCGGCGCGCTCGCCGAAGGTCACCTTGCGGCCGGCGTCGTCGGCGCGCTTGGTCAGGGCTTTGCTGAAGGTGTCGAAGAAGCCTAGACGCGCGGTGGTGTAGACGGCCTGGCGCAGGAGGCCTGCGGACAGGCCGGTGTAGAGATCGCGGACCTTCCCGGAGGCGACGATATCGCGGGTGACGCCGAATGCGCTCGGTTTGGGGCCCGTCCGGGCGCCCTCACCGGCCAGCTGCAGTCGGACCTTGATCATGTCGACGGGCTGGATGACGGCGGTAGCCGTCATGCCAGCCAGGCCCCCGTTCGCGAAGGGGAGAGCGGCACGGGTCCATGGGTGATGGAGGAAATCCACCGGCGGGGGAGATTCTTTTGTGATGGGGGTCGAGGAGGCCATGTCGAAGATAGTGACAATCCCAATGAGGATCTACTGATGGGAGGTTAGAATGGGAGATGAAAATTTCCAGAGTGTCCACAGTAACTGAGGGGAAGAAAAAATGGAAAGAAGACGGGAGAGAATTGGGTTCCAGGGAAAGGCAGGAGGACCGAGGATCATTCAGGCTGACACGGTCACGCCGGCGGGGATGACGTCGGACAGAATGAGGGGAAAGACGAACCAGAAGGAGGGAGACGGGAGGAACGAGGGAGAGGAGGAGGAAGGAGACCAGGGGGACGAGAAAAAGCAGGAAGCAGAGGGAAAAAGAGGGGAAGTTAATGATCAATCCGACACATGCGAGAGCGAAACCAATCGTTTGGAATGTCGAGTAAGGAAGAAGAGAGAAAGAGAGGCCAGTGCGGGGAGATGTTGCATTGAAGCAGAGAGGAAGAGGAGGATTATATACGGATCGGTCACTGATGACCTCAACCAGTCCAGGAACCGAGCCTGGACCGACAGGAGAAGAAGAGATAGCCGTGACTCCACTATAGACTCGATGAATGTCGGATAGGATGAGTCTTGAGTATGAAGGGTTGAGATGCTGCGGGGGACGTCATCTACATCTATACTGACTCTCTTACGATATTTCATCTGTTTTGTTTCTCGGTTTACTTCTCAAATAGATTGATAGCATCATTCTGTTCGTTATCCTCTTTATCCTCTGTATTCTACTTCCTTATTCCTTATTTCTACTTGATTCCTACTCCTTCAATCCTACTCTGACAACTGTATATCCGGATACGTCACCAAGCGCCCCACACGGGAAACACCCCGGCTGGTCGATCCGCCATCTATACAGCAACTCACTCCAATTGAACCTATTATACAGTACCTATTACATTCAACACATAATATCAAATAAATCTACCTCCTACATAGTCACAAACATACAAAACACATACAAAACACATACAAAATATAAAACATAAAAATACATATATATAAAATCAAAAAAAGGACCAACGGAATACCCTCGGATAAGCTCGATCTCCTGCTGAATCTTCTTCCCTCTTGCCGATTCGGTCGCCAGCCCGGGAATCCACTCTCTGACCTCTTCTTTCTCCCACTACTCCAGGGTCTCCATTATCCACTATCCACTATCCTTTCCTCCGATCCGAAGACCGGCACTTTTGTTCGATTTGCCTGGTTTGACAGGTGTATATTGTGGGCGGAGAGGTGTAGTCCGTTTCAGTATTGGGGTTATCCATGGTTGATGTATTGGGGAGTTTTGTTCCTATAGTGTCATGTTTACTTTGTTATTATAGTAGATGTATAGATAGATAGATTGTAGTATCTAGGTACTAAGTAGAATCTCTCCTACTACTTACTACGTACTACGTACTACCAATCCGATACTACATACTAGGTAGGTACTATCACAAAGACAAAGAGAAAGAATGACACCCTCGGATCCAACCCGGATGTACAGCGGAAGAGTGGAAGCATCCGCTCCCACTCCTCCCCCTCCCCCTCTCCCTCATCCACCTCATCCCACTCCATCTCAACATAATCCTCCTCATAATTGGTACGCGCAATGACATACTACCTACTACCTCAGCTACCTACCTGAGGTGGATACCCAAGGTGATATAATAACTGGGTCAGACCATCCCAGACACCTATCACAGCCCCCCAATACTAATCCCGTCTTTCGCCTGGTGTGGTTATTGCCGATTTCGCTGTTGGGATATACCTCGACTGATATTGTATATTGTTGGGATGGCCTAGTCTCTATAGGGATGGGTGATTGTCTGGGTGTTTATGAGGGATTTGTGTGTTTGGATTGGGATTTGCTTGAGTTTTATACTGGGTTCGATTTGGTGGTTTGCTCGGTTGTGGCTTCGTTGATTAAAAGATACTAGGTGGTTACTGTTGATGTATTGTGATGATGATGTTTAGGTCCGTTGGGTATACCAGTATCTTAGTGAAGTTTAAGTCTATTGCAATTTATAGGAAAGCATCAGGTTAATGCAGTATACAAAATGTAACTACAAACACTACTAGAACCATCATTCAAGAATCAAGTAATATTACTTTTGTACTATCCAAGCGATCCTTGACCAGGCAGGGCCCGGCTCGCCCACCAGGCTCCTCACCCGTACTGACACTGGAAAGGAAATGACCCAATTATAAAACACACGCCATGCAATACACATATGAAGGATAACACATATGAAGGGAATCAATAGAAATCACAAACAGAAGGAAAAGGAAAAGAGTAATGGTAGAAAAAATCTACTCAGGCTTCGGCCCAGCCGCAATCACGTCCGGCGTCGCCTGGTCAGCGTACTTGGTGAAGTTCTCGTTGAACAGGCCCGCCAGCTTGTTGACCTCGTCGTTGAACGGCGTCGTCGCGGTCCAGCTGTTCTTGGGGTTGAGCAGCTCGTCCGGCACGTTGCTGCAGTTCTTGGGCACGTTGAGGTTGAAGATCGGGTACACCTCGTACTCGGCGTTGGCGAGCTCGCCGTTGTGGATGGCGTCCAGGATGGCACGGGTGTACTTGAGCGGGCAGCGCTTGCCGCCGGTGGTGGCGCCAGCGCCGACCCAGCCGGTGTTGAGCAGCCACGCGTTGGCCTTGTGCTGCGAGATCTTCTCGGCCAGCATCTTCGCGTAGCGCATGGGGTGCAGGGCCAGGAAGGGCTGGGCGAAGCAGGACGAGAAGGTCGCCTGGGGCTCCGTGACGCCGTCCTCCGTGCCGGCCATCTTGGAGGTGTAACCGGAGATGAAGTGGAACATGGTCTGCTCGGTGGTGAGCTTGGAGATGGGCGGGAGCACACCGCGGGCGTCGCAGGTGAGCAGGATGATGTTCTTGGGGTGGCCGTCCGACACGCAGGGGATCTTGGCGTTCTCGATGTACTCGATGGGGTAGGCGCAACGGGTGTTCTCGGTCAGGGTCGAGTCGTCATAGTTGACCAGACGGCTGATGGGGTCGAAGACCACGTTCTCCAGGACGGAGCCGAAGCGGATGGCGTTGAAGATATCGGGCTCCTTCTCGGCGGAGAGGCCAATGCACTTGGCGTAGCAGCCGCCCTCGATGTTGAAGACACCGGTGTCGGTCCAGCAGTGCTCGTCGTCACCGATCAGGGCACGGTTGGGGTCCGCGGACAGGGTGGTCTTGCCCGTGCCGGACAGACCGAAGAAGACGGTGACGTCGCCCTCCTTGCCCTCGTTGGCGGACGAGTGCAGGGTCAGGACGTTGTGCTTGACGGGCATTTCGTAGAAGAGGACGGTGAAGATACCCTTCTTCATCTCACCGGCGTACTCGGTACCGAGGATGACCATCTCCTTCTCGGCGAAGTTGATGGCGACCGAGGTGGCCGAGGTCATACCCTCGGTGAAGCGGTTGGCGGGGAAAGAGCCGGCGTTGTAGATGACATAGTCGGGGTGGAAGTGCTGGAGCTCCTCGGGCGAGGGGCGGATAAGCATGTTGCGCATGAACAGAGCGTGGTAGGCGCGCGCGCAGACAACACGGACGCTGATACGGTAGCGCTCATCCCAGCCGGCGTAACCATCGACGACATAGATGCGGTTGCGGGTGTTGAGGTAGTCGACAGCACGCTCACGGTTGATACGCCAGACCTGTTAGATGCGGGTTAGCTAATCAGCCCTATCAAAATGACGTCATGTGAAATGGGTGGCACGGGTCGGAATCGTGCTATGCAAACAGCAAGGTTTCACGACATGAGCAAATGCCTCATCGATCCGATCCAAAATCCGGCAATAGATACGGGAATGAGGCATTTCCTACCGCTGAGGGGTAGAGGGGTTGTTCAAAGGAATGAGTGATCACTCACGTCAGGAGTCATGGGCTTGTTGACAGGTCCCCACCAGACATCGTTCTCGGAGGACTCCTCCTTGACGACACGCTTATCGGAGGGGGAACGGCCGGTCTTAGCACCGGAGTAGGCAGTCAGAGCACCGCTGGAGGTGATGGCGGTACCAGTCTCGTAGACGAGAGCATCTTCATAGAGGGCAGCAGCAGAGGGGTTGGCAATCTGTTGGAGTCAGCATATGGTCGATGAAGTGGATGGAGGGTCAGCTTACGATAGCGACTCTGTCGTAGTCAATGTGGGCGTGCTCGTGGAGCTCCTCCTCAAGCTCGGTGTGTCCCTTGCCAGGCCTGAGAGATGTTAGCTAGGTTCATGAGGGATACTCTGGACGATGAGGGGAAGGGGGAGGATGAGGATGAAGGTGAGGATGGTAGAGTAAGAAAGTAAGGGAAACATACTGAACACCACCGGGGTGCAGCGAAGTACGATTCACAGAAGTGGCAACCATTGTGTTCAGCGATGTCGAGTGATAATTATTGTTTCTTTGTTTCGCGACTTGCTGTTGGAAGAAATCTGAATACAAAGGACCTGATTCACCGGAGGGGGCGATGGGGGGTATATTAATGTTTTGAGCATAGGCCATGATGTCGACGAGAACTTGGCTTTCTCTTCGCAGACGGAGGTAATACTCTGCAAAGTTCGAGTTTCCGAGATGCTTTCTCCACAGTTTCACGGGAGATGTCGGGGCAAGGGATGAGCTGAAGCGGACTGGGGGGGAAGAATCGTTGGTTGGAGAGGGTTAGTTCGTTGATCCCGTTAGACTAGGCGAAAGAAATGCCTCTTGGGTGGAGGGTCCGAGAACTCCCGAACAACCCCAGATGTGGGCACGAAATGAACCCGGGATGGACGGGCGGGTTGCGAACCAACGAGAGGCTCGCAAATAATTGATCGATCGGGAAAAGGGGAGATTGACGCGCCCCTTGGGTAAGTCAATGGATTGATTGGACTCGATACTAGGCAGGAAATAGCGTGAGGCGTGGAGAGGCAAAAGAAATGGCTCATGCAGGTTGCTGCAAGTCAAGCGCAAGAGATTTCAATCCACTGAGTGGGGTTTATAGGGATTTTTCATAAAATCGAAAATAAAATAAAATAAAAAAAGACGCAGAATATTCAGGAAATGGTCTGTACCGTTTGCTCTTGTCTTTACCAGTTCCGGATGTCAATCCCGCAGAGTCAGTGTCTTTCTAACACTGCACGCAGCTGATTCTCGGTATTTATCTTGATAGAATGTATCTACTCCAATGCATGACACCATGCCTCAGTAATGCTCTTTCCCTCTTCCAAGACCAAGTCTGTTCTTCATTGGTCCCACGTCTGCTCTACGGGCAAATGGAACCGGCTAACCAGGAATGATGACGTTGAATGATCTCAATTAGCTAACCGGGGGATGGCAAAAGTTCTGGGCTCGGTCGACGAGGCTAAGGATGAAATTGCGGGGAGAAGTTTACGGTTGACCACTGACAAGGATAGATGATCAATTAACTTCATTTTTTTCACTACTTCTTCCACATTTGTCGTATGGCCGTTTGAATTGAATTATCGCTTAGGGAGAACTAACTATCAAACCATAGTTCAATTCTTTTTGAACCATCCAAATCAACCACAAGAATGACGAAATGCCGGTTGCGACCAGACAATTCTTCCCTCCGACGCGCTAGTAAAAAGTAGGCTCGGCCGGAAAATCTTCCTTAGTCATCCAGGCTCTCCCGAGGCTGCCCGTCGTCCAATCAGATACTCCCAATGTCAGCGATTTACAATCCGACGTCATGGATCGAGGATAAAAGTGGGGAACAGTCATTGCCGGGTTTTCGTCTGAAACGCCCAATTGTTCCCATCCCTTTTTGACATCACCTTTGCACGCGACCTTTCCGACAGTGCCTGCAGATCCCTCCGTGCTCTTTTTAGTAGGCTGGTAGTTCAGAATGTCGAGAAACTATACGGGAATACCCGCCAACTATCAGCGATAGCATCGTGGCTGTCATTCGTAAATTGTCGCCGTTGATAGCCTTCTCGGCTGCCGATAGAGAATGCAAAGGGGAAAACCGCGCCTCCTGAGAGGTTACCGGGTAGACCTGGTTGAACATGCACATGATATAGACAACAGTCAGCATTAACTCTGTTTCCAAGACTTTCCGAGATCTATTACTATACACTTACTACTTCTCTGTTACTACTACTAGACTACTACAGGTATATGACTACACGATACTGAGGATAGACACTACAGTTGGTCAATGCGAGGTCACGCTGTACCCAAACGAGACGTAGTCAACTGACATGCAGTCTCAGCCAAGCATGCCGGTGCCCTCGTGGCGTAGGATTGTTACCAATATTCGTGGGAGAGGACGTGCGCCATGACTTGAGAGTCAGTCCTCCTCCCTTCTCGTACTCATGATTGATCCAGCACCTTGTACCCCGCATCCGACGAGGCCGGGGGGCCACGCGGGACTTCCCCAGACTCGGTTCTCGGTTTGGCGTGGGATGGCACGGGATGATTGTTCTATTCTTTTATTTCTTTGGTACTTTTATTTAACAGTGAGAAAGGGTAGTGAGATTGAACATTCGAGTATACCAATAATTGTGTACGATGAGTATTGACATTCATGTAGTAAGAGGTAACAGGTCTCACATGCAAAGACCCAACTTATCCTCAGAAAGAAAAAAGAAAAAAAGAAAAAATAGATCCACAACTCGGGGAGGATAGGGAGATCCCATTGAAAGACCCAAGTCTCGTCCTGGCAGTGCAGGATGGGTTGGATGAATGATGAATAGTGGAACTGCCCAATCCGGAAGATTTAGGAAGAAGCCGAAAATTTTCAAGGGATTTTTTAGCTCCCTCTGGAAAGAACTTCCTTTCCCTGACAGCCTCGATCGTGACCGATCAGAAAATAAAATAAAAATCATGGATGGAAAATGCCTCAAACTCCATCCGAACTAGTCTCCCTAGTTTCATTCCATTCTTTCCTTTTTATTTTGTTTACTTTTTCAATAGTTGTCAATTATTGAGATGGTTTCTCCCCTGAATTGGATTCGATCGGTCCCGAGTCTTCTATAGTCTGTCAAAGCCGACTCCGTAAATTTCCTGCCCGACCCGGTTGCTCCGTCGGGCTCCGTGTGGGTAATGACTAATGGGGGCTCCGTCTGTCGTCGATCTATATTCTTCTCCGGGTTTGTCCTTGACGTGCCGGTTGTTTTATACCGGTTTGGCCGGGTGACGCAGGGGAAGTACATTTAATCGGCGATATGATTCCAGTTGCAAGATGAATCCATTATGCTTCTCTATCTGTGCATAGGTAAAAGTTAACCCTGTCAACAATCGGTAGTCGAGTTGAGTGGTCGAACACCAAAAGAAATCCTTAATATTCATTTCAGTCGTCCCCGGCTCTTGAAACTAGAATCGCACAATTTACATTGCGCATCCTCAATTATCGGCAGAATGTGGTGCACTGGTGATATGGACCCAACCGCTCCCCATACCTTCCACACCGAACCAACCCAGACGTATAATCCGGGGTCAAAACGGTGGAGTCCGCCTACCCCATGGACTCTCCACGGTTCCAACCCCAAGAAATGCCTCACCTGAGTCACCTCAATGATTATACCCATACAAGTGACACCGTTTGTCGCTCAAGCAAAAGTAAACCGGTATGGTATTCGGGTGCACCCCGAATCCGATATCCAGACAATCTCTCCCCGGGCCGATTAACTGCCCAGCATGGTATCCTCAGGCATTCAAAGAACGGGCCGATTCAGTCTGACTTACCGTATACATTAAACATTAGATATTAGATACTAGATACTATACGGAATCTCTTATTCGCCGCCATCCGCTCTGGGGAAACGGTCGCTCGATGACGTCGGTACGCCCATCACACACTGGGAGTGGCCCCTACTCCGTACTCTCCCTAGTACGACTAAGACTAGACAGTCCATGTGGAGTATGGTCTAGAATCATAACGGATCGAACTCCGCCACTTCTCCTAGTACTCCGACATATCGTGGCTGTTCCCTAGCCTCCAGAGTCTAGTCCTAACCGGACCGGAACTGGCGAATAGTTAGCGATATATCATCGGGGGTTATCGGGTGCCGAGGTAGTCTTGGCGAATCCTCGCCGCACCCGAGACGCTTGTCCCCGGAATTAATTCAGATCGCGAATGTATCCAGTGTATCCACTCGGGTTGATTCCCCGGGTTAAGCCGTAGGGCAGAAATGTCTTCTTGTTTGACGGAAGGGATGGGAAGGGATGGGATGGATGTTGGGAGATGCCGATGTTGTTCCGATGATGGGGTTTGTATGGGTTGTGCTGCTACGGGTATGATTTGATGGAGAAAATCCGGGTTTACTTGGGGCGGGTAGCGCGTTATAGAAACTAAGACTGGAAACATCCAATGGGTGAGTTATGATTATGATTGTGGTGGTTAGTGCTAGTATGTTGGCATGGTAAAAATAACTCGACTTGCCAACGGCAGTTTTTGAGCTATATGCTGCTGCAATTCCCGTTAATGGAGAGCCGTGCTTCGACAATCCCTTTGAAAGGAAGTAATGTACAACCATCACCTTTTTATCAATCACGGTGTAATTCTATCAGTGACTCCATATTTATTACGTTATCAACTTGTAGGGGTTCCTCTGGCAAAGCCAACCTTTAGTAGGATTTGAAGCTCTTTCCAGTAGTACTCTATATATATATATATTTATTTCCACCGAGTATCATATGGAGGGAAGTCAATACCTATGCCATCTCCGCGTCAGCAGACTAATAATCAAAGAAAAGACTAATAATCCATCAAGAAAAGTAGACATCAGTGGGTTGAAGACATTGGATGTATAAGCATTAGACCAGGGTCTTCATCCATTGTAGTGATCTCATCATGTCATGGAAGAAAGCAAGAATAAAGACAGTGAAAAAACCAGCCTACCTGGCAGGGTCTTATCATGCGACTGTTCCCTCGCAAATGTGTTAGTATTTGGGAGACTATAATTAGTCAACTCATGATATACTCGATTTGGTATTGTTGATGCTGTTATATATATAGTTTGGATCTGGATCTGGATGTGGGTATTGTGGGTAGCCCCTGAGTATTGACACGCTCCGCAGTCCCGCGAAAGGTTAAATAAGGTAATTATAAGAAAAGGTTGAGACTGCATTCAATTCATCCTTAGAAGAAATAAACTGAATGATACTTGATCTAGAAAGATAGTAAGATCAACATCATTCTGGACGGAATATTGTTTGGGTGGTTTGTGCGAGGTGGAGAACAGATCGTGCGATCTTCCCCAGGCCAAAATCGAGCGTCCGGTTATTCTCCCGGTTGAACTAGTCCCAGCCGGGCTCACCCTCACGTGCGCTCCTCATCTTCAGTCTTGGCTTGACTGTAATCTTTGTTAGATTTTCTTGATGATCCACATATTCAGGTGTGATGCCACATATTACATGCCTGTCTGAGCCCTCATTTCGCTGTCCTCAAAGATCGTCAACAAGTGGCATATCTTACTGCAGTGGGCCATTGACAGTTGAAGTCATTGCAAATATACTGGTTATCTCAATGCTCTACCAGCTTATCGTGCAGATACAGGTGCTTGATACATCTTGCAATGCTCACCCCACTTACCAAAGGAGATATCCCGACGATATACACTGACTGATCTCCATATTGCACAAAGCCTGCTCGAATCTGACAGGATCCTGGGGACGTGCACTGTTGCGCCGATCTCTCTCAAGATTGCTCTCAAATTGACCAATCCGAGAGCGTCCTGGCAGCTGTACTGTTAGTCTACTATAGCAGGTAGACTGCTATAAATTCAACCCTCTTCCAAGCCAAATCCATTGACTTCACCTACCTCTTCAACTTCACCGATCTCTCAACTTGACCTACCACAGCTAAATCCCACAGCAAACCCCACAGCTAAAGCCACAGCCAAGCACATACCAACATGTCCTCCACCGAGATCACCCTCCCCCAAATCTTCACCCACACAAGCGACACCCACACCACCACCATCCACTGGACAAGCATCGGCCCCGCCAACGCCCCCCCAGTGATCTTCATCCACGGCACGCCCTGGTCCTCCTACACCTGGGCCGCGCACGCCCTCGCCCTCTCCACCCGCTACAAAGTCTACCTCTTCGACAGACCCGGCTTCGGCGCCTCCCCAGACCGCCAGCCCCTCCACCCAGACAGCCCACCCGAGCTCGACGGCTCCCTCTCCGGCCAAGCAGCCTCCTTCGCCGCCCTCTACACCTCCTGGGCCTTCCACCCGTCGCAGCCCCCGCACGTCATCGCGCACGACAACGCCGGCCTGGTTGCGCTGCGCGCACACCTCACCCACGGCACCGCCTACGCCAGCCTCTGCCTCGTCGACGTCGTCGCCGTGCCCCCCTTCGGCTCGCCCCTCTTCCGCCTCATCGCCCAGAACCACGCCGTCTTCGACGCCGTCCCGGACTCGGTCCACGAGGGCATCCTACGCTCTTACATCCGCGACGCGTCCGCCCGTCCGCTGTCTAAGGACGTAGAGGATAGACTCGTGCAGCCTTGGACGCCGGCGGGAACGCAGGGGCCTCAAGCGTTCATCAGACAGCTGGTGCAGGCCGATCAGCGGTTCGCGGCGGATGTGGAGCCGCGGTATGCGGAGGTGGGCGCGGCCATGCCCGTGAAGGTTGTGTGGGGGACGGAGGATCAGTGGATTCCGGCTGAGCGGGCGAAGACGCTGGCGGAGGGCGTTGCGGCGAGGGATTCGGTGCTTGTTGATGGGGCGGGGCACTTGATTATGTTTGATCAGCCGGAGCGGTTGGCGGTTGAGATTGCGGTTTGGTTGGGGTCGGTGGGGAGGCCTGCATTGGGTGACAGTGCTTGTTGATGTGTGCCTGAAATAGGACACGATGTTACTCTTAAGAGAATATTTAGAGTACCTAATATCTAAGAACGAAACCAAGATGAGATAGACAAACCAAACAACCAATCATTACGATAGTATTTCAACGAAGCGGGGTCAACAAGGCGACTAACAGCGGGGTAGTACAACACCATCATTTTCTCTCTCAGCAATCTTCACCTTTCTTCAATTTCGATTCAATCATACACATCTCTATCTACCTATCCAACAATCTCTCTACCAAACCCTCTCCAAACGTAAGCCATACCCAACCAGCCCTATACCTCCACTCTAAGCAGGAAAACAAACTAACTAACAAACCATGAAAGAACCACCAAAATGGCCGGTCACAACGAATGCCCTTCTTGCAAAGCTACGATCTCCGGAGATGTCAAGACGTGTACTTCGTGTGGGAAGGTATGTTCTTCTTCTTTTTTCTTTCTTATTTCTTGCGTCTGTCTTTGTGGGATGTTTTGTCTAACTGCTGTGGTGATATTAGACTTGCCCTGTTTGAGTGATTGATTGAGTCTCAATTGATCGTGTGGTTTTGAGATGATATGATGATACCTGATGGGAAAGGAAGGGGAGGGAAGGGCAGGGAAGATAAGAGGAGAGAATTATGGTGTGGACTTAGATAGGCTAGGGCTTACTGAGTAATTCCAGTCTTGCTTTTGATGATACTGTAGATCTCGCCATATTTAAGTTGAAGATGATAAGCAAGGTGTATATATATTGAAACCTGAGGTGTCTACGATAATACCCTAGACTAGTACTAATCCTACTGCTGAGTGTCGATAAAATGAAGAATGTCTGACTGTATAATCAAGTGCTCAATCAACAAAGGAGATAATTCTAAGATACATACATACAAAAAATAAAACACAGATACCAACACCAGCGCGAGAATAAGGATATGCGTGTTGACTTTCTTTCTTTCTTTCTTGCTTCCTTGGGTCTTTTTTCCATCGCCTGCTCTAGGTCTAGAATCAACCCTCTCCTCTCTCCACCTTCCCCTATGATCCTTCATTGTGTAGGATGGAACCAGGAGGCTTTGTTGACCACTATATAATTGAGAAATAGAGGCCCGAAGGGGGTCGGATAATCACTTGACTGCTATTTCAATCATGTGGTCCAATCTATTTCAGTGACCGCTTAAGCAGTCTTGCGCCACTGGTTCCAGGCACCGATCAAACTACTAGTGGTACCGGCAATACCGACGACGCCGTCGTCGAAGGAGGTGATGCCCAGGGTGGAGGTGGGGGCGCACAGGTCGCACAGGTCGGAGAAGAGCTGGATGCGAGCAGCAGAGCGCTCCCTATACATAATTTAGGTTAGTCAAGTCGTCACAACAAGTCAAAGTAGAAGGAGAGGAACTGACTTCTCGATCTTCTTGGCCTCCACGGCGCTCTCGCCCTCCTTGCGGTCGAGGGTCTTCTCCTTCTCCTGCAGACGGAACAGGGTGTAGACGCCGGCAATGGCGCTGAAGATCAGACCGGCCATCCAGGAGCGGGCGGCGTTGTCGGACAGACGCTTGACCGAGGCGATCTTGCGGTAGCCGACGATGTCGACGACGGTGATGGCGTCGAGGATCAGGTAGCCGGCGTAGCCGAGCTGGCGACCGATGGCCAGGTAGCGGAGCACGGGGTCGACGGGGCTCTTGTTGTCGAAGGCCAGGGAGGCGGCCTTGAAGTGCTCGAGGAACTTGCCGACCCGCATGATCTTACGGGTGGTGCCGAACTGCTTCTTGACGGCATTGTAGGGGTCGATGGAGGACTGGGGGTGGTTGGTCCGGTACAGGTACCACGCGTAGAAGCGGGAGAAGTACTGCAGGGTACGGAGGATCTTATCGCGACCGACTGTTGGAGTTAGTATTGACAGTGGTTTTGGGCCTGTGCTCCGCGCGAGGTTCTTGGGACGGCCCGTGACGCACGGGAAGCGCGACACATGCCCTTCCAATACCGTATTTCGCAAACCACGTAAAAGGGGCAAATCAAGACCAGGAAACTCGATTACATACCGGTCGTAGCGACAAAGCGCAACCAGTGCGCCAAGGCAGGGTGGTAGACCAAAGCGTCGGCAACCATTTTGAATTGTGTATAGGAAGTAGGAGGTAGATGAAGGAAGGATGGAGTTCTTTAGGGAATGTCGGGAGATAGAATGACTCGGTTCCGGGAGGTTTTCTTGGACCGAAAAAAGCGGGGAAGGACAGACCAGCTGGAGCAGACCTTGAACGGGAGACAGTACTCCACGAGAGAATGGATGGTATTAAGTGGTAAAAAGGTAGGAAACTAAGAGAAAGGGAGAAAAGGAAGAGGAAAAGAGGAGCAGGGAGGGAGAAGGACGGTTAAATTGAATTATGTAGTAGGCGGTTCTTGATATGGGGGAAAGAATGAATGAATGGAGAGGATGATGAAATACGGTCGGTAATTGAGCGGGCGATCTTTACACAATTTCCCAGTTGGACTAGTATTATGTACCTCGGCTGAATTGACTCCCCGGACAGCGGGAGTTCTAACACTGTCACGGTCACTTCCGCCGGGTATTCATTCTTTACACCAATTCCATCAGACACTTGGATTCTTAGTAGGTTAGGATTTTCATGTGAAAGACACACTCATCAACTCATCCATAGATGGATTTGTCCGCTCTCTGTGGATTCCTACAGCCATTCATAACCCTCTTACCGCGCCAAATCGCAGTATCGCAATCTCTCGGTCCACATAGTCATTTCCTCCATCGAATATTGGTGTTCCCGTCCGGCCCTAAATCCCGCCCTGTCTCTATACTAACCGCGGGCGACCGTTGTACCTTGCACATGAAAGTGTAGCATAGGAGGAACTGTGATTAAGTCGTGATGATTATGATTGCTCAATTATCTGCATACATATTAGATTATTCAAAAGTCTCCAGAGTTATCATATCCAAGTGATAACTATCGATCAGTCCGACACAGCATTCCATGGATGCTCTACAATTTATCGCACGGGGCTATTGCTGCGCCGTGCCCAACGTCGCCGTGTCGTATCCATTGCGCTCCAAAAATTCGCGGAATTTGGTGTCCTCGTCGGTGATCGTATCCTATCCATCCTCGTCAGCCAAACATTCCGATCGATCAGGTCAATGATCAGGAAGAGATAATGGGTGCATACCTGTCCAATCTGAGGCAAAAGGAAATACGCTAGCACCGCGCTGAAAATACACAGCGAGCTGGAGATGAAGAACGGGTCCTGGCCCGCGCGCGTCGGATTGGGCGCATTCTTCTGCGCAATGGGGATCACATACGTGCCCACAAAGGCTCCAATCTTCCCCGCGGCCGCTGCAATCGCGTAGTATTGCCCGCGGATCGCAGTCGCGCTGCTCTTTGCCGCGCAGAGGCCGATGTTGTCGCCGGGGCCGAATTCACCCAGGCCGGAGAAGATACTTTCGCTCAGAGGTTAGTGACACTCGGAGTTTATGTTGAGGAACATACACACCCAAACACCACCACGAAGGCGGCTACGTTTTTCGCTGTTGCGAGCCACTCATAGCATCCCGACATGATGAACCCCACCACGCCTTGGAGACCGACTCCAAGGGCTAGGGTGTTGCGCGGGCCGATCCAGTCACTTGCAAAGGCACCTAGAATGGAGCCGGGGATGTAGAATGCGTTGGTCACGGTGGTCCATCCGAAGCTCTTCCACAGGGGATAGTCATCGCCCAGGATGATTGCGATCCACTTGGACGAGTAGATGTTGAATGAATAGGTGGAGAAGTCGTAGATGAACCAGATGAGCGATACGACGGTCTGCTGCGGTCAGTCACGTATCGGGGAGGTGTCTTCACAGGGAGACCAACCAGGCGCTTCCAATAGAATCTTCGGAGAGAGGTCAGCAGTGCTCATCACACTGATATAGAGGGGGTGGTAACTCACTTGACAATCAGCCAGACAGGAAATTTGTGCATGCGTTCTCTCTTGAATTCCTCCGGCTCACTCAGCTTCAATCGCAGATAGAGCAAGCTAAGGGGAGGAATGACACCCAACCCCAGCGCAACACGCCAAACCGCGCGCAGATGATCCTCGGTGAAGATCAGAACCAAGATCATAGGAACCAAAGCGGACACCACGTAGGCGAGGTCGATCTGAAAATTGGTGAACATGATAAACCAGCGGTTGCGATGTCCCTTCTTGAGCTCCCCAGTGTTCTCCGCCGCCGCAACCGATCCTGCGGGATACTCGCCTCCAATGCCAATCCCCAGACAAAAGCGATATGCGGTCAGGGCAGCAAACATGCCATACTGACTCCCGTGGTAGCCGTAGGAGCCTGCCGACAAGGCAGCAAAGATGAACAAGATAATGGTGGAGATCATCAAGGACCATTTCCGCGACCAGTGATCACTCAAGTATCCGAAGACCAGCTGTCCGAGGACCGTCCCCGCGAACGTGATGGCCGAGACGTTCTGGCTGGCTGGGGATCCGTTGTAAGCATCTTTGTATAGCGTGCCGAGGATGGTATTGACGGGTCCGATTACCTAGTCGAGACGAGGTCAGTATGTATCTATGTATTTGCTTTGTTCGTCGCATTCCAGCGGGTATCAATCGCAATTACATACACCGTTCAAATACCCATCGGAGAATAGGCCAGCACCACAGGCGATCGTGGGCCAGCTGCGCTCCCAGCGGCCTTTTTCAAGATTCTCCAACGGCGCAACCTCCACGCGCGCCGGGTCTGTGATACCTGTAGCTTTATCGGACGGCGCATCCAACTGCTCTTCCTTGGAGTTCATCTTGTGAGGTCACTGGTAGCATTCAGCTCCACACGTCTTTGAACTAGAGGATGGTAACAGCTACCAGATCTCACGAGAAGACAATCAAATTCACGTGAAAGCAATAGATACTGGTAAAAAGTGAGAACGAAATGGGGATAGAAAGAACTTAAAGCAAAATCACTTGATGATAAAGGAGAAATAGAAAAGAAGAAGAACAGAAGGAAAAAAAAGATAAGTGATAACCCTTGCAAATAAAACCAGCGTCATCCTGGACTCTGTTCCGTCTTTCCAGGAAAAGTAAAGCGGGAAACACAAACCATACCTCTACTAATCTACGGTGATTCCGATGTTCATGTTATCACCAGGAAGCGCGCTAAGCTTTCACCAACGCATCTAGTGAGATTGTCATTGGACAGTGGATTTTGGTTGCTTCAGGGATCCAAACAGCGTGACTACTTGACTCTGATGATACTTCCGGGCCTTGTTAGATAGGTAGCTCCACTGGAGTGATATGGACCCCTCTCGAAAAGGCCCCAGGGCATGTGTTCCAGCCATCATCCTATTGTGATACTTGATAGTTTGACCCCACTCGTCGTTCTGGCTTCATCTTCCTGGCACACGACTCAAGATTCTCTTTGTTCTCGGGTTTTACGACCAATTGGACAATTGTTGGATCCAAATCGATCTATGATGCCAATCAAGACCATCCAAAACTGCAAATAATCAGTCCATCGATGTCTAAAGCTACCTCGGAAAAATCACTGAAGGACACGCCCAGACGCTCTGGTAATAACAGAACCAGACATCCTCTTTCTTTGGCCCCCTTCCAGTCCGACCACTATCAGGGAAATAGTTTGCAGTTCGATTTAGGGTTGGTGGAGTGTACTCGAGTGGGGGGAGAAGATTGTGGAAACAGTGACCACACTTGGTCTAACCTGTCAGCCGACCCCGAAAGTTTTCTCACTGTATATTTTTTTTAGGTCTTTTGAATACTCATATATAGTATAATAAAAAAAAAAAAAAAAAAAAAAAAAAAAAAAAAAGGGTTAGCATACCAATTCAATCAAGAATGTGACCATTGTTTTGGGTATCTGCAGATACCATAGAGTACAGTCCATATATATTGTACGGAGTAGGATGTACCGAATACGATGATAGATGTGTACTTTTGCTTAGGATTTAGCAAAACAACCACTAATTGCTTATTTATATAGACATCCTTTTGGTGAAATATAGTTATAAAACACAATCTATCGTATAAGCCATCAGAATACATAACAACAGTCTATATCTCCAACTCCGGGATTTTGTTAATCATTTTTTCAGAAGAAGTATAACGTGGTAATGTTGTGCTGACGTAACCAGACTGGGCGTCGGAACGGGAGAATAATCCGCCAGCTGAGCTCGGGTCAGCTACGTCGGTGATGTGATGGATCTGCCTGGTTCACAACTCATCCTACGTCCACTCCCAACTCGAATCCCATCTCTCCTCTACCGCTTATACCCAATTCCCGTCGTATTCAGATTGTTCGGTCCATTCATTGCCCCGTGCATCCTCCATCGCCAGCATGGGGTCCGATCCACAGTACCTCAAGTACCCCAACCTGGGCCTCGCCCAGCATGTCTTCAACATCTCCAACCCATCCTGCCCCAAGGCCCAACAGCAGACGTCATTACAGAAGGTCCAAGATGCCATCTCAGAGAACAAGATGGCCCCGTTCTATCGGCACCTCGCCCACCCCGTCGAGGGTATCCTAAATTACACTGGAGAAGGGGTCCCCCAACAGCAAGGGAAGGTCCTGATCGCGTCGAACATGTTGGCCTCGAGGAAGACCCCTCAACAGGTTGATCTGCCTTGGGATGAGTCTCTATATCAGTCGTTTGTGGAGGAGAACGGGAAAGAGCTGGATGCGTTCCAGAAGGAGGAGGACGAGGCGGAGGAGGCCGCGGGGGAGACGGAAGTGTTGGCCGCCCAGGGGAAGCGGGCTGAGTTCTGGGCCCGTGTAGGGGATAAGGTGAGATTACCCATAAGACGGAGGTTATGTGTTGTGGGGAGGGGCTGAATAAGACTGACACGGCTTGTGCAGGACAAAGCGATCGAGTCCCACGAAACCCTCCTCGAGAAGACGACATTCTTGGGCACTAAGATTGACCTGGTGATGGCGATGATCCGTATCGGGCTCTTCTTTGGGGATCCGCTGTCGGTCAAGAAGAACATCGAGCGGGCCAATACCCTCATCGAGAGCGGTGGTGACTGGGACCGCCGGAACCGTCTCAAGGCCTACAAGGGACTCCACATGCTCACTATCCGCTCCTACAGTCTCGCCGCCCCTCTCCTCCTCGACAGTCTGTCTACGTTCACCAGTTACGAACTGTGCAGCTACTCTTCCCTCGTCATCTACGCCGTGCTCGCGGGCTCCCTGTCCCTGAAGCGCGTCGACTTCAAGGCCAAGGTGGTGGATGCGGCTGAGATCCGGGCGATCCTTGGATCGGCCGAGGACCGGGCGGCCGCCTTGACCGGGGAAGTCTCCTCTGGACAGGGTGCCCAGGATGAAGATATGAGCGATGCGACGGGCTCCCGCCGCACGGCCGTCAATCTGACCGCGTTCTCGGGTCACTCGGGTGTCCAGGCCGAGGAGGAGGTCCCCACGGACTTCTCCCCCCTTGCCAACCTGGTCAACAGCCTGTACACCGGCAACTACCGGAACTTCTTCCGAGCCCTCGCCGGCGTGGAGGACCAGTTCCTGACGCAGGACCGGTATCTGTACGAGCACCGTGCCTGGTTTGTGCGTGAGATGAGGCTCCGTGCCTACCAGCAGCTGCTCCAGAGTTACCGGGTGGTGGGGCTGAACAGCATGGCCAGCGACTTTGGTGTCACTGTTGACTTCTTAGACCGGTAAGTACCCATCCATTGGACAGGATGGGACCATACTGATTAGTTTACTTTGTAGGGATCTGGCCAAGTTCATCGCCAGCGATCGCATTGCCTGCACCATCGACCGGGTCAATGGCATTATCGAGACAAACCGACCGGATGATAAGAACAAGCAGTACGCCGGCGTCGTGAAACATGGCGATGCGCTGATCACGAAGCTGCAGAAATACGGCCAGGCCGTGCGGCTGCGGGGGAGTGAGCGGGGCTAAGGTGGTACAGGAGCACCTCCCTGTATGACCGAATGGAACAGAGGGGGGCAGAGCTTGGACTGTTGATTTGTTCATTTGATCTGGATCTTGATTAGAGCAAAAGCGAGCGAGGCTGCTGTATCATACATTAATGACAAAGAGCACATGACCTCGAATTACGCACACGTGAGCATGTATCGTAGACTCTTGATCAACGCCTAATAGGGTTCTCCGATCGTCGATGGCACTAGTAGATACAGATCATGCCTTTATCGAATCCCCGTCCATCGACAATCTCCATGAGATGCACCCCTCAAGGAGGCAAGACCCTCATGGTTTTCTTGGCAGGGCCCTATAGGGAAATGAGGCAAGAAGAAAAGTGGAGGACCCAGACATTAAGGAGGCGACCAGCGTCGGAGAACCACATTCTTAACCAGAACTCAACCAGAGAACTCTGCCTTCAGTGCTCCTGTCCATTGTCCATGCTATCCAAGTAATTACTGTCTTCAGACGTGGAGGGAGGAACCGACCACGCCACATCCACGTGGCCAGGAATGAGTTCAGGCACCTTGACCTCCCTCGAATATGTCCCTATTGTCTGATATGGCTGAGCATGGCATGACACGGCCTGACACTTCTCGATCCGATCGAATCTTATCAAATCCCTTCGGTCCCTACCTAGTCTCCTTCATCGACCGCAGCTCCGCACGATCATCGCAGCCTTCCCAATCAGGCATCTCGGAGGGTCGCCCTGAGTGGGCACGTGCCGAGTCGGCCCACCGCCTTCCCTTTCGGGCGAACCGTGGATTTTTTCCTGTTTCGCTGCCTGAGTTTTCTCGCCTTCTTTTGGTCAACATCGAATCATCTTTCGCAACCGATTTTAAGTCTCTTGTCAATCTCACCCCCGCTCCCCTCAGTGGAGAAAAATTAAATCGCGCAATTGGCGCGTCTAAGCGGTTTGGGGATTTCATTAGGAAAAAGAACTAGAAGAAGAAGACAAAAATAAAAAATTATGTCGAGGCTGGTTAGGGTTGCCCCTCGTCTGCGGGCATCTCCGCGATCTTCTTCACTCTCCCGGCCGAATTACGCCTGTCACACTTCGATCCTCTCCGCTGGCGCCTCGAGATTTCGTTTAGGTATGGTTGTTCCCTATTGCGCTTCGTTGTCTGTGTGTTCTGGTTGTCCTACCATTGGATAGGATGACGGTGGCGCGTTGGTTTTCATTCGGTGCCGCGTAGCCGTGATATGCCCACATCTCCCCATCCCGTCGCGATTTTTGTGACATTGCATTTTCCACTGGGTTACCCACTCTTGGCGCGCGGACCCGAATATTTCTGGAATACAAATGGGCCCGTCCTGCCGTCCGGAGAGAGAGAAATATTGATTTGTTTTCGCCCAAGTGCACGTCAAAAGGATCAACTGACCGTCCCGGATCAACACAGACCCCCCCACCATGACCGTCACGAAGAGCACCCTGGCCACCGTGCCGCCGCCCCGCTGCCTGAACATCAACAACATCAACCCCCACATCAAGGAGGCCAAGTATGCCGTGCGCGGTGAGCTGGCCGTGAAGGCGGAGGAGTACCGGGTGCGACTGTCCCACGGCGAGAAGTCCCTGCCGTTCGACAGCGTCATCTTCGCCAACATCGGCAACCCGCAGCAATTGGATCAGAAACCCATCACCTTCTTCCGTCAGGTGCTCAGCCTTCTCGAGAACCCGGTGTTGCTGGACAGCCCCGAGGTCCTCTGCTCCGCGCTGGGCTACCAGCAGGATGTCATTGACCGGGCCCGCACGCTGCTCGCCGAGGTCCAGAGCGTCGGAGCCTACAGCCACAGCCAGGGCGCCCCCATCATCCGCAAGAGCGTGGCCAACTTCATCGAGGAGCGTGACGGCTTCCCCGCCAACCCGCACGACCTCTACCTCACCGCGGGTGCCTCCTCCGGCGTGAGCACCCTGCTCAACGTCATCTGCAACGGCCCCGACGCTGGCGTCCTCGTCCCCATCCCCCAGTACCCGCTGTACACCGCCACCCTGTCGCTCCTGAACGCCAACTGCGTCCCCTACCACCTGGAGGAGGACAAGGCGTGGGGCACCGACGCCAACGCGATCCGGAACTCCCTGGCCGCCGCCCGCTCCGCCGGAGTCGACGTCCGCGCCATCGTGGTCATCAACCCGGGCAACCCGACGGGCGCCTCGCTCAGCCCCGAGGACATCAAGAACGTGCTGGACATCGCGGCGGAGGAGAAGCTGGTGGTGATGGCCGACGAGGTCTACCAGACCAATGTCTTCGTGGGCGAGTTCACCTCGTTCAAGAAGCGCCTGCGCCAGCTCCAGCTGGAGAACACCACCAAGTACGACGACGTCGAGCTGGTCTCCTTCCACAGCACCTCCAAGGGCATGGTCGGTGAGTGCGGCCAGCGCGGCGGTTTCTTCGAGCTCGTCGGCTTCGACCCCGAGGTCGTCGCCCAGATCTACAAGTACGTCAGCATCGGCCTGTGCCCGCCTGTCATCGGCCAGTGCCTGATGGAGCTCATGGTCAACCCGCCCAAGGCCGGCGAGCCCAGCTACGAGCTGTACCAGAAGGAGTACCAGGGGATCCGCTCGGGCCTGCAACAGCGCGCTCTGGCTCTGTATGAGGCGTTCCAGCAGATGGAGGGCGTTGAGTGCCAACAACCTGAGGTATTTCCCTTTCCCTTCTTTCTTCCTCCTTTCTCGCTGTGGGTGTAACTAACAAACATATTCAGGGCGCCATGTACCTCTTCCCCGCCATCACCCTCCCCCCCAAGGCCATCGAAGCCGCGCAAGCCGAGAAGCGCGCCGCCGACGAGTTCTACTGCCTGCGCATGCTGGAAGCGACGGGCGTGTGTGTGGTCCCCGGCTCCGGCTTCGGCCAGAAGGAGAACACGCTGCACTTCCGCACGACGTTCCTGGCTCCTGGCACGGACTGGGTGCAGCGCATTGTGAAGTTCCACGGCGAGTTCATGGCGAAGTATAAATAGGGGGATTGATATATGGATATATGTGTAATGCTTGGTTGGTTGGTTGGATTGGTTTGGGTTATGATATAGACTTGGTATACCTCTGAGGGGGATTATAAATATTGGATTGGTTAGGTATGCTGTATATGGAATGATGATTGCATATTCTTTTTTCTTGGTAGTATAGATACTATTTGGTTATCACGAGTAACATTAGACTTGGACTTAAACATATAACATAAAAGTATACCACAAACACAATACACAAACCCAACAAGTATAAAGCAGCAGCAGCAACAGCAGTAAGTAGTACACGTCCCACCCACCCATCCCCCCTCCCTACCAGCAGCAGCAACAGTACTCCGCAATAACAAATAACCATAATAATAGTAAACTAAAAATGGACCTAAAACAATACTGAAGTATAGTAAGTAAACCAAACCAAGTAAGTAATACACCGCCCCACCCACACCACCCATCCACCCAAATTAATACCTCAAAAAACGCAAGCAGATACCTACCATACATATACATACCGAAGAAAAAAGCCAAGTCGACACAAGCCTCTGCCCACGAAGCTTGTCCTCTGCCGCTATCCGTCCCTTTCCTTGCCCTTGCTTGTTTCCGCTTTTCCTTGCTTGCTTGCTTGCATGCTTGCATTGTTGGGATGGGGGGGTGGGTAAATGCCTCATAGTTTTTTCTTGCTTTTTCTTTCCTTTCATGTTATTTTATCATATACTTGAGGTATATGGTATATATATGTGTGTCTTGTATGGTATGTTTGTTTCTTTGTGTGTATCTATGTATATGTATGTATGAACGAGGACGATTAAAGAGATCCCTACTATGTAGTTAATGTCGATACTATAGATCTAACGTCACCGATGCTGTATATAGATAGCTGGTAGTCAGAAGGTACCCTAGAAAAAGCCAAGTAAATGCCGTTGAAGTGTGTCTATCCATCTATCTATCTATCTGCCTGTTCTAGGGTCGACAGACACGCAGACAGACGTTGGGGTTAATTCCCCGAACCCCTTGACTGACTGACTGACTGATACTGATGACGATGATGCATGCTGTCTATCTTTATTATTTATTATTATCATTTTCCCAAGAGTTACGGAGGACTCCGTAGGGATACTTGAATCACTGATTGATTGCGACGCACATTCCTCCCTCCCGTGTCTACATTACCACCACACACCACACACCACCACCACCACATACATACATACATACACATCCCTAGCCTTAAGACGAGCGTAACTAAGTAAAGACAGGGAACGGAAACCATAAACCTGCTACTTACCCAGCAAGTGGGACACACCATGCATGACTAACTATAACGAGGTCTTGAACTTGTGTTTCGCTGTATAATACATACATACATACAATACTGTACAAAGGGGTGAACATACTCCGGAGAATTATAGTTAGTTAGTTACAGGGTACTTACTTACTGGTGACTGAACACACCGCTAGATGGCTGTATGTGGAGTTGAGGTTGAGGTAGAGGATGTGTTGTCTACACCGCTTCACCTTCACTCCACCGGGTACCATGCAGGTATGTATTGTTTGTATGTGTATGTGGAAGATGAAATATATGATGGTATCAGTTTATGATTGTAATTTATGTAAGAAAACGCAGCCAGTGTTGTAGTCAGGTGTGATGATAGTGTATAGTGGAAATCAGGGATATCTATTGGGTAAACAAAGAAGATAGAAAAGGGTGAGGTCAAGATGGATGGGCCAGGAATGGGTGTGTCTATGTGCAAACAGCAAGAAAAAGGGTAGAAAAGAAGGTCAAGGTCGAGAATGGCACAAGTATAACATGTACAACAGTGCAGCAGTACAGCAAAGCAGTACAGAAAATACAACACAATAGAAAACGAAATCTTGATAATTCAATGCTATGGTATACCTGGGGCTAATGAAAACAAAATTCTGGCATTTATCATCATCGCTCATCATGGTCATGACGACGGAGCGTCACGTAGACGGTGTGAGGGTGGTGGTAAGCTGCCGCGCACTGTGAAAGATATCCCCCGAAGGGGTCAGTGCTATTGGCCCCAGGACGAAAAGTACCCGCGGTCGTCGTTGGCATTGTTCTCGTCCAGGGGCGGGGGCCCCGGTTCGAACAGCCCCGCGGCCCAGACGGGGTCCGTGGGCGACGTGGTGATCGGCAGACCCGCCGGGGTCTCCATCGGTTTGAACCCGGGCGCCTCGGCCAGCTCGTAGGGCTCCTGCGAGAGGGCCTTCCCGTCCATGCCCAGGTTGGCCTGGAGCTGGTGTTCCAGCGCCGCGGTGGACTCGTTGGCCGACTTGAGGAAGTCGTCGATGTTGATCGACTCCAGCTGATTCGACGACAGCAACTGCACCTGGGGCAGACCGTTGTACGACGACGCCGAGCTGATGCGGTACTGGTCGATATCCGACGACTCGCTCGCGCTGTGGAGTTCGCTGCCGGCGGTCCCGAGGCCGGGGAGAGGCGCGAAATCCTCCACCTCCGAGATGTCGCCGGACGACGACGGTGCCGCGAAATTGGGACCCATCGAGTTGTAGTCGAAGCTGGCGTACGAGGGCGCCTGGGTGCTGGGCGCCGGAACGTCCGACGAGTACAGCGGGAAGCTGGACCAGTCGACCGGCGGGGCGCTGAACGCGGTCGAGTGCTGCGGCACCTCGGTATCGGGCGACGTGAAGTACGGGTCCTTGTACGGGTCTTGGAACGGCAGGCAGTTCACTGGCGACGGATTCGAGTTCGGGAACGTGGAGTACGGCGACACGTCGAGTGGGGGGACGCTGGTGACGATCGGGTCCACCGAGGACTTCCCCATGGAGACGCGTGGGGGCTCGGACGGGTGACCATCGGACGGGGTGTGGTCCAGAGACGGGGCGGCGGGCGGGAAGAAGGACGAGAGGTCGAGCGGGGGAACGACGGTGGGGTCGTCCGCCGGCATGATGGGCGCGCTCTCGGGGGACCCGTGCTCGGATTTGACGCGGCGCGGGAGGCCATCGGGGGCGTGGTCGAAGATGGGGTGACTGGAGAAGGTGTCCCCCATCAGGGCGGCTTGCGACAGCGGCAGCTGGTCGACGGAACGGCGGGCCACGTCGGAGGTCGCGTGGATGGTATGCGACCGGGGTATCGTGTAGGGGAGCCCGCACTTGTGCGCCATGTCATTGTGTTTGTGGGCGGGCTTGTGATGGCCGTCGCGGAAGATGGTGAGGGTGCTCTCCGACTTGGTCGACGTCAACTGGGGCTTTTTGGGCGGCTCCGAGAGGACGGAATGCGGAGGCGGGGGGAGGCCAGTTTCCGGGACAGGATCCAGGTGGGGTTCCTTCTTCAGCGCACAGGTGCAGCGCTGTCCATGACAGCAGCCACATTTTGCATGGAAATCCTCTGTAAACTCCACATCAGAAACAAGGAACCAGGGTCACCATCACCAACATGCTCACGCTTGAGATCCCGTCTATCAAAGAAGTGGGGATCTGAATCATGCTTGTGGCTCTTTTTCTTGTCACCACACTCGCACTTGGTGTGGGTTGTCCGAGACTTGCGTAGGCCACGACAGTGAGCGCATTGAGAGACTGGGCGGCCCTTTTTATTGATATGGGTCAAGGGGCGGTCTGATCTTGTTAGTTTGATTGGCGACTCGAGAGATGGGAAGATGAAGGGACATACCACTATGGTGACAGCTGCTGACACGGTGACCCCGGACGCAAGCCTCACAAGCCCACTTCTCACCATCGATCAACATCGTGGTTACCGGGTGGAGAACATGCGACGAGTCGCGACAACGATGGAATCAATAGTAAGATAGAGAGGTTCTCTCTGGTCTCTTTTCCTGTGGAATGTATCTTTTTTTTTTGTTCTTTTTGTTTTCTGGAATCGCTTCGAGTCTTTTCAAATATCAACCGAACAGGAAGACCTGCCGGGGAATCGGAAAGGGGCCGTCAAGGCGAGGACTGAAGATCAGGAAGTACAGTCCGTCAAGCAGAACGGACCGACTAGAAAGCAAGGAAAACTCCAACTAAAGCAGGGGTATCTTCAACTAATATCCCAATGCACCAAACTGAGTCATAGAAACGCCGTTTTCACCAGTAAAAAGGCTGAGTCGCAACTGGAGGTCACACGGGTAGACTACCTTGGATGGAGAGGCGCAAGAGGCTTTCCCAAGGAATCAGGTACCAGATGGAGGAATATAAAAGTAATAATTGTAGGCAGTCGATCCGGGACTAGAGACAAGGCCAATCGAAGAACATCGAAAAGGCAGAGAGACAAATGACAAGGAAACAAGACGAAAGAAACGAACTGCGATCGGGGGGCCAAAGCCTACGCACCGTTTGGCGCCGGCCGTGAGACAGGACACCAAAAACCGGCTGTGGCGGCCAAGAAGGCGGGAAAAGGCGATCGATCGGAGGGCAGAGTTGGAGTAAAACCCTGTGAAGAGAAAGGAAGAAGAGAAAGAGAGGAAAAGAAGGGAAAGGAAAGGAAAGAAAAGAGAAAAGGGAGAGCGAGGGAAAAGGGACGAGAGGAAAAGGCGGGAGAGAGAGCGAGAGAGAGCGAGAGGGGGCAGAACGGGCAGTTGGTCTGTGTGCGTATGGTAAGATTACCCAGACGATACGATGACTTGGACGTCACTTGAACAGGATTACATGCTTTATATATGTTTATCTACCTATATATTGAGAATCATGATCTATTCTCTATTACTATATAATTATTATATTTCGTTCCTTATTATCAAATATGATTATTCCTATTGTATACCATGTAAATCTAATACAAGTAGAACCATTCCTGGACAGATAAGACCGGCTGCCACCGCGTATATTACCGGTATATACCCCGTCATAAGGATGGACCCTTTTTCACCTCATGCCTGGGTGGGTTTGGCCGCACGTTGGCATTATCAAACCGACACCACGATGGAGACTTCAAATCGTCAGAACATTTACATTGGGTAATTTAGCCCTTCTCTTGACCAGACATGAATCTCGAATTCATTGCTATGACTAACGACAAGACCAAGTCGCATTCAAATTGGTAATATTCCCAGACCTGTCGAAACACGAAACACATCCAGAAGCATGTACAGATCATCCTAGGGATCTCGTGCCAATGACGGGGTTTTGTCACTGCAAGGGGATTTCCAGCGGTGTCGTCGGGGGATAACCGCGATTTACGCCTGAATCGAGACTACAAAAGAAAAGAAAAAAACAGACAGAAAAGCAGGATTGCAAGAAAGCGGTGGAGCCGAGAGCGAGGCTAAGCTGGAGATATGTCTTAGGGTTGGTTTGTTGGGATAAGTAGGGGATTTGGGGGGAGGATTGGGGGGGAGAAGGACTGAAGGACTGGAGGACTTATGGAGGATGGGTGGGGGAGGGGAACCGACTTGGCCTAAAACTCTGTCGACCGACTGGACTCCACGTATTTCTGGGGCAGAAACCGGACCGGTTGGCCTGGCCATTCCCCACTGGGTATTATTATACTGTCAGATGGTATCGTATTGTTTGGTATGGTATGAGCACCATCCATCAGTATAGAGACTACAACAATGCCACTATGGACGTGCCGCCATCACCGATATCGACCACCACCACGCCTACTAACTATTCCAGATATCTACCTACCTATCTAAATATCAGTCAGATGTCCCATTACACCATGCTGGATATCTACCTAGTAGGTAAGAGTAAACTCCGAGTGCAGGACATAATCCAATCCCGTCCTCTGCCGCCCTCGCCTCGCCTCCCCCGACGAGGAGAAATCCTTCTAGAAAACTCATTCTCGGATCTTCCATGCAGCCCCAACTCTCCAACCATTGGCGGTCCGGGAATCTGGATGGGAACGTGCGGGAGGAGGGCTGTACTAACTGTAGTGGACAGGGCAACTCCCACTGGACCATGGTCGAACTTGTTGTTGTGACCAGCCAACCAGCATCCCGGCCGCTGACTGCCCCGTGGCGCCCGGTGCCTTTTTTGCCCCCTCTAGCTTTTCCAATTTTTGTTACACGTCTTCATGCAGGATATCAGTCAGAATAGGACGGGAGATGGAAGGGGACTTATGTCGAACTACTGTGGGTGCAATGTGGTATGTACTCCTACCGTGGTATACTGCAGGTGCATTTCCAGCTCTTTGTCTGCTGTTGGGTGGTATGGTCAGGTACGACGGTACGGCGGCTTACGGGGTTAGCACCCTAGTGGTGATCCTGTACGGTAAGATACAAGGCTAGCGCACGATCCAAGTCATCCACTCTCACTTCTCACATCTCACTTCTACCTGATTATCGGTCTTTCCGATTGAAGCGGACAAGAAGAAGAAATAAGAAAGGAAAAGATAAACAGTCACAACAAGAACAGACAAAGTCAAAACTCCAGACCCCAACTAAACACCAATCACAACACAATGCAAAACCCATCGGCATCAACGCAAGAAGACAGAAGGTCCGAGTAACAAAAGGCTAGTAAGCATCGTCCATACTAGCCCCGTTACTTCTCCCTTACAACTTACAAGTCATGAGTTCCACTGCGGAATGGCGTCACAGCTGCTCGTTCGGGGCATCTGCAGTCGCCGTCGGTCAGTCAGGTGGGCGGGGCCTGATCTGCACCACGATGGTGGATGGTCTGTTGTTGTCCAATCGTGGCGGTGTCTACTGTTATTTCCGTCCCGGGTTGCTTCGGCCATCTGGTCCTTTCTTTTTCCTGGTTAGTTCGACGAGACCCTTGACTAGGTAGGCAACTAATCTCCTTGATGGAGTTTTAGTTGGAAGTTAACTGACTGGTTTCCCTTGGGATTACTTCTGTCTTGTGTTGTTTCTTTATCATTTATTTCTCTATTTTATTCTTCTTACATTGTCTTCCAGACCTGATCGATCCAGTGATATATTGACAATGATCCAGGGATTCAAGCCCGGAAGATTCTAATCCAAAGACAGAAAAGAAAAACGGATCGGAGGCCGGAGCGTATCTAAGCGCCTCAATTTCAACCCTGCTTTTTCTACTAGTTAACCCCTGGGGACGGACAATTCAGGTTCCCTGTTTTAGCAACCGGCCCCGTCAAGCCTAGCCCTTCCCCCGACGCTATCCCACTTGGTCTTGGTGACTTGACTTGACTTAAGTTGACTTTACCCTGACCGGCCAAGTCTGACGATACTAATCATTACTATTATTGTTAATTACCCGTTAGTAACAGCCTTTCTGGGCGGCGGTGGACCGGGAGGGTCCGCCGGCACCGCCCAACTCCATTTCCCGAACAAGGTCGACTCCACGGGAGACACACACAATCTCATTGATCGTGCGCAGCTCGGGCCCAATTTCTTGCCGAGAATGAAATCTGTCTTGAGTTTTCAGAGATTGAGGAGCGAGGGCCAACCCTCGGATAGAATAAATGCTGTCTAACCGTTGGGTAACCCGTCTCATCTCGATCCAGCTGACGAGTCAGTTTGTGTCGTCTATTGGCTGCTGGACGTTAGAGAATCGATCCGAGATGGAGATATGGGAAACGTAGTGGGCCTGTTTCAGATTCGCTTTTTCTCAGCCCGCTGCTGCGCTGTGCGCGCGCCGCGCTGCGGCTGGTGTACCCCAACCCCAACCCGACCCGACCCCAGCTAACGGACCGTGCCCGTCAGCCAGCCCTGAGGGCGATGGACAGAAATATCATAATTGTCAAATTCATTAAAAAAAAAAAAAAAAAAAAAAAAAAAAAAAAAAAAAACCAAACAAATACAAGTCAAAGTAAAATAACGAATTGAAAAGGAATCAAACCAAATCAAAGAGATCGCGAGAAAAATAGGGGGATCGTCTGTCATGCATACCCCAGAACAGATACAGTAGTCACTAGGTAGACATGAGGAACACTATGCTGGTCTCTCACTTTTCATGATGACCGGCAGTGACAATCAAATCGAATCGAATCCTTCTGGTGGCTTTGCCTTGCCAAGACTGAATCCTGGAGAAGTAACTTCCAGGGCGCTGAATTTTTTCTTCCTATAAGCACTTTGGGGCGATCATATGTGTATCGGGTTGGGATATATTAAAAATAGATATACAACAGTGGAATAGAACAACGATATTCTGGTCTTTTTCTAGAGAGGTTCGTTTATTTGTTAAGGTAGACATTAGACATCATATACCGAAGTCCTCGTAGATGCCTCGGTGACTACGGACGCTACGGCCGCTCCGGCGAACTCTATGCGAATTTGATCATTCGCACAGGCCTGAACTAACTACCGGAAATGCCCTGTCAAACTTGACGTCGTTGGAAAACACTCCGTCAGACCCCGTAAGGCCAGTCGATCAAATCCGGAGAGAAACAACGTAGCATTGCCTGAGATGCGCGAGGATCAGACACCTAGGGCCAATCCGGGAGAACGCATACGGGCTGGCCTCTGATATGTGAATCCTTCCGATAGGGGCTGAAGATGACGAGAGTAAGCCAGCCAGCCAGCCAGCCAGTCTTGACTTGAGATCGGATCCGACTAAGAGGAGGAATGTACTGAGTACTTCATGTGAAAGTAGTGATGACCATGTGTAAAACCGACCGACACTGGGCGGGGTGATGGAGGGTTATGCTGACGCTTGGCGGCTAGGATATATGACGTCTGTAGGTATGTTGTGGGTTAGGTACTTGACTATGTTGGAATTATGTGCGTGCTCATGTAGATTTTGAATAACGCTGCTGCGGCTGAAGATACAGTATCGATCTGATGATTGTCATGGATACCTATTGGGGGAATGGTGATGGGTAAGAAGTTCAACGTCGTCGCCTATACGCCTCGACTTGAGGATATGCTAGAGCGCACACAACACGTCTTGCGGTAGATAAAAGTATTGATTGATTCGTAAAAATGGAAAGTCTGTAGAGATCGGTAGACCGTACTAATAAAATAGATAAGTAGGTATGTTGGGATGTTCCAATAGCTACCTCCAAATGTTCGCGAATCTGGTGGCGTATGAGATCTCCCAACGGCTTCATCCAGATCGGTCACGACCACTAGACGGAGATGGAGAAGAGAATCTTCTAAATACAAGCCAAAATTGACCGTATTCCATTCAGATATCAATGGTGGATGTTATCCTGAGTCGACAAATTGTCAGAAGACTAGAGTCTGGGCCGGTGGGAAATAGTATTAATCCGTCGCTGGACGCAGAAACAAAAAGCCGGAGCTCCGCGTCGGCGCGATCATCCCAGAATGAAACTATATCCTCGATCCCCGAAGCTCGCATGGAAGTCGCTGAGTTCGAATTCCTACAATTCAATCGCGCGATCACCATCATGTTTGTTGTGTCTAGCCCACAGCGCCGAGGGCATTCGGCGCTAACCCCTTCAAAAATAAAAATTCTCTCCCCGCCCAATTTTAGCCTGTAAAATCTTGCCTGCTGGCAACCTCGCGTCTTCTTCTTCCCTTCTAACAACTCTCGTCCCTGCACCTTCGTCCGGAGCATCCGCTCCACCCCACCACCACCCCATCAACCTCCCACCGTTTTGACGCGTTTTTGCCTTCGCCGGTCACGATGAATCCCCGCGAACATTCCGATATGCCGTCCACGGCCTCCTACCCGTCTCCTAACTCGGCGCAGATCGGTCAAGGTGCCATGCAGTACTACGCGAATCGCCAATTGACCGCCGACGAGCTCCTGTCCGCCGAGCTCTCCCGCGAAACCTCCGGCCCCGGCCTCGCTGATGGATCGAGTAATGGTGTTCACCATGGGCAATCGATGGTTCTGGGCTCCTCCAACCCCGGTGGTGCCGACATGGGCCGCCCTTCCTCGCCCGACCAACATCAACAACAGCACATGCTGCAGTTCACCCCAAGCCAGCAAGTCGGCGTCGATCCGAACCACGACCTCAGTTATGGTGACCAGAGTGCGAGGAGGAAGCGATCGAAGATTTCGCGCGCTTGCGACGAATGCAGGCGGAAAAAGGTACTTACAATGTTGATGGACTGGTGGTCGCCGCGTGGGGCGTTATCTGGGTGCGTGCTAACGCGCTTGTCTTACAGGTCCGTTGCGATGCGAGTTCTGAGACTGGGGTTGAGACGTGCTCCAATTGTCGCCGACTCGGAGTGGTCTGTCAATTTAGTCGTGTTCCAATGAAGCGTGGGCCGAGTAAAGGGTAAGAATTGCGCTTGGAATTCCACCCAGTGACCCCGACTGACGGATGTGTATAGCTACATCAAGGAACTCGCTGAGCGTCTGCACACTCTCGAGAACCAGATGCAGCCCGCGATGGTTCATCCCGACATGTCGTACCAGGCGATGAACGAGGTGTCGTCACCGCGAGCCTACCAGGACTTTTCGCCGCCCATCGATACGGGTCCCATCGGTGGTCGCAAGAGAACATACTCTGTGTTTGAAGGATTGCCGAGCTCCTCCTTTACCCAGCCGCCGTTTAACACTCGGTCGCAAAACGCTTTCGGTTGGTCCTTTTTATCGTGTTGTTTGAGTCTGCGTACTGACAGCCCTAGACGCCGCAGAAACCTCGCCAGATCCAGTCAACCCCGCGGTCACGAATGACTCCGCGCCGAAACCTGGGAATCTGTTCTGGTCCACGGGCAACGAGAATGGACTGCCGACGGGAATGGAGATGCCTGACGTGGCGAAGAACACGATGGATGATGACATGACCCCCATGGACGTCGATGAAGGGGCGCTCAATGCGTGAGTGTCGTCCCGTCTGCCCATCTGAATATGTAATATTAACCGTCTGCAGCTATTACGCCAAAATTCATCCCATACTTCCCGTGTTACCGCACTCGAAAGAGCGGTTGATGGAGCTTCTACACCAATGCAGCCGTGAGGTCCAGGAAATATTTTTGTACAGTCTGTACACTACGACTGCGACGAACCTGGACCGGGTCGTGTCTACCTTCGAAAGGGTAACGTCCTTCGACAATGCACAAGACCTCCTTTTGTATTACACGCGACAGCCATCGATTCTCCGCTCCAACGGGGCCAATCTGATATGGCTCCAGTCTACGCTACTCATGATCATGGATTGCGATTCGAGAGGTCCCGACAATTTCGTGCTCAAGGATGGTGTACCCAAACAATCCTTGATTCAGTCTGCTCTCAAGCTGGGCTCCGACATGGCCAAGGGCCTGGGGCAATTGAAGAGCAAACGGTCGTCGGAGCCGGACGTTGACTCGGATGCGAACCTGGTGCGCCGTAACTGGGTGTCTTTGGCTATCCTGACGCGCTGGTACGCCATTAGCGTGGCGGACCCTAGCGTCCTTGGATCGCAGGAGATCGGTGGTCGGGAAGATGAGCGGGTCGTCGGTTCGATCACGACGGGGATTGGCTGTATGTTGACCGATCTAGTTCTCCATCTCCATCTACTCGCAGACCTTGCTAACTGGTGACTTGCAGCATACTCCACATTCCTCATTGAACTAGTAACACTAGCCTCGCTCGACCACAACGTTTGCCAGTCGAATACGGGGACCGGTCGCATGGTCGCGGCTAATTTGATGGCATCGCTTGAACGTCTGAACGAAGTCGAAGACTTCCAGAAGCCCCCTGAGATCCCGGAAGAGACCGCTCCCCCAAGCTTCATGGAGAGTCTCCAGAACCAACTCTACTGGACCGTCCGGCTACTCATCAAGCGACACATCTTCGTCTACAGCCCCTACGAGATCGTCTACAGCGCTGAAGAAGTCATCAACGAACTGCACCGAGCAACGACACAGTACTCCCGGATCGCCACGCCCTTCGACCTCCACAGTCTAGCCCTCGCCTCCATGACCCTCCTCGAAGCCACCGTCCTCCCCGAATACGCGAACGAGTGCTGGGACGCCCTGAAAAAAGTCGAAGAAATCCTCGACCACCGCTCCAAATGGACCGCCGCCGGCGCCGAATTCAGCAACATCTTCGCCACCCCTGGCTGGGACGCCAAGATCCGCCTCTTCCTCGAATGGCGCCGCGCAAAGGCCCAGGAAAGCCAACTCCAGGACCCTACCTCCGTCTCCTCCTCCACCACCTTCGGCAAGAGCGGCTCCGCCGCTCCGCCCGTCATGGGCCCCAACGAGCAGCGCTCCCTCCAACATCTCGCAGATCTTGCCGTCGGCGCGGAAGGCTCCGTCGCGGCTAACAACAACTCGGGCACCCCGCCGCCGGCCCTCCCCTCGACAGAGACTAACATGGGCGGTGGTCCCGCGTCTCCGAATTTGACGGCCGTGGGGCAGCCGCACGGCCGTGTGGTCGTCGACTTTACGCTCTTGACTAAGGAGGGCTACCTTAATGTCTTTTCGGGGTTGATCTATCGACGATCTCGCTGAGATTGGTGGATTGGATTTTTCTGATAGGATTTATCTCAGTATTTTATGTTATTCATACTCTCTCCGATGCAGAAGAGGACGAACGAATTTTCTCTTCCGTGAAAAAGTTGTCTATTGAGATACTGCTTCAATATCTTTGATATGATTCTTTTTCTTTCTTATTTTCTCCCCTTTTCTGGTTTTACCTTTAACTATTTCTTCTCTTCTCTTTTGATTCTTATTTTCTTTTATTTTGTTCACCGCGTTCCCTGATATGTCGTGCGTGGTTTGCGACTGACTAGCGGGATTCTTTTATTTTTATTTTTATTCTTTTTTTATCTTTTCTTAATCAGGCTTGTATTTGTAGGAAAGAAATGGATGGGCGAAAAATCCCCTTTCTTTAATTATTAACTTGGGTCTTGTTTCTTGACTTGATAGCTTTGGTTAGGGTAATTGTAATGCAGTGCAATGCAACGTAAACATCTAGCAAACAAGCCCCCTTCGGTAGATAGAGTATTGAAAAACACTCAAGTACTCAATCGAATATGTGATATGCAATATAAATACTCGACGAATGAATCCCGCCAATTAATATGATATACTCAATGGAAAGGAGAAACAGAAATCCCTAGTATCTAGTGTCTGAAGTTGTACTCACTTCCCGAGCGCAATCCGCACCCATGCGCCCTCGACGTCCTGGCATAGTTGCAGGAATGAATCGTCGTCGATGTGCTCGCAGATCCAGTTCTGTAGGTTGGCGGTTCGTTGCGGGGTGGGTTCGGAGAGGTAGGATGATAGGTCTAGCATGGTGAGTTCGTTTGGGTGCTGCTGCGGCTGCTGGGGAGATTTGTGAATGGTGCTGGGGGAGGGTTTTGGCTTGGTACTGGGGGCGTTGGTATTTTGATCGGATGAGATGACACAGCTAGGGCTGGTTGTTGTTGGTAGTGGCTGTGGCAGTGGTAGGTGGGTTGCTGTGTCGAGGATATTAGGCGTGGAATGGTGATATTTCAAAGTGAGAAGTTTCGAGCTTTGGGGCTCGGGTCTTTGTTGGATTTGTGTGTTCCACGAATCTAGGCTTGATACCGGTCCTGCGAGGTTCCTAGCTGCCTCTGTCGAGTCTAGTCGGTTAGCATACACGTAGTACCACCGGTTGGGTTTTGGATAGGAACAAAGAAGGAGGTCAATGGTCTACTCTCCCTGCTGACCTACCTGCGCGGCAAATCGGTCCTCGAGACGGCCCCGATCCGTGTGCAACCGTAGCGGGTCTCGCCGTTGTCGTACACGCTCGCTTCGCGACCGGGTTCGCAAACGGGAGGTCTCGCTTCGGGGGTAGAAGCTCCTCTAGTGGGCGGATGGCACGGAAGGTTGTTGCCGTGGAGGGTCTAGGGGCTACTGGTGCTTGGGTGCTTGGGTGGGCAAGCGGCGTGCTCTGGAAAAATGGAGACTCTGTCTGCTTGTCTGGCGCTGGGTGTTGTTCGTGTCTCGCGCTGTTATGGTGCGCCGTTGCGTGTTCTGTAGTGGCTGTGATGGTGTAGCCGGTACCCGAAGACGAAGGCAGCGAGGGACCTATCGTAGATGTCAGCAAACGAGGCTCTTTCCCAGATGTTGTATTACTTGGGGATATTGCTTTACCGACTGTGACGCTAGATGTTCTTTCATGTGTCTGGCTTGTGGGCAGGTGAGTTTGAAAGACACTGTCAGCAGTGGTCGAAAGGTTGGACAGGGGTGGAGTAGGGTGAAATGTGCTCATTGATCTTGAGACAGCAGGGAGCAATTCTCGGCGCCATTGGGATGAAGATGGTCTTGTTGGTTGGGGAAGTGTTCCAACGTTGGATTCCGAGAATGGACATTTTATATCACTCAGTATGGAGAGAGCTGTGTAGTAGTCACGGTCCAAAGAGAATTTGATCTGGAAGCGTCGTATCTGCCAATTTATTAGACCTTGGATATTGTGCACTTTCTGTGGTACGCACATAGGTTTTCTCCGAATATCTTACTGCTAGACACGGCAGTTTTACGACAATAGCAGCGTTCGCTTTGGTATGTATCTGCTGACTCGATTGTGATGAACTAGAATTAGAGGATTCTTGTGCGATCTTGGAGAGGTCGACTGTCTCCTGTTATATCGCACCGGGCAGTTTCAGTATCTCTTCCCTTTATCTCATGTTGTCTATATACTCTCAAGACTCTCTCGACATGACGCACCAGTATTTCCCTGTCTCTCGAGACTTTCATGAGCACTCTCTCCCCGGTAGAAAGCGTTCTAGGGCATCTTTCAAACACAACAATGATATCACCGTTACTGAAAAGATGAGACCAAGTGAGAGGCCCTTTGTAGTTGATAGAGGTGGTGGTATGAGAAAATTTGGCCAGAGGCAGACGAGAAAGCTGGGTAGGAGCTTGCGGCCGTTGAGAGAGAGAATGCATTGTCGTCTCACAGCATCACTATAGGTAGAGGGGGAAGTTATCTTTCATCTCTAAAAAGGTAGAATGGAACATCTGGACGGGAAGAATCGTGGATTGTGAGGGTGAATTCTAGAATTCTGGAACAGGTGACCATGCCTCCTAGATGTACCTAGCATAATTCTGGATAAATTGTACATGCTTGGTCGATCTTTTTCATCTCTTTCCCCCACAATATATATCTGTCTAATCTGCTCTTTTGATCTAAATCGAGGAGAAATGAACATAACAAGGCAAGTCTCCAGAAAATAAGCCACGACTAATACACATGGATTAGAAATCTATAGATTGTCAAGATACTGATACGGATTGTAGATGACAAGTGACTACGTTGATAACGACAATATATACGAACAGAGTATGGCAATCGGTCAAAAGCCATCAGGGCAGACACAAGCGTCTGATTATATAAACTGGTCGCCATTGCTGATCGCCGTAATGGGGAGGCGATGCCGATGAGCATCCTGTCAACCTGCGTTGTCAATGTCAAAACGGACAATTGCTCACCGCAACATTTCATATGTCACAGCCAAGGTATGCCTACCACCGAGGGAGAACAATTGTCTTTCAAGATGACTGGACAGCTCCTAGTAGCATGCGCCATCTATGATCTAAGGGGCCGGTTTAAAGTTTGATACTCCGTCAGGTTGGAATCTGTTGAGCATCAGGGCCAGCAGTCGTTGCGAGTGTCTAATCTCATCATCGACCCACAGTCGCATCGCAATGATGACCTCAGAGAGCTCTAGATCAATATCAGCATGCCAATGCCTGGATCTCTCCCCAGACATCATGGGCGGGACCTTTCAATGGGTGGCTCGAGTGACCATCCGGGGACCCACCCGGAACCAAAGTCTCCTCCGGCCTGGACTGTTAGGGCTGCGGAGTACTTGCACAGCGCAGGACACAGATTCAATGTGCATACATGGACTGTGAATATACTGTGGTCAATATTGGCCATGGTTCGATCGACCTCTGACGATTGTGATCTGACATCAGGGTACTCAAAATCTTCACGGTCGAATCATGACTTTGGTATGACGTCCTAGAAAGCCCAAGTGTTATATTTCAACATAAATAGCAGCACATCCATTTCTCGAATGCTAGTTTATGATCCCAGACGAAGAACTTCCCCAATTGCCAATTTAACAAGAGATAAATGGCATCCAACACCAACCCCGGAAACTTCGCCAACCGCCCTCACGAGGAGGTAGAGAACATCGCCAAACAAGGTGGTCGATCCAGCCACGAAGGCGGATTTCATCATATGGATCCGAACAAACAGGTAAGTCATAGTTGCCCAAACATTGACTTCAATTCTAGTAGTGCTAATGGAGTGTTGTATAGAGAGACATTGCCTCCAAGGGCGGCCAAGCTTCAAGTGGCAGCTTTGAGCCCGGAGACCCCAGAGCCCGGGCAGCCGGCCAGAAGGGCGGCTCAGCTCGTGGAATGCCAGAGGAGTAGGGAGTTATCAATAATTAACTGTTGTGCTGTTTGAGATATTTAGTGTTTGTAATTTTAATACATATCAAATCAATGCTATTCCGATGATAATGTCTTGCAAATTGTCGCTGTGGATGGGGAAGACCAAGGGACAGCACGCATTTATTAGTACAATTTTCCATATTAATGAGAAGAGATTGTAACTAGCACATTTGCACGTAGTCTACCTCTTGACTAAAACGAGATCTGTAGTTATGACGATGGTCTTGTCTACAGATCCATCTAACCTTCAACATATCGTCGATAGACAACTATTTATCCACATCCAAGGATCCCCAAGCAACGGTGCCTTTGGCATTTTATTGGAAGGTATACAACCAAATCCCTAGCTCCACAGAGACAAGCGGTATGATCTGACAAGGCCCAGTCAGTATCCATGCGTCTTCTAGGAGTCATCCTAGAAATAAGGACCGATATAGATCGCAATGATTGATAATGATCTCCTTGGTCTGGGGCTGTCAAATGTCCATCTACAGGAGCGAAGTGCCTACAGATTTGGAATTTAGCATGACTGGGTCTACGCGTTTCTTTTCTCGTGAGTGATATATATTGACAACGGTGATAAAGCGGGAATGACCATAGGTATTCCATTGTTCTGGAACCTGGAGCCTATCAAACTCTATCCCATGCAATTCTCAAGTCGATGCTCCCGCCTGGCCCATGTTCTAGTCACATAATGAGATAATTCAAGTCATGTTGGTAGTGTCATTCTCTATACTATCACTCGTCATGGATGCTAAGAATCAAATGAGGGATGACCGAGTTGTCACTAAGACACCTTGCTGAGGTCTATGGCAATATTTTGGGCCTATACAGCATAAAATGCAGTTGCCTCAGCGACTCCTAAGCGGGTCGCCATTCATAGTGATGGGGACCTTTGCTTGTCGGCCCAGGGTCTTCCCCAGGAACGCCTGGTTTATTATATCCATGGGCGCCAAATAAGTCCATCTGACCTTGCATAAATTGGGTCGGAAGCCTAGTACCACCTGTATATTTTAGATACTCCAAAGCCGCCGACAGGGCTGGGATATACTGATCGGTCCGGATGCCCTGGAGGACAATTTCCTTGAGAGCACCCACGTGGCTGTGTAAAGAAACGGCCACACCGTTGACTAGTTTCAGATTGGTCCAATCCGTGGTTCCAGATAGACCATCCTGCAGGAGGTCTAAGATATACTCCGACTGAATGATACAGCCATTGCGCCAGATTTGCAGGCAGGCTGCCGGGTTGATGTCCCAGTGTTCGTCTTGCGATGCCCGCGCAATTAGCTCCAGACCCTCGCAGTAGGAGACCAGGAACCCGCAGTACACGGCCGCCTGCAGCGTTTTCAAGAAGCCTGCGGTATCCTGCACCCCTTGTACGAGCCCTGGGCTGGCCATCCGGAGCTTTTCCGCCACAGCGAGCCGCTCCTTGCGATTGCCGCTGGCGACGCGGAGGTAATGAGCTGTGGCGTTGGTAGGTGTAGCGACGTGCCTTAGGGCCGATTCCATCAGCGCCCAGTGAGGCGTCCCTTCGCTGTTATCATCATCCTGGACCACTTTGTCCAGGACTTCATCAAGCACATATTCGGAGCTATCCCCAGCTCCCTCACCGCTACGGTCACCTTCGGGCGTCTTGCGTGTCCGCAGTAACTGTTCACCGATGTCCAGGAGATAAGTGCGTCGAAGCAAGCCCTCCTTATTCCACTGGCCAAAGATATCAGCCACCTGGTCGTAGCTTAGGCCCAGCCCGAAGTGCATGAAAGACCATGCCTCCGCCAGCGTGGACAGCATGCCTCCTTCGATGAAATTGTGGGCCATCTTAACAAAATGCCCCGCCCCAGCGGGTCCGATGCGTGTTACACACGGCTGGCCGGACTGGGGGTCCTTGGCAGCGTACTGCTGCAGCAGAGGCATCACGAGATCCAACGTCTCGGCATCACCCCCAGGGGACAGGCTAGGCCCTCGGCGCGCCGCCTGGTACCCGCCAGACACACCCATGCCAATCCAGTGGACCCCTCGCTCCGCGCACCGGCGCTGGCGCGCCTCCGTCCGGCGATAGTACTCGTTTCCGCCGTCGAGGACAATGTCGCCTTCGGATAGGTCGTCGCTGATCATATCGAGGACGGAGTCGGCGGGGTCACCATGGGTGATGGAAAACATGAAAAGTTTGCGCTTATTGTCGCCGGTAACCAGGCTTCGTACGAATTCGTGAATGTCCTCGAAGCTCCGAATTTGGTCACCTCGTTTGTCTGCTTGCAGGTCTCGCACGAGCCGGTCGATGTTGCTCGTCTTGCAGTCCCAGATAGAGACTTTCAGGCCTAGGTCAGCGAAGGCAATGGCCATTTGAGAGCCCATGCTACCTGCGCCGACAATGCCTATGCGCTGGAAGGGATGTTGGGAAGGCATTTTCGTTAGGCTGGTGGTGGTTCGAATTGTAGGTAAGGAAGTAGTAATCGGGGTTGGTGGGGTTGATTTGCTGTAGTCGCTCTCTAGAGATCCAAAATCGGCCTCCTGCTCATGTCTGAGGAATCTTGAGGTACAGGCCGTGACTAGTCAATGTGTGGAAGCTAGAGAATCGTTCACAATGGCAGGTCATTCTTCTCGTGCTCGTATACCCCTTAACTGTTTTATTATGAATCTAGCATGCACAAACTATGTCATGATGGGTCTGATGTCGCTATGACATAATTTGGGGAACCCTGTGGGGCATATCAACCAGGTTACGATAGAGTCTAGAATGTGGTTCTCATGCACCAGGGGCCATAAATCTTATCACGAGGCTATGAAGAATTGGGACGTTTTGCTAGAGCTTAGTAGTTTGTTGTATTGGACTTCGCTGCCTGGGTAGGTAAGATTGCATGGCAAAATCTCTCCAAGATTTCTCCCATCGCAAGTTAACCTGAAAAGATGATAGAACACCCTCTTTTGCGATGGTATGGGAATTGCTTATTGCCTTGGGTATATTCGGACTATAATGATGTGGGTTTGTATGTGTTCTTGATATTATATTTTATCCATACTAGACATCAGACAAGTCTGACCGCAAAGGTTATAAAAGCGAACCTCACTCAGAGCATTGATCTAACAATTTCTTCATGGCTCGCATAGCTTGCTGGGCAAAAGACCCCATATCTGAAATATCCCTTCTACCCACGCCATCAGGCCCCTTGTCGAAGATCTCCATCGAAAACCAGCCTCTAAACCCGGTTGCCAGCACCGCTTTCGTGACCGATTCAATAGGTAGATACCCTCCATCGTAGGGCATCGGACGTAGACGACTGCTCCACCGCGCCCGCGGTCTCTGCCCTTCAGTCGTGTCATCTGTAGCCAGTGGTTTCGAAGGCTTGTACGCATCCGAGATTTGGAGCAAGTAAATTTTGCTGGCGGGGACCATGTTCCCCAGCTCGCGCATGCTCTGCTGGAAACTTTTCTCCAGCGTCTCGCGCGGAAGATCCTCAATCAGACCCGACTCCGTTGTAGGATCGGCCCATTCTGACCCCGCAGTCTGGAAAGTGTCCAGACACAGCCCGATATTGGGCCTGTCAACGGCGCGCACCACTTCCCAGGCATTTTTCCAGGTCGGCGCGTGAGTCGACCAGCACCAGTTCTCGTAGGCGAGGCGCTTGTGCCCGTGTTGGTCTAGCATATCGCACAGCTCGCGTAGGTCTTCGATGACGCTGGTTTCTGCGTCTGCGGAGAGCCGCTCGCGCGGGATATCGGTTGATCCGACTTGTAAGAGATCCGTGCCTACTGCGTCCATGATTGATATCCAACATTTGGCCCGTTTAAATGCGTCGTCACGATCGGGGGAGCCCCGTGGCCAGCCTTCGAGATGCGCGAACGGCTGTAGCATCATGACTGTGAGTTTGTTGGATTGGCATAATTGGCGGATTTCTTTGGAGACTTTGACTAGCTCCTCGTAATTGTTTGGGGAGACCTGATGCCCGAGGAGCTCGTTGCCGTAGGCCAGTATGTCGGGGAATGAGAGCTCGATCCCCTTGAAGCCTGCTTGGCTTATAGCCTTGAGCTTCGCGGGGAGGGTGTCATCGGGACCATGGCCGATGGAGCAGGTAGCGTAGGCGAGAGGGAGAGTTTCGGTCATATTGGGTGTATGGAATTGGTTAGGTCTCAAGCGACTGGACGATAATTATCTTATATGAGGGTAAATAGCCATTGCGGCGATGCTTTAGGGGTGCCGTGAGGAGCGATGATGTAACCAGAGTCCACGTTCAGATAAGCAGCAATGACGCTATCCCGATGTAACTCCACATATCTGCAAGTTAAATCCGGGTTAGCAAGCCACTCGAAAACAAGGATGGAGTGTCTGCCGATATGTAGTTAGCGAAGGCTTGTTTTTTTCCTCGAAATTCATTTCTTAACCAATATCACACTGTAGCAAAAGTGATGTTTGGATATAATGACCATAAACCATAGTACTTCGGATACTAACTATGAACAGCGTGAAGGATTCTAATCCTAGAATAGATTACCTTATTATGAATCCCACGCAGCTTCCAAGACATCTGCCAGTCTGTCTAAATTGCAAGCCATATCCACAGAGAACTTGCTAAATTGTCCATCTGGACACTATCCAGAGTACTAGCTATGTGAGCTTTCCCTGGGATATCAAGCCAACAATGGACTATAAAAGAATATAGCGTACACCTGTACGGCTTGGCTTTGATGATCTACCGTTGCAAGGGTAAGGGTTGACCGTGTGGTGGGGTTGCAAACATTGTTTTGTCGTATCATAGTCCAGCGAGCGAAGTTGAATCGCTTCGCTGGTTTATTTGGTGATATCTGAGTTCATGAACCAGTCTGAATAGCCCCACGCAATTTTGGCAAAGGGTCTATATAGACCTGATATGTCAACTAATTTTTGACCCTAAAAACTGTCATATTGGTGGATGGTTGATGATCATAAAGAAGGGATCAAAAATCGCGTAGATGCTGAGAAGTGGTGGGGTCTGTATAAGCAGCCATGGAACTTCCAGGTACTATGTAGCTTGTCGAAGAATGGTATGGCAGCTTCAGATTCATTCATAAGATTGGATCTTCCATCCATCAAAGAGATGGATGATGCAGGAAGTTGAACGCAAGGGTCAACCTGAATAGTGTATGCACGATTTGGTGCCTCACACACAAGGCTGCAACAAAATTACATAAAACATGCAAAACAGACAAACATCCCAAACAGGAATAGCGGAAGCACAGATAATCCGGAGACGCGCCTGAGGCTAGCAGGAGCTCAGCGCGGACTTTTGCCTGGGATCGATTGATTTGCTTGATTGCTGTGCCTTTTTGGATTGCAGGATCAACGTCCTCGTTGTTCACACAGTGCCCCCCAGGGCCACAATTAAGCCATTGATATCTGGTACCAATCATCTCTGTCGCAACTATTCCACTCGTTTTGCGTAGGATTGTCGCATTCTTTCGCCAAATCCTTGCGAACGCGGAAGTTTGTTTTTTGTACCGCAATCGCATCCTCTACTCACGAGCATTCGGCAGCCTTGAATCGCGCTCGAATTTCTCAAGAAGGCCGGAGTTCGACCAACAGCATTTTGTCGGCACAGAACACTCTCGGTCTCGTTGTTCAACGCCCAACTCGCCAGGTGGACAAAATAACCGGGGAGAATACCAGAGCTCGTGTCCTTAGGAGCATCGGGGAACCACTCTGTGTTCAACATTTGCGTCTCAGAGTCTAATATATTCGAGATATCTGCGGTCGCGCCAGGCCACGAAGAGGCAGCATCCTGGAAGGGTGACGTCAAGGGAGCAAATAAGGGTTGATCTGGGCTCTGCGAACTTGATCGGCAAGACGCTGGATCAGGTGGTTGCGATTTCGTTGGGTGAGGCCCAAAATGTCTGGTAGCACCCCACGCACATCACTCAGAGGTAATTTTGCCATTTTATCGTCCGTTGAAATGTGTTGACTAACTAGCTACCTCCAGAGGGCTTGCGACAAGCTCCCAAGGTGAACCAGCCTTTTATCCCAGACACAGCACCAGTACGACGGTCCCATATTCATGCCAATCAGTCCCCACAGCCGATAGCCATGTCTCACGCCAATTCCAACTCGTCGGCCAACCCGATGAGCCCTCATATGACGGGCGATAACTGGGATGACCAGAAGGTCCCGTTGTCGATGCGCGAGGTAGCCACGCCAGGGAACAGACCCGGCTTGTTTATGGATCTTCCCGTGAGAACAAAAACAGCCAAGCTGCCAGATTTCTACGATCCTTATTTCCCGCTCAAGTATCTTGAGGTGCCCAAATGTATGTAGGCCCAACCCTGCCCTTCTTGTAAGTGATTCTACGGATATGGCTGACCTCTTGGTATAGCGGACCATATCTACAAACGAGCCCATTATGGGTTACAATCTGGAATCCCCGATGAGGTCGACTTCGCGTTATATCATCTCGTTCAAATATCCAACCAGCGATGGGATAAATTCAAGTTCGAAGGGTTCCCACTACTCGCCGAAACTTTGATGGAGAAGGCTCTGGACGTCTCCGTCATCTGCACTGGTGTCAAATGGGACCTTCAGTACGACTTTCGGGAACCCACCGACCGTGTCAACGCGTTGAATGCGCTGCATGGTACGCGCGATCTGCTAGACAAGATTAAAAAGATCCCAGTCACCTTGCCCCGAGATACACTTGAGACATACGAGTTCGACCACTGTCTTCGGAACGTGAAGGAGGCCACCCTCGTTTTGCGGAATATGGTCTTGCTGAGAGAGAATGCATTCTATGTGTCCCGATATGCCAAGGGGCTCCTAAGAGACTTCCTCGTTATCCTCATCAACCTCCCAGATCAGCCTCGCCTGAATGAGATTCGAAATGACGCGCTGGACATTGCAGAGGAGGTTACGAAGTACCTTCGAACCGACCCAGAGGACCCGCTCTGGATCTCTCTCATCAAATGCCTCGACTCAGCCGATCGTGCTCATGTTGTCCGTGCACTCTGGGCACTTACTCATTTCTCGACCGGGCTAGACGAACCCGATGCCAACCAGGCGTTGGAGCGTACGCCAAAGGAGACTTTGAAACAACTGTACCTGCACACCCTCCTTGACGATGAAGACATCCTAAGCGGCGCTCTGGATTTCTGGTACCAATACACGTTGTCCCGCGAGAACATTGAGAACATGATGGATATCTTCAACCTTGCTATAGTCTTTGTACCACGAATGATCGCCCTGTTAACCCACAACGGAAGGCCTGGCAAGAAAGAAACCGTTTTGCAGGAGGAGAAAGTTGCGCCACCCCCATCAGACATTCCTCGTGTGCCTCCCGAGCTTCTCAAGGACCTCATGGAGCTGTCGGAGCCCGAACGAAGCTCTCGCTGGCTGCGATGCTGCTTCGTCGAGGACCCGGAGTGCGAGATAACGCAGATCGCCTTGTGGCAGGCTTATCAAAGCCGCTTCGTAGACCCTCGAGTCCAAGGCGGTGGTGTCCTGCCAGCAGCGGAATTCATCAAAAACGTGAGCACGACGTTCACCAACGCCCAGGCCCAGGTGATCAACGGGCCTGGTAACGCAACGCGGTTTATCATCAAGGGAATCCGGCCATTGGAGACAGCCCACTCGTTCCAGGGCTTTCCCTACATCTACTGCAAATGGACGGACAATTCCAAGCCATCCAAGACATGTCAGCGCGCGTTTACTACGCCGTCGGATCTCCGCAATCACGTGTTCGGAGACCACATGAAGCTGGCAACAACCGACACGCCTGGCCACTACAATCTGGACAAAGCAGACTCGGCCGTCCATACCTGCATGTGGGACAACTGTACCAAGTTCAGATCGTCCGGGCCTAGTGACAACACTGCCATGGTCGCCGGCCACGTCTCATCGCACTTGCCAGAGGATCGTCCCGAGGGTGCGGATGCGCCGGTCTCGAAGCGTGCGGTGTTGCAGGAGCGCATCGTCCGCAAATGGTTCTATCTGGACACACCGGTCAGCGAGCACGGGGAGCCGGTTGGGGTGGCTTACAAGGCCTCCTTGGTGCTACGCAATCTTGCCAAAAACCTCCCCAACGGCATTGCTCCCAATGCTGACGGCCTGCCCTGGAAGAAGGCTGTCTTCCTCAGCCACCGTCCGAAGATCGTGGAGGTCTGGGACCGCAACCGGCCGCTTCGCAAAGAACTCACCGAGTTAATCATGACAATCGAGAAGGAGGATTACTACTGATAACAGACATCCTGTTGTCAGACGACGAAAGTTCAGCCAGCTCTTTATCTCTCCCTCTTTCCTATCTCTTTCTCTTCCTCCTCGTCGCCGTCATCCACCGTTCATCACTGTATAAATACCCTGGCTTTCCTCTAGTCTTCTTTTCTATTTCCATTTTTCTCAAACTATTATGGTGTTTCTCTTGTTATCTTGTCTTTTCCTTTCCCTTTCTCTTTCTTTCCTCTTTATAAATCTACAACATCCCCCAGACCCGTGCAAAAACTGCGGTGTGGGATGGAGTGAAGCATACGATAATCGGGGGTTGGACACGGCTATCTGCTTACAGGCGTCTGGATCACGAGGTAGAAATGGAGATCGGTGTCGCTTTTCCTCCCTTTTTATTTTCTTTTTAGTCTTAATTTTCAAGTGCTACAACACGTGCTGCTTTTATATCAAGATGTTTTGTATTTTTCATCCTGTCGTCTGGTGTACTTGTACGGTAGTTTGAGACGTCGAATAATACTATCACCACTTGTTTGATTTACAGAATGAGCTAACCATCCATGACTACCCACGGATTGATTATATTCTACATTGATATACAGAGCTACCTGCCTAGTGGGGTATCTCAGACCAATCCACACTTCCATAGACATCATCAATGAAGTTCTCATAGTTCAGCCACGACAGTTCCTCCCCACCCCCCATATCCGAAAAATCAAGCGTGTCCCACACGCTCGGCCACGCTACAACCCCCGGCTCCTGCATACTCTCCGGCGTGGCCAAATCCGGCGCTGCGACTGCTCCCACGCCGGGATCCGCGCCCTGTTGTACGGGAATGTCCTGCGCGGCAGTCATGGACGGCTGCATCGCTGTTGATACGGGCAAACCAGCAGTCCTGGGTAGGGGATGACGCTGCAGTGTCTCTCTCTTCGCCTGGGCCCGACCCATGAGTTTCTCCATCGGCTTCCAGAGCATGCCCTGGCGGGAATCGGCTACGAGCCCGCCCAGCCGGCCGTACGCGCGTTCGACGGGCGCCCAGAACATGTCCCACAAGAAGGGGTCGTCGCAGATGCACAGCTCCGCGATGGCGACTGCTAGGCCGTGCCACGGGACGAACATGTGGCCCATCCAGCGCCAGGGGTGCGCGCGGGGGTCGTCGACGAGCGCTTGGGATTTGGTGAGGACGTCGACGGCTGCTTGGAGGAGGTGGTCGCTGCGGATGCGCGGCGGGGTGAATGTTGCGATGCGTTGGAGGGGTCGGAGGGCGAGGAGCTGGATCGCGGCGTAGGTGCATTCTGTGGCTTGGCGGGTGAACCAGTGGAAGGGGATTGTGGCTGGTTGGGCGTGGTGGAGGAGTCGCGAAGTGGTCTGCTGGAAGTCGATGACGAGTTGTTGGCGCGTGGGCATGGATTTGACGGCTGGTTCGACAAAGTCGGAGTAGTTGAGAAGTCGGCTGACGCGTTGGGCTTGGAGTGTCATGAGGTTGTAGGTCATGTCTGTCATGTAGGGGGATTCGCGCGGTGGGGCTTCCATGTCGTAGGTGAGGTCGCTGTCGTTGGTGTTTGTGGGCGGGTGCGATAGTAGCCAGCTGGCTTGCATCATGGGCTCGGAGGCCCGGTCGACGGCGGATTGCATGTCGAGGAAGCCAATTGCGAGCCAGAGCCTGCGGCGCATTTCGCGGTCGAAGGGCCGGACGGGGAAGGGTGGCTCGGCGAGGTGCAGATAGAGGGCTTGGGCGACGCGGAGCGCGATGCTTAGCATTGTCCAGACTCGGCGGCTGCGGTCTTGGAAATGGGAGGACAGCTGGGTATGGTGTCAGATACCGGTGGTATTCTTCAACTGGTTTTGAGTGAAAAGGGAGGGCCCACCAAGGAAAGGACAAATGCCTGCAGGACGGTCAGGTCGTTGGTGGTTACGACGTCGGCATTTGCCAGAGCGGACTCGCACTCCTTCTGGTATTTTGCCATCATCGAGCTCTTGCTCTGTTGGAATATTTGCCAGCACTCGTCTTCCTCGACGCGGGAGATCGCTGAGTAGTAGATCGCATGAGCGAGCGCTGTGGGGGCTTCATGTCCAGGCTTGTAGTCGAGGTAGGGCTTTCCATCCAGTAGGAAGGCGCTCACTGATGGACGATGGAGGATCTTGAAGCAGGGATCAACTCTTTGGAGGAATAGTTGACACAGTGTTTTCTGTGTGGAAGTCGTTCGGAGAGCGTCTCTGCTATTCAATGGTGGATTGGGGCTGTTCTGGTGGCCATGGGCCATTGACATAAGCCGCTGATAATCAATGCTGTCAGACACATTATCTCCACTGCCCTTTACCTGTTCGCAACAGTCAACAGATATTCTCGACTGTAGTCACTGTATCCCAAATAGAGCATATCTGGAATTATCTGCTTACTTGCTTGAGGAGCTCGGCCCAGAATGAGACTCCCAGGTAACGATCTGGTTGATCGTCCGTGCTTTCACTCGCCGCGGCACCATATCTACTGGACCCTCCGTCGCCCGCAGCCCTCGGAAAGCTTTGTTCACCTTGGCCCCAGACAGTCCTCGAAAATCGTTCCGTTGAACCGGGTTCAGCATCACTCCCGCTTACCGCTTTGCGAACGAGCTCCTCCAGCCTCGATACACGCTCTCGCAGGGTTTCGTCCTCGTCCGGCGTTTCTCGGGCTGAGTGTCTACTTGACTTTCCCCGTGGTAGACGAGCCCGCTGAACTGGAACACATGCAGCCCCATTCCGCTGGCAATTGGTGCACGGGTCGAGTTTGTCACATTTCACCTTCCGTTGACGGCACAGCTCACAAGTCAGGCGGACACTGGCTTTGGAGCCAGGATTGGATTGAGATGGAGACTTGCCAGCTTTGACCGACCTCAGACGATCTGCCATGGCCCAAGCCGCAGTAAAAAATTCCGGACAGCAGATGGCCCAATTACGCCTATGGATGATGGTTAGATGGGATCCATTTGCAAGTCAGAGAAATTGGTATAAATCCAATAGTCTCACTTAGAAGTGGATCAAATATGGAACATAATCATTTTTGCACAGGCCGTACCATACCACGTGGTGCCCGACTGAGTTGACTAGTCAGGAACAAGACAAGCGTTGAGGAGATGAGGCTATATTGGGTCGAAGTGGATATGCCTGAGGAATAAACTTGATACAGACTAGGCCGTTAACGGCAAGGCGTCATGTGATTCTAAAAGGGGTTTAGCGCGTCTTCGTGCTCATCTTTCAGGCTTTCAGTCCCGAAATTCCCATCGTCCCAATGGTTTCCACCTCATCGGTTATTCGGTCTTTCCTGTTACTATTCTTATCTTGGAGTACAATGGCTTGCCCTGAACCGTCAATGGCAGTTGCCACGGGAATTCAATCGGCAACACCGGGGAATAGCGTCGGAATGTGCCCGTCCTGCTGAACATCAAATATCAGGCCAGAGACCTTTTCTTATCATGATCGTATAGACTAGATTTCCCGCCAAGTCATATCAATGCGGTTTATCATTACTATGGTCGCGCATTATGGGGCCGTCGGAGCACTAACACTGAGACATGGCTCCTCTTCAAGGTTCACCCATCCTCGATCGACCCTGCTAGACCCTCTCACGAGGCCGACTCTGCGGTTCCAATTCCCTGGGTGGAAAAGTCTATCGATCCGACTAACCCAATTCTTTGAAAGGTCGCGACGCTAGCTAGTCAGTCACAACTTGCGTGTCGTAACAAAGTTCTCCACGGATTCCAAAAGGTCGAGTCTCCACTTTGGGCAAATCGTCTAGTGTCCATCCACACGGAACCATCATCGTCACGTTGGGGTGCCGTAGGAAGGTCCTGCCGTCAGTGTTCAGTGCTGGCGGATACACTCCGAAGTTCATCCATACTACGATCGGCAATGATCGTCATTATCGAGTAGTTATGATGTACAGAATCGCAGCCAAACAGTGGCGTCAAGAACTGCCTGGTTGAGAGGACAAAAGGGGCCGGCCAGACGGCTGCAGAAGGCGCGTTTGGATAGTTTGGTAAGGACCCTGATTGTGACAGTGGCGACGCTATTGTCAACAAGTAAGTCTCTTCCGCGGATGACAGACTCGACAACGCCATTGATCCATGGTTTGCCACCTTCCCCTCGCTGCAGATCTCCACTCCATGACATTGTCGAGCCCACTAGAACCAAGGTATCTATCTGTTCATCTAGCTTTCTTCTGTCTCATTGGATCCATGTGTGGTGTTGTTTCCACCCCCTCGAGTAGGTTCATGATGAATCCTATGCTTAGTGATCCCACGCAAGAATTCCTCTCGGTTTGTTGTAAGAAAACCTCAATGATTATGCAAATAAGTATTTTAGAACTAACTAGTACTACAGAGCAATCATGGTATTCGCAGAGGTGATATCGTTTGACATTATCTACATTCATGAGCACGGGTGGAATGTCACATGACCACATGCGGCTAATCAACCGTTTCAACCGGCGGCAATTCAAACGACGTTCGTTCTTGATCCAGGCGGAAAAAAGACCTTTAAGTACATACTGCTTTCGGTGTATCTCCGGTGGGCATCCATTCACATGTCCCCTATAAAAATATAGTCCGTTATTGGTGGATCGTCGTCTCCGAAGCAGTATTCATTGAACTTTGTCATGGATAGTGCACCACTGACTCTTCATGATCTACCAAACGCCCATGCCTTCTGGGCTATTCTTCATTTCGCTAGAGGCCATCCTGGGAACTACGGTCCCGTTTGAAATCCATGCTCGCTACGGAGTACCTCTGAAACAATATCTGCACTAGCTTCCAGCTTCCTATTCAGTGCAGTTGACCAATGTCTGGATGGGGTCACTGGAGTGGCTCCTTCGCGGGGAGTCATGTCTGGTACCCGTGGGTACCGGACTTTCAGGGAACGAACTGTCGTTGATTTTATCCACGCCAAGCTTCTCATAGGTCAGGGCTGTGTCTCCCCCATCTTTCCGGCCTCTCTCCTGGTCCTGGCCCTTGCAGGTTTTAACGTCCTTGTCAATGCCATCCAAACTTTATGGCTGGATGGTCTCCACGTCCGTGGATCAGTCTTGGGCTCGCTACAAATGCGATCCCCCGCCCTCTAACTGCATGTCGCCCGCTAGATTTCTTTCCCCTGGCCAATCTCTTTTGCATTTAACTTGGTCTCCACGCCTAGCTATGTCGCTTTGGCTGGCTTTTTAATTTTATCTCACAACTTTATCCTCGTCACTCTTTTCGGTCGACAATTTTGTCAAGGCCGCTCTCGTTTGAGATCGAATCTAGAAGGGATGCTGTATGTTCGATTGCTGTCCAGATTTTGAAAGCGGTTTCTTTCCTTGGTATTTTCTCGGTTCGCGGAGACATTCGCTATTACATACATTCGACTGGATCCCTATCAGCAGTCTTCAGTCCTGGTCTACCTTGATTTTTTCCTCTCCTGTTGAGTAAACGGGGTGAACCACTTCCCAATCTTACAATGTCAATCGGCGTGGCTCGTGGCCGGGAGGCCCTTGTAGTCAGCGCTATATTCACAACTTTATCTACAATTCTCACAGCGATCCGCATTTACACACGGGCCTTCCTGGTGAGGCAAATGGGATCTGATGACTGGTCTATCATTGTGTCTTTGGTGAGCTTGACGCGCGGTGGCTAAATCGATGAATGCAAACCACTGACCATCACGTCCAGGCCTTTAGCTGGGGGTTCTTCGGTCTTTTTGTTGGAGGTGTGTTTTTATCCACTGCTTGGTCGGCTGAATTGGGTCCCAATGCTAACGTTCTTACCAGAGACCAAATACCTGATGGGTGAACATTTTTTGCTCATTCCCACGGATATCTATACCAAACAGATGATGGTAATAAAAAGCCTCTGACTTCGTCGCGCGCACAATATTTACTAACTTACCATGTTGTCAGTGTTTCTGGGCTTCAGTACCCATCTACCAGGCCAGCCTAATCACCACAAAAGCCTCAATCCTTCTGCAATACAGACGGGTGTTTTCAACAACCCCCCGGATGCGATTCGCCTGCTGGTGTTTGATTGGATTTCTCGTCGTTTACGGAGTATGGGTCTTCATTAGCGCGTGGCTTAACTGTATCCCCGTCGCAAAGTTCTGGGATGACGATATTCCGGGATACTGTCTCAACAAGAAGGCCCTTTGGTTCTCCAACTCGGGAATCCACATCTTTACCGATGTTCTGCTCTTGATCTACCCTATGCCAGTCCTACGAAGCCTTCAACTCCCGAAGCGGCAGAAGTTTGCGATCATGGGAGTCTTTGCCCTAGGGATATTGTAAGTCTTGAGTCTCCGACCACGTCGCCCTCATCATGGGGTGGAATAGAGAACCACTTACCAACAATAATGAAAAAAACAGTGTCCTGATCACAAGTATCCTACGCTTGAAGAGTCTCCTCGTCATCTCCAACTCCGCCGACCCAACCTGTACGCACCTCTCCCACTCAATGCACACCCCTATCCCATCCCATCTCATCCCAAACTAACCCCCAACCCACACAAAAACAGACGACAACCCCTCAGCAGCAACCTGGTCCGCAGTCGAATGCAACGTCGCCATCATCTGCGCCTGCCTCCCCGCCACAAAAGCCTTCATCTCGCGCCTGGTCCCCCGATTCTTCTCCACCGGCGGCAACACCTACAAGTACCAAAGCAGGAGCAAATACATCGACACCCACGGCGGCGGTGGCCGCAGCCACAACCCCCACGTCTCCAACGTGCAGACCTCGATCGCCGCCTACAACAACCGGCCAGAGTACCACATGAGCACGCTCAAGAGCCCGAAAGACCCGCGCACGAACAGCGTCGATAGCAAAGTTTCGTCTTCCTCGGGAGGAGAAGATCAGGCCCAGCGCGGCGAAATCAAGGTGACGACTATGATTTCGACGCAATTTGGTTCGGGGGCGCCCCGGGATGGAGACGATGACTCGAGTGTGCAGAATTTGGTGCTGAAATGAGTGGGGTTTCCCAATTATGAATTCGGCCTCTGCCTATTTTGGTCTTGATTTTGTTTTTGCTTTTTCGCTTTTCGCTACCCTTTTCTATCTATATATACCCTTGTCACGGCGTACCATTTCCCGCTTATAGAATAGCCATTGTTTATGCGCTATTCATTCTCCACTTTTCTTTTTCTCTTCTTCAATGCTTATGGTCATCATGTCTTTCTAATCATATATACCTACCTGTTTTACCGATCGAATCGCTTAGTGGTACCTGAGCGCAAAAATGTGGAGTTTCATTTGTTGAAGGCTCTATTCACCTCTATATCCGCTCTCCACACTAAGTATAGGGTACTGTCTTAAAAGCAGAGGGTTCGAATCTCAGTATATACATGAGTTTATCTGTTGTAATGATAATATTGATAACAAACAGGTCACCGCGGGCCATTTGCTAAAATATTGCTAGTAACGTTGGACGAAACCAAGCTTATTTCATTCCTATAATCATTTTATCTATTACCGTTATCTCTTATTTATTTGCATTTCTCGCGCAAAGCCGAGAAGAAATGATGGTCGTTGTTGACGCGTTGGAATAGTTAGTCTATTTTGTTCATGGAAGACAGACACCGCCCGGTTTACGCCCTTAACCCGGAACACTGAGAGGATGCAGTATCACAAGGGAAAACAATCCGAAAAAGAAGAAAGGCGGCAATAAACAAGAATCAACAGAAGATTGAATGATATTTGCGATTTAGCGCTCAAGTCTAAATATAACACCAACTATGTGCAATTTATGTAAAAAAAGAGATCAAGTCGAAGCGGATAAATCGGGATAGGAAAAAAACTACTCCCAGACATTAGAGAATAAATCATCAGCCCCGCTAAACCCGCCAGCCGGTTTAGGTGGAGGAGCACTCGTCGTAGTGGTGGCCGCGGGGACCGGAGCCGCGCTGGTCCAGCCGCCAAAGTCCTCGTCCGTGGCCACGGTGGGCGCGGGCTTCGAGCTGGCCGCGGGCGAGGAGGCCTGGGCACCCCAGCCGCCGCCGAAGTCGTTCGGCGTCAGCGTGTCCGGTACCTTCATGGTCGAGGATGGCGCTGCAGCAGGCGCCGGGTCCGGCGTGCTCCATGCATTTCCGCCCCACGGGTCGATAGTGGCCGGCATTGCGCTCGCCACACTGGCAGTCACGGGAGACGCGGCGGGTTTCGGAGCTGTCTGGAGAGGTGGAGGGTTGAGGTTGAACGCGGAACTCAGTTCTTGTTGAGGGGAGATGGCCGGTGGGGGCGGTGATCTTGCGGCAGTCGAAACCGGGGGGGAGGAGAGTCCGAATAAGTCATTGGACGCCGCGGGGGGTGGGTTCGGCTTGGAGGGCGGGGGCGATGCAAACCCGCCAAATCCGGAATCAAAGGCGTTGGACGAGACCGAGGCATTGCGGGAGGCCTGGGGTTTCGCAGGCGGGAACGTCGGGGAGGTGAGACTGTCGAATAGACTGCCGCCGCCGCTACTAGCGGAAGCTGCCGGGGAGGTAACCTTGGGAGCCGCCGGGGTCGCCTTTGTATTGTTGAAACTGGTCAGGTTGGCAAACGGCGATGGTTTCTCGGCCTGCTTCGGAGGGGCCGGAGACGTGGTCGACGGGAAGCTCAGTCCACTGAAGGCATCAGTCAGACCGCCCATATTGGACGATGAGGCGGACTGCGGCGGTGGTGGCGACGCCATATCCCCAAAATCGCCGAAAGACGGAGAGCGTTCATGCTGTGCCGGAGCCTGTTGAGGCTGAGGTTTCGAGTAAAGAGAGAGAATCGACTGCTTCAAGTCCGGCCTAGACGATCCCGTGGTGCCACCGGGTGTAGACGAAGTGCTGTTCGGGCGACTGGGGGGGGCCGGCTGAGTGCTGCCAAAGAAATCCAGTCCAAGCAACGAGTCTCCCGGGCGCGCGGCGGCTTTAGAAGCAGCCTGAGGCTGGGCTCTGGGCGCGGGTCGAGTCGCGGGGTCGGTTGTGCTGGGACGAGCGGGGGGGGCAATGTGGTCGTCGCCGAAGAGGTCGATGGCCGGTTGGGGCGCACGACGCGTTGGGGGTTGACTGGCCGTTGCGGTCCGCTGCGATGCCGAACGCTCAATCTTGGCCTTTTCCTGCACAACCGCGAGGGGCTATTGGCACCGGTTAGTGGTCAGATGGCAATCAAAAGGAGGTATTCCACGAAATTACTTACGACGTCGTCATCGCCAACGTCCAAGGTGGAAGGGTCGGGCATTCCACCGTCCATCACCCACCGCTTGGATTCGTATTTGGTCCGAATGAAGTTCTCGATCTTACTATTCCCAGTCGTTCATTAGCGATAGACGAAGCGCCGGCGGTCCAGAGTTCCACTTACGCTTCTGCCGGAACATGCCCAGGAGCCAACTTCGCCTCCCAATATCTGTCATCCAGTCAGTCGCCTGAAACCACCGATAAACACCACACCGCAAGAAAGAACGCACTTATTCGCTCTCGCATTCCCCCATTTCAACACACTCTGGAGCTGTTCGTCGGTCCAGGCATCGAGATCCACGGATTTGACCCGACTGATATGGGTGCCCATGCCGCGATGGATACCCGAGCAGCGGATACAAACGAAGATGCCCAAGTTCCATGACGCCCACCGGGGGTCTAAAAGAGTCCATTGTCAGCGCCTGACACGGGAACTGCATTATATCACAATATTGAATCCTCCAATTTCGACATCGAGCAACGGTGGCGCAATAAGAACCAGATCCCGGACGCGGGGGAAGGGGGAGGGGCCAAGGGTCCACTTACGCTTATTGCGCTTGCAGTCGGCACATATCTTGTTTGAATCGAGTTTCAGCAGATTCTTGATCGTCTGCTGATTCTGGGCAGCCTGGGAGGGAGTTGGACGTCGAGACATTAAAACGGCCGTTGCGAGGAAGGCAATGCAGAGGGTGGAAGTGTAGGGGGGAAGAAGGTGAGGTTGAAACAGAGAAGCGGATGAAGGAGAAAGAGAAATGTGGCGTCCAGCGGGCCCGACGGCCTGAGGCGCGCTTCATGCCCGATCCGGTAACCCGCACGTGCCAGAGCCGCATTTCATTTAGATAGAAGTAGAAGTATCGATACTTTGAAAGGTGGAGAAAGTAGACAAAAGTATAATTGACGACATAACAGGGAATTCCAATGTACGGTCAATTCATACCATATGGAAGTGCCCCATATTCCCATCCCAGGACAGCCACGCAAACCGGTCAACCAAACCCAAATATACAATCCACCAACTACTACCAAACAACACCCCCTCAAGCCTTCGCCTTCGGCTCACCCTCCTGAAACTTCAAACTAACACTATTCACACAATGCCTCTCATCCGTCGGGGTGGGATACCCCTCCCCCTTAAACACATGCCCCAAGTGCCCCCCACAGTTACTACAGGTAATCTCCGTCCGCTCCATCCCAAACGAGCTATCCGTATGCCGGGTGACAGCCCCCGGGATGGAATCAAAGTAAGCTGGCCAGCCGCACCCGGACTTGAACTTCTGATTCGCCGTGTACAGCGGTGTGTGGCAGCCTGCGCAGGCGTAGACGCCTTCGGCAGGGTAGTGCGCGTCGTATTCGCCTGTTCCGGCGCGCTCGGTGCCTTTTTCGCGGAGGATGCGGAATTGTTCTGTTGTTGTTTTCGTTAGTTATCCATGTTTTAGGTGCCTAAAGTAGGTGGGCAACTAGGTTGGTGGTTAGCTGGTAGAGGGGGGAGGGGACAAACCTGGGTTGAGGACAGCGCGCCACTCGTCGTTGCTGCGTTGGTCGGGGTAGGACATGTTGTTCTGCGCGGCACTGGAGCTGAAAGATGAACCCATAAATGGTATGGTGGGGGCTGCTTTGAGAAGGATCGTTCGAGTTATGGGGAATGAAAAAGAGTGGGTGGGGGTGAGTCGAGGGAAGGCGGGTTTGACGATGGCGGACGCGGGGTGCGATTTGAGGGGTTTGGTGACAGTGCGGAGGGCAGCGGAGAAGCCTGGGATGCGCATCGGGGTGGTGGGTCAATGAAGTTAAGGTCTCCCGAAAGTATTGATTGATTCCCGAGCGGTAGCTGAGTCTGGTATTCTTCGTGGAAAGGGTTTGAAGAGTTAAATTGGTGGAAGTTTCAACAATTTAAATTGTTGAGGTCGCGAGAAGATGTCGCTTTTCCAATTTACGTCATCGGGTATCTCTGCTATACTACGACAACCACGTATGCTACAGCCTCCTATAAGACGTTAATTTCTCTGTAGTACTCCACGTAAAACGTATTGTCTAAAATAAAATCGAGTGTTTTTGTTCAATGTGAAATATATGCATTTGTACCCCGTCCACGGTAAAAAAGTACAAAATACCGAGCACAGTAGATAAGTACATAGATGGCGCCGACATCGAGCGCGAAGCAAAAAACGCGCGAGATGGGTATCATAGCATAGTCACAACAGTAAATGCAAAACTCAAATCAACAAGACAAACACAGTTAGCGATGTCGAACCGGTCCCAAAACGGTCAGGACCCCCTGGCCCACAGCGACCCTCCACCCTTCACGCGCCAGCATCTTCCCCACGGCCGGCCCCAGGCGAGAGGTGCCATCGTGGCTATGTCGGCCGAGTCCCGTCACAATGCGATAGCCTCCGCCAGCGCCTCCGCGCATGTATTTCGAATCGCCCAGGGAATCCCACCAGTCGGAGACGCGATCGCTGGCGATGCGAACGGCATCCTGGACCGAGACTCCGTGGAGGTCGAGCATGTCCGAGGTAGACTGGGAGTGTACGAGCGCGTCGGCGGCATCTGAGGCGTCCCGTTTCGCCCGTTCTAGATGATCGCGACCTACGGCGGAATAGTATGCGGCGGCGCCGCCCATCAGTCGGTCAGACCTGCCGCGGCGATAAGCCACGGACGCTTTCGACAGTGCTTCGGCGCTCGCGGTGAAATGGGCCCCCGCGGAGCTCCTTGCGCGATCGAAATCCCTGGCGACTCGTGTGCTCCTGCTCCGTGGCAGGGACGTTTCATCGTCAAGATCTAGTGGTGGCGGGGACGCAGTGAACTTGATCAAGTCTGACACCGAGGAAGTCATTGGGCTGGTGATCATGGCGGCTGCCAGTTCGCTGGCCGCCGACACGGAGCCCCTGGTTACCTTGAGCAACCCAGCCGACATCGTCGGTGCCACAGACGGAAACTCCTGGGTTAGTTCGGCAACCTGTGTGACCAGGACTGAGTCCTGGTTGATCTCTTGCTCATCCTTGGGCGCGTGCTGCTCTGCCAGAGCGCGAATTGTCACAGGCAGCGACGCCCCATTGGTATGGTAGGCCGACTTGACCGTTTCCTTCTTCAGGATGGGCGCAGTCCTGGAATGAATAAAATCCACATCCTTCTGCGCAGCGTCCCACTTATTGACGGCGGGACCTACACCGGGCGAGTCCATCGCAGACCCAGAATCCACCGGAGACGACACGATCGAGCTCTGCTGTTTATTTTTCTTCTGCTTGTTCCTGCGCCCTTTCTTGCGCCCGGTCTCCCCGGTGTTGTTCCCAAAGCCATCCACGCCCTTGGGGATACAGACTTTATCCTCCTCGTCGTCCTTACCAGACTGCTCGTCGAAGAAAGCGAGGTTGAGAAGAACATCCATCGATCGCTCGAGGTCTCCATCGGCCTTTTCCAAAGTATGCCGGATCGTGAAGTCCGCTACTGAGGGGAACATCTCCGTCAGGCAGTAGATCTTGTCCTCCTGCTTTGCGCCCGACAGAGCGAGCGACCCATCAGGCCCAACGATATACGAGACATCTCTTCTACCCCCCTTGGAACCCTTATCGCCAACACTGACGGAGGAGAAATCGGACGTCAGGCTGGTAATGTCGGTTTCGCGCGACCGTGCGTCATTCTGGGACACGCTGCGCTCGGACAGGATACCGTCAAGGTCTTGACCAGTCGTAGAGCTCAGCCCGCTCGTGCCCGACGGGTCAAACGGAAGATCCTCCTGCTCCCACGCGGAGAGCTTAAGCGCATCGAGCGTATCGCGAAGTTGGCGCAACTGGGTAGAATCCGCAACGTCGTAATCGAAGGCGATCGCGGTGAACAACGCTGCGTCAAGAGGTGGGCAATATTCCTTCTCCAGTTCCTGAAAATCCACAAGACAAGTACAACTCGTTAGCCAAGCCCCCTCCACATCTGTCATATCGCCTTCCCCCTCCCAAGGAAACCCCAGTTCAACCGCTCAAGCGGGGCGAGGGAGAGCCAACTGACATTTAGAGGGCTCCCGCCCTTGTCATCCATGTTTGAAGTCGCTACTGGTGCCTGTGTGTCGCAAATGTATTCGGGGTGTCCTGTGCATGCCTCTGTAGATCGCGACCAGGAAGCTGTTGTTTTTTCCAAACAAACCCACAAGCTGGGGATCAGAGCGACTAATATACAGCGTTGGACTGTGAGGGGAGAGCCGAGAATCCACTTGGTGGGGGGGATTTGATTAGGCTGGTCAGTTGTCGATGACATAATCGCTCGTATCGCATCGTATAAACCGCCACTTATTTGCGACTTGTAGTATCGCGTTGTCGCCTGGTTTATTGTTTGGATTTTCTGATAGATGGTTGTTATATGAGAGATAGGATGTTTCGGAAATACAGAAGGTTGCTTAGAATGTGTACAATAAGCCACTGAAATGATTTTACTTTTAGCCAATGAACTATCAGACCAAAACACTTCAACAAATATCATTTCATCAAAGACTAACTGCAACTATCTAGGTATCAATAGAGACATGGTCAGTTGAATGGCAAGCCTTGCTCATGCTACCAGTGTCTAGATAGTGTACCCCCATACAAGTGAACTAGCCTCCGCCAAGTACATTGCAAAACAAAAAGCCAGTGATACACCCAGTACAAGAATCCATTTGGTCCATTCCAAATAGTCTCTCCATACACAGCTCACTACCCAGACTAATTGGCAATTTGATCGAAAATGACAATGGCATCAACACCGGGAAGGTCCACCTCCAGCGGTCCCAGGGCAGCAAGCTTGCTTCCCAGAGTCTTGGGGTCCGAATGGTCGCCGGCGGTGCTGCCGGCGTCGGTTCCTTCGAACTCGCCTAGGCGTTTCTTCAGGAGCTCGAACAAGGCCTTGCGCATGAGGTCGAGAATGTTGGGAACGAGAGAAATCTCGCCGCCCTCCTCGAATGCAGCCCTAGCGACGGGCTGCACGGGAGCAGAGGCCTCCGAGAAGTCGCTGTCACCGAACGGCGGCCATCCGGGAATGATGCCCTGCTCGTTGTAGTAGCTCGCGGGGGGCGCGGCGAGGACGGAGCCGCAGAAGGCGACGACGAGTGCGGCGGTATGGAATTTCATGTTGAAGGTTGGTGTGTAGGTGGATATGTTGAAGGTTGCGAATAACACCTGATAGGAGAAGTGGTAGATAGAACGAGTCTGCTCTTTCAATAGAGTGTATGATTGAGCGATGGGCTTGCAATGGTTGAGAGTCTGAGGGGGCGTTGGCCAACTTATATCTTTCAGACATCTTAAAGATTGTCTGACCTGGTTTTCTAGATTGGCTGTGTAGATGGAAAATTGAGGCACACTGGGCTCAAGCACTAGATACAGCCTAGTGAAGGAGAAAAGGACTGTTTGCTCGACCTGACTATGTCGGGCAACTGATGACTAGCTCTACCTGAGCAACCAGACCAGACGAAAGACAATCTAGTCGAAACATCTATGTTCTTCAAGGGAAGAACAGGTCATACAAGGGTCAATCAAAGCGCGTCAACCAAGCCATGGCAAAAGTAAAGCTTATCACTCCAAAGTCACACACCCTCTGCTGAGGAGGGTGAATTTGTCGCATGGTAACGGGCATCTCAGGATATCAGCCCGTTGTTTCGCATTTCGGCCAATTGTTTCGGCGTTTTGAGGTATTTACTGCTGGGGTAAACACAGCTCCGGGGTGACACTCGAGCGACAGCCAGAGATGAGATGGGTTGCCGCTTAGGCCTCAGTGTCACTATCGCCATGCCTTCTGCTGGTGACTGCCTGTCTGACAGGGCGTATTCAGAGTTTCATTCAAAGAATGGCTCAACATTGTCGAAAAGATCTTTGGATCTAGCGTTACCCTTACATTGATGCTTTTTCCGTAGAACCACAACGGAATGAGCTGTTCTGGGTCCCTCTGCTGTCTCCTGTGCGATGTCTAGTAAAAGAAGATATAAAGAGGAGGGAAACGAAGAAAGTGACAGGGAAAAAGTCAGTTCAATCACCAATTGGTTTCACTTGCAGTGGATTTTGGTTCAGTTGTACACCCAAATCAAACCAGACGGTGTGGTACCGACCATGGTGCTGGTAGGGCAAATATTGTGGAACTATATTTGAGTGACGCCAGTGTCCTAGGGCTATGGGTCTGATACCTACTAGAATCAGTTCCGAAGGGGCAATTTGTATCGACGAGGCATGCAATTCTATGTTTTTTTTTCTTCTCGTCTGCTTCTATTTCAGGACCTAGATAGTCTATGGTTGAGCCCTAATATACATTTTTGAATAAGGCAGCCCTATCACTGTAGCCAGGGTAGATTGGGGTTAGTAGGTCTCCAATAATTAGCGTAGCTTGTTCTATTTCCCCATGAATATGGAGCATATAATCGCGGTGACGTTTGATCGTGAAATATATCAATGGTAATTGAATTCAAGATAGTGGCAGGAGACGTGAAGCCAGGACGACTGATTATCGATGCGCTTCGTTGCGCTGCTCGTCTCACCCACGTGCTCAGATAAGGCCATACCCTTCGGACACATACCTCTAGATACTCCATATACATAGCGGTGAGACTGTAATTTGTAAGTTGGTGATCTGTCTTGGTGCCGGCTTCGTCATCGTCTAGATCTAGAAGACCGTTCTTAGGTTGAAGAGAGGAAGGCGTATAGGCAACTCAGAGATACTGAAGCCGCGACTTGTGATTTTGTCAAATCTGCGATCATGTGCAAGGTCTATGAAGCTCTTCATGCCGGTCCTCGTAAGCAAGACCCGGAGTTCTGGAGAGTCCAACATCCTTGGGGATGCGTCAGTTATTATTAGTTCGGGGAGAGATGCTGAGTACAACTTCAATCAACATGGTGCGACTGGAAACGTGGAAACCTGACTTCTGCGTCAAATAGAGACACCGATGCACATTGTAGATGTCTAGATTGCAGTCTAGACTATGTATGCGTAACTCTGCTTGCATCTACGCTGTTGCGCCGAGCCTCGATGTCTATGCCGATGGCAATCAGCCTGCTAATAATAGAGTCGTCATATTTTCATCCGACGAGTCTTTCTTTCGACAACTCGTATTGGTGTTATCGGCCCACCGGTAAGCCAACGTTTCTGATCGAGGTCGGTTGGGGAGGGAAGAACATCGGTGGCCGAAGTCACTAGTCTGTGGCATCACATATGACGAGTTCGATTACCTGCACCAGATGCACCTGGAGCAGCGGTTCTCTGACATTGGATTATTGGATTTGTCCGAGGTAACTTACGTGCGCGTCTTCTTCCTTACTTTCCATGAACATACTATTCCGTACACGGGAATTGGGTTTGGGACCGACCAGTACCGAGAGTTCGTTATTCTTCCCACTCAACGGTCAAGTCCTGACCAAGTGCTCCACTGGGTCGGTACATATGACCCAAGCGATGGCGTGTTATCCTGCAAAACAAGATTCTCGGACCATGAACGAAATAGTACACCTTCTGTGCCTGGTAAATAGTGCACTCATGATGCTGCAGTAAGTTCCCCTACTCATGCGCCAAGGGATCTTCGACCCATCAGATCATGGTTCCACAGTGGATGTCGTTCTGGGAGCCCAGGTGGTCATCTCACGACCTTCCTGGGCACGATGTTCTACATCCTTGAAGGGGGACAGTGAACGTGACGTCGAAACGGTCCCTGGAGAACATCTCCTTGGAAGGGAGGAAACCTCCTGCAAGAGGGATTACCACCCTGTCATCCATAGACCTCAAGGTAGTGAACTAAAAGAGGAATATTAACCTGCAGATGAATTTAGCTTTAGCCAATCAAATAGATTGTAGGAAACGCCTGTGGGAAACTTTGGACTCTCCCTGGCCAAGCGATGGGATAAAGATGGCTGGGCCTGGGATGAAGGACAGATCATCTGTCGGGCCCCTCGCTTCCCTTTGCTTGCCGCTGCCTGCATCAACGATTATTTTCTCCTATCGGTCAATCCAGGGTAGGAAGTCAGAAAATGAAATTCAATAAAAAGTGAAGGGAAAAATGAAAAAAGGAAGAAGACAGGGAAACGAGGAGTAGAGGATATCAAGGACGTGGGCGGATGAACCTGGTCGAGGCTGAGTCCGGTCAAGTATAAAGCTGCTTCGTTCTCCCCAGTCGATTTCTCGATTATCATCTTCTGTCTAAGCACTTCTTTCAATAATATTTTAATCTAACATATATCGGACGTCTGGTCTTTTTGAACCGTTCACCATTTGCATTCTCTGCCATCTTTGATCTCCCCTGTTCTTTGTGATACCCTAGTATCTCGTCTCTTCATTTTATATCCCTGACCACCATGCGTTTCAACATCTTTGCCCTTGTTGCCTGCGCTGTCTCGACAGTTGGTATGTGCCTTTGCTATGCGTTTGATTCTGTACTGGAAGACGCTCGAGTTGCTAACAAGTTCAAACTATACAGCTCTCACCATCTCTGCGCCTAATCAGGACGACAAGGTGGACCTGAGCAAGCCCTATGAGATCAAGTGGAGGAACGTGGAGTACGCTTGGCCCCATTCAAATCAATCATTTCAGTATCACTGACTGACTTGGTCCAGCTCGGATCCCACCACGTTCAACATCGAACTGGTCAACATGAACGGCGGATCCAACTCCTCCAACGTCCACAAGGAGGTCGCCAAGGACATCAAGGTGTCTGAACGCTCGCACACCATCAAGCCTGTCTGGGGCATCGAGAAAGGGTGTGTTTAATTACTTCCAGTTGCGCTCTGGTCGTAATATAAACCTACGGCTGCTGACCTCCCCAACAGCAAAGAGTACCAGTTCAACTTCATCCGTGAAGACAAGAAGAACACCGGCATCCTCGCCCAGTCGCAGCACTTTGAAGTCACCGATGTGGCAGATCGCCCTCAGTCGGGTAAGAAGAAAAGATCATGCTCTACCACCATCACCACTCCAGCACCTCGCTCTCCCCAACACTGCACCTGCACAAACACCAAAGTCTCCATCAGCACTACTACTACTCCTGCACCTACAACCTTTACCCAACTCTCAACAACTGTCACAACCACATCAGCACCATTGATACACTACCCCCCTCCCAACACTAATACCAAGCACCACATCCCCATCTTCACGCCTTACTCTGCACCTTCACCTTCATATAGCACCGCTCCCTCCAGCTCCACCCCCCTTGGTGAGTACCATATAAGAAGTCACCAAGAACGTCTGTCTAACACTGTATTTTTCCTTGATGTACAGCGTCACCTTCGTCTACAGGTACTTCCGCATCGTCCACGCCCACCGACTCCAGCGCTGCCTCGCCCGCCTTCGCCGTCCCCGTCGCCGGATCCTTCCTCATGACGCTGTTCGCTTTCGCTCTGTAACCGCATTATGTGAGTATCAAAGCGTCAAATAGGTAGGCAAGTCTGTACTAGCCCCTACAATCGAGCGAACAAAGGGAATATCCCGTCCGAGTCCGACACCGAAACAAAAGTTCAACAACCCATCCCGCCTTCTTCCTCCACCCACGTTCGAAACGAAACGACCCTATCCCATTTCCCCTAGCCTCCTTTTTTTTTCTCTATTTCTATCTTTCATCGTTTATGCAGGTACTTTTTCTTCTTATTTCTCTTCTTGGGTAATGATTTTTTATTTATTTTCAATGTTCCTATTCCCTTTTTCTTTCTACTCCCGCGGAAACCCCTTGCACCCATACACCCCCCCGTTAGTTATGACATTGGTTGGCTGTTTTTGATGGATATATGTATGTATGTACCTGGTTGCAGTTAATACGAGTCTTTCCTTTAAGATTTACCCTCTTTCTACCTTTTCAGAACTATGTTTGTTTGTTTGGGTACCTGGGTACCTGTGCAACTCAATAAGTACTACATACATAAACACAATATATATACACCTGCAGCCGGTCTGCAATATCCATGTAAATACATAAACCTACTCACCCACTTAGGTTCACTAGCCCTATTTCTTGAACTCTGATCGCTGCATATACGACACGTCAAATCCCCATATTCCTGCAGTGCATGTGCATGGTTGAACTAGCTGGGCAAGTCTCCTTGCTTCCTATGGACTCTAGCGGGACAGACAGACAGGGCTTTTTTCCAACCTTGGTTTGTTAAATATATTGGTAATAGATATATCGTGGTATGAAGTATGGATAACAGCGCTGGACACAACAGAACGCATACTGGAAGAGAAAGACAACAAAAAAGGTAAAGCAACAACAACAATAATACTCAAAACATAACAAAACAAAACAAAACAAAACATATCACGTTCAATGGGTATATCAGAACACACAAAGCTCATTCATATCTACAGGCGCATCCCTCCCTCCCACTGAAAGAAAGAAGTCAGTGCCGGGCTAACCTAACTTCACAACGACCCCATCGTTGAGCCTCCCCGGCCGGATCCGGAGCCCGCAACGCTGGCACTAATGGCCGATGACGAGGCGTGGGCGTTGTAACTATCGTTGATGCCTTCTCGGGGTCGGTCCCAGGTGCGGATGTGGCCTGGACGGATCGTGTTAGCAATCGCCGCTGAGGATATGGGTGAAGTGGGTAGTACCTTCGAGAGAAGAGGTCATGATTGAGTCTTCTTGGAAGCCTAGCCAGCAGATTGGGTCTTCGCCGACGATTTTGGACTGTTGATGTGGTCAGTTAGGTTCTGTTCTAGTGACCTCGCTCGTTGAGTGGGATGTAGGCATACCATGATCGGGGGCAATAGGGCGGTCCGTGCCCTGGGTTCCACAGGATGCCGGACGGCATGATCGTAGTCTCCGTCGGTGTCCGCCGTTCGTTGGGAATCGGACCGTATCCGGTTGCCGGCGCTGTCGGCCCGGTGGCGGTTGGTGTGCGGTAGGGGTGCGATTAGACTGGTGCGTTGGCGAGCGCTGGCTTGGTGCTGTTTGATGTATGTCAGCAAGTTGGGCCTTTTGGGAATATCCCACAATGTTCTAATTGAGGAGGGCAGAGAGAAACGTACTGCCCTCGGGCGATGAAGCATGCCCACGCTGAAATCCCAGAGGAGAAGACGGCAATCGTCGCCGACACTGCCAAATCGGTACGTTCGCTCGTCGCATCGCCATGGGTCGAACGCTACCGTGGATACCCACGAGTTATGACCTTGGCATCGCGCAACGATCTTGCGTTCTCGGAGCGACCAAATTGTCACGAGATCGTCTTGTCCGCCCGTCACGATGTACTTGCCGTCGGGTGACCAGCAAACGCAGATCAAACCGCCGTAGTAGCTCCGAAAGATATCAGTAACCCTAGAGATGGTTAGCAACATGTTCTTGTCGAGCACGGAGCAACAATCGCTTAGACATGAAACAAAAAGGAAAGACATACTCTTCCTTCAAATAATCCATCACCCGGAGAGACCCATCCTCCAGAACGATGGCCACATGTCGGTGATCGGGGGAAAAGGCAAACTGGGTAATCTTTTGCTTCGCCAGCTTCCACACCGCAACCGGATTCGTCTTCTGGTTTCTGGAGTTGACTGACTTCAACACCTGCAGTGGGAGTTGACCGGTCTCTGCGGAGGGATGGTTGATTTCAGGCGTGAACGGCGCATCCTCCTTTTCTTTATCATACACCACGAGCTGCCCATTGGCGTGCGCCGCGACGAAAAGGTTCTCAGAGCCCGGAATCCATCTGATATGGGTGACCGAGGTCCCGTTGACGATCCCATTCTTGTTGATCCGCGCGTATTTCTGCGAGATGGGCTCGTACCAAATGATATCGCCGGCGGACGATCCCATGACGACATCGATGTGCGACGGGTTTTTGGTCAAATCGTTCACGTCGTGGCTGAGTATATGTGCTTTTGTGAAGAGGATCTTTGCAAGCGGTTCCTCCTTGTTCTTGGAACTGACGTCCAGCCACTGGAATGCGCGATTGATGTTCGCGAAAGCGAATATACCGTCCGGGTTCCGGTCGTTCAATCGTTTGGACACCGCTTCGTGGGTGATCACTCGGGAGACGAACGATGAGCTGCTCTTGACGATGTTGTTTTTCGGTTTCCTTCGCTTGACGCCTTCCTTCACAGGCGGGGACGCCAGAGCGGGATTTCCTTCGCCAAATAGAGGTGTATGCCCGTTTTCTTTCAGCTTGAACACGGGCGTCTTCACCCGCTGGCCAAGGCTCACTAACGACAGCTTAACACCGGATGTGGGTGGAGTCGGGACAGTCTGGAGCGGATTTGGGTTTATGATCGGTGCTTCGGAAGGATGCGGGGGCGGGGTCGCCAGGTGGAGGTCGTCTTTGAGGTGATATGTTCCTATCAACCATCGGAGGTCAGTATGCCCACGCCTCTAATACTCCCGCAACTCTCGCAAGTGTGCGCGACATACCTTCTCCGACCTGCAATGAACACCCGCCTTCCGGGTGGCGGATCACATTGTTGGTCTCCACGACCGGGACGGGCATGCCATTTGATGCCCCAGCTGCATAGGCGATTGGGATAGTATAGCGAGGCGGCGGCGGCGGAAGAACGCTGCAGTGGGGATGTTAGTACAACAGATAGAGTGGTGACTCTCAGATGAACGGAGGCTGGTGGTTTCATGGAAGGCAGCCGACTGCCTGTGGCGCTGCCGCGCGGAGCTTATGGCACTGACACGCAAGCAAGACCGCCACAGGATTAAGGGGGTGGAAGAGATCCTTACAACATGGTTGCAACTGTTAAAAGGACCAAGATTGGTCCAGACAATGGGGAATCACTTCCGCGACCGTAGGAATATGGTGAATGCCACGGAGTATGGGCAGAACAGGTCGGGCGCGTAGCGGCGCAACGGTGCCGCAGTGATTATCCCCCCGAGAGTGGCACCACCGACGGTGCTACTCCAGGCGGGCTTGCGCTGAAGGATACCGCGTTGAGCGTTAATGCCGTAGATTTGATCTAGGCAGCGAGTCTATCGTCGAAATGAGAATGAAATAGCGTAAGCAACTGGCAACTGGCGATGCGGTTGAGGCGACCGAGCGTGCTATGCTAAGCTTCCCTTTCCACTCCTCTCTGATGGGGCGGAACAACTCTTGTGTTTCCGAGGGAAAGGGACGACGTAGGGCGTCGAGGAGCGCGATAAAAGCCCAAAAGTCTGCGCTGAGAAACAGATACGACCGTGGACAGAAGGAGGGATGGAAGTGTCAAGACTAAAAGTCGGGGAAACGATGCTCTCCCGCGTGTGAGGAGAAGGGTTTCTGGGGTTTGTTGGGCTGGAAAGGTTCCGTCCGTCTCGCGTGTCCTGAGGCTGCCACTGGCTTAGTCTGGTCGGCGCAGCGGGGCCGCAGTCAATCTTACGGGTGGGTTAGATCGTGGTCGGTAGTATCTACCGAGTATGCTTGCAAGTCCAGGATGCTTTTTACGAGTGGCTATATATATTTCCCCCTGAATTTGTTGATTATCGATAATCTTGATTCAAATCAGTAGAGTAGTAAGCATGCTCTAGGTAGTATACTGTAGGTAGTAGCAGTCGCACCATCCCTATCATGATCATTGCTTGTATTTAACATCGCCAAATATTACTATAAATACAAGAATATGGGTATCGATTATAACTCGCACACTAAACCCCGCTGCCGCTGACTCGGCGCCAGATCATCACCGCCGCGGCCCCGGCGCAGACCACAGCCCCCAAGGCAATCCCCCAAGACATCCATTTGCCTTCGTCGTCTTCCTCGCTCCGGGGGAACGCCGTGCTGGGTTCCATGGCTGCTTCCGCAATGTGCACAAAGACCTCCTGAATGGAACTCCACGTCGCGCTGACATGGAGAGGTGGGCTGGACATGTTCAGCATGGCCGTGTATTCGTGCGGTTGGTACTCGGCTCGCTGGGTCGTCCGGTCCAAGTCCGCCTTGAGAGCGATGAATACGCTCGGGAGCTCTTCAAGGTGCGGGTATTTCGACCGTAGAGCGGGGATATACGCGAAAGAATCCGGATCCGACGAGTCATAAGTGTACACGATCACGTCGCATTGATCCAGCAATTTCGCTTGGTTCTCCAGGATAGCTGGTTCCAGTTCGCCCAACTCATCCAGGATCAGATAGCACTGTTTACCGCCCGGCAGTTCGACAGTATTGACCGCCGTGCGAGGTTGGATGGTGGGGTGATACGTCGTGCTGAAGCCACGCGAGAGAAAGGCATCGAGGAGGGCCGACTTTCCAGACCCCGGCGCGCCCAGAGCGTGTCCAAGAACGACGTTGCGTCCAACCCTCCCGGGACGCCTCCGCCGCTTGCGTGGCCGAGTCACTTTTAACGCGGCCGTCGTCGACTGATTGCTCCGGTCGGCTGACTCAAATCCCAAGTAGGCAAGATACTCCAATGTCTCCTTCGGCGACTGGAAGGTGGTCATGCTCCATTGTGCGAGCCAGCCTTGCAGGGTGACATGGCCAGCCTCGTTTCGCACAGTAGAGGAAGGGAAAGAACCGTCGGCCCACGAAGCGGGCAGGCCCGGTGTCGGGGCAAACAGCGAGGCTAGCTCGGCATCATTGAGCCCGCCATCATTGTCCTTGTCGGAGAGGAGGAAGAGGTTCACGAAGAAGCGGTATCCCTCCGGCGACAGTTCCGCGGATGCGAAGGGAGGAACTTCGAATCTGGGATGGAGGAAGCTCTCCTGTAAAGAGAGATTGTCCGTGTATTGATACGCGCGCAGGATGATCCAGACGGTCTCGTGGCGTCCCTTCTCCGCGTACAGTCTGTTGAGTTGTATGAATCCAGGGCAATCGATGCCTGACGGCGTCACCGACGTCGGGTGTGTCTTCAGGATAGTATCCTTGATGTGAATCAGATCCTCTTCACTCAACGCCTTTTCGAAGCACCTCATTTGAAAGTCCTTGATCTCTTTATCCGAAAGGTAACCGTCGCGGTCCTTATCGTTCAAGTAGAAGATGCGTTGCAGCGCTGCGATGGCAGCCGGCTTCAAGGACGACTCCTTGGTGTCGAACAACGGCGCGATGGGATGGGTGACAGCTTTCTGGCAGAGGAAGAAGGCCTCGTTCACATTGCGATGTTCACGAGCGCTCGTGCGAATACACGAGTCAATCTCCTTAAACTCCGCCATCAACGGCAGCATTTCCTCCTCAATGACCTGGGCCTCACTGTGACCGACGGCCAGGTCGGATTTGTTGGCGCACAGCACCACGGGCACATTGACCCCCAGGGACCGGAAATACGGCAGCCAGAAGAGAGCAACCCTCTCATAGCTGTAATGGTCCGAGTATACTAGCAGGATCACATTGGCCTTCCGGATCTCCCGGCCCAGATTGCTTCGTTCCTGAGGCAAGGCAGAGGTATCCACCACGGTGGTCGTCGTGACATTCTCCGGGGTTCCGATCGTCGGAGGGATCGTAATCTGGGGTAGGATAGGCTGGATCTTGTGGGTGACGAATACGCCTTTGACGAGCGAGGTAATCAGGCTGGATTTGCCCGTCCCCTCATCTCCGCAGACGCAGATTCGCACTGCAGTAATGTCTAGGTTAGCATCGCCAAATTGTAGTAGGTCGACCGGGGTGACTCAGTCGAGTGTACCTGTAGCCATTTGTCACGCCACCTCTTTCAAATCATTGCCGGGGAATATCTTTATCCAAAAGTAGATCAATTGATCAACAACAGCGCCAGGATTGGGGAGCAACGGACACAGCCCTGCGGTATTGATCGTGGCTTGTGATGGTTGTGACGATGATGTCGCGGAGTCTCGGGCGGTGGCTATGCCGCTCCGGCCATCTAGCAGCCTTAGGTGTCCAAGCATGCGGGAATTGGTAAGTAGATAACATTACGCCGTATTAAGTACTGCTGTTCAGGAACAATATATGCTTGATTGATGCCATGATGGTGTATATGTATGGGAATGGACATGTTGAAGATAATAACGAATTCTTCCAGTCAATACTCTCAGTAAAACTCATAATCAAAATACATCCATATGTCTGTACTTTCCAATAGACCCCAAGAGAGAAGCACTGGACAGATACCGAGAATGTTACCGTCCGTATCCATGCCAGGTACCTCAGGCCATACCTGGCTATACCTACTCCGGACCATCTTACTATTCACGCATAGCACGTGAAGGACCCCGTAGTCATTATAGATTGATTATATTAGTTCGTGCTAAGGCTAGGCAGCTCTATTTTGCTGCAAATCTCATTCTTCTTCTCCATTTCTATCCGCCCTTTCATTGGACATAACTGAAAACGTGGTTGAGCATCGTTGCGCCGCAACTAGGACTGATCTGTACCATACTCGGCGAACTAGAAGTACACTGGCTTAGTCGGGGTTCAATTCAGCCGGACATCCGCCCGCCTGCTCTGAACAACCACCCCGGTCGCTTCCACTAGGACGAACTCCCGTCGCAGAAGCTGAACATACCCCCCTCCCTCTCCCCCTCTTAACTCTATCTCTTCTCTACAAACCAAAACTTCACCTATCCTCTTCTCTTCCCTCTCCTAGATCCCGACGAGCACAGTCAAGATGCCTCTCGGAATCCACAATCCCTTGCCTTCGTCTCTGGGAAGTACGTATAGACCACTGATGTTCTCAATTTCCCCGCAATTCACGAGAGGGGGCGAGTTCCGTGCTGACAACGGTTTTGTACCTCAACAGGCGAATGCAAGAAGGTTGGAAAAATCCTTGCGTCCTTCATCGACCCGCGACAATCGTTTGGCCCCGACAAAGTGATTCCGCCTGAGATCCTGGCAGGCGCCAAGGTGAGTAAATGCAAATCGGAGAACAAGGGCGGAATCTAGGATGTCAACTAACGAGACCGCCTGGTGCTGTAGGGACTGGCTATTCTCACTGTCTTGAAAGCGGGATTCCTCGGCTCTGCTCGATTTGGTTCTGGTGTGGTCGTCGCCCGTCTGGCCGATGGTTCTTGGTCCGCCCCGTCGGCCATTGCAACTGCCGGTGCCGGGTTTGGAGGGCAGATCGGATTCGAGTTGACCGACTTCGTCTTTATCCTCAACGATGCCGCTGCGGTTCGGACCTTTTCGCAAGTGGGAACTCTGACGCTGGGAGGCAACGTTTCGATCGCCGCAGGACCGGTAGGGCGCAATGCGGAAGCGGCTGGCGCCGCGAATACGCGGGGTGTCGCCGCGGTGTTTTCCTATTCGAAGACCAAGGGACTCTTTGCCGGTATCAGTTTGGAAGGCAGCATGCTCGTGGAACGAAAGGATGCCAACGAGAAGATGTACAATAGCCGAGTCTCTGCGCGTCAGCTGCTCAGTGGAACTATCCGACCTCCCCCAAGTACCGACGCCCTGATGCGTGTTCTGAACTCTCGTGCATTCTTCGGCAATGGACGGGGCAATGGGGATGCCATGTACAACGACATCCCGATCTATGATGATCGCCATGACGACGTGGTGTGGGAGGGACGCCGGGGCGATGCGTACGGTGAGGGTGTCCGGCGCGACCGGGGCGGCATCAGTAGCAGCGACGACCAAAGTCTCGACAGACCCCGTCGCGCGAACACCTGGGCCGACGATGTCTACGATCGACCGGCAGGCGGCAGCGGCGGCCTGGGTCGCTCTGCCACGGCCCGTTACAATCGCGACACTTTCGACACGGCTAGCCGCAGTCGAAGCAACACCACCCCATACGAGGACGACTATGTATATTCGGATCGCAAGCCCACTCGACCTACCGCCCCCAAGCCAGTCTTTGGGAATCGAACAGGGGGTGGTGCGGCCTTGCGACAGGACCAGGCGATTGCGCTGTACACCTTTGATGCCGACCAGGATGGGGACTTGGGTTTCAAGAAGGGAGAGGTCATCACCATTCTCAAGCGCACCGAGAAGACCGAGGATTGGTGGACGGGGCGGATCGGTGACCGGGTTGGTATTTTTCCTAGGTAAGCCTCTGGACATGGAACCATCGAGGGTGCTTCTCACTAATACCGAACAGTAACTACGTTGATGCGGCTTGAATCGCTTAGCCGCTATCGGCCGGGGGTCGTTTATGCGGAATGACATTTGATGATCTCAGAAACTCTCACCACCCGCGTCTTTGTTGATTTTCCTTTCTTTTTTCTTCTCTTTCTCCTTTTTTCTTTTTCCTTTTTTCCTTCTTCTTTTTCTGGTTTGGTTTCTTGTTAACTTATTGGAAGATGGTTTGCTTTCATTGTTTGATTCCCCCGGGCGTGACCAGCTATATTACAAGAACCTCTACTGTTTGTTCCGAAGGTCCAGGTCCTCGGTCCTCTCTCGCCATATGATCGCAGGCGGACGCCCAGCCAGCGTTCTCGGATGTCGCTTCTTTGTATCTCTGACCATGGAACGGTTCTCTCCCCCCTTTCTGCGCCTCTGGACTAAGTGTCTTTTTCCTTTTTGTTTGCCTCTTTTGGATTGCATATTTGGATGATAGAATGGAACGCCCTCATTGTCATTACCCACTATGCTATTGGATAACCCCACCAGTTCGACCAGGTCTCCTGTACCCATTCAATCGAATCTGGCCACTCATATAACCTACCACCTACCTTCCTAAACGTTGATTCCCTGGGTTTCCCCCCACCGCAAGGAAGGGATAGGGATAGTCTGCGCCGATATCCCTTGATTCCCGTGATCACCGCCACTTCTCAGGCTACATGGCCCGCCTATCCGTTCGTACTGTGACTTGGAAGCGGTTCCTCATGCGTGTCTCTCCCTACCTAGGCAAGGAAAACAAAAATCGAAATCACTCACAGGTCGCCAATTGGGCTTCCCGGCGCTTGGCGTGGCTGTGTACATCCCTCCCATTCGCGAGGTCCCGAGCCGTCAGGTTTCGACTAATTTTCCGAGTCATCGGACAGACTGCATCTCAGTCTTTTCCCCATGCGGCCGGGGAGATGAACCTAGGCTGGACGTACTCGCACGAGACTTACTTGAATTAGCGGGCTCGAATCACCCAACACATCATCGGGTGGGGATCATGTTATGTTATGTTATGCTAGGTTAGGTCAGGTTAGGTTAGGGTTTTAGGACCAGCATCCCTAGATGTGGCAGGGCCATACATACATTCCAGGGGCCAGTCTTGCGTTAAGCAGGATGGCGGGACGTCTAATGGAAGGCCCGATAGATAACACAGGGCACACCACAGATGACTCGACGTGCTGTGTAACGGGATCAGGCGACTGTGTCCGTCCCCCACTCCTTCATCTGATTTATAGTGGTGGTGGTGACAGAGGAGTTATGTATGTACGTTACATCCCTAGCCTAAGTTATCCACATACAAGGGCGTAGAGGATATCGAACCGGGCGGAGGGGTGGATCTAGGGAGAGTGGGATAAAGTGTAGGAAGACTAAGGCATGCATGATGTGACGTGATGTGATGCCTGGGGGGATGAAAAGGTCCTGTCACGGGGTTGATTGGGGGGTTTAGGTTGAAACGGCAATACCGTATGCGATGAATGATGTACATAGAAGGATGGCGAGCAGATGATACACTACTACTCTCTTTGAATCCGTCTTCTCATGAGGGATGACAATGATTATTACTATTGTTTATGTTTTGATTTATTCAATTATATATACAATCAATCTATTAATCGAGTTCGAAGGCACATGCAACACGACGATGACATGACATGACATGATCCTTTAACGCCATATACAGTTATTCGTAAGCCAGTCCATCAATACTTGATGAGAATTCTTCCTGACTGGATGAGCATACCAAAGATCGACTGAGATGATCAGAGTTTGGTCAACTTTGCTGATCTTTAAGGATCGCTGCAGCGACAGATCGATCCTAACCCCTCCCTCCGTACTGGACTACTGTTTAACTCACAGGCTACGGCGCACCTGATCGGTGGGGAGAGTGGAGTCTCGATGACTAAGCTCTCCATTTGACAGGCCCGAAACGGATCAAATTCAACATCAAAAGGAAGAGGAGGAGGAGAAAGAAGAGAAAGAATGAGGGGATAGAAATGGGTTGAGTGGATGGTAGATATGAGTGGGTTCTTTCTTCTTATCCTAGTAGATTGAGAGATAGAGGATTGTTCATTGTACTCTACCACTCTGTACTGTTCTGGCTATTACCCTTTCTCACTTATCATATTCCAGAATACTCGATCCCGGCGGAGTCTACTCCCATTATTCCCACTGCGGTGCCTGGATACTCCCAGGAACTCTCTCTCTCTCTCTTTCTCTCCGCCCGGTCAGCCCAGACCAACCCGCCTTTTCTCACTCGCATTATTATTCATATAGACTGAAACTTAGTCCGCTTCCTTCCTCCTTCCATTCTCTTCTCTTCCTCCCCCTCTTTCTCTATTACCACTTTTTACAACTACAACTACCGTCACCACCACTACCTTAACCTCACCCTCTTCACGATCGGACGAAGCGGATCATCGAAAATACAATAATAAAAAAGGGAAAACGGAAATAATATCAACAGAAGTCGGGAAGGAAAGGAGCCTGAAATCAATACGCCATAATCCAACAAATCCCCCGTCGTCATCCTCCTCCAGCCTCTCTCGTTTCCTTGATCTCACTCTTCCTTTAATCTTAATTCTCACTGCCTTCCTCTCGTTGGACTCCTCTCCCATTTGATCTGCAACCTCTTCTCCATACGCCGGATGCCTGATCGCCATCGTCGCCCTTGGGTTCCTCCGATCACCGTGGTGGTTGTTCCTCTTCCGCGACCTTTCTCCCCCGCGTCCATGATTCCATGACCGTCCTAATCCTCTCGCCAACGCTTACTGCCCCGGTCATACCTTGACCTCCTTTTCTCGAGGCGGGTTTCTCGTCCCCGACTCGTCCCCAGTCGCTTTCCGGGACTCTCCTCGTTCTGAGTTGCTGCGTGATTTGTTCTCATGCAGGTATGTTGTGTTCTTTCTCCCCCTCTCGGGCCGGCCTTTGTGGGTGTGTTTCTGGAATTACATCCGGGACATCCTTTGTGTGCACACCCAACCGCTCTCCCACCCCCAACCTCTTTTCTTCTTGAGCCTCCTTGACAGCTTCTCAAATACATTTTTCTCTAAACGGTCTTTTTTTTCGGTCACTTCCAGGCTTCCTCGGGTCCCTCGGAGGCTGGCGGAGGGCACGCGTCGCGGAGAGGCCATGGGCCTCATCTGTCGATCAGCGACCCGAGCCACCACGTCACGGAGGCTATCGGCCATTTGTACGAGGACGACTACGACAAGCGGGATTCACGACGCCTCAGTTACCTCTCCACCAACAGCGAATCCATTTCCATCCTTCCCCCGAATCACGCCGGTTCCGAATCCTCGCGGCCATCTGTACCTCCGAAGAATCACACGGGCGAAGCGAGTCGAGGCCAGGTGAATGGACAGTCCCACTCTCCCACCGTGGGGAACCGGCCGTTCGATATGGACAGCAGCAGCCCGACGTCTCCCGGTTCTACCGCCTCCCCTGGTTCAACCGATACAGCTACCACCTCCTTTCCCTTGAATGACATCGACTACGAATCCAACCCCGCCGCTGTCGCCCAGGAACTCAACAACTTGGCCGCGATCCGGCGGATGTCCATGGATGTAGCCGCCACCGGCGACCCCGACCTTCCCAGCTTCAACTCGGGTTCGATGCCCTCCATCGCACCCGCGCCGTCCGCCGATGAAAATGACGCTTCCCGATTGTTCTGGGTTCCCGCCCGCTTGCACCCCGAATTGGCCCCGAAAGAATTCAAGTCCTTCCTGGAGAGCAAGTCGGACCACATCAACCGGAGATCGGGCGATTTTTCATTGCTGAGCCCGGAGCGGAGCGGGTCCAGCGGGAGCTTGAGGCGGAAGAAATCGATGCTGTCCCGGCAGATCGACGACTCGCACGGTTATACGGATGGCGCGGAACGGCTCGAGCGGAAGCGATCGCAGCAGTCGAGCAACGACTCGTTGAGCCCGAACCTGATGCAGTTGGAGACGATGGTGGACAACTCGAACCCCCGGAGCCCCAGCTCGTCCTCGTTGAATGATGACGTCCAGAATCTCTCTCTGGCGACCGAAGAGGACATGCCGATCCTTCCCCCGGCACCGCCCGGCCACAGTCTAAGACGCTCGACGCGAACACAGTACCGGAAAGCTGGCAGTTTGAAGAAAGGTGACAAGCTGCCCTACTCCAAGCGACTCGCCAAGGCGAACGAGACGGGTGAGGAGGCGCCGCCGATCGTGTCCGCGACCGGTGAGCCACCGATCCTCGGTCTCACTCGAGTGTCGACGGACCCCAACCCCAGCGTCACACGAGCCCAGGCCTTATCGAAAGCCGCACAGGCAACCGCTCCCCCGTCTGATATCACAACCTCATCCGCCTCTTCCTCCTCCGTCGACCCGAGCGGTGATCAGACACGTGACTCCACCGCGGCTGAAGCGGTCCACGTGAGTAGTCCCCCCCAGTCACGATCGTGGCATTCTCGCATCAGCTCCAACGGCCGGTCGAGCCTGCAGACTCCGTCCGGGGAGCAGAAGATCCCGGAGATCGTCGAACCACCCCCGTCGGAGCCCAAGGGACCGTCCGCCTCCAACGCCCAGCAAAATATCCCTGCGGCATATAACTCTGGCAAAGACACGCCCCCAGCGCCGCCGCCGAAGAGCCCCTCCCATGAACAATCTTCGACTAAACGATCGCTTCACCGGTCACACGGGAAAGACAATGCCCCGACCCTCAATGAGTTTGCCAGTACCCCACAGGCGCTGCCCGGCAACACGACGCGCACGGATAGCCTGACCTTTATCCCCCATCTCACCGAGGATCGCAAATCGGAGTCGAAGAAGTCCAAGAAGGAGTCCGAAGGCGGGCGCAAGTCGAGCTGGCACTGGTTCTTGCACCCGGATGAGAAGGACAAGGACAAAGAAAAGAAAAAGGAGAAAGATACGGAGGCCAAAACGCTCAAGTCGAAGATCGTCGACAAGGTCCACGAAACGACACTCACTTCTTCGTCGAGTGACAGCAACCAACGCGGGCGGGACAGTGCGTCTAGTGCCTCTATGGACCGGTTGGATCCGAAGCTCGAGGAGGAGCGCCGAAAAGACAGCGCGCGGAGGACGTCCGGCGAGGCCAAGAAGGAGAAGGAGAGTGGTCTGTTTTCCTCGATCTTCGGGGGTGGCCGGAAGAAGAGCAACGAGAGCGGTCATCACAAGAAGAACTCGTTGCGAGCCATCTCCCCGGAGCCGCCCGTGCGGATCCTCCAGCCCGATGTCGACTATCCTTGGACTCGCTTCTCGATCCTCGAGGAGCGAGCGATCTACCGAATGGCTCACCTCAAGCTTGCCAACCCGCGTCGCGGGCTGTACTCGCAGGTCCTGCTCAGTAACTTCATGTATTCCTATCTGGCCAAGGTGCAACAGATGCATCCGCACATGATGCTCGCGACTTCGCCTGCTCAGAGACAGCAGAAGTCGCGAGAACAGTCTGAGGAGTACCAGCAATACCAACGTTACCAAGAGGTGGGTCCATACCTTTGCGGGATTAATTCTCGCTCCCCTTAAAGATAGGCGTGCTAATGATATTCTAGGAGCAGGACCAACGCTACGCGGACAGCTCGTATGACGATCCGCAAATGTATGAATACGGTGATGATTCTCACGACCACTATGGCTCGAATTCGCGAGGGAGCAAACAAGGCTATGAGAATGGGAATGCATATGGACCAGGGCATTACCAGTATGGGCATTATGGGAATGATTCTCATCTCGACGACGACGATGACGATGACGATATGTGGTGACGGAACCGTCTTTGGTACTGATAATTCATCGCAGCACGAGACTGTTTGCCACGAATAGCCAGCCCTCTCTCAGTACTCGGTGTTTCTGACGTCTGCTTCATTCTTGATCGGGGGAATAATGAACAAGGAGATCGTGAATATACCACGTGGCTCTGGGCAGCTCTGTTTTCCACATCCTCTGCATGTGATTATGTCTTATTACTATTACTGTTTCTTATTATATAGCGCTCTTCTCTGGAGACATGACCACCTACTGATCAGGGTAGGTAGGTAGGTCTATGGCTGGCTGGACTTTTGGGATTGCCGATTGGGCTTTCTTTGCTCGCATAGCGTCTGGGGTTTTCTGCTTCTTGACTCGCATTACTGTCTGATTTTATACTCTGACTAATGAACTTACGGTCTTCACCATATGGTAGTAGACATACTATTATCAACGTATACAAAGATCATGGGTACTTTCACAGTACTCGTACATGAACGATTTATAGTATAGATAGAAAGATAGATAGGTAGATAGATAATAGCTAGATGATCACCCTCACCCCACCCGAAAGAAGCAACTCGTCACATGACATCCCGCCTCCACGGTCTCGGCCTTGCCATCGCAGCGTCATGCACTCATTTCTCTACCTGGCTTTATCTTCATATTGAACCCTCCCCTGCTTGACAATATTAGTGTCGACGGAGTTAATCTACACCATCACACCAAACAGAAACCGCTCCCTAATCAATCAACCAACCCAAACTAAGTCAACTCAACGACAGAACCAACCGACAAAATGGGCGAAGCCTACGAGCGCGAACAGTACGTATACCCTTATACTATCCTATCCTATCTACCTTCTCCCATCGCAAGGAGACACAAAACAAAACCAGTAGAAGCGAATGAAAGAACACCGAAAGGCTAACAGGATTGATCAACTGGAACAGACAAAACAACGCCCTCCTGAACTCCCTCTCGGGCAAAGTCTCGGCTCTGAAATCCGTCACCGTTGATATCTACGATAATGCGAGGGATCAGGAGACGTTGGATCATTCGGTTGGTTTTCCCTTCCCTTCTCCTTTTTTTGGGATGGTCTTTCTTCCCCCCCCCACTATCCCTGTGGCTCTCCATATCTTGGACTGGACGGTGGACGGGGCAGATTGTATAATGTACGATGATAGGATCAAGCTGACTATCTCTTTTCCTCGCTATAGGGCCAAGTGTTCTCATCTCTAGGAACGAGCCTGCAAGGAAGCGCGAGCCGGTTAACTCGGATGGCGAAACAGGGTGACACCGTTGCTGTGTTGAAGGTTGCGGGGATTTGTGTGGGTGTTGGGGTGTTGATTTGGTTGTTTTTGAGTTGGATTTTTTAGGCCCTTTTTTTGGGTGTGTTTGTGGTTTTGAACTTGAACATGAAGAGAAAGTATGAAGAGGGGAGATGGAGAAAGGGGAAGGGGAACGAGAAAGAGGAGGAGGAGGAAAGAAGACGACTCGACTGTATTGTCTTGCTGGTCATGACTGATACCCGCATTGCGCGATTATTCCTATTCTTGGTGCTTGATATTGATATTGGTATTTACCTTGTGTATACTGTTGTTGTTTTGTTATTGTCATTCTGGCTGGTACAGCGTTGCGCTTTCTTTTCGTTCATGGGATCCGTTTTATATGAATGGATACCTATCAAGTATTTGATCTGATAAGCTGTGGTTGGATCTTATCTAGATATTCTATACAGTTTAATGGCTTTATATGAGTGTGTTGCACATAGTACCTATGGAACATACTGTCAACATGGATAAACAGATCCTTACTCAGTTATAATGCCGACGATCTCAGGGTGGACCAACATATAGGTAGAACGCACATGTTGACGGTAATTGCGCTCAGTCCCATACTAACTACTCCTCCTACTCCTACTACCTAGATATCCCTAACCATTCATCAACCATCAGACCACCTTCCCAAACCCAAATCCAAGGAGACCAACGCAGATCAGAGAATACTCGCAGACAATCAGCCCACAATCCAAAGACAAAACAGCATGCTAGCAAAAAACCCTATAGTGAAGTGTATTAGGACTAGAACAGTCGATAGACAAGGCTAGACCATGCAAGCACAGCCTACTGATTGGTTTGACATGGTAGCATTATGATATATGATCTTCTATCTATCTACCTATCTATCGTACCCATTGGAGGTGGAGTCAGATAGCACAATACCTACTATAGTGTATACTAGGTCGATAGGGGCAAAAGCGGTAAAAGCGTTAGTCTAACTATTAATGATTATAGTTGAACCAACCGGTGTAAAATAACACGAGCAAAAAACTTAATCGGTCAAATTTATCTTTATAAATTATAAAATAAAGATAAAATAAATAGATGAAATAAACGATGATCAAGTGGAGCTCGCATCCAACTCCGTCTCGTCTCGTCTCGGGAACAGCACCCACCGAGCCAGCCAGCTTTAACTCCCGTCCCAGTGAAAAAAATTTCTTAGTGCTTCCGTGGGGACCACAACGGGTCGGGTGCCGAGTTTTTTCTTGTTGGAAATCGCTATCGATGTCGATGTCGATATCGGAGATTTGGATGGACTCCGATTGTGCGGCGGCTTCGAATTGGAGTTCTGGAATGAGGACGTGGGGTTTGGATGGGTAGGTAGGGAGCTGTCAGGTTGGTGTGTAGGTAGTGTCCTCTTTGGTCATATTTTATCGCTGTCTCCTTTTCTTTTCTTTTCTCATGCATTGTCTGTTGTGTTGTTGTTGTTGTTGTTGCATGTATGTTGATGTTTTTCTTGGTTTATTGTATTCCATTTTCTATATGTTTTACTTCGGTGTATCTCTTCTTATCGGTATCAATCGCCATAAACTAACTAGTCCGCCTCATCCTCGCCATCAACGTCGGCTATCAGTACTCCGTAGTATAAAACCTATGAGTCAATTTCATCCAAGCTATACCCAAACCAAGCCATTCGCCATCCATACCGAACCGATAACAAGCCTGGATATGGGAAGGTTGAGGCGGACCCGTCCCATGCCTAATACAGACACCGGGTGTGGTGGCCCGTTAGTGGCTCGGGATGCCGATGGCGCTGGCGCTGGCGCTTGGATAAGATGCCGGGATTCCGTGGGTCTGGTGTTGTTTTTACCCTGGTTGCGGATAGTTAGTACAGTAGTTCCCGGGATGGGTGTGCGTTAGGGGAATGTTGAGGTGAGGGATTTTCGGATTGGGCTGGTTGGAATTGTGTTGAAATAATAGAGATGGATAGGGAGACGCTTGGTTGACATTAACATCAAGAGGTGTAGGGTACTCCATATAGAATAGGCAGTTTATAGGTGGGACAGTCAAGGTGCTTGACTCATGACAGCTTAGTGCGTGCGCACTTTGTACAGACTATATGTACAGACAGTTTACTTACTACTGACGCCACCCGCACCCGGTCAGGTCCACATTCTACTTCTAGACTTTGTCGGACTCGGATGATGGTCCCCTTCCCGTTAGTGTTGGAAATGGAAGCTTTAGTATGTGGTTGTGTGCTTTGTTCTCCACTGGGTGATGTATGTAGTTCGGATAGAAAAAGGATTGGGATTTGGAACACAGGAAAGAAAAACTAGAGGGTATTGTTTGGCGATGGTTGTGTGGGTCTATCCGGATGCATGTCATTCCATGAGCTAAATGTGATTGTGATTGTGATTGTGATATCATGGCTTGCGTCAAGGTAGTTGTGGTCTTGGTATTCGCAGTGGCCGGTTGAGGATAGGATGTAAGGAGAATTTGTATTTTTACTATTTAGAAATATCGGCATGCCGTCTACAGGCTCGCTGGGGATATGTTTCATCATCCACCTAATGTTTAGTACGCTAGATGCTCAATGCATGCACTAAGAGTAGTACTGTATCAGAAACTGGTGTGTGCCCGTAGAGTATGACCGTCGCGGAAATTCCCGATCACCCACCGAAGCTGTGAAGTGGCCCCGGGAGCACCCGGGATTGACTAGTCCGATAATACATACACCGGTTGCTCGGTTGATATAAGTACCGTATTTTACCTGATATCCGAAGGATCAATTGAATACGATCGTCGCTGTACTATTGTTTATCTCGGTGCTCGACCTGAAGAAATGAAATATCGTCTGACGAAGGTAGGTAAAGTATGGTATGTACTTATATGGTCTTTCCTGAATCCTGCTCCTGACAAATCTGCACCCACCTCCATTGTCACATTGATGATGTGTTGACCGGCATGATCGTCCATAGTGGAGCCTGCCAGGTGGATGGATTCCACCCTGAAATGTCTGATTCTGGTAGATGTTACATAAGCTGTTCTATTTCTTCACATGCATTGAACATATGGCACTATTGTCTTGCCTGGTTCTTCAACCGACGGAAAGAAACAGACAACATTCTGCAGTTGACAATGTACGACTGAATAGGCGGATCATGTGTGACATAGGTGCAGATAGTGGAACTCTCCCTATTGTCCTGTTCGAATCCTGACGAGTAGGGATCGAACACGGCTAATTTCGATACACCATCGTTAGGGATTTGTAGATCGAGGACCGTGGGCGCGGGAATGGCGATCCTTTGTTTAGTAGATTCAGGGGTGTTTTGTTCTAGAATTGATTGATTGATTTTCTGCTTGATAGTGGAAGATATCTTAATAAGACAGAAGAAAGATTGTAGGAGGTACTTGATGAGAATCCTTGAAGATGCCAATTGATACTAATAATCCCTCGCGATAAGAGTATAACGCCGGGTAATGCATCTACCGCCGACATATTAGGCGACCGAGGTATCACATCTATCCCATTATTCTCTAATCAGTCTGATGTACAATGATCATAATGTCAAGAAATATCATTTATCGCTGCAGTGACCAGTAGGACAGCCGATCGGCTCCACGTTGTGACTCGCGGCCAAATTCTCCGGTATGTACGTCAGTCAGCGTAACTCCGGATTCCATACTTACCTAAGTATTCATCTCACATCATTCTTCCGTTCGCTGCACCACCGAGTTTGTTTGATCCTGCTTTTAGATTGTCATTCCATGGGTTGATTTGCCTCTTTGAACTTTCCCCTGATTGAACTTTCCCATAGCGGACGGAATCCTTCCTGTCCAGGGATTACAATCTCCCAGATAGGCGTCCATCGCATCATCGGCAATCCAAACCTAGAAGGCTAGAAGCCTCGGAGTCAGCGGTCCCACCGGCCACACACGTCTTAAGACTTAAAATAGCAAATCACAAAGTCAAAAGGTGCGGATCTCCGGCACCATCCAACAAGTCGAACAACGAGCGCCGACGGAAACGGCAGGCTGAGAGCCCCACCTTCGAATCATTCTCTTGACTCTTCCTTGCCCGGGTGGGGCCTTGCGAATCTGGACACCCACCAGTCGATCCCTTGGCCCAACTGTGGCCCCATTTGCGCCATAGATAGCTGGTTCATCTTTGTATCTTGTGTCATAATTTCAATTTTTCATCATTTTTTCATTCTTTTATTTTTTTTTAATTCTTTGATTTTTTATTCCTTATTTTCTATTATTTTTCAACGCAATCTCTTGTTCCCATTAGATAATTCTTGATTTTTTTCCATTCCCGCTCGGTTTTTAATATCTGTCGCCTTCCCTCCACTCTCTTTCCCCTTCACTCACCTTATCACCACATCTTTTCAACCCCCCCACCTCTGCGTCGGGTTTCCCTTCTCTCCCCGAAAGCTGCCGGTCTGCGCGGCTGCCGGTTGAATCGCTATGGCTCTCAGTTTCTTTGGCGCGGGTTCAAGCCACGCCAAATACTTCGATATCCGGTAAGCTTCCGCCACCCTAATCTCCACCAGTCGCTTGCATGGACTGACATCTGCCGACAATGACAGCCTCGATGAAGATTATATCGTTTTTCGCGGCGGCGAACAGGAGGCCGCGAGTGCCCATCTGAGTGGGAAGCTCATCCTTTGCCTATCGGAGCCGCTCTCCATGAAATACATCCGACTTCACCTGACTGGAATTTCTCGCGTCTGGTCAGTAATTGATGTCATCTCTGCGATCGCGATTCCAAACTAACGGGGCTTTAGTTGGCATGTACCGTCTAGTTCCGCTGGCGGCGGTAGAAAGTCGTGGAGGGAACGCGCGTTCTACGAGAAGACTTGGAAATTCCGCGATCCCGGGAAAAGCAAGACGGAAATCCTTCCAGCCGGGAATTATGAATACCCCTTCGACGTGATCCTCGAAGGTTCCATGCCCGAGAGTGTCGAGGGCCTCCACGATACCTACGTTACCTACCGCTTCAAGGCAGAGATCGGTCGCAAGTACGCCAAGGATATTATCGTCAGACGCCCGCTACGTATCATTCGGACGCTGGAGGCTAGCGCGCTTGAGCTCTCCCATGTGATGGTAATTCCAACCGCTGTCCTGAACTCGTGTATGGGTGATGTGCTAACTGACTGCGATGTAGTCTGTGGAAAACGTCTGGCCCAATAAGATCGAGTATTCCATCAGCACGCCGACAAAGGCCATCATCTTCGGAACTGCCGTTCAGGTGGATTTTAAACTCATCCCGCTGCTCAAGGGCCTCACGATTGGAAGTATCACGACCCAGCTTGTCGAGAGCCACGACCTCACGCTGAACCCCGAGGATCCCCATGCGATCCGCAACACATACAAGAATACCCGAACCATCTTCACCGACGAGCATCAGCTTGACCCTGAGAATGGGCTGGAGATCATCGACGATTCGGCAGAAGGATATCAATTCACACGTTGCCTGGATTTGCCCAAGACTCTCACTCGGTGTCTGCAAGACACTGATACCAGAGGAATCAAAGTGCGGCACAAGTTGAAGTTCCGTGTCCAGCTCCTCAATCCTGATGGTCATATTAGCGAGGTACGTAACGCGGTCGTGTACTGACGCATGTGACCCCCAGCTAACGTTTTGCAGTTGCGGGCCACCCTTCCCGTGTCCATCTTCATCTCGCCAAATCTGCCGATTGACGATGACAACAACCTTGTTGACCAGACGCCCCGATCAGCTCAGCGAGCAATCGAAACTATCGCTCAACAAGCTCCTCCGCTTTATGGGGACCATCAGTTTGACCAACTGTACAGCGAGGTTGATCTGTCGGGCTACCGGACCCCCGGACCCGCCAGCGGCCGCGAAACCCCCTTTGGCTGTTTGAGTCGCAACCTTTCTTCCGAGAACCTCGCCTCCATGAATGCTTTGACGACGTCCGATATCTCGGCATCGGCCCTGCACAGTCGACTGTCCAATCTCCATGCGACGGGACACAACCATCCTTCCCCTCCGGAGCTGGACGACCCTCGCCGCCTTGGCCTCCCCACCGACTACTTTGGCCGCGTCTCAGGTTCCCATAGCCCGGTCACGCCCGGTCTTTCTCGCCGACCTTCCGACGAAGCCGTCGATCACGACCGCACGCCATCCGGGGCTGCCACGCCGTTCTGCCCGCAATTTACCGAAGTGGAGACGCTTAGCCGGGTGCCCAGTTATTCCACGGCCGTTCGCACCACGGTGCGTCCGTGTGATTCCGAATTGCCGGATTACCAGGCCGTGGTTTCGAGTCACAGTGCGATCCCGACGCCGCAGCAAGCACACGTCCGAACTGGCGTTCGTGGGCCTGCCGCGCGCTCTTCTCTTATTGATGTACTACACCGGCCTGGCCTTTCCCACCTTCGCTCCACCAGTCACGCTGACGATTCGGAACGCAGTCTTCGTCTCACCCAAGCCCGCGCCCAGGTCTAGTTTCCTAAGGCAGACTTGTGGACCGAACCCGACTTTCCATATCACGATCACGACCCCCTCTGCTTGGCGCTGGACGCTGAGATAATTTCGCATTCTAGCAATCTCCCATCACCTGTCCCGAATGACAAAGGAAACATGCCACAGCACGTGTGTGTATTCCAGCGTCTGTGCATTTGGAAGCTTCACACCGCGGATGCTTTTTTGCCGACGAACTTATGCTTTCTACACTCATCCATACACTTAGACACGGAACGGCGCGGTTAATTAGAGGTGGCGTTATCTTGTTTGCTTTTTTTTTTTTTTTTTCTTTTCCAGATCGAGGGATTGACGGATTGGACGTCCCGGATGGGGTTGTCCTCTGAATAGGACGATGGTGGGTTTGGAATCTTCAACGGACAGCATGAGTTACGCATTTTTAAGACAAAAGCAGGAACACAGTACATAATCATTATTCTCATAGGATACATCTATTAAATCAACATATGATCCGTCAAGGATCAACCATGATATCATTTCACAGCCAACCCATGTCGTCTACGCCACTGAAGCGGTGGCGCCTGATTTCCTCGATCATAGCAAAGCAATTGACCTTACTTATACACCCAAATCCGTAAAAAGCAAGCTTTATATCACAGTCTTACCGAATAGACATTCCCCTGAGACGGAAGTATAAAAGCGGTGTGTCCGTGTCAGGCCAGGCCCGCAAGCGACCAGCGGAGGATAACATGAATGAGGGGTAAAATACTCCCGGCAGAAAGCGGTGACGCGGTGACTTCATCGGCTGTCTGGGCTTTCCGGCGATCATTTCCCCTTATTCCTCCTTCTCCCTGATGAAAACCGGTGCGTTTGTTGAGGAAAGGTATTAATTATTCCCCTTGGATTTGACACCTCTATTTTTCTCCCTGGATCAGTCTGTGCTTATAGGGGAATGTGTGTTTGATTATTCTACTATTTCGTTGAAACCTCACCGCTCTCTCATTCGTTGGTGGTCTTGCCACAACGTACGATTGATTCTCCGGATTAACTACACCCCCCGCCAACTGAAGTTCTCCGCAACGACTGCACTGAACTGCGTAGTGCAAGTTCTCTACCTACACCTTTCACACCCAGGTAGAATATACACTAGCAGCAACAATGTCTGCCACAAGCAGTCCCGTGGATGCGAAGCTCCCGCATCGTTCCTCGACGATGAGGAGCTCCGTGACCGGTCCGGACCGCCGGGCTTCTATGAGCGACGATGAGGCCATCCCGGATTCCGATAGCAGTGAGGTTAGTATCTGTAATATGGTGGCTGGATATCGGCTTGTGTTGTACTGTCAAGCTAATGCGTGCGACTACCTAGACTACGAATCTCCTTGTTGAGCGCCTCCGCGCTTGGAAGCATATGTGCGGCAACTTGGAGGACTTTGTTAGTGTTACTGCTAAGGTGCAGAAGTCGCAGTCGAAGGACTATGAGAAGGTTCTTAAGGTGGGTTTGTTTGGATGCTGTGTGTTGGTATGTTGGATGGGTGCTGATTGGGGATAGACTGTTAGCGATCCCCTGAAAGAGGGGCACCATTTCTCGCAGAGCGTTGGAGGCGTTTCTTCTATGTTTGAGAATATTCGCGCCAATACTCAGGTATGTAGTCCCTTCGTCCCTGGGATTGCTGTGTGCTAAATGTCCTAGGGAATGGTCAGCATGTACCTCGACGGAGAGAAGAACTTGAGGACCTCCGTCCTTCCGGCCCTGGAGCGTCTCCACAAGGAAATCAAGAACAAGTCGAAGGAGCTGGCGACCGGTGCGTCCAAGAGTGCCAAGGCCGTCGAGAAGGCCCGCCAAACCACCCAGAAACACATCGAGCTCCTGGCCACGCAGACGGCCACGTTTGACGCTGCCGCCGGAAACAAGGTCGAGACGGCTAGTGACCCGTACCTGCTGCGCCGCGGCGTCAACCACCGCCTCAACAAACAGGTGATCGAGGAGAACAACAACCGCTCCGACATCATCGCCGTGCAGAACAACTTCCAGCAGTTCGAGGCCCATGTGCTCCAGACCATCCAGGCCGCCATGGAGCAGTTCACCGTCTTCGTGAACGGCCAACTAGAGCGCCAGCGCACCATGTACTCCGATATCCTGGGCGCCACCCAGCGCATCCCCCCCGAGTTTGAGTGGGTCAACTTCATCACGAGGAACGACCAGGCCCTCGTCGACCCCGACGGGCCCCCGCGTTCGCTGGCCAACATCAACTTCCCGAACCAGGACCACCGCTCCACCCAGCCCCTCGTCGAAGGCAGCCTGGAACGCAAGTCTCGCGCCGTCATCAAGGGCTACAACTCGGGCTTCTACGTCGTCTCGCCCGCGCGCTACCTGCACGAGTTCAAAGACAACGACGACTTCCAGAAGGATCCCGCCCCAGAGCTCTCCCTGTACCTGCCCGACTGCTTGGTCGGCGCCATCGACGGCGCCAAATTCAGCGTCAAGGGCAAGGACGTCTCCAGCGGCAAGGTCGGCAACGCCTTCCACACCAACACCGAGCTGCACTTCAAGGCCCACAGCGCCAGCGAGGCCGAAAAATGGCACAAAGCCATCCAGGACGCCTCCAGCGGGCCCACCCTGCAGACCAACACCGCTGCCACCGCCGCTGCCACCGTCGCCAGCCCCACCGCAACCTCCCAGCCCGCCAGCCCGGCCGTCGCCACCGGCGCCGGCGGTGCCTCCCCTCCGGGTCAACAGCCCCCGGCCTACGGCGATCACCAGAACGACCCCGTCTCTCCCGCCGCAACGGGTCCCAGCGACGCTGCGCAGAGCCCTGTGTCTCCCGCAGGAGTCAGCCGCACCAACACCTCGGCGTCAGGGTTCTCGGCGGCGGGAGTCAGCCGCACTAACACCTCGGCTTCAGGGCTCAGCGGCACGGCGGGCAAAAGCGATAAGGCTTAATTTTTCCCAGAGGGCAAGCGATGTTTTCTTCTCTCCTTACTTTAATCTTTTTATGTCGATAGTATTGCCTTGGTCTCGTATACCTCTGACCCGTTCATATCATATCATATCATATCATATTATTGTGGCCCTCTATGCTTTTCGATATACCACACATACACACACACACACACACACACACACTTTATGCTAGTCTAGCTTAGTTAACTACTCCGCTTAATGAAGTGCTTTCAGTTTCTCAATATTTGCTATTTCCCCCTCAATTTACACTGTAGCTCATATAGTCAATGGAAATGAAAAACAAAAACGAGTTTGATCATCTTGCGCATGATAATGAGCGAGATGTTAACGCATGCATGGGTGGTTGGGTAGGTATCACTGATGATATACTGAAATACACAAGTATCCCTATGCACGAAGCACCATGCTTTTGATTTATGCTCAACTTGGTATAGCCAATTCCTATGAACAAGTTTGTTGGTCTCCATTTTCCGAAGCGGGGTGGTCCGTCATCAGCAGGAGAACAGGTGGAAGAGCACAGATAGCCATACGTACATGTAGGCATGCATACGTACATACTACAAATAAAGATAGAAATATGTGATAAGGACGCTGTGGTATGTATGTATGCCATGTGGAACAGCATCAGGCGAAGAAGGAAGTACATGTAATGGGAGGGATGAGGGACGAGGAGGATGAATCGTATGTCTCGTGACAGGCAACTTAATAGAAACAGAAGAACGATGATAGAGCTAAGCTAGGGAGATAAAGAAGAGGAAGATGCAGTAGGTAAGGTAAGGTAGCTTTTAAGGTTTAAAAGTCCTCTGGGCTCTCCAGATCTTCTAGCTTCTGGCTGAGAAACCTCCCCAGGGCGGCGGATTTGGATTCCAGCGCGAGGAGGATAGCGGGTGAAGCGGAGAGGTTCAAGCTGGAGAGACGGGCGAGGTCGTCTGTGCGGTCGATCTCGTACTGCGATTCGAGCTGCGCGTCTGCGCGGATGGTGGTGTCACTGTGGCTGCGGGAGATGCTGTAGGGGCGTCCGTTTGTGGGGGTGCCGTTGGGGCCACTTGTGTCTGCGCCGTCGGGGGCTTGTTTGGTGGAATGGCCGTTTTGGGTTGTTGCACCCTCGGGCTCGTGTTTGGAGGGTCCGACGGCGGCGAGGAGGACTCGGTCAGCGATTCGGGTCACGACTGCGACTAGGTCGTCGAGCTCGAAGACGATCGAGCCTACGTCGCCGAGGGAGATCGATTGCGCGGTCACGTAGGAGGACGGGTGGCTGGCTGGGTTGACGCCTGTGAGGTTACCGCTTGATGCGGTCTTCGCGTAGCATGTGTAGGCGGCGCCGTAGGTTGCGCTAAGGTTGCGTAGCTGTCGCGTGGGGAGGGGAGAGCCGTAGGCGAAGATCGCTCCGTTGGTACCGAATACTCTATATGTGCAGGACTCGCGATTAGCAGGGACTGGATAGGAGGGTACCGTTGTAGGTGACTGTACAGGATAGAGGTGATCTCCGGCGGGGAAAGATTGTCTTCAAGGAGGCCCCCGAGGGCCTCCGCGTCGAGCATCTTTATGTCCGGAAGGCCGGGAATCATGATGGCGGTGCAGTTGTCGTGTCCGGCTCGTTTGTTTGAGTAGGCCAATGACTGGCGGGAGAACAATCTTCGGGGGAAAGAGATATGCTATCCCAGTATTCGCTATCGTCGTGACCGCACTATATCTGTTCGTTTTGGGTTTTTGGGCGTGTTGGAATTGGACCGGCGCAAGAAGGATGGCGGGGTTCGTATACCTCGGTTCCGCGGAGTCGTTTTGTACTGGGGAATGATCTTCGGCCATTTTGTTAGTTACTAGAAACTGTCCCTTGACAGAGCCGCTTATAAAACAGGAACAACTCAATTAAACACAGATAGAACAGCAATCCGGCGACCAACAGTTATATGGAGACGAGAAACACGGCTTGAACGGACTGGACACCGGGCTGCATCAACACGAGATACAGGTCGCACAGGATATGCATGCAAATGGAACAGAAGACCGGCTTTCTTGTTTTTACACAATGGAAGAGAGGAAAAAGGACCAGTTCATTTCCAGCGTACAATCCCCTTGTATTCCATGGTGGAAAGCAGTCGGGGACACAGGGCGACAATCGCGGGGAAGAGAAGTGATACCCTTGCGGATCGCGGAGAGGAAGAGGAATGATAGACTAACCTTTACAAATTGAATTGAGAACTCTGTAGCGACCGGCGCTCTAGAGAAGAAACCAAGAAGCAAGGGGAGTGGTGATCAGAAGAAGTAGGTTGAGGGGTTGTGGATGAATGGCGAAGAGAGTTGGAGAGCTCGCGGTTTGGTTGAAGTCGGGGAAGAAGTCGATCAGCTCCTGTTTGGGACTAGCAGCCGATCGACGTCATCCTCCTCTGTTTACTGAACTTTCTATCGTACTTCCACCTTTACTCCATTCTCTAGGTATCCTTATAGATACTCCAATATGTTCTTGGAATGGCTTTATGATCGCTGACTAGCCAAAGGATCGATTCAATATTACTACATTTGGCAATGCAACCCACGTGTGGAGCTCCATCGGTTTTGTCCTAGTACCAACAGCAGGTACTGTTGTACTTGGAGGCTTTGGCATTAATACACTAACTGATCACGCTACGAGTGGGCGTGTCTAGCGTATAGGAGGAAGTTCAGGAGTTGTTTCTACTGCTCACTCTCCCTGTCATCCAGTCGATTCGCTTGGAAGACAGCACTTTCTGCCGAATCTCTCAAGACATCCTATTGACTACTCAACATCACCCATCTGAGGTCCCATTCAATCCTCGGTGATATAGAATGCCTTTGGATCAGAAAGAGTTCACCGATGCGGTTCCCCACCCGAAGATTGGCACCCCGATCGATTCGCCCGATGCCAAACCCTGGTATTCAATCGGCCCAGGCATCTGGGAGCTGCTACTGAATGGAGATCAGAGGTCGGAAAATAAGTCTGTTCTGCAATGGTACGATCCTGGCACGAAATCCGTGCAGAACAACCCCATTGTGCACACCTATTACGAGGAAGTCTGCTTTCTCCAGGGAGGGTTGAAAGACATCACCCTTGGACAGGAATGGGGAATGGGAGCCTACGCCTACCGAAGACCCGGCATGAAGCATGGTCCATATGTGGCTTCAGCAGAAGGTTGTCTACAGTTTGTTAAACTCATGGCGGCGGCTGAAGGTTAGGCGAAACTCGACGTGGCAGTACGAATGAAGGGACTATCTTAGCACACCATAAACAGAGGGATCGAGTCGAAATATACTATCTCTTGAAACATGGACCCAAGGAACCACTGGTTCTGATCAAGTAGTAGGTGGAACTGGGAGAATTCAAGATGTTAGCCATGATGAACGTCATCGGGCGAGACCCCACATTTCCCAGGCCAGTATCGGTTTTTTCCCCTCATTCCGCTCACTAATCCCGCCTTAAAACTTGACCCCTCCTTTCGATCCTGAACTTCCTCTCCTCCTATCCCTATGTTCGCCAATCGCGCCTTTTCTTTCCTTCCTACCACTTCCTTCCTCAGGGTCCTCACGCCACGCTTCTCTATCATTCCAGGTGGGTTCAATTTCCTTGGAGATTTCCCCACATGAGCCGATCGCAAATACTCACATCGTTTGCAGCTACCAATCGAACAATCGCAACCATGGCGACGGAGACTTCCAAGTACAAGCTTAACCGTTAGTCGCTATGTATCCCCCGGATGATGATTGCTGTCCTGACAATGGCTCGAATCAGACACCATGCTCCGGGTCAAGGACCCAAAGAAGTCCGGTGGGTAGCTTCCACGCCCTCCCAGTGACATCCGACTTACAGATGGTTTTCTTCGGCCAGTGGAATTCTACAAGTTCCTGGGCCTCAGCCAAATCCAGCAGCTCGACTTCCCCGACAACAAGTTCTCCCTTTACTTCCTCGCGTACAACGGCGCCCAATCGCTGCAGGGCGACCGTCACTGGACAGACCGCAATGGCGTGTTGGAACTGACGCACAACTACGGAACGGAGAATGACCCCAACTACAGCGTGGCCAATGGCAACACCGAGCCCCACCGTGGCTTTGGACACATTGCTGTCTCGGTGGACAACATCGAGGTCGCATGCAAGAGACTCGAGGACGCCGGCTACCCGTTCCAGAAGAAACTGACCGATGGTCGGATGAAGAACATTGCGTTTGCCAAAGACCCCGATGGATACTGGGTCGAGATCATCCGTCGCCACGACCAGGATGTCGGGACGGCGACCGACCCCAGCAGCTACCGGCTCAACCACACGATGCTCCGCGTCAAGTCCGCCGAGACCAGCCTGAAGTTCTACCAGGAGGTCATGGGCATGACGCTCCTGCGCACCAGCGAGAACAAAGATGCCGCTTTCAACCTCTACTTCCTGGGATACCCCAACTCCAACCCCAAGCAGCAGGAGGGTGTCAGGAATCCGGTCGCGGAGTGGGAAGGCCTCCTCGAACTGACTTGGAACTACGGTACGGAGAAGCAGGAGGGGAAGGTGTACCATGACGGAAACAGCGAGCCGCAAGGCTTCGGACATATCTGTACGTTGGCTTGGTCCTATAATCCACCCTGATCGTGTGTTGGCCACTGACAAACTTAGGTGTCTCGGTCGATGATCTCAACGCCGCCTGCGACCGCTTCGAGTCGCAGAATGTCAACTGGAAGAAGCGCCTGACCGACGGGCGCATGAAGAACGTGGCCTTCGTGCTCGATCCCGATGGATACTGGATTGAGGTGATCCAGAACGAGACCCTGAAGCGCAGCAGTAACTGGTAAACGGGCTTCAATAATGCGTGTAGATAGTTAATTTCATAGTAGCCCGACAAATCTGTCAGAATGTTGTCCCCATAATTGAGTAATAATAGTCACTGTCTGTTCTTAACTACACCATTTACAATGTGGTGGATATCGTAAGATCGGACTTAACATTCTAGTTTGTGTCTACAGAGGGAGATCGACAGAAATAAATATCCCGGACGTGCAGCCACACGTGCATCAATCGCATTGTCAACACGGTCGCACGCTGACCGGAGATATGTTCAACAAAAAAACCTAATATCAGCCAAGCTCGCAATCCTTGTTTCCACATACCCCAAGCGTCTCGCCCGGTCCCATAAAAGTAAAGCCCGAGATGTCAGAAACCGATCCACCGATCTTCTTCCACTCGCTTTTCCCCTTTCGCACGCGCAATGACTAATACCTCCACCATCATTGTCGCACGCCTCCCCCGATAACCGACATGCTCTCTTTTGCCGGAGTCGGGTAATACGATGTTCTGACGAGCTGCTTGATCCTCTTTGGCTCCGAAAAGAGAGACAGACAGAAAGAGAGAGCTTCACCCCGCCCCCGCGCCCCACTTCCACCCTGCGGCCATGCAGTCGCAGTCGGAGAAGCCCAAGAAAGCGCCGCGCAAGCACCTTACTACTGCATGTGTGCCGTGCCGCGAGAGTAAGATCAGGGTATACATATTATCTTTTCAGCTCACGTCACGTCGACGGGAGCTGAGCGTCGTCGTAATAGTCTCCTTCAAGATACTGACACTTCTTACTAGTGCGATGGTGCGACTCCGCATTGTAACAACTGTGAACGAAAAGGGAAGGCTTGTAAATACCAGCATGGCGAGGATAAACGGAAGTAGGTCTTCGCCACTCTGTTTCTTGATATAGGCGACTTTGTGTCTTTTAAAAGGAATGCGGGCCTGCGTGCAGAGCGACAGGCGACTGACTTCGCTGGAGTACGAAGAGCCTGGAGACGCTGCGCAGGATTGCTTTCCCTCCCTGGTTCGATTGGCGCTGATTGTGTGTTTGTTACCAGAGTGTCGCTCCGTCCTGCGACAGAGTTGTTTTCCGCGCGGATCGACCAGTTGTGCCAGTTCATCTATGATAATGGCTTGGAGCCGCCTCCCATGAATCCTGAAGATGAGTCGGGGATGAAGAGGGTGTTGGAAACGCTCCAGATTCCTCGGAAAGCCATATACAGAGATTATTCTGAAATGGTGGGCGAGCAAAACGGACAGCACCATGCAGCTATCTCTGGAACCGCGGACCCTAGCCTGCCGGCACCTTTGACCAGGGAGGGGCACATGCGCGTGAACGAGAGTACTACTGGCGTCCCCATGTCATCTTCAAACGTGATATCTGACCAGGGGTTCATTCCGTCATCGAAAAGTCCCGAATCAATCAACGCTCTGGGAATGAATCTGTCCCCAGCGAGAGCCTATCCCTCCTCGCATTGGGCACTTGCCCTCCCAACTGCCGAGAGTTTCGATGCGCTATGTGCGAACATGATAGGCGGACCCGGCGTTACACCGGACGGCAGTGGCAGTGCCAGTCCCGCGAGCTTTCACCCGTTGTGGGACAGCATGCCGCAGCAACCCGGGGAATCTCTCGGACAGCCGCGCGACAACCGAGAGTACTATGACAGCGACAGCGGGGAAGAGGACGAGGCAGAGAAGGACGTGATCGAGCAACTATCGCATCGCATCGGAACGCTGAAGATTGCCGGAGACGGCCACCTGCGATTCTACGGCGCGACCTCTAACCTGAACTTGGTAGATGTCTCGGCGACACAACAGCGCCAGCGCCCTGATGCGCGGTCCATCCGCCACGACGGGCAAGATATCTTGAACCACCTGCGTGTTGGGCAGCCCGTCGATCCAGTTCTCGAAGACCACCTGGTCGAGCTCTACTTCACCTGGCAAAACCCCAGTACCTACGTAGTGGACAAGGAGATGTTCATGATCGCGAGATCGAGATGGCGGAACGGATGCGACGATACTCCATTCTATTCCGAGGTGCTGACCAACGCAATGTACGTTCTGTGGACAGCTTTACTGTCTCTGCTGGTGCTAATGACATACCAGGTGTGCCATTGGAAGTGCATTCGAAGCGCGGTATCATCCGACGTTCATCACCTTTCCCAAATCCCTTTCGGAGTTTTTTGCAGATCGGGCCAAGGCGCTTTTGGAAATTGAGCTGGACTCGCCCTGCGTGGCTACGGTGCAAGCCCTTGTTATACTGAGTTGCCATGAAGGCTCGTCAAACCGGGATGCACGGGGCTGGCTTTATAGTGGTATGTCGTGTGTTGAGGGCTTTTAGACTGCCATGCTGATAAGAGCAGGGATGTCCATGAGACTGGCGTTTGATCTTGGTCTTCATCTTGATACGACCGTCTATGTGGAAAGAGGCGACATCAGCGCCCTTGAAGCTGATGTCCGCCGGGTGGCATTCTGGGGAAGCTATATTGCAGACCAGTACGTTTTTTGCCAGGAGACGGAGTATATATAAGCTAACTGATAATATAGCTTCTGGGGATTCTATCTAGGCCGTCCATTCCGGATGAACGCGGGAGATATCACGGTGATGAAGCCTGCGTCGGATTTGGGACATGGGAAAGAGAGCATATGGTACCCATACGGACACTTGCTGCAGTCGGAGGCCCTCAAGGGAGGAACCAAGAACCCGAACGAGCTGATTAGTAGGCAATTTGCCATTTTGTGGGAGATCATCTCGCCCGTTGGCCATATTCTGTAAGCACCTACCGGGTCTCTCTCTTGCCAACCGCTAACAATTGGTAGATACGGCTGCTCTGATATACCAAAACATGATCTGCAAAGACTGTGTCACCCCGTGACGGATGACCTATTCGCTTGGAGAGAGAATCTCCCCTCGAACTTGGATATCGACTTGGAGAACGACACAGTTCCAATCCTGCCGCACCTCTTGATGCTACAGTTAGTTCATCCCTCTCCCACACTTCCCCCTACCTTCTGTTAACCCACCCAGCCTACAATACCACCAAATAGTCATCTTCACCCACAGACCATGGGTCTCAAAAAGCTACATCCAACCCCGCGCCCCCCGCCAAGGACCCGGCTACCACCACGCCCGCAGAATGTGCATCGAATCCTCAATGGCCATAGCGCGACTCCTCCACATCTACGAAAAACACTACACCTTCCGCCGCATGAACAACCAAGTCGTCGCCATCATCTTCAGCGCAGCCCTCATGCTCCTCTACGTCACTATCTCCAACTCATCCCCGAGCAAGTCCACCACCAACACCACCATCAGCACCGGCCCTGAAAACCCAACCACCAACGCTGAAATGGTAGCCTACCTCAACCTCTGCTTCCGCGCCCTAGACGAACTAGGCCAGTCTTTCGAGAACGCGAAACGCACACGCGACTTCCTCGTCAGTCTCCAGCGCCGCTGGCAAGCGCACATGCGTCGCTCCAGTCCTAGGAAGAGACAGATCACTAACCGTCCCTCTTCACACACCCTCCACGCACCCGACCACATGTACTCATCGAGAAAGAAATCCAGAGTCGCACCCGCCGCTCCTCAAACCATACCACCCCCTCCACAAGCCACCCCGGTCACAAAACCAAACCCCCTACCGCAGGCCCTAGACGCAACGCAGCAGTTTGGCGCCTGTCAGCCCGGAGACCTGGACTGGATCCGCACTTCGGATCTGCAGTTCTTGTCGGAGCAGATTGCGGATGGGGGTGTTCCTGCTGTGGATAGAGTTACGCCTTATGTAGGTGGTGGTGGGGAGGGAGGAGAAGGGTTTCCTGCTGGTTCTGATTTTGGGCTTGGGGGTTGGTGGGATGGGTCTGGTGGGGGTGGGGGTGGGGGCGTTTCTTGATGTTAATATACTATATACTACTTTCTATATAAGTTAATAGTTACTGAGATGTGAATCTTATGGATACGAAGTCAAGTAGTAATTTCGTGAAAGACCAATATTGTCATGATTCTCACACTCAACAACCTAAAACTCTTATATCAAAAAACCATAGTATGTTCCATATATCCAAAAGTCATACTATATAACCAAGTTCCACAAGTGAAAACAAACCCAAGCCCAACATCATCATCCACCATCTACCTACCTACCTACCCTGAAACCCCCACCAAGCACCTACAACATCCCCACACCCCATCCCCTCCAAACACCGCGCAACTCCCCCCGCCACTCCTTCCGAGACTCCCCATCCCCAAACCCGAAATCCATCCCCGCCGAAAGTCGAAACTTCGTCCGCACCCCCTCGCGCGGAACGTACCCCGCAATCTCCCAGTCAATAATACCCAGCGAGCCTGTCGAGGTGTTCACAAGGAGGTTCGTAGGGCCAAGATCGCCATGATAAAAGACGAACGTAGACACATCCATGCAAATCTCGGTGCAGTTTTTCAGGAGCTGGGTTGGGGAGAGGGCGTCTGCGTTTGATATCTTGCTGTCGCCTTTGATGAGATATCGCTCTAGAAGGTGGTGTCCGTCTACGCCGCTGATGTATCGCCTTTCCAGACTGCTAAGTTGTGGCAGATATCAGCTACCTTGCCGATGTAATATCGGCGAAGTGTCTCGTCCATGCTGGGCCATGCCTCCTCGAGGAGCTGGCCCTCGACCCTTGAGACGATTAGGAAGTATCGCGAGTCACACTCGAAATGAGCGTATACGTCTGGGAAGACGAAACCGTGGACATGTTGGTCTTGGAGGAACTGCAGTGTGATGTGCTCTCTGGTTGTGTGGGGGTGGTCTGTGTGGTGTGCTTTTATGAAGGCTTCGCCGGCGCGCCAGACGGCGGATTGGTTGTTTACTGCGTGGACTCTTGAGATAGGGGAGGAGCTTTCTGTGAGGGGCTTGGAATCTGGATAGGGCTTGGGTGCAGTGGTGAGGGTGAAATGGCCGCCGTTGCTGTCGCTCCAGTGTGCTGCTGCGTCTGTGGGGGTTTTGGATGGGGGTGGTGATGGTGGTGGTGGTGGTGGTGGTGACGAGGAATGGGGGAGGAAATGTGTGTGGGAGATTAGCCAGGTGTTGGTGGTGACTTGTTGGATTGAGTTGTTGAGGTGTGGTTGGGGTGAGGTGGGCGCTGTCATGGTGGTTGTTGTTTTGAAGTGTAAGAGTTGAGAGTGAGATGTTAGTAGATTCTTTGTCTGTTTGTTGTACGACCAGTTATTGTATCCCTAACTTAAATCGCTGATATCTATGAATAATGGTTACTATCTTATCTAAGTAGGTAATATAGTATCATATAAATAGATTATCTCTGTCATTCTGGTAATTATAGATATCCACTGCCGAAATTATCCAAACTAAAAATCAACTATACTTGCGTACTTTATCTATTATTTTGCCCGTTTGTTCCTGCAGGAGGATAGTCGCTTGAAAGATGCTAGTATGCTAATAGCAATGAAGCACAAGAAGAGAGAAAAGAAAGAAGAAAAGAAAGCAAACCTAGTCTGAAAGATACGCCACAGACCGCAACATCCGGCCCAGCGCCCCCTTCTCAGAAGTCGCACTCGCAGCAGGGTCATCCATATCCAGGGTAGCCTCGACCTCATCTTCAGGCATGGGCCTAACAACCTGGAGAGACAGCTGCGGGTCCTTGGAGTAGACGCGCAGACCGATCACGCAGACGGCATTCCACGGGTCGGTGATGCACTCGTCGTCCATGTACCGGGTGCTGGTCGACAAGGCGGCGGAGGTTTTCGGTCCTGCGGTGGGGGCGGAAGGTTCCTCGCAGGGCATGTCCAGGTCCGAGTCGAACTCGAACCCCTCGAGGAGCTCCCGCTCGTCTTGGTGGTACTGGAACGAGGACCGGTAGTTGGAGTATGTTGTGTCTATACTGGACCGGAGGGTTTCGATTCTCCGCGGGTGTCGGTGTCCGTGCGTGTCGATGCCGTTGAAGCGGACGGTGGGGATGGAGGGGATGCTGTTGGGGGCCTTTTCGCGCCCGCCTAGGTCGGGGCTGAAATTGCCGTTGAGGTCGGCCGGGGACTGCACGGGGCCGCCGTCGGGGAGGATCTGCTCGCCGGGGTGGCTTTGGGCACTGGGACTGGGCTTGGATGCAGCGAGACGTTCGAGGCGCTCTGCTGTGCGCTTTTTGCGGGCGTGCATCTTGCGCGAGCGGATCCATTCCCGTTCGAGCCGCTTTTTGGTATCCGCGCGCAGCTTTTTTCGCTCGGCGTGTTTGCGCCGCTCTTCTATTTCTTCGCGGGTTTGTCGCTCGTGGTCTGTCTCGACGAGGAGGCCCTTGGCGTGGGCGAGGTCGTACGAAAGCCCGATCTGGACGAGCTTCTCCCGCCGCTTGGGTGCCATCCGGCTGACGACTTCTTCGGTTGACTCTATGTCGTGGTACCGGTAGGCTGTGATTTTCATGAGGATGTGGTAACGGCCGGGTTCGAGGTTGACTTCGGTGTTGACGGATCGGCTCATCAGGTAGCTGCTGTGGCTGCGAACGATGTAGTTGTCTTCGTCCTCTTTCTGGATGCGGAACTTGAGGAGGAAGTCGTATTCGCCTCTGAGGCCTTTGAAGTACCGAGGGTCCAACTTTTCTAGATTAGCCACTGGTAGTGGAATGTGCTATACGCTTCGGCTCGACATACCTGGGACAGAACGATAACCTGGGGACCGCCTTTGGTCACGGTCATCAAGAACTTAGTGGCAAGGTAATCGGCGGACCACGGCACATTCAGCGTAGTCCATTGCTGAACAACAGTCCAGTGACTGTCGAATAGTCGAGTACGATCGAAATGCTGGTACTTCTTCAAGAGATCGTTGTACGAGATCCAGAAGAACTGCACGAGGTTAGTTTCTATCATTTTACTCCATAGAGAGAGAAAGAAGGAAACACATACTCCGTCGTTCCCAAATTTATGGCCCAGCTTTTCCATCCACTGGGGTGTCCACTGCTCCGAGCCATCGCTCCATGCGCCGGTCCACTCTTTTTTGCCCCAGGGGTTCCTGTATCTAGTTAGGATCATGCGTGCTCATGTATAAAGATTCGGGCTCACCTCAATCGAAGCAGACGTTGGCCGTCAATCTCCTTAGCCTCCATGATCGAGTACGAGTGGTTCTCGGATATGCCTTTTCGGTCTCTCGGGGGACCCTTGTATTTGGGGTCGAGCCAATTGGCATACAGACCCGTACCACAGCCAAAAAGAAAATCCTTGTTGACTTTCATAAGATCTTCCCTCCAGAACCGGTCCTTGTCAAGGATGTTACTGGACAATATGTCGGAAGTAACACCACCTGTCAGATCTTCGATAGCTTCCCTGCAACACGTCAATATCTGCCTAGGCCAATCAGGGTGAAGATCTTACCCTACAAACCCCCCTTCAATGGCGGAGTAATCGCCATGGGCTTTGGCATATGCTTTCTCCAGTAAAGGAAGCCATGTTTCATTCTCATCCGCGCAACGAGCGAAGTAGAGCGCACGTGAGCCTGTCTGGAAAACCTTTCGGTACTCTTCCTCGGCGTCGGACCGATTGATGTCATCCCACACATGTCGCTCATCTATCGATTCGTCGTAGTCTGCTGATCGTAGATAGAGCTTATCGTCGATGAGGCACTGCTGCCACTCGCCATCTAGTAAATCAAGTGTTAACCTCGACTCTACCGAGTTGCAAACTTATGAAGACTCACCTCGGTAAAAGACAAACCCATAAACCCCGACCCTTTCGTTCCGGGCGACGCATATCTTCTCAATGAGACCTTCCTTGTTGCCCATTGTGCACAGTGCTGCCATAAACCAACAGTCCCCGTCGCGGCCCTGGCGTACGTCCGACGCCGTCGGCCCATTGACATAAAACTGCGGATTGTCGAAAATTTCCTACATTGGAACTTGGTTAGCAAGAAACTGGGTATATATCTCTGTTTTCCCCAGAACTCACAGTGACTCTCTTGACACCACGGGGTCGCATGACAAAATTCTTCTCATCCAGTCCATACAAGCAATCATTTCGATCATTCTTGAGATCGACCTCGATATCAAAGTGAGGGTCGGTATACTTCTGATTCAACCGTTCGCACTCCCTAGCAATGCGGTCCACAGCGCGCTCGCATTCCCTCCGGACCTGCTCGTAAGATTTCCCAGCTTCCTGCCCTTGCACCACGCCACTGGGGATGGCGGCGGCTTTGGTGCGCGCATACGGGTTATCGGGCAGCACGGTATAGACTTTCCCGGGACTTTTGGTATAGAATTGATCCCAGAAGCTTCTTAGCGTCTCCTGCGGAGACAGTTGTTTCCGCCGGGCTCCGCCCTCAGAGCGTGATGAAAGATCGGGCGTGTAGACCATATCGACATTGTCGTCCTGATCCATGGCTTAGCGTTGGGTCCACGTGGATAGTGGTTGCTTTAGTTGGCCCGCAGCAAAGGATGGGTGCGGGGAACCGTGCGGAGGTGAAGAAGAGCAACAACAAAACCCAAGGGGATATGAAATATTTCTATCTATAGACTGTTTTCCCCTCAAGAGGATGGAGAGATGTTATGTGCAGGTCTGCTATGCGAAAATATTCTCAGCCAAAGAGCGTGGTCGCTGCCTTTTTATCTCATCGTCCTTCGCTTTAGACTTCTCCTGGACGATCCGCTCCTGAGGCTGAAAATTCTTTTGATGCTAGTGCCCCTCTGGGGACAAAGACCCAGTGCAGGACGTGCATGGAACCACTCAGCAAGTTTGCCAATGAGCATACCGTTAGACATTCCAGGTTTGCGTTTGGGGCGCCTTAGTTGCAGTGTCTGATAAGAGAACGAGCCCCTGTTCGGATCAGCGGTCTCCAACCCCATGTAGCAACGTGCCAGCGGAGGGAGGCTTAGGCCTAGTGTGGCCCCCAGAGCCTAACCCCATTTGATCTTAAAAAAACAGGCTTTGGACGGGTAGAGTTCGCGATGCAGCAAAGTTATTTTTACCGGCTGGGTTGAACGGGGGCCAAACCCAAGCTGACGGTCAAGCATAGGTTGGTGCCATTGGGGTGGAATTCCAACCCCAATCCGCCAGAGGCCTCGAGCCACCTGACTGCATGGTCATGGCTTGCACGCGTCCAATGGTTGGTCGTCATTTTTGGCCCCCGCCAGAGATGACGGCGCAGTCGGATACGAACGCTACTGTAGCAGTAGCGACTTGGAAAAACGCCTGCTCCACACCAGCGATTTGACCGTTCTTCGAACGGTCTCCAGCTGAAGAAACTCTAGTGTCGAACTCCTGATAAAACGGGGACGCAGTTCTGGCCTGAGGCTGTGTGCGTCGATATTATTACGCCGTCAACGTAGCGTCGTAGCAGTGTTTTGAGTCGCAAGGCTGAATGATGCCGATCGCTCTCACAATCCAGTCAAGTCAGGTTCTTGTTCATCCTTCCTTCTCCTTAATGGCTGGTCAGTGAGACATTTTCCATTCCCGGAATCCACGTTATGTTCGCTGACTGGTAGAACGGAGAGAGTTGTGGACTTGTCAAAGTAGGCTTTCTGGGGGGTTGGAAGCCAAGATGCGTGAGTGTGGGTTGGCTGAAGTCGTGATTCGACGGACGGCTCGGGGTCTCCGATGACAGGGCACGTGTTTGTTGGTCTCGACTTGGGATTGATTTTACTCCTCCCTCCACTTCCTCCTCAGCTTTCATGCGTTTCCAACGGTCATATCCGGTGATAGGGGTACAACCCTGTTGATGATCCTCCAATTCCAATGACTCATGACGCAGCTTCTGCATCTCGACCCTAGCCGGGGGGGGGACTTGCTCAAAAGACGTTGAGTCAGTGGGATCCGTGCTCAGGAAACGACACTTGACTGGTACTAGGTAGATCATGGACAACATCACCAATACTCAAGTCAGAATGGAACTGGATCCTGTCATCGAATTGGGCAAAAATTAACATGCGCAGTATTGCCCCTTGCAGGGTAGAATCGACCGTAGACCATACTAACAGAGTATGAAATTACTCATTCAGACGGGTATGTACGCATCAGTGGAAAATAAACACCCCTGGTAATATCCTGTAACCTAATTTCTTTCCCGTCCTATCAAATCATTCCGCAAACAACGCCATGAACAAAGGAAACACGAGACATAAACAAGAAGAATCGAAAGTGAGCAGCACGCGGGACGTGATGGGTGAACCGGGGGCAAGAGACGGTAATGAGTAGTGTGGGCTCTGCCATCCTGCCAAATACCACGGTACCCACTGGGTCTGCCGCGGCCATTCACATACATACATTACACATAAGAGACCGATTCGCAGGGCGCGAGCCGATCATGGCAATCCGTTCCTCCGGGTGCGACCGGAGTAATGGGAGCTGCCGTTCTGGAAGTACGGGTGCAAGCAAGCCTGCTTGGCGGAGAGTCGTCGGGCGGGATCGTACTCGAGCAAAGCATCGAGGAGGTCAAGCCCGTCCTCCTCCAACCCGGGCACGAGGGCACGGGTCTCCTCGCGCTTCCATTTGGGGAACGTCGGCTTGTAGTCGGGGAAGGATGTCACACCAGGCCAGGCATGTTCATCCGGGGTGCCGAGGAGCCTGCAGGGGAGGGAGAGTCAGAACACTGCACTTGGGGAAGGGGCAGATCGGTTTGAGCAGAGAACATACCGGAAGATCTTGAAGATCTCGTCGATTTCGGAATCACCAGGGAACAGCGGCTTGCGAGTGCACATCTCCGCGAAGATCGCTCCGACGGACCACATGTCGACACCGGTGGAGTATTGACGGCCGCCCAGAAGGATTTCAGGGGAGCGGTACCACAGGGTCACGACCTAGTGCTCATGTTAATCATCATTCCGCCCATCGAAAGCTGAATGGAATTACCTCATGGGTGTACGTCCGCAGGGGAACACCGAACGCTCGGGCCAGTCCGAAGTCGGCGAGTTTCAGATTGCCTTCACGGTCAATCAGAAGATTCTGAGGCTTCAGATCCCGATGCAGGATACGGTGGCTGTGGCAGTAACGGATCCCTTCCACCAGCTGGGCCATGAACTTCTTGACCATTGCATCTCCCAGACCCAAAGTCTTGCACATCGACGCACCATCGGGAAGGGCCTTGCCACGTCCACCCTCACTGACAGGAAGAGCCTCCATGTATTTCTTCAGATCGAGATCGAGGAATTCGAAGACGAGATAGAGTTTGTGGCCATCGGCATGAACGATGTTGAAGAGCTGCACGATGTTGGGGTCGTTCATCTCCTTCAGCAAGGAGATCTCACGAATGGCGGTGCTGGGGACGCCTTCATCCTCGGCCTCCAGGCGAATCTTCTTCAGGGCGACGATACGGTTGGGATGGGTGAGCTCGCGAGCCTTGTACACAACACCATAGGTACCTAAATTTCGATAACTGCTGTCAGTCCTCGATCCCAATAGCGTATCAAGCTAGGAAGAACATGTTCTTGACCAAAAGCCTATGGTGGGAACCAAACGTACCCTCTCCAATTTTCTCAATCTTCTGGTAGTTCTCCATGGTGACGGAAGAACAGGACACCCTTCAAGATCACAAATTGGTACGAAACAGCGAGGTCGATTGAGCCACCGGCACAAAAAAAAAAAGGCAAATTGAGGCGATGCTCAGAATCCAGAGATAAGCGGGGTACAGGAGAAAGAGAATGTAATGCACGGGCGCTTGGTGGTTGTTTGTTGCCCGGGAAAGAAATGAGAGAAAAACAATGGAGTTGGTGCGGTTGGCGTCAAAGCAACGGAGGAGACAAGCGCAGGGCAATGACGAAGTGCAATTGACCACTTCAAAGGTCAAACACAGCCAACAGGACGTTTGAATTGAAGGAATGACCGATCTTAAAGACAACCAACACACTATCAATGGCCAAATCAACGGATCTATTTTAAAACTCCTTTTCAAGGCCGTGTTGTCCCTGGTGGGGAACAAAGCGAAGGCGGTCAGCCGCAATAAAAACAAACAAAAAAACCCGCGTTCCCGGGCGGTGAGCGCGTTGACACCTGACTTCCTTCTCTTTCTCCGTTTGTTGGTCCGCGTTGACCCAAATACATCACTCGTCTGTCTGACGAAGAAGTGCCTTCACTCGGCAGAAATACTGCTGGACCAATAAATGGGGTTATGCATCTATGCAATACTCCGCAGGAGATTTGGCAGATACCGCAGATACCAATGAATTGACCCTTGAATGCAGATCCTCCTCAATCTACTCGATACCCGCATATACTTCCTCCCCGAACCGGACGGCCAACCTTCTAAATACGAAAGCCTTTGTTATCGGATACTACTTTAATGGTTGAACCTGATCGTGTCTCGATGATCGACAAGATGATATTGGTTTTGCGTGCCCCTTGGATGTTGATCAGCCGTGCTCAGCTAGTATTCCGATAATCATTAGCAACAGCAAGGGCGACTTGAACCTTGGGAAGGAGGATACATTGATTCGGACCTACCCCTACCTTCTATTCTCTTCTCGGAGTTTGTTTGTCTGGGGCTCCTTGGTGTTCTCAGCCACAAGGGCTGAAGAGTGGCGAGTCTTCATGGGTAACGGCTGATGAAACCGTTCCTTCATTGACTGCGACAACATTCAGTCTATAGGAAGGAATTGAACACAACTTGCTGGACTTCATCCTCTCATTGCTTTCTTGCCAAGCTTGGTGGCACTTACAGGTCGTCTGTCATGGCCTTCATCTATCAGTGGAACTATTACGTATACACGCTTTGACTACGATGGATCATCAGCTAGGCAATCGTACGTTTTGTTGCGACCATGGTTATCTCAAGAATCAATGAATGAGCTACTGGCTCACGTCTAATACACATAACAAAGCATTGAGAGCCCATACGATGCAAAGAAACTGCGGGCTTCAAGGCGCACTAATTGCGAACCATGTCCAACATCAAGTGCACTATCAAGCTGTACGACTTGGTCGGTCATCAATCATCAATGTAAAACGAAACCAAAATGCTACCCGATCCAGTGTCGCAATATAAGGTTACTCACAATTGCAAAAGCATCATGATATCATCTTCTATAGCCGAATAGTAATTCTTCCCAACATATAACCACCTCGTATTCATCCACTCCGCCCAGCTATAAGCAGAACCATCAAAAACCCATCCTACATTGAAACACTGACAATTTCATCACTTGACTGTCCTACTTAAACCCTCCCGTATGAGTCATTGCCATTGTCCCATAGATGGCAGTGGGCACACTACCAAGTTACCAACCCCAACACCGCCAGAACCCACTGCCCACATGGCTCTTGGAACTCCAACTCGGGACCGACAACCGCCCCGCAGGGAACCCCCTCATTCGTACTTCCCCCTCCAATAGCCCGGGTATCTCAACGGGCCCCAAATCCCTTGGCCTACCTTTCTTGGTAACTTCCCCTCCTGATAAGCGCAGCGGAATCCACCTTGGTGACTGATGATTAACTAGCTACGGGGTGTAGTTAGTTGAATCATAGGTGGTTGGTTACTAAGGTTGTATGGACGGTGCCGCGGACGCGCACCTAGGCTCTTTTTTAAACGACATATATTTATCTATTCGACTATTGCGGTTCTAATCGAGCTTCTATATATTTGTTGTTTTACCCTTTGACAGGTGACCATGACTGTCCCTCAATGGAAATCACTAGCAGAGACGAAGCGTCAGTCCATCCTGGACGCCATCCCCCCGAAATGGAGGTTCCAAGACCCCGTTCCTGAACCGGCGGAGCTCCGCGACGTGACGGGTTCTTATATCCAGCAGTTCCTGACTCCCCGTGAGGTCGATATCACTGAGACTGACGCCGTTGGGATCGCGGAGAAGACTACGTCCGGGCAGTGGTCTGCGGTGGAGGTGACGGAGGCGTTTTGTCATCGGGCTGCGCTTGCCCATCAACTGGTATGTTCGCGGCGACGATCATGGGGTACGGTTGGGGCAACAGGCAGTGGCTGACTCATTCCTCAGGTGCATTGTTTGCATGAAGTATTCTTTGAAGCGGCCATCGAAGACGCAAAGCGTTTAGATGCCTACTACGCGGAACACAACAAGCCAGTTGGGCCTCTGCATGGTCTGCCCGTGAGCCTGAAAGACCAGTTCCATGTGAAAGGCGTTGAGACGACGATGGGATACGTGGGCTGGATTGGCACGTTCCAGGGCAAGAAGGGCGACGCGCGGAGGGGCGTGTTTGAAAGTGAACTGGTCAGGGAGTTGAGAAGTCTAGGGGCTGTGCTGTTCTGTAAGACGAGTGTGCCTGTCACTTTGATGGCGGGCGAAACGGTCAACAACATTATCGGGTACGCCACCAACCCCCAGAATCGCCTTCTCTCCTGCGGGGGTAGCTCTGGCGGGGAGGGGGCGCTCATCGCTTTGAGGGGGTCCCCGGGTGGATTTGGGACTGATATTGGCGGGAGTATCCGCATTCCGGCGTCTTTCAATGGCTTGTTTGGCGTGCGTCCGTCGTCTGGCAGGATGCCGTACGAGGGAGCTGCCAACTCCATGGACGGCCAGAATAGCATTCTATCAGTGATCGGGCCCCTGGCGGCCACGGCGCGTTCCCTGACGTTTCTTTTCAAAGCCGTGCTCAGTCAACAGCCGTGGTATCATGATCCGCTTGTCTTGGAGGTGCCGTGGCGGGATGACATTGAACGGGAGACCCGTGCCCTGATCCAAGCCTCCGCTGCTGGTGAATCCAAGCTTTCTTTCGCCATTCTACATCACGACGGCATTGTGCATCCTCAGCCACCGGTGGCGAGGGCATTGGGTCAGGTGGAACAGAGACTGAAACAGCTGGGACACAAGGTATGACAAGGCTAATGCGAGCCTGACCCCTTCAACCGACATGCTAAACATTTGAACAGGTTATCGCATGGAACCCCCCTAGTCTCAAAGTTGGATATGGATTGACTGTATGGATTAAGTGGCTACGAAGGGTATCTGATGAAACATGGCTAACGATCACAGGGACGAATCTTTGACCAGGACGGTGGCGCAGACATTCAGCATCACATCCAACTTTCTGGGGAAATCAACCCTCCTCAAACCATTGTGGATGCCGACGCAGCGCATTTGAAAGCGCAGGAGCTCGCAGCATTGAACGTAGAGAAACGGGAGTACCAGAAGCTCTATATGGATTACTGGAACAGTACCGCCGAACTGACTGGTACCGGACGACCGGTCGATGGGGTGATCAGTCCGTGTGCGCCACACGCTGCGGTGCTACCCTTGAAATACCGCCACGTTGGATATACCTCACTTTTCAACCTGTTGGATTACACAAGCGTGGTATTCCCGGTGACTCATGCCGACCAGACGGTCGACGTGCCCCATTCGGATCTGCAGGTCCTGGGCGAGATGGATCAGACGATCCAGGACGAGTGTGAGTGCTCCTGCTTGCTGGTAATTGCCATGATGGTAGGATCGTATCCGCTGACATCAGTCCAGATGATGCTGAAGCATACCACCATGCACCCGTGGGACTCCAGCTCGTCGGGCGACGCCTTCAAGAAGAAAAGATGCTGACGTTGGCGGAGTACATTGGGGAGGCTGTGAGAGGGTAGGGGTTTCAATTTGGTTCTATTGATAGTCCAGAAAGGTGATCTGCCGTGTATCACATTGCGACACAGTGGGTCATGGTCATTGATGGGCCGACATTGTCATTTCAATTAGCTGGTTGTCGCATAAGAAAGCTCTTGATGTAGTGGCTGGTGGGAATCTGGATCAATCTCGCGGATCAACACAATGTAGAAATGGCAACTGCCATTGTATTCCCAGCCCAGGGGCGATAGATTGACCAAGACTAGGGGTAAATAACAACATGTATCGTCCAAGAAGAAAAGAAAGAAGAAGAATGGTAAGATCCAGAGAGCAAAGAGGCTGAACCCCACACAGGCTGAGAAAGCTTGGCAGCGACTCCGATCGATCGTCACGTTTCTGGCTCTTCCCGCCTTGCTTCTTCTTCTCCTTCCATCCTTTTTTCCTCTTCTTCCATTTTTCCCCTCTCATCCTCCTCCTCCTCCACCACAAACATCCCCCACTCCCCTCTTCTCTCGCTCTCTCCTGCAACTCATCCCTTTCGTCTGTTGCTTGCGATCTTCGACTTCGCCTCATCTTTTCCCCTGGCGTCGACATTGACGGCCCGCCTTTTTCTTCTCTCCGTTCGCTATCTTTATTTATATCTTTTTACCCACCTCCCTCGCATATTTGTTTTTCGTCTTGCATCGAGGTGCAGCGCGCCATCGAATGACCTGGTTCTGGTGAAATTGAAACGCATTATCTTACCAGCTCGCCGTGATTCTACTCCTGTCTGCAGCCTATTGATCACGCGTTTCTGTGGAACATGGATGACAGCGCGTCTAACCACCCAGCCAACACCCCTGAGGGCTCCACGGGTGCCGATGACAATGGTCCGGGTGGAAAAGGTTCATCCCTCAAGGATCGGAAATGTCAGTACTGCAACCAGGCCTTTACCTCGTCGTCTTTAGGTCGTCACTTGGATCAATTTCTCTTCAAGAAGAAACCAGATGGCGTTCACGACGTTGAGGAGATTCGGCGCATTCGGAGCGGCATCACGCGGCGACAGGCGCGCACCTCCACGGGCAAACGGGACTCCCCGGAACGGTCGACGGGGAAGGGCCAGTTGGATTCGTACCCGTCCGGGGAGTCTGGGAAGTCGCGGGATGGGGTTCGGATGATGTTCAATACGCCCACATGGCATGCGACCGGTGTGATCAACGACATTCCGAATCCCCAACAGACCCCCGATGCGACCAGCGCCTCGCGACTTGCCGCTTCGCAATCTCGACCCGGTTCGATGAACCTTCCGGATTATGCCAGCCGTGGCGCGAGTTCGAACAACCCCGATACGATGAGAGCGCTGGAGCTGGCGTTGCGCGAGGTTTTGGACAACGTCAAGGCTGCAACGTACGGTTCTTTCCCACTTTGTTTTCACTCCCATGTTGGAGTAGGCGGGCCAAATGCTGACTCTATGCGCAACAGATCTAGATTACGACCTCGACTTTCCCCATTTGACTTCGACATCCAATCGCAGACCTTCCCGTCGCTCTGCCTACAGCTGCTGCCCCCGCCTCCGAGTCTATTTGCGACCCATCCGTTCCCGTCTCCTTCTTCGTTCCCCCTTCAACCTCCCGGCGTGGAACACGTTGAAATCGTGCGGCAGGCTATCCGTGCAAAAATTGAACAATGGCAGTCGGACCAGCTGTCGGCTGAGTCTGCCAGTCGCACCCAGGCGGGACGGGTGAATCTTGGCATGGACTCCAACATGATCGGTCGGAATGCGCAGCAGCACGAGGAAATGAGTTTGCGACACCTGGAGTTGGCATTCAAAAACTGGACAGATCTTCACCAGGACGCGAGACGGGAAGTGTGGCAGCTCGAAATCACTCGAGCCTTCGCCCGGGAAATGGAGAAGCGGAAACTGCTGGATGACCAGCTGGCGCGGGTGCAACAGGAGACGAACCAGCTTCGCGCCCAGGTGGAGCGACTGGGGTCGTGCCAGTGGCCGCGGGAATTCGCTCTCTTCCCTCCGGATACGCTGCCGTTGCCGCGCGATGTCGCCCGAGAGCTGGATACCAAGGAAAGCCAGATCAGTCCCAACTCGCCTCGCTGGGACTACGACAGCGTGGTGTCCAAGTGGAAGCGCGTCGTGATGCATGATCGCGGCATGGGCCGTATCGGGGTCGGCCACGCGACGACGGCAGATGACCTTACCCCCACCGAGAACAAGCCGCGCAGCGGTGGAGATTCGACCTTTCCCCGGCCGAAGCAGCTGCAGCCGCCGCCGGCTTTGAGCCCGGGCACGTCGCCCGCCCACCCCAGCGCGCCCTCGGCCTCTCCGAGCCAACAGACGTCGCCCTATATCCCGCAAGATCCCAGCCGGAGTCCCAATGCCGGACATCAGGCCAAACGTCCGCGTCTCATGAACGGTCATCATTCCGCAAACCCCCCGCAGCCCGCAGAGAGTGCCAGCCACCCCCCTCCGGCTCAACGACCTTCCAGCTCCTCCCACCAGTGGAACACTCCCCAGTCGTCTCTCATGGTTTCTAGTCTCGCCAGTCCCGCCGCTCCAACTCCTCCGCCGTCCAATTCCGGCGGCACTTGAGCCACCAACCTCCGGTCCACACACTGTCTATTTCACTACTATTTCATCCGAAACGCTATATTATTAATTTAATCACATGTTATCCAGGTGTGTCCTTCCGTCATCGACTCAGCCAAGGTACGAATGAACAATGCATTGTGACTATACTTGAACGCCGAATTCCAAAGAAAAAGAAAAAAAAAAAAAAAACACACTCATGTATATAATCGTCGGAAAATCGAATCTTCGCTGTTTGACTTGTATCAATCACTACTTGCGTATGTCAACAATATCCTTAATGAGATGTATGATCACTATATGTACGATCACAAGTAAATTTATATCTGTAATCCAGACCTACGGATACGGAGCTAGTCTAGAACAGACAAGACGTACAGTATACAAATGCATGTAAGTAGTACTAGGAAGCCAAGTCCCCTCTTTCCCTAAGTATTAGCTACAGCCTTCTTCGTTCTCCGGGCACCAAGCCAGCGCTTCAAATCTTTGAACCCGTGGAGATAGAACCACGAGAGGGCGAACACGGCGGCGAAATTGAAGATCACGTAGGCCCAGAAGATTCCCTGGTATTTGTTAGATGGTTTGGGTTTGATGTTTGGGTGGCTTATGTAGGATGGGCGTGGGGATGTATATATATGTGGTGAGGTAGTAGTAGTAGGTGACGATGGGGCGGAAGTGGATGACTTACGTAGTCGCGCCATTTATGCGAGTAGTATACGTGGAAGCTGGCGCCCTATAGAATTGCACATTAGCATGAGTAGTTGTTATTCTGCAAGCATATCGTCTTGGTCTGGAAAGGAAGGAAAGAAAGAGAAAGAGAGGGGACAACATACAAACTCATCCCCAGTCGAATACTGACAAAACGCACACATCCCGTCCCCAGCATCACGCACATACCCACCCATCTTGCGGGTAAACGGCCCCGCATACTCCTTACACGACTGGCCCGGCGGCGGCGAGAACCTGCTCTCTTCCCTGTCGATACACCGGATAGGCACGTTGTGGATCACAACGCTGAGCAAGCCCTCTAGCAGGTACGTGAACGGAGTGAGCCAGTACATCCAGGAGCGCCAGAAGTGGACGAGAGCCACGTAGGGCACGACGATGCCGCAGAAAGAGACGACGAAGGTGAAGAATGTTGGGACGAGCAGGGATGCGAAGAGCTCGTTGGGGGACAGCGCGGCGATGAATTGCCCGAAGCCGATGTAGAAGAGCTCGAAGAGCATGAGGAGCATCCAGATGTAGCCGGCGCTGAAGGAGTCGCGCGGGAGCCAGAGGCCCCAGTACCTATTTTTTTTTTTGTATGTGAGTTGGGGAGGTCTTTATGGGGTGGGGATTGGAGGTGGGATGAGGGGATGGTACCAGCAGTTGAAGTAGATGGAGCCTGCTACTAATGAGTAGGGCAGTTCGGGGAGGATGGCGCTCGTTACGAAGGCCGTCCAGGAGTAGATCTTGGAGTTTGCCTCGCGGGATTCGTAGAGGTTGCGGAAATGGAGGTATCGTGGTTGTAGCTGTTGGATGAGAGGCGGGCAGATGGTCAATGTCATGAAGATGGAGAAGAGTCGAGACTGCATGTCGATGTAGCTATTTCCCACGTGCCAAAAGGTGAACGTGTTGAAGAGGCCCGTGAAGATGTGGAGCATGAATTTGCCCTGTTCGAATGTTAGAGTATACTGCCGTGGATATAAATCTTAGGGGGTTAAACGTACAATGGTATACTGGGGCGTCCGCCAGTAGGCCACAAAGGCTCGCTTTGAACACTCCACAACCTGTACCCACCGAGACATCGCGAATTCTCTGCTGTCGTCCTTGGTGCCCTTGTCCTCTGTTGTTCGGGTTGTCTCGACTATGCGATCAATGTCTTCGGAAATCTGTTGACACTCGCGCGAATTGGCCCAGACATCGCCCCAGTCCTGGCCCTTGTAGTCAGGGTTCCCGGCACCGATAACATCCAGCATGTACTGCGCAAGAGAATAAGTTTAAGGAAATGGAGCGAGCCACGGCGACATCATGCAAGACATACCTCTGCGGGATTCGCATGGGGAGGGCAACTTTTGCCCCCATTCCGTTCGAAATACTCTAGAAGCTTGGTCGAGTCCTGTCCCAGCTCGCCGTGATAGACGACCCTACCGCCGTTCTGCAGCAGCAGTAACTCGTCAAATTGCTCGAACAGGATGGCGGAAGGCTGGTGGATCGTGCACAGAATAGCCTGTCCAGCATCCGCCAATCGTCGAAGAAATCGCACGATATTGTAAGCCGCCAGCGAATCGAGCCCTGAGGTAGGTTCGTCTAGGAAGAGTAGCAGCTCCGGTTTACTCGCTAGCTCTACGGCAATAGTCAAGCGCTTTCGCTGCTCCTGGTTCAGTCCAATGCCTCCTGACCCTACTATCGCGCCAGCTATCGGCCGCATTTCTAGCAGGTCGATGATCTTCTCGCAGTAGTCGTATTTCTCACGGACCGGGACTTCCTTCGGCTGGCGCAGGAGCGCTGAAAATCGAAGTGATTCTTTCACGGTAGCTGTGGGCTCATGGATGTCCATCTGCTCTGCGAACCCGGTTGCTCTTTGGAAGCTTCGAGGTAAGGGCCTGGGGATGTTAGTCGATGTAATAAGGTTGACCGTATGTTGTGACTTACCTTCCATCTACGAGGAATGTACCAGATACGACGCCTAGGGTTATTCGTTGAGCCAGGGTATTGAGTAAAGTAGTCTTCCTGTATTTTCAAAATTGTAAGCAGGACGCCTTAAGCTGCGCGATGCAAATACTAACCCTGCACCGGATGCACCCATTAGGGCAGTCAAACGCCCCGGCTTAACATATCCTTGCACGTTCCGCAGCAGCTGCTTCTGCCCACCGTGATAAGGAATGGTGTAATTCACGTTCTTCCATGTGAAAATCGAGGTGCTCTGGGCGATACCCTTAACGGCATCCCCAGAATCGTCGGAGCTCTGCTTCTCAATGTCAGACTGGGTGCCGTTGGTTTGATTCCCTTTTTCCACATCACTGGGGAGTTCTTTCTTCTTGAACGCCTCCTGGACTGCCTCAGGGGCCTCGCCTCTCTTGAATATAGTAACTGCACTTCCGCCTTTATTCGGCTTGCGCAGCTCCATCCCCAGCATGGTCAGCGCGACGAAAAAGAGGAACCACCCGATGATGATACCAAAGTTCCTCCACAGATGGGCCCGAGTGTACGTGAAGGCGGTTTTGATGTAGTCGGAGCCCAGGACAGTCAGTTTATCTGGGGTGGCTCCCTGTATCGAGCATGTTTGGTGGCCCGGTGAGGCATTAGGGCCGAAAGGCACAGTATTGGCGGGCTCGCATTGGATGTGTAGATTGTAGAATTCGTTCGCCATCACTGCTTCGAAGGCGTATTGGACGGGGTTAATCCAGATCAGCCACTTTAGCCAAGGATGCATTTTCCACGGTGGGATGAGGTAGCCTGAAGAGAAAGTGTCAGCACCGTCACTTGATGATCAAATCAAGTCTAGTATTACCTGTATAAACGACGAGTGCTTGAATTGCGACTCCGGTAATGCGCGTTGCTATATCATAATGTGAGCGGAATGTTTTGATCAGTGGGTAAGGTGATCTATACCAGCATCAAGAGAACCGCTGAGTGCGCCAATGGAACGAAAGAAAGAGTACATAGTCATGGTGAGAATGAAAATGATGAGGAAATTGATGAAGAACTGAGAGGCCGTTCTCTGGAGATTCGACATGCTGTAGTCGCATTATCAGTAGTTTGATCCGGAGATGCAACTAGGGCCTCAACATACAAATATGCAACTACTTCGAACAATGTCACCTGGATAAATACGACAGGGACATCAACAGCAACCTGCGCCAGGGCAAACGCAGACGGACGATAGAACGAGCTTTTCCGTCAGTAAGGTAACAATCCAAATATACCACTAAAGGAGATACACACAAGCTCTTATGCTTCAATATAACGGGCCGACAGTCGAAAAAGGACGTAAGCTCCGCCATAGCAAGCAAAGCATTAAACAGAAGTATGAAGAACAGGACGCCGCCCCGCGTAAAGACGCCAGAGCTAGAATTGACCCCGATTAGCGCGCTTGAAGTCCACCCAATACAGCATATCCACTAACCTGGTGGGAGGCAGATTGTAGAAAAGACTCCCAATAAGGAGCGCCTGGAAGACGAGCATAGCCCACTTCATGACCAAAGTCTGCCTGTCGCCGTACATGATGAGAAACTGGCGGTGGGTTAACGTGAGGACCTGTTGAGTAAACGGAACAGTGTAGTTCTTCTTGGGCATGCTTTCTCGCGCAGCCTCTCGCTCCTTTTCCTGGGATGCGAGCTCCTTCTCGAAGTCGTCGATGTCTGCCATCGTTTCGTCGTGGGTTTCGCTTGAGCGGTAGATCTTCTGGAAGTCGTTCCCAGTGCGCGGGATGCGGTCTTCCCAGCCGCTCTTCACACGCCGCGCGTGAGGATCGCTGACGGACGTCAGAAAGTCCGGCGTTGTCCACCGCGGAGGACATTCAAAACCCAGTCGCTCGAAATAGGCCTTGGCTTCCTGGGTGGGCCCGAAATATGCACATTTTCCCTCTTCGATCAGGATCACTTTGTCGAAGTTGTTGTACAGATTCTCGGAGGCTTGGTAGAGCGCAACGAGGGTAGAGGCATACGCCGTGTCCGTGAGACTCCTCAGGCTTTGCACGTACTCGAGCGCCGTGCTCGCATCGAGGCCCTTGGTCGAGTTATCCCAGCATTGGGTGCTCGCCTTGGTTACCATGGCTTCGCCGATGGAGACCCGCTTCTTCTCGCCGCCAGATATCCCGTGTACCATCTCGTTGCCGACCTTCGTGTCGAGTGCATGTTCGATCCAGAAGAGCTTGGCGATGGCCGATAGGAAGGTGTTCTGGTACTCCTTGCGACTCTCACCAGGGAGCCGTGAATCTTTGTCTGGGGTTCTGGTCTTGAGCGCGAATAGGAGGGTGTCCCTCACCGTCAGGGTGGCGTAGTGGAGATCTTCCTCGGGGTTATACAGAACTACGAATGTAGAATTAGCATCCCGATCTGCCAGAAAGGAAAGGATACAGTTATTCACCCTCTGAGCGATATCTCTTAGCCATGGTTCCCGCGTCTGCGCCGCCGTATCGCACATCGCCTTCAATGCTCTTATAGCCTGAGCGTTGGTTCCCCAGCGTTTTCAAAAACGTCGAGCACCCCGATCCCGGCCTCCCAAGGACCAACAGCATCTCTCCTGGCCGAACGCATCCCTTCAAAGGCATTAGTGGTCTGAAACTCAATTTCGCATCCCGACGGCAACACATACGGTAAAATCATCAATGATCGTCCGCAGAGGAGGCCCCCCAGCATTCCCCTTAAACAACCTCGACACAGAATCCTTCACAAGCCGAGGCAGTGCAAGAAAGATATCCGAATTCGTCGGCTGAATGGCCGCCCCAAGACCAACCCCCTTGACCGTCAAGTTCTTCCAGACGACACCCAAGTGCCGGGTCTTCTCTTCGTCGGAATTGGCCTTGCGTTCGCGACCAAACATGCGCGACATGAGCTTCGTGATCTGCGCATCGTCCGCTGCATCGCTCGTTGAATGGATCGTAGAGGAACTGCTTCGCCGTCGCGAGATCGCCCGCGTAAACGCCTCCCCGGTGAGATTCCGTCCTAGCGGTGGTCTCTCTTGGCTGCCTGATCGGTTGGACTTCTGGGTTCGGATCGGCTCCAGCGCTCCTTCGGCCTCGGGGGTGGATGTTTGGGTTGATGATGTCTCTGGAATCGCTGCTGTGTCGAAGATTGCTTGTCGTTGCTGCTCGGGCTGCATCCCCGAGGTGTAGTTGTCGGGGCTGCGCGCGGCGTCCATAGTCAAATCGCGCAACGCAAGCGGAGCCCCAGCATCTAATTAAATGTAGTAAACTAAGTAATGACCGTGGTCAAATTTTCTAGAGGAATGAATATTATATTTCCTTCATTGCATAGCCAGGACTAAAAGAAGAGTTCGGAGTGACCTGTCACTGGTTACGTCACTCTGCCTGCGATTTATTCATCGTGCACAAATAATCGCATAGACAACATAAACCATAGTTCCTGAGCATTCCTAGTGAAAATCCCCGATAGAAAGACAAATTCCAGCATAAGGTGAATAAAGCTGATTCGGATCGGAGACTCCGGGCATGTTGTGGTCTGGTTGCGCGAGTCATAATGAAGTCATCACTTCTGCAGCTTGATCACCTCGTCACCTCATCAGTATCATAGTAAATATTCAGCGATATGGTTAAGTGGAGAAATATATCCATAGTATTGGTGGGAAACTTGGTGCAAAGTATTTTACGGAGTAGCATGTTCATGAAAAAAAATAGATTAGGGTCTGCTGCCGCACGTGTCGAGCATCTATCAAGGTTTTGCGGGAAAGTTACCAAGGTATTGACTTGCTGCTTTGAGTACATACTATCTGCTTATTTGCGATACAGGATGATCAGGATGGAAATGGACAAAACAAAGAGACAAGAAAACAAAAAGACAAAAAGACAAACCAGCACAACAAGGAAAAACCAGCAAAAAACAAACGGAAACGAGAAGAACAAGCAGCTCAACAGTCCCCCCATCCCTAAGATTCATCACTCTAACGACGTCCGTTGGGGAACGCCCTCTCACGCACAAACCAGCCCCGTAGCGCCCTAGTAGGATTCTGACGGTGCAATCTCACGGCTTCATCAAAGATAAGCTGATTCATGACGCCCGTGCGAAGCTGGAACTGCCACAGGTTATCGCGCAGCGCAGCCGACAGACGACTCCACTCAACCTGCAAGTTCGGCTCGGGGGCCCTGAATCTGATACCGCTCGCAGCGTCGACATACGCGTCTCTCTGGTGACGCTCTAGCAACTCATACGCTCTGTCCACGGCCGCCACCTGAGTTCCATACTCGGTCATGAGATCGACGACGGCGCCGAGGGTGGCGATGGAAACGTTGTTGTAAAGCTTCAGGTAGTAGACGCCGCTGTTCCAGCCGTACTCTCTGGTATTGGCAGTGCCTTGCTCCATCGGTGACTCCCAGAGGTCGATTTCCAGGCCGGCTCCGATGTAGAGTCTTCTGAGGCAGTAGGAGTGGGTGAGTCCGTGCAGGCCCTCGAGGCGGTAGATGCCCAGCCAGACTCTCTTCCAGAGCATCACAATTTCCTGGCGAAGCTGGCGCTTGATGCGCTCTTCCTGGGCGGCGGGGTCTGGGGCTTCTACTCTGATGGTGAAACTGTTTGCGATCACCCATTCTCGGAGGGAGATATGGGTACTGTGGATATGCTTGTTAGGGGGTCTATCTTCATGGAATAAAGGAAGTGATGGGTATACGCACGGCGGGGTGGGAGAGCCCCCGGAAGAAGAGGAAGGGCTGGACGCGTCGGACTGGTCAGGCGACATGGTTGTCTGATTCTTCTTTGATGATATCTTGGGTTTTGATGATATCAACTGGATAGATGAATCTGGCTGGAGGGAAAGAATGGGTAATAAGGAGGTTGACGAGAAGAAGAACTCAGAGGAGGAAGAAGAGTAAAAGACTGTCTTCATGGAAACGCCGTTGCACGAACTGACATCGCTGAGATGGAAGATCGCGGAATCAACATAAACCAGCCTTCACAGAAGTGCACGGAAAGGTGGAGAGCTTGGGGACAAACATGGCGACTAATCGACGGACTCAATCTCATGACTCTTTGAGACGTGTTTAGATCTGGTGAAGAATTGTACCGAAGGACTTCATACCTCCTATATCATTCATCTAGACATAGAGATGGATTGAATCCTTTATACAACACCAGGAATCATCACAAACCTCTTCGGTTTATACCGCCCCCCAAACTCCAAGCGATATCGCCTCTCCCTCTTCTTCGACCAGAGCGCCATCTGCACACTCCCAACGACAATAAAAGCCAAGATACTCCAGCTTCTCATCCCACCAACAAGGTAAATGCCAACCCAAGATACAACCTCAAACAGATAATGCGGACAGGTCACCATACCGAACCCCAGGCCACGCGGGATGCCACGCTCAGAAGAGCCAGGGCGACGCAGATTCCGCAGCACAAAGTGGGCGTTCAAGTTCGCCAGTTCTCCGAATATAAACAGAGCCACGCCGATACATAGCATTGCGGTTTCTGACAGAGTTGTCACCGCTGCGGGACCAGGCCGAAAAGCGTGGTAGGCCATGCTGGATACCATGATCCAGTAGTAGCTGGAGTTCTTGACGATGTTGCGCGCCGGCATTGTGGCGTTGCTGAATCGATGGATGAACATGGACTCATATTCCCGCTTGACGAAGTGGATGGTCAAGAGAGCACAAAGGAGTTGTTGGCGTTTTGTTGGCGCGGGGATCGTGTCGAGATTTGCATTGTATAGGTAAGGACGCAGCGGGAAGAGAAACAACACTGGAATCAGCGCTGGGCCCAGGTATTCGGCGATGTATACGGTGCGCCATGATATTTGGGGGCCTGGTTGATAAGAGGTCAAAGGTCAGTGGCTTCAGAGATGGCTATGTTAGGTACTCACCTAGGTCTTTGACATGAATCATGTCCTGGTCCTCGAGTCCGATCTCAGCGATGGTCGTTTCTGTGGAGTTGGGAACTGCGATCCGGTCACGGCCGTGGGTTATTCTCAGACGATTGATGGACAGACTTAAGGTTGCTGCCACTGAGCGATACAATTCGTTTGTGGAACCATTGGAGGCAATCTGCAGCCGCTTGGGGAGGTCCTTGATCGGCTTTCCTATAGCAACAACTAAGCTTCAATAACTATATGATGACGGAGGGAATGCGACAACCCACCCCTTGATACTACGGCCAAGTCGATTGTTGTCAAAGACATTGGGTATCAGATATTCGACTTCAAAATTGCCCATGAGGAAAAGGAAGGGGGAGAAGGGAAGTACAGCAAACCCATTCCAATGTGACGTGTATGTTTGATGGTGGATTTGGTTCCTGACTTGTCAGTCCGGTTTCCCAAGCCGTCCCATAATCTTATAGCAAACAAGGTAAGAATACTTTCAAACTCTGATCAAATGACTACTACAAATACAAACATGGTTGGTCTTTCGAAGCAGAAGATACAGATTCAAAATTTTGCAGAAACAATGACCCTCACCGGGGCATAATGAACGTTTAATCCTCTATCCTAACCAATACTATACATTATATACCCCATTCAACTGCTGCAACCTAGCCATCCGCCAATACTTCCCCCTCAGCCTCATCAGCTCGTCATGTGTTCCTCTCTCAACAATCCGCCCATGATCCAAAACCAAGATCACATGGGCATTAACAATCGTCTTAAGCCGATGCGCCACGGCGATGGTGGTTCGGCCCTTCATCGTCCGCTGGAGTGCCCGTTGGACCAATTGCTCCGAGGCACTGTCCAGCGCGGAAGTGGCTTCGTCGAGGAGACTAGGAAAAGAAAAATATCAGATTAGTAAATACCGCACTGGGGTGAACAGGAAAACATACAGGATCTTCGGATTCCATAGAAAAGCCTTGGCGATGGCCATGCGCTGGCGTTGGCCCCCAGACAGCGTCGATCCGTTGCCCAACATAGGCGTATCCAGGCCTTGAGGAAGGGATCCCACAAAATCAGCCAATCCGACGTGTTCCAACGCTGCCATGATCGAGCCGTCGGAGACAATCCGTTCGTCGCTCTGCAGGCACTCGCGGAGATCTTCGCCGACCAGACACGGGTTCTGGTCGACGAGCGCTAGGTATCCCCGATAGTTGTCCAGGTCGTAGTCCTCAATGGGTCGATTCCCCAACATGATTCCCCCAGCGTCGGCTGCGTAGAACCGCTCTACTAGGTTGAGCACCGAGCTTTTGCCGCAGCCGGTTGTCCCGACGAGAGCAATGAAGGCCCCGGCGGGGGCGTGTAGAGTGATTCCGTTCAAGGCCGCCTGCGAAGGGCGTGTAGGATATCGAAAGTGAATTTGTCGTAGTGCAAGGGATTCGGTGGTGCTTGGGACTGGGGTGGGAGAGGGTTTGTGTTGTTGTGCGAAACTGGTCTGCGGGTTATCACTCTGCACCAGCTCCGTGAGCTGCGAAGCAGCAGCGTGTGCGCCTGCAATATCCGGGGCATGCGCGAAGAGAGCCGCTGCAGACTGGGACCCCCAAACTGTAGCAGCGAAGCAGATGAAGAACTGCTGGATGGTGTACTCACCTGTGGCAATGAGGTGGGTGCCGCCGTACCAGAATACAAACGCAATGCTCAGTATGCGGAGCGATGTAGTGCATGCGTATATGGCAGCGGACATAGCCCAATACCTACCCTGCGTGTCTTGAGTGCTTGCTATTTCGAAAGATGCGAGGACGGTTCTCTGCAGATTGAGAACGGTCACGGTTTTGATCGCCGAGAAAGCTTCTTGTGCGATGGCTACGGCGGCGGTGTCGCGCTTGACGTGCTTTTGTACTTGCGCCTCAATGTAGTACTGCAGGAAGCTGGACATGGCTATTAATGGGACTGTAGCTGTTGCTGCGATGCCTAGCTTCCATCCGAAGATGCACCCGACTGTGATACCTGTTGCGAGCATCACGATGCTCTCCACGACAAGCCCTAGCGATGTCCCTGAGACGCCGACGATTTTCGGCGTACCCGATGAGAGGAAGCTTACCAACGCCCCTATCGAGTGATCTTTGTGATCCAAAAAGGGGAGACTCTTTAGCAGTAGCGCTTTGAACAGCCCTGAGCGGGCTCGGAGTTGCAGCTGGGACGCGGAAACCGCGAAACAGTAGCCTCGCGCACAGTATATTGTAAACACGATAATGCCGTGGATAAGGTACATTCGGGCCCAGAAGCGAACGCTATGTCCACCTGTGCTGAGACGTGAGTCGACAATTGACATGATTCCGTTGCCAAAGAAGATCGCTTGAACCGGATATGTTATTCCGGCAAGGACACTGAGAATGGTGCCTGCGACGACGTTGGGCAGTTCGGGCTTGTTCAAATGCCAAATATGGTTTATACTGCTACTCTTGGGGAGTTCTTGAAGGGTAGCATGCTTTGATGTCTCCGTAACACCAGTATAAACCGACTTAGGCCCCAACTCGCTTTCGAGGCTTCTCTCTGCGCAAGGAAGATCCTGACATTCGTCATCTGGCCGAAGTTCTTGCTGCTTGACTAGCTCCTGGTACATGACAGATGAGCTGATTAACTCCGCATGAGATCCTTGATCTAGAATGCGTCCACTTTGCATAACAATAATGGTGTCGGCATTCTGGACTGTTGAAAGTCGATGGGCGATCACCACCATAGTTCGTCCAGCCGCGGCCTTGCCGAGAGCCTCCTGGACTTCTTTCTCACTTTCGCTATCTAGCGCGGCAGTAGCCTCATCCAGAAGTAAGATCGATGGCTGGGATATGATTGCCCGGGCTATTGCGAGCCTTTGCCTCTGCCCACCGGAGAGACTTGACCCATCTACCACAGTGCCGTAGTTCTGAGGAAGGCTCATGATGAAGGAGTCAATTTGCGCTGTTTGGGCAGCCTGCACTACTAGCGTTTGGACGGCAGATGCATTGAGTCCCTGTGGTTTTGTAAGTTACTAAATATTCCCAGACATGACCATGGCCAAGGATACCTCAGCAGCAGCGTTTGGAAGCCCAGACGCGATATTCTCAAATAAGGTCGCACGAAACAGGGTAACATCCTGACCAACGTATCCAATCTCGGACCGTAACCATGACAGATTCATCTCGTCTATCGGCTCATCGTCTACTGTGATGGATCCACAAAGCGGGTTGTATAAACGCTCTATAAGAGCAAAGACCGTTGACTTTCCAGACCCTGACGGCCCAATCAAGGCGACAGTGTGTCCGGCCGGTACATGGAAGCTGATCTCCTCCAAGACAGTTTGTTCAGGTCGCGACGGATAAGCAAAACTGACGTCTTCAAACCGAATCTCTCCCCGAACGGGACTGCATATTCGCCCGCTATCCGCCATAGGATCTATTGGCGAGATACGCTCGATGACTGTAAACACCCGCTTGGCTGCTCCGTTGGCTTTGGTGATATCAACAACAAACGGCAACGCTTGGCATAGCAAGCTCCCTGCGACAGTCGTTGCGTACAACACCGTCAAAGCCTGTGGGATCGTACAGTGCCCCTGGCGGAAGAGGTGGTCTGCCTGCCAGAACTAGGAAACATTACCATCAACCCTCAAGGAATAGAGAACGCGGGAAGAAAAGAAACACATACGCCTAATCCATTAGCCCAATGCAGAATTGAGAACGAGCCAGCAACCGTCACTCCGAAAATCAGCCGCTCTCGAAAGTCCAGGGCTGTCCGGCGTAGTAAGCGGTCATGGTACTTCCTAGCGTACTTGTTTTGGCTTCGATAAGCAATTATATTCCTCATGGCGCTGAGAATCTCGTGGGCTAGATTATCTGCTTGAGCACACTGGGCCATGCCCGTCTGCTGTGTCCTGCTTAGCCAGGACCCCATGATTCCTACCAGGACGACTAGGGCTAATGGCTGCGATATCATGATCGATGCGAAACGTGCGTTCTGGACGAATGCGCAGATAATGGCGACTACAAACCCGGATACTCCGGATAACAGATTGCCCACTTTGTGCGAGATGCCCGCCTGGATGAGTTTCATGTCCTGGTCCACCTGGGTCATCAGTTCGCCTGTACCGACCATGTCAAAGTATGCCATGTTCTGTCGCAGCACGGATGAGAGATACCTTGCCTGGAGACGACGGGTAGTGTGCTCTCCGACGACATTGAAACCCCAGGTGCTGATCATGGTAGTGACAAATGATCCGATTGCTGGATGCGTCAGTATGCTTCATCGGCAACGTCCAGTAAATCTGCATGCATACACACCAATATACACCAGCAATAACGTGAGATACCGAGTCCTATCCCGAACATCCCGCGACGCCTGCCCATCTTCACTAATAAACTCACTCGCCAGCTCCCCAAAAACAACCGACACCAGAGGCATCGCCGCACCGGCGACTATCGCACAGCATACCGACAGCAGCAGCACACAGATCTGCGCCGCACTCGCAAATCGGTAGTTAGAGAAAAAGTTGGCCTTGCTGGGCTCGTTCCGAATCTGGGATTCGATGACCTCTGCGGTTGTTGCGCATGATGTCCCAGCTATAGGCTGGAGATTATCTAGTAGGATCTCCTCGTCGGCCATCGTCACCGTTGCTCTCGATGTATTGTTTGAGTTCTGCTCATGGCCCTGTCTTGCTCTGCAGAAATGCGGCGCCGTACAGAAATGGACGTGTCATAGTCGCATGTATCAGATAGGGATGCCGATAAACAGCACTGGGGGATGGAGAATTCCTTGCATTCCAATGGGTGAGTTATCATTTTCGGCCACGTATCGCATTTCTCTTTCTGTTAGAGGTGGTTTTTTGTTCTTGCTTCTTTTTTTGTTTTTGTTTTTTCGCGGCTGGGCAAGTGATAACAGATCACCCGGAGGTATATATATGCAAGTGTGTTTGATGCGTTGAGACACTGAGGTTCCCTGAAGGAGACTGTCTTCTGACCTCCTAGAATTGTGCCATAACAAAGGGAACCATAAGAACCAAAGAGCCGGAATACTACGACACAATATCCACTCGATATAGTGGATCGGATTGATGAAAATGAAAAACCAGATAGAATCTATGCGACGGAGAGATATGTAGATACGAAGATTCCAGTCTCCAGAAAAGCATGATAAAATGAATCACTTTACTTTATGATCAGGCTTTGATCAAGTGATACATCACAATTGGGACAAATGAATGTGACATTTCACGAAAAACACCAAAAACAAAGACGGTCTGCATATACTTGTCATTTAACCGAAATGCGTACCTGAACCTTCTACATGAGAACGCGAGTCACAGCGAAGCTGGACCTCGCCAATACTGAGTTACCTACGCAATGAGATCGTGCCTCAGACATCTCCAAGCGAGGAGGAAGGCGCCATCCAACTGTAGAGCAAGATGGCTACCCCCTAAACAAGCAATTTCCAGAGCAGGTAGAAATCCAGGAGCATCCCGGAGGACTTCTTAGCCGGCACGCTTCCAGGGTAGACGCCCTTGGCCTCAGTCTCACGAACACGAGTCTCCGGTAGCTCATCAACCCCCATCGTCGCCATCAGCTGTTTATGGATAGACGGCCAAGCCTCCGCTCGGGTCTTGAACAGAAGCCACCAGTCACCAGCGGCATCCTTCCCGACCACCCTACAGACATTGCGAGTCGGGTACCAGCGACAGTGCTCGATGTCATTAACGTAAGATGGCCGGCCGATAGCATGGGGCCTCTCACTCAGGGGAGTACCAGTGGCGACGACGGCAGCCGAGAAGTCCGTCTCGAAGTATCTAGCCTTGTGCTGGTTGGTGTGCGTCAGGAAGACCAGGTCCGAGCCGCCGACCAGCGGCGGTATGCCCATGATGGACTTCCGCTGGATAGCAGTCATTGCTTCTACCTGGTCTTTGGTTCGGTGCTGCACGAGCGATTGGCGGTTTTGGGACGCCAGATGCGCTATGTTGTTGTCTGCGAGGATGTGCCGGGCAGGGTGCACCGTGTAGGAATTGAAGAATGCGTTGCCGATGAAGCCCTTTCCGCCCTTGAATGACTCGTTGAAGATACCCCATGCGTTGAACGGGCTCATTACCATGACTGGGCGGCTGGGCGCAGGGTCCAGTGCCGTTACTATAGTCTTCAGCCACCAAGCGGCCACGACGTCGGGCTCGCTTATGAATGGCTCGTCTGCGCCCTGCGACGAGGCGTCGGCTGCCAGTTGCTGGCATGCAGAGTCCCTCATCTGGTCCACACAGTGTCCTGGCAGACGGATGGAATGTTCTTCTTCCTTGCGGAACCAGAGTAGCTCGAAGAGATACCGGAGTCCGAAGAGTAAAAGACCAAGACCTGTAACGAGGCGCTGGAAATTGACATAGCCCGTCGGGGAGGCATCCTTTCCAACTGCACCCAGAGGGTCCTTGTCAAAAGGCACAAAAGGTGGCACCTCGGCTTCTCGGCCTTGCAGGACAGATGTCCAGGCCCGGAAGAAATTGGACCGCGCAACTGCATCAAACAGGGTATGGAGGTAGCTGGTGGTCACCAGAGTTGCATCCTGGAAGACCGCGACGTGGATGTGAAGCTGTGGGCGATCGGTGTAGATCCAATCGGCCAGGGCCCGGGGACTATCAGAATGGCGGACCAGAGGAGCAAACTCGGCAGACTCGGGCGATAGGAAAGACTGGTCTTGTCCGGTTTTGGGCAGCTGTGAGCCCAGCGGGTGCTCCTTGATGCTCATGCCATACCGAGTGCTGGTGAAAATAAACGCCGGACGGGTACTCTTGTTGTACTCCGAGGGGATGTGGTACTCGAGCTTGCCATGGTCCTGGTGGATGATTTGTTAACATCGGTGTTATACATGCATTTCTAGGTGGGGCAGAAAGTCGTACGTTCAGACGCAGACGAGCCCCGAGCTGACCCCAGTCCCCAATCTCCATCAAGTGATCCAGCGCCGCCTCGAGCTTCGCAGCATCCAAAACGTCGTCAAATCGGAAGGTGAAGTCATGAGCAAGGCTGCGTAGGTAGTGCAAGTCATCCCAGTATCGCAAGGGAATGACTCGGTCTGTGGGCACCGTCGCAGGACGTGCGCGACCAAGCATTGACTGAAATCCCATTGTCTGCGTATTCTTTAAGGAAATGAGCCCTTGGTTGTTATGGTGTAGGTTCTCAGGGTCCTAGTTTACCGTCCAAGGAAAGCCGTGGTTCAGCAGTGCGAAACAAAGGAACATTTTGACTGGGGCAATATATAAGTGGAAGAAGAATCCAAGAGCTTTAATGTATCGGACCTCATAGCTCGCGAGGGGTGAAATAGCGGTGTATCTGGTAGCTGAACAAGAGCGTGGGATGTCAATGCAAGGGTCATAGCATGACTGCACAAGAAGAAGCATGGCTTGAGCTGGAGCAAGTGCCTACTTCGCAAGGGGCGGGAGAATATCCTCTGCTTGGAAGACAAGTTCCCTGTTCCGGAAGTTCCGGAATGCATGTCTTTGATATCATCCTGGGTCCAATTTGGAATTTTCTTTTTTTCCTTTTTTGAACGAGATGTGTATGACATGGGGTCACGTTAGGGTAAAACGGAATATAGACAAGCAGGGAATATAGACAAGCACTTTTTGGATTCCTTAACGAGTCGGTGTAGTATAGCATGAACCTGTGTCACTTCTGCCGTGTAAGTCTTAAAATGGGACCAATGGACATATGTCTCATGTTTGACTGTACCTCGTATGTATGCATCCTGCGTGGTGGAGGCTGTTATTGATTCCTTGCATATGCTGAATCATGACCCACACCCTGTCATGCCAAAATCTACCATTTGCTCTGGTCAAAATCCCGCCCCCCAGAGAAGATCTTAATACGCGGGGCGGTACGGAGTAGGCAAGAAGAATAAGAAAAGCAGATTCCCAAGTGGCACATGACACTCTTACCGCGTAGCTGCAATGTGCAGATGACAGGTAGGCAGTTGTGCCTTGAATCGAAACGACAGTACGGCATCCCCGCGTTGGCGGTACCTCACGCAAAATAATGGAATCATGGCTCGAGACTCCACGTCTCAATAAACCTGCCGCGGTCTTTGTTGTGTCGGTTGTTGGGGTTGTTTTCATACAGCTTGCGCGAATACTGCGGCAAGTCTTCAGACGGCGAGAGCTGGGGCGACTTCATGGCTGCGAAAAGCTCCCCAATGAAAACGACCGCTTTCGATATGACTTCTTTGGGATCGCCAAAACAATCGAGTTGGCCTCTCATTTCCAGCGTCGAACCTCGCTAATGTATACGAACGCACTGTTCACCAGGTACGGAGAGACGTACGCTTCCCATCTGATCGGGTATCGCCTCATCTTTACCCATAACCGGGAAAACATACAACACCTACTGTCAACTGCTTTTGTCGACTTCGACAGTTCGCCCTTACGAAAGCCCCTGTTTCAGTCGATCACCCCGCATGGGATCTTTACTCTGGACGGCGCAGATTGGAAGAAAAGACGGGGGCAGTTGAATGGCCGACTTTCCGATCTTCGCAGGATTATCGACCTCGAAGGGTGCGAGCGCCATTTTCAAGCCTTTCTCCAACACGTCCCACCAAACAGCCAAGCTTTTGACATTCAATCCTGTGTCTTTGCACTTTCTCTGGATATACAGACAGGATTGTCCTTGGGAGAGTCCATAGATGCTCTCGACCCTTGTCAGCCCCCTGAGAAGAAGCAATTCGAGGCAGACCTGCTACATGTGAAGGAGAGAATCGTGCAGGATGGTTTTCGTGGTCCTCTGCGTCATTGGCGCTCCAAGCGGACATTTGTCCAGTCATGCAGGCGAGCCCGTGAATATGTGATGGCCCAGGCCACCCGAGAGGTCCGACAACGGAGCCACCAGAAGGAGAAGGCGGGAGTACACCCCGTCAGAGCGGCTCTCGACGCGGAGGCCGAGGAAATCTCCCAGTTTACCGACCAGGCTCTCAGCATTCTTCTCGCAAATGACAGCATAGGGACGACTCTCTCGGGTCTTTTCTACTGTCTGTCCCAGGACGAACGAGTCGTGCGCAAGCTGCGAGCGAGCATCACCGACACTATCGGATTGACACCCCCGACATGGAAGCAGCTGGGTTCTCTGGGCTATGTCCGCTGCGTGGTCCAAGAAGGTGAAGAGCCTCGAAATCATCCTTTCACTATCCAAGGTCGTATGCGCTGACAACCCTGGTCTCAAAGTCATGAGGCTCTTTCCTGCCGTGGTGCTCAACGCACGCGTGGCGAACAAGGATTCCATCATGCCGAGCGGTGGTGGAAGGGACGGTGACGCCCCGGCCCTGGTTCGAGCGGGGGATATCGTGGTCTTTTCCACCTGGGCTCGACATCGGCTAGGGAACGACTTTGGGGAAGATCCCCAGGCATTCTATCCCGAACGGTGGGAACATCTCAGTGGAGATATGCCGGGGTATATCCCGTTTAACAAGGGACCTCGAGCCTGTCCTGGTCGTAGGGCGATTCCTCCCTTGGTGGTTGCCACAGCTGACCCTTGTGCAGGACATTATGCCATGGTTATCCTGACGTACCTTGTGGCGCGTCTGTTCCAGACTTACTCGCGGGTGTCGAACTATAATACCCAGCCGTGGACGGAAAAAATCAGCATGACGTTTGAGAACGACAACGGGGTGTTTGTCGGGCTCAGCTAATCTGAGGTAGGTGTAGGTAACGAGGGGAAAGAATCCGGATCATCTGGATATAGTAGTAAAGGAGACAAACATGACAAACATGACAGACTGCCGGATTGGAATAGCTCAAATAGCTGGAACAAGATTCACCCTCCACATCGGGAACCAAGCTGGGATTAATTCAATTTTGGTCTTGACCTTCTCATAGAGTAGTCAATCCTTGTCTGTCAATTCTGACCATCATGATATGAATTGTTTCTTCGTGGCCTAGAAGCGATCTGATCCAGCGTCTGATATAAATGTAGAATGATGCATGCCTGAGGCAGCATTACCCCTCCGTCATCTCCGACTTCAACCCAGATAGTATCTTGATAGCTCCGTCGTGGAATGACGGAGATTATCTCACCGGATAAAATCAACTAGATTCAATTGAATCCAATCCAAGTGGATCGGTTGAAATCATTGTCTTCGGGGTATTATCAGAGGAAGTACCTAGTTCGACTCACCGGACCGGACTACTCTGCTCCTCCATGACTTCCCACTGAACAAGCCCCGCCCTTCTCTCTAATTTTCGTCCCACACCCAATGACCAGAAGGAAACCGGCTCCGTAAGCGGCAGTGACATCGTCCAACCTCTCTCTTCTCTTCTCTCTTCCCTCTCTAGTCGATCTTCCTTCTCTTCTCTTCTCTTTCTTCCCTTTTAAAACCGTTCCCATCTCCCCCCCCCCCACCTTAATCCCTTTGTCTCCATCTTGAAATTCAACTCTTTGTTGGATTGCTGTTCAAACACTGTTTTAATACCCCTCCCCGAGACCAGAGAGCTTCTTCATCATGGCAACCGCAGTGTAAGTGCATTGAATCTCTATCCTCCTATCTTTCTGTCTTTTTTCTTTATATACATTATTTGCATGTTATTCCCATGTTCTCCCTGCATGCCAGTCATCGTCCAAAAATTTCTCCAATCTGGTGCAGATGCCTTGTTTTTCCGCATGAGGCACCGAGCTTTTCTCGTACCCCTCCTCGTGTCTCTGGTGTTGCTTATCCCTATTGAATCGTTTCAATTCATGTATTGATGATTGACGGTTTTGATTGTTTTTCCCTCTCTTGTCCTCTTCCCTTTATTCCTTTTCTTGTTGAAAGGAGGGGCTTCTTGTCTTCCCGTGGTGATATGCGACAAGCGGCGGCGCGGGGCAACTGCAGCTCTCAACGTCATAGCGTTCGTGCACTGGGATAGGACAACCATCCACCACCCCACTAACGCACACCCCTCAATTCCACCATTTTCGTTTGTCTTCTTTTGCCATTTTTGTTGTGCTGGATTAATTCCTTGTTTACTGCCCTCTGCCCTCTGGATGATGTGAGAATGTACCAACTGACTCAAGCGCCCGCTTGGCCGGCATCAATGTCGGCGCATCGGCGCATCCCTCTCCTAGTGCTGATTTCGGCCTCATCGGTCTGGCCGTCATGGGTCAGAACCTGATCCTCAACGCCGCTGACCATGGTTTCACCGTCTGCGCATACAACCGTACCACCTCCAAGGTCGACCGCTTCCTTGACAATGAAGCCAAGGGTGAGCTACCCTTCCAGATCATGGCGGGTTCGTCGTGGAGTCGCGGATAGTTAACTGATGGCGTCCAGGCAAGTCCATCGTCGGTGCTCACTCCGTCGAGGAGTTCTGCTCCAAGCTGAAGCGTCCCCGCCGTATCATGCTCCTGGTCATGGCCGGCAAGCCCGTCGATCAGTTCATCGAGGCTCTCCTTCCCCACCTCGAGGAGGGTGATATCATCATCGATGGTGGCAACTCCCACTTCCCCGACAGCAACCGCCGCACCCAGGAGCTCGCCGCGAAGGGCATCAACTTCGTCGGCAGTGGTGTCTCCGGTGGTGAGGAGGGCGCCCGCTACGGCCCCTCCCTCATGCCCGGTGGCAACGAGAAGGCCTGGCCCCACATCAAGGACATCTTCCAGAGCATCTCCGCCAAGAGCGACGGCGAGGCCTGCTGCGACTGGGTCGGCGACGAGGGTGCCGGCCACTTTGTCAAGATGGTCCACAACGGTATCGAGTACGGTGACATGCAGCTCATCTGCGAGGTAGGCCTCTCCCTCCAAACTCCGTCCACGTCGGTCGGACCGGCTCTGACATCGCTTGCACGATAGGCCTATGATATCATGAAGCGCGGCCTGGGCATGCCCGTCTCCGAAATTGCCACCGTTTTCGAGAAGTGGAACACGGGCGTCCTGGACTCCTTCCTGATCGAGATCACCCGCGACGTCCTCAAGTACAACGACAACGATGGCGTCCCGCTCGTCGAGAAGATCCTGGACAAGGCCGGCCAGAAGGGTACTGGCAAGTGGACCGCCATCAACGCTCTCGACCTCGGCATGCCCGTCACCCTGATCGGTGAGGCGGTCTTCTCCCGTTGCCTGAGCGCCCTCAAGGACGAGCGTATCCGCGCCAGCAGCCTTCTGGAGGGTCCCTCTCCCGACTTCAAGGGTGACAAGCAGGCTTTCATCGACGACCTGGAGCAGGCTCTGTACGCCTCCAAGATCATCTCCTACGCCCAGGGCTTCATGCTCATCCAGGAGGTAAGTCTGTCCCTGTTCATTTGAAGTTGTATAGTATTCTAACATACGGGAACCCCACAGGCCGCTCGCGAGTACGGCTGGAAGCTGAACAAGCCCTCGATCGCCCTCATGTGGCGTGGCGGTTGCATCATCCGCTCGGTCTTCCTCAAGGACATCACCAACGCCTACCGCAACAACCCCGACCTGGAGAACCTCCTCTTCGACGACTTCTTCAACAAGGCCATCCACACCGCCCAGAAGGGCTGGAGGAACGTCGTCGCCCACGGCGCTCTCTGGGGCATCCCCACCCCGGCCTTCAGCACCGCTCTCGGCTTCTACGACGGCTACCGCACCCGGGACCTCCCTGCCAACCTGCTGCAGGCCCAGCGTGATTACTTCGGTGCCCACACCTTCCGCATCAAGCCCGAGTGTGCCAACGAGAACTACCCCGAGGGCAAGGACATCCACGTCAACTGGACTGGACGTGGTGGTGACGTGTCTGCGTCGACCTATGTGGCTTAGATGATGGATGCAACGCCCTGCGCTGGACGTGGAATCATGCCCCCGATAATGGAAACAGGGGGACCGGATTGGTAGAACTCTGGGGCAACAGACGAGGACCCGGTTGCCAATGGTTAAAAGTAATCACATGATTACGATGTATTTAGATGCCCAGTTATGATGGCAGAAACTTATGAATGAATGTTTTCTGTTCGGTTCATCCAAATCCTGCCGGTGGGGTACTCGTGTATTGGCTGGTATTGAACGAAAAGATCGGGGTGGTAGAACTAGACAACCAGAAATCAGTCGGTAAGGTCCGATATTTCGATAGTAGCATACAAAACTGAAAGCTTCAGCATAAATTTTGCCAGTTGGCACTGCTTAAGGAATGACGAGATGGGCAGAGGTCTCCGCCGGCACTAAACCGCATTAGGCCGGCCGGTCCAGTCACCCCAGTCCGACCTCCCTCCATGAACATTTGCCCTCATTCTGGCTTTCCTGCTATCAGTCGACGGAGCGCAACCTCCTTTGACCCCACCTCCGTGCCAGCAGTCTGAGACTTTTCCCTCTTCTGCTTGGTCATATTGTGCCTGATTTGCACCCCTCCTCCGATTCTTTTTACTATCGCGGGGCGCGATATCGGCCACTCCCTTTCCTACCCAAGTTGCGGCTCCCGCTACGTCCCACTGTACCTGATCTGCGCCGAGTACCGTCGACAGGGCCGCCGCAAGTCATCTTCGCAGCTCTTGCTAGTCTAGGTCGCAAACGGTCTAGTCGTTGCGGCGATCAACGTGTCGGGACAGACGGAAGTTCTTGTGTTTCAGACTTGAGCTGTCACACAACCCGCCTTTTCAGACGAAGCTGGTTCAGCTCGGCCACCGCATGAGCATAGACATAGATATCTTGATTAGCTACGACTGAACGGCTTGAGCGTCACTGGTTCTTTGCTGGCAGTCTTATGCCGGATACTAAGCGTCACAGCGTGGGTGGAAGACCGTCCGGTGCAAGTCCAACCCAAGGAATGGCTGGTGCTATGGTGCCTCTGGAGGCTGCTCTGAGCGGTGCAATTGGTGCACGGTAAGCAGACAATTCATCTTGCCCCCTTTCCCTCGACAACGATGACAATTGGAGTCCGCGGTATTGACGTATTCATCTACCAGCGTTCGCATTAGCACAGCTCCAACCGTATCGACCATCGAAGGCACCCTGTTCACAGCCTGCCCCATTACCAACCTAGTTGCCATCAACACTGCCGACAAGCAATCGCAAGCAGCAGACTACCACATCATCCCAGTGTCGCGTATACAATCCTTCCAGCTCCTCTCCCTGGCCCCCTCATCCAACTCCACCGAAGGCCCGTCATTCTCCGATGCCGCCCCCCCTCTGCACGCGCTGGATATCCGCGCCCTGAAGACTCGCGAGTTCAATGCCGTGAGCAAGCTGCTCGAGACGGAGGCGCGCCGCGGGAAGGGCGTCACGCGCGAGGCCCAGGACATCTTCGACGCTTTCACCCGCACCATGCCGACCCGGTGGGACGGTCCCAACATCATCGTGGCGGATGCCGTCACCATCGCGCCCCCGTACCGTGTTGATGACTGCCGGCCGCTGGTTGCGGGCGACACGGCTGCTCTGGCGCACGTCCGCAAGGTGGTATGTATTGCCTTTTCGTTTCTAGGTTTTATCCGATTTGGTGGCTGGATTCTGACCGTCATAACAGCTTGAAATGGAACGCAAGAAGATCGAGTTGCGTAGCGCCAGTGCGGCGATCGGCACGACCAGCACCTTTTCCCGCGGCGGTTCCGCGAAGGACGCTGCGGGCGGTGCTTCGAGCAACCCCAATCCGACCCCAGGGCCTGGCGCTGCTGGACAACGGAAGGGTGGTTGATTTAGTGGAGTATCAACCAACGATGCGGCTGGAGAGGGAGAGGGTGGGAGTGAGAGAGAGAGAACCATGCATTGACTGAAGAGCGTTCAACCCGGATGGTTTAATCGGGACAAGGGCGCCCGAATATACGATAGCAACGATGGACAGATGGGTGCTAAGACTCGGCAGATCTATTCATGGGGAGTATATGGTGCTGGATATAGGCATCCGTCGCTGTACTTCTATTGCTGAACTACTTCCGGGTTGGAGTGCATAGGTCTGGATCTGATCATTGCGATGGCTATCTATCTACTTCTGTCTGGAGTTGGTAGGATTAAGGACTACTCTAGAAACGGAACAATGATGACTGAACATGATTTATTAGATGGCTTCGTAGCATCACAGTTAGCTTTGGAGTATCTTAGGGCCTACCTCCCTTACCTTACCCAGGTACCCTCGCTTTGACAAATCCGATCAACAGAGTACTATAACACGAGCATAACCTACAATACCTACATCCAAAACACACATAGATGGTCTTAACCAACGCTCCACGCCGGTTACCACAGTACTACGGAGTACTGCATATAGCATCACACCCATATACTGCGCGATGATGTGATGTAATATGACGATAGAATTCAAGCAAGCCAGGTGGTTGGCGTCGTACAAGCCTTTTGTCCTTCCTTACCTTGGAGATGTGAACACTCCACTACACTTGTTTTGTTTACTTCATGTTACATATCTATATTTACATATAGTTGGAGGTAGCTAATTGATATCTCTCATTAATACTGTTGTTACAATTGCTGCTGCCTAGTGGGTTATGAGGTGAGTTGTAATCTGTAACTAAATCCCCAGCGTGGAAGCATATGTATACTCCGAGTATAGGTACCTGCCTATGCATTGAAACCATGCACTGTGACGTGATGTTTGACCTTACACTGTATAGTATAGTATGAGATGGGATGAGATGGGATGAGATGGGATGAGTGAGACTTCTGTAAGTATGGAGTACTCCCATCTACTAATATGATAATATCAGCTGTGGTTCTTTCGTCAGAGAATAGGTATCTGGATCGCTGTACTTGATAGGTATTATATTATATCATGTATATACTATGCAGGGGTAGCTGGGTCTTCATAGGGTTGGTCCACTCTCTCTGGAAGGTCGCCACAGCGTTAGGTGGTGTTCTAAAACATTATTGAATATATGCCTGATGTACGACCTACCACAGGTGAAGAAGTGTACCTTGTATATAGGTCCAGTTCAGCCACTCCCTACTTGGTAAAGGACCGATCTATCAAGCCATGTGCAACCAACCACCCACCAACCAACTATCCAAGCAAAGCAAAACAAATCAAATCAAATCACATCAACTGACGAATAATAAATACTCACCATACCCTCATAATTATTCATCCATTGTCTTACTCAGACCCGACCACGTTGAAGCAGAATGGATCATGCGACTGTGTCATTGTCTGTCTTGTCTCCTGTCTGTCTCCTGTCGGGTGCAGACATGCAAGGGGAGGGGTCTGGTCCATCCACCGTCTTACGTTCCGACCTGCTGTGTCTGTGTCTGTTTCTCTCTTCCTGCGCGATGAGATCATCGGATGGGATGGGATTGGTTTTGTCGTATTGGGCTCTGGTTTGGCTGAGACTGGCCTGGCTCATGGGTCAATAGTAACTAGATAAGGTTTTTGCTTTGCTTTGCTTGCTTATTTCTGGTAATTAGGTATAGTTGGGGTTAGTATTTGCGAGGGAGTTATCGGTGTTTATGCTTGGTTAGTCTGGGTGTGGGTGTGGTTTTGTCTAGTTTCATGGGTTGTATACTGTTTCATTCTACCTTCTCTCTGGGAAGATGAAGGTCTACCATTATTCAAGTCATCTGGTTGTATTTTCTTTTTTCTTTTTCTTTTTCTTTCGTAACCCACCATAAAACATACAATAGATCCTGACCCCCCGTCAAGTGTGCCATTTCGGAAAAAGATCATACCTGTCAGATGCTTGGGCCTGACCGCGGCTCCTGACGACAAATCATGAGGGAGACAATTACGGGGTTATCAGATGGCCAGACCGAGGGAGAGAGCCAAAGAAAAAAAAAAAAAAAGGGAAAAAAAGGGAAAAAAACAAGGGAAGATTCCTACCTAAGGATTCAAACCAACCACGACGATTGATCCCTGTCTCTCAACGCCAAGAGTCAGGTGGAAGAGACGGGGGCTTCAGGTTCAGCAGCTTGCCGGAGATGTCTCCACCTCTTTCACACTCTCTCTTCTGCCCAGTGTTTGGGGCTTGGCTAATTGGTCCGTCGCACTAGACGTGGGATTGGGCTATGCTGGTTTATTTGCACACGGCTCTCTCCCAAACTTGGTATGAAGACCGGGTTCTATGTCCGTGGCTTTGTCCCTATTTTTGGGTGCTTATCACGTTGTACCTGACGGGCATTGTTGTTGGGGCCGGTAGGAGGATCTTGCACTAATGACCCTGGTGAGATATCAATAGTCTATCAATGGTCATTGCATTGGCAAGGCGTTTTAAGGCTGACAGATAAGGAAGGGAGAAAAAAAACAAAAAAAAAAAAAAAAAAAAAAACAAAAGAGGAAAATCCACTGGGACTAAAGGGTAGGAATTAGGGAAGGGAACATATTGTTGACCCCGGATCGACCGGAAGAGTGACAAAGCAAATGAAATTACACCATCCCATCTATGGAATATGCCCTGCTGGACCTCCCCGCTTTACGAGCGCGGCTTATTGACTGGCTGACGCCCATGTAGACGCGAGAACAAGCGAGATCCAGAGGGCAAAAGCCAGAGAAGAAGAAAAAAAAAGCCGGTGACGGTGGCTCGTGAATTTGGGATTTGGGGGACTAGCCAGGTGTCTCGTCGACTGGGGCCAAGCGCACTATGCTCCGTCGTAGATGATTAGTGGATCAGGAGAGGGGCGTCAGTGACGAGCTAGGTCTTCTTCATGGGCTCGGATTCGCCGGTGGATGGAGTGGCTCCAGTGGCTGCACCGCTGCAGGACGCTAGAAGAGGGTGGGATTTGACTAGGCCGGTGGATAGTGGAGACGGGCGAAAAAGATCGTAGTCATTCCCGGGCAGGAGAAGCGGGGGACTTGCCGTAGAATTCGGAAATGATGTTGATATTCAAGATATTCAAGATATTATAGATCATAGTATGGAGTAGGGAGGATAATAAGGTAGAAGGATAAAGGGTAAGGAGGGAGAGAAGAAGAGGAGAAGAGACGAAGAGAAGAAGAGAAGAGAGTAAAGGGAGGAGAGACTGAAGAAGAGATGAGCATAATTGTACAGTCAATAGATGTTATAAATGGTTTCATAACTTCAGGAGATCCTGACTAAGTCATCCACATCCACTCGCTCACATGATCCGCCCGTCTTTCTCACTTCTTCATCTTCATCGCACTTCTTGTTGTTGTTGTTCTTGTGATCTCGATCCTCATCTTTCTCTCGTCCAATTCCTTTGTCCTTTCTTCAATCTCTCCATTCCTGTGTTGGTCTGTTTTCGAACCTCTGTCCGATCTTCCTTTTGTCCTGTCTCTTCCTCCCCCTGTTTTGATCTTATCTTTCCTTACTTTCCTTACTTTACACTGTCTACTGTCCACTGTCCATCCATCCTCCCATTGTCCTCCCATCACTCCTTTGGTATCTGTCCTCTGTGGATCGATTAAACTTCGAGACACCTGGAGCATCGCCTCCTGCTGCTGTCTCCCTTGCGTCGTTCCCCCTCCCGAACCTTTTCTCCTCTCTTCCGACCTGCGCTATCCGCTTGCGACCCTCCCACTCCTTTCATTAGCCCCCTCTGCCTCTTTGTCTCAAATCCGGACTAGACTATCGACTCCTTCACATCGATTCCCAGCTCGCTCGGCTATTCCGACGCTCAGATCTTCCCTCCCGACTCGTCTCGACAAGTCCCATCGATACCGTCGAGCACGCTGGCCGATATCCTCTTTCCTCGATTACTGATGGAGCCCGCTCCATGCTAGCCTAACCTTCCTTTGACCTTTCCCTTATCATCCCTTTCCCCGATTTCGCATCGACTCCCTTCACCATGGGCTTATCGCCGTCAAACAGCCACCACCGACGGCGGAGCTCAGTCCTCACCAGCACGGCTGGTTCTTCCCATGCCGCTGCCCTAGACCAGCGGGACGACCCATCGAGATTGACAGGTGATGGCCTCGGATACAAACGGGACGACCTGAAAGTGGGCGAGGATCCAGACGTGTCGGACCTTTCCTCCATTGCGGAGAGTGTGGAAATGGATCATATCACCTCAGATGACGACGTTCACGATGACGAGGAAACGGGCCTCACGGCGAGACAACGACGCCAGAGACGACGCCGGAGACAACAACGCAGGCAGTTGGATGCTCGGATTGCCGGGGTCAAGGCGTCGAAAACCGATGATCTCGCGGGTCAGAGTGTCACCCAGCGGCTCCTGATCAATGCGACGTTGATCCTGATGTGGTATTTCTTTTCGCTGGCGATCTCGATTGTGAGTAGTGATGCCCTCTTCCCCGGTCTGGGGTTGAGAGCTGTGGTAGGAGAAAAGCTAATGCGCCGGATAGTACAACAAGTGGATGTTCTCCGAAGATGACATCGTATTCCCCTACCCTCTCTTCACCACGAGTTTGCATATGCTGGTTCAGTTCACGCTCGCCTCGACCCTCCTTTGGATCTTCCCCTCCCTACGGCCAAAGGCCCCCCCTCCGCCCGATGGGGCGGAACCCGAACCCCTCCTGACCAAGCTCTTCTACTTCACTCGTCTCGTCCCCTGCGGAACGGCCACGTCGCTCGATATTGGTCTGGGGAACATGTCCCTCAAATTCATCTCGCTCACCTTTTTGACCATGTGTAAATCGTCCGCCCTCGCCTTTGTCCTCATCTTCGCCTTCCTCTTCCGCCTCGAAACTCCTTCGTTCAAGCTCATCCTCATCATCGCCGCCATGACCGTCGGCGTCGTCATGATGGTCGCCGGCGAGACGGCCTTCAATACCATCGGCTTCGTCCTCGTCATCGCGTCGGCCTTCTTCTCCGGCTTCCGGTGGGGCTTGACACAGATCCTCCTTCTCCGCCATCCCGCCACCGGCAATCCCTTCTCCACCCTCTTCTTCCTCACTCCCGTGATGTTCCTGTCCCTCATCGTGATTGCCACCTCGATCGAGGGCCCGTCTCAGATCTTCACCGGCGTGGTGGCCCTCACCGACGAGCACGGGGGTGCCTTCGCGGCGTTCCTCCTCATCTTCCCGGGCGTGCTCGCCTTCTGCATGATCGCGGCCGAGTTCGCCCTTCTGAAACGGTCCTCCGTGGTCACCCTGAGTATCTGCGGCATATTCAAAGAGGTGGTCACCATCAGTGCGGCCGGTGTCATCTTCCACGACCAGCTGACGCTGATCAATTTGACGGGCTTGTTCGTGACGATCTGCAGCATCGGCTGCTACAATTACATGAAAATCGCCAAGATGCGCGCCGATGCCCAAAAGGCCTCGTGGGACCGGAGTCCGGATCTGGACTCGGACTCGGAGGACCTGGGTCCCGTCCGGACCCGGGGTGGATACCACCAGGTCGCGGACCAGGAGACCACGATGGTGGAGTCCCCCACGATCCACGTCGATGACAATGTCAATATCACGCCCCCGAGCGACGCGCCCATCAACGGAGGACGGTCGTACCGGGTTCGCGCCAGCGGAGCGAGCAGTGCTGTCCACGGGCTCAGCATCAACACCACGAACCTGGAGGATCCAGATAAGATCCAAGTGTCTCGGCCGTCTCCCATGAAATCGGCCCCGCCGATCGTCATCTCCGCCGACACGCAGTTCCCACCCCAGGGAACGCGAGGACCCAGCCCGTCCGAGGATACTCGATCATCGCCCGAACGACACCCGGCCAGTGATGGACAATGATTGGACCGTTCTGCTACCTTGTCCTCTCTCGTCTCTTCTACTCCGACAGTCGATGCGTTGTCTCCATGCCGTTCTCATCCAGCTCTCCAACCGCGTCTTGACGCCTACCCGGGCTCTTCATGTGCCCGGAAGATTCTCGAGAGCAATGACTCATGGAAGACGACGCTCACTCCGCGAAGCGATACATACGCGTCCTCGCATCTGTTGATTTATATCCACGACTCGGCCGGCACTTCACCGGTGTGAAAATGCTTGAAGTGCACAGTCCACCGCACATATCGGCGCGGCTTCGTATAGAGTGATTGTTTCGCGTGATATACCATGTCTACCTCCACTACCCAAGAAAATATCTCATCTCATCTCATCTCATATATCTTAGCATTTGGACTTCCAGCTGAAGTCTGGCATATTATACAGAATACCCATTTGCATTGAACTTGTCCAGGTTGTTATAGTAGTTTTGGGTGTATAACTGTAAATATCTTGTAGATGTAGCTCTGAGCGTTTGAACTGGAAACCACATTATAAAGCTCTTGAAGCTCAAGCGATTATTTTACAATGTATCAAATCATCTCATAGTAATATCTCAATATCTCAATCCTCCTCCGCATGACTTTGACACCCCTCATCCTCACTCCCCCCATGTTCATCATCATCACCATCATCAACCTTCTTCCCACCCGCTGTCTTCCCCCGTTTCGGGGCCCCATTCATCATCTCCATCAAGGTCTTCTGCCCACTCTTCCCGCCCTCCTTCTTCAACCTCTTCTTCTCCTCCGCCTCCATCTTCCTCTCATACTGCTCCTGATGTTTCGCTCGCACCTCCTTCCCCTCATCTGCCAGTTGCGCCTCCAGCGCGCGGAATTCCGCCCCCTCGGGATCCATCCCGATGAGCGATTCGAGGAGCTCGATTTCGCGCGCCCATATCGCCGGGTCTGATACCGCGGCCGTGGATTTGGAGGTTGAGTTTGGGGGAGGGGGTCGGTCGATGGGTGTTTCGAGGATCATGGGGAGGTTTTCGAAGCGCGGCTCGTTCATGACGTTGTGGAAGGCGCGGAGGCCGAGGAATCCCGTGCCGATGTTGGCGTGCAGGTCGCGGTTGCTGCCGCGGGGGGCTTTGGAGTCGTTGAGGTGTAGGGCGCGCAGGTGTTGCAGGCCGATTTGGTCTTCGAATTCTTGGAGGAAGGAGGTGAAGCCCGTGGGTGTGGTTAGGTCGTAGCCTGCTGCGAAGCTGTGGCAGGTGTCGATGCAGATTCCGATGCGGGGGTGGTATTCGGCGGGGATTTGGGAGAGGATCGTGCGGAAGTCGCTGAGGTTGCCGCCGATTGTGGAGCCGTGGCCACACATGGTTTCGAGGACGGGGACGACTGTGGTTGTTGCTGCTAGGGCGTTGGTGAGGGCTTTGGCGAGGCGGGTGAGTGCTGAGGGGAAGGGGCTTTGGTTGGCGCTGCCGGGGCTGTTGGGGGGGATTTTGTTAGGGTTGTATGGTTGATAGGGGAGGGGGGGGAGGGATGTACTGGAAATTGTAGAGGGTGATTCCTAGGGCTTCACAGCGGAGGAGGTCCTCGAGGAAGGAATCGTAGGCTTGCTTTGCTTTGGCTTTGTCTTCTTGGGCTAGGTTGACGAGGTAGGATCCGTGGGGAAGAATGTGTCTGTATAATGTGAGTCTATTTGTGTGGCTGGGTGGGGTGTGGTGTATTCGGTGGCAGACTTACTTGGTGCCGTCATATTTCTGGTCGGTGCAGAGACGACGAAACTGGTCTCTATGGTCGTCTTGTAGTGGAGGATTGTCCCATTTTCTCTGGGATTTGAGGAACAGAGCAAATGCATTGCCTCTGCAAGTAATCGGTTAGCGTTGATAATTATGGATAGACAGGTTGCATACCCAATGTGAACACTATTGTTGATGGAATTGAAAACACCCTTTGCTGCACTAACATGAGCTCCCACACACATGCGCAGACCTTGCGTCCGAGCCCTCAACGGCACCATCTCGGCTTCGATCTCCTTCTTCGTCTTCCGTTTCTTGGTGGTTTTCACGGCCGGTGCGGGCTTTTCTTCCGGTTTATCGACCTTTGTCTGTGCTTCTTCGTCCGCCACAGATACAGTGGTATCTTCTTCCGCGATTTTCTCCTCCTTGATGGAGACCTTGACAGCCCGTCCACGGGCGGTTTTCTTCAACGCAGCGTTGGTGGATGTGACCTCGTCTTGCTCAGGCTCTTCTTTGACCTCCAAGCTCGGCAACCCCTCATGCGCTTTGGTGCGTTTCGATCGTCGTAGAGGGGAGCTTGGCTCGGTACTGTCGACCTGTCTCTTGCTGCCTTTGCTAGGGCTGGCTGTCGGCGAGATGGCGCTCGATGCCGCTTTACGGGCGACGCGCGGCATGTCAGCAGTCCGATCACTTATGGCCAATATTTGGAAAGTGTGGGAGCACTGAAATATGCACTGAAGCTGAATGACTTCCAATTGATAGTTGCAGAGAGCAAGGAATAAGGTGCTTGTACTGGTTTGGCTGCGATAAGAAGAGCTCAAAGTTCGCGCGTCGAGCGTGTCGCGGGGATGACTCAGCCGGAGCTCATTAGCTTTCCCGATCGGGTAATCCACCCACGTGACCCGTTACTGGGACAACGGGCAGCAGTTGTTTATCGATAAACGACCCGTTTTGGATCCGAATCCACACCAGAATTTCATCTTCAACGACCATCGACCACCCTGTCATTCGACCGCCACGACCACCGAAACCACCGATAACACCGCCCAGATTATACTCAACGCCACTAACACCTAAGGAGAACCAAATCGTTATCTTCTTCACCCCCTCATTCGCCGTCGCCGCCATGGCGGCCTCCGAGGACTTGGTTGACTTCGATATCATCGAGAACCAGAAAGAAAACATCCAGTCTTTACCCGGTGGACGATCCGCCAGGGAGCTGGCCCGGTTATTCTCACCAAGGGAATCAGAGGGCAAGCTTGCTTCTCCATCGCCGAACGACACGAGGACACTCAACGACGCCATTCGACAGGAATATGAAACCGAACTGCAGGCCATTTCAGAGTCGGACGACCCGCTCGATATATATGATCGCTATGTCAAATGGGCCCTGAACGCGTACCCGTCTTCTCAAGCCACGCCGGAGTCCGGACTGTTACCCTTGCTGGAACGCGCTGTGCGCGAATTTCTGTCATCATCGCATTATAAGAACGACCCTCGCTACCTGCGCCTCTGGCTTCACTACATTAGACTGTTCTCCGACTCGCCGCGCGAGACGTTTGCCTTCCTAGCGCGTCACCACATTGGAGAAGGCCTCGCCCTTTTCTATGAGGAATTTGCTGCGTGGCTGGAGGGTGCAGGCAGGTGGACACAAGCCGATGAAGTGTATCGGCTCGGCATTGACCGCGAAGCACGTCCCGCCGAACGGCTCGTTCGGAAATATAGCGAATTCCAACAGCGCTACGAGCGGCGCACCCAGGATAACGGACCGTCGTCTCCCGCCTTGCCAGCTGTTCGACCGGCGTTGGTCGCCAAGGTGGACCCCTTCGCTTCGGCACCGGCTGAGTCCAGCGACCCGCAGGCCCAGCAACAATCTTCCCCCGCGGCGTCCGCGCCCAAGACAAAATCGAAAAAACCCAAGATGGCCATCTTCTCCGACGCTGACTCCGGAGCAAGCCAGCCAGCGGTGTCTAAACCGTCCAAGGGATGGGAGAGTATCGGATCGGTGCAGGACCGAAAGAAAGAAAACACGATGGAGGCAAAGCCGTGGGTAGGCGAGACCTTGAAAGCCGGGAAGAAACCGGCGCCCACGCAAAAAATGACGATATTTCGGGATGAGGTAAGTGCAATTGGTTTTTTGGCCCTGACTCGACTTCCACATATTTACGATCACAGGACTAATTAGTGGCATGAAACCCTCTTCGGTTTACGATTTATGTATCCAGTCAAATTCCAATGCAGAAAACAATGAGCCAATGCAGTCCAAGCGTGTTCCAGAGCATCGTATAAGGGAGGCAGTTAACCCACGTACCGGAAGACGAGAACGCGTTTTCGTGAATCTAAATGCGGTATATCCGGACATCGCCAATCCTTGCAATGAAGTTAGTTTCGAAGAACTTTGGGCGATGAACCGTGGGTGGATGAACAAGAACTGGCGGGCGCAGAAAGAACCCCTGAGGCAGATTACCGGGAACGAGCAGGTTGACCCCAGCCTTGATAGGGACTTACCGGAACAATTTCAACACAAGTTGAGCGTCAAAGATATTGATCCCCATGCTGCGGAGCACGATGCAGTCATGGAGAAGAAGAGCAAGAAAGCACAGAAACTCAAACTGCGCGAGGTCAAAGGAGAAACACAGACTGGTAAGGCCTATCCTGACATGCATACTCGACTGGGTCCCACGCTTCCGGAGCCACACCACTGACTCTATACACAGTCAAGATGAAATTCGATTCCCCAACGAAGAACAACAAGTCGCGTCGCAAGAGCACCCACGAGCCAACGATGACCATGCACACTCGGGCCGCCACGGATGAGATATACAGCATCTTCAACCAGCCACTAAAGGCAGAGGAGAATGTAGCCGAGAGCAGTGATTTTGAGGACGACGACTACACCAGCGCCGGCGAAAGCACGATGACCGGTCACCTTTCCGCCGCTTCGAGCGACTTCGGCGACGATACCTTTCACAAATCCTTTGGCGAAAGCGAGGGGGACGGCCTGGACGACACTCGCGCAGAAAGCGTGGTGGATGGCGAATGGACTCAGTACTCGACCAACCAAGACACCTGCGATGTGTCCGCTGTGCAGTCGCCATCCGGCACACCCAAGCACTCGTTGTTGGATGGAGCAGATGATGCTTGCAGTGTGGATAGTGACGAATATGATCAGACGGACCGATTCGTCCCTCAGATGCCAGAAGACTATAACCCCCCACTTGGCACGTACCGTGACCCTGCCATTATGGCCCAGAATCGTCTACCTTTCATGACCCCTATCGTGGAGCAGACCGAACACTCCTTCGCTTCAATGACCGCAGCTCGGGCTCATATGTACAGCGCGAAGACCCCTTCGAAGCATTCGTCGGCTAACCTCCTCGCCACTCCGCTCGCTGAGACCCCTCGCCTGGGTCATTTGCCCGAACTCCCGGAAGATGTGACCCTGAGCCCCTCCGCCGCGAGGGCGCTTTCCAGCTTCACCTCCCACTCCCCAGCCAAGCTGATGGGCTCTCCCCGAGTTATTGTCCCGGACGCACAGTGCAATCCGACCCATAGCAGCGTCCGCAATACCATTCTCAGGTCTCTGGAGCCCCCACTAACATCATATCCTGGCTATCACAGTCACCCGGAAATGGGGACACACTACGCTTCCGAGATTCAGAGATTCATGAAGACTGCCGTCAAACGCCCCAGGAGTGGCGACGAGGCTTCCTTCGATGTGCCGATCTTGGAACTCCCAGGCTCTGAACGAAATTACATCATCAGGAGGGAGCTGGGGGCCGGTGCTTATGCCCCTGTTTATCTTGCTGAGAGCATCGACAGTTTGTCTTCTGACTCGGAAGCTGATGATAGTCATCCCGCTTGTCGCAAGGGGAAGTCTAGCATGCCTCGGTATGGCTTTGAAGCGATCAAGTTGGAAGTCGGGCCGCCGAGTGCCTGGGAGTTTTACATGATACGGACGGCCCACGAACGGCTGATACGCAGCCCTGGGTTGGCTCGCAGTGCGGATAGTATCATTAACCTGCATGAACTGCACGTGTACAAGGGCGAAAGCATTCTGGTGGAGGATTACCGAGGGCAGGGGACGCTGTTGGATCTGGTGAACATAGTCCGCAATGAGCCCATCACACCCAACGGCAACGGCGAAGGCCTCGACGAGGCTCTGGCTATGTTTTTCGCCGTAGAACTTTTCCGAACCGTTGAATCTCTTCACGCGTGCAATATCCTGCATGGCGATATCAAAGCGGATAACTGTCTCGTCCGGTTCGACGACAAGCCCGCAGCGCCGCCTTCTCTTCTCGATCTAGACGGGGATTTTCCGGACCCGCGGGAAATCCACTATTCCCCCCGTGGGTCCTACGGTTGGGACAACAAAGGTCTCTCGCTAATCGACTTCGGACGTGCCATCGACATGCAAGCCTTCAATCCCTCCGTCCAGTTCGTCGCAGACTGGGAAGCCAAGGGCCACGAATGCACCGAGATCCGAGAGAATCGCCCCTGGACGCACCAAATCGACCTCTACGGCCTGGCGGGTACCATCCATGTCATGCTCTTCGGGAAATACATCGAGTCGGCCCCGATGCGTCGCAGCGAGGGTGCTCCCGCCCAGTCTAGCGGCGCCACCCGAACCTACCAGATCCGCGAGTCGCTCAAGCGATACTGGGAACGGGACATCTGGCGCGACGTGTTCGACCTCCTTTTGAACCCCTCCGCCGACCGCTGGGTCCAAATGGAACGACAGGGAACCCCGCAGGATGAGAATGAAAATAGCGTTCCCGGTTCGCCTGTCCTCCCTGTCCTACGGTCGATGCGATTCGTGCGCGAACGCATGGAGGCGTGGCTTTTGGCCAATGCGGAGAAGAAGGGTCTTGGTCTGCAGATCCGTAGATTGGAGGCTATCTACGCGGAGAGGAAGAAGCGATTGGAGCGGACGTGATTGTCTGCTTCAGACTTCTTTCTGCTCCTCCTTTTTTTCTATTCTTCTTCGCTGTTCACTTCCCTCTTGACTTTGTTGCTTTGGTGGACAAGCTATGCTTGTTGTTTTCACGATAGACGCGATGCTTCACGACATCTTTCTTTCTTTCTTTCTATTGCGTTTCGCTATACCCCCGCCAATTCCCTTCTGGATCTCATTCGTTTTCTTCTTGCAGCGTTGGCGTTTGAGGTGGAGAGGCTGAACCTCGATCTTGATCTTATCTTCATGTTATGGTTTCTTTTCGTGGTATTTGTTTCTGTCCTAGTTTTATCTACCTAATATTCATTCTATTTGGTTCTCTACAGACTTCTCAGGTTGACCTGATAATCACCGTGCATGATACTTAGAAGCTATCTATATCTCACTAGCTAAACTACCTACTTTCCTACTAACTGTATACAACTACTGCTATCTCTACAATCATTATACTACTATGACAGATTCTCCCTTACACAAGCTCAAAGAGAAAACCATCTCACTGGAGTATCTTCTACGAAAAAGAATTTCGAGTATAAAATAATTCAAATAAATCAATTCAAAAAAACTCAGATCGTTGACTGCGCAATGAATAGCGAATCAGTCATCAAATCAATCAATCAGTCAATCAATAATATCATGTGCATATCATGTCCATATCCGTGGTAAGTCATCGTCATCAGCATAATCATCAGCAGCATCATCAGCATAAGCATAAGCATCATCAGCAGTACTAACTGGACTTTGTTGCGTCCAGGGTGTTTGCTTTGCTGGTTGGTTGGTTGGTTGTCTAGTATGCGCGCTTGGGGGTTGGGGGGAAAGTAAACAAGATGAGGAAAGAAAGGAAGAGATGGATAAAGAAGATGATGGGAGAGGGAGGGAGAGAAGGTAGATAGACCATGTGAAAGGAAGGAGAAGAAGAAGAAGAAGAAGGAGAAGATAAAGTTGGAAAAAATTCGTAGTGAAGAGTGTATGATAGAATAGATTCAGTTCAGCTGCTTATACAAGACAGGAACAAAAAATGAGAGATAAAGAAAGAAAGTAAGTAAGAAAAAAGAGAATATAATCTCCAGAAAGGAAACAAGACTGAGAAAAAAAAAAAATCGCTGCATAACGCTTGTCATTCATTCAACGTCACAGCCATATCATGATCGTTTCAAGTTTTTCTTTTTGCGTCGTCGATCGTTTTCATGCATCTATTGAGTAGTCGTTTCAATCAATACCAACATCAACATCGTCTCCGTACCGGTCATATTGCAATGCATGCATGCTTCTTTCTTGGGTTTAGGATGGGAGGTTTGGTTTGTGGGGGAGAAGAAGGAGAAGCATGCACGCTGCTCATCATCATAAAGTCAAGTCAAATCAATAAAAGAAAAAGACGCCAAGACGATGACGAGGGTAGATGGACTGTGATCAATCAAAGGGAGAGTGGAGAGAGAATAAGGAAAGTTAAAGATAGGTGGTAGTTGAGAGCAGCTGGGGTGCGCTGATTTGGGTTGTACAAGGCTTGCCTCGTTCCTCTCGCTTGCCGGCGTTGGTCCGAACAATGCGTTGCTGATGTCGACCAAGAGAGGGTTCTTCGAGGTGAAATAAAGAAAACAAAGAGGTAAAGAAAGGTTAATGAGTGTGGTGGATAGGAGATCAACAATGGCTTCGGGAGTTGTCCATGGCTATTGTTGTATGCGAGATAATGGCCATTGTGGTGGGAGGCCCAAGCCAATGTCGCTCCGGCCCGTAGATTGAGACACAAGGAAATCAGAAGTAGGAAAACTGGTGAAAGATAGTGTAGGTTGATCAGTTCAACCGAAGAGAATAGGAACAGAAGGAGATCATCGCATGTGGTCAGGAAGTCTTTCCGTAGCCAGGTCGTAAGAGGTACACCGTTCGCTCATGGCTTATTGGGAGTACCTAACCACACGATTATCATCCAACAGACTGTAACTGTGTTGTCCGCGACTTTTGTGTCGGGCTGTATTTGTCGATTGTTTATCGTCCTTGTCTTGGCGAGGTGAGCAGAGTTTTGGGGTTTCGTGTATATCTTTTTTTTTTTTTTTTTTTTTTTTTTTTTTCATTTCTCGTTTTCTTCGTTTGTTGTTTTTATCTCATTCATAATATCGTCAGGGCCATTTCGGTCATTAGATCACTTGATGGGAAGGATCCAAGTCCAAGCGCATCATCTAAATCATTAAAAAAGGATGTCAAAACACGTTGACACCATGGTGCATGGCGAAACCAGATTCCAACGCCGTCCGCCCTCTAAGCAGTTGGGCAATGTGGGTTCTGGCCAGCCTTACTGTTTCGTGTAGGGCAAATTCAAGATCTGCCGGCGAATGCGCTCGGCGTCGGAGATGCCCTGTTCGGTGGGGTCGTACGGAAGCACGCCTGTCCGTGCTCGACTGCGGCCTTGGGAATCCGGGGTCGCCAGTTTGGGTTGCGGGTCCATGGACCGGCCGATAAAAGGGTCGGATAGGGAAGGCGCGTGCCGAATCCGCCGGGCTGGGCCGGGCCGTTTGGGGGTCTCGATCTTGAACGGGGATCCCAGGCGCCGGATGTTCTCGCCCGCATCGCCATCTAGGTGGTTGAGCAGAGAAGGGATGGCGAGTTTGTCCGTGGAACCGCCTTCATCGTTGCGCGATGACGACGACGGAGGGGAGAACAGTTGATTGATGGCCGGAGGATGCACCGCGCTGGTCGTCGCCCCGCGGGTTCGCAGTCGGATACGGCGCTGGCCCAAGTCGTTGAGTTTGCCCTGGCGGAATAATTCCTCCAGGTGGCGTTGGGTTTCGTCTTGCGCCGGCGACTCGTCCGCAGGAAGATCGTTGCGAGGGACCGGACCGTGCTGGTGGTCCGCAGTCGGGAGCGCATCCATGCGCGGTAGCGATCGCAGCCGGGCGCCCGTCACATGGATGGTCTCGCGGCGGGAGCCCGGGCGATGGATTCGATGGCGGGAGGTGTTCGGGCCCCATGTATTGTACGCAAACGGGGACCCGAGACGGGGCGCCTCCATCTCCCGTTCGTCGAAGCTCCACGACTTGGGCGGGAGCGAGCGGGGTTCAGCGGATGGAAGGGGATGCCATTCGGGGTTCGTCATATGAGACGGTCCCTCCGCCGCCAGCTGCGACAGGGGAGTGAAAACCGAGCTTGTGACCAGAGAGACCCCCAGGTCGCGCGTGGCATAGGCGGCGCTGTTGCCCGCGCTTTCGGGCTCGAGGCGGGGCAACAGGTCCAGGGCCGGGCTCGGGCTTTTGGACTGCATCATCCGCTGGTAGTGCGGCGCAATGGAGAACTTGCGTTTGCAGAGCAGTTTGAGTCTGCGACGCGTGGCGGCTTCCGACCGGGGCCAGATGAGCGTGGTGGCCGGTTCCGCTTTGGGCGTGGGGGTCGCATCTCCACTCCGCGACTGATGCGCGGGCGCAGGGGGGTCGGCGCAGGGTTGCCGGGTGAGCCGATAGCGCTTCCGTTCCCAGTTCCTCTTGGCCTCGCGCGCGACCCGGTGGGTGACGCCCAGCGGCGGGATACTCCCGGGGGTCATCTTGAACGGAGTGATGAGGGGGTTCTGGATATAGAGCTGGTAGGTGTTCCAGAGGTGGTTGTCCATGTCCAGGGTCCACTTCTCCTTGGATCGCAGACCGCGGGGCCTCCACGGTTTGCGGGGCAACGGCGGCGACTCGGCGAGCGGCTTGGGGGCAATTTCCAGGTGGAAGAACGGGTCATAGGAATCGCTCTCCATGCTGGTGCAGCTTCCGCCCACGGAGCGCCGGGAGGCGTAGGTTTCAATCGAGGAGATGGAGGAGTCCGAGGCGTGCGAACACGCGGATCCCGGACGCTCAATGGCGTCGCCCCACAGCTGGGGATCGTCGGACCGCCACGAATCGGTGGGTGGGGGGTCGGCGGGGTCGGGACGGATCTGGGCCGGGGGAGTCTTCAAGACCACGCGATGCCGGGGCGGCGCCAAGAGGTGGACATTGTGGGGCGGGGCGATGGAGGACGAGGGGTCCTCGGCCGGCTCACAACTAGGGGGAATTTCAATTGAGGGGAGGGGGACATCGGGGGAGGTGGAGCGGACGGTGCTGCGGTCGTATTCGACTTGCGCAAAAATGTCGGACCCGGAGCGGGCGCGGGATCTCCGCCAGCGACAACTAGCATGGCGGGGCGGGGGAGGCGGGACTTCAAGTTGAATCGACGACCGCTCCGGGGTCCGTGGCTCACCGAAACTCATGGAAGGAAAGGTAAAGTTCTTAGGCAGGGTGCGCGACAGGCCTTGCTGTGGGAAAGCCATGACAGGCGACGTCCCGATGTGGGGACGATCGAACCAGACGGGTGATCGATCTCAAGTACGCTGGTTCGTTTCTTTTTTCGTTTTTTCGTGTCCGATGTAGGCAATCTCTATGGCCCAATCATTTCGGAGGTCGCAACCCAGTCAATGGTTTCAACGATAAGGTGGATGTCACCAGGGAGGGCGCAGGCTATCCGAAACGACGTCGCGGTGAGTCTCGAAGTTCAGCCCAGGGCACGTGAACCTCCCGCTCGGAGTGATGACCCGGGAAAGGATTCCGGACAGTAGACGAGGCAAGGAAATGTGATTTCGACGGTGCAACGCAGGCAATAGGATGCGATGCGACGTTGACGAGTGCGCGTGCTATAAATGTCGTAAAATCGTGAAAGTGGCGTTACTGGGTTAAGAAAAAAAAGGAAACGGAAACAGAGAATGAAAGCAAGAGTCAAAAAAAGGAAAAGAAGCACGTCAAGGTGAGTGAGTGGTTGGATGTGCAGGACGATGTGAAGCTAGACAGTCAACACATCGCATAGGATTCCGGGCTCCGTTCGGGGGATGAAGGAGGGAAGCTCTATGGGATTGGGACACACACGAACGCCAGACCAACACAAAAGAAAGGGTAAGGAAATGGAGTGGAAAGGATGGGGAGTGAACAAGCCACGCGCTTGATTTGAGAAAATCAGCGACAGTAGCTTGTGCGGGGGGGAAGGGGGAAGGGGGGAGAAAGGAGAAGGGTGGAAAGAGAGGTGGAAAGAGAGGTGGAAAGAGAGGTGGAAAGAGAGGTGGAAAGGTGAGGAAGAAGAAGAGAAGAAGAAGAGAGAGAGAAGTGGAGGAGGAGAGAATAGAACGGGCTGGGCGTGGAAGGATCTCGGGGCAGATCAGGGTTACCACTATAGTATAGTATAGTGTACACTAGAGCACTAGAGTATTCCTATCGATCAGATAGATATACTCTTCTACTTCTTCTCGTGTTATACTTCCAATATCAACAGTAAATAAATACAGTCCCTTTTCGACCTCAAGAATGTAGTAGTCGCGTGACGGCCTTCCGGTTCAAAACAATCATATCATTCTTTCAGACCCATCAATGCTCTGACGATATGATTATATTTCCGATCCCTCGTTCTTCTCGAGTTGATTCCCCCTTTTTCATCCATCTTCCCTACTCCGTACGCTGGTCCACTGATCGGACAGATCGTGCGGTCAGGCTATCTTCGACCGCCTCACCTCGGGAAAATTCCAGGTGTTCAAGTCCCACTGTTGGACAAATGATATCCCTTGACTCTCCCAAGCGGACCCCATGATTCGCGCTGCAAGAGCGCAAGGGAGCATGATCATGGTGCTCCAACGCCCTGCATCCACCAATCATCTTCCGTCTCCCTCGTCCTTTTCGTCCGTTGGGCGTTGAATCTTTTTCCTTCCGGCAAATCGGAGACACCCGTTTTGTTACCTTATCGATCGTTCCTCCAAGAGTTTGGCATGAGAAGCGGTCAATCGTTCTCTCCTCTGACCCGATGACGATCAACGGTGGCTGGGACCCTGTCGTTTATGTTTACTCTCTCTTCTCCAACCTCAAGAGGTCCCTCGTGGGCAAATCGTGCCGACATGGTTTGCACCTCGAGTCAAGGACAGAACCGACTGGTAATTAAAATTGCAACTCCATTCTCCTGCAGAAGCGTGATCCACCAACAGGTGAACGAACCGAGAGGGGTTGGGGCGTGCATTAGTCTGGATAGACGCGACTTTTCCCTGGGACTGACTGTATGAATGCTTCCTTACTCGACCTTGACTGTCCGACCCTGATCTGTCTACCATCACTATCAACGATGGGAATTGAAATCAGTTGATACACAAATCGATCGAGATCCATAGCGTGATCCATAAGGATGTGATCGATGAACGTCTGGCCCGTTCATGACGCTCGGATCACGGGACCACAGAGCCCGATCGCCCACGCGTCAAAAAGTGGGGTCGGGCGCGTCTCCAGTCGCGTCGCCAACGCGGATCCGCGCGTCTGGTAAGTTACCGTAATCCGCTAGTCTTGGTGTTCCTGAACTAGTCTACTTTAGGCCTAGTCGCTCTCCAACTCATCAGCATCTTCATCCTCATCTTGATCTGTGATCTTGATCCATGTATGGAGTCGACTCCAACAGATGGTAGCTCAGGGGTTCATATCATACGATCCTAGTCCTAACGCATCCATGCAGGAACAACAGCAACCACGGGAGTCATAGTGCAGAAGAGACCTACCACCTACCTCCTCCTAGGTATGGAGACCCGGTGCTAAGAAAAGAACATCCCCAATCAACGTGGGTCCTCGTTCTCGTCAATATGTCTACGTCCATCACCCGAGGATCAACCCCAACCCAACCCAACCCCCTCAATCCCAAAAATATCTATCTGTCTTGCACCTTCTCCCCATCAGGCATGGATTGTCGGTGCCCCATCCGACCCCCCCATCTGCCCCCGATCCCACTCCATATATCCATCCCGGAATTCGGTCGTCCCGAACGAACTGCGTCGTTCCTTGCTGGTATGCACACGTACCGCTACCGCTCCGCTACCGGTGCTGCTGATACCTGCATGTGAAGTCTTGCATTCTTGCATATGGTAAGGCTTTCTCTTCATCCCGTGTATATCAAGTATAAGTATCGGGTAGGTCTGTCCCGTCTCGCGGTACATGTACTAGGTGCTGATTTCTCCCGGTATGAAATCCATAATATCATTCCGAAGACAAGGCTGTGGGTAGTCGATGAGGGGTTTCTCATCCAGCCTTGCACAAGCTGTGCACAGCTCCTTACGTCGTTGGGCTTTTCGGCGGCGTCCATGTCTTGAATGGCACATTATCCCCCGCTCCTCTCCACTTCCACAGTCGGTGGTGGTCCAGCCATGCTACTTGTTGATGTTATTGACTCAGTCTGGAAGATGATGTTTATTGATTCGGTTTGAAAATGAGGTAAATATTGCTATGGCTATCACGTACTAACTGCATAGAGCGCACACAGCGGAGAAACAACAAAAAACAGGAATAAATACAACGACGAATGACAGAAAGAAAGAAAGAAAGAAAGAAAAGAGATCACTCCGCCAACCCCTCCCCAAACGCAGCCAGATCAATCTCCGGTTGTCGGGACTTGTAAAGTAGTTTCACCATCGGGTTGCAAATCACCTCCGTGCCGTGCATGATGGACGCCGGACGCTCCGGTCCCTCGGCAAACTTCCAGTCATACTTCATCAGCAGGTGGGCCAGCATGATCTTGATCTCGTTCGAGGCGAAGAACCGCCCGGGGCAGGCGTGCATGCCGTGTCCAAAACCGAAGTGCTCGGGGCTCGTCGTCACGAATTGGTGCCGGTGCTCGCTGCCTGCTACCTGGCGCTTCTTGTAGAATCGGAAGCCATCGTAGGTCTGCGCGTTGGGGTACACTTCGTTGTCGTGCATGACGTGGGTCGAGACGGTTACGTTGGCGCCCTTGGGGATGTGGGTTCCGTCTGAGAGGACGACGCTTTTCATGGCCAGACGGTTCAACAGAACTAATGAGGGAGGGAGGCGGGGTCAGCGTCCGCAAGGGGTGGAAAACTGTTCGAGTTCATAAGAGGGAGACTTACCGATACTGGTCGGGTTCACGCGCTGGCTCTCTTTCATCACGCTGTCCATCAGTTTCATCTTGGTCAGACTGGTCTTCTTCAAGACGCCATCCTCCTTGACGATCTGCCGGATCTCGTCCCGCAGCGGCTGGATGAACTCCGGGTAGGCCGTCAGGTCATACATGACGTTGGTCAGCAGGTTGGATGTCGTGTGGATGGCGGCCATGGAGAAGCCGATCTGCGCCCGCGTCGCGTCGATCGGGCGTCCGGCGGCGACTTCTTCGATCCAATCCAGGCAGTCGGCGTGGGTGCGCGAGGGATCCTCGGGCAGTTTGCCCTGTCGGATCAGCTCTCTCGTGTGGACCTCCTTCTGGATGATCTCCTTTGCCCGTCTCACGTCTCCGCGCACTTGCTTGGTCGATGGGAGGAACCACTGGACCACGGGGCGCAGGATGGACGGCCAGAGCCGGAGGTCGCGGGCGGCCATGAATCCGTTGATGGTGTAGTTGACCGAGATATCCAGCCACTCTGTGTCCCGGCAGAGTTTCGGGCCCAGGAACACGAGAGAAGACAGACGGGCCACCATGTGTGGGATCTCCTGGGCGAAGGTGAACGGCTTCCATTCTGGGTAGAGATGCGGTCAGTCAATCCGTTGTCATACCCACGATGGACATGGGACTCCTACCGTCAGATTCAGGGAGGTAATCCTTCATCAGGGTCGCCGTCTCCTGGGACAAATGGATCGTGAGTTGGCCTGTAGGAAAGCGTCAGTCAGCGGGAACACTACCGGAGCATGGCCATGGGTCCCTACCGAGGGTTTGGGTCAGCTTCTTGCTGATCACTTCCAAGAGGATGCCATCCTTGTCAAGGCCCTCAAAGGCCTCGAGACCCGAGATCTTGGCGCCGAAAAACATCTGTGATCGCTGTCAGAATTCCATCCCGGCCCGTTCCCCGGTGCCTTTCCACGGACATACCTTTTTGATGGCCTCGGTGGTGTTCAGATCCGGGTGGTTCTTCACCTCGTCGACGAACTGGGGATGCAAGACCACCGTCGGCATATGATCGAACATCATCTGAAACACGCGCTTGCCCTGTTAAGCGTCAGTTTCCAGTCCCATAGGCTTTTCTTCCGCTCTCGCCCTCCTCAAACAGGGCGCAAGATCTGTGCATACCTGGCCAAACCCCGATGCGATGATCTCCTTGGCTGAAGAGACAAACTGCTGCTTCGCCTTGGTGTTGGATAGCCTCCATCCGCTCGTCCCCACGATGGGGATATTCCGGTACGGCAAGCCATCAGCCAGTTCTCGGTAGAAGCTGGAGACCACGACCAGCAGCAGGGTGACGGCCAACCCCTGCAGCAGGTGCGGGTTCTCCAGCACTTCCGCGATGATCGCCATCGCTGTGCTTGAACTCTACCGGTGGGGCGAAATATTCCGCTGGAGGTCAGGATTCCAGAATGTCCGGAGAAAGAGCGCGTGAAGAAACGGCGTGGGGCAGGAGACGAGATCCCATCGCGACGGGATAGCGCTGCAAGCTCGAATATATAGCGAGTCTGCTTGAGCTCGTCCCTCGTCCGCCCCACCCGGTTGCCATAGAGTCCTTTCCTCTCCCCGTCCAGGCCGGGGCTTATGGGCTCATCATCCTTCGATTGATTGGAGGAGGCCCTTAGGTGTCGAATACGCGGATACGGCAACACGCAATACGAAATACGATCGGGATCTACCCGGCCCTGCTGAAGAGTCTAAGCGAGCGAGCCTGTCTTCATCCTGACTAATTGATTCTTGGCTTCCCCGATTGACCGCTGGGATTTCTCCAATCGGCAAAAGCTACTGTCTGGTGTGGCAGCGGGAGAGGACCATGGAAAATCAACCGAAGACGACGGAGTGTCTCTGATTTGCCCGCTGGGTAGGGATCGGCGGCCGCTAGGGACCCGAAATTGGCATAGTAGGATTCCACTGCTGGTAGGGAGGGTGGACTCCGGCTCGAATGGGTTTAGCGATGATGGTTGGGGAATAGTGGAACAGTCGCCATGCGGGTTGGGCGTTGACGATCGGCGGGATGGATGGTTTGGTGGATGGTTATAGATCAGAATGACCTGTCTGATGGGGATATCCGATACTGAGGATATATACCATGATCCGATAGAATGAGAGGGAAACCACATCTGAGATTGAATAGAATATCAAATCGATCAAGAGAAAGAAAGAAAGAGAAAAAGAGATGATCTCGTGACCACTAACCGGATGCGGATGCGCTGTTACTGCAGGCCTGTTGGGTCTTCATTCTTCACCCTTCACGCTCCCAATCTCCCAATCTCTCCCCAATCTCTACCCAAACGCCTATATCTTCCTCTTGTCTCCCTTCGCAACGTCACCGTGGTAACCTTACTCGACCTCTCCTATTCACTTGAAGTTAACCACAATGGGTGACTACGGCCCAAGTGGCGCTCTACCCCGCGCTCAACCCCCCAGCAATCCTCCCCTCCCATCCACCAGCTCCGATGAGATCTCCGTGCTCGTCACGGGCTTCGGGGTACGCACACCCCTTTCCTTCTTCCCCGCAGACTAGATTAGGACCTGAAACAATCCCATCTAAAGCGGAGAACTAATCAAAGCACATGAAACGGTATCCAACAGCCCTTTAAGACCAATTTCATCAACGCTTCTTGGCTCATCGCCTCCTCCCTGCCGACCTCCTTCGACCTCCCCACCGCGGGAGGAGTAGGAGGAGCAGGAGAGACCGCCTCTACCCCACGCAAAGTCTCCATCACCGTCCACCCGGCACCGATCCCTGTCGCCTACTCGGCCGTTCGCACCGCCATCCCCGCCCTGCTAGCCGAGTACGCCGACACCCACGGTGGCCGCCAACCCGACCTCGTCGTGCACATGGGCATCGCGGCCACCCGGGGCTACTACTCGATCGAGACGCGCGCCCACCGCGACTCGTACCACATGTCGGACAACCGGGGCCAGTGCGGCTACGACGACGGCGAGCGGGAGTGGCGCGAGATGCAGGTGCCCTCCATGCTGCAGGCGGGTGCCGTCGACGAGGACGGCGACGGCGATGGTCATGGTGGGGTGGGTAAGGGGTGCTGCCCCCGTCCGCCGGATGATGGATTTCTGGCGCTGTGGAAGGGGTTCGCCGGGGAGGATGCCGATGTGCGGGTGTCGACGGATGCGGGACGCTACCTGTGTGAGTTTATCTTCTTCACGAGTCTGGCGCTTGCGTGGCGGGAACGACGATCGAGGAATGTGGTCTTCTTGCATGTTCCGTCGAGCTGCACGGAGGAGGATGTGCGGGTGGGGAGGGAGGTGGCGGTCGCGATGATCAAGGCGGTGGTTCTGTCGTGGATTGATTCTCGATGAGTTTTGTTCTTTTTCTTTTCTGTCATGATGATGAGCCTTTCTTTCTTGTTGGTTTGGATTGGCGTTTTATCGGTGTTGGGTCTTGCATACTTCTTGGATCTATCTACAGCATCACCAATGGCTATATACGGAGTTGAGCTGTTCTCACTTCAATTGGATTATTTGAGCACTGTCTCTGCGACTACTCCGTACAACCTCAATCTATCCGTCCGATCAACCCAATATCTGCAATATCTGATCCTGTTGCATTGAGTCCAAGTCCATCGAATACGCGGCATTCCGTCTTGGCGCCTGAAGAACAAGGACCCACCTCGGCATTCGATCGATCATCCAAACCGCCAATAAATTCCCCACACTTCTTACTTCTTACTTCTTACTTCTTCATCTTCTCCTCACCCTCGCCCAGGGAGCAGACACAATGGCGCCCATCCTCGTCGCAATCCTACTCGCCCTCCCGGCGGGCTACTTTCTCTTCCCACGCCTCCGCCAATGGATCAAAAATTACCTCCCTCTGGGTAAACCATCCCTGCCACCCCCCACCGAGATCGTCTCTCTCCGCATCTATCCCGTCAAATCCTGCCGCGGCATCCAAGTCCAGCAGACGCAGCTCCTAGCCCAAGGTCTCGACCTCGACCGTCGCTGGATGCTCGTCGACGCAACCACCCTCGAGTTCCTCACCATCCGCCAAATCCCCGAAATGACCCTCATCAACACGGCCCTCAGCCCCGACTCCTCCACCCTCATCCTCTCCATCGCCGGCCCTTCCACCACCACACCAATTGAAATTCCAACACGCCCCGACCAACCCTGGCTCGACGCGAACACCACCCTCGCAACAGGCGTCAAAATCTGGGGTTCCCTCACAGACGGCTACCTCTACAGCGCAGACCTCACCGCCCCGTTCTCCTCCTTCCTCGGCCGTCCCGTCCGTCTCGTCTACAAGGGCCCCACGCCACGCATCGCCCAAGGGAACGGCGCCCCGCATCTCCTCGGCCGCTCCCAGCCGGTTAACTTCCCCGACGTGCACCCTGTACTCATCGCGTCGGAGTCCTCCCTCGCTGACCTCAACGCCCGACTCGCCGAGCCTATCCCCATCGAGCGCTTCCGGCCTAATATTGTCGTCCGAGGCGGCGTTCCCTGGTCGGAGGACGTGTGGAAGCTTGTCCGCTTGGTTGGGTCGGGCGATTCCACCTCAACACCTACTAATAGTAGTGGAGGCCTTGAAATCGATATCGTAGCCCGCTGCGCCCGCTGCCAGGTTCCCAACGTAGACGCAGACTCAGCGCAGAAACACCCCGCGCAGCCATGGAACACGCTCGTCAGCTATCGTCGCGTCGACGAGGGTATCAAGTGGAAGCCTTGCTTTGGGATGTTAGGCGCTCCGCGCGAGGAGGGCGTCGTTAAGGTGGGGATGCGGTTGGAGGTGTTGGCGCTGGGGGAGCATAAGTATATTAAGGGTTTTTAGTTCCTTGTGTTCTTTTTGTCTACTTGTTTTATATTTGCGGTGCATACTGACTGTGTTGGTGGATGCTATTGTGGGCGAATCGGCATCCTTAGGACTGGACTTGCGGGTTAGTGTTTTTATATTAGCTTGATGCACATATTATCTATATACTATATATTTCCTATCGACAATTCGTGACGCCGACTGTGTAGTGATGTAAATTTGACCGAGGCTATAGTTCAAGGGAGTCTTCGTCTCTTCTTGGTACATGAGTAAGAAGATGTTTGTCGAGATAGTTATATATGGTATTTATATATCCTGCGCTTACCATCACACAGACCGTTCTTGGAACAAAATCAAGAGTACCACAAGTTGGCGCGTATGCAGGATATATCCTGAGATATATCCATAAAATAAGGAGTCGTCTCCGCTTAGTCTGAGCTTTCTCTCAGTGGTATCTGTGGAGGGAATGGATATATTCCTGTTGGAAGTGCGGAATACTTGCTTTGTGGCACTACATACTATCACTTGGTACATATTCATCAAGTATACCTCCTTCAAGAACTCCAATGCTATCCTATACCAAATATATACACCCAGTTAAAAACACGAGATAAATATACTCATATACCTTTACCACAATAACTTATAAAAAAAATAATCTAAACATGATCTATATACAGAATTACTCCTTCTGCTTACTAGCCGACACACACCAATTATTCCAATCCGTAAAGAAAGAAGGCTGCACATGGCTCTTCCGGCTCAGCAGCTGACTCTTCCTCGTCTCTCCATACACATCAACCACGCCGCCCAGCGCCTGCCTATCACTCGCAGCAACAACCTTCACCAGCAGCAAACTCGCCTGGCTCGCAGCAGCCGCATGAGCAGCCGGTCCACTGTGCCCAGCCTCAGCATGCACAGACCGCAGCAGATCCCACACAGGTTCCAGCTCGTCCACGCGCGGCACAGCCGCCGTGCCCTTGCACAGCTTGGCGAACTCGCGCACGACGGCAGCCGCCTTGTCGGAGACTTGCTTGACGGAGGAGCGGCGCGTGAGGCGCAGGAGGGGGAGTAGCAGGTCAAGAGCCAGCACCTTCGTGTGGCACTTTTTGACGTAGATGTCGAGCAGGTCCAGCACGCGGTTCTTGAAGTTCACCATGTTGCCGCGCGCGTCCTTCTTGTCCTTCTTGTGGTTGTTCGCGTCGCGACGCGCTTGGAAGACCTTCACGAGCTGGTTGTCGAGCTGTTCCATGGCGGAGTCCGTCATGTCGGAGTCCGAGCCCGAGTCGTCGGATGCGGCGAGGTCTTCGTCGCCGCGGTGTGTGCCGAGGGCGGCGGCGAGCTTGGCTTCGAAGATGGCGACTTCGGGGTCTTCTTCGCCGGAGGATGTGGATTCGTTGTCGGAGTCGTTGTCGGAGTCTTCGCCGGAGCCGGAGCCTGCTTCGACGACTTCGACGTCGCTGTCTTCGGAGTCCGCGTCTACGTCCATCATGTTCTCGTCGCCCTCCTCGTCTTGCTGGTCGAACATTTCCTGCTGTCCCGCGAGACTTTCCTTGGCTTCGAGGATCTACACTTGTTAGTTTCCCGCTTGTACAGCCGAAAGGCATAAGGGAGGGTAAATACCGAAATCAACGAATCCAACCCATTCTCAGTGACCTTATCCGCAAAAACACCAAACACCTGCTCGCTCATGCGTCGGAAGAGCTGCGACTGCTTGGCTGCGAAACTGAGCAGAATTTCCACGAGCGCATCCGTCGCGTCCGACTTCTCCTCCTTCTTGGACTTCTTGTCGCTGAAGATCTTCGAGAAGCAAAAGTCCAGCTCCTCCAGCATGGACACGGCGTCCGCGTCGCCGTTGTATACCTGAAGGATGGTCATCGAGTAGAGGAGCTTGAAGGCGTCGATGCCGCCGTCTTCTTTCTTATCCTGTATGCAGTTAGATATTGTCCCTTTCTTAGTTTGGATGTATTGGTGAAGACTTACCATGCTGAATAGCTTCTTCAGCGACTTGAACGCGCTCTTCACCGACTCACGCAGCGTCTCGTCCATGTCGATGATGAACTTGCCGTACTCGCCGGACTTGGCCCCGTCGCGGATCTTGCGCACCACGGCGTAGGGCAGATCCGTAGCGTACTTCTGCTGCGCGATCAGGCTGTTCAGACACGAGTTGATCCTGCTGCGGAAGAGCTCCTGCGTCTGCTGCGTCAAGGGCGGCTGGGCACCGGACTTGGCATCATCGGCGGCGCTGAAGTACGCGAAGCGCACGAAGGTGAAGAGGATCTGCTCGAGCACGTCCTGCGCGTCGTCGGTGTCGCTGGCTGATGCCCGCGACCGGACGATACTCAACAGCAGGCCGGCGAGGAACTGGCGGGTGGACGCCGCGGCTTTGATATCGGTTGTGTCGGGGGACGCGATGAGGCGTTCCAGTCGCGGGACGATCTGGCGCAGGGCGTCGGCGTTGGCTTCGACTGCCATCTTCTCGACGGTCTTTGTCTTGGTGATCTGATCGAAGTTGGCCGGGAGCCCGTTGATGGAGGCGGCGGCGAAGGCGGGCTCTTTGGAGACGCGCGTCTGCAGAGCTTTGGTCGCCTTTACGGCCATGCGGTGCAGGAAGCGGTCCTCGACGGCGAGTTGGTTGGTAAGACAGCCGACGAGGTTCTTGGTGAATACCAGAGAAGCCTGCTCTGGGGGACACTCGTTGATGACTTTGACGAAGAGGAGGAAGCCCCAGTATTTGCGCTCGTCCGAAGAGGAGGAAGCGAATAGTCCGTCTGGACGTAGTGTTAGCTCACTCAATCTACCATATCCACCGTGTGAATTGAGCATATAGAGTACTTACTATCGACAACCTCAACCCAGAAGTCTGCAAAACCCAGACGCGACCCCTTAGACTTGGTGGGAACAGCCAACCTAGCCAAAACAGCATCCCAAGCAAAGTGCAGCTTCGAGTTCCACACCCCAGAAGACTTGGGCTTGCCCTGCTTCTCCTCCTCGGGGTCGGCAGCCGACGACTCCTTCATGACCTTGGCCAGCTTGCTCCGCTCCTTGGCGTCAAGCGGGTCGTCATGCTTCCAGACCTTGCTGGGGAAGTTCACCTGCGGGAACAGGTCCTTGGCCGCAAGCCAGACGGACACACCCTCCGGGGTGCGCGCGAGGTCGTTCGAACACAGGCGCTCCAGAGCGCTCTCCACGAACTTGGTGTCGGCCTTTTGCGTCGACAGCTCATAGACACACCGGTAGACGATCCAGCCGCACTCCTCTCTGATCCACGGCTTCTTGTTGGCCAGCCCGAACACCAGATCCAGAAGCTTGGTCCACTCCGTGAACGGCACCTCGGGCTTGAACAGGATCGACGACTTGATGATAGCCTCTGCGCCGAATAGACGGCCGAAGACATGATCCCGTTGTTCCTATCAATCGTGAGCACAGCATCCCCTCATTTCGGAGAAGAAGAAACATACCTGACCAGACTCACTCCCCGAAGAACTAGACTGCGACTCCCAAATCCCCATAACACCCGCCACAGAGACATCCGAGTCCTCGCGCTCCGCGG